CAAAGAGGAGTGTCACGACTATTCTGCAGAACAGTGTCTCAAAGTCAATACAGTAGCTTGTTCCCCTTGCGAATGAATATTTCACTTCTGTGTTGTTAAAGAGGTCTCGGTGTCGGCACGGGTGTTCGCACGAGATTTGCGAAAGACAAGCTCGATGTTCATGAATTGAAGAGATTGAAGACACTCGATTAATGAGAATGGGCTAATTTGATACCCGAAGTAGATTGCACGTATAAAGTAAATTGAAAGATGTTTGGGAGCTGGTTCAATTCGGACTCTGAAGGCCTCGCAGTCAGAAACACAGTCCATAAAATTAAAATAGCCCATGGACCATGATATCTCGCCAAATCTGCAGATCGGATGTTCTTCACGACAAAAGCTCTTGCGACACGATGTCTTTATCTTTGTTGCTCGGTCTAGTCGATCGATTATTAGGTCATTTTCAAAAACCTAGCTCTCGAAGCACGATCGAGGACCCCTAATGCGAGTAGTTTGAATACATCCCTGATGCAAAGTAGTAGGCGCAAATTTGAGAGACGGAGAGTACATTCAAGAGTACCGCCAAAAGTCGAACATTTCTTTAAATCATACGGAGTTCTGCTGAGTCTTGAAGTCAGTGAATCAGTAGTCCAGTTCATTCCTCAAGAACGCATTCTTCACCTCGCCTGTTACTAACAAGAAATACGGGAGACGAAAGATGTCTTGCAGGAGGAGAATCAGAGCAGCGAGCTTAAATCGTACACAACGGCAAAAGACTTCATCATGTCGTGTCGCTGTGCATTGAGCCACACCAGAACATTATTTGATCTTTCGATCGTCAAAGAATGCTTCTCTTCTTTACCATCAATTATACTCCTCGGACACAATGAGTCTCTTCTTCCAGGCCGATGCCAACAAGAGATTTGGGATTGCAGACATTTGAGGTTTGGGATTTAGCAAACCTCAGGACTCCAAACCCAAATAGACGGAGCTCTTGTCCTCCTGGTAGTCCTGTTATGGCTGCTTTATCAAATTGTGGTCCACATTTGAAGGAGGCTTGTATGCTCTCAAATCCTTTTTGTTGCAACTGTAACATTATAGTAGCTTAGTCAAAAGCTCGCTCCATTTTCTCTTATTGAAGTAAGGACTATGAAAGGACGTGAAGATGAATATGGAGACAGAGCAGCGTTTACTCAATTTGCTACAAAGACAGCGTGTCTGTGGAGCATTGATCAGGAGATAAGAAGTCTTCCCAATCTCACATGAGCTATGCTCCTGTCGTCGGGGTGGACGTCAATCATTCTCAAAACTGAAGATAGAAATTAAGTGCGGATGATTGTGAAGTCTTTATTCCAATGTGTGGATAGCGTCCTTGTGCTGTCAAAGAGGAACAGAAGTTTCGGGCTTTGCAATATATAAATTGATCGACTTCTCCTTGTATAGACTAGAGCTTCGGACGCAACAGTTCTGCTAGGCGTTTATGCGGCTCTGCAAAATCAGGAAAATGGTAGTGCTTGGTGGACACCAATAAACTTACGAGCGTCTTGCTGGTAGCATTAGAAGATGATTCGAAGTAGATAGTATAAAGAAAGCAGAAGTCCTCATAAATGCTACCGGGAAGAATGGTCGCATGTTCTTCCCTTTCTGAAGACCACTGAAATCCCTCTCACCTTATCTCAGTTTTTGCCAGTGTTGATCGGAGTGCTGGAAGTCGTCTTGGAGCCGACACCCCCTCCCCCTCTTCATGTATACCATCCACCAGCTTTTTATTGCTCCCGAATCATTCCATCATATCTCTCGCACACTCCTCCATCATTGCCCCAGCTCTTCGCGTCTATCATTGCTGACAGGGGAACGGCTAGTAGTAGATTGTGGATGGGGAGAAGATTCTTAGTGGCGTGGAGAAGACACTTATACTTAATCCATAGTATTCAGAGAGAGCAAGGGAAACGTGAGAAAAAGCTTTGTATAGCGAGCGTTAGGCCTGAGTGTCTGTAAGAGAGCCGATTCCGTTTTTGAAATCTTTTGATGTAGTGCTGAACACTTACTTGTCGCCCAAGACATTCGAGCTGAGTGCGCATTTTGAAGATGAAAGTTCAAATCACACTGGACGCTATCAACCACCCATTGAGCATGAGTCTTCAATAGATCAAAAGATGAAAATACAAGTCCTCGGGCACGAAGGCGGCCTCACTCTGCAGCAAAACGCGAAAGCTTCAGCATACGCTCAGCCAAGAATGAGAGAACCCCCAGTAAAGTTCTTGGGAAGTCTGACTTTCAGATGATGTTCCTCAAGCAGCACGAGAAGGCTGTACGCCCATCGGATCAGAACTCCTAGATCTATGGTGAATGACGGAAAATGAATGAACAACACAATCGGGGAATTTGGCTTAGAGGAATGAATTCTTTCCATCGCGTCGACTCATTCATCAAACGGAATTAGGTCACTTCTGGGCACTAGGCCAGATAGCTTTCCCAAGCAGATTGAATTGACTCGATATCACGTCAAAGAAGGAGCACCGAGTTCAAAGTGCGGACAAAGGAACGACAGCCTGGGAAGTACAAGTAATTCAAGCACCAGGATGTTTAAAAGCGTAGCCATCATGTCCAAAGCTTCGGATATTCACTCCCAGCGAGACCTATGGTCTCATGAATGATTGAGGCTTCAGGTAACAAATCTGATATACGGCGAGCCTGCAAAAAGCCACTCCTTCAACCTTTTGTGCTCTTACAAGTCTTGAACTTCGAAAACAAATGCAATGAAACATAGATAAGTAATTGAGCGTCATATGCAAAAGACCCGAGACCTGATCGGTGAAATGATTTGCATCTGCATGCTTTCATAACACAAGCCATCCCAATTCAGCGAAGTATTTCTTAATCGTTAAACACTCTCGCCCTGAATCGACGTAATTGGTTTCGGCATCTTGAAGTTTGAAAAATTAAAACGCGAAAATATTTTCAATTTCTTGAGGTGGCGGGTCTGTCAAAGCGTGTGAGCAGACCAGAGATATGAAAGTTCACATTCCACAAATTTGTCTGCTTTCACGTTGGTCCAAACGAAGGGCTCGAAAGAGCCCCAGCAAGTTGACACAACAAGAGACAAAGAGGAGACGAACGACAATAATGAGCGGAGTGTGTAAGGTCAGTCAATTTTGTTTCCAGAATTATGTCTTTCGTAGGGCAGTGGTGAAGGAAGAAGCAGTCTTTCATGCCGAATCCTAGCTCATGAAACCCAAAGACGAAGAGAGCGACACATGTTCTTGCAGACATAGATTCAACGGAAAAGAGTACTAAGGCTTTCAGAACATTATTGTTCAAATTGTGGGTTCTGAGGAATGGTAGGCAAGTGAGTTGTCGAGATGCATCACGATGTATTCGAAAGGAATGCAGTGATAGAACATGTAGAGGAGATGTAAGAATTTCCAGTGGGCCTTATTTCTTCCATTCACTCTCCTTCACGCAAATTGATCGGTCTGGCACTAGAAGCCTTCTAGACCCATTCGCTCCACGAAGTAGAAAAGAAGAGGGCGATTTAGTTCGCAAAATAAGTGTAACAAAGATGAAAGCGTCGTCCTCTTCTAACACCATTCCTCGACACATAAAAGGCAGAAAAGCGCAGATGCATTCCACCGAATCCTCATCCGACACCCAGCATCGAAGATCATCGCAAGATATCGAAGAGCAGAAGAGCATAGCAATAACGATTTGTAATCTCCACGAACACAAGCCCGGCTGGGTCGCCAGTCAGCTTCTCCTTCCTCTGACAATTGCGCAGAGTCTCACAAGCCCAGCCTAGAGGCAGCGTAGGATCTGTTCGCCCTCGTCTTGCGCCCAGGCCAGAAGCGGCCCATTGTAGGCCAGAAAGGAAGATCATTATAGTTTTAAAAAGAGTAGATTCGCATGACACCCAGAAAAGGAGCGTACATACTTGCTGAGCTTGCAGCACTGTTGACCTTATGATCCTGGTGGAAGCTCACAAGCCTTACATACCTCGGACTTCAGGCCTGGCACTTGGAAATGAGGAGCAGGAGCAGAAGAGAAGAAGAGCAAGACACCATGTACTCTGGCAGGCATGATCTTGAGAATCTCAGATCGAGCCCAACACCGAGGAAGGCGTTGCGAGATCTGGCTTGTCACACCCGACATCCAGGATGAAAGATGAGTGCGGTACCAAGACAGAAAATCTACGATGGCATTCGAAGAGCAGAAGAGCAAGCCACTCCACTCCACTCCACTCAGAAGAGAAAAGCCCCCTAATCAACTCGCACCAGACTTAGACCACAAGACTCGGTAGAGAGGGTATGATGTATAAGGAGAAGAAGACGAAAGGGAGCGAGGGAGGGGGGAAAGGCCATTTATACCCACTCACCCAGCCCCCTTCTCCCAGCCCCCTCTATTCACATACTCTCTCCTTGCCTCCACTTCCCTCCTATCTTCACCCACTTAGCCTTCATCTCCCCCCAGCCCTGCCCCTTCACTGCAAATTTCATTTCACCATCTCTCGCGGAGGTGTGCTATCCAGCCTCCAGCCTCCAGCGTCATCGTCGTAGATACCCTGAGTAAAGTGAGTGTAACAGATGATGCGTCGACGTTGTGAGAAACCAGAATCGGAATGAGAAGCGGAAGGGGAAAGGTGGAAGGGACGAGGGGGAGGGTGAAGGGTGCGCGAGTTTGAGGATGTAAATTCGTAGAATAGATCATAAATCTTCCATATCATGGTGTGGCAGGCAGGCCCTACTTTTGTTTCATATCCCATTGCTTTTATCATACCATCATCCATATACCACCCACCATCCACCACTCCCTATCTCCTATTCACACCTCACATGAACTTCCCCGCCATGCCCATCAACCCCCCTCCACCACCTTGACTCTTCAGATACATCTTCAGCGCCATCTTCCCCGCGGCATTAATCGCATTTTGCTTTTCCTCCCCCCCTCCTCCCCCTCCTCCACCAAACCCTCCAAACCCCCCACCACCTCCTCCTCCCCCACCACTCCCACCTCCTCCCTGGCTATCAAACAACCTCCCCGCCTCCGCCATAGCCATACCGACAAACTTTCCCTGACTCGCTCCTCCCCCCATACTCCCCACGCCCATTCCCCCTCCTCCACCACCCATACCCCCACCACCACCACCTCCACTACTCCCACCCGTAAACATCTTAAGCGCCTGCATCGCCGCCCCCACGCCAATAGTCTCACTACTATGCCTTCCACCCCCGGCATTAACCTGGCCCCCATCACCAACGGCGCCATAAATCCGTTGATGAGCGCCCACAGCCCCTTGCTCATCAAGATCCTCATTCGCAATCTCATGTTTATTGCCCTGGAGGAAACCTAGTGCGTTGCCGAAGAAGCCGCCTTCGTCCCCTCCCCCGCCCCCACCCCCGCCCCCGCTGTAGGATTGTTGCGCATGATGCGCAGCGCTATTCAGCCCATCGTCCTCTCCGCTGTTACCGCCGCCGTGATGGCCACCGCCGTAGGATTCTTGCCCGTACCCACCGCCTTGCTGCTGGCCGTAGCCGCCTCCGCCGTCGCTGGGCCGGTTGTATTCGCCTCCTCCTCCTCCTCCTCCTCCGCCTCCTCCTTGCCCACTTCCGTAGCCTTGCCCGCCCTGCTGGGGCCGATTAGAGGATTGCGAGAAATCGTTAGATTGGTCGTAGTAATTGTTACCAGCACTACCACCACCGCCGTATTCGGAGGGGTCGGAGGGGCGGTCGTAGGACATTTGTTGTATTTTGTTGGATGGACGGATGGACGGATGGAGGGGTTGAAAGGGTGGGATTGGAGAGGGTGAAGAGGGTGAGGGTCCGAGGAGAGGTGAGGATGAGGTGGCTTCAAAGGTCGAAGAGACGTGAGGTATGAGGAGGATTGGTACAGAGGAAGGGACGAGAGAGGGTGCCTTGGAGGGGAAGGCTTTGCGGGGCAGATGATGGGTGTGATGAGGATCACTGGCTGTGTAGGCGGTACAGAGAATATGGGAGATCTCTAGAGTATTGACTTAGAGGATGTAGATGGGCAGACGAAGGGGGATGGTTGGTAAAGAAGTCAATAGCAGCGTGACGTCAGAGGTGCATGAAGTCCACGCGTACAATAAATAGTATTGAAATAGGGGGAAGTCAATTGAAGTCATGAAACCATCAGATTGTCTATCATATGATACAGTACTCGCTCAGTAACCCAGACCATTCTCATATCTCATAGTATAATACATGGTATCTCGCTTTTCCGCCCCTGGCTCAGCAGAACAGTCCAATATCCATCCCTCCATACCATCCCCCACAGATATCCAACGCCATGACCAACAATGTACAAATATTCACGTATAAAACCCCTCGTCCATCTCCGGACTCCCATGATGACTAATATCAAACCAATTCCTCGCCGTCAAGTCCTCAAACGCCGTCCCCGCAAACGGCCCACTCGCATTCGGATTATTCGTCTGCAGGAAGAACGGAGCTTCCGTATCCTCCGTGACTGGACTCATAGGTTGCCCACCCCAGCCCGAGTATGATGCCCCGAAATCGTCGTGATTTTGGAAATTGCTGCTGTGGATTGGTTCCACTCCAACGACGTCGGTCATTATGTCATCAACGTCGCTGCCATCTTCGTCTGCTTCTTGAGGTGGGATGAGGAAGGGTATAGGTAATTGCGGAGTTGGGATTTGACGAAGGTCTAGTTCCTCGATCTTTGGTTTCAAGGGTAGCGCTTTCAGAAGGTCGGTTGAGGATTCGAGGGATTCGATCGCGAAGTTGAGGAAGCCTGCATTCTTCGCGCTGACCGTGAGTGTCCAACGATATTCGCTCAAACGAGCCCGGTAGAATTCTGCCTCCTCTTGACACGGGGCTGTTGCAAGGAGGAGACTGCCGAACGTAGCTACGAGGGCGAAGTTGACTTTGCTGGGAAAGTACCAGAATGATGTCAGGTGATCGGAGCGAAGGCGGTTGACAAAGTCCATGGCCGAGATAAGTCGAGATTTTGCAGCGCCTCGACAGATAAAAGTGAGATAATTGTCTCCACCACAGTTGGCGAGTGAGCGGATGATGCAGCGATGGAGGGTAATCTCCGTTGCAAAATATGCAAGGTGGAGATGACCTATCACAATCAGTCTGACGTCTCTTTAGAAAAGACAATATTGGCAATACCTATCATCGACGTGGCCTCTCCGTTGTCCAACTTCAGGGTCTTTGGCAGCTGTGTAAACCAGTCCTTCAACTTCATCTGAATAGGCTTCGCTCGCTCGAGTATGAGTCTTGTTCCATTCTCCCCAGCATCGTCGTAGTCTTGGATTGCTCTCTGCGTATAAAACGTATCGAGGATGTTGGACAGGATCTGAGTCAAAGTGACCATTTGACAGAAGCACTCTAGCCCGCGCTTGCGTTCTTCGATTATCGCATCCCTTGAGTCGTCTTGAGACCCAAAATCCTCATCGTATAGATCTTTCACAGCCCAATGCGCCTTCGAGATTAGGGCTGGTCGCCCATGCACGAGAGAACACCACACATCCTGCATATACATCGCCCATGCCAGGCGTTTCCTCAGTCCAATCTCTTCCTCTGATAATGTCCAGGATGAGCAATCGAGATGTAGTCCGAGCTCGAATGTGGCGCTGACGAGCTGAGTGTTGAGGGTTTTGGATTCGAAGTCAGATCGTTGCATGAGTAGTAACCCAGCTTGGATGGTAGACAATGTCGCCTTGTTCAACGAGTCGTTGATGAGATTCAGGGAAAGGTCCTCGAGCTGATACACATCCAGCGGTCGTTTCCTATCCGGAGTGAAGCCAGGCGAAGAAGCGGAGACTGTGTAGATAGCGCAAAGCAAGGCAGGGTCGATACTCTTTCTTTGTCCGGATGATAGTGATGCTGCTTCCACAATTGGAAAGCTTCGGCTGATATTGTTTTGGAAATGCTGCAGCAACAATGGTCCGTTGGATCCGACGAGCTTCTCGACAGTTTGAGTTGCTGTAAGCTGCGGACTTATTTGATCTTCGTCACCGAAAGTGAGGAACGCATTGCGGTCGTCCGATTTCTGGTAGTTCGCACTCCAGGGTGCAGATCCAGCACCTCGTGAGAGGTCAAACAACATCGGCTCGAGCTCTGTAGTGTATCCGACGTGCGAACCATGATAGTGCCAATTGCCCGGTGACGCAGTCGAGGAGGAAGACCCGTCAGAACCCTCACGCTTGATTTTGACCGTAGCCGTCGCGCCTTTTGAATCGTTACTTGTCGGAGCTCTATTTTGTCATCAGCGATCTTTTCCGTCCCACAGCTCTTTATCATTATCTACCTTCTCTTCGCACCCTCTGGCTGACCTTCAGTATCTACCCGTCTCTTTCGCGGCCTAGGATCCTCGACGTAGGTGCATTTCTGCCCGTGCATGGCGCAAGCCGCGCACACGGTCTGACCCTCATTGATTACGCATTTGCTCTTTCGCCTTCGACAGGCATCGCAAGGCCTATCTTTGCGGTCCCGTCTTCTCTTCTCTTTCTGTGCAGGTGGTTGCGAGGTCAAGCTTTCCATGGAAGGTTTAGGATGAGGAACGTGAGGCTGAGGCTGGGCCATGGGGGCTGACATCTTTCCGGGCTTTTTAATTTGGTTCGTGGCCCAGCTGTGGAAGTGGAGACTGCAATAAACAGAAAGTGGTGTTCCTTTCGGGAATCATGGGTCGTAGAGGTGGACGAGGGTTTTGTAGTTGACACAGCGGATTCTTGGACAGCCAAAGACTATGAGGGTTTTACGGTGGTGTGGGTTGCAGTCCAGGGTCGCGTTCACCTGTATGCTTTGATGATGCCTTGATTCGATGTGCACAGACTCTCAGCAACAGCGGATGTAGCCGTCGCAAGCATGCGGTGTCTTGATGGCAAAACCTGGGGGAGAGTCGGAAGCTCTCACCATTGGGTTCGTTAGAAGGCCAAGAGGGCGTGGGGGTGAGACTGGGGGTGCTCTTCAGTCCAAGCTTAGGATGTTGGTCGCGTGTCAGGCCAGTCTTTTCCTGACGCTTTCTCGATGTATATTCAAAGCAAAATCTTCAATCTGGATGTGATTGGCCTGGTGGAGTGCTTATTCCTTATCTTTGGCTCTGCTCCATTCAGATGCCTAAGAAGGGCGTTAGTGAGGGACTAGGTGCATGTAGCTGGCAGGTAATGATAAGGTTGATGGATCTGTTTGGACCGCTGCTGTTCGACTTACCTAAACATCACGTAACGTCCGTCTGGACCTGCAGCTGCACTAGGCTACATCGTCCGCTCTTGCATCGAATTAGCCCTCGGTCTTTTCAGCCTCTGATCACTTGCTTATTGTTCCAACATAATGGAAAGCTGCCGATTTGATGCAAGTAAAAGGCGTCGGTCTTTGCGATGAAGATATATGCAGATGGCAACAAACAGCTTGCCGTAGAGTGAATGTCTTGGCATTCGATGATCGTGAACTGTGGGCCGAAGGCATTGCTGAAGCCCACTGCTCTTGGATTGAATTCGCAGACGTGTTCGGTATGGCGTTGAACCAAGTCACTGACAAACAATGAGCACAATACTCATGCAGTTGACAGATTAGTGGCAACCGACGTGGACGAATCTGAACGCCGAAAGGATGAGTGATTTATCAAATGTGTTTGATGCTGAAATCAATAATAGATAATAGCATTACCCCATACATCATATCAGTCCAAGCTATGCATACAGGTATCAAACTCCTCCCTTCTCTATCCGCATCCCGCCGACTTCCGATCAGCCTCATACTATCTTCGGGTTTCCATTTCCTCCTCACATCTCTCATTCAGACCCACTCACTTCACGAACTTGGCCTTCTCATGCTCCCTCACATTGATATACTTGAACGGTCCCTTTCCACCCACAGCATAGACGGCAGTGAAGCTCTTGGTCTCATGCCTCCATGGATCTCCGCCCATAAAGTCGTTCGTGATCGTGAATTCCTTTCCGCCCTGCGCATGTTCGAGGATCTTCGCAAGGATTTTCACGTCCGTGATGACCTTGCCGCCATAGACTACGGTGTCGAGGTAAAAGTCTCCTCGCTTACGTGATTTGTCGTCGCAGATGAAGGCGGTGCCCTTTGCATTTAGTTGTGCTTTGTATTCGTCTCTCTGGCGTTCAAACTGTCCCACTTTCTCATCGAGAAGCTCCTTCTCGGCGTCATATTTCTCCTTCATATCCTTCATCTCCTTGGTGGAAGTCTTCCGAGCCTGATCAGCTTCCGTGTCCCGCTTGTGTTTTGCTGCGATGGCCTCCTCAAGTTGTTTATTGATGTTCTCGTAGTCGTTTGCGCTCGACGTTTTGAGGTTCTCGTAGTCCTTCTGGAGTTCGCACAGGTCCTTTCCTGTCTTCTCAAGCTGGATTTGTTTCTTCTTCAATTCGTCCTCCTTTGTCTTGAGCTTGCCGTCAAGCTCAGTGCATTTCGCATTGGCCTTCTCAAGCGCATTCTTCGAGCTGACGAGCTCGCGAGTAGTCTTCTCAAGATCTTTCTTGTATGCCTCGAGTCGGTTCTTAGTGTCCGCAAGCTCTGTCTTCTTTGAACGCAATTCAGCTTCAAGGGTCTTCAACTTCTCATCCTTCGCCTTGGCCTCGACTTCGAGCTTCTGGTATTTCTCGTTGGCCTTTGCAAGCTCGTTTTTCGTACTGACGAGTTCCTTTGTCGTCTTCTTGAGCTCGTCTTGGTGTGCCTTCAATCGGTCTTCAGTCTCTTTGAGTTTCTTGCTCTCTTTGGCCAAGTTGCTGTCGGACTCTGCCAGCTTCTTCTTGGTCTGACTTAGATCATTCTCTGTGTTTGCAAGTCTATCTGCAAGGGCTTTGCGGGAGGTTTCGGACTCCTTAAGTTTGCGGTCTGACTCTTTGAGCTTGCGTTCGATCTCTTCGTGGTGGTTGATGAGGTTCTCGATGCTGTTGACATGGAACTTGTAATAAGATAGGAGATCACGACTGTGGGAGATGTGCTCGCTGTCGCACGCGCCGCAGTCTGGCTCGATAGGAGTCTCTTTCACGACGGGTTCGTTCTTCGTTGTGATGGTGTCATTCTTGGGAAATGGGACCTCTGTACCTTTGAAGCAACCGAAAACTTCAACCATTGCTGCTGAGGAAGCGGAATGTTGGTGTCTTAAGTGTTATGTTGTGTAACTGTAAGTCGAATGAAGGACAAGGACTTGACTTTGATAATGTTCGAGTATTGAATCCAGGGCGAATGGTTTGAGAAGAGGCTGGAGAATGGCAACCCTTTTATCTTCACCAGACATAAGCAGAGTGCAAGCAGAGGACTCCCTCTGTCTGGCCAGATCCTTCTCTTTCCAGCGTTTGGGGGGCCAGGCCTGCGGAGGATCCTCGATTGGGGTGCTCAGCCGGCCACCAAAGAACTCCTCAGAAAAGGCACGTCTTTTTGAGATGTCTCTGACGCCACGAAGCCGCTATAGTGTAATTGACATGCTATATCTGGCCATGGTCTAAGCTCCTGACGGCAAATCTTCCGGCTCCAGTAAGCGAACAGCAAGCCTAGACGAACAGGGTCTGGCATCGGCGAGGTCCAGAACTCCTTGTGAGCGGCACCAGCGGCGGGTGGCTGAAAGCGAGGATGAGGCTCGATGAGGATTCTGAACAATCAGCAAATGATTGGCCTAGGAAATCAGCCACGGGTGGTCGATTTCAGCTGAGCAAGGTTCTTGAAATAAGGCAGCTTCAACGGCACGATGCGTGACCCAAAACTGACATCCACTTGCAGAATGGGTTAATAAGCGATGGCCTACGGTCGATGCAGTGCGTCTCCACAAGAGAGTAATCCTAAGATATCAAGACTTTGGGTCGAAAAAGTTGATAAATCGATCTGGGTCTCCTTCATGGTGTGACCGAGAAGGGTGTTTCATTTCCACAGTGTGTGGCCACCGGTTGATCGGCACATACTGGGATGCCTCATAGCTGTCAGTGTCTACGATCTGGAGCTGTCATTAATTGATTAAGGGCGAGACCGAAAAGCCCAAGCCGCATTTTGGCCCCTATCTTCCCAAAAAGCCTAGCGCGCTCCCAATCCGGTAATTCACCTAATTTACGGCAGCCACATTGGGCAGCGTTATCAAAAGGTCTAGACTTCACGTACCCCCGCATCAGCTGTGTCCAAACCCGCCACATGTTCATTTCATGGCTCGGAATGTCATGATTCACGTCAAGCTTGCTTCGAGGCTCGCATCAATTATTCTTTCAGCTGATGACTTGAAAGCCACACGGGTAGTTACCTACACAGGCAACCTGTGTTCCACTTTGAAGGATTACCACACGCTTCTAAAGCGATATTGAAAGCGAAGAGAGCAGCCCCTGAGTAGACGATACACCAATTGGTTGCTGTTTCAAGCAATAGACGATGATTGAAGGCTTCCACTGAGACGTACATACATTTCTGATGGGCAACCCTATTTCCGTAAATGTGCATGACGAATACTCGTCAGGCGACTGATAAATAGGCTACCGTCGCGTTGAGCCCCAACCCTGGCATGCCGCCGTCACTAGTCTCATGACCAAGCAGCTTGAGTTCGACATAAGCGAATTGAGTCTCATAATGGTCCATGCAAATAATTCCTATAAACGACCCTAAGCTTACGTATTGTCCGTAATCAGTCTGCAGCAGGTCAAGAAGGAGTGCCATCTGTCGCCATTTGATGTAAGGGCGACCTTGAATAAGAGGTTTCACCAAGAACTGAACCCCCTGGTCCTGAAATGAGAATCCATCCGGATGATCATCGATCCAAGCATCAGGGTTTGCCCTTGTATAACTCTCAATTGTTGTCTGCCCTCGATAGAAGAGGTCATTCACGAACGCGCGGCTAGGCAAGAGCCGTTCAGGGTACCAGGTTCCAAAAAAGAAGAAGTGGTCGGTCAGCTCCACATCTCTCGATTCACGTGAATCCTGCCTGAGTCTGCAAACGAACTTCACCGCGTGACCTTGCGAGATGATGGCAGTGAGCGGCTCGTTTTCTATGATCTCTTCATGTTCAATCAGCCAGAGATGGAGCCCATCAAGTGCAACCAGTATTTGATCATGCGTAAGCGAGCCTGCTAGCATGATCCATCGAAAATCAACAACGGCGTCATCGAAGTTGCCGACGTAGGTTGTGAAGCCTGTTCGAGCAATTGGCCGCCCAGACCCTACTGGCAAACTGCCCATTGCCTGTTTCAAACCTTCAGCACTTCTATCAATAAATCCCTCAATAGGGTTATAGTATGTGCCACTGTATCCATAGCCTTCGTAGGAGAATGATCCGAAGGGTATTATCTGGCTAGTGGAGGATAAGCGAGACAACCAAGGGAAAGTGAAGGAAAGAGAATGATTTAAGCAGAACAGAAAGGGGAGGAGTGTAGGTCGAAGCCTTACTTTGTCTCATTACTCAACGCCGTCAGATTTGTGTTTCCTAAGACTTGGGCCGCGGCGATGTGAAAGATACATACGGTAGCCAGGAGACATGACGTGGGGCGAGAGGTGCACATTTTCAGCCATACACACTTCAGTTCTTCGGAGACCAAAAAGTGGAGGAAGTCAGCCTAATATTTTCATGCGTTGTCTTATCTGCCTCTAGGCCTGCGCGTATTTTCCTGCCCTGTCCTGAAACAGCATTGTCATGAATCGTAAAGCGCCAATCCACCCCGTTCAGCCTGAAACTATTTATAAATAGAGACCATTCAATTCACGAAAGACAGCAAAGCCAGAGACTCCAGCATCTTGAACAGCGCCAGCCTCGAACATGAATCATTTCAACTAGAGCGAGGGGTAATGGCTTCTGTGATCAACGCATTGGCGTTTAGATCTTCGTCACAGTCAGTACCACTAAGAGCATAACATCTCATCAGAGACCGAAGCTAGACGTAAAGACACTGCTGACGATATACGCCTAGGGAAAAGAGTTAATGGACAAAAAAAGGAAAGATCTCTAGTGCCACAGCCGGGCACCAATTGTGACCCCCAACGCGATGGATGAGAGCGAAATCGGAGGACCTTCACAGCACCATCCTTCTCAGCTAACACACCACCATCACAACAACATGCACCACGCACAGTAACCCTCCACGCGCACCTCCATGGCTCTCTCAACCCGCCAACCCCCCCAACCCCACCAACCCCACCAACCTCCCGACCACTGGACACCCACAGCCTACAACACCTCCGCTTCCTTCGTCCCCGCGCTCGCCACCAGAATCCTGCAATGGCTCGACCCGCAACCGACCGATCGGATCCTCGACCTCGGCTGCGGCGACGGCGCCCTAACCATTCAGTACGCCTTGCACTGCCTATCCGTCGTGGGCATCGACTCGTCGCCCAACCTGCTCTCCTCCGCCATCCAGCGGTACGGGCAAAACACGCCCGTGACCTGGCTGCTGCAGGACGCGTGCTTGCTCGAGGATAGCGATTTCCTCCACACAGGGGCCGGGAGTTGGGGTGGGGGTGGGGTGGGGGGGGTTCGATCAGGTGTTCAGCAATGCGGCGTTGCACTGGATCCTGCGCGCTCCAGGGAGTCGTGCGTCGGTTCTGCGGAGCGTGCATGCGGCATTGAAGCCGGGCGGGTTTTTCATCTTTGAGATGGGCGGGCATGGGAATGTGGCGGAGGTGCATGCTGCGTTGTTGGGGGCGTTGGTGCGGCAGGGGTGTAGCATTGAGGAGGCCAGGGACGCGTGTCCGTGGTTTTTCCCAAGTGAGGGCTTGATGAGGAAGTTGTTGGTGCAGGCAGGCTTTGTGGTCGAGGAGATGGAGTGTGAGTATAGGCCTACGAGGTTGACGGAAGAGGAGGAGGAGGGGGAGGGAGGGTTGGAGGGGTGGGTGAGGTTGATGGGGGCGCCGATGTTGGAGAGGTTGGAGGGCGAGAGGAGGGAGGCTGCTGTTAGGGAGGTCATGGAGGTTTTGCAGACGGTTTGTATGAAGGAGGAGGAGGGGGGTGTTGGTTGGGGTATGTAAGGTTAAGGGCGATGGCGAGGAAGGTGTGACTTTCATTCCAATCGTCTTGCTTTCGGAGCGCGATTTCATGATACGTATAATGTTGATGATGGCTGAGGGTTTGTTGCCAGCGTCGCGGGTCTTTGAGAAAGCTGCTGAGGTTTTTGCAAGGTAAAGGACCCACAATTTCAGGCGTATTGGAGGTATATTATTCAAAATTTGGAGCGGCGATACTTTCACGATTGGCTATAAAGGATGAGATGATTGATAAGGTGGAAAGAATTCTCACAAGGCAATCTATGGGTTCATGTGATCTCCATGGTCTAGACAGTGAAAGCTGCGTCAAAGTACATGTCAATCAATCAACTAATCCGTCGCACGGTGTACTTATCCCACATCCATGGCAAATCTTTCGACACACACTCACGTTCGGCGCGTTGAGTTTCCATTCTCTTTTTTCTCTAAGACAGGTTCACTGCTCGCAAACGTTGAACAACCCTGTCTTCCACTCCTCGTCTCTGCTGCTGACGTATTCTATTGCAAAACAGAATTTCCTAGCTCTAAATGAATGGCTTAACGCATGTTGTCATACCTAAGAGCTGGTGTAAATGGCATGCTTTGTTCGGGTCCTTTAATCGCCGTGCAAATGCTATTGCCAGATCTGCGGCGAAATCTGGACAGCTTGCAAAAAGCTCCATGCAGCTGTCAGATCCAAACCATTCATCGAGAGCCGTATGTGAGGCGTAGCAGGCTGTGTAAATTTTGCGCAAACCTGATGAAGGCGGCGTGTTTTTATAGACCAGAGAGACGCTGTCTGCGTACGGAACGTCATATGGCGCGTGAGCAATGTCGTGTTCTAGCGACTCGATGAGACTCGATATCATGTATTTACAGGCGCAAACATAGAGCCGAGCCGTTTCAAGGTAATAAGTTTGGGCGTCTTTTCCTTCCTTGGTGTCCAAGCAGAAGGTTTTCCGGGTATATAGCCATTGTACTAATGCATTCGCGGTTGCAAGATCTGTATCCTCGAGCGTGCAGACCTTCTGCTGAGATTCCCTGAAGTTGCCCTGGAAAGCCGCTTTCAGAACTGGAGACACCGCGCAAACAACTGCCTCATGAACAAAGAGGCTTTTGATTGCATCCGCCGAGCCAACTTCCAGCCGGACAATACTGGCATCGGCAAAACTGTTGCCACGAGATTAGTGTAAATGAACATTCAGGCATCAGATGAGATGGGAACAATACTCGTGATTCGCCAGCGAGAAAGCATCCGCCATCGTGCCAGGGGCGCAAAACTCGTGCTGAGAAAGTCTGATGAGGCGCTTTGGGGTTCTACCGAGACTCGTGCGGTCGACAAACAATGTGGATAGATTGAGAAGAAGGCAGGCGATTAATCAAGATCCAGAATAAGGAGTGTTCGAAATCCTGCGGGGAGTGTCGTGCTGTGTCGTGGAGTGAAGCTAACACATTCGCCACGACATCCGGGCCTGCATTCACTTCACTCAGTGACGTCGGCAAGATTGTCACAATGGACCCTCCGCCGTGACTCTGCTATCAGCAGAGCGTTTCGATTGAAGAGATTGAATTAGCTTGTTAAGCGCTGTCTCAAGTGGAAGAGCGACAAACAAATGATGTGGGCGCGCACAAGCTGCAAGATTGATAATGGTGTAGCATCTGTTCAACTTGTGCGAAAAGAGAGTCTCAAATGATGAAGTAGGTGAGAACATGATATCATTTCCGTTGAACGTGGTCGAAGTTAAGTGAGGCTGAACTTCTTACAACAGCCATCCGAATAAGGCACGTAAACTAGCGTCATTCATCGTTGCATATTCTTCGTAAAACCCATGAAAACAGTGACAACTGCTGCGACATAATGATGTCACTCAAGCATCATTCTGATATTGTTTTGTCACTGGCCCCCGCTTTCGCTGCTATTCACACCTCAACGATCGCTCATGGTTTACATTACCGCATGAAAGAAAATAATCCACTTGTAACAATTGCACAGGGCTTGTAAGCTGCATTCTCATGAACGTAGCAAACCTTATAGGGATCCCTCTTTCGCTTTTCCAGAGCAGCCGCGACATCATCTCGAAAGTCAGGACAGTCAGTCATGATAGCCCGCAAATTCGCATCGGCGTAGATCCCTGGAGATGGCGCATGCGCGGCATAAAAAGCTGTGAGTATCTTTCGAAGTTTCGCCGATGGAGGAGTATTCCCGTAGATCACGTCGACGCATAGCGATCCAGGATGGAAATTGGGTTGCCTCATGATGAGATTCGTGCGTAGAGAGCAGATAAAATTGGCCTCCAGCAGGTCGACGAGATCAAGGATCAGGTATTCGCTGGCGCAGACGTAGAGATGTGCGAGCTGCAAGTAGTATTCCTGCCAATTACGATTCTCTGTTGTTTCGTGGAGAAACGACTTTCTGGTGCAAATCCAATTCACCAGACAAGCTGCAGTTGAAGGGCTTGTGTCTTCGAGCCTGTATGATTTTTCTCGAGACTCGAGGAATCTGCCTTGGAACGCGGCTTTGAATACGGGCGAGACGTCGCAAAGTTGGCTTTCCGAGACCCAGAAGCTTCTCAGTCTTCCTTCTTCTGTATGAGTGTCTAGCCTCACCATTACGACGACGTTGGGAGGACTGGAGGATGACTTCGGCTCTGAATTTGCAGGTTCTGGTGCTTTTGTCGTCATTGAGCCAATCGGGGTCGAGGGCTTGAGATATGAAGTGAACATGTTTTAAAATGAAAAAGTGTGTCGTGAAAGATTGTTGACTTCGACAAAGAGTGTTGAGATCAAATATTAGAGCTTTGAAACTTAAGTAGCACTCTCCTAGTGGTGCAATTTATGTGTTTAGATTTACTTCCACTCATTTCGAAGCCCCGCGAGCCACTCAAAGCTTGATATTCGTGGCTTGTTCGCCACAAATCATAAATACATGGAGAGTTTTTGAAGTTGGATGTGGTTACACTTCTGATCTTAGTTGAGTATCAACGCTCAGCAAAGAGGGAGAGATTTTTTGAGCCAGAATGAAGATATTATTGTTTTGGGAAAATGTTTTCATCGTGGCAGCCACTGGACTACTTTGTCGTCGTGACCGCAGGCACCTTTACCAGGCTGGGCGTAGGAAGCTAAAGTGCTCGTCACCAGTATTATGCTTTTCTTCCATAATAGCCTGATCTATTCTATTGTCAATTTGGCAGTCATTGTCGACTTCGAACGTGAAATCTGTCACAACTTCTCCTGCCATGTCGAGTTATTCGACTCCTGTAAGAAGCGCTTTGTTAGAAGCCGCCAGTATCTCTTCATCGCCGCTTGAAATTGGACCGCCTTGATCTCGAGAGGGAGCAATATTGGCTTCATTGTCAATGATTGGATGATTTTCGGCCTAACAATTCGTGAATATAGCACAAGTTCCGACCGGCCTTTGTTCGGATTATAGATTTTGAGAGTAAGTCCGCGGCATACTCCGGACACATAGACGCACATTCTTGACATTTCTCGCTATCGTCCGATTGGCACTGCGCATATACGACTTCGAGGGCGGCGATAAGCTTCCGAAACTGCGACGTTGCCGGAGTATTCTCATATATCATGGTGGCCACGCTTGTGTTAAGCATGCAGCGCACGTCCAGAAATCTCATGGCCGTATCCATTGCGGCAGCAATGTCGTACTCAATGGCCGCTATCAAATCAGAGATCATGTATTTGCAAGCCACTATGTAAAGGAGAGCGAGTCTCGAGTAGAACATATTCCAAGATTCGGGTCCATCTAGGTCTGGGCTATATATGAGCCTCGCCCTTGAGTAGAGCCAATTGACGAGGTCGTTCATAGTTTCGATAGAGACATTATCAATCTTCAGAACATTACTCTTGGACTCCAGGAAGCCGCCCTGCAAAGCAGCTTTCATCACGGGAGAGGCGTCGCAAAGAATATTTTCGTGAATCAGAAATGCCTGCAGGCTTTCCTCGGTGGTGATCTTTAAGCGGATTGTAGAAGCATTGCAAAAGCTAGAAGCACGTCAGTAACGAGTGTGTTGGATGGCAGCTGACTTACTCAGAAGCTTTGTTGAAAGCCACTGCTTTAGCACCGTAGGGATATTGCCTGGGGGCCTCTTCGACCCTGATTCCATATGTATTACCGTTCATTGTGATTTCGTGCGATGTTTCTGGAAGAACGAGCTTGATGGTTGGGAAGGTGTCTGAACATATCAGCAAGGTTCGAGAACCATGGGAGCTTAAGTAGCCTCTCAGTAAAGTGTCATTTTTAGTCGAGACGACGTAAGCCACGAAAATGTGAAACCACATAAGCTCTACGTCATGGCGTCGAAAAGCCAATGATAAAGCATAATTGGTGACTTAATGGTCACGGTGCGAACTTGGCGTTCAAAGTTAGTTCTATCAAAGAACAAAAATCTTGTTGGGGGGGTTTCATCGTGCGTTCATTTTGTGAGAAAGGCCTGACATGACTGTCAATGCATATGGCCTAAGAGTCAAAACAAGAGAATGAAGGACATGAGCTTTAGAACTTCGATCATTGTGCGCGCCAAGCTATGGCTTTCTCATTGACCCCTGTTTTCTTCACGCCACAAATTTTGCTTCATGTATCATCGTAGGCCACACCTCGCAGGATCATTGACTTCATTAGAACTGAAATCCTCTAAAGCCATCATTTTGAGGCCTCATGATTTGTATCAAGGCTGTTGAAGCTACCTTATTCAATGTACACTAGCTAATGCCAGCTCCTTACCCGCACGTTCTCCATCTCGTCCAGACAACTTCTCATCAATTGGCCCATCCGTATCCTCTAGAGATAACTCACGGTCTTTTAAAACACTAGTAGAGCTGGCCATAGAATTTTGAGAGACGAGGTACTCGCTCATAAGAGTTGAGACGTGGAGATCGTTGTACCAGTTGTCCTAACCGTTCCAGTTGTGAAGGGGGCGTTTGCTGGGTGCACCCCAAGGCTGTGCCTCCGCCGGTCGCTTTCTATGATTACACTCAACAAGATTCAAAGCTTTGTGCAGTTCGCAGACTCTGGTAGAATTCTTCTTTTGCGTTGCGAATGCCCGCGCGATATCCAGGGTAAAGTCAGGCATCTCGGCCAGTTGAGCGACGTTTGACTCCTTCTCGTACCACTCAGGATTTACATGTGCAGAATAGGAGGTGGCCAGTAGCTCACGGATGTGCGAAGATGAGTCAGTATCAGTGTAAACACGTTTGATGATCTCAAGTGAAGGCAGATCTTGACCCTTGTCGTCGGGAGTCAAGGTTGCTGTCGAGAAATCCATGATCGTTTGCGCCAGTGCATGCTCGATCATGACGAGCAAGTTCTCAATCATGTACTTACTCGCACAAATGTATAAGTTAAAGGCCTCCGAATAGTAATCTTGCGCAGAACCCTGCTCAACCCTCCACGCTGAGAACTTCCGGCAGTACAACCATTGCACGAGACGATTCGCAGTGGTCTCGTCCGTGTCAGCAAGTACATAGACTTTGGTTTTTGACTCCTGAAAGTGACCATCGAGTGCCGCTGCTAAGACTGGCGATGCGTCTCGCAGTAGTTGTTCGTGAATGGGAAAAGTCTTCTTGGTTGTCGCCTCCCCTTCATCTTGGCTGATTTCGAGCTTTACGACTGATGAATCGGAGAAGCTATTGGACAATGTCAGAAAGTATGGCCAGATGAGTGAATCATGGCAATCTTACTTGAACTCTGCTATTGCGCTCATCCCATCAGCAGCAGCCATTGTCAGATCGCAACTCTGCGGAAGAGTTCCGCCTTCTTGAAATGACGCAATCTATTAATTTGAATCTGATGGAAAGAGGTCCTAGAGACCGACGCGTTGAGTATGAAAGAGTTGAAGCATGAGAAACGAATCAGGACTGTGGAAGAAATTCTGAAGTGTTATGAGTACATTCCCCAAGTTGTTACGAAGTGTCATTCACATCAAACCAACGCAAACACCTCGAACTTTAATTACAGGTTTTCAAACAATGAAAAGGAAGGCGAGCAGCCTGACGGTAGGGAACATCCACCTCCGTTGCTTTCAAATCATCCTACAGGCCCATTCCTTCAGGCATTTTCAAGACCTGCGAGGGCTATTAGATGACACTGCAATTGGTTGATTTTTTACATTTTTTGCTTTTGACAAGTCTTGAATCGTAGAACCGTAGACTGACACCGAATGATACCTAGTCTTCAGCCAAAGTAAAACGAACTCAGGCGCCACAACAAGATTACTGCGACGTCAAGACACGGCGTACGGACGAAAATGCTGTTCTCTGGCCGGCAAGCCCGGCCGCAATTGAAGGAGCCAGGCAATTCATGAGACAATGGTATGCAAATCTGGCCTTCCGAAGAATGTGCTAATAATATGATAGCGCTGAGGCTGCCCGGAAGACACTTATTGTCCCTGACAAGGATGCAGACGGCCTTGATGCCGGCGTAATCCTGTTGCGGACATTGACGGCACTGGGCTTAGCCCGAGAGCTCATTGAAGTCCATTTGCTAGCAAAGCATGCGAACGTACATGATGAGTCTGAGAGGATGGCTATGCAGACGAAAGACCCAGGATACATCATTGTAGTTGATCACGGGAGTATGGAAGCACCACCCATCGTGGATTCTCCGGATACCAAATGCCTTGTCATTGACCATCATCTGAGTGACAAATTTCCAAAAAATGCATCAGTAAGTACTGCCAGTTCTAAATGCTCTCTGTCTAGTCTGAGAGGCTTAGGTTGTATCTGCTTGCCATTATCCTCCAGTCGCGACATCATCTCTTCTTACGTACGAAATTTGCAGGACACTCCATCCAAGCATTGAGACATCGTGCGGATTTCTTTGTGCGATGGGCACGCACGGCGACTTAGGCAATACTCTGAAATGGAAGCCCCCATTTCCCGATATGACCGAGGTCTTCAAGACCCATACCAAGAAGAGCATAAATGATGCCGTGTCTCTTGTCAACGCGCGTAAGCAATCCTGACCCATTCTCATGCTCACGCTGATCGCCCGCAAAAGCTCGCCGCACTGCGAAATACGATGTTATATCTGCCTGGAACGCGCTTGAGAACGCAAACGGCCCAAAGGACGTCCTTCGATATCCACGGTTGCTTGAAGCACGGCAGGAGATCAACGAAGAAGTCGAGTTCCGTACGCACACACCGCCAAAATTTAGTAAGGATGGAAAGATTGCAGTACTTCGGATCAACAGTGCCGCTCAAGTACATGGCGTGATTGCCACAAGATGGGCAGGCTACCTCAACTCGAAGGCGCTCGAGATTATCATGGTCGCAAACTCTGGCTATAAGCCAGGCTATGTCAACTTCTCCTGTCGCATTGCACGGACCGCTCGAGGCAGAGACCCACCTGTCAATATTATTGAATCGTTGAAGGCAGCAGCGGAGCTTGACCAAGGCGATTTAGTCCAGCGCATGGGCGAGAGCTTTGCTCGCGGGCACAAAGAGGCCTCTGGAGGCATCATTCCGATTGCAGAGTTTGAAGAACTGATGACACTCATGCAGATTGGTGAGAAGCCGGATCCGAAACCTGGGGACTCAAGTAGCAAGAAGACGAAGGCATCGCCACAGAAGAACAATCTCATGAATTACTTCGGCAAGAAGTAAAGGGCATCACGCCGCATTTGGCCAGAGACCAACTTAAACTCATAGAGACTGCTACAACTTTTTGGATACCTCCGTCATTCCGATGATGATGTCAATCTATGTCTTCTCACTGTTCCTAGACTTGGGCAAACTTCATATCTATGTCGACTCATCTGATGTCTGTCGCGGCTATGGCACATGCATGCATATGTTTCTCCGGACCTGGGAAAGCGAATCGCTATGCTCTCGTCGCCTCTGCGTTTGGAAGCGGACGCGCTGTCTCGTAGCGCCTAAGGAAAAGCGCGTCCGTGGACTCACTACATACATCTGCCACCTCATCATGACTGAAGAACCATGCCTTTTTACCGTACCGACGACAGGACGACGACAGGCACTTAGTCAACATCAGGAACCAGAATCAAAGCATCAAAGAGCATGAGAATCATCACCGACCATATGGACATACTCATCATATTCCTCTCTCTTGCTTGTATTTCCCTCTCGCTATCGCTTCCCTCTAAACCAAACAATATCACACAACTTACATCGATGTACCCAATGTAAGGCCTCCCTTTTCCTCCCCTCCCCCCGTCACAATCTCCTTCACAACACCCAACACCACCCCCCGTCCCACTCATCCACTCACCCACTCACAAACCCCCCTCTCCCAGCCGTGGCGTCCCATTCCGCCTAACCGACACGCCCTACACGCTCCTCTACCGCCCCCGCCCCTTCGGCGACACGCAACTAATCCTCGCCCTGCGCGACATCGAAACGACGACCGCACTCGCCGGCGAGCAACTAACGCTCTACCGCGCACAATACGGCGACGAACAGCAATTCTCGCACTCCGCCAGCGGGCCTCTCGGCGGCGTATTTCGCTACCCGAGCAGCAACGCGCAGATCGTATTTCGCGAACATGCGGGCGCGATTGGGGTGCCTGTTACGAGTACGTTCAAGGTGGCTGCGAAGACGATCACGGGGATTCGAGGCGCGGCGTATTATCATGGGTATGTGGAGGAGGCGTGGATTACGGTTTTGGAGCAGGTGGGACGGAGGATGAGGGAGGTTGGGTGGGTGGACTTGAGGGTTTTGGAGGGGGGAGTGAGGGATGGGTAGGTGGGGAGAGAGGCGTCGGCCAAAAAGTGCTAGCTATACATTTGTGTTTTGATTAACTTGGCTAGATCATCGGTGGTGGGCTAAAGCTATCCTGCAAGAGTATGTGCATGGATTTTTATGCCTCAATCTTGACCTTTTCTTTCATCCTTCCCTTTTTATCAACATCCCTTTCCTCTAGCTCAGCAAGCACTCACATTAATCTCCAACGTTGTTCCCCGAAACAGCACGTGGGTTATACGCCAATGATTCATGGCAAACCATCTGACCATGCCCTCTCAGCTAACAAAATGCGGGCACGGACACTTCTCTCTGTTACGATCGCCAACATCGCATTTCGTAAGGCCATAGACAGCCTGATAAGAGTCGACAAGGCCAGCTTGTAGATGCACTCGTTTATTATCTATCGTTCATGCAGGGTGCAAGGGGGGATTGAGGAATCGTTGTTCTTGATGGTGTGGTAATCGTGTTGTGAAATTTGCGATGACGTGAGATCGATCTCGCAGAAGCCTTCACAGCCAATACATCAAGTTTGTAACCAAGTATCACCCTCCTCTATGCCTAGGTTAGGGTGTGCCCAGCCCTACGGTAGTAAAAAGGGCGCACACATGTAACGCGATCTGCAGTGATTCTTGCTCTGCCTTCATCCTGCATCATCTGCATAGATTGAAATGGTGGCTGCTTCGAAATGTAGTGGTACGTGAACTGCTTGTGTGTGGCGCAGATGAAGGACTTGAAGGAGGGCGGCAAACATCGTCTACTCGCAACTCGAACCGCCGCCAAGGCGGCTGGCTGATGACGACGCTGGTGAGAAATATCCAGTCTACCTATCAGAAGCGATGTTCCAAGTATAGATCAAGTCACGTTGCCGAAGCCTGTGTGCTGATAGCAGCTGAGGGCCTAGAAGCGTTTAGGTGACTGGCCTTTCACAGCGCTGCCTGCAAAACGAGGTACCTCGAGCCGGCATGCATGCTGCAAGGACTTCCAGTAAGGTGTGCATACACCACGGTAAATGAAGAGAAGGCTTTGATGCCACGAATAGATATAAAGAGGTTCTTGGATGGGAAAAGTCAAAATAAAAGAGGCTACGAGTAGGTTCTGAATCCCGGCCCTAGAACTAGTTCCACGGGAGTAATAAACTTCCCCTAGAACTAGCTTTAAGAGCCAACCCTAAGCCTAAAGCCCTAGATCTAGGGCACATGGCCCCTGGAACAGGCCCCCAACAACGACGGACCTTGCGACTGTTACTTCCCGGGGCTTTCACCACCACTTTCGTCGTCGCAGTCATCATCGTCGTGAAGGCATATCAGACCAAGGCCGTCCTGACACCATCGCAGAAAAATGCATACAATGTCCTGTCGATAGGCTTCATCATATTCCTGAGTGCAGCTCTGCTGGTCCGCTACGAATCGGTGGGGTCTCCAGACGATCATCGCTGACTCGCTCGCAGAAAACCTTCAAAGAAACCGCGATATGTCTTCATCACTACATCAACAACTGGGCTACGCCTTCTCAAAAGACTCAAAGCCTGGTGGAGGGTTTTGACAGCCTATCGAATGTCTTGCAGCTCGTGTTTCTTGCGCGCAAGCAAACGCTGCGATTGGTCTGTGTACTATGGGTAAGTCACCTCGTTCGGCTCCCAACCAACAAGTGCTATCCCCAAATATGCAATTTTCCCCAGCATCCGGGGCCTAGGCCAGATTTGTGTCATTGCAGCCATGCTTTACCCTTACAGATTGCAGGCAACTATGAGAAAATGGCTAATGTATGAGTCGATAGCTTTTGATCAACCTTGTAAGTCAACTCAACCGACTAAGCGCTGCCAAACTCACTCTCTGCAGATTGCCATGATCGCTCCCACCCTCCAAGCTCTAGTATGTACGCTTGAAGATGGGCACGATTACACTAGTATATACACCCGCAATGGGTCAGCCATGGTACCAAGCCTTACGTGCTATTTCAATGGTGGCCACTGTGCACCAACCAATGTCACGAGGGATCAGCTAGCCCATGCATATGGCGAGACCACCTTGGGGCCCAAATCAACCGATCCAGATAATTGCGGCGACTTCACCGATGTCCAAAGCATCGTCGGCTCTAAAAAAGACTATCGATATTACTGCCACCGCGTAGGCCCTGTCCAACAGTTCGGCATCCGCTTCAACGAATACAACGACAACGACAATCGGAGAATCTACCCCCATTTCACCACGCGAGTCATCACTGCCTCCTCCGCAAAATGCAACGAGTACGCCCAGCTTGGTATCCCGAAGCCAACCAATGTAGGAGACCCGAATACTGACGGTACAAACTTCATCAGCGCTTTCGATCACACATATAGAATTAACGCTACAACTAACGGCAGTATCATCATCCCCACGTCGGCCCTCGGCAACGACGGTACCACCTACATCTACCGCGGCATCCATGAGCCCGTAAAAGCCAGTTACTACAGCTACGGCGATCGAGGGCTAATGATGTGGGCATACCGCAATCCAGGCAAAGACCGAACGCCTCAGTTCTACGAGTGCCCCGTCACCGTCGACCCAGTCGTCACCGTCATGGGAGACTCCGTGGACAATGTCACTGACCCCGTTCACGCAATCTCCGACGGCATGGCTCGCGAGGCCGTCGCGTCAATTGCGCTGCAAGGCCAGTTCAAACAGACGGGGGGAGGGCCCCGGGTGTTCACCCAGTGGCAGTGGTATGCAATTAGGTAAGTGATGCCCTGCCGAGGAGTTTGATCTTCCTGAAATGAGTTTTGATTATGAGGCTGACCATCTCGGAGTCATCCCTGGAATATCGAAAACGATGCCAGCAATGCCGCAGTGGGTGCCAACATCGCCGAACATGCCATCGTATCACTGGCGGAGATGATGGCGAACAATCCGACGACCAAGGCGCGGGGGAAGGTGCCGTATCTCGGCACCCGGCTGAAAGTGGATTGGCGGTCTTTCGCCGCCTTGATGGTGGGGATCATTGTGTATGATAGTTTGACAAGCGTGTTAGGCTTAATGGCGATATGGAAGGATCCAGAGTCTAGGTTCCAGCAGTTGATGAAGCATCCGGATGAAGAGATAGGGCTCGATGAGAGAACTGTGAGATAAATTAGAGGACATGGACCAAGAGGGCAACTATAAGTGTATAATACGTGTAAGGCTGAGCCAAATACTCGCGATCGCAGCAGGCGGGCAGAAAGGAGGCGAGAGGGGGAAGCCTGTTGTGAAGAAAATCATATAGACGAGCACGAATAAACCAACATGCTTCCCATATCATCCATCAAATAATCCAGCACCTCAGCCCCCTCCGCCGATTGTCAATAACGCCCACAATCCCAGCCTCCCTCGCCGCTCCGCTTATACACACTCATCCTCAAACGATACCGCTCGAAATCCACTTCCTAAGGCTCCACAATACTCAGCCCTATCCCCAAATATCTCCCACAAAATTTTACAGGTATGGAACCCTTCTGAGCAGTTTTGATGGATCTGTGCTCGCTTCTTGTCATCAACGCGCTGATTAGGCTCATGATTCCCGCCCAGAAATAGTACATGAAAGCAACGGAGAATTAAACTCAGTCAAGTTCATCAAAGCATGCTACAGAGTATGATGGCAATAATGGCCCTAGTATTATCAATGCGAGGCCAATATTTGATCAATCGAAGCTGAGCAGGTTTGATCCAAGAAGTGATTTGGCTCAAGTCGTGACTTGTCAACTGATTGAGCATAGATACTTTTCTATATTGCTTTTATCAGCCGACATGCTGAGGCTCCTTTGCGCAGGTTTGATTTTCACATGAGCCGCAGTCGACGCGTTACCATGGTTATCAATCGCTATTTGCTGCACTTCATGCACAAAGGGTTATGACACTTACCCTTCGCGGTATGATAAAGGGGGATATAGAAGGGGTTGTATTCTTGCTTTGATGCAGATCGAGGTGAGTAAGTAGCATGACGAAAGTTCTCTTTGGTTGTTATTGGAGTGGTATCTGGGGTTGTGTAGGTAATGTGGCATTAATATCCACGAGTTACAAACATTGCTTCAAACTCAATCCTCTTTTGCTTTGGCCATGAGCTGTACCTCTGTAGCAATCATACATAGTACGACGATAGTGGCAGCTCGTCTGATTGGACGTAGATCACTTTTCCACTACTTTTCTCAGCCCTCATACTTAGATCTCTTTTAGCAACGTTGCTTCCGAGCGAGCCGCAATTGACCCGATACCACGACGTGTGTCTAGTTCTCTGGAAGCTAAGAACGGCAAGGTACTCACCCGTTGCCTTTGAACAGTCAAGTATTGTGGTGATTTCATGAGGATTCTCGCTCTCGATATACTCACCGGACTTTAATTCGAAGCGCAAGCCTCGATTCGTCGTTGCCCACGGCTTCCGCTGTTCGCGGAGAGGTAACGCAATAGGCATCAATTCGCCCGAGTTAGCAAAAAACTCGGGTTTTGTTGCCAGAATGCCATGTCTCATCGGGACGTTTGACGTCCAAGCAAAGATGGTTTCATCGTTCGACTTCTTCAGAATTTTGGATTGGAGGCGAAGGAATGCCTTTACCGCGCCCTCACCATATAGTAAAGGCATATTGACGTTGAATAATCCAAGCAGAGAGTACGCCATGTCTTCAGGCTTGCTCGTCTCGCGCCTAGAGGCCCAAGACATCCTTGTCGCTACAGAAATAGAGTCGGACGAGAAGTCATGCTGATATTTCAGATATTTATACTGGATCCCGGTCGCTGCAAAAATTTGCGTTGCAAACTCTTCTTTCGTGCCAATACGATTCCATCCTGAATTGAAGAAGATGACACTACGTGGAGCAAGTAGCTCTTGCAGGGTCCAGCCTCGAGTGAACCAATCGCTTTGTTCGACATCGTAAGGATCCGATGAATCTACGTCATGAAGATAAGCGTAGCATTCTTTCGCATTCTGATACCAACGGTACATGGAGTTGACAGCCTCCGTGACCTCCGCACTACTTCTCTTGTCTATACAGCATGTATCAATCCAGACCCAGTCGCAACGGCGAGACTCCGCAAGCGCACAGCATTCCTGGAACTTGGCATAGCCAGGGCCTTTCTTTGCTTTTCCCTTTCGTATTTGCTTGTAATCAACTTCTTTTGCACCCCAGCGGTGCGAGAGTATCGCATAAGCCGGAAGTTCTGTTTCAAAGAACTCCTCAAATGTCAAAGTCTTGGTATTGACAAGGCGCATTGTATGCTCGTAAACTCAATTGCTGTCAAACAGGATCAACAACCTCGATGGCGATCAAAGCGGGTTTCAATTCGAAGTATACCTCCTGAGAGCAGGATCCAACCACTCTAAACTGCCCTGTTAGCAAGTAGAACAAATACTCACGGTTACAAAGAGGATGAAGAAGTAAGAATTCGCGGCAATAGCTGCTGTGGCATGCAGCACTTGGCATGGCCATTAAGCCTGATTAAATCTAGCATGCTGCACGATTAGTCTAGACTCCAGGTCCTGCATGTTCAGCGTCTTACTTATTCGCCACCACCTCGCCGAGATAGATTAACGGAATGATCCATCAGATTGATGGTCTTGAAGGAGCCGGAATGATTAACAGGTTGTGACCAGAGTAGATCTGGTGCAGGATCGAGGGACCACCCTGTAAGGTAGGCATCGGGCGCCCAGCCCCTGTCCTCGCCCCTAGAAAAACAGGCCCCTAAATGCCGCACACGGCTTAGAGAGGCGATGGAATTTGCGACATTGCGAGGCACGGGCTTGGTGTTGCAGCTTTCCGGAGCTGCCCCGATACGAAAGTGTAAGACCTCTTGTCACATATGTCGATGGTGGTAAAGAGTCCCTCGGGGTAAAAGGGGCCCTCGCGCTTTTCAAAACGACCGAGGGGACTTGAAATCGTCGCTACCACTTGATTTTGCATAGAGGGGCCCTCTTGAAGAAGAATCGGTATAAAAGTAACTCAAGGCTACTATTTGAAGAGATTCATGTGCCAGCAGTTCTTCATAAAGAGGCCTGTTGAACACTTATTCGTCGATGCTAAATCAATGCTGCCCGAGAAATTTTGGGGGGCGGCCAAGAGCTGTAAACTCGGAAATGGTTCCGCGCCCTGGTTTGCCTGCCAAGCGTGCAACAACCTTGGAACCTCGAACAATATTACTGATCGTCATCGTAAGTCAAGTCACTTCGCGGCTGGTGAGTGGGTCGAAGAACAAACACGAGATATTCCCCTCAACTTGATGGTTATTGCTGCCTTCTGCTGGCTTTGCAACATGTAGAATACTGGGTGAACGATCAGAACTTTCTGATATGTATGGTTGCAATCCTCTTTCTAGACCTCTTGGAAGCTTTCCTTTTCAAGTTTTGAAGAACACCTAAGCAAGACTCTTTGGGGCGTTGAGGTGTTCTATCACAGCCTTCAATGCCCATTGAAGCACTTTCTCCTACTGCTGTCCGCGCTCTTGGTTCAACACAATGCTTGACAGATCCAAATTCTCTAGTAAAGGAATTGGTGGACAATGCTATAGATGCTCGTGCGTCGGCGATATATGTTGAGATATCAGCAAACACATTAGACAGAATCCAAGTCAAAGACAATGGCCATGGCATTGCAGCTGAGGACCGCAAGTTGGTGTGCAAAAGGTATTGCACCAGTAAGATCAGAGGTCTTGATGATCTTCAAACTCTCGGTGGACAGTCAATGGGCTTTCGTGGAGAAGCACTTGCCAGCGCCATCGAAATGAGTGGTCAAGTAGCCCTGTCCACCCGAGTAGAAGGAGAAGAGACAGCAGTCGAGATGAGATTCAGAGCTGAAGATCAAGCACCGAGGTAGATGAGACCACTCGTTAAAAATCATGAAATTAATTGTGGAAGTGAAAAACGCGTTTCCCACCCAGTTGGGACCACTGTCGTCATCGCCGACTTCCTCAAGAATTTGCCTGTCAGGAGGCAGACAGCAACCAAGGAGAAAGCCTGTACCGCACAACTCACTAAGATCAGGCATATGTTACAATCATATGCTTTCGCTAGACCCCATGTGCGGTTCTGCCTAAAAGTTGTGAAGGCTAAGAGCGAGAAATTGAATTGGACATATGCACCGCCACCGAGCCGAGCTAATGACATGTCTCTTATGAGAGACGCTGCGATCAAAGTCTGTGGAATGAAATTGGCAATTTCCTGCCAGTTAGCAGGCTGGAAAGTAATGGATGTCACAGTTCAAGACGAAACTCAAGTGCTCGGCGTGACCGAAGCTTCGTCTCTTGCAGACGCCCTCTACTTATTTCAAGCTCTTTTGCCCAAGGCTGACTCGAACATCGATTTCTCTGTCATTGACAAGCCCCGTCAATTTATTTCCGTAGATTCGCGACCGGTTTCAAGCACACGTGGCTCGTTTAAGAAGATTGTCGGCATATTCAAGAGATACTTCAGATCAGCGAGCTCCACGAAGGACAAGAACAGCTCTACCGACCCGTTCATGTGCTTGAACATTGTCTGTAGACCCGGGAGCTATGACACAAACATCGAGCCTGCAAAGGATGATGTGCTCTTCGACGATCCTGATCGTCTCCTCAAATCGGTCGAAAGCTTCTTCCAGCTGGTCTATAGGCCATCGGTCACGTACGATGATTCATCTCGGCCAACTGAGGCAACAGTCAAGGCCAGTAGTTTCGATTTGCTGCTCAACAGTTCCCAGCCGAAGCCAGTGAAATCACAGTCTTCTCGAACAAGCCTTGACATACCAAAAGCTTTTAAGATACCTTTACATGTCTCTCGAGAAGACGAGCGCAAAGCGGCACAACACTCATCTTCCGAGGAGCAGGACCTACAGACTAGAGAAAGAGGTGAACCAGCAGTTGGGAGGACGGGCAGCCGCTCGATGTACCATGATGGGACTGATGATTGCGATGACTTCGAGCTCTTGGACAACATCCCTCAAGAACCTCTATCAGAAAATGATGACGAGGATGCAAGAGCAGACGTTACGATCTCTAATCCTTGGGCAATTGCAAAGTTCAATGCCACCATTCGGCCGCGTGGCAATTCATCGTCTCCACTATCTGGCGACAGATCATTCAATCCAGTGCAGACACCATCGCGGCAACAAAGACATGACATCGATTCGTCTCCAGCGCCTTCTTCCGTCACAGTGTTTGGGAATCCAGGAGACTCCAGTCCTCCAACACCACAAGGTTCTTCTTCTCCACCTTTCTTCCCCTTTCCACACCAGCGCCGGTCGAAATATCCTCAAGCCAGAGGAAGCACGCCCTCAAGCCCAGCAGAAGATGATCTGTACGGTCCATCCAGCCGTGTCCTTACCAATTGGGCCAAACGTAGTGATACCAGCAAGATCATGAGCTCTGATTCAATTCATCCCGACCAGGCAGCCAACCCGACCAATTTCGTATCTGCGCGTTCTTTGCCCTTGGGAACTCGTCTCAGCGATATACCGGACATCAGCCAGAGGCCTCGCGCAAAGGTTAAATCTAAGCAACAACCCTCTGCAGCATTAAAGAAACCCTTCATCCCTCCCGTCAAGGATCTCCGCGACGTATGGTTCAACAGCACCAACTCACAATCGACAAGAGCCAAGGGTCAAAGGCCCAAAAACACTATATCTCAGTCCACCACCAACATCGACGCCCTTGATCTCCGCGAAGACCACAACAGCCTACCTCAATCCCTCTCCTCCCCTCCACAACCAATCCACCCAGACTTGGCACTTACCCTCGACTATGAAAACCGGAAGCGTCAAGCAACCCTCGACTACCGCGCCACCCTACGCCGTCAAGCCTCGCAATCCTCACAACCCTCACAACCGGGCCCAGCACTAGCGACACCACCATCCAGCTCACCCCACCAAAATCGCTACTTGAAAGCCAAAGCTGCTCTGCAGCCTTCCACCAGAGATCCAATTGATACCGCAACCCAAGGAGCTGAGCAACCAGATGCATTGAGCTCTGACGACCCTCGAAGAATACTCCTCCGCGAGCAAGCCCAGCTCAATGTAGACGCAGACACGGGGGCAGGGGCAGGGACGGTCGATACATCACCGCAAACCCCCCGTCTCAGACGCGTGAGGAGTAGAACCGCTATGCTACCCCTCGAGACCGTGAAGGAGGAAGATAGCGTTCGTGAACTGATGCTGAAGCTCTCCTCGGTTTCGGTGAGGAGTATCGATAGAGACGTCGGTAAGGTCAGGAGGTGGGATGGGTACGTGAAAGGAGTGGTGGAGCCAGCGGATGCTTTTGCCGACCATGGTGATGACGGTAGCGGTGAGGGGAAAATCAAACAGTGGCAGAGCAGGCTCGAGGAGCTGGTTACGAGGGAATATAAGGGAGGGCAGTACGTAAGGATCGATTTGACGGGAGCGATGGACACTTGGCGACAGCATAATGCTTCGAGGTGAAGTTGTGGAAGAAAAATCTGCTACTTGCGTCGCGATCTGATGTAGATCTATGGCTATATGGCTGGGCTTCTGTGGATGTTATATGCTGTTAGATTAGCAACCTGCTGGATTATAAAAAGAATGTTGGGCACACCTAGCGACGGCGCTATTGGCTAATTCGGGCTTTATCTTGGGGAAGATTTGCACATACGGAAGAAGTTTGGAACCAGACGGCTATGCTTGCGGGCAAAGAAAATGTAGAACTTAGGCAGAATTGAGAGTCATAGAAGAATTATGCAACAGAACTCAGATCCGCTAAAAATGCCTTTCAAAACTCCAGGCAACCCCAAACACCCACGCTCGTCCATCCAAGCACCAGGCATCGCTCATCCAAGCATCGAAATATACTCCTTATAATCATGCACGCCCCTCGCCCTGGCACTTTCCAACCACTCCCTCCTATGCCCCCGCCCCCTTTCCCCCCTCTATCCGACCCTCTCATACCTCTCATCCCCCCCTTAGCCCCAACCGTAACCCAAACACTCTTCCCACTCTCCTCACTCATGCCCTCCCACCTCCAGCCCCTCTTCTCCCCCATACACCCGATGCCGCCCTCACTAACCCAAACAGCCAACAAATCCCTCACAAACTCGAGTTTGCGCTCAAACTGATTCGCGTGCAAGACATCCGCGAAATCACGACGTTCGAGCTTGCCGCTGAGCATGATGGGGACGGGGTAGCAGAGCACGCCTCTCTCCGCAAGATCGTGAGGGTCAATTTTCTGGCCGGCAGAGAGTTTTTTGGCGGCGGGGATGGGGAGGTGGTAGAAGTCTGCCCAGAGGTCGTCGATGGCGGAGGAGGAGGGGGAGGGTGAGAGTAGGAGTTTGGTGTGGTCTGGGAAGTTGAATTGGAAGGAAGAGTCGGAGAAGCCCCAGATGCCGACGTTGCCTAGGCGCTGGTAGAATTTGACGAAGAGTGTAGCCGATGTAGCAGTATTGCTTCGTTTACGGGTGGTTGGCGCGGCTTCAGGTTCGCCTTCAGGATGCCCCAGACTTTGCGTCATGTATCGTCCAAATTTATCCCATAGCAAGAGGTTCCTTCGTTTTTCGAGGTCAAAACTGCTCGCATCTAAGTCTGAGCGTTCAGGTTCCGTAAGTGATGGGGATACAAGGTTTTGCATTTTCAAGGGTGGACAGAGTACTCTTTTCAGGCCTTCGGCGCCCGTGTCTTCGACATATTCGACCGGTAGGCTATGTGAGGAGAGGATGCTTTGCTTTTCGGCGTATGACGACAGCCGACGGTTTGAGAAATGGCGTTCTGAGTCGGCTACGACAATACTTGTGGGTAGTGTTGTCTTTTCGCCCTTGAAGAGACAGCCAACTGTGCCGTTGGCTAAAATGAAGCCAATACCGTATTTGTTAGTATAGTCAACCCACTTCACTACCACCGGGCGCTGCTTGAAAGTACTACTCTTTGCCTCAATTGCCCTGACATTCGAATAGTGATTCTGCTGCTGTGTCCTTTGCAGACTTTTGTCCAATCGTGTATGCATCTCTGACAATGTTCGCATGACATCTTCCGGCTTTGTATTTGGAACGAACTTGAAGGCCTCATTTGGATCGATCAATGTGGTGGTATGAGGTTTTGATCTCTGCCGCCGCGCCGTCGGTGCTTTTGCCATACCTTTCCCCTCTACATCTACGGCTAACTCTTTTTGCACATTTGAGGCAATTCGTGCCCGCGTTTTTGCAGCCATCTCTCGACGCTTTCTGTCTGGGTCCGGACTCGTGGCGTCAACATATTGGTCTTTAGTCATGGGATGTGCCGTTTTGCCTTCACTTGGGTTTGGTTCCTCGTCAAGCACAACTACCTGCTTAGATCGAGTCGTCCTTGATTTGCGTTCAGGCGCATCTGTACTTTGACCCGTCACTGTATTAGCGCTGCTCAATGGGCGCACAGGCAGCTCGTTCATCAGCCCGCGCCGAGCGCGATTTGAGCCAATGGTATTTGCCTTGGTGTTGAGCTCGTTCCTTTCTACAGCCGGTGGTTGGAGCTCTGATCTTGGATTAGAGGGTTTTCTGATATGCGCTGCTCGAAGTGTTGCTGCATGACTTTGCACAGGAGCACGACGAGCCTTCTCAAGATTTGCCATTGGATTATCGTGGACAAACTTAGCTTTTGGCCTGGCAAGGGGGTCGATTGCTTCTTCAGTGCGTTCGTAGAGCCTAGGGTCCACCTTTCGTACTTCCTCTATTTGCTTTGGTAGCCATGTTCTTAGCGAGTACTTCGAGGTGTATACCACATCTTCCGGTAAAGGAACTACAGGCCCTAGACCAGCTGCTTCTTCTGTTGCACATTCCTTATACAATGAAAGATCCATGTCTGCACCAACAGCTGATTGTGGTGCAAGATCTCCCGGGAGACAACCAACACCACAGTCCTTAGCAAGTGTTCTCAGGCTCAGGCGCTCGGTTCCAGGCAAAATTACGTCTCCTCGAGGTCGAGCTTGTCGATCAAGGTAACGAGGTGTTTCGGTACGAAAATAACCCTCCATGTGGGCAGGAATTGCATCTCCGCCGTTCATCGAAAAGAACCTGTGCCCAATTATCTGGTCTGGGTCAGGCCGGCGCTCAGCGTCTACCTTCAGAAGCCTGGCAACGAGGTCTTTTGCTTCGTCTGGAATGTCATTGCCTCGTTTACTTTCCTCCGGCCAAGAGTACTCAACGTTCCTCGCACGTTTATAGATCTCGTGTTGTGATGTCGACTGAAATGGAGGCTGCCCCGCTAACATTGCGAATCTGCTATCATCAGCTTCCGCAAAATCAATTTTTGTCTTGTACCTACAAAATCACTCCAATTGCCCAGATGTCAACCTTATGGTCATGTCCACCTTTCCCTTTTTCCAAGATCTCCGGGGCAATATAGTTCGGTGTCCCACAGAGCGTTGTTCTTCGTGATTTGGCGTAGTCAAAAATCCCCTCATACTCGTCTTTGCTCACCAAGACGGCCGCCAGACCGAAGTCACCAATCTTCAAATTCATATCATGATCTAGGAAGAGATTGCCCATCTTGAGATCCCGATGGATCACACTTCTGGCATGCATATATTTGATTGCACCGCAGAGCTGGACGGTCAATCGTCGTACCTCCGGCAAGGTCAGGAACTTGCGCTTTTTGACCATGTCCATCACTGAGCCATTGGGACACATTTCAAGGACGACATATGTGCAGTCTTGGTAGGTAAATGCGCGATGAAATTCGACAATGTTTGGGTGCGACATTTTGGCGTGTATTTGAAGCTCTGTCCGAAACTGCCACTTTGTCAACGCAATTTGGTCATGGATGGCTACACCAGCATTACCTTCTCTTCCATTTTTTTCTGGCTCATTCTCGACCGGACAACCTTGAGGGCAAACACATGTTTGTTCAAAGGACTATCCTTACTTCGCAATCCTCCCTCATATGCCAATGCAAAGCCACCTTTTCCCAGCAACCTTCCAGTCCGGTATTTCTCTATCAGCCCATCCTTTGCAACTGGAGGTTGTATGACCCAATCTGGAGGTGGTGGTGCATATTCTTTTTCCTTTGCCGCCCTTCTTGCTGCTTCGGCTTTCTTGGCTTCCTCATCGCTTGTTTCCTGTATGTCTTCCTTCATAGATGTTTGCTTCTGTGGCCGTGCCTTGTACTGAATGTTGGTCGAACGTGGCGAAAGAGGCTCTACTTCCTGTCTTCTCAGGTGTGCTGCAGCCATTGTAGTACCATCAAAAGCTTGACTATGCTTTCTTGAGTATTATAAGCTCCCCAGCAGGGTCTTCATGGGGTGTCAAGCCAAAGATTGTGATGCCCCGCTCCCGGTGTTTCTTGACATGCTTCTTGCAAAATACCAGGCGATTGTGAAGATGACGGGAGCCTTTACTCTTCTACCGCAAATCTTGGTCGAGAGAGGTTATTCGTAAGTGCTCGACATGAAATGTAATGGTTGTGCAACCTATTTGGGTAATTCGGTAAAGTAAACAAATGTCTTGGCGACAACCGTATTTTATGTCCGCATATATCCGAGGGGTTTACCTGACTCACGGCAGGCAATGTCAGTTGCCAAAAACTCTGGTTATAGTATGTTGTATTCATGAGTGCTTTCTCGCTCTTAATTTCAAACTTCCGGTCTCTAGAATAAATTGCGCTATTCGTTAGCCAGTCGTCATCAGCAACATGAAATAATGGTGCGCCGTCGAAATGTCAAGCATCGTGATAAAGATCGGCTCGCTCGTGATCAAATCCCTCTCGAAGCCAATGGCCGTGCGTGTTGCAGTGAGGCTGGTCATTGTCGATTGCTAAATCATGCAGAATCGGATCAAAATCCAAGCTCGGGAACATGAGCGGTTCCGCCGGGTTTGCGTCAACCTCGCCCAGGGCATCCATCAATGGGATATGAGATTTCGATTGGGTCTCTTACAAGATCAAGCGACTATTGACAAGCAACTTGCGCGTGAGGCTGCGGAGTCTCAAGCCAAAAAGCACAAGCATGAGGCGCCCACCGTCAGGACAGAGGCCCAGACGATAGCCGATCAGGCTGCCGCCAAAAATAAAGAGAAGAACGTCGAAAAGGCAGAGAAGGCGGAAAAAGAGAAGAAAAAGCAAAAACCAAAGATACGCCCGCTAAGTGAGGCAAAAGCAATTGACTCGGGAGCAAATTTCGTGTCCGAGACCTTTTTGCTTATTGTTGCCGTCGGATGCGTGATTGGTGAGCGGTGGTACAGCTCGAAAAAAGATACAGCCAGAAGAGAGGACGTCGGAAAAAGAATAGAAGAATTAGAGCAATATGAAAAAAGCGTTCGCAGGGGTATGGTAGAGCTCGAAAAGGAGACTCTAAGACTGGAGGAAAAAGCGGGGTTTGCAAACGCGAAGAAAAAGAGGATCTTGCCGAAAGAAGTCTATGAGCTTGAGGAAGAGGAGGAACTTCAGCCATATCCCCCAAGAGGCTGGTTCTCATGGCTCAAAGGATCTGGAACTCAAAAGGACGAGCCCCTCCCTGAGTCCGAGCGAAATCCTCCAGAGCCAGAGCCAGAGTCACAGGCTTCGCCTACCACCGGCATCAAACCTTCTCCCTCATTGTATGAGAAGATCTTGCATCCCCGTGCCTCCAACCCTCCTATAAAGGAGAACCCGAACCCTGGTGCTGATGCATCTCATGACAAACCCGCTCCTTCGCAACGCTGAGTATCTAAAGAGAGCCGAGCATTACTCTACTCAAGCATCTTGTGCGAGTCGCGAGATCTGTATTTCTACATTGCAAAAGTATACTAGGTTTTGGGGTTGGCGTTTGATATGACGTGACGACGCGAAGATACCCATAGATATGCTCTCCTCGTTCATGCAGGAATATAAATCCAACTTTCATCATTCATGCATCATTTCCATGTATTCCGTCATTGAGCATAATTATTTTGACGTCTGCTTTATATAATGGTAGAGCCTTGACCGCAGACCAGATTTTGAAAGAATTCCACCGCCATGTTCAGCACCACTCTTCGGCGTAGACCATCTCTCAGTGGCCTTGCTCCTATTCTGCAAACCTCACCGGCGCCAAAGCTCTTTGGTATATCTTATACCTTGTCTTCATGTCCAAACTTCCCATCAAAGACAGCTGATATTCGCAGAGTCATCGGATCTTCACACCCACGATATTGCATTTCCCTTCAACACAAAGACTCAGGCTCAACCAACACCAGGACCGTCAATCCTAGTCCTTCTTCTGACTTCAAGCACCTTGTCGCCTTCTCGAAAGCCGACAACGCTCGATCGAGTTACTCGCTTCTCTACACTCGCCACCTCTCCAGCTCCCTTGATCCTATTTCTCCTCAAACCTCCCTCTGCGACCACCAATGCAACTTCTCGAAAGGAGGTGGAGAATGTTAGCACAACATCAGACCTATGCGGCTTCATGGAACTACAAACACTGTAGGCTCTCCCTTGCTTCCTCTTCTCTTTGACCCTAGACGCCTTGCAAAGGACTTTTGTCCGCTTTGCTAAACGTATCCTTTTAATAGTATCCATGAACATCTTCTACACGCACCGTCCATCCTCCCTGTTCCGGCGATCTCAGATATCCTCCCTACACTGCACACCTATACCTCCAGCCTAGCCGCAAACCTCGCCATGCCTCCCTTGCCAATACCACCGCCTCGACAAGTAGCGCTGAGTCTACTACAGCGCATGACAACCTCGCCTACTGGACTCAGCCAGCATGACACTAACGTCATGTCTGATATCTGTCGATCCATCGAAGAAGTCAGTGCCCTCGCGTCAAGTACAGCGGGGAGGAGGGAGTTGAAAGGATGGCTTGGCGAGAAGGTAGGGGGGAGATATGTGCCTTCTGGGGGCACGATGGAGATGAGGGCGTGGAGGAAGCCGGAGAGAATGAAAAGAACCTAGAAAGCATGGGGGATTTGGGCACTGAATTGAGGAGCGAAGGGCCGGACAAGCTATTTGCAGCAGCTAATGGACTGACCATGTGGGATGAGCTGAACGATGCTATCAATCCGGACAGCGAGAGTCTTCACGAAGGCGATGGAGAAGATTGGGCTGAGCTGGATCTATTGCTGCCTAAGCTGTAGCTCTCTCTCTCTCGTCTTCATATTGAGCTGTGACATGCCATAGCTAAACTTCAATGCCTCCTCCTCTGTCGGTGAGTCACGTTTTCATGTCCATTTTCAGCTCCCTCTTCTCACTCCTGGGTACTTCTTAATTCCTCCGTTTTCATAGCAATGAGCATTTTCATCCTTTCATATCATCTTACCAGTCATCAACCACCTGCCCCGTAATCAATACCCCCTCCCCTTATCAACCAGATTCAGCACCTTCTCCCCCTATCCTCGCGTCTCAAATTCTCCTCAAAAACCGCCATTGCGCCTCCCACATACCCCTTCGCCTCCCCACTCACATGTGGACTGATCAAACAATTCGGCGCAACCCACAACTCATCCCCCTCCGGCAGAGGCTCCGGATCCGCAACATCGAGCGCCGCCCCCCTCAGTCCCTCCTTACCTACACTCCCCTCCCACTTCTTCAGCCCCTCCACCAAAGCCTTCTGATCAAGAATCTTCCCCCTACTAATATTACTCACGAACGCGCCCCTGCCTCCTCCCTCCTTACTCAACACCCCCAACTCCTCCTTCCCGACCAACCCCTCCGTCTTCGGGGTCAGCGGCAGGGTAATGACCAACCAATCCAGCCCCTCTTTCAAGAACCCCTCAAGCCCGCCTTCGCTGGCATTACTCAACCACAAATCGGGAATCTTGCCCTCCCAGTCCCCCGTACCAGGAACAACCCACTTCCCCCTCTCCATCCTCTCCTCCTCACTATCCCTCAGCCGAGCCGTGAACACCACGACCCTCATCCCCGCCGCCTTCGCCAGTCTCGCGCACTGCCGTCCAATACTCCCATACCCTAGCACGCCGATGGTCTGCCTCCCTCCCCCCCCCCTCCCCCTCCCCTTCGCCTACTACCATCCCCCAATCCATCACCACCAACCAACGCCTCCTTCTCCCCGGTGAGCCTCGGATCCCGCTTCCACTCCTGGCGTCTCTGCTGATCGAGCACGACATCAAGACGATGGCTCATGGCCAAACGCGTACCAAGGACCCATTCAGCGATCTGCGGGGCCGCGACGCCGGAGGAGGAGGTGAAGACGATATCGGTGTCTGTGAAGAGGGGGTGGGTGACGAGGCGGTCGACGCCGGCGAGGAGGGTGTGGACGAGGCGGAGGTGAGGCGCCCAATCGGGGGGCGGGAGGAAGGTGGCGATTACGAGGAGGGTTGTTGTTTTGAAGAGTGCTGGAAGGGGTTAGAGAGGGTGGAGGGCAGGAGGGGAGGGAGAGAAGGGGGAAGGAGGGGGAGTGGGGGAGAGGGGATGGAAAGGTGGGCTTACAAGGATCGATGTCATGGTCCGCAATGTTGGGCGACCAACTCTTCAATTCGTGAAACTTGACTTTGATATGAGGATGTTCATTGCGGATGCGCGCGGTGACTGTTGTGGGCTCTTTGCCTGGGATGAGGATGAGGAGCTCTTCGGTCCTTACAGGTGCGTCGCCCATCATGGACTGCCGGAGATGATGTTTTGCGACGGAGGTGGAGGTGATGTGAGTTGGAAGTGAAAATAGGAGTGTTGAAATCCATCGTGGGGTGGCAATTGCGCAATACCATAGTAAATTAGTGAGGGGTGTTGCGAGCTCGCAAGATTTATCAAGAGGGGTTGGTGATGGTGACGATAAGGCAGGTACCTGCAGCACACCGATCCAATCAATTGCCCGATTCGTGCGCTTTCTTAGGCCCGATTGGACTATGGTAAGGGAAATAGCATCGATGAAGATCATTCAATGGTGTCGCTGATCGATTGATCTCTTGAATAATATCTATATACAAACTTCATGCCACGTAATAGTCGTACAGCACGAGAGATCAACTCTTGCCTAATCTACCTGCGATACCATGCAAACGCCCTGCTTTTCAGATTATGCATATTTCCTTATACGAAAGCAAAGGCGTCATGGGAAGTGCCATTCCTCATGATCCAGGATCCGTTCCAGAACTGGGACAGCACTGTTGTCCAGAAGCGCATTTATCTCCACAACCAAGTAAACACATATCTGGCTCGCTGCGTACGCTGGGTACTCTGCTTCCTTTTTTGCTGCTCTGGCCAGGCTCTGCATGTCCATTGCCTGAAATTGCGCCGTCTTGTTCTGTTGCTGGAGTGTGTCGATGGCTTTTTTTGATATCGAATTCGGTTTGAATAGTCGAGGAATGGATGCCAAATTCGTGCAGGCATCTCCGCACTGCTCGTGCCAGTTTCATGTACCTGGCCTTCCCTCCTTCCTCAAAGTCGAAGTCCACCAGAACATGTACGGAGGCAACCACTTTGACGTCACTCAATTGCCAAACATGAAGATGATGGCAATTGACGATGCCTTCTAGATCCTCAATGTCTTCTTTGATCTCGTCTACATTAATGTGAGACGGTACTGCTTGGAGTAGGATTCGCGTGGTAGCTTTGCAAAGAGGAATGGCGGAGGTAAGGATGATGGCGGTGATGATCAGTGACATGACTGGGTCAGAATAGAAGCGCCAGGAACCACTCGAGAGCCAGATTATTAAAGCGGATATGATCACACCAACGTTGCCCAGTGCGTCACCTATCACATGAAGTAGAACGCCCCGCATGTTGAGATCACTGTGGGAATGACCATGACCGTCTGGCTTGTCTCTTGATTTGCAGTGATGATGTCCTTCATGCGCCTCGTCCGAGTTCCGCAACCAACTCGGTCCTTTGCGCGATTTCTTCGCCGATCCATTACTCTGAGTCTGACCAAGTAGAGGCGTATTCTCTGCAGCGTCATGTTCACCATCTACCTTACAAGCAGAGGATCCAGAACTTGTCTCCTCATCAAATCTTCCTGCAGCAGCAATTATTTCTTTCCTGAAAGAGGCCGGATGAGGATGAATGTCGTCCACACTCGCGAACATGCTGCGTGATCCACTGCGAGTGTGCCGGCGCTTGCTGGGACTTGAATTAGGGAGCGATATAGGAGAACTTGACTGGTCTGGGGCCAGTGTTGAGTCTTCCTCGTCGTTGGAACCGAAGTCTTTGCTCTTGCGATCTTTGGCGCTCGACGTGCTCTCTTTTGATGCTTGCTTCAAGCTGTCCGACTTTGGCCAGCCACCGACTATCGACTGAGGAAGGACGTCGGCTACGTTGCCGCTCTCGTCTGATATCACTTTTGTACGGCCCCCTACTGCTTTGGTGTGTTGGCCTTCCTCTGCTGTGGCCAGCGGATCAGATCCATGCGTATGACTTGAACCCTCCTCATGTGTGTGCCCATGTCCATGACCGTGATCGTGAAATAAGTACATGCCACCGATGTTGGCCACAAGTCCAATACACCCCACAATGAGGACCAGGAGCGGCCTCTGGACTTGTTGAGGCTCTACAAAGCGCTGTATTGCATCTAGGAATATTGTCACGCACAGCGCAAGGAGGAAGATGCCGTTGAACAGTGCACCTATGGTTTCGGCGCGTTGCCACTGCACAGCGTCAGTATCACTCTCATAAGATATAATCTAGAGTCCACCTACTCCGTAGGTAAAGGTTTTCGTGCTCTGTTTTTGATGGCCTACGTGAACGGCCCATAGACCCACGCAGAGGGACAGAACATCGTTGAACTATTCGTCTCTGTCAGATCACTTGACCAAACGTAATGATTGGAAATCTTGTGCTGACCATATGGAAGGAGTCTGCTACGAGGGCTAGAGAGTGCTGTGAATAGCCTAAATCTCTTAGCTCTGGCGCAAATCGTGTATGAATGAGCTCTACCTATGATGAGCTCCACCACAAAGAATATAGCATCTATGACAAGCATGATCTGCATGCGCCGAGACTTTGTGAGGCCCATGATTGATTTGAATCGCTGAATCTGGAACCGAAAGGAACGGGGGACAACAGGTGGCAACGTCGCTCAACGAGCAGGAAATCGATTGTTCAATTTACCGAAATGTGCAGGCATTCTCCAAATATATTGAGCTGTAGAACGGTGTGTGCAGATGTGGGGTGTGAGGGACAATGAAGGTCTCCGCTTACGAAAGCTTTCAAATGGGAAGTCGCGATCCGATGACATACTCTTGTGTTCTGGATAGGACGTCCTATACAGAAAGTGCCATGAAAATATTGACCTCACGCGGGCAAAAGACCCGAGACTGTGAACTCTATCGTGGACCAACAGACGACAATGGAAAAAAATGCCGTTATCAAACTGTCTTCCGTATGGTATAACACGTGTGGCCCCCCTGTGCACTCTGTGGCATTGATATCATCCTATTCTATCGGTACGATTCATTGCATGATCAGTGACATGGTTTCACGCCCCCAGAGCCCAGTCGACCCCATGCTGGAGGCTACGACAATGAGTGGCATCGGTGGTCGGCCAGGCTTTGTTAACGGTCCCTCGTCCCAAGTCTGTGGCAGGAAAGAGCAATTCCCTTCTACCCGTACCTTCTGGAATCGCCAGATCCGAGCTACCGTCGCCCATGATGCCTGTAGAGATCACTTTGGTACGTCAGGAGCGTGAAAGGTGCTGTCTTGCTTGCGACTCTCGAAGCACACGTCCGCGGCCAGGCTGCCCTATTGCGCTTACCATCTCCTTGCAGCCAACGAAAGGACCTTTCTAGGCTACCTACGCACGTCTGTTGCCCTATCCTTCGTGGCTGTCATTTTTGCCCAAATGTTCCGGCTGCAGCATACATCCCACCCGGACAAGATCTTCGGATATTTCATTTTAGGTACCCCGCTGGCTTGCATATGCATTGTCGGCTCCATTCTCGTTCTGCTGCTGGGAGCTTACCGCTTCTGGCGTCAGCAAAATGCCATGCTGCGAGGTAAGATCCATGCAGGTGGTTGGGAGGTGAACTTCGTCGGCATTATCTGTCTTCTTGTAAGCCCAATTTATTGTAATGTCAACGAAGCTAAAGTTATCAGATCACCACAACAATATTTGTATTACTTGTGGTGGCTGAGTGGCGGAAAGATGAGATGGACAATGACTAGCATCGATGACTTGCAACAAAGGATTCAGGCGGATTTGGGAATGGCGAGATCTTGCAAACTGTCTCTTGAACAAGTGAAGTTGTGCAGGCGCATGTAGTACTCCATAACCTTCTTGAGCACCCAAGGTAAGCAATCTCGGGAGGAGCACGTTTCTCTCTATTTTTAATATCCCAAAGCCATGGCAGCGTGTCCTGACATATCCAGGCACATTTGCTCGGAAAAGTCCTTATGGATGAGCATACTATGATTGATCAGACCTCTGGGTCGCATTGTCCCATCGCGTGAGCACCATTACATACATGTTGCAGAGAATGTGATCGGTCAGAAAACACGTCAAGTGTCTTGTACCTGCATAGGGTTGCATATTCAAATTGCAGGGATGATTAAAGTCTGCTTTCAGAGTGCCTGATATCCTCGGTGGTGTTGTGGAGTGTTGTTGAGTGTTGTTAAGTGTTGCCATCCACGGACGGTGATGACCTCCTAAGAACCTTTATTTAATTGACGTTCAGGTAATATTCCTTAACACTCATTCAACCCTCATTCCTACCTATTGCAATTTGCAGTATATTGAACACCAGTAATCCTAATCAATAACCTCAATCAAAATGCGTTGCGGATCACTTTCCTTGCTACTTATCACATGTCTCTTCTCTCTCGCATACACATATGCCATTACTGGTGCATCTGGTGCTGTCGATACATCGACCGGTGAGCGGCCAGCTCGTCAAGAGTTCAGGTTGTTCACAGTCTCTGGCGCAGCTTTTGATCTGTACATACTTGCCCTTCAACAACTTACACAAGAGGAACAAAATTTTCAATTGTCATTCTTCCAGGTCAGCGGTAAGCCAAATATCTCTTCCATCCATCCGAAGAAAGCTCACAAGTTACTCAGGTATCCATGATCGCCCTTACATACCCTGGGACGGCGTCAATGGTCAATACGAAGCGGGCTACTGCACACATAGCTCAATCCTCTTCCCCTCCTGGCATCGACCATATCTAGCGCTTTTTGAAGTCTGAGTCTGCACTCGATACTCCTGAAGCACTGAGCTGACCCACGACAGCAACTCCTCTGGAACAATGCTCAGAACATTGCCGCAACATATCCATCTTCATTGCGCGCTCAATATCAGTCTGCAGCACAGTCTCTCCGCATTCCATTTTACGATTGGGCACTTAATAGTACGATGCCAGATCAGACTAATGAGCCAATGATCCTTATCAACACCCCGGACGGCCTTCGTAATATCAAAAATCCACTGTACGACTATACATTTCATCCCCAACCGAATCATTCAGACTTTCCCGAATCAGATGGCCAGGCAAGCCTTTGTTTGCCTCAGTACGTTGAATGTAAGCTGACGGGAAACAGATCGCTCAATACCACACAACTTGCCGCTCTCCAGACGCAGACGGTAATTCTCAGCCCAATATATCCAACATGATGCTGGAAGCCAACGCCGACGCTATACGCTCAGGCGTTTACAATCTCATTTCAAGTCAGCCAGATTATGCACCTTTTTCCAATACGGGGTTTGTTGATGATAGAGGAAATCGCTATGACTCGATTGAGAACATTCACAATGGTATACATACGCTGATTGGAAACGGCGGTCATATGGCCATCGTTCCATATTCTGCGTTCGATCCTATCTTCTGGTTGCATCATACGTAAGGGTCCTACGTATGACCCATGTATCTATGTGAGATACTGACATCGCGTAGGAATGTCGACCGCTTGATCGCAATCTGGCAAGCCATCTATCCCGATTCTTGGATCAATAGTTCCGAAGTCACGGCGGGAGGCACATTCACTGACGCCCCCGGCAGTTCAGAGGATGCAAATACAGGTGCGTTTCTTTATGATAGCAATCACGATCTCCCCTTGAATTAGTCTCCCACAAGCTGACATGCCTCCACAGGATTAACCCCCTTTCACTCCTCCGACAGCAGCACATTTTACACCTCCATTACCGCTCGTACGACCCGTGCATTCGGATACACCTATCCCGAAATAAGAGACTGGAACATTTCCGCCGCCGACCTCTCAACCAACGTTCGCACAGCACTCAATCGACTCTATGGCAGTGGCAGCACCTCAACCAGCCGCAAATCAAAGCACAAACGCCAAACCACAACCGTGCATTCCCCCATGCCTTTTTCAGGCACCAACAATACTCTCCCGCCGTTTCCACTCACCAATACCACAGCTTTCAATACCACTACCTCCAACATGACCACCGCTTACTACATCAACAATTCAACAAACACCACCGACAACCACGACTACGACTACGCAATAAACATCCACGTCCTCAAATCCGCCCTCAACTCCTCCTTCTTCATCCACTTCTACCTCGGCGCCCCCTCCGCTCCCGCTCCCTCCCTCTCCTACGCCTCCAATCTAATCGGCACATTCGGCAACTTCTTCCACTCCTCTCCAACCGCCAACCCCGACGACGCCGGCGGCGCGAGCATGACGTACGGCCAAGTACCCCTCACGCACGCCCTCCTCCCCGCCTCCAATTCCAACCCCAACCACAATACCGGCGCAACGAAATCGTACGGCCCCATCAGCGCAGGCCTAAGCGCCCAGCTCCCACCGAGCGAAGTCGTGCCTGTGCTGAAGCGGGAGTTGCAGTGGAGGGTGCAATTGATGAACGCCACAGTTCTGGCGGCGGACTGCGAAGAGTTGAAGAGAGGGGGTTTGGGGATTTTTGTGGTGGGCAGGACTATTAGGGGGAGCGATGATGAGTGTGAGTTTCCGGTTTATGGGGATTGGGAGGTTTATGGGGAGGTTACTGAGGGGAAGGCTGGGGGGTATTATTGATGATAAGGGGGAGGGTCGGGGGAGGGTTGCTGTTGCATAGATGAAAATGATAGATACGGGGGGTTAGAGGCTGATTTGCAAAAGGGTAGATGGATGGGATGATTGAGATGCTGTGAGCTATAGATACAAAAGAGGGTGGTAGCACATACGGTATCTTGCAAGCGGCACAACAGCGGAGGTAATGTGTAGTCCAACACCATAGAGGCTGACGATGCTTTGCGAAACATGAAGCGACCATCGCTGGTCTAATACAATGATATCTATGAAAATGCTTGACCTTGCTCCAAGAACTCCAAAACAAGGACGTTATAATTACCCACTAAGAGTCAGCAGTATACTCTCATCGCTATGCTTATGCTTTTGATTATGCCCTTTGAGGGGAACAAATCGCAATGAGGCGCTATGCATCACTTTTCCTTCCACTGTTGCTTTTATTTCTCTGTCGATTTCGCTTTTTCCTGATCCCACGCTGATGAACCTTCGTCCTTTTTCCACGTATGCAATCCACTGATTCCGTTAAAATAGCCCCCACCTCTTCTTCCCCCCCTTCTCCTCCTTCCCTCCCCCACCTGCCCCCTCTTTAACTCCACCTCCACCACCAGCACCGCTACTGCTCCCCTTCCTAACCCCAGCAGCTGCAGCATTACTTTCACCCATGCCCCCCGCGCCAGACTGCGCAGGGCCTCCACTCGCCGCAGCACGAATAGCAGCGATCCTTTGCTTCGCTCTATCATCACCCTGGTCCGCGGCACGAACATACCAGACGTTTGCCTCGAGCGGATCGCGGCGACATCCGATCCCCATTTCGGTGAAGTAGCCGAGGGCGTATTGGGCTTTCGTTAGGCCTGGTTTGGATGTCAGAGTAGGGTTCGTGGGGAGGTCGTAAGGAGGGAAGAGAAGGGAGGGAGAAAAGGAAGGGGAAACGACATGGGGGGACTCACCCGTCTCAGCAGCACGTCGAGCCCACTCACAAGCCTCGTTCTCATCCTTGTCAAGCACAGGCTCCGCACCGACCATGTACCACGCGCACAGCGCCATCATAGCGAGCGGGTGCCCTTGCTGCGCGGCACCGGTGTAGAAGTGCACGCTCAGCGCTGGATCTCGCGGGCAGCTCAGCTTTCCATGCTCGTAGGCGTCACCGAGGCGATAATTCGCCTCTACGTGCCCAAGGTCAGCGGATTGTGTGAACAGCTGCGCAGCGTATGATTCGTCGCGAAAGATGTCGTCACCGTAGCCGGTCTCGTGGAGCAAGCCGAGCTCGTAGGGTGCAGAATTATATTGGAAGTCTGCGCTCTCAGCGGCGCGCTTGAGCCACTTGAAACCCTCGCGATATCGATTTCCAAGCCCAAGGTCGCCAACAAGACAGGCGCGACCGAGGCGGGACATTGCGCCCGGGTGGTTCTTGGAGGCTGACTGTCGAAAGAACTGTACAGCTTTAGTCGGGTCTTTACGGCAGCCCCAGCCGAATTCATAGCAGAGCGCTGCGCGGTAGCCCGCTTCTGCGTGACCATGCTTTGAAGCTGCGACGAAGAGGTTAAAGGCGCGGTCGTTGTCTTCGACACCTTTGTTGAAGAGACCAGAGGCGTAGCCGTCAGCGAGATAGTATTGGGCGAAGGGGTAAGAGCGGTCGGAAAGCTTTTGGAGGATGTTGCGGGCTTCGCGGAGAAGTTCTGGGGATGAGGGGAGCGCTGCGTCTGGGTTGGGTGATTGAGGTTCGTTGGCTGCTTCGGCTGCTGCGTTGACCATGAAGATCGCAAATTCGTATTGGATTGTTGGATCGTTTGTCTTCTTTACGTTGGCGCGGTACATTTCCAGGGTCTTCTTGGTGTTAAGAAGCGTTGCATTCTGCCCTACAGATTCTCGGAGTTGTGAATTGTCAAAACTTGTTGGAGCTGGAGGTGGTTGAGGATAGGGGACGTTGAGGAGGTCAATGAATGACATCGGTCGCGAGTCTGGCGAGAGCCGTGAAGGTGAGGGTGTCCGTGCTTGTGATGTATTACCTGGTGAAAGTGTCCGCCGCGGATCGCCGTCAGATATTGACGAGTAGGATGACACCGGTCTCGAAAGATGTGCGCCCAAATGAGCACTCGCTGGTGTTAAGCGGCCGTGTGATGGGATAGGGAGGGAATCTCCGGATACGCGCCTGCCATGAGTCGGCACTGGGGGGGCATCTCCAGACACACGCCGGCCTTGTGATCGAGAAGTGGTGTTACTGCCTGCTGATCTTCGTCTGTTGTGGGCTGGGTCGAAAAGCTGATGGTGATAATGTAGGGGTTCTGGGGACTGCTCTTCTCGCTCTTCAGCACCCGTGATGTTGACGAAGCTGCTACCCGACGCATGTCTGGAGCCTGCCGAGTTGCCGGATGAGATAATTCCAGACTGTGGCTGATGTATGTTCTCTTGCTGTTCTGTCGTGATCATAGGTCTCAACGGAAGTGAGTGGGTAATAGGCACTGGACCGCTTGATTTCCGCCTTGACCGCCTTTGCTCATATTCCTGCTGAGATGCCGGTGCCTGTGGTTGTGGTATACGTGGAGGAAGTTGCTGTGGCGCTTGCTGTGGGATATGTCGAGGAACCTGAGGAGGCGCTTGTTGCGAAGCGTGTTGAGGAGCTTGCGAAGGAAACTGCTGCGGAATATGTCGAGGGGCTTGCGGAGGGGCTTCCTGGGGAATGTGCTGTGGAACTTCGGGAGAAAATTGCTGCTGAGCGTGCTGAGGGGATTGCGGGGCGCGTTGCGGGTGGGCTTGCTGAAGTAATTGTTCTTGGAGAGGCTGTCTCATGAAAGCATCGTCGCCGGTTTCGAACGACGCTTTTCTTTCCAGTATGGGCTCCTCGTCCTGACTCACATGCCAATTCTGGTGCTTCGGAGGCACGGGCGGTCGGGCGGAACCTGCCATTGAGTTGCCTTGCGAAGAGGATAGAGGCCTCCTCTTGGGCATGTCATAGAGAGCTTGTGGTGGTGGTGACCTGTCTACGTTTTCTCTTGGATGCCTACCTGCCATATATGAAGGTTGAGGAGCAGCTGGAGGCAAGGGTTTGCTAGGAGGATTTGATAAAGGCCAGCCAGGTGGTGGACTGCTCTGAGTCGCCATGCCGGCCAAAGAGTGGCCTTTTTCTTGGCCCGACCGTTCCTTGTAAATGAACTTCGTTGAGCTTGTATTGGCTTGTCTAAATTGCCTTGCCCTTCTAACCTCAACGCCGGTTGGCTTCTCTCTTCATGCCCAAATTGGCTGCAGCCTGGCAATGATCCCGTTCGTATGGCGACGGATGCGGGGCAAGGCAAGGCGAGAACTGAGGTATCTGAGCTCGCTGCTCTGTCGAAGAGGATGGAGGAAGGTTGTAAGATTATTTGATTGGATAATCACTCAGTCTAGGGAAGGCTGAGCTTTGAGGGATTCTTCGGACAAGGCTCTGCTGACGCAGGATTGTTTCGCCGAGGGGATCTGGCTCCTTTGAAAGGCCTTTATGAGGGATGAGAGGAGGGTTGTATCTTGAGAGGAAGGAAGGGAGGGAAGTCCTGCTGCAGGTGTAAGCAGGAGCATACAAATGGCGTGCGAGTTGGATATATGCAGGTTCAACTGCCAGTGAGGCGCTTTCAACCAAACTTTCTTCGCTGTGAAGGCGCACGTGAATGCCAAGACATTGCGATCGTCAGGGTCAAATACACTAAGCACAAAGGGTTAAGCCCCAGCTCCCCTGATTCTAGACACAACGGTCGCTACATCAATGCCTACCATTACCACTGGACATTAGATCGGATCGTTGTCGTCGGATGACAGGCGCCTATCAGTTCTGACGAAAGCCCATAAGGCATGTACGAGGATTGACGCTCTCCATGCCCATTAATCGGACCTCCTCAAACATTTCTTGTCAATATCAACGTCTAGAAAATCGAGACGGTTGAGGGTGTCAACGCAAGGTTGCCTCACCTGTAATAAGCGGTGGGCCTGAACCTAGATGGCATCATTGTTGCCAAGCATTGAAGCACAACAAACCCTTTTTCCATATGCCTTTCTCCTCTTATTGAAAGTAGCTTACCGCTCATCGCAAAGCTCCATCGTCTCTTGGGGTCACGATCGAGGGCTTCTCAGAAAGGCATGATGTCGGTATAGGTGTCGTACGAGATGACGGAGGTTTCAGGCAGTCAGCTTTGCCTACATCGAGAAGGCAAGCGTTCGGACAGATAGACTTTCATGTATGCTTTGCGTTATCTCCATCAGGGTACTCACATGATCTGTTGCCCTAGTCTCTCTCTTTGATGGACTGCTGTCGGAAATGGAAATCAAAGCCTTCAGGAAAGCTTGAAAATGTTTCAGTATCCTTTCTATACCTACCCATACCATTTTCAGGTGGTGGAGTCCTGACGGCGATTTCATTCCGATACAAGCTCTGTAACGTGATTCAAGGTGTGTCTGGGTGGTATTGCGTCTGATTGTGTATTCTGGATATCGAAATGATCTTGAGCAATACCCGCTTCCAAGGCACTGGCGAATCATTCACCTAAAAGCCAGCACCGGCTTTCCTCCTGACACTGCTGCGCCCCAAGCCGACTTGACCAATTGCAACACATTTGCCTATTCTAGCAATCAGAGCCGATGCCACCAGATGCCCCGTTTTCTAGAGCTCGAAGGGCGTATAACTCCAAGAATCTTAAGGACGGGCTTTGTGTCTACCATTGCTGCCATTCTAGCCTTCATATCAACAGTGATCCTACCAGAGTGCTCTCTGTTCCTATTCAAAAAGTCCCTGTTACAATTACGGTATATTTAAGGTTGAGCTGGCCGCCTGTCATTGTTCTCAGGCGAATGAGGAGCTATCGCTGAAAAGGCGTTGCATCATTGACATATGCCAGGATCTAAGCGATGCTCGTCACGCTCATAATTGCATCTCATCTTGATAACGGTGCTTCATCATCGTAGTACTTTCTCTTTTGGCTCGTGTTGCTTCATTTGGCGGGGGTGGCAATGAGTTTCAACCATCATCCAATGAATCAGAAGGCAACCATGAAACAGACCGTGCTCTCAGGCACTGTTAAAAATGCACTTATTTGAGCGTGCCACTTACAGCGTCACAGCATCATTTATGAAAGCCCAAGCATCCTCCAGAAAGCCTGACAGAGTGATTATTTCCCTTGGTTTTCTTCTGGCTTCTGTGAACCTGACTTTGGCTTGTACTACCATTGAATACGGGCAAAAGCCGCCTCGTCTCTTTGCCTAAAAGCAACAGTACCACTTAATCCTCTTGCCGCATTCGGTGAGGCTCATATATATCATTCTCTTAATCATTTCCTCCGTCATATCCCCCACACAGTCGCTACTTCAATTTCTTTCATCACTGTGATTTTGGACCCACTTAAATTGCCAGCGTTTGGAGGGTCAACACAGGAGCAATTTGCGACCTCGAAAACTCCTCTCCGACCGTGCCATGTTCAGCAGTATCCTCCAGCATATACACACGAGCGTACCGTGTCAACCACTATCCGACCTCGTGAGATTGATCTTGATGCTAGAGAACAACAAGTTAGGCTAATTTGTACAGGGCATTGAAAAATACTTCGTTGTCTTCGCCAATGCACAACACGAAGCTGTGAGCTCAGTCTTACATCTCGACCGGAAGTCGCTAATTAATTCGACCTCCAGTTTCTCGAACATTATGTCACTACCGGTCTTTCAGGAGGCATACTTGCTGCTAAGCGGCTTCGGAGCGAAGCATTGACTTATCTTCGATTCGAAGGAAAATTCGATGCTGCAGCAACTGTGATCATCTACGTATACACCGATCTGGACGAAGCTGCTCGTAATTACTATCAGTCCGGCGCACTGGACCAGCCCGAGTATTTTTCTCAGTTCCGGCAAGGGTTCTCCCATGGTCTCGTCAATGGTCAGGCAATACTTGCAGATCTCAATAGTCAGACGATCATTGGACAGCACAATATCCGTAGTGAGTACTCTGCTCATTCGGCTTACTACCCGGATTTGCATCTAACTTTCGTAGCTTTACTCAACACGTTCGTCGGTGACGACAGATGTCTAAACGTTGTAGTCGTGGGGACACCGACAAAGGAATATCTTCAGCTGATACAGTGGCCAAGGTACAAGCCTGGAATGCGCAACAAATTTCTGCAAGCATCGTTCCCAACGGTTTTTGAGGGGAGCATTTCACCTACGAACCTGATACCCTTTCCCTCACTTCAGCGCTCGATGTGGTCTCCAATTGCACCCCAGGGCATATTGACCCAGCCTCGAGCTTTCCCAACTGGCCCGTGGAATGATGACATGAAGCCTCTCGGCAAAGCCTCACGAGCACGCGTTTGGCCCTCATTGAGCTTGCCAGATATCAGCTTATTCAAACCTTATTTTGAACGTATGAAGAGCACAAGCCTTCCGGATACGCCTTTAATGTGCAACCTGTTAGAAGATCGAGACTATAAAGAGGTTCACTCTGCACCAGCAGCACTGTCTCCTCCTGGAGAGATTGTCAGTGCAAGTCAGGACGAGCCCTGTGGCTCAAAATTGCCTTATAGAAGTAACAGACAATTGAATGCGGAAGCAGCGAAAGACACTAGGAACCAATTTAACCAAATGCCATTGTTCAATCATGCGGCAGGAAGCTGCCAGAATCTGCAAGGCCAAAAGGCAACTGCAGGGCAAGCACCCAGGCCAATCATTCGAGACGAACACGGGCGACGCTTGGACATTCCCACCAACTACAAAGAGGAGCTGATCAACCAGCTCGACAATGGGCGACTCTGCAACAATTATCACCTAAAGGGCAATTGCGCATACCCGAAGTGCAAGCATCTACACCAAGTGCCAGTCATCGAAGGGAACCCACATGGCCCGAAACGCAACTTGACTTCCGACGAGGTGGAAACACTGCGGTACATTGCAAGGAGGAGCCCTTGCCGCAACCGAACGTCATGTAACGATCCGAGATGTTTTGCAAGTCACCGTTGCCCAAATCACGTTGAGAAGGGCAGGAAGACCTGCGGCTTCCCGGTAGACATGCACTTTGAGATCTCTGCGGAGAGTCTTGCGCGATTGGAAGCAGCAAGAGCATTATAAGAAGGAAGATGCTGAGGCTGGACGAAAGACATAACCCATGAGATGGGAGGATTTGAAGGGAACATCTCCCCTGGATTTGGGAGCGATATCATATATTTTTGGATCCACCACGGTAGCTCACGCTGCATTCGACCTGAGCTCGTCAGAATTCTTGGAACAAGTTCTGTATATAATCTTGCACTACACTGAGAGCTGCGACCTACTTGAATAATCATGTAAGTTATTGAACATAATAATGGACATTGCTCTCTTATTCCTACCTCCCTCTCTCACTCCGCATTAATTCCTAAGCAATCCATGCTCATACGGATAGATGCACTAGTGAATACGAGGCAGCGATCGCCGGCTTGGGGCGAGAGCGGCTGGGGACGCTAGGGACGCTTAGGTTACGGCCCTCTAAAAATACGCCATCTGTTTAGGTAAGCCATAGGCCGCGCTGCAACCAACCAGATGCAGTAGATGCCCTAGAACTAACGCCGCCGCCGCCGGCTCGCTCAGGTTTGCACCAACCTAAGGGTCAAGGGGAATAATCAACAACATCAGGTTCTTGCCAGTCCATCGCATTCCTTGTTATTCGTTCGTTGGCGCTATTCTGTATTGCTAGCTTTCTCATCACTCGTTATCACGACGGATCACTCACATTCACCGTCGCTGCTGTTCACCGGAGGTTCTTTGCTTTCCCCTTGTTTACTCTTTGTCACCAGCTCCTGCAAGGCCCACTGCAGCCTTACGACACAACGCACCCCGACAATCGAGCCCCGCAGCCTCGAACAGTCCTGTACAGTATCAAAAAGTCGCTTTCCAATACAAACAATCGACGCTGCTTCAACTGGGCGAATACGAGTCAGCTTGAAGCTCGAACATTGCCTCAATAAGTCCGAATGGCCACCGTCAAGAGCTAGACATTTCGGAATAGTAAAAACATAACATTGCGTCAGAAACACCGCATACATGTCTACACCCCGCAAACATAGCGGAAGCCCGCACAAACGGCATCATGAATCCCCGTACCGAGATTCGCCTTCTCGACGGCACCGAAATCATGACCTCGAATCGGCCGCTTACACAGACAGTCCACCGCGGACGCCAAGTAAAAAGCCGAAACAAGAGGCTTATATGCAACCATCTTCACCCGTTCGAAAACATCATGATTCGGAACCACCGAACAACCACGGTGGCCCTACAGACATCAACAGAAAGAAAAGCTTAATTAGACCGGAACGGAGGAAGATGGATCGAGATCATCCAAACTACCACTACCGCCAACATGCACAAAACATGGAGGTCTACCCATCAACGACAGGCGTCGATCCTTTGATGGAAGAGGCGGACGAGGCGGACACATTGATCAATGATGAGAAAGGTCACAATACAGGCGATGATGAGCCATCACCGCGAGGAAGAGATCGGGACCTGAAGCCAGTGGTCGGCAATGGAACGAAGAGAACAAGGAGGCTACGACGGAAGGATGCAAAGACTCTGAGTGATGAGGACAAGCGAAGACAAAAAGAGTTGGAGGCCATCACACCACCAAGCTTATGGAATATTTACTGCCGAATTCTCACCTGGTGGGCTCCAGGTGCCATACTTGGTTGCTTTGGAAAGCCAGCCAGAGCACAGCAAAGAGCTTGGAGAGAAAAGATGGGATTGCTCAGCATCATTCTCCTCATCGGAGCTTTTGTCGGTTTTCTGACCTTTGGCTTCACTCAAGCTGTTTGCGGCACTCAACGAGAGAGACTGAAAGTAAACCACGTTGATGGCGGATACATGATATTCCATGGGAGTGCCTACAGCTTAGACAACTCACATCACCCAGCTGCACGTGGTATACTGGATCAACAGAACGTGCTATATGATCTAGGTCCAGGGCAGAGTTATGCGGGTATGGATGGCAGCTTCATGTTTCAGAACGTTAATGGAGCCTGTAAGGATATGATCAAACTCGCACCAGACTCTGATGTGCCTACGAATGCGAACGGCGATCTGGCCTGGTACTTCCCGTGCAACGCTTTCAAACAGGACGGATCATCGAAGCCTAATCTTACCATTCCATATTATCTTGGGTATGCTTGCCATACGACGGTGAATGGCAGAAAGGCATTCTACGGGCTGAAATCTTCCGGTGATGTCTATTATACGTGGGATGACATCAAAAATTCCACCCGCAATCTTATGGTCTATAATGGCAATGTCCTGGATCTTAGTCTGCTGCAATGGCTCAACAAGACTCAGGTCACGTGGCCACCGATCTTTGATAAACTCCAAGAGAATCCTTCGGTGAGGGGAATCGACGTTACACATGCCTTCCTCACGGGTTCAAACCGGCAGCTTGGTCAGTGCCTGTCGGAGATCATCAAAGTTGGATCGATCGACACTGAAAGTGTGGGCTGCGTCGCCTCCAAGGTCGTGCTGTATGTCTCTCTTGTTTTCATATTGGCCATTGTCATGGCCAAATTCTTGCTGGCTATAGCATTTCAGTGGTTTTTTAGTCGTCGGTTCGCAGCGTCGACGGCTTCTATTACCAAGAACCCGAAGAAAAGGAATCAACAAATCGAAGACTGGGCTGATGACATCTATCGAGCACCTCCAAAGTTCACAGAAGCAGGCATGGCGGCCTCAGACAAATCAAGTAAGCGCAGCAGCGTCTTCTTGCCTTCCACATCTCGCTTCACGAGTCCCTATGCACAAGCCGCGCTTGCCAAAGGCCGACCTGCGCCAACCACTATGGCAAGTCAAAGCAGCACGGCACGACTGATCCGGCCTATGTCAATGTATGAGCAACCAGGAGGAAGCGAGTTGACACTTCCTAGCTTTGATCCTACCAATCGGCATAGTGTCAGTGCTAGTCGATCGAGCTTGATGATGTCGGGTCAGGATAAGAGATTCTCCAGTGTGCTTGGTGATCCCGACGCGGGGCCTGCTGGGTTTATCCACGAAGCTGTGGTGCCTCAACCGCCGCCGGAATGGGAACCCTTTGGCTACCCTCTCGCGCATACCATATGCTTGGTGACAGCGTACTCGGAAGGCTACGATGGGTTACGGACTACCCTTGATTCCATCGCCATGACTGAATACCCTAATAGCCACAAAGCTATGTTCGTTGTCTGCGATGGAATGATCAAAGGTGCGGGGGAAGAACTTACAACGCCAGAGATTGCGTTGAGCATGATGAAAGATCACGCGGTCTTACCGGATGAGGTCCAAGCATACTCATGTGTTGCTGTAGCAAGCGGATCAAAACGACATAACATGGCCAAGGTGTACTCAGGCTTCTATGACTATGGCGAAGAATCACCAATCCCGCTGAACAAGCGGCAACGAGTGCCGATGATGGTGGTTGTCAAATGCGGAACTCCAGATGAGGCGTCAAGTCGTAAGCCGGGCAATCGCGGCAAGCGTGATAGTCAGATTATCTTGATGTCGTTCTTGCAGAAGGTTATGTTTGACGAACGAATGACGGAACTTGAATACGAGATGTTCAATGGGCTCTGGCGCGTAACTGGAATTTCGCCCGACTTTTACGAAATTGTTTTAATGGTAGACGCCGATACGAAAGTGTTCCCTGACAGCCTCACTCATATGGTCTCTGCCATGATTAAGGACCCTGAGATCATGGGACTATGCGGTGAAACAAAGATTGCCAATAAGAGGGCGAGCTGGGTGTCAATGATTCAGGTCTTTGAGTACTTCATCTCTCACCATCTCTCCAAGTCCTTCGAATCTGTCTTCGGCGGTGTGACCTGTTTGCCGGGCTGTTTCTGCATGTATCGGATCAAGGCACCAAAAGGCGGGCAAAACTATTGGGTGCCTATCTTAGCCAATCCAGACGTCGTTGAACGATACTCGGAAAACGTTGTGGACACGCTCCACAAGAAGAACCTCCTACTTCTTGGCGAAGATCGATACCTCTCGACGTTGATGCTGAAGACATTTCCGAAACGAAAGCAGGTATTTGTGCCACAAGGCGTCTGTAAGACTACTGTACCCGAAGAGTTCCGCGTGCTGTTATCACAACGAAGACGTTGGATCAACAGCACGGTGCATAATCTTATGGAACTAGTACTGGTCCGTGATCTTTGCGGCACGTTCTGCTTCAGCATGCAGTTTGTCGTTTTCATCGAGTTGGTCGGGACATTAGTGCTGCCAGCGGCCATCAGCTTCACCTTCTACCTCGTCATCATCTCGATCGTTCGGAAACCTACCCCTATCATCCCCTTGGTCTTACTGGCGCTGATCCTTGGTCTACCGGCTGTGCTCATCGTACTCACGGCTCATCGGTGGTCATACGTGCTCTGGATGTTGATATACTTGGTCTCTTTACCGATCTGGAATTTCGTGCTGCCAGCGTATGCATTCTGGAAATTCGATGATTTCAGCTGGGGCGATACGAGGAAGACTGCAGGGGAAAAGACGAAGAAGGCTGGGATTGAGTATGAGGGCGAGTTCGATAGCAGCAAGATTACGATGAAGAGATGGGGAGAGTTTGAAAAGGGTAAGTGCTGACATCCCTGCCGTTCTGGTGCTCAAAGCCGGCATTTGCTAACAGGTTCCGCTCGGCAGAACGACGAATGATGGCACCCACGACCGGGTTCTCGCATCAGTCTCAAAGGGCAAGCACGCACATGGGCTATGACCAGTACTCGGATGCATGAGACAATGCATATGATTAGCATCAGCATCGGTGGCGCATATCCAGTATTATCAATCGAGGATCTTGTAAAAAGGGGTGGAAGAGAGAGTCCGTCTGAAGCATTTCCTGGTTCTTGTGTTACTAGTACGAGTTGTGCATATCATTGGGTAACGGGGCTTTTGGAGTGGCGTAATGATATGTCGAGTCATGGTCTCGCCATTGCGAATCAAGGGTCGGAGATGAATTAGACTGGATATGTAATGAATTGGGTTCGTATTCTATATTACTATGACCCAAAGCATCGATGGCATGCAAGTTTGACAGGAGCCTATTTCCCCATGTGTCACTGTCGATTATCGTGGGTTCCAAGCGGATCTTCCGTGGAACTCCAGCACTCTGCGATGTTGCATGCACATTGGCCAGATGCTGGTAATCTAGGCCCCTATTCACTGGACGAGAGGGAGTGGGTGTATGGCGGCACTGGCGGAGCGCGGGGGTTTTGCTGGGCAGGCGTGGGCGAGGTGGCGGACCTATCCGACTCATAGGTCACTCCTCACTATTGGGTGCAGCTGCCTGCTTCACTCCAGTACCTCATGCTATGTACCACCACGTTTTCTGGCCTATATGTAACGTTGTTGGCTTTGCTTGGTCTTTTTTGCTCTGCCTCTCCCTTCTTGCAACGTCTTGTCAGCTCCCAGCTAATCCCCCCGCCTCTAACAATAAGTGTCAAGCCCGCGGACAAGTCAAAGCACCCGCGATCCTACACCAATCTCAACACTCAAGATCAATCAAGTGTCTGATTTAAGCTGAATGCCCGCTTAGTCGGCGCCTACTTCACCAAGACAAATCCCGCGGGTCGCCTGGGTGGATTATACATCGGGCCTCAACCTCGCTCAAAGTCAAGCCTCCATATCTACACATCAAAGAGATAGTATAGCAAGGTCTAGGAAGAGCTCGACTTTGGGGGTGTACAAGAGTTGCCACAAAGCAACGCCAGCCTGATCACTGGGCACGCCATAGGACTCGGCCCGGTGGGGCCTTCTGGGCCACTCTCCTGTCCCAGAACACGGACAAGCCATGGCACAAAACCTATCTCAAGAGCCTGTGGAACCGGGAAATGAGGACGGTGGCGTACCGTTACCGAGTCAGTCTGCAGGCCTTGTGTCCATAGAAAACATCGACCTTGCTTGGCAAAATCATCTAATGGCCACCGTCGAGGCCGAATTTCAACAAATTATCCAAGAAGCAGTTGAGGAAGAGCAAACGAGCAGTATGCCTACATTTGAGACGGAGGGGATGGAGGTTTGGCAAGATCAGGAAGAAGGACACATCCAGAATTCTATGGTCCCCTCACATTCTCACCCGACGGTGCCTGAATCGCTTCAGCCTTCCATACAATTTCCAGACCATGACTCAATGCATTCGGCTCATCTTCCTTTCTCTGAAGAACAAGCTGGGCAAGAGGCGATGGGATGGGCATCTGACCATTTCATCCACAGTGCGACGGTGGGCGAGACTGCGGCTGCACCATTGACTTGGGCCTCACCAGAAGATCCTCTACCGTTACATCCTTTACAACCAATAATGAGTAATCTATCCGGCGCAGGAGATGCGACAGCTATTTTCAACCCACAGCAACAGCTTGAGGATGAACCACCACCGATGCCAGTAGGAGACGTGAACTCAGGAGAAACATTACCCACTGGCCAATACCTGTTCACGGACCCCCCACCACCCCCTCCACCGCCAGCACTGCCGGAGCTGGGCGACGAGTCTCTTGAATCCGCTGTTCTCCCAGATCCTCACTGTGGACTGATGCCCTCGATACAAGATACATTTGCTTTTTGGCGGAACATGTGGTCAACACAAGCGCGAGCATATCCCTACATCAGCAGATTAGCTGAGGAGCATATTCCGAGGCAGCGACCAAATCATATAACGCCAGATAAGATGGCGAAGGAAGGTCACGACATGCAAGGAATACACTGGAATTGGTACAACACCACCAAAGAGACTGCTCGCGGGGTGCGGCGGATGGTATACAAGAACTACGCAAATGAAGACGCGGAACATCTTCAATCGGAAGACCACTGGGGCAGTCCAGCCTATGGAATCGACTTCTCCTCCCCGACAGCACCCAAGATCGCTGACACCGAACGCTTCTTCAATTTCCGCTCCACCAATACTAAAATCATTCCCAGATGGTGGCACTACCAGCTCCGGCACAACATCTTCGCCGCCTCCCAAAATGCCATCTACTACCACGTCCGCCCCTTCAGCATGGCAACCATGGACACTTTAGCCTCTTCACGAAGATGGAGTGTGAACTGCTACAACCCGCAATCATGCACCACAACCCCTGTAATGACCCCCGCTTCCCTTGAGGGAGAAGCAGGACAAAGACTCGACGCCATCTCCACTCTAACCGCAGACTGCGGCGTCCTAGTCGTCGGCACCGTCCCCGGCATGTACGGCCTCCGCTCCCTCTCCCTCGCCTACAACGCCCCCTCTTCAACAGGGCAAATCGTGCCCCCCTCGGCCCAGGCGCTGGAAGTCACTGAAAACTCCATTAACCACGTATACACGACTTTCAAACGCTCTTCCTCATCCTCCTTTAACGATAACTCCGTCCCAGGATCCGACGTCCTTGCCATCTTCTCCGCCAACGACTGCACCCTCCGCACCCTCGACTGCGGTACCAACACCTTCCTCGGTGGTTCAGGGTACCAGACCTTCGATTCCGCCATCAACTGCGCCTGCTCCTCCCCCGACGCCCGCCTTCGTCTCACCGTTTCCGACGCCAACTCCCCCGTCATCACGTCCACCGATACGGGAGAAATCCTTCATTCACTCCCTGGCCATAACGATCACGGCTTCGCGTGTGCGTGGGCCCCTGATCACGTCACCCTTGCCACAGCGCACCAGGACGGGCTCGTGCAGATCTTCGACGCGCGGTATCTGGATAAGGCGGTCCATCGCATCCCCGCAGAGCAATCTTGCGTCAGAACGCTGCAGTTTTCCCCCTTAGGTGGTGGAAGGCCAATACTTGTGGCTGCTGAGCCGGCGGATTTCGTGCATGTCATTGACGCCAAGACTTTCGATCGTAAGCAGAGTATTGAGTTCTTTGGGGATGTGAGCGGTGCGTCGATGAGTGCGGACGGACAGTCGTTGTTCATCGGCTGCTCTGATAAAGGGTTTGGAGGGCTGTTGGAGTTCGAGAGGGATCAGGGATGGCAAGCGGGTGGGCGGGCAGGGTTCAGACCGCGGCTGCTAGAAGGAGATGGGGATTGTGACGATGAGGAGGGGGAGGAGAGTGTAGGAAGGCTGAGGAAACAAGATTTCAGTGCCATCTTTCCTGGCAGGGAAGATCTGTGGCGGGAACGTCGCCGGCTGGAAATCGCCGCTGAGGGGGATTGGATGGCGCAGGAGTTGTTGGAGAGGGATCAGAGAGTTGGGGCTGGGATGGTAGGGCTCACGAGGGGGATGGGGACGGGAAGGGGGGTGGTGAAGGGAAGAGAGCTTTGGGCTTGATTCTAGGGAAGGGGTGTTTGGGAGAAAGGGAGAAGCAAAGTGACGCGTTTATGAGACATGAGAGCTTGGGATATCACGGTTCACGAAAACACTCATACCTATACCCCACAAATCTTGGTGTACAGGTGTACAGGATGCCATTTTTTGCAAGATTATCGATATGTCCAGGGTTTGGGTTTTGGGAAAATGTTAAGTCTCAGCATGCATGGTTTTTCGGGCCCTCTTTTGTTCTATCGAAGGAAAGGAGGATTTTGCTCTCTCACATACAATGGAATGTATTTAGCGGGGCAACGGTTTTGGGATAGTAGTGAGTTGAGGTCAGGAAGTTCAAAGCATCATTATTATGGTCATGACAATGTCATTATTATCTCCCACCCACTCCCTGGCGCTTCCTGACTACCGACCAACCGACCAACCACTCGTCCAATCTACCTCCCTCCCCCCCCCCTTCTTCTGGATCCTTGCATCTTTGCATGGTATCACGCCACCCCCATATGCCTAATCCCATTCCAGCAGTGAAAAAGCCCGCCCGCTCGCTCGGTGTAGAAATATAAGTGGAAGTTTGGAGGGCGGGAAAGGGGCGGGAGAGGGGCAGCGATAGCGAACGATCAAGGTGAACGGGAAGAATAGGTACGGTGGCAGTGGAATTTGTTGAAATCAAATTTTTATCTCGATTAGACTTGGCTTCTTTGGGTCGGGTATTATGTAGTATGTATACAACCATAACAACATCGCCTCTCCACTCCACTCCAAAGCCTCGTCGCTCCTTTCACAAATACTCTTTACACTCATGAGGACTCTGGCTCTTCCCCAACTCCTCCTTTTACCGGTCGCAACTCCTCCATGGTAGGTTATATTGACTGACGTACGTTTCACACCTCATCTCTCACGCCCTCTCTCCCTTCTTCATTCACTTCATCCTCCCTCCCAAATAAATGCCCCGCACCCCACGCACTCTCCACCCCTAGCTCCCCCTCCTCTTTCCATACGTCGTCGCCCCACCCCAGAAACACTGACCTCGCCCCCGCCAGCTCCTTGATCCCCTCAATTGCATCCATCTGCTCGACCCGCCCTGGCACCGCCAAACCATTCGCTTTGCCACTCCGTGGCCACCCTGTCTCCAGATTCACGCCCCGAATGCCCCGCCTTACGTGTTCTTCGCAGAGGTTGTCGAGCTCGTCGAGTGCGGTGGAGACGTACGTCCCTGCGAGCGACGGCGGAACGGAGGCATGGAAGAAGGGGTGAATGTTGGAGGCTGGGACGTCGAGGACGGGGCAGAGCGTAGCGGCGTGTTTTTGGAGGGTTGCGAGCGCGTCGGTGGTCGTTACCGGGCCTTGATACCCAGCTTCTCGCAGAGTATTCCGGACAGAGATGAGCAGGTCCGCTAGCCGCGCCGGCGACATGATGTGAGAAGTCAGCAGCTCCTCGCCCAGCACGACCAGCTCGATCAACTCCCAATTATGGGGGTCTTCTTCGGCCCAAGAGACAAGTTCGCGGATCTGCTGCGCTAAGAGCTCGAGGTCGCCGCTCTCGTCTACGTGGATGCCCTGGATTAGACGGAGATTGTGTAGGCGCGCGGCCGAACCGACTTTTTGGAGGGCGAAGCAGTCGGTGCTGTGGAGGCGGATGGAACGGAAGCCTTTCCGGGCTATGGAGGCAATGTCGGAGCGGATGGAGAGGGCGGGCGCGCAGAGGGAATCTGGCGTGTACGGGAAGTAGACGATACCCCAGTGGGTACCTGTGGTGCCGAGGTGGAAGGATGGGGATGTATTGGGGGAGGAGGGTGTGGTGGGGTGGGAGGGGCCTGTGGGAGGGGAGTCATGGGAGGTGTGAGGAGGGCTTGTGGATGGCGATTGATGATTATGATCGCTGGCGATAGAGATTGGGTCAAGAGGGTATTGGTTCGGAGGTTGGTATATTAATTGGCCTGGATATGGCTCTTTCGCTTGGTGCTGTCCCGACTGGATGGTTGCGTAGCCAAGTCGTAGTAAAGCGATAGCTGTGGTGAAGATGAGGACCTTCTTCATGATGGATATTATGGTATTAAGCATTAATTTGATGTAGTCGTATGTTTATAGTAGAAGGGCGTTCAAATGTCGTTATTGTCGCATTCTCATGGCGCTCTTTGTCTCATACACGCCGCAAGGGCAGGCGTTTGAGGAATGAATGACGATGAAGAAGGAGCGAGGACAATTGGCCGGTGGATGTCAAAAGAGCGTCGCGCCATGTCAGGCGTAGTCAATGGCGAGAGAAGGAAGTCGCTATGAGCCCAGCCGTCTGTAGGATTTTTCGATTTCTCGGTCGCATTTTCATTTTGGCAGCCGTTGAGGTGACGCGGGGGGCCAAAGTCTAGAAAATTAGGACCTTGTGATTCGCCGAATGCGGAAGGTGTGGGAAGCTGGGCGACCCCAGACGAGGCACCGTCCACATGGCTGCTGCAGCGGGTCTTGGACTATCGCAGGCAGTCCATGCAGTAATTGGTGAGATCTCTGCACTTTCGACGGCACAGTCAATGGTGTGTTGAGGAAGCGAGACATCCTGCTGCTTGATGGAGTAGTTCGCAAGCCAAGTCCAAAGAGGTCAAGCGGGGGCTGACTCCAGCCCTAAATCTGGCGGAAATCTGGATCAGGTACGCCCGAGGGCCAACCTTCAGGAGAAAATTCTATCGTCGCCCCTGCATGTAGGTCTATGGTTCAAATAGTGAAGCCAACCATGCGATATTGTTTGGATTGGAATGATGCAGGGAATTGGGCCAGTCACGGTGGAGAAGTTCAGCTTGTTTAGTCCGCCCCCGAAAGTTCGAAAACTGGGAACTGGGGATAGAGAAAGATTGAGCCTCGAAATCGCCCTCGATTGCTTACTCCATCTATGTGCGTGATCTGTACCAAGGTGAAGATTTCTGAATGCATGTGCTATGCGGGAAGATATCCCGGCCAAGTGACGCTTCTAGAACTACTGAGAGACTCCACCAGGTAGAAATTCCTCAAAAGCCTCAGTCACCACCCTCCGGCAAGTTCATGTCCTCCTTGCAAGGCACAGCGCAACTGCGATTTATTAGCCCCCGTCTTCTTCAATCACAATAGGTGAACTCACTGATAGTCATCATACCCCTCCTTGGTTGACAAAACGCCCGTCCCCTCTCGCCCGTTATTGCAGAGATACTTCTTCCCACTTCCCTCCGTGTGCCCTGGATCGCCACTTTCAGCCACATCCAGCTCGAGCGCGACACTCGTTCCGTTCGCGAACACGCGATGGAATGTCAGGAATGGTCGGCAGACCCAACCCGCGGTGCCGTCATCGGTGCAGTCTTTGTGCCCATGGCCGCGCCATTCTATCCCCCAGTCACCGAGGATACTGTGAGCAGCGTATCAGCGCCAGCACATGATTCAGGGGAAAAAGGTAATGGTATGGAGGAAATTTTCGGGGCGAAGACACTTACTCATCATTGCTGTTGCCCAGGCCATTGCTGCCAGCAGGACACTCCTCATCCTCGAGGACCTTACCGCCGCCAGTGTTGCCTTCTGCCCCATACCCGCCGTCTTGGCCTTTGGGCCAGGCTTTCATCCAGCAGCGCTGTCAGGTGGGGTCTTGTTAGTGGTTGAAAGCAGATTGGCAGCAGGTAAAGGCAATGTATCGAAATACTTACACCCCAGTCCCCAAATTTCGTGTTCTTACTAGATGTGATCTCTACGCGGCACGTCTCTTTGCTTTTGTAGGGTTCGTCGCTCGCCATTGCACCGAACATGTCGTCTGCGACGGCGCCAGCGAAAGCACCGCCCTCGATGAGGGCGGGGAGTACATCGACGGTTAGTGCGACGACTAAGGGGATGATTCGCGGCTCTAGAGCTGATTCTGATAAATCAATGTTTGCTGGGGTGGGGCTGGCGAAGGTTTTGGTGCCGGCGAGAAGGGCGAGGAAGAGGAGGCGATCATTGGAGATATACATGGTCGTTGAAAAGGATTTGGGTTTTATTAGTTGGATGACTGGGGGCTTTTGAATGATTGATGGGACAAACAGGTGGTAGCTGGATGGTTTGCGAGGGTTGGATTTCGAGGTAGTGGAATTCCTCTTCCTTTTTAAAACAAGCAGTTAAGGAGCAGTATATAATAAGGAGCAGTGCATAATGAGACATGGTATCTGGTATGTTTTGACGTACTGAGCCACCACAACAGAGCACAAAACAACCTGAATCATCCTTTTTGACCCAAATGGCGCTGTGGCACAGCGTGCGATAAAGGCGGGTCCTGTAGACAATGTGCGCTTGATGGATGAAGTTGTAATTTATTGCTAAAATGTCTTTCGTTGCACCTGTCATCCATCATCTAGCTTAGCTGTCTGGGGTCAGCAGGCGGTCTTCAGGCTATGGTGTCTCGGTCTTCTAACGGGCTGTACATGTTTCAACCGCACCGCCAACCTTAAGCGAGAAGGATTCTATAGTTAATTTAGTACTTTCAATATGGCCGTAAGTGTTCTCAATCATGATTTCCCCTTTGATTAAGCAGAGTCTAACACAGCCCGGTGTGACGCAATTTGTTTACACACGTAGATGAAGAGATTGAAATTGTGCTTCACCTAGAAGAATGGTATTCATCAGGCGCAAGCAAGCGAGGCGGCGTGATGTCTGTCCCAATATCCGAAACACGACTGGGCTACCCTTTGCCATCGGTAGACTCAGGATTTTCATAGTCTGAAATATTCGGATGCAACTATCGCCAGGACACATATTTTTTGAATTCACATTTGAGTCTTGCTGAAATCAGGCCTGGACACGGATTGCGGAACATATAATCATACCTTAATCTCTTTCCATGCTGCTTCACAGGCACAAGAAGACAGAGATAATGAGCTGGACTGAAAGAGAGGTGTATGGGTGTATGATTGCAGTTGATCGATGCAAATTCCGTTTGCTCGCTAAGGCTGTTAAGTTTACGCTAACCTGCTTTCGGAAGAAGGTTGAAATTTACTCCTAGGTTTCCTTGGTTTTGTATTGAAGTACTGCTATGACTTTTGGATCTCTTCTTCAACGATTGCGCCAGAGATGAGCCTCGCACGCTCGTTGCAAAGATGCAAGATGCTGTTGGTCGTTTGACTGTGCCAGCTGCTGTTGCTTTGATTGCATTCTTATCGTACGGCTCGCAGCTTCTTTTCTTCTATATTGAGCCCAGGCCGCTGAACTCGTCACAATCTTATATCTTGAATCTCTTGGTGTGTTGTATCTGGGTCTCATACTATCGAGCTTGTACGGTCGATCCGGGTCATGTGGATCAACTATCAATACAAGGCATTGGAGCCTCAAGCGATAATGCTGATTTGGCGCGAAGTTGGTGTCGAAAGTGCGAGAGATGGAAGCCGCCAAGAGCCCATCATTGCAAAACCTGCTCTAGGTCTCTGTGATACCACTCCACTGGTCAATTGAGCTTACTGTCCACTCCAGGTGCATCCCAAAAATGGATCATCATTGCCCATGGACTATCAATTGCGTATCTCATCGAACATTTCCTCACTTTTTCCGCTTCTTGTTCTACTCTGTGATTGCCATGGTTCAAGTTGGTTACTTCTTGTTCTTGCGTGGCGCTTTCATATGGGAAGGGCGATACCGAGCCAGTGTATTTACTTTGACCTGACTTTCGACCAACCAGGCTAACAACGCATGGTAGTATCTTGGGCCAAGCACAATGCAAATCGCCTCTTTATTCATTTTATTCATAGCAAACTCGGTGACGCTATTTGGCGTGGGTATCTTACTTATTAGGAATATCTGGTCTATCGGTGCCAATGTAACGACGATTGAGGGCTGGGAAATTGAACGACACGAGACGCTAGTCTCCCGAGCCAAGAAGCAAGGCGGTCTCATCTACGGCCCAAATGGTAAACAAATCAGATTAAGTCAACAAGAATTTCCGTACGATATTGGTATCATGAAGAATGTGGCACAAAGTATGGGTCGGAATCCATTATTCTGGTTATTTCCGCTCGGGCCCACCCCATCCAATGAATCCGGGCTGTCGTTTGAGACCAATGGCTTTGACGGTATGAATGTGGCAAATTGAACATTGTATGACGTCTGACTGCTGCAGATCGTCCTTGGCCACCGCCAGACCCAGACAGGATATCAAAACGCGTTGTTCTTCCATCTTCAGAGGCTTTCACACGCGACGAGAACGAACATAATGCAGAGCAGCGAGTAACTGCATTCCGCAAAAGGCAACAGGCGGATTCCAGACGCTTGGAGAATGGCGCCAACGTGAGCAAGCGAGCTACAGATACACGCAAAGGATCCACATGGAAGGACTCCAATGGAGAACGACTTGATGATTTTGGCGTTGACGAAGCCTCAGACTTTGACGAGGACGATATACCCCTCCGCGAGCTCCTCCGACGACGCACAGGCCACGCGAGTTCGCCACCTTGAAGAATCGGCCTCCGCTAAATGACAATGTAGCCTGGCCTCACTCAACCGATTGGCTGCTATATCCGAAAGACTCGCGAGTCAGCAGGCCAGGCAACCAAAGGCGGAGGGATGCGGCGGCAAGCATCTCGATCTCCTTAGTTGGACCCCCTTCAACCTAGCCTACCGGGACAGCCCCATGGGGGCTTTCCGATCCCATGCCTGGGTCGTGCTTGATGGTCCACGAATGCCACGCGACCTGCAAGCTTATGCAGGTCATTCTGATGAAGCTATTCGTCGCTTCGGATCGTGAATAGAAACCGTGTAGCTGCAGGGGCACGTGACTTTTATGGGGACGACGTCTCATACACTGCCCTGGATTTTTGGGGCAATGGTAAGAGCGTTATTGCTCGCTCGGAGCCCACAAGGTGTCACTACTCATCCCTTACAGATCTCCACATCGACGTTGTGATAACGTAATCGCTCCGACTCTTCAAGGCTCCAATCGAGATTTGCCACATACAAAATCATCACCGATGGATACTTTGGTCCAAGCGGACCGAACATAGGTACCGGATTCAGGTACTTTGCTTAAGGAGCATTTCGTTTTGCAGCCGCATACTGACTGAGGACACTGGTTGGACACATGTGAGGCAGCTTGCCAAATGCCCTTCAATCTACCGTCCTCGTGACTGTCTTGGTTTTTGGCTCGGACCCCGAGGCTCTGCCAATGATGGGAGTCGTAAGAGTAAAGATCTTCGCCGAGTTGGACGTGGTTTGGGGAACTCGCCGAGCAGCAACAATAGTGGCGTTTAGTGCAGCCCCCACTGGTTAACCCAGCGGTCGTCCCCGCACCAACCCCCACGGACATTCAAAGTCAAGCACAGCCCAAGCGATCGTCCGCGTCCCCACGGTCCCACGTCCCTCACGGACCCTTTTTCCTGCTAATGTTGATTCCTCCAGATCCTTGGGCTCGAAAATCTGCAGCCACGCTCAAGGAAGTTGATTGCCGGTTTAAGCGTTGCTTGGATCCAGGAACGAGAGGACCCTGAAGTTTGCCACTCTATAAATCGCACTGCGAGTTGTTGGACGCGTTCTTCTGAAGCGGATGGCTTGGGACGGCGGGCATGTGGGCTTCTGACAATTGATAATGGTAATTGGCGGAAATCTCTCCGACCATTAGAGTTCCAGCTTCGCATGGCACATTCAGGTCAAGCTTCGCCGGGCTTGATTTCTGGTTGGCTCAACTCTTTGGGTCCCAGGACCAGGAGCTCGTGATGGAGGCGAGCCTCATAATTCCCGAGGAGCATGCGTCTCCGCATGACCCAACGCCCAGGATTGCCAGACCGTGCACATGCAGCTTGCGATGCAGTGCGGCCTGTGACTATGCAACGTCCTTCAACATTCGCACTTTCAACATGCTATTGTCACGTTGTAATACTGCTGCCATCTGGGTTATGTCACCATTCGGTCTAACGCCCGTTGCTGACGTCGGCTCCTGAAGGCGTCAAATATAACCCTATGAGGAACCGCGTGACCCCCACATCCGAGGACTGTATGTGTGCTCGGGCCTCCTTTAATGATCATCTAGATTGCTCGGAGCGATTACCTAAATGTGGAGTAGAGGTTATTCCCTCCCTACCGAAGTACTGATAGTCGTGATGCTTTTAAACACGCCGGGACCCAGGCTGCCTTTCCGTTATCTCTATAAAGCCAGCGTGCTCCGTCTAAACTCTGAGGCAATTCGTCAAGACTCTAATTCAACATCATGTCTCCTCACAAGACCGCATCTCCATTGACGAGCACCTTCCCTTCCGCTTTGGCTCATCACTCTCACTCTTCCAATCCAGCGAGCCCCGCGACCACGAATGAATCCATCTACTCGCAAACCCAATTCAGCTCTTCCGAAACCACATCTCTCTCCTCTATTGAGGATGCTCCTCCCACTATCAGAGCGCTGAGGCCTGGTATCTACGTGCCTACCGTGACATTCTTTCGAGCAGATAACGAAGACCTTGATCTGCCCACAATCGCAAAACATGCAGTCAGACTTGCACGGGCTGGTGTTGCGGGCATCACAACGCAAGGTTCCAACGGCGAGGCTGTGCATCTATCTCACCAAGAGAGGAAGCAAGTGACACAGACGACCCGCCAGGCGTTGAACGATGGAGGTTTTCACAATGTGCCGATTATTGTCGGGTGTGGAGCACAGTCAACTCGTGAAACCATCGAGCTCTGCAACGAAGCATTGACAAGCGGAGGAGACTATGCACTAGTCCTCCCGCCCTCCTACTTCAAGGCAATGCTCAATCAGGATTCGCTGCTTGACTTTTTCCGAGATGTGGCCGACGCGTCCCAAGTGCCCATTCTTATCTACAACTATCCGGCTGCTTCGGGCGGAATTGATTTCACATCAGACACTATCAGCATCCTAGCTAAGCATCCTAATATTGTCGGCTGCAAACTTACGTGTGGTAATACGGGGAAGCTGGCTCGCATTGCAGCGGCGACAGCAGCAGCTACGCCTACCGATCCAGGATCTGGCTTCATGTGCATGGGAGGCTCCACAGACTTCACACTTCAGACTCTAGCCGTTGGTGGCTCGGGTATTATTGGTGGAATGGCCAACATTGCACCCAAAGCGACCGTGAAGATTGTTGAATTATGGGCGAAAGGAAATCTAGCGGAGGCGCAAAAATTGCAAGCTGTGGTCGCTCGAGGCGACTGGGCAGCGATCTCCGGAGGCATTGTGGGAACCAAAAGCGCGTTGCAGACGTATTTCGGCTACGGTGGCTTTGGACGCAAACCACTCCCCAAGCCATCCACCAAAGAGGACTCAGCCTTTGCGAGCAGCTTCAAGGAGTTGGTGGATCTTGAAAAGACTTTCGACTGATAATTATGTTTGGGAGGCTATTGTGTTACTACTGCTTGCGGTTCAGATTTTGCGGAGCGTGTTCTCGACAATGTACGGTGTATGGAGTGCGCAAATGGAAAAGCAAAGGAGGCGCTGAAGGCTGGAAGACGGGCGTCTGGCACTTGGCCCAAAAGTTCCTAGCAAGTAGCTAGCGTACAAGAGAAGTAGTAGACAATAAAGCTCAACTAATCGATTCAATAACTACAACCCAGTATGAAAAGACTTCAATACTTTGCTTCCTCCTCATTCAAGTATAATTCTAAGCGAAGTATTCAAAAATGAGCTCTCATTGGTGAGTGTGACAACGCTAAAGTAGATTACGTATTACGTACCTCGGCGCTATCCCTATCGTGAGCATGAGACATCTTTTCAACTTCAAATCATATCCCACTATTCGTGCTATTTCGAGCATTTTCAATTAGTCGCCTCCTTCTTGGTCTTTCGTTCAGCTGTCCGTCAGGTCAAACTCTCTCCTGAATACGCCCAAGTGTCCAATGAAATCGAATTTGATCTTATATCGCACACTTACACCGCAATGAAATACCCATGCTACAACGGCCTCATCATTCCAATGGCTTGATAGCTCACGCAACGTCGAACCAACCCAAGCGGCGCCTCTCAGACGACATTCCCTCCTTTCTCGGAACATATGTCCCTACTTTCACTGACCATGACCGGCGGCGCGCCACATCCTCTTCAAGGCCTGCAGAGACCGAATGGGATTGTTTTTGGGCCCAGTTCAAAAGACATACCTACAACAGCATCTGCTACATCGCTAGCTGCACGATTGGTCTACTCTACTTCACGATGACAAGTCTCAAGGACTTATTCTCCCATGCCCGCAATTGGCGACTCAGAGATCTCCTCTCCCTCCGCCTTCTTCTCATAATCCTCTGGCTACCCCTGCTTCGCTGGGGCGAGCTTACCACTTTCTCCTCATCTGTAGTACGATGCGATTGGGGGACATGGGAGAAATGGCCTTCGGGTGCCGCGCCTCACCGAGTTGTTCTGGTTGCAGATCCGCAACTTGTGGATCCTCATACCTATCCGGGTCGTCCCTGGCCACTCTCCTCTCTGACTGTCAAATACACCGACTTGTATCTACGAAAAGGGTTTGGACTTATAATGGAGCAGCTCCAACCAGATAGCGTGTTCTTCCTCGGGGATTTGTTCGACGGTGGGCGGGAATGGAGCCCACCAGATTTGGAAAGGGATCCCAGAATCGAAAGGAGGTGGAGAAAATACGGTCAGAAATTATGGATGCGGGAGTATAGGAGATTTGGAGAACTCTTTACGGATCAGTTCTTTGCTAGCAGACAGGCTGTGCAAACACAGGGGAGGTTTGTGGCCAGCCTGCCGGGCAATCACGATTTAGGCCTCGGAAAAGGCATTAGGATTCCCGTTAGAGAGCGATTCTATGCCTACTTTGGCGAGGGAAATAGAATCGATATCGTCGGCAATTACAGCTTTATCGGCATCGACTCTGTTTCTCTGAGCGCAAAAGGCCAGCCAGACCCAGCTACTGGCGTCACAGCGGACACCGAGTCTGGAAATACGATTTGGGAATCTACTGAGCAATTCCTTCGCGAAGCCTCCTCAATCAAATCCCAAGCGGTAGCCAGGTACTTGCGCACCCAAAACGGCGGGCCTGAGAACGACCCCTTAGACACAGCTGTTTACGGCCTGGAAGATCCTCGAGCAAGGGATATCAGACCCGCAACCCATGTCGACGCAGACGTCCCCTCCATTCTTCTCACACACATCCCCCTCTACAGATCCGCCGGCACCCCCTGTGGTCCCCTACGCGAGCGTCACCCCCCTTCAAAACTCCTCACCGGCGCCGCCGAAGAGAAAGACGACGCGAACGCCCTCCTCCTCCAAACTGGCAACCAATACCAGAACGTCCTCACTGCCCCCGTCTCCGACGAAATCATCGACCTCGTCCCGGACATCGTCCACGTCTTCTCAGGCGACGACCACGACTACTGCGACGTCCTGCACCGGCAATATACCTCCCGTGGCGGCGGCATCCGCGAAATCACAGTCAAGTCGATCTCGTGGGCGATGGGGATCCGCAAGCCGGGCTTTCTGATGCTGAGTTTGTGGAACCCGCTCGATGCCGAGGGCAAGGCTATCACTACCGAGACGGTGAGTCCGAGGAAACCGACGCTGCAGACACACCTGTGTTTGCTGCCTGATCAGCTGGGCATTTTCGTCAAATATGCATGGATGTTCGCGATTACGGTTGTGGCGCTGCTTGTGAGGTCCGTCAGGGCTGTGAAGGCGCGGCCGGTGATTAAGGGAACTGCTGGCTTGGGATTGGGCGGGCTTGGGGTTGGGGGGGCGCTTTGCCATTGATGTTGAGACCGAGGGGAAAGGAGGATCCGCCGCCATCGTCACTGTACGGATTGGATTTCTCGAGTGCGAGCGCGACCAGTAATGGATTGGCGCCTAGGGCGGTGGGTGGGAAGTCGAGAACTGCGAGTCCGGCAAAGGGTGGGGGGTATGGGTATGTACCTGGTGACGAGGATGCGGAGAGAGGGAGGGACAAGGGCAGGGGATGGCAGGATATCGATCTTAATGGCAGCAGTAGTGGGTATGGTCCTCGGGGGGTGAAGGCTGTTATGGAGGAATGGAGACGTAGTGTTTTACTTGTTGGGGTGCCAGTAGCGGCCTGTTATCTGTACTTATTATGGACGAGCTGATGAAGAGAGGGGGAAAGGAGGAGGAAAGACGCGGGGAATGAGATGTATATAGGTATGGGTATACGGGGCTAATGATACATGATTTGAAAGTGAGCAGGCCCATCGCTGTGATTTTTGGATCTGGCCTGCGCCTGCTTTGATTTGGACGTTTCGAGAGTAAACTGATCAAATATTGAACCTACCCATGCTAGAAAGTTACATTCATGGCCTTGACCTCATGATGACCTCTGATGGTGAAAATCAGGAACGAAGCTGTGCGTGCTCAATTGTCTACAGAGGTCAAAATTTGTGTTCTCATTCATTCTATCCCCCTATTTAGGTTCCTCCTCACCCCCAGGAAAAATATATCTGGTCATTTCAATCATGAATCGAAAATTTCGTTGAGTTATAATCTAAGGAAACCCTAATTGGTCTGCACGATGAAATACTGTCGTGTATCATTGGCATCGCCCGGTATGTATAACCGGCAGAGTGCTGACACTGTCAAGCCCGGCCTTTTCCGTCTTGCTTTGGTGATCAGAGAGTTCGCATGTCAGCACAGTGATCCACCCCGCCAGAAATGAGTCGTTGCCACCATTTGCGATAATGACGATGGTCATTACTAGCCCTCTATGTCTCAACAATAATCCCTTGCTTCTTTACCACCTCTCCCTCTTCACGGTCGATCTCCGCCAGCGCCATGTACCTCACATACCCACCCCTCACCTTACACCTAACCACCCGGCACCCCGTCCTCACCCGTCCCGCCCACTCCTCCCTCGCCTCCCCCATCGCCACAACACCCCCACGCATCTCTTTCTTCCATGCCCTGAGTCCCCCCAGCTTCCACAACGCCAACCACATCGCCCCACTGATACAAAACCACACATCTCTCGAATACAATCTCGGCGCCGAATGCCTATCGATGATCCCCTTCCCTGCCCTACCTGCTCCACCCATCCAAGCTTTCACAACATATCGCGCACCCACCTCCCCAAACCCCACAACCTGCCCCGCCAGCATACTAAGCAAATACGTGGCCTGCAAGAACCGGTAATTCTCGAAGCAGGGCTCGTGGCAGAAGGGCGTGAAGACGTTGAAACCGTAGGGGTAAGGGGTTACGCAGCTGATTACGAGGATTAGGATGCTGATTTGCGTTGTGTTGATGATGTAAGAGAGGGTGGAGGGGGAGAGGAGAGTCGGGTTGACGTGGTGGGTGGAGCGGGCGAGTTGGTCGATGGTGAGGGTGAAGAGGAGGAGGAGGAGGGTTAGGAGGAAGAAGTGTTTGCTTCGGAGGGCTTGAGGGGTTTTTGGGGTGAGGGGGTTGAGGGGTGGGGAGAGTGGGCCGGAGGGAGGAGGGGACATTGTGGTGGGCTTTTCGCTGATGGTCAGGTTGTCCATTGTGGTGGTCTCCATTTGGTGTAGAAGTTGACCTTCTGTAGGGAATTGAGGAAATGGAAGAGAAAGTGGGGTGGTTCACTGGCGAGGCTGAAGTTCCCAGTTTTGCTCACCGATTATCGAGCCCTGAGTATTGAGTTTTCTGCCATCGTTGGTCGCCGTAAAGAGGGTATCGATTAAGGTTTTGGTAGGAGCTGGTGCGGCACCTACGTCAATTCTAGACCCTCTAATGCTCCGGACAGTAGCTAATGAGCATCCAGTGTATCAAGAGACCGCTATATCGGACGACAATACCGTTACACTGAAGCAGTCAGCGTGTTGACCATAGTATTCACTTCATAGCTAGGTCTTCGACGAGGCAGGCCTATGAAAACCGCGCTACTCCAGACGAGAAACTAGCGGATTGGTCATCAAGTCGTCCATTCCAATGGGCCTTCATATCGATACAAATCCCTTTGAGGAAACGCTGATGTCTCGGACGCGCTGAGAATTTCAAGAGCGATTGACAGAGTGCGATGTCTAGTCATAACCCAAACGAATTGCTACGGACTACTTCAAACGAACGTGCAGAATTATCATCCTTCCCGACTCTCAAGCAATCCCTCTCTGCTTCCACATTCCATCACAATGGCGGTGTCGGTCGCCAGAAAAGCCCTGCGAAGAGTCGCAGTAAATCGCCAGCCTCATATCTGCGCCGTGAAGCCGCAAGGGATGACCATCCCCTGCGGAAGACCTCCAGCGGAACCCTTTCTCCCTTGAATATCGACATTCCTAAGATACCACGAGCGACAGAGGCCGCTTTTGCCGCCATTAAATATCTGCCGACGCCTCTGCTAGTCTTATCTAGCTTGAAGACTGTGATACTCGCAAATGAGGCAATGGGTCGTTTGATGGGGCTGGAGGGTGGGCATGGTGGGTCAGATGAAGAGGATAGCACCACCGACGACGAGAAACCGAATGTACAGATGCTTCGAGGGCAGTCGTTGTCACAGCTCGGCATTGATATGGTGCAAGACGGACACCAGGTGTGGGTTAGCTGGGAAAAGTTCTTAGACAGCCTAACGGAGGACGTCGGGCACAAAGATCAATCCCAAATCGATGAGAATGAGCGTCCTGCCACTTCAGATACTAGCAAAAGTGCTTCTACGGTACCTTCAAAACCTACAAACTCGACGCAGGCAAAGAGGCATTACAAGAAGGGTCCGTCAAAAACGAGGAGTCGAGAAGTAGCTCATGACATTATCGTCAACGTTTCTATGTCTTCTCAAAATCACGAGGCAGGCAATAACTCAACCGCAAGAAGCAACAAATCTTCAAATTCTGATCACCAGGTCTGCGCCCGAATGACCGTCTCCATCTGGACTCTCGACAATCAAATCTACTTCACCCTGACCTTTACATATGCCTCGGGTGCAAGCTTTACCGCTAGAAAACTTGGGCATTCACGAACTCCCTCAAGAGCTGCAACCCTTTCGCCCTCTACACGATCAAATCCTTCCTCTCCCGGCAGTCCCAGTGTCTGCTCGAAATGTGGCATGGTGCCGGCCACTCCGCCTGCGACTGCAACATCACCCCATGGACAGCCATCGCCAATCGCTCCATTTCCTCCGATGGGTCCTCCAAGTAAAGCTGATCTATCGGCCGCACCAGCTATATTGCACAAATTGTCCCGCATGAAAGACGCCATAATCAACTCAATGGATATTCCTCTCATTGCAATGTGGAGGGATGAAAGTATATCGATTCCTAACAAGGCTGCCTACAAATTGATGTATCAGAAGTGTGATCCAACGAGTGAAGACGCCTATGATACAATCTCACGCTTCAAGATGTTTGACGCCGACTTCGAGAAAGAGTTGGAGCCGGATGATTTCCCAATCGTTAAGCTCTGTCGTACGCAAAAACCTTTTAATAGCTGGAAGATAGGAACACTAAAGGATGACGGAGAGCGAAGCACATATGAAGTCAGTGGGGAGGGGATTTACGACGAGAAGACAGGAGAATTCCTCGGGGGCATTATCGCTTTCAAGGACGTGACGAAATATGACGAGATCATCAAAACTCAGAACGAAGAAAATGACAAGCAGTTCGAGCTGATATGCGACACGATGCCTCAAATGCTTTGGACAACAATTCCGACAGGTGAGCATGATTGGTTTTCTAGGCGATGGTACGATTATACGGGCTTGACTGAAGAGATGTCGCTTGGTGATGGCTGGCAACATCCTTTTCACCCTCAGGATGTGCCCGAGGCACGGAAGCGGTGGGCTCATTCTCTTGCGACTGGAGATGAGTACAGAACGGAATATCGTTGCCAGAGCCGTGCTGGAGAATGGCGTTGGATGCTTGGTCGAGCGATGCCCCTCCGAGATACCAAGAGCGGTACAATCCAGAAATGGTTCGGTTCTTGCACTGACATCCACGACGTAGTAGAAGCACGTAGCGCTGCTAAGGAATTACGTGAGCAACTGCTCTACGTCATCAAACATGCTAAGGTCGCTGTTTGGGCGATTGATGCTCACCGAACCATTACATTCCTTGAGGGTAAGATGTTATGGGAAGCCGAGGGGGAAGAGGCAAAGGCTTCGGAAAGCAAAGGACGTGACATCTATGAGATCTTCAAGGAGAATGAAAAGAGCGACCCGGGGCTTTCTATGTACATGGGAGCGATGGAGAGGATTTTCAGCGGTGACGTCAAGGAGCAAGACGTCGAGCATTATATCCCACAAAGGCAGCGATGGTGCCGGACTCGGTTCATACCCATCACCAAGGACAAGGATACAGGGCGACAGAAAGATAGAGGTACCGTCAAGGGTGTGATCGGCGTCAGCATCGATGTGACCGACATGAAGGATGCTGATATTGCTCTTGAGAAGCAAAACAAAGAGAATATAAGGCTCCTTTCGGCAGAGACCGCAGCAAAAGAGGCATCAAAATTGAAAAGTCAGTTTCTTGCAAACATGTCGCACGAAATCCGCACACCTATCGCTGGTGTCATTGGGATGTCAGACCTGCTTCTCGATACTAAACTGGACAGAGAACAAAGAGAATTCACCGAAAATATACAGAGATCTACAAATGGCCTTCTGACAGTAATCAATGACATCTTGGATTTGTCAAAAGTGGAGTCCGGTAGACTGGACATCGAAGAGGTTCATTTCAGCCTGAGCGTTGTGATAAAGGATGTGTGCAAAATGCTCTCCTTTGCTGCCGAGCGAAAGAATTTAGACTTTAAAAGTGATGTTCAACTTGGACAAGAAAACGATCTTGTTGTGATGGGAGATCCTGGACGAGTCCGGCAAATTATAACTAATCTACTGACTAATAGCATCAAGTTTACATCTGAAGGTTCAGTCAAGCTTTCTGTGAAGAAGAAAGAAGAGAACAGCGAGAGCATATCTGTGGTCTTTTCCGTGGAAGACACTGGGATAGGCATAGAAGAAAGTGTCAGACAGCGTCTGTTCAAGCCTTTCAGCCAAGCTGACTCAAGCACTGCACGGCGATTTGGAGGGACTGGTCTTGGTTTGACCATTTGTAAGAATGTAAGACGCACCGACTTCGACTCGCAATACATCAATACTGACCAAGCTAGTTGGTCGAGCTCATGCGTGGAGAAATCACACTGGATTCTGAACTTGGTCATGGTACGAAAGCAACCTTCTGGATCCCCTTCAACAAGCCACAATTCCCATCAAGAGAGTCTCCGCTTGTTCAGGTCGGCTCAGTCCCAGATCGGCTACATTCGGAAATGTCTATGTCTGGATGCGCATCAGAGATTCGGAGTTCAGATGGCACTCCACCCATGAGCCCTGCACCTGATTCAGCCAGGGTTCCACGCGGTTTCCGAAAGTCTTCCCACTCGAGGACAGGTAGCATGAACTCGCCCTTCTCAAGCGAGGAAGCTCTGCCAGAGATTGATCGCGGGAAGGTACATGTCTTAGTCGTGGAAGACAAGTGAGTCTCTCCGTCTAATTTGCGAGTGAGTGCTGATATGTTACAGCGCCATCAATCAACAAATAGCAACCAAGACCATCAAGAAATTCGGCTTCTCTGTCAATGCAGTATGGAATGGTCAAGAGGCGCTCGATTATCTAGTGGCAGAAGCTTCTCCCACTCATCCGAAGCCGGATATTGTCCTCATGGACGTGCAAATGCCTATCCTTGACGGCTACAGAGCGACGCATTTCATTCGACATCATAGCCCATATACTACTTTCCCAACAATCCGCAACCTTCCCATCGTTGCAATGACCGCCTCAGCAATTCAAGGCGACAGAGAGAAATGTCAAAGAGCCGGAATGGATGACTACCTTGCCAAGCCGGTCAAGGGCAAAGCGCTCGAGAACATGCTACTCAAGTGGGCCATCGAAGGCAAGCGTGAGGGACGGATAAATGCGACTCACGCCCACCATAAGACCGATCACGATAGCAATTGTAATGACAGCTTCTCTACCCCATCATCCCAACCGGGCAGCATCGATAATGTTCCTACGAAGCCCCTCGAGAGGGTGCTGCCCAAATTTACCGACAAGCCACCTCAGACGGAACCATTAAACGACAGCACGCTCCTGGCTTCAGGAACACAAGACGACAGAGACAGACATCAAGTCGAAGCCGAGGAAAAAGCTACCTCCCTCCGAGACGAAAAGCTCCTTGCGGCGTCAGCGTCCCACCCGCATCAATATCCTCTCACCTCTCCTCCCGGCCCAACACCGATTGCAAACCCAGACAACTCCCTGTCCGCACTCACAAAAGAGAACATGAGCCGCCTCGACAAACAGCACCGCGATGACGCTACTTCCTCACGCCAGCACGGTAGCAACCTGAAACTTCCTGCTAATGATGGCGAGGCCGTCGCATCGGGCCGCAGCAGTCTCGATGTTCAAGGCAGAGATAGCAGCGACTTGGAACGCGATAGTACATTGGGCAGTATGCGTGGCCCATCCGCGAGGGATGCGATGAGAGGTTGGTTGTCGAGACATGAGAGTGAGACTACTGTGACGCCTAGCGACAACCAGAGGAACAGAGATGCCAGTGATGGGGATTCGTGAAGTAGTGTCGGACAGTAGGGTGGTACGACTGGTTACGAGCGCACGAGTCTTCCGAGGTGCATGCATGTATCGGCGATGGTTCATGGCCGGGATGGGGTATCATCGCATCAGCGTGGAACTTGAGGAGCATTCGTTCTTTATACGAGCAAGTAGACAGTATTATCAGAGCGCCGGCGTCATAAGATCGACAGTGGGGCCTAGTAGCTGGGGCTGAATAGAGGACGTCAACGTACGAGAAGGAGAGGGTTACAGGACAGGAAAAAGTTCTCCTTGACGTGAGTGAGCGAGGGTTATACGATAAAGTACGAAATATGTATTATAGACAGCATAGCCAGCCTTCGGCGACCATCAATAGCCTACTTGGTTGTATGTCCATATGCGCCTGCTTTTAAGTGCCTCAAGAATCCACATGTCGACCTTTACAGCATCTGCATTTAGAAATCAATTGATCATACACGATTCTGATGCATTTATTTCTGCCATTCCTACATCATTCGGCTAATCTTTTATTCTTGTGTCCACCTGCAAGCCACATATGCTCAGTAATCAATCATCTTCATCCCGACGCTTCCGCCCTCCCATACCTACCTAACTACCTACCTACCAGAGAAACCCCCCCCTCATTCCTAGTGATCAACCACCACCAGCCTCATATAGTCCCATATCCGTAGCCTGCAACTCAAATTCTCCCTTGTTGAAAAGATAAAAAGTTCTCAAAGTTTAAATCACTTCCCCCTTCACTCTATCAACTCAAGCAATGGCACCACCCACTCCCCCTTCACCCTCGCCACCGCCCACGAAAAAGTCAAGAAAGCCCAAGCGCTATGGAATACCCGCGATCCGGAGCAGGTCGTCAAGGGGTACACGCCCGACTGTATCTGGAGGAACAGAGATGTGTTTGTGCGAGGGCATGAGGAAATCAAGGGGTTTTTGGCGCGGAAGTGGGGGAGGGAGGTGGGTTATAGGTGAGATACCTCTTGTCTTGCTTGCTTTGCTTGTGTGTGTTGTTTTTGGTGTTGGTGCTCTGGGATTTTGGACATTTCTATATCTTTATAGAAAAAGATGGTAGCGTGTGCGCCTCTTTCTTTTCTTTAAGAACAGGGGAAGAGGGGAAAGGGGGGATGATATATCTGACATAAAAGCCCAGGTTGAGAAAAGAGCTTTTCTCCTTCACGACCGACAAGATAGCCGTGCAATTCTTCTACGAATACCAAGACGCCCACGATGGCATGAAGTGGAAGAGGTGTTATGGGCTGGAACACTGGGTTTTTGACCAGCAGGGCGTTATGGTGAGGAGGATGATGAGTGGGAATGATGTGGTGATTGGGGAGGACGGGGATGGGAGGGGCCGGTGGTTTGGTGGAGGGGAGGGGAATGGGGAGGGGGTAGATGTGAATGCGTTGGTGGATGCGGTGGAGATTCCTGATGGGCATGGGAGTTTTTGAAGGTGAAGGGGGATAGAGAGGGAAAGTAAAGTCATGCAAATAATATTAGAGATGAGATGGACGGAGACTGAACACAGAAGAATCAACCTTCTAACCGGCCAGATACATGTAGATATCCTAATCCTGAGTCGTATCATACATGGTAAAGTATAGAAGTACTACAGCCACTTTTCAGGCCAAGAGAGCCGCACATCCCGTCTGTAGAAAACGTCCCACAACCCTGCCGATGCTATGCTGCAGAATGAAAGATTGAATGCAAGGCGATTTATTATGCTGTCCCACCCATCAGAGTGTCCTCACTACTATTCTGCCTTCTCCCCGCCGCTTCACCCTGGTCGCCTCTCACCGTCTCCGAGGAACTATGCTCACCATGCAACCATCTCTGGAAGTCGTCCTTAGTCTTCTGGATGTCTTCGTCTTTGAGCTCACTCATCCACTTATTCCGTTCTTTGTTCTCGAACAAATCCGACAAGCCTTCTTTCCGCTTCTGGTGAGCTTCCTCGTAGGCGCTCGACCCTCGTTTCCGAGATTGTGGCGACTGAAGCCACCAATCGTAGGTGTAGGGATCGTAAAGGAGATGGTAGTTGTTTGGAGAGATACGAATAACGAGGCCGTCGTAGCTCGACATGGGCAGGGGGAATGCTTTGACTTCTCCGCCATCCTCGCCTGCATTGCCCTTCTTGGCGCCGGCGGCAAAAGGTCGGTTGCGCCGGAGGTACGGGAAGGACATTTTCTTCAAAGGGACGCTTTCGGTGTGATCAAGCATTGAGTATGTTGAGACATAGTAAGACCAGCGAGCTGATGCAGCTAACTCGTCGGCCTCATAAGTCTTATCGTCCTTCTTGAAGATCTGGACGTAGGCTGTTTGCGTAGGTCGATTCTAAGTAATGTCAGCAGCTGAACAGCGATGAGCCACAGACTCAACTCACGTAGCGGATGCGGAAGATGTCACCGTCTCTGCCAAACTTCTCCACTTGCTTCCGGTACGTCAGTTCGTTTTGATGTGTCGTCTCATCCTCTTTTCGGTCTTTGTAGAAAAGGTTGATAATGTCCAAACTTTTGTCCTTGTTGTCGCTTACGAGAATTAGCAGCGCAAAGCGCAATATTGATGCGCACATTTTGTCAAAGGTGAAGAGTTGCCAGCCGTCATGCATGTAATAGCGCCGTAGCATATCTTCAAGCTGGTTTGAATCGACTTCTGACTTGATCACCTCCTCGCAAATCTGAACAGTCTGCTTGTAATAGTTGGCCGTAGAGGACACATCAGCGAAATAATCGGTGGGAATCTTATCAAACAGGCCAAGCTTGTGAGCAGGCTTCTGCATCATGGCGTTTCTGACGTCCGTGTGCACCTTGTGTTCCAGGGCCTTGATATGTTGAAGCCGCTCGTACAAGCCTTGAAACATTCGAAAGAAGCAGTAGATGTTCGAGGTTGCGTAGAGATGAAAATCATCTCGTCTGAAGGGGACATTCAAGTCGGCTTCACTTCCACTGACTGGATGGGACATCCAACGATGCTCAGAAGGGTCTGGCCGGGGCTGATCTGTGGGCGTGCCTGCTGATGCCGGAGTATCCTCATCGTTAGATTGTACATCAGGTGTTGTCACACCACTTCGATCTGCGGCCTCGCCTCGACCTGACTTTCTCTCCAGGACGCCTCTTCGCAAATCTTGCTTCTTGCCATTAGGTCCACGACGGCCACGTACTCCATTTGATTCGCCGTCCGTATTCGCTTCGTCATCATCCATCTCTTCGTTCGGCGGAGTGGCGTCTTCGATATCGTTCATCCTTTCTTCAAAGGCCTCTCTATCGACGTCGAAGAAAGTCGGGATGAACGTCTTGATAAAGCTATCGAGTCGCAACTTGTCTGCCTCGTTCGCAGGGTACGAGACGTGCAGACAAGTAAGTAGGAGATGGCAGGCATCGTAAAGAACCTCGAAATCATTGAATCCATACTTGAACTGATATCTCGGCACCTGAGTCCACGGAATCAAGCGTTGGCGACGCTGTTCTTCGTATTTGGCGTGGATCTCGTTATGAAGTGTCTTTGGTTGGAATTGACGTTTGTCCGATGACTTAACGGTGATTCCCTGATGATCAAGACTCTTCCAGAAGATACGGTTTGTTTGCTCGCGCCAAACTTTCTCCCATTCCCGCTGTATCACGATTAGCTACTTTCATAGCTTCATTGTCAGCACTACATACCTGGCTGGCTTTCCATTCCTCGACTTTTTGTTTCAAACGACCCAGAAGTATAGGAATGACGGCATTTGGTCGCTTGAACATATCTTCGATGACTTTACCACCGCGCTCACGGTCATAAATTTTCTTAATAACCCGACGATAGATGGTCTCACTTTGACTACCGATACCCGGAGGCAGTTCATACTTGTACCTCTCGTCATCTGTCATAAGTTTCAGCTGTTGCGCTATTGGCTCGAGAAGCTGTATTGTCCGAAGGCAGGCCTCAATATTGATATCGTAGTCATGACGTTCTTCTTCGATCTTATGCAGCGCCTCTTCATATAGATTCTTCCGGTGCGCGATAAATCCTGACTCCTCAGAGGCCCAAGTCGGATGTGATACCCATTCATCGTTCAGCACTGAGTTGCACATTTCGTCGCGGCCGCTGCAAGATCGTAGCCGCTCTCGTCTTGGGAGGAGGCGATAACTAGGCCCCAGACCACGGCAATTGCTCAGAACAACCTTTCCACTAGGAATTCTCTGGGTGTTCAGGACAACGTGATCTCGGCCTTCATAGTTAAGCCACCTCTTGAACCAAGACATCAAGTCTATGTTGCTACCGATAAAATTATAAGTCTTGTGTACGAGAGTATCTTTGTCAATAATCTCTTGGTTGAAGAGATTGCAGAGTTTGAGGAACTCGTTGAATGTCTGACGGTTGCCGAGGAACTTCTTGACTCTCTCAAAAAACGAGATGCCCTCTTGCATGTTGCTCTCATCTTCCGAAGGCTTCAATGGAGTCGGAAGACTTGGAACGAGAGTCGGCGAAACAGGGACAACGTCAGCTACCGGGGGCTTTGCTTGCTCTGCCTTTGAACGCTATTGGTGCATAGTCAGTGACCCTCTAAGTGAAGAAATTGAGGGCGGCTTCAACGTTCCAAAAGCTTGACTTACCTTGTTGCCATTCACATTGCGCTGGTTTCGGCTATTTGATACAGCACTCACATCCGGAGCAGCTACACTACCCGTCATTTGCGAACCGGCTCCACCACGACGTTTCTTGTTGTCTTTGCCAACAGATGGTGGCGCAAAGGTCCCCATAGGTGGAAACTTGTAGTCTCCAGCAGGGCGAGGGGTAGAGACCTGGGCTCGTGGGGCACCAGCGCTGTATTCATTCCCACCTCGCATGTTGCTGGTGGGCACAGAGTCTTCTGCATGCTTTGTAGCGGCTTGCGCCTGAGCTTTGGCTTGTGCCGCTGATTCTGGAAGAAACTGCTTGAAGTCTTCCAAAAGATCTTGCGCCGAGCTGAATAATTGTGTGACTTGCGCATAGACATCACCAATGGGCTTGGACTCGCGCTGATACGTCTGTAGTATCTCGAGGAAATTCTTGTAGATATCAGGTTGGCTCGCGAATCGGTTCTGGTTCAATTAGCTACAGGAAGATCGGCTTCAAGGTCACACAGCCTACCTTGATTTTGTTGACGTAGCCGATAGCATGGTTGAACTCGACTGGCCCACGCTTATCACCACCCAGAAGGTGCTGGTTTGCACCCAGTCCGTTTGATAAACCTCGCACGTCTGCTTGGACCGCGTCATCGTACCCTTCTCCAGCATCTTCTAATGTCTGCGGCTGGCCAGGGAACAGGTTTGCACCCGGCTGCTGAGTGGCGGCGAATAAGGCATTCTCACTTTGTTCGAGCTCTTGCTGCTGTATAGGGCCCCACTCAGAACGCTGAGGGCCATCAGAATAGTCAGCTGCACGTCCATCTCCTGCATTGACTCGATTGACCATAATACCATTCGGAGGACCAGGCATTTGCGATACTGACATGCCTCCCATAGGCGTTGTCACACGTATGACGTTTGGATCATTATCGAGTCCACATTCAATCTTGTATCCAGGAGGTAAGAATGTATTGAATCCAGAGATGAGTTCTGGATTTCCATTGAAAAGGCCCGAAACTCGATCTATGACCCCTGGCGTGTCAATAACTTGGCTCTTGAAGTCTTTCATGATATCGAGAAAGTGGTTGTAGACATCTGGTTGCTCTTGAAATCTCACTTTCACCTGGTCAAGATATGTCAAGGCATCATTGAGAATAGGCTGCTGCTGCTGCTGTTGGCCCATCGGTAGGACGCCATTCGTTTGCTGCGGAGCCGCAGCTTGTGTCAGATGTATAAGCTGTTGCTGAGGAGCCATATTCGGAGGGACTTGGGGGGCGAAGTGCCTGGCACCATTTTCGACACTTTGAGCGCTCCCACTGAATACATTGCCAGGCCCACTGGGAGCTCCTAAAGGTTGAGAAGGTTGAGCATGAGGGCTGGTGATATGCTGTTCATTCAAAATACCATTCGGGCCATGGAGAGTAGCAGGGACTCTTGACGCGACCGGCTGTTGTAAGGGGATTGTACCAGCGTGATTTTCTCGTGGGGAATGAAGCTGGTCCCGTTGTTGATATTCACGTTGTTGCTGCTCTCGGGCCTGCATTTCTCGTATCTGTCTCTCGTGCTGTTGAGAGATCAGCTCTGCCTCCTGCTGATCGTACCGGGCTTGTGCCATCTCTTGTTGACGTAGCCGTTCTTGCTGCTCGCGTTCCATCATGTCCCGATCTGCTTGCAGAGTCGGCCGTGGTGACTGTTGCGACATAGAAGGACCAAGAGCGGGCAGCGGGTAGTGTTGCTGTGAGGGCGGAGGAGGAAGGCTGGTCGGAGAGTGTTGCTGAAGTGAGGGAGGAGGAGCGCTCCGAATGGATTGAGCAGACTGTAAGGGCGACGCCTGAGGGGGCAAGTTTTGAGGATTGGGTAAGGCATGGTGACCGTTGGGCTGGTTGGTGAAGAAAGATGCTAAGAGCAGTCAGTCACAAAGATTCATGGAATGTAAGTCGTTCGACTGACTGGGCTGTTGTGGCATTGACGGGCCATTCATCTGATGTTGAGGTGGTCGTTGTAAAGGGGGAGCTGGTCTGTGTCAAGGGTGTCAGTAGAGACTTTTCTTCAGCTTCGTGTCTCAAGTGTATGTGGCCTACCCAAATGAGCCAGGGGGTCTCTGTTGTATGGAGTGTTGCTCAGTGTTGGGTGGAGGCGGTCCCGGGCCACCTGGTGGCCACGCATTGGGGTTGTGCGAGTTCATGGTAAGAAGCCTTGAGCTTGCTGATCACACAACGTCAGTGGTCATTTGAGATGAGTGAGATCAGCTACCTGAGAAGGATGTATACCTCAAGTCTGTTACATTAATTGAAGATCAAGCTGTTCAACCCGGACTCTTCACACCGCGCAGGTGCGATAATCGCAACACAGCAGTGCGCAGCGTGAGTATGGTTGCTGGATTGCAATTCCGCAATAGAACTCAGTGGCGTGAGCTTGCGCGGGGCACACAAATATCTGTGTGGGTGTAGCGATTGCCCCTGAATGTGATATCGTAGCTGCGTCGTGGCATTCCGTGGAAGTTGAGATGGAAATGGACGCTGCTGAACGATGTCACAGGGCGCCCAGAACCCCTGTCAAAATCATCTCAGTCTAAGCGATATCGGGCTAAGTGACTTTTGAGATGCGGGTGAACGAACATGTCGGAAAAACACTTTTCCCATTCGTTCATACGCAAGCAAGGCAAGGAAAGATTTGTCATGTATGTTGATGCATTTCCGAACGGCGGTATCTAGGCCCTTGTCTGCACAACATCTTTACTTGCTGTGACATATTGTTGGCCATCTGGTTTACGGTAGGGGATGTAATTGAATCGTTTGATTACAAAGTAATCTGAATATAACTGCTCAAAGAAGCTTAGCTGGCTTGCTGAGTCCTATTTACTTTGTAATTATACGCGAGATCCCCAATAGTACCGTATCGAAAGCCATGCCTAGTACGGAAACATGCATTATTCCTGAGGCGGCACATTGAAGTTCAGTAGAACTGACGTCCGATAATCAGCATTCATCATGCCAGCTCAAGATCATGCACAATGTCATTACTACCGTTCACATTAGTTCATCTAATATACAACTGAATGGCCAAATGACACTGCGTCGTCAGCCTGATACCTTGCTTCTTATACGTTCTCGATGTGTGAGAGGCTATCCATGGGAGCCGTTATGGCGCATAGTTCAGGCAGCCTCTCACTACCCAAACTTCTCCATTCGCAACCTTTTCCGCAATACTAACAATTTCGATATTGCCTGGTTGTATCTGTGCTACGTCAGCAATGTTCTCCAGTGACTGGAGCGTGTATTGAGCTGACCAATTTCTTTCCATCTTTTTTCTCCCACCAGACTGTTTCCCCGCGTAATGACTCAACCTTCTTTCCCTCCTCCCACGGGCTGGCCGGTATGATGTGTGCCTCCACGAACCGTCTTAAATTCCTCGTCGCCCTATCTTCACCTTCACTGCCCTTGTAGGCCTCCGCGCCCAGGCTATTGTAGTCTTCGGGATCTTCCCATGGTTTCCGCGGCAGCTTTTTCAGCTCAGAGTTCAAAGGCGCGAGAACGGTAGTCGTCTTATCAGAATCATCGAACCGCTTAGAAATGCTATTAACATCGCCTGCATTTGTGTCAGCTTTGCGGGCGCTTCTACAGTGGTGGTGAGAAAACACGTGTAAATCCGGCAAAAATATTTATGCTGCTCTCTTTGCCAATCACGTCTGATATGATGAGGTCGCCTGGACCACTAAAGAGATCTTTGTCGTTACTGTCGGAACCACCGGGGATTGGAATAGGTATATTCATGATAGGCTGCTGTTGCTGTTGTCGCAACTCGGGAGATCGGGAAAGAAAGCTAGGAAGAAATGATTTTGCAGGAATGGCGAACGCATGGAATCCAGCGGTGAGGAATAGGATCTGTGCCATCGATTTCATGTTGGCCGGGTGTTGCGAGCAGGAGACTGCGCTTTTGAAGCAAGATGACGTTGCTCTAGCGCTATTTAAGACCCGGCGTGGATCTATCAATGAAACCAACAATTAATAATGGCACACATGAGTTGATATAACAAATATGCTCCCTCCGTGCGCCTCGGCCTGTCAACCCCGATCCAGCGCCAGAGTCAAGAAACAGATCATCCCATTTAAGGAGTGCATATGCGTCCATGTCAGATGAGACGTTTTCGGGGCTTAGATCTGCCCCAGAACGTCTTCAAGCCTGGTTGGCCAATCAGCGCTGTGGGATTTCAACGGCGGAACTGCTCCATACCGAGGCATCTGCTTCCGCCACTAAACGACGAGTGGGACTGTGATCTCAAGACCAGACGGATCCCTGTGGGTTGAATATGTCCTCCTTCTTCTCTTTACAGGATACCTTGACACTCTTGCATTCTCCAATCCTCGTCTAAGACCTGCAACTTCTTTCATTATGGCACCACGAGTCATTGTAGTCGGCGGTGGATGTACGGAAGCATCATACCTCCGCACTTCAGATCAACGCTGATGTACGTTAGTATCTGGTCTCAGCGCCGCACATACAATCTATCTAGCTGGGGGCAACGTCTTGCTTCTCGACAAGAACAGTAATTCACCCCCTTTATGTAGACCTTCTTTTCTTTTCTAATTTAAGTCAGATTTCTTCGGCGGCAACTCTACAAAGGCTACTTCTGGCATCAACGGCGCATTGACACGCACACAGACCGACGAAAAGATTGCAGATAGCGTAAAGCAATTCTACGATGATACCCTCAAATCTGCGAGAGACAAAGCCCGCCCAGACCTCATCAAAGTTCTTACATACAAATCCTCCGCAGCTGTTGAGTGGCTACAGGATGTCTTCAACCTCGACTTGACACTTGTATCGCGTTTAGGGTAAGGGGACACAATGCATTCTGCGTTTTTTGTCTTGGCTGTTGCTAATATGTTATAGCGGACACTCCCAGCCTCGAACGCACCGCGGTCATGACGCTAAATTCCCAGGGATGGCAATCACATACGCTCTCATGCAGCGCCTTGAGGAGCTAGTGGAAAGTGACCCTGAGAGAGTACAAATCATCAAGAAGGCTCGAGTGACAAGAATGAATAAAGACGGCCACAAAGTCACGGGCGTTACTTATGACTTTGGTGGCGAGGAAAGTTCAGTGGATGGAGTGGTGGTATTAGCTACCGGAGGCTACGCTGCAGATTTTGGCGATAGCTCCCTATTGAAGAAGCACAGACCAGACACCTTTGATCTTGCAAGCACAAACGGCACGCACGCGACAGGCGATGGATTGAAAATGCTGATGGAGATTGGTGGCAACGGCATTGACCTGGACAAAGTCCAAGTACATCCAACAGGTCTAGTAGATCCCAAAGATCCAGGGTCGAAGTGGAAGTTTTTGGCTGCAGAAGGTACTTCCTTCACTATCTCATCCTTCTGCTTTTCCTAACTAACCCTGCCTAGCACTTCGAGGCGAAGGTGGTCTTCTCCTCAATGGCTCGGGCGAACGGTTCTCCGACGAACTTGGCCACAGAGACTACGTATCAGGCGAGATGTGGAAGCAAAAGGAGGCGAAGAAATGGCCAATACGGCTCGTCCTTAACTCAAAAGCGAGCAATGTCCTAGATTTCCACACCCGGCACTATTCTGGCCGTGGCCTGATGAAGAAAATGTCCGGCAAGCAACTTGCCAAAGAAATTGGCTGCTCGGAAGACGCCCTGCAGAAGACATTCACCGACTACAATGCCATCGCCGAAGGCAAACAGAAAGATCCTTACGGCAAGAAATATTTCCACAATCTCCCCTTCGACATTAGCGACACCTTCCACGTCGCCCAGATGGAACCAGTCCTGCACTTTACCATGGGCGGCATCGAAATCAACGACAAAGCCCAAGTCCTCAACAGCGCCGACGACAACAAACCATTCGAAGGCCTCTACGCCTGCGGTGAACTCGCAGGTGGTGTCCACGGCGCCAACCGTCTGGGTGGCTCTTCCCTCCTCGGATGCGTCGTTTACGGTCGTGTCGCAGGCGAGAGTGCAAGCCAATACTTATTCCAGAAGGTGATCACCGGCGGCATCCCCACAGCTTCACAGCGTCTTGGACAGATAAGCCTGCACATCGACCCCGCCACACCAGGCAAGATCTCCGTTGAGTGGGCCGACTCTGCTACCTCATCCAACACATCGTCCCTCCCAGCGGCAGGTGGTAGAAAGCAAGAACAGCAAGCACAAGGCTCGGCTGGGCCAGTAATGAAAGGCGGCAATGCTGACAGCAGTGATCCTGGCAAAGTTAGCAAGCCCACCGACCCCGTTGAGTTCAAGGTTCCTGAGAAGGAATTCTCAATGGACGAAATCGCGAAACATAATAAGAAAGACGATCTCTGGATCGCGGTCAAGGGTGTTGTACTCGATGTGACGAATTGGCTAGACGAGCACCCGGGTGGACCGCAGGCGCTGTTCAGTCACATGGGCAAGGATGCTAGTGAGGAATTCGAGATGTTGCATGATGATGAGGTTATCCCGAAGTATGCAGCTAACATTGTGATTGGACGAGTGGCGGGGCAAGAGCCGAGTTTGCAGATATGATGAGCAAGATAACGAAAGCATGGAATTTTAAACGCGAGACTGGCTGGAATGGGTAAGTAGACCTGCTTTCACCGTGAGCGATGAGGGTGGGCATTTGGATGTTTGCAAAACGCATGTATATCTATTCGTACTTGCATTGATCCATGCTGCTAGTCCACTCCACTCCTCCCGTCCCTCCCCTCCCCTCCCCTCCTTTTCCTCAAAAGACGCCTTTCCAATCAACTTTCGTGCATTCATTCATTCAGTCAGTCAGCGTTCACATTTCCGCGCTCCTCCCCTTCCTTTGAGAGCACAGAGCCATCATTCCACCACCGTCACCCTCCCCGTCCCCAAATCCAGCCCCAACCCCCTGACAACCATCCCCTCCAAAACCTTCTGCCCCCGCAAAAACTTCACATCCTCCCTAACAGCCTCTTCATACTCATCCGCCGTGTGCGTCCCAAACACCACATGTGCAACATCTTCCCCACCAATCGTCGCCCCTGGTGTTCTTTTCGCCATGTCTCCTCTATCAAATTGGTGCGTCAGTACGGGAAACAGGGGCTCTGAAGAGGAAATAGGGGGGAAAAGGGAAAGGGGCGGAGGGGAAGGGGAAGGGGAAGGGAAGGGAAGGGGAAGGGGAGGGGACATACCGAATTCCTGCTTCACTCAAAGCATGCGCCCCACAATCGGTATGATGGACCACGAAAACGGCTTTTGCATCCGCTAGGGGAGCGGAGGACTACGATGCCTGCCCACCAAGCCCGGTCTTTGTCAGCGGGGACGCTCTTCTTGCTGCCTTATAGTTGGACTGAGGGTGAGGAACGGGGAAGGGAAGGGGGAAGTGGAAGGGGAAAGGAAAGGGGATGGGGATGGGTGGGACTACTTTTCACAACATCAAGCGTGGCGCGCCCGCCTGCGTTGCGGATCACAGGGCCGAGAAGCGGTGGAGTGTCGGCGGAGTTGGTGGACGGGTTGGGAGAGAAGAAATGTTCAGGGACGACGCGGGGGTCGAGACATGTTACTATGGGGGAGAGGTGAGTGTGTGAGGCTGTTGGAGTGGGGATTGGCGAAAGTGGTCCACTGGTATTGCGGTGGTGGGGGTTTGGAAAAGGGGCAGGGACGGTGGGGAGGGACGGTGGGGAGGGGGGAACACACAGATGATCGTGACGGATTGGCTCTCTTTGCCCATCGCACGCAGCTCGGTCATGGTGGTGGGGTTGTGCCATGTTTTTGCGAAAGAGGCGTTGTTGGCGAGGAGCTCGTTGAGGCGGTCGTCGATTTTGGTGGACATGATTGTCTGTATGAATTGGGTAAAATGCTTTGGGTGAATGTTTAGAGGCTGTAGAGAAGTGATATCAGGTTTTATGTATTGATCTTAAGAGAGAAAAAACCTATGTTGCGAACCGCCTTTTTTGTATCTGAAAATCTTGATTTGGAATTCTTCGTTCGATATGCAGGAACAATCCTGTGTTGCGGCCGTCAATACGTAGGGATTGTGATAGACGTGCTTGTGCTCCGTAGGAAGCCGGGAGGATCCTACCTCGGAAGGATGCTCAGAGCAGCACGCACAAATCGAGCCTGATTACTATTCACTGGGATTATAATAATTGAGGGTAGGGTAGGACGGCTTTGTCCTGGAGGATCGTCCGAAAAGAAAATCTAGACTTGGAGGAAAAAAGGTGAGCTGAAATGAGACATAATCGTGTCTATCATTTAATCGTGAACACAGCTATGCAAGAGATAGATAGTGAAATTGAGAAGTCGTCTTTACAAAAGAAGTCTTGATTCGGCACCCAAAGTATGCTTGAGATACCAAATTAGCTATGCATTCGTGAGATTTCCGGTAGCTTATAGATCGGAACTTTTCCTCAATACCTGCAAGTCAATCTATTCAGCGTATCCTCCGCCCTTGTGCATCATACCACGTTGTATCAGCGTCATACTTACTCTCGCAACATCAGCTACTTACTCTCGCAACATCAGCATTTACTACCATGAGAGATTTTCATTATAGGCTTCGATTCGCATTTTCCGCAAGTGAACTTTGCTGCTTCCTTGGGGGGTTTGACGGCCTTATCCTGCGATGTTGGCACGTTGAGCGAAGATTCGGCTGTTGATGACACCTTTGATGATTGAGCAAAACGTATATTACGTCGTGATTGAGACTGAATTGTATGGCTTTGCTGGGCAGTTGGAGGTTCTGTCTCTGCCTCCTTGATAAGAAGCGTCATGCTGGACAGACAGTGAATGTATTCGCGGGCAGTCTGTTGCATTCGCTGAAGTGGAGCCGCGCCATCGTCGGCATTTATGATTTGCTCCACCTGATCGTGATTGTCTGTAGAGAGCAATTCGCGCGTATGCTGTAGCTTTTCACCGAAGCTTTCGAGGATCGCTTGTACTCCCAATTTGAGATGAGAGTCATGTAGACGCTGATCGACTGTTGGCAGGCGAGCTTCTGCAGCCCAGAGACATAATCGACCAAGGTGGTATTCCCATGGGCCCATTTGTGTCTCTTCTCTGTCTGACTCGCAATGTCCGCGAGCAATTGTCACGATTTCTTCGAGTAAGTTCAGACAGCTCTCAATCGAACATTTTACTGTACCGCGTGATAAGAAGCTGCTAGTAATTTGAGACATGATGCGCACTGTTTCTTTTCATAGGTATTACTCCATTAAACATTGGTACATCTTGACTCTGATTGTAGGAGATATGTCTAGGTAGATTGCGGTAATATACTTGTATGGTGATTTTCTGTCAGGCCGCGCCTCCATGCAGCAATAGCACTAGAGCAGCGCCGAAGCCACAAGTCAGCCTGCATACCTAGTAGGACTACGGTGCCTAAATCCAGGGTAGAAGAGGGCCAAGCCCATGGTAAGGCACACTCAAGGCAAAATTTCCGGCTTTCACTCCTCGTCTTCAGTCATCTCGTCGAGCTCGCGCTTTTCGGCCCACCTGATATCTCGAGTCCTCTCTCTCAGCCGGACGATCTCTTGTTCGTTGAGGGGGTGTAGTACATTCCAGTAGTCAGGAAAATCCTCATATTCGATCCCTGCTTGATCTAGCGCTTCGCGGTTGACCTCCTCTCGTTTGACTCGCGTTAAGCGGTGAAGCCAAAGGGATTCCTCGTAGGGGTCGATTGGAACTCGTGGGGGCAAGGGTGGTGGATGAGTAGGGGGCGGCGGTGGTGGAGGTGGTGGTTGTGAAGGCGGTGCAGAAGAAGAATAGAAGGCCTTATCTGGCAAAGAACTCTCACGATCTTCTTGCAATGGTAGATTGGTTTGACCATCACTGTCTAGCACAGACAGGGTCTCTAGAGCAGATAAGATACCCAACGAGATCTGGCGAAGCGCTGACGGGGCAGCGGTACTCTCTTGCTCTCTAGAAGAATCAGCAGGCTCCAAGGCTATCCCGAGACGGTCCTCTGGCGTCGCATGTGGGAACGTGGGAGATTCCGAAGAACCACTTTGCGGTGGCTTTTGCTCAAAAGCATCCGTAGATACTTTGGCGTTTTCCGAAGAAGTGCCTGCATTTATATTGAGCTGACCATGACTTGGGACCTTATCCGAAGATGCGTGAGATTTGAAGCGATTTGTCTCAACGCCATTATACATTAAATGCCCTGTCTCTTCGTTGAGGTTCCACAAGTCAGCTTGACGATGTGAGCTGTGTTCTGAGAAAGCATGCGCCATCATCTTCAGACCGTCTCTGTATCGACGATCGCAGCCAGGCACCTGACACATCAAAAAAGGATCTGACGTTTCAGGCACAACCTCAGTGGCACGACCATTAGCTCCGTCGGCCGCTTGAGCTATTCTCATCAAAGTCTCGCCGTAATGTCCTTTCCTCGCCTCCTGCCGGTAAAAGTTGCGAAGCTAATCGATGATATCAGTACAATCACAGGTTCATAATATAACCATTCTATCAAGGCAAGACTCACGAGGTTTTCGTCTTTCCTGGGAAGGAGTTTGGCAATAGTCTTCCAATCCGTACCATGCTCTCGAATAAGAAGAATAAACGCATGATGCTCTTCGTCCATCCAAAGAGGGGAGAGCTTCGGCGTAGGCAGGCGTTTTGGGGGTCGGTCAAATACTTCTTCATCATATTGATTCGGAAGTGAAGATTTTTGACTTGTTCTTGTCTTAATCATGCGTCCATCCTCACTTGAAGAGTCTCCCTCCTCTTTCTCTTCTACAATTCCTGTGGATTGCTCACTCTCATCGCTTGTTTCAGAGCCGTCCCGTAGTACAAACAGGGCGATTTCTTGCAAATGTTTGGCCACATGCCTAAACCAATCTAGCCCATCCCACTGGGATTCTTGGCATAAAGGACATGCCATTCCCCTTTGATGATGCGGATTCTGAGACGACCTGTGTTCCGATTGCATATGATGTTGCCATTGGTGTTTTCTATTGTACGTGATGCCAGGGGTCGAACAAGCGAGGGCAGTACAGACGTAAGGTCTTAAGTCGTCGAAGATGTGTTTTATCCAGGAATGCATCGTCGCGGTTGTCACGACGCAATAGCAGTAAGGGCACTCGAAAGGCCCATCTAATGCCTGTTTTGGGCGCCTAGGCATGATACTGTGGCTTTCACTGAGCATAGTGGTCGCGAATGAAGTCTCAGACATTGCAGACATCGATTTTATCTCGTCCTCATCATCATCTATATGAGCGCTTCTATGGACGGTCGTTGGGATGGTTGATGAGAGAGCATCTGGCCAATGTTTATGATCATCCTCCAAATTGCGGCTCAACTTGGCATGATGACGGGAGCGATAATGCAGATAGCCTCGTCGCCGACATGAAGCCGAGGCCAGGCGCTCAAGCAGACCGTCATCTGCACGTGGATATTTGTTCCTGAAATTATCTAGATCAAAGGAATAGAAAGCCTTCATCTCTGATGCGTAATTGCCTCTTCTGAAGTCACTTTGTGCTGGTTTCCGAATCAGCATTGTCATCCGATATAGGCAATGTATAGAATCAAGGGCGAAACCTAACATGCGCCGCAACTGGGGCTCATCGTCGTCGGCAAACGTCACTTGTTCTACGCGCTCTTCCGGTTCTGGGGACAAAATAGTCTCGCGAGCAGTGTTCAGGGTCGATAATAATGACTGGAGGATTTTAATGACCTGCTCTCTGACCTCCGAGTCGTCACGTAAGCGGTATTCGAGTGATGATTTGCCAGTCTGGTGTGCCCCAATATTCCCAGCCCATACTCTGAATCTGCCATAATAATCTTCCAGCAATGAAATATCCACCTCTTCGATGAATGAACCATCTGAGGTCTGACTGAGGGAGATGATATCCTTAAAAGCCCGAACGCATTTATCAACAGAATCCGATATGGAGACGTCTGCAAGTGAGGTCAGGTAATTCATAATCAGTCAGTAGCACGACGGCTGCCAATGATGGCCATAAGAGCCGTCTTTCTTGAAGGTTGACTGTCGGCGATATGCCCTGCTGCTGATTTCTGGTGGCTGGAAGCAGTAATGGAAAGAAGCTTGCTTGAGCGAGATGACTCTGCTGGTCTTCCGAGCGAAATCTTGTGGGCACAATGGCTTTGCGCACCGAATCCCTCTAGGCACGATAGCTTTGTTCACCGAAGTCGACTGACGATATGAGCGTGACGCCATGCGAATACGACCTGCATGATTAGTTTCCGAGAAGCCCAATCACCAGCTTGAAAGACGCGCCGAAGACTTCGGCCCCCCATCACTTGAAACTAATGAGGATACTGGCGTTGCTTCTAAAAGGATCAGCATTGCAGAGTTCTGTAAGATGAAGCTGCGTTTATCACTCCATCAACCATAGTAAGGAAGGCCCAGAATCGCGCCTGCTAGGAATAGGGTATAGTAAATATTCGACAACTTATCTTACAATCACACGTCAATATAGGCGCGGCTTGTAAGCTCTAAGTGTGCAAAGCCTTGTGAAGTGAATTTGCGCTCAATCGCCAGTCAACATTAACAGCGCGATCCCAGAACAGTGCTTGAAGTATGGTTACGGGTGTTGAAACGGCGGGCCTAGTACTTGCTGCATTCCCATTGCTCGTCAAGGGCATCAGCGATTATCTAGAGGGTATCCAGAAGGTCAAACAATTGCGAAATTTTCGCCAGATCTTGGAAAGCTACTGTAACACTCTGGAGGCCGAAGAGATGCTGTTCCGCCGAACAATTGAGCTGACGTTGGACCAAGCGGATGTTCTTGAGCCACATCGCTTGACTGAAATGATGGCTGATTCGAAGCACACCTTATGGAGGGATACAGAGCGTGAACGGGCCCTCAGAGAGTTCCTTGGTCCTTCATATGACGTCTTCATGCAAACCCTGAAAGCCTTGAATGTTTACATTAGCGCGCTGAGGGAAAAACTCAAGCTTGACTCGTTCAATTTGGAAAGCGTAAGCTTATAGTCCGTGAAGTTTCGCAACACACTGACAAAGCGCAGGGCGCTCAGGAAAAGTTCTGGGTCATCAAAGCCAACTTACACAACCTTGTGTTGACTCTATCAAAAAAGTCTTTGGACTTGAGTCTAAATGAAATCAAGCAAGCCAACGTGAGGCTACTTAGATTCACTCAAGGATCAATCCTCCTCGTAAAGTCGGAAACGTATACAACACGTCGTAAGTCAAGGCCAAACTTTGCGTCAATTAGAGTACATGCTTTACAGATTTGCAAAGCGTTGCAGGTTTCTGCTCAACTTTGTGTAAAGACATGTAAGCATGCCGTGAGTTTGCAGCTGCAAAGCAGGCTGGGAGCCGGCAGTGAGCACAGCAGTACAGCTTGGCCCACTTTCACAGTCATCTTTCGCACGTCTCGCCTTCACAACGAAAGGTATATTGAAGAGCAACGGGAGGTTGAGATTGCTTCGCATGACAGGCAAGAATTGCCCTCTAAAGAAGTCAGCCGTCCGAGCACTGTGCATTTCGCTACGCCTGACTCGAACACCGTCCGCTGTCCGGTCCCAGAGCCGCTGACTAGTTGCTGGGTCGACAAATTGATCCAGCCGAAGGATGCCTGTAATGCAATATTCGGCCCTCGCCTGGACGGAATATGGCAAACTGCCGGGTTTCTCGAGACCAAGTATAACCCCGCGATACGCTATTATCTCACTGTCCTCCCAGATCGAAGAAAGGCCCAACCTATCTATCTGACTGCACTGCTTGAGGGAAGCCCAAAGCTTTCAGCCGGCCAAGCCCTACCCTGGCGCGAGAAATTAGTCATCGCCACAACATTAGCGTCCAGTGCTCTGCAGCTGATCGATACACCCTGGTTGAATGCGGGATTGCTCAGCAAGAACGTTGTAGTCTATTATCAGATGAGACTAGGTGCCAACGGAATGCTCCTACGTGACATCCAGACTTATGTCACTCGAGATTTAGACTCTTCTGCCGGCGAGACTTCTGAGCCGTCGGAGTTCAATGAGCTTCCAATCCAATGCCCGACGCTTTTTGCACTTGGGATGACACTGGTGGAGCTGTTGTTCAATGAACCGTTGATCTCATTGGCTCAGGGTAGTTATGATGGAAAGTCCGAAGCATACATTAGAGCAAGAGTTGCCCTAGATAAGATTGACGAAGTGTACACGTATGCTGAATACAAGTATGCCAGTGTCGTGGAATACTGTCTCACATACCCTCAGCAACGACAGCCACGATTCGGAGGAAGAGACAGCGACTTTGAACACCACGTTTTCGAAACGATCGTCCAACCGCTTTATGAGGACCTAGAACATTGGAATGGTACAGGAGAGCAAAATCAGCGCCTAAGAACAAGTCATAGATCAAATGCTTCATCTATGTAGCGTAGAATGTATCAAGAGTCAGCGATGATAGAGTTTCTCCTGTAGAGCTTTAATGTACGGGCGGTGATGATTGGTTGAAATAATCTCAGGCCTTGTGGCGTTCCTTGATGACGACGCTAGTCAGTGTCTTGGCATTGCCCGGCGCACAGCCACACACTCACCTCGCAGATAATTCAGGCCTCAATCGCAGTTGAACCACAATTTCGGCATCCCTCTAGGAGCACAAGGGGAATCATCAGGAGCGACTGTCAGCCTACCAGGGAGCTCTCGAGAAGTCTGAGGCGAAAATCACTGGTTGTGGCCGGAAGTGCACCATGGTAAGACGCTCAGCTGTCTTCTCCGACCAAGATGCATCCACTGACCTCTAGATTTCCAGGGCGTGACCAGGCGGGCCGGTCGCAAGAAAGATGCCAGCCAACAAGGTGGTGGCGGTCAAGGAGCATCTCAGTCGCAGCCCATGAGAGCCGTATTTGAGAGCACTAGAAAGAAGGAAGTCGGGCTCACAGATCTCACACTGGTTTCGAAGATTACAAATGAGGCCATCAATGACAATCTCAAACTTCGCTTCGACAATGCTGAGATATATGTGAGTACGAAGAAGGCGGAACAAGCGCTGTGCAGGGCTGCAGGCTGAGTTGGATTGACAGACATACATTGGCCACGTGCTAGTTTCAGTCAATCCTTTCCGCGACCGTAAGAAGCTCTACCTTACTTTTCGTAGAGCGTACTAATGCTCCATAGTCGGAATTTACACCGATGAGAAGAAACAAAGCTATGAGGGGAGGAACAGGCTTGAGGCACCACCTCATGTTTTTGCAATCGCAGAGTCAGCATATCGCAACATGCAAGGCTATCATCAAAACCAATGTGTCATAATCTCGGGGGAATCAGGTGCTGGAAAGACTGAAGCCGCGAAACGATTCATGGAATATATCGCACGAAGGTCGGCTACACCAGATTCTGCTGAAGCGTCCGAGGGCATCAAGGACAAAGTCCTTGCTACGAATCCTTTGCTGGAATCTTTCGGCAATGCCAAGACTCTCAGGAATAATAATTCGTCAAGATTTGGGAAGTACCTGGAGCTTCAATTCAAAGAGATTATTGTACGCAAACAGACAGATGCTGAAAGAAAGGCAAAACCTGGGGCTTTCGTCCCAGTGGGAGCTAGCATCAATAATTATTTGCTTGAAAAATCACGTGTGGTTGGGCAAACATTGAATGAGAGGAACTTCCACATCTTCTATCAATTCACCAAAGCTATCGCTGCTGGTCACCTGACTGCCAAATATTACGGAGGTGCGTTATAAGGTCAAATGATAGGAACACTTGCTTATCTCGATAGACACATTCAAAATAGGTGGACCTGAAGACTACGACTACCTCCGAAAAGCCAATTGCATGGACGTTGCAGGCGTCGATGACGTAGCCGAGTTTGATGATACTTTGAGAGCGATGGAGACCATCAAAATCGCGGATTTCGAACAGGAGAACATCTTTCGCATGATTGCCACAATTCTCTCGATAGGCAATGTCACTTTCCAAGAGGATGATAGTGGCAATGCTGCCATTCCAGATGCGAACAAGAGTAAACGGGTCGCTGATCTTTTGAATGTGGAGCAAAAACAGCTCGAGGATGCTCTAACATTCCGGCTCGTTGAGACCAGTCGGGGTGGGCGTAGAGGCTCTGCTTTCAAAGTGCCATTCAACGTAACCCAGGCAATCTCTGTCCGAGACGCATTAGCTAAGGCTATATACTTTAATCTTTTTGATTGGATAGTGGCCAAGCTGAACATTCTATTGAAAGCCGAAGAATCGTTCCAGAACACCATTGGTATTCTGGATATTTATGGCTTTGAAATTTTCGAGCGGAATAGCTTCGAGCAATTGTGTATCAATTACGTCAACGAAAAGCTTCAACAAATCTTTATACAGCTTACTTTAAAAGCTGAGCAAGAGGAGTATGCCCGAGAACAGATCCAGTGGACTCCAATCAAGTATTTCGATAACAAGATTGTCTGTGACTTGATTGAGGAAAAACGTCCGCCGGGCGTATTCGCAGCATTGAATGATGCGTGTGCCACTGCACACGCCGACCCTGGCGCCGCAGATCAGACTTTTGCCCAGAGGTCGGCAGCATTGTCATCCAATCCGCATTTTCAACCAAGACAAGGTCAGTTTGTTATCAAGCATTATGCTGGTGATGTCAATTACAGAATCGATGGCATGACCGATAAGAATAAGGATCAGCTATTGAAGGACGTTGTGAAATTGTTAGCAACCAGCAAGAATCAATTCGTTACAGTCCTATTTCCGAATCAAGTCGATCAGGATGATAAGCGTCGCCCACCAACTGCAGGTGACAAGATCAAAAGTTCGGCAAACGATCTCGTTGCCACCTTGATGAAGTCCAGCCCCTCGTACATTCGAACCATTAAACCAAACGAGAATAAATCACCGTCTGAATACAATGCCATCAACGTCTTGCATCAAATCAAGTACTTGGGCCTCCAAGAGAATGTACGCATAAGACGAGCAGGGTTTGCGTACAGGCAAACCTTCGAAAGATTTTTTGCTCGCTTTTTCCCACTTTCAAGAGCTATTTCCAATGGCGTAGATCAGAGATTGGAGTGGACTAAGGAGTACGGCGATTCTGCATGGCTTCACGGAACGAAAGTGATATTATTGGAAACTCGCATCTCTAAGACGCAGTATCAACTCGGCACTACGAAAGTGTTCATAAAGGATCCAGAGACAATTTTCGCTTTGGAAGATCTAAGAGATCGTCATTACGTGAATCTAGTACGACGCCTTCAGAGGGTATGGCGCAATTATCGCGCTTATCGTATAGAGGCGGCGAACAGAATCAAAAGATGTTGGCGACGATCACGTGGAGCTGATGAATACTCCAAGCTGCGGGACTATGGGCACCAATTACTACAGAATCGTAAAGAGCGCCGTCGATTCAGCCTTATCGGCTTGAGAAGATATCTCGGGGACTACATAGGTATCAACAATAAGGGAGGCTACGGGGAGCACGTCCGAAAATCAGCCAGTTTGAGTGGTATTATATTCTTATTTACCTTGATGAGCGGGTAGGCTGACCGAAAAATAGGTAACGAGAGTGCAACCTTCTCTTGTCGGTGCGAACTCCTCGTGACCAAATTTGGTCGGTCCAGCAAACCTGAGCCGCGCATGTTAGTCCTGGTAAGTCGTTGTGCAAATGTAAGCAAGGTGCTGCTGACGATTTCCTCAGACGAGCAAGGCAGTCTATATTATTGTAGTTGCGCTCATAAATAAACAACCAACCATTCAAGCTGAACGGACTATCCCTATCGGTGCGATCAAATACATCAGCACATCAACCTTGAAAGATGACTGGTTCTCGATTGGCGTCAGCTCAGCACAAGAAGCAGATCCATTGATCAATTGTATCTTCAAAGCCGAATTCTTCACACAACTCTCTCGAAGCATTCCTGGCAGTGGGTTCAATTTAAAAATTGGCGACTCGTAAGTCAGACTGAGTGTTGAAGTCGCAGACTGACCGGCTTCAGTATTGAATACAACAAAAAGCCAGGAAAGCCCTCGTTCGTTAAAACTATCAAAGATCCCAGCGTTGCTCGGGACGACTTCTACAAAAGCGGAACCATTCATACTGGACCTGGCGAACCAGCTAATTCCAGGTCGAAGCCTACTCCAAAGCCAAAGCCGAAAGCAGCCAGACCTATCACTCAAGGGAAGCTAATCCGACCTGGCGGGCCTGGAGGCCGGCCGTCCACGTACAAGAGAGAGCCAAAAGCCTCTCGGCCTGTTCCCTCAGCTCCCGCTAGACAGCAGCCATCTACAAACCCCGTTCCTGCAGCATCTAGACAAATACCACAGCCACCTACAGCCCAACGCAGAGTAGTCCCGCAGCCGATCCCAGTCGCTAATAACTTCTCTCATATTCGCAATGATTCTCCACCTCCCGCACCTTCACTACCGCCTCCTCGTGTGGTACCGCTTGTCGAACAAAAGGAAAAGTTCAAAGTGCTCTATCCCTTTGACGGACAGCCTACCGGCGGACTTACGATACAAAAAGACATGATCGTAGAGCTTCTCAGGAAGGAAACAAACGGTTCGTAACCACCTCAAAGACTTGCAATCCTTAGCTAACAGCTATATTGCAGGCTGGTGGGAAGTCAAATTAGAAGGTCAAGAAAAGCAGGGATGGGTCCCAGCATCATATATCGAACCCTACGAAGAAGCACCAGTCGCACCCCCCGCGCCGCCCCCACCTCCCGTCCGCGTAGTCCCGCCTCCTCCCAAACAACAAACGAACGGTCTGAACGGCAACGCGCAAGCGGCCAAGCCAACACCGCCACCTCCTCCGAAACGACCGGCTGTCAATAAGAGGAAACCACCAGCGCCGCCGACGCCGCGAGATAGTGCCGTCAGCATGGGAACGAGCAATAGCGGGAGCGGAAGGGCGACACCTGACACGGCAGATGGGGGTGGGGGGAAGCAGCCTGGCATGGCAGCTGATATCGCGAAGCTGTTGGCGCAGAGGAGCGCGTCGATGCAAGGGAAGAGGAATGATGATGATTGGTGAGCGGGGATGTAATGATTGATGTGATGGGCATAGAGATAGATTGTTTTTATTTGTTTGTGGGGAACAACGTATACAATGTGAACATACGCGTATGGAAGTATAGATTTTGATACTTCCACTGGTCTCCGGCCGCTTTACGCACTCTGTTCCAATCAGTCATCGTATTTCTCACTGCTCAAGACTCATGTTAAGGCGTGGTATAAGTATCGGGCGCTAGAAATTGGTCGGAATCGTGTAAGTCGCCATCAATATGGCCGTAATACCTCTGAGATCCTTTAATCTGCAGAGGAAGTATCTCTTCGTCTATACGAGCGCGTGTTGTTCGGTCATGACTTTTAGAGCGAAGGATATGCTCGCGGAAGACTGTTGTTCTGGCAAATCGTGTAGTTAGAGGCAACAGCTGCAGGTGCAGAAGTGAAGATCATGGGCGGTAGTGCGTTTTGATAATTCGTATTTTGCTTTTTCTATGCGTTTTGCTCGATATTCGGACAGCTCTTGTAGAGTGATCTCCCGGGACCACGTAGTTGATAAATTGACTGATGTGGACTCTTCGACATCCATCAGATCGCCTCCGTTGGCGAATCCGTACGGCTGTTGCTCCAATGCATCGATCAAAGTGATGATGCTACCAATTGGATGAAATCCAGAGGTCAATAGCCGGGACGCAAGCTTGAGAAACAGTGAGGGGTTTAATAGGCTGTAATCGACCGTAGTTGGTGATTTAAGTTGTCCCAGAATGATTGAAGAGCAAAAATGGGATCCCGCGGATCAGAGTACTTTGTCTTTGCGGACTTAATTATCAGTACAAGTTCATTCAAAGGGTCTGCTGTCTCAAGGTGGTAGGTGGATGGCTGAATGAAGGGAAAGATCGGAGATCTAGACAATTCATCTCTAAACGATGTGATGCAAGTCGAAATGACATGCTGCAAGTCAATTCAGTCCACGATTATCTCCATAGACAGCCTTGTGAATGTCTGTGGCTAGCAAGGCCTCTTTTATGATCCAAGTCCTGGTGAAATATCCAAGAGAACAACCCATTTTTTACCCAATAAAAAAGCTCAGGAAGCTCGACTCGACGCTGCTGTAATACTGATAGATCTATTAGCTTACTCGACCTTGGGTTCCTACCTGCGGAGAGTCGACTTAATCGTTCCTCTTCCACTTCTTCCGAGACTGACACGACAAAGTCCATGACTTTTGTACAATGATACAAACCAAGAAAAAAGCCCAGAACGTAGTCTCGCGATCTCTTGCTTCGATTGAGAGCAAGGAAGCTCGTGGAAAGGCTCTCGGAATCAGTACGATTCCCCACCTCACACGCAGACTTAGCGTCTCTCAATGATCTTGACTTTTTGGCAGACTTTTCCTCTTGCAATTGGACTATGATTTCTAGTCGTGGTTGGAAGTTCAATGCCAGTAATCCGACGTCGTTAGAAAGTATTGGTTACGTTGACATCATTGACTTCAAGGTCCAAGGCGGAGTATGGGCCTGGTGGGATTCTCGTACAGTCATTCTTCGTCACTGTTCACTTGGGCTTAGCTACTAGTTCCATCAACCGAAATTAGTACATATAAGTACGTACAGATCGCGAAGCAATAGTAATTGGCAAAGTCTGTGGCAGAAGCGTCAGCCGATTTAGGGAGCGCGGCGTTACAAAGTTCGATGAGTCTTCCAGGACGTCGCTCGAGTCCAGTATTTGCGTACAGCGACGTAGCCGCAGCGAACAAGATATTAGCCATTGTGATCGGGAATGACCTGCCCTCTGCATTTTCGGTAAAAGCATGGGCACTAATGTCAGGACACAGGTTTGCCCTAGGCAGTGTTCCTTCAGATGGACGGAGAAAAACCTTTGTCCCAACAAAAATAGTTGGCCGTGGATTACGATTGAAAACTGTAGGGTTATGTTGGACAGCTTGGTAGAGATTTGGAACGATATCATGGTACTGTTCTCCATCCTCAGGTGTGTTGATGCAAGCTATTAGAAACTGCCGTCCCATGTAAAGTGGGAACGATGCTGCCTGAGCGAACGTGTTGACGACTACATGGTCGGTTGTATGAGACTTGAACATCGCAGCGTATGCGCGTCCCTCCATGCCTACGCCGACGGCACGCAGAGATTTGTGCGCTATGTATCGAGCGTCAGCGACTGCGGTGCTGATCACAGCGTTTTGGGCGAATCCTTGGAACATCGTAGGACACCTGACTTCTACGGGTGCATTGCTTGGTATTGTTTCGTTGTCTGTAGATGTCAGCGTTTATGCATAAGATGGGAGACTGATGAAGCTTACCAGTGGGCAATGCATTCGCTACAGACAAAAGCAAATAGCTCACTAGAATTAAAGTAAACATTTCGGATGGGACGACAAGCATTTCAGATCACCCTCCCATGTTTTGAAAGCATAAGACACAATGAAAATAAGCCCAGTCAGAAGTATGGTTAAGTCTTGATGCAAAGCTTCACTTGAGAAGAAGAAACCTCATAAAGCTTGTGAGCTCTCTACGTTCTCACACATACCTACTGCCGGTAGATATCCTTGTCTGAGTCCCTTTCTCTTCTCGACATTTGTGTTCAAATCGCGGTTCGCTCGCTTTATTCAACGCATATGAAATAATGCTAAATGATGCAGAGCCGGCTAGGGCGGGTGCATGTGCTTCGCGGCTTGCGCTCAACTGCAGTGGATATTCTTGCGCGAGAATCAAAGTAGGAGCTTTGTCCAGCTTCAAGCTGCAAGCGCGAGTCATTATCAAACATCGATGTCTGGAATGTCAGAAAATAGACCGCTGAATGACGGATTCCTCTTCTTGCTTGACCAAAGTCTCAATACAAAGGGTCACGGGCCTAGAGACCTGCGTAGAGGTGTCCAGGGACTGGGTCTGAGACGTTGTGGCTTGTGAAAGAGCAATGTCCCACTCTTTGGTTCTGGGCGCCTTCAATCATACCCCACTTCACAGGCAACACCGCCGCATCCGCGTCATCTCCGGGTCGATGACAGAATGCGCTAATAGCAGCACTACAGCTACCAGCAAGAGGGATTTCTGTATTGTACTTTCGAAAGCCGTTTGCGACTAGTGTGATGAGCATGATTCCGCCGACGATGATACAGAATATTATGGCGATGGGAGAGAAGGCGGTAGCAGAGACTGAATAAACTTCATCAACGTTTCCTACAGGATCATACGTAGTAAGTCGCGTATAGTATATTGCCTGAGAGACAAGCCAGTGAAGGAGTATAGAGGATATGAGAAGGGGGTGGCGTATTTGTAGGGCAGTTGTAACCAATAGGTTGAACGCTGATCGCCTGATGGAGCCGTAACGCGGAGGGTCTTGCGATTGTGGGCGAACTTGGTCCATTCCGAGCTGAGTAGCATGCTCGTCATAAGACCATTGTATCTGATTAAGGTCCGTCAGTCATACAGCTCGATACGTAAAGACTTTGATGGACTTACAAGAGATAGAGACAGGAGAGTACGACATGCGGCAAATTGGCGAGCAGCACACCAGATGCATAATTCATAGCACGGCCCCCAGGTCTGATGGTAGAGCCTTGTCCTGTATTTGGAGTTCCCCAGCCATTCCTCCAGAGAGCGGCCAAGCGTGCTGAGCTCTGTGTTTCGCCGCCAAATGCAACGCCGAGTAGAGCGCCGACGACGATTAGTATTGTACTGATTAGTATGATACACGTCAACCATCGCACCCTACTTGCTGCCAAATACCAGCGCTTTCGCCCCAAGGACAAAGCGGAGGGATGCGCCGGTTGTCTCCAGAGTCCTTTTCTAACCGCATTGTAGTCCAGGTAGCAGTAGGCTTGAGTGGTCATGTCCGGCTCATCGAGAAACGATGAGATGGCGTCTCCCACAGTAATCAATGGCGGGGCCTTCTGGTGGATGAATAGAAGCAACATGCAAAAGCATTTGATTGCATTCATGATGGTGATGAGAATGAGCAGGCCAAGAGCTGAGATGTTAGCATATGTCTACAGGTTCGCAAGAAGGTGGGCTCACAGCAATCCAGAGTACACTTCTCTGGTACCTGCTGGATAAGACAATATTGTGTCGCAGTGCCATCTTTCAAAGGCACCCACGAATCAGGGTGAGCTAGCAGCTCGTTATATGTATCGCCCCAATCGTTTTCCTTTGCGCCAGAATTGAAGCTGTTACCATGCCCATCCCAAAAGAGCACATTAGTACCATTTTGTAAAGGGGCTATCACGATGAATATAGGCCCTTGCGTCTCGGATTGTCCGTTGTACATGGATTTGTAGTTAGCCTTAATACAGTCCAGATTCCCGGAGCGCTCAAAAGTCTTCACATCTTTTTGTAAGGCGCGAATCCAGTTTAGTTCTTCATCCGCGCTAGATTCTCCGAAGAGCGTTGGTCTTGTTGGTGCTCCATCGACGAAATCTTGAGTCACAACAGCAGTGAACGATTCGTGTTCACTTTGAGAACTCGATATTGCCGAGTTGTACCTGCGAGTCGTCAGTATCTTCGCTTTATAGACTTGAAGATGTTGCCAGACTGACACCAAATGAATTGGGAGAGAGCTCAGTAAAAGCATTATCCAAATACATACACGCTTCCATCCAATGTGGTGAAAGTTTCGGAAGGTAGGAACTCCGATGTCCAACCATAGCTTTTGTGAGTGCGCTCTGTCGACCTAAATGTTACACGGATCAGCTCGAATGTGGACGCATGTGTTGCTTTCCAAGCAATGGATCCTCACGTCTTTACGAGTAGGGGGACGCAAATCTGCATGGCATAATTTGAAGCACTCAAAAGTATGGATGAGAAGGCGTTGAGCGCAAGATGAATCCACAGACTCAAAGTGTTAGTCCGCGAGCAAGAACCCTCGTAAAGCGTTCCCAGGCCGCTGATCACACCTAATTTCGTGACGACCCATACTGTGACGGACAGGTTGATGAGAAAGACGGCCGCGCAAGCTGAAGCACATCCAAGCACTCCTACGCGCCATCCAGTGAATCTGCTCCGGCCGCGCCGTTCAGACGACGACGCTTCCCTCCCAGGGTCGAGCAATGACTCAACGGGGTTGACTGATTTGATTTTGGTCACAAAATTCTGATCCTTTGACCATGGTAGTTTTCCGTCGAACGTCATGGTTAATACAGGTTTCCACTACATTCAACACAAGCACGCAAAGTTCTTGCGACGAGGTCGCAGTTCGCAGTGTCGTCTAGCAATGATTGCAAGCTTGGGAATGGTAAAGGCCATAGCCCTCATTGTTATTGCCCTCCTTCTGCACCGCCGACTTGAAACGAACGAAGGATCAATCCCTCGTCCATTTAATCTGCCGGCGCAACATCACTGCCACCTTCACTGCCCGCCTTTCGAAGCGAGTCGGTCTGAAAACTCCGCTTCCATGATTCAAAATGCAGAGGGCGAGATCTCTGTCAGGGGCACGGTTGTTAGAGGTTTCTACGAGTACCTCATCTTCAGATCCTAGGAAGTGAATGAAAAGGTAAGGAGCGCTCCGCAACTTATGACCTTCAGAGGCACTGAAATTTACCTCAAGATCAACCATAACGAGGAGAAAAGTAAGAAGCGAGCACAGGGACATGCCGACTTAGCGAATAGCACAATATACCCAAATGTCAACGGACAGCGTCTCTACCTCTACCAGTAAGGTAGAGCACCTAAATCATGTGATCCTCACTAACAGCCACCAGCGTGCGCAATCCCATCTGCAATCGAAGTTAACACTGACAGGACGGCCTTACCTGAATACAATACCCTTAGTCCAAAGACTTCTTGGCTGGCCAACTCCATATCTAGCCATGTCGTTAGAGACACATTTGCTGGCACCTAGCAGGTTGAACTCGGCCGCTGTGCAGCCCTTGCATCGTTGAATGCACTGCATATCATTCAAACCCTTTTGAGGCCGATTAGGACTGCATTTTGGCATCACCAGGCAAGGTTTACCAACGTAAGTCGGCATGAGAGAATGGTGTGCACATCGTGCTATGGTCTTATTGGGAGATGGGGACCAGGTGAGAGACGCATGTTTACTACCTAAGTGCTGCCTAAATATGATCTTACAACGACGTAACCCGGGGTTGTAAGTACCCAAATATCAGTGATTCATATCATTACCTACTTTAATACCTTTACTATCGTATCTCTAGCTTAATCCGCTTGTTAAATACTTTTAGGTATTTCTTTTTATGATCCTACCAAGTCCTGCAAGCTACGGCCGCCGCCTTCTCTTTTCATTCATAGGCTCGAAGTTTCTTCTCTACAATACCCTAATTCGAAACAATAGGAGAATGTTGGGAAGTTCGGCGTGCAGTGTATAAGCCATAGTGCCTTCGACTGATGTGTTTCTCTTGCAAATTATCTCCCTCTTTTACGGTCGTGAAGTGAAATTTTGATTCTTGAGAATCTCTCCTCACGTAGATGATAAGGGTAAGAACTGTTTGAAACTTATAATGTGTATATATGTGATTGACGGCTCGCTGGAAAGTAGTATCGGCTTAACGAGGAAGACTTTGTCTAGAGGCGACTGGAAGCAGCTAGAGAATACAGCGTCATAGTCAAGTTATCTTATTGACATCTGGACGATATACTAGTGGGTAGATCACAAGAAGAGGGAAGAGTTCTAGTGATTCAATCTTCCTCTCCTCCATGCTCCACGGCCAACGTCTTCTCTCGAGACCATGGGATGGAAGAGAGATTTTCTTATCGTTCTATGCTCGTACCGAATACTCTGCAGTCAACTTATTCTTGGGTTCTGGTTGGGGTGAATCATTACAGTTCGCAGAAGACTACAACAAGAAAAATATGCCTTAGGAAGAGTGTGACGCTCGTGATTATGCTCCCTTTTCGGTCTGCTGGCTAAAGTACCCAGAGAGGCGAGAGGGGGAGGAAGGTAAAGGCTCTCATCGGGTGGCTAGGTGGAAAGTGGGAAGGAACGGAGATCTAAGGTGATGGCCGATACTCGTACGTGTATGCTATTGATATAGCTACTCGTATGTAGCTATCTATGTGATTATCCAAATGACTATTCAAATTTCCAGCCACCAGAGACCTCTCATCAGCAAGCGATAAGGTTAGTCATGTCAGGACGCGCCGTCCCTACTCGCGCGCTAGGTCATCGAGATGCTGACACCCGGTAGGGTACTTGGTGTCAGAAGCCTTACGTTGTTCCAGGATACTTTAGCTGGAAATGCTCCTATCGCCCTATCACACGCGCTTTATCTAGGTGTTTCAACATGCTTTGCTGCTATCCGGCAACTTCGCTGGGAAAAATGCTGTTTGGGTATGACAATAGTTGAGATCATATGATCTGGTACATTAGGCAACACTTCAACATTATGACATGAAGATCTGAAAGCTCTTTGTGGAAGTATGATTGGTAGAAGTTATCGGAAGATAGTGACCCTGACGCCCAATTTTGGTGAGACAGGAATGGCGCCATCGCCAAGTCATTTGAATGGTGCTGTGACACCAATCTCAATTGGTTGCTCGGTCAGGGGTCTTGCCAACTGTATTGACTCATTCAGAGCATTGGTCGCCCTGCGATGGCGGCGCAGATAGTACTTCAGAGCTTCGGCCCCCATCATCTGCGCTGAGTTATTCTCATTCGTAAATAATCATACACACGATCTCTCGCAAACAGTATAACGTTGTTGTTCAGTCAATCAGCAAGATTCTCGCTACCTCGACGATGGGTGCAGCGTTGCCTTCAAGCTGGCACAGAGACTTGGTCGGGCTCGCTGCTGGTTCAGGCAGCACTGGACTCCTCGGGCTCGGCGTCGTCATCCTCCGGGCTATTGCGCGCAAGCGGAGAACGAGACGAACAGACAGAGTAGAAGGGTTAGGATGGGATGACTGGTTCACTTTCGTCACTGAGGTACGAGGTGTCTTGCTCTGATTGTCTTGCTCGCTAACATTGCTCATAGATCTTTGCTTTTTCAATCTCGATGGCTGATTTTTCCTGTATGAAAGATCTCCGCACTAATTTGATGGCTGTCATTGCTAAGCTTAGACAGTGGCGATATGGCTGAGAAAACTCTCGCCAGAAGATGTCTCGGCAGACTTCCTGTGTTGGAGCTTCTATGCCACCCATATCTGCTGGGTCGCTATCCACGGAATGGCGTCTCTGTCAATCCTCACGCTTTACAAGCGTCATTTTGGGGGCGTTAAAAGAGTAGACCGCTGGATAAATTTGTTGAGGTTGATTGTAGTAGTGTGGACTGTCGGAGCAGTAAGACTGAAATTCATCGCAGAAGCTTGCTCGCTGATAGTATATAGATCTTGTGGACTATGCTTGGGGAAGGCACGCCTCTCAGTCGATACTGCACCCTCGGTCCAAATGAGCGGTACATAGCTAGAATTGGAACGACATCTGCAGTTCACTTTTTCTTGAATATCATGATCCTGTTGACTCCACTTCCTTGGATCAGGGAGATCCCAGCAGAAAGTTCTAAGAGGTGCTTTATTGGCATAATGTACTCCTTGGGCTGGGTGTAAGCGAGAACACTGTTCACGATTTCGAAACACTGATTTCTGTTATCAGCACTCTAGGGCTCTCTAGTAGTCGTCTTTACTACCTTCTTCAACGACTACACAAGCCGAAATCGGAGGCCCTGCACTACAGCTTGTTGGCGGTGACCTTGAGTATCGCTGAGATCAATACTTCTCTTATCGTCATCAGTTTGCCAACGCTTATGCCAATCGTGGACTGGTGTCTTAATGAATATGAATGGATCTCAAAGAAGACAAGAAGAGTTGATGATCACATCAGGGATAGAGCCTCGCAAGGAGTGATAGTAAGCGATGGTATGCTATTGCAGATGCCGACCCTTCGCCAGAGTCTACCGGGCCATGAGCTTGAACGAGGACACAGACAGTCGGAGGATTAGTATGTCAATTACACATCTACGGATGGGGATTTTAGACCCCCAGTATTGAGACCAACCATTGACAGAAGAAATTACAACCAGGGAGAAACGGAACCGGCAGTAATTAAGCGCGGGAACGACGGAGACGGCTTTCTGAATGACTAATGAACTACGATGGAAATTTGTATTTCGCTAGTATAGATTAAGATGCAGGCTTATGGTTGAAATGATCCTTTTACGAAGCGAGAAGGCTTTTATACACTTATCCAAATCCTTCAACTTTTCTTCTCGCCAGCAATACGTTTTCTTAGCCGATGTCAATATGAGAGTTCTCACGATGCCCACGAGCTTTATTCTTTGAGACACGTATTTGGTCAATGAGTCAATTCTTAGTAAACTGTGTTCCAGCCACGAAGTCCATTCAGAACACAAAATGCAGTCTAAGGAATTAGATATCCTGCTTTTGAGAAGCACAGTGCTTGGACAAGATATCAGGTATCCGCCAAGTCCTTTTGACTTCGAGGTGCACGTTAAGGACTCATTTGCCACTGGCTTCAACTTTAGATGGCCAACATACCAATCAACCCTTATATCCACAAAAGTCTCTGTCACCGTGTCTGTGGTCGCTGTTAGTCCAATATCCTTCTTCAGCTGCAGTGAAAGGTCTCTGTAGAATCTATCTAAAGCACTTCATCCAATCTTTCGCTACTTCTCTCGTCGGCGCATTCGACTATGGTCATAAGATCTGCAACATTCCGCACTGTTAGCAAATTTAGTACCGTCAAATCATCTTTCCCACGAGATAGCTACTCAACGCACACAACTGAATATCAAACTTTGGCCTCGTGGGGCAGTGACTGGGTCTTAAAACTAGCAAAAGCTTTTTTAGGACCAATTAGCAATCACAATAAAGATCATGATGGCACAGACGCAAATCCTTGACATACAAGTTTCGCCGGCACGATCACATCATAAATCTCTATGTAATTTTCCACATCCAAGCAATCCATCACCGCCGCCGAAAAAGCTGTCTCATGCCCATCACGTTTGCCCTGTCCCACCATTGCCCACAATTCCACATTTCCCATTCCCAACAGGTATCCCTGCTGTCGTAGTCGATGGAGAAGTCCTGAACTGTGTGCCGCCGAACGCGACTCCTGGATCACAGCTACTCCCAATTAACAATTCACAGTCGTAGCCGTTGCCAAGACCAAGGTAGACAAAGGCACGACAGTTGTCACTTGAGGTGATGCAGGCGACACAGCAGTCGTACGGTGAGCTGCCGGAAGTAAAGGAGGCATGGTTGCCGCTGCCACCGTCGACTTCGTTGATAGTCTTGCCGCCGTTGGCGGTGGTGGCGATGTTGTTGGGTTGGCAGGCGGCGTAGGTGGTTGCCGTAGGGATGGTGGCGACTTCTGTGGCTAGATGGGAAGATTTAGCTGGGGTGATGGTTTAGAAGGACGAGGGAGACGAACCTGTGATAGTAGTGGTTGTTTGAACAGTTGTGCCAGTTGATGTTGTGACTGTGGTTGATGTAGTGGCTGTCGCAGTTGCGGTCACTCGATCAGGGATGATAGTGCTTGTCGATGTGGAAGTGGTAGTTGACGTGACAGTCGACGTGGGTGTGGCGGCATTCACTGTGCTCGTGCTTGTTGCTGTCACGGTCGCGGTCTTTGTCGTGACAGTCTCGACCAGTCTACCGCAGATGACAGCTGTTGGAAATAATTGAGGTGAGACCACAGGCTTGCCATTAGCAAGCTTGACGACGATCTGTTGCGGCGCTGCTGCTCGGGCTGCAAGACCAAGCACATCACGAGCCTTGATCTTGGGTACATAGTCGGGGTCTGATTTGATGGCCGTGAACCCTGCAGGAGCTGATATGGTAGATGTGCCGCTCGTTGTGGTCGTGATGGTGTTGGTCTGAGTGGCTGTCTGTGTTGTTGTCGAGGTGATGGTCGAGGTATCTGTATCTAATAAACTTGCAGTCAGCGTTGACAAACAAAGGTGGATCCGGCTGCGCTTACTGGTAAGTGTTGTAGTTGTCGTGTCAGTGCTCGTCGGGCCTGTTATCGTAACGGTAGTGAAAGCTGTCGTTAGACCAGTCGTCGTTACTGCTGCAGGAGTGACTGTCGTGACTGGAGTAGAAGTGACTTTGACTTGCTTGGTTAGGGTGAGTGTCAGAGCGTAGGTCTGAGTTGGAACTGATTTGACAGAACTAGTTCCCATTTTGGTGGCACATAGCTGTTGTGCGAGTGTGGCGCTCTCAGCAAGCTTGCCAAATATTGTGAAGAGGAGCAGAAAGATGATGGGCAACTGCATGATGATGGCTTGACGTCGAAGGTATCCTGGAGAAGTTGCCTAAATTTGTAGAATGAACTGATGTCTGGTGAATGCTCTACTGCCATGGGATAACGAGGAGTATATATAGACATCGCGCAAACGGCCGACAGCGGTCTCTTCTGGATGCTGACATCGGCTTCGGTCAAAGATCTGAGGTTTCTCATGAGTAGTCGGGATTGCTTTTGCTCCTTACAGTGGCCGTAGGTAATTTCCGCGAGCTGGACTGAGTACAGCTTCAAAGTAGCAAGCCACAGAGGTGTATTTACGTAAAGGAGCCATGTCGTAGACGCCTGGAAAGACTCCCATAGCCCGAATAGTCTTGGTGGAAGAGGCGGGCGATCGTATCCATTGACACCTTGCGAGTGCAGGAGGCTGAGGGAGCACGCAGGCATTATGTCATTTGTGCTAATGCGGCTCGCGTTATACCCTTTCTATCAAGCGTAAGCGAGAGCGAGGATTGTTGGATTGAAAGCTTGGGTCTCGACGAAGATTCTAGATCTCGACCCTCGCCCGTTCCTGGATTAGAGCTAGCGCTGCTCGTATGTTAGCTCATGGTGGCTTTGTACTTAGGCCGCTAAACTTCCTCTAGCACCTCCACAAACTCGCCTATTTTCAGCTTCAGGGGTTTAGTGGGTGGCAACAGAGCTTTCATTTGACAAGCTTTGTACAAATAGTAATAATCACAAGGGTTACGACGGTGGGATAGTGCCGAATACCCCCTAAGATCACCCAATAATGTAGGTACCCTCTGCGCGGTGATCTGCCTCTAAGGGAGTGGTAACGGTAGCACTGCGGGAACTGGCAGAAACGCCACAGTAGCAACGTCGAGTATAGAATCCCACCTTGAGCCCTACCACGGGGCTGCAAAGAGAAGACCGTTCCTCCGACTGCGGCCATGGACGCTTTTTTCACATAATCTCGCCCTATGGCCCTTCGGGTACCTGCACTCTGTACTCTATCAATGGAGGCAGTCCCTCACCTTCTGGCCTAGGAGACTCACAGCCAATTCTAGATTGTATAAATATGTGATCATTGATCATGTGAATATTCACAGGACTGAGACAATCGACCGGGAAGGAATCCGGATGACAGCAGGCAGGCAGAACCAAGGTACATTACCTTACCCTCTTGTGATGAAGTATACCCCTGGGGCAGAAGGCGTCTTGAGTATCATCAATTCTGAGAGACCTGGGATTGAGGTGGAACTCCTAAGCTTCGGCGTTAATTAATCCCAAATGACATGACAACTTCAACCCGTCACCTTCACAGAAATGTTCTCAGGGTGTCAGTGCTCAATGATGGAAGATGGCATCAACTCAAATGAAAACCACGAAAGGCACATATGTTTTAGCCCATGAACATGGCCGAATTTGTAAAAGGGCATCGAAGACTAGACTTAGGACACAGGAATCAGCTGCTCCACACACAGCTGGACGATCTGTTGAAGCTCTGTGATCCTTGCGTAACCGAAAAAATTTTGTCGTTCGAGCCGTACAGCGTCGAAATTCCGTTGCGGTATCGATGATTTGACTCAGTTCATCCCGTCTGTGCGCTCGCCGAAGTCCCCGAGTACCTTATTCGTCCATTCATCCTAACATCTCCACCGTACGACACCGCAAATTCCACACTTGGCACCTCCAATTTACGAATTGTGAAACTCATAGCTACGAAAAGGTACTTGAGTGCAACATAATGTAATCCCTGACCTGCTACAGGGGTAAGATACCAGTGTACGCCCTCTTGATCACATACAAATGGCGTGGTCCACTTTTCGAGGGGCGCGCTTCCTGAGGCCGCCATTTGAAGTGCCAGGACAAGGCAAGGATAGAAATTGAAAGCGGGAATAGGTTGAGTACCAACGGCTGTGTATTTGATACTGGCACGGGGGTTGATAGATTCTTCGTAGCCTGAGACGAGAAGGGGACGAGACGGGTCGGCGACCGCAAGGCCACTGTGATCGGTCAGAAAGATTGAAGAAGGTGCATTTATCGAGGGGGATGTTCGAACTTACGAGCCTCGTAGTGTGTCGTTCGCTGCCGAAGCAAGCGCCAGTAAGGCGGCGAAGGACACGAAAGAAACATAGACGTGAGACGGAAGGTGCATTTTCGTCAGTAGGAAGTGGGAACGTGAGCTGGTTTCTTGAAGGGTCGGGTTGGCGGCATTCAAGTATCTTATATTGATCACGGCAGGCGCCATTGACTGTACCAGCTCTTGAGTCTCCGCTTCGGATCGACCGGCAACTTGTAGACTTTGCATTGCTTTGCTCCGACTGCGCTTGTATGTATTTTTAGGAGATATTTTCGGAAGTGGAACTAATACAAGGGCATAACCCGAACAAGGCAATCATCGCAACCACAATTGGACCCTACCTTCAGCCGTTACCCCATCTCGGTTTGTTTCCGTATGACTCGGCTGTGGTATCATTTGATGTCTAAGTGAAAAGAGAATGTTTCACCCGGAGAAGCCAATTTTGGAATTACAATGCCCTGCCGTGGTCCGAACCACAGTATTCCGTACAATATCTCGCGAGAGCCTGTCGCAAGTTTCATGTGCCTTGAACAACACTCGACACAAGTGGATACTCAACACATAGCGGATTCTCTTGGATATATGGCCGGGACCTCAGCCCAAGATCAACTTGTCCTCGTCGCATAGCGCCTTAGATGCACTATGCAATGTGTCCCAGGCAAGAATTTCAGGCAACTAATTGAATGCTGTGATGGCTTTAGGCTGTGATTTGAGATTCGCAATTGAAGGCTAGAATAGCTGGGCGAGAAAGCACATGTGCACATCGTGCGGAAGTGTTCCGCAATACATTTCTATCGTCTTGCCACACATTTTTGATGTCTTGGCACTTTCCTCCGTCTTCTCGCGACATGACCAGCGTGCCTTGCTTACGGCTCTTGAAACGCAGCCCAGTCATAGCAATCCAAAATAAACGATATATGGTCACCTTTGAAGTCATGATTGTACCGGCTTTCCTCAGGATATGACATGACTCTCGATTGGTGGATGCCGAATTGAAAATGCCTCGAAAAGCCATGTGCGTCCCCCTACGCTTGTGATATGTACTTTGTATTGACATGAGTGCAGAGACTCGCGCATTCCGACCCTGATACGCAACTGCGTTCAAGTGAGTCACCTCAAGACCTTACAAAATTCACGGCCTGGTTAAGCCAAACAGGAAAAGAAACGAAGCTTCTTCATCATCGTGGGCGATCGAGCGAAAGATGTCATCGTTCACTTGCATTACATACTCACAAGTGTGGACATAAAGCAGAACAAGTCAGTATTATGGGCGTATAAGAAGGACCTCCTGGGCTTCACGAGTCACAGGCGAAAGAGAGAGCAGAAGATTAAGAAGGAGATCAAGCGGGGCATTCGAGAACCGAATACCGAAGATCCTTTTGAATTATTCCTTACACTGCACAATATCCGTTATGTCTACTACAAGGAGACAGAAAAGATCCTGGGTAATACCTTTGGAATGTGTATACTGCAGGATTTCGAGGCTGTCACCCCCAACCTCCTCGCGCGGACCATTGAGACCGTCGAAGGGGGAGGCATGGTCCTCTTGCTCTTGAAAGGCATGAAAAGCTTGAAGCAGCTCTACACTTTGACTATGGATATACATTCTCGGTATCGCACTGAGGCGCATGATGATGTAGTAGCTCGCTTCAATGAGCGATTTGTGCTCTCCCTCGGTGGCTGCGAATCGTGTCTCTTCGTGGATGACGAATTGAACGTGTTGCCCATCTCAGGTGGTAAGAATGTGCAACCGTTGCCTCCTCCCAGCTCCGAGCAGGAAGAAAAAAGCGAATCTCGAAAAGAGCTTGATGGCATCAAGGAGAGTCTCGCAGACTCCCCACCTGTAGGTCCTCTAGTGAAGATTGCGAAGACTGTAGATCAGGCGAAGAGCCTGCTTACTTTTGTCGATGCCATAGCTGAGAAGACGCTCAGGAGCACAGTGACGCTGACAGCCGCGAGAGGAAGAGGGAAATCTGCAGCACTCGGCGTTGCAATCGCTGCCGCAGTAGCGCATGGATATAGCAACATTTTCATAACGTCTCCTAGTCCAGAAAATCTCAAGACATTATTTGAATTCATTTTCAAAGGCTTCGATGCTTTAGATTATCTTGATCACATTGATTACACCATCATTCAATCAACTAATCCAGACTTCAACAAGGCTATCGTTCGTGTCAATATTCACCGTCAGCATAGACAGACCATACAATATATTCAGCCCCAAGATGCGTATGCGCTAGGTCAGGCAGAACTTCTTGTCATTGATGAAGCTGCGGCCATTCCACTGCCTCTCGTCAGGAAATTGATGGGTCCGTTTCTGGTTTTCATGGCTTCAACAATTAATGGGTACGAAGGTACAGGGCGGTCACTGTCATTGAAACTGATACAGCAACTTCGAGATCAGTCAAGAGGCGGTAAAGTGTCTAAGCCTACCGATGATGGTGAGGTCACCAGTCGATCTGCAGATGCAAAGACAAATGGTGACACCTCAATCCAAAGCAGGTCGCTCAGGGAGATCACGCTTGCCGAACCCATACGGTATGCTCAAGGAGACGCCGTGGAGAAATGGCTCAACAAAGTACTTTGCCTAGATGCCAGCTTGCCGACCTCAAAACTCGGCGTTCAAGGTTGCCCTCATCCCTCGAAGTGCGAATTACTTCATGTCAATCGGGATACGCTGTTCTCTTTTCATCCCGTGTCTGAGAAGTTCCTCCAGCAGATGATAGCTCTCTATGTCGCGAGTCACTATAAGAACTCTCCAAACGACTTGCAGCTCTTGAGCGACGCGCCCGCTCACCAACTCTTCGTTCTTGTGCCTCCCGTGGACGATAATAGCACGAGATTACCGGAGCCACTTTGTGTCATACAAGTTGCTTTGGAAGGGCAGATTAGCAAGCGGAGTGTGATCAATAGCCTGAGTCGTGGCCAAAGGGCCGGCGGTGATCTCATCCCGTGGCTTGTCAGCCAGCAATTTCAAGATGACGAGTTTGCTGGTTTGTCGGGAGCACGAATAGTTCGCATAGCCACGAATCCTGAATATGTCAATCAGGGCTACGGAAGTCGTGCTCTGAGCCTGCTCATAGACTTTTACGAAGGCAAATTTGCAAACCTATCAGAAAGCGACGTCGCTCAAGACGAGTCGATTGTTCGAGTGACGGACGCTGAAATTGAAAGCTCCACACTCCAACTCGACAATGTCAAAGTTCGCGACATCAATAGCATGCCACCATTATTCTCACGTCTCTCAGAACGTCGACCGAACTACCTTGACTACCTTGGCGTCTCCTACGGACTCACGCAACCCCTGCACAAATTCTGGAAGAGAAGCTCCTTCTCCCCCGTCTATCTTCGTCAAACACCAAATGAACTCACCGGCGAGCACACTTGCGTCATGATCCGGACCCTCTCCTCCGGCCATGCCGATGAAAAAGGCAGCGCTTGGCTCGGCGCCTATGCCCGCGACTTCCAAAAACGATTCTTTTCCTTACTATCCTTCCAATTCCGAGCCTTCCCCTCCATCCTCGCTCTCAGCATCAACGAATCTGCCACCGCAGGCGCAAAGCTAGACGACTCATTTGACACCAGACCTCTGACCAAGACCGAGCTCGACGACTCGTTCTCCCCGTACGACCTAAAGCGTCTAGACAGCTACGCCAACAACATGCTCGACTACCACGTCATTCTAGACATGGTCCCCGCCATAGCGACCCTATACTTCTCAGGCCGCCTCAAACCAGCCGTCACACTCACGGCCGTCCAGTCATCTATCCTCCTCGCGATCGGCCTGCAGCGAAAAGTTCTCGAGGATATCGAGAAGGAACTTACCTTACCAGTCAGCCAGCTACTCTCCATGTTCGTCCGTCTCATCCGAAAAATCTCCTCTCATTTCCGCCAACTACTCGAAGGCGCGGTGGAAGAATCAATGCCCGACTCTGTCCAACCTTCCGACCCTGCAGAAAACGGCGATGCCCCCGACGACCCGCCAGCGAAATACGCACCACTTGCAAGAGATCTGAACGAAGAGCTCAAAGCCGGTGGGGACGAAGTCGACCAGGCGCTCAAAGAGAAGCAGAGAGCCTTGATCGATGCCTTACCGCTTGATAGGTACGAGATTGAGAGTGGTGGCGCGGGGTGGGAGGAGGCGGAGGAAAAAGTTCAGAGGTCGCAGGCGAAGGGTGGGGCGGGGGATGTTACGGTTAGTGTGAGGAGTGAGAGGAAAGAGGGAGGGAAGGGAGGGATGGGAGGGATGGGGAAGAAGAGGAAGGGGGAGAGTGCGGAGGAGGTGTATGCGGAGGAGATTGGACGGAAGGAGGAGAAGAGGTTGAGGAAGGGGATGGCGAAGGCGAAAGGGAAGGGGCGGTGAGAGGTGGGGGTTGGGGGAGGTGGTGTGTATGATTGTGTAAATCGTCTCCGATGGATCTATCTATATACATACATGCCTTGTTGTGGTTGACTGGAAAGAGAGAAAGGCGGGTGGGGGAAGAGGTTATAGATATCCACCACCAGCGAACCTTCCCCCGAAATCCTTCGCTTTCTTCGCCATGTCTGATTTGGCTTTATACCCGATCTTCATGCCTAATGCCATATCCTTCTCTCTATCAAACGCCCTTGCGCTAGGGTCGTCCTCTTTCTCCTCTTCCTTCCCCCCTGCCTCCTCCCCTGCACCTCGCCCCTCCGCTTTCCCACTCACATCAACGCGGCCTTTGTTCTTCCGCTCATCCATCAAACTCCCCCCTCGTCTCATTTTCTCATTATACTCCCTGACTTTCCGTTCCGTCTCCCGATCTTTCTCTTCTCTCTTCCTCTTCTTTTCCCTGTCTCCACTTTCCCCACCTACTCTCCCACCACTACCTCCTCCTCGCGCACTATCACCACCCCCACCCGAAACGCCTAAAACCTCATCCTCCAGCCTCTTCCGCTTCTGCTCCGGCGTCTCTGTCCATACGCTGTCGATCCCGCCATTTGCCCCACCCCCGCCAGGAGGCCGCGAAGTAGCGCTCTTCCCCGTTTGAAATTTCCGGTTCTTCAACTTCGTTGGGTCGACGCGGGCAGTCCAATCGGATGAGGTCGGAGGGACGAGCATCCATTCTTCACGCTGGGCTTTCGCTGGTGCGGGAGCTTGTGGCTCTTCTTGGGGAAGGGAGGGGCCGTGATGGCTCTGGTGGGTTGGGAGTGGGTTGGCGGAGGGAAGGGAGGGGCCGATATCGGAGTCTGAGTCAGAGTCGGGGCTGAGATCGGAGGGAGGGCGGTTGAAGTTGGGGGATTTTGAGTTGAGGGGGCTGTGCGTACGTGGAGGGGAGTCTGGGGGATGAGAGGGAAGTTGTGAGAGCGGCGCTGGAGGGGCGGCAGGGCCAATTATACGGGGTTGTTTTTGGGGAGATGATGGAGTCGTAGTGGTGGTCTGATTGGAGGCTAGAAGAGATGAATCCTGAGCGTCTGTATGTTGTGAAGTAGGTGGTTCTTGAGAGGAGCTTCGTGCCCTTTTAGGCTTTGCATGAGACGAATGGTTTTCATCGTCGCGTTTGCGCTTGCGCTCGCTTGTCGTCAGTCCTGGTGGGAGCGATGGACCTATGGCTGCCATTGAAAACGGTGATAACGAATAGTCGAATTCGACTTTCCTATAGAAGGCTTTCGTTGATTGGGAGTCGATGGACTATAAGAAGTCAGGGTTGAGAGTGGAAGGTGGCTGTCAATGAATAAGGTAGGTCGGCTCGGCCGGGAAGTTGACCCTAAGAGACCCGCTTAAGGCACCATAAGGTAGACGAGTTTCCGGGGGCAAGGGGCGTCAGGAGGGTTTTGACAACTTCTTTCCCTCATGTTCCTCTGTGCTGGGTCACTTAAGGCGACTTTGAGGGTGTATGACAGTACTATCTAACTCGAGCTAATCATGCCCGCCGTTAGTGGGCATATTAGGGCTGCCACTATCAGAATCTGTCTAGACTCTGGCTGACGTGGTTGGCAAGGCTGGCTCTAAGGTGCCTCATGGGCAGTGCCTATCTGCACATGATTGCCGGCTCTCACACCACTGGTTGACTGCATCAGTTCGTCTGAATGATAGCGATTCCCCATGCTGAATCATGTCGTTTGGTGTCTCCGTAAGCGATGCGATTCTCCTCACCCAGCTTGCAGCAAGAGCAGTCGGCAACACTCGCAAAGCGTGCGGAGAGTACGCAGAGCTCACCAAATCCGTCTCGAATCTCAGCGTTGTCCTTGACCGGCTTGAAGCTGAGCTTCGACAGCCTAATCGAGCCCTACATTCTAACGAAAGTTACCAGGAGGAGCTCAAATTCCTCACGGCTCAATGCAAGGTCGGCCTCGAGGAGCTGAACAAGGTTGTGGATAAATACAACGCTCTTAGGAGTGAAGGAAAAGGAAGCCACAAATTATGGAAGCAGGTGAAATTTGGAAACGGCGAGGTGGTAAACATTGAAACATTGAAAAATAAGCTGGTATACTATACCTCTGCTCTCACCCTGTATATCAACATGATTGTTCTTGGCTGCGTGGGGAGGGTCGAAAAGCAGATGGACGATGCCGGCGGAGATCTGAAAGACATCAAAGTAGCAGTGAACAATATTTCGGCGCAGATTCAGGCTAATAACAGGCATGAGGAATCCATACTCACCGATTACCCGGGTGATGACAAGACGGTCTGGAAGGATCTCCGCCGAGAGTTAGTAAGAGACGGCTTTTCGAGTGAGGTGATACAGAGACGTAAAAGAACGATCATCGCTTATTTCAAAGAGCTCGGCGAGAGGGGAATACTTGACGATGTTGAGCCTTTGTCTCACGTGCACAGAAACGTAAAAGCCTTCACACCACCTGTCAAGAACGATGTAGAGCCGACTTCCGCTGTAGACTCATGGTTATGGCCAGTGCCGGCTCGGACAGTGCAACCAAATCACGAATCGCAAAAAGGGAAGAGAAGGTTGCCAAATAATGCCCCTTTCGGACACTCACTCAGAGACTCCTGCAGCGACGGGGCTCGTTCCAGCAATAAGAACTCCTCGGACGTTTCGCCCACATTATCTCAAGAGCTGCCAATCCATGAATTCCGTGATGGTTTGACACCCCAAACTCAAAATAGTGGCACGAAAGGTACAGTAACAATCATGGAGCAAGATCTTCGATCTTCGTCTCAGACTCAACTCGATAAAGAAGCAAGTCCAAGCTCAAAGGATGCTACTTCGCTATCGTGCGGCCTCTCTGAAACCACTGACGCTGCGCACGACTTTCAGGCTAAAACGAATTCCTCAGCGGTTTGGGTCTTCGGTTCCTGGTCATCGCCGAGAACTTCTTCGACAATACTTAGCATTTACCCACCGCAGGTTTTTAATTTCTTGCTACCGTGGCTCGGAAGACCGGGTATGAGCGAGAGCTACCTGAGACTTCAAGTCATATTTGACTCTGTTGGAAGTGACCAACTTTATACTAATTTTCTTTATAGTCATCATGCTTTCAGCCAATTGGTGGAAGAAAACGATTGTATTTGTCAAGCTGAAATAAAGCCAACAAATCTCGTGTATAGTGTCACAGGGTTAGAGATGCCGACTTCGTTGGGTGGAGTGAGATTAGTCAAAGTCAATGAGGTTCCAAATGGTTCAAGCTTATCCGAGATCAGGTCTTACTCGGTAGATGAACCCATCAAATCTTTATTGTCAGGAGACAAGAAATTGGGACATTTCCTTTGTGATGGTCTCCCAATCACCACTGTCAGCCGAGTGAATTTGACGTCACACTATTTCGAAAGATTAGAAAAGGCACCTCTTGTGCAGCATAAGACCAAATGGAAAAATGAATGGAAGTATCGGGCGGCAGGACCTTGGTGTAAAAGTGAAAATAATGCGCAGGAAGTCCAGCGCAATGTTTGAGGTGGGAGAGAACACATCAATGAGAAACCTACTATTTGGAAAAAAAAAGAGTTTTCTGGTGATTTAGACGGCCACGCACAAAGCACCTCGACAGCTGAATTGGCTACAAGACTGGTATCAGAACAGATATTCATTGATCCCTGATCACTCTTGATACTTATTTGAATTCCTCATTTGGCAGGCTTTCATGGGGGGCATACACTTAGGCGTTCTCAAATGTCTCTGGTCCGTTCCACCCGTGTGTCTCAACACTTAACAGAAGAGCACGAAGGTCTAGCTGGGCTTCCCGTGTGGCCTCGGCGGTGACCGTTCATATTTCGATCTTTGACAATACTGAACCTCAGTACCTCAAGCCGGAATCGAGATGGACAGTACGATTGGAAGGCAGAGAATACGAATCTGCTTCTCAGCGAATGACTCATCATCGCTATGTTCATGCTTAGGGCTGGCCTGATAGCACTGCTTTTGCCGCGTTTCGTTTCTCAAATCATTGCATATAACCGCAAGCCTTGGGATGGTTTGCCCAACGGAATTAGGGTGGATGGTCTACGCTGTCAGCGCAAGAATGGGCATGAACGTGAGCTCTGGATCCCTCAATCTTATCATGAATCGCTCTGCGATACTTTACGCTGGATATTGTGCGTATTTCATTACACGTCCAAATGCTCTGTACTTGTTGGAATTACAAAGTGAGGCCTCTGCGGAGACCGTGGGATGTCACTCAAGCGGTCGTTCTTGAGGACAAAAGATATGCAGAAGCAAAGAAAATTCTCTGGCTTGTCCGTATGACGAGCGCATTGAAGTCCGATCTGGCTGGAAAGCAATTATAACGGAGTGAAGAGGAGCATGGAGCCTCACATTCGGCCTCTTCAGCCAACTCTCTTCCCATATATCAGCAAATATCAAGCAGCTCTTGCCCCCGCATCTTGACTTGGAATAGAGATCGATGGCTGTGCTCAGAAGAGCGGACCCAGTCAGCAGCAGTCCTGTGACTTCGCACACGAGGATAAGCAGGCTAGCGCATCGATATGTATAATAAGCTTATGCGTCTGACAGATCTACAGTGGCTGGCCTACTGAGCCTACTTCAACCTTCTACCACAAGGCCACGCGGACCTTAGGTCTGTGGCTCTTTTCCTTTGTATGAACCTTAACAAGGAATTCCAAGCCTATCATGTCTGACGATGGCAAGAAAGTTCGCCATATGCATACGAATCTGACTTGTTTGTCAAGGCTTGGCTTTTCAGCTCTCGGGGCTGAAGATGACAGAGTCACAACCTCGTGAATTTATCCCCGCATAAAAGAGATATTTCGCCTCCGCATTCGTTCTCGTGCTGTGACGACATGCTTACCTACAACATGATTCACTCAATCTACTTTCCGAAGAAGGCATCATCGAGCGCAAAATCTCCGCGATATCCTTAGAATAGAAGCAGGACCTTTACACCGCCTACGACATGGAGGGTGGTAATTATTACTGTTACACAGACTTTTCTTTGCCTACGACAATATCCATGTGACATTTTGCAATGCAGAAAAATATATAAATGCAGTCATTTTCTCCTCCTTCCACTCTCGATATCAATACATCCAGCACCTCCATTGAGCGCACAAGCACTCTTCAAATTCAGAACGAAAATCTATTGCTCTCTTACTCATCTACCAATCCTCGTCCTCACAATGCAACTCACATTAGCTCTTCTCGCCTCTGCCATCGGCATGGCTCTCGCAGCTCCGTCCCCAAACGCCAAAGCCGAAGTCGAAGCCCGCCAAATCACCAGCGTCGGCCTCGTCTTCTACGGTGCCGATAATGACGCACTCTACAGTATCACTGCTCCCACGGATGGCTCTCTTTTCCAGACCAGTAAGTCTATCACCTCCACCAGTCCTCATCATTTCCGCCCTCATCACCCTGCTTCTTCTCTTCTCGCTTAGCTCTGTTCTATCCTTGCCTAATGTTCTGTCTTATGGACCCAGTCGTTTCCCGGCGTCGAGCCTTCTTGCTGATTTGCTCTACAGACCAACCCGATCTCTCCGTCTCCAACATCTACAACGCCGGCGGTGCGGTCTGCTTCATCCGTGGTAGTGAGGGCAGTCAGACTACGGTGCCTATCAATGAACACCCCGTTGGCCCGCCTCAGCCGCAGATTGATGGGCGATGCTACCACAATTGAGCCTTTGTGTGGAAATGATAATGTGGATTGTGGCAGGCGATATTGGTGATGGGGATGTTGAAAATCAAGATTGAATTCGTCGGGGTTAGAGGAACTTAAGCAGGGGTATCGCTCTCTAAATTGCGGATTTTGGCATTAGCATAGCGTTCTGGTACAAAGTAGCCATTAGTTGCTCTCTCTACTTTGCGTCAATTGATCCAGAGAATTGATCTCTTCATCCACTGTTTTGTCATTAGCTGCTTCAATAGTAGATTTGTCGACAAGCGATTAGTCTGGCAGGATACGTTCAATTGGCGATGGAGTTGTAATTCTTCGATGAGGATTCGCGGCTCCTCGATTGGAAAGATATCTAGGATTTTCGGGGCTAACAATCAATGAAGAAGTAGATAATACACACCACACAAATCCTGCTTATGAGAGAAGACAACGATCATTACACGCTCGGCATCCAACCCTCGTGCCAATCTTCACTGACCCAAAAGCCCCAGCGACCCCATAGGTCCCCCCGACTTACAACGATCCACATTAAACAACATCTGCGGATGACTCTCAAAAAAGTCCCCACAGCAGTAATGCCAATCCGGCCCATCATGCCTACACCCATCCTTCACAGTCAATTGACTCAGACAACTAAAATCCAGCTTCCCATCCGGCCCAACCTTCACCACTGGCCCCCCATCCCCACCCTGCTGCCCGCAATCATACGCCCCATCAAACACCGCCTCCAGTGAACTCCACCCATTATCCACAATCGCATTTGTCGTCTCAGCGCTCGTAGGATGGCTCGCGTCATGCGTGGCATAATAGCTCCTTTTCGTCACCTTGCTCGTATACTCGGACCAATCTTCCGGCTGGCCAGGGGTGGGGAAGGGGCCGTGACTATCAATGGTATCGCACACCCCATTCGGCTTGATATTACAACCGAAATTCACACGCTGGGATACTAAGGACGAGTTGAAGGCTGTGGCGTCATCGTACGCGGGACCTTGGAAGACGCGCCAGCCATTGCCTGCCATGGCGGCTGTGACGGCAAAGGTTTTGAATGCGTTGCCGAGTTCTTTTGTTTCGGAGGGGAGCGACATGTTGCTTGGGCTGGAGAAGGCGCCGGAGGAGGCGAAGGCGGCGAAGGCCGTGACGTTAGTCATGATTTCGTGGAGGGCGGAGTCGAGCATGGAGGAGATTTGGGTGTTGAGGTCGCTGAGGTGGGATTGGATGTCGGCGATTTGGACGGTTTGCGAGGCGGCGTCACCGGTGGGGAGGAGGGCGGAGACGACTGATGGGGCTTGTTGGAGGGCGGTGGTTACGATTCCGCCGATTGTGGCGACTGCGGCGGGTATCTCTGGGCCTGCTTCTGGGAAGGCGAGGAAAGCTAGGCCGGTGGTGAGGCCGAGGAGGATGTTGGCGATTGATGTGGAGGCTTTTTCTTCCGGGTCGAGGAGAGCGATCATTGAGGGGATGATGGAGGTAGCGTCTGAAGCTGCGAATTTGGTGGCTAGGAACCAGTTGGTGAAGAGGTTGTTGATAGCTGGTAAGTCTTAGCAATTGCCGATAGTGAGAGAGCGGAGCCATACTATAGATATTCCGAACAATATAACGTGCTTGCGGTCTAGATGTGTTGGGAATATTTGACGATACCTCATGACCTTCAAGGTCGCAACTATTTACATTGCTCTTTGTGCAATCAAAGTCTGAATTGTCTAGAGCGAGCCTCAGGAAGCAGGTAGCCCACGCCTCGGCAGGGGTGCAACAGTGACTTGCATCACTTTGACCAGTGCATTTTGGGGTCTTCGTAAACCAGTTCTGTACCCATTCCCCAAGAGCTAAGGTTCCAAAGCAAGTAGCATCATATGGTGTGCTAGATCCACCCGTGCATGTGTCTGCTCGAACACTGATAGCCGCATCATCGACAGGAAGCGAGCGCGACTGTGCGACCAGGGCGGCAAGGAGGAGCGAGGTGGCATACTTCATGTTGGAAGTTATGAGAGAGTTTATGAGTATGAAAGGCGACACGAGATACTGCCTGCCACAGACGCAGTCTTAGATCTATAAGAGCAAAGGGACCGTAATTTATACACAGAGTGGTTCCCCCAGCGTTATGGCTTTGGACAAGCAAGATGCGAACAGCCGCCATTCTTGAGTATTAAGCTTCAGGTATGACCTTCAGATATGACGGTTCGTAAAGCAATGGTGTAAAGGAGTCGCATACAAGCATAGCGAAGCATGCTTTTCTGGCCGGACGGTGGTATTGCGAAGGACAGTAGCTGCCGATATCGTCATCACCGGCGGCTCGAGCTTACCGTATCTGGACATTTGGGCATCTTCGTTGTACTCATGAGTCTTAGTAAGAAGCCACAAGCATCGAGAAGTCCCCCTTAAATTAAAGGTAATGCCAGAATGTGTTGGCGCTTCAATGTTTATGCTGTCTTTCCGAGGCTAATGCAGGTACATTGAACGATAAGATATCAGCCTCCCGTGGTTACATGAACGGAAGAATATAACCGCGGCTCTAATGTATTTCGCGAAACCCAAATGGGGTAAATGGGCATGCTTCCTTGACTATATTTGGTCTTAAATGCTGAACAGGACCAAGGAAGTGATTGAGTTAAGCAACAATGATGCCACGACTAGTGTTATCAGGAACGAATCCATAAAGCTCAGGGTTTCACGTCGATCTTTCATATCGGGGCGAGAAAGGGGCGTGGATACGAACTATGCCCCCCCACAAGATGACGGCGATCGGAACCTGCCCCACTCCTTGATCCGTCCCGTAAAGTGATAGCCATTCTAGGACAGCCTATTGCGAAATGGGACGAAGAAAAACCAGCCTTATGCAAGAAAGAGGCGCCAGCAGCGCATATCAGTGTTTCAAGGCTTGCGGATAATTATGACATGCTTTAAGCGATATCGATACTTTATTCAATTACCCGAAATTGGCACCTGATCTGTTTCTTTCGATCGAAAGACACAAAGAGCTTAGACGATGCAGCGTTTCCACGGGCGTTGACAAAGTAGTATAATAATGGAGCTTGGTCAGGCGTCGATGATCGCGGCGAATGCTCGAGTCAGGCAAGCCAGTAGACTCTGCCAATACGCGAGAACCTGCTGACTATCACATCAGAGGAGATGCGAATGTATGAATGGTCATTAGATCTCAGCAGTGATCTCCTTAGTCTCAAGGCATATATGCTGGTGTTGGAACAAGGTCTATGTCTGGCGGATTGGCTGACGATTTCGTTTCTTGCTTCATATGTACCCATCGAGTGAGGGTGTGTGCAGGCTGTAGGGGAGATACGTCTGTAATATTAGTATATCGGTGATGTTAGATTCTCCACCAGATGCCTGCTGGAGCATGAGACACTGCATGTACAGCTTCCCTCAAGCTTGTCATTTTTGCTGAAGCAAGGCATAGGAGACGTGAGCTTGTTTTAGAGATAGCTCTAATTTTGGACAGGTCACTCTCTTGATAGTGCCCATCAAGTTAGGATGCAACCGAAGAGAATACGAGCAAAGGTTCTGCAAATCTTCCTAAATGCCAAGACAGTCCTTGGGCGGAGCGCTGGGCAGCGTGTGTGGAGGCATTAGTGCAAGAAGGGCCATTTGTGGTCAAGCGAGCAGTCTCCTTCTTTTTCTCTCTGGTTCATTGCCGCTCCTTAGGTGACGACGACTTGCCATTAGCAAAGCAGATCAGGTCGTGTGGAGCAAGGTGTAGCTGGACTTGTGGGCCGTCACTAGGAGACTCCATCAGGACTCACTGCAGACCGAAGATGTCGTGTCGATGGTTTGCAGTCTATGTCATGACATCAAAGTTACACATCGTCTGCTACAGTCTTCAGTGACTTCTCGCTGCGCAGGTATCCGTAGCTTCCTTCAGCGAGCGGTGCGAGTTCTGCAGGATTCTAGCTTGACCTGTGAGCCCTAGTAACTTGTTGAAGACACTACTGAGCCATTTCCATAGCGCCTTGATACTTCCTGCCCGAGCGACCCATCTGTACGCGCCGTTGTAATCCCTTTAAGGCCATCGCTACCGAAATTTCAAACAAGAGATTTCTGCTAAGGTCTTGAGGATACTTCACAGCGCATGGTTGAATTGCCCGCAACAACAGCCAACTATGATCATGTGGAGCCTGAAACCCTTGCCGTTTGCTATCGATATCAACATATTGGAGCTTCATCTTACTCCACTTACGGTGATTTTCATGTTCGCACGGTGTTCGTAGATCCTGATACGGACTCCCTTGCTTGTGGACTAACATTCAAGGCTCAGATGCTACAATAAAGGAGATCACATCCGCCCCAATAGCCTTGAACACCGGGTAAATCGTGTCGACGTACGCTCCAAAAGTTGGCCGAACCTCAGAGAAAGAGTAATGCGAGCATGAGGCAGTATTGATCGAATTATATTTGATACCTACACCTGCCTGACGCCGTCTGGTCTATCCCCTCGCTCAGTGCATGCCTACTTCAAACATGCAGTTTGATGCCTGTACTTGAAATCTTGCGACCTTTCGACACAATAACACCCTTGAACTAGGCGTCTTTGGCTTCCGTTGACACAAGGCTCAGAGCCATGCTGGTAGATCGCCCGAGTCTCATGGCCAGATTGGTCGACCCAGTGGTACAACCTGTACGACTCGAGCAAGGTTTCAATTCCAACAACAAAAGGAATTTTCTTTATCATGAAACATGAGCATACACAATGGACATGTTGGAGCTCTTACGCGGCCCTAGACCACGGTTACACAATATTTGGTAGACTCATTCTGGACTCTGGGGGCAGAATCCTCCTATATTGACCAGAAAGCTTGTGTCAGAAATGAAGAGTCTATTGAGTGGCTATACGTTTCACAAGTCAGCTGTGAAAAACCAAGAATACTTTGTGATCATCCTTCGTGGACTCAAGGCAGTCACTCCAACTCTCTGCGGGGATTGAAAAAGCATCAAGGGGCCGCCCTCCTCTCGAGGGAGAACATGGTCACGGACAACATCTCACTCCGGAACGGAAAATTTCTAAAGCGTACATGAGCACCTACAAGTTCCTGAATCACCTTCCATGTCGACTGTACCGGAGATCATTCCTCATCAACAAATTTTCATCCCGAGAGAATCTATCATGACTTATCATCAAATCTTCCATTTCTATAAGGTACCCCATTCGGGACCATAGTCCGTTGAGAACTAGTATATAATACTCTCTCTGCCGCCAGACCAGCTTTTTGGCCTATAGATGTAGGGATAGTCAGTGATAAGAATACGTCATCTGCACTCTGCAGTCACCAGTAAGACGATTCCTTTTTGTGGCCGAACGCTTTGGAAACCGCAGATACCATCGAGAAATTGCCTCAGCTGTCCTTCGAAATACCTTGTCTGGTATAATGAAAAATCAGCACACTCCCAAGAAGAAATGCTGCAAAGGTCAAGGAAGGCCTTCATGGTCGTAGTACTTGAGACTAATCTTAAATTCTGGACTTCAGGTCTTTGACTTTTAAACGCCATGAGCGATACGTATATCCGACCCATAAGAGTGACGAAATGTAAGGTACAGACACAACGATCGGCTAAACACTTCTTCCAGAATTCACAAAGATGGTGGAGAGACAGCAATGTACCGCCAACAATCGTTGCAATCATTCAGGTTTGTCAGCTTTGTCTCATATTGGCCACGTTTGATAAGCTACATCGTCTCGCGTTTGACGATCTTCTTGAAGCTATACTTTGTTATCTGCATTCAATCACAATGGAAGGGCGGCACTTCGCGGTCACGGATAGTTTCCATACATGAAGGGAAGGCTCTTTCGCTCATGGAAAGATCCGTGGTTTTGTGAACGGAATGTCTTTGATTACAAACAGTTATACCAATCGTTGAACGAAAACGTGTGCCTTGCCTCATTCAACATGCCATGTCTAGGCGAACATCAGTGATACCTCCTTGCCGGAAAATCTGAAGGGCTGAGTACCAACCTTTACGTCATATTTCGGCGTATAATATCTGATTCAACACAAGATTGCTATAATTTGGGCTTCGTTGTTCCAGTGACCGAAGAATCGGGTGGCCGGCCAACGAGAGGCTCACCCCATGTATTCGAAGAAAGGATCATAGATCTCATCAGACTGCCAAGCAGCAAGAACAAATCAATCGAAGCACTTGCAGTCAGTTGGCTGCATCTTCACTTCCTCAAATTTGGCCAAGCCGACCACAGAAATCAACTTAAGACAAGATTGAAAAGGCCAGGACATGTAGCCCTCAAAAGATGATATCACTTTCAAAGTCTATCTGCTCACCCTGCTCACCCTGCTTAGAATAATCCAAAACATCATGAGGCTCTTCCCGTTGATCGAAGAGAACTCTCGAGACCCATGCCGGGTAGACATAGAATTTGTAGTTACGGTTGGGGCAATCGAGAAATATAACGGTCTCTAAATGGCTACCCTGGTCTATCGGCTAATATGAACAGGTTGACCAATGGTATTCCCAAGTTGATTAGTGCTCTCCATCGAAATGAAAAAAGTACTACTCTACCAGTGGTCTTCTCGTCCCTAACCGCCCTTCACAATGTTCTTCGAGTCTTGTGAGAGGGCCTTGGAGGTGAAGTTTTCGGATGAGGATAATACGGATGGTCGGCTTGACCCAGATGTACAGTTGGGCCGGAATGTCAACGTAAGAATGCTGGGTATTGGGACTGAGAGTTTGGGGTTTGAGTCATGTGCCGTTGATAAGTGTTGAAATGTACTTCTGCATGACTTACTCAAAATCAATTTATTATTGGCGATCACAACATGCTTAACGTTGTCGTCCCTTTGGGTATTTATGAAGCAGCTGGTTGCAGTGTTTCTCTTGCATGTGCTATTCCTTGTTTAAGCAGCTTGCAAAGCGATTTGCAGCCAGTGGCAGCAGATTGATGAAGCAAGATATGTCGCTCTTATAGTGACCACGACGCCCTAGATAGTGATAATTATATGGGTCCTTCAGCGGCTTGCTTTGGCCAACAATATCACGACCTACGGTTGAAATCACGCAATGTTCAGGGCATCACTTTATCTTACGCTGCAACTTGACTGAGCATATCCTACTATTGCATGATTGCCATGATGCTGGAACCTTAGCTTGGCTGAACTTATGCAGCAAGGCTGGTAGTATCAAAGAAAATCTAAAGTATGTAGCAGATGCCGCATACCCGCAGGTCTCTTCAGAACGAGCCTAGCATCGTGGTCTCCATCGATCAGACTGTAATTATATCTGGCACGAGAGTCTCGAGGGCGAGCTGGCACATTCACAGGATACTCGCAAAGGCCCTATGTTTCCTCCATCAGAACATTGATCGCGCGGGAGACACAAGAACCACGCCCCTATCATACAGGCCAGATAGCAAACAAGTCATGATTAGGGGTTCCCTTGTTTACTACCTGTGGCACGCTGCATTGTCCTGCATACAACTAGCTAGGATGGTAAACGAATATCTTGGCAAGGGATAAATACGGCAGATTAAGGTAGCCAACAACAGACTAACGAGTGGCGAGTGTTTGTTACATCGTGCAGGAAAATCTCGGTTATTTATCTGACACCAAGTTACCTCCCCGTTCTTTTCGGCGTGACTCAACGCACTCATTCCTCATTCTCTGATCATCTCATGTGCAGACGCTTTCCTCTCTTACAGACACCAAACCAGAGATTTCATACTTCCTCTGGGTGGAATCTAAACAGCGTTGAGGGGTAACCTCAGTCCAAGGGCCAGCTTGGCTCACGTCCCTCATTTCAGCTTCGCTAGTCTTGTCGACTGAATGAACCATGACCAACCCTACCCAGCTCAGCTATGATCTGGGTTTCGTGATTGCAAAGACTAACGACTCTTATGGCCGTCCCACGCGGGGAGACCCACATGAATTTCAAAAGCAGATCAAGAATTACATCGATTTGCCTGGCAACAGGGGTCAATCTGCCGAGAGAATGGCAGCTACATGGCTGAACAGCAATTTTCGTACTTTTGATCACAGAGAAGATATTGGCGTTCATAGAACGTGGACCGAAGACCAAGATATGTGAGTCTTCAAAGTTCATTGGCTTGAGAAATTCGCCCGCTCATCCTGGGCAGTATAAAAGAAAAGTTTTTCCAACTTTTCCGACTCATCGGGCCTAAAGAGCCGAAGCAGTTGGGTACAGGATATTCCTCCGGAGGGTACAGCCAACCTCCTCACCGCAACACTGGTTTTGAGAATTTTGCCCAGCCTCGACTTCGAAATGTGGGCGGAGTGGATCTTGGTGAAAATGCTGGGCCACTAGAAAGGTATCAAGTCTAAGAGTATATTTCGGCCATTTTAATGATGTTCAATAGGTTGGCAAAAAAAGATGCAACACTTATTACCTCAATGCGTCAAGATGGTTGGGACGCCAACTTACCCCAGGTTTTTGCATCCAAGAACGCCCTCATCAACGCGCTCCAAACTACGGTGAACAATTTGAGCCACGACAAACTTCCAGGGTCACTTTGCCTAAGCCCGAACCGGCTCGAAATTCGTATTGGGCTCTACCTCACTACCACAACCCAGAAGGTCTTCGCTTCACAATTCATAATACAAGACAAACGTGGTGGGTGGGCGATCTTTGAGGACGCGGATCGGAAGATGACAGGACGATGCATTTACGCAATGACCAACTCAGGAAATTCCCAATTCAAGAAAGGCTATCATGGGTGGCTCGGTGGCTTTCAAGGTTTCAGCAAGAAAGCGATTGCTCACACTGAAGGGAATTATGATTTCCATCCGAGGGAAACTCAGGGCGAATCAGAAGGGAGTAAATTTGCATTCAAATCTATGTTGAAGTTTTCAAGCCATACTAACTCATAACCAGGCGTCAACAATGTCGATGGGCCAGATACTGAATTGACGGAAAGTGATGATGGAGATGGAGAGTTTCCGGGCTTACCCTATGACACTACCATCTCGAAGAAGAGCATGAGATCTGGAGCCGGTGCACGGAAAGCTGGCGCAGCCTCCTTTCATGCAGGAGCGAGCATACCGAATCGTTCACACTCTGCAACAGGACGAAGTCAAATTAGTCCTGCCGCAGATGTGCAGAAATCTTACAAACGAGTTCGTTCTGTCAGTCCTACAGAATCGTCAATGAGGTTCAATGGCTCCGCAGGGGTCCAACATTTCCGTCAGCAAGGAGGAGAGAAAGCACTGAGCACCTTTCTTCATCCAAATAGTCACTCAAGAGAGGTCTCACCGTTACGGCAAGATGCGCACAGAAGTGCTGGTCCTACCGATCTTGATACCTCGTCCACTAGCCGCGCCTTGGAGACTATGATTGATAGAAATCTACATACAGTCATGACTGCCAACAATATCGACGCATGCAACGTTAAGATGTCCGATAGTCTCAGCACAGCTATTGTGGAATGGGGACAGATGTTGGACCTCGCCGAGAACTCATTGGACATACAAAAGCGACTGTCAGCTCCAGGATATCGGGAGAACATGAATGCAATCATGAGCTCTCGAGCTTCCCGAGAGGACATGAAAAAGGTCTACTTCGACAACAATAACAAGCGTGAAGCACTCATGAACGTCGGTGCTCCAGCTGCGATTGCCAAACACATCTTTACACATGACCACGACCTCGACAAAGTCCCCTCTCTTCTTTCCAACTGGATAGCTTCAGCGAGAAATGCCAATGATCCAGTACAATGGGCTCTCTCTGAAGATGACTGTACGGACACAGCTAGCACGCGCCGACCTGATACTAGCTCGTCTCGCCGTTCAGGTCGACCAGAGACCAGAATATCTTACGAACAGCCTGTGAGACGCCAGGAGGTTTCAACCACGAGAATGGAATACCCATTGATCTCCTGGCAGGGTCTTACATGAAATTACATCAAACCTTTCCTTTCACCGAAGCAGCTTGCGTGAACAGATGAGGAGCAGTAATTGATAGAAAGGTGATTTTCGGGCTTCTCATGCAGTGACGATTTTGATTTACATAATGGAGGATCAACACTTTTGCAGTATATGCGTTGCGGTTGAATTGGTAAAGATCTCGGCCGCGAGAGGCAAGTACTTTAGTCAACCATACATAGTAATGATGTCAATATCATCAAGCAAAGGCTGGTCCAACATACTACTGACGTATAGCGTTTGCCATTGCTGTCATCTGATTCCGTCTTTCTCTGCGACCCGTAAAAAATGCTGCCTCCACGCTCCCTCTCTGCTAATTCAAGGTCTTACTTTGACAAAAATGATAGGCTTACACTATTCAGACTCTCGTTTCCTCCTTCAGAATTTAATTTCACTTTAGGACATCAGTACTAAAGTGCATGATTTCGGTCTTCTTGAGACAGTTGGAGGATTCCATTGATACAACGTCGGACCTGAGGCCATGCGTTGGCATTCATTTTGGCGAATTCGAGGCCGACCATGTTGGAGTTTCGATTGCCTGTCGTGTTTATCTGGGGAATGGAGCTGAGAGGTGACTGCCAGCTTGTGAAAGTGACAACAGTGAGATTAAAAATTGCTAGGAGTCGGGATATAGATGCTCGGTACATGCTTGCAATGGGACAGGGGATGATGTGATGAATTAGACTGGAAAAAAACTGGCGTTCATCAATAAGAGTCCTGCTCAATATGCTTCTGCAATGCTTCGCAGCAAGCAATCGATCATATACTGTACTGAGTCTGAGCTCTACGTCGCGTGTTGCAAGTCTAGACGATCGATAATTACATGCTTTTAAAACCAGCGTAAGCAGCTATGGAATGCTGATTCTACCTTATGTCATCGCAGAAACATAGCAAGCAAGTGCTATCTATTCACACAGTCATGCCTATGCCACTAACCAGAGGTTATGTATTATGCATCTAGTTTTTAGCATCAGCAAGCGAATTTTGTATGATTCAGCTGATAATCCCATGGTGTAGCATCAAATGCTGGGTTCCGCGATGGGATAGTTTTCAAACAAGCCTAGAGTTGATCCTCAGTACGGTACTTGGTAGACTTTTTCTACACAAAGCACCGCTGGGGACCAAATTTTAAGCTACAATACTCGCTATACATGTTCAATGGATCACACGAGCGTTAAACTCAACTTGGAGACACAGGAATCGAATTACTATTATTTAAGGATGCCTACAGAGAGCCTGGCCATCCAAGCACAACGACGTCTCACACAACCACAATCTGACCATACAGATGCCATACGAGATGATTCGCTGGGATGGGGATTGTTTGATAGCACGGCAAACTCCTAGCATCAGATTGTGGTAAACCTAGGCTAAACCTAGATGAGCGAGCACACACTTGACACTTTTAATAACAAAAAGCCGTCCATGGCCCGGCGAACTTTCTCTTCACTGATACAATTGTTTGTGTTTACGCGAAAATCATTCTCAACGACGGACGATCCATTGTAGCAGTGACTGCTCGAATGCAAAGTTTGTTTTCACTTGCTTGTCCGTCGCTCTCATACGAACAGTCATCAACAAACAATGGATCCGACTCAACTTTGTTACGATATTGGTTTCGTCGGTCTACAGACCGAAGCGCCGGGGAGCCGCCCCTCAAGGGGCTGTCCTCACGACCTTCAGGATCACATCAAAGATGCCATTGCTCTGTCAGCACACAAGTATACGCATTCAGACCAACTCGCAGACGCATGGTCGAACGAGAATTACCACATTTTTGACGATGCTCAACCTTTCAATTCACACGGAATATGGAGCAACGACAATCCTCTGAGAACATGGACCAACGATGAAGAATTGTGAGATCCGAAAGTTTATACCCACCGAAAATTTTGTCTGCTTAGTTGAAATAGCATCAAAGACAAAATTCGGGCTCTTTTTTCAGGTCTTACCCCTCGAAAGCCGAGACTATCGAATGCGGAGCTTTATTCTGGAGGATTTAAGCAGCCTGAGCACGACCGTATCGACTCACAAGAGATCACCACAGATGCGTACCCGCGAAAAATGACAGACATAAAGGTTGCTAGTACGGCCGGACCCATACAAAGGTATTTTAAATAAGCAAAGCACGGCATCATTCGAACACTGACAATGAACAGGCTGGAGAGAAAGGAGCCAAAACTTATGGATGCTCTTCAACAGAGCGGATTCAGCGGTTGCCTACCCCGAGTTTTCCCTTCCAGAAAAAGCCTAATTCAAGCAACTCGAAGATCGATGGAGGAGATGAAGCTCGATTCTCCTCCTGGATCAATCGAACTCAGACCCGCTAAGATCAAAGCTACTCAAGAAAAGGAGTATAAGACACGGCTTGTTCTTGCAACTACGAATGAGGAAGTGGTCGCATTACAGCTTAGTTTTTCCGGCACTTCTGGCGGGTGGGCTATATTCGAGAAGTCTGATCTAGACATGACGGGTCGCTGCATCTACGCGATCACCTCACGTGGAAATTGTCAGACAAGACGGGGTTACCATGGATGGCGAGGCGATGGCCTCAATTTCTCTCTGGATGCTATTGCTCATAACGAAGGCGACAGTAACTTCCGGCCAAAGCAATTGAAAAGCAATTGTCCAGATGGTAAATCTGCACACAGGCTACTACAGCACCACAAAGAGTGATACTAAGGCGTCGGCAGGATCTAATATCAACAATCAACCAGCGAATAGGTCCGAAAAGAGTAGCGATCAAGAATCTAGGGGGCATCGCCAACGACAAGGCACAAGCCAGCTTGGAATTCAAAGCGACAGCGTTGACTTTGAATGGGGTCCTTCACCATCTACTCCTCGATTGTTTAATACCAAGGTCCAATTACCCAGTCATACATCACCTGCACCATCTCTGGCCAACCCTGACCATCTGCATAGAGATGTGGCTCAGGGGTCGCTCAAGCGGCGCTATTCTACAGTATCCCTGAGACCGCAAAATGAGTCCGACGATAGCACAAGCGATCGATATTCTCGCCAAGCCCAACGTAAGAAAGGGTCTGAAGCTTCGCGAGGCTCAAATTTCCGGACTCAAGAGCCTTCACCCAAGCGGCACTCTGTGCGCGCGAACGTTGGCTCTTCTTCAAACACATACCGTGCCTTGGGCACCATGGTGAACAATAATTTGCAAGCTGTCACTACCGGCAACAGCCTTGACTCATACAACCTCCAATGCCTCGCCAGCCTTGCCAAATGTATTGAACAATTGGAAAAACTGTCGCCACTCGCTAATCAATACGCAAAGCTTGCAAAGCGAGGTCTATGGCCCGACCATCAGGAGTCCATAGAGACAGTTCAGGATTCTATATCCGTGCAAGAAGATGCCAAGGAAGTCTATGATCAGATAATGAATAAGCGGGAAGCACTCATTAGTACAGACTCCTCTATCGTCACTGAGCGCATCTTCACCCACGACGAGGACTTGACCAATACTCCTCCTTCTCTCACTGAATGGGCTTTTTCAGCGAAAAGCGCCCCTGATCTCGTCGATTGGGCTCTTTACACAAACGCGGGACTGAATGTGAACAGCTCACGCCAACCTGATACATAATTCTCTGACAGGTATTGCGAAATAACTTCAGCAGCCTCGCAAGGCAGCTCAAGATTCATGGACCCTTGTTTCTTCTCTTTTGTGGAATGTTCGAACAAGTACGGGCATTTCTTATTGTGTCTTTCTGGTAGCAGCCCACGGGCCAATATGAGTGCTACACGTCACCAGCTTTGTTTGAGGTAGGTTGAGTACGTCTAACACACATTCTTCGACTTAGATAAAGGATAGCAGGAATGACAGTACATGCTGTAGAGCATAGTAAGGGATAGTCATAGGAGGATTAGCTTTCAGTGGTACGTGATTAGGCGAGAATATGCAGATATGCGTGCACATTAGTGGTAAACCAAAAATTCGTATCAATCATTCCTAGAATCTTTCTGTTCCGCGGAGGCCTCTCCATCATGCATGGATTCTTATGGCTGTTGTTATTGTAGCTATCTTAATACAGTCGGCGACACAGCTGGTTCGTGAACTTTTTCCGGAGAAGTTGAGCTCATTTTCTGGTCAGTTTATATTATATTACAATTGCATAGGACGAACCCAAGTATTACCCCTAGCATGTTTATAACTCGAAGCCTGCATGAATTATATCAATTCATGCACCTCCTTCAAAGGTAGTTCCGCGTGTAAACTCCTTCCTTCGACTTCGGAAATAGTTTGGCGGCCTCCGATTTCAACGGGATTACGTCCCTTCCTTGCTTGCTCCTCTTTTATCTTGATGCTGACCCATTTTCTGACATGCCTGATTCCAAATATTAGAAGACCTAGGAAAGCAAAAAAAGCGAGGGTTGCAACGGTGACGATGCTAGCTGTAGCACCAGAAGATAGGCTTGAAGAGGATTTCGAGATGCTGTCGCTAGGGGATGGAGTTGATGTTTGTGTTGACGAAGGCGTGAGCTTAGTCGTCCGATTTGAGGACAGATCTGAGGCAGGATTCGACGCACTAAACGCAGTCGATGAAGTCGATGCTGACACAAAAGAAGAGGTCCTTGCTGTCGCGGGGAATGAGCAGGCTATCCGCATAATCAGGTATCAATCGTATTCTCACCTGCAATTGTGGTGGATGCATCAGCTTTGCTGGAAACAAAACTCAGAGGGGAAGTCGCAGCAATACGATTGCTAGGTACAGATGAAGCCTCGATCGCGTTGGCTTCTACCGCCGAAACATTCGCGTAGGGATTCGGGACATAGGTGATGCACACATTGGTTTGACCCTTCTTTCGCGTGCAAGCTTCGTATTCTTCGTCGCAACACCAATCTACCGTGCTCTCTCTCAGCTAGGATGACTTAATCTGATGCGCTCACTTACGTGTTTCCCCAACTGCGCATGCAATTTGACCCGGACCCGGCGCTTGGGAGGAAGCTCCTGTGCACTTCCTACCGTTGCCCCAGCAGCCGCTGGATATCATGCATATCGTTAGTCTACCCAAGTCTATACCAATTCTTTTAGTGAATGACGAGAGAATACGCACCGAAAAGCAGGACAACACCATAGACTACTGATGGGTTCAGCATAAGCACATAATCCTCCATTGGCCGTGAGGTTTGTGCATGATAAATTAATATTGTTGATCGAGCATTCGTCTTGATTCTGACTTATGAAAAACTCCACGCATTGCGATAGCACTGCAAGAGACAGAACAGGCAGTATCCAAGTTGCGAGGGAGCATGAAGACATTGGAGAAAGAGATGGAAAATCTGCGGCAATGAAGCATACGCATGCTTCCCCCAAACGAAACTGATCTTCACGCAAAGACAGATTGCAGGACCACTAATGACAAGGCTGGGCCGAATCTGGGGCGGTGACATATTTTGCTGTACTGAATAAGCCTTACAGTGACAAGGGGCCAACGTCGTATACGGGGGGCGAAGCTAGCATTTCTGCGTTCGTGCCGCTTGTGCAAAAATTGCCACCTGCGCAGGAGCACCGCCCAATTTCGAGCGGCTGACTCTGCAGGCTGAGTCTGGCATCAGCATTGCAAATCGAACATTAACATACAGATTGACCGTCTTCGTGGGGTCTGTGGTTGCCACTGATTAATAGCTGGTATAGCCTCTCTTCAGGGAGAAATGCTACAATGCCAAAGGCAGCAAAGAAATCTAGTCACTTCCTGCACGATGGTCGTGGGAGCATCTTTGCGTTATATCTTAGAATGATCGACCAGCTTCGCGAAAATAGGTGGAGAGAGAAAAAGGCAAAGGGCAGACCAGCAAGAGGCAAGCAGATGAAGGACGAGAAGAAGGGACCGGCGAAGAAGCCTTTCGGGGTGCAAGCTAGCAGATCTCGAGCCAAACCCTCCATCTGCATCTTTTCCTAAAAAAAAATGTGACTCAATGTTAGACCGGTCGGATTATTGGGCATTCGCAGTCGACTTTATCTCAACGCTGCAAATATCTTACCGGAAGATAGTTCCATCAATATAGCCTAATTGCAACGATTTCTGCTGGCAACATTTGTCAATGTTGGGGCGAACAACATTGAACCAGAATATGGGGTAAAAGGGGTATTTTAGAGCCGCTGGAAGAGAAACGTCGAGAAGCTAGACTCTTTTGTCATGAAAATAAAGAGAATATATATTGGTGTAGCGATATGACCTACTATTGAACAAAATTCCCTATAGATTGAGACTTCGATAGAGAGCTGACTCAAAGGCGGACAATACATAGTATTTGAAGTCAAAATCTTGACCTAGCCCTCGGGTGCTAATGAAAAATCACACTCTCTTTTTACCCTTTAACTATATAAGAAAATTTTTGCGTATAAGATTATTTGAAAAAGAAATAGCAATATCTTTCTTATAGTATAGTTTTTATAAAATCGTTGCGTTAGCTATCTCTAACTATTATTATAGATTTTAGAATATAATTTTTATTAGCATAAGCTAAGCCTAGTAAAGGATCTAGTTAGACTAGGGGTTAGTGGGCTAAAAGCTTATTTCGCCTAATCTCTTAGGCTTTTATATAGTATTTTAGTAGCTTTTATTCTATTATTCTTATAATTATTTCTATTAATTAAAAAGCTTTTAGAATAAGACTTTAAGTATAGCTAGTTTTTATACTAATATAATATTATAATACTTTACTTTTAATTCTATTACTTAAAATTCCTTTCCTTTACTATACTATCTTTTTAAAAAAAAATAAATACTTAAAGCTTATAAAATAATAAATAGCTTTATTACTACTAATATTAAAGTTAAAAAATCTATAAGTAATAAAAGCTTATAATTATAAATATTTTCCTCTTAACTTATAATATAATATACTATTACCTTAAATATTTTATTAATAAAATAAAAATAATAAGTAATATAAAGCCTAACTTTTTAAAGCTAGTTATAATTAGCTTTTTCTTTTCTAGCTATCCCTTAAGTACTTTTTATCTATAATTATAACTTATTAATAATATTAAAAATAAAAAACTTTTAAATAATAATAAAGATCTTTTTAAAAAACTTATTATAGCTTAAAACTATTATATACCCTTCTTATTAAAGCTATTTTATATTCTTTTTCCTTCTTAAATATATTTTTTTATATACCCTCCTTATCTAAGTTATAAAATAAAAGATTTCTATAAATACTTTCCTATATAATAAAAGCTATATATAAGCTTTATAAATATATTAAATAGTAAGTAGCCCTCTTTTTCTAATATAATTTTAAAAGCTAGATTTCTAAACTTAACTTTAAATATATTAAAGAAATTTAAAAAAGTATTTTCTAAGCTAAAGATCTTTTTAAACTTATTAATAGCTTAATTATATAATTTATAAAAAATTTAACTTCTAAAGAATTTAATATTATATATAATATTATATATAGCTTCTTAATTTATAAAAAATTTTAATTTATTTTACCTTTTAAAATAAATATATAGCTTTTTATAAAAAGTTATTAGATTATAAATACTATTTTTAATTTCTTTTATTATATTATATAAAAGAATTTATTAAAGTTTTTAATAAATATTATATTAATAAAATAATAATAATATAATAAGATAATTTAAAATATTAAGTAAAGGCTAAAGCTAATTTAAAATATAAATAATTCCATTAAAAAACTAGAATTATAATTCTTTTAGCTATTTTATTAATAACTTTAATAAAGCTAAAAAATAAGCAAATTTATTATAATTAAATTAATAAAAAAATTTTATAAATTACCTTACTATTAATAATATATTTATAGAATATATAAAGATAGATATAAGATAATTAAATATAATAATTATAAAAATAAAAATTATTAAAATTTAAATAAAATTTTAATCCTTTTCTAAGATAAGGTTTTATATTTAAAATAATTACCTATAATTCTATCCTTTTTAAGCAATATTTTAAAAAGATTATTATATTCTATAGCTAATACTACTAACTTTCTTTTAAATAGAATACTACTATTATTATATAATAAGTAAGTATACTAGCTATAAAATTATTTAAATAAATACTATATATAATAAATCCTATAAATTATAAAAATAAAAGCCTAAATAGGTTATAAAGGTTCTAACTAGTTACTATTAAATATACTTTACCCTTTTATAGTAATAGATTTAAAAACTTTTATAAAAGATTAAAAAAAATAGAATACTTATTACTAGCTTCTAAAAATAGCTATAACTCTAACTTTATTTTATATTTCTTCTCCTTTAAGCTTAGTTATAAAAAATAATAAAGGATTTAAACGAATTTATAATCTATTATATTTAAAAGGTAATTCTATTAATAATTTTATTAATATAGATAATAAAGCTCTTAAATATACTAAGTTTAATACTATTATTAATATAATACTTAAAATAAGCTTTAAAGCAATATTTATAAAAAAGGATCTTTTAATATTTTTTAATATATATTAATAGTAATAAATAAGTAATAACTTTTTAGTTTCTACTAGAATAATATATATTAAACTAACTATTATTTCCTTTTTAGCTTAAAAATAATATTTTTTATTTTTAACCTCTTTACTAAAGGCTTATATTATATTATTTTTTATAAATTTTACTATTTTATTATTTTATATTATTTAAATAACTTCTTTATAGTTTTACTAGAAAATATTAATATAAAATAATATAATAATAATTTTAATACTATCTATAAGGATTTTAGCTTAATTATTAATATAAAAAAATATTACTAAGTTTTTTAATAGAATTTTTAAGTATTAAAATTAATACTATAAAGATATATATTAAATTCCTAGAAAATAAATTTTAAAAAGCTTTAATAAAAGTATTTTATATTTTTAATAGGAAATTAATTTTATATAAAAACTTTAACTTTTTTATTAAACTTTTAACTTTTATTATAAAAATTATATAGCTTAGATACCCTTTTTTAAAATATATATATAATACTCTTATAAAAAGGAAAATATAGTATAAAGTTAAAAAAAATATTTATTTAGATTTAAGATAATAAAATACTTTATTATTATATTATAATAGTTATTATTTTAAATATATTTTAAAATTCTAATAAAAGTTCTTCCTTTAATTAGATACCGCTTTTATAGAGGGTTTTAAATACTTCTTACTTATAAACTTTACTAAACTATTAACTTTAAAGTTTATAATTATAAACCCCTTTTAAGTATTAACTCCTATAAATATTTAATTCTAAAAAGTATTTATAATTTTAAATATTTTAATTTAATAAAAAAAGCTATTAGTAAACTAGATTATATATATAATAAAAAATAATAAGCTAATTTACTATAGCTATAAGAAACTTTTATAAAAAAAAACTAGTAATAGCTATTATTAAGAAAGTGGCCTTATTTATTATTATTTTTAATATTTACTTAAAAATTAACTAGCTAGTATAAAAAATAAATATTTTAACTAATAATTTCTTTTATTTCTATTTTAAGAAAATTACTAATAATTATCTTTAATTAATAAGCTTTATAAAATTATAGCTATATTAATATTTAAGCCTTTTTATTAATAATTTTAACTTTTAATTTTATTAAAGCTTATTAAAGTTTTAACTATAGTTTAATAAAAAATATATATATTATATATATAAATATATATAATAGCTACTCTAGGTTCTATATATTTAAAAACTTAAAACCTATTATATTAATAATAAAAGAAAATTTATATAAATAATTTATTAATTATTCTTATTTTTAAATTTAATTAAAAATAATAAAAATATATTTTATAAAAATAAAATTAAAATATATAAAATAAGGATTTAGTAATAGCTACTTTAATTATAAGTTTTTTAGCTAGTTAGTTAGATATATAATTAATAAAATTTATAAAACTTATAATAAATATAATATTAAAGAATAATAACCTATTACTAAAAATATATTAACTAAGATTATCTAAACTTTAGATATATTTAGATTTAATAAAACTTTATTATATATTACTTTTTACCTAATATTTATAAGCTTCCTATATTTAAGTAAAATTATATATAATATTAAAAACCTAATAGTTGACTTTTTTTACTAATATTTAATAAAGTTATTAGTTATCCTATATAAGAAATACTTTATATTAGAACTCCTAAGCTTAAAAAGTAATTTATATTAAAAAGGTATTATTTTATATATTATTAGAATAGATAATAATATATATTTAATTAATTTACTATATTATTTATTTTTATTTATAACTTTTTAAGTAGATTTCCTGCTATTTTAGCTATTTTTAAGCCTATTTATATAAGAGATTATTATTAATAAACTATACTTTATATTATAGAACTATAGCCTATAAAGCTATTATTTAAAATACTTTTTTAGAAGAGGAATAGCAATTTAAACTAAAAGAAATAGCTTATTAAATTATAATATTTAGTTCCTAAGCTGCTAGAAGTTAGAAGTTTATACTTATTATATTAATTTTTTATTAAATAATTTATTAGCTATATTTAGACGCTTTTTATTACTTTATATAATTAATATTAAAAAGTTATATTTTTTAGCTTTACCTTTTTAAAATAGTTATTTAACTACTAGGTTTAAATATAAGTTTAACTAGCTTAAAAGTAGCTATATAGCTTTACTAGTAAGAGAATTAGTTTTTAGCTAGTATAGATACTTAGTAATAAGGTTTTAAGACTTTTAAGCTTTAGGCTAATATAATTAATATTAAATTTATAACTTATTATATTATTATATCTAAGCTTATAAAACTATTAAAGGATCTAGCTAAATTAAAGGTTAATAAGCTAAAAGCTTATTTTACTTAATTTTTTAAGCTTTTATATAATATTTTAATAGTTTTTATTTTATTATTTTTATAATTATTTCTATTAATTAAAAAGCTTTTAAAATACTTACCTATTATTTTTATATATAAATCTATAAATATAGACTTTAAAGCTATATTAATAAAGGGGTTTAACTAGCTTAAAAGTAGCTATATAGCTTTATTAATAAGAGAATTAATTTTTAGCTAGTATAGATATTTAATAATAAAATTTTAAAACCTCTAAGCCCTAAGCTAGTATAGCTAATATTAGATTTATAACTTATTATATTATTATATCTAAGCTCGTGAGACTACTAAGCTATTACTATAAGTGGCCTAAAGAAGGTTAACACCGAAATAAAGAAAGAAGCTTAGCTCCGCAAGCTCCGGTCCCGCTCTTGCCAAGACTTGCTCCCGCGTTTACCGAGACTCCCGCACTTTGCGCTCTCCGCTCTTGAGGAGAAAAAAAAACAATATATATGTAAGTAAGAGCCATCCATGTATGGATCCGAAAACATAGAATTTCCTTGATGGTCTAGTGGGAAAGTAGCGATCTTCCTGCTGACAAAGACTAAATCTAACATTTCTACTTAGCTATGATTTCCGCTTGTCATTCTGGCAAGCCGCGGGAGACCAGGGTTCGATTCCCTGTCAGGGAGATTTCCATTCTATTTTGTTTTTGGCGAAATTCCGGGTTTCGATAGAGCATGTTGTCAAGGAGCAGTAGATCAAGCCTTTGTAGATGAAATGGTCCTTTGGTCGCTCCTCAGACATGGGCACAAGACAATGAGACCGGTCTATCATGATCTCAAGTACGTTCTAGATAATCGTTGAATTGCACAATCCATTGATCGCCAGAAAATCTAGCAGACCACAAGTGACCAGTTGCTCAGCTATTCGAATTCCTCACGCCCTGACGATCACTCGATCCTTTTGAACCTTCCATTGAATGTGAAATTGAAATATATTGATGTGCCAAGAGCCTGTTTGAAGCAATCCGTCTGTGATGCAAAGTACGCATGCAATGTATTTGGAGTCACAAGGCCGACTGCCTAGAGCAATTATGATCTCGATTTCTTACCTAAACCATACCAAATGACATAGCAGTCAATCTCATCATGCAGCAAAGATGGATAACGAGCAGTCCGATGACGACAAAGCCCTCCTGGCCCGATTGAACGCCATCAAACCCTCCACTGCTTCTTCGCTCTCAGGCGTTAGGTCGCTACCACCACTGCAATCGGAGTCTGAGGATACACCTGAAGATCTGATTGTCCGCTTTCAAAAAATCCATGGTCGTGAAGTCAACTATAATGGTACGAGTTTCAAGAGCGAGGATTCTCCAAAGAATGATCGGCCCACGTCTCCAACGATTGAAGAGCTATTAGCTGAGCTTGGACCTGAGGAACAGTTTCAAATCGATGAGACCGAAATGAGAGAGGCACGGGGACTACTTGATGAAGCAAAAGCTGTTCTCCCGGCCCAAGGGGCTTCTACAGCTCCTAGCGCCGAGATTCAAGTCTCTACGGGCAGGCCTGATCCTACTGAGGAGCGTTCAAACGAGGATGAAGAAGCAGCTTCCGCACTACAAAGAATCTTGGACGAGTCTGAACGTGATGTGGACGAGCACACATCGCTCTCTCAGGTGACGCAGCAGGAAGAGAGGCCACCCCCAGAGCCTACCGCAGTAGACTCTTTCGCAGCCCTACAGTTCCCTACTGTGCCTCCAGACAACACTCTCGGTGACCTCAATTTGCCTTCAGTTCCTACCAACGCACCTGGAGCCACAAGCAAAGTAAGACCGGCCGCTGCCACAGAAGAAGAGATAGAGAGCTGGTGCATCATCTGTTGCGCAAATGCGACAGTCCAATGCTTCGGGTGTGACAAAGACTTGTACTGTTGGGGCTGCTGGCGGGAGGGTCATACAGGCGAAAGTGCTGGGATGGAAGAGAAAAGGCACGTGTGGGAGCGATGGTCCAAAGCTAAGGCGGGACGTGGACCTTGAGGATCTGAGAGAGATGCATGACTGCCTATCAGCCACATAAGTCTATCACAACGACAGTACTACTATCGCACCCCTAAGCGGCAAGCGAGCAGAGTTCATCCGCTTTGAACAGTGACTTGACTCAGTGAGCTTTGATTTGGCTGACTAATGGGACCTCGGTCTCACCGGCTCGCGAACCTTGTGTGAACGGCCTAATCGTATTCCGTACTCGTATACCTTCTCCCCCAACGGGCGCACGATTGTCCCTTAAAGCCCCCTAGGTAGTAAGGGTCTAGGGGCGGTTGGCGCCTAAACCCATATGGACGATCATTCATCCGACTCTGGCTCCTGCCGCACTAGGGCCGCCGGCGAACACCACCAGCATTCTATCCGCGTTGGCCAAAGGCGGTGATGTATTGCGATATAGAGTGTGCCATGTCCCTTGCTTCAAACAAAGGGTTCTGTGTCAGCATCCGTACGAATTGAATCGTATTCATCGCACTCCATTATATAGTTCTGTGTTGGTCCCTCCTGTTGGAAACCTCATCTGCATGCACAGAGCATCATCTAGTGCCACAGCTATATGCTTGCAAAATCATTATAGACCGCGCACAATCCTCATATAGGGGCTCTCCAGGATCTCTCTTTGGAAGATATCAGAAAAGATGGCAGGCGACGAGCGTGCCGTAGAGCACGCGGATTCGATATCATCAGCATCAGTATCTCAACATCATGACTTTGAAAAGCAGGAAGATGGCTCCAAACTCGAGAAGAAGGTCACGACCTTGCGAGACATCGAAAGACAACTTACCGGCGTTGCTGCTGAAGACTTCAAGCCTTCCAAACGACTATACCTTGCTTTCCTCACTTTGGCAGTCATGACCCTAATGGTCGCCTTGGATGGCACCAGCTTGTCCGTTGCTTTACCCGTAAATCCTCCCTTTTACAAAATCAAAAGTTTCTTTATGCTAATACGAATCTACAGATCATCTCTCAAAAGCTCAAAGGAACAGCAATCGAAGCCTTCTGGTCCGGGACATCGTTCCTGCTATGCTCCACCATCTTCCAACCAAACTTCGCTTCCTTCTCGCACATATTCGGCCGTAAGCCCATGGTCTTCGTCTCACTTCTATTCTTCACCATCGGTGCCATCGTCGCGGCCGTCGCGAATGGCTTCGGACCTCTACTGGTCGGCCGCTCACTGCAGGGTATTGGTGGCGGTGGCATCATCGCCTTGACGGAAATCCTCGTTACAGATCTTGTCCCAATGCGCTTGCGAGGCAGCTGGTTTGGTATTATCAGTGGGATGTGGAGTATCGGCTCCGTTACCGGTCCCATCATCGGCGGCGCCTTCGCCCAAAAAGTGACCTGGGTGCGTACCAAACCCCCCTACCGCACCCACCTCAAAGCAACCCGCTAACCCCAACCAGCGCTGGATCTTCTACATCAATCTTCCCTTCATCGGCATCGGCGTCCCCTTCGTCTACTTCTTCCTAAAATTAAACTTCATCCCCCAGTCCATGCTGACCCAACTCCGGCGCGTCGACTGGGTGGGGTCCTTCCTCTTCATCGCCTCTTCCACATCTTTTCTCATCCCCATAACCTGGGGCGGGGTAAACTACGCTTGGGACAGCTGGCGGGTTCTGGTCCCTCTCCTCCTCGGCGTCGCTGGCCTCGCCGGCTTCATCGCCTACGAAGCCTATGTCGCTAAAGAACCGCTCATCCGCCTCGGCATCTTCACAAACCGCACGTCCGCAGCAGCATACTTCTCCACCACCATCCACGGCATCATCCTCTGGTGCCTGTTGTACTACGAGCCCCTCTACTACGAAGCCGTAAAATCCTTCTCCCCAGTTTTGACCGGCGTAGCGCTCTTCCCCGAAACCTTCACCGTCGCTCCCATCGCCGTCGTCACCGGTATCGCCATCACTAAGACCGGCAGGTACCGCTGGGCCATCTGGATCGGCTGGCTCCTCACGATCCTCGGCCTCGGCGTCCTCTACCTCATGGACGTCGACACCACCACCGCCCAATGGATCTTCCTGAACCTCGTCTGCGGGCTCGGCATGGGCATGTTATTCCCCAGCGTGGCATTCGCCGTGCAAGGCGCCTCCAAAAACGAAGATCTTGCTTTCGCGGTCGCTATGTTCTCTTTCTTCCGCGCCTTCGGCCAATCCATAGGGGTCGCGATCGGGGGCACGATCTTCCAGAATCAGATCGCGAAGAAGATTGCGAAGTATCCCGTGCTGGCACCTATGGCGAAGGAGTACTCGAGTGATGCGGCGACGTTGGTGCAGGTTATTAAGGGGATGAGGGGTGTGCCGGAGCAGGCGGAGCAGTATCGGGATTTGGTGCAGGCGTATGCGGATGCTTTGAAGATTGTGTGGATTATTATGTGCGCTTTGGCGGCGGTGGCGGGGGCGTCGAGTTTGGTTATTAAGGGGTTGGGTTTAGATAGGCCGTTGAATACAGAGCAGGGGTTTAGTGAGAAGAGGGAGGGAGATGAGGAGAAAGATGGGGGTGGAAATGGGGAGGGGAAGTGAGGGTTGGTGATATGGTCCCTGTGAAGCATACTTTGCTGTTGTTTAATGAAGATAGAAAGCGTGGCGTTGGGGTTCGAGCATGGTCTATCCGTATATTAAAGACATTTAAAAGTGTCATGTAGTAATCAATATTTTCAATAAATCATCACTTTCGACTTTTTGCACTAATCTCATGATACACCATTGCCTGTGGAGACAATGTACACTGTCATGAAGCTCCTTACTCCCCTTAGGTATGATGTACATCTCAAATGTTTCGATGCTCCACATTCATATGGTATCCCAATCTTCCACCACGCTTCGTAGTTTCCACGCTTCGGCGTTCCTTCCTAGCCCCTTCTCCAAATTTCCCGCGTCTCGTAGAGATATTCACCATAAATAAGGCGTATGCACAGACCTTTTTCAATACCTTTCACACCCCAGTAAGGTTCTCAGCCACGAACATTCCTCCGTCGCGGGGCGAACCCGGTGGTTCTTCCTAAAGATCTTTTTGGTAGTATCTCAATCCTCGGGCTGGCTCTGTCACCTCAGGTAGCCACCGTATTCCTTCCATCGCATGACGTCGTCCGGTGGACTAGGGGTACATGAAGCCTTCGTGATCTGTGTTCTTTGTCTCGCCACATTACATGGTTGACTTCGTTCGGTAGCTTATATAGTGTTGGGAAGGCTATGGTATCTGCGTAAGCTAGATTGGCCTAGTTGCGATAATAGCTTTCAGGTTTTGGTGTAGTTATCGTTTCATCGTCAACGGATGGAGTCAGAATGAAGGTTTGACTACTTCTTGTTGTGGATATCAATCGACCTGGGTCTCATGTGCGGCTTCTGGTGCACTCAATTGTAGCATGAGATAAAATGGTGCAATTAGATGTACAGTCAGTTCCATCGTATGTCTCCGTGCTCGTTGCTGTATGGCCTTGTCAATGTTTCCGTTGCGTGTGTAGTCATTCGGGTTGCCCTCGGAGATATATCTTGAAAGTTAGCTCTCGGTTTGAAAGCAGGAAGGAAGTCTGCTTTCTCTCCATGTATCGACTAGTCCTCTCTGGCTGCTTAGAATGGTATCCACCACGACACGTTTATTGCTCATGCCTCAAGACGTGGAGAGTATGCAGTTCGAGCAGGAGCGGTTGTTGCGTCATGCAGCGAGTCCCATGTTCAACGCACTCGCGCCTTCCTGTAGTCAGTGTAAACATTCATTAGCCTTTTCTGCCTTGATTTATCTTCTCTTAGCTTTCTTCTTTTCTTTTTTCCTGCATCATCCCTATTGTTCATCTTTATCCTTTCAGTTCCCTTTCAACGAGCACCTTCTCGCGATAACTTATTGCATTTGGCCCTAGGATGGGATACTCTCTGTCTCACTGCTCTCTGCAATCATCCAAACAACATACATCGATGTGCTGGTGCCCTCAACGGAACACTCAAGCCTCAAACCCACCAACGAGCAGTACCTGCCCACCAGATCTTGCATCCTTTCCTAGAACGCAACGCATTGCGTCTTAGTACCCTCTACATCAATCCACACCACATGCATCCATGTGATGTGCCCTCGACAGAACACTTAAGCCTCAGAGCCGCCAGAGCTCAGACGTTCTGGATCATCAATAGATGGGAGTCATGAACAAGTGGGAGACACGAGTGTGATAAAAGATCATCTCTCACAAGGACACGAAGCAGAAGATAAGTGCCCCTTGTCAACGACTCCATTATTTTCATCATCATTGCCCTTGAATGCCTCAAAGATTTGCTTTTCTGCTTGATCCGTTGGGGTAAAAAAAAAGATAAAAGAACAAAACCCCATAGAAAATCGCAGATGTTCTTGCTGCTTTTCGTAATCATTGCTCTTGAATGCTTCCACATATTCTCTTTCACATAATACGGGCGGGGAAGACCCCAGACATCTGGCGAAAGCCAATCTATAGATGTTCTGTCATCACGAAGCCCAAGAAAAAAGATTGTTGAGGTGGTGTCTAGTGTGAGAGGGTCTCTGCTCTTTACGGGTATCGAGGCTCCCATGACTCATTTTACTATTCACCACTGCTCCGGGGCCTTTGCACGGAGTCAGCAGACCTCCCACAAAACTTTCTTTTCTTCAACAATTTGAAGATTTCAGTTCTTCTTCTTCTGTTTTCTCACGAGCATTGCTCGCTTGCTGTTTTGCAATCGGGTCATAGTATTCCCATCTTTGTTCTGTAAACGGTTCGATGCTGACGCACTCGACCGGTAGCAACCCCTCAGCAAAGACTCGTCATCGGGGAGACACTCAGAACCACACCCTCAGTATCAAACCCTTACCTCCAATATCCCTCGGTCGAAGAACACAGCATTATCCCTCAAGTTCCAAGTCTCATCATCAGACCCTCAGCATGGACACACATTCAAAACGCACGTCATAGAAGCAGGGGGGGGCCAAGGTTCAAAATCACCAAAATATATGGCCCAACTTCAAAAGCAGACACAAAGTGCGTGCGACACTCTCACTTATAGTTGACGGAAAAGAAATGACTCATGTGTGGAACAGGTTACCACTGTTTCTAATCCGCCATCAGCCAGCCTCGAAAGCTTAAGGCCGGGTTCTCGATTTGCCAGACTCTCCGGCGTTGGGAATCAGGATTCTGTTGGTGGGACTACTAGCATGAAGAGCTCACATGGAAGGACTTGTTATGATGGGTGTGGTATGTATAGGGGTGAAGGGAATATGCAGGAGAATAGGAATTGAAGTCGTTCATGGCGCAGGGTGTATTTCTTGGCAAGGAGATCAGTTTTCGGGTATGGGTATCTGCGGTCTACCGTATTATAGTTAGCGACTTGAGGGGTGAGGCTTGTCAACTCTTGATCACTGCATGAGTTGATAGAGAAATGTGACGTGCCACTTTTGAGCGGCTTCGCGCAATATTCTGACTCGTCATGGCTCCAGTCTCTGTCTCTCTGATACTTGAGCAGTATCAAGTTCAACACCATCGTGCGAAGAGCGGAAGCCTTCGAGGTACTGCCATTCCTGCGAAAATGTCACCAGCTTCGCTGTATTCTAATTGATCCATCAGGCTGTCGAATCCTTCCTTCTTGAGGCCGTAAACCATCATGATTAAGTCTCATGCACAGAGTTTGCCCAATGAAGCACCAAAGAGTCCATCTCAAACCAGTGTCTCCGTGCATGAGCAATCAAAACCACTCTCACGTCACTGTCAACACTGCGATGCCGTCGGAGACCTGCTACATTGTGTTGGCTGCAGAGCGGTACGTTATTGTAGCAAAGAGCACAAGAGAGCAGACTGGGCTTCCCATAAGAAGTATTGCAAGCCGGTTCGCAAAGCCAGAAAAAAGATGGCCCGAGAGGAGAAGAAGCTACGTGGAACATCAGGGCATATGCTCGGGCCAGCCAATGTCTTCGAGGAACATGTAGGCAATTTCTGGGACATCGACAGTACTCGGCCGTACATGCTGGCCCGCAGTGACCTGACTTTTGCTATCATGGAAATCAAGTCGTATGACGCCGTGCTGTTAGCCCTTGGTCACATCGAGGATATGCTCCGGCTGTGTCGTAGTGATAATTTAGGTATGAGGGGCTGGGCGCCTGGCCTGATGTTACGACTAGCAAAGGATCAGGAATGCTACGATTTCATGAAGTGGTGGGTCACAACGGGCACTAGATACGACTATGACTGGGGAATTCCGAGTCTACCTTTTCTAGACGTGAAAAACGCGAACATGCTCGAACCCATTGACGAATTCGACGAGCTATTCCCTTCACTCACATGGCTCGTCTCTCTGACCCTTCTAAAGATAAAGATGTTGTTCGCCGTTAAGGCGGCTGCATATGGCATTAAGATACTGCACGAGAATACCAAATTGCCCCTTGAACTTATTTACCAGGTTCAATCTCTAGTCTTGCACGATTCAACGCGAGGTCACGCCAACTCGAAGGCGAGGATCGAAGATGTCGAGAAAACGCTGGTATCTCAGCTTAGTACACTATACAAAGCTGTAGCTAAAGCCAACAAGTACTTTTGGGAGGCTTTGCTGGAACCTGATAACTTGTGGGACGAAAAGCCAGAATACCAGAGCGCCGGTAGCATTGAAGAGACCATGATCACGCTGAAGGAATCCTATGCTGCATGGGAGGAGACTCCTGGGGCTTTGGCATTCGTCGAGAGTATTCGTAATGGCACACCGTGGTGATTCAGACGGGCTACGGGCAATGTGTACCTAGAGCAATGGTCTAGTACAAACTTCGGTACTTTCAGACACGATTGAAACAACCATTTCTCTAATACACGAGCCCTACACGCGATTAACTTGCCCAGGTACTGCCCTCTGAAGCCTCTTATAGCCTTCGACACCAAGCAGTCTTAGGATGGTTCACTCTATAAACCCCGACGATGCCACCTCCCATTGCCCGTGACCAGGCACGGAGGAAATCAGACAGAATTGACTGGCAAGCTTAAGGTGCTCCAATCGGCATGAATAACGGAGGACTTCAATCATTTCAGACACCTAGCTAACACCGACTCTCACATTAACATGCAGTGATCCCTGCCTGCCCAAGTCCCAGGCATATCTGCCTGTGCAGCCAGCTCCAGCTTCCAATTACCCACATACGGTCCTGCGCTCTGCTCCCTTGGGGTTTATCAATTTCTCGCTTTACATAAGCCTTATCTCATATGACCTGTAGCTCGCATACTTTGCTTTCTTAGTACAACACCTCCAATCCATCCAGCAATGCAAATATCCACATTTCTTTCCTCGCCCCAAGACTTCCTCTTTCATTGATCAGTCCTCTAACTTATATAATGGCACCAACCCGCACAAGCCAAATATCACACCAAGGATCAAATCCAACCAGAAATGACCGCTCGAGAATTCAGGAGCCTTCACTCTAGCCATGCACAAAGCAGAGATAGTGGAGCGAAATCTCGCTCCACTGGTGTGTGGTCGGACGCTGAAGTATCATCGAACAAATCTAGAATGGCGCCAGAACCTTGCAATGCTAGATCTAGGACCATTTTTTGGCAAAGCATTTTCGATTCCTTCCTGGAAAAAATGGATGGAAAGATAACTGATAGTGGATCTCATGTCTTCCCAACCGTTGATGTCACTGAATCATGCGACAGCAAATTTAGAACCACGAAAGCTTTTTGCCTGTCTTCCTATCTCTCGCTTCTGGATTGCCCGGAGACGATCGTCAGCTGGCTCCTGCGGAATGCACACCAGGTCAAACCAGATGTAGGGCGTTTCGCAAGGTACAGACGCCAAGATCTTTAGGATCTCTCCGAAGTCGAATTCGGAGTTCTGAAGGGGAACTTGTCATAGTCGTCGTATTTGTAGCATCCCCAAGTGTGAATGATTGCGGAATACTTAGCTGGGCCCTTCGATCAATCGAACAGAAAGCGCTCTACATAATCAATCCGCTTTGGGTCTGCGATAGCTAGCATACGGTGCAACTCCAGACAACCGGAAAGCATGGCTGTGTAGACTTCCAATGTGAGAAGTTGACGCAATGGAATCAAAGGCTTATGGTGTCTTTGTGTCGAACCATAGATCATTCAGCCACCATTCGATGAGGATACGAGCCGAAGACGTTTGTGCTGGTGATAGTTTCGAACGCAAAACTTGATGTCGCGGTTTGTCTTGCAGGAAGCTTGTCAAGAATATTTGCCAATTGGTAAATGCTCTCTTGTAATTTGGTTTGCTGTGGTCCTCAAAGGCGTCATTTGAGAGGCCATAGCACTGCTCTGTTATCATGCCTAAGGAGTGGTCTCGGCCATTTTTCTAAATTTGGGCTACCAGAGAATTTCCCATTGGAACCAGGGACCTCGAGATCTTCCAAGATGGGATTTGATTTATTAGCTTTGTTTGCCGGCTGTGGATTACCTTGAGGCCCGAAGTCTGCTGGCCGCGGCGTCTCTACGAGCTCCAATGCTAGGGAATTAGCCACGATTGCAACGTCAGCACATAGCTGTAATGGCTCATGCGTAGTCGTTCATGCATAAATCTGTGTCAGACTTTCTAATCCTCTGAGCACAGCGATGGCTTGAATTTCTAGTGTATCAATGGGTTCAATGTCGTATTCTGTTTCTGTACCAAGGAAAACAAAGGCAGACAGCTTTTTCCTCGTTGTTCTTACAACCAAATTGATCGGTAAATTAACTGCAGCCCTAGGCATTGTGTCTCACATGGTTTTGAAGTCATGATGGAATGGCAATTTTTGATTATGATGAGGCGGTTTATTGACTTCTAGCTGACTCATGATCGCTTGATAAAAGCTAATCACCGCCTCAGAGATGCCACCAGTCGAGATACTACCACGCCTTGCATTTTCCAGGAACGACGGAATGCCATCCTTCGTTATCAGTGCCCCAAAATTGAGATAACATTGCTGGTCCTCTAATGCCTAGTAATCGGAAAATATGCAACTTCAATGCACAAGTCCAAAGGTAGGAAACATGTTTAGGCAGAGTTCATGCTGGGTACCGATACTGAACCAAGGATGGCTGGTAGATTGATAGCAGTGAACGTTTACCTCGTGCCTGTTACATTCATTGAGCATCTCGCTCAGGATCGATTCAAAAGCCTCCTGAGATTAAATCTAAGTGCTATATGATTGGAATAGATCGAGATCAGGGGAGGAGCTATGAGTAACCGTGGAACCGGTGGGGTCAGCACAGCCTTATCTAACAAAGCTTCATCTCCCTCATACATCTAGACTCTGGCAAAAGGTGTTGCGACCATCTGTGACACTACAAAGCAACTGTGCGACAATCCTTCTTGGGAGCATTCCCAAGCATGCGATCCTGATGGACTAAATGGACAATTTGCACGTGACGAACGGGATTGCACAACCGCACCCAACATTCGGGATGCTTTGTGAGATGTTATATCCCCATTCAGAATAGACTCAGCGCACGAGTATTGATTTGAGGGTCTTCCACATTGCAAGGCTCTGGGTGGGCTGATGTGTTTTCCGTCATGCTCTCTACGAATATTAGTGGCCTCCACGAAGGGAGATCATCGACTTGAAAGTCGGGTCCATATCGTAGGTGACAGTAACGCTATAGCCCCATTCTTAGAGGCCTTGCAAAGCACCTGACAATTTTTGACTCAGTGCGAACAAGTAGAAGAATCAGTGAGAATGGCCGGGTTTCAAATGTAGGGTAACGCTCGCTAAGGCGAAACATCGAACGATGACGCAAATCAGGGCGCGTTCGGGAGCCACCGTTTTCGCACCAACGCCCTGCATCCCATTCGGGGGCTGTGTGGGCTGACAATTACAGTCGAATTTTCCACCTCTCTTATTCAAGAGAACCCGAGGTCTTTTAAATGTCTCAAATGTTAGTGGGGTATCGACGATAAGAGAAGGCTGTATCAAAGACACCCTCACAGGCCTCGGGATACTTGTTCGTCATCCATCACATATGGGATCTAAGATTGCTCAATACGGGCCACAGTCAAGAACGTTTGGGTCTTGTTGAAGGCTTAGAGGGGCTAAAGGTCGGTCTGTCCCGCCTGAAGCGCAATGATCCTATTACCTCTTCAAGCGAGAGACAACCCGGAACAGAATCTGCCCTCTGGTGGTACCTTGCAGACAGATCACGAACGATGCTTTGTTAAGCAGCGTGCCGAGGTCGTCTATGCTCCGAAACGTGGGGTCAAGGCCGGCCAGGACAGAGGTTCAGATAACGATAATTAGACGAGGCCGGGGAGTTGCAAAAATAGATGGGCCTTGCTGTGCACTCAGTGGCTCTCTTGTACCTCACAGCCACGGGAAATCCTTTTGACTTCCCTACCGCCTGCAAGCGAAGCCACACATCGTCATCTGAGAATGGACTGATCGTACTCTCTCCCACTTTGTCAACTGCTTTATATAATCAATGTAGATCCTTCGACCGAGGTACTCGAGAGGCTCATGAGGAGGTGCGGAGTGCCTTGCAGGAATGATCGAGGTGTGACCATACATATAACGGTGTAGTCTTGCACCTTCCAGCATGAAGTTTGAAAGCCTTTCGCCTTCGTCCGTTCGCTACCCGTGACTTCAATTCTTGAACATCCTTCCTACATCCTGCAATTTCCGGCTTATCTGAGCCAGAGTACTGACTTCTTGTGGCCCCGGTTCGCTTTGTTCCTGTCTCGCCGCCCGAACAACGGGGGGTGGGTCCCTTACAATCGCACGAGTTGGTTGGTACCACCTTACTATTCACCCAACAGGGTCATAAAAGTCGACATCCACATCCACTCTTGTCGCGAAATTGCTTGGTCCTACCGTCTTGAATCCGTCGAGTCTCTGCTAGACGCGACACCGCCAGACGCAATCCATAGGCTATTGCTGCGCAGGCCCACAGCCCGTAAGGCTTCCCGCCGTTGATCGATTGCACCCCTTAGTCAGCTTGGCAGCGCTACTCTCTGGGCCATCGCCATCAAATCAGCGTTCACTACATTACCAAGAGGGTCCAGAACTAGTTTGACGATTCACTCGACAGTGCCATTTCTCGATCAGCCTTGAAGCGGTGACGCTCTGCAGCCAAGACACCAAATAGGCAATCCCGATCCTACAGAAGGATTCTGGACTGCGACTTGCACTGCGCGCACTCCAAAATACCCCGCCCTATTGAGATTCTGACAACCCACTCTAGACGAGTACATTTATCAGTGCCCCAACTTGATCACTTCTCTCTCATCGATCCTACACAAAGTTCTCCAACCTACCACACCTGGGCGCATTTAAATCTATTACCCACCGCACCACAGCAACCGCCCTCCATCAGCGGCCAACATCTGCAACCGCTGCGCCCACACAGGAGATTAATGCCCATACCGGACCCTACCGTCCTCGCCCACCACACCACACCACCATTTCAATTCTGTTCCTACATTCACAAATAACAGTCTCGATAAGACGCGCAAGCGTTTGGGGACGGCCCATTTATAGTGGGCTACAACGATTTATCAAGCCACTGGCTGTCACTTCATAACAGGCGCCTTAGCATCGGATTATATTCTAAAAAGAGCTCGTCCGCCGCTCTCGTTCCTGACTACTGCATTCCTCTCGTTCTTCGAATGTTCTACCGCGCTGTTCTTGCGCTGGCATCACTTGCATATCGACGTCACACTAGGGAGACCGCGACTTCCTCTTTGGTCAAGGCCATTTCCCGCGACTGAGGCTTTCACACTGCCGTCGACCCCGCCCATCGCCTCCCCTACCCTACCAAGACTCCAAAGTCATATAATCAGAAAAGGAGAGGAAGAAGCTGAAGGAGCTTGCTGTCCTACGTGGTCCCTACTCTCACCAAAGTAGCCGCGAAGTCTTGTTCGCCGAGTTCTATGAAATACGTTCCCAGACCGTGCCCAAGGTCTCTTGGTCCGTACACAAGAAATACATCTACAGACACCTGCCAAACCTGGCAAGAAGAGGCCAATCTCGATTCGGACACGAATTGACCCTCACCTTTCCCACCAATCCCTCGTTACCATCGCATCATGACGGCTTCCACAGAAAACCGGCCGTTGCTACCGCAGCAGTCCGGGATGACAAATATATCATTTGCACCCCCGAATCTGGGACCTCCCAACGACAAGAAGAATTATGTCTTTGTTGACGAACACAATCGACATCGACGTCTCAAAGTGGTCAGGGCGTGTGATGGCTGTCGGAGGAGAAAGATCAAATGCGACTCTGCTACAACGAATCAGTGGCCATGTGCTGCCTGCGTGCGATTGAAGCTGCATTGTATACCTCCTGCTGTCAACTTCGAACGGAATGGAAATGATTCAAACTCGAAACTAGGCATGCAGGGTGTCCTGGATTTCGACAACTCAAGCGGTAGTGGCGACGATGACTACATCATGCCAACACATCCCACCTCAATGAACTGGAACATGCATGACCCGTCGAATATCCCGGGATCTTCTCAACCCTTCGATGTCAATATTGGCTCCTTCGGCACACCACCTTACTCCACCCCAATTCCCCAGCAAGAATTCTCATTCTCTGACGTAGCCACGATGCCTCTAAGTGGAGCGCCATCTTCATTTGATGACACGAGTTCGTATGATTTTAATCACAAACCTTCCTTACCCCGCTCCAGCAGCGCTTGGAGCGGAGAACAGTATTCCACTGGAGATATCAGCGACATACTCGGAGACTTGAAGATCAACGAGAACGGCGTTGGTAAGTTTCCTTCACAGCACAGTCGGTTCCCGACGCTGACGACAGTGCAGCTCCCTATATATCCCAGCAGAAGAAAATCTTAGCAGAAGCGCCAGCTTATGAAGAGGCCGATCCCGGATTGCCGAAATTTGTTCATACCGGCGCTTCTGTGCGAATACCTCCAGAACTCATGCCTTCGGATGAGCAATGTATGAAATACTTCGACATCTTCTTCACACATGTACATCCTTACGTACCCGTAATCAGTAAACCTTATTTCCATCAACAATGGCGGTCCAATCGCAGGTCGATTTCACCGCTAATCTTGGAGGCCATTTTCGCCTGCGCCGGCAGCAGCATGCACGATGATCCAGTGCAAGGAGCTCAATGGCTAGCCTTATCATCAAGTATGGACCTAAATCGATTTTGTCAGAGATTTATACTTACCGTTTGTAGGCCACGAAGACTGTTTCATGGATGTTCCGCGACTGAGCACTGTACAAGCTATGATGATACTGTTGAAAGCGCGCGAGTCTCAACCGAAGCGAGGGTACTACTACAGATCCTGGATAACGATCAAGAAAATCATCACCATGGCTCACGATCTTGACCTGCACGAGCACCGTGATCAGCATAGGGATGGGCAATCTTGTGGTTCAGACCCTACAGAGTGCCTGATCAAGACCAGGATTTGGCAGACACTGTTCGTCTTGGAGACCATGGTTGGCTCTCCACAAGGTAAGTCGTTTATTCCCGATCTGCAGTCTTTTCTGACATTCATTAGGCCGAACTGATATGGGCATCGATCCTGAGTCAGTGGACCTGGAAGTGATGCGCCCTGAGCCCGGTGTAGATCATTCCGACTACATTGTCTCAAGACAATTTACCTGGCTACTCAAGCAAGTCTTTTATGTGCGCAGGTTGCACGATCTCAAAGGCAAAACGAAGGGCGCAGACGTCTCCAACTGGATTCAAGACCCGAAATTTATCAGCACTGGTGCAGATCTCATGGGATGGTTGAAAAGCCTTCCCCGAGATCTCCAGGTCGACTTTCCTCTGGATGATGAAGCCCCATACCTTACGAGCCACTTCATCGGAAACATGCACTCCTACTATCACCTGACGTCGGTCATGTTGCATCGACCGCAGCTTGCGCAAGCAGGTTCCTATGCTAATGGTAGCTGGAAGAGGCATATGGCCGTCTGCTATGATTCTTCAAAGAAGATGTGCAAACTTCAGGAGTCGATCCTGCGCAATTTTGGCATCAATGGATTGTTATGCATGCAGCGTGGCATCAATTTCGTTATATATACTGTTCTGACATGCACCATGATTCACCTGGTAAATCATCCAGCCAAGACATATTTGTGACTTCACGCTGATACTTTATAGGTCGCAATTACATCACCAGATCCCGACTTCAATCAAGACGCGAGGGATTACTTCAAACGACACATGCGTATCCTTGAAACGTGTGCTACTGCATGGCCACAACAAGATATGCAGAAGCAGATCAATGCGCTCCGATCGGCATTTTCAGCCGACACCAGCAAACCATTTGAGCTGAAGCCAGAATTCCCTTACGGAAGCCCCGGAATGCCTACAATGCAGCCAAGTCCTCCTTTGGAATCGCAGTATCAGCATATGCCCATGTTGTCAAGATCAACATCGCATCCTCAGCAAACTTCCCAACATCTTTCTGTGCAGCCTGGGCCTATGACTCCACCTATGACTGCTGGATTAGATGGCCCGAATGACGGCTCTCTGTATGGTGGAAACTCCCTCTCGACCAGCCATAACTCTTCTACCGATCTACAAGCTGTATGGAATCCAACGCCAATCATCGAGTAGGTTCAGACACCTATGTTGTGCATGCTTCTACTGACAAACAACAGGAATTGGAATGCAGCTTTTGGAGAGAATTCTGCTTCAATGGCCGAGATGTCGGTAACCGTCTCTCAACAATCTCCGCCTCTATACCACCCAACGACTCTAGGCATACAAAACCACACGCCCATGAATACAGCCATGCCACAGCATTATTCACTCACACCAGAGATCCCACCGCTTCCAAGAAGCAACTCTAACCAGTTCTCGACCAACACCAGCGGAGATCCATCCTTCGTCACATCAAACATGTGGCGGGATACCATCGCCAACACATATGATCGATCAGCACTGAAACGCGGTTGGGATAACCAATCCTCGTATCTTGACGACCCCGTGCAAACCAAGCGAGCACGCTAGACTCCCAAATCCCACCAAATCATTAATACACCTACTACTAATTCGACCTTGTATAAGTATATTATCATTGCGGAGCGACGGAGGAATGCACGAACGATCTATCTCAACATGAACAAATAGCTCAGCCTCGATTGCTTGAGCAAACACACACAGTCTCGATACCCTGCTCTGCTCTGCTCTGCTCTGCTCTAGGCGTTACTGGCTGGGTGGGTGGCGCTTTGTGTGCGAAAGGCATGGGGAAAAGGGGGAAGGGGATGAGGACTACGATCTAATTTGATTTATGAAGGATGTGGTTATGGCTATGGCTATGGCTATGATATGCGCTTGATTTTCAGAATGAATAGCAACGCAGCGGGAGGATTTGATGGGATGGATGGCATGGCATGGTCGGCATGGTTTATGTGCGATATGAGATATGTTGATGGATAGCTTAGCTTAGCGGTATACCAATATTGGCTTTCTTTGGTGTACGATATCCCTTCGTTAAATGCTGGCATGGTATTTTCAGACGGTTCGAAGATTAATATGACTTGTCCGTTCGGTGTCCTTACATCGCCTGCCATCAGCCATCATGCATTTCCCCCCCTTTTTAGCGTTTGGGTGTTCTGCTGCCGCGTATCCAACCCAGCCCAGCCCAGCCCAGCCCAGCCCGACAGACATGCCACGATTTATTCATCTTTTCTGTAGTCTAGTAGACAATCCAGCTTCCCTTCTGTGAGTGGGGATCTTGATCAGGCTGGGTGGAGGCCCGACCCCCTTTCCAGATATTGTCGACAACCCTTTTCGATCCGCCAAATGTAACCGAGGGGGGAGACTCAGTGCTTGTCACCGGCTATACGCTCTAGTGCCTGTTGTACACATATATATTAGCCTCGCTCTTCAAATTCATGCTAGCCCTATCTCCTCCCCACCTCCTTCTTTCCCCCTCCTCCCTCTTCCCCAGCCCCTCACCCCCCACAAAAACAAACAAAGAGAGTAAAGGCCCACCTCAAGCATCACAACACTGTTCCCCCTAACCACAACCATTCCAACACGCACTTTCGACCCGTCCGCCTTCTCTTCCACCGCGTCGTCCAAGACGATGTTCAAGAACACGTCGTAGCCCCTCAATACGCCGATCACTTTTCGCGAGCCGTTGAGTTGGATGAAGAGGCGTTTGTCGAGGTACTGTGTGATTTTGTATTAGTGAGAGGGAAGGGAAGGAGGTGAGATAAAGGCGAAGTCAAAATGAAGATTGGGATTAAGATGGAGATGGAGATGGAGATGAAGTTGCGAGGGGAAAGGGGGAAGGGGGAGGAGGAGGGACAAAGCTTACCTTCTTAAGCTCCGGTTGCGCTTGAGGCATCTTGCCCTTTCTATACTCTGCGAAGTGTGTATCGGAAAATCGCAAGTCGAGAGCGTGTGCGATGGGTGGTTTGGTGCCAAGACTCGAGTGTCTGTCGAGCTAGAGCTAAAAAGGCTAGATCTCTTAAGTGAGCGTACAGTCTTTAGTCCAATGTTGACTGACTCTTTGAAGTGGAAGTAGTATCTCTGCCTACAATGCAGGCTGCACAGTCTTTTTTGAACAGACGTTCATGGACTTCAGAGTACCTCTGCTTGATTCAAATGGAGTGAAAACCTGCGGTATAGTTTGGAGTTTATGCATAAGCCACCGAATGTCAATATTAACAATAACGTATTGTACAGGAGTAATATTATACAAGAGTATCAAGCAAAGTACGACCTTAGTACGTTCAATATCATCCAACACACACTCATACACTTCATACTCATTACCAATATTCCATGCATCAGTACTCATCCTTCCTCCCCTTGAACCCCCCCATCTCCACATCTGTAACCTCCATCGAGTACCTCCTCGTCCCATCCTTCAATACCTCCCCATCCTTCCCCTCGACAGCCCCTCGTCCTGCTTCACCACTCCCATTCCTCTCTCCATGCTTCGACAATCCCCTCACTTGACTCGTCGATCTGTCCGCGCCACTCATATTACGATTGGCGCTACCATCGCTGACTTTGCTCCACGATTTCCCGGAGCTGGCGTTGCCTGAGGACTTGAGCCCTTTGCTGCCGAACGAGGAGGCTGCTTTTGACCAAGCAATTTCGGCCATGGCGTTGAGGGCGGGGAGGGAAGCGACGACTGCGGAGAAGAAGACGTCGGCGACGGTCCAGGAGACTTCGGAGACGAAGATGACTGGGGAGGAGGTCAGTTGGATGAAGCTGAATCAGGAGGGAGCGGACGGGGGAGAGGTGATCGTTGGGAGGGTTGTTCATGTTACGTGGTGTTGCATGTAGGTATGCGAGAGAAGGAATCAGTGGTGCTTACAAGTTACGTCTTTCGAGTGTCTGTAGCCGAGCGAAGATCGATAAGCGCTGCAGATGCAACAGGCAATGCCAATGCAGAAGACCCCGATCAGTCTTGACTTTCTACCCCAAGGCATTTGGATCTTCGTGATGATGAAGATGGGGATGGCAAGGAGGCAAAAATCGGTCACTGAAGGTTTGGTGTCTCAGCTGCTAGGTCCTGCTGTCCAACGAGCTTGACTTACCGCAATTGATAATGCTAAAAGCATTGCTGATTTTACCGGTGTCTAGGCAGTGATACGTTGGCGAGTCCACTTTGATGGCATAGTTGAAAAACGCCGTCACGGGCGAGCATTGAAAAATGTTGATGAACAGCGTGATGAAGAAAAAAAGAATTAGGATTCCGAGGAAGATATTGTTCACGATCTGCCATGGTCTTGATGATATGCCAGTCACGCGACGGACGAAAAGGCACATAGAGATTTTAATCAGGATCACGGCGGCGAAAAACATTATTTGACCATAAGCGCCGAGCTGGGCATATCGTCAGCACCAGCCCAAGGAACATCAGTGCGAGATCAGTGAGGAAGGGATCTTACCGTAGTGAAGACTCCAAGCTCTTTGTAGGTGCAGTCGTTCATATGCTTGCCTGCACATCCCGTCTGAGTCCGAACAAGGAGATTGGCAAAATATGCGAGAGCGATTCCCTAGCCAGGAAATTGAACATCAGCAACTCGTCCTGGATTGCTTTTGCAGAGCTATGTTGCTTTTTCAAGCTGAACGTCGACGGGATCGCGCAACCTACCACACCCGGTATAACGATCCAGTCATCCCATCCGAACACCTGCCCTTTCCGGAAGATCCGAGTCAAAAGCCGGGCGCCGGTGATGAAAACAACAATGACAATGGCAAAAGACAGTCCAACGACGAGTCCTGGGGCTGCTGTCTTGGGTTCCCCTGGAGGAACTGGCACACGTTTTGGCGGTTTCGTCGATCCAAATAGGCCTTTCATGATGGTTACATCGCCACTGCTGAGCGGAGGCTCGCCAAAGTACGCCGATCCGTCCGACGACATGGCGGCGACAGTATGTGTCCTTCGAGTAGTGTGAAAGGGAGCGCTCTGCTGCGTCTGTAGCGGTGAAGGTGGGAGTGGTGTCGGAGCAAGGGCATTATTATGTTCTGATAAGCCATGTAAGACATCGGAAAGCTATACATTGAAGCGCTCAGAGTCGGTTGAAGTTTAATCACTCCAGGAACTCAATTATCCCAGTGTTTCGAGACAACGCCTTCTGAATGAAGCGGTTCACGCACTAGCAAGGGTCAGAATGTGGGGGATTCAAGCATAGCGTATGGCTCCAAGATCGAGAACTCTCTTCGTCAGGTGTTGGAGCTAGAGTGAGGAGACCTATCGCATCTTTAGCATGGAAGCCATTGCTAGTGTCCAGTCTTCGGAACCTTCAAGAGGCATCGTTGCCATTGACATTTTGCTTTCTGCCCACGCGGCAAACTCTCAGTCTCTCGGAACTTCATCGATGCAGGGACAATTTCAGGATGAGATACTCCGACGCATTACTTGGATCGCATGTACGTCAGGAGGTGCTCAGTAGTAATGTTCAGGAGGGGTAAATTGCAGTCGCCAGTGCCTTTTCGCTCTTCACGCGTAACGGACGGCACCTCGGCAGGTCGTGGTGCAGTATAGCCATTCGCATTAATGTTCTTTCGAAATTCCGTCTCGACTGACCACATTGCGTACCTGCATCGAACTTGCGTTCATTCGCGCGCTTACATGATCATTAATTAGTGTACCAACGCTATCATACGTTAAAATTGACTATCTCATTTTAGGCTATCCCGGCCACCCCAAGCCGTTCGAGGCATGTAATTGAGGACGCTAATACTTCATTCACGGGAAGGCAGCATCATTAGGTAAAAGCGAGGGGCGACATCGATGTTGCAACGAAAATTACTTCAGCAGTTTAACGGCTTTCCCTAATATTAATCAAAAGCTTTGTCAGCTGTACCGGAATTACCCCACCAAAATAGTTACTTGATAGCAAAGTGGTTAGACCGCGATTGGAGACATCTTGCCGTGTTTCAGCACGGTCACTTCCACTCTTCAGGACTGTTATCATTCGCGTTCGCGATACAAAAGGCAAGCCACCAAGTCTAGGTCGAATGAGAGCTCTCTGGCCGTGATGGGCAAGCGAGTCGAGACTCGAGAGTCCTGCAATAGAGACCTGATATGACGAAAAAAGCGGCCGAAGAACACCGCGATTGGTCCTGGCTCTGAGCAACCTCATTATTATCTCTTCATAAAGTTGATTGTCGGATGGGAGGGTTTGCCTGCCCGGAATACCCTTTTTGTACGTTGCCCGGGAAAGCTGCTGCCAGAGTCATCGCGGAAATAAGAGTTCAACAATAAATGGGCAAACATGACCGCATGTGATCTCAATGGTGCAAAGCAAACATATAGTCAAAGTTAAGATCATGAAAAACAAAGGCGATTCTTGAGGGGATAGCCAGAGAGATGAGACACCATGTTGCATGCAGCATCTCGGTCTTCGTCCACACACCGTAGATTATGAACTGCTGACCGTTCTAGATGGACGTTATGTCGTCGCTAAGAGTGTAAGGACCAAAGAAACTACGAGACTCAAATGCTAGGACAATTTGTATGGCGGTAGTCTTTACCCTTAGAGCCTTCAGGCTTGCGGTTAGCTGTCGTTGAGATATGGCTCGCACGGGATCTATGCAGAGGGTATGTCTATCGGTGATATACACTCCCCATGCATATTAGTGCCGGCTAGGTAGCGATCGCAGAAGTCATATAAGCAATAGAATACAATTTCGGCAAGATCCTTCGTGTCTTGTTGATTACCGACAGCTTGACGGGTGGCGGGCCGCGTCATATCTCGATCACTGAGGGTGTACTCGAAGCATAAACCAACGGCCCAGAAGATCAAGTTTGTTTTTCATTCTCTGTTGCTCAATCGACTGTTGAAACTGTTGCGTGGTAGAATATGCGAGGCAGTAGCAAGAGGGGTAGAAAAGAGTGTGGTATAGACAGAGCTCAATGGACGCGGATATTTTGTGTGCAGGTGAGAACGCGCCCGATTCGAGATGGTCCTAATGCCGTTTTACGAGGTCTTCTCACTTTGGCGCCTGAAATTCGAAATCGATCTAACGGCATTTGTCGGTAATTTTCAAAATAAACCAATTGTTGCCTAGCTTAGGAGTATTCGTTTCCATTATTTGAGAAGCTAAGCGTATCATAACTAGCTGTTATTTAATGCTTCCAGAACACCGCAAAGCTTCTTTCTTCGAAAATAGAGAGTGTATCGACCGCTTGTAATGAACGATGGATTATTCATGAGGGCAAGACCTGACCAAAAATTGTAATGACGATACGCTTACTGACTTGAGTCCTAAAGAGGCTGTGACCCGTGACTAAAGCAAACCTATGTTTTCCCGTTACATACTCTCCTTTGGAAACATTAAGTGAAGGATTCGCCTGTTACTCTGAGGCAAAGCATTCCGAAATCCTTCATAACAGACAAGTTTTAGTTCCCTTAACGTGATCCTGCTCCACTACTGCTCGATTCAGCTATAGATCTGCTGCCAACGGATCCTATTAGCTTTCCTTTTCCTTCCAGAAATCTTCTATTTTTTCCGAAATAACAGTGTCAAAAGTACCCTATTCCCTGTCAGCAGATCTTATTTATTTTCTAAAAAGAGGATAGAGAAGCATATACACTCTCAAAACTACGACGCAGATTTTCAGACACGGCTGTTTTGATCTTTATCATCTCACTATCGTATGCGTGGCGATGCTTTTTTTTCTTGCCTTTTCCCTTCTTCTGTCTAAGATAGGAGATATCGATTTCCTGATCTTTGAGTATATCTTGGATGGCGTCTGCAATTGAATCGTATTGAATTGCTAGCTTAAGCGGTTCAGTAGCTCGTGCTTCAATCTCTGGCTGGATTTCTATAGCAGGTACCCTATACTCCGGTTCTTCCGCGGGTTGTTCGCTCACCGAGGGAAATTTTATACTGGCCTCATCCACAATAGGCTCTGGTTCAGGCTCTGGTTCAGGCTCTGGTTCAGGCTCTGTAGCTGTAGGCTCAGTGAATAAAGCCTCGTTAGGGGGGTCGTTTCCAGCTGAGTTGCTTGAATATTTTCTGGGGTTCCTAAATGCATGAGGACCATGGTGAATTCAGGTAAATTGTAATCAAATGGTTATGAGTTTGGAGAATGGGATTTCACATACTGCAAGCCAACCCTATCCTGTTTGACTGTTGAGCTTCCTTCGACAGCATTGGCGGAATCCCCTATATCATTAATTTCATGATTATGTTTGACTCCATTTGCGAGTAGTTTCAGCACCTTGGACTCTTGAGGTGAATCTTCTTTGTATGAAGCCTCATCTGTGGCGTCAGCTCCGTCATCGTCGAGATGGTCATTGGGGCTAAATCTGTCGGATTCATCATTTGCAGAGTCACCGCCTAAGATGTTAGGAAGCTTGCCCTCTAAAAGGGATCCAACGAAGCGCATATTGTCCTCGTCCTCAGTTACCATTGTGGAGATGGCCGCGCGTTCCCGTTTAGCTAGCTCTTTGCGTTGGCGTTTGATTTCATCAAGCTCGTCCTTTAACTTCGTCTCCAGATAATTCTTGTTTAATTCCTGGGATTTGATTTTGCTCTTGAGCTCCTGACAAAGCTCTTCCAGCTGCGATGTTCGAGCTGAATCTGATAGGCTTTCCGTGAATTGTACGGCTGCGTCAACCATCTGGACGACTCCTTTGGCGCTAATGCGCAAACGATGTACTGCGGAATGACGGAGCTTGTTGACGGCAAGCAGTAATGCATGAACATCAGCATCAGATTTCTTGAATGCCCCAGTAGGAAGTTTTCCGAAGCGTTTGATCATTGTGAGCGTCCACTTGTTCAATTCAATAGCTTCGGAACAATCCCAATTTTTTTCTATTAGCAGGCTAGGCGCGTACTTCTGAGTGAATTCATAGCAACTTTCTTCAAGTAATTGCTGCGACCTAGCGAGGACTAAGTGTTGTACCTTAAACGGGAATTGCACCGGATAAAGTAATGGCACGTCGATATTTGATTCCTGCATAATGTCTAAATGGTTTGTGTAGTTTTCAGCCTCGAGTTTGATGGTTCCAGAGGCATCTTACCTTCATTGTTTGGCTGGAAGTTTTCAGGGTTCTCGACGGTGGCGGGAAGCTTGCTTTCTCCATTCAAACTAGCATCTTCAAAGTAGAGAACTTTAGCATCGACTTCTTCTACGGCAGCATTATCCAAAGCCTCAACCTCTTGCAATGCCTCCGCTTCTTCTTTTGCAGCACCTGCATCCGAGGCCTCATGACGCGCATCTTGTTCAGGTGAAGTCTCGTAAAGTACAGGGAATGCGAGCTTAGCTTTGAGCTCCGAAGAAAATATGCCTCTTTCAAGAAGTACTTTGAGCACAGACACGACTTTGTCAGACCCGAGGTTCCGTGCCAGAGGTGACGAGTTCCTGCTAGAGTTTACAATCTTTCTAATTGCCTTAGGTTGCCTGACTTGAGCATTTTGCCCTTCGAAGAGCGCTCGGTAAGCAAGAAAGATTCTTTGCTGGTCTTGGATGGAGATGGCCATCTCAAGGTTGGGTTCTAGGGTAGATTGGTAGTATCTGAGGTCGTAATTGATATCTCGTTCATGAAACGTCATTTGACACAATGGATCGCTTTGGATTCAAAGTGTTTCGCAGTCCCAAGCCAAAAAAAACGCGATAAAGGTGAAAAGAGAGTGGGCACCTCTTTAATTTCGAAGATCAAACCTTGCCAATTCACCTTGCAGCATATTTTACTAATAAGCCCCCATGATATTGAATGCATTCTCATGATCTGGTTTGTTGTTCACGCATGGCCTAGGCATGAGAAGCCTTGGCGGTGACCCCCAGCTCGGACAAACTCCCAGATCGGATTTTTTAGTCGGTCTAGGGAGTAGTCTGCGCATCAGTCATCCTTTATGGGCAGCTATCAGACCATTTTCCAAAAATCCGAGCTGAGGGTCTAGCGCAGATTTCCAAAATCTCTTAAGAATTAATTACTTATATCTCTTTAAACAAGCTATAATTTCGATTAAAAAAAAGCGGGGAAAGCAATATTATAAGCAAGTGCATTAACTTAGTATGAATCTTTTTCAACTCTATTCTGTAGTTGTTGAGTTCCATAAAAAAATTCCTGGTGGGAAAAGTTTTTCCAAATTCCCGTTGATTCAAGAGTTTTGAAATTACTAAATGCAAGTAATATTGTCAATGCGTGCATATGCCTATACAAAACAGTGCGCTTTTGGACCACATTTGTAGCACGATGGGAAAGAAAATCAAGTGACTGGGGAGCCATTTCTTTGGTGAATATGTTGTGGACAAGTATTAAGCCATGAGGTTACCATCATTGTCTTCGGCATCGTGAACAATTGTTTTCTACAATGGACGATGTGCAGGATTCGGTACAAGAGCTTTTCATCATGGTAGAAAGGATGTATAGCAAAACGAAACGAGTCTTGCGTTCATTTGCAAAGTTACCTGCGAGTCAGATAGCTTGGTGTAACTGCTAAGGAATGCAATTTTGGGCATCCAAACACACAGTAATGGATACGCCCAATGAATTCTCAATGTAGTTTCCTACAGTATCGCAAAATCATTAAGTACATATATTACAATCAACCTACTGTCTATATGGTCACGGTTCAAACAGTAGTTTTCGCCAATTAAATCTTTATAGGGTCAGATTGAGGTGGCCTAGTAATACGTCAAAAGGAGGGAACGGGAAAGGCTAGGAGGCCTTCAACCGTTTAGGTGCCATCGTGGGCCAAAGCACCGCCTCGCTCTGTAGAATCCTGGTCGAGGTCCAGTAAGGACTGAGGCATTGCGAAAATTATAGGGAAGGCAGAGTACAAAGGCGTATTCATATTGACGGGGAAAGAGCATCCAAATGTTGTGACAGCAACCCAAACCGGAAAAGGCAATTCACCTGCACACAGACTGCGCGTCCACTTAAAGGACGTTGATGAGGTAGGGGGTGTGCGGGAAAAAGTACTTCCGCTCCGAAACTTCCTTAGACCACAAAATTGTGTTGATCATACAGATTAATCTATACTAAGGGACGCGAGGCTCTAATGCTTATTTGTGGCTCTCAAAGTCTACACGCTAGAAGCTCGGTACCATATCGCCAACACTACACAGAGGTATCGGCTTTGACCATGCAGTCACCATTCGCAAGACGGAAAGTTCGGCGGATGGGGGGAGGATGGTGACGAAGGGAAAGGGGATCCACTAACTGAAGAGCAGACTTCTGGTGAGACCTCTTCAATACCTCACATTTGCTGTTCTGACTCTGATAGAAGTTGCAGGCTGACCCTGCTAGTAGAGCCATCGCAGGTTGTTCGCCCACAATACCCATTCCGCGGATCGTCACAAAACAAGAAAAGGTCTTCATTACGCATGTCATTTGGGCCCGACACAAAAGCTACCGAGGATGATGAGGAGTCTTCTACAACGGTCTTCAAGCCAAAAAAATCCAACTTAAGCCGGCAAGCTATTGAGCGCAATGCGACGATCAAGCCGTCAAGACCTTCATTGCTATCCGAGCAGCTCCAAGTGCGCGCGTCTGAAGATAGACCCAGATACAGTTCCCATATGCTTAACGAACTCAAAGCATCTACGCCTTCGACGCCAAAGGATCTACGCTCGGTATCTGATGACCCCATTTCAGGAAACAAAGAGCTGGATTTGGCAACTAAATTCGGTTCGGAAATGGCTTTGCATCAGGGTTCGGCCATCCCCACTGATGTCGAGATCAAGGAGAAGAAGGAACGAAGGGCTCGGCTGGCAAAGGAGCAGGAATTCATATCTCTTGACTCAGATGGAGAGCCCGGAGACGCAGACGGACAAGACCCTAGCTCAGATGAGTCTTCAAATGAAGAAACATCCATGCTACCGTATGCTGGGCCACAGCGCCTGAAAGAGCCCCCTTCACGGCTCGTTCAAGACGAGGATGAAATTGGTGAAGGCTTTGATGATTTCGTGTCTGACGGTCGTTTCGCATTAGGCAAGAAAGCAGAACGAGAAGCTCGCAAGCGGCGTAAGGACGAGATGAAAGCTATGATCGAGGATGCGGAAGGCACTGGCTCCTCTTCTGAAGAAGATGACAGTGAAGTGGAGCGAAGAGCAGCTTATGAAGCCGCGCAAACACGCAAAGGCATGGATGGCCTCAGAAAACCAGAAGAGGTTGTCAAACCCAGAAGGCCGCGGACTCCACCCAAGATTACGCCGCTGCCTACAGTAAATGGTATCCTGGAGGGACTTAAAGAGCGGAAGCAAGCTACGGAGTATCGGACCAGGTTGCAAAGAGAGAGGTTGGAGATCGTTCAGAAGGAGTTGCAGGATATTGAAATAAGAAAAGAAGAAGTGCAGAGACTCATGAGTGAGGCCAGTGGAAGATTTGAGAAGATGAAGGCGGAGGTAGATGCGGAGAAGGCTCCAGGGGAGGGTGCGGACTTGGCGTTGGTGGAAAGGTCCAGTTTGGGGGTGGGGATTGGTGCTGCGACAAGAGGCCTAGAGACCATTGGTACCGGATGAGAAACTTCTGAATATGTTCTACAAATCAAATGGGGAAGCCAGCTGTCACTGCAAGTCCACTTAAGACCAATAATCTATTTGTAGCGGCTTGGCTGCCAAACGCCGAGACTCTTCAAGTGGCGGTGCGAATTGCTGTGCCTGACTAAACATGTAAGAGGCCACATCTTCAACCCCCAATAATGGGCTCCAAATGTCGACGCATCACCCTTCTGGCTGCAATCCCCATTCTTTGATTTATTATTCTTATTCCTCAAGCACGCTTTGTCCACTGACTTGACTTTTGATCACCTTCTTGAAGCGCACCTTGTTGGCCAACAAAGCGCTTGAATGTGAGACGACATGGAACGATAGCATTCTGTGACTCCTTGCATATCTACCATCCTTCCTACTTCCTCTCCTCATCAACGAACCGAAATCATGAAAACGGCTACCAAACATTTCTACCTTGCCTTCTTCGCGCTTTTCGAGTCGTGTCAGTCAAGGGCGACAGGAACAGCACCTTCCTATGCTTCAAGAGCAGACGTGTGCGCTGTACGTTCCCAACCGACTTCTTCTTCTTCCATTTTGACGATTGACCCGACTCAGATTGAGCCTACTGCAATAGTCTCCGACGCATGCGCCTCCTATGCAACACTAGACTCCCTAAATGACGCCCTATCACGATCCCTCCAGGATGTCACTAAAGATACCGACTTCTTCGCTTATTATCGATTGAACTTGTACGATCAAAAGTGTCCTGTAAGAGCTTGGGACAATGACTCCGGAATGTGTGGGAATATTGCATGTGCAGTAGATACAATAGAAGACGAAAAAGACATACCGCCAATATGGCGGACAGAAGAGCTCAGTAAACTAGAAGGGCCAAAGGCAGCGCACCCAGGGAAGCAACAACAACAAGAGCGAGGCAAAGAGAGACCATTACAAGGGACTCTTGGCGAAAACGTGGGTGAGAGTTGCGTTGTCGAGTATGACGACGAATGCGATGAGCGCGATTACTGCGTACCTGAGGATGAGAGCGCAACTGCTAAAGGTGACTACGTCAGTCTAGTCGAAAATCCCGAGCGTTTCACAGGCTACGCTGGACAAGATGTGTGGGACGCCATATATCAGGAAAATTGTTTCTCGAAAGACATGTCTTCGACACCACAGCCTCTAGGCTTTCCTTTCCAGGCACGGGACGACCTACGCTCGATTCTCCAAGCCAACACAGACTCCAATGACTTCCCACTTGAAGACGAGTGCCTTGAGAAGCGCGTTTTCCACCGCATTATCAGTGGAATGCACGCCTCCATCTCCACACACATATGTTTCGACTACCTAAATCAGACAACCGGTACCTGGGGCCCAAATTTGCAATGCTACCAAGAGCGACTTGCATCACATCCTGAGCGCATCTCCAATCTCTACTTCGACTACGCCATTTTACTTCGAGCAGTAGCAAAATTACGCACCTACCTGAGGAGCTACACGTTCTGCTCAGGGGATGTCTCTCAGGACCAAGCCACGAAAGCGAAGATCCTAGCCATAGCTGATACAGCTGCGCAACCCCCACCCTTCTTTGATGAGCACACAATGTTCCAGGACCCGGACGTGAGTGTAGCGTTGAAGGAAGATTTCCGCAATCGGTTCCGGAACGTAAGTCGCCTCATGGACTGCGTAGGATGCGATAAATGCAGGCTGTGGGGCAAATTGCAGACTGTGGGGTATGGTACAGCACTTAAAGTGCTGTTCGAATTTGATGAGCACAAGAATGGAGAGAACCCACCGTTACGCCGCACAGAGCTTGTGGCCTTGGTGAATACACTTGATCGCGTGTCACATAGCCTGAAGGCGTTAGGGAAGATGAGGGACATGATCAATCCCGCTGCAGAGCCAGAAGTAGTTCTTGAGATTCCTGAGGTGCCCAAGCAAAAGCCAGCCAGCAGAGGATGGGACAGACCCGGCGCTCAGCCTGCCATCAACTTGCCTGACGATGACGAGGAAGAGTACATCGAGGCGGGTGAGACAGCCTGGGAGGCTGCGAAAGACGAGTTCCAGCTTGTTTGGAGGACCTACGTGTTCGTACTGAAATCTTGGGTCAATACGCCAGCAAAGGTATTCAAGATCTTGATCATGGAGCTCAACCGGGCGTGGAGCTTCTGGCTTGGTCTACCGGTGCCTCAAAGGAGCTGGGAAATCAAGTTTCCCACGAGGGATGAATTGTAGAACACATGTCTGTACAAAGCGCTTGATTTGGTTTTGCATGTAGCGAGCGGCATTGCATTGGAGTTGGGTGCTGTTATAGACTTCAGCATACATAAAGCAACTTGCAACTTCTATCTATCTCTTCTCACAATATAGTCCTCACAATTTATGCAAATTGCTCTGGGCGGAGACTTCTCCTTCTCCTTAAGGGCGGATGAACCTCGGATGCATTACAATTGAGTTTGACTTTCTCAACCGACTTCATGCTTTGTTACCGCTCGCTTGATCACGCCCAAATGCAGATCGCCGCCGGTTGCATTGGATGTGAGCTTTTGTCGTCAAATAGAAAGATGTAGTCGCTTTCGGCATCTTTTAGGCTGCTGTCTTCTGTCATTGTACACATGCAATTCCAACGACAGGATCAAGCCGCAGAAACAATCTTGAAGTATGAAGAAAGAAGTGAGAAAAGGTACGCACGTCTCGCTGATACTACGTTAGTTGTAGTCGAAATTGCTAAGACCTATGGCTTCTAGATACCGCTGCTCACGAATGCGTCTCCGAAGATGCTCTCGTTCATCTCAAGTCCTACAAATACTCGTCGGTTGACCGCTCGCTCCTCTCTTACTACATCCTCAATCCATACGTGCGTGAAGAATATGAAAGATTTGGTCACAGAAGAGTATCGAGGTTGACATGGTCATAGTGGAATGCCTGCGTCCAATTCCTACCACTATGGCTTGCGCCAAACATGGTGACCCTCATTGGATTCCTCTTCATAATAGGCAACGTGGGGCTGTTAGAGCTATACATTCCTGATCTGGTCGGGCCGGTAAGTCAAAGGCGCCTGAAATGGCCATGAGGATTCGGGCTTGCAGACTAAGCAAGCCTAGGGTCCATCATGGGTGTATTATAGCTTTGCATTTGGGATGTGGATGTGAGCGAATTGAAGTGGATTTGCCCAATACGGAAGCTGACGCCTCTCTCAATATCAGGTACCAGACCATGGACAACATTGATGGAAAGCAAGCACGAAGGACTGGGCAGTCCAGCGGACTAGGAGAGTTATTTGAGTAAATACGCCAAGATTTTCACTGTTCGCAACGAGACTGACTGGCGTAGTCATGGCATAGACTCCCTGAATTGCACGCTCGCCAGCATGTTCGAGATGGCGTCCATGGGTCTTGGTTCCACGCCCATAGGCCTCTTCACTGCTATGACTCCATGTATACCAATGTTCTTTTCGACTTGGGAGACGTACCATACGCACACCTTGTATCTCGGCTACTTCAACGGACCCACAGGTATTACATCTACATTCGTCCTTCTGCATTCGCTAAATACAAATAGAGGGTCTCGTCCTCGCGAGTTTGCTCATGGCAGCTTCTGGCTACTGGGGCCCCGAAACCTGGCATAAACCAATCTCCTCACTCGTCGGCTTAGAGACTGCTCTTGGTGACTACTCGTTGATCGACATCTGGATACCACTGCTTGTTCTTATGGTTACAGGCGCACACATTCCAGCGTGTGTATACAACGTAGTCAAAGCACGACGAGCACGAAACGAACCCGTCGCGCCAGTCTTCTTTGAGTGGATTCCTTTCTTCGTCTTCGCGCTTGCGACTGGCTCATGGCTGTACTCTCCATACTCGACATTGCTGAAAGAAAACCACCTTGTCCTATTCTGTCTCACTATGTCCTTCGTCTTCGGACGAATGACGACAAAGATCATCCTCGCACATCTAACGAGGCAACCATTCCCATATTGGACGGTCATGTTGATACCTCTCATTGGGGGCGGGGTGCTGGTCAATCTCCCTCCTCTCCTGGCCTTTCCACCTGTCTCTGCGATCACAGAGCTCTGGTACCTTCGAGCTTACTTTGTCTTCGCCCTCGTGGCCTACTTCCGTTGGGCCCTTCTTGTCACTGGCTCGATCTGTGAATACTTGGATATCAACTGCTTGACCATTACGCCACGCCTCTTACCACCCCAAGCAACAGGGAAAGACAAGAAAGTGAATGGAGGCCCTCCATCTCAAACGCCAAGAAGAAGTGGTAGGCTGACCGTGAACGGGGCTGCAAAAGGGGACTAGTGTTGATATTGATGGTGGAGAAGTGTCATGTGACTTACGTCTAACGAAACCAAAAGTTCCAGCGTTTTCCTCAACGAGATCGCAATCAGTCATCGGCGGCAGCTTTAGTCAAGCGATTTCAATGCATAGGATAAAGCTATCTATCAATCCCATGAAAAGAAGCCCTTTGTAACAGCTCCCAACCAACGCCAATCGTCACGTAGCGTACGTATCAAAGGCTACTCCCTTTACGCTCTCAGAAGTATTCCATCGACACCGACGACGTCCGTGAACATAAGTTTTCAGAGCCACATATCTTTGATAAGACTCCAAAGGAAAGTCTATCAGGCATAAAACCATGAGCAAATCATTCCTCTCCGCTGCCAGTCTCATACACCAAACCCCACGGAATATAATCCTAACTCTTCCCCTCCACCCCCTCCCCCTCCTTCCCCTTCTCCTTCCCCCCTCCTTCTTCCCCCCACCAACAACAATCCCCCTCACCCCATCCTTAATCTCCTTCCAACGCCCCTTCGTCTTCATATACCCCTGAATCCCCACCATCGCCGCATAACTCCCAGGAACAGCCGCAATCGACATATCCACGCCTCTGCTCTGCAAACTCTTGATAAAGATATGCAGGTTATGGCTCGGCGTCTTGTAATGGCCTGAGCGAGGTTCGAGCATTCGCAGTTGCCCGTCTTTGACGTGGATGAGACCGGCGACGGAGACGCGCGAGCCGTGCAGGAAGGAGGAGTGTTGGAAGGCGCCGGATTGTTTGAGGCCTATGTAGAGGTTGTTTTTTGTGTCGGCGACCTACCGGGGGTGGGAGGAGGTTAGCTTTCTGTTTTCGATGTATGGGGAATGAGGAGGGGGGAGGGGGGGGGGGGAGGAGGGTTTGACGAACAAATATCCATATCTGCTTCGACTTCTTTGGCTTCTCCGCCTTAGGCTTGCCAAAGGCATCCCGTATCGATCCTTTTCTCCCTCCTTTCTCATCCTCCTTCTTAACCTCGGTCTCCCCCTTCTCTTCCTTCTGCCCACCGACAACCTCCAGCTCCGCTCTTTCCTCCTCACTATCCATCCCACTCCCCTCACTACTCCCCCGTTCCCAATACCTCCTCCTATCCGCCCACAGTGGTGCCGCATCCTCAACCCTCACAATACCCTCTACACTATCCCTCCACCTATCCCCCGTATCAACCCTCATCCCATGATCCTTCCGCCAAACAAGCTTCCCCCTTCCCCAACAACAACCTCATACAACCGCCGTTCCTCCTTTCCTAAATACCGCACCCTCATCTCTTCCAGCCGTTCCCTCGAGCACGCCTCCACCACCACATCCTTCCCAGCGCCATGATCGAGCCAGAAGAAGAAATTCTCGTACACCCCCTCCTGCGCTTTCCAGTACGCGTGATACTTCCTCAGATTAGAGCCATAGCGATGTTTCTGATCCACCATCTCCAGAAAGTATGATAAGTCCATCGTCTTAGCGCTCTTCACACGATCCTGCTTCTCGGCTAATTTCTTCTGCTTGCGGGCGCGCTTCTGGGCGTCGGTTGGTGGGCGAGCGGAGGTGGGGGTATTGGAGACGTCGTGAGCGCCGACATCGCTATCGGAGGAGGAAGAGCCCGAGGGAGATGAATCTTCGGCTTTGTTGGCGCGCCGGGCGATTTTGCCGGCGAAGGCCCAGTTGGATTTTGCGGTCGAAGTGCGGTGTTGGAGGCCTGGTTGTGGGAAGGGTGGGGAGGATGGGTCGGTCGTGGAGGAGATAGTGTTGGTGTCGGTGCCGCGGGATTGGGGGGTGGTGAGGGCGCGATATTGGGCTTCTTTGACAGCCTAGGGTCTGTTAGTCGATGTGGTCGGGCTCCCTCCTTTCAAAAGAGAGGACAGGGTAGAATACTTCTATCCATCTGCTCGCAGGATCTAAACTCAGCCCTTGTAGTTGCCTGCGTGCTCTGTACCCGCGATAAGTACGCTGAAGCGTCTTTGCCGCGTCAGCTTCGCTTTGCTTCCGCAGAGTGACTTCATTTTGCGAGTCGGTGGGTGATGCGTATTTGGGTTGGATTTCAGCTTCTTTCTTGCTCTGAATATCCGCAATGGAGGACGACATGACAGGTTGGAGCAACCCCTGTTACGCAGCGTTCGCGAGCGGAGCGGGGCGGGGTGCTTGGCAACTCATGACAATCTGCCCCTCATGCTGCCCGCATGTTGCCGCTTTAGCTGTTCTAGGCCGTATGCCGCCGTAGTGCCGTAGAGCTATCCCTAACAACGCATTTATGATGCATAGTGTGCATCCCTATTCTCAACGCGTTTGACATCATATATCTACACTACCGAGAAAATGTACAATTGTATGATCCTCTTGAACTCCCAACTATTCTTATCAAAGCCCATATAGGTGATAAAAGCAATTCCAGAAGCTCATCACTGGGATGTTGGTAGATAAGTCCCAGATTCATTTCGAGGCCATGTTCCCCTCTGGATCAGCTCTCGCTCTATATGCCCTCCATTTGGCTTCAGGCCTAGCGTCGATAAAGCAGAGGCTGACCCGTGGAAATTCAGTCGCGGGCGCTCAACAGTGTCGTCGATCGATTGTGGACGAGATTCATGAGCCTGAACATCGATAGCTACGGGCTGTCCACCGCCGTCCACGTGATTTGGCCCCGAATGAATAGATGAGGGTGGCCTTGAGTGGTTTATGGCAGTAGAAGGTGAAGCAATCGGCTCTGAAATTTGAACAGTATCATTTGTGACTTCTGCATTATTGGCAAGGCCCGAAAGTGTTGAGAGTGGGTGAATATCATTGTATACCACGGATGGATTAGATTTGAGTAAGAGCCCTACTTAATCTGTCAGTTGCAGCAATCTGGTCAAGAGATTCATCTCCTACCAAAGATTTCAAGAATGATGTCATGCACTAGTGGGGCCCATGCGAGCAACGCGGTTACTTGGCCAAATCCCCATTCTGAGTCCTCGTACAAGGACCCTGATGCCTTCTTCAAATCTTGTCGGCTACTCTTAAGCCAACTCAGAAAAATCCACTGAGATACTATCCAAACACAGGATTGTACCAGTATGACAAGACACCTGAAATGATATTCCGGCTTAATGTCGAGGGCATTGCAAGGCCTGTCAAACAGAGTTTGAATTTGCCGAATCAAGGCCGGTATTATATATTGGCAAAAAGCAAATATGACGCCCACAACAGTAAAAGCAGCCAAACAAGTTACACAATAAGCAAAGAAGAATCTCCATAATCTCATATCGTCGACGACGACATTTCCCAATGCCGGCAATGGGTAGTCTCGCTCGGACTCACAGTACATCGTAATTGTCCCTAGAATATTCGTCTGAAAAGATGAGATCCCGCTTTTGGAAGTGTTGATAAAGGAAAGTGCAAACACTATGATGAAATAGACTCCAAAGGCCATGATACTTGCATCTCCCAAATTTCGATATGTGATCATTGATGCGACTGTTCCGAGAATGACGAGCATCTCAAAGAAGCCCAGTAACACGAGGAAACTATGCTCACTGACAGGCGGTATCTGAGTTTGTCGAATGATACTAGCTATCACCACAGACATTGACACAAAAACATTGGTCTTTGCCGCGCTGTAGGCAATATTTTTGACAACCTGGTAAATTTTGGCCCGACGATGCGATAGTTGGGCACTTTTTAGCTCCCATATGGCAACAATGATTGCGAGTATAGGACCAAATATCAACGTCGTGATTGACTGTAGTAGATACGATATCATAGCCTTTTTCCATATGAGTCCATTACCACCCAGATGATATGGATAGAATACTTGCCCCGATTCCCGAGATATCTGGATTACCAGAGCCATAGACAAGTGGACAGACGCTGGAGCATGTTTGCACGAGCAGTGAAACATTGTATCCTCGCCAGTCAGACTCAATTCGCGCAAGCAAAGAGTCGCGGTCTGTGAAGTGACATGGGTCGGTATAGCTGCCTGTAGGTATTGCTGCAGGTAGCGTGGTAATGCTGCTCATGGTCTTTTCGAGGGATGGCAAGATACAGTCAGATGTTGGAGGTCCAAGTAGATGAAGTTTGAATTGAATTTGGTCGAAAGGCAAATGAGAAAACCATGAGTTACATATCAGCCTTGTTGCCTCTGCTATCTATTTTAGTGTTATGGGCTGTGAGAGGACCCCCTGTGGCCATTTCGCCTGTGGGCCAGTCAGTCGAATTTGAATCACGTGCGCATAAACCCCATAATGGCCCACAGGAGAATTATCTCTCCCAGGCAGCGGTCAGACTCTAGACCAGAACAGTAAGATAGATTGTGAGGCTGATATTTGATGTCTTGGCTATGGTGGGGCAGACGGCGGGACGGTTCCGAACAGATCTGGACACGCGGTTTTGCTCGGGAGCAAATGTTTGACCAGGGACAAGCACGTAAATGCACGATAGTCCATGGTTCGAACTCCCACCGGGGAGATCTGGCTTGTACTTCACGTAGATGTAAAATGATGGCCTAAGGCGTGCCATTATTTGATCCAGGGCCTATCCTCCCAAACCCGTAACATTCTCGTCGCAAGCTTTGGTAGAAGGCGTTGATGGCATCTAAGGGTTTCCACGGTAGATCTTGAGGCGCTTGTCACATTTGGAGATCAACCAGCCACAGGATGTGGGGACATAGGTCAATTGCCCCTTTTACAGGTTACGTCCTGGGCCGTGAATCTGACCTATGAGAATTGGACAATCAAAATCCATCCATGGGAGACAAAGTAACTCCTCAGCCGTACTTCCTCGGGCCTTACACACTTCTCACCAACACCAGATACCTCCGTCGCACTGTCTCGGTTCTTATATACGACTGTTCTCCAACATCAGATGCAGTGCGAACTGTGCATATGAGATTAAGGCCAAGATTGATGGTGGAAGATGAAAGATGATAGGCGCAGACTCACCCAGCAAGCCGCCCATGCCCAAAGCCGTTAGAGGGCAACGTCCGGCTTGACTTACCGAGGGATCATGATGCCGCCCTTCTGCATCGACGATTTCAGGTTTCCTGCCCATTTCCCAGACCCTTGTAGACCTGCACCAGCCACCTTCCTTATTGGCTACAGGCACTGCATGTGACGCAAGGCCCCATTCGTCGCAAATAACAGTGAGAAGTGAGAAGTAGTGTGAGAGGGACAGGCCCAACGCTCTCCCGCCAGGTTTTCCCAGCCACACCGCTGAGGCTGTCGTGCTTCTCCAACTTTTTGCCCGTGACGTAGAGCCAGAGCTCCTTTTAAATGAGCTCCCCTTCCCAGCCCTTACCCAAATAGCTTCACGCAATTTCCACAAGATCAACACGTGCTCCAGCCTGTGTCTATTTGATCTCATCCTTACTTCACACTTCGATTTTGCTTAACTCCCGTGTATGTCCAACGATCGGCCACGTTCCTCGGCTTCATACGCGTACTATTCCTTCCCACCCACTCCTAACCGCTCATCACCAACCAATTCGCAGTCTTCCAAAACACCTTCTCCTCAGACTGCCCGTTCCACCAAATCTCCATCCCAACCGAAATCAATTCCAAAGTTAGACTCATCCAAGAACATGGCGCCCTCACCTGCAGCGGGCAAGAAGCCACAAGCCCCTACCACTCCTACAAAGCAGGGCAAGAACCCCGCTTCTAGTGCGACCTCCAAACTCGGTCAATCTCAAAGCGCAACTGACCAAGCATCAGGCGCTGGCGACAAAGCAAAATCTGCAACCAACACACCTCAAAAAGCCGCTGGCGGTGCTGCCGACAAGGCAAAGGGAGCAGCTGGTGGTGCCACATCCTCACCCAAATTGCCACCACGGCCTAAAGCTGGTCAAGCGCAGCAGGCTGCTTCAGGCGGGCCAAAGAACACACCTCTCAAAAATACACCTAAAGCACCAGCCGCCGCACAGAAACCAGATGAAGATACCAAGAAGAAAGCGGAAGATACAACAGGTGCGGCAAAGGATAAAGTCGATGACGCAGCAAACGATGCCGACAACGAGGACACGGATGCACCGGGCGGCAAAGTCGCTGGAAACGAAACTGGCGACGACGTCAGCTCAGCTGTCTCAAATGCTGGTGGAGAAGCGGAAGAAGTGACAGCCGGCGCACAAGAATCTGGACCAGATATCGAGACAGCCGACGACACTGCAGAGGAGACCGCCGAAGAGACTGCTGATGACACAGCCGACGAAGGTGGTGCCGTCGGAGATGCAGCTGGCAAGGTCAAAGACACAGCAGAAGACGCGGCAGACGATGCCAAAGACACCGCAGAAGATACAGCGGAAGGTGCTGAAGACACTGCAGGAGATGCAGCAGAAGGTGCCGAAGATACTGCAGAAGGTGCTAAAGACACCGCGGAAGACGCCGTGCCCGATGAGGCTGAAGATGCAGCAGGTGACGCTACCGATGGCGTGGAAGATGCAGCAGGTGACGCTACCGATGGCGTGGAAGATGCAGCAGGAGACGCTACCGATGGCGTGGAAGACGCAGCCGAGGACGCCGAAGATCAGGCTGAAGGCGCAACAGATCAACTTCCAGAACCTGATCTATCCCTACTCAAAGGACTCGAAGTCGGTGAGGGAGGTGAGGTCCTTGATCAACAAGGCAACCCCATCGGTCAAGTTGAGGAAGGTGATCCTGAAGATCTCGTTGGTCAAACTATCGGTGACGACGGTGAGATCCTTGATGAAGATGGAGATGTTATTGGTCGCGTGGGAATTCTGCCAGAAAAGGCTCAAGAGCTTGCCGACAAAGCTAAAGAAGGTCTTCCAGGCGTGAATGTTCTCGAAGGTCTAGAGGTTGGCGAGAATGGCGAGATCTTGGGACCTGACGGCACACCGCTTGGCAAAATCACAGATGGCAACCCAGAGGATCTTGTCGGACTAACGCTCAATGAAAATGGCGAGATAGTCGATGAAGATGGTGAAATTATTGGCCGCGCTGAAGTCGTACCCGGTGAAGCCGCAGACAAACTCAAGCAAGAAGCAGAGGAGGCTGGCGAAGAGGCCGGCGAAGGGGCCGGCGACCAACTAGGTGATGTTGCTGGCGGTTTGAAACCCGACCTCTCAATCCTCGCAGGAAAGAAGGTCAACAAGAAGGGCAAGATTCTCGACGAAGAAGGCGAGCCAATTGGGCAGCTTACAGAGGATTCTGATCCTGCGAAATGCGCTGGAAAATTGCCCAATGAAGACGGCCTCATCATTGACGAAAACGGAGACATCGTCGGTAAGGTCGAGATTGTTGAAGGAGAGGCCGCCAACGAAGCCATGAAGGCTTTACACCCAGAGCTAGTGAAACAACTCGAAGAAGCTGGGGAAGGAGCCGGTGACGAAGCCGGTGAGGACGTCGACGAAGCTGCTGAAGGCGTTGAAGAGCCTGAAATCCCAGGATTACCCGGACTTGACATTCTAGAAGGGCTTAAAGTCAACAAGAAGGGCGAAGTTCTTAACGAGGACGGCGAACCTATTGCGAAGCTTTCTGAAGGAGAGCTTGCCGATTGCCAAGGAAAGAAGTTGAATGCCAACGGTGAGGTGTTGGATCAAGATGGAAACGTCATCGGCAAGGTCGAGCTCATCCCTGAGGCATTCCCTGAAGTTGCAGAAGCAGCTGAACAGGCTGATCTCAAGGTACTTGAGGGCCTCAAAGTCAACAAGAAGGGCGAGGTTGTTAATGAAGACGGCGACCCCATTGCGCGCTTGGTGGAGGGCGAACTTGACGATGTCATCGGCAAGAAGATCAATGAGAAGGGAGAGGTCCTTGACAGCGAAGGCAACGTTATTGGCAAAGTCGAATTAATACCCTCACCCGAAGAGGAAGCCGCACCAGAAGGTGAGAAAGGTGAGGAGGGACCCGACTTTTCGGGTCTGGAAGGCTACAAAGTCAACAAAAGCGGTAAGGTCGTCAACGAGGACGGTGAGAACTTGGCTACCTTGGTCGAAGGTGAACTGGACGACTGCGCTGGCAAGAAACTCAATGCCAAGGGCGAAGTGCTTGATGCCGAAGGCAACGTCATCGGAAAGGTTCAGTTAGAAGGTGCAGAGGAGGAAGCGGAGGATGAGGGACCCGAATATCCACCTCTTTCCATCCTGGAAGGCCTCAAATGCAACAAGAACGGCAAGATTGTCGACTCCGAAGGCACCCCTCGAGGTGAACTTGTTGAAGGTGACGCCAAGAAGCTCGCCAAATCGGGTGCCGAGTGTGATGCCGAAGGTCAATTCTGGGACGGAAAAGGCAAAGTCATCGGCCGCGCAGTCACCTTGCCAGTCACACCCGAGGAGGAAGAGGCTCCATTCGCTGGCCTTGAGGGTCTCATCGTTGTTGACGGTGGCTTTGTTGAGGACGAGAACAAGAACAAAGTCGGTCAACTTGTTGAGGGTGATCCTGTGAAATTGGTTGGACGTGCAGTGGACGAAGATGGAGATGTGATCGACAAACATGGCAACATTGTTGGTCACGCAGAGCGGCTTCCCGAGGAAGAAATTGAGGAGCCTCTAGATCTTTCCATCCTTAAGGGTCTGGCAGTCAATAAGCAAGGCAACGTCATTGGTCCGGATGGTGTTCCCATTGGCAGACTTGTGGAAGGAAACGCAAAGGAACTTGCTGGCAAGGTGTGCGACGAAGAAGGCCAGATATGGAACGATCAAGGCCAAGTCATTGGTCGTTGCGAAGTCATTCCGCCTGAGGAGCGGGAGGCCAAACCTGAGGGTGATTTCGCTGGTCTAGAGGGTTGCATCGTTGTCAAAGATGGTAAGGTCGAAGACGAGGAAGGTAATCTCGTTGGTGAAGTGGTCGAAGGTGATCCAAAGAAACTTATTGGCCGTGCCGTTGACGAAGACGGCGACATCATTGACAAGTACGGTAACGTGAAAGGTCATGCTATACGTTATGAGGAGCCAGAAGAAGAGATTGCCGACCTATCATCACTAGAGGGCAAGGTTGTCAACAAGAGTGGTAACGTTGTCGATGAGCATGGCACAATCTATGGCCGAATCGCAGAGGGAGATCCCAAAGAATTGGCTGGCAAGAAAGTCGACGGACAGGGCCAGATCTGGAGTGATAACGGCAAAGTAATTGGCCAGGCTGAGCTCATTCCAGGCGGTGGCACCCAGAAACCCGAGGGACCATTCACTGGTTTTGAGAACTTGGTCGTGGCGAAAGACGGCTACGTCACCGACGGCTCCGGACAGACTGTCGGTATCTTGGACGAGGATACTATGCCAGAAGCCGACAAGCTTCTTGGTCGCGCAGTCGATGCGGACGGTGACATTCTTGATACTAGCGGTAATCCCATCGGCCACGCCGTTCGTTGGAAAGAGGACGAGAAGGAGCGGAAAATTAACCCCATGTCTGGCCACAAGGTCAACAAGGATGGTGAAGTTCGTGACGAAAACGGTGAATTACTCGGTGTTGTCACTGACGGTCACCTCCCCACTTTGATTGGCATGGAAGTCGACGACAACGGCTACGTGATCGACCAAGACGGCAACAAAGTCGGAGAGTGCACACTTATCCAAAATCTTCCAGACGATGAGCCAGAAGAGGAATTATCAGAAGAAGAGCTCCTTCGACGGAAGAATGCCGAAATCGCAAAGAAAATGAACGGCATCGTCGTCCAAACAATCGAAAAAATGCAACCCATCTGCAAAGACATCACAGACGTAAGCCCCTCTCCTTCCCTTTCTTTCTTTCCCCTCTCAACCCATACTAACACCAATCTAGCTCATCGAAGCAGCCGAGCGCAAACCAAAAGAAGAGCTCGACGAAGAAGAACTCGTCAAGCAAGTCAAGCCCAAGATCGAAGAAGGCAACCGCATCCTCCAAGAATGCAACGGTGCGCTCCGCGGCCTGGACCCTGACGGCTCCGTCGCCGCCTCAGCCAAAGAACGCGCCGCGTCGGGCGAAGCCACCAAAGAAGAGCATCAACTTGCCAACTCGCTGAAAGAACTCACCAGCACGATCGTCACGACGATCGAGAACGCGAAGAAGAAGATCGCGGATATGCCACACGCCAAGAAGGAGCTGAATCCGCTGTGGTATCTGCTCAGCGAGCCGCTATTCCAGATTATTGCGGCCGTCGGGCTGTTGTTGAGTGGTGTGCTTGGTCTGGTCGGCAAGCTACTCAATGGCCTTGGACTTGGTGGGCTTGTTAACGGCTTGTTGGGTGGATTGGGCATCGATAAGTTGCTTGGTGGTCTGGGACTGGGGAGTATAGGCAAGAGCTTGGGCTTGGGAGGGGGGAAGAAGTGAGGGGGTTGCATACGTCTAGGAAGGGGCGATGAACGATACCGACCGACGACAACTTGGCTAAGATTGTACGCTACCCACCATTTTCGATTCTTCGTCTGTGTGGCTTTTCATCGGTAACATGTAACTGGTGCTGTCATTGAGAATGGCGTTGTGTTTTTTTGCAAAGCGAGCGGTGAATCTTTTTGTATGTATAATATGAGCATAATATGAATTCGGAAAAGTGTTCAACATTGATTTCTCCACCCTAACTCCTATCTCCTATGTGGAATATGTCACTTTTGGTGTACGGTACGATTTTTTTGTACATTTTTTTGTACATTTTTTTGTATACCTTTATGGCATGGCATAGCAGGATCTTTCTTTCCATGGAAATGACGAGACGTATAGGGGAAGAGGCATGTTTGTTCACATAAGCCGTCCTAAATCCGCCTTCATAGGCAGGCCCAATGCACCATATTTCTCAATCATCCATCCCCTCTACACCAAATCCCATCTTACAATTGCCCCTACCCCTCCCCTCCCCCTTTTCCTCTTTCCCTCAACAACAAGATTTACGTAAATTCAACCACCAAAGAAAGCACATTTTCAACGTACCAGCAAGTCTAGCATAAACAATATTAACCCTCCCCCCTCCTTTTCCGTCTCCCCACACACTTTCATCCACGCCCAGACAGACAAAATATCACCTCTGTCCAGACATGCACATACCTAGGCGAAGAACAAATGCATTTATCTTGGCGATTGGTCGTCTTCGTGTACCTCCCAGGGAAAAGATGGACAAAAGAATGCAGGCTGGTGTTGGTGAGCTCAATTGGCAAGGGATCCCAGGTAAATGGATGGGAGAACGCGGAAATTGTTCTGGTTTGCTGTCGACGGACGTAGAGCGGGAAGCTGGTGTGTGGAGGTTTGAAATTTAATCCAGTCTCTTTCATATAGGGGAGATGAGGAAGTAGACGCTTTTTGGGATGGATGAGTATGTTTTGAAATGTGATAGATGTAGGGAGAGGTAGGGCACACAAGATTTATGTATGGTTGAAAAGGGAGCTGGTTGGCTGCTGCTTTAAAGATGCGGCCGCCATATGGTATTGACTGCCAAAGAGATCAAGTAAGGTAGGAAGAAAGAGTTCAAGAATCAAAAGACTTATTGTCAAATAGGAACCCGCCACCACTTGTCCAAAGACTGAAGCAAACGCACTCCGTCCACAGTAGAGCTGCTTCTAGTTGAATTGACATTAGAGAACAGTCTCAAAACACGTATGATTTTTCTGAAGTGTCGGCAGCGCTCGAAAAACTTTGTTACGAGGGATATGCAGACCATTTCCCATAACGAAGATCGATAAGAGAAGCTGCTGAAAGCTCTTCCAGCCATCAAGAAAAAGTGACTGTAGCTAGAAAGTGCATGGATTGGGGAGCTGGGCTAGACATTAAATTTATGACTTGTCCCAGCTACAGAGTTGGAAACAGAGCGTATTCCGATGGCCTGAAGCCTGCTGAGTGAACGCTTTGTAGGTAGGTTTATTGTTCTACTGACAGCAAAGAAAGCTCTTTTAGATGTTGATACTTTTGAGAGGGATGCAGCAATAGATTTGAAGGAAAAAGCAGAGTATTGTAAAGATAGCTGTTCTAGAATGGTGGCGAAAGGGGAAAAGGGACAATATTAATTGACTGGAAACCGATAGTACGAATGCTTTGCGGGTAAAGATCGTGCTTTTCGTCGTGAATAGAAGCTCTCTCAAGTTATTCCTGCAGCAAAGGGGATTTGGGTAGAGAATTCGACAAATACGACAGGACATCGCAGACAGTCAATTGCAAAGCTTATAAAACGATTGATAAAACGAGACGACTTTCAACGACGCAAAAGTCACAACAAGCGGACTTTGCAGGCAGCTTCAGTTTTCCTCAGAGATAAAGCATGTCTTCCCTATCTCTTCTCACAATGAAAAGAAGTCGCAGCACCAAAGCATCAGAGGAAAACAAACAACTCGCATGCCTAGCGCTACCACAGATAGTACTAGACAACAGCAAATTCCACTCAAAGTTGAATCACTTTCCATTGATTGATAATTCTTCATCCTAGGCTCCTCCCTGCCATAACAACCCCTTCCTCCCATTACTAGCGGCATCTAGGCGCGCTTTCGTTGCCCAATCAAGCATTGGGAATTCATTGTATGTGCTTTTTCGCATCCGCCTCAGCTTTCGCTTCGGGATCAGCGCCCTCAGTACCCTCAGCGCCCTCAGAGCCCTCATCCTCATCAACTGCAAATCCATCACGTCAGCTTCACCATTCCTTACACCTCCACCTACCACAAAAAGCCTCTTTCACAAACCAACAACCCCAACGACCAAACCAAAAAAGAAGATTGACAACGATAAAGGAAAGACACTTACATCTCTCAAGTTTGCGTCCCTTAAAGCTCTCGCGCAATTTCTTCACCGTCTCCGCGGCCTCCTCATGACTATGCGCGCGTAGCGGGGGATGAGCGCGTTTCTCACCCTGGCCGCTGGGGCTGTGCGTGCGTGTATGGAAAGCAGTCTGAACAGGGCTACGATCAAGAAAGCTCACTTTATCCGCGGCGTGGCCTTTGAAATCTGGCGCTTTGCTGACGGCCATAGGGAAGGGCATTGCTTGTGTCGCGAGCGTCACGTCGTAGCGGGATGGAGAGCCGCGGGAGTAAGGAGCCGGGGCGTTCTCGTGGGGGTGGGGGAGCAGGAAAGCTGTGGATGCATGGTGTGGTGCGTCGGTCAGGTCCGGGAGGGATTTACATGCTTTGGCGAGGAGGGAGGGCGATGGTGAGGGTGTTGCGTTGGGTGTGTTGGCGCTTGTGTGAACAGGTGTTTGGACTGGAGAACGGTCGAGCAGTTGGAGCTGATGGCTCGAGATGGATTTGTACACGTGCGGCATGGCGTTGGTTGATGAGTATCTAGCGCGTGTAGAATGTGCGGTTGATCTGAATTGAGATGTATCTCGATAACACTGCTGATACGCGTTGCAGGGCTCACAAGCTGTGATTAAGGGGATGATATATCGCGTGATCTGTGATGACCTATGTGCGTTGTTGGTGGAAGAACTGATGATTTTGATAACGCGGTCACTGTTCAGTAGGGAAATTAGCCTCCGATGGCCCGATATATGGGTCGATAGCGATTGCGGCTGGTTCTCGCGTTGTACGCAAAGGACAAGCTTGAGGTTGTACTCAGGTTTGTATATCAATCAAAATGATGTTGCCTGATGCCTGCGATACTGTCGTCGGCCACTCGCTCAACAGTTGAACAGGCGGTGAGGAAGTAGTGTAGGAGGAGACGACGTGTCAAATCACAACAAATCCCCCCACCTTCGATCGCCGCCATCAAGTGGTGATGGCGAATAATAGGTGATAATCGCAAAACAATTTGCACGAACATTGTACCCCATCTAGGCAAAATTGCCCCAGCATGTGGAGATGCTGTACGATGTTTTGCTGATGATGGATTTGAAGGGAACACGGCTGTCAAGAAAGAGCGTACTTAAATCAAGCTTGTGTTGTATCAAACCCAGCTGGCCAATCGCGAAGATATTTGCCACGGTCGATTTTAGTCTCCTGATGCTGCTGCAAGGCTTGGCATACAAAACAGAAACAGATCCAATTTTTTTTATGTCCGGATTCTCAAAAGCGCAGAGAATGGGCACTGAAGAGTGTTCGAAGAGGTGGCGTACTCTGCCCGACGCTCATAGCGTCTCTTTGAATTTCATATTTCTTCTAAGTGAACCAAAGTCCGAAAGATATCATCCCATGTAGGGACAAGTGAAGCCCTTGCCTTCTGAACGCCATCGCTCTCTAAATGCACAGGCTTCCTCTTTTTGAAATAAAGATCGTATTCAGCGTCATCATCAATCCCCTTTGAACCCCAGCGGCTTCAAAGTCTTCAGCGAGTAATGCTTGATTTCCCCGGAAACAGGAATCCAATCCTTCGACTGAGGCCTATAAAGAGCAACCCAATGAAGCTTCGTCAGAATTCGTGGCCCCTCTATCTTCACCGTCCCGTCAATGAGAATCATTCCTGGTTTGAGCGCAATTTTCGGACCCCATCTCTGGGCTAGAGTTTTCGTGGTCGCTTTCGCTACCGCCGCTGTATCCTTCGTCGGTTTGGGTAGTAGTGGACGAGAGCTGATAATCAAGGCCTTACTCCATGATTCGGACCCACAAGACTGCGGCGCTGATTTATCTGAATCTGTGCTCGAATCTCTCTGACCCGCCGGTTTGGCACCTGCCCTCAAATCGGGGTCTGCTTCTTTATCTGAATTAGACACAGAGCTTAGACTGAAGGTCTCTGGCTGAGGGATCGTATCCTCAACTTTGCCTCTTTTCTCATCCAATAGCCCCTTCATCTTGTCGTATCCTGACCCAAAGAGTATTGATCCGCCACTCCAGATAGACCGTGCAATAGCCTCGGGCCATATAGTGTTCTTGACGCGCATGTAATCGAATTGTGACATTGGTCTAGTCACAAAGTACATAGATTCATCTGTAATCTCTAGCCTGTTGAATTCTGTCAGCAAGGCAACGCTATGAGTAGACTGTTCCGCCGTCCCCACTCACCCAAACCGCTCATATTCTACAGGTTTATGGGTCGGGAAGGTATAGTCGAAGTCTACTGAACGGAGTTTCCAGTCCATTTCGCCGGAAGTACGCTCCCCCATTTGCTGCAAGAGCTTCCGATTGCTGACGTATCGCTGAACAAAAAACTTAGTCAAAGTCTCTATAGGTCATCAATATTTTGGAAATTTCAACACATCTTGCATGCATACGTTCTATCCTCCTCCTTTCCTGTTTATTCCTTGCAAAGGCAACCATGCTTTTCCATTCTGACTCGCTCCCATCGAACATCTCTAATGGTCTTTGTCTTGGAAACCACAGGGATATGAATATACCGTCTTCAGGGGTAGCATCTGGTATCTTGAAATCCTCTTCCTTTCCATCTGCTTTCTTCTCATCCTTCTTCTTCTGGGCTTTAAGCTGTTCTTCTGCATCTTGGAGGAAATTTTCGTCAAGGAAGCGTACTGTGTAGTAGTAAATAGCGTAAAGGGCGGCAAATCGAGCAACGGAGAGAAGGGTTCGGCTATTTCAGTCAGGTCCGGGTCACTTAAATCACTCGAGGGTTTAGTCTCTCACCTCCATTTGAAGGGTGGGCGCTGGAACCGCACGTGTTGCCCTTGGTCTTGTTCTCGGTCGCCATGTGCATAGCTTTGAAATCTGATCTGTCGACGAGCAGGAAAGGTTCGTGGGGAAATGGGTCGGAGAGGTGCTCTTAGAGCACGCAAACTCCGCCACATGAAGTATGGCTGTTTTGCCGAAACTGTGACTGTACGCTTTCCGAGGCCATATGAAATATAGGTTTGATCTTTTTACATGTCCTAGACCTTTGAACAGATTTTGAAGTGGTGGATTTATCAGATCTGATCGATAGCGAGTCTTACGATTGAAGATTTAATAGAAAATGATCCTCATCGGTCGAGCTATGGTGGTGTCTGAATTCTGATATTGAAATATTTAGACTAGCCAAATTGGGCGTTAGCCTACCCTCATATCAGACGTCAACTATGGCTCCTCACGATGCATCTGGATGAGATTACATGTCAATTATGAAAGCCTTCGGAAGCCTTCTTTGGGCTTGTTCAATTGTTGCCACCCTTTCCTCCACTCATGAAGCCTCTTTGTACCTCCCAGATTCACCATCTCACAATGCAGGGTCAAGACCGTCAATATCGCCTAATGTAGCACGCCTCCTTCTCGCCCAACGGCTGGGATTAGCACAATACCATGAGCTTGGAGATGTCGATGAATCGACCATCGAAATATTGAATGGATACTCGGGAGAACAACAGCCCTTGTTCTCTGCATCAGAGCGAAAACCAGAAAAGCTACTCATTGCAGAGGGCGTAGTGCACCCAGAAGGTGACATTCCTTACCATTGCCGCTTTGAACCGAAGCTAAAGAGCAAATTAGACCTATTCGATATATCAAGAGGGCAGCCAGACATGACAATAAGCGACTTCCCCTCAAGCTCAGCCACGCGACGATTTGCATCCGATCTACTCGGGCAAAGCGAACATCAAGGCAGCGAGATCTCAATCGAATACATCCCATCACTAGCAGTACCCACACCCTTACCCTCTTTAGCAATCTTCACTAACAATTCTCAGGACCTGACCCGCTCATCCCCCTCCTACGCCACGGCTCTCACCTCCCTCCAAACCCTCCTAACCAACTCCCTCTCCACCACACCGGGCACGATCCTCCTCCTCACCCCTCCCTCCACTTACACCTCCCCATCCTCCACATTCGGCACCTACACCCCCCGCACGCTCTCCTCCACCAAAACTACCCTCGCCAAGAAGAGTCCGTCCTGCAAAACCCCGCCGAGGACGCCCCCCAATCCTCCTCCTCCTCCTCCTCTACCGCACCCTCCCCCACACCACCAACAAGGCCATCCGAATCCTCCACCCCCTCACCCCTCCCTCACGGCATCCTCCCCATCTGCCACCCCTCTCTCGAATCCCTAATCGCCAGCACAAACAACTGTTCCGGGCACGGGATTCCCTACCAAAAACACACGTCCCCGAGCGACACAGACGAGAAGGGCGAGGGCGGGGCCAAGAAGGAGTGTTTTGCCTGCAAGTGCCAGAAAACAGTCATCGATGTGGAAGGAGGTAGTGGAGGGAAGAAAACGATATTCTGGGGCGGAGCCGCGTGCCAGAAGAAAGACGTTAGTAGCAGTTTCTGGCTGTTGGTGGGTGTGACGGTGGGGTTGCTGGGTGTGAGTGCGTGGGGCATCGGGCTCATGTATAGTATTGGGGAGCAGGAGTTGCCGGGAGTACTGGGGGCCGGGGTTGCGGGGCCGAGGGCGCATAGGGATTAGATATCCATATGGGTCGGTAGGAAGACATTTATAAGAATGGAGGGAATGATGTGAGATTTTGTATTCCTCGGCGCAAAGAGTGGACACATATTCTGATTGGGAGAATGTAGCTTTCATATCTGCACATACGTGTTCTGCAACTACCTCTAATCGCTCTCAAAGGCTGTCTATCTAGTAAGGAAATCCTAGCTCGCTACTTATCCAGCACATTATATTACCCCTCCAGCCCAAGCCAAAGCGATCATCGAGTACTATATTCATCTCATCTGTTTGTTTCTACGTACGTAAGTCAGATATCAACCTTTCCGCATTCTTGTTCGTGGAGCTACTCCCTTCCCCCAATTCTCAGGCTCCCCATTCCCCTCCTAAGTCTCGCCCCAGTTCCACTCTCCGCTCCCCTCGGCGCACCAGCCTCCCAATCCTTATAATTTTGCTGCGGCGGCGCTCTCATCGAGGAAGCCGTGCTAACAGCATCAGCGCTACGTCGGTGTCTCAGCTCCCCTCCCTCCAATGCAGCCCCGCGTCCACTTCCCTCCATCTCGCCCCTGTGTCCACTTCCCTCCAATTCGGCTCTACGCCCTGTGGTGATGCCATTGGGGCGGGTGCGGGGATGAGGATCGGAACGTGGGTTGGTGGTGGTGGGACTATCCACCATTTCGTAGTTACTTCTTTGTCCTTCGCTCGCGTTGCGCTTGTGTGTTTTGAGGGCTTTTTCGAGAGAGTAGGCGGGCTCGCCTTTGCCTTTGAGGTCGGAGGGGTGGTATTGCTGCCGTATCTACGTTAGCCTCAACCCTGTAAAGAGAAAGAGTAGATAGAAGAACGTACGACGCCAGGCCACCGTTTATATGCCCCACCTTCGGGGTTTCCCTCTCTCATCAAATCCTCCCCCTCACGATAGAAGTATCTTCGGCCATCCCTTCCCACCTCTCCGGGCGGCACAAATGCTACACCATCAAGCGGGACGTGCCTAAGAACAGAATCTAGGACCTTCTCCCTTGGCGTCGCTCTGAGAGCCTCTCTATTACTCCCCGCAACAGCCGCGACAGGTGCAGTTGCCTTCTTCTGATTCCTCGCCAACAACGTAGCGTCATAAGGCCCCTCATGATGATAGGCGGCTCCAGCGACATTATCCAAAGTATCAATACTATCGGCACCAACATGGCTTCTTTTCCGCAAGTGAGGGGAGCGGTTCGCGGCTGTGGAAGACTGGCGGAGCATGTCGAGCGGCCGGTGTGATTGATCGCCTGGGAAGCGCTGATTTAAGGAGCTGGAGCGGCGGTCGCGAGTGCGGATCGTGCTGGCGGAGGAAGCGGTGGTAGCAACGCCGCCTGTCGATGTGGGGATCTGAGTGGAGGCTTGGCTTACGCGGTTACTGGGTACGTGTAAGCCGGAGAATTCGGGAAAATGCTCTGTGGCAGGGCTGCCGGATGAGGGTGGAGTAGGAAAGCCGGTACTGCTAGGTGTGCTGTTGCCGTTGCGGTAGGGGTTGTTGCTTCGATGGCTAGAGACGGCGGAGCCATCTTTGTCGCTTCGAGACACGGAGCGCACGGAGGCGGAGGCTACGGGTTTGCGAGAGACAGAAGCTGAAGGAGATGTCATCGCTGGTGTAGCTGTGGTTATATGGTGTGTTCCGGGGCCAGTCTCTGCGCTGGGCTCAGGCGCTGTGAGGGGATCGAGGAGATATCTCGAGGCCTGTTGGGAGATTAGCAACCGTGAGTGACAGCAATCCCGAGATTGTAATACCCATTGCTTGTCTTCCGAACTTTCCATGTTGGCTACACTGAGTCAATGTTGAAGTAGGAGGTGCAATAAGTCTATGAACGATGCATGAAAAGGGATTTTTGATGCAGTTAACTGCGAGATAAAACACTTGAATATTACTATTTTCGTACCCGGTCGAGGACGTTAGAAACGGCGGCCGAGTCTGAGGGTCAAGTAGTTCTACGGGGTACGTCATCCGCCTAAAAGCGCGAGCCGTATTGCCCGTGGGGCCACTTCCCCGGCACGAGCCAGTGTTGGGCGACGCGTCTCCCCATGGTGAGAAAGCCGCAGCATCTAGGCAGCCAGATTTAGCAGTACGAGAACCTAATGCCTCTCGTAGAATACTCAGACAGTGAAGACTCTGACGCTTCTGAGACAAATGAGGAAGTCAATGGCGCGATAGCAAGCTCTCATGGCATAAAACGGAAACGCTCTCTCACGCCTCCAGCCCTGCCCCCGTTGCCGTCTAGTTTTCATGATCTGTACGCCTCCACGGCTCGCGTGAGCAACCAAGATGACCCAAGCCTTCATGGTGGGAGACAGCGGCAAACTCCTCATGTCGAGGGTAATTGGCCTACCCATGTCTATGTAGAGTGTAAGTCTTCCTGAGCCTCCCTGGCCAATGCCAAATGGCTTCGCTGATACAGAGGAGGGTTTCCTTCAACAGAACAAGTGAGGCAACTACAAGATGTAATAGACCGTGTAGCTGTAAATCTAGATGGCCAAGCCGGAGAGGACAAACGCTTGCACAGTCACTTGAAAAGTGATCTAGGGACCGCTCAGCCACTTCATATAAGCCTATCGGCGCCAATAGTGCTGCAGCTTCATCAACATCAGACACTCATTGAAACTCTCTCAAGCCGAATACAGAAGTCTGGTGTTCGACCGTGAGTCAGCTGAATCACATAAATCTGATGGCTTCTGTAGATTGATATTCAGCAGCTTCATGGTGCAGTCCTCAAACCTAAGCTGGGTTTCTAATCGTGAGAAATCTCGGTGGTTTCTTGTAATCAAGCTAGAAGTAACGTCGGAAAATGCTCTGTGGAAGCTCTTACGTGCAGCAAACGAGGCTGCCAGCGGTTTCAACCAACCGCTGTTATATACAGCCGACTCATCGGGACCACAGCCGGAGACGCAAGCCTCCAGAAGACCGTTTCACATCAGCATCGCTTGGACGCTCCACCCGGGTTTCAGTAGAAATCTGGAGGCTGACTTCTCGAACGTTCCCGCATTCGATATAGCTGCTGAGTCGGTGAAGATTAAAATAGGCAACACGGTCCACTCGATACGATTATCGAATCAGGTGGAATCAAACCGAGTGAGCATGATGACCTGAGCCGCGTGACATTGGCGATGTGATGGGCCCGCGCCCATCACATCGCCAGTCGCATCCCTGATCTGTAAGAAATTAGTCCCTGGCAACGTGATCTCAAAACTTCAAGCTGCGGATATGATGGGAACATTTGGATCAGAGAGAAGATTGGTTTTCGTCATAAGCGTCTTCTGTTCCCTGGGGGGAACGCGATAGACATTGGCAGTACGACTAAGGATGACGATACTGGGTTTTCATCATAGAATGTGTGATCGGAAGCGAGAAAAAAAGGTAGCTCACCATTGAACCATTTCAACATTCGCACCCCACATCCGGCTGTAGGCTGTCACTGAGTAGATAGTAATTGCCATTGGCCTAGTAATCTAACTCCTCCTCAGGAGCAACAGCGGCATTATCAAACTCTCTGATCTCCCTTCGAGATGGGTAGTCTTGAGTTGGAGGTTGCGTTGGTTGCTCATGCTGGAGCTTTCGTCTTTTCTGTCGTGGCTTGCGAAGATCCACTTTTTGAAGAGAAGTTTTACCCTGGTTAAAGTAAGGCTCAGTTGGCGTTGTCCCTGATTTTGCGTGGGCATCGTCAGAAGCCATCTCTGCATCGCTCTCCTTTACAGGCTGAGGGAACAAGGGTTCAGCTTTGCCATTTTCGAGCCGGACTTGTCGTTGTCGAATGAGGTTGTAGACCTCGCTGTGCCTAAAGATGGAGATTTGCTCGTCTGTCAAAGTACGCTTCTTGCCATCCGGATAGTAGCCGAGGTCATCATTAACCTCCTCTTCGTATTCATCTCCATGCGTTTGATCAAGATTTGTTGAGGACTGAGCCTCTAGCAATGAATTGAGTGGTGCTGGTTTCCCATATATTTGCTGGTGGAACGCAGTCAAATCACCCTTACTCCAATATTAGTACATCTGTCTTATGCCACAAATTCAAGGTATACCATACCTGTGTCACGCTCGGGACACGAGAAGTCGAGTCCATAGCATTTTGTGAATCTTTGATCGTACGATTCACTTATTTATTTTGAAGACTATAGTGGTGCAGAACCTGATTGGTCCAGGTTCCGCCCGCCCCAGAGATCGAAGTTTGGTAGCTCCAGCCTTACGGAGCTGGTGGAAGACTGGAGGTACCTAGATTGTAGATAAAAACCCTACGATCACCTGTGCCGTGGTAGGCTACTGCATGTCAGCACGAAAGATCCTCGATAGGTAGCTGCTTGGAAACGTTTGGCGTCGCTGAGTCACATCTACTGCCAGCATATCGGGTCGTCTGGGCAGATCATCAGCTGAGCGCACCGTCACACCGCATTAAGCAAAGACTCCCCGGGTCTGATGAGTGTGCCAATTGAGCGGACAGGGCTCGTTAAGGTCTTACGGCCAAGGGAATCGAAAATGCAACACGCTCAGCGCTAAGGGTCTGGATGCAAGCCACGCGTTTTGGGTTCAGCTTCGCTGAATTGAGGCCGCCCATTTTAAAATGCCTTCATCTCCCAGCTTCGCCCGTCACCTTGCGTTTCTTCATACAATCATTCTTCGTCTAGGCAACAATTCACCACATTCTTTTCACCATTAATCATAATCCATAAATCAATATGTCTCAAGATTTCCAAAGTGGTATCTTCGACTGCCAGCCAGCAGGTCTATGTACGTTCTGCCCCTAACTTGTCCGAGAGAGCTCAGCCTTGTCCAGTCGCTGATCTGTCATTTCCTCTATACAGGCCTCAAAACATGCTGCTGCCCATGTATCACCTACGGACAGACGCAAGAACTCAAGAAAAACCCCCATGCTGCCCCCAGCGCTGCCAATGGCGACGTACGTCTACACCTCCCTGTCGAGACCCAAAATAGGATGGGTAGCTGATATCCAGCCAATTATAGTGTGCCATCTTCTGCGTCATCCTGGGCTTCACCGGCTTCCAATGGATCCTCCAATGTCTCAAGCGTGGTGAAATGCGCCAACAATATGGAATCGCCGGCTCTGAAGCCAAGGATCTCCTCCTCTCATGCTGCTGTGGCTGCTGCGCTCTGATTCAAGAGCACAAGGAAGTGCAATTCAGGAACTCCAGCGCAGCCGCTCAGGTCACCCCCAATGTTGGCTATCAGGCTCCGGTTCAGGGAATGCAGTACAGCGGGCCACCACCCACGGCATAGAGCTGCGCAAGAGCGATTGAGATTCAAGCTGGGGCGAAATGGATATTTTGCGGGCACATATGAGCCCACTTTCTTTGCTGTCTGCGTACTTCTCGTACCTAGAACCTTAGCTTTTGGAAGTCTGACCGAGTAATTGAGGGAACCAGCTGAACAAAATTGAGTCTTCTTCATCTCACAACATATCTCAAGTCTCCTTTCGACATTCATCAGCTCTAGTGAAATTCAAGGATGTCACAAGCCTACGACGTCCTCAAAAGACTGACTCTAATGATCCCTTGTAAGATGAGATACCTGTAATCTTCACAGCCTCGGCTAAACCTTCCCAATCCGTCAATCCCAAATGCTACCACCAGTTTCGTCTACACTCTCACCCCTCGTCCATGCTCTCAGTCTATAACCCAGCCCCCAATCCACACTTCCACACACCGCAAACAACACAAAATGCTCCGCCGCCCACCAACAACCATAACCCTCACCCCCGAAGACATCGCGGCCTACGACGACACCCGCGCCCAGCGCGCCGCACGCCTCCCCGCTGACCACCCACTTTCCTCCCGTCATAATCTCGACCCTAACAGCCCCAACTCCAACAGCCCTGACCCAAATAACCCCGACTCCTCAGGTAACCGAGAAGAGAACATCGATCCTACAACGGGGCAAGGGCAGAATGGAAGTCCTAAAGATCCGAGCGATGAGTTGAAGCCGTTGCCGCCGCAAAGGAATAGGGAGAGGGAGAGAGAAGCGAGAATTCAGGGGAGGTGAAGCTTTGTTCGGGGATAAAGGAGGACGGGGGAAGAAGGAGGGGTAAGAAAGGGACGAGGAGCGATAGAAGGGGGAGGGGGGAAGGGAGAAGAATAGAAGGGAAAGCGAGGGTAACGGGAGATCTTTTAGAGACTGGATGGGAAAGGCTGATAATGAGCTTGCGCGGATGGAAAGGCTTGGAAAACCGAGATGGCTTGCAAGCTGAGACCATAACTGTGATGAGCATGCAGGGGACAGCCAGCCAACGTAGGGACGAACAACAGGATGAAAGACTGAGTGAGAGATTATTGCCGAAAGGACCGTTCCATTCCATACCTAAGCTATGCAGACGCCCCGCTAATATGATGCTACCTATACCCGTCGCTGAAACGCTTGTCAAAAAAGGACCGGATGAAGGCATTCGACGGCTCTCCTTCCCCACTGCTCATTAACGAGCCGTCGAGATGTCTTCTGCTTTTTGTCGTTTGGACATAATATGCTGGATGTCGCAACCTCGAGCTATTTCGAGCTCTCTTGCACGCTATGCAGAATCTACCGCGAATGCAACCAATCTGTGTCTTCAGACAAATCGTTCAATCTTGCTCCACACTCAGCACCATCGACGTCCGGCTGGTACATCTCACAGCATAAACGCAAATCCCCCAAACACCCCAACAAGCAGCACGCACATTCCATACAGCGGGCCCAGCTCCAGCACAAACGGCTGGACATGCTTCACCGCCCCACTCTTCCCCGTAGCGCTGGGGGCGCTCCCACCAAAGCCTGTGAACGCCTCATTCCCCGTAGCGGTGCTGTCCGCTCCCGAAGCCGTACCCGTGGCACTCATGGTACTGGAAATGGTACTCGAGTTCACGAGTTTTGGGCTCTGGGCGCCGCAGGGATGGGCGGTGCGGCATTGAGTCTGGCAGTTGGAGTCGCCGTTGCAGTTGGTCACGCAGTTGTCGGCGGTGGTTTGGCATTCGTAGTAGGGGATTGTGAGGGAGTACTCGGAGGCGTTGGGGGTTTGGCCGTTGGAGCAGACGCAGGAGAAGGCAAGGGTATTCTGTGCAGGTTGAGTCAATCAAGGGGAATGTGGAGGGAATTGTGAGTGGACGAACGCTTGAGCAGGTGTTTTCACGAGGTGAGCCTGTTGCTCCTGGGAGCTGGAGGCAGAGGAGAGGGCAGGAAGATTTTTGATCTGTGCACCATTTGGCTGGAATTTGTTAGTCGGAGAGCCATTCGTGATTCAGTGTTGGAACTCTTTACCTTTGGTGGTGCCGTCGACTGAGCTTGGGTCGATTGCTTGAGCTGAGATGAAGGTGGTGAGGCTGGAGACGATGAAGGTAACGAGTGTGAAGGTCTGCATCTTTACTGTTTGATTATCTGTTGATCCGATTAGTAAGTGAACGAGCGAGTTGAAGTGATTTTGTGGCAGACCCAGCAGCTTACACTGGGGAGATAAGGAATTTTGGACAAATGTCAAGTTTTCTTCAAGCCCCTTCAAAAAATTCCTTTTTGATGCAAGATGAACGAATGAAGTGTCTAAGTATTGTGTGACCTCGAGAAACGAATGAACTATATGTGCGGATTGCAACAATTATGATGGAACAGCGGAGACCAAGTGGAACGAAAGATGTGGAGGTGTGCAGAGTGTATAGGATGGCAGGGAGGAGTGGAGCTTTCGTTGCTTGGATCTAGAAGAAGCCCATCGGGGCCCTAGCTTGCATGAACTAGGCAAGTGGGGGAAGAACTGATTGGTGGCAAGACCACGGGTACTATTTCTAGCTGCAAGTGTCAAGATGCGTTAATCCATTTGCGTCCTTTGCCCATACCCCTCGGCTCCGTAATACGAGTTACCCGCTCACAATCCGTAGGATCATATCAGCCACCGGATATATATCGGAGCTCTCAACCTCTTTTCGTTATCTGCAATCCACGTACCGCGGCGTCGGTCCCCCGTCACTTTGTCCCCCAATGGATGGAGCAGCCAGACAATAATGGCAGCGTCCAGTCTCCCGATAGCTCAAACCTGAGCTTCGAAAGGGATCATGGTGGCGACAATGGCCATGAAACCGGTCATGAGAACGGGCAACAGCCTTCTTTGACCCCTCCGCATTGGTCACATCGACGGCGAGAATCATATGCTTCGGTAGTAGACAATAAGCCGGCTCCGATAACGTTGGAGGACCATACGGAGGGGCCATTAGCAGCTCACGATGCAGTATGGGCCAAGGCGATATACATCGAAGATTATGTCATCGTTTCTGGCGGAGTGAAGGACGTTGGAAGCTTTGTGGTCTGGCACTGTAAGATTGATACTCTGGAGGGAGGTGCAATGGTCATCCGGAAGAGATACTCTGAATTTCATGAATTGAAGAGGAAGCTACTTGTGACGTTTCCGAATTCCGCTGGAGCTATGCCTCTATTTCCTCCGAAGAGCATGATACGTGAGCATAGCATTAGTGACAATGGAGAGACCGTGCAGACGCTGATGAAGGTGTAGAAAGATTCCAGCCAAACTTCCTCGAGAAGAGGCGGGTCAGTCTTGGGTATTGGTTGACATGCATCTTACTCAACCCAGAATTTTGCTCCTCACCAATTACCAAAGACTTCATATTCGGCTAGCTCTTGCCTTGGAGACGGCAACTCGAGGCAGTCTGGAAGCGACGCCTGGCTTGAGAATAGATGCCTGAGGAAGTGAGACCTGCAGGCTTCCAGACCGCAAGGACAGTCGAGCGCTCTCGCACGGTCACAAGGGATAATAGTCAAAACTTTGGCTGTGTAGCCTGATATGGTCATTGGGGGGCATCAATAGGTGATATATTCGTCTTTACACAATTTGATCAATGTGTGAATTACAAAAGCTCATAGCAACACGCCATCAACGGGTGGCAGTCGCAGTATTGGCGGAAAGCGACGTTAATGATAATGCCTAATGCCATGTCCCATTTAAGGTCTGTTTGAAAGGCGATCAACTACCAAATTTTTGACAACCTTACGCCATGAATGCTCCATAATAGAGCCGTAGTATATCCACAAAGCATGCAAGTGAAGATACATATCCTTTATGGCCGTCCTTTCAAGGCCATCACGTCGTTCTGCTCGCAAAGATGCCGATCCAGAGTCGCCTGCTACCGATAAATCCCGTAAGGCCCCTGAGTCACGCCGAAGAAAGCGGCTCCGCAACAACACCATCAGCCACGAAAATGACACTTCAAGCAAGAAGTTGAAGTTTGAGCCCAATCTGAAGGTATCTAAGACCCTTGGTCAGGGTCGACCAGCACACAAAACCCTTCCAATTCGCGACAGGCAACCATATCCCGCAGCTTTCGCGACGCATGATGGGAAATCGCGAAAATTAGACCCTGTGCTTGTACAACCACGATTTGCCACAACACCAACACCACTTGATCCAGACGAGCAACCCCATAAAGGGATCAATCAAAACCTACCTCCCCCAGCTGCAGACCAAGTCGACAAGCGGAGTTTGCGATCACATGATGGCGGCTCGCGTACAAAAAGCGAACTCGCTCCGTATTTCAATGATTACGATGAGCTAATCAGCATCGAGCCTAAAGACCCTGGTAATGCACATGCCTCCAAACCAGAGCTCAATTTTGACTGATTCTAGTAGACTTGCTTACACCAGATACCATCCTTCACATCTACGATGACTCGCCTAATTCGACCGCTGCGAAAAAGGCTGGATCTTCGCTCGCTGATCAGAGCAAAACGCAATCCATATTTCATGTCAATGGCTTATCTGCAGCACCAGGTGTTCTTCACTGGCCTGAGGAGACGTTCAGTGACTTGACGAATGCTAAACGAATTGATTTCTCCGTCCTCGACGCTCGAACCAAAAGACCACTGAAGGACCCTCTTGACGAATCCATCTTTATTAGAGTGCATGCTCGAGAAGAGCGGAAAGAGAAGCAGCTGCGCAATATTGAGAAAGAGAGGGCAATGCATGAGAAGTTCCAACTCGAGCGCCTTCTGGATGGGCTTCGAGGTCACGACTGGCTCCGAGTCATGGGCATCAGTGGGATCACTGACGGAGAAAAGAAAGCCTACGAACCAAAGAGAGACCACTTGATTGCCGAAGTCCGGGCACTGCTGGAGAAGTTCAGACTCTGGAAAGAAGAGGAGAAGCGACGGAAAGCTGCAAAAGATGACGCAATGGAAGACGACGAGGATGAGGAAGACGAGGACATTGACAGTACCCAGGAGGAGGAGGATAGTGAACAAGAAGGAAATGAGATCCAGGACAGCCAAGCGGACTCTGAGTCTATCAGCGATGGAGACCCTCCAGACTACAGCGATGTGGATGCCTCGGCGGTAAGACAATTACACTGGAAGGCTTTGGACGCCGCCAAATCGAAAGCTTCTAAAAGGCCTCAGCCGCAATCGCCATCTCAAGGTACGGCATCAAAGAAGCCGATGAAAGAGAAGCCGTTCACATCATTCTATGCGAAACCATACATGCGCGCAGCGGCAATTGGCGGACATCGAAGGTCAGGGAGGTCTAGAACTGCGTTCGGTCATCCTATTCCAGAGGTGGAAGAACGGGATTTTGAGCTGCCCGAAGACATAATGACTGCGGAGGCTACTCTGGAGAGCGGCAGGAGGATGAGACGGACGAAGAGAGACCACAAGGACCACCAAGGCGAGGGGTAATTTGCAAGAACGGTACATACTGTTGGAAGATACCAATCAGCGCATTATATTTGGCATAGCAAGGAAGCGAGCATCAGCCAACATAATATAGAGACATATACTTGAACCTTTATCATTAAAACCTGAATATTCACATGGAATATGTCGTGCGAGATTTCTTTGCATGCCAAATTAGACGTGTCAAACCTCGCGTAAAACCTCAGCTGTCATTCATGCTTGACGCATGCAAAATCATCGATGTGCATCAATGAAGTGGTCCGAGCTTTAACAACGTCAAAGGAGTGACACATTGTCTCCAATTTAATTTGACTCACCCCCTGCCATGATACCAAGCAGACTTCGTGAACCTCCACCAACTTAGAGCATATCAATCATACCTTGCGATTCAACACAATGGAGCCAGATTCCACACCTGCACCGAACAGCGAGGTTACGGCATCTGCAACACAACCCCCCACCACATCTCTTGCAGAACATCAAAAGCGATCGAAACCTAAGAAAGAGAAGACACCCAAGCCCAAGAAAGACCCTTCAGAATCAAAACCGAAGCCCAAGCCTAAGGCCAAAGCCGACAATGCATCAAAGCCAGCCTCTACAGATCCCGATGCCATGTTCAAACAAGGTTTCCTCGCTGATGTTTATAACGAAAGGCCAGAAAAGAAGGTTGTCACACGGTGTACGCTGTTGCGTCATTCTACAGCAAAGGTCTAGTCGCTGACAGCATCTCTCTCCGCCAGTTCCACCTGAACCAAACGGCTTCCTACACATAGGGCACAGCAAGGCAATAGCGGTCAACTTTGGGTTTGCCAAATATCATGGCGGAGAATGCTATCTACGCCTTGACGACACGAACCCTGAAGAGGAGGAGAAGATGTTTGAGGAATCGATTGTTGATACTGTACGATGGCTGGGATTCAAGCCAAAGGCTGTGACATATTCAAGCGACAATTTCGAGAGATTATACGACTTGGCTCAGGATCTCATAAAGAAGGAGAAGGCTTACGTTTGCTTCTGTACAAGTAGGCTAAATTGGCATCTACACAAGGATGATTGAGGCTGACTTGGCCTCTAGAGGATGAGATCAATGACCAAAGAGGAGGGACTGACCCTAGGAAAAAGAAACCGCGATATGCCTGCCCACATCGTGACCGAACCGTAGACGATAGCTTAGCCGACTTCGAAGCGATGAGAGACGGGAAATACAAGCCTAACCAAGCTGCGTTGAGGATGAAGCAAGATCTTGAGGACGGAAATCCGCAAATGTGGGACTTGGTAGCATACAGGATACCAAAACGGTCGGATGCAGCAAAAGAGGAGCCTGCGGAAGGCACTGATCAGGAAGACGGGCAAGACAGCCATGACCCAGTTTATGCAAAAGCCCATTATCGGACTGGAGATAAATGGAAGGTCTACCCCTCATACGACTTTTGTCATAGTCTCTGCGACAGCTTTGAGGGCATAACACACTCCCTGTGTACTGTCGAATTCGAGCTATCTCGCGTCTCTTACGAATGGCTCAACAACCAGCTGGTAGATTTTAAGCCCATGCAGCGTGAATATGGCCGACTCAATGTTACTGGTACGGTACTATCGAAACGCAAGATCAAGAAATTGATTACGAAAGGGATTGTCAGAGGCTACGATGATCCACGGCTCTACACTTTACCAGCTCTCAGGCGGCGAGGATTCCCACCCGGCGCAATCCTCTCCTTTGTCAACGAACTGGGCGTCACGAAGGCTACGGCAAACATCCAGACCAGTCGACTGGAGAATTCAGTCCGCAAGTATCTAGAAACAACAGTGCCGAGACTTATGCTTGTTCTTGATCCGGTCAAAGTCATTCTAGACAACGTACCCGATGACTTTGAGGAAATGGTTGAGCTGCCGTTTGCGAAAGAACCTGCCGTGGGCAGCCACACAGTGCCATTCGCAAAGGTAGTGTACATAGACCGAAGTGACTTCAGGGAGGTAGATTCGCAGGACTTCCGCCGCTTAGCGCCTGGGAAGACAGTCGGTCTCATGAAAGCGCCGTTCCCAATTACGGCGACGACTGTGGACAAAGATCCAACTACAGGGCAGGTCACAGCAGTTCATGCCACATACGAGAAGCCAGAAGACGGCAGTGCACCAAAGAAGCCCACGGCTTGGGTTCACTGGGTAGGCGACTCGCGGAAACATAAGAGTCCCATCAAGGCCAGTGTCCGGATCATCAACCCACTCTTCAAATCCGACAACCCAGCTTCCCTCGACGATTTCACAACAGACATTAATCCCGGATCTGAGGTCAGCTATCCTGGGGCGCTGATAGAAACCGGGTTTACAGAAATACAGAGGCGGGCACCTTGGCCGGCTGAAGCAGGTGAGAAAGAAGTTGCCGCCAACACAGATGAGCCCGTTGAGACTTCCTCTAAAAATCCGGCTGATGACCCTATTCCAACCATGATAGGTCCTGAAACAGTCCGATTCCAGGGTATGCGGATGGGCTACTTTTGTGTTGACAAAGACAGCACGGACAACGAAATCGTTCTTAACAGGATCGTGAGTTTGAAGGAAGACTCGGGTAAGCACTGAGAGCTAGCGACCGTTCAATTCTCTTAGTCAGCAAGAACAATGCATATCCTACAAGATCGGGGACGATCTCTCGCCTCGAACGAAACAGGAACTATCGCTTGGCGCTAATGCATGAACCCGCCGCCAGCCGCCCCCACAATTTCCTATTCCGGGCCAGGCTCGACCTCGGATGGTCAGCTTCCGTCAATCCCTTAGTTCTAGCTCTACCAGCTTCTAGCGGCACTCAAGCATTCAAAGAACAAGATGTTTGATTTGTTTCCTCCTACACACCTCATCCTCAACACCAATCATCAGCATGGCGCTCCCCACCACCATCATTCACCTCTTAGCCCTCCTCACCTTCACGCTCGCAATCACATACCCCCTTTTCCCCCGTCAATTACAGCCGAATTCAACCGACTCGCATCCCTCCCCTCCCTAATCGACCCAATGACAATCTTCGCCTCCCTGCCCCCCTCAATCCTCCAAATCCTCCAAACCACACCCCTCAACCCCTCAGAATCCCAACCCAACCCTATCGCCTCTACCTTCCCCTCCGCCGCCACGGGCACAATTAATGGCACTTTCCTCCTCATCCCCCTCCCCTACTCCCTTGCCACCTCCATAATCCCCCCGCAATACAGGATACTCAAGCAGCAAATCGCGCACTACCTCCCCCACTTCCCCTCCAACACGAGCTACCCCATGCTTCTCAACATCCAACTCGACCACGATATCCGCTCCGCCGGCGTCACCGTTCCGGATTTCTCGCAAGTCCTTTTCCGGTTTCCGTTTGTGGATCTGTTGGGGGATGGGGAGACGGCTTTCTCGTTCGTGCCGAGCACCATTGTGGGAGCGGGTGGAGGCACGGCGGGCGTGGCGGGGCAAGCTGTTGCGAAGGTTGGGGCGGAGTCTTATGGGGAACGAGTTGTGCTGGGGGATTTTGAGCCGAGGGGGATGCGTACGCGAGTACGGATGGTGGGAGGTTGGGTGTGAAGGTGAGACGGCAGGGGGTGACGGGAGGAGCGGGCTTGGTGGTTTTTGAGTCGGAGGTGAGGGATGAGAGGGGAACGGAGGGGGAAGTGGGGGAGTACTCTTTGGATTTGTGAGTGGATTTGTGATACCTCCCATGAGATCGCTGATTACGTTTGTTCGTTGCGTGGGGGTTTTTGGCTGATGGAATGATAGCTATGCGAACGTGCTCAATCAGCCGATCTTCAGCTATGGGAAATCAGGCCTGCCGTTCGCGTGCGATAATATGATTAGGTTCTTTAACACGAGTATTACGCAGGGACGGTTTAGTCCGAAGGGGGTGAAGGGCGATGTAGAACTGGTGCCAGCGAAGATGTCGGGTATTGATATCTTTCCGGATGGACTCGATTTGAAAGGTGTGAAGGGAGCGAGGTTTGATACCGCGTTTATTGAGAATAATTATCGGAGGTGTGAGGATTTGAAGGGGTATAAGTATCAAGGAGTTTGAATGATGTTGGAACGATTGGAATAGTCCGATAGACGCTTGATTTGATCTTGATTTTGGCGTGTCTTGATACCACTTGACGTGGCGCACTAGATGAGCTGCAATGCCTTGGTAAGATCCAGTCAAGTTCAACGAAACCTCAAATTTAGATCCTGAGGTGACATTGACAGTGACAGTGACAGCGACATTGACAGATCTCAAGCTTTTGGCACTTCAAAGATTTTGAGTATAAACATACAGAGCAGGCTTCTAATACTTTACCCTGAAGGAGCTCAGAACTAAGTTCCAAGTGATCTCCCTCTTGGAACGGTCCGTAGCAGTGTACTCACCGCCCACAGAAAAACAATCACATTTCTCTCTTGCCTTATGAAATCACCTCAAGGCCAGGGAGCGCGTTCATTATTCTCTGGCTTACTAGTCTTTTAGCTGCCCAACATGGTGCCTGCATATATTCAAACCATAGAGGGCGTCAAAGAGAGGCGGTGCAGGAGAGCGCTAGAAGGGGGTGCTGCACAGCGACGTCACTCACACACACCGCAAAGAGCGCTAGTCAGCCTGATACCACTGACTTATATCCTGCACAATGCGACAGTCCAGATATCCCATAAATCCTACACGGACAGCTCCGCATCATATGGTAGCGAGATTTTCCTCTTTTCAACCCATGCTTTCACTGGAAAACGACCTCGGATTAGGTGAGTTGAGCTCAGATTGGACCTTTGCCCAACATTTTCAGAGGGCAGGCAGTTGGAAAATTCTGTAGTTTCTGAGAAGGCAACTTCCAACCAGTCGTCCAAGAAGACAACAACGATGGCAGAGCTCTGTCCATTTGACCAGCGTCGCCTGCCGCGAGAGTTGTACGTCAAGTTCTTTGTCGTCCACTTCATTGTCATTGGGGCATACAGTCACTTAAGGCATCTCCGCCGTGAGAGATACAACTTGCACATGTACGCCCTTGTCATCGCCTGTCCACTAGCTGGTATATCCTTGGTCGCCGTGCCTCTTCTTGTGCTTCTCTTACAAGCGATAATTACTCGGTGTGATTGGGATGCTATGTACTCCTCGATGGAGATATTACTTGGGCAGCTGCCTTCGGACGCAGAAGTGAAAGCAATAGTGAGAGAAGACGCCCGTAAGACCTTGGACAAGATGACCAAGGATTTTGTGGATTCCTATCGAAAGACCTTCCCTTCGGAAGCCTTGGGTATCACGGTTGAAGCCATGCAAAAGAGGATTAAAAGGGTCTTTCGTGATCTCGGAAACTATCAAGCGGTTGACAACGACAGTACCAGGGTTTTGGTGCCAGACGCTCCCAGATCAGCACCCTCATTACCATGTATTACCGATCCAGATACCTACGAGATGACAGCCCTTGCCGAGGAAGGCCGTGCGAATCCAACCAAGAATCCCCCGCAAGTATCTACAAATAATGATTCTACTAGCGATTCCATAAAAGCCTTACGAAAGTTTTGTCTGAACTTTATAGTAGCCACAAAATCTTTCGAGCTCTATCTGGAGCTGGACAATTTTGCACTCAGCGCCATCCTCAGAAACCTTCCCCTGCACTCACAGCCAGACGAAAAGGACAGCAGATTTCTGATTGTTCTTTTCAAAGAGGTCAGTGAAGTACTTGAGGCCTTGGAATCAGACACGAATGCAGATTCAGCAATCATCAAAGCTCGTTGCAGAGAACCTTTAAAGATCACCTGGGAATCGTCAAGAAGACTTCTATGGCCACTCGCCTTACTCTCGCAATGCATTACTTCAGTATGGCTGTTCCATAGAAGGGTAACCAGAGGAGGTGATGCGCTATACGACCACAGGATCTTGCAGTTGGCTTTGTTAGGGTTGTGCGTATCCATGATGACCATCTTTCAGCTTATTTTCAGGCCCCGCTTCCCTTTGCAGGCAGATAGAGCAGATCCAAGGACGGGATGGGTCTATCTCTTGCGGCCTGACAGGCGAGTGGATTGGCTTGTGTTTCAGCACATCATTTCTAGAGAGCGTATAGAGCGCTATACCGCTCACTCAGGGTCCTTAGCAGACGGCAAAGCAGCGACCGCATTAGTCTTGCGACTTTCGGAAAGTCTTCGAGAATGGATCTACTTATATGGTATATCAGCTGTAACTAGTAGTATGGGCTTGATGACTCATCCGCCAATTGCCTACTTGAACGAGATATTCGACAGAGATTCGGGACCGTGGCCACGCACTCTTCTATCTCTTTCGTTCCTTTCACCGCACATTCTGGCCTTGGCCATACTATTCGTCCCTTCAAGAGGATTGTGGGTCAAATTCTGGCGGGCAAATCGCTTCCTCTGTCTCTGCTTGATATTAGCTAGCTTCAGCATGACAACTACAATCTGGCTTGGGCCATCACCACCGTATAAGTGGAGTTTCGGCTTAATGGATAGTTTCCAGCAATTGTGGGCGCTCTTCAGCATTCCACCCAATGCGCACGAATACCTCAATGCAACTTATACGCCTGACTCCTATGTTTTCAATGGAACTTCAACTCACCTGAACGCCACCTTTGCGGACGCTGACATTTTTCAAGCTACGGTGGCCAGCAGGTCTTTTACCAGGCTCATGCTATTGAGTACTATCCTGAATACCACCTACTCCTGGCAGGCAGATGCTGATAGCAACTCTTCAAATTGCCCTATTCCTGAAGAAATAGCGGATCTGACGCTCGTTAATGCCACACTTTCCAAATACAGTACACTTGATGCTAATGCTCCTATTCCGAACCTTGTTGAGAATCTGTCTATGAATCTCACTTTGTCATTCACACCAGATTGGAATAGGATATGGACATTTGCCCACGCGCCACGCGCTTTCCCATGCCCGAAGGCCTGGAAAGACCCAGTGGCTGACTATGTATGGTGGCTGGCATAGAGGTTAGGTATGCTATTCTGCCAACAGGCTCACAAAGTCACCGTCGTCCTGACAAGGGGATCGTGATTTATGATACAGATGCCTTCAGAGCTGCCCCACGATTGTTCCAACAGAAGCTGTAATGACTATACCATTATCAAGTGAGAAACACTTGTCAGGCGTAGAACATACTTCAGCACATCTGGGCCTTACAGTCGTCGTGTCAGCGTGGGTCGTCTTTTCACCGACTCAAATCACGGTCGAAGCAATTACAACACAGGACTTGAGAATTCGAGCTCTGCCTCACAGCATTGCATATTATTCAGGATTGGAAGGCCCTAACTCTGCACCCCGATGTCACGAAATTGAAAGACAGATTGATAGATGAACTTGAATCATTAGGCTCTCAGCAGATATTTCTTCTGAGAGTCTGAGCGTCTTCTATCGCACATCTAACATCGAGTTTGTTGCTCATTACGAAAAAAGTAAATTCAGCAGCAGTCAGATCCCCATTCCATCTCACACACATCCTACTTCCTCCCCTCCGCCTCACTCAAAATTCACAACAGATTACAAACCACACGCACCTCAAGCAACATACGCACTCCCGGGCGCCTTCGGCATAACGGTCTCCTCCCCATCCGCAAGCGGATACGGCGCCATCCCTATCCCAACCATGCCAACTGCACCGACACCATTCTCCTGGTCCCCCTCCACACCGACCTTCACCATCTTCCGACTCCTAACGCCCCACCTCATCCCCCTTCCCCCTTCAACAACGCGCCCACCTCACTCGGATGCACGACATTAAACACCAGCATGACGCACCACATGAGCGCGGCATCAAACACATAAATCCACACCTCACTCTTGAGCAGATAAGGCGTGCGGTCCTCATGTCCCGGTGTCTGCGTGGTGGCGCTCTGCACGTACTCGACGGTGCGGAAGACGGAGCGGACCATTATGAGGATGCTGGTGAGGTAGAGGGCTGTGAGATGTTTCTTCTATGGAATGTGGGTATGGGCGGCGGGTGTTGTAAGACGTGGGGTAGGCGAGGCAGAAAGACGGTGGTGGAAGATGATGGAGACGAGGATGAAGCAGCCGAAAGAAATGAGCTGGATTACTAGCCCGCCGATGATGATGTAGTTGCCTGTGGTTTTGGAGTCGGCGTCTTTTTTGGTGAGGAGAGATGCGCCTAGACGTTGTCAGCTACGGCTGGTCAAGGAGGAGTGCGGGAGGGGAAGGATAACGGATCTCTATGTATGTTTCCCGCAAATGATTCAAATAGGATAGGGGGAAAGGGGAGGGGGGAGAAAGACATACCAGTCGACTGCACCATGAAAGCAAAAAAATCCCCCAACACAAAAAACTTCGTGAGAAACTTCTCTCGTATGGGCGAGAACTTCTCTCCATCCGTTACCAGGACGATATAGCCCAAGACCATATATATACTCGCAGAGAACAAAACGGGCGCGATCAAGAGCAAGATTGACTGGATGATGTAGGGCCCTAAGGTGTAATCTGGGTTTTCGCCGGCGGACTTTGCGCGGGCTAGGTAGCCAATGGTTTCGCAGAAGCCGCCGAGGAGGAGGGGGATCAGGTACCAGGTCCGCGTGCGGAGGATTTGGTAGGTGTGCAGGATTGTGGAGAGGAGGAAGAGGATGGAGAGGGCGATTGCGGCGGCGAGGGAGGGGGTGTAGTGGTAGTATGTGAAATCTGAGGAGGGAGCCATGGTGATGGGGTTGGGGATGGGGATGTGGTAGACGGCAGGTGGTAGAGGGGAAGAGGAAAGGGGAAATAAGATGTATATCAGAACAAGTTGAGTAGACGCCGAGAGATGATTCTGAAATATTGTTCTTTGCAAGGTCGAGAGCAATGGCGATAGTAGCAAGAGGAAACGAGATGGAATATATACCCTACGTTGCTGTGGTCTTCCAAGGTTTAGCTTACCTGCAATAGCCTGCAGACTCGACGAGGTCCTGTACGAGGGAGGTCCGATGGCAGTGACACCCGTCATATGTTTGTAGGGTGGATGGCACAAGTCAAACGGCTCGGTACGGCTACCGGTCGTACACTAAGTATCCCTGCTCGTTTCAGCCCTGATCCGAGACTTTCAGCCAATCAAAACTCCTGCTGCGCCACGGGCTTTAAAGCTTGTTTGGAGTTCAGCTCGTCGTATATATCGTACAGTTCGTACAGCTCGTACACGTCGTTCGCAATCTTTGGTGAAAAGCCTCACGTTGATATTCTAGAATGGAAAGCCTCAGTATAGACCATGGTAGACAAGATGCTGATCCACAGGCTGAGTGTAGGCTCATCTGAGCAAAGCCCGAAGTTGAGTGTATATAAAGGATTTGAGGCAAGCAGGTGTCCCAATGCATTGATCTCATCAAATCGTACACCATTGTCAACAGCGATTGGAAGGAGAGTCGCCTTGATCAGGTTTAACCATCACCTGAAACATACTGCTGTACAATGCCGTCACGTCAGTTTCACCGGAAAAGTCGCCATGGCTGCCAGAAATGCAAAGAGAGAAAGGTCAAATGCGGTCAGGAGAAGCCGATCTGCCGACATTGCGAGCGCCTTGGCTACCACTGCTCATTCACCGAGACTCAGGCGTCCGAGGCGATTGGCTCACAGCTTGACGCCATCAACGATCCAATACCCGGTACCAGCGCTGTTGGCGATGAGCTTCACATTCAAGATTTGGAGCTCATGCATCATTACTCAACCACGACGTACTACACCATGACCGACCAGATAGAGCGCTACTACATTTGGCAGCACAGCATTCCGCGACATGCTCTCAACCACCCATTTCTCATGCGGGGGCTACTCACTCTCGCCGCATTGCACCTTCACGATCAGAATCCTCAGGCAGCATATCTAGATCGGGCAACGTTTCATCAAGCCAAAGCTCTCGAGGAATACCATCCCCATCTCTCAAACATCACCGAGGAGAACAGTAGTGCTCTTTTCGCATTCTCGTCAATCATTGCAGCCATAAGGTTCGCCTTCCTTCGGCACCCGGAACCAGCTCTGTCCGGGACAGCGTTCATCGGAAGCATGAGCGAGATCTTCGACCTTTTGATGGGCTCAAAAGCCGTAGTCATCGAAGGCCATCAATCGCTCCTAAGAGGAGATCTAGCTCCCTTCATAAAGCGCCCGGACGCAATCGAGGCACAAGACATCGAGCTATCCGAGCTCGGCAAGGGGGCCAGTGCTTCTCTTGACGCTCTCCAAGAGGTTTGTGGCGGACTAGATTTGGAGAACCAGCCCAGCTATCTCTCGGCCATTGCTGAATTACGGCTGGTCTTCGCGTCGGCCCACGCGCTAGGCAATCGGCCTGGAATGAGCATGCCGTTGGCCTGGCCGGTCCTGGTGGGTGCGCATTTCCTCTCGTTGGTGAAACAACAGGATCATTTGGCGCTGGCAATTTTGGCACACTATGGGGCTGCATTACATTGTATTAATGATGTTTGGTTCGCCAAGGGTCTAGGCGCAAATCTCGTGAGAGCTGTGGTACAGGTAGTAGATCTTCATTGGCAACCGTACTTGCGCTGGCCGATATCGTGGGCAAGCATCGACAGGAGTGCAGTCTGATCGGTATCCCCTCAGTTGCCTCTATGAACGTCGAAATGCGGGACATTTTGGCGGACTAGTACACAATTAGGTGTAATAAGGCGCTGCATCAAGTAAACGCTAAAAGTGTATATTGGATGACACTCTTCTCCAGGCGTGAACCAAAGTTCCAGCTTCGTTAGAAAGAGAGAAGATAGATTTTCAAGTTTTGAAGCCGGGAGATATTCCGTCGACTGACACACAGTACTCATCAAATATTCTCACTTTGTTCGTTCCGCCTACAGTACAGTTTGGCAATGTCAATGAAGGCAGATAGTGAGATTCAAGCTCAAGGGGAACCTTGCGCCTCCTCTTCTGCTTCGGCAATCCCTGCAATTGCATCTGCGGCCTTTCGCCCACCCAGTGATTCACAAGCATCAAAGTCCTGATCTAACCATCGATGTAACATGCTTTGTTCATATTTAGTAGCAAGGTCTTCAGGAATATCCCCTCTGATCGAATTTGTCCCCTTACGTCGCCAAATAACTCGGTTGTTTTCGTTTCGCGTTTCGAAGTTCTCTAGTGCTTTGCATTTCTCATGTCCTCTCAATGGATATAGCTCGGTCAAGACACGGACAGACATATGGATGCTTTCTTCACTACCAAGGCCTCCCTCCTCAGTCTCTAACGTCGCACGCTGAGTTCCTATCTCGCGAGTCTTTGAGCCACCAAAGACCCAAAACCCCTGGCCGGTGTGGCGATGAAGATACTTTATCGCCAACGAGTCTCTCTCTGACCTATCTGCGTCAGATATAGTCAGAGACCCTCTGCCTGGGCTTTGTGTGTTGTTATTTACTTCTGCTTCGGGGTTTAGGGATGTCTCATCAGGAATGTCATCGTCCGGATATAATGGTATCGAAAGGATATCTTCGATTTCTATCTCCTCGGTAGCATGTTGTTCAGACGCAGCATCTGATACAGAAATAGATGGAGGGTTTAGGCCTGCCGTTGGTTGATCCTCCGCGGACTGTTGGACTTTAGTGTTCTTTCGCCACGGCAGTGATTGCAAGAAGGGGCGGGAGGATTCTCGACTTCTAGAACGATCCTTTCCGTTGGAGGGGCCTGATCTTGCTCTTGGAAATGGCCAGACTCTATTGGTCGTCCCCTTAGCCCTGCCACGGTCTGGAGAGAATAGATCTCTGTTTTCTTTGGCTACGTTGATTCCAAGTATTTTCCCGTCATCAGTCGAATGCCAGATCGCCTTTTCATTAAAGCGAACGAACTCCTTGAGTTGCGAGATCATCCAGCACAGAGATATGTTTGCGAAGCCAGGATTACGATATCCACCACCAATATCACTGTGGCTTCCGAGAAACCAGCACTGCTTGAGAGTCTGGTCATTATCCGATTTAGACCAAATGACGGGTGAAAAGTGCCAACGTCGTTCGTCGAGACTGAGAGCCTGAAAAGCATTCTTGATGTTTGCCGTAAGTTTATAGTCCACAGACTCGTATTGCTTTGACGCCTTGTGCGGCACTCGTTTCGGCCAGGGGAATCCCAACGACTTAACAGTGTCCCAGACGGCACAGACTTTGATGGAGATCCCGCCGCGAAGAAACTTGCGTCGCTGCTTCATTCTGACCCGCTCCCGCCTGGATTTGTCATATTTCTTCTCAAGCTCTCGAATATGGGCTTTTAAAGGAGTGTCATCGTGGTCACCTTGAGCATCCTTTTGGTCAAATTGCTTCTGTTTCTTCCAGAGTTCGAAGATTGCAGGGAGCTCCTTATTTACCCATTGTCCATCAATAAGCCCTACATCATTGACAAGTGAAGCCAAACAGCGTACTGTGAATGCCCCTCTGGAAAAGCCTATCAAGATAATTTCGTCCTGCTTATTCGTATACGTTAGGCACAAATGCCGGTACGCCTCGCGAATCTTGCGCTCAATACCTATATACATCTCAGTAGGCTGTAGGATATGGACATGCCAGATACTTTTGACCTCTGCCGGTCGATCCATCGTGGATAGCACCGCCTAGAGTGGTCCCTGCGCCGATGCCATCGATGTAGTACGACAATTGCTCGTAGCGCTCCATACCCCTTGTGTCTCGGACGGCCAGACAACTTTGGATTCTGGTAACGTTTGTGAGAGGCTGGTTTGTCTCACGATCGTTCCATGTTCCATCGCAGCAAATAATTATGCGTCTATGTTGACCGGAATCATCGTCGCTGTCGGATGATTCATCCTCTTCGAAACCAAATGTGGTCCAACTCGTTTCCATGCCTAGATACGATGGAGAGATATGCGAAATGTCTTTAGTAAGAATGGCTTCTGGAAATATTTATCACGATATTTCGTAAACAGTGACCACTGAAGAAGAAAGTGAAGCAACGAGGGGTTTACTTGTAGATGAGGAGATTGAGGGTCTAGAATCACAGGGTCGTTGGCTAGCCCCTATTCAGCTGCGACTTGTTCTCAGAACGGTATGGCTGTTTCTGCGGCCAAGCCTTATGGCTTGACAGAGGCTTTTAGCTCTTATAACAGCGACTGCCACCCTGTGCAAACCAGTCGTGGAAGTTAATGACTGATCGTCATGGTGCTGAAGGGTCCGCCAATCGCAAGAGCGCATTGCATTGCATAGTAGACCCCGGTTATGTCCGCTAAGGGAAGCGTGCGTAGCGACGTTGCTCAGCAGCAGACTCCAGCAGATGCTAAAAAAACCCAATCTCCACGCACAACTCATATCAGCACGAATTTGTTACTCTCACGACTAGTGCCGGCTTTGCCATACATAACACCATGTACGTAGCATTTCCCGATGCATTTGAAGTTCTGTCCTACTTTACGCAAGGCAATTGGCGTTGATGAACCGTGCAAGCAACAAATCAGATCTCCAGGCTTTGCAAAATCCGGAACGAGCCCTAAAGGATACTTATCAAGGATTGCTAGTCTTCGTCCAACGCAATTGACAAATGACCATATGGATACTGGCCCATATGCTTCAATGACTTTAGATAGGTCACAGCTATCTCCAGTATTTCCTGGGGTGGGATTAGAGCTGCCGACTCGATGGAATTGTCGTCAAGTGACCGTCATTGCGATAAATCATTCAACTTGCTTCTTGCATTCTCTTGTGAGTTGTGCGAAACCAAACCACTTATTCAGCTCAGTGGCAATCAGTGGAAGGAGCCTTTCGCCTCCAAGGAATGAATAGGGATTGCGTTTTTAGTGTTCCCTTGCAAATCTGTGGGCGGCTATCTTTGAGACGTGGGCAAGGATCCTACCTCTGGTAATCAGGACGTGAGGCAATGAATCTTCAAACATGTGGTTGAAATCTCCCGAACATGAGCAAGAGACGTCGCTGTCATCTATGAGAAAGTCTTGCTTGTAGTATGTCCAATCGGGGATCCAGGAGGGCAGCCCTTTTAGCATACTGGACCGTTGTCGATGGAGGGGTCGGAGGGTCTGAGTGCTGCAGATGGTGGTCCTAGAAAGCTCGTTACAGAGACTCTGGGTTGATTTTCCATGTTAACGGTAATTCGAGGCCTGCGTTGCTGATCTTGAAGTGCTAAGAGGGCGTATATACGGTCATGTGTGTGCTCGCAATAATAATTCCCTTGCGAAGTCAGAACGAGTGAATCGTGTAGGTGCGGCGATAGAAAGCTCTTTCTTTGTTCTCGTATGAGATACAAGTTTTCCATGCCCCAAGTTCGGCCAAAATGTGCCGATTGTGTGATGTAGAACGCCCGGAGCAGATCATCCTCATTGCAAGAGAAACTGCCGCACAAGAATTCTAGGTCTTGAGACATTACAATCTCTCGGAATGTCCAAAGACGGGTGAACCACGGACTCCTGGAAAGTTTTTTTATGGCCCTCCAAACATGACTTTGTCCATTAGAGTCCAGATTTTGGCTATCCAAAAATGCTACGACCAAAGATCTATCGTCGCCCATCCCTATCGTATGCTTCTATCACGGAGAACCCATCCTTGGCCAGTTTTCTTATGAATCGGAACGCAGTCGCAGAGCTCTTATGAGCTGCACCGAGCCACACAAGGGTCATTCTGGCGGTTCCAAAGATCTCTCCCATCATTTGAACCTGCTGGTTTCGCTCGTCAATATTACACTGGTCAATACAGATCTGATCAATCCAATAATAGTCTGACTTTTTCTTGGAAGTAAGTTTGTGGAGACATTCAAAGAGCGAGGTAGTAAACGTCAGGTAGTCGCCGTCATTTATGCGGATAGTGTTATGCCTTTCCGATTAACACCAAGCGTACGAGATGGCCGCATACTGAGTATTTGCACCCAAAGTGACGTGCAACAGCTCGCAGCAAACGGTGACATTATTCTCTATTGCTTTTGGAGAAGTGTCCGGTGGATAAAGGCGCAAGAGCCTGATCTCGTTGGGTCTAGTAAGAGGACGATACTCGTACCGATTTAGAAAGGACATCTATCCATCTTTTTCTCCGATAGAGATCAGCCCACTGTGAGAAACATAATGCGGGGATCTTTGTGCTGCACTCTCAGCCTTCACAGCTTCAAGGCTACTGGCCATTGTGACCAAATAGTCATTTCCCATGCTGGCCTGCCTATGACTAAATGCAGGGCTTGTTCTCACCCACAAGCTTGTTAGACGAGACAGTGCGTGCTCGGAACATTTCTTGCACCTGCACTGCCTGGGCGAGAAAAGCCATGATTCAAGGCAATCGCAGAGCCCGCCCTGAGGGATGACGTCACAGGACGTTGACAATCCTTCCGAAAAAACCCATAATCATCAATAAACCATCAGTGTAACATCCACCACACAACAAGAATGTCCGAAACCCTCAACGCCAACCCCACAATCCGCAACGTCTCCGACCTCCCCACCCGCTCCCGCCATACCAATCCCTCCCCCTCCTCCTCCGCGCCCCTCGGCCTCTTCGCCTCCACAGTTCCTCCCTCAGCATACGAACCGGACCCCTTCGCCCCCTCCCCCCATCTCCCTCATCCTCCTCTTCCTCGCCTTCAGAGTCCTCCTACGAACCCATCGACGCCCAAGAAATCTACGACCTAGTCGCCCCGATCGCCGACCCGGAGCACCCTTTGACGCTCGGCTCCCTCTCGGTCGTCAACCTCCCCGACATCCACCTTTCCCCACTCTCCTCCACCTCCCCTCTCACAATCTGCACGGTGTACATCACACCGACGATAACACACTGTTCGCTCGCGACGGTGATAGGGCTGGGTGTGCGGGTTCGACTGGAACAAGCTTTACCCCCGCGGTTTCGGGTCGATGTGAGGATTAAGGAGGGTACGCATAGTACGGCTGAGCAGGTCAACAGGCAGTTGGGGGATAAGGAGCGAGTGGCGGCGGCGCTGGAGAATGGGACGTTGGTTGGGGTTATCAGGAAGATGTTGAAGGGAGCTGATGCCGGGGGTGATACTGCGCTTTGAGGGTTTTGATTGGAGAATCTTAGGGGCGCATTGGTTGATGTGTGTGGGGATAGGGGGCCGAGTACATTGACGGAGACGACTTACTTTGGGAATGGGGAGCAGACGGGAAGAGGCTGTTAGGTCAGTAATGGAAAGGCAAAGACGGTTGGTCATGGTGGTACGAAAATCCGTAAATTGGAAGAAGAGGCTACGAATCTTCGGTCTTGAGCATCGAGCTTTGAAAGATTTGAGGTGCCGCACAATGATGGACGGGATAAATGAAAGGACTCGATGATCTCCATTTATATACCAAGAATGAATGGGGAACGATGCAGAATGTATATAGATCAAAACATATCCAACATAAAAACGCCCATAATGTCCAACTTCGTTATCCCTTCTCGCCTTCCAAAACAAATCCAATGCTTTCCCTCGCATCATCCGTCAACCTTCCCCACTCGAGCAACAGCCTAAACAAATAAACCTCCATATCCTCTTTCCTCAACACCTTCCCAGCCCACTCTCTCCCTTCCTCCGCAATCCGCTCCCCCTGCTTTAATCTACTCTCCATACCCACTCTCCCCTTCAATGTCTTTGCCGTCTTCTCTCCCTTCGTGCCCGTAAAGTACGCCAGCGTGCTGAACAATCCGTGGAACCTTATATCAATGGGTACGAAATGTGCCCAAGCCGTCAAGCGTGAGTCACACCATGTCCGAAACATGCCGCTACGGAAGGGTAGGGAGTGTGATTGCAAGAAAGGAAGGAAGCGCCCAGAGAAGCCTGCACCATCTGTATCGAAGAGGTAGCGGTGTTGCCAGTGCTCCTGGAAGTCAGTTGGTGACGCGAGACCGAACTCGGCCTCTTGAGCGGCACCGTCCGAGTCCCATGCGCGTTCGATGCTGACGAACGAGACGTTGAAGGTGGTGTCCAATTGGGCAATCGGGTCACGGGGAAGTTGGTAGGAGTATTTGCCTTCGATGCGAGGATGAGGGAGGAGCATCGGGAGGGCTGGAGAGTGGTGAGAAGTAGTCAAATTGTTCACAAGATGAACGAGACGTTGGCGAGCCATGCCTTTCCAGGTGCCATGGCGGGAAACACCTTCAGATGTAGCACCACGCCAGAAGAGTGAGTTAGATTTCTCGGAAAACGGAGGATCTTGGTAGGTGGAGCTGTCCGGGGAATAGCTGACTTTATCAATATAGTTCCAGGGTGAAGGATACAATATGTCCGAGAAGCCGTCGACTTTGCTTTGTGAAAATATGGGGAGTAGCTCGTGGGATGTTTTGAATGCTGCTGGGCTAAGGTAGAACCCATGAAGGTTTCGTAAGTCGGGCTGATGGCAAGGTGAAGCAGCCAAAGCCCAGCTGCTGAGGAAGCTACCTTCCGAGTGATAGCCTGCACATGCGAGACATGCAGCGCTCGCATCCCAGGTATGAATCTTCCTAGCCGCCGATGACGGCGAGCATCCACTTGTCGAGCGATCAAAGGAGTTCATACGAGGCCAGCTACCGAAAGGGCGAGTAGGCTGGAGTTGGTCATTGCCTACCCAGGTTTTCGCTCGCTCAGCACTCCAGTCACTCTTGTATTCACCAGACAACGACTCCAACCGTTCTGCAAAGTTCAGGAATCGTCGCATGTCCTCGTGAGGTACAGCAACGCGGGGCTCATCGTTGAGATTCAGCGCCAAGTCCATGTCTGGGATGTAGTGAACAAATTGTTGCATCATTGCCTCGAAGCCTTCCACCATCCACCGATGGGTTGGTTTAAAATTTGGTCCTACGCTCACATTGCCATCGCGGATGACGATACCTGTGATATCATTCCAAGGATCGCTAATAGCCTGCTGAGTTCGGTGTCTGATTTCCGCGGGTGATAAACCCCAAAACGGAAAGAGGTCATCGTACATCGAATCGTAGTCATCGATGACTATTGTGGATCTATTCTTTGCGTACTCGTACCACACATCAAAAGATGGTGGAGGCACACGACCATAACGCTCTTTGTAGACATCAACAGCTCGCTCTATATTTGATCCTTGAGATGCCTGGGTAAGCCAAGCCCTTGATTGAGACATGGCGTTTTGGATCAGGCTATCCACAGTGTGTTTTTGGAGGTAATGAAAGCTCGGTCTTAGGCACCATCCAAGTATGAGGCTTAAAAAAATAAGGCAAGAATATGAATTGAAGGGAAGCCTTTTCCCAAGCCTGTAGGAAGGTTTCCAAGCACCAAAAACATCGGACGCGGAAGCTAACCATAGGTACAAACCAAAAGCTGCGTGTAAGCAACCAATAAAGAAGATGACTCCGAGATAGGACGTATGAGGCAAGATCTCTGGCCGTGAATGTCCGATATGTAGCGAATAAATATAGGTGTATATATATGTAAGGCAGATTGTGGTATGTACGGCGCCAAATGACGATAGCTGCATGAAGTCAGTCCCGCAATGCTAGAATTTCTAGCAGGAAAGGCCTACTACTTGAAGTGTTGCGACGACGAAAACAGTAAATAAGCAGGTATGCCACGTCAAACTTGTCAGATATCGTAAATCGATGTCAAAAAACCATTGCCAGTATTGTATGTGAATGGCGACATTGAAGCCACCAAAGATCCCTATGATAATGGATGAAAGCTGTGATATTAGTCTTGCAAGGTCATTTCCCTGATTTCTGATTAACTTACTATCAGTGTATAACCAGGGATTGTGGCAGGACTTTCATTGTCCTGGGATTTTTTCAGTCCAAATCGCCGCATATATAAATCAAATCTGATAAGTATGAAGACATCAAGAGCTACTCCAGACAGGTCTGATAGCAGTAAAATCGCGAAGTTGTAAGACGCCAAGGGACAAATCAGTAGTGAACGAGGAGCCTGTAGTGACCAGTCCCTGAGCCATAATGCGATGGACAGCAAGAAACAAGGGGCTGAATACCGTCGAGAGACAGTGGATGCATCGCTGTCAAGATTCGGTACTCCCCATTCGTCCAGAGTACCAATTGAGTCACCGTTATCCCTATCACCAGGGAACCCATTTGAATAGGTGCGAGAGCCGTAGAGTCCAATAATCAATGGAAAAAGCCCCTTTCATCGATGAGCTTGGATCAACTTTTTATGTCGAGTAACAAACCTGCAATATTGGAAGAGAGCATTGTTGATCATGAGAGACATGTCGGGAAATCTCAAAGCGCAAGCAGATAGCCAACGCAGTAGGGATCACAATAGAATTTCTGGTTGATGGAGGGATTGACCAAGGGAGCCTTCGTATGGCAGAACGCCGACTGAAAGCATTTTTGAGAGAACTTGCGAGTTCATTTGCGCTCGATGAAGCTCCTATGTCGCGCTCTAAAATAGTAGCATCTAACAGAGCAGGCAGCCATGCTTGTAAGATGATCAACGTAAAACCACAACAAAAAAGCAGAACAACCCAAGACTGCGTCAAACGTCCTATATATCTAAGTTCAATTGTCACACATTAAAGATTGGAACTTTCTTACCAAAGACAGGGGAACTTTCAATACTCAAATTCGCAAGCAGTATCGCAAATACAAGAACCCTTGAGCACAGTGTCAGTAAATTCGCGCAATGTACAGACGCTCACATACCCATGACTGTATACATGGGCTTTGCTTGGCATTGGCCCACAAAAAGAGCACTGCAGAAGGCCCTTGCATTGGGACAAAGCATTGTTTGTGAAGAATGGAGGTAAGGGGAATTCGGGGGTTGCATCCTTCGCGGTGAGCGCTAGAAGCTAGTCTGCGGCCTGAACCTTCGATAGGGTCTTGGCCGTGCTTCTGGATATGACCAAGGGGACATTAAATGAAGGACTGGCCTCTCGGTTTTCACGAAAAAAGAGTGTACGATACAACAGAACAATTGGATATCATAGCTAAGCACCAAGAGACGTTACCGAGAGATGGATATCTACGAAAACGTCAGTTTTAAACTCTCGTCCGACCGTCTTTTATTGTACTAAAGGCAAAATCCGATTTGACGACAGGCTCTAATGACTGAACATTACGTACTTTCCTCCAGAACCCTTATACTGGAATGACCAATTGACCATCCTGGATTTCGGTCGCTAAGGCTAATTTGTCGATTGCGGCGGTGGCTTGGAAGCTGACGGAGATGAATCACCCCCATCCAGGGCAGGAGTCAACTCGGCAAAAGTCCGAAGAGCGAACTCGCCCTGTCCTCACAAGGATCCATTTCCACCCCGAGCCCCACAAGTAGTCAACACATTCTGCACCAGAGTCGTCCACTGAGCAAATGTGAAGGTATCATCAGGTGTTGGGGCGCCCAGGGTGGTGAACGTGAAGTGGCATTTGGGGCTGCCGAAAACGTCTGGCTCGGGTAGGTTCCCACTGCCGTAGATGCGGTCGCGGTAGGATTGCATTGCCGGGTCTGTCATCGCGCTACTGAGGATCTGGTTGCAGTCGTTCAGGTTACTCGGGTCGGCCACCTCTACGCTCCCTGGAGGCGGCGGTGTACCGGAGGTGCTTTTGTCGCATGTGATTCCTGTTGGATCGGTAGATCTTTGCTGGCCCCAGCCGAGGACTAACACTGGAGACGAGATCGCACAAAGGATAGTAGCAAGGCGAACGTTCATCATCTTGAAGAGTCTATTTCTCAGATCGCTTTGTGGAAATTACTGTAGATTGCAACACGTATTAAGGAGATTTGAACTTGGGTTCCAGAGTAAAAGACGTTTGGAAAATTGGTGAGTTCTACATGGCTTCTTTTGCTTCTTGTACTCGCCAGAATGTCTGTGAAGTTTGCCTTTGTTGGCATTTGGGCCTTGCAAATGTAGGTAACCCGTCGCCTCGTAGAGACTGGGGCACATCGGGCCCACGCTATTGCTTCAATGCATTCGAGACAAGATGTAGATGGGACGCTTCTTTGATGAGCCATCTCCAGACTTCTCAATACGTAAGTGTGCTTCAAACTGCAGGCTTTCTCGCATCTGGGATATCGTCAATCGTCCTTTTGATATCTGGCGAGTCGCAAATCTTCGATCTTTTCTCGCTGAGATCAAAAGTCAGCCTCATGGGTTTCAGAAAAAGCGATATAGTTTGGTCTAATTTTGGTGATGATCAGCAGATTTTGATATAATTCGAGGCAATTTCCCTTCAATTACTTCAAACCCCATTCTGATTCATAGTGATATCTCGTATGATATCGACCATTTACTTAGATAATTCTCAATTAAATTGAGAGGAAAGCTAGGAGATATATGTCGGAATCAAAGGCGGAATCCTCACCAGAGAGCGGCCAGAAGCTTGGCAGATGTGTTTCGGTTTTCACGAAATCCGCGAGTCAGCCTAACGTCTTGTTTCATGAGGACATGATGCAGTCTCAAAATGAGACTCGGGCTGACGTGTGAAGTTTCGACAGTTTCGAAGCAATCTATCGTTCAAATTAGCCGTGGAGAACTTCATGCACCACCCATCCGCAGGATAGAGGCTCTGGGCAGTCTGGATCTTTTGCAAGGTGAGAAACGTTGGCCACTTGATGAGATCCAGCAGCATTGTGTACGACGCAGTAAGCGCGCGTTGTTTAGCTGTTACCATACATCCAACCGAAAATCATCCTCTTTCAAGACAAAGCGCGTACAGAGAAAGTGGAGAATGAGGCAAATCTTGCATTTTGAAGAAGCAAGAAATGAAGGACTAGTGACTACCTTTCTTCAATATAGCATAGAAGCGTCGTCTACGCCGATCGAGGTGACTGCCCTTTCTTGTCGAGCTTCTGTATACATTGTGGCTTTCTGACGCCCCATGAGTGGGACTTCAATCCTTTCTTGACCCACCTGAAACCTCTTTTGCACCAAATCATCACGAGCATCAATCGTGTTTGCGTACACCTAAGCCCGAGCACTTCCAGTCTCCACATCGGTTGTGACATGCGTGTCCAAGAAGTCATCGTCGTCCGAAGCTTTACTAGAAGTAACGAACGTCTTCGCAGCAAGAGCTCTGCCTGAATCTTGCGAAGCCTTCGGCGCGTCTCCTTTTGTAGAGCTTGGTCTCGAATGATTGCGTAGCGAATCAATGGAGAGTTTGCTGCGTACGCTGCGAACCATGCTTTCCAAAGAGACGCTGTGGAGGAGCGGGCGAAGGGTCGGAAGGCAGATGGCGACGATGGCGACGCCCATCTCTAGCATTGGCCAGAATAGTATGAGGCTTACCACCGCTGCTTGGCTGTTAGTGATCTACCTTCATAGATATTTTACACATGATGCGAAGGTAATGAAGAGTATCGTACCCATATCGTCAAGTGTTGTCACTCCCAAAATACGCAGTACTACTTGTGTGTCTGCAGATCTGATCAGCATTATTTACTTCCGAAAAGTGGGCTCAGCGTGAGCACGAACGTCCAGCTCCTAGGATCTGAGCGAAGACTATCATTCGTAATATACCAAAAACAACAGCTCTGTAGCAACGCTTAGTCTTCGGAATGATCATTTTTCCATAAGGTGAAGCCTTACAGTGTCCCCAATAAGAAGATACCAGTGACGGCAATTTTTTTCTGAGGTGGCATGTGCAGCATCCAGATCTAGTCCTTTGTTAGTCATGCACACCGACCGATTCAGCCATACTTACCAAGGGCATTGGAAGAATCAGTATGAATATATCGATGATGACATCGGAGATACTGCAAGCAAGAAGTTGCTTGAAGGAGCTTAGACACTTCTGTAAGTCCGAAAGGCGACCCCAATTGACGTAAAAGCGAGTGCCGCAGTCGAAGACCTGGACCAGGAAGAATCCCAGTGTCCAGAGTACGACCAGTGTTATCAATGTCCAATTCAGTAAATCAAAGATCCTGCCTCGGAAGACTCGTCTGTAAAAGAAGAGGATCGACAATTTGATGAATCCAAGGGCGAGTGGTGACATGATATTGAAAGCGTATTCGCACTACTATCAGTCAATCTGTGCTCCAATCCTACGAGTAGCTCATCTCATGTTTGAAGAGCACCATGAGAACATAGTGTTGATCATTAAGGGCTACATGCAAGACAATCATAGATAGGGGCCGGACCTTTTCCATGAAAACGATTCTCTCGTCGTTTCCAGCGTTCTGATCTGGCTTTGAATGGTATCCAATGGTGTGACCCGCAGCTCCTGTAGAAATCCAGCTCAGTACTTGTGGAAGAGATTTGAATTATCTGGGTCGACTCACCAACGATCAAAGATACCGCACAGCCAGTCACCAGTGCCTATAGCACGCATCAGTTTCCTTTGCATATTTCGTATAGATGTGTAATTGTAAGATCATCACGTACAAGTGCAGGGAGGCATAGCCAATCGTCCAAACCCACTGCAATTTTCTTGCTGCGTCTGACATAAAACCGTGCAGCGACGGCAACGGTGCCAACCACCGGGAATAGGACGCCAACCGCAACGACACTGCCGCCATTGATGTATGACATGACTGCAGATTACTTGGAAAGTGAATGCGCTATGGGAATATGTGAGGATGATAGTCACCTTGGACACAACTCGTTACTTTAACACTGAACGAGAATATTGGACTGATCTTGAAGCGGATGAAAATTCAGCTTCACGCAGCCGTGCAGGAATGCAGACTTGGCGATCATTCACAAGGAAAGGTAGAGGTGAAAGTGAAAGCTTTCTTTGGATTGGCCCACTTTACGGCCGTTCACAATCCCTGATGAAGACAATACTTCGCAGCATCGCTAATAAACCTGCTAAGTGCCACTTTCGTGTGATATTGTAATCATACGTGTCTTCCACCGGAGTAAGGCCGGAAATGTCGGGCAGCTGCTCAAGGAGGGAGAAGGAATCTGGTGGGGTCCGGGGCGGCGAACAGAGGTGTGCCATAGACCAAGGGTTCTAGTACTTTCGCAACGTTCGCGATCCGAAGCCTTATGTGCTACCCGCAGTTTGTCATGCACGTCAGCCGTGCTCCGAGGGTGTAGCGAGGAGAGCATTGCTTGGTACGCTTAGGTTGCTGATTCCTGCAACGGCGAAATAGTAAGCTGCAGGAAAGCGCAGGGCTGATGTTTCGATGCAAGGAATGATCACACCAGCATTGCAGCTCTGAAATCGCGGCGTGGAAAAGAGGGGCCGACGGTCTGAGGGCGCCGAACGCCTGTAGGTGACGAGGCCTTTGGGTGCATCTTGGCCGATTGGCAGCAGGGTGGCCCACCAATCCGGTATCCGAGGTTGAGCTCCCTATCGAAGACTTCGATCCAGCTACGAGAAATACCATGGAGGATTCTCTCGCAGGAAATGCTCTAGAGGGACTCTCCGTAACAGCAGGCTCGTCGCCTAATTCTAGAACTCTCGTCTTCCACTGTTTCCTACTTCATTGGCCACTGATAAGTAATGAAAATAACGCATTTAACCAGCAGGGAATAGAACGTGTACTTCACAAATAGCTTGACAGAGGTAGAGCCGATGATTGCACTAATCCTTGCGGTTTTTGTAGTCTGGTCCATGTACAGTAATTAAAGTCTAGGGCAAGGTTGTTAGAGAGAAGCCTAAGTCTGACGAGGCTACAAGTGCACCTCCTCGACCGTGACATTCGCCCTTCTGGCATCTATCACACCGTCATTTCCATCGTCGCAATAGCCGAAATGATCTCCAAGAATGATTGGGGTAACGCTATCACGATAGCAGGCTGTGTTCTCCGTTGCAAAATCCCGAAGTGCATTCCAATCCCGACATTGATGGTATTGCCCGTCACCAGCAGTATCATCTCCGAAGACATAGAGAGGTGTATTGTCTGCATTGCATTGGATGGTCTCAAATCAATCAGCAAGGAATGGGCTTTGTCTATGGGGTCCAGACCTACTTGTCGTAATGTGTCGAAACAATGACCGGCGTGAGTGACTGGATAGGTCACGTTCTCACCCTTGTATATTTCCCAGAAGGTCTGTCTAATGATTCTCTGCGGTCCTCTTTAACCATAGCTTCCTAGTCTTCATGAAGTGTGACTTACTAGGCAATGAAGTTGGTGATAGGCTTCGAGTAGGTAGACACTCTTACTCTGGTCGTTTGGAAGCCTCATCGATTGAGGCCATTTACGGCGCCTAGCCCACGAGGTGTCCATAGCCACGAAGCCATGCGAGGGCAATATCGCGCTCCAGAGCTCGTCAACCCGAGTGACGTTCTTCTCGCTAAATTCAGTCCACCAATCGAAACGTTTCCATATAGTTGGCAAGGGATCGACCTGAGCTGATTGAACGTCAACGGCGATGAAATTGTTGTAATTCTAGATATTCATACCGTGATGGTGGATATTGCTGTAATTCTCTCCGTTCTGCAGAGAAACAAATATGAGAACAGCATTTGCAAAGATTAGTATGAGAATGATGCTATTCTTTACGAGTGATCTAGAAAATTCAGTGTTCCACGCCGTTCTTTGAGCTTGGTGAATGGCCTCTTCTTGATCGTTCATGGATAGGGTTTGATTTAGAGGCAGATATTGTTTCTTGAAGGATGACATGTTCTTTCTCATTTTTTCGACTGTAATTACCAGGAAGGCGTGGAGGCCTCAAAGGGGTATCAAGTATGAAAAACGTCAAAAGCTGTAGAAAAATAGTAATTAGGATGTGGTCGAGGCTACCTGCTTACTGTCAGCAAATACTCTAGTTGCATTGGCGATAGAGGGGAGCAAGTAAATTGTTCCAATCATCAAGACTTTCGCAGATTGCCGGCTGATTGAGGCTGGCGAAGGCAGCAAATGCCAAAAGATAGTCAAACTACCACCATATGTAGAGAGACCACAGGCGTGTAAGCTAAAGACTAAGCAGCTGAGAGAAGTAAAACGGCCGTAGTTCATCGCCGAAAATACTGCCGAGGGGGAGCAAAGCCAATCCTTCGAGTCCAGTACAGAATGTAATGTACCGCACCATCACAATTGCCTGAAATTGGAGAGAACTGTTTTAGCAGCCAGTTCGCGGGGAGTTCCTGCTCCAAGCAGATTGATACCAACCAATGAAAGGTGAGGTATTGCGACCGTATTCGGACATGTTGCAGTTTTAGTCAAGATGTCCATGGGGGCTGAGGCTGGAGTGTTCCATAAATCTTTAACTGATTGAAGACCTTATGATACGCGAAAGCCAGTTGGGGGCCGCCAATGATGATGCACATATGTGGCACCACGTCAAGTAAACGCTCAGTCTCACAAGATAAGCAAACCTGCGGTCAAAGTGTGGATCATCTATTCAGGCGTCATGCTCTTTAAAGGAGTACTTGTTCCACCTCCTGAGTCGTGGTCAACAGTCTTCTCCCTCTACACGCAATTCGATCCTAAAAACAGGCCTCGGCGTCCACAGTCTTTAAAATTACAGCAGCTCTCCTTTTGAGGAAATATGCAGCTACAGTTCCTGGCTATGTTCATCGTCCAGCTCATTGCGTTTGGCAGCGCTGCTCCATGTAGGCCAAGAGTCTTTCTGTACCTGAGTCTGGAAATTGCTGACACAATTAAGACAGTCCCGTTTTCGCTGCAAGCCCTCCGAAGATCGAGTCTCCTGATGATGTTGCTATCAATGAGATTGGGGCAGGATACTGAAAAATGGTGTTTGTGACTTCTTTGTAAGCTCGAGATAGTGGCCTGAAGTATGGACAACTCGTACAGTCCAAGAGTCAGGGCACTATTATCCGGACCTGAAGTGAAGAATAATAGCAAACATTCGCCTTATGTTACTACTAGTCATACGTTCGGACATCACTAAGTTAATTAAGAGCTCCGTGCTTCGAGTTTTGTATTTTTAGACCTCAAGACACTATGCCTCATAACAGTCGCAGTCGTCGTGAATCACATGAATATTGTCAATTTCTTATCTCCCCTGCACAGGCGCTCTTGATCAGGGTATATCTTTGGCTTGCTACCAAAGATTGCTCTCTCTGCATTTGCCCATATGAGCTAGGCGTCGCGTAGAGGACGCTTTGATGATTGCCATAGAGAGCCGAAATTTTCATACTTTTGTAGGTCAAATTCGTGCATTCTGTCACCACAACTATTCCCTGGATGACTTTTTATCGTCTTTCGCATTCTTTCAGTGAGGTCATCAGAAAACTTCTCTTCACTCTGCTTGATCCAATTGCGTAGATGCCTATAGGACAGTGGAGCGTCGTAAGCAATTTATCCGAAAGACGTACACATCAGACGCCATCAGAGTCTGCTGCGGATACTGAGGGAAGGTGTGGCAGAGCACTGCAAAAGGCAGGAATGAGTCATCCACCCTTCGAGACAGATACCATACTGTGCGGACGCGTCCAATCTAGCTCTAGGGTTCCAATCTGTGTAGCCGCCCTTGAACCATTAGCAATCCGCTGAGTCCTAGCACTTCCGATTGGAACTGCTAATGTCGAATAGATTTCTGACATTACGAGCGTCAGCAATAATAAAGCGGTCCAAGGCGTCCATCAGGCTTTGTCGTTCGACTAAGTAGAGCGGATTCGTACTCTCAGCTCTCACCATCACGCCACAGAGAGACGCCGGCAGTGAATTGACACTACATGATTGGTCTGTTAGATTTACAGGCCCACTATCTACGGCGAAGTGTGGCCTCGAAGCCATGTCCATCGAAAACTCTCCACGTCTCTGCCCAGTCTTTCAACGCATTGTAGTCTCGACACTCACGCCGAAAGCCCCAGCCAAAGAAACCGTCCTCAGAAGTCTTCGCCGGCTCTAGGCTAGAGTCAGCAGAACAAAGAAGGCCTTGCCTTAGGTAATCAAAACAGTGGTTTGCGTGTAATGAGCGCTCGGTCATATGGTCGGGTTTGTCTAGGTCCGAGCTATGAGTTGCGTAGTACATTCGTCGTATAGTGTACTATGTTCTGATAAGCTTTAAGTCTGGCAAGCCTTGAGGAAGAGTCCATTACTAGGCAATGTAATTGATGAAAGACACCGACGACGGACAAGTTCGTAGCGTAGCTCGGGTGCCTGACGTAACCTAGCCCATCTGTACCCCGTCAATGAGCGAATCCTTTCCTGGCGAAAAACATTTACTTGGTAGCAAAGAATCCCAAGCAGCTTCAGACTCATTGTCTGCGGGTGGCGGGTTTGCGAAACTCTGATTCAAATGAAAGGTCTGTATGGAATGTCTGATAGGCACTAAAAGCTGAATCAGACTTCATCTGCTGAACAGATCGAAAAAGCCGTGCCTTGGGGCACTGCACTTGAAATTGGATCTGCTTGCTCAAAGTTCGATGTCTCATGAGCGGTAAGACGTGGATCGCATAGACAGCCTTCTTGAATCGACCATGCTCTGTTGCCTAATCTGTAGCCAATCAGGCCAACGCCAGCCAGTGTCAGGATCTGGATGACGATGATTTTAACGCCATTGTTTGTGGACGTCCAGGTCGATGTTGCTTCTGTGGACATTTTGGGTCGTTTACAGACGTTGAGATGTACCGTAGATGAACGAGAAATGAATACGAGACCATATATTACAGTACAAAGGCCTGCAAGGCTTGATGCCTTCTGTATGGATTTGCTTAGTCATTTTAGATGACTCAAAACTTATCTGCAGGGCCGTTCTGACCTGCATCGGTGCGAAAACTTCATGCAGCGTCTGACACGCATGGCGTAAGTCGACGTCGGAAGGTCATTGCTCCAATAGAAATCAAGGTTTTTGACTGCATCACTGCGCCCTGAGTAGCCGGCTGATAGGGCCTTTCATGGGTGGAAAGCCGAAGCTGATCGGGACGCCCCGTCGGAGAATGCCATTTTTTGCGAACAGCACCTGACGACTTGAAATCCAGGGTAGATCATTGACTGGCCGACGAGGATTGATATCAGACTTTTGAGCCTCTCACAATTCCTTCCAGGGAAAGAATGGCAACCATGAAGACCAGTAGGGTATCGCAACTCGTGTGTTCAATTTCATCAAATACAGCCACGGTAGAAGCGTATCTTGAATCTCAAGGCCTTCCTTCTCCATCCTTCAATGTCGACGCACCTAGAGATTTAGGTATTCCTCCAGATGCCAATGATATCGAAGATGCTCGTCGAGCAGCACTTGAAGCCACTATTGAGCTGCAAGACCTTCTGCAGGGACCGACTGCACTGTTGCGGCCTGTGGTAAGTATTCGAAAATTTGAGCTCTTGGATGATTTCATAGACCAATACCTGCTGACCATGTACCCATGAGTATCTTAGCTCAATGGAACCAGCCTACAGGCGATTTACAGGTACCAAGTAGCGTTGATGGTGCCCATCCGTGGGTCCATCTCATTCACGCAACTTGCCAAGCAGTGTGAGCTTCCTGAACTTGATCTTCGGCGGATCCTTAGATTTGCAATGATATGGCATCGTTGCTTTTGCGAGCCGAGAGAGGGGTTTGTTGCACACACTGCAGCTTCACGGCTATTAGCGGAGGATCCACGAGCGTATGACATGGCGGGTCTGATGTTCGACGAGGGTTGGCAGTCGATGACTAGGGTGCGTCTACTGGGGAGGATAATGACTCAAATGTCACAGTCATGGGTACTGACGCAAGTAGACTGTGGAAGCGATGCATACATTTAAGGGTTGCGAGCCGAACGAGACAGTATGTGATATTCAATTCAATGGTAGATGTGGGTGCAAGGGACTGATTTATGTCCCTAGGGCCACGCACTGGCGCAGAATACCAAGGATAATATGTTCGACTGGCTTGAAAAGCATCCTGATAAAGCGAGGCGCTTCAATAGTGCCGTAAGCACTCTTGTTCCCTCTGGTCGAGCAGCGACATTATTGAAAGAGAGTTTCGACTGGAACTCTATTGGAGATGGGACTGTGGTCGATGTCGGAGGCGCTTCGGGCGCAATCAGTATCATGCTGGCCAAAGACTTTCCAGCATTGAATTTTGTGGTACAAGACCTTCCTAAAGCCCTCGAGGGTACAGCAGAGAGACTGCCGAGAGACCTGATCCACCGGATAAAATTCATGAATCATGACTTCTTCACGGATCAAACAGTCGTAGCAGATGCATATCTGTTGCGTGCCATTTTTCATAACTGGCCAGACGCATACTGTGTCAAAATATTGCAAAGGCTGATTCCCGCACTGAAGCCCGGCGCCAGGATCATTGTGAATGACAGTATTGTGCCGCCACCAGGCACGTTGTCCCTTTTGGCAGAACGGAATGTTCGGTAAGGCTACAGGCCTCTCAGGTTGAGGTAAGGAATACTGACATATACAGTGCATACGATCTCCTAATGATGACACTTTTCAATGCTCGGGAACGCGAGGAGAAGGATTGGATCCAACTTTTGCGGGATGCTGATCGGAGATTCAACTTTGTCGAAGCCAAAAAGCCAGCCGTTGGGACTATGAGCGTAATTCAAGCTGTCTGGAACCCTTAAAGTTCCGAGCTCATTAAGCTCGTAGATAAGGGTACAGACTCGGCAAAAAGTGGCACAACAGTCCCTTCGCAAGATATACGGGTGCCATGTATTCAACTTTGACATTCTTACCCGTTGGCAGCACGCTTACGTTCTTCTTGTCCCACTGATTACCTTCCGCATCAGCGACCTCGATCATACCGGCCGCAAGGTCAAGAAAGCTTAAGAAACTTTGTTGCTTCTCGGTACTCAATTGATGCCCTTTTTGGGCGTCATGCACAAGCCCTGCAGGTTTAATGAAAGTAGTTGAGATCCAATCTTGTCTATCACGCAAGTACTGTTCCGCCTCGATTAGGTCCTTATAGACGCTCGAATAGGCCGTGAAAAGCATCCAATGCGCAAATCTAGGCATGTCGCGAGAGAGATGCTCGTCAATAGTACCGGAACTGAGCATCACAAGCCGAGGCAATCTCGCCGTAGGGTCTTTGAACCGCAACTGGCCAAGAGCGGTGACAAGGATTCTTGCGGAGTCACAGGCGACGCGACAGCCAGGCATATTATCTGATTGGGCGGCAGTCAGGAAGACGGCCTGTGTACCAGAGATACAATCGGCAATGAGCTCCGAATCGTTGAGGTCGCCTTCGTAGATTTTGACCCTCGGAAGCGCACAGACGTCTGGAGACATGCGCTCTAATTTTGACTTCGAGCGAACATAGGCATGAATCTGTCTATCTGGTAATTTAGATAGAATATTGAGCAGACTCTGTCCCGTCTGGCCTGTGGCTCCGAGAATTGCGTAGGAAGGCATTCTGAGTGAGAATTCATATATAGATTCTTTATTCCAATTTGAGAGGCAGAGTAGTCGTGAACATGAGGCGGTAAGATCGCAATCTTACTGATGATAAGGAGGATGATGACGGCAAATGGCCGACTGTACTCCGTGGACTCGATCGTTCTCCTGCCGGACTCCGATAGCCTTGACGGTAGCATTCCAGGCTGTCTGTAAATAACTTCGCCGATCAAGTGGCATATTCTAAACGCGTGAAATTAGAGAGAGTGTAAAGGCGGAAGATTTAATCAACAGCGATGCTTGCCGTGGGGTGCAGAGAAAGTTGATACTCTAGAAGCATGATTTATAAAGGGGCCGGGAAAGGTCCGTCAAGGAGCCTTCCGCCTGCCGTTGTCAGCGAGGTCTTTAGGTGAGCACCTCCAGGTAGAGATCCGATATCAACAAACATGGTCAGCGACCACATCAAGGAAATATATTGACATAACTCTAATGAATGGGCGTTGCTCATGATCTAGAGAACATCTTCCTCCGACACTACACTAATGCAAATACTCACCCGTGTCCTTATTACCATCTCAACATTCTGCCATGGACTCTTCGAGCAGCTCGACTGCCTCAGCACACTGCTTGCTCTGATCCCTGCCCCAAATCCACCTCATCCTCACATCGAATTCCTTCTTCATCTTCGCCACATCTCCGCCGACGCCCACCATAGTCATGCCACACAACTCCCCAGCGTCACGGCTTGTGCTGACAATTTTCTGGCTGCGAGGCCTTCTTACTTGATCGTAAGCCGAGAATGCATTCGGTATCTGCGATTTGTCTTCAATCTTGGCCAACACCTTTGACAGGACCAGTGCATCCTCAATGGCTTGTCCAGCGCCTTGGCCTTGGAAGGGTGTTGTCGCATGCGCTGCATCCCCTAGCATCGCTACATTATGATCGAAGTAGGTGGGCGTGGGTGGCATGTCGTGCAATGCCCAAAGTGAAAGATCAGGTTTATTAAGGAGCTCGATGATGCCACGACTTTGAGGTCCCCAGCCTTCAAAGAGCTCGCTTAAGTTGTTCCAGTCTGCAGGCACAATCCATTTCTCATGCTCCCAATTCTCGTGTTTGTAGTCCATGACCACAACATTGAGAAGCTCACCGAATTCAATGGGATAGCTCATAATTGCTCGATGGGGGCCACATGAAATGTAACAATTGTTTGCATACTCGTCGCCTAATTTCTCCACAGCCTCATCCATAGGTACTAGGCTACGGTAGACGACGGTTCCAGAAAAGACAGGGTTGGCCGCTTCAAGGCTCCCCATAATGTACGCTCGACTGGGACTGTGGATACCATCGGCGCCGATTACGCAGTCCGCGGTCTCGGTTGTGCCGTCTTTGAAGAAAAGCTTCACAGGCTTATCATGTGGCGCAGGATCTTCGAGCCGGACGAGACGCTTATTGAAATGAGCCCGCTGAGGTGGCACACCTTGAACCAGACCGTCAAGGAATTTGGCACGGTGGATAGATTGTTGGCCGTAGGCATTGCGTTGGTGGGTAATTGTATCGTCCGCATTGGGGCCTTTGCCCTAGATCGACTGATGTCAGCGAGGACTGAATGCATCGTAATCACGAAATAGGGTGGCGAACGATAGTGTACTGAACCCAGGTGTTCTGGTGTGAAGGCCACAGATTACTCGTCAAATGGTCAGTGAGTGCTCTGAAGGCATCAGGGCCGATCAGCTCAAGAGCTCGTCGTGCGTTGGGCCCGACTGAGACACCGGCGCCGATTTCACTGAACTTTGGCGCGGCTTCATAGATTTGGTAGTTGATATGGGGGTACTTGTTGAGGGCAAGTGCAAGTGCAAGGCCACCAATCCCACCACCGATGATAGCAACGTTGAAAGTAAAGTCGTCGGAGGTGTGATGATGGTCGAGATGTGGCACTGATCCCATTTTGTTATATAGTATCAAGCAACTGAGAAAATCGATGGGACTTTCTTGAAAGTAGTGAAACTCTTGAATACTGGCTGCCAAATCGTGCCATGATCATTTTATATATCTTCGTGACCATGGACATCTCTCTTGTGACGTTCCTTTGCATGTCGGCGCGGTCTTGAGATGCACATTTCGTAGAACGCATTCGCATGTAAATTGGGTGCATACGCCGCCATATCCTTCGAAGGACGGGCCTTAGTGCTCCCCGGCCCATTCTTCGGTTCAGAAATACATGTTGATGTATTCAGAGGCCCCTTAGCCAATGCAAATCGCTCGGAACATTGCGGGATCCTCCGATTTTCGCTGGTCCCTGCACGACCCGCAGAAATGGCTCCATTACTAAACCACGAGAGGGGAATACGTAAGCCGCAAAGCCGAAAGATCATATGCTGATACTGATCGCCAGAATCAAGGGACGAATGAGAGACAATGGAAATCAGTCTCCCCCACAGTCCAAAGTAATCACGGGTAAATGTAGATGCCGCATCCTTCAATTGTCATTAGCCCATGCCTGATGTGTTGGTCAATGTCTGGCTGTACTCAATTATATCTAGTCTTGTGTGTCGAAGATCGCTGGTCTCACGTTGATTGAGAGCTACATTTCGTCGTGGCCCGCGTTCAACTTGAATGCTCAATTCAAATGTCAGCTCTGAGGGCAGAAAGGTCGTGTTGCACTCGTTGACGTTTTTGCAAGGTCCTTCTGGGCGAAAATCAAGTACCTAGTAATCAAGCTTTGGGTAGCATTGGACATTTCACTGTCAGAAGTTGATAAACATGATAAAGATATATATGTTGTACAAAACAATCGAACAAACCATTGATCATGTTCTCGAACGCTCGCCTGCTGTGAAGCAATCTCTCACTAATTCATACATAGCCATAGGGTCCTCGTCGTTCAATCATTCGTTTTCGTCATCATCATGCCTGCCTTCTTGTCCTGCGTTGTTCGTTGGTTTCTTTGCTCGACCCGTGAGATCTTGCCAAGTCGCACCAAAACGTCGTCCAGTGCTGGCTAGCAGACCTTCCTCCTCGTCTTCTTCGGCATCTTGATCAAGCTGATACTGGTCGAGCTTTGGTGTCCGAACCAAAGAAGTGACAAGCACAATCAAGAAGACAGCTAATGGTTGGTTTAGCAACATTCCACTTGATGCAATGAAGTTACATACCAAAGAAGGCAATTTGCGCCCAGAAGTCTACGGCTCCAAAGAACGAGAAGTTCACGGTGATGCGATCGATGAAGGTGCTAGCCACACTCGGTGTGCAGACCCTGGCCGCTGCTAGGGACGTAGATCTTTCGGTGCAAGGTTTGATAGCATTATGATGTGTCGAGCAGTCTGGTTGGCCATCTCCGGGGACAATTTCTCGGTCGCAGAAGGTCTGAGGACCGTAGTGTGTATACTGCGGCGCCACAATCATCGCCATAGAATAGAAAATAGCAAGTACCATGAGGCTCATGAGCATTGTAGCAAGAAGCATTGCCTGAGGGGTAGTATGACCTTTTCTGATCTTAAAGATCTCAAGCCACAGAAATCTGATGCCTATGACTCCGATGCCTACTACAGAGCTTGAGAAGAAATACAAGACGAGGAGGAGGTATATGATGTAGTCGATTGGGAACACTTTGGCGGCTTGTACGAAAATGTAGTTGATAGGATTGAATATGTTTATGTGTCCCAGCACATACCCGCAATGGGATTTGCAAGTAGAATTTTTTGCTTTGTCGGCGAAAGTGAGAATCATGCATATCCAGACGAAGATCGCAAGTACCATCATCAGGATGCCTCCAAGTAGTTTGACAGGCCGGAAGGCAGCTTCGATCTTTATCCAGGTTTTGATCAGCCAGCCTTGGCCCTCTCCGCTGGCTTCACTGGCAAGTCGTTCACGACGAACAAGAGTTCGTTCTTCTCGAACCAGAGCTTCAAGCTCCCGGCGGTCTTTTGCTGGAAGCCCGCCTTCTTGTCCCTCGTTACGCATCTCGAGCTGTCGCTGACGTTCTCTATTTTGCTCGAGTTCAGAGGCGGTGTTAGCGCTTAATGTTGGAGCAGACACTCCGGGGGCGGATTTGATGAAGGTTATTGGAAGTAGGGCAAAGCCTGCTGCTGTGTAGAGGATGTAGATGAGGGTACCGATTGTAATGAGGAGACCAAGTGCAAATGTCAAGGCGCGTTCGCCATGGCCCTCTCCGTGCAAAAGATGTTTGAAATACTCGAGGTCATAGTGGGCACCTTTCCGATCTTTGGCTACCGGTACGAAAAACCCTATGATGAAGAGGATGACGACGAGTAAAATGAATGCAATGGTGTATTTGAACGCTCCCCAGAATCTTTGCCCAAAGGTTTGGTTGCCCTCGTCAGCGTCCACTTCATCGTATTCTTCATGCCAAAAATAGGTGAACGGTAGCACTACCAAGCACAGAATTGCGTCGAGAGAGTATAGGAAATAGTAGACAATCTCGAGCGTCTTAACAATACTATCCACCTCATCTTGGGTAGCCCAATGTTTCCGCTTCCCCTGTTTAGAGGAGGTCGTAGAGGACACCAGGGCGACGTCGACAGGGAGTAGCAGTGCTGTGGCCAGGAGTGACAGCAGAGTGAATATGCAGACGACTGTCACTGCGATTGAGCGTTCTCGGGGCGCTTGATAAACAATGACGAAGATAGAGGCTATTCCTAAAGTCAAGACGAGCGCAATGGCATAGACGACCCATATGAGCGACGTTTGAATGAGAGCCATTTCTAGAGGATGAAGGCTAATTCGGATACATGAAGATGAGGAAGCAGACAGGACAGTGGAAGGTGGAAGGTTGAAGTTGAAGAGCTCAAGCGGGGAGCCTGAAACTTGGAAATCACCTGCATCATCGCGCATTCCTTCCGCATCGGTCGACCGTTCCTTGAGAGACAAAGCCAGAACATTCTCTTCCCATTCGAGGCCGTCAAGCATCTATGGGATACTCCAATCCGAGAGCTACGCAGAAGTGAGATGTATCTCACTGAAGTGCGGTTATGCAGTGCTACACCGAGCTGACGCCTCCTACGGCCGTGACGCACTCCTTGTCCCTACCCTTCCTGTCCTCAACCGCCAACAATCTCATCGTCGTGAAGACTTCACTGCTTCAGGTCTTCTCATTGAAATCAATCGTCGCCACTACAGATGACGCTCCAGCTTCACAAGCTCCGGGCGGCCTCGCCAATGGCAAAGAACAGATTCCCACAGCAGTCCGTGCTGAACGCGTACAGACCACCAAGCTTGTCTTGATTGCAGAATACGAGTTGGCCGGTACGGTTACATCTGTCGCAAAAGTCAAGCTTCTACGGTCAAAATCAGGTGGAGATGCTCTACTAGTAGCCATACGAGACGCGAAGTTGAGCTTGGTGGAGTGGGATCCTGAGTGCCACAGTATTTCAACCGTATCAATCCATTACTACGAGCGAGAAGATATCCTTCCGAGTCCGTGGGACCCTGACCTCACAAAATGCGGAACAATACTGAGTGTAGATCCGAGTAGCCGCTGTGCTGTATTCAAATTCGGGGCGCGCCATATCGCGATCCTACCTTTCCACCAGCTTGGGGATGACATCGCGTTAGACGAGGATGACGAGCTAGATGGAGGGAAGCTAGAGCGTAAGATCTCACTCTCGAAACAAACAGGCGACGACTCGAAAAAGAAGACTCCTTATGCTGCATCATTCGTCCTCTCTTTGCTCGCTCTGGACCCAACCTTGAAGCACCCTATTCATCTATCTTTTCTCTACGAATATCGAGAGCCAACATTCGGGATACTTTCATCAGAAACTACTACGTCGACATCACTTCTGGCTAATCGCAAAGACAACGTTACGTACGCAGTCTACAACCTGGATCTTGAGCAGCGTGCTTCAACCTCGTTACTTTCCGTGACCCACCTTCCATACGATCTCTTCGAGGTCGTCCCACTTTCTAAAATTATTGGTGGCGCTCTACTGGTTGGCAGCAATGAGATCATTCATGTGGATCCGTCGGGAAAGACAAATGGTGTTGCGGTCAATGAAGCCGCTAAGCATTGCACCTCGTTTCCACTGGCTGACCAGGCTGATCTGAAGCTTCGCTTGGAACATTGCATGATCAAGCAGCTGGGGTACGACAGCCCCGAATTGCTCTTGATTGAGGACCAAGGCGCATTGCTAATACTCTCGTTCAAAATTGACGGTAGATCAGTGTCTGGTCTTAGTCTACACCGCTTAAGCCTCGACGATAGCCCATTGCTGACTGGCGCCTCTAGCGCTACCATCATAGGCCGTGGGCGTATGTTTTTGGGGAGTGAAGATGCTGATTCGGTCGTCCTGGGTTGGTCACGATCATCCGATCGACTGAAGCGAAAACCGTCACGTGTAGACCTCGTAACGGAGAAAGAACTCTCACCTGAATTCGATGATATCGATATTGAGGACGACGACGACGATGATCTATATGCCGAGGACAAGCCAAGCGACGCAGTCGGACTTGCCGACAATTTGAAATCCGACAACCCAGAGAGTGAATTCAAGTTTCGAGTCCACGACAGCCTGTTGAATACAGGGCCATTGACCGACATCACATTAGGCCGAACCCTATCAAGCACTACTGATGACTTTGTGCCAGACCAACGAGATGAGCTCTTGGCGACTGTTAGTCGAGGAAAAGCGGGATCGTTGATGTCTTTTCAGCGTTATTTGGGAATCAGGCCAACGTCACAGCACGATATCTCAGGCGCAAAATCATTGTGGGCCTTCCCTGCCAAGCCGGCGCAGGAAGTTAGCACAACTAATGCTTATTCCTTCGATGAGTACCTCATCGCTGCTTTTGGAGAGACAGATGGGGTCAGCAAGTCCAGCGTCTATAAATTCAGTGACGGAGCCCTTCACGAAGTACGTGGTACTGAATTTGACTCCGATGCTGGAGCTGCGATCGAGTGTGGCATTTTGAACGATGGTAATAGGATTGTCCAAGTATTATCTACGGAAGTGCGCACCTTTGACACCGGTGAGTTGTTTTCACTCCATTCTACCATTCTCTTCCCCGTAGCTACATCCCATCCTCAGTCTTGTCATAGTTCGAAGATTCTGTGCCATTGTATCATGGTATGGTTACCTCTTCAATCGATGGGCTGGAGCAATTTGCCTATTGTATGCAGATTATCAAATAGCTCAAATCAATACAATCTATTCACCAAACTTGTCCATTGTCATTACACCCTTTGAACGTCGTTTGAAATTCTCTTCAGTTCATGCTTTTGATTTCCTTACTAACGATCATCAGACTTTGGCCTAGCCCAGATGTACCCGCTTGGGGACGAAGATACAGAGTTGGAGGCTAAGGTACAGACTGCTACCTTTGCAGACCCATATGTACTCTTGACGAAGGATGACGAAAGCTTGACAATCCTCGTAGCAGATGAAAGTGGAGATCTAGATGAAATATCTCAAGGAGAGAAGTTCCAGCAGACTAAGTGGACGGCCGGATCACTCTACGAGGACGTTAATGACGCCTTGCGATTAGAATACGGGGATGACGATGAAGAATCGAGTAACGTTCTAGCATTCTTACTCTCGGTCAAAGGTGGCTTGCAGGTAAGATAGCTCCAGCAACTTGATCTCGACCTCAAATGCTGACGCTACTTAGATCTATCGACTACCGAATCTGAAAAAGCCGGTCTTTGTTGCAGATGGTCTTAGTCTCTTGCCCCCTTTCTTTCGACAGAATTTACCATTCGGCGATCCGTTGCGCGAGAAGAAATCGTTGAGATTCTGGTAGCGGATATTGGAGACGCTGTCAGCAAAAGCCCCTACCTGCTTGTGAGTCTCGGCCAAATTCATTGAGTGTTGAAATCTAACATCAACAGCTTCGCACATTTGAAGACGATGTTGTCGTGTATCAACCTTACCAAGCCCAAATTGAGGGCGACAAAGACACTGCTCTTCGATTTTTAAAGCTTCCGAATGCTCACTTTGCGGCACCAATAGATGAAGATGAAATGGAAGACGACTTCATCAAGCCACAGCATTCATTCCGAGTATTGAATGATGTTCAAGGCTATAGTGCAGTCTCAATATCCGGCTCTACACCAAGCTTTATCCTAAAGACCGCTTCCTCTCCTCTCAGAATCATACATCTAACTCAAAGGGACCTAACAAGCATCATTCCTTTGAACCTGCCAAATTGCAGGAGTGGCTTCGCATTCATCTCCAACAACGTGAGTTCAACCTCTAGCTTTCCACATCTTCAACTCATCAGATTTTTAGGACAGGATAATCACTGCTCAATTGAACCCGCAAAACGATTATACCACAGGCTTTGTAACCCAACGCATACCTCTCCAAGCCCCATGTAACGCTCTAGCTTACCACGCCCCTCAAAAGGCCTACATCCTCAGTACCCTCACCCGCATGCCATTCAAACTACCCGACGACGAAGCTCTCCGTATTTCTCCGCCCGAGGACGAGCCCGTCCTTCCCATCCTAGACCAAAGCACCCTGCAGCTCTTCGACCGTCCAACGACCAGCACAATCTCCACCTACGAGCTTGATCCCTGGGAAGTCGTCCTCTGCATCTCAGTCGTGAACCTCGAGACCTCAGAGATCACGCATGAGCGAGCCGATCTCGTTTGCGTAGGCACTGGTGTTATAAGGGGCGAGGACTTGGGCATGATTGGCCATATCTACGTTTTGGCGATCATTGATGTGGTGCCGGATCCAGAGCATCCGGAGACGGGGAGGGCTTTCAAGCTGATTGCGAAGGAAGAGACGAAAGGGGCTGTGACTTCGCTCTCTAGCGTCGGGACTCAGGGGTTTTTGATGTCGACGCATGGACAAAAGACGCTGGTCAGGGGGTTGAAGGAGGATGGCAGTTTGTTGCCTGTGGCGTTCATGGATATGCAGATTTTCCCGACTATGGTGAGGGAGTTGCCAGGGACGGGGCTGTGCGTTATAGGGGACGCGTTACAGAAGGTTTGGTTTGGAGGGTATACTGTGAGTCTTCTCCCTTGTGGCCGTTATCCTCTTCATTACTTTTGAGTGCTCTCTATACTGGAAGTCGGATATTGACATATACTTTCGCAGGAGGACCCGTATCAGCTCCGCCTCTTCGCCAAATCACCTTACCCCATCGAGACGGTCACGGTATCTTTCCTCCCGGACGGGAAGAATCTCTACATCGTAGCCATCGACACAGACGGAAGCATTCATGTCCTACAATACGATCCAGAGCGTACGTCTCCCTCCCTTCCTCCCCCTTTCTCCCAAAACCCTCAGCTAACCAACCCGATACAGATCCCTCATCCCTCTCGGGCACCAACCTCCTCCCCCTCCACCTCCCCCCTTCCACACGCCCCACTATCCCGCAACAACAACCCTCCTCTCTCCCTCCCCCTCCCCCATCACCAACACCTCTTCCCCCAACAAGAACATCAACCCCAACCCCCTCAACTTCCCCCCACACTCCCTCCTCCTAACCTCCCCCACCGGCTCCCTCGCCCTCCTAACCCCCCTCCCCGCATCCTCCCACCGCACCCTCTCCGCCCTCCAAAACCACCTAATATCCACCCTCTCGCACCCCCTCGGCTTAAACCCACGAGCATTCCGGGCGGGAGGAGAGCAGGGGAATCCGAGGGATAGGAGGGGCTTGGGCATGGGGGGCAGTTTTGGCGGTATGGCGGGCACGAGCTGCGTTTTGGATGGGATGGTGTTGAGGCGGTGGTTGGAGTTGGGGACGTGGAGAAGGTGGGGTGGGGAGGATGCGAGGGTTGTTAGGGGGATGGTCAGGGGGGCGTTGGGGGTGGTTTAGGGGAAGGGATGGGGGAGGGGTGGGGAAGGGGTGAGGTGGAGACAGTAGTGGAGGAGAAAAGGGGGGACGTGGAGATAGGTATGATGGAGCAGGGAAGAGAGATGAGATATACAGGGGAGAATATGGGTGTGAGATGGAAAAGACAGTCTCGATGACTGGATCTGTTTGAGATAGAATAAAAGCTAGATTTCCTTCATAGCTGAGGTAATTATCAAGCAAGTACACCGCCCGGCTACTCTACTGCAAAGACCTGCATGACATAAAGCGAAACAGTCATGTGCACAGTACCTCCGCTCGCTGGAAATACTTGGCCACAATAATCATACAAACATACGAGCACACATCAATACTCAATCCCTCATCAAAGCCAACGCACTCTCGAACGCCGAGATGACTTTCATTACTATCCCGACACCGACACGTTAGCAGCTAAGAAGGATAACGCATTGGCCACGATGAGTGGGTGGATAGGTAGGTCGGGAAGAAGAAGTGACAAAACAAGAGAGGGTAGAGTTGCGTACGATGAGCCCGTCTATCCTCCACCTTGCTCTCCCGATTTTGCACAAAGGCCGTGCGGGTTCGGAGCCTGCACGGTCACCACAGGGATTAGCACTTTTCCCTGCCCTTCCACCAACCTCAACCCTAACACCGCTCCCTTCGTCAACCACAAAAATCCCCCTTCCACAACCAAAAGAAAAGCAACGAAAAAAACCCACCTCTTCGCCCCCCTCTCCCCATCCACTCTCGCCCCACTGGTCCCCCACGCCTTGAAAATCTCCACCCAGGCTTCAAACTCCTGTCTCAATTCCCCCTCTTTCTTCTCCATCTCCTCCACCTTTTTCCAGAACTGGGTTTCGAGGTCGTCGTAGGAGAAGGCGGGGAGGGAGGTTTTGCTGTCTGTTGCCATTACGGCGATGGGGTCAGGGTCTGATTTGACGGGGCTGGGGAGGTTAGTGGTATTTGGTGGGGGGTTGGTGGCGGTGATGGAAGGGAGAGGTAATTGCGGGGCGGATGTGTTGGTTGTTGTGGTAGTGGTGGTAGTGCTGGTGGAAGGGGGAAGGGGAAGGTCAAGGTTGGGAGGGATTTGGATTTGGATTTGGGGTTGGGGGAGAGGCGTCGTGTGTGCCGCTGTTGAGGAGTAGAGGGGAGGTGGCATGCTGCTGGGAGAGTTTGGTGGGTGCCCCAGTGAGAGAGGTAGGATGGGTGATGTGTCTTCGATTGGAAATACCTGTCTCTCGGATTGATTATCATTTGTAGGGTTTTGGCTGGCGTTGACTTCGGAGTTCCCTTCAACTGAGTTATGACTAGTAGCGTTGGTGGGGTTTGCTTCTTGTGTAGACATTGATGGCGTGGTTGATTTGCTGGTGGACGTCAAGTTTTTTGAGAGGTTGGTCAAGCGATTGTCATCATGCTGTGTGGTTTCGGTCACTGTTTCATGAAGAGCTGGAGGTACTAAAGCTGTAGACTTTGAGGCTTTTGAGTCTGCTTGGTTGAGCGACGCGTTGGTGGTGGCAGTATCAGAAGGGGCCGGGTTGCTCATCAGGATTATCGGCAATCTTGTGGGATGGCAACAAGACAGTGTTGTCAAAACTGATGAGCTGCGGAAGCACGAGAGTGTGATGGTGCTAGGAATTATGATATCATGTAATCGAATAGTCAGAGCCGGTATGTAGACAAAGGAGAAAAGCGCTGAGAGATGATTCTGCCTCAAAAGAGCAAGAGGTGGAAAGAAGAAAAGTAATCAAAAACTCCCAAATTTTGGTGCCGAAGAATTAGCCGATAAGATAGGACCAAATGAATGGATTTAGATGATGTTGAATGCACAGTAAAGAGCAGTTTAGCTATATGCAATATTGGAAATACATACTGTTTGGACTCCTTCAACAGCCCGCAACATCTGCAACGAATAGAAAATGTCAGCTCCTAATGCCAATCCAGCGCGTAACCAGTTTGGAAGGTAGATGAATTAACCAGCTTGTCCGACCGTCACTTTTGCGTAGGCAAGGCTCATCCTGTTTGCAGTGCAAACAATATCCAAACGCCACAACTCCTAGCTTCCTAGTACACAGGGTATACGCTCTCTTCTTTACATTAAACGCCGATTTGCACAATCGTAATCTTCAATCTTGAGTCTTCGTCAAACGACTACCTCTGCCCAGCTTCGAGCTGACTCGGGGTAGACTGAGTGGCCTGGGTGGCCTCAGGAGCGCTAGTCTCCGCTGGTGTATTGTTAGGGTCTTGTCTGTTTCGGCGTAGGAAACCAGGCATTCGAATATTCGGTCTGGAAACATTCCATCTCGGCAGCGTCCTTCGTTGCTCGCCCTCTTGCTGATCTGAACTTCGTCCATGACGATGGCCCATCCGCCTGTTCGGATTGTTCCGAGTAGGGAGACCGTACCGCTCACCCGGGGGGCGCTCTCCTCCGATGAATGGAAAGCGCAGGGTCGGCCTGCTGGGACCATGGCGTAGAAATGCATATGGGGGCGCTTGTAGCGCATCCAATCTCTGACCTTGCGATCGTCGATCAGATTGTCGCTCATTGTCGGCGGCAATTTCAGCCTCTGACCTAGGCTTCGGTACATAATAGTCGGCTTTGCAAAGCGGGCAACAAGCACGACGAGAGGTAAGCCATGGATCGAGGCAGCTTGCGTGGAAGGCGTGGCCACATGCTAGACCTCGAACATCGTCATCGTCTTCTAAGGTGTCGATGCAAATGGCACACTGGTCACCTGGCGTGTTCATCATGTCTGTGGGAATGGCTGTTTGTATTTGGTCGTCATCATCATCGTCAGCCGCTAGGCTCTCGTCGTTTGTTCGCGTTGGGGCAATTGTGTCTGTATCCATAGGTTTCGCCTCGGGCGTTGTCTCCGGCTCCTTCGATTTGGGCTCGTCATTCTTTTGCTCCTCCGTTGGCTTCTGATCTTTGATTGACACCGGAGTAGGCTCTGGAGTATGCTCATGCTCATCCATCGACTCTTTCGTCGCCGGAGTAGTGGGTCTTTTGCCGTCCTCAGATATTCGTGGTAGAGCTCCGTCGGCATTTCTGATGCTAGCAGCTCGACTTGCTGAAGGAGCAGCAACTCCACCAGCAGTCGACAGCCCTTCTGCGGCACGAGTGGTCATCCATGCTTTGTATTTTATCAACGGAAATCTTTCATTGACTTCATCCATCGTCATCAATTTCTTTTCTCGCCTCCTTCTCCTCGGTCCATGTGGCATTGCCACCAGATCGATAGGGTCGCCATTTTCATCTTGCTGAGCACGACGATTCCGTTGATTGTATCTGAAACAGTATTTGACACCCACAATAATCCTTTAGACACGTCAGCAAGGGATTTGTATTGTTGATGAACTGAGAGACCCTACCATAGATTTGTAAACACGACACCGAAACCTAAAGCGACGAAAAATAACAGTGGCGAGCTTGTAGGACCTCCTCCTCCTCCTCCTCCTCCACCGCCTCCACCACCTCCATTGCCAGTCTGTGAGGGGGCGGCTGGGACTGAAGTGGAAGACGGCATGAGGGATAAGGAAGTTGACGCCATGATGGCTCTTCAGATGATCATTAGCATGATTTTGCCCACAGTGGCAATGTCCGTACTTTATAAAATAGCTAGACCAAGCACAGCAGGCTAGCAGTACCAATTATCGCGATTCCATACGACGGACTAGGATCCAAGGCTGTTGTTTGGTATCTTGGGCGTAGGGCGTCGGTGCCGCAGTAAGATGTCAGATGCGACCCCTTGGTCCCGACCGTGCACGCCTAATATTGTTTTGATATCGACTTCCCACCTCTTGACCAAGAGACTGACGAGATATCGATACCAGGAGTGGCGGAATTCGATGAGACGGTGACGATATAGACTCGTCAGCTGGTTGGAAATGCCGACTCAGCCCGGGTGAGTGTTAGTTAGGGTTCTAGATCAAGGCTCTTGCCATGACAATTCCTCGTTGCGCTGTTAAATACTCCACCACCACGCAATATAATGCTGCAATGTAGATGTACAGCTCTCCAGCCGGAGGATTGTACGAAACACAGAGAAGTGCAAGGAGGACTGGTGGTGTTGTACACACGGCCTGGTGCGGGAAGATTTGTCACAGGATCACAGGCAGGTCGAAAAAGGCTGGTCAGGCCTAAAATTGGCTAGTCCAGGCTGGGTCCATTTAGGGGCGTAGAATATGGGCGTACTCGGGTGTTAATCCCCTTCACGTTAGTTGCATCGTCGCTCTGTCCCCTGATTTGCTGCAAGCGGAGAGAAAGCTTGATTCTGATGAGAGGTATCTCCGCTATCCCGCCAGATAAGGAACAGATTCAGCCACTCGTCGCCAATTAAGGTAGCAGCCAGGCATTATCAGCATTATCATTTTTGCCTGGGACTGTGGGATCATATGCGATAGAGCCCCAGAGCCACCATCAGCTTCCCCTCACATCAACCACAAGACCAGTCTGAGCTCCAATCTAGATCGTGCGGTCGGATACGAAGGCGGGGTTCCGGACTGGCGATTGGCGCAACTTCATCGGAGCGTTGCAAGCACACCAAGACAAGACCCGCTGCCGATCCTTTTGCCTCTCCGCTCGTCTGGTGCATACGTACACATACCTTTCCTCTTCTGGATATCTCGATATCTAGCCTTGGCCTTGGTTTACAGGTATTGAGGGCATCAGCTTCGAGCTGCTTCGTTGACTCCCCCATCCATTGTGGTAACCATGGCAAGCAACAGTGAGGCTGCTGCAAACCCGGTCGTCTTTTTTGACTTGACGTTAGGAGGTAGAGCTTGATCATATACTTTGTGGGATGTAGATACTAAGCGCATGCGTAGGAGAACCTTTAGGTAGAATAAAGATGGAGCTATTTGCGGACGTTACTCCCCGTACCGCAGAGAACTTTCGTCAATTCTGCACGGGAGAGACAAAGAACTCATCTTCGCGGCCACAAGGCTACAAAGGCAGCAAGTTCCACCGAGTAGTGAGCCAATGCTGCACCCATGGAGCCCAATCAGCCGTCTTACCATCAACAGATCAACAACTTCATGATCCAAGGCGGCGACTTCCTCAACGGCGACGGCACCGGTAGCACCACCATCTACGGAACGAAAGCGTTCGCCGACGAAAACTTCGAACTGAAGCACGACACGCCCGGTTTGCTCAGCATGGCGGTACCTTCGCACTGCACCTACCCCAGAAACGCCTACTAATATCCACAGAATTCCGGACCCAACACCAACGGCTGCCAATTCTTCATCACAACAGTAGCAACCCCCTTCCTGAACAACAAACACGTCGTCTTCGGCAAAGTCATCGACGGCATGGACGTGGTCCGAAAAGTCGAGAACACTCGCGTCAAGCAGGAGAGTAGGCCTGTGAGCGATGTCGTTGTTGCCCAGTGTGGCGAGATGTGAACGACCATGCAGACTGCGCGAGATGACCAAGCATCTGATCATCAAGAACGTGATTTGTGGAAGTTCTGGACTTTCAGCCTTGGAGATGAGATCACCGTCCCCGCGGAAGCGGAACTTGAAACGTACCGAGAGAAATCGTGGCGTCGCCATGTCCGGTCCTTGCGCCTGGAGCAGTAAAAGGCAGGGGACACCATGTCGATATGGTTCAGGCTGTCAATGGTGATTTGGAATCTTGGCAAGCCACGGTAGAAAGCTTGGTTCTAGACCAAGAGTCATGAATGTTCTGGTTTGAGTTAAAGCATGGTCGCTTGAAGGGTTGGAAAGGAGCACTAAACAGCAAGTCAAGTAGGGTGTCTGAAGTGCCTCACGACGATGGTGATCAACACGCATTAGCGAACATAGTCGTAATGAATATCACGATCGTCGCAGTGCCTTTATATACAATTCCCACACTTCTCTTGATTCAATGCCGGGAGCCTAGCACATCGTCGTGACCAGCTAGCTCTGTAAATCTACCAACCTCAATCACACCCCATCCAACACCCCACTCTCCTTCAACCTCTCCCACATATCCCGTTCCAAAAACTTCCCCACCCCCACATCCTCACTCAACCCTTTCCTCCTCCTCGTCTTCAAAACAAAATCCCTCGCCGTAGCCCCCATCCCCGCCATCTCAAGCGGCCGCGTCTTTGCATCCTTATCCAACGGATCCCCCGGCACCACCGCCCACCGATCAAACACCAGACTCACCATCGCCTGCCCCTGCGTATGAATCCTGGCATCAGTCTCGAACCCAAAGGAGTCAATGACAGGTAAAAGGCCGCGGACAGAATAAAGCGGTGTCCCAGCGATAGGGCCATCAGAAAGTACGTGCCCTCGTCGTTTAGAGAGGACGGTGTAGAGCGAGGAGACGGAGTCAGCGGGGCCGGTCATGCTGACTGTGTAGAGCGGTTCCATCAGGCGGGGAGAGGCGGTGAGGAAAGAGGAGTAGAGGCAGCGGCGGGCGGTGGGGATGATCTGGCCGCCACCTCTGGAGATGGAGTCGGGAGCGAGAGAGATGTCCGTGAGGCGGAACTTGGTGTTGCGGATGGGTTCTTCGCACAAGGGGCCCTCGCGGGTTCCCCAGCTGAACCCCTGGCGGAGCGATTCGCGGACCGTGTTGAGGAGTCTCTTGTCGACTTGAGAGGGAAGGGTATCGTCTTGTAGGATGTTTGGGGAAGTATCCTCGGGTCCGAAAGCCCAGATGCTGCGGGCGGCTAGCTTATCCCAATCGTAGCGCTCTTCGAAGAAATTGCCGACTTTGCGGATGGGATCCTTTATGCTGACGCGACCGGCTTCGATATCTTCGGCGATGCCATCTTCGAGTTTTTCGGCTACCATGGTGATTTTGTTTTTCTTGTTCGGTGTGAGCGCGTAGCACATGATTGCGGATTGCTCGTCTACAGTCTCGCAAAAGCGTGTCACTGGGTCGGAGACTTTGAGCTCCATCTCGCTGTATAAGCGGCGGAGGTCATGCAGGACGCAGTCCATGTAGAGTTCGCCAGTGCCAAGGATGATGTGTTCGCCTGATTCTTCGACTTTGGTTGTTATCAGAGGGTATGATTTCGAAATTTTGCGGAGACCGTCAAGCATTTTGGGGAGTTCGGAAGGATTGATGGGTTCGACGGCAAGCTTGAAGACGGACTCGGTGATATGTTTGATGGGGGCGAAAATGTAGGCGTCCTCTCCGTCGGGGAGTTTAGGGGGCACTAGGGTGGCTGTTTTGACAATTGAATTGTCGATTCCGCCTAGAAGGACCCAGTTTCCTGCTGGTACTCCGCTGACTGGGATGTTGTACCGTGAGTTTGCAATCCATGTTTCACTGATGGTGGATTCTGCCATATCTTCTTCGTCGTCGATTGTATAATTCTCGCCTAGAACGCGGACCTGCTGCCCCGATTTTGCTGTTCCACTCAGAACTCGACCAAATGAGTAGAAGCCCGAAGCATCAGGAGTATTGAAAAGTTTAGCTATTTGAACAATCAGTGGTCCATCTTGTGAGCATGTAGCGATCGCCTTTGCGGTCTTGGTGTCCTTTGGGCCAGTGAAGTATTGGTCGAGCTTCTTGTGCCCACCAGCTTCAGCAGATGGAATGTGTTCAACGACCATATCAACGAAACTTTCGGGCCCACCAAAGAACTGCTCGCAAACAAGCTTGAGGAGGTCCTTGGCATTTGACTTCAACTGCCTAGGTTTCAAATATATACCGAGTGTCGCTAAGGTGTCCTTCAAATCTTCAGGGCTTCCGCTGATTGTGTGTGCATAGAGTTTGTAGAGTGGTTCAAGTACGAAATTGACAAACGTGCGCTTTGACCGTTCTTCCGTCCCTTTTCGAGTAAATGAGCGTCTTTTCGGGTTGAAGAAGATATCGCCCCATAGCCTCACGCTGAAATCGCGAGCATTGATGTCCGGATAATTATCAGCGTACATTTTTGCGAATGAAGGCAGTGTAAAGACCCAGCCCATGTCACTGCAAGCGAAAGCAACATTGCCTTTTTCAGGACTCAGTCGCCGCTTTTCACCTTGTCCAGGAATGGTGTTCTCAATAACCGTGTTGACTTCTTCAACGACATGCTTTAACTTGAAGTATGCGTCTCCGGGAGGTATTTTGAGTTCGAGTATTAATCGGTCCATTTTATTTACAACCAGCGTCAGAGGCAAGTCCTCCAGAACAGCATATTTGATTATCTGCTCCGTATTTATTTGCACTCCTTCGACTACATCCACGACGAGCACCACTCCGTCAGCCAATCGCAATGAGGCGGCAACTTCGTCCACGAAGTTTACGTGACCCGGGGTATCCAAGATGTTGAACAAATGTGATTTTCCTCTCGTTCCTTGCAATACTAGGCTCATAGGCGCCGACTTGATTGACAGCCCTCGTTCCCTTTCCAAGACGTGTACATCGGTATACCGCAGTTGATCATCTTTTTTCCTTCCGGTCCGTCTTTCTTGTCGTTCATTGATATCATGTGTTAGCATAACGAGCATGTCCATTAGCGCAGTCTTTCCATGATGTAAGTGACCGGCGAAAGCTATATTGCGTATTTGCTCTGGAAAATTCATCATATCGGTCATGAATTCGCGCGCGAAGTGTACTGGGGGTAAGTCGGCTTCTTGAGCGATGAACTTTTTTGAACGACAGGGGCAATGATGGGTTGCGTAAGGGGTTGAGTATCTTCCTCCTCCACTCGAGTCTCCACACCAGGACCGTAGACTTGTTGCGCAGTTGGATAGTACTGCTTGTCTTCATGGAGCACGACGGCATTCGATGGGCCATCCTCGTCGATCTCCATGAGAGCCTGGTCATCTGGTACGCCATCTTCGTCATCTTCGTCATCTTCATCAAGGTATGTGTCTCCTGTAGGTCTTGCACCATCTTCTTCCTCCGACTCTTCTGGCTCGCCAATAAAATTACCAAACCTTTCTATTGTCAGCGGGCGCATCGTTTCGGTAGGGCCAGGGAACAACTTACTCATCATATAAATCGTCCATGCTCGCAACGAGAGTTCTGACGCAGGAATTCTATTACGCTGTCAGGGCGAGTCGAGCTTGGGAATTGTCACTGAGCAGTGCCAAGAGCTAGTAATAGAGTTATCTTATCTAAATCTAAGGTTTTCCGGGACAATCCTGACTAAATCTCGCTACCTTCTACTCAACACTATCTTGAAATTAAGACTAAGATCAACAAATGACAACACCAATCTTTTCTATGCGAAATCCCTCGTGGAACTGTGGCCTGCTAACGCTATTATAGTAACAATCTGATAATATAGGTAGATGTATATATGCTATGTCCTGTATGCAAATTTGGAAACGGCATCTCTTTCGAATGGTTTTCTAGGATCTTGAGATCTATCTAAGCTTGACGTACGAAAGATCATGTCCTCGCCGAGTTCAACCCGATCTCATTCAATACTGCTTTTATCAAAATGACATCCTCAAATAGAACTTGTGCTCGCCAGTAAGGCAGAGCGTCCACAATCAGGCCACCTCAATACTAGCCACGGACTTCGAACGTTTGGTCAGAAGCCATCGTTCATTATTCGAGATATATCATCTATGTGAGCGGCTGGCACATCAACCAAAATGGTTTTCTTGCCTTTTCTAATTGATGAAATCGCCCAATATCCCACCATACGCCCAAAACCAGCATTGACGGCAACTACCACGACAACCCGGAGTGCATCAGCCGCTTCAAACAATGTCATGCTCGCGAGGACCGTTGTGCCGTAGGTATAGATGCTAAAACTGGTCACTGCCGTGCAAAATTGTAGTGTACGGCGCCCTCTTCCTGAGCGTTGACAACGAAGTACTATGGTCGTATCTGCAATCTGGCTTTCGACATTCGCAAGGTTTCCTGTTGGTCTGCTCGCAGTTTGCTGAGCTCGGCTGTTTGCCGAGAAATGTATCCTCCTGTAATTAAAGGAAAGATGTCTTAAGCGCACATTCAAAAGGGTAAGGAATTGGCCTAGTGCGGCCCACAAAAACACATTTACTTTCACAGGGCATGCGAAAGTGACAATGCCATATCTCGTGACCTGAAAGAGCTGGTACCAGATTTGCGTGCTTGCACCAATCATAATGAGTCCAATGACAGCGTCCTGCGTACGGGTATTGCCCCATCTATTCCACAAGCTCTCTGAGTGCTTCGGTTTGTTTTGTTTCAATAGCTCCACGATGTTGTCTCGAGCTGTTTGCAAGTTCACTGCGTGTAGGTGCTGAGAGCTAGGCTTTAGAGCAGTCGTGCTGTCTCCTAATCGGGATGAGAAGACTGTGACCGATGAGAGCGAAATTGTTATGGCCAAGAGGATTGATTCGTCAGCGATAGCAGTGATCTCGTCAATACTGTTGGACATCAGGCCCACGATTGTCGGTATAAAGGCCAGAATTGATGCGCCGGCGGACCAGCGAACTGGGTATTCACTGAAGACATTGTCGAAGATGCAACGTTGCATTTGGTCGCACATGGTTCTCTCGTTGGTATAGTTGGCTCTGCAGGTTTCGATTACAGGCTGAACGAATTCATACTTGCTTTGAAAAAGGAAGTACGCGAGCGATGGCTGTAGCAACGCGAAAAGCAAGACAACTCTCAATGTTGACTGCGACATAATGTGTAACAGCCACGCTATTCAGGGACCATTCAGAGATTTCTGGCAAGATGTTCTCATACAAGTAGATTCGCCTGAAGTGTTGGCTCTCGCGCGAAAAGCTCCATCGCATGTCAGCTTCAGCCTCGTCAATATCGCCCCCCACCCATGATGCACGGCAGACATCTCTTATCGGATCGCGTCTGACCAGAACATATCATTGGAAGTCTTTGTCATTGTAGCGTTACAGTGCATGAACCCGTGGACTTCGATACACTATGATCTTCGTACCGTCACAATTCGTGATACTTCGACGCATAATGCACTGTGAACGTTCGATGACCTATTTCGTAATGAGTCCCTATATTTGCAATTGTTGGAGGGCTCATGCATCTCCCTCCTGACGGAATTTCATCCCGGCATCTCTAAGCAATGATGCATCTTAGTAGCAATGCATAGCACAATCCCGTCTGAGCCTTGCGAATAGTTCTAGACCACGAACTTTCTCAAGGGAGGCTGCCTTGGTGGAAATTATTCTTGACGATTCCCCTAGGATCATAGTCCCTTTGAACTATAGAGTCAGAGATACTAACAATATACAACAGCGCAAATGGCAAAATACTCGTTGTTCAACCTGACACTCAGTCACTTCGCGCTCTGATTCTAACGAATTGACTAATGCCTCCAGTGGAGGTTCAAGCGCAACTAAACTGAGCATATCCTAAGCAATAATCGACAGCGAATCTCTGCATCGTAGAAGGCTGTTGCTGGCAGCTAGCGTAAGGAGCTTTTTGGTCGGTGTTTTATAGGGTTAGCCCTGAGCCGAGCCGGCTCTTTCTCAACCTAGAAGAGATTAGATCTAGAAGGGATGAGGGGGGTACCGGACAAAACCAGGTACCGGACGGTTCTAGAAATACGCGCATCTTAAGGTCTGCAGGACTTAGAATACGCGGCTTCTTTAGCCTGCAGACTCTTAGAAAATTTTCGCTTAAGACTCCCCCTTTAAGAGGCACAAGACAGCGCACGCTATATACTGGCTGCATATATTTGAAACCGTCCGGTCCCTGGTTTTGTCCGGTACCCCCCTCATCCCTTCTAGCTACCTTACGGCCGAGGGAGCGCTACAGTGCCTTGGTTATCCCTACAGGTCAGCGCTAGGCATTCTGGTGCTGCAAGGGCAAGGCTGGCGATGCTCATTTGAGTGTGACGAAATATTATCTCTCACCGGTCCGGGCGTTCTGGTACGGTGAGGCAGCAGCTTCGGATCTTCCGAGCTGCCATTTCTAACCGTGTTTTAGATGAACACCTACCTCCATCTTCGTTCTCGCTCGCGAAGAAATGAGAAATATGAAGGCCACCAACAGGGCCATCGTCGGCGCTTTGGTGGTTCTGATACTACTACTTGTACTTTTAGCACGACATCTCTTGGATCTTGGGAATCAGTATAGCGCCTTTACATACGTCCGGACTTCTTTTTTCGGGCTTCGTCGAATGATGCAACGGCTGTCGGAGTCGAAGCTGATGATAAAGTCGTTGTCATGGCCAAAATGGAAAGCGAAGATACCAACTGGGTCATCGAGGAACTTCCTTCGTTCGTTGCCATCCAACATATCTTCCGTCTCCTTCGAGCAATAATCTCTAATATTCAAGTCGTGATATCTAGCTGGCAACACGCAATCTACACCGTCAACCCTTCCATGTCCCCCTCAAACTCAAACAATACCCTTACCACTCCTTTGAACAAAGGCCACGAAGCTATGGCCTATTTAACCTACATCATTGATAATTACGCCTCCCTCCCTTCCATAATGGCCTTTATACACCCACATCGTTCCGGCTTCTTATCAGCCTGGCATACTGACACGCCTTTGCATTCCAACGTGGATGCCCTTACAACTCTTCAGATATCTTTTGTGGAGCAGAATGGCTACGCGAACCTTCGTTGTAACTGGAACCCTGGATGTCTGGCGAAGCATACGGCAAATGCACATGTTACAAAAGAGGTATGGCACGATATATTCAGCGGTACATCAACGGACAAGGGTGAAACTCACGAGGCTCCATCACATGTCGGCGCCGCTTGTTGCGCACAATTTGTGGCCTCGCGTTCTCGGGTAATGGAGCGGCCGTTGAGTGATTACGAGCACTTCCGACAATGGATCATTGACACGGAGATGACAGATGCAAAGAGTGGCCGGGTGTTTGAATTCTTATGGCATGTCATTTTCGGCATGCAGCCTATATAGTAAGTTCAAGCAACGTTCTTTCGCGTCGATCGCGTTCCGGTAGCGGGAAAGGAGGCATGATAGAGCCAACGATGTTTCAACTAAAAGGAGAACCACATGCTGATCGCACATTTCTGTACAGTTGTCCCGACGAAAAGACCTGCTACTGTAACGTCTATGGCAGATGCCCTTAGCCGACATTGCAAAGATCGGAAGCCAGCTTTTGCATCGCTTTGAGGTCCAATTACATGGCATAGCTGCTCAAATCACCCAATAGAACATTAGATTGAGAGGCCTTCCGGAATAGGGCATCATACCCTGTATCTATCACCTAAAGCAGTATCCAGACGCGGCTACAAAGCACAAGACACCCGACCAGGAACGTTAGCAACTGCTGGAGATGCGCTGCAACCCATTCAACAACTTCATCAGCAACGCACGCTTGTGAAAGCTTACTTATTTGTTGCTCGCAGCAAAAGATGAACGGCGTTTAGCGTCGCCTTCAAATTGCCTTCATGTGGCAAGACAGCGAGGAAGAGGAGATAAACGAGTATTGATGGCGTGAGTGTCGAATTAAAGGAGGCTTAGAGAGCGAGAAGTGGAGGTAGAGATGCAGTATAGACAACCAGGAAGAACAGAGTTCGACGCAACTACTTGAGCATAAACTCTTAAGAACCCACCAGCATTGAGCTCTGGGACCTCGATGTAAGGACAGGCTATATTGACTTGCTTACGAGGAAAATAAATGCCCTCCCCCCCGTGCTCCCTGTTGCTCCCTTGCTGCTCGGTCTAAAAGCGGCCCTGCTGATTCAGAGCTTAGTCATCTAGTCTAATTTAGCGGGCAGTTCCCCTGCAGCTTTCTGCGGTCCACCGACATCGTAGCGACTTGCTAGCTATATGTACTCATTATTGCGGCATTCTGTAGCGTCTAGTAAACGTACACCAGCCTCAATTGTGTATAGACAATACTCTCAGACTATGGCACCGCCCCCACGACCACCAGTATATATTGTCTCTGCAGTGCGGACACCCCTCGGGCAGTTCCAAGGGTAGGCAGCCGCAAAAGTCGAGAGACGCTACATGCTGAGACGTTCGAAGATCTCTTGCAAGTCAAACAGCCGTTCAACTAGGCTCTCATACAATCAAAGGTCTGCTGAGTTCAAGCATGTGCTCCCAACCCCTCACTGACAAATCCAGCTGCCCTCTCACGAGTCCCTTCTGTCAAGACTACAGACGTTGAAGAAGTCTACTTCGGCAATGTCTTGTCAGCGAAGTATGACACGTTACCGCATCACAACGTGATACTCTTCTAAAAGCCTCCTAGTATCGGTCAAAATCCCGCCCGCCAATGCGCCCTCGGTGCTGGCCTTCCCAATAGCATCGTCTGCACCACCATAAATAAAGTCTGTGCCTCGTCACTTAAAGCCATAATACTCGGCACGCAAACAATTCAAACCGGGAATGCCTCCTGCATCGTAGCTGGTGGCACGGAATCCATGTCCAATACCCCCCACTATCTCCCCACCCTCCGCTCTGGCCAAAAATTCGGTCACGCTACCCTCGTCGATGGCGTTCTAAAAGACGGCCTGACCGATGCCTATAGCAATGAACATATGGGTCTACAAGGCGAAGAGTGCGCCACAGATCACCAATTTAGCCGCGAAGAGCAAGACGCCTACGCCATTGAAACCATCAAGCGCGCCCAAGCAGCCACCTCCTCTGGCGCTTTCAAAGCCGAGATAGCACCAGTAGAGATTCCAGGGGTAAGAGGCAAGCCTGGTACAACGGTCGATAAAGACGAGAAAGCCCTCATGCCGCTCAATGAGGAGAAGCTCCGCAGTATGAAACCCGCTTTCAAACCGAAAGACGGCACCGTCACAGCTCCCAATGCGTCCCCTCTATCCGACGGCGCCTCCGCCGTAGTCCTTTGCAGCCAAGACTTCCTCGACGAACATAAAGACATCAAGCCGCTGGCGAAGATTCTTGGGTGGGGCGAAGCAGCGCAAGAACCCTCGAAATTCACGACCGCGCCCGCTTTGGCTATTCCAAAGGCACTGAAGCATGCTGGTGTGGGCGATATCATGGATGTCGACGCGTTCGAGATTAATGAGGCTTTTTCAGTAGTGGCGTTGGCGAATATGAAGATCCTAGGCTTGGGCGCGGACAAGGTGAATTTACATGGTGGTGCGGTGGCACTAGGACATCCATTAGGATGCTCAGGGGCGAGAATTGTGACGACCTTGTTAGGGGTGTTGAGAGAAAAGGGAGGAAAGACTGGCGTGGTGGGAATTTGTAATGGAGGAGGTGGAGCGAGCAGTCTGGTGGTTGAGAATTTGCAGGGGAAAGATGCAGTGGTGAATGGGAGCTGACTATCGCCGAAGAGCAAATCGCACTTGTGAACAGGAGGAAGATGTAAAAAGTAACAACGCTCACATGACATAGAAAATAATTAGGAAGTGAGAATGGTTGAAGTTGGAATATATACATCGTGACTGCCTCCAGGGCAAACAACCAAGATGAAGCGAAAGTCGGGGCATCCATCTAAAAAATCCCAAACCTGATCCAATACCTGTTCCCTAGCCTTCATTTCATGACCTCTTTCAAAGGCTCAAGCCGATACACTATCGAATCCTAACAAAAAGATCGCCTCACACTCACAGCGAGGACCAGCCCCTCGTCCATTTCCTTCCCTCCATCCTCTACAACCCTTTTCAAGAATGTCCCTTCACCCCCATCCCAACTTTGTGCCCATGCAAGTGTCTCCTAACTCTACTCACCGCCACTCCCGACGACGACGGCTCCGACGCCGGCAATGACGGCAAATCCTTCAATCCGCGATGCGCCTCCCTCTCCGCCAAATCTCTCCTCTCCTTCTCAATCTCATTCAATCCCCAATCGCCCCCGTTCGAGCTACTGACCGCATAATGTTTCGTCTTCTCCGCCGGACTCTCTCCCCAGTTGCCATCGGCGCCTGATTGCACGTTCTGAGGGCCAGAGCTTGGGGTTTGCGAGGGTGCGGGGGTGGATGGCTGTGAAGGCTGGGGTTGCGGGGAAGCGATGGGGGCGGGGGCAGAGGAGGCGACTGGAGCGGCGGCGGGGGTGGGGTCTGGGGTCGGAGCGGGGGCAGGGGCGGGCGTGTCGGCTTTCTGGCCGTTGTTGGAGAAGACTTTAAGGGAGTTGATCGTCCAGTAGGCTTCTGTGAAGGCGGAGGGATTGTCGCGGACAAAGTCGATGCAGGTGGCTGCTTTGGAGGAGCAGGTCGCGTCTTGTGACCAGACCTTGGTGGGTGTCAGCGGTGAGAAGGTGGAAAGGGGAAGGGGAAGGGATTGGGAGGCTCACGTTGCCGGCCCAGTCGCCGCAGAAAGTTGTCTGTGGTTGGTCAGTACGGCAAATAAATCGAGCGTGGCGGGAAGGGAAAGCTCACGTCGAAGACGAGGTTGCTATATATATGTTAGCTCTCATTCTTCATGATCAAGGAGGATTCGAATATTGCGTGTACTTACTTGTCTTTGAAATGATCATTAATGTTGCAACTAGACCCGCCTTGGAAGCTGGCCATCGCGCCTCCCCATTGTGATGGATCAGGACTGTCGCTCAGCACGTTCCCAAGATTACTCCCTCTACCAAAGAACCAGATGTTGATAGCACCACTCGTCCACTCCATAGCGTACACACCACCCTTCCCCTGGTTGAACCCATCACCATAAGTGGATGCACCCCCTGTCTGCACACTACAGCCCTGACTCCCATAGCAGTCCTTATTGATCATAGTGCAGCCACCACCGGTATGCATAGTGAAAGCATTCTGTGACTGGTAATTGACGCCCTCGATAATATCAATTTCTCCCTGGTTTGGCCAGTTGGGCCCAGTCATCCAGAAAGCCGGCCAGATGCCACAAGCGCTACCAGGCATATGTTCCAGGTCGAGGATGACAAGACCATGTGTATATTGCTTCTTGCTTGTGACACGGACAGAGTCACGACCTCGGCCAGCGCCTGCCTTGGTGCTATCTGATTTTATTGTGACAACGCCGTTATTCACGCCAATAAGGCCGCCACCCTGGGCAGAGGATTGGTCGATATAGTTTACGTAGCCATGGGTTGGATCATCTTCCTAGGTAAGAGTCAAAATGCATGCTTCTTGCGTTTCTGCCGTACGAAGGAAAAGTGCAGGGTGGTAGCGTACAGTGTCAAACGTGAACATGTCGAAGAAGTGGTCTCCACTGTAATCATCCTGGATTGTATAGCCCGCCAAGGCGGTGGCAGCCAGACCACCACCCAGAAAGAATGTAGAAAAATGCATTGAGTTGGTAGTTAAAGGAGCGAATATATGCAAAGAAAGGCTAAAGAGCGACAAGAAGTATACTCGAAGGAGTGGACGACTCTAAGGAGAGTCAAAGCTTGAATGAAGCAAGAAAATCACAAGAACGAAGACGGTATCTTTTGATGGACCAAAAAGCAATGAACCCAGAGCATGTATATACACGTCGATTGCCATTTTGATTACCAAGATAAAGCTACTAGCAGGACAGTTTCTCTGATCAGGGGAGTGAAATGAAGCACCAGAATATTGAAGATGCTAAGTACTTAGCTCCATTTGGCCTACCATGTTTCGTTTCCATGATTCGTGAAAGTAGGAGAATTACCCATGTTTCATGGAGGAGAAATCCAAGTTTTCGATGCCGAATCCCGGCTATGTGGATTGCTCATGGGCTTTGCAGCGGCTGCGAGAGCATTGCATATCTTGGTAGCGTGGAGTGCATAGATAGTGGCTTTAGTAATGCATGGCCGGAGTCAGGGGTAAGAGAGGCCACGAGAGTCTCGGCCAGACCTTCGGCGTCTAGGAGTCATCAAGCCACACAGGCCGCCGCATGGGGGACCGCGGAGACCTTGATATTTGCCATGGTGGGAGAAAGATAGTGCAATGTCAGGAGGATGGGATGGTATCGAATCATGCCCTGATGTGGTTGATATGGATCGCGGCTAATAGAGTTCATCAAATTAAGGTTCGCCAATCAGATGCTGTTGACGCAATATATCAAGACTCGGCAATCTGGGAACGCACCGACCGGCATCAAGTCTGCAATTGCCGGGACAAACGTGTCTCCGATATCTACAGGCAACGATCAACAAGTTCACTGGGTATTAGTTTTCTTGAATCACGGGTCCTTTATCTTTTCATCTCCCAGAATACCATACAAGTCGTGTCGTCAAGGTCTCGAAAGAAGCCCTAATGCAGCAAACATGATTCTGTCACAATGCACGGCAGGCTATTATACAATAGAGACTCACAGTATCCCAGCGTGCTACTCATATACACAAAGGACACGACAACACTTTGTCCGCCCTTTGATGAGCCTCATTCCGACCCGCCTGCATCTGCGCCAAACAGCTTCGGTGGAACATATGTCGACAAGCAAATATAACAACGGGTCCTTCCCCAGCCTCTATCTGTGATTCTTGTTCATCATTGGCACCTTCTTCCAATATTGCTTTTCTCCCGTCTTGCCGTGGCACGCCCTTGCCCTTTCCTTCCTTTCCTTTAGCTTCCCCGCTAGACGCATTGTCTGATAGCCCAATTGACTTTACACGTTCCCTTTCTTCATTACCCTGTCGCCAGGCATCCCAAATCTCATAGCCCGCCCCAGGCCCCCAGACGCGTTTGTTACAACCCTCACAGACCTGGCCAAGTGGTCTCCACCCACGCCGTCGCAAGGTGTCTGCTTCTGTAACCTGGACAGACAGGTCTTTGTCTAAGAGTCGGTTCGAAAGGGACAAGAGTTCTTCTTCATACGAGTAAGCTGAGAAGATGGCACTCAACACACCCCGTAAGTTTGACAGCGTTGGTGACGATTGGGAGGCTCGGCCGAGGAACGCACGCAATATGCGGAGAAATGATATGTCAGTTTGACGCGTGCCGTCTTTACGTGGTACCGCCTTTGTGTTGAGGAGCGCGGTGAACAATTCCTGGACGATAGCTCGTAGAGCTATAATACTCTTGGACCAATCAGAATCGCTGACGGCCTCCTCAACAGGATCCTCATTTCTTCCCAGCCTTTCTAGGATTGCGGTGGCGTTCTTGACAACGGTAACAACGGCGTCTAGTAGATCGAGCCACAGGCTCTCGTCAGCTGAAAGGTCATCGGCTAGAGCTTTAGAGCTTGATTTTCTTAGAGTGACGGGCTTGGTCTGAGCTGCTACCTGTGTTTGACCGCGGCACATCCAGATTCCGACTTGGGTGAATTTATGCACTGATTCGATAATACCGCTACTTTTCTTTCTGTTTTGTTCACCAGCATCTAAGACGCCTAACAATGCTGCCTCAAGAGTGTGCAAATGCTGCGTCAACCTATTCATACCTTCACGAATTTTACCTTCTCGAGCCATCAAAACTACTGCAGCGTCGATTACACCGTGTTCTTCGAGCGCTGGCAAGACCTCTTGAAGGCGAAGGTCGCTAGTCTTGAGTTGGTCGACGTAGTCACTCACGTGCTTGGGGTTATATTGACACATCAGAAGAACATACTGCTCGATGAATGGTCTTGTAAGACTCGATGAGCGCTCATTGTTGTCAACATCAATTGTTGGCTCTAGTATCATTTCAAGATAGTGGAATTGACGAGACTCGTCGTGCTCTATTGTTGAGAGCATCGCTCTGTGCAGGTCGGGCGCAAATTGATCAATTATAGAGGCTGTCTTCGTAAGATCTGAATTTACCATCTCCTCGGCATGTTGTTTGATTACATCTCTAAATTGCAGGATTTGGTTTTCAGTCAAGCTAGCTCCTGGGTTCAGAAAGTCTGCGACGCATTCAAATACCGCATCAGGGTGTTCCCGGTCATCAAAACATGTTTGCAAAAGCTGTGCATATTGCCTCTCAGACTTGAAGATGTTCTTGAGAACTCTGTAAAAGCGAGCTTCATGCAAGAGAGAAATCAGAGATCCTATGTCTGGAGGGTGATACAGGGATAGTAAATATTCCACGCTCAGCTGGCTGTCGTCGAGAACATCATCGCTTGGATATTTGCAAAGTCCGATCAAGACTTTATGAAGTAAATGACCTGGAAGAAGAATAAATTGAGGAAACTTTGGGAGATTGCGTGCTATGAACATGTATAGGTAGATAGTATCATCGACCGTGTAAGTCGGAGGCGTCATTACTTCCAGCAGAATGCTGACGATCCATTGCCGGTTGACGGAAAGGCCGAACCTCTGCGCTTCGGTCAGACCACCGGGTGTTTCATTAGCCAGTCGCTCTTGGGGTCCATTTAGAAAACTATCTTCAAATGCCTCGTTGAGCATGCTTAAAAAGCTCGATGTGTCTAAGTCAAGAATTTTTCGTAGATTAGGAAAATTCATTCGCGGGTTAGACTTCGAAGACTGTGAGCCTGAGTCTCCACGAAGGCTGCCATCAGGTCCCTTTCCAGAGAAAAGAAAGTTGTAAAGGTCTGCCTTTGCTAGTTGCGCGTGACCTTGATCCATGTCCTTGCCGGTTGGATAGACTCGCCCTGTCAATATATATGACAAGTAAGGAAAGACTTTAGTAGCGACAGCTTCCTCTTTGAGCCCGTCAAGTTCTCGACGTTGACATCACCGTTTTGCTGTGGCAAGCTGAGGCACAATAGCTCAGCGAGGATAGTAGTATAGTCACCAATCGCCTGATTCCACACATACAATAACGCATCGTAGAGATAATTTACCTTGCACAGACTGGTGATCTGGTCAAGGTCCATAGTCCGAGGGTCCAGAAGGCACAGCATTTCTTCCAGCCTGGTACTCAGACCTCTGGAAGTGTAGTGACTCACCAAACCTTTGACAACTTCGGGCGGTAGTACAACAATGTTTCCAGCGTCAATACCACTCTCTAGACCTTCTAAGAACAAAGACTCAACATCGTTTTCCTGAAACCAAGGGTAGACTTGGTCAAAAAGAAAATCCAGGTTCTGAGTGCTTATACAAGCGTTTATACAGGCTCTCGCAAGCTCATCTAAATGTTGCCGCTGCTCCGCTTGGGAATGCTGCGTGTTCTGCGCAAAAGCATACTTCAGAGAAGCCAAAATCATCTCTAATAATTTCTCACGAACGATGTCTTGCCTCGAGCCATCGTCTTCAGGGAGACCGACGGTCACTTTGTCAGCTGCGCCGGTGAAGTAGCCTGTGGCCAACTCGATTGCGAGAATATAGCTTCCTTCTTCTACCAGTGCAGCTAAACGGTCGGCCCAATTTGAAAGCGTTCCAAATGAGAGTTCGTTGTGTCCAAGAAGAAAGAGCCTTCCTTTGTAAGCCCTGAAGCTCATGTAAAACGCATCAGCGACAACTCCATGCATTGAAGAGTTCTCTTCGTCCTCCAACTGGTCTACAAGCTGGTTCAGTTGCTGGGAGAACAAGTCTACATGATAGACATGTTTCTGGATGAGATCCGACGAATCTGTCACCGTCATCGAGTAGTCCTCGAGTATGACAAGTTGCTGGGTGATTGTCAAGATCGCAAGCACGGATCTTCCTAGCCACTGAACACCGACAATGGCTTCCTGAGCTTTCCATCTGCTGCGTGGCTTGAATCGTAAGCTCGGTGGCTCACTCTTTCCAGCCGTTTCTGAAGGCTCAATGTCCACGACATCAAGTACAGTAAGCACATCTGACCAGCAATAAGCTAGCTTCGCTCTTGAAGATGTGGTCCTGTCCGAATTTGATGTTTTCAGCTTGACGCTAGGAAACCAGGCAAGAGCCCCCGTCATCGCACTATGGGAAGCCACTTCGCGGGGCCTCGGGGTCTTGTATTGTGTCTGTGCAATGGGCATGGTGGATACGACGACTAGAAGATATGGTGTGAGCATTGCGACAAGTCCCATTGTGTCCGTCGGATGCTCTACATTACCCAGGGGCAGTGGCGAAAAGGAAAGTACTGAGCTAGGCTTTCTAGTGGTTGCAGGATTTGTAGTAGACTCGGGGTAGCGCCCCAAAATGCGAGTCGTCTTGACCGAGCGCGCTACCATGCTCATGCCTCTTGTAGCTAGATGAGAGAAAGCCATGCCCTTATCGTCCGCAGAGCAAAGAGCGGTATGCCTAATCCCCAAGAACCCCAGATGTAAAACCGCCGCATCTGGGCTGTGGCCATCGATCAAGGGCTTTCGGCTCCGGCTGGCTGGAGCAATATGTAAGAATGGCTTACTAGGTTTTGCGACCTCCCAGGTGAATATGCTTCCTGAGGCATGTCCACTGGCGACAATCGAATGATCTGCAGATATACCAACAGCTGTCACTGCTCCAGATTCTAAAGCTTTGGTACCTGGACCTATTATGGATCTAAGATCTTGATTGTAGTCAAATAGCAAGGTCATCCCTCTCGATGTGCCCAATACGATCAATGCGGAAATGGCAATACATGTTGGACGTCCAAATTTGCGTTTGCCGACTTCGGAAAAGCATTGGCCGGTCATCTTCTTCAATTTGGTCCATCTCACAACCTCCCATGGAACCTCGACTTCTGTGTCTTTTCCTTCTCGTAAGGTGAATGCTAAGGAGGAATTGCGCGAGTGGGACGTGAGGAAGGCAGGTGATGTTGCGCGAGGAGTACCCGTGTAAGATGAGAGGCGAGAATGGAAGCGCCTTTCGAAAGGCTGGAGCGAAGGTGTTGGGCTTTGGCTGGGAGCTGCATTGCGAGCTCCTCGATTAGGCGTGGAAGCCAATGATCCTTGCATAGAGGCCGTGTCATCTGGGATGGAGGAGGAACCCTCAGCACTTGATGGCCTTTCCGGACCATCTCGAGATGACGGTGGAGAGCTTATGCCCTCTTCTTGCAGACAGTATGGTCTTGCATTGTGACCATTCGTTGTTTTGCCTTTTACGTCTAGTTTGACTTTTTGCTCCTCTTCAATGACTGCATCCCCATCCCCATACCCTGGTTCTAGATGGCCTAATACACCCGACTCATCATCCAACCCCGAAGCTCTTTCTTGAGTTTCCTCTTCACCTTCTGATTGTTCTGGACCATCATAGGCCTCATCTTGAACAGCGCTCATGGGAGCAGGTCCGCATGTTTTGAGGCCGTATCATGTGAGCGATAGCGGGGTAGAGTGAGTCTCGGACGCCCCCAATCGTAACATCACACGCTCCTTCACTATCCCAGCCGCTTCTCGTCAACGATTTGAAACCTTTGTCCGTCTTTGCACCAAATGGCACATTTTTTTTTGGTCGTGCGTGATACCGATGACCTTCAGTCCTACAAATATGGTCCTATACGTATCGTGTCCCCTGTTTAATGTCCACCGAGGCCACGTCCGGGAGTAAATTATCTTGACTATCAACGCCCGCAATAAGGAAGATGGTCATCAGTAAGACATGTCATCGTAGGGGATGCTGAGTAACCCGTCCAGAGCAATTCAATGTAATGTCGCAGAGTTCGCAGCGCTGGTACACCGACGGTCCCTGTCCCGAGAACCCCTTTTCTCATTGACTCATGGCTACAGGGATCGGGGAGCTCGACAACTCTGCCACACTACTCAGTTCATCAGTTGATTTCGTAAGTGAGCTCAAAGTCGGTAGGTATACGAGAGATATACCCTGTGACAGCCCTGGTTGATCGTTGATACGAACATTGCAATTCCCGGTGCTGCCAATGCTGTGTTGACTTATGGGCCACTATGGCATTTGACAAAAAGCGTTGCTATTACTGTGCTCTCACTTGAAGCCCTTCCTACAGAATCCGAGATCAAAGATAAAACCTAGTATTAGATATATCACTAACAGCGAGCATCTAGCCTTCCATGCCATGGTTTATGTATGGTTGTAGTAGGACAGCCTACAATACGAGAACCCAAAGAAGGTCTGGAAGGTATATATGCCTGTCCCCTCTCCTAGAGTCGAATCCTTCATATCAATGCCAATAAAGAGATTGGAAATTATTTGTACTCGACACTACGAAAGAGGTCGTCAGGAATTCATTTCTCGCTTTGACTGGTAATTCTCGATGAAAATCGTCATTGACCTGTATACTCTTTGATAATTTTTTCGGCAGCTGTTTCACCAATGAGGTAAGCCACTGCTTGAGTGTGAGCACTACAGCTGAAATTAGTAATTGCTTCCATCGCCCAATAAGCTTTTCATACTTTGGCATGAATGGTGCGATACTCATGTCCACGACTCTCAAACCATGTGTCCCGATCACGTGGAAGCTGGTATCGACGCAGGTACTTGGCGCTGATGGTTTTCCCATCTGCACAGTCCCACACATATGCCACATACTTAGGCCAGCTTTTTGCACAAACGTCTACGGAAATCAGCTACGATTCATCTTACAAGGCCTTTACTAACTAGTAATGCTTCATCGGTTTGCCCATCTGGTCCTTCGGCAAAACACATGCGATCTTTGCGAAGGTCAGGTAGATCTAGTAAGTTCAGTGTCTCTCTCACAGCTTCGATAGCATTGCGGCGATCAAAGGGATGTGAGAGGAATTTAGGGTCAATCAGAGGCGGATCCTGAGGATTGCTTGAACGTAATTTGACTTGTCCTGAAGACAGGGTACCCATCGGTGCCACGCCAGTCGCGATGTAATTGTCTGGTCCTTTGAAGATTGGACTGGGCAGGTGAGTAATTAGCTCATAATGAGGTGTTGTCTTATTTTCATAGGACTCCCGTACGCTTTTGTCAAGATCCTCATATTCCTCGGAGTGCAGAATGTTATTATTTTTGAGGTAGGCTATCATCTGAGGTTGAAGGTTCACGCTCAGTGGACTTGCCTTGTCTTTCAACCACTGCCTTCGGGCTTCCTGCAGCTCATCTGGACTAGTGATGTGAGATGTCCGATGGTGAGCGCCTGGCTTTTGAGTGGTAACGAGCTCTAACCATAGATGATCTCGGAGGTTTCTCCCAATGCCTAACAAGTCATGAACAAGAGGAATTCCGTGCTTTGCTAAATCCTCTTGTGGACCAACCCCAGAGAGTAGGAGCAATTTAGGTGAGTCAATCGCGCCAGCAGATAAAATGACTTCCTGTGCCAAAGCCTCTTTCCCTGAGATCTCTACGCCAATGCACTTTTGGCCTTCGAATAGCAGCCGATCAACAGCTGCTTCTGTCATGATCGTCAGGTTAGCAGGCGGCTGTGACAAGAAAGCACTTGAGGCAGTAACACGATGGCCATCTAGACTGCTGACTTGGCATATAGATATTCCCAGTGGATTTCCAGAATTATGATCCAAGTTCAGCGAATGCTTGTGTCGTATGAAATCCAAGCGCTGTCCAAGTCCAGAATCCCAGGTCGGGGGGAAACCAACATTGACTGGCCCATTGGACCCGTGTGCACTTTCAGACACCTCTACATGATGTTGAAAACCGTCTGGTATTGTACCAAATGTCTCAAGCTAAAGCAATGAGCCTTGTTCGGATCTTCATGCCTTTCAAATATAATTACCTTTCTGTAGCGCTCCAGGACATGATGCCAGTCCCACGTTTCATCTTCTACCATTTCCGCCCATCGGTCAAAGTCCGCTTGCGGTCCTCTGGTCCAAACACAAAAATTGACAGCAGTACTGCCGCCAAGTCCTTTTCCTCTGTCGTAAGTAATTTCCCTCCCCGCGAGATTGACTTGTGGAGTGTTCCGATAGCCCCAATTGTAGCCTGGCTCTCCCAACGTCCAGAATCTATCCCCAAAGTTCTGAAGACTAGGATCATCGTTCATACCACCAGCATCAACCAGCAAAATAGTCTTGTTCGGCAATGCATCTGCCAGACGGGAAGCAACAGTGCAACCAGCCGGACCAGCTATATATGATTAATCCTACAAATGCTGTGGTCGGGTTTATAAACCTACCTCCTACAATAATGAAGTCATAAGATGCTTTGAAGGGATTCATGATGCTTGGCAGATTTTCTTAGACGAACACAGTAGGCAACGGAAAATCGACAGGTGGCTGTTGTTCACAATCTCACTTGTATTTCATGCCGCGCACTATGTCATCTTGGTGCGGGGCAGCTCCTGCAGGATCACTTCAACCTTTCATTGATGTTGTCTTGCCTTCAGGTGGCTATACTGTAGGAGCTACAAAGCTACTACGCAAGCAGGTCGTGCGATTTGACACAGGCGCTGGTTATCAGCTTTTATTCTCTCTAGGAGTTGCTTCACACAAGATTTCTAACAAAGAATTCTGCTAGCTTTGGCAGACTCTCTTCAATTTGATCATACCAAGCGACATTCGTCTCTCCGGGTAACACAAAAAGCTCTTTTGGGTCTCGAGCCGACAAGATCAGTGGCTGCTTCAGGCATTTCACTCGCATCATGAAATGGAAAAAGGCATTCCCGTCTTAGTCTCTTCCGTGCATAGCTTCGCTACCATTTGATGGCCTTGCACCATGATCTCGCGATTGATGGCTCCCCTGGGCTTCAGACCGCTGCGAGATAGTTGACCAACGCAAGCGGCACTGACGGTCGCCAGACCTTTAACACGCAAATCTGTCTGGGCCGCGAAGGAGATGTATCCCAAAGGCGCGTCATTCATCAGCACATTACAATAAGAGAAGGTCGTATTCACCTCCAGAAGCAAATATACCCAAAGCTCCAATCTTATCTGGATTGCCATTGTCCCGTGTAGTCAATTACGTTAGTGCTGCTCTTGCATCTTCTGCCCTTTGAATTGGATCATCCAGCAAGCGCGGATCACAACCGCTTTTTCCTTGATATGCGGCATGGATTGCGAGAGTGATGAAGCCAATCTCAATTAGCTTGCTTGCGTGCAACCCTGCAGTCTGTTCTTTCACGCTCCCCATGGGATGACCAATTGCGATAGCAGTAGAAGAGATTATTGCCATGTTGAATAAATCCGCTAGCGATCTACGAATGTTTCCGAACTCACAAGCTGAGAGGACGACGAGAGGCAGAACTCATTAGAGAAAAGGTGCTCAATGCTGATGAAACACGACTGAACGCCAACAGCAATCCCCCGAGAGCTTGAGAAGGGTTGAATGCTAGTAAATGGTCGTCTTAATCCAGCGATTGACAAATACTGAGGCCTGGTTTCAATCAGATTTCGGACCGAGAGCGAGTCTGCATCCTGGCTCGCGACGCAAATTCAGCGGTATCGCATCTGGCTAAACCTATGACTTTGCTTTTGATTTGACACCGAGGAGTATGGAGTTATGGTTTTGAATTGGAAGTATGAAAATCTAGACAAACAAGGTACTGAAAACGTCCGTAGGTCAACATTTTGTCTGGCATCCTCCATGGCCACTCTATTATTGAGTGACATTCATGCATACTTAGCCCGCGATGGCGCAGGTACTACGGCTTTCTTCATGGGTTGATCCATTTATTCAGGGTCCCACGAATTGAATCCCCTCAAAGTTGCACCTGTATGCATCTCACGCCCGCCATGGAGTGCTCAACCTCGTCCCAGCTATACTTTTAGAGGGGCCAATAGAGCATCCAATTTTCATGTGGTCGTCATGCAGCCTGTTTGAGGAACGCGTCATCAACGACATGGCTTCGGTAGTAGCAGCTACCGTTTGAATCACTCATGGTGCTTGACTGCGGAAAGAATTTCCAACCATTATTTTTTTGACAAGGAGACGCTATCGCGATCCGCCTTACCTCCCTGAAACTGTACAGTTCGCTTACCAAGGGAAGGGAGGTCGTTGAAGGAGAGGATCCCATATCCAAATTGCATTACACCTTTATTTCCCAATTTAACGAAGGAAGGGTCTTGCGTTGAACACGCAGATCACACCTTGGTAGCTACGGTCTTATTGAATGAGTGCCCGTTCAGGCGACGGTCCAAAGCAGATTCTCAAGCGAATGCCGTCCTTCTTGCATTGCCCAAGTGTCGTACACCCTAGACTTCGGCAATATCTTGCAGGCTCAGTATAAATCAAAGGATCGACTGTAAGAAGAACTACATGCGTCCAGAATGATTGTCTTGAATTTATTTTGTAGAGAAAATGTTGTAATAAAGAATCAGAATGCTGGAAATAAGGCTGGGGATCTGGGAGGCTGAAGATCTGGGCCCACCAGAGCCTAGAAGCTCGACAGAAGCTTAGCTTCCACTACTATTCACTTGGAGATGTCCTACATCATCAATTGGTAGCACAGTGCTGCTCAGTGTGGAAGAAGCTGAATGTAAATATCTACAGCCAAACAGCCATGAACTATCATACCATACAACTCGTACATATGCGCCAGGATCGCAAGCTCAGCTCGACCTAAGCCCCGTCCCTCAGCCTCACTGACATCTCAATTTGGTCACTCTAATCTCCCGGCGTCTTTTATATTAACAGCTTCTGATTGTGCTACTGAACATCTTGGCTATGGCGTACAATAGCAATTGGAACCCTGATGCTTTGCCAGCGTCAGTCATACCCAATCAATGTCATGCAATTGAGAGCTCACAGATACAATAGGCATGCTGAGCCAGAGCAGGCAGCTCAAATCCTGTCCCAGCAGCAAGTTAATAAGCCGCAAGAAGAACCAGAGAACAACCTTCAGCAGCAACAACGACCTCCACAGCAAAACCGCAAATACTCGAACCCACCGCGCAGTCCACGGCCGTATGGGAGTGCCAGTCCACAGGCCCAACACGGTCTACCATCTGCTCAGTACAACAAGCCTGTACCACCTGTACCCTCTCAATCGCAGAGCTCCTACAACAACTCCAGCTACAGCTACAACTACAATTCCTCTCGACCTGCAGGCTACACCCCGCCCAACCCACCTCCTCCACCAACAGCCAATACAGCAAACACCTTAGGTCGTCCATCCCCGCCAACTCAGCACGGACTCTCACCACCTCCTCGACCACCAACCACCAGTCAGCCTCCACCTGGCCCCAGAAACGCCGGTGATGCACAGCTCTTCCCTCTCTTCAAAGCGGTCGACAAGTACGGCACTGGGCAGCTCACAGACCGGGAATTGGGCAAGGCACTCGTCAACGGAGATTTCTCCAGCTTCGATTCCCACACGATCAAGATGATGATCCGGATGTTCGACGTCGACAAAAATGGCAGCATCGATTTCGATGAGTTCAGGTACGGCCCCTCCCTTCTCTTCTCTCGAATGTCGCTTCATACAGGGCAGGTGGGTCGAGACATATGTGCTAACATACAAATCGAACAGCGCACTCTGGGGTTTCCTTGCAGCCTGGCGCGCCCTCTTCGACCGCTTCGACGAGGACAAATCCGGCTACATCTCCTTCGACGAATACACGAACGCGCTCGTTTCATTCGGCTACCGGCTCTCGAATAATTTCGTACACATGCTGTATTCGACGTACGATAAAGGGGCGGAAGGAAAGATGACATTCGATCTGTTTGTGCAGAGTTGTATCATATTGAAGAGGATGACGGATGTTTTCAAGAGGTATGATGAGGATAGGGATGGGTTTATTACGTTGAGCTTTGAGGAATTTTTGACTGGTGAGTCATCCGAGAATTCGGGTAGCAAGATTAGGGGTGGTTTACTGATTTGGAGCAGAAATCTTACGACAGCGATGAACTATGGGCTGACACCGTGGATTGGCTGAGGTCGTATGTTGCGAGTTGCGGTTTGGGAAGTGGATATCAATACCCAGTAGATATTTCGTTACGTTGATACCAGGATTTGGCGCGCAACTTGCGATTCAGGCACGTTATGTAATCAATCTCGTCGCTGAATGCGAAACGCATGTGCAGAGATATGCCGCTCAAATCGGAAATCAGAGAAAAGACACCAACAATCGGACACGACACAAGGGACGACTTGGAAAGGGTTCGATGTTGAGGACAAATGTGATGTTGACGACGCTATGCTACATGACCTAGTGATACACCAGAAAAATGTATAATTCGATTACAGGAGCGTCATTGATCTTGTTCCCCAATTAAGTAGATAGCATGACAGAGCTGTTTTCATACCTATACCGAGATACATTAGCTTTACGCCAGAAACATCTACTACGACGCGGAGTAGACTTACCAACTCAGCATAGGATTCTCCCCGCTCTTACACTGGGTATCCTCCGTATACGCCCACCTTCTCAACCACTCCGCATGACTCGTAACTTTCGTCAACTTCCCTGTCACCGCACGATACAGATCTTCCATCATGGCAAAATTTGTTGGGAATAAGATATCAAAGTACCCCTGCATGACGTACGGCGTCGTCACCGGTACCGTCCGCCGTTTGTACCGCGTCTGCACCGCAGGCGCATTGAAACCCTTCACGGTGCCTGGCAAACTGTGGAAATCGGAGGTCAGGAGCTGGTGGAGGGGAAAATATTGGTGCAAGATCTCGAAGAATTGGAGAAGGCGGGTAGGGATATACTCGGGGTGTGTGAGATTCGGGGCGAATGGTAAGCTGGATTTGAAAGCGCGGAGCCACTTTTGCTCTTGCAATGGATGGTCGAAAGATCGCGTGCATGCGGCGTGTCTGACTTGCAGAAAGTGCCGGACTTCGGGGTCGATATCGCGGACATAGAAATCATAGAAAGAACCTTCGGCGTCGATGAGGACGGTACCTTGAAGCGGCACTTCAGTAATGGGATCGTAGCGAATGCTGTCATGTGCGAAGTTATCGAAAACTTCAAGAGCGAGAAAGTAGCAGGGTGCGGGGAGGTAGGTGTCCCACGCGAAGATAGAGCGGTTGATGATTTCGACGTGACCCACGTGGCCGCGTGAGGAGGCTGTGCGCGTGAGCTGGTTTGTTTGGAGTGTCGCAAGTGCAGAGGAGATTTCGATGACTTTGAATTTTGTGCGAGGGTAGACGTCGGGATGGTAGTCTCGTATGTAATCTAATATGTTGAGCATCAATGTGCCGTTGCCGGCCCCAAGCTCGTAGATTATGAGGTCGTGATACGGATGGTGGGAGAGTTTATAATTTGTTACTAGGTAGCGAGCGATTGCTTCACCGTAATAAGGCAAAAAGAGCTCTGTTGGAGTGTGCCATAGTTGGCGTGTCTCGTTGAATGATTCAGCGTCGAGATCGTCTTCGAAGCTGGTATATCGCTTGCCGAGCTCCCTGTGGAACGCGGGCTCGTCTGCCAGGGCGTTGAAGTCAAAGGGCTTGCCAGGGGTGAAGATGGTGGCATGTTTGGGGAAGTAGCCGTAGTTTGGATTGTATAGACTATCTGGAATTGATCAGCCAATACAACATCGATGGACCCACGGCTAGTACCGTCGATGAAATCTCGAGTGAGCATCTTCACGCCTTTTGGTCTCTCTCGACGGCTTCGCAATCCATTGGCATTGACCATTGGCGCTTTCTGATATTCTTGAAGCTTATCCGGCGGCAAAATCTCTGTTCGCTGCTGCCAGTTGCTGAGCTGCTTATCCTCCCGATACTCTTCATCGCCTCTACTCTTGCGATAATATCTCCTTCCATAGTAAATAGTGTTCAATTTGCGGGGTGTTGGGTCATGGTAGCGCAACTTGGAGCATGTCTGATGGGATAAAAGTCGTCTAAAAATCTTTGACAAGGGCACTGAATCCATGAGATCGCCATAAGTCTTATGCAGTGGCAGATGCCGTCTCGCACATGTGATTTCCTATAGCGATGCATCATATCTTGGCACTTTACAGTCGCGTCAGACGCGCGCCACGTTTGGCCAATGGCTGCGAAGTCATGCTGCTAGACCATAAAACTTTTACATGGAAAGCAGGCCCAAAATATATGCGACGGCAGCTTTTGTAGCTGGTGCTCTTGTATGTCTTGCCTTTAAAGATGTTTATCCCGATCTGGAACGTAGATATAGAAGGAGATTCGGCGCAAAGAAAACCTTGAAAGATACTTTCCATTCCGTTGATGATCACGTTGAGCTTCAAGACCGCGAAAGCCAGAGTCTTGAATCTTTGGATGTAACAAGTGGCATTGAAGGTTGCATTGGCAATACGCCTTTGATCAAGATCAAGTCCCTTTCCGATGCCACAGGATGCGAGATCCTTGCCAAAGCCGAGGTACTTGATTTTCAAGCAGCACATTGGTGTCTGAGCAACTGAAGTCTTTTCTTAGTTCATGAATGGAGGTGGTGGAAGCCCAAAGGACAGAGTAGCCCTGAGCATCATTGACAGAGTAAGGTTTACATCAAGGCCTTTCTAGCTTCGCTGAAAGCTTTTGTAGGCAGAGCAGGAAGGTCGATTGACCCCAAATTCTGGAGATACTATATATGAGGGCACAGTAGGCTCTACTGGAATATCTCTAGCCACCGTCTGTAGAGCGCGAGGTTACCTAGCGCACATGTACGACATTCTCTGATCCCCTATCTTTCAATCCTTTCCCTGTTCGCACGTGTCTCTTACTAAAAGCTCTCTGGCTCCAACCTAGATGTATGCCGTCGGATCAAGCTGTAGAAAAATCTGAACTCCTGCTCAAGCTAGGAGCTATCGTGGAGAGAGTTCCGCCAGCCCCAATAATAGACCCAGAACATTTCGTCAATCGGGCAAGAAGACTGGCATTGAAACATGCCGGGAATCCTGAATTATCCGGTCGTGGCTACTTCGCGGACCAATTCGAGAACGAAGCGAATTGGCATGCGCATTTCGATGGTACCGGACCCGAGATCTTTCGGCAGTGTAATGGCAGAGTCGATGCTTTTGTTGCTGGAGCAGGTACTGGTGGGACTATAGCTGGTGTGGCAAGCTACTTGGAGCCGAGGCTTCCATTGGTGAAGGTTGTGCTTGCAGATCCACAAGGGAGCGGGCTGTACAATCGCATCAAATATGGCGTGATGTTTGATACGAGAGAAAAGGAAGGCACGCGCCGAAGACAACAAGTCGATTCTATTGTTGAGGGCATCGGCATTAATCGCGTTACAGCTAATTTTGAAGTCGCTAGGGAGATGATTCATGACGCAGTGAAAGTGGACGACGATCAAGCTCTGGCGATGGCAAAGTGGCTTGTTGAGAAGGATGGGATATTCGTCGGTAGCAGCAGTGCCGTTAACTGTGAGCTGAATAGATCCTCAACGGGTTGATCTGGCTGACATCACAAAGGTGTCGCTGCAACAATCTATGCCTTAAAAATGGGACCTGGGCACCGTGTTGTGACTATCCTTTGCGACTCAGGCTCTCGGCACCTTTCTAAATTCTGGAAGATGGCTGGCAATGTGGGCGCGAAGACTGACACCAAGCTCGATGAGATAGTCGGTTCAAGTCCTTAGAGAGTAGCTCGTTGGTATAGTCGCGAGACTCATCTGACCATGCGCTAGCGACAGGGGTCGAAGTACTTGGTTCAGATAGCCTTTGAGGGGATCAGCTTGGTGGAAGCTTGAAGCCAACACTCTGCGAATACTTCCCAGTTTGTTCGCCAATGGTGAGCTTATCGAGGTTGCAAAGAGCATTCGAACGCCTCACCCTAGCTCATCGTCGCTAAGAGCACCGCTATGCAGCTGAGGAAGATCAGGAATCCGCGGCTTAGTGGATGAAACTTCCTTCTTTTTCACTCTCTTGGTTGATAATATCGGAGTACTGAGATCGTCATCACTCCCGTCACACAACATTGAAAGCGAAAGACTCGCATGAGTCTTGGTCTCGTTGACTTTTGATTGCGAGCCCGGAAGTTCAATGGGATTGATTTGGTCCTGGCATTTTCGTGGCGTTCCGCTACCTTTCGACAGGAGAATCGCGGGCTTTGGTGTCGATGGCGCATAGACTTCGGCCTTGGTAGGTATTGGTGCAGGAACCCGGACGACAGGCCGCTCGCACAGCTCTTTGTAGCTTGAAGTCCGTGTATTAGCGTCTACAATATACTCTTTAACTCCAAAAGTTTTAGATTTGAAACCCTCGTTCGATAGGCGACGTTCAGATTGCGAAGGCTGTGAGTCAGGTATTTCTTGGGTATTGGTTGATTTCACGTCAATTGTCACGAGTTTTGAGTTATACTTTTGGATTGGCTTGCTGACTGTGTCGATTAAAACATCGTGTGGGATGCTTTCGCTGTCAGGTGTCGTTAGGTCGATTAGTGGGATTTGTTCATGCTGTTGCTGCGCCAGGTTACGGCCACGGCCCTTGAAATTGCTACTTGGAGTGTGGCGTTTGACTGACGAGGAAGTTACTGGTTGATCGAACTTTTCTTGACGTTTCGATGAGGCCACTTTGTTCCGAATGTTGACTAGCGATTTCCTCGGAAGGTGATTTGGCCGCGATGTAAGCTGCTGTCTTTCGCAGGCTGGAGAAATTCCATGGTCCTTGATCACGCTTGATTCTCGTAGGATATACTGTTTTCTTGGTATTCGTTGCATCGAAGGTCTTGGAGAGTCATACAAATTACCAAAGTCAGATAGTGGGTCCGAATACAGATCGTCGGGTGGCGAGGGCCAGAGGACTATTGGGTCACTGTCTTGGATCTCTCTCAAATGATCAAGACCAGAACTATCTTGCTCAAGATCTTTTCCGGACTTTTTGCCCGAAGAATTTGGAACGAAGCTCGAGAGATTTCCTGGACGTCTATGCATAGAGTCCATGTCAAAGTCAGGGACCTCCCATATATCTGCATCGACATCTTTGTCTGAGCGAGAAATTACGCCATCGCGATATGAATGAGATTTCTTAAACTTGGATGGCGGTGATAGATTGCCGAGTGGTTGTGGTAGGCCTGCAGGATGCATGATGTGAGGTATTTCATATGGAGATACATCCTTATCGACGACTTCTACGTGGTGTTGGGTGTTCTTAGAGGGTTCGCAGGCTGATTCATTGACCTTATGCTGCGTAGAATGCTCATCGCTGGGATCATGGGCCTTCTGAAGGCCTTCTGACTCGGCGGAAAACGCTGCCAGTGACTGCTCGGTCTGGCCGGGAAAATACTTCACCAACTCACTGAACGGCATTGTCGTGTATCGCTTCAGATATCGAAAGGCTTCTTGCTGTGATTGGGTCCAAATGGGCTCAATCTCAGCCTCGAGATGGGTTCCACTATGGCTTGCCGGGCGAGACCTAACTCTGCTTGGTCGCACATCCCAAACAGATGATATCTGCCTCCAGTCTCCGAGATCTACATTTCTCGCCTTGACCTGAATCGGCGCAGGTAAAGTCATCCTTCTGTGAACGGGTCTATTCTCCATTGCTCCGTCCGGAAGTGGAGGAGCCTGCCACTTTGGGTCTCGCGCATTCCTTCGCTCTCGAATAAAAGCAGCAGGGTTTCCACCAAGGTTGCTCAGCCCATTGGGCAAGGCGGAATGGTGCCCGCCTATTGCAAGCTCATCTTCGTCGTCATAGAGCGTAGGTACGGAATCCGCAAGACCCTCGCCAAACAAATTGTGTAGTTTTCCGGGATCCTTGATGGTACTGCCGGCGTCATGATCATTGGAAAAGGGCCCTATCGTCTCGTCTGCCAAAGCATCGTCATAATCTTCGACAGATGAATAAAGTGACGCCTCCGAATGCTCGCTGTCTGAGAAACCGCAGTTGGTATCGATTTCCAGATCTTCAATCCCTGTGCCAGCATCCGCTTCATATTTCATTCCTGAAATATGGCCATTGTCCACCACGACACTTCCAGTCTCCAAGTCGATCTCATCCCCAATGCCATCAAAGTCCCTTTCATATTTCTCAAAGATCGACTCGAAGATCGACTTCAAGCGATTGTCGTTCTGCTCTCTTTTCTTTCGCAGATCGCCACCTGATGTATCATGTTTCCCTATTCTCCGCCTCTTGGTCGGTGAGCCGTCGAGCTCTTCGGCCGCAAAGACCGTTGCCATTTTCCACAACTGTTGAAGCTCGCGTGCTATCGCGAGACGCGTTTTCAAAACATCGAGATGTCAGATGCGCATACCGGATGAACACTGCGCACCACTAGCACCATGAATCTTACCAGCCGCGCGCGTAAATTCGGATTGAGGCTATGCATTTGATGGACAACTCACCAGCCGATCAGGTGTTGAACCAAGTCACATCATTCATTGCACTGGATCATTGGATCATTAGATCTGATACACGCAGTACATCATGTTCAACACTTTTAAAAGTCTCTTTCAATTTGCCCAACACTCCGTCACCGACAATATGGTTCGCTTTTATCAAAGTAAAATTATTGGTGAAAATCTCGTCCGACTACAATGTAGTCACGATCGCTTGCAAATATCATTATTGTTCCTAGACATAGTAGATATGACAGTGAAGTTATGTCGTGCGTTGTACAGGCCCGACTGCATTGATAAGGTAATAGCTAGTGTCTACATCATTCATCGCGTGTTTCATCGCTTGGCTTTCGGTCTTCGAGTCTCGCTCTCTTTCTGTCAGCACAAGCCTTGGAAAAGTCTGCTCGATAAGTTTCTGCTTTTGTACGTAGACTATGCCTGATACCTCTTGCTGAGCCCTGGCAAAGTCATACAGAGTCAAAATATCAATATATATTATCTTCCATATAATTGCTTGCCCTTTTCACCATTTTTGTCAGCAGCTGAAAGAATGTAAATTTTGAACCCTGCTGATTGCATGTTCTGGATCACTTTTCCTTATTCGGCTGCTTGAATCGTGCGACGCGATAATGAGTGACTGATATCATGTTTTGTATTCGTGGTGTGTGACAGTGAAGTGAATTCTTACAGTCCGCTTCCTGAAGTTGCTGGGAAGGCCGGCCTGAGATGTGAACATGAGAGCAAATTCTTCCACAACGCCTCCGACTCCTAGCAGACTCAAATGCGATTATCGAGTCGATTCTTGATATCAGCTTGGATCGGTTACAGATAGATACCAAAAGTTTGATTACTTCGACTACCTGAAAGACTCGCCATGTCGAAAGGCAGTACAAAATTCCAACCACTTGACGACATCAAGACTATTTTGATCACTGGGGGAGCTGGTTTTATGTAAGACTTTGCCGACTACTCTAACGACCGCAAAGTACTTACCAGCCTCAGTGGGAGCTGGGTTACGCGACATTTGGCCCTGGTTTACCAAGAGTCTTATAGAGTTATTTGTCTCGACAAGCTGGACGACGTTGCTTCAATGCGCAATATCGAAGACTTGCTGTCTTTGCGCAACTTCACGTTCGTGCATGGCGACATTACATCCAGCGAAGATCTAGGTAGGGCCTTTAAGGAGAACAACGTCGATTGCGTCCTGCATTTTGCCGCTTTGAGTCATGTCCAAGACTCGTTCAAAGATCCTGTGGCTTTCAACGTGAACAATGTCTGTGGCACACTCACTCTGTTGGAAGCAATTCGAGCTTACGGGAATGTCAAACGTTTCATCCATGTTTCCACCGACGAGGTCTATGGGCAGATTGAAGATGATTTTGCCAACGAGAGCCAGATTCTGCAGCCGACGAGCCCATATTCTGCCAGTAAAGCAGCTGCAGAGATGCACGTGTTGGCGTATCAAAAGAGCTTTGGGTTACCGGCTATCGTTGTGCGGAGCAACAACGTGTACGGACCACATCAATACCCTCAGAGTAATATCAACTCATCATTTCTCACGCATCGCGTTTTGCTGACCGCAAAATAGAAATTATTCCCTTGTTCATTCTCAAAGCGATGAAGGGAGATAAATTGCCTATCCAAGGCAGTGGAATGCACTCTCGGCGCTATCTATACGGCGCCGATGCTGCGGATGCATTTGACACGATCCTGCACCAAGGATGCTTAGGATCTACCTACAACATTAGCTCTACCCACGAACTGAGAAACATCGACATTGCTTTCAAAATACTCTTATTACATGGGTTTGATGCCAGAGACCGCCCCAGCGAGTACATTGAATGGGTCGCAGACCGACCTTTCAACGACAGCAATTACAAGATCGATGACAGTAGATTGAGAAATCTGGGATGGCAGCAGAAGACCGATTTTGATGCGGGTTTGAAAGTCACCGTGGAATGGTATCAGAAGCACGCTCAAAATTGGTGGATGAGCAAGCCAGTACCTAATTGACGCCGTGGCCAAACTGCGCTATGAAGTGTGAAGGTATCTTCTTGAACGTGAGCGGCACGCGTCAGTTGATATACTATTGGCAATACTGTAGAAAAATACGGGATAAAGTGGTCGTTGTATGAGGATCAATATCCTACTGCAGAAGACCTCTGGCCTCTCACAGGTATGAGAGCCCACCCTAGCCAAGCTGGATATCTTGGTTACGTACAGTCTGAAGATAGAATCTGCTCTGAAGCAAGCTTTTTCAATAGTATCTCAGATCCTGTGCAAGAAAATTGTGGTTCAGTACGCATGTGTCGTACAAGGATTCCTTGCAAGTGGGACGCTCATGACAATCTCTCAGGAGATTAAAAGGCGGTGTGAACAGCAAATTCACTTCAAGTAAACCCTCAACGTCACCAGATTGTTACTTCTGCCCTTCGCACTCTCTTTCATCCAACAGTCAGCAGGCTGTCATAGCATCGCAGAACCTAAGCATTCGAACCTGACAACTTCAACTATGATAATAATGGCACCACCAGCGCCTCTCAACTCTAATCCCCAATCTCTCGAAGGTCGCGTAGCATTGATTACAGGGGCTTCCTCCGGTCTCGGTCGCGCCATCGCTCTGCTGTTCGCAGCACACGGGGCAATGTTCATCGTCTGCGCAGATCTCACACCCGATGGTCCAATTACAAGTTCCGATACAAAATCCGATACAGAAGATGATCTGCCAACTGCCGACTTGATCAATCGACGCCATGGGAATGACAAGGCCATTTGGACTCCGACGGATGTTCGAAAAGGAGAGGATATTGCCGATGCTGTGGAATTAGCCGTGTCGTCTGCAGGCCGGCTTGATATGTTCGTAGATCTTCACACAGATTCTACACTAGTCAGTGAAGGGAGCATATCGTTGACCGGCAGAGCAGCATGATCAACAATGCCGGCATCGGCGCCGAATTCTCCAAGATCCACGAGCTCGACGAGAAGGTCTGGGACAATATGATGTACGTCGTCTCCACCCCTACATTTATCCTTCACTTGTCCCCAACTCTCCCCTCTCCATTCTTGTCTCTCCCCTCCACCTTTCAGTTGAAGGTGAGCCTCCCCATTGACTCACCACAGAGCCACCAACCTCCGCAGCGTCTATCTCGGCTGCAAATACGCCATCGCTCAATTCCTCCAACAAAAACCTCTCACTCCCTCTGGGAGTCGTGGCTGGATTGTCAACACAGCTAGTACACTTGGTTTTGTTGGGTTGAAAGACGGCGCTGGTACCCAACCACTTCCAATCACAATTGATATCCTCACGCCGAAAGGCTGCTGACGTGCTTGAATATAGCTGGCTACTGCGCAGCCAAAGGCGGCGTGATAAATCTCACGAAACAAGTCGCTGTCGATTACGCGGCGGATAGGATCCACTGTAATGCTGTTTGTCCTGGTTGTAAGTTTGCCTCGTTCCTATTAGTTCCCCCTCTCCCCATCCCTCACCTATCATGCTCCACTCTATCCACATGCTCACATGCCCGAAGTCCTCCGCACACCAATGTCCAAACCCAACATCGAGAGCCAAGAGCTCAGCAAGCGATTCATGGACGCGACGCCTTGGGGCACCTGGGGTGAGGTGCAGGATGTTGCCAAGGGGTATCTGTTCCTAGCGAGTGATGATGCGGCGTGGATCACAGGGGTCGGGCTGCCGATTGATGGGGGAATGTTGGCTATGTAAGAGGGAAGGGACTTGATGGAATTGGAGGAGTTGTTATATGGGATGGGCGCCTTCTAACTCATAACTTCAAGTGGAGGACAGGATGCTCTTTTCATAAGAAAGGACAGAGCGTTTGAAGGGTAGGCGCACAGGAGGGATTGGAATGAAGACAGTAAAGAAAAAAGGAAGAAGAAGCAGTAAGTGCAGCACGCATGCAATCCTCACACGTCAAATCTCAAACCCTTCATTTCAATCCTAATCCAACATCATCTCTGTCTGGCAACATAATACCCCTTAATTCCCCTTTCCACCCTATTCACATGGCTTGGGCCAGCCTTCACCCCGGGGGTACGGACATCTCCAGGAGACTCCAGTCTCGCCACATCAACCTTGCCCTCCACATACGCCCCATATGCTCCGTTCATAGGGCCCTTCATATCCTCTTCTGCCCACTCTTTACCTTCCAGAATCTCCCATTCCGAGCCTGTCCTCTCCGCCAGCAGCATGGTCTTCACCCGGTCGATGACTTTGACAGGATTCGCGAGTCTCCACTCACGCATGTATTCTGTGCCGCGGGAGGCGCTGAGGAAGGCATAGGCGGAGCCGTGGGAGAAGTGAGGTGGTGGAGGTGGTGGAGAGGTGATGTCTTCAGGCTTTGTAGGGGTCTTGGTGGTTGGGGGCTGTGGAGGATTCTGAGCAGAGTTGGGGAGGGTTTTGCGTGGGGAGAGTGGGGAGACGAGTAAGTCGTATAGGTTCTTTCCTATTGCACAGACTTCGTCCCAAGACTTCGTGCCGATGTCTAGACCTTGGGTTCGGCATAGCCAGGCTATGTCCCATGCTAGGAGAGTAATGCCTTCGATCACGTATGCGTAGTCGCGAGGGTTGTCTTTGGCAAGATCACAGAGTCGTTTGATTAGGAAGAGAGGGCGGGCTCGAGGCTGGTTGCTGTGGTCAAGGTGACGAGAGGCAACCGGGCTACTCTTTTTGGAATGCGGTGGTGTTGGTAGTATTGGATCTTTTGTGGTGTAGGAGACGTTCGGAGACAGAATTGTAGGGTCTGGGTACTTCGAAGTAGGAAGGAGGATTTCGGCGGGAAGCTTCAGAGATAAGTAGAAAGCGGTCATGTAGACCAGGTGTGCGATGTGGGAGAGACACGTCGTGACTTCCTCCGGCTTGATACCTTCATGCACGTTAATATTGTTTTCCTAGACCGTATGCAGCGGAAGCTTACCGTTCAGCTCTCTGAGATCTGGAATGGGAATGTAGCCTATCATGTATATATCTCTAGAGCGTGAGCTCTTTTGTTGCTTGTGTCGTTGGAGAGCGAACAACTCCGCCATTTTGAAGCAACGAACCGATCTTTCCTTCATGATACGCTGATTAAGAAGCTCCCAGTCTTGAGATATTTGTGCAATGTCCTCTTCGAGTGCGGGTTTCCCTTTAATTTGTCCTCCCTTTAGCTCTTGCCGAGCGGATGCTTGATCTTTTCGACGTCGGACCAACAGTGCTTTTCTTTTGGCGATATTTAACTTCATGTGCTGTATTTCTCCTCTCAGAGCTTTTACCTCAGCCATGATGTCTTCCCTCGTGGTGTAGGAACGATCTGTCTCTGCTTCAACCTGCTCGATTTTCCACTCAGGACTGAGCTCAGAGCTTGTCTTCTCGCCATGCTGTGGATCTGTAGTCTGTTTTTCGACATCCTTCTCTAGGCCCTCGTTCTTGAGCAATGACTCGGCCAACGCAACCCGAGGCTTGTAAACCGCTAGTTGAGCGCAGAGCTCGCAGTTGAAGGGCAATCCACTGGTTGCAGGCCGATGGCAGATCTCGCAGTGCATACTTTCTTTGCCGACGGTCATGAGTCTGTAAACTTAAAACTGAATTGCACAAATCCATGATTAGCTTTTACGGAACACCGTTGTTCATGCTGAATTGCCCGGAGGTGTGACAGTGCTATTGACTGGAGCCACCGGAGTTTGTCATCTCCCTATTGCACCCGGACTTCAATTATCATCTCAATGACAGGCTTTCCCCTTCAAGATGTTTTTAAAAATATAGATTGACCGGTATACGGAGGGCATGAGCTGCCTGATCCTTTCATCGCAACCTCGAGAGTCACAAGCTCCTTTATCGATAAGACACGGAAATGGACTAGCCCATTCCTCCTAGAGATCGGCGGTACAATACTCAGTCGTGATGAAAGCTGCGTATGTGCCTTTCCGCGAACCCTCCAAACTGCCCCACAGCAAATTAAAAGCGCTTTTGTTTTTCTCCGGACGCTGCGATAGTCCAACATTAACAGCTAGTAAGCATCGTCAGGACTGGCTGCTCGCGGAGAGCTCACTCAATCCTATGGTTTAGGTCAGTACTGCTTTCTATTTTCTTCTGATTTCTTCATGATGAAAACACAACCCCAAAAATCTTTAGGAAGAGCCGGAAGAGGCATGGCAGCCTCTACAGGACTTGGTTCTCCAGGCTTCTTGTATGCTGTCGTCGATGCTTAGGCGTGGGTCCCTGAACGATTCTATTTCATGACTTCATTGATTCTATCGATTGACTCTCTGAGTGCTAACCAGTTCGTTAGATTAGGACTGCTGGCACAGGTTGGAGTTTATGTTAATGCTCTTTCTCGGGAGCAGTAAGCCTGCCCTACGATTCACGACAATTCAAGGTCTTCGAGGTTCTTGTATAAATACTTTGCATTTGGGGTATCACTTTCTTTCAGCTCTAGAATCTATCACTCTCCCTGCTGCCGCTAATAGATATTTACAATTCGTCAACGTGAACTTGCAAGCTTCGGTCCACTCCTTGTCGTTAGTTCCATGCAGTTTGATGCTCACATACGCTTTCGTATCACTACCGATCTTGTCATTCTTGATGTTGTACGGTATTTTCATGGCTTCCATCAACCTCGTGGACGGAGCCTCCATATCAAGGTTCTCGACATGCTCGTTGAGCTGACGGACGCATTCAAGAAACGCTACCATAGCAGCGTTGATGTTTCTATGATAGAGGGCGGCACCTATGGGTACATCGCCAGAAGAACACAGCTCAAGCTTCGTGGTCGTGGTCGTACTCCTATCATGAGCCGTTGTTGACTGCCCTTCTCTGAATAGAGAGTTTTGGGGCGATGCAATTTCTTCCCTTTCGATGTATGATGTGCTTCCCAGAGGTTTGATTGTATATCCACGAAACGTGAAACCAAGTTTCTCCGCTACTGTTGCTAGCAGTAAGGCCGCGTAACCCCAGGCTGCATTGATCTCAGCCCAGTCTACTGCGTATTTCTGTAGACGCCCTAATCGCAATCCATTGATCGTCGCAAAAGTACCGTCTTGGGTGATGTGTAACGCATCATTGTAGACGTTGGTGCGCCTCAACTGCTCGAGCTGTTCCGCATCGTGTTCGTGAGCTGCAGTCAAAGCATCTCGCTCGTTTTGAAATGAAGATAGCTCCAAAGCAAAGGCGTTCCGCTCCCTCCAGAATGTCTCCTCTTCTTCGTCAAGGGACAGCGACTCTGCCTCTAGGTTTGCTATTTCCTCGTCCAGGTCTGCCTTCTCTTTTTCCAACGCCTGCAATTCAGCAAAAGCTTTGACTTCAGCTGCTTTTGACTCGGCCAGCGACTCTTCTGCCTTTGCCACCTCCTCGGGTGTTGGTGCTGAATTGTTGAGGCCCTTGAGGAAAGATATGTAGGCATCCCGTTCTCTCGTCGAACTATCCAACCGCGTCTTCAGTTGTGTCAATAAGATCTCCGTACATTCCGTGCATATGGGATGATCAATATCTGAACGGGATGAGAGGATCTCAAAAAGTCGTGTGGAAGCCTCAATAGGATCGACGACGACGTTATTTGCGTCGTCTAAGTCTGCTTCCTCCTTCGTTCCTTTAGACGCAGGATCATGTTGTCCGTCGCCGAGTTGCTTCGATGATGCCCTTCGTGCTGGCATCACTTCAGACTCTGTGAGCAGAGCAAAGGACATGGATGGGTCGTTCCGAGTCGAAGCTGTCATCGACCTCTCGGCGGGGAAGCTCTGTTGCGCAGCAGGTATCGTACGCTTGAATATCGGTGCCGATGCATTCTTAGTGGCTTCATCATATCTTTGTTTCCTGTCTTCTCCATACGGCAGTCTAGTGGGCGTTAAAGAGGTATCGACTGTTTGGCCAGTGGAGCCTGAGGCGTGCTTAGCATGACGATGTGGTATAGATCATCAGGGGTTTCACTGACCAACGAGTAAATCGTAAGAAGCAGGATCTAGATCCTCGAGTGAGCTATGGAGCTTCAAGGGCGAACGACAATTCTGGCAATTCATGATAATGATTATAATGATTTGGGGAACGAAGCTCCAATCTACTTTTCAGCCTTGAAATGACGTTTAGGCAGTCGCTAAGGGCTAGTTCCAAGCGCCTCGGCCCCACAGTGACAGCCTTAAAGATCCCTAGGATTTGCCAAGGAAACGGCTATCGTGACTACTGTTCTTCTCGACAACCCCGTGCCATCTTAAACCTGTAGAACCCCTCAATATGCGGCACGAATCTAGAACCGCTGGCGCGCGTGTGGCACCGACACTGTGAACTGCTTCCTGAAGCAGTACCCGTCTCAGGATATCCAGTCACATTTCTCGATATCGTTTTCTTAAGATAACATGGAGGTTTATTATTGCTTGACTAGGATCAGAAGTTCCGATGATTGCGGATGAATTGTTGACTACACAAATGCGTGGAAAGCAGCTCCATCTCAAGTAACCGGGAAAGGAAAGAAAGCTGTGATGGTCTGTCGGTTTTGTCCATCCCAAGACGCCACAGGCACAGGAGCAACCGGTTTCAGCTCAGACCATGAGTTTCCCGTGACAAGTAAGTCAAAAGGTAGGTTCTTGGGAGGAGAATGTGATGGCGACCGTATTTGGAGCATGAGGAAGGGGCACAGTACCTCTCGCTGCACCCTACACGACATCTGCTGCTCGCAGCTTCTACACAGAATTTGGCTGCCTACTGTTTCCTTGCCTATGTATTCCTACTCTATCCATCATCACTCATGAGTGATCACTCTCCTTGATAATGGTTCCAATACACGCTCTTTTGCCGCAGGTGGTATCCTACTTTCTCCTTTTCACGATGCTCCTTCTCTCCGCCTTCGCAAACGTTCTGCCCCACAATAGTCATCTCTCTCTTCCCCACCATCCGCGGAAAATTCTGTCAGACCGCGAGATCCGCTACACATGCTCCAATCCGGCCTTCACTCCTGTTCGTCATCCCCTTTTCTCCTTTACCTTTCCCACTTTCTTCCTCTCCGAACTCCTTTTCAGTCTCTCCCAGTATCTGCCAATTAATCCTCCCCGCATCCAGGGTGGACCAGGCGCCACCAACGGTATCTGCGCCTTCCTCACCCCGCAAGGTCCACAAGGCAGCACAACACGTACGCCAGGCTTCTCCCTACAAGCCGGCGGCGCCTGCACCTACGAGGGCGGTACACCCTGCAAATGCCCTGACTACGCACCTGACACTGCGCCGGGTAGCTGTCTGACAGCGTGGTGTTATGGCCCCAATAGCAAGGGTACGGATGGGCACTGGTTCTGTCATTGGAAACCAAGTGCCACTTCCCGTGGCAGTGCCGCGAGAATGAAGTGGCCGACGGAGGATGATATAAGTTGTGGGAATCAGTGCTATCCTTGCATGTTCAACAGCTGTGTAAGTTCCCTCATTTTCTCGTTTACTGCTCGAGGTGATGAATGTGGGTCGGGCTGATTATCGAGGCGTAGGATTCTGCGATTGCTGCCGCCGGAATGGGGTCAATTGATACAAGTTCGACGGCCTCGGCGACTGCAGAGACTGCCTCCGATACTGCTACGTAGGATCCAGTTTCGCTCCGGAGGAATGCGAGTGGGAGAACGAGGTTATTGTGCCTTGGATGTTTCTGCTGGTCGGGAAAGACTTTTTGAGCCCTTTCAGGTAAGGTCTTACTCAAGTATTCCAAATAATGTCTCTTTAGGTGATACATAATTGCAAAGTTGGTAACGTCCTTTCTTCGGCGCGGTTCTAGCGTTTGTGGGCAAGATTTGATGAATTACCAGCGATATGAGCAAATCGACCGTTTGGCTCCTTTAAGGATCAAACTGACTATTCGCTAACCATTTTGATTTCCAACCTAATAAAGGGACCAAAGATTTGATGAACTCATGGCGCTTGTATGAATCAGTAGTACTTGGAATGGTTGTGGTTATTGATGATTGGATCAACCCAACTGCTACTAATTGAAAACGATCTCCAAGTCAACTCTTAAGATATTAAAGTCTCCACTGGCAGTCCATGATGATTCGAAACTAAAATACTCGCAACAGCTGCCTACGTTGATTCTGGCCATCGCAGCCATAATCTTAAGTATCACCAATTCATTATTTCACCCGAGCTAGTGAACTTACATGCGAGACTGAGAACCCAGATACGACTTCCTATCGTTGACGGACTTGGTAAGCAAATTGAGAATCAGTTGTATATGTTCAACATCGCGCTTTGCAGCAAGGAGATCTTTTGGAGCATTCTTCAACCTGCTATATTACCAGAGAGTACCCTGTATGGCGAGGACGACGTCGCCTAGCGCAATCGGAAGAGACATGAAACGTCTCATTTATGCCGCCATATGTATTTCAAGTGTCTCAAGTGAGAAGGAGGAACGAGAGTCGAAGACTTGTCGCAAATATGAAGCGTAATGAAGCAGAGACTGAACAAATCGACGAGCTTTCACAAATACTCCATCGTGGCTGAATTCGATGCGCCTTGCGAAAATTCCTTCGGCTAGCCTTGCAAGGCAGACTCCTGGGAACTGCATACTGGTATCCGCCGAAACGTTCAAACAAGAGCAGCCACTCTACGTCACCACGCAAACACATTTCCAAATAAGTCGTCGTCGTCGTTGTCTCTCCACTACCCGCAAAGGGCTGAATGGTCTCTTATCTTTTAGGAGGAGGAAACAGCGACGAAGAAATGATATTAAAGAAAATAAGGTGGAAATGGGGATGAGATAGACATGATCGCATAATCTTAAAAGCCTGCGATTTACACTGACTCACTTGACATGCCTTCTCATGCCCAATTCTGACGAAACTTGTGCCCTTCGCTCGTTCAGGGTCCATTCGACGTGGCCACCAGTGGCTGCCTTGGCTAGGACAGCTTGATGAGGCGACTTAAAAGGGACACATTCTTGTTTAACGTTGAGACGAAAGAAATGCAGTGAGATCTTAGATCTCAGTATGAGCGACGTCGATGCTCAGAACTGTTCAAGTATGATGTTTGATAGAAGGAGGAGCCATACGAGACCGCGGTCATGACTTCTTTTGAATCAAACGGGGTCTGACCTACGGTCCATTTGTCTGGGCAGTAGCTTTTTAGTTTCGAGCCCAAAGCGCGTGCGAGGCAAGTGGAAGACCAGGTGTCTCCTCTTGCTTGCTTTCAGTCTTAGCCGCATGTATATCCACACCGACAAAGCAAACCCCAGAGCCATTCAATGAGAGGCGGCATCCAAAGTCATTCAGCTTCTGCTGCTTCTCTCGCTTTGTATCAGCTTCACCACTGCAGATCTCCCTCCCAGTCTCACACGCAACGGCGTCGAAGACTTCTGGGGATGATCTTTGGTAAGCTACAAAGCCGTCAATTACGTCCCAGCATGCGGCGCACTAAGTCTGATGGATAGCAAGACGTACACCTGTATCCAGACTGGGGCGACGTAGAAAGCTTCCATGGGCAAACACAACAAGACCACCGCCACATCGGCTTTATATGATTACACCGGCGTCATCGGCGATGCTCAGATTGGGACTGGAACACCAGCCTGCATGTGCTTCTCCCAGGGAGAGCCATGGAAGATGGACATGTGCGTCAATGTCTTGTGCGATGGTAAACCGGAGGGTTGTTGGACTTTGCTATTGGGAGATATTGCTGGCGGAACATTTGTGTCCAATTCGAACAAAGCGCTTCCGCAATGCGATCAGGTCGATGTCGCGTCCACTAGTTCTTCGGCTACAGACCAGTGCAATGCCTTCACGAACTAGTGATGTGAAGGTCGTCACGACTGAAGGGTCTAAAGATGAGACATAGATAGCACACACAGCCAAAGCGACAGCTGTCACTGACGTTCCCGCTGCAAAAGGAGGGGGATTGGGTGGAGACGAAGAGATAGCTTTAGGCATGGCCCTTGGAATTGAGCTGAAAATTCTCATGTTAATGTGCTAACCATGTATGTGCGATTTCATGGATTTCCGGCCATCGTTCTCTCAGCCATTGGCTTGTATTTTCTCGAAAAGTCCTTCGAAGAAATTCGACATCAAGTTCAGACCTTTATGTAAGGTATTGTCGAACGAATTCTGCGCCTGGTCTGTAGTGCTCTGTAGATCATGGGTGCAGGTCGGTCATGAGCTTTTGTATGCAAGCTGTAACAATGAGATACCTCGTGATAGAAAGCTTCCTGTCGTTACAAGATTTGAGAGTCTCAGAAGTGCTAATCGATCAGAATTGTACTTTAGACAATATAGTAAAGATCATATCCTGTTCATACTGCCGCGAGGGCTGCCCCTGAATATGGGACATGCTTTTAGCAGCTCAGCCAAACCCAATACAGCCAAATATCGTTCACCGTAACACCTTCGTCTCGGTCCAGTAGCGCCTAATGCTGTCATAGATGCCAGTCGTTAGATAATCATGCTTTCAACTCTTCGCCTTTACTCCAGAGCCTCAATTGTAGCTCCCCGCCCTCTCCTTCTCCTTGGCTTCAACCTTCAGACTATTGGCGCGACTCTCTAGGTTTTCGTCCTCTTTCCCCCCACCAAGCACGCTGCTCAACGTATTCACCCTGGAATGTCCCTCGATCTGCTCCACCGGCTTCTTAATGAACGGCTTCAGATACACACTTGGCAAATATCCAACTTGGTGATCTCTCGTCCGGCATTGCCACCACTCACTCGGCTGGCCCATCGGATCATCCTTCGACAGTATAGCAACAAGATCGTTTGCTTTGACTGAAAGATCCATACCTTTATCGAGCTGCGGCTGATTTGGTGGCGGGTAATCGTACAGAACGCGACAGAACTCAAGATTGCTTGGGTCGATGGGTAATTGTCGTGGTTGACCTTGATATTGGTCCGGTAGCGGTCGGCCATCAGAGCCGAGGATGACCGAGCCTTCGGGCTGCTGCTGCTGTTGCTGCTGTTGTTGTTGATTTTGTGCGTCTAGGCTACGAATGAGTTTCGTCATCAGATATGGAAGGCCGACTACAGCGGCCAGGAAAAGTAAGAAAGGCTTCCGGGAAGGGGCCGCTTGACCATTGGGTAATGTTGTTGTTGTTGGAGAAGATGAAAGGCCTTGAAATTTGGCGAAGGAGGAAGGAGTCAGCGATGTTGCGTCCGCTGGTGGAGGACGGCCTGTAATCTTGGCGAAAAGGGTCCGGAAGTAGCGCATCAGTGTGAATATGCCCAGTATTGAGCCCAAAGTCGTGCGAAGGTTGGCGAATTGCTCTGCAACTGAGACCATTGCTAAAATCCTGTCAGTCTTATACAATGAAGAGACAGTAGTGTATCGCCTCGCATCCATGACATACCAAAGAAACTCGAATGGGTGGCCATATAAGTACTCTCTAGCATCTGCGACACTCCACTTAAAGCCCCAACCAAGTTCTCAATCATCGAAAATGTAGCTTGCGTACTCTGACTGAACGAATTTGTCAGACTGTTCGGGTCGTTTGGATCCATTCCAGGCCCCATCATGCCTGATTGTCCATACATCCCTCCACCATACATTCCACCCATGCCTCCTCCTCCGTACATCCCACCACCATACATCGAACCCATACCGCCATAGCCGCTCCCGAATCGATTGTAAGGCGAGCTATAGGAAGAGTATGAGTTATATGGAGAGGCACCGTATGCGCCAGTCCCAAATCGATTAGCGGTAGAGTAGGGGGAGTAGTTGGATGCTGTCCTATTGACTACGGAATTGAGAGACGAGGGCCTCTGAGGAAGGGCTGGAGGCTGGTTGGCTGAAGAAGTTGCTGTGGAGGATGAGTTTGCATTTGCTTGCGAGTTTGGTGGATGTATCGAGGAGGGTATTGTTGATGCTGCGATAACTGTACTTTAGCCAAAGCATGACGCGAAATGGGCAGCCGAGATATTTGACAACGTACTGGCACCATTTGCCTTCTCCCAAGGCTTGGGGGGCGATATTGTCGCCATCATGCGTGTGTACGCTCAGACTATCAATATATGGACTTTCTAGCGCATTCAAAGATGGTATTTGGAGTGTTCAGCACCAGTTGGCGTTGATCGGAATTCGGGGAGGCTAGACTAGACGGCGGGCGAGAAGTATTTTGTGACAACAGTTCAAGTTCAGTAAGTAAGTCACTATATATCGAATCTATACGGGACGTTATTTCTGCAATTCAGATAGACATGTGTGAACAGATCGAAAGAAGTCCTACGCCATTGAATGTTTGACGTCTGCGGTACATAAAAGCGATGCCTCGGCTCAGCGGCTTCGGGCGTTTGACCACTCTTCGACCGTCTATACACAGACTGACAATTAAGCATTCAATTTTATCTTGCAAGAAACTCACATTGGCTTGTGAAGGTGAGCTTTGTGAAATTTTGAAGTTCTATGCGTGGTACACAAACTCATGATTCATATCAATCAGACTATCTAGGCTACCAGAGCCAGCTATGTCAAACAGAAAGGGCAAAAGATATCCAAGCCCAAATTTTCATCTATGTTCCCATCTTGAAGACAGTACTTTTCCCCATCATCCATCCTGCCATTGTTTTCGGGTCCAAACTTCCACCAAAATCTGTTTCGCCCTCCTTCAAGACTCTAATTACCACACCATTGTCGTTTCCTGAAAAAATTACAGCTGCAATCACGTTGTCTTTGGTAGGACGGTCGAAGTAGTCGCTGCTTCCGCCCGCGGGTGCCATGTGTAGTGTGCTTCTACACCGCATATCGTGACTGTCCAATATTTCGAAAAGGTCGAACTCGCCGCAGCCACTTGTCCAGCACGAGCAGTCGGGATTTATACCGTATTGAGATGTGTGAGGAATTTGTGCATTCAAAAGCCAGATGCCTGGCATATCGCCATTGAATCCAGTCTTTCCAGTCACTGGCATGGAGAATTCCAAAAGAAAGATTTTGTGTGAGCCGCCAAAGCCATCTGCGAGTTCAGTCAGTGGGAGGAATTTTGCAAGCATGATTCTAAAAACATACGGTACGCAACTCCTCCAGCTCGTACATACCCGCATCCACCATCATCGCAACTCTCGTCGGACATTATGACGATCTCAGCGTCATCTTCAATCATTGCATTTTGGAGCGTCTGAGGGGATCCTGCCCCTGATTGGCCATCTGCAGACGCATATGAAAGGGATGCGCCAAATCTACCAATGCTGTCAACTCCCTTACATCAACCTTACACGAATGAACTTACGCAGATCCACCAGCCGCTGTCCCAGGAATGCCTTTCGTTCCGCCGAAATGGTTCAAGAACGTAAGTCCTTGAGCTTTGCCACTGTCGGCATTGTAGAAAGCGCGGCGCGTCCATCCATTCCCACGATCGGTATCACCTGGACTGGCTTTCGTGACAGACGAGTCCTCAGTGGGCGTAGTCTTATGGCTACTAATTGTACGCGACACCGCAGTCGATTGCGCCTTTATATGCTTGTGTGCCGGGTGAGAGGCTGAGGGTAATTGAGTCGCAGGGCGAGGACCAGCATATTCATTGACCCAAGATACGATCTTACCATCCATTGTGACCACTACTTCATCACCTACAGCCCGCTCTTTGGCTTTGGCATGATAATTGTGGAGGTATTCGTGTACACCAGGTTTGTCGTGTCGGTGTGCATCAGTCTCGCGCTTCTCGTTCGATCCTACTTTGTCTTCGAGTGTGTAAATTGCGACCTGTTTTAGCCAGGTAGGACCGCGGATGTGAAGTGAGAGCTTGAGATGCACCTATGAGCTGGCGTTCGCATGACATATGATTCACTTACTTCTTCATCTAGCGGACTGAGTGACCCACTATAGTTGTGTTGCTCTGACGTGCACTCCCCAGTAGTGGCGTTCATGTTTGAGACTTTGTTGTAAAAGCCATGACCAGGGAAATTTTCATATTTGATTGCGTTGACTGCAGAGCAGTACCAATTACCGGCAACTTTTTTGGCTGAGCCTGCAGCGCATTCCTGGGCGTTTGTGTCACGGATAGCCAGGGCCAAGAGGCAGGCGAACGCGAGAAGTTTGCAGATATTGTCTAAATATCTGAACATTGTTGTGAAGATGGTTTAAATGAGCGTGAGGTGAACAACCTGAGCTGCCAATCAAAGCCCAAAGTTCCGTGCAGAATTCCTACCAGGCCTTTCAGCAGCCGTTCCAGGAGATCTTACAATTAGCAAGGAAGAGCGCAAAATTTGTGTTGCGATATAGATTGGCTTAGATTTGGAAAAGAGAGAATTGAAAATAAATCACACCAAAGGATTTCGAGGTGTGTCACCATCTTAATGGAGACTGCAACTTCCAAATGCAGCACTGTGTCAAGTGTTGATGAGCAAGTATTAAGAGTGTGTTAAAAGCAGGATCAACCCAGAACTCACCGACGTAACAGAGATGAAGGTATAAGGACATAAACAACACTGGGTACGACAATTCAATTTCAGCATAAAATTCTCATTCCAAGATTACCACGAATTATGTATACCAGAAAAGCAAGCCCAAAAGTCACGGATCGTGTTGATACCAGTCAACCCGTAGCCTCGTCCCAGTACAGATCTAGACGAGAGACAGATATACATTTGCACAATGGTGAATAGATGGTCAAGCAATTCCTCCCTCCTGCCTCATCTGATAACGATCCAAGAATAACCGCTTGCCTTCCCCGTCAGCTTAGGACAATACTTTCCACAAAAAGGACGTACCTTTTCGTCCCTCTTATCCAAACGTGGCCTCCACATGGAACGGATTGTTGTCGTAGGAGTTGGGCCCCATCTGGCAGCTAGAATCATCAGGATGATCCTGATTGTTTCTCGTGAACGTGCACTCTGTCGTCGAGGATGTAGAGTAGCCATCTGCTTTGATCGACAGTGGATACATTTCACCGCCGGCTTCCTTGTAGGTGACAAGCGACGTGTCGTAGTATGAGCCACCATTGCAGTTTGGAGCTGTGCAATAGTAAGTGACCTCCCCTAAGGGACCACCGGGCACCCCTCCGTTGCTGGTCATTCGTGGTATAGCTTTAGAGAACCCAACGATTGACCCCTTCTCGATGTTGAAAAGTGCCGACTGCCCCTTCTTCAGGGTAAATTGATGGAAGGCATGATTCATCATGCCAGATATGCCGTCGCTTGGGCCAGCCTTGTTCCAGACCCAGTATTTGCTGTCGGTGGCGAAGTTGCTGGTGATCTTCAAGCTAAACTGGCCGCTGGGGTTGCAACTCGCTTCAGGCTGGATATTCGAGCCGTAGCAGCTGCCGCCTGTGTTGCCAGAGGTTAAAATCTGCGCGTCGGTCGCGCGTTTGCTGAGGGAGCTCTTGAAACAATCCGACGAAGCTGACGTCGGGCCTTGGCCACCCGTCGTATCTGGATCTGTGTAGATGTCTTTCAGATCACTGCATTGGCCAGTCCCACCACTCGATTTGCTGGTCGAATCACTGCTAGACCCTCCCGATCCAGGCGTTGAAGAGGCCGAGCTCGAAGGAGCCGGGTCATTTTCGACTTTCTTATTTTCCACCTGAGGCGTAGTACCAGACGCTGGCGATGGGCATCCATCGAGAGCACCTCCTGACGCCTTCTTTGCCGCGTACCAGGGCGCCCCTTTGTAATTTTCGATATCGCATTTGTCAAAAGCCTGGCGTTTGTCCAGCTCAGCGTGATTCTGGTTATGGCGATGTATGTTGTGGTGTGCCGGCTGCGCAAGCGCGCCTTTGAGGGCAAATGCCGTCAGGACCAAAGCCTGAACGTACATGATAATCCAATGTTGAGTGTCCAAAAATTCAGTGAAGCAAAGGTCTCTTTATTGCGTTGTAAGGACTGGAGAGCAACTGTGAGGAGGATATCAGCGTTTGGACGATTGAAAGAAATTTGAATGTCATAGAATCATGGAACAGCAAAGGGCGAGCGCGGAAGTGTGTTCTTGTTCAATATTGGGTGTCACAAGACAATTAATGTGAAGGAATTTGTGATAGCAGCTCATTGCGATAGACAATGTTTAAGACCCAGGGGCGTGAAGGGGCCTGAAAGTGGCAAACTTTTCATCGACAAAGACCATTCTAGAGGTCTTTGTGTGCCATGCGGTATCCGGAGTAGATCGAGGCACTTCGACGAACAACGAACGTACCTTGCTTATTGTCCAGAATCCAGGGTGTTCGATAGCGGGTATAGGTTGTTTCCAAAGGAATGAATAATCCAAAATGATGCGTAGACCAGACCGCTCAAGCGTAAGGAGTGACTTGACGGCTGTTCCAAAAGAGTGAAGGACGAAGAATAGCAGCGACGGGGCAGTGTTGAAAGAAGAAAGAAAGTAAGAAAGAATATGCAAGTACAGGCTTAGGGTCAAAAAAAGCAGAGAGGCAGAAACGCAGACCGGGCCAAAAACGAAGGATGGGGCGGGAGATTGGCCGAAACAGGGGCAGCCAGGGGGGAAATCTGATGAATTCACGCCAAGTCTGACGCCAAGCCCGATTCGGCGCCAGTCAATTGTCAATTGCGCCGGCAATCAAAACAGAGTTCCACTCGGATTTTTGGGCGACCAACGCCTTCCCTTCGCACACCGCAACCACCCTGCACCGTCTTGCACCGTCTGACACTACCACCCTTGGCTCCGCTGGGCGCCGAGCGGCCGAGAGTAGTAGTAGAGTACCACCTCCCCAGATCACCCCTGACTGTGCCTGCGTAGCCAGCGCAAGATGTTCCTGGCTAGCATCTTTAGCTGCCTGATTCGACCGCTCCTCTTGGAAGTCTATCTGGTCGATGACGATCCGCGCTTCCACGTAATTGCAAAACATGTTTGTTTTGTTTGGCTTCACTCATCGAGGCCTATTCGCTGCTTTCGTTTGCAATCTGTTTTGATTAGTCGTGCTTTATTGGTATGTGGGACAGCTAGTTCAGGAATGCAGAGCAACAGCAGTGCTGTCAGCTCTGAAACACGCCATTGCTCGGCTGTACACTCATCTCGTGCGCGTTCTTCTTCACAGGCCTTACAACAAGATGACCATTACGACTATGTTGTCGTACAGCAGTGCGATCGTTGCGCTGGGATTCACTCGTTGAGCGTGGGAAAGTGCAAGCGCGGGCGGTGAACGAATACACCGCACTAAGGTCTTACTTGACTGTCGGAATTGCACGATCATTGACCACCGGGCCATTGCAATATATGCCGTCGAACAACGGCTCGTCCATGCTTACATTTTTCACATCCTTCCATATCTTACATTTTACAGCTCACCGTGGGTGGGTGCAGAACTAGACTCTTCACTGGTTGCTGACTCGGTCTCCGGCACTTCAGATGTGCTTGAGGAAGCATTCAGCAACTCCTCAGGAAGCTTACCTTTCGTTCCTTCACCAAAACGAATATTGTCAATCCAGGTCTCAACAGACAAGCTATCGAACTTGCCGGTCTCAAAGCGTCTAAACCATCCTCGCCGACCATTCACCGCAATGATTTCCAACTCTTTATCCCCACCAAGCTTCAGTGCGCCTCGGACGGCTTCAGCGCCGGCATTTGAAGCAGGGACGGAGTAAAATGGGAACAGATGGCCTTGACGCTCTTTGTGCTTCTCTGCTACTTCCGCAAGGCTCACCAAAGCTATCAACGAAGGGTCATTTGCGACTTCCTCGATATTCTCAGCTGCAACGGGCAGCAAAGCAAGAACACATGTTGAGGTCTTCTCGCCCAAGCACTTCGCTTGCAATTCCTTCTGATCCTCAAGCGCTGAGATAGGCTCAAATGTATGCTGGATTTGAATGGGCTTGGACTCCGGAGTCACAGCGGGCTCAGGCGATTCGGTCGGGTTACTCTCATCGGCTAATGTCTCCTCAGTGGCTGAAGCCGCTGCTGAAGAAGCTTCCGACGCCGCTGCTGAAGGATCTTCCGATGTGTGCTGTGAAGAAGCTTCCGATGTTTGCTGTGAAGCTGAAGCTGATGAGAACGAGGCCTCATCTGATTCAGCGGCCTTTACCGGCTCCTCGGTATCATCAGTACCCATGACTTTTTGCGCTGTCTCTTTAACTTTTTCTTTGACCTTGTTTTTCAATGTATTGGCATCCGGCGTCGTATGTTGAGACAAGAAGTCCTTCATCGCAGCCTTAGTAAAAGCACCGTCATATACGACCGGCTCTTGCGTGCCGCCGGGCAGGACGAGAAGAGTGGGGTATTCGCTAATCCCAAACATCTCGTTGGCAGCTGCATCTTTGTTCCTTATCTGGGCGAATTTCAAGCTGCCCAAGAATTCATTGGCCAGAACCTTAGTGAGTGCGCTCGTGACGCTCTTGTCACTGAACAAGACTGCCTTGGCTGTAGAGTTCTCGCTATCCAACCAGTCAGACAGGCTTTTGTCTCCCACCCTTTTGACATTATTTGGAATGGCGTTCTTGATGATTTCGACGATATCTTTTGATTCTCTCGGGCCTTGATAATCTTCGACGATGGGTTTCCCAGGTTTCTTAGAAGGCTTGACAATCTTCAAGGTTGGAAAGCCTTGGATTCCCATTGATCCACACAAAGGCTTGTTGCTCTCTTTGTCGCAATCAACAGCAACTACCTGTGCGAGATCCCTCAAGCTTTTGGCCGCTTTTTCATACTTTGGCTTGAGATTTTGACAATGGCCGCACCACGGAGCGTAAAATCTTTCCTGGATTCAGCTTTGGAAGCGTGTAAGGGAGGGCAGGAGAGCTTACTCGACAATCTGTCGATACCATATCAGCTGAGCGAAATAGCTTCTCGTGGATGTGTACTCACAGAAACTTGATTAGACTTAGTAACAAGCTTGTTGTAATTGTGTGCATCCGCCTGAAGCACAGCTGAATTCTTGGAGTACATGGCCTGTGCATTAGTAACTTCGGGGAGAAGCAAAGCTGCAAGTGCAGCTAGAAGCCCGTGAGTGATCATACTGAAGTTGACTTTTCAAAATTCAAGCGAAGGTTAAGTGGACCTTATATGGCCTTGAGGAGCCAAAGTGACACGTTGGAACTTCCAGTGTTTGCGGGGAATTAGGGCGTGGACTTAAAACGGAGATACTGGCCTACCAATGAGACGTCATTTGTATCTGTAGACTTCCAATTCTACCTCAGCTGGTGTTGGATTCATTCAGTACATGATGTGCTCCTAATAGTTTTGCGAGCTAAACTTCCACTTAAACTTAGCTGGACATTCGATCTCGGGCGCGCTGAGGAGTCTATCACCAATGTCAGCCACCATTCCTTCTGCCTTGAAGGCCGCCGACGTAGCTCGTTTTGCACATCGTGCTGGTCAGCTGGAAAGGGCACGACCAGCAGTGGCATACTGGTGTAAGTTCTCCTTCTGGTAGATCGATTACCAGAATTAAGGTATTTCAAGGTAACTATTGGATCGTTGAGCAAATCATCTCCAAAGGTCTTCACAAGGCAGATGAAGATAGTACAGGCTACACAATGAGTCTTGTAGACAAGCTTGAGCAAGTGTGTACACAGTGACCATTTCGAGGACGATACTTACGAGCTTCCAGACGAAGATAGATTTTGCGGAGAACGACGCGATTGTAGATGATACTGCAGGCCACGCATACGTTGAGCAATTCGCACAGGAAACCTTCCAACGAGCTGAAAATGCCATGAAAGCGAATAAAGTTTCAAGGTAACATCTCAGCCCGTACTGATGCGAATTGCGCTGAAATGCTTGCAGGCAAACAGCCGACACATTTCAGGCAGCCTCAACATTTTTCGAACTGAACCAGATCTGGGGTCCGCTGGAGCAAGAGACCACCTCCAAGATCAAGTATGCGAAGTATCATGCCTTGCGCATCGCGAAAGCACTCAAAGCAGGTGAAGATCCCAATGCTTCAAACCCCGTGGTGGAGATAATTTCTAGTAACGATCAACCTATCGACGACTCGACGCGTTCTACTGATTCGAATATCAATGGGCATAGTACACATTATCAGCAGCCGACAGTTGAGGAAGATCGTTCTGGACGACCATCTCCTGAGGTTCCATCAACAGGCCACCCCGCACCAGAGGAGAATTACTACCATCAATCGACCGCGCCTGATGTCTCTCCCCTTGCTCCATCTAGTGCTGAAGTGAATGATCCTCGTAGCAGTGAATACTTTCCACCAATGCCACAACACTCAGAGGCTTCTCCGGTCATTCACCAGCCTGCGCCCACTGTTCCATCATCATCTCGATTCTCCAATTCCTCACCGATACTTGGGCCGCCACCAAATGATGCGCAATCGGACTTTCCGACCAGCACTCGTAGTCCAGATTTGCCTCCTGCCATGACGTACGATGGGCCAACCAAAGTGTCTTCGTCGCCCGATCTGCCCCGACAACACAGTTCACTGACCCAACAAGTTGAGAATAGACCTGTGCGAACCCAATATAAAGACGATGATGCGTCCGTGCTTTCTGCTCAAAGGCACGCAAAATTTGCAATTTCGGCTTTAAATTTTGAAGACGTGCCAACGGCTGTTGAAGAGCTTCAGGCGGCTTTAGAAGCACTTGGGGCTACGTAATTTGCAAAGGTGTTGTCCTCAAGTTGCCAGCATCAACCTGCGGTGACGATTTTACCACAACGATGGAGCAGGATGCCCCCACTAAACCTCCACGTGCCTCATTCCCATTGACTCCTCTTTCTGTATACTTCGCGCCGAAGAGCCTGCCATACGGATCCCGTCATTGTAAGTGGGCTCCTGAGAAGCATGCACCAGTCTCTTACCCAAGATAGCATTAAAGCAGATGTGTGTCAAGACAACTCAATTGATGCAAAACAGTGAGAAGACAGATATGTCTGTGCCGAAGAAAAAATCGTCTCGCACAGTCCACGCCCCTGTACATCTAGCTAGAGTTATTGATCTTCGAAAGGATGTTAGAATGGATAACAAAGTCGATGACGCTCCTAAGGAAGATTGCGACCGCCATAATTTCCTTGACGTGATAGTCATGGAGGACTATTTAAGACAAGGATTAAAGAAGCCTGACTACCAAGGCAAATATAGCGACGAAGTTTTGAGCGGTGAAGCCTCAATAGATGAGCAATTGGCAGCAACCCTTACTTCTCCCGAGATTCAAGTGAAAGCCCATATTAGCCAAGTAAGGAATTTCACTGTCAGAAAACGAAAAGGTCGGCCACGTACTTTCCTTAGAACTGTTCAGCTACGATCGAAACGAGCACGAGAGGAAAAACTTCCGCAGCGATTGTCCTTGAAGAAGACGACGAACAGCCACAAGCCCAGGACTCCAAGTGGCTCAAATGCAAAGCGAATCACGGATGATAGCGAGGATGACTCTGACACTCCATTAGCCTCCAAGCGAACTCTTTTCAGCCTTCACGCGCCGCCAACACCTTCTCCGTCAGAAACGCCATTTGCTCATACGCCTGATCAGATCGCTATTACCGAGTTGAGCCCTTCAAAAGAATCGCCATCTCAGTACTATAAGTGTCTAGACTCAACAGACGAAGTCGTACCGCTTGGAGATCGCCTGCTTGCAAAAGCTCCTATCAAGGTGGAGCCCTTGTCTTTCCAGATGCAAAACAGGACGGTCCTGCTTCTATCAGTGTCAAACGAGCCACATATAGCACCTGTCTATATGACTCTGGACAAATGCCCAAGAATCGATCAGCTGTTCGACTTTATCCTGGAAGGAAGAAAGGTAGCTAGCGAGGCGGTAAAATGGGTCTGCGCAAGGCTTTTATGTAACGACAGGTGGATTTCTTTGTCCCAGGACCAGCCACAAAGTCAATTTCGGCTGCATAGATTTATCTCGGAAGCTTGGGAGACCCATGCCGACAATTTCGAAGACGAGTGCGAGGTAGAAGTAATGATCGAGATCAAGTCTTAAGGGGCATATCAGGAGTCAGCAGAATCGTTTGAGACGTATTTCAAATGTTGTAATAAATAAGCAGAAAAGAGCAGCACCGTGGTGAGTAATACAACTGTCATGAAAGGGTCTGAATCTGCCGAGCGATGTCAACCATCAGATAGAAAAGGGTCTCATGACTGGCTGCAAAACCTTTTCTAATACATGCTACTCAGCTGCCAGCTAGCTGATCGAACGCCGTCTATACTTCCCTATTGAATTATCGATTGAAAAGCCTGCTAAACATGCTTCCAGCAACATTCTTGGCGATACCACTCGAGTACATTGCACTGGATGCCAAATTTGACGCCTGACTAAATTTGTCGCATCTTGAGAAAGCAAGGGTATTTGTGATGGTCAGTATCAAGGCTATGACTATGATAAAGCTATTAGCCTTACCTGCACTCTTTCGATATCCACGGTATGATACGTACCAATCAAACCAAGCCAAATTGGACTCTGCAATCTCACTATGGCGAAGATCCCGATCGCGATCCAGAAAGCTGGCTGCGTGTATAATGCGAGCCAAAAGAACCTGCATGATTCACAAGTCAGCATAGCGCTCCCAATCCTATCGCGCCCAATCCTAGGCCTTTCATACGCCGAAATTCCTAGCAGTGTTTTGCACGACAAGAATGTCAACACACCTTTTATCCGTAGCATTCTGCACAACGCCTCCATCAGCTCCGCTCCTATCCTGGCTCTCAAATACCCAATGGCTATCCCCCGTTGCGGTATTGACTTCGTTCCACCATCTTAGACCTACTAATCTGCGCCCAGCGATGTTCTTAAGGTAGTAGAAGTCCACGGCGAGCAGAAGCATTGTTATGATGAATATGAGGACGCTATTCTCTGATCAGTCCAATATTGCTACCCAAGGCAGGGGCGTTCTTCGAAAGGGCTGCTTGGTTTGAAGTACACGTACAAGCTATCGGTGAAGATCCATAGACCGAAAAGGTAAACGAGAAGCGAAGCTGGTGGTTGATCAGCACAGAACGTTCTCTCGAAGACAACAGCAGGAGAGCTAGGAGTAGGCATACATATTCGAAAGGTGAGGAAGAAAAGGAGAGTTATAGGATGGGAGCTAAGGCGATAATTGAGATCGCCTGCTCGCGGCGCGTCCGCCATGATGGATGGAAGAGGTGCAACTATGCGCGTAGGTCATGGGCCTATATCATCAGAAGATGCATGGTCTTGGTGGGTAGTGATTGGAAAATAATAGCTGTCCTCGCAATCGCCCAATTCGAGCCTGTCGTGTCCGAAAGGAATCTCTTCAAGCCAAGCCGACCAAGGCGCACTAGACTATAAATAGTTTAGCCTGCTCCGCGACTTTTCTGTCAGGACAAGTGGTCCCCTAGCAGGGGTCTGTTCATGGAGACAAGCCTCACTCAACGCATCGCGCACCACGACCCTCTCCACTTCTGAGGGGAATATATCTTTCGCTACAGTTCGCATAAACTCACACGAACCTGCACACGCTGAAGGTACTTACGCAAGCCTTGATTATGTGCTTGTGTGAATACCCAATGATCAGGCCGAGTCGTTCAGCCTGGCGTCCGCCCATCATGCTCAGCCTCACAGGAGCAAAATCAAGGAATTGGAACATTACAACGCTTCAGCCTTCTAGTACTCTTCTACTCCCACCACTGCCAATAATCTCGTATACCCAGGCGACGTGAAAGCCCTTATTCACCCTTCCTGGTGGTTGCGGTCTACTTACATGGCTGAAGCCCTTGGCGTCTCATCGGCCGTGATAACTCTAGCCTCAACGGCATATAAATCTTGTCAGACTCTCCACAATGCCGTTGACGGATACCGGAGTGCTCATAGCCAATTCCTCGCGCTATCTGCAGATCTGGAGACCTTCTACCTTGTTCTTGGAACGCTACAGGCAGCCTTGCAAGAAGAAGCAGCCTCGGCTGCAGCTGTTGAGGCAGTGATGTCGGAGGGTCTATCAAAAGCGCTCGAAGAAAGTATGGATGTCTTTAAGAGGATCTCTGCTGTCGTCCAAGCCTTCGGGGCCTCAAGAACCGCTGAGCGGAGCTCTCTTGCCGGAACTTTACAAAAAGCGAAGTGGGTCTTGAATGAAAAGGCCATCGCCAATCTTAGAAAAGACCTCCTGGATTGTAAAATGAGTCTCAATATCGCAATATGCGTCACAAATGAGTGAGTTCATGAAATAGTCATCGCAGCTCTGGATAAGCAACTGAACGCTCATAGGTACAATCTCAGGGCCGTTAGGACGTCGATGGCCCAGATGCGGACTGAAGTCAGCTCTGCCAATAGTGCAACAGTCTCTATCGAATTCCAAATGGCTGAACGTATGCAAGAACTACGAAGCAAACTTCCGGCTGTATTAGAGCAGCAGGAGGATATCCTAGCTTTAGGTTTACCTGCACCAAAAGACCATTCGCAGCAGGATAGAATGAACGTCCGAATTGATCTCGGCTTCAATCTGCGCCGTTTTGCTAACAGCGCTGCGGCATCACTGAGCTCAAGCCATCCGCCGCAAACACCTAGCTTTCAAGTCAGCTCATTCGAGATCATCGATAGCACGCAAGCGTCAACTTATGACACTGCATTGTCAAGAAGAGATGACACACCTCTAGCCAGCATTGCCTGCGGCTCAATTCAAATATTTGTGCGCAATGCTGGCAACTCGAAAACTCTCGCCTGCTTAGTCGATCCTGATTCGACTGTTGAACAGCTGAAAGACCAAGTTCGGAAGAGGATTGGACTTTCGCAGTCGCAATTCAGTTTTGTGCACTCAGGAAAGCTTATACCACGGGGTAGCGAGAAAACGCTCAGAGAGTGCGGTGTGTCCAAGGATGACACCTTTACCTGTGTTTCCTTCCTTGCCGTTCCACTGCCGCCACCGGCACCACCCCTCCCAATGATCAAAATCATCGTGAAAATGCTGAATGGCAGGAATTACACAATACGCGTCCGTTCAACTGAGAGCATATGGGCGCTCAAAGTCGAATGTGCCAAGCAGATGGCCAAAAGCAGAACGTACTTTCGCCCCAAGATACTTCCAAGCGCTCATGACATAGAATTTGTTTACAAGGGTATTGTGCTTGAAGATGACAGCTCTGTTTCCAATCCTCGATTCATCACGAATGGGGAAGACCTTGTCATTTGGGCACTCATTAGCCTAGACGCTGAACGGCCCAACCTGGAAAAGCTGAATGCTTTGGCAAGAGCCATTAATGAGGGTGCTTCTAGGGACGAGATTTATCATATAAAAATGAAACGGTTTGACGGCAAGAATTCTCATCCACACTTGCCAGAAAAGCATACACCCCCTGATATCCCCCAGAATAGTGAACAATTGCCTCATGTTTCGATATATAATGAGAATGATGAAGGCGTACCGATGATGGACATCAGCCCAGCTGAAAAGCTACGACCCTTGATTGAAGAGCCATCACTCCAACAGCAATCTAAGAAGCACTCGATTCGGAAGGCTGTAGCCACGAATTTAACAAGAATCACAAAACGCTTGAAGGGCCGTGGCACTAGGACTTGAAACATGAGGGAACATGCCTTGAAGATTCTCTTTCAACCTACTTGGCAGAACCACAGCATAGTCGGAACACCAGCGCCTAAACTGTCCAGCAGGTAGCCTCTTTTTGATTGTCGCTATGGTCGGAGGTGATTAGCCGTTCGCCGCCAGGACATCGATAAGTCGGATGGAAAGCCCAAACATGACAAAATGCCTCTTTGCTTTCCTATAGTAAGTACAGGTTATATAATCTCGAACTCGCAGCTGTCGTCGCCTTGCCAGTTGTTCATCATCATTTACAACGCCTTCGAGACTCAAATGATGGAGCGCAGGAGTACTTCACTGATTATGAGCAAATTCTTTCCTAAAATGCTCTTCAGATATTGGTCAATGATGATCGGAAACATGATCTAGTATAGCTGAATAGGCTCTCCTGAGTTGAATGATTTTTGCCGTTAATTACTGCCTCCCAAAATTAAGTACATCGATGCAACCTTCACCAAACGAGCAGATTATATCTCGAAGTACGGTTCTCGGAAACTGTGTCAAATCTGAGAATGCCATATACATTGCAAGGCACTCGTTTCCAGAGTACAAAATTATGAGGAACTGGGCAGGCCAAGTTGATTAATTCTGCCTTTCCCCCGTGCTTGTTCTTTTGGAAGAGAATTACTCTTTCTAGAATTTACGTCCATGGCTGTATTCCCAAGCACCATCAGTTAACCCCACGTAGAAAAGCCTCTGTTATTACAAAATGTTTAACATCAATTCTTATTCGCATACTTGATAGCTTGAAAACCACCTCCTAGCACTCGTGGAACAATTCAGATTTAGTCTTTACCAACGAAAACGTTTGTTGATGCAAAATTTGGACTCAGCTGATGATCTTTAAATAAGTAATCGAAGAACACCTTGAAGGCAGGTGCGTCAAGAGACGTCAAGACACGGCTCCAAAGCTCAGAGCTTTAGAAGACTGCAATTTCTTTTCTATGCGGTGTGAAAAGACGGGACTCGAACTTTTTACGGGTCTTTCTTGAGCAATCGTCTATTAATTAATCCTTCCAGCCTTGGCGGCAGAAATTGAATGGTATATTACTGCCAAGCGACAAGTTTGCCGTTTGACTTCATCTTAACCTCGCCCGTGGTCCAATCAATCAATGGAGATCTGATAGAAACGTGACAGTTATATCAGGTAAATTCCTAGTCAGTCCTAGAGACCCACGGGGGGATCATGAAATAGAACACGCCATGCACTACAGATGCTGCAATTGGCCCTATCTGGAAATATTGGTCAGATGATAGAATGCCCGGGGCTTTGGTAAAGGGATGTCATACCCAATGTATCCAATGATAACCAGGAAATCTTGTACCGACATATACGGCGAGGCAACGGGCAGGGTTCATTGCTGGATGAAAAAGATTTGTCAATAGCTTCTCTTTTACGAGAATGCGCGCCATGGCTATGACTGGGGTTGGCGAGAGGGATTTGAAAAACTTACAAGCACCTCCGTAGCCAGGTTTCGTGAAAGCTGTTCCAAAGCTGATGACACCAAGTACCAGGCCTACGAGGGCCGGTGCCAGGGCTGGCCCAAAGATCTGTTTCTGTCTAGGATCCAATCCGACTCCGAATGCCAGAAACAACAAAATCAAGGTACTCATAAACTCAATTGAGAACGCTTCGCCTACAGAAACGACCGCGTCGTCCACACTACAGCCCCCAACATCAAAATGCCTCGACCCATAGGAGGCTCGCAGCATCAACCCAGCCAAAGCGCCCCCGGCGGTCTGGAAGGCGACATACAAAACCATCCTAGGTAAGCTCGTCAATCGGGCAAGAAAGGTCGCGATACTAATCGTTGGATTGAGATGCGCGCCGCTCACGCTCGAAAAGCTGTAAATGAAGACCGTCAGGATGATCCAGTTGGTCAACCCACCGATGAGTGGTCCAAAGAAAGCGGATGTCGAGTACACTCCCGCCAACGAATCTGGAGCCACAGGTGGACCAGCGGGATGGGCAGCTATCCATGTCGTTAGATAGACCAGCAACATACTGCCAAGGCCCTCTATCACTGCGGCTTCCCACATGTCCCGGGAACGAAAACCTCGGAGTGAGAAGGTCTCACGAAGGGACATGAGAGGAGCTGCATCAGGGGTTTCCTGGAGAATGGAGGCATTGGCTGGGTCAGACCGATCAAGCACAAAATCCTGCACTCCGCCGAGGCGTCCAGCGAAGGGCTTTATGTAGGGTGTCAAAGAACTTTGGGTGGTATCAGCGAGGCCATTGGGCAAGGAGTGATGCCGCTGTGGGAGGAACCTGGGGGTAGCATGGCTTTGAGTCTGCTTCTCCATCGTCGACATTTTGGGGGAGAAGGAGAGGGGATGATTGAGAAAGCCATCATCAGCGACATAGGAGAATTTGATCAAGTCGACTGAGCCTTTTGGACGCCTGAGCATTAGCAAGACATTAGTAGCCGGTGGGGCCGAAAGCCGGGTAGCAGATATAGGCCCGCCCCTGACGACCAACTGGCTTGGAACTGCACGATCGTCTTGGCATTCGTGTTGTCTCTTTCCATTTTAGGAACATTTGTCTCAAACAGTTCGAGGCCTTGCATCCCTTGCCAACAGCAGCACGCTCTTTAATCTTCAGACATTACAATGTCTGAAGATCTATTGATGTCTTCTGTGAAGATCGATTAAGCCTCCTTCCCCTCGACTAGATCTCCACTAAGGTCTTCTGACTAAAATCAATTGGTAGAAGACACTTATTGTGACTTCATCATTCCACAACTCATCACCATGAACGGTCTCTCCAGAAGACAAGATTGGGATGACAGTTACGACGACGACGACGACAATCATAATGGGCACTGGTGGGGCTATTCGTCCCAGGCTGAAGCAGTCAAATGGGGTGTCGTTGGGCTCATTCTCTTGATCATCTTCATATATCTCGTTGGAGGCGCCCTGCATGCAAAGAGTAGGATGAAGAAGGGTTTACCTCCTTTGGCATATCACAGGGTGGGCAAACATCAATCATTACGAATACAATTATGCACTAACGTCATTTAAGTGGCTTGTTTCTCGACATCAAAGAGCTCGTTTCGAACAGCCACCCGTCTCCATGTACCAACAGGGCTACGGACATCCTGCATACGGACAAGAATATCCAATGCAGCCTTATCCACCACCACCGCCGCCTTATAACGCGCAGCAACCACCGCCTCCAGTTTATCAGCCACCAATGGGAGCATCCAAGACGGATCCAAATCAGACATTTGGGACGCCTCCGTCCGGACCACCTCCTAGCTGGCAAAGCGGAGGAGAGTCTTCGAGTGCTGCTCAGAATGCACCTTTGCATCAGCCCTCGGCAGGTGGCTCCAGTGGACCAATAAACCCCGTCGAGACCCCAAAGCCCAGCTTCGCATCTAAGTTGAATTTGTTCAAGCGAGGCTAGCCTTCAACGTGATGTTTGATAGATTTGTGGTTCTACGCGCTGATAGGTCTGTTGCATAGCTAGGAGCATAGGATGAGCGTAGAAACAGTTGGTTATATTTCGGCGAAACATTGCGTGTGCGCTTTGTGGAGTTGCAAGGTAGATGGATTATTCAATGTCCATGGCGTCTTCATCGTCTTCTCGATATGTTATTTGATCGTAGTTTCTACGATTGAGATTGTTTGCTCCTTGTCTCTGCACACGAGCTCCATTCACGGCCAGCTTAGGGACTCCTACATTTGTTGGTTCTTTGGCCTTCTTTGCCGTCTCCTCACTTGCCCGAGCTCTGCTCTCGATGATAGCCTTCCTGACACTATCGTTCTCTTTCGGAACCGTAAGACTTTCCGGAACTTCATAAAGCACCATCTGCTTGCCCATAGCGGATGGATGCACACCATTCACAAGAGTACTTTTCGGAATCTTGCCCAGCTTTTTCTCAATGTCAGGCAGGAATATCAGCTTGTCCTTTTCTTCTTCGATCTCTCGGAGCTCTTCGTCGAGATTGTGTATGAAAATACGGTTTGGAGTATCGTCGACAAGCATAGATTCCGAGGGGGAGTAGGAAGCCGCTGGTGGTGTAGGGAGTGGGGCGTGAATGGGCACGTAGAGCTTGCCATTCTGTTCTGTACATGAAAGACATTAGTAGCTGGAAAAATAGCTGCGATAGCAGGATAATACCTAGATTGAGTAGATCGAACCTCTTCGCGAGGCGCTGCTCGTTCCTCAAATCGTCATCTGCGCGTCGTTTTTGCCCGACGTGCGGAGATGAGTCGCCCGCCTCTACAGGCATCCTTCCACCATCAACCCCCTATGAGTTGATTCGGAGGCTGCTTGTGGTCTTCAAAGCCGGATTGAATTGCAGATCCGCCACTTTGAACGCCCCAGGTCCATAACACAGGCTCGTTTAATGTGGAGGGTGGGTGGAAGAGATTGCGGAGTTTTGAGTCGCAACACATTTCTAGGACCCCTCTGTACACATTTCTACGACCAACAATTCTTGAAGCTCCATCAACCAGCCAGAAGGCGCACTCTTTGCACGACTACGCCCAGAATGAGTATTTCACAGGAATGGCCAGCGGCTCGTGTGCGAGAAACATATATTGATTACTTCAAGAAAAATGGACACACGTTTGGTATGAATCACTTGTTCAAATTGAGATTGTTACTGAGATTGCAAAAAGTGCCTTCTTCGTCCGTCGTTCCTCACTCGGATCCTTCTCTACTCTTTGCCAATGCTGGTATGAATCAGTATAAATCGATATTCCTGGGTACAGTCGAGCCATCCTCGGACTTCGCAAGCTTGAAAAGGGCGGTGAACTCGCAAAAGGTAAGATGAAATGCTGCAAACCAACTTCAGAGACAGGGCTGATAGAAGATATAGTGTATACGCGCCGGAGGAAAGCACAATGTGAGCACAATTCATGCCAATTGCTGAGGGCGCGTGTGACTCATGAACAAAAGGACCTTGATGATGTCGGCAAAGATAGCTACCACCACGTACGTCTAAGAGGATGTTTCTTGGAACCTTGATTAATGAACGTGAAGACTTTTTTCGAAATGATGGGCAATTGGTCCTTTGGTGACTATTTCAAAAAGGAAGCCATACACTATGCATGGGATCTCCTTACGAAAGTCTACGGTCTGGACCCTTCACGTCTTTATGTGACGTATTTCGAAGGTGATGAAAGCAGCGGGGTGAAACCTGACCTCGAGGCTAAGGACCTTTGGCGATCTGTTGGCGTGGAAGACGATCATATACTCACCGGTGACATGAAGGACAATTTCTGGGAGATGGGTGATCAAGGACCATGTGGACCATGCTCTGAGGTGCATTACGACAGAATAGGAGGCAGAAATGCTGCAAGTTTGGTAAATCAAGACGACCCCAACGTTTTGGAGATCTGGAATCTCGTGTTCATTCAATACAATCGTGAGCCTGATCGTAGTCTGAAGCCGCTGCCAAACCAGCATATAGATACTGGACTGGGGTATGAGCGGCTTGTGTCTGTTCTACAGGACAAACCCAGCAACTACGACACTGACGTCTTCACGCCTCTTTTCAAACGAATACAAGAAGTCACGGGCAAGAAAGAATATCAAGGCAAATTCGGTGATGAGGATACTGACGGCCTTGATACTGCGTACCGAGTTGTGGCAGATCATGTGAGGATGCTCACATTCGCTATAAGTGATGGTGCTGTACCAAACAACGAGGGTAGAGGATACGTAGTGAGGAGAGTGTTGAGGCGAGGCGCAAGGTATGCGCGAAAATACTTCGATGCAGAAATTGGGACTTTCTTTTCGAAATTACTGCCTACTGTAGTACAACAGATGGGTGATATGTTCCCTGAGATCAAAAAGAAAGAGAGTGATCTGCTCGAGATATTGGATGAGGAAGAGGAGGCGTTCTCTAAGACTTTAGACCGAGGAGAGAAACAGTTCGAGGTTTTTGCGAAGAAAGCTGAGGACAGTAATTCGAAAAAGTTGCATGGGCAGAAAGTCTGGAAATTGTACGATACCTATGGGTTTCCCGTCGACTTGACAAGGATAATGGCAGAGGAGAAAGGTTTGAGCATCGACGACAACGAATTTGAAGATGCAAGACTACAGGCGAAAGAGGCGAGTAAAGGCGTCAAGAAAGCCGCCACCGATCAGCTCAAACTTGACGTCCACGCAACAGCCAAGCTAGATGAAGCAAATGATATCTCGAAAACTGACGATGATGCCAAATTTGAACGCGGGAACACTACGGCAGTGATCAAACGGGTCTACAACGGTCAATTCCTGGGAAGCACGAAAGACATTCAGGAAGGCGACCAACTTGGCTTACTACTGGACAAGACGAACTTCTACGCTGAACAGGGTGGCCAAGAATTTGATACTGGCAAGATCATTATTGACGGCAAAGCAGAATTCGAAGTACAGGATGTCCAGATGTATGGTGGGAAATACGTTCTCCACATTGGTTATATGAAGGAAGGGACGCTGTCCACCGGCGACGAAGTCATTTGCGAGTACGATGAATTACGGAGGTGGCCAATACGTAACAATCATACTGGTACCCACATTCTCAATTTTGCATTGCGAGAAGTCTTGGGTGATGCAATTGAACAGAAAGGCTCACTTGTCGCCCCAGAGAAACTTCGCTTTGACTTCTCCCACCGCGCTCCAGTGTCTGACTCCGAACTCGAGAGAATCGAAGATATCTCCACCAAATACATCCGGCAAAATTGTATGGTATATTCCAAAGAAATACCCCTGGCCACAGCCCACCAAATCCAAGGCGTACGCGCCGTCTTCGGAGAGAAGTACCCCGATCCTGTCCGCGTAGTCTCTGTAGGTGTCGACCTTGATCTCGAAGACCTGAAGCCCGATGACCTCAAATGGAAGGAAGTCAGTGTGGAATTTTGCGGCGGCACGCATGTTGCAAAGACAGGCGATATTAGGGACCTTGTCATTGTCGAGGAGAACGGCATTGCAAAGGGAATCCGCCGCATCATTGCCGTCACAGGCGAAGATGCTCACGCCGTCCAACGAACAGCCAGAAAGTTTGCTGAACGATTGGACCTGCTAGAAAAGAAGAGCCCTGGTCCTGTTAAGGAACAAGATATCAAGACTACGCAGGCAGATTTAAATGGCCTATCCGTTTCTGCGATAACGAAAACAAAACTCAAGGATCACCTGGGCAAGATCGTCAAGGCGCAGCTCGAAGAGCAGAAAGCACAGCAAAAGGCGGAGGCGAAAAAGGCGCTCGATACAGTCAATGAATACTTCACCGCGCACCCTGGCGCGAAGACCCTAGTCGTCAAGGTCCCGATCAATGCGAATGCGAAAGCCATCAGCGACGCAATCAAGACCGTGCAGAGCAAGCGGAAAGACAAGACCGTGTACCTCATGGCTGCGGACTCTGGAGCAGAAGGAGGGAAAATCATTCATTCATGTTTCGTTTCCGAGGTATGTCCATTCCCTTCCTGAACCCCTTTTTGACTGCAAATCATTCATCCCACTGACTTGATAATCCTATGTTTCAGGAAGCCAACAAGAAAGGCCTGCAAGCAAGCGAGTGGACCAGCTCAATCGCTAGCATCGTGGGAGGCAAGGCTGGTGGAAAGGGATCCTCGAGTCTAGGAAACGGCACGAATCCGGAGAAGATTGACGAGGCGGTGGAGGCGGCGACGAAGTATTTGGAAAAGTTCTCCCTCTGAGATGTTGTGGCTGGATTTGGTTCTGCTCGAACATAGATAGCCAACCCTTGTTGATTGAGAGGTCGAGGCGTTGGTGTGGGCTGCTTGTGAGCGCTGCATACCCATAGATCTGAGACACGCGTCTTTTTGTTAGCTTGCAACTAAACTGTGTGACTCTCGCCTTGCTGCACTGGCACGGATTCTACTCCTCTTGACCATTTAAATATATTACTCACACAGACCCTTTGGCAACAATAACCATTCTGCTACTCTCTCTCCTTGACTTATTACCAGCAGCTCCCTCGACGACGCCTTCTTCCTGAAATCTCAAGAATAAAAACGTGATCACTTAAATGGAGTTTTGTCTCTTTATGCTTTTAAAACTCGTGAGCCAATGGTATATTTACAACCTTTCAATATCCAGAAAGTACATGAGATGCAAAAGTCCACTACATGCTCGCTATGTTCATGCTGCGCCCCCAACGCAGTACCCAAATGCGACAATGCTATTACTTTTCTCCAAAAAACGTGCCTGTATATTATTGCATTCCAAAAGAAGATCACCCGTCCTACTTGTCACCTGCCTCACCCCCTCCCTCTGGTACAACGCTCACGACCGGATGCAGCTCTCCACTTCGTCTAGTCGCCCTATTCTCATCGCGGCGACTTCTGCTATCCCTACTTTTCCTCCGCTCTCCCTTCTCCGCAGTGTTCGTCAAATCCTGACTTAACCTGCTCCTCCGCCGTTCCTCCTTCTCCTCCCTTTTCAGCGCATCCTGCTGTTTCTGCTCAAGTCGATTCTTTTTCTCCTGCTCCAAGCCACTTCGGTACACCTCATGCTGCTTACTCAGCGTTTTCTTTTGGATCGCGAAACTAGCCAGGACGCCGACTACTGCGATCGCGACATAAAAGATCCATATCTTCTGAAGTGAGTCGGTGTAGACGACATCCACGACACGGCGTTGGGCATCTGGAAGTGCCCTGACGACGTCGGCAGAGCTGGCTGCGTTGCCGCTGCCTAGTCGCAGTGCGACGTCTGCCGGAAGAGTGGAGCGGAGCCTGGCCTGTTGAGCGATCATGCGATTCTGGAAGATAACGCCGCCGATGACGACGGAGATGGATGTTGCGATGTTTCTGGTGAAGCCGAACAAGGAGGTCGCAGTGGCAATGTCCCGAGGCTCGACATGTGTTTGAAGTGCAATAAGTGGTCCTTGGAAGATAGGTCCCACACCCAAGCCAGCGATTATTTGAAAGGTGATTAGGCGGCTCCAGTCGCGCGTGCTGGGCAAGTCAACGAATAGCCCGAACCCGATTGCCATGAAAATCATTCCAAACCAGATTGGCGGAAGATATTGGCCAGTCTTCTTGATGAATATACCCCCAGCGACCGAGGTGAACGAGAGTGAGAGTACAAAAGGAAAGAGGTAGACTCCACTCAGGATGGGGGATGCGCCAAGCACTGTTTGAAAGTAGAGAGGGAGATAATAGGCACCTGCAATGAAGACCATACCGTGGATGAAGCAAACAATCAGACAAGCAATGTTGCTGCGGGATTTGAAGAGTCGTATCGGCATTACCGGATATCTGGCGAGCTTCCATTCGTTGGTGAAGAAAAGGGCTACAGTCGCAATCCCAAAGACGAGCAGGCAGATGACCGTTGCACTTTTCCAGGGATAATTGACTCCCCCGTATTCCAATCCAAGAAGAAACATCACCGTACCGCCCGAGATGGTGAGAACGCCGATCCAGTCTATGGCCTTCAGACCAGCTATCCAATTAGTCTTGGGAGTTTCAATATCCAAATAGAAAAGTATAATAGCAAAGGCGATTCCATCGAAAGGTACTATTCGTGTCAGTGAACGAATGGAGAGCCAGGCAATAGACACACAATTGATATAAAAACACCACCTCCAAGAAACTTTTTGGGTAAAAACGCCTCCCAATACGGGGCCCAATGCAGATGCAAGCCCCCATACGCCTCCAATCATGCCAAAATATTTCCCACGTTCTCTATGAATGCGATCAGCGAATGACATCAGGTAATCGAATGTAACTCCTCTCACCTCTGGCTGAATAGATCGGCTATACAAATGTTGGCCAAAATGATCAGTCCGCCTCCGCCTATACCTTGTATGATTCGACCAGCGAGCAACATCTTGATATTGATGCTCAGCGCAGCGATCAACGATGCAACCAAGAAGATCAAGTTCGCGAGTAGTAGGACAGGCTTGCGGCCCCATATATCACTGAACTTTCCCCAGGTGGGCACAGACGCTGCCGCAGATAGAAGGTAGGAGGAACCGATCCAAGCATAGTCGCCCTCCGAAACTCTGAACCGCTGCGCGATGGTGGGAACTGCAGTGGTGATGATAGTCTATGTTCGCTTGGTAAGCTTCTCGGTGTTTAGAAATCCGGGACTGTTCGAAGAACGTACAGTATCGAGTGCAGCGAGGAAGACAGCAATCTGCATAGGAGGTTAGTAGGCGCTTCGTAAGACTGGCATTCGGAAGACTCACGCATAAGGAAAGCATGATCAAGGCAATCTTGAGTGTACTTCTTGGTGGCGGCTCCTCTTGCTTCTTCTCCATGTCGGGAGCAGCCTCCAGGTCTGAAGGGTGGGAGGGATCGACTGCTTCGCCATTTGGGACGATGTTGGCGACCTTCTCGGTGGGAGACTCAGCAGAAATGCTACTCTCGTCACTGCCTGCTAAGTGTCCGTTGGCGAGCGACTCCGTCTGCAGCCTTTCGCGATTCGGTTCAAGCATGGCCTGTGGTCGGTTGTGGCTTGGGAATAGATGGTCTGGGATGAAAGGCGGCTGCTGTCACCTCTTTATCCACCTGCGGACAGAATACAGGGGAGAAGCCGCCACGGTGTAGTGACGGCGGGCTCCATAGCAAGATGGCACCCATTCTGCTCTCCATATCCCGTCATGACCTCCCCATGAACGCTAGGTTGGACGTACCGGCACATAGCGGCGGGCTTAAGCACAAATCCAGTGCCGATTTCTCCATCTGTCTCGGTTGGGAAAAGCTTATCTCTTGCCGTCCGTCGAATAGCGAATAGCGTGCATCTGCACAATAATGCACTAGTGCTTTGCATAACTTATAACGGCCGACCGCAAAACGGCGCAAAGGCCGCAGAAGCCGGGAATTACATCGTCAGGCAATGCTTGCCACTCTTGCCGTACAGTCCAACACTTCCTCGCCGTCTACAGGGCGTTCTTATAGATCATTCTGATCATTGCTGGATGCGGAGAGGCTCTGTCATCATATTTTGAAGCCGTCAAATTGTCCACTATATCACTACGGACTGCCTCTTGCATGTTTCAAGTATCAGATACCGCTGAAAGACTGTCATGAAATAGAAGTGTACCAAGAATATCGCCAAAGCTCTCTGAACATATCGCTGTTACTCAACGCTCAATGCCAATAGACTGCCACATTGGGCCACCTCACATCAAGCCTTCACCCGTTTCGGAGCAGAGGTCTCTTGACCCTCGCCCTCAGGTGTCTTACGTTTCTTTTCACCATCCTCATCACGCGCGAAGCTGGGACCTGTGCCGTTTACAGGAGTCTGAAAATTCAATGGGCTAGGTAAGATATTGGCACTGTCGGCGCCAGATCGTCCAAATCCCCAATCAGGGTAGAAGGAGGAAGGTGAAGGTAGCAGGCCGTCGGCCACAAATCTAGATGGCAGTGCCGATATCGGTGTTTCCATATTCTCACCCCGGTTTCTTTCGAATGCCGTACTGTTATGCTGTTGTGCTGTGTTTTGCGGTGGCAGAGGCCTAGCAAAAGGGTTCGGAGGACCTGAGGCGCCAGCACTCAAGACAGCGCTTGCACTTGCACTCGGTGACGGCGGTGGTAGGACAACACCTGTCCCAGAAGAATGACTGTTGTTACCCTCACTCGCTTTTGCCGGTGTCTCGTCTTTGCTGCCCGATTGATTTTTGGCCGATTCTTCTTCCGCTTCTGATTGCTCTTCCGGAATGTGTACCTTGAGCTTCGGTCTTTTAGCCCCTGCGGCGCTATCTGTCCGTATTGGAGGCACGAAGTCATTTGATGCAGTTCTTCGAGGAGCTGGACGTTCTTGTGCTTGTGTTGGAGGCGAACCAGCCTTGACTGGTTGCGGCTGTTGATGAGAGGTCGAATCGGGGGGAGTATTCGAGTGCGGAAGACTGTCCTGTTCCTTCTTGATCTCTGGCTTTGGCTCTGTCGTGGGCTTACCACCTCCCCAATGCTGCGCCAACAATGATCTGCTGTCATCTATGGGGGTGAAAATGCTTCGTGATTTAGTAGCCTTTGGTTGCTGCAAACGATTTGATTGATCGTCTTGCGTTCGCCGCTGATCTATCTGTGGTGGAGATGGCTGACTTGGCTGGCCGCTGTACTGACGCTGATCTTGCTGGGGAAATGTTGGAGGAACAGACTGCCGCCTTGGTTCGTGAGAGTATACTTGCTGAGAGGCTTGCTGTAGTTGATTGTAGTACACTTGGGTTCCAGTAGGATTCGGATTTTGATGAGATGTTGGCGGCATGCCATGAGGCCCTTGATAGGGCTGGACGGGGGCGGTGCGCATGTAGGTATAGCCGTTTGTAGTCGGCGCTTGGGTGACTTGTTGGAGGTGAGAAGGACCAACATTACTACTCGATCGCCGAATAGCATTGCTAGAGCCCGGTCTAGATATAATGTGAGGTTGAGGAGTCTGCTGTCTTTGGTGGTAGTTTATGCCATTCGCCATTGGAGGAGGCGTGGCTGTGCTGCCACGCATGTAACTCTGCTGTTGCTGTAGATGCGGTGGCAGACTGCCTTGTCGTGGCATTGTATCTTCTAAGGGAGGACTGCCCATATCGTCGTCGTCATCATCGTCCATACCGCCAGCAAAATCAGCAGGTCCTTTGTGCTCATGAGGCCCATTGTACTGCGAGTTGTCAGCTATGGCCAACAGGAACTCTTCGTTGGAGCACAAACGTAGGTAAATCGCGTAATCGTGTCGTTGATATCGCCCGAGGAATACTCATAAAGCTTTTTGTTATGCCCAAATATAATGACTGCTACGTCGACGGAGCACAGAACGGAGAGCTCATGCGCTTTCTTAAAGAGACCGCCTTTCCGTTTGAGAAATGTCCTGCAGCGACCAGTCAGCGTACAGCCCCCGTTGAATTTGAATGATGCATCTTTCGGGCTTCTCGTCGCAGGGAATGGTGGTATGAGTCCGTGGCAAACGAGGACGGGTTGGGACAAAGAAATCGCGAGATACGCACACTGAGCGGTTTCTATCGTCCTTGATGGCTTTGATCTCAATCTTTCGTCGACCCATCGTCAAGACTGGTTTCTTTGCTTGCTGGGAGGAGGATTGTTCTTGTTGGTGGAAGGCCCTGATGGTGGAGACGACGGGCTGTCTAGGTTTCAAATCGACGTTTCGCCCCAAGGGTCGTCCAGGAGCTGCAGAGGGATGACAGGAAGAGCCCAGCGTTGCAATACAGCTCTTCAAGGCGCGGGGTGACTACTGGGGACTTTCGCAAGGCAGAGGAAGACGACAACTGATATAATGTAGTTATTGAGAGTTCGCAGTTGTTATTCTAAATATATCACTGAGAAGGCCGCGGGCGAGCCTTGAGTGGAGTTTTGGGTCTTTGGCGGCGAGAAACCCGCCTAGGCCGTACTGGGCTACTCTAGATCGAGAACAATGGAGTAATTGCTATTAATATATGCCCTTTCGGCTATATATTCTCGGATCCCTGACATAAGACGTCCTGCCGTTGGCGCTACCGCCCCGAGATGCAGCTAAAAGACTCGTTCTAGGTCGTTTTGGGCCGCGAAACTGTCGCAAAGAAGATTAATTACCCGCGATTGGTATAGCGACTGGTTCATCTTCTTGTTTTCTTTCTCCTCCGCTAACATCGCCCTCCAACTCCACCTCCTTCAGAAGCGCATTTAGCTTGCCGACGAGTATCAGCAAGACCTTAGGCTGAGTTTCTCAGGTCGCCTATAATGCTAACGTTCTCCCGTCGTGTTTCGTGGCGCCTTGCTGGTAAAACCTCGCAGAACGCACCCACACTGTCGACATCCAGCCAAGAGGAGACGAGTGACTATCCGTAATCATGCAATTCTCGAGTCTTCTCAGCCGAGACAGTTGATGGCATCGACTCAGCCTTGGACTTCCTTCGTATCGAAGGCTGCCAATTCATCGGTTATTGAGGCTGAAGCCTCGCTTGCCCGTAGAAGGGCTTAGCAAGCTTTTGCGAAGGCATCGCTCACCAGGATCAGCCGCCACGTCGAACGGCCCGGTAGACAGCCGTGTGATGCAAGAAAGACCAACACATGCTAATTGTCCTAGACCCAGCGCTGGGTCAGTAGTTATCATAAAGGTTCCGACCGAAGTCTCAGGGTGAGACCTTCATACCGTCGCAAAAGCCGGCTTCAGGCCATATTCCCAGCACAGACCATGTGCCGTGCAGCTTCCGAGGACGATCGCATACTGACTAACGCACACATTCATGACCCAAAGAGGACGGTCATGCAAAAGCAATGCAAGCGAGAGGGCCCGATTCTGCTCTCCGTGATACAGATGTTCAGCTCGTAGGGCCTGTGCCTCCTCTATGCACTACTCTTTTGTCTCGTTACAACCCACCTTCCCCGTCGATAGGCTACATCAGGCAGTGCTTTGAATGATGTAACATTGCTTTCGTTGAAGCGAACCTTCGTGATCGCTGTTTTACGTCAATCCAAGCGTGTCTGTGGGGAAAACATGTGGTAAGAACATCTGTCGGTTTTGCGAGTCATAACCGGTGGAGGACGCTCACGGCTTGGCTAGCAAACTTCAACGGTTTCCAATAGACCGTCAATGTCGCACGAGGAGCATGGCGGCCTGTTTATTTCATCTGACCTGGCAGCGATGTGCTTTCTGCAAACGATCCAAAGACGCAAATTCATGTTGTCTTTGCAGAGAAGAAAAGTCCGGACAGGCTAGATAGGTTTATAGGACTTATGTGTGCCAAATCGCCAAAAAAAAAAATGGTCGGAGGACGACTGCGAAACGAACAACCCGTGTGAACATCGAGTCCCTCCGCATGGGACTCTTCAATTCAAGACCAAAGCTGATCCCAGATCAACATATCTACAATCAAGTTTTCAGCGCATCGTGGCCACAATTCTTCAATGCCTTGTAGCACTTGCTGTTGGTGTCTTGCTTAGCTTTCCCCTCCTGAGCAAGGTGGCGCTTGTTGTAGCTGACGACCTTTCTCCTGCATATTGATTCAATTGTGAGCGAGTCTCCTTGAAAGGCTTTGAGTAGATGAATGTCAATTCCTCAAAGCATTTCAGATGTACACGGCCACTCGATCTGCGACCAAACAAGGAAGATCTGTCGTTTAGGGAAGACGAACTTGTGACCAAGATCCTCTTCTTCATACTTTGAAGGATTCTCTTTGGGATCTTGCTCAAAATTTCAATAATTTTAGGGCCGCTGCGCACTATGATTAGATAGAACAGACGAGACTTCAAAAAGAAACGCTACGATTCATGCCCAGCGGTTTCGCCGTCTCCGCTCTCCTTGCCTCAGCCTGCATCTTGAGGTTCTTCTTGCTTGAGCCAATCTTCAAGCTCTTTGGCAGACATATCGACGTGCTCGTTGAACTCCCTGTTTAAACATTACTCACAGGTCTTGGAGTTATGACTACCGGATACACTTAATAACTGTTTGTTCTGGTTTAGAACTCTTGAAAATGGATGACATCCTAATGGATCATTTTGCAGCAGGGAGATTGGAATCAGGTTTCTTAATTTGAGTTATGGCAAGAGAAGGACAAAAAGAAACACTGCATGAAGCAGCCCCGCCAGGCGGAAAGATACCATGACCTTACGACTTCGAAGCCACTGTAAGAGGATTTTAACCAACGCACGGTGGTCATGTAGAGTTCGTGGATGGTACCCATGGCAGCTCTGGTGGACCATGGAGCAGATCGATAGCCTCATTTTTCCATCCTGGCAATGCGTGGCTATTTCCTGGGTTGGAGGCGTAGAGACTGACTCGGTTCGCAGTTGTAGTCCTGCGACATGGGGCTGTCGTCAGATCTCAAATACTCCGTCTGCAAGCTGTAGATAGCATCTCAACCGGCCAAATTTAGAGCTGCAGCCTGCAGGTGGACGTACGCAAGTCGGGCAATTTGCAAGGTTGCAGATGCAGTCAGCATGTAGCCGCCAGGTCATTATCTGGCTGTGCGTAGACGCAGGGCAGAACCAATGACGTCGCCTGGGAGAGGTCTTGACAGTTTGGGGAGAAGGCAGCGAGTGCCAGTTGCAGGCAGTGAGGGTAAAGCTATAGGAGATTTCGAATGAAAGATGGGTATCCAGTCAGAGAATGGGATCCAGCAGAGCAAACGTGGGTGTCCATTTCGAGAGGGCGCGAAGCGGGAGCCCTTTAGGTCGACGGCCGCTAGAGGCTGCCCCCGGAGGGCGGCCAATCACGCTCCGCTTCCACGATCCCCTTCGCGTCGTCCCCCTGAGTCGAGAAAGTAGGAAATTAACTATAATTTAGTCCATGATTATTATCGTACCAGGGACAACACGCACGGCATGAGGCCATCGGAGGAAGGAGTGCCCTCAACAGCCTCCAGGAGACCGCACGCTTCAACACACATGCTGAACACGAGTCTGGACATCTACTAGAGCATCACTTATCGTCACAGCTACTACCCCAAATTTAGAAAAATACGCTGATCTGCGCCCACCTTCCTTGATTTCCTCCCTCAACGCTACCGGAACACCCCTGGATTTCCACTACGAAGCGAACGTTCGACCCCAAGATCACCACCCCCGAAAGCAGAATCATAGTCGCCACAGTTGCATGCGCCCGTGGTCGCGCTCTTAAGTAGCAGTCAGGCCATCCAGCTTGCATTCACTGCAGCATGCCTGTCGCCCCCGAACAATTGTGATCTGAAATCTAATCTTCATCATGGGGCTTTTCTCAAGGGCATTCAAGAGTAAGGATGCAGGCGCGTCTGCTTCAAAGACAAAAAAAAAGTCAGTGCAGACAAATGGTGCGGTGCCCGCGCCCCCACCAAAGCCATTGTGGGACGATGCCTGGACGAGGAAGATTGTCGAGCCGGAGGAGGTCCAGGAATTGCTTCGAGCGTGTACTCTAGAAATGAAATCGAGGGGTACTTCCACCCGAGACGTCACATAGGAAAAGATACGGTCACTAATCAACCAGTACAGCACTTGACATACCTTTCTTCCTCTTACCATTTCGACCGGCCTCCGATCCAAGTGCGGCGCGCACGTTCATACGGAATTACTTTAATTTCGAGAGAAGCTCGCTCACGGGCGAAGCGTTGGAGCAAGAATTGGTTCTGACGGAGCCGATGGTGAGCAAGTATTGGCAGCAGAAGTGACGATGATTAACAAGCTGCTAGGTGTTGGGTAGCGTGATGAAGTGGTGCTGGAGTCGACTCGCTGGGGGTATCGTGACCTGGGAGGCCTATGAGCTCTTCCGCGTCGGAGAACAGGGTATCATCTCCGACCTTTGGCCACCATGCAGCATTTAATCAAACTACAGATTCCAACATGGCTCGGAACGCTTTCGCCACTTTCATACCTCTCAGCATTGAGTCCGATGCGCGTAGTAAGATAATTTTCGACTTTTTCGATCTTATGGCTGCAGTAGCTGCCCATGGAAAAACCAATGGTATGGGCGGCAGAAAACTTTCGAGGTTCGCGGGATGGTGGGCTTTCGAACATACAGACGAAAAGAACGGTTTTGATGGTGGTTACAAATCATGGTCGAAGTATGACTCGCAACTAACTTCCATCCCAGTGACTATTCGCTGACATCTTCCAGTGCTGCTGATGCTACGGGCCATCTTTTCTTCGCATATCTGCGATCCCTTTCCCCAGATTCCGTGCGAGGCATCAGTGGTGTCTCCACTTTGCCACTTTCACTGCAAACGCTGTTACAGGAGACAAAATACCCACCAGAACACCTTGCTCATCATTCTTCTTCAAAAGTGGTCATGGTCGTTGACTCGATATCTCCCACGCCCTTCGCTCTACTTCGACGAGCGAAGAATTTCGAGTACCGTGACGACGACCGTGTATTGCAAGCGTTTTCGAATTATGATGATCCTGTACAGGCGCTTAGCGATGAATGTCGAAGGGTGCTTAAGAGCATCTCATCTGTCAACGAGTCAAATGCTACTACAACCAAGGCGTCCACGAGTCTCGGCGATACATCGTGGTCAAGATTCGAGGATATGGGATTCGGAGCCATTGCCGAAGACGATGATGAGCCCGAGACAACATTAGGGCATTCACGAAAGACAACTCAAACATTGCGTTCCGCGCCGCAAACAAAGGGAAACGACATGGGAAGACCAATTACGCCTTCTTGGGCAGACTTCCTCAATTCTGGCTTTACTGATGAGCCAGCGAGCCCTGCCCCTCGCCCACTCATATTGCCACCAGACAAGATTCTCCCACCTATCGATCTAGACTCAAAAAGAGGCAAGAGTTCGCAGTCACACGTAAGGAAGCGAGATGGCGTGGATTTAGAGCCTGGTGAACTGGCCAGTATCAATGCTTTGCAACTCGACAGTGCATTCTGGTGGGTTTGGATCTCGAGTCTTGCAGGTGAAGAAACCCTCGAACGGAAGGCTGTTTTCGGAAGATGTGCACTTGTCGAGACTGTCATTGGCAATGCTTGGCTCGTCATCGAAGAAATGGTCAAAGGCGCAGCTCCTGAGCCCGAGATCGGAGCTTACATTGCCGAAAAGAAGAGTCGATTTACATTTGGAAAGAAGAGAAATCCGGCAAGGTCCAGGTCTTTAACCAGAAAGACACAAGCGCCCAAGTTTGACTCAACCTTGCGCAACGGTCAGGCATCTCCTGCCAGCAAGACTTCAATCGGACGTGACCAGCATGCGAAAATTCAAGCTGCGGCTGCGGCGTTGCAGGAGAAGCAACGACAACAAGAGAACGGGGGCGTCAATGATACTCAGCTTAGTCCAAGACGAGCTAGAGGTGGGGATGCCATGTCAACTAAGACGAACAGCGTTTTCACTTTACAACCTGTCATCATGAGTGAAGCTGCTCCTGCAATGAAATGGGCAACTAGCTACGATAAGAAAGAGGTTCGTGCTCGATATCTTGGGAGCGAGCTTGCTGGGAAGGGATCGACGGTGGACTTGGGCGCACTTGGTGCTACTATGGCTACAGCGAACGGATCAACTTCTCCCAAACCACCAGCTCCGGTCCCAAAAGACACTCTTCCAAACGATTATGGCTTTTCGAAGGAGGCGCCGAAAGCTGCGTCAGTCCCCCTGCCACCCGAGACCCCTGGAGAGCGATTGCAGGCTCCAAAGAGTGCTCCACCACCAATCCCCTCAGCACCTTTACCAGCTGTCCCAGCGACTCAAGTGGCCAATCAGGTCGCTGCCGATGCAGCGGAGGTGCCTCTTCCTCCGGCAGAGCATGAAGGCTTGGAAAGGATTGATACAGTCACAGACCAGAATCAAGAGACTCTATCGCCTGAATCATCCCCTGAGAGTAAACGCACAGGCAAACTTCGCAAGAAAGAAGGCCGCAACTTCAAAGGCTTCTTCGGAAAGAAAAAGGCACCGCAGTCAACGCCTCCACCACCCAAACCCTCCGATCCGCTTGCTGCCGCCGCCGCCCGCGCAGCTCTGTCTCCCAAGCCAACGACATACCAGGGTTCGAACTCTATAACACGTAGACTATCACGAATGGGTCGCAAGGACCAATCAGCGGCAGCACCTCCTGTGCCTGCAGCGCAAGCTGACGAACCTCTTCAGCCACCTCAGGCACCATTCAAGGACGAGTATGACTCACAAGTCAGCCTGTCTCGTGTAGACAGCAATGAGCAACGAAAAGCCGATCGGGAATTTCCAAAATTCGATCAAGGCCCGCTGGCTGACCAGCCCGCCTTCGTACCAAACGATAGTCCTGTTCATCACGCGGCGTCCCCTCCTGCTGAATCCCCGTCTGTGTCACGACCTTCCACTGCGGAGCCAGTGGGCGCTCATTATGAACCCCCAATCACTAAAGGTGGCGAGTATGAGCCGAGCCTTTCCTCTGCGGGCGATACCCTAGAGGCGACAACATCTAATGACGCCGAAGACCGCTGGGCTCAGATAAGACGAAACGCTGCTGAACGAGCTGGCAAAGCCAATGCCGATGATCAAGCTACCGCTGGAAGGAAGAGTGCAGAGAGTAATGGCGATGGCGATGGCGATGAGAGCGCCGAAGAGAGTATGTCGTTTCTCTTCCCCAGTAGTTATATATCCAAGGCTCGTATGCTAATTAGACAAAAGCTATCGAAAGTCGCGTTGCACGCATCAAAGCCCGCGTCGCCGAGCTGACTGGCAACATGCAAGGTCCAGACGGCTCACAATCGATGAAACCTGGCACCACGACAACGTACACAGCATCGTCGTAAGAGGGACGACACAGCGTTTTCTTAAACATTTCCTTTATTCCCACTATTGCTGCAGCACCCGCGAGATACCCAGAGTGATACCAATTTCAATTTCCTGAGCAAGATTTGGAGCAACGTGCATTATTATTTTTACAAGAGCAAAGGGGATGGGGGAGGTAACATAGTGGCTTTCCTGTTTGCTACCTGCCTCAGCTATAAACCCCGAGCGCAGGCTTCTGTTCTTTCTTTCGAGCCTGGCGCTAAGGTTGTTGATGTGCATTTTCTTGAGATGAAATGGAGAAAACTTTATAATAATTTGATTGGCTGAGGGATGTGAGAAAGTAATGACTGGGAGCGGCAACAGATTGCTGGAGCTTGGAACGAAGGAAGCAAGTGAAGGTTGGGAGGGAGTAGATAGCTGACGCAACGGAGACCTTCATCATTGCATACATGCTTGCCATGCTTACCCACATACCCGAGAATCGTCTTTTGTGCAGGAGCAAAGTGCCTCCACAGCGCGTCCATATCACAACCATATCTCGTCTTCGTCATCGGAAAAGACACATATTTGCAATTAGCAATCGTTCTTCTCGTTGAAGCAGGTATTGAAACCTCGATATCTTACATTCCGAGATGAAAATTGTATCACGTTGCCTCCGGCTCTACCATATCTATCCAACTATACCAATGACGCCGCCCGCTATGCAAGAATATTCACCGCCACCCCATTCTTGTGTCTCTTTCCCTTCCTCGTCCCCCATTACCCCCCTTTCCTAATGCAAATACTCCAAAGACTAAGACTAAGACTGCGGACTCCCCGCCCTTCCAGTACCACTCCCAATTTTCAACTTAATCGTCAACTTCTTCTTCGGCTCCTCACCCCCCTCCACCCCTCCGTTACCAGGCGCACTATCCACAGAACTCGAACTTGCGATTTTCTGCAGCGGAGGTCTCTGCACCGGCGCCTGCTGCTGCACCGTTCCCGGCGGCGGCTTCGGCGGCTTCAGTAACGGTCTCGGTGCTCCCATGATCGGCGCTCTATTGCCGCCTCCGCCGAAACTACCTTCTCTCCTTACACCCGGCGTCGACGGCAGGGCGGATGGAGCTGGACTGCCGGTCTTAGCAGCCCCACCAGCTGCACTGCCTCCGCCGGCGGTGAACTTGAGTTTGACGGCTTTCTTGGGTAGCATTTTGGTGCGGACGCGATCGGTGCGCTTGAAGACTACTTTTCCCTTGCCTGTCTTCTCGCAGCTCCAGTAGCGTGGGTACTTCAGAACGACGAGTATGCTTGTTCTTGGGATGTAGAGTCTGCCACATATTTCCAGCAGTTGCCAGACTTGCCTTAGGGAGATAGTGGGAGAGCTTATGGCAGCCCACAGGCCATCAGACAGGACAGGGTTTGAGCCTAATTCCTGCCTAAGAGCTTCGAGCGCGCCACTCATGGTGGTTTTGCGGGCTTTCTTTGTAGCGTGCTCGGAAGTGGAGGCTTCGGTTTCGATAGTGAGGCCGCCATTTTCTGGGGGGTCTGGTTTGTCCTCGGTGGCGGCAACATCTTGAATGGGAAGGAAGGCTTCGCCGATTGCGACAGAACCGAAAGTTTTGTTGAGAATTAGAATGAGGTGGTCACGGATGCGTGGAGAAGGGTCAGTGGCAAGGGTGGAGAGGAACCAGCGGAGTATGGCAAGGTGATGAATCTGGCCAAGAGACATGATGTGGGAGAACGCGTGAAGGCGGAGATGCTCGGATGTGATGGGGGACGTGTATTGTAAAAAGTCCAGGGGTTGTAGTTTGACTGCGCCAGATTTTATGAGGGTGTATTTTGCGTCGAGTGTGGCGCGGCTTATTATGTTTTGGTGAGAGGGTATCCATTCATCCATGCGGCGGTAGCGGTCAATCTGCTCGAGGCAGCCCTCGTGAAAAGCCATGTTGTCTTCCTCGCCAATACCGACCGAAAGGTCGAAGGCTTCTTGTTCGATTCTCGGGGGAGGTTTGGTGGACATGGCGCGGGACAACGAGCGGACGAGTAGGGCGATGTAGTGGCTGTCAGAGTACTGCAAGTATTTAGTCAAGGATACACTGACAACACTCGTGGACGTTTACTTCGTTGTCTCCATTATCATTGTACTTGAGTTTTTCGTATAGCCAATTCCTAGCAGTGAAAGCGGAATGCCCATTTTCATATCTGACTTCAGCCATTGCTTGGGGTATTGCACATTGGATGAGATATGTTGCACGGTTCGAGAAATCATTGGGTTTGGTCATATTGGAATCAGCATAGCAAAAAAGCTCTTTGAACGCCTTTTCAAGATGGAATTGGCCAACCCAATCCATTTCGTATCGGGCGCTTTTGGGTAGAGCAAGAGCAGCTGACGTCCGTATACCATGGAAATATCGTTGATCCATCAACGTGCGGATCAAGAATGTCGATATCAAGGGGTGGCCGTTCTGTTTTTCCAGGAATTGGATTGACTGTTCACAATCAGTTACATTGCTATTGCCATCCACGAACGGCATACCTCAAGCTGTGCTACAACATCTCGGTCTTGTTGTAGTTGAGATACCCACATGTAGCCGGGCATCATCAATGTCATGTTACATATCCATTCAAAGTCTGCATCCATACGAATCCACTCATACGACTCTTGGCTCATTTTATCCTCATCATCAGCAGTCCAATCAACTAGCCGCCAATTCTTGATGTCATCCTCGGCCTGGAGTATGTCTCCCAAGGAATAGAGGAGGACATCCCCACCTTCATCAGCCCCATACTCGGCGCCGGCGGCTGTCGTTCTTTCTTTGTGGCGTCGATTGCGCTTCAGCCTCTTGTACTTGGTGTTATATGGAATGTCGAATCTCTGCAACGGTTCCTTGATCTCGACGATGTGCTCATAGGGTGTACCGTCAGCCTCATGGATGCGAATCGTCATTGGTCCCTAAATACGTCAGTACACCCATTTCACTGCTGAAGGTGCTCACGGACGGTGAAACAAGGTGGAACAGCGCCAGCGTATATCGCACGTTGATCCTCTTTGACGTCTCTCATGAATGTGGTGCTATCTAACGCCTCATCTTTGGCTTTCTCGCCTTGCACTTGCTGTATTGACATTTCGACTACAAGCTTCTTCTTATTGAATCGTTGAGTGACACGAAACCTCGGACAGCCAGCTCCTTCAACCCACTGAGCGAAGAATTGATCTAACTTCGTATGACTCAGTTTTTCACATTGCCGTATGAAGTAGGCGGTGTCCAATGCACCATTCGACAAATCCCCAACCTTAGCATTTAAGAAGATCCTGCTTATTATGCGCGAGAGACCAGTCATGTTGCCCCCTTCAAAATTCGCTGATCCAAGATGAAAAGAACTAAGGGTGCTTTCAAAGCAAGGAACTCATATTCAGATGGATCTATGTGTAGCAAGGATCCCATCCCCATCAGAGATGGCCGTTTAACGTCGAGTTCCACAACTCGATCTGAAACTCGTTTGTGTCGGTAGCGGTGATCATTCCTGCCAAATAATTTCTTCAGGAACATATCAGTCATGAAGTAGGCGATTCCAACGATGGCCCAAGTATCTCTGAGTTCCTTTGCAACAATATCGATACCAATCCATTGCGTAGCTAACGCGTGGACTAGCTGACGAGTCACACTTTCGATTGGATCCAGAACATCCTCGCCGAACAGAAGCCGACTACTACATATCGACAATGTTCCAGTGTGAATAACATCCTCGGGCGTATCGTCTACAAAGCAGAGCTGATAGTTCGAGAAGGGGTATGAGCCGTACAGAAAATTGAAGTAATCTATGGCCTATTTTTGTCAATCAATGAGTATTAAAGTATCAAGTATAGAGCACCTACTTGACTAATAGGAAAGCAAGTATTTCTCAAGTCCGAGGTCCTTCTCGGCAAGCAATACCCATGCAGAGTCACAGCTTGCGGTCCCAGACGATCGTCTTCCTCACTCCTTCGGAAGGAGCCTAAGTCAACCTGGTCGAAGGGACCGATGCTGAAGCCAACGTGCTGGGCTGATATCTCTTTCGAGTATATGAAGGAACTTGTTCTCAATTTCGAATCGCTAGAATCGACAATCTGCAATATTAGGCTTGGCGCTACTCTTTGGTTACAGCAAGCTTACCTCATCGGTCATCTCTCCAGAGCAAAGGACTGTAAGCTCTAGTGCCTTGTCCTCATCGCTGAATGAATCTACACGTTCCTTCACCTTCGCCTGGTGAGCGCCACGCACACCGTTTACCACGCCATTCACAGGCTTGGGCAAACGAAAAGCATCGCCTATCGTCTTGGCGCATTTGATTGATATCTCCCATGTGCAGCGTGCAGTCGTATCATCAAGGCAAGGGAAAAGGCAACCTGCGTTTCCCGGAAAAGAAGAGCTGGTCGTGTATGCATGAGGGTATCGCAGGTCTCCGTCGTCGAAGCCAACAAAATGCACACCATCTCGTAGATATGGAATCTCGTATTCCATCCAGACTATAATAGGTGTATATCGCGCTGTTTGTTCTACAGCTGTTTTATTATCCTTTGCGAGGTCTATCGCATTGGCGTCTGAGCCTCTCGTGCTACTTCCCAGTGTTTTTGACAGCAAGAGACTTTGCGCTTCATCTGACCAAGGATCTAGCTCTTCTATTTTCAGACTCTTTGGTAGGCTAATTATCATCTCTTCCTCCGGCTGAGCCCTCATACACTTGTCCAACCGGTCCTGCAACATGTGGTACTGGCGAACGCCAGCGCGCCATGGGAGCTTTGCCCGTTTGTATGGATCTTCATATGTCACAGCTGGAACTGGCTTGCCGTTGACAGTGAGTTTCCTGAGCTCGCATTGTCGGCAATTCAGTTGAATGTATTTCAAATCCTTCGAGTGAGGATTGACGGTAAGCTCTGTCCTCCCTTTCAAGCTGCGTGAAAGCAAGTCGATTTCAAAGTCTAGCTTCTGGTGCGAGACGGAGAATCCTGTGTCGGTAGGATGAGAATACGTCGCTTCCAGCATCGGCGCCATCGCGCGCTGGTGATAGAAAGTCGAAAATTAGATCTTGAATAAGGAATGAAGGCTGGAGTCCAGTAACCCAGGTGAACCGATCCCGAAACTGTGGCGCGAGCAATACATAGCACAAGCGAGTGGACGAGTAGGGAACGTTTACTTGTTAATGTCCGTCTGCTACGACGAGCAGTACGGACAGGTTATCACACAGCTCGAAAGCCTATTGCCTCAAAGCTACCGGCCACTTCAAAACATTCAAGCTTGTTCCACATTCCTGCAGGGACTTTGCTACCCGGCGATCGCCCCGCTACATAAGAGAGCTCCGCTTCAGTTTGACAGCATCTGGCACCACTACAAACTGAGATATTGCATCTTTCATTGTCAACTTGCCCTTCTGAATTGCACCTGGACACAAAATATGGCACTTGCACCAAAGTTTGCAGGACAGGCCTACTCTGCCAACGTATCTCCGAAAGCTGTACATACACTGGAATTATGTGCGAATAATTCAATTGCTTTCGTCTGATCAGCCGTTGATGGTGACCTTTCAGATCTCGACTATGTCTGCCCGTTCTCCGCCAAAATGTTCAACACTCTCAACTCCTCCGTCCTCCCCACGCTAAGTGAGAAATACCCAGCAAAAGTGCAATTCATCTTCCGGCAGCAAATTCAGCCGTGGCACCCGTCTTCAACGCTTGTTCACGAGGCAGGGGCAGCTGTTCTACGCTTATCCCCTGACAAGTTTTGGCCCTTCTCCGCTGCACTTTTCGGCAAGCAGCAGGACTTCTTCGACGTGAATGTTGTCAATGAAAAGAGGAATGACACGTACAAGCGACTCGCCAAGATCGCTGGTGGTGTAGGCGTAGACGAGGGGCAGTTCTTGGATTTGTTAACAGTGTCAGATAAACCGGCCACTGATGGAAGTCTCAACACTGGAAATAAGGTCACGGATGATGTGAAGCTGCAGGTGAAGGCAAACAGGCGTACTGGTGTGCATGTGACACCGACAGTCCTGTTCAATGTAAGTTAGGCCGTCTGGCTAAAGTTCAGCTGCTGATGGAGGTGAACAGGGAATCGAGGAGGGCAGCATCTCTTCAAGTTTTACTGCTCAACAATGGCAGGAATGGCTTGAAAAGAACATTAAGTAGACAGATTTGCCTAGGCATCTTGCTTGCTAAACAGCGCAATGCCTCGCATCTCAATATCCTGCCTGTGGTAAATGCTCAAGCAACATTTTTCACACGAAGTAGATATTCTCGTCAAAGCATACATTCGTGGCAGCTCGTTGATGCGTCCTTAACTTTGGATTTGGGTCTTTCGATGTCGCCATGAAATGCACTATTCAATGCGCCTGTACATGAGGTTGATAATTGATCGGTCGTCTGTAAGTATGTGAATGGGTTATGTATTTTTGCTCGGAACAATGAGGAACTCACTTAAATAGGAGGATGTGAGGCTCTGGTTCATGGACTTCGTAGTGTTCCCAACCGAGACTCTTGCAAAGAGCAGATTAGCTTGTGACCTTATCTCTCCAATGAATAACATGTACCTGGGTAATTCCTAGCCCTCGCCATTCTTCTTCCCATAAAAGTTTCAAAGTGCTTCTGGATTGATCAAAATAGTCCTTTGGAATTTTTTTGAGCATCTCCTTCGGTAATTGGACATGACGGTATTCGTATTCACTATCCGAATAACTGAGGCAAGCTTTAGCTGTGAATGGAAATTTTGTCATTTGTAAGAACTTTATTACCGCGATGAATAATGTATAGACTCTACGAATTCTTCAACTCTGTCTCTTTCGGCTTCTGAAAGCAGTCTAGGATGTTTGTTCCTTCGGTCTGGGTCTATGCTCGCCATCGGAAACGGCAACCGTAATTTCAAGAAAGCTGCGCGAACTCGAGAACCTCTAGGTTGAGGATTTGAAAGGGTGAGTTTCCGGGAGGCTCAGGATTTTGAGACGTAAGGCAGCTTTTGAAGAGAGGCTATTGTGGCAAGGTGGCGCTGAAGCTGGCAAACTTGACTCTAAGCTTCGTAAACCAGCAGGTTAGCGCCCAGCGCCACCACCTAAAAGATCGGAAAGATATTCAAGCTCGATGAGAATCTTTGATGAATAGCTTGATGTCGCGTATTGAAAATGGGCGAAAAGCTCCCAAGCAAGTGAAACAGCTTTGGATAGCAAGCAGCTGTTAGGCAGGAGCCAATAAACAAACCCTTTTTGAAGCTCAAGGTGGGGGCAGATGTCTTGGCGAGCTAGCTACTTACGCTTTAGCGCATTTCCCGCCAATGAGCGGAAAGAGCGTGCATGGAGAGTCCAATAGCCAGGATAGACAATCTGCTGGACGCGTGCGATACGGAGTATAGAACCCTTTTGCCATTGCACGGCCGAATCCAATGCGCTGAGAAACCGAATATACCCTGATTGTCTCTATAATCAGCCCTGATTGCGCGCTCGTGACCCGTCACAGAGGCGTCCACCACCCTCCCCATTGCAAAGAGGCTAAACATGCGATTTTTCGGCCCACCATAGCATTATCAAAAGAGCGAGGAGATCATTATATCGGCTTTGTTGCGAGGCATAAGCTGTAGCCGGGAGTGTACGAGTGTTGAGTTTCTGAGTCGCGCAAAGGTCTGGCGACAACACGCCTGCGACCATGAGTACGAAGCGGAAGGCGGTGCTTGCAGCAGCCAATAATGCATCAGAAAGCTCTCAAACTCCACCGGCAAAGAAACGAAAATTCTCGGTGAGTGCACACACATTTAATTTGTTCGACATTTCGTGGTGGTGAGAGTCGCGAATTGTCCGTGGCCGACAAAGAGGATGAGGTTTGCGGAGTTTAAAGACCAAAGATGCGGGCGTTCAGAGCTAGGGAATATCAACTTTGCGCCTGCTTCAAAACTTACGACCCCACTGCATCCTTTTGAGCCTAACACCTACAATCAACGCTCAACAGCAGTATTCTTAGCGAACTGTGACTGACATGTCGCATTACACAGCTTCTAGTGAAAGAGACAGCAGAGACAACAACTCACACGGGTTACGAGCTCCTTACGCAGCTCAAGAAGTCCCGCGACAAACAGTATGTATCACGACTCATGTGTGAAAAGTTTCTCTCTTACTAACACATTTGTAACAGAGGATGGCAAATAGCCACGCATTTCCTTACATTACCCGATCCTGTAATGCATTTCCATTCTCTTGTAGAATATCACTTACTGAACGCTCCCCCAGAATGAATTACCCGAGTACTACGACGAAATTGGCTTACCTATTGCTCTTGACACTATTGAGGTGAGATTCCATCTTGCCCCATCTCTTCTGGTTTCAATTGCGTACAGCCAACGAATTACAAATCTTCTCTATTCTCGCAAGATCCGCCGACAACAGCTGACACTATTTCTTCCTATTGACAGCGCAGATTGGAGAGGCACGAATATGCTACTATCTCCACACTCGAGAGTGATGTCAAGCGTATGATCAGCAATGCTAAATCATTCAACACTAAAGCATCGCAAATCTACTCGGACGCCGAGAAGGTCCGCAAACTGGTGTCGAATTTTATGGTCGACCGCAATCCAGCCTACCGCGACCAGACTTACCAAGCTGTTGCAACACCACTGCCTCCAGGATGGGAGTCAAGATCTGGCATAGCTTCCACTCCACGCGAAGCACATTCCAATGGAAATCTCAAATTGGAATCTCAAGCTACCGAGTCGAAAAGCGGTCGACGCTCCGGTAGGACTGCTGCGGCCACTCCTATTGCCGAAGAAGAGATCAGAAGGGCTAGCTCCACTCCTGCTGTTCAAGATGTAGAAGGCACGGGCGAAAGCTTCGAAGGAAACAGCTTCCAACAAGCCCAAGAGAAGATTGTGACAGAAATGATGGGTCTTACTGATGAAGAGTATGCCGTTGAACCCTGTTTGGCTTCAAGAGATCTAACCAGTCCTGCAGTAATCGGCTGGTATCAGCCAATTTCATACATTTGCCACCACGCTCACTCATTGATTATTACCAAATCATCAGGCATCCAGTCTCCATAAAGGCTCTGCAGAAGCAGGTTCGCGGAGCAAAGGGTCATAACGGACCGACCGGCACGACGCTGCTTCGAAGCTGGAACAGCTTTGCAGAGGAAGCCAGTTTTATCTGGAACAATGCACGAGAATACAACGAAGATGGTAGTGAGATTGTGGAATTGGCGGAGCAATTACAGGTCTATCAGATGCTGCTAACGGAAATGAGCAAAGCTAACAACCCTCTAGGAGTACTTTGTCGCGAGGGTGAAAGAGGCCAAAGCTGTGGTGACTGAACCTCCGCAACCTAGAGTGAAACTAACAATAGGTGGCAAATCGCCAGAGCCACCGCCCAAGATTACATTGAAGTTTGGCAGCAAATCAAGCAATGCGTCCGGTATCTCTGTCGATAATGAGGCGCTCAAACGGCAGCAGGAACTTGTGAAAGCTGCGAGCAGCACTCATGCAACACCCACTGTTCAGTCCGTTCGGCCCTTACCCGATAGAGCAGTGCCCGGCTTGGAAAAAGCAGCTATCAATGGCATCAAGCGTGAGGTTTCCCAAGGTCGATCTCCAGGAATTGCCCCCAGTCTCGTGAATGGAGTCAATCATACAGCGATGCCCCCCCTTTACAGAATACACCCAGAATCTCGAGTAGCAGTCCCCATCCCCAGACACTGGCCCCCAATGGTATAATCTCGCAGAATACGTATCCAAGCTCAGCTTATACGTCCTTCTGGAGGCCTTCAGGGAAAAGTGAGTGCAGATCCAAAAGAACAAGCATATGACTGACTCCGCGAAGATGCTACTGATGCGCTGATAATGAATCTCAATGTCAACACCCATCCTGATTCTAAAACGCCCAAGCGATTCAATCTCGACATCCCGGCTTCGGACAAACGCTCGCAACAATCAGTAACGATCACTCTGCCTGCCCGTCATACATACTTGCGAATTCAACCCACCTTGTGTGCCAGTCTAATGCAAAGGCCAAGCAAGACTTTGGTCACTTGCAACAATCGCCGACAGCAACCAGTCACCCAACGAGATTCAGATCAATCACGCCCTTTGTATGAGCATGTTCTTTCACCAGGCGTGAATACCCTTGAAGTTGAAGTAATTGCAGGTTTGCCAAGGGAGCTCCCAAGACCGGGATTGGGAACGACATTGAGATTGAAAAGATTACTCTGTTTGTTCATGTCCAAGGATCGTGATGTGATATTTTTGAAAGCATTTTCTAAAGATCTAGGAAGCCTTCTGGGATAAGCGCACTTTAGCTTAGCAAGGCGTGATGGTAGAGGGTGGATGAATGTCTGCAACGACGACATTTTAAGAACTTATCTTGCTTCCACCTAAGGTGGTGCTTGGACCACCTAAAGAAATGGGAAACAATGAAAATATTCTTTGTCCTTTGAGTTCTCATATCGCTCGCATATGTTGTCTAGATATACAAAGTAGCTGAGTGAGATACATCCTCACAGCCCTGTCAAGCTTACCTGCTAAAAGTGAAGCCACTAGCGGGTTGCCCGCACCGCCATTTCAAAAAAAAAAATTGATTCGAAAATTTTGGATTGCACAAGAAAAATCAAAATTCTCCATTGCCCGCCTTGCGGCCCCTTCTCATTACTCTCCACATCGTCTTGGTTTATATCACAAAAAGTCCCTTAAAATGTCTGATGAAGTTTACGAGGGCGCGATCGGCATCGATCTAGGTATTTGCCCAACATTCAAGCACGATTCTTTGACTTACAACTGCGAGGCACGACCTACTCTTGCGTTGCCAATTATGAAGGAACGAACGTGGAAATCAGTAAGATCCTGCAAATCTCATTTGCCCTGTCAGCTACTGATTATTCCCTCAGTCGCCAACGAGCAAGGCTCCTTCACCACACCTTCTTTTGTTTCGTTCACGGATGAGGAGCGATTGATCGGCGAGTCAGCCAAGAACCAAGCTGCTATGAATCCAGCGAACACGATATTTGATATCAAGTACATACAATCGCACGTCCATTGTCCGGAGAAGGGCTGATGGTAGATACAGGCGCCTGATAGGACGAAGGTTCGACGACCATGTCGTGAAGAAGGATATCGAATCATGGCCTTTCAAGGTTATTGACCAAGGCGGAAGTCCCGTAGTACAGGTTGAGTACCTCAAAGAGACAAAAATATTCACGCCTCAAGAAATATCCTCTATGGTGCTGATGAAGGCAAGTTGAAATTGACCAGATGGTGGGAAGGGGCTTACATAAATGCAGATGAAAGAAGTTGCCGAGACGAAGCTAGGCAAGAAAGTCAAGAAGGCGGTTGTCACGGTGCCCGCCTACTTCGATGACAACCAGAGACAGGCCACGAAAGATGCCGGAGCTATTGCAGATCTGCAAGTACTTCGAATCATCAACGAGCCTACTGCCGCTGCGATTGCATATGGTCTCGGCTCGGGGAAGTCAGCAAAGGAGCGTAATGTGCTGATCTACGACCTCGGAGGAGGTACCTTTGATGTATCATTGCTTCATATCCAGGGAGGTGTTTTCACGGTCAAAGCTACTGCCGGTGATACTCATCTGGGGGGCCAGGATTTCGATACGAATCTCCTTGATCACTTTAAGAAAGAATTTCAACGAAAGACGAAAAAGGATATTGGAAACGATGCACGTGCCTTGAGACGGTTAAGGACGGCCTGTGAGAGGGCCAAACGCACACTCTCGAACGGCACACAGACGACAGTGGAAATTGACTCTTTATTCGAGGGCGAAGACTTCAACGCGCAAATAACAAGAGCTCGTTTTGAAGACCTCAACGCAAAGGTCTTCAACGGTACCTTAGACCCAGTCCAACAGGTACTCAAAGACGCTGCGCTAGAGAAGGGCAAGGTAGATGAGATTGTGCTTGTAGGAGGCTCAACACGTATTCCAAGGATACAAAAGCTGCTTAGTGACTTTTTCGATGGCAAAAAACTTGAGAAGAGCATAAATCCTGATGAAGCTGTGGCATACGGTGCAGCAGTTCAGGCCGGTATTCTGTCAGGCAAAGCTACTTCCGCCGATACAGCAGATCTCCTCCTCCTCGACGTCGTTCCCCTATCTCTTGGTGTGGCTATGGAGGGAAATATTTTTGCCCCTGTGGTTCCGCGTGGTCAGACCGTACCAACGATCAAGAAACGCACTTTCACAACAGTCGCCGACAACCAACAGACTGTACAATTCCCAGTATTTCAAGGCGAGCGCGTTAATTGCGAAGATAACACGTCTCTTGGAGAGTTCACCCTAGCTCCGATACCCCCGATGAAGGCTGGGGATGCTGTCCTTGAGGTCGTCTTTGAAGTCGATGTCAATGGTATTCTCAAGGTTACGGCAACGGAGAAGACATCTGGACGGAGTGCAAATATCACAATCTCGAACTCCGTAGGTAAATTGTCATCAGGCGAAATTGAATCCATGATCAACGGTAAGCCAAAGTTCCAAATCCCTCTAAGATGTTCCATGTTAATATGTCCACAGATGCCGCCAAATTCAAAAATTCCGACGACGCGTTCAGCAAGAAGTTTGAAGCCCGGCAACAGCTCGAATCCTATATCTCTCGCGTGGAAGAAATCACGTCCGACCCAACTATGTCTCTGAAGCTCAAGCGGGGTACGAAAGAAAAGATTGAATCCGCTCTCAGTGATGCAATGGCGCAGCTCGAGATCGAGGACAGCAGTTCTGATGACTTGAAAAAGAAAGAGTTGGCCCTTAAGAGGCTGGTAACTAAAGCTATGTCGACTCGCTAAATATTTCGCTACACCCTGCGTTTCCGAGCAAGGCTTGTAAAGGTATTCTACTACCATCACATGTAGTGTTCTCACGTGTTCCCAATTGTGTCTGTTATACTCATGAGACGTATTTTCGAGTCCCTTGACAAGGACAATCCTTATCAGGAGTTGAAATCCCGACGTAGGCGAGGACGTATAGAAAGAAGGAATAGAGAGAAACGGCTCGAAATAAAAGCGTCAAATATCGTGCATTTTGATTCAATGGATGGCCTCCCGCGCTTCCGTGAACATTCAAGTATATGACGGGAGGTCAGACGGGGTACGCAGCATCAGCTTCTAAGCCGTACCTAACAAGATTCACTCTATCGACACGAACGCTTTATATGATGCTGATTACATATTCGCCTTCTCCATGATATTCCTCATAATACTGTTCATCTAAGAGCACGAAACCTGCATTGAGTCTTTCATGGACTTGCGAGCTCTCGCACGTGAGTATGCCACACCGGTAATAATGCCCCCTGACGATATCGCATGGGGTGAGAACCAGACCAGTCAGACCTTCTCGCGGATACTGACAGGCGTTTGAGAATAATGGAAGCAGAAAGAGCTCCGTATCTTTGTGCTCGTGTTCTATGAGGGTGAAATTATAGCGGAAGGGAGCATGTTCGCTTTCTCTTTCTCTCCTCAAGTCTTCACCGCCGATGAAGCCTTTAGTATCCATTATGAGATGTGTTAGTTTGTCTTTCGCTTTCCATGCATTTTCAGTCTCAGAATAGGCGGCCCTGGTTAGAGCGTCTTTGATGCGAATATAGCCGTCCACCAGTTGTCCGGTTTCGTCCGCAACCGGGGTAGTCGAAGCTTCGAGTATTTGTGAGCGTGCTTTTCTTTCAAGCTTATGTTTCCAGCCATATGACGAGGCTATAGATCCAGTGAAAGACGCCCAAGACCAGCTGGGGGCCCTGTAAGATGATACCAATGGGGCTTCAGATCCCCGCCGGAACCATAGTAGCGTCTGAAGAAGATTACCTTCCAACAGTCCGGCTAGGTACCTGTCTTTCAGAAAGTGTTTGAACTCTTGTGCTAACCCGGATAATGCTGGAAAGACGTCCTCGGGATTAGTAAGGGTCTTTGTGGAGTATGAGCACATTATTCGGCCCCACAGATTATAGAGCTGAGATTTGTCTCGCCCCGTGTCCGTCATAGAGAGAGTGGCGTGACTATTGTCGATGGAAGATATCTCAAAAGTTGCAGACTCAATATCTTCTGACGATGTACTTTGAATCGATCGTAACAAGGGAAGTTTCTCAACCCAGTGCAGCTCGTTACTAAAATGATCTCGTTTTGGGTGCACTTCAGGTCTAGTGAATTCGGCGCATTCCCAAAAAAGCTGGCTGTGGCCAAAATGAAGGGTACAGGGTGAGAGAAGTCTTTCTTGAAGTACCCATGCGCGTTTGTTCAGCGGTGCACGTTCAACATTATTGTACCATAACTGATGCTCCGCTAAAAAGTAATAGCCTTTCCGTTTGGATAGTGACATCGGCCATAAATCCAGCCAAGGGATGTATAATTCTAACGGAAGGATTGATTCCAGGTCCCGATCGACGAATAGTCCAGCTCTCCCATCTGGAAATCCGGTAGCGGCTATATTCAGAGCTGCAAATTTATAGACCTTATTCATCTTTGACGATTCGACGATCCGATCGGCATTGTCATCCTGTAGGATACACAACGAATCGACCCACAAGAAACAGAATCCCAGTCTCCAAGTGACCCAAGCTGCATCTTGAAAAACTTGAGGCAGTGACAACAAGGGGATTTCCTCACGTAGCGCTTGCAGATTTTTTCTGGTAAGCTTGAATATTCGTTGAAGTCCCCAGGCATGGCTCAACGCAAGATAGGGTTCGGCATGTGGAAAGTCAGTATCAAGGCGGAGACGAAGAGTTATATAACCATCTACTTTGATTACTTCCACGAGTCTCTTTGGAATAAACGTGGGATTTGAGTAATGTCTACAATTCTGATGACTTGCCTCGACACTCGCGAAACCACAACTTTGCCTGCTCAAGGCTTGCGTCAGAATCGGTCCTCGAGCTAAGCTTGCGCTTGAGGGGGCCTGTTCCCAAGTCTGTTGGCCTTGTCAACTTACATCAGTCCACATGAAGGGCTCGAAATACCTATTCTATGTTGAACTAGATTGTCGAAAACGGTGAGTCTCTTGTTCTTTTCGGATCCTGATCGTACTTTGAAGTACACCGTGCCGAGTGTTGACTTACTGAAGTAAAATTGCAGGCCTTGTTGTGCAATGGCTTGCTTCTGATCTTCGAGGGGAGTGTCGGATAAAGGTAGACCAAGTTGGATTGACTTTTCGGTACACGTGAGTACCTTCAGACATACCTGGCAACCGTGTAAGGCAAGGCATTTGAGAGAAGCCCATGACGAATGGAAAGAATGCCAATTATCGAACTATTCCTCAGGGTGGCCAACTCTAAAGATTTCCCAACACACAGGACAAAGGCCTGCAACGATTTCAGTTCCTTGTCGCCGCTTGCTGGGGCGCTCGTTTATGTCGATGTCGTTCCCACGAGAAGGTGTTGGAGGTCGTCGCTTCATCGTCACGGCACCCTCGTATGATTATCTGCTCATTGAAGGTGGATGGACGATAGATCCATTGCTTCAATTGAACCTCGTAAGCATGGCTTAGCAGTGGGAACATTATGCACTGTATTATTTCATCTGAGGCATGGCACAATCCATGCTGTATTCCATGAAGGGGACCCCGGTAGCCAACCTTAATACCGCCCCGTGGCGGCTACTTCCGCAGCTTGACAGGGGCCTAGAGCTCCGGGAGAAAGTTGTTAGTCCAGGGCAAGCTCCCCGGAAAAAGGGCTGTCGAGAATCGAGATTTGCTGTGGTCCTGACTTGCATACATGCCCATTGTCGAATCCGATGTCTATGAGACCGTTCTCAAGCGCTAGTCGCTGCCTCAAATTTTCGGAAGCTCTCACGATATTCTGCGTCAACCCCTTCCATGATGCACCTCGGTCAATCCTTTTCCGTTTTCTTCTACCTCGAATGTCCAAAATTACTCCTTTGACAAATGGTACTCGCTCCTTCACCGCAAGCTCTAGGTCTCTCAAATCAAGTCACAAATCATCTCGAACGATGGCAGCAGAAGCTAAAGCGCAAGACTCTTCCCAGATTGATGACGCCTTCGATTTCACAGACTATGAAGCGGCAATTGGTACAGTACAAGACCAGCTGAGAAGCGATCTCGCTCGAATTAAAGCAGGTGGCAGAGACCTTGAATCTGTGGAGCAGATACGGGTCAACTCTGGAAAAAAGTCGAGTCCGTCTTCTCAAAAAGGAACCGCGATCGGGGATTTGGCGAGTGTGATGCAAAGAGGACGAAATATCGTCGTGATGGTTGCTGAAAAGGACGTATGTCTTCGATTTCTTTGTAGACTTCCTATTTACGTTGAGAAACACTCTGAGTCCTTGCTCACACTAACTTCACTCTTCGCCAGTACCTCAAATCAATAACCTCAGCTTTGAACTCGATTCCAGACATGACGCCCCATCCTCCTCCCGCAGGGGGCGAGCCCCTCCATATTATCCTGCCTATCCCTCCAGTAACACACGAGAGCCGCTTGCAAGCCTCAAAGACTGCACATGAAAGAGGTGAGAAGGCACTATTTGCTCTGAGAGATGCTAGAACGGCGCAAAAGAAGCGGCTCAGGGCTTTGGGACTGGCCAGAAAGGTCACACCGGACAAGAACCATAGAGCAGAGCAAAAGATGGAAAAGGTCAATGAGAAAGCGAATACAGAGGTGAAGAGGGTAATTGAAGAAGCACGCAAGAGGCTAGAAGGTGGTGGAGGAAGAGGGTAGCGGCATTGGTTTCAAGAGGTCAGAACCTCATTTGCAGTCTTGGTGGACACGAGCGCGTCGCCCCCTACTCCCTTCTAGACGAGATCTTTCGGTTGTGGGGGTACATTGGACAAGTCTTTTGTCCTTCCAGCATCATTGCTTGACCGAGATGAACTTCGAAGTGACATGGAAGTGCCTGGGCAGCGAGCGGTCGATTTCGACCAGAGATATATGCACAGCCCTGGCTGTTCAGCCTTGCAACAAGGATCAGGTGCAGTCTTCGGGTCTTCTCTTCTGATCAAGAAGATGACTTTGGCGTGGGAATGCACTTATGAGATCGGACAACGGGATTTCTAAACAGCATGAAAGGTTCCATTGCGGAGACCGACGAACGTATCAATCCCCAGCAGAAGTTCCATGAGTGCTAGATATGGCGGACACGCAAGGGGACAGTTTTGTCCCAACTTCATGTGACTTCCGACATGATCTCCAAAGGAAACAGGAGGAGCCCACATTTCACCTTATGCCAAGATGAACGGGTAATGATGAACAGACAATCACCAACGAAACAACGGAAGAGGCTTGTGACACAACACGGATTGCAAGCCATATGCTACATTTGAAACATCACCGGTGCAAAGTCTATGACTATCTTATCGTTGATGTTCAGCCTTTAACGGTGCAATGTGTCTTTGGCGCACAGAACGATTGGCTACCGCAAGGAGTACCAGCTGAGAAGGCAGCCTCGCTTGGAATCATCGGACCTCTCTCCATGCCCCGGTCTACGTAGTGCGGCAAAGCTTGTGGCCTGCCTCATGCGGGCAAGTGGCTAAAGCAATCGAGCAATTTCGATGTCTTCAGCCTGCCTCATGAACTTGAAGGTTATCAATTGAACGGGGCGCATACTTCGGAATGCATAACTACTCACCGAGTATGCCGTGTCGTCATGACTCCCATGCACCTTCAGCCGTAAATGCAGGATGGCTGTGCCCTCTGGCCAACAATAGAATTACGCCTAGGCTTTAGGTTCCTGGGACGCTATCCTTATTCCTCCTTCGTTTCGGGCCTCTGGTGGGACTGACCTGTTAGCCTTGTGGGGGATCGGCCAATGCTGCCGAAGGCTCTTCCTGTGTGGACACAACCCATGTTGAAAACCATCGTCCAAACCTACAACCAGTCGGTGGCTTTCTGGCGAGTCCTCGGCCTATGATGCGAAGAGACACATGCTGCATGCGCAGAAAGACAAAAGAATAGTTCTGCAGTTCCTGGATGCAGCTCCTGAAGATGGGGGGGGGATGCGGCACATCATTGGAAGTCGGCACATCACAAGCCTTCAACCTATCTAAGTTCCAAGCGTGACACTTCTCATGCATCCTGGAGCTTTGAATCATGTCGTATAACCTCGAGCCTATCAGCAGCGCTCAATTCTGCATGAGGGTCTCGCGCCGCACCGCATGGAAGAGGCGCATTGCTTGTCTTGCATGATGTTTGGACCTTATCGGGTCCTCCGATCCTCAGGATCAGTCAACATCTCGCTGCCAATGTACTTGTATGTGCCAGCGCGGCGCTGTCACTTCACCTTCCACGCTTCTTTATTCACAGTCTGGGCCCCTTGCTTTTCCTGCTTTTCTCCTCGATATCTCAACATTTTCACAGCTTGTCAATGAATGCTTGAAAGACCTGAGTTCGAAATTTGGTAACAAGGCTACAAAACTATGAGCAATCCCAGCGTCGCTGGCCCACATGCGCAGGGAGATGCTCAAGACAATCGAGGACCAGCCCTCTTGGGGATTGTCGCTATATTCACCGCCATATCTGCTATTGCAGTAGGTTCACGTCTCTTCGTAAGGCTATGGATACTCAAGAATCCTGGGCTAGACGACGCCGCGATATCTCTGTCACTGGTACTTCCGGACACCCTTGTCTAAGAGATATGTCATTGACAAAAGGTATAGATCTTAGCCATCATTTCAACAATAGCCTATGGTATAGCGATCGAAAACGGATATGGTCGGCACATCAAGTACATCTCAAAACCGGACTTGGGAGAATCCATCAAATGGAATTTAGTTGCAACCGTCGCTTTCTATCTCAGTCTCATCTTCAGCAAGATCTCAGTGTGTTTTCTCTTCCTGCGCATCATTGGTAGAACCCGGACGCCTCATAAGGTCGCTTTTCTCTACGGTATGATGGCTTTAGCGAGTGTAATTGGATTCATAGCTGCTGGCTACACCGCGGGCCAATGTCAGCCAGTCGCGAAAGATTGGAACCATGAGTTACCAGGAAAATGCCACGGGGATACCAGCGTGAAGATAGGCCTTGCTCAGGGCAGTATGTACTCCACTGACCTGCACTTTCGCGAATACCTCTAATCCCGGATAATTCAGGCATCAATGCATTCATCGACTTCTCTCTCGCGACCTTTCCCATTACCTTCCTCCTCAAGTCGAAAATGGACATCCGTCGCAAAGTCTTCATATGGGCGCTGATGTCCTGCGGCGTTATCGCGGGCTTTTGCTCCATCGCTCGCATTGTCGTCTCTTCCGTCCTAGTCAATAGTGGCGATTTCACCTACGTCGAGACCGCTGGAACCTACCTTGCAGTCGCCGAGGAAGCAGCAAGCATCGTCATCGCGTGCATACCCACCCTTATGCCTCTAATCCAAGTCATGAGAGGCAAGACAGTAAGTGGAAAGAGCTCGAAATACGGAAGGTCATGGCCCACGAAGTCAAGTTTTGCGCAGCATACCGCACCAGACCCATACGAGATGAATACATTTGTGTCGGCGGTACCGCCGGGGGAGAAGCTTCAAGGGGCCTATGGGAGCGACGTTGATCTTGTGCCGGGGATTGAAAAGATCACGAGGATTGATGTCAAGAAGGAAAACGTAAAAGATATCGAAATGGTCTGAAAGCCTATTTCAAATAATCTCACAAGCGCGAGTTTTCTTTCCTAATGGGACTTGATATCATGCGGCTTAATCCTCTTGCTCTCGACTCTCTTGAATCATCATGAAGGCTGAAGGCCGAATGCAAGACTTAGATCTGATACCTAAACCAAAAGAGTTTGTGTACAAGATGGGAGCACATTAAGAGCTTAGGACGAGATATTCACTTCGTCCTTTGAACGCGATCACGAATCATGCAACCAATTCTCAGAGCATCGCACCAGAATTTAGACCAACATCCTGGCCGCTTCGATAAATCAGCTCTAATCAAGGTCTCAGCTATCAAATATCAGCATTGAGACCACAAGATCCCGCCCGCCGGTAATGTCTCAAGGGTCATATTCGGCAAAGTCAATGGCTGGGGTCAATGCTAGGCATGGCACTGACCATGCAAAGAGGCACCGGTCTCCGAGATCACTTGCACTTGGAAAGGTCGAGTCTATGCTGTAGAGGACGTTGAGCGGATTCTGTGCGGCGCTGCTGCTACACGCGAGCTTGCAAGTCCTTAAGATTCAATGACATGATAGCGCAAGCGCGTCATTTCATGATGCTTAATATCCCTGAAATACCGATTAAGAGCACTCAGAGAATGTCTTATCCCAATGGACATCGGGGCTTCCTGCACACCGTTGCGGTAGAAAAGTCAGTGCGAGAGTGTTTAAGTCAAGGGCAGATTACTGAAGAACTAAGCACGCGCCAAACATTTCGTGAGAAACAGTGATATGGTAGCGATAATCATATCTAGACTCGTGAAATTTAAGGAGTACATCAATTCTAGCTTTCGAATACATCATCTCCAACGCCAACGCTTTCGCTCCTCATATACATATTTTTGACATATTCGGCCCTCTCCCACAGGTATATTACAAGACAGCCACCCAAACAAAACCTCTTGGCCCCCTGCCCTTCCCCTTCCCAAATTATAAAGTAAGCATCCCCCCGCCACACCAACCACCACAGCACTCAAAATACTATACCTCCCCTTCTCACCCGCCACATTCGTTTCCTCCCCACTCGCCGCCGAGCTCGTGGCACTAGCCGCCGCATCTGTCTCCGACGGCGACGCCATAGCCGTAACACTCGCACTCGTACTCTCGACCGTACCGAACGTAGCATCGGTCGTCTCACTCACACCCGCATCATCCGTCACTGTCGCCGCAGCCTCCGACAACAAGCTATTGAGACTAGTGATGCCACTGAGGGGGGGAGGTCGTCTGGCTAGCCGAGAAGGGTAGCGGGGTCGTTGAAGTGCGTGGGGTCGATGTCAATGTTTGCGCCACCGTATTCGTCGTTCGCGCCGTAGTGCGAGCAGTCTGGTGTGGAGCCACCGACGTAGTTGGAAGAGAGCCAGGTGCCGGAGATGCCGGAGCCGTAGGGGGAGCCGTATTGGCGGCGTGAGAGGAGGGGAGGGAGGTTGGAGGCGAGGGGTGTGAGCGGGAAGAGGAGGAGGAGGGTGAGGGCGGTTGAGGTGTGCATGGTTCGTGGGCGCTGGCGATGAGGGTGAGGGTGGATGTGTTATTGAAATTGAAGAGGGTTATTTGATGTAGCAATGGTAGTAGTGTGGTAGAAAACGAAGAGAGCTTTTACAGAATGAGCATTTCTTTCAATGAGATAAAGGGTGCAATGGTTGGATATTGAGATAGCACTGATTGAACGACCAGTTGGGAAGGTAGCTCTATATGTATGCATCCATTCTTGTCCATCTGCATGTTTAAAAAAGCATTTGGAATCCAGTCGGCGTACCTCTAAGAAGGGACTGTAGCACCTTGCCTACCTTTCCCTTCCATGATAGTAATGAGCTTGCTCTTCACATCGAATAATACTAGTTTTTACCAGCCAAATGCAAGCATTCATGAGATTGAAAGGGACAAGCTTCCAGCCTCAAGATCAGGAGTGCAGGCCATAGAAGCTATGGTTAACCCTTCTACCGTTGAGCCAGTCTGGTCCCTAGAATAGCCTAGCTGAGCCTGAAATCGTGGCAGCCAGCCAGGTCGTTCCAGGCCTCTTATGGCGTTGCTGGTATTGCATGCCAAGCAAAGAAGTTGACAGTGCGACTCTACCATCATACCTTTCCCGACTGGCTGTCCTCCTCTTGCCGTCTGAGCAGATTACACTCACCTGGGCTTTTAGAACGTTGCAGAAGTACCTTTTGCTCTAGCGGAAAGCACGAGTTATCTTGTACGCTCGGTAGCAGCGGACCTAGCTCTGGATTGCGGCTGGAAAGGCCTCATATCGTAGGCTCAAACTCAGTTATTTTTCTCACCGCCAGTACGATGTCTTTGATCAGCGATGATGCTCATTATTGAGTTGAGAGAGCAGTCACGCGTCTCCCTGAGAGTTGAGAGCCATCGCTGCCTTCACGGGGCTTTACATCGCATGGCCATAGCAAATTTTCCCGTTTCAATGACTTGGAGTCACTTGCGCAACACAGCTTTCTCTATTCAAAAATGGACGGTCGAAACGTAGCCGAACAATTAATATAATTTGTTTGGAGTCCAAAAGCCCTGCATGCCTGCGTCGAAAACGTCGGAGTCTTGCATCCAACGTCGTTGCAGTCCTGGACGAGCCACATACGGAGATGATGTGTGTTGGGGCCATTTGTGTGCCAGGTTGAAAGCTGTCAAGACCGGAATACTTTTCTCGCTCCGATCGATACATTCTCTGCCTGACTGAGGCTCACAGGGTGTTCGAATAGGTTGAATATCTTCTAAGAGGCCTTCGTTGATCAAGTCTGGGCTGTCGTATCTTACCTGGAAGATGTCAGATCCGGCCATGTTGGGATTGCCGGAAGACAGTCGACCCCAGACTTGAGGCTGTTGGTGAGGCATCAAATCAAAGTCGTCATCATTTCCGGTAAGTATAGGTGGCGTATCTCTGGTAAGGCAGCGTTCTCGCCGCAAATCCAGTGTTGAGTTGAGGCTTGGTCGCTCTCTGCTAAACAGCTTTGGCTTTGGAGACTTCCAGATGTCTGTAAAGGCTCGGGAAACTCCTCTATCGTAAGTTCCTTCGATCAGAGTCGTCTCCTGCGATTCTTCCTTGAGTTGACGTCTATAAAGCTCGCCGTATCCATTCCATGCATTTTGAAAGCATGCCGGCCGACTCGATGGTGCATGATGCTGGTCAGACTCGAGTGAGACCTTCAACGTACGAGCCGTGTTGACGCTCTGGCTTTGTGCATCCTCAAAATCAAGAGGTATATCCACTGATAGAGTCTTAGACTGTGGCTCTTTGGTAGTATCAGCGATGTCAGCATGTTGCTGCTCTAGAGGCTCTCGAGCATCTTCTTCGTGAAGATCAAATTTAGAACGTTCTTGCACACCCGCGCTCAGTTGCCCCTGACTGCGGACGCTATCTGTAGGAGCCCGTTCGCTCCACACATCATTCTTGTTCTCGAAGCCGCGTGAATTGAGCTGGGAAGCACTGATATTCTTAGCGACTTCGGTATGAGAACTTTTGCAAGCATTGAGCAAGTCATCAAGGCTCTGATCTGGATGGTCATTGAGTCGGAAGGACGAATGTGTACTGGCTCGAACATCTGCAGGGCTGGCTGTACGCTCAGGGCCATCGTCCGCATTATTCCGCTGAATGAGGGCAGACAATTTAGTTGTCTCGTCGTCAGCTCCATGGACAGTTGGTTGGTAGTCATTTGAGGTTCGCCCTTGATTGTGGATGGCTTTCAGAACACTGTCTTGAGCTTGGAGGTTTCGATTTTCATTCATCGTGGAAACACCCTTCTGGCCTTCCTTGCCAAAAGGATTTAGCTTAGCGACTTTATCGTTAGTTGAAAGACTTGACGCGGTTTCCCCTTGCTGCTTAGTGTGCCCACTTAAGTTCTTTGTAGCAACCCTCCTTTCAACTTCTAAGTCATCGAAGATTTGTGACCTAGCGTCTCTGTGATCAGGGTGATCTTGGTCTCCGGTAGGTGTTCGCAGCTCCGGTTGGTAATCGTCCATCCCGTGAAACTTGATGCTGTCTGGCAAGTCGTCTTCAAATCTTTGCTCGGCCCTACTTGCATTACTTCGTGACCAACTGAAATATGAGGTTGAGCGACTTGGAGATCTGATCTCTTTTTGGATCTGCAGACCGTTTGGCTTTTTAGGCTCTGTCCCTTCTTTTACTGGAGACGTTGAACTTGGGCCACAGCTCCCGAACCCTAGAAATGGGTTTGACGGAAGTTCAACAAGAGCGAGAGGCGGGTCACGTCGCTTCTGATTGGAACTAGAGCCTCTCTCAATGATATTTCCCAAGTCGGGCCTGCTCTTGCCCTTTATTGTATCCTGTCTCGAAGTAAAATAGCTTGAAATCTCTGCATCACCATCGGCTCGCTTTCGATCCTTTGGCAGGTACTTTTCTCTTCCTTCTCGCCGCGAATAGTCAGCCTCTTTCGCCGTCCTCTTTCGTGTATTTAGGAAATCAAGCTTTGGGAACGCAAGATCAGGCACTACAATTTCGTAAGTATTGTAAGATAGGGGGGCTAATAGACTTACAGGGCGCAGAGCTTCTGCCTTTGCCGAATATACCTACATTGACCGACGGTCGCAGCTAGCCGCCATTGTCAGTCGGGACTGCATCAATGATCATGATGGGCGTATCCTCACAGTCAGACGCTCACTAGAAACGTTCGGCGCCTCATAATCATGCATCAGTGTCGCTCCAGATTTCTCCTGTCTTGAACGCCTCTCACTTTTAGCGACAGGCTTCTTTCGTTTTGCCTTCTCCTTCCTTGAACTTTTCTCTGTTTTCACAGCATACTTGTCTGGATGGGTCTTGTGCCTGGGTCGCCGAGAGAAAGAAGAGGTCTGAGCTGATTCCTCGATCTCAGCTCTGTGAGCAGTGGAAGTTGAATCGGATTTCCCATCCCATACGTAGTTTGCCGCCTGCTCGAGTTGGACCAATTTCTGAGATTTAAGTCTTGCAGGTCTGTCCTGACGATTTACTACATCGACAGGGAAACCAGCATCTTCCAAAGTGCTATCTTCAGATGGTGTGACTTTTCGCCGCCTTTTCCTTTGACGACCGATATCATTTAAATCCAGCGGAGATTCACCACGATGCTGCATGTGGCGAAAATGGCCTAGCAATGCATCCAGATCTGGAGATGTGTTCTCATTGACTCTGCAGTACTTGTCGCTAGGTTTGGAACGACTCAATTCCTTTGGAGCTTTGTCTCGGCTCGTACGCTGTAATTTTTCATAACTTTTCTTCTTTGTGATGCTATCAGTGTGAGGATTATGTCGGTCACCATGATTTTTGGCATGGCTTTTGGGCCCATAAAAGGGCTCATTCAAGACGCCCGCATTGCTTCTTACCTGTTTGGGCTTGGAACTAGAATTCTGTAGCCATTTCTTGATCGCAACTCGAGGAGACAGCCGCTGCTCCTCGGGAGACGTCATTACGTGCAAGAATGGCACAGAAAAACGAATGAAGAGAAAAACACCGTATGTACAAGTACGAAGATCATTAGGCGAGCAAGATTGATTGCAGAATGTAGTCATTATTACCGAAGCTTTGAACTGGAAGCTTCCGGAAAAGGAAGTGACGATGGACCTTTCTGCGGACCCATTTTGACTGCGCAGAGAAAAGGAACGCTCAGTGAGAAGGCTCATCAGGCGTACAAGCCAGATGGCGATCGACATTTTACATCTCCAAGAAACGGACCAAGTCCGAAAGGGGTACCAAAGACCGCCAGTAATGCAGAAGGCATATGGGAATATGCAGTCACAAAAGTCCAGGCCTAATTCCGGCGCTAGCAGATAGGCTGCATTAGCGCGAAGTAGCTTCAACACCGCGGCGGACTGCATTCGTCACTTTTCATCAGAGATACGGCTGTCGCGGCGATGCGTTGGGACAAGATGGGCTTCTTTAGGCAGGGGAGTCGACTGCTCTTCCACGAGTAGAGAATATGCTGGGCATGGCTTTGTGTTCTTATCACTCCAACAAATTCGACGCCTCCCTGCCTCTATCTACTTGGTCCTCTCAAAATGTCGACAAATGTAGAGCCTCCGGCCACCGTGGAAAAAAACGTCAACACAACCGGCGGGACGACTCCTGATTCCTCAGACTCTCCTCGATCCGAAGCTCGCTTTGAAGATGAGATCCCATATACTATCTTCACGCCTTGGGAGAGGAAGTTCATAGTATTGGCCGCCTCGCTCAGCGCTATATTCTCCCCCAGTGAGCTTTCTCCACGTTGACGTTTTGACTGTAGGTAGACATATTGATTGCTGTCCAGTGTCGACAACGATATATCTGCCGGCACTCAACCAGCTTGCTTCTGACTTGCATGTCAGTGATGCTCAAATAAACCTGACGGTGACCACCTTTCTGGTGAGGAATTTCTATACTGTAATTCAATTGATTGTGCTGATACTTGCAAGATCTTGCAAGGGCTCGCACCAGCGCTCATAGCCGGCTTCTCCGATACTGCAGGTAGAAGACCGGCTTACATGATCTGCTTTACGTTGTACCTGGCTGCCAACATCGGTCTTGCCATTCAAAGGAACTATGCCGCGCTTTTAGTCCTTCGCTGTCTTCAAAGTGCCGGTAGCAGCGGGACAGTAGCACTAGCTCAGGGGGTCGTGGCCGATATCGTTACGAGTGCTGAGCGAGGGAAGTATGTTGGCTGGACTTCAGCTACCTCAATTGCTGGGCCCATTTTGGGCCCCATCCTTGGTGGCTTACTCGCACAGTACGGAGGATGGCCTTGGATCTTCTATTTTCTGATCATACTGACAGGAGCGTTCCTTGTGCCATTTGTGCTCTTCTTCCCAGAGACATGCCGAAAAGTGGTTGGTGATGGATCTGTGCCGCCACCAAAACTGAACATGTGCTTGACAAACGTCATTAAGGAAAGATCGAGAAAAAAAGCTGGTATTGAAATTGACACGCAGCAATCGGAAGAAGTCAGGAGAAACTACAAACTTTCTATTCCCAATCCGCTGTCCACGTTCAAGATCGTAGCAGACAAGGAGTCAGCCTTAATCCTTTTTAGCAGCGGTCTGGTAGTGGCCTGTTTGTACGCCGTCAATACTGCTTTACCGAGTCAATTCAAAAAGATTTATGGCTTTGATGAGATCCAGATCGGGCTCTGCTTCCTACCATTCGGTGCGGGAAGCATAATTTCGGCATTTACAACGGGCAAAATGATCGACTTTTCATGGCGAAGGCATGCTAAAAGAGCAGGCTTTCCTGTCATGAAGAACCGACATCAAGACTTGACACACTTTCCCATTGAGAGGGCGAGGCTAGTAGTGGCACTACCGCTCCTTTACTTCTGCTGTGCTGGCTTAATCACATATGGTTGGGTTTTAGATTTTGAGACTAGTCTTGCTGGACCGCTTGTTGTCCTATTCTTCACCGGTTATGGGATCATGGCTGGTTTTCAGATCATGATCATCCTCATTGTTGACCTTAGTCCTGGCAACGCTGCTGCTGCTACTGCGGCAAACAATATCTTCAGGTGTCTTATTGGGGCTGGAGCTACAGCTGCGATAGTGCCAATGATCGATGCTTGGAACGTTGGTTGGGCTTACACCTTCGCCGCATTCACTTGGATTGCATTGAGCCCTATGCTACTTGTGCTCTTGAAATACGGCCCGCGCATGCGACTTGCTAAGAAGGAGAAGCTAGCGCAATCGATCTCGCAGCATGGAGAGATGCCTGTGGAAAGAAGGACTGACGATTCGCATGTTGGAATGACACGCACGAGGAGACTAGAGGAGGGTATTGCAGCGGACGACAAGGCACCTGAACCGGTCAGAAACGCCGACGCCAAGGCATGATCAATAGCTTACGATACCGCGCGGCGGAAATCTATACAGAATGATTGGGTGAGTTGCTCAATCATAGATCAGCGGTGAATGAAAGTCATCATTGTCATTGTCCAATCAAAACCAATCCTCGAGGCTTCCTAATCATTTCCGTTCCTGCGGGTAAGCTCTTCACAGAGAAAGATCATAGCGCTAATGCAGGTCACGCATCTAACGCAGCCTTACTTTATCTCCACGGCGTTGGTCTAAGTCCTTGAGATCATCATAGGACAGTGTTGCGGTGTCCGAAGCTCTTGGCTATATCTCCAGCTGCAATGTTCCATTAGCGGCACCTCCCTGCCTCCCCCTCATTGCCTTGCCAACGATATCGGAATTATCTTCTGATGCTTCTACGGTTCTTTCTTTGAATATCTCAATCTATCAAAATGAGCGACTTCAACTCCCATTGCGCTTGCACCCCAGCTGTTCCCCATGAGTATGCCCCAACTGGAACATACACCACCGTCACAGGTCTGAACACTTGTATGCCTCACCGTCCCTTCCGCTTTCCTAAATTCTCAATTTCCCAATTCTCCCCTTAACATCGCCCACAGACACAGCAAAACCCTCCTATTCCAACTCCCCAACGAGTGCCATCATAGCCATCCACGACATCTTCGGCTTCAACGCGAAATCAAAGACGTTTCAAGGCGCCGACCGCTTAGCTTCCCAAACCGGCTCCGTCGTCCTGATGCCCGATTTCTTCGGAAGCGAAGCTGTACCACTTGGTCTGCCTGCTGATGAGCAGATGAAGAAAGTTCGTGAGTTGTTAGCAGGAAAAGCTAATGTGGGGATGGCAGTTGAGAAGGTGAGGGAAATTGTAGAGGCTGTGAAGTCTGAACCACAGTATGGGAGTGTGAGGAAGATTGGTATTTACGGACTTTGCTGGGGTGAGTATGCTAAGGGATGAAAGATTTCCCTGTGGTTATGATCTCGGGAGAGGTGGTGCAGAGCTGACGTGAAAATTCGGGACTAGGTGGAAAAGTCGCTGTCGCGTCCAGTCAAGCCAACACTCCATTCGCGGCGAGTGCGCAGGCGCATCCTGGGTGAGTCTGCCACTTTCGATCCCCCTTACTCTCAACTGACAGATACATTTACAGTATGGTGGTCGTCGAAGACGCCGAGAAGCTTACTATCCCGCATCTTGCGCTCTTCTCGAAGCAAGATGGTGAGCCCGAACTCATAGAAGCGTATAGTAAAGCTCTTGAGGCAAAGATGGACGCTTCATCCGAGAAATATGAGAGGATGTCTCATGGTTGGATGGGGGCGAGGGCTTTCCAGGACCCGGAGGATGCTGTGGAGGGGTTCGAGAGGGGGTAAATCGATGATCTTGTCGGTGAGACGAGATTGATTACTGATGAGTTCGCAGGTACGATCAGTTGAGCAAATTCTTTGCAAAGTATTTACAGTAGGTTGGAGCGTCTGTAAGAAGCGGCGAGTCCTACGACGTGACCATTATTCGAATCCACGAACAAAGCTCATGTTGGTTCTTTGCCACCAATTCTGCTTCAGACAGATCTGATAGTCGGCACATTGTTCTATACCTGTTTGGCATTGGTCACTCAATGAAGCTTTCCCTCGAGATTGAACATTCTTCTTAAAGACTCATTATGCGTATCGTGACCAGGTTTTAACGTGGTATTCCTGCATATACTCCAAGTTCATTTCAGAACCTTTTCGGTGAGAAGAATTTGATAGCTATCAGTTGGGCAATAGTCACCGCTGTGATTGACAGCTCCAATTTTGCCTCATGCTCAGTAGTGACGCATATCGCTAGTCTATTTTCCAAAAGGCAAATTTGTAGACTTGGTACGAGGTCTAAAGCTTTCTGAACTCAATATTTCCATGGCCTCGGATTGTAAAACGCAACCTATTTGATTTTTCTGTCGGTCAAGTGATAAATTCTGTGTGTTTTGGTTTAGTCGCAATAGTATATAAGACCTGATGATCTAAATTTTCTTTGCCAAATCTTCTACCGCTTCCGATAACATTCGCTCAGGTCACATCATTGTGACTTTTGTGAGACATTCTGTTCCTCTCGCAAAATGTATCTCCGAAGCAGATAACATTGCAACTGAGCACCTATAATTCAACTAAGCATCCATTGAAAATCACCCTCCGGTCTCTGATATTTGGCGGATCACACACAAGGTCCTGGAGTCCCAGCCGCGGTCTTTGTCTCGAGAGAGGTACCCTGTCATTACCATTCGGACTTCCATAAATGACCATATCAGCTTTGGCGCCAACCTCAATTCCTCCGCTACCCTTGATGCCGATTGCCTTCTTAGCTCTGGAACTAACACATTCAAACAAGCACTCAATATCTGTCGTCGTGCCGGCTTGATATAGACCTATGCCCCAGCTTGCTAGCTGAAGAGGATCGCATGATCCGTGTGGTGTAAACGCGTTACCCACGTTGTTGATGCTGATCGCGCCCTCCAAACCGTATTGTTGTATCATTTGTGGTATCTGGAGCGTTGCACGGGCCCGCTCACCACCGCCAGATGCATCGGGAGGTCTACCTTGGATGAAAAGGTCGGAGGTTGGGAGGCCTATGAAGGAGATTGGGAGTTCATTATTCCTAATGCTCCTTGCTAGGTTTTCCCACTGCTCTTGAGAAAATAAGGAGTATCGCGTGCAGTGGCCTGCAACAACGCACTCGTCCACTGGTCTCCAACTTGAGAATCGGATCTCCCTGATGACATCTCCAATCCGTGGCGCTTGCGCCTGGTCGAGATTGTAGTCAAGATGCAAGTCCACATGTTTCTTGAATGCCTTGCCCAAATTTATTGCATATTTGATATTCGTGTGAATGAACGATTCCTCCTCCACATACGGTGTTGTACCTATCACCTCGACCTCCGGGTATTCCATAGCTTTAAGGAACAGTTCGAGGTTTTGACGTCCGCGAGGCCCTGACATAACCGGCTCTTGCGCAAAGAGACATATTTGGATCTCACAATATTGAGCAAATTCAGCCTTAAGCTCTATAGCGGCCTCCAAACACTTGAATCCGACAGATTCATCGACTTCGGCAAACGCACGCATATAAGTGACTCCGGAAGAGACACTTTCCGCGACAAGCCTGTACAACGGATTTTAGTCGCAAAGATCCTAAGGGGGATCTGTATGTCAAGACGCTTAGTAGGAATGACTGACCATCTTCCCCTTCTTGTCAAATCTTCATGGGAAAATCTTTCTTTAGCTTTCCGTCCCAATTCCATCGCCTCAGCAAAGTCTCCTCTTTCGAGCTTTAAATCTGCAAACTTGGGATCGCTCATCAAGAACGCTTTATCGAGGTGAACATGGGGATGGCAGAGGCTCGGCGTAATGAGACACCCTCTTGCATCAAGTATGTCAATTGGTAATGTTGAGGGGACACTTTTGGGATCATGAAAAGAGACATCGACAATGTGGCGATCGCCAATCGCAATGTCAAACAATTTGGAGGGGTCGTACTTAGATGCGAGGATACGAGCTCCTATAACTCGCCTGATAGGTCTACTCTGCGCCTTTGATGATTGAGGCATTCCAGTTCTGTCCATTGTGTCATGATTCAAGGAGAATGATTCTGCAAGTGAAGAAATTAGTGCCCGCAGAACCAAATGACGTTGTCTACTGAGGGACCGCGAAACAACCTCGTCTGACACTGACGACGACACTTTTGGTTATTCGCCCACAGCAACCCACGCGCTGAGAGGATCGGCCCACAGCTGCTGAAATCCAATGTATTTTCCATCGTCATCAAAGTCGCTCAGCACATAGACAAAGTCCTCTTCCCACGCTTTGCCAGTCTTGATGCTTCTAAACTTGGCATGGAGCTTGACCGTAACGATCCCAAGCTCAGCATCTACTGCAAAAGATTCCTTGGGCGGGATCAAGAGTGAGTCTGGCTCGACAGCGAGGACAGACATCAGCAGGTCATAGTAATCGTCACAAGTCTTTCCGTCCCCATCATTCCCGACGCGACGACCGCTGAATACATGGGCCAAGAACGGTAGTCTGTCAGTCGCCCAGAACGGGCCGTGTTCTTTGATCCTTGGCTGTTGGATGAAGAACTTGTCTAAGCAGTCTCGCCCAGACACACCTGCAGCAAAGGTTTGACAGAAAGTGTAGGCGGTCTGGCGCATCTGCTCACCTCTTGCCTCGGCCATGATGTACTACGAAGACTCTGATCTAACGTAGTCGTGCTTCAAGCTGATGTAGCTATGAGGATTGCCACTTGTACACGAAGCCTAATGCGTAATCATGGACTCGCGGCCCCGGAAACCTTACCTTAAGCATCCCAATCGATGCATGACATTAGCCAAGCCTTCCGTCTCGGTTTAGGCGAAGGAGATCCGGACGTGAGATACCTTACCTAAGTTACTTACCTTACCTATGGACGTAAGCGGAAGGTCTTGATTCCGTCCACATGAGCATTCTCATAATTCAAAAGGCCACAATCAGAGTCCTCAATTAGCAATCGCTTCTAGTGTCAAGAACCACAATCATGAATAGCCGTCGTCATTGCCCACGTTTTGCAGCCAAGTTGAAACAAACGCTGGTGGTCCGCTAAGTGTCGCCCCGGGACGAATGTCCACCAATCTCTGAGCAGGCGGGGCCCCGAATCGAGACTAGATCCAAAAAATATACAAATCATAATTTTCCCAGCTGCCCAGAATTGAGTGCTGGGAAGGCGCTATCCGTCACAGCTTCTTCATCTGCTTGATCGTGCTAGAGAGCGATTTTGCTACGTCCACAGCCTCCACGCTACCACGTCGCTCGTTTCCTCTCTTTCGTTGTATATCTTCATTCGCTTTGTACACTCTCACCCGATGTCCGAACACGAGGAAGGCCCACTTGTTTCTTAAGACGCCGACATCCGGCTCAGCCCGCCTCACCGTCATTGCAGACTGATTGGTATATTTGGGGCTAGAGAGTTAGAAAGCTCTTACACGTTCATCAACATCTCCATCTATCGCCATGCCGCGCAATAGGGGTGAGTCAATCCACCGATACATACCGTGCCGTGAAAGCTAGCTAAATCTCCTTGCATAGTCCTCTCGTTTATGTCAGCCTTTGGAGCACCCAAATCACCTCAATCTACCACTTTCTCGGGTCCGCAAGAGAAAGGTTCTCAATTGAAGCAAGAGCAGCAGGATGTCACCCATACATCCTCTCCACAGCATACTGCAGCTCCATCGAGAGACTCTCCGCCTCCCAGGACCAGAACAGAGCGTGCCTCATCGAGGCCCATGTCAATGGTCCAAACATATCAGCCTCCGTTGATGGAAGTTGGCCAAGACACAGTCCCGGAGCTTCAGCCAATCTTCACCTTCCTGAATAGCCATGCCAACAAACTGTATCAAGAAGGCTACTTCTTGAAATTGAATGATCTTGACACACGTAAGGTCAGATTAAACGGATGAAACCCCATTACTGACACGTACAGATGGCCGTCCGCATGCTGATCGATCTTGGACTGAATCATTTGCTCAATTGGTCGGGACTGTTCTTTCGCTCTGGGACGCTTCCGCATTGGATGCTGCCGGCCAGGATGGCGAGGTAGCACCGACATTCATCAATCTGTCGGACGCATCAATACGAATGGCAAGCTCATTGCAACCTTTTCATTTAGGCATTCGCTGACTTGTGACGCAGATTGAAACACTGCCCACCAGGTCTTCCGACGTCCAGCCTCTCCAAAACGTGCTAAGTATATCTACGGCTGGAAAGAACAGGTACCTTTTCCATTTCAATTCTTTGCATTCCCTCACGCAATGGACTGCTGCTATTCGGCTTGCTATGTACGAGAATGCGACTCTACAAGAAGCATATACCGGATCGTTGATAGCCGGGAAGGGTAAGCTGCTCAACAATATCAAAGTGATCATGGAGAAAACCAAGTTCAAGAATGAGGACTGGACACGGGTGCGCTTTGGAGCTGGCACACCATGGAGACGCTGCTGGTGTGTTATATCGCCACCTGATGAGAAGGAGGTATCAAAGCAACAGAAACGTCTCAAGAAATCCGCATATGAGCGCTCCCAGCCACTGAAAGGGACCATCAAGTTCTATGACACGAAGAAAACAAAGAAAGCTACGCCGATCGCGACTATCAATGAAGCATACTCAGCATATGCCATATACCCTCAGTCGAAGCCCCTCATCGACCAATCAACCCTCATCAAAGTTGAAGGAATAATTACAATCCATTCTACTCCAGATATAACGACCGAGGGGTTTATATTCGTCATGCCCGAAGTGCACCCTGCCGTTAGCGGCTTTGAGATGATGCTTCGCTTTCTCTTTCCTACCTACGACATCTTTGCGTTGTACGGTCGCCCTAACCGACTGATAGCGGACACACTCGACCCTCGGAGTCTGATGTTCGCATTGCCACAAGAGAGACGCTATGGATATCTTGAGATATTGGACGTGGCTAGTCTCATACATGAGAAGGGAAGTCAGGCCTGGGCGGAGAAGGAATGGCGCAAGAAGATGAAAGACCTGACGTCTGCTCGCATGACTAGGATGACCACCAACGGAAGGCCAAGAAGTCGAGCTAGTAGCTATAGAGACTACAGAAATAGCTTGCCACCTTCGAGAGGAATAGCCATCCGATATGAAGACGGCGCCTCTATCAAATCCACACCTTCCCTCAGGGATGATGTTCCCCCAATGCCACCACCTCACACTAATTCAGCACCGCCGAATGGAGAACCATTTGAACCGCCTCAGCCTCTCACTCCTCGACGACCACAGCCGCAACATCAACGATCCTTTTCTCAAGAATATCCTGCTTCGGAGCCGCGCTATCGCCGATCTCAGCGGCAACGGGATGATCAGAGCTATACTCCATCTAGGCTTTCTTATGAACAGTCAAGACCATCTTATGAGGGACAAAGATCTGGCAGACCGTCATACGAACAAGCTCCACCAATGCCATCCCGGGCGCATGAACAACCACCTCCGGCGCCACCCGCACACGGAGTGCCATTGGGCATCGCTGCTCAGAAAGCTCAGATGCAACAGCGCTACGAGCAAGAGCTTGAGGGTACTAATGACCGGAGCAGCTCTGAAAGTAGTGATCGAAGATATGGCATTCCTGGGACTAACAGCTCGCGAGATCTTAATCAAGACCTACAGCCATCAGCTCCGCCCACTCAAGTCGCCCCTCCGCCCGCTTTCTCCCATGAACCAGGTGCAAAACCGCAAAAGAGGCCTGGCATCTCGCCAGATCTTCGTCGTGCCAATAGCAGGCTTTCTGTGACCACTTTGCAGCAACTCGCAGAGGCTGGGAAGAACTCAACGGTTGGAGGGACGGCTGCTGCTGCAGGTGCAGCTGCCGCTTGGCGAAGTAATAGCGGCTCGCAGAAAAGTGTGAAGTTGTCGGAGGATCAAGGACAGCGCGGGGTAAATCACCATACCGCCAGCAAGCCCGGTTACACTGCTGACCGTTCACCTTCTGCTCAAGGCATGGTACCAGTGAACCCTGGATATATTTCCTCAAGTACTACAGCTTCGCGCAGTGCTTCCGCCTCGTCAAGTCAAGTTGACGTCCTCTCGCCGCCATATTACAAAGACAAGCCCTTAATGAACTCCTACGACCTGCTCACACCCGTCGATTCACTTTCCCGCCAGCCATCTCCTTTGTCACAATCAGTAATACCTTCTCCACCTCCAAGGGACTCCTCAATACAGAAAACTCTAAATAGCCAAAATACCTATCAGACTCAGCCAAATACCCTTCAAAAGCTGCCACCTATACCAGCTGACACGCAGCGACCGTCAACTGCTCGATCGACCTCGAGCTACAGCATCAAGAGGAAGCCTGTCCCCTCGACTAGAACATCATCAGCATCTCGTTCACCCCCAAAGCAACGATCCCCCACCCGTGATGGGGCTGAGCCAGAGCCACCACTTCCAGGATCAAGGCCAAGTTTAGATAGCTTGCATGACCGTTATATCGACGAAGACGCTTTGGCTCAAGTACTGGCTCAGCAGCACTTGGGCTCCTTGAACAGCGAATCTCAAGTGGGGAGACAGGATGACGAGAGTAGTATATATGACAATGCTTCGACAGTATCTCCTGATTATGCGAGTACGCGCAAGTCGACCGAGACGAAGAGGTCGCAACGCTCTGTAGAGCGTCCTCGAAGAGGGGTCTTAAAGACAGTCGGTACTGCAGAGCCCGAAGCGCCGATACCAGTTCAGATTGGTGATGCCCAGTACCGACCAGGAACTAGCTCAGAGTCGCAGGTCACCTCCGTCATTCCAACCGTTGACTTTGGACCCACACAATTGTATAAGCCTGATGTGGACAGCCGACCGGATACGAGTGGAACGCTCACACAGCCTTCACATGAAAGATCTAAGTCTCAGGATAGACTGACGCTTACCCCCAGCCCAATAATTGAAAGTTCCGGAAATGAACAATCTTCCAATGAGTATTATCCAGGCCCAAATACTCGTACTCATGAAAAGCCTCCGACCCGAAATCTCGTAACTCCTGAGCCACAATTACGCGGCCCGTCTCCTACAAATGACAATAGGAGAAGTATGGTGTGGCAGCCCGGAGCACAGATCGGGGGTAGTCCTGGTTCTAGGACGTCAATCACGCCCGAGCAGTTCGTGCAGCAGAGGGCGGCCGCTGGCCGTATCACCACGCCTGTTTACGCACATGGACGCCAAACATCAGCTTCACCGACTCCCCCTATTGCCTCAAGGCAGTCATCAGGGGAAGTGCAGAATCAAACGAAAGCTCGGAACAAGTTGCAGAAACGGCAATCCTCATACGGTCCGGAAATGGCGCCGCGTCCCCATTCTCGAGCGGCTTCTAATTTGATCAATGCGGCAGCGGAGCCGACCAGACTCCAGAAGCGACAATCATCCTATGGCAATGACATCCCATCTCGACCTCACTCAAGAACAGCCTCAAACCTTATGACTGGATCTGGGGACTACCCAACTCATTTGTCTGCCCGAGAACAAGAGCACGTTGCCCGCTTGACAGGCTCACCGTTGATCAACATGGCCGGGGGTAAGGGCCAGGACTCCAATTCTCAGGGCGGCGGTCTCATCGGCGCCATAGAGGCTCGAGAGAAAGAGAAAAAGGATATCAAGGAGGGTCTTAGCGGCCAAGCAGTGCAGCAAGCAATTGCTCAGCGGCAATACTACCCTCCACAACAGAGACAGATGTCCTATGGTACTCCATCACCGCAATTCGCAACTCCGCAGCCGCATTATGCTATGCCTGGTGGCTACCCTCCCTCTCCAGGCACGTATCCGCCATATGCAAATCAGCAACAGCAATATGGCTGGACTACTCCTCCTCAACAACAGCAACCACAGCCCCAGCAGCAGTATCAGCAATATCAACAACAGCCGCAATTCTACCAGCAGCAGCAATGGACCCCACCAAGTGCAGGGCAACTTGTTGGGACGCCACAACGTTCCCCCTATCCACAACAACAGGCTCCCCAACAATTCTACCCAAATGGCAATCAGCACAACCAATATCAACAAGGCCATTATGGCTATTTTGGAAGCGGCTCGGGGAGATAGGTGAATTTAAAGGTTTATGGGAACTTTCACCCTGGCGTATGACTTGGTGCTGAACTAGCATGAGATTGCTGTGGAATGAGAGTAGCAAATCCGTTGTCTACCGCCTCTCTAGAGGACATATTTATGAATAATCTTCAGCGCCAAAGTGTATATAGGACTAGTGGTTCGTTGTCTAATAGCAGCCTGTTTTGATCCATTGTTTGTCCCATTGTCCATGATTTCTCTGCTACATTTTGGCTCGCGTTGGCGCCGCTGAATCTTATCTGCGCAAGTCTCCTTCATGACAAGTACTTCTGTTGTGTTAGCAGGCCTCGGATCTGCGAGAATAAGTATGTTGCTTACAGGTCAATTTTTCTCAATGTTCTGCAGTTCTTCCATCTTTGGCACCAAACAGCCTGACATAGCCCCATCCTTTATTAGGTAGTTCAAATGAGGACCGCTCGTTCACCTGCCATCTGTGAGCAGTGTTGCAGATCTCAAGCCCTTCCAATTCAATCATTGCGCAACAAGCCCACATCACAATTGGTGACAAAACAAGCTCTCTGGAGGCTTCCTGGACCTTATTCCACAATCTCCCCAATCATACCAACTCTCACTCCTCCGTCCCCATCTCTCCCCCATAGCTTCACGCTGGCCTTCCCCTCGCTTGTCGGTTCAAGCAGCCCCCTGTATTTCTCACCCACATAAAACGGAGCCGTAGCTCTATACTTAATGCTCTTGGGTACCATCACATGATCCTCCCTTCGCGCTCTCCCATCTCTCCACAAATCCAACATGAGCAGCAAGTTCAAAGGTCCATGCACGACACAGTCCCTATGCCCCTCGACCTCCCTACACCACTCCCGCGAATAATGTATCATATGTGCGTTAAAAGTCAACGCCGAAAACCTGAACAACGACACCGGCGTCTGGAGAAAATCCCTCTGCTTCACCCCCTCCCCAGCTTCCGGCAACGACACCTCCTCTCCCCGGCCCACCACACCCTGGCTCACCCCACTAACTTTCTGCTCTTCAGACAACGGCCGCCTGAAGATCCAGTCCCGTTTGTCCACCAACCCCCACCCCTCCGCATTCTCGAACACCTTCTCCACACCCACAACCAACATTTCTTCCCCGCCCCGTCCCCTCTTCGCTGCCGCTGAGATGAGCCGCGTGCTCTCTCGTACCTTCTCTCCCACCCTGAGTAGATTCTCCTGATTCCACGAAATGTGCCCACCAGCCCACATCCTCCGAGTGAACGGGGGTGGAGGGTTGTAAGAGATGTCTGCGCCGTCGGGACCGAGATCCTGGGGGGATATGGCGGGGGTGAAGTAGATCTGGTGGTAGCCTGGGGGAATCAAGATAGAGGGATTTGGGAGTATGTGGGAGGAGGGACGGGAGAGAGTGAGGTTGAGTTTTTGGAGCTGGTTTGGGTCGAGGGTCTGGGTGCGGATTGTTGGGGGTGCGGATTTGTGGGTTTGGAGGAGGGTGGTGAGGATGGAGTGAGCTTCGAGGGAGGTGGTGGATGCGGAGCGATGAGTTGACTTGAGGATTAATGGGTGTGGTTGTTTGGCGATAATGGGTTGAAGGATGGAGGGCATCGATTGTGGGTAATGGCGTGAGAAGAGAGGCATTGTCAACATGGGCAAGATGCGCGCTCGCATGAAGAAGGGACAGAGATTGCGAATGGTTTTCTATTAATTGAAAATGATATTTCGAGTGATCATTTTGGTGACTGGCAGTCTCACTTTCGTCCTTTACCCTAAGACTGCCCAGGAATCATAGTCGAAAAAGCACTCGGTGTGAGTTTAGCGAAAGGGCTACCATGTGAGCTAGTCGGCAACGTTCAATTGCTCCGTCTGCTATTAATATCTGTTCATTGTTGACATGCAGATATGGCCGTGATGGCTAATCGAGATCTGATAGGGCTGAAGACCTAGAACCCTAGAATCGAGATGGAGCCCCGAATAGGCTTAGCGGGTCGAAGACGCAACCTTAGTCCCCACCAACAAAAACTTGGAAGTGGGGCACGCTTCCTTTGCTTTTGTTTGTCGCAAAAATTTTCTCTTCACGTCCACAACATCATCAACAACAACAGTCCGCAAATCTATTGAAAGAGTCGACTTGTTGTCGCTCTACGTATAGCGACACCTCTGCATCTATCTTGCAGAGGCTCACTTGGAAAAATTCAGGGTACTTGGAATGTTCGTCTCATGATTCTCATCCTCTTCGTTCCAACACTTGCTGCTCTTCTCCGTGGATCATGTATTGCACCGATGTTCTCTTGTTCAGCCGACTGTTCTGTGTCATATGATTAATGGTCCGTGATGACGGCGACCGTGGACTTGAATTGAGTTGTGTGTTAGCGAACCAAGAACGTACAGTAACGAGATGTCGAAACTCTTTGTTGGGTTCGTCAAGATTGATTGAAAAATCGCGCAATGGTTCGATTGATGAGACTAGTGGCCTTGCATGGCACACCGACGACCGTGCTCTACGTGAAAAGTTTGAAGAATTTGGTGCCGTCGAAGAAGCAGTTCGATTAATGTTTTCCACTCCTCCGACTATTCACTCAGGGCCTTTAGATTGTCATCAAAGACCGCGATTCGGGTAGATCCCGTGGCTTCGGCTTCGTCAAGTATGGCTCTGACCAGGACGCTGATGCGGCCATTGCCCAAATGAACAACGCCGAGTTCGTTCTTCCCTGGTCACAAATTGAATCTCGGATGTTGACATATTTAGATTTGATGGGCGTAGCATTCGTGTTGATAAAGCCTCCGAGAAAGGCGGCGGCGGTGGTGGTGGTGGCAGCTTTGGCGGCGGCGGCGGCGGCGGGTACGGAGGTCGTGGAGGCGGCGGCGGCGGATACAGCGGAGGCGGCGGAGGCTACCAAGGAGGTGGCGGCTATGGTGGTCGTGGCGGTGGCGGTGGATACGGTAAGCTCGGCCCTGCCTTCCTCTCTTGCCCCCCAGATTGACAAGTCCAGAAGGTGGAGATAGCTATGGAGGCGGCGTTCGTGGAGGCGGTCGCGGAGGTAATGATCCAACTTCTATTTCACATTTCACACATATCTAACAAGGCACTTAGGCTACAGTGGTGGCGGCGGCTCCTACGGCGGGGGAGGATACGGCGGTCGTGGCGGAGGCGGCGGCTACGATCAAGGTGGACGTGAGGGCGGCGGCGGCGGCGGATGGTAGACGATCATCGCCAAATTCGACAAGTCTATCATCGATGTATCAACCAGTCTACACTCGAAAATAATCCCTTATGTCACAACGAAGCAGCAGAGGAAGCACAATCTCGTTGGGGAGGCTCGGAGATTGATCAGTTACGACCAACAGAGAGAAGATGGTTTGCACATCGAAAGTCTTAGACAGTCGGGGCGATCCCTTAGTTCGCTTTTAATGCCTGGACACGAAATATAACTCTGTTTCATGGTGAGAATAGCTCTTGAACGAAGACAATAAAAGCAGTCTCAGCAACGTCAGCGAAGACCAGGGCCATTTCTCTTCGCTTGTCAATGTTTCTTTCTATGATATGTTGCTGTTGGACATTCTTCTTGTCCTACTCAATCTCCAATTGCTGCAGCTACGACCGACTTCTCTGTCTCTTCCCTGGGTACATCGCCTCTTCCAGTAGCAACTCTATCGATTTCATGCGCTGCAGCTTTCTCCTGGCTAACTTTCGTCAATTGCATCACTTTCCTTGCTAGTTCGCTTATATGTGAATCTCCAGCCTCGCTATCGAGCGAATCAAGCGCTGTTTCTAGCATGAAGAGATACTCGTCATTTCGTCCACTCGGCCCAATACTCTGACTAATGACTTGCGCGACTGCATCTGGGGTCTGCAACCCTAGAAATTGGGGGTTGCTGGGAAGGCCAATGTACACAAGACAATTCTGTATTGGCTGAGAAACTTTGTCAGATGGCAAATGGAGCGCTGCTGCAGGTTTATGATCAGGAACATCACTTGGGACTGAGTGATTTCCACTTGGATGAAAGGTCGTGTACTGTATACTGTACCCATTGATCTCCCGAATGTCCAGATACTTCTTGACTTCCTCGACATGAGCGGCTGGAATACGATACGCTGCGCCGTAGACTTTATGCGGTTCCGAAGTCGTGACTTGCTCACCAAGTGTCTCCCAGTAGGAGCGCTCGATAAGAGTCACTACACGTCCTGGCGAAGCCGGAGTCCCACGATGATCCTCGCTATCCACATGCTACGTAAGTTGCGGAGGCACGAAGAATGAGAAGACTCCTTACCTAGCTTGCCAGAAGCGACGAACATAACCCTTGATATAGCCAGGAACTCGAAGGTCGTAGTGAGGTGCAGGTTTCCATATTAGGCTTCTGTAGATCTTTAGCAAGAATGTGGTTTGAGTTGGTCTGACCGACCCATATCCGAAGAGCCACAGATCCTGTGCCATTCTCTACTTCTAAGGTATGAGCCGCCAATCTTCAAGCGTGTACCATCATGTGGAAAGACGCTCCAGAGACTAGAATAGGAACATATGTATGACAACAGATGGTGTGCACATTGACCGGATTCATCTCATTATGGCGCCTTCGATGAGGATTCTCGCTTCGAACATGATGACTCACTACTACCACCTCCTCCCTGTCATTGATCCGTGCCTCAAAAACGAAGCGAATAGATAGACACTCCAACACAAACAAGAGAACAATCAACAGGAGAGTACGACTTCAGTGAGGATTCGAGAAGGTCCTAATATAGTTCTAGACCGCCTTACGCATATCAGCGGCCCTAAAACGGCCAAAAACTACGGGCTCAATAGAAATGGGTCACCAATCGGTGGGTCACCCGTCCATTTGGGGTGAGTGCCCTTCGCTTGGCGTCAACGACATCTCTTCCATTGCAGTAATGCTTCACAAGTGAAGTAGACTCTTGCTACCTCGTTTCTTCTGCTCCAAAATGTAGAGACTACCCAAGAGGCAGATCTTGCCTCGACTTTGTCCTTGCCATGTCTGCTTCATCGAATATTGTGCGACGAGCTCTGCTCTATGGTGAGTCCTTTGCACTGTCGAGCAAGCATAAGCTCACTTAGAAGTATAGTGCCTGCCTCAAGTCCCAAGATGCTTGCAAAGTCCAGCAGCTTAGCCGTTGACTGCGTCGCATTCGACCTGGAGGACTCAGTGACCATCGATAAGAAGCCCGAGGCGCGAGCGAATCTACAAAGGTTGTTAGCAAAGCCTGTGGGAGGCAATATGAAAGACTGTGCCGTTCGCATCAACGCTATCGGGAGCGGTCTCGCAGAAGAGGATCTAGCTGCTGTGGTATAGCAATGCCATCTTCGTACCGTATCTCGTATGCTCACTTCATGCAGTGCGGAGCTCCGTCGCTTGATACGCTCGTGATACCTAAGGTCAACTCAGCCTCAGACCTGCATTGGGCGGCAGACTTCATCCAGCAACATCGTACAGCCAATTCAGCGGATGGTAGCGCTCTAAAACCCGTCACCATCCTCGCTCTTATCGAATCCGCCCGCGCTATCGTAGATCTCCAGCAGATTTGTACTGCGACGCCTCTCCTCTCCGGCCTTATCTTCGCAGCTGAAGACTTTGCACAAGATCTTTCTCTTACACGCACACCATCTCTTACAGAATTTCTCTATGCCCGCTCCGCCGTTGTGACTGCAGCTCGGGCTCACAACCTACGCTCTACCATCGACCTCGTATGTACTGACTTCAGAGGTGATGATGGCACGAGAAAGATGCAGGAGGAGTGTCTGAATGGTAAGGGCCTCGGCTTCAACGGCAAACAATGTATCCATCCAAGCCAAATCGACATTGCGCAGAGATGCTTTGCTCCAGGCGAAGAGGAGCTTGAGTGGGCTGTGCGAATACTGATTGCCGATGAGAAAGCGACGAAGATGGGTAAGGGTGCATGGGCGCTTGACGGGAAAATGATCGATGTGCCTGTCGTTAAAAAAGCCAAAGCACTCGTCGAGAGGGCTGCGGCGTGCGATATTGATGTCGGAGGCAAAAGAAAGCAATGGGGAACTCAGGAACCTGAGTGAGAACTAATGCAGTACCAAAGATTCAAGCAGCATTGCCAAACATTGGCAGCACACCATCTCTGCAGCTTAAGTGACGAGGGCGCGGACTGCACTAAGTCAGCAAGAATGAGCGTAGGTGAAAACGAATCCTCGCCGTTTACAAAGGCTGATTGCAAGAGCTGTCTGCAGTGGCGGAAGCTGCCTCAGCAACGCGTCAAATATTGCGGGCAGCGACTGATGTCTGGGAGGACGACCTCTCCGAAGGTATATATTATACTTATGAGACTGAAATATTTGCCGGGTGGTTCAGTGGCACACGGGTGCGTTTCGAAGAACGGGGTACGCCACTCTGCAAACATGGATACGAAGCCACGCCTGCGCACATACCTTAGGGTAGACTCTGCGGTAGACCTAGTTGACATAGCATGAAGTGGCCCCTGGAGATTCAGTTCTCCTATGAATAAGTTCGAGGAACAAAATTTATAGAACTTCCCTTTTTTTTGTCCCTTTTTTTCTTCTATTTCTCCTCTTTATCAGAAGCCTTTTCCTGCTTTATTCACGCGGTGGAGGGGGTCGTATCTGCTTTCTTTTCTTTTGCCAATCTTGTGTTGACGCTCGATTAGGCTAGCCTCCACCACTCGCCACTCGCCCAGTCCAAGTCCAGATTCTTAGAAAGTATTGATATCTATGTGAAGCATTCGGAACTTCCAGTCTGTCTTTCAAGCTCGTCTTTCCCTCAGTACGCAAGTGAAGCTTCCGTCCCCCAAAAAGACAGATTCCAAAGTCGTCTACTTTCGCTCGGGCGGGTCTACCAACTATCATTCTTCAAGCTAGATTCTCTTTTCAGCGCTCTTCTCACAGAAAAGTTGATAAGTATGCTGCTCCACTTTCAAAAATGGTACGCCTCACGAACAGCAAGATCCACATAAACGCTCAGGATTTAGCTCCAAGTTGAATCACACGACTTGCGTTATACAAAGCACGATGACACGCAGTGATCAAGCAGTGATCTTGTCAATTTGGTGTACATCCTGAGCTTGCTCAATGTTGCCAGCTTATCTTCGTTTGCTAGCTCGTAAGCTCTAATGAGAGCTCGGCATGCGAGAAATTCTGATGCAACCATCAAAGGACTTGCATTTTTACACCGATCTTCTCTGCTTCTGATGGTAATTTGCTACATTTCGTAGCATAGTGATACTGATTCGATCCGCTAGTAAAGTCTCCAAAGTCATGAGCCTCTCCAGGAAAAGTCGCTCATTCTGATAATCTATTGAAAAGCCTTCGCTTCGTAAGATCATACGAACCAGCAAGTATGCAGCGACTATGGAATACACTCTGCAATACATATGACTCGAGCGCGTGCTCTAAGGAAAACGTCTGATCAAATCACGTGAGGCATGAAGTCATCTTTTTGGTATACACTGAGCATATGAACATCTTACTGCGAGCTCCTCTACCGACGCTACGGTACATAATACTGCATATATACCATCAACATCACTCTTTGATATACTAGATTCTCAACTATCATACAAAAGGTCCAAATTATCTCGTACACAACATATACAAACATGCAATTTCGACTCCTTGTCCCAATAACCCGCACCATGATCATCAGTCTCGCTGCTTCAAGCCCGGTAGCAGAACTATCACCTCTTGCTGTCAGAAATGAGGTCGATACGAGAGCCGTATCAGCAGCATCAGCTACTGTGAATCTCTAGTCTGGTAGCAACTCTTTTAGTTCCCAGATTATAGATCAAGTCTCGCAAGGGCAAGGGCTCAGTACTGTTGCCAGGGGAAGCAGTATTCAGATTTCCGGATCGCGACTACTTTACACCCGTCAGGTCTTCGAATCGATCGAAACTACCCTGACTCTTGTGATTGGCAAGTGCTTGCCTCACAACGACCTGGTCCAGTGGAGATTGCCGAGGGTCTCCTTTGGTTGTTCGCAATTCAAAATGCATCAACGTTCCATTTGGCTCTGTGTCGGTCGCTTGTTAGGAGGACTCCTAGTCCCTTTGCACCCAGCACAGATTGACACTCAAGATATTTTTGACCTTGATACAGGCTAGGTTTGAGGATTCAGGAGTCATTAACTGGCAAACACCCAATAGGGATTTTGTTGAAAGTACTCGAATTTTTTTCTAGTACGCATTACGACAGATTGATCATTTCTTCGATAAAGTTTCTTATTTTCCCAGCCCGGCTTTCCTACAATCACATGTAGAATTCAGAGAGATCATCATTGAATACTTTATCAGACTACACGGACCATCTCTTCCCATACACGCCTCCCAAGGCCACAGATTGTGCGACTGGAAAAAATGCCACCCTCCCAATCTTACACCCAGCTTCCTTCTCGTACCGTGTTTGCGCAAGTCATTCTTGACCATCATCTCGATCTTCACTACCCATAGCCTAAGCTAGATCTGACGGCAAGGCTCGCGTCGAAGTAAGTAATCTCGAACTGTCCATCCGTGAAGAAAGGCCCAAAGAATGATGAGCGCTCTTGCTGTTACGAATGGATAGGAGAGGCAGCCAGATAAATGAATTGAGAGAAGTAAGAGGGGGATGATTGGAAAAAGGAGATGTGAGAAGGATTCCTCCACACTTGGACCGAAAACAAAAGTTTTTATATCTTTGGAAAGCGAAGCCGGCAGTCACGAAAGCAATTATCTTTCAATAGAGGTGACTGCAGAAGTGAATTCAAAGTCTTGAATCCCCTCTAAACGCCTCTGCTTCTCTGCGCCTGCCTTCCCAGCTTGCCCCTTTTCCTGCCGCTGTCTACTTTATTCACTTTCTAACCCCCCGACTACCACTTTCGATTTCATTCTTATCCGCCGCTGCCAGTGCAATCCTCTCAACCTTGTTTCCCTAATAGTATGAATAGTCTTCTGATTTGGAATTGCCAGCGGTAGCTATACGTAACATATGTCCTGTCAGGAGTGCTCACTCTGCGCGCCATCCCTTTTTCGTGTTCGTCCATCCTCCTACTGATTTGGCTGTTCTCCGGGTTTAGATATTGGTATTTTCTTAGGCGTCAGCAAGGAACCTTCATCTTCTTAGAACCTAATGGGGCGATAGAAATCTGCGTCTTTGCCGCCGGTTGTGATGGAAAGTATCTTGCACTTCCGACTGTGGCAGCTATCGGGAGCCCCTCTTTGGTAATGGTAGTGAACAGAAGCAAACAGCACCATCGACAAAGACAGGCTGGTTCAGCGTATCGAAGAGCATTTGGAAGACTAGTAGCACAAAAGACTCAGAGTCGCAGGATAATTGTCCATTAATCATCAATATACTTAAGAGACATATCATATAGACGTCAAAGAATGACTTAGCCTCCCACTGAAGGACCGACCATTGGGGGGTATCACAATCAACACGAACTCAAAAAGAGGGGTATCTGTTGCCCATCCTAGCTAACCCATTTTCCGTTCAAACGCCATCATTCTCTTGGAAACAAAGGAGATATATTAATAGAAGATTCAGGCACTCAAGAACTGTTCGACCTCAGGATTGACTTGCTTGAGGCTGCTGGCGGAATTGGTTCGCCGGGGAGCTTTCAAAGATGAACCCCGCGGCACTTTCAAAGTGGATTTGTTGCGGTCTTCATGTTCGTCGTCCCCGTAATTGCTGTCAGTACCAGCAACACTTTGGTGTTCCATGTCGGCTTCGCTTGAACTTGCGCTCCAGCCACCACTCCCACTCATGTCCGTGCTTGAGGGCGTGCTCGGATCGGAAGTATGTTCAGGGGCAATGGTGGTGTTGATATCCTGAGGTAACGTGCGAGATACAGCACGCAGAGACGGAGTGGAACGAGAAGGTGTAACGGTTGCGAAACTGAAAGGTCGGGGACTTGCAGTCTCGGGCTCCGCGAAATGATCAAGCACCTCGATTGATGATGATCTGAGTGGTACTGGCGCCCTAAGGGGGATATTTCGCGCGAAGGACGTTCGCTGCGGACGGCTTGGTGTCACGCTTGAATTGCGACTGACTCTGAGAGGACCTGGTTTCAAACAGCTTGTTTGGATGCTAAGCTGACTGGTGCGATTGCGGCTCAAGGGAGGCCTTGAAGATGACGGTACCTCAACCTTTTTATTCGCCCACGGTGGTGTCCCGGCCGTCTGACAGCACAGAGGGTAAGACACGCCTTCAGTCTCCCGTACTTCACTCGGTACTCGAGCGATGCTAATCAGCATTTGCAACATTGCATAAATTAATACGAACCGCGCTCGGCGACCATCAGCGCACGAGACAGCAGGGCTTTCGATCATCGCCCAGTCTCTTTCAAAGCGTAAGTACTCGCGGACAATGTTGCTATTCATAACCTGTGAGTCGTTGTGATTGGTGGCTGCTTTGAGAGCAGAGAAGGCTGCAACCCTTCTCTCCTGCCTGGCGCGGCCCCAACCGAGAATATTGAAGATTGATCTGCGTCGATTCACTTGCTCTGGCAGCTTTGGGATCAAAGGAAGTAAATACGGCAATTGATCAAGTTTATGCTTTCGATCGAATTCTGAAAGGAGATCAGAAATGGAGGAGCAGTCAATGACATATTGCTCGTCTCGGAGGGACGCTCGAGACTCCGTATCGGCTAGGTAACCATAGAGGTTGCGGAAGTCGAGATACATCGACGAGTAGACCGATTTCGGCAAGATGCCGCTGGAGGTGATCCCAGCTGCCGGAGGCCAAAAACTATACCGCCCGACATAGAAGCTATACAGAAAAGATCTAAATCTCTCCAGCTGGAGATAAGCCTCTTTGCCCAACGCATCTGATAAGTCTTCTTCTAGGAAGCTTGTGAGAGACCTTCCCGCTCTCTCAAGTCGAATGTCCATTTCGATGTGAGCGCGTGTGATGAGGTTTTGCGAAGTACGAGAGACTTTCTATTTCTGATTAACTGTGCTACAAGGAGATCAGAACGTGAGATCCTACCTCGAGCTCACCACTTATCTCCAGTTCGTCATTCATGCCTGAGCAATGCACGAAGGCATCTGTCCATAGGTCGTCAAGTTCATACTTTTCCGCATACTGGAGCAGTGCGAGAGCATGATCCGGACAGTGCCTGAAATCCATGTATCCTTGATCCTCTACATATTTGAGGAGATCGTCCTGGTTTTCATTTGATATTGGTCTGTAGACGTGCATGCGCTCTTGGAGGTTGATGAGACCTTGGCCCAAACGTTCACCAACGAGTGGTTTTTCATACATCCAGGCAAAAAAATTCCTGGTGATGACGTGATACTGCAATGCTTCTTCTCGCGAATAGTGCGATGGCGCTGCGAGATACAAATCGTGTTGGGCATATGGCGAAGGTTCATCAAAGTAACCCGAATCTCTTGTTGCGCGCTTTGACTCGGGGAGAGCTCGAAGCTCCCTGGAGTGGGATCGCTGTAGAGGTTATCAAGCAAAGGCCCGCAGTTGCTGGCTTCGACGTCCGCCAGGTAGATGCGAAGTGAGGCGCCCCGCTTTGAACCGCCTCGTTCGTAGAAGTGAACAAGACAATCCCCGTTTGGGAGCCACAACTCGGGATCCTACCAAATCACATAAGCTTGAATCTGAGAGAGAGCACGGACGTCGTACCCTTCGGACGAAGTCCCATCTCTCGGTCATCCGCTGCACGCCATCCCATCGCTTCATTTCCTTCGCGGAGAGGAACGTGGGCACTATATCAGCGGTCGCTGTCAGGGTTGAAGTGGAATTTCTCCTGCTTGACTTGGCCAGATACTCGTCCAATTTGGAACCGCGACGTCTCAGAGGCGCTGGTGAGGTGTTCCTGCTGACCGGATTGCTCTTCATCAGTTTCGCCGGCCGTTCTCTCGAAGATGACGGCGGGCGAAGGGCTGATCGAGATCGACGAAAGGAAGGCATGGTGGGCGAGCTTGGGGTATTTGTGACGGTAAAGATGTCAATTAATAAAGGCGTACAACGCCATGCAGCATCCAGTGTTACTTGCGGTGGGAAATGATGGAAGCTGACGAGAGACGCGCGGGCATTTGATGCATTAATTTACATTATGATTTTGGCAGGGGGGATAGCTCCAGACACGGTCGACCATGAGGTCAAGAGTATCGGGCCAATTCAGCTGTATCATGACCACTGGGGCGCCTTTGGTGCAAGGTATGCAGGGTCTGGATGGACGGGAAGAGCATCGGCCGTGCGTTAGTGACATAATAAAAGATCGTCGCTCTGGCGAGCTAGAGGAGCTTGCTGCATTGGCGTGAGCGCTATCATCATGACGCCAGCCTGTTCGGTATAGCCGCTTGGGAGCTGGGAGATTGTTCATTGGTGTGTCTGGTAGGAGCTTGCCCAAAGCAACCAAGAGCATTTAGTCCCTTCCTCTTTCGTCGGCCCAGAGGAAAGCCGGCGATGGAACGAATCGAAGATGAAATGATCTGCAACTGAACTTGCTCTTCCCGTCCAAAGCCTCATCCGCCAACTCAGCCAACTTGGCTAGAAGCTCTTGTCCACGACTGCCCAGTGCCCCAAGAATGCGTGCATAAGCAAGAACTGAAAGACTTCATGCACCGTCAATCATGATCCCCCGCCCAAAACCTCTGCTTCCCTTCCAAAGCTTCCCCACCTTGTTATCGCTCCAATGATCATGATATGTGGCTGTCGTTTCAAAGAGCTCGGATGCAAGCTAACCGTTCGCACACCACGTCTCCAGCTTTTGGCATATGCAACTACTGCGGGGTGGCTGATCGCTGCCTCCAAAAAATCTCCGCTTCTGTCGACGAGGTAGTGGTGCGTTTTGCAATGGTGGTGTGGGACACGTTGAAAATCTTGTGTGGGGCTTCAAGCTTATTATTATTGAGCCTTTCTCGTTGACCGATTGGAACCTTCAATTGCGCGCTTATCCCCCCAACCTGACCATTCTGTGCAGTGTGCACTTGCACAGGGATTGCTGAAGCCTCTTCACCGCTTTCAGCATCCTTGTCTGCACAACGCATGCCGCGCTTCTTGCTGCACCAGATGGAGCATCACAATGCACACGTGGGTAATAGTTCCTATCTCGCCATCGTCACACTCTCTACCATGCCGTCCTAGGAGCTCTCGAAAGAGAGCATATCTTTCTATCGAGATCAGCGCTATTGCGGTTCACAACCCTTGTTGTACCTAGCAACGCCGTGGCGTCGTCGTATCTGACCCTCGTTGTCGTGGACCATACCACTGTTGGAACGTTTGTGGCCAGTGTTATCGTTGCTGTGATAGAAATTTTCATGTTGATATTCCCCAATGCTCGTTAGCCTCACGCCTGCTGGTTTCTGCCTCCAATACCGCAACAGATTCCCATATTGTCACTATATTGCCAATCGGGCAATCCCTTTCCCTTGATTGACAGAACTGCATTTGTGGGCCCATCATAGGTGCATGGCCTCGCATAATGGACCAGCGCTTGAGGTGGGGACATCTTCTGGTTGCATTCTCATCTTCTTCAAGCCATCACGAGAAACAGCTCCTTCGGGCGTACCCTGTCAAAGGTCTGCCAGAAATATACGCACAATGATGGAGAGTGGATTGGTACCACATAGAGTATAGGAAAGGCTCAAAAATGTCGGTGGCAAAAGAGGATCTGCTCAAAACGCCTGTCTTCTGCATAAAACTTGCTTGGAGAAGACAATCACGGTTGGCAGCTGTATCAACACCGATATTGTATGTTGTATAGCTTCCTTGGAAAAGGCAGGAAATGTTTGCGATATCCTGGGGAAACGAAGAAGTGATCAAGAATTTCACATCATGAAGGTACCCGTTTAGCAACCAAAAGCCCAAGATCTAGGTTTGATATATATTTTGGCAAGATTGGGCTGCCTCTACTTTGTGTACGTGGTTTATGGAGCTCCCGCTCCGACAGCCTCCGCAACCTTGCCTTGAGGTCGTACTCTCCCCTGGCTAAGCAACTTCTTGACATGTCTGAGAACGCTCTTTGCATCCTCTGTCATGTAAGCTCTACCCACCTCACCCAGTACACCCTCCGCGCCTCCAGTCTGCTCGTACCTCCCACGAACCCACTTCTCTAATACATTTCGCGCCCCTTCCTCTGCCTCTTCCTTCCCTACGGACGGTCTGCCCATTTTCTCTTTCATATCTTTGTCCAGATTATCGTTCCTGATCTTCTCCACCAACATCATCACGTCTTCCCTCTCTTCTTGACTCTCAAATTGCACCTGCTCCTTCAATGCCACACGTCTTGCCATTTCCCACAAGCCTGCCAACCTTCCTTTCCCACCCAGCTGATGCCCCAGTAGATCTTTCACCTCAAACTCTCTGGGCTCTACCTTATTGACGTGTATATGACTAAGAAACTCCGTGCCCTCCTCGCTCTCCCTGAAGGTTGGGGGCACGGACTCTGGGTTTTCGATTGCAGAGAAAATAAGAGAGTCCATGTAGTCCGCCTCCGCCTTCTTCTGGGCCTCAGCCTCGGCTTCCTGCTCCGGCGTCAAGGATTCAACCTCAGATTCTTGCTCATCGTTGTCGATCTCTCCGCGCTGTTGACGCGGCGCGCTTTTGCTACGATTCGAGCTGCGATCGCCCCGATTGCGGGGGCCTCGGGATGAAGGTGCAGGTCTCGACCTGTTTGTGGGGGGCTGCTGTGCTGTTCTTGGGGTAAAGGGGGCTTTGCTGTAGCAGGAGGACGAGATGGCTCTGTGGAGCGCTCGGCTGCTCTTTGGCGAAGCCTCTCTTTTATCGCAGAGGGAGCTGTCGCTTGGATTGATTGAAATGGGGAGTCTCCTCTCTCGTAGCGAATTCTGAAGGGCGTTGCTCCACTGCTGGAAGGCTGCACGGTAGAAATTGCGCGAAATTCAGAGCTTTCATAAAGATTTTTCATCTCGTCCGAGACGGCTTGGAGGCGGTGCGAGCGAGTGCGTGGAGGTTGATCTGCACCTTGAGGTCATTAAGATTGAGAAGTAGAATTTAACAATTAGATGTATAACCTAACCATTTGACCTTGCGATCTCGTCCCCATCTTCCTTCCGATTTTGGGCTGGACCGAAGCTATTCGAGAAGCGGGCGCTACATTGGACTCTGATGAGCGGTTTACCGTTGCTACTTGCTGAATGCAAACGACATTTGTGCATCCTTAGGAAGGAGACCAGATAGAATAATGCGTGTCAGTCTTCTTATGAGCTGATTGAAGCACGAAACAGCGGTAGCGTGTGAATGCTCTGGAGGCAATGGAAACAATGCAACCCTAGTTGATGCATCGAGAACAGTCCAAATACTTCCCAGTCTAGTTTACAAATAATTCAAATGAGACGTTCTCGCTCGAAATGGGGACATATTCGTCCACTACGGTTGACTACAAATCCTCATGAACTAATATAGATTTACCCAACGCCTTTGGCGGAGGTCTGATCTTTAATCCATCCTGGTTGAATTGTTTTGGGCATATCACAGGACTCCAGGACTTTTCATGCGGCAAAACTCAACAAATGTGCATTCTATCTCTCCTAGAAGCCTTGAGGGTGAATTGCCTGATATTGATGTCATTCGCGAAGCGTTTAAGGCATGCTCGCTTGGGATTTAAATTAATTCATGATCCATGAATAACGTCCTAACAAGACGTATTCAAATGCGCGATTGGGGAAATAGATCATGAGAACTAGTGACGAAAGATTAGTCCTTCATGTGTGAGAATTGCTTGCCAGCAACATACCTTCCAACGGCGTCCACACGATTGACCTACAAGTTAAACTCGTCAGCACTCACTGACTTATCTCCCAAACTTCACATGCAGAGTAAGAATGACTTTGCAATATTGAATTACAGCTCTCCAATGCTGCGATCGCACGGCCAACGAGATTTGATGAAAGAGCCACCACTTACATTCGCAAAAAGTGGTCATAGGTTCATCAGCACTCCGTGTCTGCGCCTGTGTGTATGCGACTGTGTTCTTGCCACATTTAGGATTCTTGCATTGTATCGCCGTACTAATGCTTTTTTCCGCCTGCGGCATTTGGGCCTCTTTCATGTTCTCCTTAATGAGGGCATTATCAGCTAGACGTCTCTCCTCGCTTTTCAGCTCCTCGGAGCTCATTTTGACCAGCTGATCAGGTTTGATCTCGCCGTCAAGCACCTGTCTACGCAATTTGCTGTTCGACTTGTTCTTTAGGTTCATGTAAAGCGACCGCATCTTGGTTGTGTATCCGGCATTCGATTCGGGTCCAACATGAGCGTATCCCGCGGCTTCCACAGCGACGGCAACATTGAGAACTTCAGACGCTGGGTCGGGCGACATGAAGCATAAACCATTGTACAGCAACCCAATGCAGTTGTCCCTTGTCGCTTGGTTCGTCTTTGCCGTGTTGATCTTGTCTTTCTTGAAGTCTCGTTGATCTAATGGCACACCTGGCTTCAACTTAGTGCCATTTGTAGGAAGCGGCGATGCCGTTCCTGACGTGATGCCCTTCTTGTCTGAAGCAGGACTTGATCTGCCACTCTTCTGCTTGTCGATATCATCTCTCCATTTCTTCACGATCTCGCTAGCTAGGCGGCTGATTTTAGGGTCTTTGTGTGCTTTCGATCTATTAACAATGACCCCGATCTTCGTCTGTCGAAGGAGATCCTCGTTGGGTTTAACTCCCGTTCTAAGATCGTTCAATATTTTAATGATATGGTCTGAGTTGGCGTTGGCAGCTGTGGCTTTCTGGAGGTCCTTAGACTTCTCTTGAACTTCTCTGAACTCCATAGTCGCCTAATAGCCACGCCAGGATACAACACCCCAATGTTCAGCTCTTTTCCAGGAGCAAAGTGACACAATCCAACGTCTGTAAGGTGTCGGGCCAAGGTAGTGCAAGTCAGATGTCACGCCGTGGGCGCCATCACTCAGAGAACAATCGCAGAAGGCGTCCAAAACCCTGCGAATCGCGTAGTAATACAGACTGAAGATCTATGAGAGGCCCCAGCAGCTATGCACAAGTGCTAGGGTTGCAGAGCGAGTGGAATCGTAAGTCCACAAATACGCAAAGAAAGGCAAAGACAGATTCAAGTCATTTGGCCCTCATTGTCTCCATAAGCTTTCAGACCCCCTGCTTAGGGGGAACTAGCGCCCTTACAGGGGCCTTCCAAAATCTGGTATTTTTGACTCAAAAAAACCAAAATCTTGCGTCCGCTCAGGTAGATTACATACACAGCCAGAAAAAAGGAGCTAGACCGTACTTTACAGTAATTTTCTGTTTAAAGAGTCTAGCTTGCTTAGAAAAATCTTCAATCAGATCACCCTGGTCTCCCGCACCCAATTTTTCAAGTTTTGAATATCTCTCTTCGCTCGGTCTAAGATTCTATAGAAAACTCGCGCCGAGCAAAGAGAGATATTCTAACCTTGAAAAGTTGGGTGCGGGAGACCGGAGTAATCTAATTGATTTTCAAAATGGTTACGAAGCTCAAAAACCAAAAATACGGACTTTCCGGAGCCGGCGCCGCGAGGCGACTAAGCCTTTTCTGGCCTAGCTTGCTAGGCTAGCACGCCTTAGGAGGCAACAAATTGGAGTATTTGGGGAACTCGATTGATTATTAAATCTTTGATTGAAAGAGATATCGCGCTTCGGTATTGAAGTGTGAGATTGTCCAAATTATCGTTTAAAAAGAGTCATCTATGGCGCTGAATTGAGTATTATATATGTGAATTTATCATCGTTTTTCATTGCTCACTTCTACCCTCTTCCGCTTCTCTATCCCGCACCTTGCTCTGATCTGCGTGCTTCACAGGATCGAAGACGTAGATTGGGAACTCGAGAAAAATTGTACGTTTCAGGATCACAGGCATTTTCACATAAAGCTGGGGAGGAAATGGAAGAAGGATGCTCGTTCGCTCTGTCCAGCGCTTGTATTCTTCCCAGTTGTTGCCGCTCTCATACCTTTTCTTCGCACCAGGACGCTCCTGCAGGGGTAGGCCAGAGAGGAACATGAGGAGCATGGTCAAGAAGATTGGGCCAAGAATGGAGGCGTAAAGCGCATCGTACGCACCGCCTCTGACATAGCCGTAGGCTGCTGGTGACACCGCTATCATGAAAATCGCTGTATTGTGTCAGCCATGTTCAGTCATAAGGGACACGTCTAGCTCACAAAATTGCATGATGATTTCTCCGAAGTAATTAGGATGTCTTGACCACGAAAAGAATCCGACGTCGCAGACTTTGCCCTTGTTGTTAGGGTTACTTCTGAACCTATACTTCTGCACATCGCAAACACTCTCCATGACAAATCCGATTGCGAAGAGAATGACTCCAGCGATGTCTCTTCCAGTTCCGAACCTCGGTTGGGAAAATTGCGTCACATTTGGGCTGTTCAAAATGGTCACTGGCAATGAGACCGCCCACACCCAAACCATTTGGAAGATCCAGAAGCCCAAGAAAGAGAAGAACTTGTCGCGTTTGTCGTCAAAGCGATCATCTTTGCCTGTTTTCAAGATACGAAAGAGTAGAAAGCCAGAGAGGCGGGCGCCCCATATCATAATAAACAGCGAGTCGATGATTTGGCGAGCATTGTGATGGCCGGAGAATGCTAAGGTTATGATTGCGAGGACAACGAAATTGGTGCCGCCCGCAAAATCTGATTTGCAAATTAGTATATGCGTCAGACGTACAGTTAACTCATTGTACAGCGACATACCAGTTAATTTGTCGAATTTGAAGGTCCAAGCAATGGAGAAGAAGAACAATTGGTAGGCAATGGTAATAAGAAGTGTAATGGCAAGGTAGTAATCATCGAGGGCGTGGACTTCCATGGCTCATGAATGTGCACTTTTGGAAAACGGGCGCATGAGGGCCGGAGCCCACATCTATATATGTACGGCCTTTGGAGGCACCGTGTATTCAGGTCAACATGCGAATACGACAACGTCATTGAGGCTCGGGATGACAGCCTTGGCGTAAAAGCCTCCTTATGGTTAGTCGCGCCCTCCAGCGTAATGGTCATCCAGCCGATTATCATTGCATTGCACTACTCACTACTTGCGACTCTTCATCAGAATTGACTCCTCTATTAGTAATCTAGTATTGTTGGGCTAAATTCTTACCGAGCTTGCTTAGCTTGACGCTTCTGTTGACGTTTCGAGAGAGGCTTCTGTGCGTTTGCAATGACTGCAGACTCTTCATCGAAAGTATCTGCTTTCCTCTTATTCTTTCCTACGCTCCCATTCGAATTCTCCAAAGCCGGGTCTCTTTCAGGCTCTTCTCCTCCGTGCAAGACATCGATAACCCCTCGGTAGCTCCGTCTTTTCATCTCGGCCTGGACTACGACACTACGAGCTTCTCTCCCCACTGCCTCTGTACCTCGCTCCTGAGGCAAACCCCACAGTGCTGCTAGATTAATGATGTCTGCAGGACTGCGACACGCCAATGCTTCCTTCGCTTCGCTGCTGATAACAATGCCTTTGCCACGTGTGGCACGAATCAATTGCGTAGCATTGCTGATCAGGTTTCTTCTGGAGGCGCCGCCATCAGCATTGAGCACGCCTGGCCCATAGCATATTTCAAACTTTATGCCTCGTTCAAGAGCAGACTTGATTGTTTTGATTGGAAAGTAGAAAGGATGTCGGATGCTAAAGTCCAATGATATAAGGTCGCACTCTAAGGAATAACATGCTAATTGGAGAGCCTTCTCTGTGGTAGGTCTCAATGCAAACAAGTCGTACGTTGTGGACAACTGCGGTAGTCGATAGTTCTGGCTGGGGTCTGAAAGAAAAAGGGTACAGCGCCGGATGATCCTTAGCTTAGCAGGTGGAGTGAATGGTAACGGGTTTGGTATTTCGTTGGTTATCTGGGCTGGGACCTTTCCGGTGATTGAGAATTCAAGAGCAATGGTAGTGTAACCCACTGCGTCCCTTTAGCTTTAGCCTACGAAGTTCGGGTCCCTGCTGTTGACTTGCGTTCGGTAAGAAAGCGTAGTGTTTGTTGCAACTCTGCTTGATTGACAGTATATGGAACATTTAAGTCGTAATACATCTCGATTCTCTCCCCGATATTGACACCGGGCTGAAGATGTCTTGCGTGTCATGTTGGATAGACGGGCGAGGTCGCCCAACTGCGCCAAGCCCAAATTCAAACCTCAGTTCCCGTGTCAAAGCTTGCTAGGAAGATCTATCCCACCTTGAAGTTCTCTGCGCCAACCAACAATGAGATTCTAAAGAAACATTCAACTTACGCCAGCTTCAAAGTCAACATATTTCTCCATGACTGTCAATAGAAGAGATCTGCCCTGTCCTTTCAGCCTTGCGCCGCTCCGAAGATAGAGCGCAATGGCCCGAGTCTATGCCGATGTGAATCAGCACATGCCCAAGTCTTATTGGGAGTATGATAGTGTCATTATCACATGGGGAGTCCTAGAAAACTATGAAGTCGTTCGGAAAATAGGTACCTACGTCATACGATATCCCGGAGCTCCTCTCGACGACCTATGCTAATGGATTAGGGCGGGGCAAGTATTCAGAGGTCTTTGAGGGCATAAATGTTGTGAATTATCAGAAATGCGTGATCAAAGTCTTGAAACCAGTCAAGAAGAAGAAAATAAAACGGGAGATCAAAATTCTGCAAAACCTTTCAGGCGGGCCCAATGTTGTTGCATTACTGGACGTTGTCAGAGACAGCCAGAGCAAGACACCATCGTTGATCTTCGAGTACGTCAACAACACCGACTTCCGCAGTCTGTACCCCAAGTTTGGGGATTATGACGTGCGTTACTACATCTTTGAGCTTCTTAAGGTATAGTGAAATGCCCGCAGAGAGCTGAAGCCTCTAATCTCTTTTGTAGGCCTTAGACTTTTGTCACAGCAAGGGGATAATGCACCGAGATGTCAAGCCACACAATGTCATGATAGATCATGACAAGAGAAAGGTCAGACTGTTTGACCCTGCACCATGAACGTCCTACTGATTGTGTTGTAGCTGCGGTTGATAGACTGGGGTCTTGCCGAGTTCTACCATGAGGGCACAGAGTATAATGTTCGCGTTGCATCTAGATACTTCAAGGGCCCCGAACTTCTCGTCGACTTCCAGGAGTATGACTATTCTCTTGATATGTGGTCTCTGGGCGCTATGTTCGCGTCAATGATCTTTCGGAAAGAACCCTTCTTTCACGGGAATAGCAACTCAGATCAATTAGTGAAGATCGCCAAGGTCTTAGGCACAGAGGCCTTGTTTGAGTATTTGGACAAATACGAAATCGACCTTGATACTCAGTACGACGATATTCTAGGCAGGTTTCAAAAGAAGAGTTGGCACACCTTTGTGAACCAAGAAAACCAAAGGTTTGTCAGCAACGATGCCATCGACTTCCTAGATAAGTTGTTGCGTTATGATCATCAGGTAGCGCTCCCCTCCCTCATTCAAGTACCGCCCCATCTAATGTCCGTACAGGAACGACTTACAGCAAAGGAGGCAATGGCTCATCCTTATTTCACACCGATCAGGACTGCAGCGACAGCTTCCAACCATGTTGCAAATTGACTGTAGTGTTCGCGATTCGTTCCACCAGGTGGGACGTCAAAACGCAATTTCATTTGATCATCAATGATCAAAACTCCTCTTTCATAACGTCATGAACGATGTTCGACCTCCTTTGCGTGTGATTTCGTCATAAAATCTGCAGAAGTCAGAAGCTTCTACTTCGGGGCAATGGATGATATTGATGAGCATGATATTCAGGGTACTATCTAGATACGTAGATACGAGTGGATCCACGATTGCATGACCTTTGCCTACACACAACGAAATCATATTTCATTTGAACCCCAAAAGCATAGAATTAGCATGTAGGGTCACTGATCCCGTGACCAATATCAGAAGTATTATTTCGCGAAATCGGCACGTGATATCATCGTGCATTTTCCTACCCCTCGACACCTCAAGCGGAACCCACCGATGTGACTCTCTTATCATCGGCCCATGCGCCGTTTCTTTTTGAAACCCTTGTTTTCCAAAGCATTCGCGTCCATGGCTCTCAATCCAGCTTCGCACAACCCTGCCGGCCTCAAGACCGGTCCGGCTTCTGGCCAGCCACCAGCAGCATCTGCAGAAGCGACGGCCGCAATCATCGGGTCGGCGAAGGAAGATCTTATGGGGCAACACGATGGCGGACATGATAGAGGAGACAAGGAAGCTGGGACTAAAGTGAAGAGCGCAAAAGAATTAGACAAGGAGAAAAAGAAAGCCGAGAAGCAAAAGAAATTCGAGGAAAAGAAAGCAAAGACTACAGTAGCCTCGGGTAGCGCAGAGCTTTCTAAGAGCAAGGAGAAAAAGGCCAAGCAAGAAACCGTGAAAGAGGACGCTTTGCCGGAATACAAGGAGCCTACTCCACCAGGGCAGAAGAAGAGTACGTTGGTCCCCCCCATTGAAACCCTTACGCATTGGCAACCCCCTCTCCCGAACATCAAGTCTTAACGTGATATAGTTCTGCAGTCATTAGATGACCCTTACCACAAGGCATATATTCCCAAGGTAGTTGAATCAGGTTGGTATGCATGGTGGGAGAAGTCTGGTTTCTTTGAGCCTGAATTAGGTCCAGACGGAAAGATCAAGCAACAAGGGTCTTTTATCATTCCAGAGCCCCCTCCCAATGTTACAGGAGTGCTGCATATGGGCCATGCGTTGCCGAATGCGCTACAAGATACCTTAATAAGATGGAATAGGATGCGAGGTCTGACGACGCTCTGGGTCCCTGGTTGTGATCATGCCAGTATATCCACCCAAACCGTCGTAGAGAAGATGCTGCGGCGGCAGGGTATCTCAAGGATTGATCTGGGGAGGAAGAAGTTCCTTGAGACAGTTTCCGAGTGGAAAGAGGAGAAGAAAGACAATATAAATAATGTCATCCGGCGAATGGGTGGGTCTCTAGACTGGACCCGGGAGCGATTTACCATGGACGAAGGACATACAATAGCGACGGTAGAGCACTTTGTACGGCTACACGAGGAAGGTCTGATTTACCGCGCCAATCGACTCGTCAACTGGTGCACAGCACTGAACACTGCAATTTCAAATATAGAGATAGACAGCAAAGAGCTTGAAGGACGAAGTCTTCTCAGCCTCCCAGGTTACGACAGAAAGGTAGAATTTGGTGTTATGACGCATTTCTATTATACTATTGACGGGAGTGACGAAAAGATTGAGATAGCGACTACTCGGCCTGAAACTATGCTGGGTGACACAGGAATTGCCATCTGCCCTACAGAAGCTCGGTGGAAGCACCTCGTTGGCAAGAATGCTAGACATCCTTTCATCAAGGATCGACTCCTCCCTATATTTACTGACGATCATGTTAAGGAAGGACTCGGGACTGGTGCAATGAAAGTGACACCAGCACATGACCTTGCCGATTATGATATAGGCAAAAGACACAATCTAGAGTTCATCAACATTCTCACTGATGATGGCTTGATGAATGAAAATACGGGAGATTTCAAGGGCATGAAGCGGTACGACGCGCGATACAAGGTCGTTGAGGCTTGGAAAAATTGTGGGCTTTACGTTAAATCGGTGAATAACCCCATGGTGATCCCAGTTTGTCAAAAGACTGGAGATGTGATTGAGTACATTCTTAAGCCTCAATGGTGGATGAATATGCGAAGTATGGCGGATACAGCAATAAAAGCAGTTGAAGACGGTGATATTGCAATCAAACCCGAGACGGCAGAGAGAGATTATCATCGATGGCTTAAAGATATCAATCCTTGGTGTATATCAAGACAGCTATGGTGGGGCCATCAAATCCCAGCTTATTTTGCTGTTGTTGAGGGTGAGCCAAATGATCGTTCCGATAGTTCACGGTGGGTAGCTGGCCGTTCAAAAGAGGAAGCAGAGCAGAAGGCGAAGGCAAAATTCCCAGGTAAAGCCCTCAAATTAGAGCAAGACGAAGACGTCTTCGACACTTGGTTCACCTCGAGCTTGTGGCCTTTTTCAATTATGGGCTGGCCTAAAAACACCTCGGACATGGAACTTTTCTACCCAACGTCGCTACTTGAAACGGGTTGGGATATCTTGACTTTCTGGGTTGTTAGAATGGTCATGCTTGGCATCAAACTCACAGGGAAAGTGCCTTTCAAAGAAGTATATTGCCATTCACTGGTTAGAGACTCAGAAGGCCGGAAAATGTCAAAGTCCTTGGGCAATGTTATAGACCCTATTGATGTGATGGAAGGTATCACTCTTGAAAGACTCCAGCACAAATTACAGACTGGGAATCTGGACCCGAAAGAATTAGCAACCGCAACCAAATGGCAGAAATCATCGTTCCCAGATGGTATACCAGAGTGTGGTGCTGACGCTCTACGCTTCTCATTAATTAATTATACGACTGGAGGTAAGGCAAACATGACGAAAATTTGTTTGAAAGACCGTTGACAAACGCAGGTGGTGATATAAATTTCGACATCAAAGTAATGCATGGCTACCGACGCTTTTGCAACAAGATCTATCAAGCTACTAAATATGTCCTTGGAAAATTACCGCCCGATTTTAGGCCACTTCCATCCGCTACAAAGAGCGGCAAAGAAGCTGTTGCGGAGCTGTGGATTCTACACAAGCTCACGACCACTGCTGGCCAAGTTAACAAGGCGTTAGCAGCCCGCGAATTTTCCGACGCTACTCAAAGTTCCTACCATTTCTGGTACAACAATCTTTGTGATGTCTACATCGAGAACTCAAAGACAATCATTCAGGATGGCACACCAGAGGAGCGTGAATCGGCGCAACAGACGCTTTACACAACCCTTGAGGGTGCTCTCACACTGATTCACCCTTTCATGCCATTCCTTACGGAAGAGCTCTGGCAACGTCTACCTAGAAGACCAGGAGACTCATGTCCTAGCATTGTCAAAGCAGCCTTCCCTCAGTATGACAAAAGCCTTGATGATCCGGCTAGCGAAGAAGCATATGAGCTTGTCCTAGGTGTCAGCAAAGCAGTTCGAAGCCTTGCCGCGGCCTATGACATCAAAGATAATGCTATCATATACGTGAAGCCTCATTCCTCTCAAGCTTCAGACACGTGCAAGGAGCAGTTGCCATCAATAAAGAGTCTTGGCGGCCGGGCTACCTATGGATCCTCGTCTCTTGTTACCGTTCTTTCATCAGACGACGTAGATCCGAGCGGCTGCATTCCACAAGCCGTTGGGGCGTCTTGTGCGGTCTTTCTCTTCGTGAAAGATCGCATTGACATTGACAAGGAGATTGAGAAAGCGAAGACACGAAGAGACAGATCGAGTGAGACCATTAAAAAGCAACGAGCCATCATCAACGGTGACGGATGGGCAAAAATGAAGGAAGAAGCACAGAGGGTTGAGAAGAAAAAGTTGGAGGATGCGGAAAGCGAAGTCGCGTTACTAGAAGGGTCTATATCGCAATTCCAGCAGTTGAGACTTGATTGAATAAGTAATAGAAGAGTCTTGATTCCAGACACCCCTCAACGGGTCAAGCCTTGGGACCGAGACTTTCGTACAAAGCGCAGTGGGACTGAATCTTGTAAGTCGCCTTTAGCTATGTTCGAGATACAGCGGCATCTCAAGGCTAGTAAAACCATGAATGAGGCCATTAACATACAGTCGAACTGCAAAGGCCACCAACACAGGTACACTGCTTCTTCTTGCCCGAGAATTGATGCAGTCCGTGAGAATCGTCTTTCATCTCAGCCTCCGCGCGGCTCTGATCCGCGACTTTGTATCTGTCGGCGCAGCTCATCAAAGAAATTTGCGCCAGACGCCATTGCGTTAGCTTCGGAACGTCAGCGTCCACAATTAGTTTCAAACGGAGGGTTGTCAATCACATAAAGGTTGTGCTCCACTTGGATTTGGTTGATAAGTGGATGAAGGATTCTGCCTAAGTTCACTCGAAAGCACATTGAAGCCTAGGTTCTTTCAGCGCGCGTAGATGATAAGAGCACACTACAAGTATACTTTGTTCTAGCATCATTTTGACTTCACTGGAATTGAAGGTCGAAAAATTCTGTCCCAGTGTTGGTGTGACAGGGCTCGAATTAGCATTCACAGAACCGCTCGGTATCATAGACTGATTACGAGGTGGACCATTTTTTGTCCACGTATTGGCAGCCATGAGAGAGCTTGGGTGTGGTAAAAGTGACGCCAAAGCCAGCGAATTCGAAAAGACACAAAACCCCCCGAACGCGTTTATGCTTTTATGTCCGACGGTATCTTCCGTCGGGCCGTCTGACGAATCAGAGTGACTCTGTCGATTTTCAGCCCTATCATTTTGCGTAGCTCCGAACCTCACCTGAATCTTGCTCATGGACGAACTTACCTACCCTTGCATCGTACAGTCTCTTTGATGCGTGTACTTTAGCCATCGAGGTAATGCGAACAAGTACATGACGAAACATCCACTCTTTCCCTCATTTTTAGGCACCCGATGAGTCAAGCCACTACCGTGCTACGCGCAGGTCTCGCCGCGTGTCAGTTGCTTATAAATGGCGCCAACTCCAACATCGACCCCTCAACAATTCAACACTCGAGGTAGATCAACCAGACAATCATTCCAGCGCGCATCTTCAGCCGAGAGTCCCCCAGCGACCGAACCTCCACTGAAGAGGCGTAGATACATACCCGGAGGACCAGGGGGGGAGGTCGATTCATAGCAGGTGAAGATGGAAAACTTTCGCTGAGAGGGGCAGGCCCTGCCACTGCGCCGAGACCTAGGGTAGATCGGATCAATATAACGAATACTACCCAATCGATCTCCTCTCCTCGACCTCGTAGAGAGAGTCGCAGAGAGAGAATGCCGGCGAGACCACGAATCAGCTCTGCAGCTGCTGCCGCGGCTGCTGTTGCGCATGGAGACGGTTTTAAGCCGCGAGAAGAAAGAGGTTGGGAGGAATTTCACCAAGACCTAGATATCGAAGCCAGCTTCCCAGTATTCTGCTCCTACGAAGTGGATGGCATCAAGAAAACCCCGCTGAAGACACCTTCTGAATTATCCGAGGCAGTACGTCAGCGACGACGAACGCTCGATGCAGATGGCCGTCAAATGGTAAATGGAAATGGGCGCCGAACACCTTTGGCGCAGGATGAAGCTTACAATTCTACGTCACCCAACGGTACGCCCAAGAGGCGACCAGGACGTCCTCGACGAACGGAGTCCATGCTAAAAGGCATTGGCATCTCTCCTGATGTACCAAAGCTGATTCCTCCGCCCGGCTTCAACCCACGAGAGAAGCTCACCTTGCCTAAGCCTTCTTTTCGACCATTAGATCCATTTGCGACATTCGAGGACAGGGAGGAGTTTGTAGATCAAGCAATGTCAAATGTGGGATATCAAGAAAGTGAGTTGTGGGCCCGACAAGGATCATTGATTCGCGTCACAGAGGGTAACATCGAAGACGACTTGCTCCTAAAGACAAAGCAAAACGACAAAGATGATGGAACAGGGATTGGGCCAGTAGGAGTTGGTAGAGTCGAGTATGACATGGATGAACAAGATATGTACTGGCTGAATTCCTATAATGAGTCACGACGAGAGGAGGAGGTGCCTGAGATCAAACCGTGGATCTTTGAGGTCGCAATGACCAAGATTGAGAAGGAATGGCATGCGCTCGAAAAGCGCATTCCAAAGCCGAATCCCAAACCTCCTCAGACCCATCGCCCGCGATCTAGCTCAGCAGCTGCGGTCAACGGCGAATTAGCACATGGTGAAGAACAAGACACCAAATGCGCAATTTGTGATGATGGAGACTGTGAAAATACCAACGCAATCGTCTTCTGTGATGGCTGTGATCTTGCGGTCCACCAAGAATGCTATGGCGTACCTTTCATCCCGGAAGGTCAATGGCTGTGCCGTAAATGTCAGTTGATCGGACGAGGCACACCTACGTGCATCTTTTGCCCAAATACGGACGGCGCATTCAAGCAAACAAATGCATCAAGATGGTCTCATCTCCTCTGTGCTATATGGATCCCCGAAGTCTCCATTGGCAACGCTACCTTCATGGAGCCAGTCATGGATGTTGAAAAGGTACCTAAGCAACGATGGAAACTGACTTGTTATATATGTCGCCAGAAGATGGGAGCTTGTGTTCAATGTGGTAACAAGAATTGTTACATCGCGTTTCACGTTACTTGTGCAAGAAGAGCAAGACTGTTCTTGAAAATGAAATCAACACACGGTGGTCCAGCAAGTCTCGATGCGAGTGTCCTAAAAGCGCTTTGTGACAAGCATGTGCCCGCTGAATGGCGCCGTGAGCATGACGTTGACCGTGCAATCATCGAGGCAATGGATTATTATCGCTATGCTATGCGCGGCAGGATGTGGGCAGATTCTCAACAGGCTGCTTTGACGGCGATACCACCGCCTCCGCAAGATCCACTGATGGAAGGGGCCAATGGGGAAGAACCATCAAGCTCGAAGATCACACTCAAACTGGGCACAAAGAACGCTAATCGACCTCCGCCCCCCAAGATTGTCTGGAAATTACCATCGGGTGCTCCCGTCATCCCACAGGCTTTGTACAGCTCTATAGAAAGCTCTTTAGTACGATTCACGATCAAAAAACGCAAGGAGTTCGCCGCAGAAGTCTGCAAGTACTGGACTTTGAAACGTGAAGCACGGCGTGGTGCGGCGCTTCTCAAAAGACTGCAGCTGCAAATGGAGACATTCACATCAATGGAGATACCGAGAAGGAATTTTGTTGGCATGGGGGCTGCAGGTGGGGTTCGACTACAAAGACGTATCGATTTTGTAGAGACGCTGGTGGACGATGTCAAAAAGATTCGAGAGATTACAGCCAAAATATTGGAGAGAGAGGGACAGAAGCTTGAAGACGCCAAGATACTTGAGGAAATTGTAGACACCATCTACTTTCCCCTGGCTCCGCTCCTCTCTCCTATTCTGCAAAAAGCCCAAACGTCAGTGCTCAACCTTTCCATATTCTTTTTCCTCCGCTAACATTACGCTTTAGCCTTGACAATCACGGTGCTTTCGCAGAAGGCTTTAACGATATTAGCAACAACATTGAAAAGCGGACGTACCCCAATATTTTAGAATTCGCAGATGACTTCGCTTCGACAATTGCAAGCACCATCACCTCCTCCGCCGTAGTGGACGGATCAGACCACTCGTTGCAGATCAACGGCCTAAGCCCAATCAAATCGAAGACTCACCACGCCAAAAAGGAAAAAACAATAGCCAAGCGGATCGTCAAAGGCGTGCAAGGCTCAATCGAAGATGCGATTCGAAAAGAATGCCAACTATCGAAGACGTCCCATGAAGGAGAGATCCAAAGACTGACTACACTTCTCGACAACTGTCTTTGTGGTCGTCATGAGCCCCTTCCAAAGAGCGGAATTCAGGAGCTGCCATTGACTAATGGCGACTCGTTTCATCTGAATGGCCTAGTGAATGGCGATACAATTCACGAAGAAGGGGCCGACTCTGTCAATGTCCTGCACGGCAAATCTTCTACACCTACTCCCCAGACTCGCCGGACTTCAATGCGAAGTGCTGGGCGCCGTCGACGAACAAACAGTAGTCTTGGCTCTGTCCACTTACCTAATGGGGTTTCCAATACGCCTTCTAAGCCCGAGACTTACCGAATCACTCGTTCGTCTACGTCTTCGAGCGTCAATAGCGAGAAACGGCTTCCCCGCAGCGGTATCCCCTGGTATATGGAGAACTTCCGACCCGAGGGCACGACGATCCAGGAGGAACAGTGGAAGGGTAGAGACTTGGTGGACAGCGAGCTTCTCAGTGATATGGATGAAGAAGAGATGTCAGGGTTGGTGGACGGTGGTCACAGCAATGCGAAAACGGCTTTTAGCAGGGAGGAAGAGGAGGCTGCTGCTGCTGCGAAAGCGGAGGCATCGGCGAAGAAACGGAAGTTGGCGAGGAAGAAGGCTAGTAGGGGGTGGACCAAGCGATAATATATGATAAGGGTATTTTTGGGGTAAGCATGGTGTTTCGGGCAAAGACAGGTCGCTTTGTTTAAACATGCATGAGGTTGAGATGTCACATGGCTGCAAGGGAAATATGTATATTATCACGCCATAAGAAACCGAAGGTGAATTTGAAGAAGACAAACCCAGCATGCTATGTACGTAGTATGGGGGTTACCTGCACTAAGCACTAGTCCTTACACCCTCACAAGCTCCCTTCTTTTGGATCTTTGCAGTGACGAGCTCACGTTATCACGCACTAAGATTTTGATCGCGAGGACAACATCTGCCCCTCAGCTAGGTGCCTCGAATGGTGAATCTTGTTATAAGATTGCTCTTCATGATGAATGAAGCGGATCAAGACAAACATGTTTTCAGACTCTAAGGAGAGCACTATTACAGAGTGAAGCAGACTCACAATGAGAAGACTAATGAGTTTTCGGTTATCACCTCATCTAAGGTGCACTGATTGGACGGAGACCATTCGCCTGGCCATACGTAGTGTTGACGTGCGCATTTCCAGGGATCAAAGACACTTTGACGGGGGAAAGCACTCACCTCTAAGGAATGACCATAACTTCTCTATTTACATCCTGCATCCACCCAGATGTTAATAGCTCGTTCCAGGCCCCAATGACTCTCGCCGATGGTTTGAGGCAGTCAAATGTCAAAGAAGCTGCATTGTTAGAGGATATGACTGATGCGTACTGAGTTGACAGTCTGGGGACTGAATAAGAAATCTTGCGGGGTCGAAAAGGCTGACATGCCGAGAAAAGGCGAAGGAAGGTACAGTAAGGGTTCGACATAGCTGCGAGATCCAACAGTATGAGCCAGACTGCAATGCTATCCTGACAAAGAGTATGGGAGAGCAAGTTGAGCATAGACTGGAGGTCAAGGAAACAATCACCTACCTACTAGCTTGCGCCGAGAACCGTAGGATGCGACCATGACCAATGTACCGAGTAGTCAATCTCATGATTGAAGAGCGATGAAGTGGGTGACTGCATTACAGAACTATGCTGATGTCCTCTGAAAGCAAGCGACATTTCTTTCGCCTTCGTCATTAAAAATTTGATGGTGTAGGCGGGCACATATACAGATGCTGACAATTACGAAATTTGATGGGCATATTGAGGCGAAGCGTGAATCTGGGTCGTGGCAGTGAGAAAGCTGGCGAATTTACGTTGTAAAGGCCCAGCTGAATCATATGACGTTTAGTCGCTACAGGTGGAGCTGATGAAAGGCGATTTGGCAGACGATAGTAATACAATGAGATTGCAAGCTGATTAGATGTCCTCTGTGCTGATGAGGAATGGACCATTTGATGCGCCATCTGCTGGTTGCACGCTCAATCTGAAGAAAAGTATTTCCGCCGACTTTCGAACTCGATATATCAGGAGACTGATACGTAAAGCCGAAGAACTGCAGATGCTGACTTCACTGAATCGAATCTGAAAGACACGTCGAAATCTGATATCTAAAAGAAAGCCGACTCCACCGTCACAAGTCGTAGCAAAGCCGCGATCATTGAGATAAATGTCTCGAGCCTCTCTGCACCGAAGAAAACCTGCAGTATGTCATTGTACCCTTCCACCGTTCTTGATCAGCTCTTAAGCCTCGAAAAATTAGCCTGCTAGGTGTTGGAGGCGTATTATTTGGCAGAACGCTCTGCACCTGGCTGTATTAGCAGGCAATCTCAAAGGTGGGAGTACCTATCATCTGAAGGATAGTCTCGGTCTCTACCTCCATAAGGCTCCCTCGAGGGGGCATCCCCGTAACTACGTCCACTGTCGCGTGGAGGATAGTCTCTGCTGCGATAATCGTCTCTACCTCCGTAGCGGTCTTCTCTCCCAGATGACGCATAACGGTCAATGCCTCGCGAGCCATAGTCGTCACGACGACCGTAACCTGATGAGCGAGAATATCGGTCGTCATACCGAGAGCCACGGTAAGAATCATCATAACGACCGCCGCCGCCGCCACCACCACCACCACCATATCCACGAGAGCCTCCGCGACGATCGTCATATGACTCGTAGCGGCCCCCACGACTTGGAGGCCCGCGACGGAAGTCCTCTGTCACTACACTTAGTAGATTCGGCCTCCAGATCGACGTTAAACTAACCTCGTTTGGGAGGTCCGAAATATTTGCCTGGCGTTGGGGTTCGTGGACGGGCACGTCTTGCCTTCTCGATGCTTAGAGTGCGACCCTCGATGACTTCACCCTGAAGGCCATCTCTCGCGGCGTCCGCTTCTTCAGCAGTTACCATCTTCACAAACCCGAAGCCACGAGACTCATGCGTGTGTGGATCTTTCATGATGGAGCAGCCTTCGACAACACCGTACTTTTCGAACAATCGTGATACCTCAGCCTCATTCAGGCGGGGATGTATGCCAGTGACAAAGAGATTAGAGCCTGGGTTCACAGACTCTCCACCATTCTGCGGTGGCCCTCTAAAGTTAAATAGTGAGCTTAGCTGATCAAGCCTTGGGTTCAGTCGCTTACCTTGATTCCATGCGATCATTAGGCGAGGCACTCCTATCACGACCGCTTCGATAGTCATCATCGCGCTTCGTGGGTCGCGGAGATGCGCTTCGCTCACGTTCATAGCGTGGTTCGTCTAGGAAAATGAGCTCTTACTCTTTGGTGGAACAGAAGGCGCTAGGAAGTAAATGAAACAATAGGCGGACATACCGTCGTAACGTCCGTTGTCATTCTCGTACTCCATGGACGCCATCTTGGGGTTTTGCAGAGCTAATTGAAGATATTACAAAAAGCTGATGATGATAGGTTGTGGGGTAGCTAGGCTCGACTGATGAAGAATATGAAGGTGACTTTCACGTAACAATCAGGGAGGAGAAGCAAGGCAAAAATAAAATTGTAGTTATTACTTTGACGCTATACTTGAAATAGGTTAGCTCTAGCTGGACGGCAAAAGGTATTGCCGAGTCCGAGCGAACGAAGACTCATGTGAGCTGTCTTCGTGACACCTTGTGACAATAAACCTCCCACGTCTGTATTCCTCTAAATTAAACTTCCTGCACGTCTAATGCCACAGAAAGGCCCTTCGCCGCCCACAGGGTCGCGGTCCAGACATTCCGCCGGGCTTGCAACAAGCCGACAAAATAATCGAGGTGGCATACAGAAACGTGGAGCAGCTCCACGAGTTGACAAGGATGGCGATCTTGCCATGAGTGGAGGTGATTCGGCGCCAAGACCACCGAGAGCAGGCAAGAGTGGACGAGGAATCACAGGTCAGATCTCGCGGCAAAACACACCAGAGTCTCTAAACAATCGAGTCTCCTCAAAACCAGCCAAGACCGGCATAGATCCTGAAGCTATACAAAAAGCAGTCCTGAAACAACTAGGATCGAAGGCACCACTGCCGAAAGCATCCAGAGTACGACCATCTGCGAAACGAACATTTGACAATCCAAGAGAAGGAAGGCCGCCGCTGCAGCAGATAAAGGTGTGGGGTCTGAAACAAAGCAAGGCAGCCGTGAACCCAGATGGTGGAATCAACGATCTCATAGCATTTATCGAAAGGAAGGCCTCAAATCCAGACGCACCAGCGAGAGAAGCAGTCAAGATTAAAAAGGTATGTCTAACATTGTGTACAGCAGGTCATCGGGAGCTCCGATACCGCAGCCAACTTTCTGGTCCGCTTTCGTTTCAAGCAAATACCTCAGAACGACGACAGAAATGCGCCGATATTGCCTCTGATTGACTTGCAAATTTCAAGGTCTGAAAAGTCCTTGCTAATAATTGTATAGTCGCGCATGGAGGACGATACTTTGATTGTATCTTTGCGGTCCGAGGATGTAACTAAGGTCTTAAGGATTAACAACTTCCTGTTTGCTGGGGCGAATCTCAGGATTGAAATCGTGCCTGAACTCGACGGCTCATCAGGCAAGAATGACGAAACGGAAACTCCACAAACGGTCGATGTGCTTCGAGACTTTCTCAGTCGTCGGTATAATGCTGAAAGTAAGCTGCTGGACCTATCACAGATGGGATCGGATGAGAAGCTCCAGAGTATTGGCATGTTCAACACCACCTCACGGGAATCTAAATTTTTTCCAGCATTGATGAAAATTTCCGATAGCTTTTTCACCTCCAACAAAGACAAGGAAGATGCTGTTGTCAGTGTATCTCTTGCTGGCAACGCACTCGTCGATCTCACTGCTGTTTCGGCGCTCTCACAAACCTTTCCCACAATCAAAAATTTGGATCTTTCAAACAATCAACTTCCGAGCTTGAAAGCTCTGGACGCGTGGCGCTGGAAGTTTCGCAAGCTAGATTACCTGCTGCTTTCAGGGAATCCTATTGAACAGACAGAGCCAAACTTGCAGGAGGATCTACTGAAATGGTACCCATCATTAACAATTTTCAACGATGATGTAGTACGATCACACCAGGAAGTTCGCGCTCGTGATAGCAGCAAGCTACCTCTCGCGACACTAGGACCTAATTTTCGAGACGAAGCATCTATAGGTGAGAATTTTGTCAGGCAATTCTTCCCGCTTTACGATTCAGATCGAACAACTCTGGCCAACGGATACTACGACAGCCAATCAGCTTTCTCTCTTAGTGTAAACACCTCTGCACCGAGAGACCCAAATAAGGACGCTGCTCAGCAGGTAGCGAGTTGGGAGCATTACATCAAACGCAGTCGAAACCTTGATAGAATCTCACACGTCTCCGGTAAAACGTCACGCCTTTACACTGGGTCTCAAAGCGTGTGCGAATGCTTCAACTCGCTTCCTAGAACTAAGCACCCTGACCTCCTCACCGAGCCTCAGAAATGGTGTATCGAATGTCACGCCATACCTGGGCTTCCCGACATATCTGGACAGTCACCGAGAGGGGTTGGTGGTCTCATTGTGGTGATCCATGGTGAATTTGTTGAGCACGAACTTCCTCCAGGTCAGCCAAAAATAATCCGAAGTTTCGATCGGACCTTCATCTTGGGCCCTGGAAGTGGCATTGGCGGGTTGAGGGTCGTCTCCGACACTTTTGTGCTCAGAGCTTATGGGGGACATGAGGCGTGGAGGCCGGAAGAATCAGAATCATTACAGCAAGGCACTATGTCTTCGGCAGGGACTGGAGTGCAAAGAACGATAGGACCAGGAGAAGCTAGGGTTCCCAACGGTGGAAAATCAGCTGAACAAGTGCAGAAGGAAACTCTAGCGGTTGAGCTAAGTAGATCGACAGGAATGACTCTGAAATATTCGGCTCTGTGTCTCGAGCAGAGTGGGTGGAATTTGGAAGGAGCAGGCGTCACTTTCGGTCAAGCTAAGGTAAGCAAACAGCCAGTTCTGTTCTCTGGAAATGAAAAAGCTAAGGTCTTCGCAGGCGAACCTCCCGGCGGAAGCTTTCAACAAAGCATGAACGAATGCACAAATGAACACAATATCTACATCTATAGGCTGTGATAGAATTGTTAGTCAAATGACGAAGCCACTCCAGGTATTGAGATTGAGAGGCTCCAAAAATCTCAGCTTCTCTTAGTATGACTTGTAAATAGAAGTGAACCTCAATCATCTTTGAATCAAAATTTCCCAGTACTGGTCTGCGTTTGACGATCTTGATATTATAGCTTCCCACTGCTTGAGAATATTACGGTCGTGGTTTAAAAGGGGAAAGGAAACATTTCGCGCTAGTGTCAGCCCTATCACTGCTTCAGCTACGCGTTGGTTTCCAACACCAAGATATGCTCAATGGAAATGCTTTCAGGAGTATAATACGATCGCGCTTGCCGATTCGTAGCATCAAGTCTACACGCTATGATAAACCTAGAATTCTTAATTTGGGGCGAAGCCAAGCAGAAGTGGTGTGTGTTCGGCATCGACGCGGCGCAAAGACAAGGGCGACCCTTCGATTGAGCAATCATTCGGACGTCCAATCTACGAAGCAGAGCAAGGGACTAGCCCAAGAACAGGATGGACCCACATTACCGACCGTGCTTCGGCAAGCGCGGGATAACATGCGTAAACTCGAAAATTGTGTATTGTTGACAAGAGTCGGCAATTTCTATGAGCTCTATTTCGAGCACGCAGAGAAGTACGGACCTTTACTGAATCTTAAGGTCGCCTCAAAACGTACATCTTCAGCAGGGGATGTGGCTATTGTGAGTCTAGAGAGGCTCGATGAAGGACATATCAACTAATATCCTCAAGGCCGGCTTCCCTTACTGGCAACTTGATCGGTTTCTCAAGATCCTTGTTCAGGATTGCAATGAATACGTCGCCATAAGCGACGAATTTGCAAACGATGCTGCCGACACAGTCAAATCCGGTGGACTCTTGTTCGACAGGAAGATCACAAGGGTCATTTCCCCAGGTACCTTGATTGACGAGAAATTCATGGATCCATATGAGGACAATTATTTACTCACGGTCTACTTGAAGGATGCAAATGACGTAGAAAAGAACGATCATGTACGAGACGGGATTTTGGAGAATGTTGGAACAGATGCGGCTACCAAGTTGATGGAAAAAATCGTTGGGCTCGCGTGGTTGGATCTTTCGACTGGGTCCTTTTTTACGCAAACGACTAGTATCGGCTTACTTCCAAGTGTAGCCGCACGTATAAGGCCACGAGAAGTAGTTCTGGATAATGCAATTCAGACCGGCCGAGGAGCGCATATTATGGACATGCTCGCACAACAGGGTCATTTCATCACGTGCCATGATTTCGACTTGCAAGAAGTCTCCGTTGATTCATGGCATCCAATGCTCAACGGCAGAATGCAGGAAGGACCGAGTTCCAACTTCACTGCGGAAGAGGTCAATGCAGGGACCATTCTCCTTTCATATGTAAGTCAAAGACTGCAAGGCTCTGGAGTCAAGCTGCAACCGCCGATTAGACGACAGAACAAGGAGACGATGAGTATTGATAGGAACAGCATGAAAGCGCTGGAGGTGCAAAGTACCTCCAAAGAAGGTTCAGCATGGGGCAAAGGAAGCTTGCTCCATACAATGCGCCGCACAGTAACAAAGAGTGGGACTCGTGTACTTCGGGACTGGATCTGTTCTCCCTCAATGTCCCTCGAAATCATTAACAGGAGATTGGATCTCGTCTCACATCTAATTGATGATCTCCTCTTCAGAGAAGCGGTCGTAGCACTTTTAAAGCAAAGCCATGACTCACAGCGTCTCACACAGAAATTCGCAATGGGGAGAGGTGATGCTGATGATTTACTCGGTATATGCCGTACAATTGAGGTCACGGAGAATATAGCAACCCTGCTAGAGGAGGCAGTGCTTTGTTTCGATGACCGAGTTGAGATAAATGGCTCCACTTCGCTGCAAAGAGACTCGTTGAGAGAGCTGCAACGTGATTTGTCTTTTGATGGTCCAGCTGAATTGGCTGAGACGATTAAATTCTCTATTGATGAAGACGGATTATTCCAGAGCCACCGAATTGAAGAGGAAGAGCAAGCGAATGCTGTCACGGTGGCACAAGATATGCTACAGAGTGACAGCTCAACAGAGAATCAAGATACATTAGCGTCGGTACCGAAAACAAAAGCGAGACAGAGAGTCGCTTGTGAATCCGATAGTGAAGACCAAGATCCCTGGATCATGCGTCGCTCAGCAAGTAGCGTGCTTCAGGATCTGCATGATATATTAGACATCATGCAAAAAGATAAAATTGACTTGGAGGTCCGTTTGAGGAACAATCTGCAAACACAGAGTCTGACCTTGCGGTGGACACCGGGCCTTGGTCACATTTGTCATGTCAAAGGTAACCGAGATGTGTCACATCCCTCAATGGCTCGAGTGCTAAAAGCCACGAAATCAACGCGTTCATTTCACCACCCGGAATGGAGTAGTCTTGGAAGGAAGATTGATCAAGCCAAATTGCGAATTCGAGCGGAAGAGAAGCGACTGCTCTCAAGTCTACGCACGCAAGTCATCCTGAATATTGTCAAGCTGAGGGGAAACGCTGCAGTCATAGACAGGCTTGACATCGCTTGTGCATTTGCTACACTTGCAGAGGAGCAGAACTGGAAACGTCCCATTTTGAGTAACCAATTCGATCACAAAATCATCAATGGTAGGCACCCGACTGTTGAGATGGGTCTGGAAGAACAAGGCAGAGCTTTTGTCAGCAATGATTGCCACATTGGCGAAAAAGAACGCATGTGGCTCATCACCGGACCTAACATGGGAGGTAAAAGTACCTTCTTACGACAGAACGCTTTGATATCTATCCTAGCACAGGCGGGCTCCTTTGTTCCCGCAGAAACTGCAGAGATCGGTCTTGTCGACCAAATCTTCACCAGAGTTGGCTCAGGAGATAACCTTTTCAGAGATCAGTCAACTTTCATGGTGGAAATGGTTGAGACAGCCTCCATACTGAACCATGCGACACCTCAGTCTTTTGTCATCATGGACGAGATTGGTCGCGGGACAACGCCCGAGGACGGCATTGCGATAGGCTTCGCATGTCTCCATCACCTTTATTATAAGAATCGATGCAGGACTTTGTTCGCCTCGCACTTTCATTCGCTGGCTGACATGACCAAGCACTTCAACCATTTGGGCTGCTATTGCACAGACATTGTAGAAGGTGAAGGAGGCGCGTTCTCTTTTGTACATCGCCTCAGACCAGGTGTCAACCGCAGCTCGCATGCTCTGAAGGTCGCAGCTCTAGCTGGTGTCCCTCAGACAGCTATTGAGACCGCACGTTCAGTGCTAGCCAGTCTAGAAACGAAAGCGCAACCACAAGAGCGACAGGCCACGGGGGCGTGAAGCAGGTAAACACATCGGCGATTTTCCCGGCGTAGTGCGGCGTTACATGGTCCTTCGTAGCCGAAGTGTCCGTTCGGCGAACGTTTGGTGCAGAATGGGGGCGAGCTGCGAATGGGGCTACGGTTGGAATCTTTTTCAGTGCCTTATATTGGGGGCGACAGCACACCAGGCCATGCGACAGAGGAAGCATTCTTGGGCCAGAGCTCGGGGAGCTACAACGTTCGACTTGCTACGTGGACAGTTCATTGAGAGAACTCGACCATTGGCGACTCTTGATCGAGTAGATGACAAATTGTACAATCTTCATTCCTCTCTCTCTCCATGTCTTGCTTTGGATCCTAAGGATGTGTCTTGTGGGTACAAGCGTATTGACGAATCGGCGCTTGTCGTCTCCCGTATCAGCACGCTCAACGGCTCAAGTTGCTCTGCCACCAAAACACCATGACTACGCAGCACGCATGACTCGCCACCACCGTTCCTGCAGCGGAAGGCACCGAGTGACAGATCCGCCTGTTTGGAAGCGCATGCACTTTCACCAAAGCAGAAAGAACTCTGTGAACGATTATGACTTTGCCCCCTCAGGGCCGGATACCTCCCGCGAGATTTGCTTACATTGCGCCTGACATAATCCAGCAATGGCACCGACTTCAGAGTCTGCGACGTTCTATTCGACGACCTGATCCTCGATGCGTCGGTCATACGAGCGCTCCTCTCATAGAAGATCATGTAGGCTGAGGCACAGGTATAGCTGGCTTCGGCGGTTGACATCACCTTTCTTAACGCTCGTATCTTGCGTTATCATTCTTGTTGTCACGCTCTGCCCGTCTTTGCCTCTAGATTGTTCAGCGAACCATTCTTCAGCCGCTAAGTACGTGTGGCGGATTTCTTGCAGACTGTCACTCCTACCCTTCCCTGCATCTCCTGTCATTTCTCCTACGATTTATTATTCCTCACTGCGTACACTCACCTGTCCCGAGGACGCAACTTCGACATTCGTGGTCCGTGGTTTTAATGCCTACCCATTGAGCGCAAGTTATGTGGGGGAGAGTAATCCTACTGAGCATTTGGTACATCATCGTCAAAATCAATGGCCAAGCTATTGACCCGATCAAAAACATGTGTGCACGATGGGATCACCAATGTAGGCATCTCTATAGTTCCTTATTTCCTAAAGCAGGAGTGCTGACGTATTCAAAGCCGTTTACAAGAATAACACGCTCTACATCGATGGGGGAAAGCAAACCTTCATCGATGAAAGAGAGGAGAATGGTGAAATCATCCAGGAGGGCAATATTACAGTGGGATACAGTATGTTCCGTTCTTGAGAATCCGGAATATACCGGAAGATATAATCTTGTCCAAAAGCTGATCCAGGGACTAAAGACAATTATATCATTACCATTGACATGTCTAAATCTTGGAATTGGGAGACAAATATTTCTGAAGCTGCTCTTGAGAGGATGCCGATACAACAATCACAAACGAAGCCGCCTGTCGTCTCGCGAGGTGCGTTCTTCTACGGCGGTGATAGTAGCGAAAATGTTTACCTCTGGGGAGGAACGACGTCATACCTCAACAGGACTTTTCCTGGCTTTGAACCGCCGATGACATCTCAATATTCTCTTTGGTCATACAAACCTTCAGATAATACTTGGGCCCAATTCGATACGGGGTCTACAGTCCAAAATCGCCCAAGCAGTGGCTCCTTCGCAGAGGTCCGGGAGCAGAACCTCGCATTCTATTTCAATGGGCAGCTTGACTCGGGGAGTCAGGTTTCAACGCAAGTCTTTGGAGACGATCCGAAAGTGTTCTTAAAAGGGATGATCATGCTGGATCTGGCTAACCAAACAGCACGTAACCTTTCAACTGATGCTGTGGTCGGTGATCAGCCAAGGTCGCGGTGCGTTCCAAAGGCCTATGCCCCCCTATTCTATGGCACTAAATTGATCATTGTCCGATTTCTGAGCGCAACGAGGTGGAGAAACTGACTTTTAGAATGCATAGGGGAAGGATGCAATACATCTCTGGCATTGGAGGGAAGGGAATTCTGGTACAAATGGGAGGAAATCAAAAATCCGCAAACGATACAAGCAATCAATACGTTGGTGATCTTGTGAGCTTACTCTTCTCACTCACTGATCGACAAGTTCTGATTGGTCAAGGTACCTATGTCTGAAGTAGACATATTTGACGTGTCGTCCATTTACAATGAAGATAAACCCGATGGCCAATGGTACAAGCAAACAACGACGGGAGATATACCACCTTCCCGACTTGACTTCTGCCTCGTACAAGCATCTTCCAAAGATCAGTCATCTCGTAATATGTATGCTTGCACCCCCTATGAAGCGAGGTCTTTGATTTACATGTCTAACTCTGTGGGATCTAGATACATGCACGGTGGCCGTTCAAGCGACGATTTGGAGGCAAATATATTCTACGACGATGTGTACATACTCTCTATACCTTCATTTACATGGACGAAGGTATACGAATCGAAGAGAGGTAAGGCAGGGCATACATGCCATCGCGTGGGCCCAAGTAAGATGATCCTTGTGGGGGGCACCAACTCCATGAACTATACCGAGGGATGCGACTGGCACACCAAAGGCGTGGGAGTGATGGACATGAATGAAATAGTGTGGGGGAGGGTTTATGATGCTAACGCTGAGGATTATCAAGTGCCAGTCAATGTTAGCCGGAGGATCGGGGGAGATAAAAACGGAGGCGCCGCCATGCGCCAGCCAACTCTTGGTTTTGATCAAGAGGGTCTGGCGAAGATTTTCAATGGGACAACGAAGGCTAAAACATTACAGAACGCAACAGTAACAAATACACCGTCAAAGATGAGTCCTAGCAACACGATCAGCAAGTCCATTATCGTTTGCACTGCCGTAGGAGCCGTCGCTCTGGTTGGTGTAACAGGATCTTTGGTATATCTCTATCGCAGAGGACTTTATCAGATCATTACAAAGACGGAATGGCCTTTCGTGGAGATGGATGGCAGTGGACGAGAGGACGTAGAAATCATGACCAATTCTGTGTGCTGGGAGCTGCCGGCGATGGAAAAACCTGTTGAATTGGCCGTGCGGTGCAGCAGTTCCAAATTCAGGGAGAAATCGGGGAAACGAGAGGTCAAGCCTCCATCGTGGGTACCGCCGGTTACTGATGAGGGCGTCCCTTTCTAGTCTCAAGTGGGGGCAGAATCGGCATAGATACTAATTATCTTCAATCCATAATGTTTACTACTCTCCAATATCTTCGTTCCTGTGAGAGCAGAAGATGCTTTAGCCGACTGGTTCTCTCTGTGGAAGACGACTTGCTTACCATACGTCAGGCTTTTTATCAATAAAGCTAGTCATCAAATCTTTACACTCTTGACTTTCAAGCACAACCACTTCAATTCCCCTCTGCTCGAGATAGGCTTCGCCGCCAATGAATGTCTTATTTTCCCCGATGACGACCCTCTTCACGGCATACATCACACAAGCCCCCGTACACATATCACACGGGCTCAGCGTAGTATACATGGTTGCTTCCTTGTAGACCTTTCCCGGCAATCTGCCCGTGTTCTCAAGGCATGAGATCTCGGCCTTGATGAATCAGATGGCGCATTCATGCAACATGACGACACGAGATCGTACATGAAGAGTGGCTGAATCTTTCTGGACTCGCATATTGTGACCCACGCCTAGGATTTTGCCTTCGCTGCTCACCAGGCAGGCACCAATAGGTACCCCGCCTTCGCTGAAGCCTGCTCGGGCTTCTACTAGGGCTGCCTGAAAGCCAGCGTCTGACTCCATGGATGAGATAGAATAGCGAGTATGACCTAGTACACCAGCACAAGCTCAGGGGGAAGGGAAGGAATGAAGCCTCAAGAAAAGAGCTAGTGGTTGTCTCTCTGGAGTCCGTACGAGCGGAGATTGTCAAGGAGATCTGATAACAGCCTTATCACCCGAATTCGGACTTAGCCTAGTCATCGCAGAAGGGCAACGAAAGTTCCATTTGACAAAATCATTACTTTCAACCGCTAAGCAGGAGCTACCTCACGTAGCTCAATTCAGCTACAGTATTGCACGTAGACATTTTGACACTTGAAATTGTGAGTGTCAGGACGACGATCTCAACACCTTTTGTCTCTTGAGTTCTTCCACGGTAATTTTCTCCAAACTGGGCAAAATCCTGCGCAAGGCCGAGCCTCGACATTTTTCGGTTCAACTTTTAGATCTGACAGTGACGAGAAGCATCAGGGCATCCCGTGCTGAATAGCACTTCACTCACCTCTTCAACTTCCATTTTCTACTTGGAGATTCATCCTACAATCTATCAAACAAACCCTATACTCTCGGCAAGATGGTTAGGGAAACGAAATTCTACGATACGCTCGGTGTCAAGCCTGGTGCCACAGATGCAGAACTGAAGACCGCTTATAAAAAAGGCGCCTTGAAGCACCATCCAGGTATATTCTGATAACGACTTTAACGTTAGAATTCTGTCTAACGTATGATAGATAAAAATGCCCACAACCCAGAGGCTGCGGAGAAGTTCAAAGAGCTGTCAAAAGCATACGAAGTCTTGTCGGACTCGCAAAAGCGCCAAATGTACGATCAATACGGCGAAGAAGGCCTTGAACAAGGAGGTGGCGGTGGTATGGCCGCTGAAGACCTCTTCGCACAGTTCTTTGGTGGAGGGGGCGGTGCGTTTGGTGGTATGTTCGGTGGGGGCATGAGAGAGCAAGGCCCGAAAAAGGCTAGGACTATTCACCATGTCCACAAAGTCTCACTGGAAGATATCTACCGTGGGAAGACCTCCAAGCTCGCTTTACAGAAATCAATCATTTGTCCAGCGTGTGACGGACGTGGTGGGAAGGAAGGCGCGGTCAAAACTTGCACAGGATGTAACGGCGCCGGTATGAAAACCATGATGCGGCAGATGGGTCCCATGATCCAGCGATTCCAGACTGTATGCCCCGACTGCCAAGGAGAAGGTGAGATGATCCGCGAGAAGGACCGGTGCAAGCGTTGCAGCGGGAAAAAGACCGTCATCGAGCGGAAGGTTCTGCATGTGCCGGTCGATAAAGGAGTAAAGAATGGTCACAAGATCGACTTCCGCGGTGAAGGCGACCAAGCTCCAGGGGTCCTAGCTGGGGATGTGCAGTTCGAAATTGAGCAAAAGCCCCATCCGCGATTCCAGAGAAAAGACGACGATTTGTTCTTCCAAGCCGAAATAGACCTCTTGACTGCTTTGGCTGGCGGTACAATCTACATTGAGCATCTGGACGAACGGTGGTTGACAGTCGGGATCATTCCAGGCGAGGTTATCAGTAATGGTATGATAAATGTATCAAGCCCAAAATAGGAACGTGTGCTAATTCGAGATAGGAGAGATCAAGATGATACGCGGACAAGGCATGCCATCCTATCGACACCATGACTTCGGCAACCTCTACATCCAATTCGACGTGAAGATGCCATCCTCCAATTTCAACTCGGTGGAAAAAATCCAGATGCTTGAGTCTATACTTCCGCCCAGGAAGGAGCAAGCTCCACCGCCCGGTGATGCTATGCTTGAGGATTACATGCTCGAAGACGTGGACGCCAGCGGTCAGAGACGCGCGCAAGGCGCCGTCAGCTTGGATGATGAAGACGAGGATGGTGTCCCGCCTGGGGCTGAGAGGATGCAATGTGCATCTCAATAAACGGTCGATGGCAGAAGCAAGAATGGAGAGGAACGGACAGCCCTAAAAGCGACACCACATAACGGATTCCGACTCTCAATCTCAAGAGAGCTTTTCAATAGAGACTGCCTCCATGGTAGGCAGATTTGCATACGGCGAGGTATTAGTAGCTGCGGATGGAGTTGAGCCTGCTTACCATGGCAATGCAGCATTGCAAATGGAGAATTCAGGGGCAGCTGCATGAGATAATGATAGACTTTCGACAACGATTTGGGGGAGGACTAGCTCTTCGTCTTGACGATAGTAGGCGTTGTCTTTCCTCTTTGTTTTTAAGAGTGCCGACACATGCATGGCGTTCATAGAGCTGCGATAGTTACACTTGCAATTCATTCCAAGCTACGTACTAGATCAGTTTCTAGTCCTATTGGTCGCGCCCGATGTAATTGATAATCCCACCTGACCTGAGCATCATGAGGTGGAAATTACCGCAAAGAAGAGCATCGACACAGCTAGCAATCCGCTTGAGAACGAGCTGAAGCACGACATTTGGTATGGCACACATCTGAAGATCTAGCTGGTTCACTAGAGTCGCATAGCAATTTCAGAAGCTTGAAGTGAAATTACCCCTTGGCAAAAAATAGGTCACGTAGCGCCAATAAGAGTTCGGGAGAATAATAGAATCTAGGAAGTAAGGGCGGCATTCTCGGGAGGGTTGTAGTCGCATCGATCGCCCAAGTACCAAGTCGCCCCATCTCCCTCTTAGGAGAACCGGGCAAGCAGATCGACGCTTTGCACAGAAATAAGAAAAGACAAGGGACAAAAGAAACAGTAGCGGGCCAGAATGCGACAACGTGGAAGTATCGCGTCTTCGTCACGAGTTCCCAACACTGTCAGACCTTCCAACACATAACACAATCCTCCTCACTCCATCATCCTTCTACCTATCTGACTCCTTAGAAGGCTGAGACCGTAGCGCCAGGTTCAATCGCTTCTCCGCAACGCCTCAAACCCAGTGCCTGCAGCGTACCTGGCATTCCAGACCCTGACTTTGCCGCATACATCGTAGCGAGAAAGCCACCGAGGGCTACCGCCCTTGCCATCCTTCATGGTGACCGAGGCCTCAATCTCTTTGAAAAGTCAAATCACAAGTACTCAGGTACGGCTGAGGTGTATGTGTGGGAGCACATGACATCAGAATATCAAAGACATCGATACATCTACCGTGGTTGAAAGGAGAGCGATTCATCTGGTCAGTGGTCGTCGCGGACAGCCGACCGATTACTGTACTTGCAAATCGTGAAGAGGAACCTGGGCCGCATCGGCTGTGTGACTGGGCCCCAAGCGTGCGAACACACCCGAAACTGACCACCTGCCCTCTCTTTCATCATGCAACGTCCAAAGTTCATCGACCTCCGCTCTCAATCCCAAGAAACAATGCAGACCGCTGCATCTGCCACCTCTCCACGACCCTTTCCCTCGCCCAGGATGCAGCACTTTGATGGCGACATTCCACCCGCCATGTCCCCTCTGGACATGTTTGCTGCTCAAAGTCGCTTATTGGCGAAACAGCTTGATGAAAGCATGAGAAGTGGCAGACGTGTGAGCAGACTACCTCCACTATCAACGACCGATCCGATCACGAAGCAGAGGAGAATGTTTCAGGGGTCAAAATCTGCCGGCCAAACGCCCCCGGATTCTGCGCGCACCCCACCGCCACCGAAAGAGGAGGAATCGAGTGGCACAATCCCGGAGCTGGAAGAACCGCAATTCAGACCGAAGTCTTTCTATCCTAGGATGAGCCATGTGCCCCCAATGGAAGAGGACGACCTCGAAGGGCCTTCGGAAGCGGCCTCTCTTGCGTCTACTGGCAACCATTCCATACGAGATGGAAGATATCAGCAGCAGCAGCAGCAGCCACGGGCAAATGACTACTTTGGCATGCCTGTTGCGGAATCTCCAATGGAGACAACGACCACCAACGTGCACACCGGACCGTCACATCGAGACCCTATGCGTGCGCCGCAATCGAGACATCAAGATAGTGCATATCAGCCCTTCAATTTCAATGAGCCCCATCGGGGCATGTCGGTTGAATCGTCGTCATCCAAGGCATCCTCACGGGGCCAACAGTCGCTCCTGCCACCCAAGTCACCACATATGAAGCAAGCAAGCATAAGATCAATACCCGCTGACAGCTCGGACGATGACAACAGTGCGTCGACCACTGGTTCAGGGTTCTCAAGAAACCGAAAACTGTCCTCTAGCAGCAATGTTTCGGTGCCCAATTCCCCCTTCGCTCCTTTTGCACAGGCGGCACATGGCCGATCGCCTTCTCTGAATTCGGAATACTCGATCGGAGGCTCTCGCATGCCACGTCCGGCCTTCAATTTCTCCAGACCAATCAGTCGCGCCAGTGGACCATCGATGGACATGCCACGGCAACCTTCATTCGACAGCCGGCCCTCTATGGATCAGCCGAGACCTTTCTTTAGCCAGGAGTCGCGGCAAACATCGAGTGACAGTCAAAGATTTCTCTTCGTTGATGATACAGTGCAAACGCCTATGAGCATGGATGATGGCAATGACTCCGATGTCGCGACATCCTCCTACATCTACTCTAAATTTGCGTTACCCCGTGGACGAATGACACAAAGATCGTCAAAGGAAAGTCCAACCAGCGATGTGCCCTACCTCGAGCGAGAACGCTCGAATCAGTATCCGGGTCCTAAGCCTATGACACCCCTCGCTAATCGACCTATGTCACCGGGATCGCCTTCTTCTTTGCGTAGTTCCCCCAAGCCGAGCCTGGAACTGGGAAGAGCTTCACCAAGACCCTCATTTGAGCACAAGTCACGCCACTCACCGCGTCCTTCATTCGAACAACGTAATAAGCCCCCCCACGGTCTCCACTTGAACAGATGACAGGATCTCCGCGCCCATCTGTAGAGCAGCAACCGAAGTTGTCATTCCAAGAGTCCAACAGAATGCGTCCACCTCCCACGCCTGTAGCTGATGACAACGCATCGCAGTATACCACCTCAACACGCTCCGATGCTACCATAAAACCTGGCTCACGCCAAATAGCGGCAATGTCGACGAATCTTACCGCGGAGGATCACCTTGCCAAGGGAATTGCACTGCATGAAAAAGGCGAAGGACGTGAGTCAACATACCATTTGCGTATAGCAGCGAAGCAAAATAATCCTACAGCTATGCTCTTGTACGCCCTGGCATGTCGCCATGGTTGGGGCATGCGGCCGAATGAGCAAGAAGGCGTACAATGGCTCCGCAAGGCGGCAGATTCTGCATCCGTGGAACTAGCTGGTGATGAGGACTCTAAATCGGGTAACTTCGAAGAGCGAAAACAACGAAGAGCCCAATTCGCACTCAGTATCTACGAGCTGGGGCAGAGCCACTACAATGGGTGGGGCATCGAGCAAGATCGGGTGCTTGCTTTGAGGTGCTTTGAGATTGCTGCTAATTGGGGTGATGCGGATGCCATGGCAGAAGCCGGGTTTTGCTACGTTAAGGGTGAAGGGACTAAGAAAGATCTAAAGAAGGCTGCGAAATATTATCGAATGGCGGAAGCGAAAGGGATGAGTATGGTGGGAAATAGCTGGTAAGCCTTGCTTTGGCGCGCTTTGACGGACGACGCGACGCTGATTATCTATTTAGGATATATAAGCCGAAGTACGCGGACGATACATCGGAGAAGGGTCACAATGACCGTCGTGGCCGAGGAGGCGCCAAAGATTCCACACCTGAGAAGAAACCGCGAGATAAGAGCAGAACGAGGACTATTTTCGGTCGGAAGAAGAGCGTCTCGCAACAGCGGCCTTGAGCAACGACCACCCGAAGAACAAGATCTCTGGCTTCAGCAGTCATCTGTCCCAAATTCTGATATCTCACGGCTTGTCTAAATACCACTATAGCAAGGCGTTTCACATTTTATCCATCGGGTTTGAGGAGGTTCTCAAAGTCCAAATATGAATGTAAGCTGAAGCAAGGGCACTTCATGTATAATATCTAATCCCTAATATGCAATTACCCATCTTATTTCTTTTCTTTCTGTCCAAAGCCTTCACTCCCTATCTGCGCCGTCACCCTCCAGCGCCCCGTCTTCCAACACTCTTACAACCACTTCCACCCTTCCCAGATCCACCGCAACCCAATGAATCCTCCAACCCTCGCTCCCTCCGACCGCCTTAGCAACGCCAGCGCTCTCAATGTTTCCCTCTGCAATATCGCTATGAGCCCAGCCATCTGCCTGGCTCCTCTTCACCTCCATGACCGACGACTGCGGTTCTTCACTCCTCTTTTCATATACCAAAGCCGTCCCTTCAGCAAAAGCCTCCTTCCCTCTACTCGAGCCATCATCCCCAGGTAAAAGTGGCTCGAACCCCACGGCCCCCGAACCCTCCCTAAGCCGCTCCAACAACCTCCGACAAACCCCTTTCGCGAGCCCCTTCCCTCTATGCTCGTCCTCGACGTGCAATGACGACAGAGAGCCGTCCGGGCTGAGGAATCCCCACGCTACTAATTCCCCCTCCCCATCCCCAGAATCGTCGAGGCGGCGAATACCGACGTTGCCGAGCTGGCGGAGCGTAGGCACCTCGCGGGGGATCGAGCTGCGCGCTACCACGAGGTCGAAATCTGAGGTGTGCTCGAGGGAGATGAAGGTGTAGGACGATGGCAAGAGGGTCCGGGGGGCTGAAGGTGCTGGTGGAGGGAGGAGGTATTTCGTGTAAGGGATGCTGCAGCCGTGGAGGAGATTCGTGTCGGATGGATGGGAGGAAGGTTGGGAGGCAGAGGCTGTGAAGCGGGAGACGACGGGGGTTTGCTTGAGGGTTGGTGGAGAGCGGCCGGTGAAGAATGAAAGGAGGGATTCGTTTAGGGTGCCGAGGATGAGGATATTGTTGTCGTTCTTAGGCGAGGGAAGGTGGGCGATTGTACGGAGGATGGCGAGGATTTGTAGGCGAGCATGATTGGCTTCATTGTTGTCGTTCTCGGTTGTGATTGGGCCGGTGGTGGTGGAGGAAGAGAGGGCAGATGAAGTGGAGGTTTCGTGGGTGCTGAAGAGCCAGCATTGTGTTTCTGGGAAGCGCGATCTTTCTATGTAGGCTGCTGTGAATGGAGCGGGGTCAGTTCGGAGATTGTTGGGTGAGAGGGTGGAAAGAACGCGGGCATCAGGCGCGGAGTGTTTGAATTGGAGTCTTCGGAGGAGAGGGAGTGAGGAGGGGAGGTGAGCAACTAGGAGTGGTGCAAGAGTCTCGAGAGGTTCGTCGTGGGGATAGCAGTGTGGGAGGCGAGACATCTTGGTCTTGATATTTGAGGATTGGTGGGGCAGATGTGTGCGTGCCCCAAGTGCCAGATGCAGTCAATCTTTATTCAATCAAATGTTATTCTTGTGATATATACAGCGAAAATGGAGCCAGATAATCTGTCTATGAGTCATTTTTGCTTTCACGTCGCCGCCACTTTCTCTTTTGCGACTCGATGTATTTCCGTGAAGTAGAACTTGAGGTCTTCCGGATTCACGAATGGGGTGACTCCTGTGAAAGTTTAGCTCATCACTCTCCTCAAGTCCAACATAGAGGTACCATGTCCCAAGTTGGCAGTCCATCCTCTCCTCTCGCCGTCTCCCCAAAATCCTTCGAACATCATCTCCACCGCCTTCGTGATGGCTTCACGCCCTCCATATAGCACACCAGGGTCCATGTTTCCTTGCAGGCATACTCTCCCTTCCGGTGCTCCCCTCGCAATACTTGCCGCATCACCAGGATCATGCAGCCAATCCAGGCTGACAACCTGATAACCAGAATCGCACAACTCTTCGAGCGCGTACCATGCGCCCTTCGCAAACACAACCATCGGTACAAGATCTAGCCCCATCTTCCTCAACCTCACTGGCAGATGTGCAGATATGTATTTCAGCTCCGGCAATGCAAAATCTCTGAAAGCAGATGGTGTTAATTCCCCAGCCCAAGAATCGAAGACCTGCACGATCTGAGCGCCCGCTTCAATCTGCAGCGCGAGATACTCGGTACAAAGCTCGGAGATCTTCCTTAATAGCCTCTTACTCTCCTCCGAATATTTATACAGCCAGGTCTTGCTCTCTTTGAACAACTTCGTCCCTCCTCCCTCAACCATGTAGCATAAGAGCGTCCACGGTGCACCGCAGAACCCAAACAAAGGTACTCGTCCGTCTAGCTTTTTCCTCGTAAGCGTAATGGCGTCGTAGACGTAGCTGAGCTCTCGCCCCACATCCACTTCGCCTGCCACGAGCTTCTCATACTGTCCATCCTTTGGGTTCCTGAGAGGGTTTGGAAAGTGGGGACCTTTCCCGTCTACCATTTCGACCGTCATACCCATCGCTTGCGGTATTACAAGAATGTCAGAGAATATAATGGCGGCGTCGATGAGACCCGCATAGCGGTCAATGGGTTGGAGAGTCAGTGTTGAAGCAATCTCAGGACTGCGGCAGCATTCAAAGAAATCGTGTTTTCCTTTCGCAACATGATATTCAGGGAGATATCGGCCAGCTAGGCAGTGTCAGAGAGCTTATAGTACGGTTTATCCGGGATGGCAATATGATATGTACCCTGGCGCATGACCCATATCGGAGGGCGTTCCACGCGTTCGCCTGCTCATTGTGTGAGCAGTGGCGCAGACAGATCGCATTTCCAAATCCGTACCTCGAATAGTTCGAAAGATTAGATCATTCTTCAGCGGTGGGAAGTTAGGCATGATGAGTTTAGAGGCTTGAAGCACAGGCGGATCGTGATTGATGCCTTGCCTCCTAAGGCGTGCTAGCCTAGCAAGCTAGGCCAGAAAAGGCTTAGTCGCTTCGCGGCCTTTTCTTTGAGCACGCCTGCTCCGGAAAGTCGTGTTTTTAAGATTTTCAGCTTCGTGTCCCATCGGTTTCGTTTGAAGTTGGTTCCCAACCACTTTCACATATAAATCTATATATATATATATGTTTAGGATATAACATATTATGATCTCGCGCCGAGTTTTTTAAGATTTGAAAAAAATTGAAAGCTTCAAAAGTTATTGTTGATTTAAAAATTTTGTATTGAAAAAAAAAAAAATTTGCTTTACAATTGGAACTTTCTGAAATTTCAGAGAAATTTTTTCTCCTTAAGTAATTTATATAGAGAATCAAAAGATCTCACCCCGAGTCGTAGCCGTTTAGTTGTAGGAAGAAAGTAATAATTTTTTCTGAAAGGTTGAAGTTCAAAGAATCTTCAACGCTAAGAGGCTCTCAGAGTCAAAAATACTGGGAACCTGGACTTTCCGGTGCAGACCCCCTGCGGGGACTCACATCAACAACACTAAAAAGGGCCCCTAGCAGGGGGTCTGTATTGGAGACAATTGATGCCAAGACGACAAAATGCGCCGGAGTTAACGGACTCGTTTTAGGCAAAGTGTAGAATGCATCGTCCACGTAACAATACCTGAAAGGCTGCTTGGGAAGGGTCACATCGATGTCAAGTTTCGAAACCCTCATGGTCGAATGCCCCTTTCTTCGCGATACGCTGTGGGCGTGCACCGACGGTCAGTATGCTGCTGTCAAGAGAAGTTATTGACCCGCATGCCAAGAATCAATGCCGGTAAAGTAGCACGCCCATTGTGGCTGCAGAGGTAAGAGACAATGAGGAAATCGTTCAGATGCTATTGGCACGGCTGTCAGTGAAGCTGGCCATGATAGTATCTCACGTGCGGTAAGACCGAAGTGACAAGCCTTCGCCGTGAGACTTTCCTAGGTATACGTGGATATTGGTGCAGTCTACCTGCAGAAGAGTATCGCAGCAACGTGAAGCCTGCCGAATATGTAAGATAGCCTGAGGCTGAACATCATATGAAGGCATCCACCTACCCGCGACTTTGAATGTTGATCTTGCTTTATCGACTTGCTGAGACCAGGTAAGCCAGCTGGCAAAGTGGGGCTGGTGATAAGAATCTCACGGAGTCCAGAAAGAGATGCCAGCATTCAAAGAACTCGACCAGTGCAAAATTGAGACAAGTAATACAGCTCTTGATCATGGCTCAAAAGATTACCGTATGGACTTATTAAGTCACTCATTCTCTGATCAAAAGGATGAGTCTGAGATCTAGCAAACTTTTCACGGTCAAACCTGCAATCTGGGCAAATAAGTATGAGGTATTGTCAAAGAAAGCATTGATTCACTGCATTTCCAACGGCAGAGACTACCCCATCCAGCTCAGTCAGAATCGGGTTCGATATCCATATCGCTGTCTTCTTCTTCCTCTCTAACCCTCTCTTCATGTTCATCGCCCTCATTATCCCTTGAAGATCCCACAGCGTCTTCTGCTCCCTCATCATCATCATCATCATCATCATCCTCTACGTCTTGCATACGTCGCGTTTCACACTCATAACGACCTTCTACACGTGCAATCCCATGATCCAACAGCTGCCCACGATCTCTCAGCTTCTCAATCCGCTCATCGTGTCCCTCGTCGCCATCATCACCCTATTCTTCACGGGCTCGCTCGCGACCTTCGAGTTCTCCGTGCCTTGTTACCAGCAAAACTGTCGCATGGAATTGATGAGGGCGAAAAAAGGTCGGGCAGAGGAGGAGGAGCCATTCTTACTGGTCATTGTATAATTTCAAATTCTCGAGGTGATCACGCTTTTGCTTGTCAGACCAGCTATCGTCCCATTCTCCTTGGAGTTCGTCGTAACCGGACTGCCATTCATGGTAGTCGTCTTCGTCCATTCACAAGATTATGGAGCGGCCAGCACGCGCCGGAAATCAGAGCAGGATTGACTCTGTGGGCAATCGTGAATCTTGCAGGAGTCGCAAGGCAATAGTATCTCAAAAGAGGGGAAATCGAACCCGACAAGGCTGAGCTGGTCGAGATTCTATGCATAGATTGACCATCAGCCTGATCTAGGCTTCTACGCGGTGCTGCCCACGCACTCCTTTATAACAGGCGACGTTTGCATATTCGATAAGCAGGAGCAATCATAACTTTTGTAACTCCTGTGAAGCTGTTGGTGGCAACAATGGGATCATAAGCCTTCCTCATGCCCAGAAGAAACTTGTGGAAAGGTTGAGACCGAGCCATGCTGCCGTTATTGATTTTGTATATACATACATTGTCCATATCCTACATATAATCCAGCCACTCAATGTTCATCCTCAATACCTTACCAGCTACCCAGCCGTGATGCCGTCGAGCAATCTCAGCGTCCTCAACGCCTCGCCAATGTATTTAATATGAGGGTCTTGTCCTGCTAAACACCGTCTAAAACACCACTCCTGAGTGCATACTGCTCAGGCTTCCACCCACGCTCATCCTCCGCCATCGCATCATCACTCAACTGCAATCCCTTCAGCTTCTCCCAAAGCTCTTGATCCCCAATCTCAGCAGCCCAGTGCGCCAGGCTTTTCCCCTGCTTATCCATTTCTTCCGTCTCTTCCCTCTGTCCATCCCACCCCCTAACCATCACCTTCACGGTATCAACATGATACCCATCCCTCGCACACCTCAGCGCAGTTCTCTCCCTATCATCCTTCACACTCATATCGGAGCCACGTTGCAGCAAGATATCTACAATCTCAGTGCACCCACTATCGGCTGCATAATGTAAGGGCGTCTCACCATATTGGTCCTGGCTTGCAAGGCTACTGCCCTTTTCAAGGAGCACCTGTGCGATATCGACGTGGTCGTTCTCGCAGGCCCAGTGCAGGGCTGTCTTGTGATGCACATGATCACGCTCGGCCACGCTGACGCCTTTATTGAGGCAGAGGAGGACGCCTTCCATATCGCCTTGGGCTGATGCGAGGATGAGCCGCTCCGCATACTTCTTGTATTCTCCGGCAGATGCATCGGATGTGGCATTCTTGCCAGAGAGCCGGGTGGCAAGGTTGTCCTTGTGCCGGCGCCTGATGCTGTATGTGTCTGACAACACGGACTCTGGGATGAGTGTGTCGCTGGCGCCAGCCTCTAGGAGCATATTTGTGATTCTCTGATGTCCTTGCATTTGGGCGCATTGGTGGGGCGTAATTCCGTGGTTAGCTTTGATGTCCAGGCTGGTCATTTGTGGCAGAAGCAGCTTGACGATCTCTTCGTGTCCGGCAGATGCAGCATAGTGCATTGGCGTGAAACCCCGTTTGTCTTGGCTGTCCACGTCGCTTCCATGCTGGATCAAGAGCTCGGAAATCTGGTAGAAGTTCTTCTCAGCAGCCCAATGCAGTGGAATCCTCTGATTGTACACCTTGCTTTTCAATGAAGGCTGTGCGCCCTTGTTGAGAAGGATTAGAGCTATGTCAGGTCTCCCGTCTTTTGTTGCTTCGAACAACATATCTCCACGGTTGATCTCTGACTCGGTCAAAGAATTCAGCAGAAGTTCTAGGCACGGCGTGTATTCACGGGTCGACGCCGTCACTTCTGGATCACGCCATAGGCTTTTCGCAGCCTTTTCTTTCTGTAGGCTGTCGCGTGGCATAGCCATCTCCAATGGCGTATGCCCAGTATTTGTCATTGCTGTCACGTCAATCTTTCTGTCCAGCAAAATCTTGACTGTGGCAGGCGGATCAAACATAATAGCTTTGTGAATAGGGCGTAGTCCCTGCGTGTCCTTAGATTCTGGATTAACTCCACGCTCTAGGAGCACCCTAGCTATATCTTCCTGTTTTGCTTCGATGGCATGATGCAGTGGTGGGCCATCGTAATAGCTTGCCAGGTCAATCTGGACATCGGATCTCGTGAGGAGCAAATTGACGACAAAGCCTTTGTCTGCGCCAGCTGCATAATACAGAGGGGTCCTGCCGTTTTCATCCTGAATATTGATATCTGCGGAGTCGAGTTCGAGCAATCGACCCATCGTCATAGCAAGATCGAATCTCGCAGCTAGGTGCAGGTTTTTCATAGAGTGAAAAGGGTATGAGCCCTGTTTGACCCTAGCCTCATCTGTAAGAAAAGCGATGATTTTGTCGACCACTTGAGGGGTTTCGGGACTTTCACGAACGTGATGACCCCAATTATCGGCAACGTAGATGTACAAATCCATCATGTCTTCCTTCGTAGACTGATCAAAGAGGAGGAAGGTCAAGCAAGTAGTGAGAATATTTAGAGGACTCGTAGGAAACGCTGATCTGCGGGTTTTAATGAAATATTCTTGCGTTGTATAATGAACGAAGTGGATGACGCTGCTTTCTTCGTCAATGACTACAATACCTGCACACACTGCTAGAATCGTCTCGTCATGAATCAAGGCGTCTTCGTCAAAGCTTTGGCCTTGAGGCTTGATGGCCAATGCTTGCTGTAAAACTGTGACTTTAAGCGGCCGTAGTGCGAAGGTCAGCCATGACAAGACCTCTCGCGCCAGCACCGCGTCTTCTTCACCTTGATCATCTATGCGCTGTAGGATCTGATCATAAGTGGTCGACAACCCTTCAGGCAATTCTCTCAGAGCGTTTTCGACATCTTTCTTGCTATGCTTCCTGACAATGGAACTTATGTGGAGCTGAGCGAGCAGAAACCTACATGACCTTGATCAGCTGGGATTACTCGAGACAAATACAGATGATTCTAGAGTAAGAATCACTCGATATCAAGGAGAAACATAAGCAGAAGCTGGCTATCAGGTGCAGTCTAAAAATTAGGTCGCAAATGCATAGAATTGTTGATGAGCCAACGAAAAGGGGCCCGTACATTCCACTGGCTCTTTCAACGATACTCTTCGCTATCTTCGTCTGTAACACAGAATCTAGCCTGATTCTACGCGCCCAAGTTTTCTCCCTTGCTAGTCGGCTTCGGACGTGGAGATGGATATCATCGTCACGAGCGCTGATATCTAGCCGAAGGGCAGCCTGAAGAGAATCTTCGACCACTGGTATATACCGGGATGTGATCATAATACTTGTGAAGGTGGGCATTTGCAATATTCCCTCTAAGAGCTCTTCTCGAACGCCGTTGGCTTCCGTACATTCATCCAAAGCGTCGATGACGATATAAACTCGTGTAAATCCCTGCATCTGTCCTTTCAATAGATCCAGGTACTCTGGGAACGCTGGAGTAGTCTTCTTTTTGCTGTGTGCAACATAGGTGTCCTTGATCTGGTCTGGGATGGAGCCATGTTGAATGATCATTTGTTGTAAAAGGCTGGCAAGGTATTTGGAGGTCGATTGTTGATTGAACTCCTTGAAATCGCAGTAGATTCCTACTACAGCTATGTCGTCATCTTCGAAGGAATTCATCAGATAATCCACGACAATGGAAGAGAGAACGGTTTTGCCTGCGCCGGGGACGCCAGGACACCAGATCAATCTCGAGTTTCCAGTTTTCCATTGCACGAACTTGTCGTCGTCCAGGAACCATTGCCCGGTGCCTTCTTGATGCTTCGAAAAGATGTCCTGATGTCTTGTCGCAAAGTTCAGCGGTGAAAGCCATTGGATGATCTCCCGCATCTCGTCGTCCTTCTGCCGGTTTCTCAATTCCCCCAATTCATGTTTCACCGCTTTAGACAAAGCTATATTGTCAGCTTGGAGAGCGAGACCAAACAAAGCTTTGTACCTCTCAATGGAGGCCAAGATATCCTGCACACCAGCTTTATCGAATGGCCATTTGAAAGCCTTCCCTACTTTTTTGAGCCCATGCGCTGGTGCCAGTGCAGCGTCCAGACGCGTGAGTAGAGCTTCATAATTCCTCAGAGGCTCTTGCAATAGTCTAAAAGACGAAAGCAAGGACTTATCATCTCCGGCACTTTTGCTCAGGTCGTTCAGCGTCTCTAGGATTCCTTTAGTACTACTCAATTCAAGGAGCAAGACATTTTTCTGGCTAGTTGCGTCGCTGACGTCCCTAAGATATTTCACGACGGTCTTCGTCAGCTGGAGAATGGCGATGAGGCCTGACGTGATCGATAACGGGTCAGCCATAAAAGCAACTTTATTGCCGAAGCATCACAGTCTGGACAACGCTTTATTATGATATTACAAGTGTCTCAAAATCTTTTTTATTTACGGAGACTTCCACATGTCTGCGCGAAAAGTACAGTCAAGGGAAACAGCGCCAGTCCAGAGGGCACAGATACAGAGTCGCAAGGCTGTGGATGAAGGTACCCCACCCTAGCTTATGCACCTGCCACACTTGGAATCACGCTAGAGTGGTGCCTGCGGTCTTCGTGCTTAGTCGTGCAGTAGCTGATTCTTCGATGAACTCGTCTGGTGTTGTTTACCTTGTACTTGTAGCGCTGATAGATAAATTCCAAAGTCTGTCAATAGGCAATTACGCGTTCTTGAAAGAGGTGCCTTTCATGGTAAGTGCGAGGTTCTTCATCTTTTAGCATAGAAAGCAGCGAAGGCGATAAGTTCCCAATCAGCCATCATTAGCACGTCTTGTATCCTAATTAGCAATGCTGAGTCAGTATTCAAATCCCGGATTAGAATGCAAGAGGTGCCCTTACCAGCTTTATATGCCGTCTATAATGAGCCGTCTTAGCAGTAATACAGTAGTGAAGAGCAATACGATCTCAAAGCCATCAAAGATCAACGTCAGGTTGAGATGCGTGCTTCATGCAGCAAGGATTGTCAGAGGGGTGACAAATAGTGCAGTCTGCAGGTATTTGCCTTTCGTAAAGTTCAATATTTGTAGCATATTGTCTTAGATGGGCGTAGTATCGTTTTACAGAATTGGCAGCAAGATAAATCGGATAAAAGTCTTCGAAATGTTGGCTTCGGAGCTGAACTTGTCGAGGCTGTCGACTGCAAATCAGTGAGGATGTGCTCATCACTTTGCTAGGGTGTCGCGTCATCCCCTGCTCACCTCGACGTTTGCTAAAGCGGGCACGCTATTAAGACGTCCAGGTGAGGAGGGGCGGAGGAATCTTTTTGTTATGTCTTGCCAAGCGTGTGAAAGTCACTGATTGAGGTTGATATCCGATCTAATCCCAAATTGTATTTACTTTCTGATTGATGCAAATCATCAGATCCTCGCTTCCTCAGACCTTCCAACCCATATAAAAGCTCTTGTAGGGATTTGCCCTTGGCTACATTTTTTTGCTCTACAAGATCATGCTCTGAAGCGCACGCATCTAACGATAATCTGAGCTTCTGAGCAGTATTCAAAGCTTTCTGAGGTGGCGAAGAGCTGAGTGACGACCACACAATACCCGTGTAAGCTTGTAAATTCTGGTCAGATCTATCTGACACGATGGTAGTAGAAAATGGAATGTGAAGCGAGTCGATAGAGAACAGAAGGCCTTCAGAGTTTGGCAAAGCCACGGTACTAATCACGTTTCCTTCTGTTCGATGTGTTGTCCAGTACTCTATGGTCTCAGCAGCGTTCATGCGAAAATGAAATATGGCTGGAAACCTAGAAACTCCTGAGCTTGAATGTTACCAGGTGATGAAGTCAACATACCCTTCAGCAGTGACAAAGAATTCGCCACAGAACGGGGACTTATTGTTACCATCGTACTCCAGAAATGTGATGCTGCTAATTGCTATATTACTATCGCCTTCGTCCGTATCAATTTGCAGCCGAGATGATCCCATCTGTTGATCTGTTGCAGAGTTCAGGTCTGGCCCCTTGAGCTGCTCGACGTAACCCCGAATGTCAATGCGCTGAAAGATTTGTCCAGAAGGCCAGTCCCACAAGATCAGAAAATCATCACCACCACCAGACAAGAGCATCCTCGGCTTTTGAGGAATCAAACACATTCTACTGACAAAATGGGTATGACCAAGGCAATAGCCTTCAATAATGTGCGCTTGGGGTAACCCCCGTGAAATTCGAATGTGCTCATCGCGATCAGAAGTCAGTATATAATTTCGTAAGACCCCATTAGAGGACTGCAAAGATGCACATGCTAAGTCGGTAAGCAAAGACACATGTCCAAGAGCAAGCTGGTGCTCGAATGATGTTGTCTTCTTCTGGAGCTTCCTATTCGTTACTCTCTGTTGCTGGCGGAGAGACTCTAAGTTGCGTTTCGTATGCACAGTCGAAGAATTCGCAGAAGGAGCGAACGGCTGCGATTTGTCATCTATATTTTTTGGAAGTAAAACCCCATCATTATCTTCAAGATGGATGGGAGCCTCAAAAGCCTTGCCTAAAAGCGGCATTGCGTAGACATCACCAAACTTGTCAGCGCACAGAAGAGTACACTCATTTCGTGTCAGGGCCACCGCACAGGGTCTTTTTGGCATCATCCTAAGCACCAGGATAAGTCAATAAATCAAACTCTGAATCAAAGGAGCTGACCTCTCGCTGAAAAGTTCCAATGTGCCATTCTCAGCTAATTTCAGCACACGAATACATTTATCTTCGCCTGTTATTGCGATCACATATGCACCGTCACTAGTCGAAGCAAGCCTCAAGATTGGGGGATTAGGAGCTTGTGAAGGCTCTGGCTTCTCGATCAATATCTCGGCCGAGCTGCTCTCAGACACTTCTGAAGACAGCTTCAATTTTTGGTGGAAGGAAAACCATCCTCTTGCTTAATGGACTCCGCAGAATCTACATGATCTGCATCATCAACGAATACTTTCGAAAGAATGCTGTTTGATCCAACAGATGGCCATATGGAAAGTCGTCTGCCGTCAATAGCATCGATCACATGTAGCAATGGTCCTGAGGCGGCAACTATGAATTGTTTGTTGATAGATTGATTACATTTAGATAGGCACTGGAGCGGATGCGGCATCATGAGTAGTAAGCCTTTGCCATCCTCATTGAAAGCTGGACCAATTCAGGACCCATCGTGAGCACTGGCAAGGTCTCTCGAAAATATGAGACCTGAAGATCGAGGATTTAAGCGCGCTAAGCGCAAGCGATCCCGCACGCATTTCAATATCTAAGCCCTTGCTGCCGAGTCACTCATCAGCATCTTTGACAATCGTTGCCCTTAAACGTAGGCACCTCTCTGTACTTGCAAACAGAGATGGGGGGTTCGTCTTATTGCTCAATCGCCCTAATAAATCATCGCTGACTCTCACTTCAGGCAGAACAGCAAACAAGGCGGCTTACTTCGACAAGCTCAAGACACTGCTCGAGGAATACAAGTCAATCTTCATCGTTACAGTCGATAACGTCAGCTCTCAGCAAATGCACAAGATTCGAAAGAGTATGAGAGGCACCGGTGACGTCAAGGGTGTGATATTGATGGGCAAGAATACTATGGTGAGCTAGGAGAAGTCGCAATATAACGTCACAAGCGAAATCAAACGCTTAAGCCAAATAGGTTCGTCGTGCCATCAAAGGATTCATAAGTGATTTCCCGGAGTACGAACGATTGCTACCCCACGTCAAAGGTAAAATTATTTGTAGAGAACAGTCTTCCACTCTTCTTACAAAGGCTACTAGGCAATGTCGGCTTCATATTCACAAATTCTGATCTCAACCAGGCTCGTGACCTAATACTTTCCGAGAAAGTTGCGGCTCCAGCTAGAGCAGGTGCTGTAGCGCCCCTGGATGTCTTTGTACCGGCAGGTAATACAGGCATGGAGCCAGGCAAGACCTCCTTCTTTCAGGCGCTTGGTGTCCCCACAAAGATCGCTCGTGGTACCATCGAAATCACTACAGATTTGAAGCTCGTCGAAGCTGGTTCGAAAGTTGGTGCCTCCGAGGCAACTTTGCTGAATATGTTGAACATATCTCCATTCACATATGGCATGAGTATCGCGCAGGTATACGATGGGGGACAAACCTTCGCCCCATCTGTGCTCGATATTACGGATGAGCAACTTATGAAAGCGTTTTCTTCAGCCATCGCGACCATCACTACCATCTCACTCGCAGCAAACTATCCCACGCTACCTTCGATCATGCATTCACTAGTCAATGGCTACAAGAAAGTCTTGGCCGTCGCAGTTGAGACGGACTATAGCTGGGACGGCATTGATGAATTGAAAGATCGCATCGCCAACCCGGATGCTTATGCAGCGGCTGCGCCAACGGCTGCCGCGGAGACAGAGGACAAGCCCAAAGAGGAGGAAAAGAAGGAAGAATCAGAGGCTGAATCGAGTGACGAAGGAGGTACTGTGCTATGTGGCTGCATCGCAAAATTCGACGCTAATGTTCTCCAGGATTCGGTGGTCTTTTCGACTAGGATATCTAGCAAAATCAAACCAGAAGATCAAACCCTGCCAATACTACTACTCCCAGTCCACGAGTCATTGATCTGACATACAAGCTTCATCTGACCTTCCCTTGAGCGATCCCTATTTAGGAACAAGTAAGCAATATTCCCTCCTATTCCAATTCAGTTTAGTCCAGCGGATGACGAGTCATTTTTAACACTGAGCTCTTTGATGTCATGCAAAAAGCAACAACATATAAACTCTAATTTTTTACCGACGCTATGTATTCATATTTTATCTTTTTGGACGTCACTCATTTCACTCATGCCGACGATGTCGCTAATAAATGGAAAGATCTTAGTGTCATTCTCTGATTATCCACTGATACGGCATTCGTCTTCATCGGACAGCCCTCACCTCCACCGCAACAGCAGCACACAACTCGACTCGTATTCCAGCACCAGTCAAAACGTGTATCCAAAGCCTTTGCGTATCACTTAAGCGATCGTTCTCGCTCTTCACTTCCGCAAACATGACCTCCCCTTGCTCCTCAATCACCCCCTTCTCCGCCGCGTCAAGCTTTCTCCAGAGAAACAAATCCGGAATTCCACCCCCGCGTTGCTGATATTCTTGCGCCATGATTTTACATAGCGTCGCCAACGCTTCTCCCCTGAAACATCTTACAATCTCTAACAAATCCTCAAATTCATAGTCCCACCGTAAACCCACGACACACGTCTGCTTTTCAGAATGAGCATTGTATACCTCTCTCAAGATTCTCTCTGCATCACCATTTGCAATTTCCACAAGCCGATGGTTGATCTCCGATATTCGAGAGGGGTAGAATGCATCCGTATGAAGATCTAGCGGGCACGTTTGATATGGCGTCTGGAAGACATTTGGGATGTAAGTGAACAGCACATCACAAAATAGATATCCGAATAATGTGCGCACGATCCCACCTTCGCAATGGTAGCCCTTCCAGCCCTGATCGCGGTACCATGAGAGACACATAGCCTCTACCGAGCACTCGCCTCCACCTTCGCGTTCATCAAGCCATATTGTTTTGGCACCCCTGTTGCTAGCTCCATTGCCGTCCGTGCTCGCCCGTCTAGCGCCATTGGTACCCCTTAACAGCGTCTGCTCCCTCTCAATACGAATACCATGAACCATTCGCTCAAACGGTTTCGCCAGTCTCACGTGGCCGAAATCATGATGCTCACGTTTCGGAATCTTGAGAGCTTTCTCTAGCTTCGTGATACGCTTTTGCAGGTCATGGTGGTAGATGAGATGGCAGTCAGAATCCTGCAGTCCATCATCACACGTCTGCAGTGCAATGTTTTTCCAGTGCTTCTTCTGTCCTTCGTCTGTGAGACCTGGGAGCGGCTGTAGGGCATGCATGTAATGCTCCTCCAGTAACGCTTTTCGCTGGTACCACGCTCCCCTTCTCGCCGCATGGAAAAGACGCTGATCGAGAAGCTCTGTGAGCAGACGGTGTTCGCGCTCGTGTTCCTTGAAGCGGCCGAGAACGTAAGCGCCTTTGTGGACGATACGAGTGTACACCCAGGCTGGGGAAAAGCGGCGTAGGTAGGCCCCTTCTCCGCTTTCATACACGCGGTCCTCTTTACGCTGTTCCTCCGCGAGGATGATCTTCCAGCGGGGATAGACTTCTTCGAAGACGTCCTTGACTGATTGGAGGCCTTCCTTCCGAACGGTTCCATTGAATTCAAGGATGAAGTCAATCCGAAATTGCGTACGAATTGAGGCTTCGAACTCTAGAAGATCGGAGCGGGTGGGAAAGATGTTAATGGATCTGGAAACGATGTAGTCTGGGAAGTTGCGGCGGGATATTCGGGCTAGGATGATTGTTGTAAGCGACTTTTCCGACCATTCCGTAGACCGATAGTAGACAAGATGGACACGTTCGAAAAGCTTGAAAGGCGCAGAGGAAAGGCGAATGCATGGTCCAGTGCTCGCTAAGATTTTTGTGACAAAGTGGGAATCTCGATTTGCAATGTTGATATTCCCGTTCTCATAGTCCTCCGTCTCACCAGCTTTAGTACCCGCCAGAACACTCGGCTCTGATTTGATGCTTTCCTCAGTGTCAGATCTCTTTAGGCTATTCCATCCAAGACCGCTCTGGCGACCGCTCATTCTTCGGAAAGCCTTCAATAGATCTGCTTTGTTCTTACCTTGGACTTTCGCTTCCTTTGCGATGACTTTAAGCTCATCAAGCAAGAGTAAAGACGATGCCTCTTCAAGTGTGTTGATATTTGACTCAGACGCATCAGCAAAGGAAAAACAATCTTTCAGCACGGTGTCCTTTGGAGGTTCAGACTCGGCAGGATTCGTCTGCGCTCGAGCGTCGACGGCAGGCAACATCCTAGATTCGAGCAGCTCTTGTACAGCTTTGGACATGTCCGCAATGTCACTGTAATAGCCAAGCCGATTGATGCGGTGCCAGGCAGCGGTCTTGCGAAGAAAAAGTCGAACGTAGCTTACAAGTTGTTGGCAGTGGTTCAAATTGGTATATTATGCATGACATAGACCTACAGGTACTGCCCTTCATAGCTCAAGTTCCGCCAATTTTCGAACATAGCCATCTCCGCTTCATCGAACAGGTGGCTTTCATCCTCGAGAACCGTCTCCAACGTCAAATTGAAAGCGTCGACATAAATCGAGCTCTTCCCTTGTATCCATTTCCGCTGGCCTAGTCGGCCTTGTAGACCGAGATCTGCTGTCTCAGCAGCCCGGGTAGCCTCATATTCTTGAATTGCTTCTTTGTCTGTCTTGACCGGAGGAAGAGCGGTCTCTAGGTCGGTCTTTCTAGGTGCTTCGGAGAACTCACTCTCCTCATCTGAATCGGCGTCAGAATCAGCGATCTCTCTACGGTGGGCATTCGGGCTTGGAGGCGCCTCAGATTCGCTCTCTGCATTATTAGAGGCATCAATGCTGTCCAATCTTTTGAGCCGCTTAGCAGCAGGAGCTGGAAAATCTTCGTCAAACTTGGTTGAAGGTGGATGTCTTATGCGCTGTCCAACCATCTGATTGTGTGATGTTAGTTTTTGATCTCGCAAAGCCATATGTATGTAATGAAAAGACGGGTTTGTCTAAGTGAAGAGATTTGATTCAGCTTGTCGTCAACCAATCAAGCGCGTCCCTTCATCTCGGACGCGAGTGAAACTCAGTATCACGTGCTATCAATTAAAAACCCTCCCCACTCCGGTTTTTCATTGCAATTGCTGTCGATTTACTGTCTCGGCATGGCCGATCAAGCACAATATCCAATGCAAATGGATGCTGTTGTCTCAAACCAACCTATCACACCAAATGAGAGCAGCGGCGAGCCTCAAATACCTCCTGCTCCCCAAGCTCCTACGGCCATGGTGGTCGACCCTCCTATGCCCGAAGCTACGGTCAGTCCTATGGTCCACTTGATATCTGAAATCATCTACTTATTTACCGTCTTCTAAAGCCTCTGCCACCCTACATTCCAGCTCAGATACAGCAGCAGCAGCAGCAGGCACCACCTCCTCCAAGCATTCAAGCACCGCGCACAGCAACCCCAAATCGAGCAGTTAATGGCACTACGGAGACTAGTGCGACGATGCCTGCAAAAGCTGCGGCGCATGGAGCTCCGGCACGTCGATATCTGAATGAGAAGGTGACCGGAGCGTTGCTTGAGGGTATGAAGAGATTGGCGGCAGAACAGTGAGTCGAGTACCATTCTAATGAACCAGAGCCTCCGCTGACATTCGAATTCACTAGGCCAGAGAAGCCTCTACAGGTATTGGGCGAGTTTCTCTTGCAGAAGAGCGCAGAGCAAGAGAACAAGCCGAATACATGACTGTCATATGCAAATATCTGATGCGCGTTTGGCATAGCAATGGCGTTCATACACCCAGGCAGTATTTTGAGAATGCTACTCTATTGAGAGAATTGTCCTGACTAGCTTTACGTCATGCTACCAGGCGATCGAAGAATGCTGCTCGCTAAACCCTCGACTTTCCCTCTACATCCTCACGCCAGTCGTCCTATTTTTGACCCTCCTATGCTACCAAAGTGCTCGCTGTTGCGCTCTCGTACCGCCATGTTGGTGGTAGCACGCCTACGCTCTTGTAGTACCTTGACAGACGATGAATGCGCGATTCAATGAGAATGAGGCGAAACTTCGAATCCTTGTCCTTGCGGTTGCGGTCAAGATGCTTGCGGACGGCAACAGCCTTCAACATTGATCAGCTTCGATGACCACAAAGTCATTTTCGATGTAGAAACATGTATCACCTTTTTGATGAGCATATAGAGATCCTCAGGTATTTCTGGTGCAAGGCCTAGCATGCGACATCACTCCGTCAGTCATTGACCAAACAGAGGCTTAGATGCGTCTCTCTCAGGGCATAAAGCCCAGGATATCTCTTTGAGACCTCTTCAATGTGAAGGTGCCGTACCATTCGACTTCAGAATTCGTAGAATCTTATTACCTACCCAGACATGTCAGACGCAACAACATTTAAAAAACTTCCCCAGAGAAGATTCTACATACCAGTAACAACCTTGACCTGTGCGATGCCATGCGAATCTCGAAGTACCACGCCTATCTGCGATGGCGTTGCGCCCTTCTTAGCAAGCTTGCATATCTGTTCAACCACTTGATCCGGTGTTGTTTTGAGCCATGTCGGAGGTGTGCGCGAGTATGGGATAGCACTGGCTGATATGCCTTTGCCGTTGCTATGTAGACGACCCATTGTGAATGACGGCGTTATCTACGAAGGTCGTGAGCCTTCTTGCTCAAGCACGGGGAAATGGTGGGCGCCAAGATCAGAAAGGTGCCGCTAAAATTAAGCGAACTCTCGGAAGCGCTAGAGACTGCAGCATTTCTAGGAGCTGGCAATTTTAGGTACACTGTCAGCTCACTGATGCTAGTCATTTGGTACAGAGGGCATCTATACATGAAAGGATGTCCGCAGATTCATGATGTCTATTAGATCGACATTGTAAGTATATCCATACACAAATCCCACACGTTCGTCTCAACCTTTACATGATGATACTTAACAACACATATTTCTGGTACCTCTTGATTTAATACAGATTCATCTGTATAGTGATCTCAACGGACTTCTGACATGACGTTCTCCTTCACTCAAGAGACTGTTGTACTCTGTAGCAGGCATGTTACTGACTTCCGATTCAGGCAACCCGGTAACTACCGCGCCAAATACCAAAACAGAATCTTCGAAAATCCTTGTCCTTGATCGTTTCATACTGGTTTTAATTTTCCCTGCAATCGAAGACCATCGATGTGAACGCACGTCAGACTATTTGCTTGGAATGTAGCCTAAGTTGCGAGGGCAGCCGGCACCGAAATCGCGCCATGATGACCGCAGGCAATGGCACACTATCCACCCAACTTGAGGCGCTCATGCAGCTCGCCCTCGAATAAAGATCAGGCATGTACAGCTTAACTACGTTCTCGACGATTGTGGATAGAAGAGTTTACATGAAAGCATGCATTGAGGTCGAAAAAGCTGCAAAGGCCTTTGGTCAAGGCTTCTCCTTGGCGCGGATGCGTCCCCTTTCGTGGGGTGACCATTCAACCAAACGCAACCAAAATGACATTGATCAATCACAGCTCTATGAGGAATGAGATACAACCTCTTGCCGCATTGAAAACCGGATATAGATCACAGCTTTCAGCAATCCAGAACCGTGTCCAGACTCTCATCAATGAACATGGGTGGATGGTCTTTTTCGCGAAATTACAGAAATGGAGAGGCAATACTTGCCGTTTCACTTCCGATGGCCCCACACCGGGGGTGGGTAATTTGCTTGTGCTGTCAGATCTCGACTGGTTGCGAGCAGCTTCGGCTCGGCTTGCATTCAGCAATTCACAGAGCATGCGGAAGTGCTGGACATGATTTGGCACTGCAGAAGTCTACTAGAAGGAGATCGGCAACGCTTGATTGCCGAGCGGCAAAAGAGATATAATCCTTCAGGTACCTCTTGATCTAAGAGGCTAACGACTTCGTGTATCGTAATAACCCACCCTGTCAAACAGGCTGCTCAGTACGGCCATATGTAGGTCGAGTCTCGCATGCGCAGGGTTAATGTTGAAGGACTTGCTGGGCCACGGGCATGCAGTCGCATGTCAATCTTGCAGCTACAACTCTTGGCCCATCAGCCCTAAGTTATAATGTGGGCCATTGATCTCCAGGTGAAAATGATTCATACAATAATGATTGTTCTTGGTGTGTCCATAGTCTTCAGACAGCGCAATAATCATTAGCAGACTTCAGATAGATATAGATATAATTAGCACTCGGCAGTCACCCCCCACAAAACGCAGGCACCCTCGGGCAGGCTGGGTCAGGCCGGGCTCCCTTGACTCCGCGGTCAGTCGCCGCAGTCAGCAGCAAATCCTCAGGAAGCCGCCGACGCGCTTGAGACTCTCTCCAGTAAGGGTAGAGAACGCGGTGGACACCAGCCAGAAGCTGTATCTGGCCCCGATAGAAGCCTAGAACCCCTGTCGCGGATCGAGCCCGGGGGCCACTCAGCTGCTGCAGGTCAGAGTGGTCATGTTAGCTCCCTCATTAGGCCTACTCTAGTCCCTCTAGTCTTCTTAGTCTGCAATCGCCAATACCACGCAGACATCAGATTTGCTCCTTCGCATTTGCCTCCACAGCTTCCTCAATGTTATCCGTTGCTGTCATCCATTGCTCAGCTTCAATTGGTGTCTTCAATAGGAAGCTCAGCCTGATGGCTGCGTAGCCTACCAACCAGAACGCTGCTATCACATGGCATGCCTATAGCGGCCATGAGCCCGACCCTGGTCTTTGCTCCTTCAATGCCTGTGAATGGCCTCACTTAAAATGGCGCACGAGGGGTCACACTCTCTAACCGCGACCCTCCTGAATAGGTCTAATCCAGGCAAACCTGGTGAACCATCCGATGTTGTGCCTCAGTATTTTCGCCCAATCGGGAATAATCCTTCGAGGCTGTTGGTGAAATATATCTGTTATTTGTCTCCCTATTGTTGAGCACTCACGTGCCTGTGCCAAAGCCGCTGTCAAATCTCACTTCGACACTTCCTGCATCTTCTCTGCTTTCTGGAACTTCAATTGAGCATCAAGCTGCATACTCTGCGAGTCCAGCCTGTGACCTTCCCTTATCAAAAGTCTCAAATTCAACGCTCAGACTCTCTGTTCAACGTCGGCCGTGATCTTGCCCCGCAACTTGTGGCTACTTCTGCTGTACATGAAGAGCATGAATAGGATGTGACGGAGGTAGATTCGGATTGTATTGAAGGATCCCTCAAGTGCTTTCATTGGCAATGGCGAACGAGACTCTGGGTCGTGGTGCATGTACCGCACCGTTCCTACAACTATCAGAGTTCCCAAGCAAATATGGCTGTGAGTCAACTCCGGCGTACTGGTAGGGTCTATTGACTGATTCACCTTCAGATCATCAAAGCCGATTTTGTGCCCCAGTCCCATCGCTTGAAGGCCCAATCGATTGTTGTCTACCATGCCCTATAACAGACTGGGTATACTCGGATGGTACGCCGCATACAGTGGAATAAGGATCAATATTGTACTGATGTACACCTTAGAATTTGATGTGATACCAGAAGCAGCGAACTGGCTCAATGTAGCTGGTATGGTATGCTCAATTTCACTATTGGTGACGTACCTGGCTCTTCCAGCCAAACAAACAAGTCGACACTATCTCAACGTCGGCCTTGTCTCCGCTATATGTCTGATGCAGGTATGAAAAAAAATCAAATGATGGGGGGCGGTCGCTGATTTCCGTAGCTTGGATTTATCATCCCGCTCGGCTCCAAACCAGAGCAATGCCACGACGGCATAACACCTAACGATATGTATTCGGACATGACTTGCGCGTTCTCAGGGGCTTTCCTGCTTTTCGGCGGATTCTGCAGCATTATGTGGGGTATGCAAGTCCGATTCTACATCTACGGCTGAGCATCATCTGACAGATTCTAGGCTTCCTACGCTCTGTGTCAATTCACTTACAAATCTGCTGGAAGAGGGATCTCGGCGACAAGTTCTTCTGGATCTCTCTCTTCGCGGGATGGGGTGTTCCCGCACTCATCGTGTCGGTGACTCTTCCGTTGACAGGAACATCCTATCGATTTGGCAGCACATGTCATATTAACCATCCTAAAGCGCTGGAGGACTACTGGGGTCCTTTGCTAGCGTTTGCAGCTATTTCCACAATCTTGCAATTTTCCACTTTCGGGTACATCATCAAGGTTTACGTAACCTCACTTCTCGAGGACAATCCCGCCAACTCAAGTACCAACGTCAGTTCCGGCGGGCTTCCATCGTATAACTCACGAGCAGGAAGCGTCAAGACCCTTACTGCTGCACAGGCATTCAGAAGGATCAAGAAAGTCATTGCACTTCAGTGGCGCGGTACTGCAATAGTGGTGATCATAGTCGTCAACGTGGTCTTCCTGGCCATTGTGTTCGTTCAAATGGATAATACTGTGACCGGAGCCGTGAACCACCTAGAGCGGGCGCAGCCGTGGCTCCTCTGCCTAGTCCTCAACGATGGAGACAAAAATAAATGTCTTGACAAAGTGAAAGACGCAAAGCTAGTAACAAGTGAACCGACAGTGATGGCTGTATTAGTGCTACTTTCACTGAATGGCATCTGGTCTATCTTATTCCTTGGTCGCACGACGATGATCATCGGATGGGCGGATATCCTCCGAGGCCCTTTCCATAGAAAGCCGACAGACTTTGTCTCGGTTGACGCAAGAAGGTTCTCTGCAGACCCCAAGCAGTATGAAATGATAATGTCACCACCTTCACGGCCTTACAGTCTTCCAAAAGAGCCAGAGTCTGTGGTCACCAGCCCCCCAGTAGACGAAAAGGATGGGCTATTTGCAATCCCTCAATCACCTACCAGCCATTACTCTCGAGACTACTTCGACAACAAGGAAGTGCGCACCAGTAAGGATACACAACCATATTCAACTCCAAGGCTAAGCTTCTCCACCCCACGACCGCCCAGTGCTGGACGGATGAATTCAATGAACTCGAGGTCATTTTCACCGCAGCTAAGCACGATACCCACTTCGAGAAGTGCGAGCAGAACGGCGCAACATACGGCTACCATGGAGTGGGACCCTACGAGCACACATGCAAAATCAATGAGATGAGATCACATCTGCAATATACAGGACAACAATACGCGATAGACACAACAAAAGGCAGCAACGCCACGGAGATATAGAGCGGCGTCTACGGAAGGACATGCCACGACGAGCAAAAGTAGTAGACAGTGAGCAGTCGGATCAAATCGGCTCGTAAGGCCGCAACCACAACATTTGGATATGACATTGAGCGAGGCGCGAAAGGAGTGATGAATGATATACTCTGGGCAAGCGAGGAGTCGGAAGGCATCAGCGATTGGTTGATATGGGACGAGACCTAATTTCCATTCACTTTCGCATCTGGGATGCAGACCTTTTCCCAAGATACCCACTATAATGAGCAGGAAGCCAAACCCCAAAAAACATATCAAAACGTATCAAAATGAACTCTTTGCGCAACTCCTAGCACCCTTGCTCTCGTATTGCTGACATGCATCTCACTCTCCTTCCGCTCTGACATGCCTTAGGCCCCCTTTCCCCAGACCTCCACCGTCAGCTCAACTCAGACCCAGTATACTCCCCGGACCCATGCCTGCATAATTACTCCCATCTCCCTCTCAGCTTCTTGCACCCCCGGCCCGAGTAGCCCCGGCCACGCGTTGCCCTTCAGCCCGTGAATTCTGACTTCAGAGTAAGTACCCCTGACGTTTACATGCATCTGCATGTAAGCAACGATGCAAGATCCTCTGCGGCTATATTGAACTCTATGATAACACAAGGGGACTGCTAGCGCCCCTTTTTCAATGTGACCAATAAATCGTGGATAGCGGACGTGAGTGCGACTAAACCTATTCCATACATTTAGTGGGGTCTGTCGTCGTGTAGTGTTTTACAAACGTCCAACATCAAATTATCGACAATTACAACAGAGGAAGTAAATGTCTTGGAGTTGATCTTCAATTGACATAGCCAGCAATTTCGGGCACGAATCTAAGTCAGTCGGCATCAAAAAGCATTGTCATGAGGCTGAAGTATTTAAAAATGGCGATTTTTTAAGCAAGGCTAAGGGGGCATTGCATGGTGTGGACAAGGTCATAAAGTACACTTCTTTGCATTCGCCCTACTCTAGAGCTACAACTACCCATTGCCAGCTCAACATCACACCACTCCCCAATCGGGGTCCCCATCGTCTACCTACGGCCTCTTCTTCGCAGGCCTACTGCTTCCTAGCTTCTTCCTCAAGCTCCAGGCTTCTGGCACTCAGCGTGAGCCCCTTCCTCAACTTTTGTCGGTTCACATAAGAGACATTATGAGTTAACAGTGGTTGTAGTATTTGTAGTCGGTGGATGTCAGGGAGGTAGCATCAAACTTCCTGCCCATTAAAAGTGTCCCATTCTGGGCCTTTCCCTAGTAGAATATGTGAAGAGAATTGTAATGTCCGTTGCGCCGTCGCTGAAATCGATTATCTAGAGATCCACGTCGAAAATTGAGACTTCGAAGATGGTGGGGTATCATTGGTAAACATGTCGTCACATCGCCCTCTTATATTACAGTGCCTCCACTTGCTCTCAGAGCTGCGGTGGTTGTCGATTTTGTGCAAGCCTGCCGAAGAGATGCTCCGGTGGTATTCTGCCCATGTTGCTTGTCTTATCAAAATATGCTGTTGGAGCGGGTGTGTAGCCTTCCTTCTTACGTCTATAGCGTTCGAATAGAATTCCGACCACGACGAGGAGGAATGTAGCGCCAAGTGCACAGGCAAGAGCTATCAACACCACGAAGCCGAGTGCCATAGGGCCACCTTCAAAACGTTAGTTTTTTGGAATGGATAGCTAGAAACGAAGCACTTACCATGATTTTTGAATTTGACGTCATTCGTTGAGATCAATTGAGAGAGGCTGCCGGGTGAATTGCCTGAGGTAGAGAGTATGAAAGGTGTAAGTGAGGTCCCATTGAACAGTGCGGCCGAAGCGTTGCCAAAGCCCGGCAAATCGAGCTCGCCCAAAATCACCAATGTCATCTGACTTGATACCAGATTGTTACCCTTGCCGTGAGTCTTCTTTAAGTTATGCATAGCAAGACCACGTATGATTGTTTGAGGCCCGAGAATATCACCAACGCTTTGAAATTTGTTACCATCGTATTTCGCCAGGAAGGCTGAACCGTTTGCGGCTGTGCCAGCGACCCAATACTGAGAGCCATCCGGGCCAGCTTGAGCCAGTGCAGTAACAGGACCAGGCACACTGGGTGAGGCTCCGTCAACAGTCGTCCATTGAGACTTGGACAGATCGTAGTTCGCGAGGAATGTAGCGTTGTTCGTGACCGTAAGGTTGCCTCCGACGAGTAATTTGTTGTTACTTTGCCACAGAAAGGCGTTGACCGTACCCCCGATACCGCTGCCAGGCTGAGTCCAGGCACCATTGTCAAAGACACAGACACTAGGACAACCAAGAGATCCAGCTGTGTCAAAGCTTCCTCCAACGAAGACTTGTTGCTTCTTCGGAGGTACCGTAAGTGCGTTGACAACCACGGAATTTCCTCCCAGAGCAGGCGGCTGATTTGGAACATAGCCTTTCTGTCCAAGATCATACACAATCAGTCCATTGACATCGGCATTGTTGACTTTCCCTGTAACGGTCCCACCAGCGTAGAGTACACTATCGATCGTTGCCAGTGCAAGAAACGTTGAGTCAGAGTCCACACCGGACGGTAGACCTGTGGTAGTGCTACCTTTGTTCCCGGATCCATCGATGAAAGCAAGGTTATCAAAACTTGAGCCGTCACTAGCAGTACCAGTGAAATGACCGCCAAGTACGGTGACATTGACTCCTCCTTTGATATCCAGATTCCTGCCAGTCACGATGCCAGTAACGTTCTGAGTAGCGGTAGCTCTTTTCCGAGTACTTGGTCCAGCTGGCAGAGGTTTTATGCCAAGGTCGATATTGTTGAGGCGGAGGGGACTAGATCTGAGATCGACGACATCAGCGGCTGACATATCTTGGGTTGACAGGGAACCAGCGAGTAGTGGCGAACCTCCAGGGACGTCTGTCGTTGTGCTGAGTTTCCCTGCAACATCTTGAGAGGAGAGCTTGAGGTTCTGTAGCCAATTTTTACGCGAAGGTACCCAGACAGCGAAGCCCTGGACAGCGATGGCTTTATCAGAACCTGAAGCTTCTATTTGATCGAATTGGCCGTTGAACGAGATGCAATCCTCTGGGTTGTTAGTCGTCACATTCACTTTGAATGGTACAACTGTATCGACGACGCCATTGACTCCAGCTCCAAGCGCCTGCCAACTCTGAGTAGCACTATTGAACGCTGCAATGTTTTTCAAGCCAGGTACGGAGCCATTGAGTGTGTCAGTGAAATTACCGCCCATGTAAAGAGTATCCGCAATGACTTGCAGGTCCGACACTTGCGCATTTAGGCCTCCGCTAGGTAGAGCAGTCGCATTACCATTACCAATCGCAAATATGTTGGCAAAGCCTGCGGATTTATCGGAGAAATTCCCAGCGACGTATGTTGCATTTCCCAGGACCACTACGTCAGTGACGATTGCTTTTTCATTAAGATTAGACCCGGCGACATCAACCGTGGAGTTTGCATTTTCGGCGTCGAAAGTTTGTGCTTTCGGATCGAACTCATAAAGCCCATTCAACTTATTTGTCGCGTTTCCGGTGAGTTCAAACTTTACCCGTTGCGCGACGATCACGACGTCTTTATTCTGGTTTGTTGATGGTGCAATGGTGACCGAAGGCCGGAAGCCACTTTCACTTGAGTCTACAGGACCGCTATAAATTTGTTCATATTTGTCGTAGTTGTTGGTCTGGAAAATTTGTGAGGGAGAAGCCGGTTCAGAGCCTGCTGCGTATGTTCCAGTAACATTCACGATTCCTCTTTTATCGCAACTGTTATCCTGTATACAGCCAGGGGTGTAGAGTAAGACATTGTAGTTGCCTTGCTGTTTGATGTCAGGTTGGAGAACGACGGAGGTACTGCTTGTATTTTTGTCCGAAGCAGCAATGTCCGCTGCGAGATAGCGCGAGACACTACTTGCAATAGGCATGACTCTCCATGACCCAGCCGTTGTTGATTTTGAGGGGGTCTGAGTATTTGCACATGAAGGTTCGTTTAAGTCGCCCTCAGCGTACGCAAAAGTATCTGCCAAAGATCAGCACGAAGAACATCAGGGCATTGCTGCGCAAGATTTACCATTTTGAAATAGTTCAATTCCGTTGAGGCCGCCGCCTGCTCCGTACCATCCTGAGATATCAATGCGAAACGCATTCATGCCCACGGTGTCCTTGAAACGAAAATCTTGATATGGTAGAGAAGTCTTGTTCGAGAGAGGACATCGAGCGTCGCAATACTCTTCTTTGCCAGTATCCGGATCTGTGAAAGTAAAGTTCATGATTCCATTGATAGGTATTGCTGTAAAGCGAAATTCCTGCGTCCCTCGTCCTTGATAGTGGGTGTTCCATATCCTGAGGAGACTAGGTTCATAGCCAAAATTCATGTCAGCCCTCCACCAGCCAGCAACGTTGTCCTGCAGTAACCAGGTATTGCCTGCGCCATCTTGACCACTTGACTTGCAAACGATATTAGATTCTTTATTGAACCCGTCAAGGGATGAACTTTCAGCGGATGTGAAGTTAGCTGACGAAATGTTGATGACTTGCGAGTCAGCTTTAGCAGGGGCAGTCTTGTTGCCGAGGCCAGTGAACGATCCAGCGAAAATGATAGTGCCATTGGAGCTTTTCGAAATGCTGTTGACAGGTCCATTGAATCCCTCGAAAGGGAGGTTGGCCCAACCGGCGTTAGCTACCCAAATGATCGCATTGGTCGAATTCAATCCCTTGAATTGACCCCCTACGTAGACAGTGTCTGTGTCTTGGTCACAATATAGAGCATTGGCGCTACCCGCGAGACCTGTGAGTGGCGTAACCTTGGATGTCGCAGGGTCATACAACGCGACCCCTTGAGCTTGCACACCTCCGAGACTTGTGAAGTTGCCGCCAACGATAACGCCTTGAAGCTTGCCATCTTTCGTCACAAATGAACACATTGTCTTGATGTAGCCATCGGCATTAGCGGCGTCGGCGAAGTCACCATTCGGAAGCTGGGCGATAACTGATTGCGTTCCGTTGGTGCTGAAGCCATTTTCAGTCTGCTGTTGATAAGTGTAGAGCGAGACGGCATCGAAACTGCCAGCGAGGGCTACACGTCCTAAATTTTCGAGGTCGAGATCGGGAAGAGGAACGGGAGTGAAGTCAACTCCTTGCGCCGTAGGTAGGAATGTTGTGAGGAGTGGCCATAGTTGAGTAAGACAGAGGAGCTCCGCCGTCAGGCCAAGCGATGAGGGAATCCTCATTACTCGCGCTGACCGACAGCGATGTCAATGCTGTGAAGTTGTCCAGAAGACTGAAGGAACGGTCGGGTCACGGATCCGAAGTGAGTTTCATCCACCACATTACCCCTTTCATCAAAATATTAGATACCTCCTCTTTCAATTAGCACTGCGATGTGAATGACCGCGACTTTGGGTCTTGCAAGTCCACCTCTTCGCAAGGAGAGTCTGGCCTGTCGGATTCTGGGCGCGAGGATAATGGTAGAGGGATCGAGGAAAAGAGGAACGCGGGAGGGAGAGAAAGGGAGATTGAGTCTTGGCAAGCATCACAAACGGACTAGCGGCCGATCTAAGATTGAGACGGGAGCGGAATCTTCGGCAAATCACGAGGCGCAACAGCAACAAAAGGCAGGGGGCAGGAAGGGAACGGTCTCCTGCTGGTCGCTCCACTACCTCCACTACTACTGCCTCTAGGTGGCAAGGGCCATTGAAATTGGAGGGATGCCGTCCTCGCGCCAACTTGTCAACGCCTGCTGCAGAGCTCCCACGTAATAACACTAATGCCTCTGGCTTCAGTGGCGAGGCCAATGATTTGTGCATCGTACCTACAGTGACTGACTGAACGTTGCCAACGGTCATTGCGGGGAGCTCTCGTATTGAAGCTTTGCTTGATAGCGACCTCCGCTGGGGCTGATCGATTGCCAAAAGAGCAAGTGAGGGGCCTGTCCGGCAGCACCAACTGCACCAGACCTTCCGCATTAGGGCCACACGCCAACGCAAGACGCAGGCACTTCTTCCTCCTGACGTATGAACTGGCTCGCAGGATCTGCTAAGAGATCCATTGGGTCATATCGGCCTAATAAAAGACTGGCGCGGATGTCAGTCTGACGCCGGTCAGGCTGGACCTCCCCATGCCCCATGCACGTCGTAGCTTGCGTCGAGTATTACACTTGGCAGCATTTCTACGCATTCGCTGCATTTCGAGCGGTAACTTTGCGGAAGAGAATACTCAGCCATGGTGCAGTCTGGCATCTGGAGAAGCTCATCGTTCTGAAAAGTGCAATGCATTAATTGGGTAGAATACATTTCGAAGACAATAGGTAGTAAATGCCGCTTGATCCCCACTTTTCGTGTTGACTACGTGACCAAATGGCACAAACCGCGGTAGCAAGCGTCTTGATGGACTCAAATGTTGGTCTGCACCTGGAGTCCTGACTTAGTGATGAATCCGTTCACCAGGCGTTGACCTCAAAGCTCTCCTATAAGCAAGTCAGTTCTGTTGCAGTGAAATCTTTAATCTCAAATTTCACAAACCTCTGAAAAGTAAGTGGTAACCACAGTCCTGTCCGCGAACTTTCGACCTGCGAGTGCTTGCAAAGCTTTGCGGGCAGATTCAGGCGTATCGTACTTGACGTAAATCTTGCCCACCCCATTCGATTGCCTGCTTCCTCCACTGGGTCTCGGGACTTTCATCTCGAGTACAGCACCGTATTTCTCGCACTCTTCTTTAATGTCCTCGCAGATTTCTGTACCTTATTAGTATATGCTCCGGGGTAATATCTAGATGAAACATACCTTCGTACTCCTCACCGTCCATGAGCTCTTCCGGAGTCACCATGTTGAGAAGTTGCAGCACTCTGCCTTCGTCCAACGTATCTGACGTCGTGCCTGCAAGCATTGACATAGCGCTGACGCCCATCTCCAGGCCTGCTGCTTGAGCAAAGCCAATGCTGGCACGAGCTACCTTAAGATGCTTCTCACCCAGTTCCATTCCATTAAGGCCTTCAACAGCTATATCTGTCACTGCAGGATCCACGTACTCGCAGAAAGCAATGCCCTACAAACTGTCAGCCCTAGAAAACCGCTCATGGTGTAGACCTCTTACTCTTGAGTCTCCAGTACTGGCATCCTTTACCAGGACGAATGCCTTTAGCTGACCAAAAGCAACCAGCAATTCAGTCACTTGCTCATCTGCAAGATTGGGGAGGAGATTAGTGACACTGATCTTGTTCGGCGTGTCTGGGACCAGCGATGAAACCTCTCCTTCCTGATAATCTTGGTCTTCGGCAGCGGACGGCACTATGTAGTCTTTCGGGCGTTTGATCTGCAGGCCTTGTGAAGCGCCATTTGCGCTACCATTCATATCCATGGCGTCTCCGTCGTCAAGGGCAATCCCGTCAAGCGCGAGCGCTACAGTCGCTTCATTTGGAGATTTGAATTCAAGAAGGGCAAAGGATGTGTCTTTTGCAACTTGAGCCATTATACACGGATCCGTAGAAGATATGACATTGAGGCCATTCAGTTGGACATTGAAAAAATTGATGAGAGCTTCTTCCTTTCCTAAGGAGGGTAAATTCGAAACAAATAGTCGCTTTGATTGTCGAGCATTGGAGGGTTTCAGGGCAGCACTACCTGCTCCACCACTGGGTTGGTTCATGAAAGCCTGCAACTTGCTTGGGTCCATAGGTTGTTGGCGAGGGGCTCCGGGCAACGGAAACATGCCTAGATTCGTCAGATTGGTTAGTACAGGGTGCAGTGGACTTACCTGAAAGTTTCGCCTGCTCGGCCGTTACATTTTCGTAACCTGGCGGTTTGATGTCCCACTGTGTCAGTCTCCTCTTCCTATCAAGCACGGACTCGATATCCGTAAGATCTGGAGTAGGCTCCTTCTTCCTTGGTGGAGGTGTAGGACTCTTCTTTCTAGCTTGCATTGCAAACTCGTCACGATCATTTTTGGGGAACCCCCTATCCCGCCCACCTCCCCCAGGTCCTCTATCCATGCGATCGGCGAATAGGTCTCTGTCTCTCCGAGGTGGTCGATCGAAGTCGTCGCGTCGTGCATCTCTCCTTGACATGCCACGGTCATCACGATCACCTCGCCCTCGGTCCCGATCCCACCCACCAGGCGCCCTTTCATCGCGTGGGTCCGGTCTTGAGTAGCGGTCTTCTCGCTCTCTAGCTCGATAATCTCGGCTGGAGGAATAGGAGTCCATTTCTGGTTCTCGCCTTCGTCTATGAGGTGATCTCGACCGCCGTCGTTCATTTCCCCGGTAGTGTTCCCTCTCTCTGTCTCGATCGCCTCGGCGATCATCCCGAGAGGACTATGAGTATTTCCAGTCAAAAAATTTGTACGCAGCAGGCAAGCTTTCAGAACTTACGTAGTGATCACGAGATGATCCATATCCTCTTGGATCTCCACCCGTAGGTCTTTCAGCATCTCCATGCTTTCGTATGCGCGGCAGGCTGTCTGTTGGTGCCATGCCTCGTGAGTAGCTATCAATGTTCATGCTACCTCGAAATGAGGTGACCAATCACATATGATGAAGAGAGTCTTGTGTCGCGCCTAAGTCGGTAGTAGATGTCAAAATTCAAAGAACACAGATTGGTAGAAGTGGCAAGAGTTTGGGTTCGCGAGAAGTGTCAATCAGTGAAGCTGTTGGGTCCTCTGCAATTTTATGCGATGTCTGCGAGACCAGCGCCAAGCACGTAGATATAATCAAATATGTGTAGTTTTATCAAATGAAACGCGCATCGCGTACTCTAGCACGTCTCGCTCAATGTTCACGATCTTCTCGAGTCGTCAGATCTGAAAGATTGATTGCCACCTGTACTGAGTCAGTATGCGCACTGCTCAATGGCGAAAGCTGCCCATCGGTCTGACGGAACTTTGCCTTGACACAACCTTGCGATGTGGACAATCATTCCGGTAAGCACAAAGCGCTTCATTACTTACACTCTCTGACATTATCAGATGGCGAAAGTCTGAGGACAACACATGGTCCTGTGCGCTACATGGTCGAATACTCTCCTTCAGACAGGATCCGACCATCCTTCATTACCGGGCTTCATTTCCTGAAAGCTCTCTTTCTCCTCTCACACCTCCCCCTCTTCGCCCTCGTCCACGTCGGGTCCCCCAGACGAGGATAATACAGAAGCACTCGTAAATCACTACCTCAATCTTGGTCCCGATCTTACAGAACTCTACGAGCAATGGTCCTCTGCAGATACCAATTTCAAGAAGAAGGCGCCCAGATTCGCTGGCGTCCGCATCCTAAAGCAGGATGCGTGGGAAGCATTGGTAGGTTTCATCTGCAGCAGCAACAATAATATCATACGGATATCACAGATGGTAGGGCGCATTTGCTTTCTTTTCACTTGTCACCTGCCAAGCTCCTCGCTCTGATGCATATGTGGTGCAGATGGAAAAGCTTTGCCTACACTATGGCCCTCTCATCGGCCACCTGGACTCAAAGCCCTACCATGACATGCCTTCGCCCTCTGCCTTGACAAGACCAGGTGTAGAAGCTCATCTCCGTCAACTCGGCTTTGGCTATCGCGCCAAATATCTCTATCAGACCGCACTCCTCGTTACCCAAGATCATGAGCCTGGCTGGCTTGATAGTCTACGAAACCCTGAATCGCCCGTCATTGGTGCAAAGATAGCAGATGCGGGCAAGATGCTACCTGGTGGACGAGAAGGCTACCGTACAGCTCACGCAGAGTTACTCACGCTTCAAGGCGTAGGTCCCAAAGTCGCAGACTGCGTTTGTTTGATGGGATTAGGGTGGGGCGAAGCTGTACCAGTTGATACTCATGTGTGGCAGATTGCACAACGAGATTACAAATTTGGTAAAGGGAAACATAGCTCTTTGACGAAAGATACGTATGATGCTGTGGGAAACAAATTTAGGAGCTTGTGGGGAAAGGAGGCCGGATGGTCGCATAGCGTGCTGTTCACGGCGGATCTAAGAGCTTTCTCGGATAGACTCACTGCGAAGACGGAAACGGTAAAGGTGAAGGCGGAAGTTGATTCGGAAGAGAAGGCTGTGAAAGAGACCGTCCAAAGAACAGCAGATGTCCTTAAACCTGTGAGCGTGAAGAGGGAATTTGAGGGCGAAGAGTCAACTTTAAATGTATACGAATCAAGTACCAAAAAATCTGTTAAGAGAAGGCGGAAGGGATGATGAATAATTGGTGGGTTTTCCAGAAATCTTTTGGTATCTAATTGTACAATGCAAAAGCCATCATCGTTGGTGAAGCTTCTTTATCCTCGTTGCACCCTCGTACACTCCTCGGTCTATCGCAGCGGCCACGGTCAAAGTGCCCCCAATAACTGCGCAAACGCCGGTCAAGAAGCCTGCAAAACTTTTCGGCCGCTCCTCTCGATTTATGACTTTCATCGGAGAGATGTCGTAGCTGAAGAACACGCCTGGTATACCGCCCCTGACATGCAGTGTTAGCTCTGAAGGAGAGATGAGAATTGAAGGCCTACCTGGCATGCAATCTCTCCTTATGGCCCTCCTGACTGTCACTTCCACCAGCCAGACTCCTTTTGTGGCTCGTGACGCTATACTGGTGCGTCTCCAGACTACCATCTTGTCCTCTCCCATGGCTACCGACAGGTAAGACGTCATCCAGCTCGTCGTTTTGAATAGTCAGGGCCGATCCCAATGTTCCCTTCGGCCGCCAGCCAAGCGGCAAGTAACTCGTGCTCACGACTTTGACAAAGTACATATAGTTGAACGCCGGGTCGTCTGTCAGCTGCTCTGTCTTATCCAGAGGATTCGCATGATTGTTCGTCCATGGCATATTCCTCGACCCCAACCTCTTCGTCACATCTGCAGGTATTTGGGGCCCAAATCGCAAATGATGAATATGGTGTGTGAATGTATGCCCAGGTTCGCCCTCTGGCACATCCAAATAATTATTGAGGTCATGTACGTGCATCTGCCCATTCGAGAAGCTCCGTCCCGGCGCGATGTGGAAATTGCCCACTACCTTATTGACCCGAAAGCCTCCTTCGATGCGACAACCTTGCCCTCTTTGCGCGTCCAGCTTCTCTGAGTAGTGTTCCCGCTCGCATTGCTCGACGCCTTCGCCACGGCCGAAAGCCCATGAGACGCTCGCGTAGGCTTCGCGCACTTCTTCGCATGATGTGCAGCAGCCTTGCTTCTTTGCTGTTGGGGGCGCTGGGGCGCTATAGCAATTTCCGCAGTAGTCGGGGGAAAGATGAGATGCTTCTTCGTCACCATGCCTGTGCAAAGTCAATGGATCAGCTTCCGCAGCCATGAGGGACTAAGGGCCCAGTGACGTACAGATCCAATGCGTTGACATTGATGGGCATACCTCCCTCCTTCAGAGGCGACAATTGCACTTTGCTGATTCCATGCTTGACTCCGGTTTGTTGCTCTCCAGAGACATCCATAACGTCCAGCGTCAGAAGTTCGCATGGTATTCGCGGGAATGTGATATTCATGTGTATCTCCATTTTCTCCCCTACGCGAGAGTAAGTTCGAGAACAAAAGCATGGGTTTCCAATACTATGCTCACCTCTCCCTTTGTCAACTATCAGTTCCGGATGCACATATACCCTCCTGTAGTCCGACCATTCTCCTAGAACCAGATAGAGGACTATCAGCAAGGAAATAATTGTCACTACGCCTCCAGACGTCGTCCGGACGCGCGCATCTTCCACCGTCTTGGTGAATGCATCTAGCCGTGTGAAACGCGACTTGGCGGGCATGATAGGCAATGAAATCCGTTTTTTCGAGTAGATCGTGGATTGTGGGATGGAAAGATTACGCAAGGCTCGAGGGAGGTTTGGAGTCCGGGTCAAGCCAATCGGGGAGAATTAGAGGCGGCAGCCTAAGCTCGAGCAGAGGCTTGTGTGCGATTCATCGGGATCTCATATGCATCAGTGTCTTTCAATGCACATTTCATTGCATATTGCGCATGAAGATTCTTGGAATTCATCTGGACACTGGGCCTTTACGCAGAGAACAAGAAGGGAAAGGCGTGGGTCGCGGCACAGCCCGAGACAGCCGCCCCGGAGATCGATTGATAGCGCCCGAGGGGCCACTTCTTTCACTTCATCTGATGATTCTGTTCAATTGATGATCTTTTCGATTGGCCATTCAGGGCCGAGTCTCCTTTCCTCAAGACTACGCTGTCCCAATTGTCGTGATCTGATCGAACAAGAACATCTCTCTGACCAACACATTTGACAACGATGTGCATACTTCGCAAGTCATAGTTGACACCGAGATTCACTTGTGAGATCTTTTTCTCATGTAAAATGACACAGTCCGAAGACATCCAGCAAAGCCCAAAGCTCGCGCTTTGACTTTGATCATGCAACGTAAATGTGAGTCGAAGGATGAGTCTACTTTGACGTCTTGATTCACCCTCAGACTCTTAGTCTGTCCTGTCGTCCAAAGCGAGCTTGAGGTTGGTCGCCATCACCATTTTCTTTGGAACTAATAAAAATCGTCCCGTCTGTAGTCAAGATTTCGTTCTTCCTTTTATGAGTAGAGAATCTCATCTCATACCGACGCTATCCCGAGGAATTTGGTCCCTACAAAAGGGCTTGTTTTATCTGCATGAAGAAGGCTAGCACGCAAATATAGATTGATGTCAAATTCAACAGCCAGGCGAGTCGACTTGACATGCTTGATCGTAGAACCACCGATCCCACCAGAAATACCTCCCCTGGATGTGACTGAAGAGTCAACATTAAGGCGACCAGGACAATTCACAAAATTTCTCTCCTCTAAGCCTTCTCGACCCGGGTACATCAATGCAAGTATAGTTCAAGAATAGCAAAAAACCACAATTAAGACTTCATTGACTAGAATTTGCTAACTTTCTTTTGTATGGAGACTTTTACTGATAAATTCACTCATATTGCACTTTATCTGCGATTCCTAGTCGGCTAGACTAATCTAATACCTCTCACCTTAAGTGCCCCAAATTATCTCTCCTGACCCTCTGCCCCGCTGTCTCAACTGCTGTTCCATTCTTTTCCCACGTGCTCTTCAGTCCCCAGACCTCTGCACTGACCCCAACACCCTCGCTCAAATCATTCGTCCCCAGAACGACGGTATCCAGCTCTCTCTCTGGAAAGAAAGTTACTGTGGCTGTATCTGCGCCATTATTCAAAAACACTTCCAGTATCGATCTGTCGATAACGCCAAAAAGTCTAAACGTCTGCGTATCAGGATCAATGAGGCTGTTGGTGGAGAATTTGTCTGTGAGGAAAGGATTATCGTAGCCGTGGATGTAACCACGGTTAAGCCAGAAGGGCGTATCGCCGCCTAGGAAAAAGCCGCCGCGGATGGATTCGCCAGTCACGGAGGAGAGAAAGGTGAAATTTGCGGTGCCTGTCGCATTTACGTTGGGGATGTTGGTTATGTTAACGGAGAAGGCCAGGGCGCCGGAGGGGACGTTAGAGCTGTAGTCGTAGAGGATTGAGGTGTTGATGAGCTTATCGGAGTCTGTGAGGGGACCAGGTGTGGTGTGGAGAGAGCTGAGGTCGTAGGGGTACGAGAGAAGGGTGAAACTTTCACGTGTGGTGTTGGCAAGGACTTGTCGGCGTGGGAGACTCATGATTGAGCGGAAGTTCTCGAGGTCTCCTGTAGGAACTTGCTGAGCGTATTGCCAGTTGCTCGCCCAAGCTATGCTGATTTGTGGGGATGTCTCGGGAATATTATAGAAGAACTGGCCAGCATAATTATCTTTAGCGAAATCTGTGAGTCGAGTCGCACCGTCTACTGCTGTGAAATGGGTGCCATTGAATGTGCCAGGGAAGTATTCGGTTATACTGCCACCCAGTGGCGCGCCTGGATTTATGCTGATTGCAAGAACATACATCTGCAAGTCTCTAGCAATGTTTGAACTCTCGAAAGGCTCAGGAATAGAAGCATTCTTGAGCATTGGAACAGCTATGAGGTTTGGGCACTCATATTGCAAACCTTCGAGGCCAGCTTGGGAGAAATTAGAAGCATGAGTCCAATTTAGAAGATTTGGCGAAGAATATATGCCGACCACAAATTCTTGGGAATAGGCTATGACCGCAATCCACTTATTGGATGGTGCATGCCACAAAACTTTTGGATCTCGGAACTGTTTGCTACCGATCGAAATAACAGGATTTCCAGAGTATTTTGTAAATGTGTATCCCCCGTCCTTGGAATAGGCAATCTGCTGCGTCTGCTCCTCCGTTGTATAGTACGTGTACATAGCAACTACTCCATTACTCTGATTGGGGAAGAACCCACTTGTATTATTCACATCGATGACAGCAGAGCCGGAGAAGATGCCATCACCAGGCGTGTCAGGGAAGATGGCAATCGGCTGGTTGTCCCAACTGTAGAGATCTTTTGATGTTGTATGGCCCCAATGCTGATTACCGGCTATCGTATCCGTGGGGTTGTCTACTTAGATTCTCAGCTCTCTATCATCCTCAAGAACGATGAAATTGGCCACGAACACTGGTAATAGAGGTGAAATAAACCGTCAGCATCGACAAACATGCCGTTTGGGTCATTCTGTGTCTCTCTTCAGATGTATCTCTTGGATGTCTTCTGTTGCGCATACCATGAACTCTTTCGGGGGGCTGTAATGTATTTGCGGTCTGAGCGCCCCAGTATAATCACCTGTGATGGGTGTGCCTGTTGGCACACCACTTTCGCTATACACACTTGTTGAGGATTGTGCAAACGCATTAGAAATCGAAATCAGCAGTGCTAAGAGGGTCTGCTGACAAGAAAGCATCTTGAGGTATACGAAAATCGAGTGAACGCACTCTGGCAAGGAGTAGCGAGTACTACGGCATAGGAAGAGTGGGAGTGCATCATCATCATATATGCGTCCAGGACGTCAACGCATGTGCATACCAAGAGAAGCCAGCCATTGACCCCGCTACAGGAAACAGTCCTGGCTGGTCTTTTCCCCGCGCGGTGTCTACTTCTGTGAACGGCTTCAGGTGGAGAAAGTCAAGCAGCTTGTACGGCTTCAGAAGGCTGTAATGGGGCCGAGGAAGGGCCGACTTGAACGTTTTCCCCTTTTCCGAAGCTTTGAAGCGCAGATCTAGGCCTTACCGATATCTCGGCGTTCTAAGTCAGGAACGTCGCATTCAATATACCGTCGAAGATCGCATCATGATGATTTGAAGGTTCAAAAAGGAAGGTCCCTCGGTTGCCTTACTTGGTGGGCAACAAAAGCGCTAAGAATGGGTCCCGCCGGGATCGGCTGCATTGATAGTATCAATCCTTGTGACCTGCTTGTGCCGAAGATCGAGGATTGCATATGTGACATTCAACAGGGACATACCTGAATAGAGTGAAATACATTGGCGAATAGTTTCTGTATACGAGTATCATGCTTGTTAGGCAATGTAACCAAGAGTCCTATAACAACAATTTTTGGAAAGATAAAGGCTCAAAATCAGTAAGCCTATCAATGTTCTGTATTACTTCGCACCGAAATTGGCTCACAGGACGATGTTCAGCTCATGTCTTAGGAGCTTCTCTTCGTCCAAATTTGGGTAATAGGGAACCATCGAGTCCGCGCTCTGGACGTATGCATCATTGTAGAGCCTCCAGTACGGCGTCCTGACCTTCCTCGCCGGGTGAAAGAGGCCCGCCCATACGTAGTTCATTACTAGGCCTGTTCCGACTGCCATGCGGATAGCATCAATAGCCTCGACAATACGATCGATAACGTGTGGTGACGTCTCAAAAATATTGGGATATAGCAAATTGAGCAGGTGCATCATTGCGTCTTCGCACCCAAGTCCGACTACGCCCAACGCGACGTGTTTGACGACCGAGGCAGCAGTCTGCCGATGTACCTGATCGCGGTCGATGAGGGCATCCTCAAGCAATGGAGTAACGGCATAGACATAATCCTTAGCCATCTCACCAATGTATTCGAATAGGAAAGAGAGAGACTTCAGTACACCATTCTGGACGTTGAGCTCCGGAACGCGATACTCGTTCATTAGGGCTGGGAGCACTGTAAACGGTGCACATGTCTCAGCAACAATACCGATCGCAACAGCGGTACAGACACGGCTCTGTCTTTCCTGTACCCGCAGGTTGTTAAGGAGCGTTGCGAGAACGTCTTGAGGTCCAATGGCTTTGGCAATGAAGCCGAACGTGTTGTTGGCTGCTCGTCGAATGCCCTTCTTGTGCGCTTTCAGCATGTCAAGTAACTCAAAGCAAATTCGCATCCATTCTCTCGCATTGACGCTTTCAGGTCCTCGATCAGCAATACGTCCGACAAGATCAATCGTGTTTTCTTGCACTTTTTCGTGGCGATTGCGAAGAATAGGTGTGAGTCGAGGTAAGAGGTCTTTGATAGGGGGCTTCATGGAATTGATACCAACAACGGTCACAATGCTGCGTAAGGCGGACAAGATCGAACCTAGCACCTCCGGATATTCTTCACCTAAGTATTCGTAAAGGACTACACTTAGATTCGACATAAGCGCATCTTCGCCGCACTGCTTCATCACTAGTGCAATACGCGATATGAGATCGGCTGCTTGCTGGCGAACGGTGGCTGATTTGTTGTTAAGCCGCCAAAGTATTGTACTGACGATCTGTGGTAAGTATGGCTTGCATCGCGTCCCCAGGGCGTTTACGACCGTCCCAAAGCCATTGAGCATGACAAAGTCCGTTGCGCTGTCCGATTGCTCCTGGAAAGAAAACAAAAGACCGTCGACCAACTGCTCCTCCAGTCTTTCGGCGATATCTGCAGCGCCTAGACTTGCTACTACCTTTTCGATGGTCTCAAGCGTCATCTTCCGGTAGCTCTCGGACTCATCCTTAAGGTTCTTCACAACACGCTCAACAATCTCGCTGACACCAACCTTCTGACCCAGATCAACAGTTGTAGAAACCACAGATTGATAATTTCGTTTGTCAAGAGACAGCCGTCGAACCCAGAAAGACTTGAAGAACTCAGAGAGAACACTTTCTTTCAGATATGCAGCCGTAACGCCGTCGGTGCCTGCGCACTGGGAAACCACTTTCAGAACGACTTTCTTCATTTCTTCATCTGGCGACGAGAACTCTCTGAGGAGAATCTCCATGATTTGGCTGGTATAGTAGTTGGCATATTCCTCGTCCATTAGCGGAATGATATAGCCAACGGCTTTCAGGAAACCTGCCAAGCCTTTGCCCCTTTGCTTCCGAGCGCCAGTCCACAGAGGATTAAGTATATCGTCAAAACTTTCGATACCATAAGGATTAGCGGCCTCAGCGAGTGCTGCAATAGCTAGACTCGTCACCGTCCGGACTTTCGCTTGCTCATCGCTTAGATTATCGCCAATGCAGTCCACTAGACCTTTCAGATGCGGCAAGATGGCACAACCCATCAGGATAGGGATTTGTTGCACGATTTTCACACCAGTGTGACGAGCTTGCCATGACTTTTTGCTTCGGCACACAGCTCGTAAGAATGGTAGTAGAGCTGGTATACCAAGAGCGGAGGCGACAACTGCGAAAGCTCGAGCTGTTGTGTTGCGTACATATTCGTCAACATGATCAATATCTGGCCGCATTGTGCTGATCATGTGGGCAAGTCCAGCCGCTTTGCTCAGATTAGAGATGATCTCTCGACCTTCAACGCGTGCGTAGTAGTCTTGATCGATAAGTAAGGGCTCGATAACGACTAGAATCTTGTGGACATAAGGCCGGACGAGATCGTCAAGCTTATATAGTATCCTGTCGATGACCTTGACGAGAAGATGGCGTTCCTGGTCCTCGAGGGTTTTCTCCATGAGCAATGGCAAAATCTGGTTAAACAAGGGACCGGCTCCAAATTGCCGAGCGTTGTCAGTAAGTTGACGAAGAGCTGTCTTTCTCATAGGTGGCGTTCCGTTCTTGACCTTCAGTAAAAGTCTCATGATCTTTCTCTCTTTGAGCTCTTCCACAGACATTGCATTCTCATCTGAGCCATCGACGAGCTTGCCAAAGTAGGTCATGTCCTCTGTTTTGAAGAACTGAAGATCACCGACACCTGGAATTTCTGTTGGTAGCTGCTTGCCCATTGCCCGCGCATTTTCCGGCTCCTGCATCATGAAACCCCCAAAACCGGAAGAATTTGCCTGCGGAGCAGGCGTGCTCGTCAATTTTCGAGCTGCAGATCTGATAGGTGCATATCCTGGCGGAGGCTCGAGGATTTTGTATCCTTCGCTAGGCAGCATCATGTCAAGTTCCTCGTCTGAAAGGGCCGCATTCCTAGATGAGATGTCTGTGCCAAACGATGTCGGCATCAATGGACCTTGTCCTTGAGAAGGATGCATTGGTGTAGCAAGGCCTGACTGGCCCACAGGTGTCGCATCTGCCAGGGAAGGAGCTTGATCCCATCTTGATCGGCGCGAGGCCGCAACGGGAGCAGCTCCAGGAGGCGCCGGTGTCTGGTCCCACCGAGACCGCTTTATTTGTGCATCGGTAGCTTCAGATGCTGGTGTGCTATCTGCAGCAATATCCCATCTTTGTTTGCGCTTCCTGCCGGACGCCACAGTAACTGCTGAGCCAGCATCCTTATTTTCCTTGTCACTGCTATCTTCTTGTTTCAAAGTTGGCTTGTGCTCGACGATACCGTCTTCTCCCTTCTCCTTTCTCTCTTCGAGGACTCTTTGAACTCTTTCCTCTTCCCGGTCCAATTCTCGTGCTTGCATAATCTCACGGTAGCTTTGCCCTTCATCCTCAATGCCAGCTTGACTGTTTGCAGCGAATGGATCTGCACGAGTAGGTGTGAGAGGGCCTCGGGCAAGACGTCGCTTTTGGTAGTCAGTCTCGCGGTCTGCGATTCTAGCTGATTTCTCACGCCCAAGTAAGATATCCTGTTCTTCCACACCAGCGCCACTCGCAAACTCCTTCACCTGGTCTTTTGTGGCAGTATATTGGCCCACCAGGCGCCGACTATTATCGACATCATCCATTTCATCGTCATCGTCATCATGGCCATTTGTGGGAATTGACTCATTGTAGCCAGCGAACTTGTCCGATCCTTGACGGTCGTACAAAGAGGTATCAAAGCTCTCAGTCAGGGCAGCCTTAGTTGATGAGTCAGTTCGCTGGCTGGATGGATCGAAAGTCTTTGAACCTTTCTTTCCACTGGCTGCAGCGTTGCGTTCTTGCTGCAGCCTCTTCACCTCGGCGAAGTCGGCTGCGCTGGGGGTCAGTTTAAACTGAGCGTGCAACATGGAGAGATATAATTCACCATCAGACATATTGACGCACTCCTAGAAGAAACCAACAATCCCTTCACTGAGAACACATAGGTTGCTGTGATAGCGTTATCGAGGCTGGCGACAGTAGATTTGAATGATGGTGGAAGACGGCATCCCATGATTCTTCGAGTATCCGAGCCAAGAAAAGGCTGCGGCAACTTTAAGCGAGCTCTCCTTGACTTCCTGGAGCAGAAGAGTTGCTCCCATGTTGCGCGCCATGTGAGGATGCCATGGTACGAATGGCTTTGGAGCTCATCTGCTACTACATCAAAGAGTGGCAGCACTGCAGAGAGTAAGAGAATAGCCAAGCTTGACGACAAGCCTTCCTTCGCTGGAAAGGACTCGACTTTCCTAGGAGAAGAAGCAGCCGAAGTGGTAAAACGAGATGTGCCTACCGGCAAGATCAAACGACACTTTTCTGACCCATTCAATCTCATCGCCGCCGGTGTGCTGACAACAGTCACTCTGGGTTCATTCGCTGTCTACTGGAAGTTCCTGCGCCGGATACCCCAGGCTTCCCTTATTCGCGACAGTGATTGGCGGCGGCGCAGTCTACTCGGATATGTCACGCGTGTAGGCGATGGCGATAATTTCCATCTTTATCATACCCCGGGAGGCCGACTAGCTGGATGGGGCTGGCTGCCGTGGAGACAGGTGCCGAAGAAGGGACGCGAATTAAAGGATCGAACAGTTCACGTAAGATTTGCAGGCATAGATGCTCCGGAAATGGCACATTTTGGGAAACCAGAGCAACCTGGAGGCAGAGAAGCGATCGATTGGCTGAAACAATATATCCTGCATCGGCGTGTAAGAGCTTACGTCTATAAGAAGGACCTATATGACCGCGCTGTGGCAACGGTGTACGTCTGGAGATGGTGCTTGAGGCGTGATGTCGGACTGCAGATGCTCAATAGAGGCCTCGCTACTATTTATGATGCGAAGACTGGTGCTGAGTTTGGGGCTTTCGAAGACATGTACAGGAAAGCAGAGCAGCGGGCGAAGGCAAAGAAGAAAGGGATATGGAGTGGAGACATGAAGGATTTTGAAAGTCCACGGGATTACAAAAACCGGCTGAAAGGAAAAGGGGAATAGAGGCGTGGCGAAGAAGTGAACGGGAGATGAGCTGAGTATCTGAGAGAGTCCGTGTTGTGTCCATACGCTCTACAGCGCGACTATAAATGCATTTCTAATTCACAGGCCGTGCTAACCCTGAAACTTGAACGTTCTGCCACTGGCTGTTTTTCGTTCCTTCTCCTCATTTTCAGGTCTCGCTCTGTTGAGCACTTGCAAGAAGTCCGCAGTGCGCCGTCGCATTCGAGAATGAATGTAAGCCTGGGTACGTCAATTATGCCTGCACTTCATGCCATGCGGTGTACATACTTTCGACGCTTTGATATGATAATGAAAGTAGTCTCGGAACGTCTGAACATGCGAGATGCTTTCTTGCCTTCGTTGCGGTGTGAGATGTCGCGGGAACAAGACTTCCTCAATTAACCATAGCCCAGAGTGAACAAAGAAGCTGGATCTTACCAAACGTCACGTATCCTACCTCCCCAGTCTTACTGCTTGGTAGACCTGGGACCCCTTGTAGTTCGAGCGGAGGCTCATTCCGAAACAAAACTTGCGGCGCGTTCTGTATTGCTCTTCTTCTTGCGTCAACGAATTCTTGTAGGAAAACTTTCCCAAATATCCGGTCTGTCTCTTCCCTGAAGATGGTGCTGAAAATGACCGTAACTCTGTCATGGCTTGCCTTGATATAGATCGCCTCTTCGTCTCGATAGTGGATGGCCATGACCTCACCACCCTCACGTACACCTTCTGGTGCCGATTCTCGCGTGAACTTTGACGCTTCCTCTTGTCGTTTTCCGAAGTCATCAAACGCCCTTTCAAACGGTGCAGCCATAGCGTTGCGTTTGAGCAGGGAGACCCGGCGGACGAGGTCTTCTCTCGCTTCAGCGTCCGATGGAAGATTCTCTAAATCTATAAGAATGGAAAAGTCGTATCCGGCCTCTGGAGCGACAATGTAAGAGCCGTACTCTCTCTCGAGCACCTCTTGGGCCCCATAGTGAAGGAGTTCGCGGAAGCATTTTACGGAGATGGAGATGAGGATCTTGCTTTTGGAGTCGGGGGTAGACACATGAAAAGCGACATTATCAAAGTCTGATACCACTTGATCGATTGCGACTGGAGGGGCTCTGTTTCACCGTTGGTGATTGCCTGCAATGATGAAGGAGGGGTACCTGCCCTGAGAATCTTTCGGTCAGGAGGGATTGTATCAAGACATTCTGGTAGTCGAGAAGCAGCATTTTTCGGATTCAGCAATTTTTGATCGTAAGCATGAATTCGTGGTGCATGGCTTTACTTGAATTGAGAATGGTGCTTTCGCGCGATCTACAACGAATTTGAAGCTTGGCAAGAAGAACCGAAAATGACCACAGTGCTACGCAATAGTTGCTCTAGAATGTACCAGAATTTTCTATTCTCAGACAATTTTACTCGAATATCGTTTTGATTAGAACGGGCCGATTGTACATTACAATGAGTGGAACACATGCTTTCCAACCTTTTGAACGCCCACGCCTAATCACTTTCCAGGCTCCGGCCAGATCACAAGAATCAGTACTATGTTCTCCTCCAAAATCTGCGTACAGCCCAGCCGAGCTGCTGGAGTATCCAAAAATAGCTGTAGACTACGAAAATGACCGGTGCGGTTCCTAACAGCTTCACGAAGATCGAAGAGCTATCGTTTGCCATGATCTTCATCATTCCAGTCATAACGCCAATTGGGGCGTCCGGATGGAACATATGTTGCTTGTTGCTCATGATCATTGCTTGGGTCTTTTCAGCCCTGGGGAACATCATTTGTTCAAAAAGCTGGACGGCCTGGTCCAGCGTGAGGTTGTTATTTGGATCCTGGCTTTTCTCGAGCTGCTCTGCCAATTCGAGAGTATCTTTCATTGCCTTATTGACACCTTCTCCACCAAATGGCGTGGTAAGTGTAGCCGCGTCTCCAATGAGCGTGAAGCCCTTCTTGTGCTCCCACTTGCAGCCAACTGGCAATTCATACAGAGTCCATTGCCTTAATTTATCCGAATCACCCTGTCGGAAGAGCTCAGTCAACTCTGGCGCCCAATCTGCATGCCTTTCCAAAATCTTCTCTACCGTTCCCTTCTTGCCATACTTTTTTAAGGTTTCCTGTGCCTCGCCTTTGGGACATTGAAACCAACTCCGGATTTTGATACTGTCATTGCCCATTCTCTGGCCACCCACGGCACGACAATCACCCATAGCGAAGAGTGCACCGCGACCCACCATCTTGTTGACATGCGGACACGTCTTTGCGGGCTCTGGGATTTCCATCTCAAAACCACTTATACCAGAATAAGTTGGCTTAAGCCCATGCAGCCTTGCCCTGACCTTACTGAACGCACCATCTGCCCCTACGATCAAATCAAACGGGCCCTCCGCCTCCTCGCTTCCATCGAATATCAGCTTCCCATCTTCAGCCACCTCCCTCAAATGACGCCCCCATCTCACGGATTCCTTAGGCACACTCTCAAGCAAGATCTCCTTCAATCTTTCGCGATCGATCTCCGGGCGATCAAACACTCCAGTGTTCTGTTTCCCACCTCCCATATGTACCAATTGCGTCGCATTCTTGTCGGCAATGATCATTTCCTGGCCATCGTATCTTAAGCAGCCTACGAGCAGTTTCCAGAGGCCGCATTTTCGTAGTGCAGCAAGTCCAGTATCAGCATGTAAGTCGAGAGTGCCACCTTGATCTGGGCGGGCTATCGGAGAAGCATCAAGCTCGTAGAGTGTCACATCAAACTTCGCTTCCGAAACATATAAAAGACGCGCGAGCGTGAGACCAGCGGGTCCGGCGCCAACAATAGCGATTTTTGGCGTGGAGGCCATTATCCCATAAAGTAAACTGGCGGAAATGGTGTCTGTTTTTTTACAGGCGGCTTTGGCAGCCCTCCGAGGCCAAGTTCTATTCCGGGGAGCCCTTCTTAGGTGATTTTTGGGACGTATCCGGCTGGTCGCTTAGGGCTTGAGGAAATAGACACCACGCCAGACTATGGGATAGTATCGGTGCGGCGTGCGGTCGAAGTCAGTCAGGGTACTTTGGACCCGCTTCAAGCATGGGATCCAAAGACTTTTCTCGTTCGATCAACCAATGGTATCCAACTTTGGCCACGTTCAAATTCCAGGAAAGAAAGCATGGACACTCAATCTCGAGACTGCAAGAAAAATTCCGACTTCGTGATCCTTTTATAGAGCATCTGACTTCCCCTGACAGGTTTTTTGTTGATGGCATCCGATATGTCGATTCCTAAACCGGCGTATGGGACGTACTCGTATCCAGTCCCTACCCGCGAGACTCGCAAGCTGTCAAACTCTAAGGTACGTCAGGCCCGAATGCGGGGGGTGCCGGGGGTAAGTCAACCCTAAATGAATTTGGGTTCAGGCATCCTAAGCCGGCAACGGCAGCTTCGGCAATTATTCAAGCTCAAACCGTTGCTGCATCGATTAGAGAGAACACCCCCAGCCCCATAGTTTTTTTATCAAATCCAGCCGAGCAGAATCGTACAGCGCTATGTTAGGTTCAGCAGTAATGATAAAAAAGAGAAGGCTGCAAATGCATCATCGAACAAGATACATTGTTGTGCGGAGGGAATCGCAAGTGCTAACATCTAAGCATAACAAAAGAGAAAAAGATTTCTCAACTTGGTATTTCTTTGAAAATCTTAAACATGAAATTTGCAGAAAATGTCGGTCTGAGGTGATAGTCCTTACTGGCTTCATGACCATTCATGAACACATTATATACCTCTCGTACGTTTCAGACACGTCGTGCGATCAAAACAAGCCTTCGCAATGGCAAGGTGAGTCAACTCGCTACACTGTATCGGATATTCGACCTACTACTGCTCGTTTTTAAGACTTCCAGACCGCAAAGGTTGAGAAGTTGAGCAGGTCGCAGTATGATATTAGCGTTATGAAAACGCTAGGCTCCCACACTCAGCGGAGGACTGAGACTAGTCGTCACCTGTCTCGTACGTTAAGAAGAATTAGCTGATACGAAGTTTTGAAATATTATCGAAGGTGTTTAGCCAAGAACACTGTCTCTGGGAGAGGGGTTGGATAGTAGGCATCAATCCTTTCGAAGCCAAATTTTTCATACAGAGCAATAGCATCTGTCATATGATTAAGGGTGTCAAGTCTAATCCCGTAGTATCCAGCTTTTGTTGCCGAGTCGAGTATTTCAGTGACGAGCCGCTTCCCAAGACCATGCTTTCGACCCCTTGGTAGGACGTAAAGCCGTTTCATCTCACAAAAATGACCTTCCAAACCTAACGAGCGATATGCTGCGCACCCAATCGCAGCTCCATCACAGTCTCTGGCCAGCAGTAGACCTCCAGCAGGACGTGAATATTTGCCTGGTAGGGATTCAAGTTCTGAGGAGAAGTCTTGAAAACTTAGGTCAACATTAAGCCACTTGGCATACGCAGCAAACAGGCTTTTCGCATCAATCATGTCTTGATCAGTCGTTGCTGTAGTGATTGTTACAGCCTGCCTGGCTGACATGCTGCGTTGCCAACGAATTGCTGTGAGTGTAGGTTGGGGAAGGGCAAATTACCCATGCAAGACTCCTAGCGGCTAGGGTCGGCTTAGTGATCCGGATGTGCATACAAGGCATACTGAAATTTTATACACAAATCCGCTCTCCTTCACAACTACTACCAAGGTATGGTGAAATCCTACTTGTGAGTGCGTGCGATAGTCCGATTAGCAGCAAGCTTTGCAATTGACCTTGATTAGGAAGTTTGAGCACTCAAAAACCTTTGGGCTTGTTGTATCTGCTTCTGCAAATGTAGTCTGGTGCCCGGATGAAGATGCTAACGCCGCCTCCCGTATCTCGGGTGGAGGGAGAGCGATAGTTGGCGCTGATGAGGAAGTATTATGTTGGCACTTGAAGAAAGGAGAGTTGATTAGCCGTTGGAAGGATCCAGCATGTAGCGCTACGGTCACTGCCATCACTCGTAGCAAAACTGATCCAGATCTTTTCGCCGTGGGGTATGTTCACGATGAGGATGTAACATAGTTACGCTATACAGATTCTTACATCTCTAGGTACACCGATGGCAGTGTCAGACTGTGGGACTCCCGAACAGCAAGTATTGTCATAAACTTCAACGGACATAAATCAGCCATATCGACGTTACAATTTGATGTTGACGGCGTGAGACTTGCAAGTGGGTCAAAGGACACCGATATTGTTATTTGGGACCTCGTTGCCGAAGTCGGGCTGTTCAAGCTTCGAGGCCACACGGACCAGATAACAGGTCTTCACTTCCTCAATGTCGATTCTCGGCCTCTGACAAATGGCCATGGACTAAACAGTGAAATCGCAATAGACATAAGTAGCGCATCTCACCAAAGTTCAACGACCTTTCTGCTCTCAACGGGAAAAGATGCATTGCTCAAATTGTGGGATATCAACGCGCAACATTGCATAGAGACTCACGTTGCGCAATCACATGGAGAATGTTGGGCAATGGGTGTCTCTCCTGATGATTCTGGATTAATAACGGCTGGGAACGAAGGTGAGCTCAGGACTTGGTCGATCGATCTGGAAGGCTTGAGCAAGAGCTCAAATGATGCGTCTGAGACCACAACGAAGCAGTATCTCCGAGAACGAGGAGTATTCTACCGCCAAGGAAAGGACCGTACGACAGGTATTCATTTCCATGCCAACGGACGCTTTGTGATTGGTCATGGAGCAGAAAAGGCTGTAGAGGTGTGGAGAATCAGATCTGGGGACGAGATTCGAAAGGTTCTTCTGCGAAAGCGAAAGAGACGGCGAGAAAAGCTTGCACTTTCTAATGAAAATGCTCACGTTGGGGACCAAAACGACAAGATTGAGTCTATTGATGAAATCGCTCAGGCGGAAGTTCAGGATGTCATTGTTCCTTATGTCATTGTGCGAACAGGAGGAAAAGTTCGATCAGTTTGTTGGGCAAACCAGAAATCGCATAAGCATCTGCAATTTCTTACTGCTGAAATTAACAATCAGCTCGAAGTCTGGACTATCCCGATCACATCTCCTGAAAAGTCCACAAAGTCGAGTGAGGCACCCAATTATGATCGGACTCTAGCAATCGACATACCTGGACATCGTACTGACGTTCGCGCGTTGGCTACAAGCTCTGATGATCGAATGCTTGCGTCTGCAAGTAACGGTGCCCTTAAAGTGTGGAACTTGAGAACGAACAACTGCATCCGTACGCTAGACTGCGGGTACGCGTTATGTACGGCATTTTTGCCTGGGGACAAAATAGTGGTTGTTGGAAATCGAGATGGGGAGCTTGAAATGTTCGACATAGCTTCGTCCTCGCTGCTAGATACTGTCAAAGCGCATGATGGACCAATATGGACAATGCACGTTCATCCTGACGGAAGGTCCCTCGCTACAGGTAGCGCTGACAAGTCGGCCAAATTCTACAATTTTGAAGTGGTTCAAGAGGAGATCCCAGGGACGAGGAGAAGCACCCCTAAATTTAAACTCATCCATATAAGGACGTTGAAAGTTACCGACGATGTCCTCAGTATTCGTTACTCTCCAGATGCCCGTCTCGTGGCCTTAGCATTGCTTGACAATACGGTCAAGATCTTCTTTACCGATTCTCTTAAGCTCTTTCTCAACCTCTATGGGCATAAGCTACCTGTTTTAAACATGGACATCTCGTTTGACAGTAAATTGATAGTGACGTGTTCGGCGGATAAGAATGTGAGACTCTGGGGTCTTGATTTCGGTGATTGCCACAAAGCCTTCTTTGCCCATCAGGATAGTATTTTGCAAGTAACGTTTGTTCCACACAATAACGATGGCAATGGCCATCATTTCTTCAGTGCTAGTAAAGACAAACGTATCAAATACTGGGACGGAGACAAATTTGAGCAAATACAAAAGTTAGATGGACATCATGGCGAGATCTGGGCAATGGCAGTCAGCCACACGGGCGCTTTTCTTGTCAGTGCAAGTCACGACAAAAGTATTAGGGTCTGGAACCAGACAGATGAACAGGTCTTCTTAGAGGAAGAGCGAGAAAAGGAGCTAGAGGAGCTTTACGAAAGCACCCTAACCACTTCACTCGAGAAAGAGGAGGAGACCAGTGAAGAGAGGCCGGAAGCTGTAGCTGCCGGTAAGCAAACGATTGACACGCTCATGGCCGGGGAGAAAATAGCAGAAGCTCTTGAGGTTGGGATTGAAGACCTGAGAATAATGCAAGACTATCACACGGCCAAAGGTACGCAACCTGGCCTCGCTCCGCCGCAGCGAGACCCCATTTATCTCGCATACCACAACGTCTCGGCGGAGATGCATTTACTCAACACCGTCCAAAAGATCCAGGCCAGCGCTCTCCAAGATGCTCTCCTCGTCCTTTCTTTCGATAAGATCTCTTCTCTGCTGGTTTTCTTGCAGATTTGGGCGGATAGGCAATGGAATATGCCTCTTACCTGCCGGATTCTCTCCTTCATGCTAAGAACGCATCATAAACAGATCGTAGCTAGCAAGCAGATGAGAAGTTTGTTAGACAACATTAGAGAGAAAATTAGGAAAGCTCTTGAAAGCCAGAAGGATGAGATGGGCTTCAATCTTGCGGCTCTGCGTTTTGTTGGCAGAAGTATAAGAGAGACTGGGAGGAATGACTTCATCGACGAAACATTGTTTGAGGAGCCAGATCTGTCGAAAAGCAAGAAGAAACGAGGCTTTGTGGATGTTGCCTAGAGCGGCCCAAAAACAATCATAGTTCCCTCTAATTTTGCTTCACGTTCTCCGGGTACAATCTGTCCATGACCAGGCAAAGATTTTACCTTGGCCATTCAAATTGCGTATGTTCATCCTCTTCATCACTTCTCGAATTGTACGTGCACCTCCTTGTAACCCCCGCACATGCTGTGATGCCCGTATCTATGTAATGGCGCCTACCTCGCAGATGAGGTTTGGTGCACCGTACATTTCGCCTCGTCCGTGTGCCATTGAGAAGTCATTGTAGTAGACTTCAGACTTGTGGAATGTGATCAAGCACTGCATAAGCCATAGAAAAGAGTCCAGGTCAATACAAAACTCAACCCGCCGCCCAGTACGTCGCCCGCCCACAGTTCTGACCAGACATTCTGGAAGAATTTGTCGCTGTCCCCTTCCGCTAACAAGAAGTAGATCAAGCAGGAGACGAAGAAGGTCCCAAGGACGTAAAAGAGAAATCCGTTGTACGATTCTAGGCCGAGAATGCCAGATGCGATACCGAAAAGGGATGCAGTCAAGGTGCGGATATTGGAGACGACCTGGAGGAAGGCTACATTAGAGCAAGGATGTTGCAGTAGACGGATTTCAAATACCTTTGTGTTGTGCTGTACCGATTCCGGAACGATTGGCGATATAGCTAATTCGCGCTCGGTCGGCATGCTTGATCAAGTAGCGCGATGGGTGAAGAACAGCTTCATGCCTAGTAGTAGTAGTATTAATTAGTAAAAGACTTTGGAGGCTCAAGCAAACGGGGTCTTGGCGGCGAAGCGCGTCATTCCATTTGATGAAAACGCGGAGTATTTAGACTTTCAATCTTAGCTCATACGTTCCTCCTGACAGTCATTCATCACCCATTCCCACCCCCTGAACCACAGCGGGTGTGCCTGGCTCGTTCATGGAAGCCAACAGTGCCATCGATATGTTACCATCGCGCATAGAACTCCCTCGAAGGCCACCCGAACATGCAAAATTGCCCACTCAGTGGCTTTAGCTGGGATGTCACTCCTCCGAACCGGGCTTGCGTCGATGCTCTTACCACGAAGAGCACCGCTTCGACATTGGATATCTAGTATTGCCCTTCGACGACATCGCTCCTCGGCAGCTGCTCCTGTCACGGGCATCGCAACTCCTGCGCCAGAGGCTTCCCTTCAGTCAAATGCAAAGTCCCCGTTTTACTTCGATACAGGCTATGCTCTCTTTGCTAAGCGACCATCACGCCCTTTCCCGCCGCCTTTCAGTTCTCCTCCATCAGGCTCCTTCTCTGATGCGTTGAGTACACACAACAGGAGTCGAGACAGACGGCCATATGTAAACGGGGAAATGATCAGAGGCATCACCAATGGGGATGATGCTGTATTGGTCAATGAGCACTTCATAGGGGCGAATGATGGCGTCGGCGCATGGGCATCTCGCGAGAAAGGCCATGCTGCGCTGTGGTCGCGGCTGATCCTTCATTTCTGGGCACTCGAAGTTGAGCGATGCACCTCCAGGCCGAGCGCTGGGCCACATGCCGCAGATCCCGATCCCGTGAATTACCTTCAAAGAGCCTACGAACAAACGCTCGCCGCAACATCTGCTCCAAATGAATGGAATGGCACGACTACGGCCTGTGCGGCATTGATCCACCACGAACTGAAAGGTGGCGTTGATACCCCCGTGCTATACGTGACGAATCTTGGCGACTCGCAATGCCTTGTACTACGTCCAAAAGATGGCAAAGACGGAGATATCATCTTTAAGACCATCGAGCAATGGCACTGGTTCGACTGCCCTCGTCAACTGGGAACAAATAGCCCAGACACACCGAAAGCAAACGCTGCACTTGACAAAGTGGAGATTGAGGAAGGCGATGTCGTCCTTGCAATGTCTGATGGCGTGGCCGATAACCTCTGGCAACATGAGATCTTAGAAAATGTAATTGATAGCATGAAGCAATGGGACTTGAACCAATCCAACATAGGCAAAACTGAATGTATTAGTGGAGCTGAAGGCGGTATGCTGTTCGTCGCCAAAGAGCTTGTCAAAGCTACACGAAAGATTGCCGAAGATCCTTATGCGGAGAGTCCGTTCATGGAACGAGCAGTCGAAGAAGGCCTGGCGATGGAAGGAGGCAAGCTCGATGACATTAGTGTCGTCGCAGCCGTTTGCCGTAAAAGAGGCAATGGATAAAAGGAGACACGTCAAATCAGCGGAATTCGATTTTCAAAGCTTTCTTTTTGGGTGTGAAATGGCTTTCGACGCCTTTCAAGTGCATCTAGCACTAGCTATGATGTCCAAGTCGCTCAACATATCGGACGAACACGTATCCGATGGAAAAAATAGAGTAAGTAGCTTCTGCGTATTTCTGCTGAGCTATGGCAATTAGCTAAGATGAATGTCGCAGCGTCATCATACAAGTCTGCCGTGCAGGCTCTACAAGGCAAATGAATTAAATCTGCCATCTTTTGTGCTCTGCTGAGGCTGGTCAATCGTCCAAACTTCATTGGCAAAGATCCAAAGCACCACCGTCATGCCTGGACGCCTTCAGGCACAGCATGGGTACAAAGACTTCAACCTTTTTCTGGTCTTCGGAATCGTATGTGACCTGGATCAAACGACGACACCCAATATGGAGGCAATATTAAGCGAAAGTTCGAATCTGATTGCAACTCCAATGCATGTCAATGACGGCGATCATGATCTAGGTAGGACGGACATAGCGCCCAGTGCAAGGGATCATTCCGTTGCTGAAGCGAGAACATCCAAGCACACTCTTGAGAAACAAGACAAGCCATCAGCGTTCGGGCTTTGTCAAGTTGTCTGGCGCTTCTTGCGAAGCAGTAAGACAATTGAGCCAACAAGGTATTATGTTGTGCCAGCCGAGCCTGGCTACGCCAAGGAAATGGTAGACGTCTTCATAACAGCACACACAGGTCAAGGTTTAGCTCGTTATGAAGCAACGACAAACATGTGCAATTCTTTGGTTCTCAGCGACAAACCCAATCACGTAGCCGTCGCACAGACAGAGCAGGGGCAGATTTGGGGTTGGGTTGCTGTTCACGAACTGAACCAGTCCGGTGACTGTGCAACAGCTGCAAAATTGCCAGAGTATTGGCAGTCAGACATATTCAAACTGCTACTCAATCATACTCGGACCCTGCAAGCCGCACATGGATTCGAGCCGGCTTCACTGAATCTATTTGGCTCACCAGATGAGAGAATGGCCCAGACTTTCCTAGACGACATGTTCTCTACGTGGCCGGAAGAAGAAGGTCGAAACGTTCTCCTACTTGATACGGTGGTGGTTCACCCTGAGCATGCCAAGCGAGGCATTGGAACGGTGCTGATCAAGATTGTCTGTGGCTTTGCAGATGAATGTGATGCTGGGATCGTGACAGTAGTGCCAGAACGGGCAAAGCACATTTTTCTGAAAGCTGGCTTTGTCGTCGTCAGCAACCATAAGATCAATTGGAGCGATCACTACAAAAATGCCCCCAGCTCTTGTGTTTACACGATAATGGCTTATGCGCCTCAAGATTAGATACAGAGCATCAATGGGAGTATTCCCAAGTCACATAATATCATGAACGTTGAAGATTGAATAGGTGTTGCTGTAATTTTCTCTTCCTGCTCAGGCGGGCGGGAGCTCCCGCCTCCGCAATTTTTACCTATCACACACCCGAGCAACTCTCGGCGAGCCTTGACTACCTTATTAATTCGCAAAGATAGATCAGGATGAGAGGGAAGCGAGCAAAGCAGTATCGCAAGCTCATGAAGCAATACGCCCTCATTTTCGGCTTCAGAGAGCCTTACCAAGTCCTGGGTAGGCTGACTGTCCCGACCACCACGTCTGTAACGTAGCTAACAAATCCTCGCACAGTCGACGCGCAGATGATCCTTGACGCCTCTCGCTTCGCCATGAATCTCCCCGCCGCCCTCGAACGCACGTTTTCCAGTAAGACAAAACCCATGATAACACAATGCTCCATCCGCCACCTCTATGCCCTTCCACCATCCCACCCCTCGTACCCAGATAAAGCCTCCCTCATTACAGCCGCAAAGGCCATGGAACGGCGCCGCTGTAACCACCATACCCTTGAGCAGCCTCTTTCAGAAGATGACTGCCTGAAGAGCGTGATAGATCCCAAGAGCGCGCATACAGATAAGAACCTTGTGAATAAATTCAACTATGTGGTTGCGGTGCAAGATGAGGGGCTCAGGCGATGGTGCAGAGCTGTGAGGGGAACACCGATTGTGTATGTTAAGAGAAGTGTCATGGTTATGGAGCCGATGAGTGATTCGAGTGGGGGGGTGAAGGCGGGGATGGAGAGGGAAAAGTTAAGGGGAGGGCTGAGAAGGAAGGAAGTACTGGGGAAAAGAAAACGAGAGGAGACGGGCGAGGGCGAGGGCAAGAGTAAGACAGAAGAGGGGGAAGAGCAAGAGAAAGAGAATGAGGGTGAGGACACAGATTTAAGGAAGAGGAAGAGGAAGGGGCCTAAAGGACCGAACCCATTGAGCATGAAGAAGGCGAAGGCGAAGACGGAAAGCGCGAAGGGGATTGATCATCCTGTTGGGGACAGGGTCGAGCTAGCTATGAAAGTCAATGATGAAGTTGTCGATGGGGGAAGAGACGTAAGCGAAGTGCCAGGTTCGAGCAGACGGAAACGGAAACATAGATCGAAGAAAGCAGAGGTTTTCGGTACCCGAGCAATAATCGGGGGAAGTGACGCTAATTTGTGATGATAATGGGTGTGACAGGACCTCTTTCATTTGAAAAGCGACGAGATACCCATATATACATCCTTAGTTTTGAGCCAACGTTTTGCTCATCAAACATGTCTCCTTCTCATCTCGTCCCAGTCGTTCTTTTAGTGCAACTCGCCGTCAGACATTCTCTCGCGCCGCGCGATGCCTTTCGCCAATACTCTATGATTCCAAATGCACCTTTCAGGCTCGTGCGCATATGTCATTTCAATTGTTACTCTTGTCACCGTTCCTCATCAATCTGCCTCCAGACCTCTTCTATCTGCTTTCGTTTTGCCTTAGCTTTCTCTCGATTTTGTGCTGTGCGCTCTAATCTCTCCACCCTCAAGCATTTATTGACAGCCGTCTTCGCGTCATTGCATCCTCCCAACAATTTGTGCAGGTAACCTTGGGCATGACATTCATCGAGGAGGGCCATAACCTCTGCGCATCCTGGACGATCTTGTGAGCAGCGAGTGACATTAGTATTATCGATTCTTATATACCTGTGTTGTCTTTTGAATGGAGATGAGGATGCATGCTGACGTGTAGACAGAAGTGGCAATGCATTGTTTCAAGGTCATGTGGTTGTTACGGAGAGTTTCTATAGATTGCCGTAGATTAGCGTATTAGGAAGTTACGGTATGATCGAATCTACGAATGGACCTGTTCACCTTAACATTAACATAGACATGGCACAAAATCAGGCCAATCTAAAACGACAGCAAGGTAAGAGATTGGCGATTCTGACTGTGCTGTAAGAGGCTTAGATTGTACAGATCTTCAGCAACAATATACTAACTACAAGAATAACCTTCAGCAACTTGCTCAGAAGATCGGTGATATCGAGCAGGATGCAGAAGAACATAAGTATGTCAGAACACAGATCTTTGGGCCTTCACTTTCCGATTGTTTGAACCCATCATTCAACCATAAAGAATTCCTGTTGATGCTCGCTGAGCCTTCAGCTGACCGCTCATATGTTTTGTCAGGCTAGTCCTCGAAACTTTAGACCCCCTCCCCTCAGATCGAAAATGTTTTCGAATGATTAATGGGGTTTTGGTGGAGAGGACTGTTAAGGACGTTAAGCCCGCTTTAGAAACGAACTCGGAAGGTCTGAAGAAAGTACTCGAAGAATTATTAAAACAATACAAGAAGCAACAAGATGAAATGGAGAAATGGAAGGTCTGTAGAACATCACAGGTGCATGCTATTTGCTATACTGATGTGACCCTCTTGCACAGAAGAAGAACAATATTCAAGTCGTACAGCAGTGAAATGAGTGCCAATTGAAGGAGCTGTTCCTACAGACCGGTGATATGGATCCGGAGGATTCCGAGCTGGTTGGAGGCTAGAAACCCTTCACCATCTCATGGAATGAAGGGCGAAGATCGAGCGAAGATGTCTTCCACATCCAAATAGAAACATACCTATGACGCGTCTGCATTCTGGATTATGGCACATGACCGTCTAGTGGTGTGGCTAGGCGCTCACGGATTCACGGTTTCCTGCATGCATACCTGAGGTCGCCATCCGTTTCAATTACCTGGGATGCAAGACCATGGGGGAAACAATAGGGAAAGCGGCATGATTGTTGTCTGAAGCCATGGGACAGCCTTGTCGATTAGGATAGAGTTAGCGTGCAGAACTGGAGCGGGCGTGGCCGTGTGTGCGTTGTCACGGCTTGGTATGGCGAATGTGCAATTATTGGATCGCGCCTAACATGTCCGATCTAGGCTTCCTAGATACATCCTCAATCCTCATAGGATGATCTTGCGATCGGCATTTGACTGGCTGGGGCAACGTCAAGTCAATCGACCGTGAATGTACACCATGGCGAATCGTCAGAAGAACGAACGACTCGGGCGGCCACAGTATTCGCGAAGTATCCGTTCGGATATTCGACCTTGATCTGGAGCCGCAATCCTAGGGGCTCGAGCAAAGTCGGTGTGGTGAAGGCCGAAGAGTGAAAGGGGGCGCTTTAGGTGCAAGGTCGGATCATCATTTGCAACGGTGTTGGTAATGTGCAGGTCTGCTTGAGGCTCACGCAATCCTGTCATTTACGAGGATGATGATTTGTCACTTCGAAAGGAGTTTGCGGTATGCAGATGCGCCGTTGGCCCGAGGGAAGAGAAGCAGTCGGATTGCTGTAGTCTCATGGCCTTCAGCCCAGACTTTTCCATATAGGATCTGTACGTCGCCAGACAGTTGAGAAGTATCTTTCATTGGCCTTGGACTCGGGTTGGAATGATGACAACGCATTCTTGAGTATTGGTACCCAAGGCTTGATGTAAACAGAGTTCAATGGCTGCTGGCGCGTGAATGCAGTAGTAGGTTTATTTAGAAGTGGACGACTGCGTGGGATGTGGGACCTTTCGGCTACCATGCAGCAAGCCAGCAATGGTGCCTTAGGGCCAGAATGGCGGGGGTCCTCCACCCCAAGCTGATAGTGACGGCACGAAGGAAAGGGTAGGCGTTAGTTGCCAATATAGCCGTGTTTACGGTCAATCAGGGTGGTGGGACGGTGGGAGGAAGGGCGGCAAAGGCGAGAAGATTCACAAGGGCATATGGGGCCCATATGGCCCGCCTTTTTCGACCCTCAGCCTCGGCGCTAGCGCAACACTTGCCATCCTCTCCCGTGGCTTCCATTTCTCGAGTCGTTGTCCCTCCATCCACCACAACCAACCCACGGTCAGGCTCCAAATTCATTGGCCCAACCAGGCAGCTTCTCTGAGACCTACGGCGATCCTACACGCGTTTGCCGCGACCAAATAGCTCTTGAGACTAGAGCTGGCCCTTCCACGCGACGGCGCGCTGTCTTTGGTCTGCCGTTGAAACATACTACTACTCAATCCCACCGACAGCGCGCTTTGTCTCCCAATCTCGACCCAGGACGCTGTCTCCACCGCCATTTGCGCCTGAATTAGAGCTCTGTACCATTCACTCGTAGCTTCGTTAGGTCAGTACGCCGGTGTCTGCTTTGCCACTGCCTGTGGTGTCATCGAATGGGAGCTTATGCCTTGATCAGAACCATTGACACCTAAGACTTCCTGCATCAGCCTTGACACCGTACTACTCCGTACTGCTGACGCAAAGCCACTTCTCGGTCAACCTTGCCTTCCTCCTCGATCGGATCTAGAGCGTTCGAGTCGCTGAGCAGGTGAAAGACCGCGCCCAAGGGCCCGCTTTAGCATCTTCACATCTCGGCGTACATGGGACTAGCACATTTGGCGCAGCAGGAGCTTCAATAGCACGACCCTTGGTCGTCATCGCGCAGAGACCCTGAGCAATCTGTGAGGCAGTTAATCCCCGGAAGCTTGAATCTTGCAGTATCTTCCTTGACCCACCAGCCACATCTTTTGCTTCACGGTCCGTCACACTCGGGCGTCGAACTCGGCCCAGCCCAGGGATACATTATGTCTGATTCCCCTCCCAAAGATGGAGAGGGCGCAGGAGACGCTACACCAGACAACTCAGATCAAATGGACCGCGCAGAAGGGGCACAACCGCCCGAAACATATGATTTCGACGTAAAGGAACAGGATAGGTGGCTACCGATAGCAAATGGTTGGTCTGCAAAATCTCCTAATTGTCAATTTCCCTTTGCGGCAGTCCGTCTTGTATGAAAGAAGAAAGACTTTGTCCCAATTTTGAGCGGTTATTGGAAGTTTTGCGACAGATGCATGTTAAGAGCAAAGGAGTGGTGGAAAACCTGTCGCTTGTGAGAGTGGCAGGGGACCTAGCATGCGCAACATCCACTGGCTTCCTTTTTCCCCAACCTAAAGATCTGCGGTAGCATATTCGTTTCTTCATTCTCTATGGTCAAGGTCACACCTCCCTTAGTGGGTGCTCGACATGTCCCGAATTTCCCCGCCGCCACCGCAGAGGACATCAAGACCTTATAGTTCTGTTCCTGATGCTAATATACGGAATTTCGCTCCAGTGGCACGTATCATGAAGACAGCTCTACCGGACAATGCGAAAATTGCGAAAGAAGCCAAGGAATGCATGCAAGAGTGTGTCAGCGAGTTCATATCATTCATTACTAGCGAAGGTATGCCAGAAAAGGAATTTGGGGCTGGAATCACCCTTTTTACTTTACTAATGTCCCTTAGCATCAGAAAAATGTCAACAAGAGAAAAGAAAGACAGTTAATGGCGAAGACATATTGTTCGCTATGACATCCACTGGATTTGAAAATTACGCCGAAGCCTTGAAAATCTATCTTTCCAAATATCGCGAGGTAAGCTTCCCACATGCCTCTCGCTGTGTTTCCTCCTTGTATCTCAATGCCTGAAATAAACCTTGAGACTGATCAATGATTGGGAAAAAAAGTCTCAATCGCAGCGGGGCGACAACCAAGGCAACCAGCAGAGACCAAGCAGTTCATATGGTGCCAGTCAACCGCCCTCAGCGAGCAGTGGTCAGAACACAACGGGTACTTTCCAAGGCCAGGAGGGCGGTGTGGATCAAATACTCAGTCCCCAAGGCCTCGATGCATCTCACCAAGAAGGTGGATTCTACCCTCCAGGCTCAACAAATGGAGGTGTTGGCGGCGAACACTACTAAATTAGGAATAGCGCCCTGTCTTCTACCTTTCAATCATTCAATCAGCCTAGGCTAACATCGCCAATCTGGTGATGCCTATGCTGCAGATGCACCATCGCACTACACTTCAGAGTCCACTAATGGGGATTTCGGTGTGATGAGGGGTCCTAAAATACAATCTAGGCAACCGCAAAGCAGGCTGTGAATTATATCAATGTACAATATAAGGATGCAAACGGATACAAAAGCGATTTGTTTGGGCGGCACCCTCCATTGACATCCAGGGCAAGGAGTTCAAACGGGAGATGCAATATAGAGAGGCTAGGTGCTCGGGCACGTAAGCATGAAGGAGAGCAGGATGTGTGCGAAAGGTTCTTTTGGACAAGATGCAAAAGTGTGTAGCATGGACTGGAAGAGCATGTAGGATACCCAATCTGTCTCAGCTAGAAATTCAACATCAAGTGATATGTTCACGCATTAACAAGCCATACCAACGAACCCCAACTATTGCCTGACTATTGTTGCAATGTTCAATTGAGTAATTGACCTGAAATCCTTGGGTTCATGGATTCACTGCCCCAACATCCAACAAACAGCTTTATCAACCTACCGGAAGTTTCCCCACCACACTCACGCCAGATAGTCCTGGAGCATTGCACAAATTCATATCACGATAGCAGAAGCTGGAAATGAATGAGTGTCTGCTCGTCCCTCGTCAATCAAGCGGAACATGGAGCGGCTCCGCAGTACAGCACGGCTATCCACGGCAATTGGGGAATAACTGAAATGAGATAAGGAATGACGCATGACGAGCAGCGGGCAAGAGAAAGCTTTCAAGGTGGAAGTAAATTTTCAATCTTTTTCTTCTATTTAACGAGCCTCTCCTCTCAAGCGGCGGGTGACAGCGTTCCTGTCCTCGCATTATCCTGCATAGCCTCTACGCATGACGCCACCCGTAGCAACAGACATTGATCGCCTTTCCACCCCTGCGTCGGACACACAGATAGCTACGATCCAATCGGATCGTCTCAGTGTCAATGGCGTTGCTGCACGAAGATCCAAGGCACCTGCCCTCGTTGCAGGTACAGCTGCCTTCACGAGCAGTGACATGTTCAAGAGTCGGGGTTATGGCAAGCCAAAGTCAAAGCGGTGGGACCATCGATTGACGGATGAGAGCAAGTCACGCAAACCGTCTTCACTGAAAGCTGCAGCACAACATTTGAAGATCCCTGGAATGATCTCGCTGGGAGGGGGTCTGCCATCAAGTCAATACTTTCCAATTGAGCACATTGAAGTCAAAGTCCCATCAGTGCCACATTTCTCTGAGGAGGAGACGAAAGCCTTCGGTATCATCAAAAGAGCCGGGAAGCATGACATTGCGGAGGAAAAAAGTATATATGACCTTCATGTTGCCCTCAACTACGGCCAGGCCACTGGTTCAGCACAATTACTGAGGTTCATTACCGAGCACACGGAGATTGTGCACAGTCCTCCCTATCAAGACTGGCAATGCTCGACGACCGTCGGCTCGACAAGTGCACTTGAATTAGCCTTTCGCATGTTTGTCAACCGTGGCGACTATCTCTTAACCGAATCCTATACATTCTCCTCCGCCGCTGAGACCGGCCGTCCCTTGGGCGCAAGGTGGGTAGGCGTTGGCATGGACACTGAAGGTCTGCTTCCTTCGAGTCTCGATTCCATTTTATCCCAATGGGATCCAGCAGTGCACGACAATAAACCCAAGCCAGGGCTTCTGTACACTGTGCCGTCGGGGCAAAATCCTACAGCAGCGACGCAATCTTTCAAGCGACGCAAAGAGATATACCGTGTGGCACAGAAGCATGATCTCTATATCTTAGAGGACGAACCCTACTACTTCCTCCAGATGCAGCCTTACACTGGACCCAATGCCCCTGACGTTCCCCCCCTGCATCCCATGAAGAGTTCCTTAAAAGCCTAGTCCCCTCGCTCCTCTCACTGGACATTGATGGACGCGTCATGCGAATCGATTCCTTTTCAAAGGTGATCGCGCCAGGAATGCGAACCGGCTGGATCACGGCGTCTGAGCAGGTTGTCGAACGTTTTGTTAGGCATAGCGAATGCAGCGTACAACAACCCGCGGGCCCATCTCAAATTATACTTTATAAGTTGTTGGAGGAGGCGTGGGGCCATGGTGGGTACCTTGACTGGCTCATCAATCTCCGACTCGAGTACACAAAACGTCGTGATACCATCCTGCATTCCTGCGAAAATCACTTACCTCGCCCGATAGCAAGTTGGGATGCTCCCATGGCAGGTATGTCTCGACACTTTGGATGTCTGCTAGCTTATTATATCTAACACGTCGTAGGTATGTTCCATTGGATTAAAGTCGATTGGACCAAGCACCCTGCCTATGGCTCCAAGCCGCTTCTAGAAATCGAAGATGATATTTTCAAGGCGACAGTAGAGAAAGGTGCTTTGCTAAGCAAGGGCAGCTGGTTTCGTGCCGAGCAAGGCCATCCTGGTCATGACATGTTTTTCCGGACCACCTTTGCTGCCGCTCCGGATGATCAGATCGATGAGGGTATTAGAAGGTTTGGTAGTGCCTTGCGAGAGGCTTTTGGCATATTGGAAAGTGCTACCAATGGAACGACGTCTTGAGAAGTGGAGATACCATTGAAAGATGAAGTTGACACGATATACGAAAGATTTGATCTGAGATACTGAGTACCTTAATATAGAGGAAGCTTACATTACAATGTGTGGGTGTGAACAAATAGACCGTGGTAAGCGCTGGTGTTGGGCAGGCAAATACATTAGAATAGTATACCCCAAATAGAGAATCAATAGACTGCATATTATACATTTCATGTCTTCTATTGATTTCGAGTCTTTTAATTGATGAAATTCACACAGAAAAAATGCAGTATCAAGCTCCCAACGACGAAATCCGCAAACGCTCTGTTTTCCAAATCTCATCAGCTTCATCCCCTGAAGGTTAAATGGGTCCCGGACTTACCGCTCATGACTCACGCTTCCAAAGAACTCCTTCTCATTTTCCGGATTCGTCTGGATCCTCAAACTGGCCGTGAGCACGAACTGACCCACGGTAGCCGAAAATCCTGATAGAAAAGCATTGAAAGGCTGGAATAGCAATCAGCCTTAGGATCCGAGATAGGTCATAGGTCAAAACAGCCTGCCAAGCGCAAAGAAAGGGAGACGAGGTAAACATACATAATTCCCAGCCACAATGCAATAAAGGAACTGTATCGCGCCCACAACAACGAGGAAGGCCATGAACACATCCAGCAATTTTGTCCGCTGAGAAGTCTTTTTAACATAATTGTCCCATAATGTTTGGAATACATGTTGGAGTGATTGATTGGAGTTGTGGCTTGATGATGATGAAGAATTTGATGAGCTGGAAGTGGATTTCGAGGGGGTAGAGGAGGGCGTGTTGGTTGACGAGGAGGGAGTTTTGGGGATTGGAGGGACGGAGGAGGCGGAGGAGGATATTTGAGAGCGTTTAGGCGCCATTGTGGGTGCTAGCTAGGGGATGCGATGGTAGGCGAGCTTGAAGGTGCAGAGAGTCTGGTTGGTAGATGTTAGATCGAGGAGAGTTGACTTTCGTCGACGTTGCGCTTTGGGAGTGCCAAGACTAGAGCTTTGGGCGGAAAGAGTCCGCTCGGTGAAACGTCATTTAGTGAGATGAACGTCCGAGTCAAAAGGTTGGGGTTGGCCCTAATTGATACAAGTCACCAACATGGCGAGCTTTTCCTTGTGTGAATCGTGGCTTCACAATGCTGACTTCACGGTAGCCTCCTGCAACATCAAATCCAACCGCCGAGAATGAAGCTTTTTTCCTTGCTCTCCTCACCGCAGGTGGAGGATTGACAGGCTTCATACGATCAGGCTCGATTCCATCCGTGGTTGCTGGTATGACCGTAGGGGCTCTGGTAAGTCAGAACGAGAGACTGATCTCTTTCCAGTCGTCAACCGCTGATTTCCAATGCCCAGTACGGATTCGGGGGTTCCGAATTCGTAATCGCCAACCATATGGGGTTGAAGCAGCACTACTGGCCAGCTTGGTATTGGCAGGAAGCAGTATTCCCCGAGCCATTCGCTCACAGAAACCTCTGCCTATTGGGTTGAGTATCATTGCGGCTTATGGCTTGTACCGATTCGGTTCAATTAGGTTCGGATAAAGCGGATGGCTGTTCAGATCTTTCCGTCAAGCACAAGTACAGGAAGATAGCAGATGGCATTGAAAAGCGACTATGAAGCTGAAAAATTTCGCATCATTTACTGACGTCTATGAATCTGATCGTACGCTTTTTGCTTCAGGTGGGTATCATATGCTTCTAACAACGCTGGAGGAATTTGAAAGTCTCATAATCCACGTTCGATACATCAAACACAAAACGTTAAGCATCTTCGGTATCAGAAATGCACTGAACGATCTCGTCTTCCTCCTCATTTAACAAATTACCGATATCCACACTATCCCGTAGGATTGCCCTTGCTCCGTCTTCATCCGTTTTCATATCGTCCATGACAAGCATCACTGCTAATTCAGGCGCCAGAACCGCTTGAACGTACCCAGATGGGCCGATCGCAGCGAGCAGACGATCATGACTCCCCAAGCGCCGCAGCTTTGATTGAAAGCGGTGGATGATGTCTTCGACAAATATCTTTGCTCCGCGAGATCCGTAATAGCCGGGCGACAAGCCCTCAAGCGCTCCTCCTTGCACGAGTGCTTGCTTCAGTGTCCTGTTCTTTCCGCTTTTAACGCTGTCTTCCAGCGCGTTGCGATAGAATGATGGTCTATCTCCCCGCAATAATTGCTCTATCTGAGGATGGTACGTGCTCATTCGGTCTTTCAAACGATCCCATTCGATTCGTGGATATCCACGCTCTTGCCATTCGGATCGTGCTGCATTGATCTTGTGGGCGGCGCAAAATCCTGCTTGTTCCTTTAGTGTCAGACGTCGAGCACCAGTATAGCCCTCAAAAAATATCCTGTCAACCAGCGTCTTACAAAGAGGGCATCGAGCTTTCGATGGCGAGTCAGGTGGAGAGCCTAAGCTTGATAATTGTGATGTTCCGGTGAGTGACGATGGATTGGGTTGCAACTTGGCGCTGCTTGAAACATCAATAGCATCATCTTGCATAATAGCGGCTTCACTGGATTCAAGAGGCCACCCTACAATCTGAATCTCGTTACAATCGATCTCTGTGCCATCACCCAATCTGGGAGTTGGATTTCCTTGGTCGTCCAGATGAAGTTTGGTCTTGGCGGTCTCTATCGCATCCTCCATATGGCTGTTTCGTGGCATTGCATTGATATCGGTGAGGCCAAAGGGTCGTGCTTTGCTGCGTGACGATCTTGTGTTCACTACCGAGCCACGAGCTTCGAAATGTGGCTTGCATTGGAGTGTCCGTTTATTGAAGGCTTTCTTTGAAGGTGCTGCATCTTGAGAAGTTGAGCGTTCCGAATCATTCCCTTGTAGGCTGGTTGGAACATGGAATTCTGGTTGGCTCTTGCATGCTGGTAATTTCACTGCACACGTTATTAGAATGTAGGAAAACCTCAAATGTGCGGAGATAGCTGACATTTGGAATGCCGTTTGAACTCGACTTTTGTATACTTTTCCTGTGATATGTTTCGTGGTGCTGCGTTCATCTGACTTTCACCGGTACCAGATTCTGTGTGAATATTTCTAGTTTGTTGACTCTGCGTGTTGCGATATATCTTTCTAGCCCGTTTCGAAGATTGACTGAATAACGCCATCATGTCATTTTCACCGTCCTCATTCTCCCTCTTTTTGCTGTTATTCTCACCCTCTTTTACATTATTTTGTGAGTCTATCACTGACTTCCTGACTCGGCGAAAGCGTTGGGACTTTGGCGAGCTTTCTGTTTTGATAGGTTGCTCTTGCTTTTTCTCACCGCTTTTAAACGTTGTATATTCGTCTTCTGAGCTCTCCGGAAGTGCATGCAATTCGTCATCATCTAGCTCCTTCTTCAAATTGAGTCGATGTTCATGTAGGCCGGTGTATGGTAGCTCTCTCGTAAGACCTATCTTCGGACGAAGTGGCTCTAGATTGAGTGCCATACTCTGGAATTTGCTCAGATATCATGGCGACATTGACTTAGCTGAGCTTTGTGTATCGAAGCAGTATTCTTTATTGAGATGCAATACTTCATTAGCTGCTCAGATATCCCGCAAGCAATCAACTATGCGGTCATGGCATTTAGGACGCTGGACGCGTCGAACGTGTGGAGCTTGGGCGGAGTCCCGCTTCTCCGCAGGGTATTCAAGTCGTTTTCATAGAGTACGACCTTAGATACCCCATTAACCTCTTGCGTCAGAAATAATAATGCATCCAGGAGTCTTGCAGTCTTTGAGATGCACTAAAACCCTCGGCCTATTCTAGGGGTAACCGGCCTTTTTACAACACCATTCGTACCCATCCTCTTCACAAATTTCGTGGTTGGCCCTCTCAAAGCCGGCGACACCTTGCCCGCTTCAGCCGCTGTGGCGGCGCGCTGTGCTTCACGCTGCTTGTCTTCTACCATCTTAGCTTCGATCTCCATTTTCCGGCTGAACTCGTGTTCGGTCACTCTCTTCTCGCGTGCTGAGAAACCTTTCTCCTTAATTGAGTAGAACACACCGCCAAGATCAGCCAACCACTACGTACAACCTATCAGTAAAGAGCGTTTTAGTACTTGAAGAATGAAGGATGACTAACCATCGGATCCACTGCCGTGACAGTAGACATGTATTCTTTACTAGTCAATATGAGTTCGTGATATACAACGTGATCGGGCAGGACCCCAAGGCCGTAGAGTGAACTTGTAGGATGAAGTTGGATGGTAACGCTAGTCCGCAGGTTAATGTACTCGCCGATTCCTTTGACTTTGGCTGCTTGGTGGTAGTAGCCCGAACAGATGCATTTGCGAATGACATCCCAGACTGTACCGCAGCTAGTCATCTCCATCTTCTGGATTTGCATGATATCGAAAAGCTGTTCTCTAATCTCCTTTGCTCGCCGCATCGCTTTAGGATGGAGAAAATGACGTACGCACCAGCCATCTGAGCACCCGTTAGCCCTCCATTGTGTATAGACGTGTAGTAATGTTAAGTGGTCGGATTCAGGTACGAAGAATTTCTCTCGTGCAGCGTCCGATTCTTCTTGCCTTTCTTTGGGCCGATAGTAGACACTGGGCACAGATAGCATGGACACAATAGTGAGCATCTCTTCGCTGCAACCATACTCTTCGGAAGTGATAATGAGCTTCGCTAGTGAAGGATCCATGGGGAAGGCGGTCATCTTTTTGCCCATATGAGTGAGGTCTCCAATGTTGTTCAGGGCGCCGAGAGCCCATAAATCGAAAAGAGAGGTTGTGATAGTGTCTTGCGGCGGAGGATCCATGAAGTCAAAGTCAAGTAGGTCTTTGACGCCAAGTGATTTCAGAAGGAGCACGGTATTCGCAAGGTTTGTACGTTGAATTTCAGGAATTGTTTGTATATAGAACTCATCTTTAAAGGCGCCTTCAGTGTACAAATGGTACGCCTTGCCTGGGCCAGTCCTGCCAGCGCGACCTTGTCGCTGCTGAGCATTTGCTTGTGAGATTGGGGTGATCTGTAGAGCGTCCATGCCCATCCGCGGGTTGTAGACCTTGAGCTTCGAGAATCCTGCATCAACAACATACATGATGCCATCAACTGTCAGACTTGTTTCTGCGATATTCGTGGCCACAACGACCTTGCGCACGCCAGGGGGCGCCCTATCGAAGATTTTGGCTTGCAAGTCCGCTGGCATCTGACTGTATATTGGCAAAATGCTCAGCTTTGGAGGATCATTGAGCAGTTTCAGCCGCTCCTCAACGAGCTCGCAAGTAATCTCAATGTCTTCTTGCCCAGTCATGAAGCAAAGAATGTCACCTGCTGGTTGCGAGACATGTATTGCGAGGATCTGTTTGACCGCACTGTCCACGTAGTCCTCGCATGGCGTTCGTGAAAATTGAATATCGACGGGGAAAGTTCGGCCTGGTATGAAGAACTCTGGTGCTCCTCCATAGAACCTTGAAAACCGATCAGAGTTCATTGTAGCTGAGGTCACGATGAGTTTCAAATCCGTTCGCCGGGCAAGAACCTTTTTGATCAATCCCATCAGCACGTCTGTATTCAGAGCTCTCTCGTGTGCTTCATCCATGATGATGCAAGAGTACCTGTCCAGATCTGGTTCATTAAGAGACTCCCGAAGAAGGACACCATCTGTCATGTATTTAATGACAGTCTCTCTGCTCGTACAGTCCTCGAAACGTATAGCGTATCCAACGAGACCTCCGAGTTTTACGTCCATTTCTTCGCTGACCCGTTTTGCCACACTCATTGCGGCCACACGTCTAGGTTGCGTGCAACCTATTAACCCATTCCTAGCATATCCGTCCTCATGAAGAAATTGAGTTAGTTGAGTGGTTTTCCCGGAACCCGTTTGCCCAACTACTATGGTCACCTGATTGTCACGCACAACGCGAAGTAGATCTTCTCGAACAGCAAAAGCTGGCAAAAATTCTCTTTGTTCTTGTAGCGTCTTACTCTTGCTGAAAACACTCTGTCCTTGACTCTTCTTCAAATGCTCAGAGAACTTGTTCCCACTTTTCGCATCCTCTTCGCCAGGAGCTGCGGCGGCACTATCACCCTCATCCCCCTTTACCCCCATAATGTTCCCCAAAGTACTTCCAGCCATATTAGTAGCTTCCTGTGCCTGCTTTTGCCTTTCCTTCTGTTGTCTCTTTTCTTTTACAACCTTGCTTCCCTTTCGACTAAACACCGCCATATCACTCTGTGGGTCTCTGATGGCAGGCACAGGGTCTAGTTGCTTTGTAAATATCTTCCGCCCATCCAGAAAAGGAGGTTTGATGTCATGGACTAGTAGATGCACTCTTGTAGCTTCTTCATCGTCTTCAAAGTCCTGTTCATGATCTCGTCGTTGCGCTACACCAGATGTGAGCATGCGGTTGACTTCCCATGCATCTACGTCTCGCTGCTTCTGAGCAGCTTTCGCGCTCACCCTTTTACCCAGCTTCCTTTGCTCTAGAGCTGCCTCTCGTTGGCGATCGAGCCAAGAGGCGTCCAAGCCAAATGGGTTGTGCGAGTCGTCACCCAGTGTAGTACCGAATTCATCCCCTCCATACCAGTCGCGGTCCAAGGCATTGGAGTCCTCGTCGTTTATGAAAGGCTCTGGACCGTCAAATTCCTCTTGGCGAGGCGTAGAAGCACTTCTGAAATCTCTGGGAGTAGAGGCGCGAGAAGCATGTCCATTTCCATCTGGCTGAAGGCGAGGGGTTTGACTCCTCTCGGATTTATTCTGAGTTGATTTTGGTGTCAACCGAGATATGTTGGCATTAGATGGTCTTGAAGGAACAGAAAACCGGTCCGAGTCGAGTTTCCGTCTCTTTGGACTGTATTCCCTTGACATGATTTGGACTTAGTGCGAGATGAACATGCAAGAAGGGCTGGCCGAAGATGGCCCGATTATTTAAGGTTTGCGCTTATCGATAAACATTTTAAGAAGAAACGCAAGGCTCTCTTGTGCACTTATAGCTATATCCCTTCTCCGTACAGCAGCGATCGCTTGCTCTGTGGCCTCCTCAGCTCAAGGATCGCCGAATTACTATCATGTCTATGATAACAGCTGTCACATGGGTGCCTCGAGGTGCAGCTGCGGCTTTCCCTACAAAATATGATGTTGACGAACAAGAATTGGCGAGAATTTCTAAGCTCGCAAAGTTGCAATTGGACGACGCCAAAGAGGATCTCGAAGATTCCAAGGCTCAAGGAGCTGTTGAGCAGGGTTCAAGCGTGAGCGGCGATTCGGAATCAGAGGATGCTGGAGTGAACATACCGCAATCGAAAATGTGAGTTGCTCTGTTCATATATACTACAATTTCGCCCTAATAGAGACTTACAGAGACGCAGACAGTGATCTAGCAGCATATGACTTGGACCACTATGATGATGATGATGAAGCGCCAGAGGTAGGTGGTAACTTGTCGATGCTTGGAAATGCACGATCACTAGCCTACTACGAGACAAATGAAGAGGACCCATATATCAAACTCACAGAAACTCAAGACGAGGATGATGAAGAACGAGAGGAGCTTCAAATACTTCCGACGGATAGTATGATCTTGGCCGCGAAAGTGGAAGATGAAGTACCGTATCTCGAGGTCTACGTATACGAAGACGAGGCAGACAATCTTTATGTTCATCACGACATTATGCTTCCAGCCATACCACTTTGCGTCGAGTGGCTAGACTTACCCGTGGGAAAAGGTATCACGAGTATGGACGACAACTCTCGAGGCAATTTTGCTGCCGTGGGGACGATGGATCCAGACATAGAATTGTGGGATCTTGACACAATCGATTCAATGTATCTTAATGCGATTCTGGGACAAGGTAATGATCATACCCGATCAGATCCCTCTCCAGAAGGAAAGAAGAAGAGGAAGCCCAAGAAGTCCAAGAAAGCTAACGACCAGTATCATGTCGATGCTGTTCTTGCGCTTGCTGCAAACAGGCAGCACCGGAATCTGCTGGCCTCTTCTTCGGCTGACAACACCATCAAATTGTGGGACCTGACATCGACTAAGTGCGCAAAATCTTACTCGTATCATACGGATAAGGTTTGCTCCATTGCATGGCATCCCCGAGAACCCACCGTTCTTCTTAGCGGAAGCTATGACCGAAGAGTAATAGCATCCGACCTGAGAGCAGCTGATGCAAATTCAGCAGCCTGGGGAGTCGAGAGCGACGTAGAGGCAGTTTTGTGGGATTCTCACGATCCTAATTATTTCTTTGTCACGACCGAGAAGGGCATTTTGCACATGAATGACATTCGAAATCGTCCAGCGAGGCCCGGAGAGAGTAAGTCTGTGTGGACTTTGCAGGCTCACGATGAGGCTGTCTCGAGCATCGATATCAACCCTGTCATTCCGGGCTTCGTGGCCACCGGATCGTCGGACAAGGAAGTGAAATTATGGAATGTACAGCCCACGGGTTGCAGTATGATTGTGTCTCGAAACGTCGGAGTGGGTAGAGTATTCTCTACCAAGTTCGGTCCCGACCCTGAAGTTGCATTTCGGCTGGGCGTTGCTGGTAGCAAAGGCAGCTTTCAGGTATGGGACACGTCGACCAACGGCGGTGTACGACGAGTTTTTGGGACTCGCGTGAGTCATTCAGCGAACACAGAGAAGATAGATCGGACGGTTGGAATGGCGGAAGACAGCAGTGATGATGAGGATCAAGGCGGGACAGAACCCGGAGGAGAAGACGGAATGGCAGGAAACGGGTGGGAGTCGGCTGACGATGACGAGCGTTGAGTCTTGAGCCTGGAGGAGACGATCTTTGCTCTTGTTGTTTCAAGTAGGTCGGAGTCTCGCCCTTCGGATCTTTTTATACCCTGAAACGACAGGATTCGGTTTCGGTTTCGGCAGCGAGTCTGCGCGTCGCACAATCTCAACACCAATTGTGACCGAGCATACGCCACTGCCAATGCAAAGCTCGCTGCAACAGTAACGACAGCGGCACCAGCATTACAACAATCCATTTTATCGCACATAGATGCGATATTGCACTGAAGATTGACCGGACTTCGGCCTCTAAGCGAGGAAGATCGTTTGGTCGTTCACAACAATAATAATAATGGCACCGGCCCCGGCATTTGTTCCCCATGCCCACGGCAGACCCAGCACCAGGGCAGCACCAGGGCAGCACCAGGCCAGGGCCGATTTTTGAAACCGTCAGCCTCCCCTGTTTGATTGGGGCAAAACGCTGGCTTGCTAGCAAATAGTCTGAAGCCAAATGACAAAATATTACTAGAGCATGTACATTACTGTAAGAATTGATGTATCCAGGGAAGCGTGCGAATCAGACCGGATGTGGCGCCCATTGAGCCGCGTTCCTGGGCCGGTAACTCCATAGATTTCCATCCGGTTTACATACCGAGCCACTTTACAGCTAAGGTCTCGGCTAAACTTGAAGGAGGCATAGCACCCAATTTCAGGGGCTCGACACCCCTCAACTTGGCCCTGCAGTGCAGACGCTCCACAGCAAGAGTTTCTAGCCCGTCGCTCACCGGTCGCTCCTTCACTTCCACACATTTCCCTCAGCGTTTTTGTCACCCTGAGCTGTACACTCCTTTTACGCGCCAGGGTTGCGACGTTCTCTACTTCTCACTCATTTCTTGCGATTCAACGGACTGTGTCCGCTGGCTATTTGTCACTCTTTTTCGCACGTCACCTCAAAACAACAACAACACCCTCCTTACATCCAAGGGTCTGGGGACCTTGCATCACCACCAACCACTTCACATCAGACGTCAACATCCCCAAAGATACTGACATCAAAGTAAACTCAATAATAGGCAGCATATCCAGAATGGAGCTGGCACGAGCTCTCACAAACCGCAGGAAGCAGGCCGCAGAGTTTTCCAGCGGAATGATGAACAGAGCGTCGAGCATGAGGTCCGGCCAAGGCACCATCAAACGGAGCGCCATCTCCTCGCCGTTGGAACTTGTCTCATCTACCAATGCTCTGGCGTACAATGCGCCAAATATCTACAGCTCATCCGACGAGTCTGACAACTCCATGTCCTTCTCCGGGTCGTCGCGTGCCACAACACCAGAGACCGAGTCTCCGAGCGCTCTTGAGCCCAACCATCTATCCATTTATTTCGCCTCAGGTCGCACTGCGTCCACTCGTCGCTCAAAGGACTCCATCGACAACCCAGGCCCTCAGATCCCCAAACGCGTTCCATCTCATACTAAGAGATCTCACCAAGCAGTCGCCGCTCGGAATCGTGCAGAGTCAGTATCGAGACAGCAGCCCCCAAATGCCATTCACGATATGTCACCTGCTACTTCACTCCGGAATGTCGACTCAATTACGAGCAAGCCAGAGGCGAATCATCCGTTCGGAGCCGAGTTAGCGCAAGTCACCGAGGTTGCTGAGGGCTTCGGTGCGACCGATGCTATCATTATGGACGAAGAAGAGCAGTACCTGATGTCGCATGGGCTTTGCAAATTCGGTGCCGACGACTATATCATGGAGGTGCAGGGCCTGTTCGGCGGAATCCACAACAATCCATTTAGCCCATTCTCGGCAGTTTGGCTTTGAGTAAAGATACCCCTGTTCACCAGGCTGGGGCAGGCTTCTGAGGTGGACTGCTGTGGTTCTTTTCACTTCTTGATTACATATTCATGAGCACTTTCCCCGTGCAGTGCGGGCTCTATCTACGAGGGGCTACGAAGACATGGAATTGGACGTCGATTGCGGAGATACCTGAAGATTTTGTGGCTCTTGCAAGTGGAGTTAGTCAGCTTTTGAACTCTTTCCCAACTATTTACGGTCTTTACATACTCTGTGTTTTCACATGCAATTTGATATTGAGTGAGAAACGGCGAGGAGTCTTGTGGGCATGGGATATCAGAATCGAGCAGCACGTTGTAGATAACGACATGCAACAAATTGAATCTAAACTTGCTTAATCTACGTACTGGTACGACTTGGTGCTTCACTGACGTGCGGCAAAGCTTCTTGTGACTTTCTTGCGAGCCTAGATCCCTTGCGAGCATAATCTTAATCGAAATGTTCAATCCCCCTCTCGAGCAAACATACACGACAGTGACTAGTGGTTTTGCGGGCAAGAGTGCGGAGTACCTTCGTCGTTGATTCCAAGACATCTTTCTTCCGCGCAAATCGTAAACAGAGTACATGCCACGCACATCGGTAGTCTACATGGGCATATATTTGCTCGACGATGACCAGTAGCGAGCCATCCTCGAAAGAGGATGAATCTCCTGCACCAAAGAGCCCCGCCAATGACACCGAGATCGGGCAAAAGTCCAACGACGAGCCAGAAACCCAACCAAACACTAGAGAGACCAACCAGCCACAGGAATCAAATCAAGAAGCGAAGACAGATGAATTTGGGCTGCCCGTGAAGAAGATAGGAAGGCGGTCCACAAGTGGTACTGAGCATACAACCGCGTCGGAAGATTCGGAATCGAAGGCACATGCGGGGACCGCCCCCCCACAAGAACCCATTCACAGGAGAGAGAAGAGCGGAGTAGATATTTATCAGGGATCCAATCATACCGATGAAGGCAAGACCTCGAGGCTACCTGCAACCGACGAGCCTTCGTCGCAGGTTATTGAGGTGCCTATAAAGGCATCTACAGAGCAGCCAGCGCAGGAACCGGAGTTGCTCAAGGGCAATGAGACTTCTGGATTACGTGATACTTCAATCGAAGAACCGCACAAGGTCTCGAGTACTGATGCATCTCGCCGGTCTACAACAGACAAGATTCTACACGGTCAGACTGGCTCGATATCAGGATGGTCACATCAAGCCTTAGCATCACAAAAGCCGGTAGAGGAAGAGAAAAAAGACAACGAAACATGGCAATCGATGCCCGCCTACGCCCAGTATGATCTCTATGACGATGATGGGCACCTACTTGCTAAGGAAGCCCCCGACTCAGACGAGGAAGCCAATGCCTATCATGGTACAGGCGGCGCAGGCAAAGGCTACACTCGTGTCCAAAATGATGAGGATGCACAGAGCGCTACAAGCATGGATGATAATACCGACTATCTGTTTAAGCAAGTCAAGGGAACTGACTTGTCCGCCGAGGACGACGAAGCAAGAGATCCATTAGCTCAACTGCAAGCGACTAAGGACCTGTTGACTGAGGGGCAGAGAATCGCTTATGTAGGTGTGACCAGGTTAGCCTTTGCAGAGATGGTCAAGGAACTTGAGGAAATGGACTCTACGAGGAAGACTAAGAAAGAGGTTCGCCTTGCCTTCGAGAGCATGAAAATGTGGAGTCAGAAAATGATGGTCAGGCTATATGCACATATGGACATTGACCAATCTGGTGAGTAGTCATCTCCGAGAGTCAGTAAATGAACGACACTGACGTTAGGGACAGAACAGGTCATGATCGAGCAATTGACCGAGCACGGAGTCCTTGCGGCAGATCTAACCCCTTTACTGATGCAAAATGCCAGAGTGAAGAACCCGATGGCCGACGAAGGCGAATCCACAGAGGATACTAAGAAGGAATCCAAGACTGGGCTCGAGGATGAATCCGAGGGCAAGGCCAAAGATACACCCGAAGCTGAGCCACAAGAGCAGTCTCAAAGCTCAGCCAACGGCAGTTCGAAAACGGACAGTATAGCACCAGCATCGTCGAAAGCTTCTCCTGAAATTACTGAAAAGCAGAAGATCCCTCTCAAGAGTCTCGGCCAGGGCAATGAGAGACACCCGTCAATAGATTCTTCACAGCTTCACAGTCATAGTGATCCTCCAAAGGATGAACCCTTACCACCATACAAAGAGCACGACCATGACGAACCATTCGAAGATGTTCGGGGTCCATCGCAACTTGGAAATAGTAAGAACATCGATATCGATCTTCGTTGGACTGTTTTATGTGACCTGTTCCTTGTGCTGCTCGCTGACTCGATCTACGATGCTCGATCAAGGACGCTGCTCGAACGAGTTGGCAAGTCTTTAGAAGTTTCTGGGCTTGACATTTGTCGATTCGAGAAAAGAGTTACAGAAGCACTTGAAATGCAAGAAGAAGCGGAGAAAGAGACCTGGGACGAGGCCGAGCATATCGAGGCTCGAAGGAAGTTGGCGCTAAAGCGAAGATACATGATGATGGGCATTGCTACTGTCGGAGGCAGTCTCGTGATCGGGCTGTCAGCTGGATTGCTTGCTCCGGTCATCGGTGCTGGTATGGCTGCAGGCTTTACTACCATTGGAGTTGCTGGAACGAGTGGTTTCCTGGCTGGCGCTGGAGGTACAGCTCTCATCACTTCTGCAGCGGTTGCTACTGGAGGCACAATTGCTGTGCGAGCCTCGGACCGACGGACAGGCGCCGTCAGTACGTTTGAATACCGACCGCTACACAACAACAAGCGGGTGAATCTGATAATCTCAGTATCAGGCTGGATGAATGGTAAGGTTGATGACGTTCGATTACCTTTCAGCACCGTCAACCCTGTAATGGGTGACATGTATTCAATACTGTGGGAGCCAGAGATGATGCAGAGTATGGGTCAAACAATCAACGTTCTTGCCTCTGAGGTAGGTCGAGCGCATTTACCGATTTGGGAGTTCTACTAATCCTCGCAGGCCCTTTCACAGACCGTTCAGCAAGTACTGGGTAGCACTATTCTCATTGCTCTGATGTCCGCTCTTCAATTGCCGATTGTCCTTACCAAGCTCTCATATTTTATCGACAACCCGTGGACGGTGTCAATGGCCCGCGCAAATGCAGCAGGCTTAATCCTTGCAGACTCCTTGATTGACCGCCATTTAGGAATGCGACCTGTCACTCTGGTAGGCTTTTCATTGGGTGCACGCGTGATCTTCTCGGCCATACGAGAACTTGCTAGGCGCGGAGCTTTCGGTATTGTCCACAATTGCTTTCTTTTTGGGTCCCCAATCGTTGCCAACCGGGATGAGTACATCCGCGTGAGGTCTATGATCTCGGGAAGATTCGTCAATGGCTATGCCTCGAACGATTGGATTCTTGGTAAGTTCAGAACTTTCAATCGATTGAATGCAGCCTACTTATACATGAAAACTAGGATATCTTTTCCGCGCCACAGCTGGAGGAGTGTGGAAAGTCGCAGGTTTAGCACCAGTAGCCAACATCCCTGGCCTCGAAAATATCAATTGTACCGAGCTAGTCAATGGACACATGGCCTACCGTGCCGCCATGCCCAAGCTTCTTCGGGAGAAGCTGAAATGGGACGTCGACAGCGACGAATTCACCGAAATCGAAGACCCTGACCCCGAAAATCACGACAAGCGCCAAAGAGAATTAATTCGTGAGCTCGAAGATGCTCGCACAGATGTGGCGCAAAAACCAGAGAAGAAACGCTTCGGCCTCTTCAAGCGCGGTAAACTAGCTAGAAAGAAGGGCTGGGAGACCTACGACGCATCCATGAAAGACGGTGGTGAGGATGACTTCAGTACTGCAGCCGCAGAAGGAGTAGGGGCGAACGTTCTATTTGACATTGAGGCAATCAAGCGGGAGCTAGAGAGTGAGCAAATTGATGTTCGAGAGATTGAGTCAACAATGCCGCCCATGAAGCTCAACGTCAATGGGTCATCTAAAAATGTGGATCACGATTCTCGCCCGAATGCGCACGAAACCCGCAGCTATGATGAGACAATGGTGTATGAGACTAGGCAGTCGAAGGCGGCATCATCAGCATCATCCTTACCAAATGGCAGAGATCAGAAGTTTAATCCCTTCAACAAGGGCTATGACGAGTACAATCTCTCTGGAGAAACCGTCAATGCTACTCAAAAAGCGGAGGAGCCAAAACTTTCCTTCGAGTCTCAACGACGTACGCCCTCACCTTTACCCTCGCCGCGATATAGAGGGCCAGATCAACAGGCCCCATCGCCGTTGAAGGACGCCCAGTCTAGCACACCACCTCCTAGACCCTCAATTCAGACAACGTTATCGAGTCCAGCGAGTGTAGGCATTGGAGGTGGACCTGTAAGCTTTGAGCATAATGCATGGCTCGATGAAGAGGACGATGACTTTGGAAAAGAACAGGAAGTCAAAATGACGTTTTGATTTTCCTTGTATGTATTACTTAGAGGGCTATCAGGATTTGGGAACACATATCTGATTGTAAGCAAAGCGCGGTGTTCAGGTGGCAAGAGGTTTCTCGCATTTGGTACACGGGAAGCGCCTAGGATCTAGAGAGGTGGTTTGATCGGCATATATTCTCAGCAGATGTCTTGTCCTGCTCTATGTGGTCACCGTTAGTTTTTTGGCTGTATATATTTTTCTAAATTCATTGAACAACGTGGAGCAGAACCTCAGTTCAATCGAAAAATTCATGAACTCGATCTGTGAGGGTAACTGATCTTGAACAATTCTCAATGCAAAGTGTGAAGGTGAAGCGCCGAAGGCTCATTTGTAATTGATATATACAACTTATATTGAAGCGGCCAAAGGAAGTAGTGGCTATTCCACGTTCATAAACAATTATCTGTCTACTTCACCGAATACCTATACGACGTGTCAGCATATCGCTAGCCGGCTCCCGATTCCAAAAAGAATAGAAAAAGAACTTACCAAGTCCATTGTCCCGATAATCGCAACAGCATCCGCAAGCAGATGCCCTCTTGATACTTGGTCAAAGCTGCCCAAATGTGCGAATCCAGGTGCTCGGATCTTGCACCTGTACGGCCGCTCACTACCATCGCTAACGACATAGACACCCATCTCCCCCTTCGGCGCCTCGATAGCCGAGTATGTCTCGCCTGGTGGGACTGTGTAACCTTTAGTGAAGAGTAAAAAGTGATGGATCAGCGCCTCCATGTTCTCCTTCATCGCCGCTCGAGGCGGTGGTGAAATTTTATAATCTTCAACCCTAACCGGTCCCGGTGGCATTTTGTTTAAACACTGATGAATGATTCTCAAACTCTGCCTGAATTCCTCCATCCGGCACAAATACCTGTCATAGCAATCTCCATTTACCCCAACGGGAACATCAAAGTCGACTTGGTCATAGGCATCGTAAGGCTGGCTTTTTCTCACATCCCATGGCACGCCTGATCCACGAAGCATCACCCCAGAAAATGAATAATTCAGCGCATCGGCAGCAGACACAACTCCAACATCCTTAGTCCTCCCGATCCATATCCTGTTATCTGTGAGCAGCTCCTCCGTCTCATCGATTCTGTCCCCAAACTGCGTCGCCCACTGATAAATGTCGTCCAATAATCCCAGTGGCAGATCCGAATGCACACCACCAGGCCTCACATACGCAGCATGCAATCTAGCCCCGCTCACCCGCTCATAAAACTCCATCAATTTCTCCCTTTCCTCAAACCCCCACAGAAATGGCGTCAGAGCCCCCACATCCATAGCATGGCTCAGCACACTCATCAAATGGTTCAAAACTCGAGTAATTTCCCCAAAGAGCGTCCGTATCCATTTCGCCCGTTCTGGAATCTCGATGTTCAGAAGCTTCTCGACCGCCAGACTGAAGCATTGCTCGTTCGTCATCATACTCACGTAGTCCAATCTGTCGAAATATGGCAGTGCTTGAAGGTATGTCTTGTATTCAATCAATTTCTCCGTCCCTCGATGTAAGAGTCCCACGTGCGGGTCTGCCCTTACGATCTCCTCCCCGTTCAGTTCGAGAATCAGCCGTAATACGCCATGTGCGGCGGGATGTTGCGGCCCAAAATTGACAGTGTAGTGACGAATCTTGCGGTCCTCGACCGTCTCGGCGTCATCGGGGGCAATGTTCATGTGTTGTGGATTCTCTGGGTCGACTGGATTGCTGAAAGACGGATCAGTGGGGATGAGGCGCGTGCCTGTTTGTTCAGGCGCAGGAGTGGCATAATGCCGTGGGTGATTGGATAGTGTGCGAATTGTTGTAGTTGGGAGAGGACGTTGGAGAGCGGCGGGGCGGAGGCGGAGACAGCGCGTGCATTGTGTTGATATGCGAGAGAGGTGTGGCGCCATTGTGGCGATTGTCGTACGCTCTGACTCCGCTGCGGGATGTAGGAATGATTTGTAGGTTCTTGGGCAATTTGAGTTGCCATCGATCGAATGATGTCGTAGATATTAGCGATGAGAGCTCGTAGGGCTGAAAAAGCGGGAATACTTTTTACCGAAAAAAATCTCAGGGGCAAGGAGACTTAAGATGGACTCTCCGGACATTCGTGTCAATGGTTTCCAAATTCTAAACATTCACCGCGAAAAATGCCATCAATCCGAGATGATCAGTGACAAATTGCCCTTCTTCAAAACCTGGGGCCCCGATTTTGAGACCTTCACCAATCTTCTCCAGGCTTTTTGGAGTAAGCTCACCGCAATAAAAGACCTTGTCCATTCTTGTGCTTTCAAACCTGTTGTGAGGGGTTTGCATTCCCCAAGTCCAGCCGACACTCGTGCTCTCATCGCCCCCTAATGAAAGATATATATCGTGCATATTATTTTCATTATGCAGCGACGGATCAAACTGTTCAATTGCGTTGAAATACCTGCTAGGATCCCTGCATGCTCTTCCTGCAATATCTTACATGCCAGGTTGACCTGAGCGGGTCGGAATGGAGGGTCAGCCACTAAGTTTTCAAGATGCGTATTGCAGATCCGCAAACGCATGTGGTCTGATGATGGGACTCTGATATCAACGAACAGGCCATCGCGACCCATTCGAGTATGGTAGGAAACTCTAAATACTGATTCAAATGCTAAATGTTGATCGATCAGCGTCACTGTTCCGTATGAAGAGTGCCAATGTTGCCCAGAGACGTCAGTGATGAAGAAAAAAGATTGAACCCATTCGGTGTTCTTGATGATTTCAAGATCCGATTCTGTCATTTCCTGAAAACTTATGACCCATGGATAGCTCGACCTTGCCATATGTGAAAGAAGGCGCCGAAGCGCTTCGCACATCCGCTGCGGACCATTTGGAGCTTGAAAGTCGATATTCCAGGTGATTAGGTTAAAGAAGAAAGGTTGTCAGGGGTTGCACGCTGAGCCGGTTGCAAAACAGATTCTGTCCAGTCACCGTCATGAAAAGTATAGAGCGGCTGCTGCCTGGACGAAGCAATATCCAACGCTGATTCAGTGGAAGCCATGACTCTAGACCGGGTGGGTTTGCTTATTGTGACTTGACGTGGTTTCGGTGTTCGTATACCCACAACCCTGAGAAATAGGCTCTTGAACTTCATGCACGGCTACTTCTGAGATGAAAGAGGGCAGCGTAGGATACAGGCACACATATATAGACCTACTTGCGATTGTTCTTGAGAGAAACGGTCATTTTACCTCGGCGATATCCATCCCAGTATTCAGAACATGGTGAGCACACCTTACTTACTGAATAAACAGATGACCGTTGCCATCAAATGATCGGCGAGTCCCAGAGTTGTCCGAGGAAGGATAGGCTCTGATGAGGTGTTCCCCTTGCCAGATCTATCAAGTCTCTCAACAAGGCCGCTCAAATTGCTTCACAACTTTAAGCTTCTGAGGATATGAAAAATCGGATCCTTAGGAAGTGACTCTTGAGCAGGTAGGTCGACCGAAGATGAAGGCTGAGCCGAAGATGAAGGCTGGGGCTTAAGGTAGGCTCTCCGGCCTTGGCACTCCTGCAGAAAGCGGCCCCCTCGGGTGTACCTCAGCCATGCCAAACGACATACCATCAAGCAGATCCAGACACAAGTCTGCGATAGGCCTTGCATGAATCCGACAAAGCTCCTTTTGTGCGGTTTCCGCTTTGACCTTTTCGATGATCAAGAGTAGGAAAGCGAAGAGCAAACGTGGCAGTTCTTTTTCTCAGAAAGATTTTTTAGGCGAAAGTCAGGTTCTTGAGAATGCCTCTGATTTCGTCGCATATCGGTAATGCAAGCCAGCAGGTCTCATTGGGACTAGACCATATGTCGCTGGCTATTTCTGGCAATTGCTTGTTGTCGAACGTTTATTTCTCCATCACTGCAAGGTGGTGATGATGGGTAATAAGCCTTCACACAAATATACGACACGTCGTTTTGTTGACAGACTAGTCAAAATGGTAAACTTAGAGGCCTCTAGCCCTTTTAATGACCACTCTACGTGCTTTGGGTGCCAATTATGGGGGCATCTAAGGCTTGAATAATGCCTAGTTGCGACATATGGTTATACGGCCTTTGGCAAAAAGTCCTATGTGAAATCATTCGCAACTCACGCATTCTGGTAAAATCAGCGTTTAATCCAAAATGACTCCAGATAGATGTCAGAAAATACTGCCAAATTCGCGCCTCATGGATCTGCCGAACTCGATGGAACAATGGGGGTACGCGCTCCGACGTGCCCAGAATTTTTTCCTTCGAGGACAATGGAAACAATGTGCTTCTTACTGCACGAAAATCTTGAATACTTGTCAATCAGAAGTAGAACTCTCCTCGCCTGCGCTGTCGTTGCGTTAATTGCTAACTGACTCAAGCCTACTGCGTTACATGCTACTTATCTCAGCTTCTATGCCGCGATGTCAACCGAAGCATTGGGAAGAGCAATGCATCCGTTATCGCCCGCCAGATTGGATGTCCTGAGGACAACTAGGTCACTTTACGATCGAGCGTCCTACACTCTTCCTAGCCTTGGAGTCATATCCTCTGATTCAATGACGCCGAGTGAAAGCGGTGCAAGCGATATGGATTTCTACGACGGAACCGACGAAACTGACTTGAGCTCTATGGAGCATCATGATCCTCCAGACTCTTCGCGATCATGTTGTTCTGCCTCATCGCTTGGATCTGATTTCAACTATATTGACAAGACAAAATTTCCAAAGCCGCCATCCCTTGTCGACACAATCCAAAAAGGGGCTTCTAATGTTTTTGTGACTTCTGAGCAAGCCATTGTGTCTTCAAAACGGTGGCAGTTTGAAGAGAACCAAGGTGACGAAATGTTCGGGATAGACAGGCAGCATCCACGGCGTCAAGACTCTTTAGCTCACGCAAACTCATGGCTCCAACGTCGCAATATTTATCTTTACAACGAGGACCTTGCGGACTTCAGGAATTTGCTACAGAAGCATCTAACATCAATTGACTCGTTGATTGTTTCGACGAGCGAAATGCAAGCTGCAAGATACGTTCCCAAAAGAATCTATCGCTATGGTGATGATGAAGAAGCGAGAGCGATCGACCTACAAGAGCGCGTTCGGAGGCTGAAAGCAGGCGGTTGGAGCAGAGAACGATTCGACCCGTCCAGATACGAACAGCTTTGCGAGGACGCGCTGGTCGAGCTTTAAATGAATGGGAAGTTCTTCAAGGGAGGAAAGGTATTACAAGACACGAATGAGGTCGTCACCGCACTAATGTCTGATGATATTTTGATAGTGTGCTTTTCGGTTTGGTGTTTGATGATACCCTGTGGGCCAAGGTCGGCTCTCATTGATGTTTGATTATCATGACAATTCTTGTGGTTGAAAATAAAGCATAGGCGAATTGTTGCTCGCAACACCTTCTGAATGTTTCTTCTTGTCGCTATGTCAAATATCAAGCATTGAGAATCTCTCTAGTCAAGAAAGCCTATATCTATCTCTTCCACGCAATCAATGCAAAAGAGTGAACTAGTGATGCGCCATCCCAACACCTCGCTGTCAAAATCAAATCCCATATACGAAGACATCCTATTCATATCACGCACTTCACAGCCACCTCGTATTAATGATGAAAGTAAGCACCTTAAGATATTCATCGACAGCAATCCTCATACTGTATCATCCTCATACACAAACCGGACATCTTTTGGCCTCAGCACGTTCTGTCGCACGAATTCCTCATTCCCTGGTGGTCTTTCATTCTTGTTGTTCCCGGTCAGCATACTCTGTATGCTCATACACACGCTCTCCACATTCTGCACGGGGCTCCACCCTTGGCTTCCTAGCAGATCTAGACAAATGATGCCATTACTGTAGATGTGCGGGTGTATTGGGATGGGGCGGGGTGGTTGTGTCAGGTGTGAAAAAGTGACTTCGGGGGCCTCTATTGGATAGCTCTTGGAGAAGCGGAATCGCAGGCGGTAGATTTGGTTTTGGTAGAGGGGGTTGGAGTCAAGGACACGGATATCCATGTTCCATTCTTGGAAGTTGTCTGCGTTGACGAGGTTTATGCCAGGGGGCAATGATTGTTGTATCTGTAAGGCGTTCGTTAGAGACGGGACGAAGCTAGTGAACCATGACAGGGACCTGGCTGTCTGTCATACCTTAACTAACTCCTATTCAAAGGTCAGCATGGCTATCCACTTCCATGCCGTCACACGTGGACAGGCGCACTCACTTTTTGTAGTCGCTTCTGTCCAAACGAAGCCATGTTGAGCGTGGACTTTGGTGCAAATGAGCAGATATGCGAAGCACAATTGGACTGATGGGATAATACCAAAACTGATAATCTTTAGAATGACAGAAGGCCAGGCAATATGACTTTACTCGGGTTGTTGAAGTTGCCTGGAACTCAACACCACCCCACGACCACCAAATGGCCCCTCGCCCCGCTTGACACCCGCTTAGGGCTGCATCGTGGGACCCTGCGGCTGTTTTGGCGCCTGGCGCGGTCCCTTATGACGAAGCTTTTAGAGCTCCCAGCACTGACTCTAATCCCTCCTCACCACTCAAGCTTGTCCACGCGCGACCGAGTGACATGTCTGATCTTTTTAATGGTGTGGTTGCATCAAGAACAAGATGGTAAGTCTTCAAAAGCTCGAAGCTCTAAAAGTACGCTTGCTGACGTTTCTTCAGGAAGCACTTAGACAACATCCTCCATAAAGCAGGGCCGTTCTCTGATGAAGATTGGATCCCTGGCGAAGAAGTCATACGGACGTTGGAATCATCGAAAGTACTGTCAGTGAGCCAAACAAGGCGAAAGCAAGAGCGTGCAAGCTAAGAATCTATAGAGTAATGTATGTACAGCAAGTTTCGCCTGCTCTTGTATCTGATCCTGGCAATAGTGGAGCAGGGGGGTTAGGATGCGAAATTCTGAAGAACCTAGCCTTATCAGGCTTCAAGAACATTCATGTCATCGATATGGGTACTACGCGTGGGAGGGAGTAGATGTCACGAGCACTAATTTGGCCAGACACTATTGATGTCTCGAATCTCAACCGGCAATTTCTCTTCAGGGAGGCAGATGTTGGGAAGCCAAAGGCCGAAATAGCTGCAGCTTTCGTCGAGAAGCGAGTCAAAGGCGCCGTAATCACACCGTACAACGGCAAGATCCAAGACAAAGACGAGGAATACTACAAGCAATTCAATGTCATAGTATGCGGATTGGATAGCATAGAAGCGCGTCGCTGGATCAACGCCACCTTAGTCGACATGGTGGATGAAAATGACATGGAGAGCCTCAAGCCGTTGGTCGATGGTGGGACAGAAGGTAAGACCAATTCAGGAGATGTTCAGGGGATTTGCAAGCTGAAAACCCGTGCTTTGGTCAGGTTTTAAAGGTCAAACCAAAGTCATTTTGCCGACTATAAGTTCGTGCATTGAATGTCAACTCGACATGCATGCGCCGCGTGCAGCGGTACCTCTCTGCACGTTAGCGACCATCCCACGACAGCCAGCACATTGCATTGAGTGGGCCCATATAATAGCGTGGGAAGAGGAACGCAAAGACGACGTTCTCGACAATGATGATCCAGAACACATCACCTGGTTGTACGAAAAAGCCCTAGGACGCGCTAAAGAGTTCAATATACCCGGTGTAACTTATTCAATGACCCAAGGCGTCGTGAAGAACATTATTCCAGCTATCGCCTCCACTAATGCCATAATAGCCGCCAGCTGTTGCAACGAGGCTTTCAAGATCGTCACCACCAGCAATCCATTCCTAACTAATTACATGATGTACACCGGCGATGAGGGTATCTACACCTACACCTTCGAGCATGAAAGGAAAGAGGACTGTGCCGTCTGTGGTAACCTCGCCAAGAGCATCGCAGTCAATGCAGACGTCACGCTGCAAGAATTCTTGGACAGCTTAGGAGAGCGACCTGAAGCGCAGCTCAAGAAGCCATCCATTCGAAGCGGCACTGGTACCCTTTACATGCGTTTTCCACAAAGCCTGGAGGAGCAGACGAGACCAAATCTCGAGAAGAAGCTCAAGGATTTGGTGAGTGACGGAGAAGAGGTCGGTGTTTCGGATCCTGCCTTCCAAATATCATTCAAATTTAAGCTCACATTTGAGCCATGAATATCCGGCAACTTTGAGAACAAAAACCCAGCAGATACCCGGCAGGCATAGCATAGCATTTCAATACTGTCACTTCTCATGTACAAGCCTGCGAAGACCTTGCGACATTATTCTTCGAAGACATGCAAATCAAGGGTAATGTCCGCCCTTAACGCCTCGCTAATTTGTGTTGCAGAGGTGATGCATCAATGACGGACGTCTTTGGTCATCGCATGATATCAGCCAATTGTCCCTTGAGCGCTCTACATTTGCCTCTTAAAATCCGTACGCTCTCAATGAATAAGTCGTCGCTGGCTATTTGCCCTGTGCTTTCGACCGAGAATATGAAATGATCCCTCACTCTACCCAATTTGACTTTCTTTTGGAACTCCTCATGTCTTAGACATTCTCTAGAAACTGTGTCTCTCATTGAATCTTTGACGACTGCTTTCTTTTCGCCTGCGTTTCCCTCATATCCACTTCCCTTCTGCTGGCTCTCCTCTTTGGTGACTTGCTCAAAACCAATAACTCCCTTTGGAAAGCACCTTGCAAATTTCTTAGCATCAGTACCCAAGATAGGCTTCACGATGTCTATGGTGGGCATCAATCGGTATGCTGCGGTCGCCACGGGGGAGAACTTTGCATGGTCGGCCCCGATTCCCTTTACAGCGTGGCATACCATCTGGATCTCATCTCCCGGCCTGATTTTCGCAAGCAATATCCTCGGATTCGTAGTTCTAACCCCGCCACCCTCTTTCTCAGTGACCATCTCTTCCTGCCTCCCCTGTGGCTCCCATACCAGATCGCTTGCATAGACATTACTGTGCTCGTACAATTCCTCTGGTGTCCCTTCTGCTCCCTTCTTTTTCCCGTCCTTCCATTCGCACTTAACATGTAGTTTCAGCACAATGGTATCGTTATCCTTGGGTTCCCTGTCATCTTCAGGTTTCCCACTGTCCTCACCCAACATACCCTGGGGAGGCCGAGGGATGTAGTTCAGCCATCTCAGCCCGTCCCGCGAAGCTGTCAACGGTATCTGCCCTAATCGTGCTGCGAGTACCTCATCAGATATGACGGAATCATTGGCTTCAATGTACACATATTCGATTGCAAGCGTGGGGATTTCAGCAATGAGGATGCGGCGGAAGGCATTTGCTATGGAGGCGTCAATACCGATGAGAGAGAATGAGGCATTATCTGTTTCGTTCTGGTGAAAACGGACGCGAAAGCTGTTCTTAAATTTGGAGAGAGACCAGGTATGGTCTTCGCCAGGATAGTGGCCTGGGAAGTAGCTAGAGGTTGTGTTGGTGACCGTTTCGGAGTTGATATTGACAATCTAATAATCAGGTTAGCATGAGTGTTGTCTGAGAATCGGGGATCGATCAACCTTTCTTCGTCGCTCCTCTTCTGACAATATAGAAATTGGCGCCATCTTTCGACAGTGGGGAAAGCGCACAGTCAAGGGAGCCTTCAATGCGCGAATCTTGAGAGGGAAATTTTACGCGAATTTGTCACGTGCGCCGTTTTAGCGCCTTTTCGGCTCGCTCAAATTTTGTGTCACCGCCTCTTTGAGAGAATCAGACGCACACAACACTTTGTAGGGCTCAACCGGCGAAATCTGGGGAACCTGGCCTGCAGTCGACGCGCATTGTGACTGCCAAATAATCAATGCCAAGTTCTTCAATTCAAAGAGTACCGCCGAGCTCCCAAGATCTTCCTCGGCGGTCCAGTCTGGTTCGACGCCGGGATGATGATGACGACACTATTCCTTCAAGCCCCAGCAAACGGCCTAGAGTCACTTGGGACTCTGATGTAGAGGTCAGAACAGTGGGCGAAAATGAGAAGGCTCCGGAACTCATCCTGGAAGAAGTACGAATCGCGTTTCGCGACAAGGCTTCCGGAGACTGGTCTAGGTACGAGAGACTCAAGGCTGTGTACAATGATACACAGGATAACGACACACAACCGACACCTACAACTTTAAGAAACTATACAATTGCGCTTTTGGCGAATGTCTCATCACTGAACAAAACCACTACCGATCTAGTACGAAAGGTCATTAGCAGTGAATGGCTTGGACGGGAGAGCGAATATGTGGTACTCTTCATGAGACTACTCGGCAGCCTCAACACTGCTCAGCCTATCTTTCTGGAAAGTTCACTCAATATGCTTGTGGAAAACCTGACAGCACAACCGGCCTGTAACAGGGAGTTGATGAATGAGCCCACAGTATCGAAAGTGACGATCTACGGCAGAGTACATAAGACACTAGGATACCTCATGCAGCTTATCCCGTCTGCTAGCAGTATCATACGTAGGATCCTGAACAACCACTTTCCACAGTCCAACGAATCGCGCCGATTCAACATTGTCTTCACGAACAATATCTTAGGCATTCTGCGTTACGCTCCGGAACTGAGGAGTGACATATTATCACTGATCACAGACCGAGTCGTTAAAGTGGACGTTCAGGTGCAGATTGACATTGAGGATCTAGAGGAAGATGAAATTAGTGACCACCTGGAGCATGGGATGTCCAGAGCGAAGCATGATTATATGGAAGATCTCAACGATGAAAGTGATACTAGTGATGACGACTCCGAGTCAGACGAAGAAGAAGATCCTGAGGTCCTCAGGACACGTGACATCACACAGATGGTTGGAAAGCTGGATGCAATTCTTGACATACTTTTTTCTTTTTACAACGCTGACTTCTCGTCCTCGAAAACATCTAATTCTGCGACCAATACTATCGACCAACTATTGTCTCAATTTCTGACTATGATATTACCAACGCACCGTTCGCGGCATACACAGTTCTTACTCTTCCATTTCGTCCAACAATCACCAACACATATTGACCATTTTGTTGGCACTTGTGTATCAACGGTCCTTGATAGGAAGCAACCTCCCTTATTGCGACAAAATGCAGCAGCTTACTTAGCAAGCTTTGTGGCACGTGGCATACACGTGCCATCAAGCATTGTTCGAGAAGTCTTCGATTATATCAGCAGTGAGCTCAATCGTCTCCGCAAAGAACACCTACCCAAATGTCAGGGGCCAGACCTTCGCCGCTATGCTTCCTACTATTGCCTAGTGCAAGCGCTTATGTATATGTTTTGTTTCCGCTGGCGGGACTTGGAGGTCAGAAACGAAGAAGTTGAGAAAGAGGACGATCTTGATGTATCCTTTACTCGCGGCCACCAGTGGAAACCCGGGGTGAAAGAGGTATTTTCGGCGAACATTTTCTCGAAATTGAACCCTCTCAAAGTTTGCTCACCGGCCATCGTTATTGAGTTCGCTCGAGTGGCCCAACATCTCGGAGTTGTGTACGTCTATCATCTACTGGAAACGAACAAGCGGATCAAGTCTCGAAATGCGGTGGCTGTCGCTGGCTGTCAGCTATACGGCCAGCTTGAACGGGACACAGCATTGAGTATCAGTCACAATGAGGGTCATCAGCATCTTGACGCGTATTTTCCCTTTGACCCATACCATTTACCAAGAAGCAAGAAATGGATAGAAGGCGACTACCGGTCATGGAAGGGGCTTCCTGGGCTGGAGGAAGAGAAAGATGACAGCGATAGCGAAGACGATGAGGAGTTACCAGAGGACGATACAGCATCTGACAGGACTTGAGTAAAGGATTGTGGTACGGGATATGAATGTAACGCTTCATGCATAGCGGGCTTTGTGCGGAAACAGACGCGATGTAAATAGATCAAAAGCTTCACATGAGTAACTCCAACGCACCCTTGGTCCCCCGCCCCTCGGCCCTCCACGTGGACATCGCGCAGCGGTGAGCGGGAGCTAACTTAGCGTACCGTTAGGGTGGCGTCAGCTAAGCCACTCCCAGCGGTAGCCCCAAATGTCATGACCGTAAAACAATGAAAGTCGTGGCCAGGAAGCATGGACTTCAGCTCAGCAAGGCCTGACCAGAACCGTACCTTCTTCCATGACTGACTTTGGAAGACGCATCTTGGATTCACGAGGTTATGGGGCTTGAAGGTTGTCGTAACAGCTGGCAAAAATAGATGCGTGTTGAATAGTCAGGGATGAGACAGAGAGTGCTGCTGGTGGGAGAGAACCACTCCGTCTGTGTTATATAGAAACGCCAGCCACACCAAGCTCCCCCACCGCGTCGTGCTACTTTCCTTTAGTCTTCAGCTGGTAAGTCCCATTTCACCTTTCCCCTTTCGACTTTCTACACTCTCAAAGCCGTCCACCACCACCACCACCACATCTTCATGCATCCTCTTTCCTTCTTTAGCAACCCTTCGTCATGGCTAGGCCGGAAAGCGAATTGGATAAGCCGCACCACGTGCCCGATGCAGAAGCTATCATGAATCTGTCCAGAAACCTGAATGCCCCTTTTCCTCCTACCGTCCCCGAATTACCTCGCGAGCATTCTGACCGAAGTCTTGACGAAGTTTTTTCTAATTCTGCAGATGAGTCTGAGACCGAGCTCATAAGGACATCTCGACGACAGCGCCTGACCCAGAGTTTTCGGAAACGTTCAGCTTCTATCAAATCCAATCTTAGTTTCACCAAAAAGGAGAAAAAGGACTCTGACTCTTCTTTCGACCTTTGCAGTCGACCCAATTCAAGGAGTGGATCAGTGCCGCCTCTATCTGCATCAACCGCGAACTCTCCCCGTCATTCTTCGTCCCAAGGGGCCTCACATTCTTCATCAAATTCATCCATATCGAGCGGGCAGCGTATCAGTCCGACTCGACACTCTGAGATAGTCACCGTACTTCCAACCTGCACGGAGCTATCTCCCGAAGAGCTCCCTCTACGTCAAAGCCCTGAGCCTCTGGCCGGCGGGCTTAGCCCACAATCTGCGGCTGGGACTGAGATTGCAAACAAACTAAGCCAATTTCGACTGGCACAACCACCGATTATGGCTGCACGCAAGCAATCTTCGTCCCTCGATCCCGGGGCGGCCTATCGCCGACAATCATTTGTCGAGCATACTAACCGAACTCAACAAATGGCTGTCAAGGAAGAGCACGATATTCGTCAAGCTATGGCTAAAAAGGGTCATCAATTTCCACACTATAGGTTCCTGGATTTTATCGGAAAGGGCACATATGGGAGAGTTTTTCACGCGTAAGTAATCTTCCCTTGAACATTGATTTAAGAGAGCGGAGAGCTCGCCTTGCGGTAGATTTAGAAATATTGGATAAATCATCCATTTGCTAGAATTCTGGAAGCCTTCTAAGTGAGCCTAAATGTAAACATCTGACCTACCTTGTCAATAGACATGATCTCAGTCACGATCCACCTCTCGAAGTCGCAATCAAAATCATGAACATCGATGATGTAGACTACGAAGCACATATTCAGGCAAAAGATGATGCTTTGAATGACGTTCGTAAAGAGATTCAGGTCCTCATGCAACTGAAAGATCACGGCGCCCAGAATGTTAACCTTATCCTCGATGTTTTGGAGGTCGAGCGCTACCTATGGCTAGTCTGCGAATTCTGCCCAGGAGGTAGTCTCCGAACATTGGTCAGTATTTGCTGTCTTTGACCTTTACCACAAGACGCGTGTCACTCTCATTTATAAATACTAACTCTGCCAGTTACGAGCGACAAGCTATCGCTGTCCGACCAAATATATGAGGACCATTGCAAGAGAGCTAGCGAGGGGCATTAGATCCATCCACGATGCCAACATCATACACAGAGATTTGAAAGGTTCGTACGCTCTCTCTGCAGGCTCTTAAGATGTGCCTCATGCTCATCCCACATCACACAGCTGCAAATGTCATGATTCACAAAGCAGGGGGTTTACAGATCATCGACTTTGGTGTTGCAGGAATGGTGGAATCAAAAGCCGACAAAAGGAAAACACGCATAGGGACCCCCTTTTGGATGCCACCGGAGCAACATGGACGATTGGCGCAAGAAGAGAAGCTTCATTACGGGTTCGAAGTAGGAATCCATAGAAGTCTGCATACGCCTTGTCTGTTTGTTGCTAATTTCTGAAGGTCGATATATGGTCCTATGCGGTGACACTCTACGAAATAGCGACAGGTGCCCCACCGCACTCCAAATTGCCAGCAAATCGATTGGAAACTGCCCTAAAACGAAACCCACCACGCCTTTCTGAAAATGAGTTTCCAAAAGACCTCTGTCAATTTATTGAGTACGTTGCTCAGACCAACCCGCTAGACCGACCCTCCGTGCACGATATCTTGGAGCATCCATACTTGGTCAATTCTGACGAAAATCTGCCAACTTCCGTCTTAACGGAACTGGTTACAAAATTTGAGGATTGGCACTTTTCTGGAGGCCAGAGGACTTCGCTCTTCGCACCGAGTGGGGCACAGTCCGCGATGGAGTATGAGTCTGGCAACGACATGTCTGATGAGATAGATTTCATTTTCGGCACCTCTCGCGATCTCGCAGCCGGAAATGATTCTGACCTTTACGCATTTTCAACCCAATTTGAAGATGTACAGCCCTCACCAACTTCGCAGGACTCGTCTTTTTCTGACAATTCGGAACTTGGCAGTTTGGATGATTTTGCAATGGATCCACAGGACGACTTCACAAGTAGGCCCGCTAAGCATACTCTACAGCAAAGCTTTGGCTCAGAAAGCAGAGATCCAAGTAATGAACGCCGCGTGGTACGCGGTGGCCACGCTCTTGAAGCAATCTTCAACGCGAAACAGCAACCCTATGGCGCGAGCCGGCCAAAGTCCGATCTGCCTTTGCGCGACAGCAATGATTCGTCTGACCTTGCAAGGAAAGAAGTTGACTACAACCAAACTTCGGCTTCAAGGTCCGAAGTTGAATTAGCAGATGCAGACACCATCAAATCAAAGCGTAAGCAGCAGGCAAAAGACAGACAAACAATTTCAGGGTGGCAATTTGATTACGATAATATTGAAGCGAACATGAACAATGACGCCGACACTGAGTTAGACCCACAGACAGGTCCTCCTTCCGCTTTCCCTCTCCGTCCCACCCTCATGCATGCTGAGACGGCGCCCGATCAAGTTACCCAAATGTCTCAGGCTCAATCTCGCGCCTCTACAGCAACTATGGATCTTGACGATTTGATGGGCGATGAGTTGAACGATTGGCAGTCAAATAGCGCAATGGGTAGATCCCCCACCGGACTGTCAACTCCCCTTGACGACGAAGATATGACGATTCGACATAATATCACAGATCTCACAGATTCGTCGTTTCCATCCTATGCGTCGTCCGTGACTGACACGTCTGCGTCCGAAGATGAATCAATAACAGCCTATGATCATGAAGTCAATGATTACACAAGAGGTAGGAAACCGGTGCAATATTCAAATATGCATGCAGACATTCAACCTCCAAGTGCTGAAGCTATGCGCGATGATGCTCCTCCTGAGGTTGTGGAAATGGAAATGAGGAGGCTCCTCAGTGGGTTCATGGGGGAATTGGCTGCAATAGCTGACGAATTCCCGACTGAAAAAGACGTCGGTGACGGCGAACAGGATCTAGAGGAAGAAGATGGGCCAGAGACGGCGCACGAAAATACTGCAAACGGCAATGTTTCAAGCTTTTCTTGAACGGCTTGGATTTGAGTGTAACCCTGACGCAATAGTCACCGTGGAGTAGAGTTGGCTCAGTCAGATCAATGATACCCTACGTAGCGCTCTACAATTGAATAGAATCGTATGATTCAGCATTGGAAAAAGCTTGCATTCACTTGGTCTAGGCTGTCTCCCCTAGACTGCCCCCAAAAGAGGCCCCTGGAGCAGTGAGCTTAAGCGCCCGAAGTCCCCGGGAGTTCAGCATTAAGCCCGGATCGTGGACTGCTCCGAAACCCCAGACACCAAACATCTTCCATCTGCGAGATTCTGACGGTGCTTTCAAGGCTTTTTGGTTATTGCACATTGCCTCATACTTAATGGATGGTCTGTTGAATCCAGTCAGTACCAAGGACACGCGCAAGGCGCAAAGCCTTGACATTACACCCGCACTTCCATCAACCTTCCCTGAGCCAGCACCAACAGCTCCATCATCGATTCCTTCACTAGAAACCGCATTACAGACACTGACTTCCCAACCTACCCAGTCTAGACTCGCTTCAACTCTCAAGTATCTCTCAACAACTATATCAGCCAGGTCAATACCTGGATCGAACATCCTCCTGCCCAGTCCAAAAACCGCACCCATTGTTTTTGCCTTAGTCAATCATGTTGTTCCCAATTTCTGGCCGGCTCTCAAAAACGCTTCTGATGCTACCACGAGGAAAGTCAGGGACGGTTTGTTTGCGTGCTTGCGTAGTATTTCTGGCGGAGGAGCTATTCTAGCCCTATTGCGCGGTGAGATTGATGCATTCAAGGCTGGTGGGAAGGGGAAGGCGGATACTCAGAAGGCTGAGGTGATTCTTGATTTTCTTGAGGGTTTGTTACATGATGATGAACTTCTGGCTCAACTGTGGCGGGATGTGCATACCTTCGAGACACAGCCTGTTAGGGCTGATATGCTTTGGAAGGAAGTCGTGAAGCTGTTTGCAGGCGGAACTTTCGTTTCCGTTGTCGCTGAAATGGAGTCTGTGCTGAGGGAGAAAGCTGAGGGTATCCGAGAGCCTACTTGGATTAGCGATGGACGTCGATATGCCGAATGGCTGGGCACTAATGTGCAGCATATGATTGAGGTGGTTGACGTTGAGGATCAAAAGGCGTTGAAAGACGTCCAGCAGGTATTGAGCAAGACGTTCACACTGGGGCATTCAGGTAAACGGAGATCGCTTCTCTGGAATGGAGCAAGAAAGGTAACTTTTTCTCAGTTCAAGTGGTTGCGAAAGCTTTTCATCCTTTACTCTCTGGCGACGAGGCTTCATTGCCAAGGATCAGGGTTGTCTTGAGAGAGTTTCAGAGCTACGATCAGAAACTTGCACTTTACTCCTCCATTCAATCTCTATCAACACAGTCTCTTAGAGATGATGAGCGGCTCATTGGCGCAGTTGGGGCTTTGGTCTCTAAGCTGTGCGGTAATGTTATCGAGCTACAGCATCATTTAGGAACATGGCTTGTGGGTTCCTCACCAGAAGCAATCAAGCATAGTCATATTACACACCGCGCGATTGTTCTAGCTCTCTCTGTAAAAATCAGTAGGTCTGTGGCCTTCTGCTGCTTTGCTTATCTAATAAAGTTGAATCATAGTGCATTTGAAGTCTGCTTTGTGGAAGGCACTCGATTCTTATAGCGACAAGCTGTTCATCAAGCACAGCCCTTTGCTACACCAAGAAGGTTCGTGTGTTTCTTTTGCAAACCTGATGATGCATTAATCGCTACAGCGAACGTGCAGATCCTGCTTTTGTTGGCAGGTCAGATCCATCGGACCGACAAGAAATTTCTTTCAACAGTATCAAAGTCTAGCCCCTATCTCAGCGGAATATCAAATCATCTTGCAGCATCGTCTCCAAAAGCAAGGTTCCTTGGCATGGTCTTCGGGTCTTCGATTTCGAACATCGTTGATGAATCTGGCAAAAGGCTTGACTTCAAGTCAGAAGACTCAAGTAGCGCTGAGTGGCGATGGTACATGGGTCTCATCAATCTTCAAGACTCAATGGGTTCTATCTCGGACTTGAAATTCACAGCAGAGAAGCCTAGGACCAATCAAGCCAAGAATATCTCCCGTCCAGTGTCAACGGTAGGCTTGCCCTCGAGACCCTCAAAAATTGGGCAAAGTACCAAGGTTTTGAAGATCGAAGAAGTTGAGGATGTCTCAGAGTCAGACGATGATCTTCCAATATATGGGAAACCTGACTCGGACCCTGAGGACGACGATGATGATCCAGAGCTTGTGCAACGTAACAAACCCATAGCACCTGTGTGCGTTCACCTGATCTTGTCCCTGTTATTGAAACCTATCTAACATTAATTGTAGCTATATTCGAGACCTATCATCTGGCTTGCGAGATACGGAGAACTATGACCGCCATACATTGGCTTTGAATCAGGCACCAAATCTTATCAGGCGAAAGATAGGTTTTGGCACTGAGGTCTCAGATCACATCGAGGATCTTGCTTCTACTATTGTTGGACTCAAGGACCGATGGGAACTTGACAATTTCGCCAAATTGCGCCTTGAAGCGATGCTTGCAACCGTCCTTGCGGATCCCATCAGGATGGGAAAGTGGTTTGCTCAGTCATTCTACAATGGCGATTACTCTCTGAGTCAAAGAGTTTCAATCCTTACAGCCCTCGGCCTTGGAGCTCGCGAGATAGCAGGCATGAGAAACAGCGAAAACGCTTTTGCTTCAACGACTCCTTCCCCAGATAACACATTCCCATCAAAGCGCCTTCCCAGCAAACTGCATAACCATTACGCTCTTGATGCGGCACCGCTGGACGCTCTCTCCACACAAATCTCGCGTACCATGATCCAACCCCTTGCTGCAACAGCAGCAGATGCGATCACCGGCCCAAATATCCTAAAAGTCCGTACCTTCTCCTCGCGCATGGAAGTCGAAAAAAAGAGATCTCGCCCTACGTCCAACGCCCTCGCCAAAATAGTTGCCGATTCATTCTTCTTCCCCCTGACGGGCCGTTGGCAAGTCCACACGCACGCCTTCGGCGACAACGCGCCTCAAGCCTCGCCTATGCTGCTCGCGCATTTGCTGAAGACGCTGAGCTTGATTTTGCATGCCGCCGGTCCGGCTACGGTGGCGTTGCCGCAGATCACAAGCGAGTTCTGGGCATTTTTACTTTCGATCAGAGCAAAGGTGGACGATAAGAGTGTCCTTGAGGCTTTGTTGTTTGCTTTGTTGACGCTTCTGGATGTTAATCAGGAAAGTGGACAGAGAAGAGTGGCGGAGGAGAATGCAAGGGAGCTTTTGGAAACGCAAGGTTGGGTGGGTGAGCTGTTAGAGAGGATGAGTGGAGGAGGTGAGGAGGAAGAGAGGTGTCGGATGTTGGCTGCTGGGGTGTTGGTGAGGTGTAGGGAAGTGGTGGAGAAACATCAGAGACTGATGGTAGGGGATATGATTGACTATAGCTGATACGCCGATGAACGTGAGCTTTGATATGTACACTTTTCAGCCCAGTGATTCGTCAATTCATGTCTTCGAAAAATCCTCCTTCTCAATCACGGAATTCATTATACTATTCCCACTTATCACCCCAGTAGTACAAATTAGTAAGTTTCTCTTGCCTTCCTCTTGCTTTGCTAAGAACCTTAGTGCCGCAATCTCAGTGAATGTGATCCCACCCAGAAACATCACCACAACAGTCTTTCCCTTCGCTGCTGCGCTTCCTTGAAGCATATGTCTGGCCTTAGTAGCTGCTTCCTCTCCCTTCTGGACCTTTGAGAACGTCGCACCTTTCACATTACCCAACGCAGATTCAAAGCCTTGCCAGCCATACGAGGTGCTGCCCGCTGCACCCTCAATAGAAGCCGCTTGCGGGCCTTTCGTGATGGCAAGGAGGTGCTGTTTCTGCAACACAGCTTGCACAAGCCTTACAGACAATGGAGCGTAGCCGGAATAGACGTAAGAGATATCATTTGGGTTCTGCTCGTTCACCTCGTCTGAAAAGAGGCGCAGAACTTTGCGTAGATAATTGTAATTGGTCTTGGAGTTCTCGGCCGTGCCTGTGGTTGCGCCGAGTGGGTTGAATAGGACACTGGCTGAGGCTCGCATTTGAAGTAGGCCGATCTTTTCCAGAGCGGAAAGTGTGAGGAGGTGCTGGTAGCCGTACGCTTGCATGACGAGGCGCTTGAAGTGCTCGAGGTCCTTTTGTCGGAGACCGCCCGATATGCAGGACTCGAGGCAGAGTAGACGGAGGATGGTGGGCAGAGGAACGTCTCGTGCGATGAGCTCTTCTAGTGTTTCATGTTGCGAAGATGGGTCTGTCCCGTCCGCTAGGTTTTGTTGGAATTCGAGGCATTGTCTGAAGATTGGTGACTGTGTGTGCTTTAGTATGTCTTCCGTAAGAGCAATGTGCGTTTTCAGGTTTTGTTGTTCGGCTTGGTAGCCAGGAAGTTTAGTCACGAATTCACGAAGTTCGGATGTGCTCTTTGCTTCGTGTCGGCTTTGCATGTCGCTCTGCAGACGACGAGCAACCTTATTGAGGAGGCTGTCTACAATCGCGAAATTAGTGTCTCGAAGTTGGTCATATAATTTGTCAGAAGAGTCAAGTAGGATCTTCCGCTTGAGACTCTGTTGACCCGGTGGATTTGTCTTGCTCTGCTGTGGAGCACTCGGTGTTTGTCCAATGATCGAGGTGTCAATCTCGGCTTGATTATCCTCGATACCAAACATTTCGTCGATTAGGCCCTCATAAGTGAGCTGCGTAAGTAGCGGAGTAGCAAGGTCGACCTCGCGGTCGATGATTATCAAGCTTTCAGTATGCGCACTGGGCATAGGTCCAAAGCTGGCTGCATTGTCTTCAGCGGCTGCTTCTTTACGCATTCTGAACAGAAGCTCCATAAGTCGATTTGCATTATCGCCTTTGCCAATAATCCTTGGGAAAAGGCCATAGGTATTTTGCAGCCCCATTAGTGCTCGGGCTGCTAAAAATATGGACGTTGGGTCTTTGTACTAGAGTCGTGAGCGCAAAAACATCCGCGACGGGCTCTTATTTACCAGATAGATATCATTGAAGGCGTCGTTGAAGCAAAGCGAAAGTAGATCTCCTTCCAATGGAACGAAATGCAAATCCAAGACCTCTACGTTCAGCTCACCCAAAACACCAGACTCTTCAAGTATTTTGTCGCCGACAAGGGTACGTCGAGGCACCCAGATGATAGAAAACTCATGCTGAGTACTGCTAGCCTTCTGGAGTCGCTGGATCTGCTCTTTGAAGCATGTCAGCAAGCTATGATAGCGCAGCACCCAGTGTGAAAAGAGGAGTTCGCTATATGACAAGCTAATTTCGGTATTATCTTCGATGTAGGGATCAAGACTGACTGGGTAGAGTAGAGCAGCAGTCTACCTAATCTACTTTTTGATCCCCTTGGCAAGCAGCAAAGACAGAATTGTAAGGTCAGAAGCTGCAGGAAGTGCGAACGTCCAGGCATCAAGGCAGTTTGATAAGGCAGCTTTGCATGGCTGAACATACCTGCAATTGCTATGACATTTGCTGCCTTCTCTCCACTTGCCAAGAAAATGACATTCTTTTGGGACGTATCTACATTCTTGTTCTCGAGTAGAAACAGCTTGTCTACACCATGATCCTGGAGAGTAGAGAACCTGACGAAGACACCAATTGTATCCGCTAGCGATTTCTCAATGACCAGATTCTTTCTGCCTCGGACCTGCTTGTATCAATCTTCGTTGAAAACATTCAAACAGGCAGGTAAGCCTTACATACTCCTTCAAGCAGGTCTAGAAGCTCCCTCCGAGCTTTGTCCTTGATCTGAGCTGTGTCTACGCCTAGGTGAGGCGCCATAGCATGAGCAGATTCATAGGGAATTCGGCTTTGGGTTGCAAACAATAAAGGCGGTTCAATACGCTACGGCAGCCGGATCGTGCCGAAGCGTAATTCATGTCAGGAAATGTCAAATATCGAGAAAATATTTGAGGTGATTCATACAACTGTTTTTCTTGCTGCGCTCGACTCGCATGCTCTTACTGAGCAGGCTGCTCCGCTCTCCCCCACGTACGCAAGCGTGCCATCTCACGCGTTCTTCGAGCCGTCACAGGATTGGAAACTCACGCCAAAGATCGAACGAACTTCACAGCAGTTGCAAATCAATTTCGGAACAAAAGGATATAATAGACATGGGGAAGGAGAAAGTAGCGTTTCAGCTGAAGACACCCAAGGGAACTAAGGATTGTATAGGGACCCGTATCAAGCTCAATTCTGCTGAAAGACTAACGTTGCTTACAGGGGAAGGTAAAGATATGGTAATTCGGGATCGCATATTCTCGTCAATAACGGAAGTTTTCAAACGTCATGGTGCTGTCACTATCGATACACCCGTATTTGAGCTTCGAGATATTCTGGCTGGCAAGTATGGTGAAGACAGTAAGCTCATCTACGATCTTCAAGACCAAGGGGGGAAATCTGCTCGCTACGCTATGATCTGACCGTTCCTTTCGCACGATGGCTCGCTATGAATTCCACTGTGCAAAATATCAAGCGGTATCATATTGCAAAAGTGTACAGAAGAGATCAGCCAGCTATGTCAAAAGGCCGGATGCGAGAATTTTATCAGTGTGACTTTGATATAGCAGGAGTTTACGAGAGGATGGTTCCCGACGCTGAAATTATACGGATCATATGTGAGGTCTTCGGTAAGCATGGGCTTGGTTGGAGTGGAGAGAAGTCCGGTGGCTTCACTGTCAAGATCAACCATAGAGGAGTGCTTGATGGAGTCTTTGAAGTTTGCGGTGTACCTCAGGAAAAGATCAGAAGCATAAGCTCGGCGGTTGATAAGCTGGACAAAAGCCCATGGCAAGAAATCAAGAACGAGATGGTCGTTGAGAAGGGTCTAGATGAGGAGGTAGCAAATCGGATATGGGAATTTGTGCAGCGCAAAGGTGGGCCAGAGGTAGTTGAAGACTTGAGAAAAGATGAGCGAGTAATCGAAAACCAACGGCTGACACAGGGCCTGGACGACATGGAGCTTTTGTTCGGATATTTGGATGCGTTCGGTATTCTCAAGCATGTTGAATTCAACCTCTCGCTAGCCAGAGGTCTGGACTACTACACTGGAGTTATCTACGAGGTCGTCACAGAGGGCTCAGCACCAACGGGGGAGACCGGCCAAAAGCTACAGAAGCACGCCAAAAAGGAAAAGGCCAATGAGTTTGATGAAGATAGGTCCAACGATCCATCGATAGGGGTCGGAAGCGTTGCCGCTGGTGGTCGTTATGACGGTCTTGTAGGGATGTTCTCTGGCAAGGCACAAGTCCCTTGTGTCGGCATTTCCTTTGGCGTAGACCGAATCTTCTCGATCTCAAAAGCTCGAATGGAAGCCGATAAGAGCGCTCCTGCAGTGCGAAGTACTGAAGTGGATGTTTTCGTCATGGCTTTCGGAGGCAAAGGGTTCACTGGTCTTCTCAAAGAGAGGATGCAGGTCACAAAAATCCTCTGGGATGCAAGCATCAAGGCCGAATTCGCGTATAAACAGAAGCCAAAGCTGCCCGCCCAATTCAAACAAGCCGAACAGGCCGGCATTCCGTTCGCGGTCATTCTTGGAGAGGAGGAACAGTCTCAGGGCAAAGTCAAGATCAAGGAGATGGGGCTGCCCGAAGGACATCCGGAGAAAGATGGCATGCTGGTAGCTTTGGAAGAGCTAGTTCCCGAGATGAGGAAGAGACTGAGCCCCAACGTGGGTGATATGTCGATAGATACGCTAGCGAAAGGGGTGAATGACCTTCCACCGAGTCCACCTGACTGAAGCTCTGCAATATGGCTTGACGATGCTATGAGGCGGGAAAGAGCCTTCAAAGATCGGCTCATCTTTGCAGAAAGAGTGCCGGCAATGCGCAGGCAATGCATTGACTTTGGAAGAGGGATATGCTTACCACATGTGCTTTGGCCTATCTATGACATTTTAGTCCTGTTCACGTATGCCAGTGAAGGAGGAAGCCTCGAACTCAAATTTGCCGACCTTGAATGCAAGTATCTACGCTTGTTGACAAAGAGAAACGACATGCTTTTGTAAGGTTCCCAGCATTAGCACCAGACACAGCCAGGTAGCTCTGACAAGCAGCTCAGATTATGGACCGGAAGTCCAGCTATAGCTGTCAACCGCGCCCTTTTGAATGCCATTTTCACCGAACTCCTGACAAAATGCACCAGTCCCGTAAATTGCAGTCGAAGGCAAAGGCCAAAAGACGCCATCAGCAGAAGAGGTAGCATGGGCACGGTTTTGCATGGTGTCATGTGGGTTTAAGCAAATGGTAGTGGAGCATGTGGTGAGCAAGTATTCACGACGGACTTCACGGGTGACCTCATTAGATCATCAAGAACGAAGAAAAGTCACGAATGATAGCACAGACCTTACAAACGACGATTGCAGCATCGTATATCATGTTCAATTCACGCTGTGAGAGCCGCCCGTCTACCTCGTGTGTATGTCGTAGCAATTTGGCTGCAGGAGATGTTGCTTGTGTGCCGGTTTCTTGCTGACTCAGCAGATTATCATTGGCTGGTCAATAGGTCGCCACAGGAGGATTCGAGCAAATCTCCGCTTTCCATCACGGCTCTATGACAAGCTGAGCAGTACTTGTCGTGGAGAACCATCGATGCAGACTCATCCGAGTTATTTCCGTTGTAAGAATCTTTTGGCCCGCCGCTCTTCTGCAAGTATACCCATGGCTGCGCTTTCCTACCGACATGGCTGTTGGATTTGGCTTCTCTGTCACCGATAGTACGTATATTGCAATTACTTGCCTGGGGAGACATAGGGCTCCCCTTGAACAGACTCCCCGAGAGCTCTGTTGGTATCATACTCAGATCATTACTGTATCATTGAATTGTTCTAATCTGCTACTGGACGGGACTGATTCGAATGATCACGTGTAGTTTGTATGGGACTGAAAATCATAAAGGATTCCGTCAATGCTCTTGATGACGAAAAAGGTGCAGCGAATGACTTGAGAGCGCTCGTTACGGAGCTCGATAACCTTCGAGAAGGATTAAGCGCTGTGCGGGATTTGCTCGCGGATGAGAGTCTACCTCATGCTCAGCATGTAGCGCTTGAACGAGCAGGAAACTCGTGCCAGAAGGCGATCGAGGAATTCCTTGTCTCAATTGCCAAATATCAGCCATTGCTCGATACTGCGACCAAAGGTATTGCCCAAAAGTTCCGGAAGATCAGGTGGGGATTGTGCCGAAAGGAAGATGTTGCCAATTTCCGCTCACAAATTGAGCGTCACGCTTCTTCAATCAGCATGTTGCTTATTTCTTTTCAAGCACGGCAAAGACTCAGGGGTGATTCATTAACGCAGATTCCAGTAATGACAGCAGATATGGGCGACCATCTCTCAGATATGATGCAGTCAATGTCCCTGGAACAACGACAGTGCTTCATGATAATCATGCAGCAGAACAAAGACTTACTCATGAATCTCGAAGAGATGCGAAAGATGTTATCCATAGAGAGAGCGATGCCATCTCAAATTCTCCTTCAACAGCCCGTGATTCTTGTAGATCCCTTTGGCAAGAAGGCACCCTTCCACTTAGAGTTTATTGACTCACCTGAATGCTTCATGGCAGTTCTACATGTCCGATTCTCTAAGGCAGGCGTGAGTCCCGAAGGACTAGCCAAACTAGACAGGCAAGAATTTTCCCTCGAAGACAGCCAAGGAAGACAGAAGGTAGACCTGCAAAAACCCTGGCGTCGAGCCTTCCGTCCTGGTCAGCAGGTAGATATGCGAATGATCTTTCATCGCTTTTCATGTGCTCCAAATACCTGTCCCGGCTGTCTAAATATCAATAACGAGGTTGAGGATGATGATGAAACCGAATGGTCAGTCACCATAATTTTACTTTTCATTTTAGCATTGCGTCAAGTCGCCAGATTCTATGTCTGTTCGCCGAGTCAGACGTTTTTCAGCAGCTTTGTGTGATAATGACTCTACTGGATGATTCTGTGCCGTTGTATGTTCCAAGATATTGTTATAAGTTGGATTGTAGCTCGAGCTCAATTGTTTCACAAGGCCTATACGTTGATTTCTTTGTACATTCAAAACTTCTAAGCTCACCATGTTCATTGAAATAGCCAGACATGCGGGTTATTCTACCTCAAGTACGAAGCCATCACTAAAGAGTCTGAGAACTGGGATCTGCATAGAAATCAGCATCTTGACGTACAAATGGATGGTCAGCAGACACCCTACATTCTCAGTCATCCTAGAAGAGGGTCTGAACTTAAGACATTTATACCACCGGACGAAGCGGAGAAAGGCTCCTTCGACGGCTTTCGTCACGTCCAAATAGTATCTCAACCACTCTCGTTATTGGACCCTCTATTTCCCGCACTTCAACTGATTGAAGACTTTTCACATTTCGCAGACCTCTTAGCAGACGTCCCGAGTGACACGTCGCCATTTCTCGACAATATCCAATTCCTGAATCATCAGGCGAAGCAATTCCTCTACGAGCGAGACAATGATTTCCCAGCTTTTGCTTCCTATTCTCAGATTCAAGAGAGAAAGACTCGTCTTACGCAAGAATCTTTGTCTCTGAGACACTACATTAATACACTTATAACAAGTTTATGCAACGATACATCCACCAAACAATTGGTGGCATTCATCGCGAAAGGTTAGACAACGTGGCATTGAAAAGCCTTGTAGCTCAGCTGACAGACTCTAGAGCCTTCGAAAAGTAGTCGCACAGGATACTATGCAGGAGCGCTAAAGGTCATGGTCAACCTCAGTGAATCAGCCAAATCCAAGGGTTCAAGAATTCCAAGACCTGTCTCTAGAGACAAGATGCAGTGGCGTATGCTTGATGGTAGATCACGATGACGGCCGCCAGTACTCGAGACCCGAAAACAGAGGCAGACCGCGCAGATCCGCACAGGATAGTATGATATGGCATTGAAATGATGCAAACCATTAATGCGAATGTGTATCTAACATAATTCGCAGCAATAAAACTTTGGTGCTGACTATCAACAAGTTAAAGTACCTGACAATCCGCTCGAATGATAGCCCGTGACTGTGGTAAGGGATGGAGATTCTGTCAAGCTATGGAACTATGAAGCTGGGCCACCAATGAGCGGTCGACCTATTGCAATAATGAGAAGCGCCACCGCCCACGCTATGCTCTCTCCGATCAGGCTGCCGGGACAAAAGTCAGTACCTGCATTATAGTAGAAAGCTGCGTAGCTGTCAGTGTTTAGAAGGTGGTCACGTTAGCTCTCAGTCATGACTTACTGCCCCATAAGATCCATTGGCTGGCAAACGCAATCAGCATGTTAAGTGCTCCGATTGCAATGGCCCATTTCCAAAAACTGCTCAAATTATCTCCCAGGTTCGTATAGCTCCTCACGATCTTGCTGCACGAATGCAGTGTCATGAATAGCAACAAGAGGCCTGCAATCGCTCCTACAGCTACAACGACAAAGAATGAGTCGAAGAAGATTTGGTAATGAGGGTTTGCCGCGCATGAGCCGGATCCAGAATCGTCGCGCCAAATGATAAAGATCAAGGCGAAGGGTAATGAGAAGATGTTGAGTACGGACTCTTCTATGATGTTGTCCTTGAACGTCCACAGATAGGGATTCTTACTGCCTGTTCGAAAACAGGAGCAAATCGTATACCAAAGGAGGGCACCTATCATGCGCGGTCGCATTGTCCAAAAGCCATACATGAGCAGTGGATTGGGTTTAAATCCATTGACGCGCATCGTAATGGTTGAGATGCCCATGGTCACCGGATGAAGGAGTGTCAGCACGAGAGAAGAGTAAGGTTTCCACGACTTGCTGCATGAGCAGGACGGTATCTTTTGACGGATCTTGTCATGGCCTAAAACAAGAAGATCCGTCGTCAGCGTCACCACAGGATCCAAGCGAATGGAAGATACCAAAGAAGCCTGCAAGAAAGGCGGACCAGAGATTAAGCGCAGCAAGGGACGCAAGAGCTCTCGTCGCAGATTTACAACCCGTCAGACTCGCATCATAAGTCAAGCCAATGGGCATGCAGTCAACAGCTGACATGGTGACCAAATGGATTGGAATGGGATCTCGAAGACGTCTGGGCGCGAAGATTCATACAATGTGCAAAGGAATAGTCTTGCAGGCGCAGATTCGACGGGACCGTGGACATGATTATAAGCTACGGGGGAGTAAGGCTGCAGCAACGCTCCAGAGAAGGACAGAGCCTGAGGTGGCCGGAGTAACGCTACGTCGTGGCAATGAGAGCAGTCTAAGCCCAGAAAACATAACGTGGCTTACCCTCCGTTCCCCAAATGAATACTTCACCTTCAGCCTGATGGAAAGACGAGGATCGCTTTAGGTCTACTACTCGCCAAATGTTTCCCAAATCATTTCCCCTCATCACTGTTATAAGCCTAGCTTTGGTGGTGAATAGTTCTTGATTTCATCTAGGCTAAGAAGAGCTTATCTACATTAGACGCTAGCGCTTGCGCTAGCCTTTGATTGCCACTAGCGCCTCCTTGAGGCTCATGCTCACAACAATCACTGCCTCCCTCGAAAGCAATTGAAGCGCACACAAGAAGTTTGTTTGACTTCGATAAGCTGCACATATGTCTGGCAGAGGCCAGATCACGAAATGGAGTGAGCAATGAACCAATCTCGCAGCGATTCATCTGAATAGGAAGGTGATTTGGTTCTAGACCGACCCTGAGCGCATTATTAAGGCAATCAAAAGGGAGACGGCTGAGGCCGAAAGCTTCCGACCAGCGACCGATTGGGGGGAGTCACTAACTGCGTTGGGAACGGGAGAGGTGCCCACTAAGAGATGAACACGCTAGACCCGCTAGGCCTAGGTTCCCCTCCTTCAGCAAACCTCTATTGTTGTTGTCTTCGTCGTCGTCAACATCACGACCATTGCTCGCTTTTCGAATCCTTCGTTTCTAATTCGATGCTCATCTGTTTGAGACACAAATCCTTGATATTGGATGATTTCCGCGGCCAATAGGGGTGCTAGTACCCACCTTGAAACCTAGTCTTAGGCAGAGGTGGCCCATTCTCATTTGCACTTTCATCAATCGGCTTCGTTCAGCCAAGATCGTCTGCTTGAGTGTCCTGAAACTGTATAAATAATACATGTCGTGATAATTCTAGATCTTTTTGGTACTGTTTTCGACACATATTGGCTGCTGATTGCTGCTCTTCTATCTGATACTCCGCACAATTAACTTAGCGCACTTACAAAAGCTTCCCATTACCATCTACTACAGTTTTTTCAAAATGAGTAATACATCTAAACCGTTGCAAGCTGGAAAAGTGGAGTCGAACGAGTCCCCGGACTATATGAACGAGCGTGTGATCCAGCGCAATCGCCTGGACCCACGCGCCTACTTCCTTCCTAAGGAGACACTTTCGTTGTCTGGACGCTGGAAATTCCACTTCACAACCTCACCCAAAGCGCCAGAGCCGAAGTCAGACCATACAGCCGCGTGGTCATCGATTGATGTGCCGGGCCATTGGCAGCTCCAAGGCTGGGGGCATCCCCATTACACTAATTTCGATCTACCCTTTCCCTGTGATCCTCCATATGTCCCGGCGGAGAACCCAACAGGTACATACGAGACCTCTTTCGAGATCCCTGATGGCTGGTTGGATATAGACGGAGGCTTAGATTATCGCCTCAGGTTTGAGGGAGTGGACAGTGCCTTCCATCTTTGGGTCAACGGCAAGGAAATCGGTTACAGCCAAGGCTCTCGAAACCCGGCGGAATTCGATGTCACCAAAGTGTTGAAAGATGGTGCGGGCGGCTCCAACACCGTCAGAGTCAAAGTATACCAATGGAGCGATGGGAGCTATATGGAGGATCAAGATATGTGGTGGTTATCAGGCATCTTCAGGGATGTCTACCTCATCGGCTTCCACAAGCGAGGGCATATTGAGGACATCCGCATCCGAACTAACCTCGACCAACATCATCATATCAACAAGCCTGCCTATCTTGAGATTGACCTCCTCTATCACGTCCAGTCCACGTCTTGGGTCCATTTGGCATTGGTCGATGCAAATGGCAGCAGGGCATCGGGAACCAGCTCCACCAAATTAAAGCCGGGCGGCGGACTCTTTTCTCACTCTATCCATGTGGTTGATCCCCGCTTATGGAACGCAGAGCACCCGAATCTATACTATCTTTACATCACGTTAGACAACGATGGAAAACAGTTGCAGCAAGAGATCCAGCAAGTGGGCTTTCGAAAGGTCGAAATCAAAGACGGACTTCTGCAAGTTAACAACGTGCCTATTAGCCTTCGCGGAGTCAATCGACACGATCATCATCCTCGGTTCGGCCGTGCTGTTCCTCTTGAATTCATCGAGCGTGACCTGATACTGATGAAGCAGCACAACGTCAATGCTGTGCGCACCTCACATTACCCTAATGATCCAAGGTTGATCCTCTTGGCCAACGAGATTGGTCTTTACGTTATGGACGAAGCGGACAATGAGACCCACGGGACAAATGGCATTTTATCCGACAGGCCCACATGGACCAATGCATATGTAGAGCGCATGCGACAGCTTGTCTACCGTGACAAGAATAATCCTAGCGTCATAATGTGGAGCCTCGGCAACGAATCTTTCTATGGCAAGAATCATCAAGCCATGTATGACTGGGTCAAGGCGTATGACAGCACGAGACCTGTGCACTACGAAGCCGACCATGAATTCCGTGCCTCAGATGTGTGTAGCTATATGTATGTTAACCCTGCGCAGCTTGAACAGCTAGCTACTCAAGATGGCGATGACTACAAGAAGCCGATTATCCTCCAAGAGTATGGTCATGCCATGGGTAACGGGCCAGGTGCAATGAAAGAGTACATGGAGACCTTCCGTAAGTGTCGGCGTTTGCAAGGAGGCTTCATCTGGGAATGGAATAATCACGGCTTAGTGAAGCCATTGAACGATAGTACTAGAGAATATTTTTATGCTTACGGCGGAGACTTTGGAGATGAGCCTAACGACAAGAATTTTGTAATGGATGGCCTGGTCAATTCCGAGCACAATCCAAGCCCAGGTTTGATCGATCTGAGAGCGGCTTATGCTCCTATACTCGTCACGAGGAAGGGCAAGAAGATTAGGGCAAGGAATTTGTTTGATTTTCACCACCTTGAGGATATCGATTGTGTCTGGTCAGTAAAACATTTCGAGGCAGACGGGTTCACGCGTACTCTGAAGTATGGCATTGAAAAGTTGAAGCATCCACCCCAGCATGACGAGGAATTCGATGTTTTTGACTGCGACTCCCATCAACTGAATTGCAAAATTTCCGAACATGAGACTTGGTTGATACTTTCCTTCCAACAAAGAGCAGCTCAGAGATGGTGCAATTCGGGTCACGAAATCACCCATGCAGAATTTCGACTAGACGATAGCAGTACTGCAAATCTATTTGCACAGCATTTGAAGGGTTTCCAAAACCCTCAAGTCCAAGAAACCGCTGGGACACTCCAAGTCTCAACATCGACATCTACGCTTACCATCAGCCGTATCGATGGTCAAATAATTCATTGGAGCTACAAAGGTATTGACATGATACGCGAGAATAGTCTCAATTTGACATTCTGGCGAGCACCGACAGACAACGATGAACATGGTCAGGGTGGGGACTGGTATGGCCATCGACTGAACGACCTATTCAACTCGGTCCGCTCTTTCACTTATGGTTTCACCAAAGCGGGTGTTCTTGAGGTCAAGATCACGAGCGACGTTGCGCCGGCGGTTCAAACGTGGGGTTTCGAAGTATCCTTGACATTTACCTATCACAGTAGCGGCGCTCTCGTTTTCCATACCAAGATCTCGCCAAGAGGACCTGCTCCTGGTACACTGCCGCGTGTAGGCTTGGAGATGGTTCTACCAGGGGACCGCACTCGAGCCGAGTGGTTTGGATTAGGCCCGGACCAGTCGTATCGAGACATGAAAAATGCAGCAAAGGTAGGTGTATGGAAGAAGACTGTCGACGAGTTGAATTTCATGTACGATATGCCTCAAGAAAGTGGGAATAGGACAGAGACAAGATGGGTCAAGGTGACCAATGAGCGTGGAATTGGCTTTAAGGCCGTGCTTGAGCGCGACAGTGAAAAGACGTCAAGACCACCATCCGCAGAGAGTACAACAGACGAACCTGGCTCGTTACAGAACTGGAGCTTGGTGGATAAGTCACTTGATCAATCAAAGTCTTCACGAGGATTTGACTTCAACTTGTCGAGGTATACGGCAAGAGATTTGGAGCAAGCTCAGCATCCACATGAGTTGACGGGTTGTGGTGGAGTCGTGTTTAGGATTGATGATGAACATCATGGTCTTGGCACGGCGGCTTGTGGGCCGGACGCTCTGGACTCGTACCAGCTAAAGACAAGGACTTTCGATTTCTCAGTTTGCCTCGAGCCCCTCGGACCCTAAGGAGGCACCTCCCGTGAGAATATGGTTGTTAGAGTAGAGAGGCTGAGCTATTGACGACACGGGCGGGATTAGAAAAACCGCGATCGTTTGTTGATCTGGCCGGCTCTGTACATTGCAAATCCACTGGGCACCTGGGAATCTCATACCTGTTCGACTATGCCTATCACAATTAAATCATCAGGTCATCCCTCTTCACAACAGCGACTGCTGCCGTTTCCATCAAAAGGAACATGCCACCTAGACCAACGTTATGATTCACTGTACTCAGTCTTCATTCTCCTTCGTTAGACTATTCCACATTTTATCATTATAAGCCCTTGCTCAAAGTATCTCCAATCCCCTGCCCGATTCCGCCCTTTCCAACAGCGCCCCCAACCTCCTTAGCAGCACCATCCTGCACATCCGTAATGTTCTTGTCTTCAACGACACGCTGGCTCATCAGACCTGTAGAAAGAGCCAACAGGTCAGCCAGCATTTCCTCCCCGCCTATCGATCAATGTTGATGTGCCTGACTGGAGAGGGGAGCAGACATACTCTTTGCACCAAAACTAGCTCGATTGTCTCCCATCTTTCCCAGGATGACATCCTGGAGCTGATGTTGCAGAGGATCGAGGTATCCACCAATCCAGGCAAAGAGAAGACCGAGTAGGAGTGTGTTATAGCCCGCGATAATGTAGAGCTCGCTCCCCATCGTTGATGTTGTTTGTAGACGTTTGGGACTGGGAATTGTATGGCGGTGTTGTCGTCAGCGGCTCTGGCGATGGAAAGGAAAGTGAGATGAGACTAGAGAGCGATGGATGAAGGAAGTAAGCCGACAGCCCTTAGGATATTTGAGACGTATGTTGGGTCTTTCTTTGCTCTCGTGACGGATCGAGGAATACTTTTTCTTGGTACGAGTAGGTATCGATAAGCATCCATCCATTGAAATGTGACGGCTTGGCATGCAGATTTAGGGGCCAGACCCGCCCCCCACTTGCTATCCGCTCGGTACCTCATTGAGGCTGTGGTGGGGCTGGCACCGCTGGTTCAGAAGGCTGAGTTCGAGCGAGCTGTCACCTTCTCTGACCATAATACAGACCCTCCTGCGTCTTGAATCAGCCTGAGCAGGCGTTTCGGGATCAATTCCTCATGCGACAGAATGTCATCTGGCCCGTCGAGTGATTGACTGTCTTTTCTACTTCACCATCCATCTTGCTTTCCATCTCGAATCCGCCGGCCAGTCGCACCTTCCCAAACACACCTCTTTCGCGCACAACAGATACAGTGTCCTGCGAAACCTCTGGACACAGTTCAGTATCATATACCTATAAATCAAAAATGAGCTGTAAGTCTCAACCACCCTACATTAATACCATAACCTACCCTTTGCCGTCCTAATTCCTGCTGGAGTCGGCCACCTGTGGCTGGCCACTGGTGAGGATGGACCATGTCCGTGCCCACCTACACGTCCATCACCACACTCATACAAAAGATGAGCCACACAGAGGTTGTTGTGAGCTTGCAACATAGTGACACAAGCTAACGATCAACCGCTTAGTCTCCAACATGATGAACAAGCTCTCTGGGCAGCCTGAAAGTTATGATAAAAAGTACCACTCCTCACATCGTATGCTCTACACATCCCACTGACGACTCTAGTAGGGGGCAATATAGATTTGGCAGAACGCTCGGCGCGGGCACATATGGCATTGTCAGGGAAGCAGAATGTGAGGGCCAAAGATATGCAGTCAAGATAATCCTCAAGAAGAACGTGAAAGGAAATGAGAGGATGGTCTACGATGAGATGGTGCTATTGCAGCGGATGAAACACAGCAATATTGTCAGGTTTCACGATTGGTTCGAGTCCAAGGTAAGAAACTACACGATTGACACTTTTTCACGACTATCTTTTAACTCCAGTCAAGGACAAGTACTATATTGTCACACAATTAGCTGTCGGCGGCGAACTGTTTGACCGAATCTGTGAATATGGCAAATTCACAGAAAAGGACGCTGCAAGAACGATCAAGGAGGTGCTTGAAGCCGTCGACTACCTGCACTACAACAACGTTGTCCATCGAGGTCAGCTAGTCAAGCTCCTGCCAGTACTGGAGATGCTGATGCCTGTCTAGATCTGAAACCAGAGAACCTTCTATACTTGACAAAAGATCCGCAGTCTTCCTTGGTTCTTGCTGACTTTGGAATTGCCAAGATGCTTGATTCCAGAGACAGCACTCTCAGCACTATGGCTGGCTCCTTTGGTTACGCAGCACCAGAAATCATGCTCAAACAAGGCCACGGAAAAGCTGTTGATATGTGGTCTCTTGGTGTAATAACATACACTCTTCTTTGCGGCTACTCCCCTTTCAGGAGCGAGAACGTGGCGGATCTGATTGAGGAGACCCGAAGCGGCCGAATAATCTTCCACGGGCGCTATTGGAAAGATGTCAGCAGCGATGCAAAAGATTTCGTACTCGCTCTTTTGCAGCCCAATCCCGACAAACGCTTGACAAGTGAGGAGGCACTCAACCATATATGGCTGACCGGTACCACCGCGACCGAATTCAATTTACTGCCTGAGTTCCGTGCATACATGGCCAAAGCGCGCCTCAAGCGTGGAATTGAGATCATAAAGCTCGCCAATAGAATCGAAACTCTCAAAATGCAAGTCCCAGATGACGAGGACATGAGCACCCCTGATATCCCAGCCGATTCCGCGGAGCAAGCTGGCCAGAAATTGACAAAGACCAATGAAAACTCCGGCTTACCGACTGAAGGGCCCAAGAAGAGTCTGAGTAAGCTTGCGAAGGGGGCCATTTTCCGGGAAGTCGTCTTAGCAAAGGTCCGAGAAGAAAAAGAGAAGGCCGAGAGGGAGAAAGCATTGGCGATTGCAGAGCAGGAAGCGAGAAGGCTCAGTCCACTTCCGCGATAGACACATTCAATGACCCTTACGCACGGCATTCACGTTTGAGCATGACTTTTCCAACTTTTGATACCTTGATTTAGCTGGGTCCTTATGATACCAAAAGAGCACAGGTGTATAGGCTAATGTAAAGCGGCATTGCAGCAATAAGCGCACGATAATCAAAGACTCCAATCGAAGCAATCGTCCTTCGCCATGTTTTCCTTTTAGACAATGATAAGCAAACCCAATTTCCAAATTGAGCGGTAAGATGCAACTCCGCAACTTTCCAGAGATGGTTAAAGTCTAGGGCAGAGCCTTTAAGACTTCACTATACCAGCCAGCCGATGCAACCAGGGTTCTCGGAGTTCTCTGAGCTCTCTAGTGTGGGTCTCAAATAACACTGTGCATAATGAACAGGTTGTACGTTTGTTCGCGATGCCTACGATCTTTGAAACGTAAGACTCGCCATTTTGCGACTCAAGCATCCCCAGACCTGTATGACGTCGCTGTCATTGGGGGAGGCCCCGCTGGATTGAGCCTCTTGACAGCTCTGCGTGAGTATGACTCGTCCAATTGAACATCCATATTTGCTCATTCCCAGCAGGTACATCGAAAGCTACCTCCAACCTTCGTCTCGCCCTCATCGAAAGTCGAGATCTCAAGCAGGCTCGCCAATGGCGTTTACCCCCAGACCAATATTCCAATCGTGCGAGCTCTCTCACCCCAGCTTCGAGACGTTTCCTCGAAAAATGTGGAACCTGGTCTCAAATCGATCATTCGCGATTACGGTCTTACCAGAAAATGCAAGTCTGGGACGGGCTTTCGGATTCAGGCCGGATATCATTCAACAGCACGACCACCGAGGAAGCTGTAGCCTACATGGTCGAGAATAGTAATCTTACAAAGGCACTGGCGTCGCAGCTGGAATTATTAAAGCCCATCTCGATGTTTGATAATACGATGGTTGAAAATATTCAGCTAGGTCCGCCGCCAGACCCGTCGCTCTCAGCTTTGAACCTTTCCTCGTACCCTCATGTTGCCCTTTCGTCTAAACATACTATCGCGGCCCGACTCCTGGTTGGTGCCGATGGTGTCAATGGGCCTGTGCGCACTTTTGCAGGCATACCTACGCGAGGGTGGGACTATGATCGTCATGGCGTTGTCGCAACGCTCAAGCTAAGCCCACACAAACCCGGGTCTGATCACGCAACTGCGTATCAGCGTTTCCTTCCTAGCGGTCCCATAGCCCTCTTACCACTTCCCAATGGGCATGCCACATTAGTATGGACGACCACACTCGAACAAGCTGCGAGACTCAAATCCCTCAGCTCCGGAGACTTTCTTGCAATGGTGAACGCAGCTTTTCGACTTTCAGTGATAGATATTGACTTCATGTTCACTCAAACCTCAGGTCAACTTGACGAATTCCAATGGCGGGCCTCCGTTCATCCCATTTCGGACATTGAGACTTCTGGCTCGATCCCACAACCAGTCGTCTCTATCCAGCCTGGCTCCATAGCATCATTCCCCCTCCGTCTCCGTCAAGCAGCGACTTATACCAGCGACCGTATTGCCCTAATTGGCGATGCAGCACACACAATTCACCCACTGGCGGGCCAAGGTTTGAATATGGGCTTGTCAGACTCGCAGGCTTTGGCTGGTGTAATTGGGAATGCGATTGAGCATGGTGCTGACATAGGAAATGAATTGCAGTGTCTTGACAGATTTAACAATGAAGTGTGGATGAAGAACAATCGCATGCTGGGTATCGTGGACAAATTGCATTGGCTGTATAATGCAAGGAACCCTTTCATCGTGGGGGCGAGATCTTTGGGTCTTCGAGCTGTGGATAGCTTGAACCCGCTGAAGGGATTTTTCATGAGACAAGCCAGTGGATCATGATTCATGAGTATCTGAAGTGCGAGTCTTCATCGCACCCTCAGCGAAATTCAGCTGTACGAAGTATTTCCCACACGTTCTATTACCGAATGCACTCCTACCTTCATACACTGCGTCCCATTTGGCTAGACAGAGCATTCTCATACCCGATGTATAAATGAAGTCCTATTGTCACTATGGTTAGAGCGGCGAGCTCCATTTCTAGTCAAATATCAAGGTTCGGCAAGCACGGGCCGAAGGCGTTGCGTGTCAGTGTCAGATCACAATCAGCAGTGCGCATCATTCCCACTTCTCCACCGTGATAAGCTCGATTGTAGTACAACATTTGCTCATTTATTGACTCGTCATTCGGTAAAAGCTTCTTCAAGACTCTCTAGAGGGTTTCTTTCTGTCTGTCGCGCATGGCAGCTCCACCAGAGAAAACCCTCAAAGATCTGTCAGGAAAATGGGTATTGGTATCATCTGCCCAATCTGGGGTTCCTTCGCAGATAGTGACATTTGTACCAGAACAAGACGAAGTCCGATGATCTCGATAGACTCCTACAACTGGTAAGTATGTAAGAGAACTAAGTTTGAATGTTGTATTATGTCCAAGTCTCCTTTGTCACAGACGTTGATTGATCGTATGACAATTGTAGCAAAAAGTCAGCTGGTTCATCCGCAATATTATTCGATATGCTACCATCACCCTTACAATAACCGAATATGTCGACTCCTCCCACATTACCCATATGGACATCTCCCAAGTCGCCAGCGGTGGCATTCAAGGCACAACCGAAAAGCGTACACTAGACTGGACATGGCGTGATCACAAAGACGGCATATTTGGTTCTCTGAAAGGGAGAAGTCGGTGGTGTAAGCTAAGTGATGTCGAAGACGTGGGTGAGGATGGGGCAAAGTGGTTGAAGACTGGATGGTTGGATGGCGAGGATGCGGATTATGTGCAGAGTTATGTGGAGAGTTATGATAATGGGTGGACTGCGAATCAGGTTTGGGGGTTTGAGGCGGTGGATGGGGAGAGGTACTACGTGAGGCATGTGGTTGTGAGAAATGGGGAAGATTGGAAGTGCGCGAGGTTGGTTTATGATTTTTTGGGGTGAGTGTTCCCCACTCTTGTTTGTATTTGGGAGGTTGCTGAAGTAGGTGAATGCAGAGCGGCGGATAAAGAGAAAAAAGAAGATGATGGGGACGATGGACTTGCTTACTGATGAGCATAAGGCCTATGGGATCTTGTGTAATCTACTGAGACGTCATAATGATCACGACTGACTGGAATGTGACAAGCCTCTTGAGTGGAGGACTTTAATTCAAACGGTAGTATAACCGCCTTGTTCGAGGATCTCGCAATACCGATCTTACTTTTGATATCTTTCAGCCATGTTACACTACCCAAGTGGTCCTGCGTTCTTCTCTATCTCGTTCAGGATTTTTACGCGCACAATTTGGAGATTTGTCCTTCCGTTCCATGCGTCACGTGCATTTGATTTGCTGAAGTGACCGGAAAATTTTTCTCCTACCAAAAGCTGTCAAGAATTTCGACTGTCCTCAATCACAACAAACCAAAGATTGTCGTAAACTATGCACAAGTCGCTTTTTCGAAGGATCTTTTTATGGTCAGTGGCTTGTGGAGTAGTTGAAAACGATCTCCTACCAAATTTCACTGTTGACAATAATCGAGAGACGTCTTTGCGATGAACGGGTATCTTTGGCTAAATTCAAAACTGGCGTATGCACCGGAACCTGTTGCATGAAGTTGCGTAGAACAATATTAATCGTACCGTCACCCTGACTTTGTCATCCTCTGTTCTATCTCTTTGACCCATCTTTCGATCAGATCAGTATTTTCTTTCGAGGTCTCATGGCTCTGAACAACAGCTTGCTCGACCCTTTCCAATCCCTCTTTCCAAGTCTGAATTTCATCTCTCACGTCATCTTGCCGCTTCTCGATCGAACTTAGGATCTGGCTTGCAGTGGCAGCATTGGTATGCAGGTCTTGTAACGACCTCAGTCTATCAAGCACAGACGGTAGTATCGGAGCCAGAGACTCAATGGTGTCAATGGTCCCAAAGAGAGCGTTGATTTTGAATGCTTGTTCCGAGTCTTTCATTTCATAATTATCGGCGTCACTGGGATTGGCAATCAATGATCTATGCTTTGGATCGGATGGGCTGACAGCCTCCAAAGCCTTTCGTGCCTGGATCCTGTTCTGCTCTAGGGCCACGGCCTCCCGCGAGAGTTCTTTCATCCTTGATTCTACCTGGCTCATCGAGGTTTCGCTAGACGTGGATAATATACGGATTTGCTTGTCCAAAAATTCCAGAGTTGGAAGCAAAGTCTTCTTAGAAGCCTGGCTTTGCGTCCCTAGAGGTAAAGATTCGATGCCAAGAGCGTCTTCCAGCAATTTGAGTCGTGCGTCCGTGTCAATGATTCCGGCGATTCTCTGCTCCTCATCGTGATCTGCGCCTAAGGAACTCGACTGGATATCTTCTGGAGCGAAAACCCCAAGCCGTATCTTGCCAGCCTTTTCTGGAGTGATTGACGTTGAGCCCAAGCGTTGCAAATGCCTAAACGTGAGAGATTGATCAGAGCCTCCTACTTGGGACTTGATGGTTTCTAGAATTGTAGAGATACTCTCGGCATCTGCCATTGCGGCTGCTGTTTGAGGATCTGACGGATAGTCTGCCTGGTCCTTCTGAGACTCTATTTCGTTTTTCACCTCAGCGACCTCTCTACGTAATCTTGCAAGTCGTCTGTCGAGGCTTTCCTGATCCTCACTATCTGATCCAGCAATTTCATTGATTATATCCTCACCAGCTTTACGATGTCTTTGTCTAGATGCTTGATGAGACTCTCGCTTCTCGCTGACTCTACTGAATATTCGTGGGTCCCGCTCATGACCAGATAGAAAGTGAGTGCGCGCATCATTCTGGTCAATTCGTTGCCGGTCAATTCCATTCTCACCATTTCCTAGAGGGTCATCTGCGGACAATGAAGAGTCGGGGCGATCTTGTGTTGAAGTCTATCATGAGTTCAACATCTGAACTCCTCTGGGCAATTCACAAGCCTTACAGGAATAGTGGAGTTGTCGTCAGTCAATTCAGGAGTTTCGTAAATATCTGGTGCAAGATCCTGGTTGAATATTCATCAATTAGAACAAGGATGGCTTTATCAATAGATGCAGGACTCACCAAGTCAGGAAGGCCTGCATACTTGCGAATGCCAGACATCTGATCCGGCTACTGCTAGAGCCAGGCGCTCTACATGATCATGCTTGGGGCAGGCGCGCTCGTTTGCAAGCTCTGGAATTTTGGATGCATGCACGTCGGATTTCGAGGCTATCTCCGGCACGCTAAGTCGCGAGAGGCACGCGAATCAAGCTCACCTTTCGTAACCTTTCGTCAACAACGACTATACATGTAGGCGGCTCCAGAGGTACTTGCGGAGGTCCGCAAGACTGTTTTCCTCCTACAGTCATCATATGTCACAATCTGATGGATTTGAATCCGATAGTGGGGGCTCGTCGAAATCGTCAGTGGATCGACGAGGACGAGCGAGCAAAAGACAATGCTTGAGCACTCCTGACGTCGATGACGAGACTGACTATGAAAATGAGAAAAGTGCCTCAGATAAATCTCAAGACATCGCATCGCAGCCTTATAGAAAAGACAATGAGGAAGATGCGAACGAGAAACCGAAATCGAAGTATAGAATTCATATACCCAAAAATCCCGAATTTCCCAAGGATGCGTTCTTCACGCAACCACCTAACAGAGCGTCTAGTCCATATAGAATTGGTCAATTCAATTGGCAGAAGCCGAGTATTCCAAGACCCTCTCCAAAGGCACAGGAAACCACTAAAATACAGTCCAAAAGTGAAACGCTTGACATCCATCACACCTCTAATAACCAAGGCACGGTAAATGGTCGTGCTAGTGGAAACCCTGCTTCTGATTTATCAAAGGCAGAGACATTCGACCTTGACGAAAGCGATGAGGATATGCTCGCTCAACTACCAGCTGATGCCTTCGAACAGTCTAACTCGTCACACCTGAACTCTGTCGACGTCAGTGACATGCGAGACAATATTTTGAAGCTTGCAGCTCCTGCTTCAAATCTCAAGCAAACGACTTTGTTTGGAACGCAAGCTCAATCTGCGCCTTCACAAACACAATCGAAACGCGTACACAATTGGCCCATGGCAAACCGGGAGGAGCCTCTCACACATCATCAAATCGATCTTGAGGCAATGAAGACCTGGGTCTACCCCACCAACCTTGGAACCATCCGAGATTATCAGTACAGCATAGTAGCTCGTGGGCTTTATCACAATATGCTCGTCGCTTTACCGACTGGGCTGGGTAAGACATTTATTGCTGCGACCATCATGTTGAATTGGTTTCGGTGGACACTCTCAGCTCAAATAGTCTTTGTGGCTCCCACACGACCATTGGTATCACAACAAGTCAAAGCGTGCTTTGAGATCACTGGTATACCGAGATCAGCTACAACGATGCTGACGGGTACCATCCCTCCAGGTCTCCGAACTGAAGAATGGCGCAGTAAACGAGTGTTCTTCATGACTCCACAGACCCTGATTAATGACCTTAAGACTGGAATATGCGATCCAAAGAGAATGGTATTGATCGTGGTCGATGAGGCACACCGTGCAACTGGAAATTACGCCTATGTTGAAGTGGTCAAGTTCTTGAAGAGATTCAACTCCAGTTTCCGAGTTCTTGCCCTAACCGCTACCCCGGGTGCATCCATCGAGAGCGTGCAAGAAGTTATTGATGGGCTGGGTATTTCTAGAGTTGAGATTCGAACAGAGGAATCTTTTGACATTCGTCAATACGTGCATCCACGGAAAATTGACACGGTATTATTCGACAATTCGGATGAAATGCTTATGGTTATGGACTTGTTCTCCAAAGCACTTCAACCGATATTGGATAAGCTCATAGGCATGAACGCATATTGGAGCCGGGATCCAATGTCTCTTACACCTTACGGCTGCACTCAAGCTCGGCAAAGATGGTTTGCGTCAGACGCCGGCCGGAAGGCAAATCCGGGTCTCAAATCCATGGTGATGACCATATTTTCTCTGCTGGCGAGTCTATCGCATGCAACTGAGCTTTTAAAATTCCACGGTATAGGACCATTCTATCACAAGGTTTTGGGATTCCGGAACCAGGTGCATGCCAATGGCAAAGGAGGAGGTAAGTATGCGAATCAGATTAATGGTAGCCAGCCATTTCAAACTATGATGTCTCGAGCACAAATCTGGATCAATACTCCGGATTTTGTGGGACATCCCAAGCTTGAATATGTGCAAAGCGTGGCGTTGAACCATTTTCTTGATGCTGGAGAGGGGAGAGGCTCCTCTGACCCAGCAAGCACCAGAATCATGATCTTTTCGCATTTTCGTGATTCTGCGGAGGGCATTGCAAGGATCTTAGGTCGAAATACGCCAATGATCAGACCCCATGTATTTGTCGGACAATCGTCGACGAAGGAATCTGAAGGCATGGATCAGAAGACGCAATTAGATATCATCCAAAAGTTTCAGAACGGAACATACAACACCTTAGTCGCAACCTCTATCGGAGAAGAGGGTCTAGACATTGGTGAAGTTGATTTGATCATCTGCTACGACGCTTCCGCCTCTCCCATTCGGATGCTGCAGAGAATGGGTCGTACAGGACGTAAACGGGCGGGAAATATAACAGTCACCCTCATGAAAGGCAAGGAAGAAAATAGCTTTATAAAAGCAAAAGACAATTATGAAAAAATGCAAGTGGAAATAGCATCAGGCGCTCGTTTCAATTTCCATGATGAAGAATCTCGAAGGATAGTTCCTAAGGACATCCATCCAGCTGCTGACAAGAGAATCATTGACATTCCACTGGAGAACACTCAAGCAGACCTTCCTGAACCGACGAGAAGAGGTAGACCGCCGAAAAGACCGCCGAAAAAATTTAACATGCCTGACGGTGTGCGGACTGGCTTTGTCAAAGCCTCCAAGATCGCTGGTAACAGTGACAGTAGTACCCTCGGTGCCGACGATGATATTCAGTGGAAAACGCGGGCTAGTCCCCCCAGCCCTATCTCAGTGCCTCTTCTAACCGACGTACTTCTTTCCTCGTCTGAAGAGAAAATGTTCGAAAGAAAGTACTTGGATGTTTCAGGAGACGCTTCACAGGTAGTCGAAGCGCCAAGGATGCACACGTTTCCAAGCCTACAGAGACGTCTTCGGCCAGTCAAGAATATACCTCACAGTCACGCTACGGATATTGCTACTAAAGCTTTTGACGCCATGCACATGATGACCATGGAAAGAGCTGCTTCACTGAAGCGTCAATTGAAGCCTCAGGACTGTAAGATAGGAGAGGCCCAAGCCGTACAAAGAGCTGTCGCCATTGCGGCTTGTCAAAGATCAACAATTCCTGCAAAATCAAAACACCGGGGATCCACAATCGATCTTTCCTCGCCAGCGGAACAAAGCTCAGCAGTCGCAGTAACTAAAGACAGGATTGATTCCGATGAGATTGCAAGTGATGAAAGTTTAAATGCTGGGGACGACGATACGCTTGATGGGGGTGGTTCCTCGCGGTCACTGCCTTCCCTATCACTCAACGATACTGTAGAATCAACCTTCTTGGCGAGGCAGGAAGCCTTAACTTGCCCGGACCTAGATGAGGAATTGCCCGGACTCGCAACAATATTTACAGGTCAAAAAGAAAGCAGCAGGAGCTTTGGTGAACGGCGACGGGTTAGACGTGTAGTAGCGGACGATAGCGACGAGGGATGAGAGTGTGATTCGATGATCAGGAAATGTTCAGGACGAGCTCAGTCCAGATCACTGACCGTCGATGTGTTTTGTTTGCGGATTTAGCTTATATGATACCCTTTTGCGCAACGTGGAAGGAAGACTTTATGCATTACACCCTGACTTAGACTTAATCAAGAAAATTGAGCTGTGACGAGCGTAAGCGTACGACAAATAATGTTACTGCGGTAAAATCTAAAAGTAAATTTCGGTCGATAAATCTTGCCACTTCGCTGCAAATAAAATGGCGACGGACCAATTCGATAGCGCACTGTGAGTATATTGAATCTCTTCGCATAATCAGCCTCAACGTTGTCCCGCTCATGCAGTTCCACTAGCGACCTTCTTCGTCGCCTGCCCCCCTCTTCAACAGCCTCTTCCCTTAACAAAATATGCTCCCTTGCCCCTGACTTAACGGAGGAGCTCCTTTCTTCGGTCGATCAGCCTCTAGAAGTCCGCCGCTGCAAGAAGAGCGGTCGCGATTATCTGCTATGCGATTACAACCGCGACGGAGATAGCTGGAGGAGCCCGTGGAGCAACGAATTTGAATATCATGGAATTGGAGTCTCTGGGGACGACGAGGAAGAGGGAGTGAAGCCTAGCGAAAGAGTCAGGAAAATGGAAGTTGCCATGGGGGAGGGGATTGATGTGTATCGGGAGCTGTAAGTGCTTTAGAATCTGAAATACATCCTGCGATCTTAAAGCTAGTCAGCGCTCCATGAAGTTGTTCTCATCCTGACGATTAAGATCATATTTGAAGACGAAGCTGAGCATTTGCCTGGTAGATATTACGAAGGCGGGGTGAGTAGTGTCTACTTCTGGGATCTTGACGATGGTTTCGCTGGAGTAGTTTTACTGAAGAAATGTAGGTCGCTACGTGCTCTAACGGTTGAGTATCAACGAGAGATTTGACTGACTCATTCGTAGCAACACCAAAAGCCCAAAGCGAAGGGGGCTGGGACTCTATCCATGTGTTTGAATCGGTCGACAGAGCACGATCGGCGCACTACAAACTCACAAGCACGGTCATACTACGATTGAGCACTACAAGCGATGCATTAGGGGACATGGATCTCAGTGGGAACATGACACGGCAGATTGAGCAGGATTTGCCTGTGATTGACGATTCGGGTCATATCATGAATGTTGGCAAATTGGTGGAGGATATGGAACTAAAGATGAGAAATCTGCTGCGTATGATTCCTTCTCGTCGTGTTTGACCAGTAGGTTCCCGACTCTGACCTCTGATCAGAGGAAGTATATTTCGGAAAAGCTAAAGATGTGGTGGGTGATTTGCGAAGTAAGTTTGAGCCTGGATTTCACTTGCAAGGAAGATTTTGACCAAACTGCAGGTATCCTCCCTTTGACAGAAGCAAACCGAGACAAAGCTAGCCACAAAGAGATGATAGACTCGATGAGAGGGTGATGCAATTCGAAATATTTTCAAAGAGTATTCTCTGAATCATGGCGTCTGAAAATCTCCAGATCACAAAAGAGGGACAAACCGTAGCGGGCTGTAAGTACTCGCTGGATTAACGATGTATGTGTAAAGACTTGTTTCGGCAAGGATCAGGATTGAGGCGGGTAAACATATGAGCAAAAAGAGTCGGTAGTCACATGCATGCCCAACTCATCCTTAAGACTTGAAACAGCCCATTTAAATCAAACCCTTGACCGTGGAGCAATAGACCTCCCTTCGATTTCTTAAAATTCTTGGCACGCTCATTGAGCTAGCATGTAGACTGCTACGAGGCAACAAACAACGTAGGGTTTCGATCGAGAAACGTCGGTATATGTAGCGTTTTGATAGTCTGTCCTGTCATATGAGTCTTGAGTATCAGTGGATTTGTAAGACTATATCGCAACATAGCACGGTAGTTCTTGCAAAGTTTTGTGGCCAAATATCATTATGGGCGAGGATCAGGGCAGGTGGTGTCGATAAAAGGGAATGTTCCGATATCAAAGCCCTGCTCTTCTGCTGCTCACATGACCGTCCCGTTGTCAGTGCATGTTCTAGATACAAAAGAAGAAATAGAAGTACCTTGAATGCATGTGAAATGGGTGGAGGTTGATGGCATGTAGTCAAATTTGGCAGCGGATAGATTAGCGCCCTTTGGATGGTGGCAGGAAACGCATTGGTGAGAACCAGCACATGGCATCTACTATTCATTCCACTCAAACCTGCACACAGTCGTTGTTTTCTCAAAGCGGTGCATGACACGTGAGACGGCGATGCAAGTGTCTTTGATGAAGAGCAAGATGTAATTTTTGATGAGGTGTACTGCAACTATTCCTGACTAGTGCCGCTCCCGAGTAAGAGGAAACCTTTTATATCTCTAAATGTATGTTAACACAGAGCAAACAGATCAAATCAGTTCGTCCACTCTGACCATTTTTGCGTCTTATAATACCCTGGAATCTTTTGTAATGGTTGTCTAGAAGATGGCTGCGATTTCCAATACGCCCACCATGACTGCGCCTCTCGACAAGGAGCTCGGCTTAAATGCGTCTAGCAGTCAAGATATGGCCAACAAAAGACCGGATTTTATTCAGACACACAGCATTGGTGCTAGTTTCAGCAACATGATTGCCCAGGCTGGACCAAAACCGGCCAAATATCAGAAGACCAAGTCTAAGAAGCGGCCTCCTGAGCAAGCAACCGCCCAAACCAATCCTTTTGATAAGTTCAACACGCCTTCTAATCACTTCTCACTGAATCAGCCTCAAAATCATCGGCCTGTGACGTTCGGTGCCCGACAAATGCAGAACCAGCAGTGGCAAATGCCATTGAATCCGTTCAACCGCTCGCCTTATGGCCCATCTAGTCCATTACTGTCCCACCAGGAAACTATGGACTATGAGCCGCAGGTGAAGCAAGAACCTGTGGAAGACGACTACTCTGAGGAAATGGAGCTTAGCTCTGGTTCTGAAGCTGAAACTCCTGTGGCAATATTCCGTCCCGATGGGAACCTCAAGCATTTGCCGAATGATACATCTATCAATCTGAAGCCGGCAGATACGCGAAAGGTAAATGATTTATCAGACTGCATGGATTTGAGTTCTGGCCCTGAAGCTGCAAGTGGATCGCCGAATGAAACGTCTGTAAGTCCCAGAGAGAGCATGACACCTTTCAACGATTCTGCAGCATCATCTCATACATCCACAATGTTATCAAATGAAGCAAAGGTACCTCCAACAGAATCTGATCGAGGTGAAATTTTCGAGGATGATCAATCACCCCACTCAGATACATCCACGCAGCTTACCTCTGCCACATCAATAAGGAGATCAGAATTCGATCTGTCGAATGAACACCAGAAAACTTCTGCTGGGAGCCGCATGCCACGCAGGAAGAAGTTGAACGTCTCGGAACGGCCGCCGAAGTTGGCAGCGTCCGAAAGCCTTGCGTCACCAACTGTGGCTCAGCAAGGTATTCATGCCGCTTATGCATCGAGATTGAATCCATTTGCATTGCATCATGAAGAGTACAAGTTTCTGAAAGACCATATCTGCCATGGTCAAGTCACGGCATATCTGAATATTCGTAATCGAATCTTGCGCTTATGGGTGAGAAATCCACTTGTCCAAGTGACAGCCGAAGAGGCTGTGGGATGTACTTCGACGTCAAGATGGGTAGGCATGGCAAAATTTGCTTATGAATGGCTTGTGAGGAGAGGCTACATAAATTTCGGATGTCTCGAGATACCTTGTCCGCCAGATTTACGAGTCAAGAAGTACAAACTTAAGCGTGCGAAGCGAAAGACTATTGCAATCGTCGGTGCAGGGATGGCAGGCTTAGGTTGTGCTAGGCAACTAGAAGGTCTGATACATCATTATCAAGAAAGATGGACAACTGCTGGAGAAGAACCACCCAACGTGATTCTTCTAGAAGGCCGCAATAGAGTTGGTGGCAGGCTCTACTCTCATCCGCTGAAGAATCAAAATGCCCAAGGTATACCAGATCGGCATCGATGCACAGCAGAGATGGGCGCCCACATCATTATTGGCTTTGATCATGGCAACCCACTGAGTATGATAATCAGGGGTCAGTTGGCTGTGCATTATCATACATTGAGAGATAACTCTTCTTTATACGACATAGATGGCAGAGTTGTTGATGGGCAACGCGATCGGATGGTTGAAGCATTGTACAATGATTGTTTGGACAGGGCAAGCGCTTATCGGCACAGAATACCTCCTCCGATTACAGTAGAAGGGGACCGCACTCTCATAGAGCAAGGGCAGGATCCCGGCCATGTGACTGGTCCGTCGATCTCTGAGGTGGAAAAGGAGAACCCAAATATACCTAACATTGAGAACCATGACGGCACTGAAAGTGTGCCAGGTGGAATGGACAAGCTGACTGGAAAGGCACATATGATCATGGGACCTCGAAAGAAGGAGCCGCCAGCAGTTGCGGCTGAAGCCATGGGATGGAAACTAGGAGAACATGTGCTCTCCTATGACGATCTAAACTTGGATGCTGTTGCTCGGTCGTCCGAAAATCCTACTCTAGGGGCAGCTATGGACGAGGCTGTCAAACAGTACAATTTCCTCTTGGATCTAACGCCACAGGACATGAGACTCATCAATTGGCACTATGCAAATCTAGAATATGCCAATGCGGCAAATGTAGGAAAACTAAGTCTAGGCGGCTGGGACCAAGACGCTGGAAATGAATTTGAAGGAAGGCATGCTCAGGTCATCGGTGGTTACCAGCAAGTCCCGAAGGCTATTTATGAATTGCCAAAGAAACTTGACCTACGTACTCGGCAAACCGCCAAGCGTATTGAGTACAACATATGGAGCGGCAATGCCAAGACACCAGGTGCGAAAATCCAATTAGATGGCGGCGATACAATAGACGCTGATCATGTCGTTCTGACCTCCTCGCTTGGAGTGCTCAAAGAAGATGCCATTGAGTTTTCGCCGCCGTTACCGCCATGGAAGAAAGGAGCAATCAACCGTCTCGGATTTGGACTTTTGAACAAATGTATTCTTGTTTATGACGAGCCATTCTGGGACATTGATCAGGACATGTTCGGCCTCTTGCGGGAACCAGAGGATAAGGAGTGTCATGATAGCACTGACCAAGAAGATTATGTGACCAACAGAGGGCGCTTCTATTTCTTCTGGAATTGTATCAAGACCTCAGGGCGTCCAGTACTCATATCGCTTCTGGCCGGTGACGCTGCCTATCAAGTTGAAGACACTTCTGACGCAGAGCTTGTCACGGAGGTGACAGAAGAATTGCAAAAAGTGTTCAAGAACAAGAACGTTCCGTATCCGGAAGAGTGTATTATCACAAGGTGGGCTTCAGATCGTTTTGCACGCGGTACATATTCATACGTTGGAGCCGAGTCTATGCCTAGCGACTATAATTATATGGCGGCTCGGGTCAATAATCTACATTTTGCCGGAGAAGCCACATGTGCAACACATCCAGCAACTGTTCATGGCGCTTATATTTCAGGCCTCCGAGCCGCCTCGGAGATTATAGATGATTTACTTGGACCTATCGAGATATCAGAGCCGCTTGTCACCTCGACCACACCAGTTCAAGCTGAACCTCACTCTCAGTACCCTGTTCCTCCGTCTCAACAACCACGTCCGGCTGAGACTAGAGTTGATGAAGCTTTAAAACCATACAAACCCCGGCTCGAGAGCTTTGAAGCGGAGATTATCAACGCCATCCATAAAACCCTGGGTTTAAAGCCACAGCAACCGAAAACCCCCCGCCCCAACGCGTGGCTACTCTACACTGCAGAGCATTGGCAGGCAGTAAAATCGACTCTCGGCTTGGAAAATTCTAGCAGTATGCGTGAAAAGGTACGACTCGCTATGGGTGTTCAATGGAAAGCACTTTCAGAGGAAGGGAAGAGGCCGTACATTGAGCGGACACAGAAAGCCAAGCAAGAGGCCCAGATAGAGCAATTGAATTACAGGAAAAGAGTAGAAGATTGGGATGCGCAGGCGATCGAAATCCGAAGGCAATATATCAATGACCATCCAGGGGTGTTGACCGAGCAAGAGGAACAAGAGATGTGGGCTAATTTGCAACAAGTTCTCTAAAACCAAGGTAGCGAGAGGAAGGTTAAGAAGGCGAGCCGGTGAGCAGATGTGAGGGAAGATGATCGTTTGATGGAGCTATGAAAAATTAGCAATCATTTTAATCAAGATCATCGACGCCGATCAAAGGTGTTTGGATGGGAGACAAGCCTTTCGTCAAAGGCCTTCGGTCTTCGAATAAATATTCTTTGCCAGCGTGATATTGTGTATAAGTACCTAGCCAAACCTCTTGCTTTTATGAACACGCTCGAGGTTGTGCTAGCAGATCTATCTATGTTATTAATTCAGATAGTGTATGTTATAGGCGCGAGTGAATCCGTGGTACAGCCCGTAGCAGCGTTCTGTCAAGATTACCTAAGAAGTTATTTGGGCGTCAAGGCCTGTCGTCTTCTATTCCATTTTCATCAGGCTTGACTATCCCTCTTGAAATATGCTCTTCTTTTTTGAACGGCTTCAGCCTCTGCAGAATGTATAATCTCGGCTCCAGCTTCATTCGTATCCACCAGCCGCCAGTAATCCGGCTTCTCAATAACCTCTCCCAGATCTCATAGAAATCAACCCAATGCTTGATCGACCAGCTCTTCACGATGACATCGATCACGTCTCTTCTATCGATTATTTTATCAGAGGTCTTCCAATCATCATCATCTGGTGTCGACACCCTGAATCCAGCAATTCCATCCACCACGTTCAAAGTCTCCCACTGCCCAAGTATTCTATCTGGCCGCTCTGCAATCGCAAAATCGACTTCCTCCCAGAACATCGCATCTAACAATCTCCCCTCATCCTCTTCCTTATCATACACCCATGTCACCTTGCCTCTTCCTTCCTTGGCACTTTCAAACCCCCCTAAAGACGGTGGTCTTCGTTCCGAAAACCTCGTGATCCCCGTCATACAAGCCAGCGTCCCCAGATGCACTCTTCTCACACCCACCACCTCCTCCGTCTCATCCATCAGGGTATGCAACCTCTCCAACGCCACGCCGCCCGGGTAATTCATTCTCGAAATTGCACATAATCCCACGCTTGCCGCAAAGCTTGCGAGTGTACTTGCAACCAGGGCTAAAGCCAGTAAGCGATAGACGGCATTCTTCGAGCGGCGCGTCCAGATCCAGGAGGCTCCGGCACTTGCGACTGCCAAAAAAGGAGGGACAGTGTACACAATGAAGCGCCACTCCTTGTGCGGCTGAAAGCTGTAGATTATGATATAGAGAATGTTCGGGACGAGTATGTCAAGGGCAGGACGCCGCAGGATGGGAATGCTGAATGTGAATGGGAGAAGAAGTAGGTGGAGAGGGTTGAAAATCAGCCGTGGGAGAGAGGAGGTGAAGTAGAAATGGTAGGGTGAGGTGCCCCAGTCACTGGACTTTTTGGAAAGAACGTTGTAGGCGAAGGCGGTAAGTTCGGGCCAGAGAGGATGAGTGGAGCGCCAGAAGAATGTGTCGAGAGTCAGAGTAAGTGGGAGGGAGAGGAGGGCGCCAAGGATGCCCGCGCCGATGATGGAGGGATTCGGGAGATCAATGTGCGGGTGAAGGTGTAGGTAGACTGTCTGAGCGAAGAGGAGGATGGCGAGTTCGGAGCGGAATACTATAGTTGTTGCTGTGAGAAGGGTGAGGGCTTTCCGTTGTTGGTCTCGACTGGTTCGGGAGGAGGGACTACGTCCGGCTTGGGGTAGCAGACTACGCGCTGCGAGCGTAGCTAATGATATTGTAAACGTTGGTGAACGTATCCTTTGAAACATGAAGGCTTACTTAGTCCAAAGGCGAAGAAATTTGGCAGCGTCCGTGACGCATAGTACATGATATGGAATTGACTCGCTTGGAATACGGCATACCAATTGGCGGCATTTCTACCAAAGCTTTTCGTAATGCCATTGCGGAAAGAGATCATGCAATACGCGTTGAAGAGACCAAGGACAGCTCTGACTAATGCAAATGGAAGTCAACGAAATGAGGTTGAGGTATTGATGTCAATCATGGCATTGCTTTTGCTTTTGCTACTCAAGTGAGTCTTACCGATGACCTGCCTACTCAAGCCCCACTGAAAGGCTTGATTGATCCATATAAAGGGCCAGCAGGCGCCCGCGAGGGCGACAGGCCCGGCAAATGTCCTTGGGATGGGGCCCGTGAAAGTCAGATGATCGTATTGCTGCGGAACTGCAGGCTTCCTATTCTCCCATTTGATTCCATACGTCAAGATATCATGCGTAGCTTGAATATTGAATGATTCCTCCACCTTTGTGAAGGGCGCAAAATAGAGATGAAACAGTATCGATATTGGGATTAGAAGAGAACACAGCGCATCTGTCATGGTATGTTAGCTTAGGTTACGTGCAATGTCCATGATAGTGAAGATTGAAATCACCTATCAAGCGTCTCATGATTTGCAAACAACTCCACGCAGAGCGTGAATATAGAACAAAAGGTTAAGGTAGTCGTCTAGAGCCAAGGCTTGGCAATACATATCTCCCGTCCCTCGGAGACTGCTTACCTAATCAGTTGGTCGAGGGCCAACTATTTGCCTCTCATGATTTACAGAGTGAAGACATGCACTACTAATATTTTGTCATTGATTACAAAGTTCTTCTACGTCTTGCTAGGACCCCCAGGAGCTGAGAAGTCAATCTATCATCATACCTGGACGTCCAGAAGACGAATGGTCACATTCAGCGCTCGATAAACGACGAAAGATGAAGACTGCTTTACGAGAACGGAGAGTGGACAACTCTGATGCACAGAGAACACATCAGCGTGTACTTGATTTGTCATACATGCGGTATCACATTGGTCCAATCAATGCACTCATAGACGCTGGCAGGTGAGGATCTTAAAGCCACAAGACAGGCAATAAGTAGGTATCCACGCGCCACAACGTACAACGCAATCAAATTCCACGTCCAGATCTTCTCAAATTTTGTGCTTGTACTGGCCCACCGGAAGTGCAATTGCTCGAGAGTTTTGGTTGCGACGGACACGCAAGGCATTATCGCAGGAGTCACAGTCGTGACCAAGCTGGTGGTCCGCCACAAGATCTGCTCAGCCGTAGTCGTAAACCGAAGATTCCAACCAGCGGTGTGGATTGCACCAAGCACGCACCCCAATATGCAAGTGGTCCAAAGATCGTAACTCCAACCCATGAGTCCATTGAACGCCGAATCTTCACGACCCGCTAGATAAGAATTGTCGACGTGCTCTGTTGTCTCTCTGATTGGGCGGACATGAGTTTCGAGCATTATTATGTCGGCTTTGGAAATCTTCTGTCCACTGATAACATGACAGGTCTTGACATCAAGCGGCTTGTTCATCCAGAAGAAAAAGACAATGATCGAGCACATAACAAAGCCGGCAGTCGTGACTTCGAGCGGTGTGATGTCCATACGTTTTGCAACGCGGACGATGCATTGCAGCAGGAACCAGCTTACTTGCAGGCATGTGAAAAATTTCAGGAGGGGGTCTGCTTTGCTCCGATCCTCGATTTCTTGACGACAGATTGTAAAAGGATGTACATGTCCAGTCTCGACGAGCCATTTCAATTCTGCGTTGGTCAACGCCCGTCGGCCCCCTTCAGCAATGTCGATAGCAAATCCGCCCATGTTCCCATAAAATCCATGAACAAGCGTCCAATCCTTGAAGCCGAGTTCTTGCATCTGCTTCACGGATCGGGAAGCTAGAATGAATTCAATTACGGCATCACCCAATATATATTCTGGAGCGACTGCTGTGACGGCCATCCATTTCAGCTTGGTCAAATAAGTTTGGCGCCAGCTTGACTGTTGGGGGGTATGTTCAGGTGGAGTACAGTCCAGGTACAGGCTACGAAGACGATGAGAGTGGACCAAATGATATCGATTGTACCACGAGTATTGGGTTGATCGACCCAGCCAGCTCGCGATTGATCTACTTTTGTCATTGCCTGTCATACGTATGAATCCTTGTCACTTGTAGTTATGAGGAGCCGATCGTGTATACGGTTGCGCATCAAATAGAGGGTCAGCGACCCAGAAGAAGGCTGCAGTAAGACTTTTCCAAAGTGATTGAATACATCACCTTCGCAAGGCATGAAAGTCGATTGCGCCACCGTGGGGCAAGGTCATTTCGCCAGCTCAAAGCCCATCGTAGCTTTGAGCAGCCAAATATGTCACGAGCCACTCGCCTCGAGCGTTTGTAAAGAGTGGAAGAGCTGAGCCCCGAGCGCGATAGCTAGAATGCCACGCTTACTCAAAGTACAAAATAGTCACTTGGACTAGCCGGATTGGTGGAAGATCCTGCCGTGATCTAACCAGAATAGATATCGCAATCTGCCTTGGATGCTTAGCTGTTGACTAACCAGAATTGGAAAGAATTTGGCTTCAGAAGTTCAGTGATTGCGAAGCTACGTTCTCTTCAGGCTACACGCGGTTCGGGATAGTCGAGGCACAATAGTCTCAAAGTCTCATAACAATTCGCAAGGACTTTAAAGTCCGGTTTGCGTATGCCGTAAATTAATGTGCCGTTGATGGGGGCAAGATTTTGGCCAGCCCGGAATATGGATGAAATCAACAAGAAAAGCGACAGCGCTAGAAGATCAGCTTAAAAATCACTGACCCCAGTATGGTTTCTTGTAGGCCCGGCTTTGCTATCAAGCAATGTACCATTCGCAGCGAGCTGGATGACATTGTTCGGTGTATGTGGCAATCTTTCAGAGATCCCTATCATCCTTGGATAGGCATAGTTGCTCCAGTATTTGGCGAAACAGATCATGACAACGAGGTCGCTTTGCAAGGCCACCAGCAAAGGTGCTGGCAGGCCTTTGAAGAAGACTCGGAGAGCACATGGCTGTACGCCTTTGACCTCGAGAAGAAGGCTATCGCAGGCGCCGTCGAGTGGAAAGTCTTTTCGAAGGCGCCCTACGACGAAGACTTCCCAAAACTGAAGGCCCCTTGTGAGTTCACCATGAGGGACGAAATGAAACCAGGTGGGCTTAAGTTCGTCAGGGTGGCCTGCAGGGGAGAGGAGACAATTTGCGGAAATGTGCCTCAATCAAATGAATGATCCCAGAGCCGTTGAAATGAACGAGCCGCATACTTGTAAGTGTTTGCCAAGGATCAGAAACAGTCTGTTCGTTGAATTCACCATTTAGTACTCGAAACTATGTTTGTCCATCCGGCATATAGAAGGCTTGGCCTTGGAAGCTCTCTTATGCAGTACGGCATTGGAAAAGCAGATAGTCTTGGGATTGCTTCATTCATAGAAGCATCGCCTATGGCACGGCCCCTTTACGAAAGGTGTGGATACCGAACGCTCTACGAGAGCAGGATCAATCCTGCTGTATCAAATCCTAGTGATCAGTGGCTGAAATTGGAGCACGAATTGACCTCATTCGTGTGGTTACTGATGGTCAGACCACCTCAAATGCCTTCATGACTAACGTCTAAAGCGGCTGCACAAGAACTTTCGCCCTAAGGCCAGTGATGGAAATTCCAACGCATTATGGTCGAGCCCGAAAATCCAACAATAGAGAACTTAGAGCTCACAAATCAAACCCCAAGGCTTCCTTTGGTGAGAAGTCTCGGTATACTCATTGTCTCCGCTCAAAGTCCACGGTATTGATGGGTCACGACCTGGTCAATTATTTAAAGCTCAAACCATTGCAGTATCCGCCGTTGCCATTATTCCACAAATTCACTGACCTTAAACACTGGATGTCTAGGCGCTTCAGGCAATCCTCTCCTCGCCATTTCCTGGACCCACGGCACGCCAACGCTCCACCAACAATGCCTTTCAGGCTTCAACCATTCGTTCTCCAAGTATTCTCTATCCAACGTACTAGGTAATTTCTCAAGATCAGCATAGTTCTGACATCTTTTCAAATTCACAAGCCAGCGCTCAAAAATCATCACTATGAAACCCATCGCTAAGGAGGTCGAGTATGCTTACCCCAATACCACGTCGAAAATGTCCGGAAACCCTTCCACCATAGGCCAAATGGCATAAAACAGGTTCGTGCCACAATTCCCACAAAAAGTCCTCGTCCTCTTCTCCGAGCTCCCGAACCAACGCACCGTACTCCATTCCGGCTGCGGGCTCCCCACTTTCAACACCTCCATCGCCTTCGCCCAACCCGGACCATCATCAGCGCCTTCCTCAACACCTACATCACTTTCTCCCTCATGACTTTCCTTGCCATTTTCCCCATCAATTTCATACCTTGGCGCCTTAGGGTCAGGTTTGGGAGCAGGACGCAGAGAAAGTGTCAGCATGTCCGCAGGCGCACAGATCCAAACGGGCAGGATAGAGCCAGTGGCACGACGGCAGTCATTGCAATGATCAGTTGCTACCATGGGGAGATGAGCAGGGTGATCAGGTGTGGCGAAGGGATTGAGTGGGCGAGAGGAAAGGGGCGGGATGGCGATGCGGTAGCGGATTGCACGGCAATTGCAGCCGCCATGAATGGTGAGCGCGTGGTTGGGAAGCGGCATTGTGCGGCTCGTTCGAAGGCGGTTTGGGGAGCGATTTGTGATCAGTTGATGAGACAGAGTGTGTTGATATTGTTCAAACCCAGAATGATGCTGAGAAAGTCTCTAGCTGTCTTATAAGTATAGGTGAAGACGAACGGAACCTGAGTTCCACATTTTGGCTATTCCCAGCGTGTGATCTAACAAGCAGCAGCTCTAGTCGATGTCAAGGATCCAATCCGAGGATTGACATCTCATTGCGCACCAGGCTAAACTTATTTCAGGTCACGCTGGCTGTCGAGTAGGGACTGGAGACTTCGAGTCTACTGCTACTGATGGGATCAATAAGACTGATTTACGGCTCCCAGCGTTACTGTTCCAATGCGGAGCCGCCGAAATACCGGCTTCAGACAGCTCTACCGAAAGTCATTGATGAACTTTTCACATTCAATCATAACCCTACAAAAACTCCAATCCAGGTTCTTATCTAGACTACAGTCACGATTGCGTGCTCAAGCTATCTCCTTGCTTCCTCTCGCCTTTCGCGAGCTCAAAAGTCTGCAAATCGTACTTTGCCGATAGATCCCCATGCAAGCCTGGCTTTGTGAAACCTGCACTGGATGACGAAGACGAGCTGCGCTCTAAATCCGCATAAGCGTTTGCGGTCCCATCGCGTCGGCTGCTGCCCTTCGAAGAACCTTGAGAGGAACGGAGGGAAAGGACGCTGCGAACGCTGTGCACGGCTGATTGAAGAGATTTGGCTGTGAAGAGGGAGCTGAGGGATGGGAGGCAGGCTGCTATGATGGCAAGACCGCTCTCCAGGGTCGACCAGTACATGGAAAGTGTGAGGACTTCTGTTGGGAAGGATAAGCCCGGTTTCTGTGCTATGTCTTGTCTCAAGGAGCTAATTACGTACGATTCTGATCAACTTCCTCTTGAGCAAGTGCGGCTTTCTCTAGTTGAACATAGAGAACGAGCCTAGCAATGGAGGCGGCGATAGCCCTACACATTGCTGTTAGTGAAAAAATCTTAGTCTATACTACTTGAGTCTTACGACAGGCCGAGTATCATGATGAAAGACACTTGTAGCTTTCTCGTCACCGTCATTCGCAGTGTCCATATCTTTGCATGGTCAGCTGATCGAATCTAAGATTGATGGCTCTGGCAAGCAGACTCACGCTTGGGAGTGGAAGAACGAGAAGAAACACGTCGAGGATCAAGTCAGAGGCCGTCAATCCCTCTTCACTGGTGTGGCCTATCGCCTGGCAATACTTGAGCTGGCTCGCTGGTGTCCCCCAATTCGCGTACAGATGCGAACCACATGGAAAGATGATTATGAGAATGAAAGTAAATGACCATAATACTAAAACAACGTTCATAACAGTGGTGGTAATTTCGAACACTGTTCGCTTGTGGGTGACGAATATGCGTCTGTAGAAGAAGACAATGCTAGTCTTGATGAAGCCATAGCCAATCACCATGAGGAGTTGAAATGCAAATTGCAGCTATGACATCGATGAGTTCCTTGTGTCTACTGGCGGTAGTCTTGAACTTACCTTTCCAATTAATTCTGTAGACGGTGGATTATATTCGAGCAGCTCTGCTTTCGTAGCTGTTTTGGGAGGCATGGGGGTAGGATATCCCATAGCGTGTCTCGCAGCGCCTTTTCGTATGCTTAGACACCTAGAAACTGCATTTGCATAGATCTTTACTCACCATCTATTATACATGCACCCATACCGATCAGACAGATCTGAGATTCTCCGTTAATATCTTCTGAGCGCAACGACATCCACAGATAGACTCACTACACCACCCAGTATAAGCCAGTCGTCAATGCCTGGCTGTACTGACTGTCGTGTCCGCGTATAGAAGCGTGAAGCAACGATGCCCATGCAGACGAGCGGCAGCGTGACGCCCATTGCAATTGTCTCTGCTGCGTCGACATATTTGAAAGTGAAGATGCTCTTTGTTGACGACGCCATGGTGCCAACTACAGTTGCAATTCTCGCATACAATGGGTGTTCACGGACCAATTGACATACTTATCATCAAAGCATGAAAGCAATGACGAAGGCGGGCATGAAACTATCAATAACAAGAAAGGCCTGAGCCTCTAAAGCCACGGATCTCAGCATGCATTAGAGCTGCAGCCGGAAAGAAGCCTGGTTGACCCTGCGTTAAGCATATTGTTGCATTGAGCAATTGGAGTCAACCGGCCTCCTTGCCGAGTCACAGGTGTCGTTATCATTTGGAGAGGGTGGTGGGCTTACCCCACGCACCTAGTTCATCATCACCTCATCGCCTCAAATGAAGCAAATGCAAGGGATGTTCTCACCGGAGGTTCACTGGAAAAAGTAAGGGTCTCGTCAGGTTGTTATTTGAAAGGCCGGAGGATTCGCCGGCCATGAGTGCTAAAGTCGCATAGCAGTGACGTCAATGCTAGCAAGTAGGGACATGCGCAGCTTCCGGAGTACATGTTGAACGAACGGCGATCATCTTAGGTACGCTATCATTCGTGAACAAGAGCTTGATTGATGGAAGATAAGAATTCGAGTAAAGCCTGACGCCTAAGCTTTGGCAAGCTTTCCGTCTGACGCTTTACGGCACGACCCAACGCGAGCCTTGGGCACCTCAAACGAAGAATGAACTAAGCTTCGATGACCTACAGTGGCCGGCATGAAGAATAATTGAGGAAAGGGAAAGCGACGCAGATCAGTTGTATGGCCAGGATCTCTATGGCGATTGGACCATAGGTGCAACGCAAGGCCGGCAACTCTGGACTTCTCCCGATTATCCTAGACAATTGTGACTTTAGCACAATCGCTATCGTTGCGAAATGGTCAGGATGAGGATTCCAAAAACCCGGACAAAGTATGAACATCGTCGATCCAAGATTTGACAATCCTTGCCCTCATATTATCCCACCCCCTGTACAAGACAGCCGTTCTTCCTTGACGTCCCAAGGATACATCGACACCAACTCGTGTTCCTCGTTCCCATAATCGCAAAGAATGCAGCTCTCTACTTTCGTTGTTGCCCTTCTGGCCTTTGCACCGCTTGCCACGATGGCTCCATTGCCTGGTAAAGGCTGCAACAACCCTTTCCAACTTAGAGGTTCTGGCTGACGACCTACAGCGGCAGATGCGATTGCAGCGGCTTATGCTGTAGGCTGAAGATCCAGACATGCCCCGACGACGAAGCCTTACACTGACGTTGATCCTGTAGGAAGCCGAAGCAGAGGCTCATGCTCTTATGGAGTATCTAAGGCGACCTCAATCGCCGACAGCCAGCATTGTGTAGGCTGAGAGGGAAGTTTGACTTGTGGGAACGGTGCGGGTGGCCCAGAAACCCTTCGAGGATCGTGCAGTAGCTGTGCGGTCAGGAATTCAGAGAAGCGAGGCAGGAGCTGTGCAGAAAGTTCATGGGAGTCGTAGAAATAAGCGACGAGGTCCTGTAAAGATTTTGAATAATCAAGTTTGGAATGCAATCATATTGAGCCGTCATCCAGCGCCATAATGCGTGATTCATTGTCCATGCATTATTACTGCAGTGTTCTGGACCTACTCTTTCGCGGCTGTTGACCTTTGCTGGAGGAAGCCTTTGATCAATTATCTGCATTGGCGTTTGGTCCCATCTCGAAATCGCCAAAGACGGCATGGATTCGGTCATAATAGGGGCTTCCTTTTGGACAGTAGCGGTACCGTAACAAGGTGTCTATGTGATCAGTCTTGTTAATGTCGCGCCAGCAGCTCCAGTGTTCCCGGGTCCACTCGACCATTTTGTCCCAGTCCCGACAGCGACGATACTGCCCTACGCCAACAGAGCCTGGATGAGCACGTAACATAGAGCGTGGAGTGTCGTCAGCGGTGCACATGATGTCTTGCCGAAGGGCGTTGAAGCAGTGCATATTGTGATGCCAAGCGAGATCCAGAGGCACGTTGTCGCGGAGCTGGAAGAACGACTTACGGAGAGCAGCCTGTGGTGTAGCGCCCAAAAGGGCCATTTATTAGAAGCAATGATAAATAGATTCAGACGGCACAACTGTTGACTGATACAAGGCTATAGGGAAGGAGGAACTATCAGGACACTTACCAGGCAATGGATCTGATGTTGGCCATTCATGAAGTATAGGCCTTTCGAGTCATCCCAGGGGAAGCGTTGAGACACGGGAAGACCCATCTCCTCAACGAACGAATCATCGAGTGCAACATTGCCAGTGTCGTAGTTGATAGCCTCCCATGCGGCATTTGTCTTTTCTTCCGTATCATTGACGTAAAGGCCACCGTGCTCCCACATAATCCATTTATCCCATTTCAATCTAGCTATTTCAAACAGTATCAGCATACTCGGACCATGAGATGTGATCCGTAGATTTTAGTACCGAAGGGAGTCACGTCCGAGCTCAATTGGATTTTCTCGGCTTTAGAAGGGCCTGATGTGGAACTCGATGAATTAAAGAGAAGAACAGTATAGATGTTGCAAGCTAATGAAAGGGTAAAAGCCGCAATAAGGCTTCGAGTCACAATATTCTTTTGCCAAAAGGAAGGCTTAGGCATAGACTGATCGTTCCCATGATCGTTCCATTCATCTTGAGCGGTGGGAAGATGAGACTCTGTAGTCGTCTTCATGCTAGCTTCTGATTGTGAAAGGTCCAGTGATACAGAAGGTTGCAAGGAAATCGCAATTGAATAAACTTATCAAACGAGACAGACACTGCGAGCAGGAACAGCCACAAGTATGGTAAAAGTAGGTACGGCGAACCCGTAGTGCTTGAAGATTGCACCGACGTGCAAGGAAACGATCTGCCTCTTCAATCATCAAATATGACTATACAGTCGATAGAGTACTAAAGAAAGCATTGCGCTACTGTGCAAGTAGTGGATCAAAGCGTGGGATAGCATGGCGACTTCTACAAGCTTCAGCTCGATAGAAAGGCCAGAAAGGGTGGATGTGGGTAAAGCGCAGGCCTTAGCCGGAGCCTGACGGTCGATCGATACCGGCATACCAAACCTTTCGAACCCAAAGTCAATGCGCATCAACTGTTCATCATCGGCAGGACCCAGACTATACTAAATTAGTCGCTCGCTACGGGACGAAGCCATAAAAGACTGCAAATGGTAGTGTTGCCATCGGGTGGAAGCACCTGCAAGCCGATATGAACGGACTCATCGCCTCTTTAAGCGACGATCGCCGGCTCAATGCTTGTCTGGCAGTGGGGCAGCTTGTTCCCTCAGTGGTAAAGGATGCTTGTGTGCAAGCCAGAGATTCAGGCATCCAAGGAAGGCAGCTGACGCTCCTCCTTCCAACAATGTCATCACTGAAGGAATCCCTTTGACAAGGAACGGACATAGCGCGTTCCTTGGAGCCTACCTCGACAGAGGTTTCTTGACAAAGGTCACCCCAGGAATCTTGCATGCTTTTCTCCCTTACTCAAATGTCGTCGATAGAACAGATAGTTCCAGAGAAGACTACGCGGCACAATGAGGAAGGCACTGGACAAAAGTTGGACGTTGAAGTCACGAGCTCGCACCTTGTTTGCTTCAACAGGTCGGACGACCCATTAGACCCGCAGAATTGGCCCGCACGCAAGAAATGGTCAATGATTGGCATGATGTCTGCGATGACACTGCTTGTGTACAGTCGTGACCCAGCTTTCTACCCATTCACGGACTGCAAGGGCTGACTGACCGTAGTAACCTTGCCACGTTGATGTGCGCGCCTGCGGCTCCTGTGATTCTGGAGGAATTCTCCTCAGCAAACCGGCTTTATGAAGTCCTGCAAGTGTCCATCTGGGAGCTCGGTGAGGCGTTCGGACCTCTTCTCATAGCACCTCTCTCTGAAATGTATGGCAGAGCGCCTATCTATCACGCTGCTAATGTTCTATTTTGCATATTCTCTGTTGCTAGTGCATTAAGCAGCAGCTTGAGTATGCTCATTACATTCCGATTCTTCAACGGGATTGCAGTAGCGTCGGTTGTGCTGAACCCGTCGATCGTCGGCGATATCTTCATCACAGAAGAGCGAGGGGGTGCAATGTCCATATTGACTGTTCTACCTCTCCTTGGGCCTTGCATAGGTCCTGTTATAGGAGGATACGTTACTCAGTCGATCGGGTGGCGGTGGTTATTCTGGCTTGCTGCCGTATTCGCAGGTGTCGTCGAGATTGCATTTGCGTTCTTCTTTTGCGAAACGTACAAAGTACAAATATTGAGACGCAAAGCTAGGCTGCTGCGTAAGCAGACTGGTGATCCCATGTACCGGTCAGAGCACGATGTGGTCTTCGACCTAGCAACCTTTCTGACCACGTCCATCATAAGGCCTGTTCGAATGACGATCTTGTCGCCGATCATTTTCTTGCTGTCGCTTTACGTTGCTGTGGTTTTTGCGTACACTTACATTCTCTTCACAACCCTAACAAAGGTCTTCGGGGACAATTACCAATTCTCTACGAGCTCAGCCAGCTTGACCTTTTTAGGGCTCGGTAAGATCTACTTGGCATGTGTTGAAGCTGTTGCTGAACAATTTGAGCTGACCACAAATCAGGTGTCGGCTTTGTAATTGGCATGATCGGATGTCGTGCAAGCCTAGATCGATACGTTCAGAGGATGAAAGATAGAGGTGGCATGAAGCCAGAACAGCGCTTGCCACCAATGGTACTTGGTGGTCTTTTGGTGCCTCTCAGTCTCTTTTGGTATGGCTGGACGATTGAAAAGCACGCTCATTGGATCGTGCCAATCGTAGCAACATCGGTCCTTGGAATTGCTGTCGTTTCCACTTTGATACCAGCTTTCAGTTATCTTGTGGATGCATTTGGGATCCATGCAGCTTCAGCCCTCGCAGCCAACATTACTCTTCGCTCTCTGACCGGCGCCTTTCTACCCTTGGTAGGTCCACCATTGTACAACAGACTCGGTCTCGGTTGGGGAAGCTCGTTACTGGGCTTCATCGCATTGGCATTCATGCCTGTACCACTCATGATGATGAAATTTGGAGAGAAAATACGAAGCAAATCCAAGCTTCTGGTCACTTCATAGAGTAAACAGTGGAGCTTCTGAAGCAAGTTGGCAATCGGTATTGATGGTAAGCCTCTTTTTGGGGCTCTTTTCCTCCGCATCGGGGTCCAGCCAATGTGTGATGTAAATTACCCAAGGCATTCGTATCTTTAAGCACAAGGCTGCAATCTTGACTTCGTCCTGCAGACAACTTCAGCCCTACGACCAGATCCTCCGCATCAACTCCGCAAAAACCTTTACGCACACGCTCCCTATATCGGCCTTTGGCAGAAGACGATGATGTTTTTCGGCTTGGGGAATCTTTTCTACGGTCAGTTCTATGGTAGCCGCCATTTTGAGTGAAGCTAATTCAGGGTCACAGTTGCAATCCTTCTCGTCAACGCGGTCGCCGTGCTCTCAGAGGACAGATTTCTTGCGCGGAGTATGTTGAAAGCCCCAGCAAACAGAAAGAGGATCGCATGAGAGACAGTGAAATTGCGAAAAAACGATGTCGCTGACATGAGGCAGTTGGATGGGGAAATGCGCCAACGGAATCGGCGTTTGGGGCGAGCAATGACCAGGCGAGCGTGAAGTCAAAATTAGTGAACTTCATTTCTAGCGTTAGGACCTTGATGAGAAGTAAGTCTATCCAAAAGGTCTTTTGGTGTTGCACGAAGAGATGTCTTTCGCATGACACAGCTACCACGTTGTGCGACTGAACCGAGCTGTTGGTGCTTTGGAATGATATGGGCTGATCTGTTTCGCACACAGTACCACTGATCGTCATTAATACTCTCGTAATAGTCTACGAACTTGTTTTAGGGTGAGGCAGGAAGACTCCAGATGAATGACGGGAGATCCATGGTTTTTTATATACCCAGACCGTCTTGGTCAAAGCTTTCATGTCAGACCAAATTCAATTATAGATCTCCCACCAATTTCTCGTGGGCCACAATTGTATTAAATGGCCAGGTAAGATCTTGACAATGTACACCAATATATTGTCGTATTTATTCTCCCTGGGCAAGGTGCCCAGCCAGAGCCGTGTGTGGTCTATTCCAGGCAACTCTCTGAGGCCAACGCTTTTATTCAACCAATATTACATGTCTCCCGCAAAGTAAGCTATGACTTGGGCAACGCCGCCCAAAATTGGTATCGTGCATGTGTCTCCTCGACACCAACACCAACCCTTGTGTGAGGGGTGTATATGCAATTAAATCGTGTCTCATAAGATATTTCGAAATTGTACATGAATTATAACATCATATTCGAGGTTTTCTTTCGGAGGGAACTAAATCTGTGTTTTGCTTTGTCTGGCGGTTTTTCCACCAGCTTTGGTGTACGTTCGGAATCAAAGGGGATGTTCTCGGGTCCGTCTATGTGATTGTCCTTGTTACCGCCCAAGAACTTTGGCTTTCGAAAGCTCTTACCGGTTGCCTTAAATCGACTTAGGCCACCATTGACGGGGACCGAAGGGTTTGAATGATTTGCAATGTCCGTGCCGCTCTCTGTGGTTAATTTCTTGTCTTCTTCAACCTTGGATGTTTTGCTAGCTGCAATTGCCTGCTTTGTCTCTGATTCCTGCCTTTTATGGATTTCGCGCCGTTTTAGTTCGAAGGTCTTTCGTTTCTCTCGATCCGCCTTCTCGTCCTCCTTGGCTTGCTGCCGAGCAGCTACTTTACGCTCTTTATCTTCTTTCTGGCGCTCTTTCTTTGATTTGAGCTCGTCTGTTGGTCCTTCGGAAGTTGTGATTTGCGGTAAAGCTGTAAAATCTCCGGACGACTGCACGGGTTGTATGACGCTCAACGAAGGCTCTGAAATAACTTTGTCCAAAGGCTCAACTCGCTCGTCTGGGCTTGCAGGAGATGCCGCGCTTCTGACAGGATGGATGCTATTAAGGAATCCGTTTGCTTTGAGACCAAGGCCGGTATGTTCTTTAGGAGGATCCACATGCTTTGGGAGAAGAGCTCGTCCCTCGATTTCCTGCTCTCGCTTAACCGCTTCTTGAGTTGTCTCTTGATAGAACAATACGTATGCGCAAGCCTGTCCTCGTGAATCACCGAAGAAATTTTGCACATAGCTTTTATCTACCGGCTCGACCATCTCATCGTCAAATAGTAACCAGCCCTTGTCTTGAGTCTTGATGATTGCAACATAATGGCCGTGGTACGGGCCCCCGCCAATGTGCACGACCACAGCGTAAAGCTCGTACAGACGATCAGGATCTTCCGCGTCCTCCGTTGTGTTGAAGACTCGGAGGTGATATGGATAGACGACGCGGTGGAACAGTTTCTGGAGCCGGGTGAAGTCATCTGTAAACTTGAACCGTTTGAGGTGCAGAGCCAGAATTTTGGGTAATCTTTTAATCTTCATCCGCTTCTCCGCTTCCTGCAGACCTCCGCAGTTGTCACAGTGGAACTTATTCCTCTCGCAAAGCATCTCCTCTTCTGAGAACTTCCGCAAACATGATGTAACCGAGGTATGCTCTTCCAAATCAACTGACAAATCTAGAAAAGCTTCATCTCTTTGCGAGACATTTTCACAGGTTAAACATTTCGTCTCCGATGTCAGAGTACCTTCAAAGAGGTCGTGCACCCCTCCAGCAGGGCTTTTGCCCTGAGGCATGGCTTCAGCAAGTGCTATCTCGAACTCTGACTTTTCCACATGACCATTCAGACCTTCATGCTCCGCAAGACTCTTCGAGTGGATTTCGACCTTTTCCACCACGTCGTTCAGTAGTAAATTTAAAAACTCATGCGCGTCCTGATGTTGAGAGGATCGAAACATCTCGTTATCCCGCTTCAGTATTTCAAGAAATCTTGACGGACTAACTACCCCTGTGCGGGATTGATGTATGTAAAGCGATTCAAATATGTCTTTTAGAGAAGTGAATAGGGACTCGGACATTCCATAAGCTGATGCATTATCATAATTCAGAGCAATGGTCGGGCCTCTCGTCTGGGCCACCTTTTTCTTGTAGTCAGGGTGCTCCTTGTCTTCTGGCTTATTTGTAGCTGGTGGGCCAGCTGGATTGCGAGCAGAAGCATTTGGTGTCGTTTGGCGATTCATAAGCTTCGCGTAAGCCAGGGAAGGGTGATTGAGTGGTAGACTAGTCGTGTTGGTGTGCAATCGTTGCTGCCCAGTCGGACTGCTTATTACGGATTCCGCCGATGTTTGCGTTGGATAGCTTATAACAGAATCTCGAAAAGGTACGGAGTAATACAGACATTGCAGAATCGAATTAGCGTAACATGTGTTGCCAAAGTTCTCCAACCCCCAGAATTTATCACTTCCATCTTCTCGTATAGGGCCTGAATCGAGGAGATGTCGCTCAAGGGGTGTCAACTGTAGGGCATTTGAGTCTTTTTTGGAAGGCGCTGATCCGGAGGATAAGCTTGACGGAGTCGCGCCTGAACGTATTCGACTGAGGAAGGCTGTCATGCTTTCAGCCGAAGACGTTTGTATTATCTATATATGGCGAAGCGGAGGCGGAACGTTGGGTTGTCATGCCAGTCCAGTGAGAGCGATTCAATTGCAGGTGAAAGGTATCTGCCTAGTCGCCAGGCACCCTCGATTGTAAGGTGGCAAGAAATCCTGTGCGTCCGAGAACGGATGTGTAGTATGGCAGGCTTCTAGCCGAGAAAAGGTGTAGAAAGGATATCTCCAACATGGGGGCGTGCGTTGATGGCGGGGAGGAGGGGATAGTCAGCGCGGGCGTCGCCGCTGATCAAACGCAGGTCTGCAGTATCGAGTCTCCCGATGTTGGAGGAAATCAAGAGGCCTATGGACCGGAGGCTGGCAAAGACAGTAGCATGAGGTGCAAGGCGTGAAACAAGGTCGATATGTAGTGTCACACAATCGAAATGTGGATTGTTATGCGGGCCAAAGATGCATCACCGCCATGTGCCTTTCCCACGCTCACCATTTGCCCGCAGGCTTGGCAGGCTAACCTAGTGTGAAAAAATGAATCTTTTAGCGGTGGTCGAATTAAATAATGGGAGCTCGCAGGGCATGTTCTCGCGAAAGGAGCATCGTTGTCCTCTGGCTTATTGGCTGCCCCTGGCACTTCGCCAGAACATCATGCCTCAGAGCAGGTCGTATGCATGATTGTAAGGCGTCCGGCCAGCCAGGTTCTCCGGCCTGCTATTTCAGTCCAAGTTATCCAAGAAGAGCACAAGTGGTCTTTATGCGATTCTCGGCCATCAAATACAAACTCAATTGGCGTCGTACCTGTTTCACTACGTAATTGACCGATGACGTGTACGGTACCTGGTTCGTTGCGGAGGTCTCAACATAAAGAAGACAAGGTATGCCAAAGAGCAGATGAGCTTCGATCATGTGACATTGATTCAGATCAAGTAGTGGACAGACTCCTTACGTTGAACTGGAATGATTTTTAGATTTAGCATCAGAATCAATTTCAATCCATAGCTATTGCGAGTAGTGCGAGAGGTTCAGCAGAGTCTTTGGGGATGGATGATGTGATATAGGCAGCATACAAATACCACTGCTAACCCGAAGTTGCCCGTCTTTGCACTGAATGTTGGGCTTGGTGGATTATTACTCATATAAGCACTGCTACCTGTTTGGTGCGCTGTGACACCTGACAAGCTGTCCTCCTGTCCTAATAAATCCTTAGCTTCATGCAATCACAACCCTAACTTGCACTACCTGTCCCGAAAGGTTCCAGATGTCCTCCGCGTCTCGAAATGAATTTGAATATCTTTCACAGTGTCAAGCTCCCCCACCAGTCAGCATGATGTTGACGGGTCCTAAAGAGCAGGGGCGACTCTTGAAATCAATTATCCCAACAAGAAAACGAGTTCAGATAAGTCGTGATTATTGAACGCTGGTATAGATTGTCACAGTACGATTTCGCACCCAAGAGTGAAAGTGGAACACCTCGCCAGTCTTGCCACATTCCTCACTTGCCTTCAGCGATATCCTCCCACTAGCACAACCAATTCTCATGAAATAATCAAACAAGCATACAATGCCTCAAGCTGCATCATGGACGGGCTCACCGTCAATCAAAGGATCAACAGAGGCTGTCCGCATGATCTTGTTGACTTTCTGTCTCATAGGTCTCATGTGAGTAGTCCATCGCTACCAGCCATAGAACCATCTGATGCGCAGCCTACAGGTTTACATGGGGGGTCGAGATGACTTGTAAGCCGCAATGGGCCTCAGCGTCCGGAGAAGAACACTGAACAATCTATACAGACGGCACACCTTATCTGCTGCAATTAGGCCTCTCTAAAAGCCGGACCTCCCTCGTATGGATTGCAGGACCTTTATCAGGCCTTATCATGGCACCGCTCATCGGTACATTGTCGGACAACTCACGATCGAAATGGGGAAGAAGGAGACCATTCATGGTCATTGGAGGCTTGGTTGTCTCCACCCTGCTTTTGGTGCTAGGTAGAGCCGCTGAAATCGCTACCTACTTTGTTCCCGACTCCGAGAAGGCGAAATCCTTTGCCGTTGTCCTGGCAGTCGCGACCATTTACGTTCTCGACTTCGCAATCAATGTAGTCCAGTCCTGTTGCCGAAGCCTCATCGTGGATACCTTGCCGATTGCGAAACAACAGATAGGCTCAGCGTGGGCCAGTCGCATGATTTCAATAGGCAATATTGTGACTTACGCAGTTGGAACCATCGATCTAGTCAGCATTCTTGGGCCAACTTTCGGAGACACCCAGTTCAAGCATTTGACTATCATTGCGGCTGCTTTCTTCACGTTTTCCGTGTGCTTGACCTCCTGGGCTGTTGAGGAGCGTGTACTTGTATCTTCACGGTAAGCTTCCAAACTAACCAAGATGGATTGTCACTAATTGTTCATATAGGGAAAGTGATGGCTCGTCATCGGTCTTCAAGACCTTTTCGACTATAGTTCGGAAAACTCGGCACCTTCCCAAACGCATTCAAGCGATCTGTTGGGTTCAGTTCTGGGCTTGGATAGGCTGGTTCCCCTTCATGTTCTATTCAACGACATGGGTTGGTGAGGTCTATTTCCGTTTCCACCCCGAAGCAAGCACAAAAGACTCCAAAGACGCCGTCGGCGATGTAGGCCGTGTGGGCACTCTTGCACTTGTCATATTTTCTCTCATCACTTTTACCGCCTCTGTTGTACTTCCCTCAATCGTCCGATCTCCTGAAGAGATGACCGAAAAGCGCTCATTCACCCCTCGACCACATCCCGCACTCACCCGAGTTCTCAGCCCATTCGCAGGCCTCACAGGCAAGAGTAAGCCAGATCTCCTCAGCGCATGGCAAGCGGGCCATATCATCTTCGCTGGAGCCATGTGTCTCGCTCCGTTTGTCACCTCCTTCCGCATGGCCACTATAATCGTTTCGATCTGCGGTATCCCCTGGATGATTGCGGGCTGGGCACCTTACGCCTTCATGGGCGTCGAGATAAACCGCATGACCGCCCCCAACAAAGCGCTCGAAAACGGGCTGTCTCACCGCCGCCGCTCTGGCTCGGAATCTCCTCCTCAGCTCCTTCGCCTGAATCATCTCGATAGGGACATCGAAGAGGAAAAGGACACGTTGTTGAGTCCAGAATCGGGCGACAATGACTCTACAACGGGCGAGACGGCAGGAATATATCTTGGCATCCTCAATATATTTTCGACGGTCCCCCAGCTCATCGGTAGTTTCATATCCATGGTGGTTTTCTCGATCCTTGAGCCTGGCATTAGTCCCGAATTGAACGAAGGCAGCACGCCGAAGGATATCGAGAAAGCGAAAGACCGACCGAATGGAATCGCGGTTTGCCTGTTCATTGGGGCTTTGAGCGCGTTAGGGGCTGCTTACGCTACTACGAGGATGAGAGCTCTGTGGAGGAATTAAGAGGGGCATCCATGATTGGGCTGTGGTGCCCGGGCGTCTATGTTTTGACGGTCTCCTTTTACGTTGAAGGCAAGGGATGCGCTTTTTGGATGCGCACTATGATTAGAGTGATACCATCTTAGATTTTCTACTTGATGTTCAATAGGAGTTTGGTCCACGGATAGATGTTGAGATTTGAAGGATCTGTAATCTTTATAAGAATCGGCAATCTGATCTCTCTCTAGCTCTTGAATATCCTTCTGCGTATCTGGCGTTCTGACAAGGCATCACTATCAAGAAAGCAAAATCGATAAACAATCACTCAACGATGTATCTCTGGGTGAAACGCGGCCGTGAGTGGAAGACTCGATTTATTTCTGTCATAAGTTGAATTTGGAGGGTAATAATAATACATGGTCAAAAGTAGACGGCTCCAATCACTGGAGCCGAGCCGCAGAAGTGAACGCCACCTATCAGATTACAATAGCCATGCTGTCCTGTCCGTCCGTGCTCATCCCCAGTAGTGATGCTCTCGAGCAGAGGCATAGCCAAATATGCTGATCGAGGCAAGGAAAATGAACACACCCGCTATGCTGATTCGTTTGCACATCGTCCTCGACCGCATTACCATACTTTACAATCTGATACCAAGCATCTCCTGGTCCTTGCTTGTCGTGGAATGGTACGACGTGACCCGTGAGTGACTTCGTTCCTAAATCCGTGACTGATCATGGCCACCACCGGACTCTCTCGTAACTCTCAATAATGGCCTTTAGCTCCTCGCGTGTAAGCCGCGGTTTCTGCAGACTCCACTGCAGATTACTCTTTGCGCGCTTGTTGTTTAGACAGAGATTGCAGTCTTTGATGAGCTCCTTCTCCATGAAAGGCGTGAGTGGGCTGCCTTGACCTTGCTCGAGTCCTTTCGCTTTGATCAGATCAGCCCAAGGCTGCAGGATATCCTCGTTGACATCGTCGACGACGCTGTCGAGGTTCAGCTTCGCAAATTGACTGATCAAATTCCCCTGAAAGCCCGTCTGAATGCCAAATATAGCGGCAATATGCTCGGCCAAGCTCTCTTGAGAGGTGTCGCCGTCGTCCACAATGTTGAACGCTCTATCCGTCATGGTCGTCTTCGAATTTGGGGCGTTAATTGACGCCCATCCTGCAGCAGCCCAAGCAGCCGCACATACATCGTTCACATATACGGTGTTAATCCGCAGGTCCTTACCCCACAGCCATTTCATCTCTTTATCGAGACTTTGATAGACGCGAGCTAGACAAAGCCCACGCGAAAGAAACCCGGTGTCGTATAGCCCGTAAACATGGGCAAGGCGAAGGGTAGCATGTCGGAGGCCGGCGCTTTGTGCGAGCTTCTCGAGAGCCTCTTCGCCTACCAGTTTTGCTTTCGAAATCTTCAGCCACGGTTTTAATGGCGCGGTCTCGGTGCAGCCACCTGAGGAGACGGCGGAAGAGCCAGGAGGTTTGTAGATCATGCCTGTGCTGAACTCTATGAGAGCAGGCTTGTACTCCAGCTTGGCACAGTGTTCCGCCAGGTTGGTGGACAATTGGGTGTTACGCAGCTGGTATACGGATGGATCTTGCGAATATCTTGTTTCTCCTCCGCAATTGAAGACATAGCTGTAATGCTTGGCTTTTGTAGGAGCAAAGATTCGATCTAGCGACTGAGGACGTGAAGCATCGGCCTGCATGAAATTCGACGGGTGGCATGCTTCGTCAAATTCGGGCGGAAGACGGGCCAGTTGAGGAAGGACCTTGTCAACCAGGCGTACTTCTGAGGCTAAGCTGTTGTTGTGAATGTACAAGGCTAAGAAGCGGCCAATATATCCTACAATTCCAGAATTAGCTGAGATCCAATCAGAGCAAGGATTATAGCCATCAGGTACCTAGCCCTCCAATAATCAGAACTGCTGGCTTTCCTGTCGTGGAGGTACCCGCCACGGATTTCTCCGCCATTGTGATGTTGCTGCCGTTGATAGCTCAAAGAAAGCAAGAAGATGGGTCAAGGAGCTCGCTGTGCACGCTTGAAGTAGGAGAAGCGGCTCTGTATTTTTGATGCAAGCTTAGAAGTATGACACGGCAGAAATGATATATGTGGAGACCGAGGGCATGTAAGTGGTGAAGGGCACTCGGAGGGATGAAGATGGGAGGCAAGCCCTTGAGAGATCAAACGATATGCGGGTGAGACGTTTGTGCGTATTTGTGGGGTTCTTGGGTGTATTCCCCAACTGAGTTGCCTCGTGGCACTTTTATTCCACGCTCATGGGGGGGATCGTGATGCGAATGGGGTCCGCGCACTGGCGGTGTCTTTTAAGATGTGTGGCGTCAGTTAGGACGAGTCCCGTAGACCGAAAAGGAGTCTTTAGAAAAAGACAATCGATGTTGCAGTCACAAGACACACCAACTGGCGTTTCAGCCCCAGTGTAGCGGTGCAAAGAGCAGGTTGGGCAATTGGTATCAGAGGGGAATTCAGAGTTCAGAATTCAGACAGAGATGTCCAGGGCACCGGGAATAACCTTGGGCGGCCACCATGATGATCTGATGATGGAAGATTGCCATGTTTGTTTCTCAATCATGAACCTTACCAGACCCCCGTCCTCGATCGACTCGGTCCAAGCTGGTTGACTGGGGTGACGGGGGTGACTTGGTGGACCGGTGTGTTGTCGGAGGAAGCTGCGGTGGGGCTAAAATGGCCCTAGCGAAATTGAAGGACAGGCCGCAGAGCATGTGGGAAGGATCCAACCTATTATTGTCATCATTTTGCATTATACTCTGATATCTCCTCCCATTCAGCAGGCTGGGCCGTCAAGGCGCCGTCAGGACTATGCCACTTTAGGGATGCTTCATGCTAGTCATCTGAATTTTGGCTTAATTTTATTATTGTACCGAGTCTGAGAGCATGAGGGCGAGATAGCAGATACCATCATCGCGCATCATCCCGCCCTGCTGGTGCCTCTTAGACCTGCCTGGAAAGGTGCCCTTGGAGCGGGAAGCTGGCAGCGGCTTAGGCCTGTGCTCTAGGGGAGCCTAGCGAGGTTAGGGGGGTCAAGAATGGGTTAGGGCAGGCCTCTAGTGGCCAGTAGCAGCAACAGCATGCGATGGGCCTGGGTCTAGAAGGAATATCTCGTATTCCAGAATGTCGGCCGCATGGTTAGCACCCTCTGGTGCCCTTCATAACCTCATGCAAACCAGGATCAGGAGGTCTCCGGTACTCCTTTAGCTGTTCGAGCAACTGTGCAGGGTGGCCATGTGGCCGTGGAGAGCTGAAACACTGCCAGACAATTGACCTGCATGCGCTAGGAGAATACCATGCGTTGGTCTTACATCTCCTCCACCCGAAATGTGGTAAGATGGTGGAGCTTGGACATCATATTGAGGAGCATATCGCCCCCGGTCTGCATCACCCGCTCATGCATCGCCATGTGGTCTGACAAGGGGCCCGACAAGGGCCGGTCGAGCATCCCAAGCCCCATGCTGTTCCATCGCGGTGGGGGCTCTGGCTGACCTTGATGAAGCTTCTACCTACTGCACAGATGGCACACAGTGGCTGCTTACCCGCTGATGTTCTGGGACCTTCGCCTTCTATACTTTTGGGATTATGATATGTCAATAAGATACATAGTAGATCTGCAAGTACCCGCTGGCAATCGGTTGAAAGCATGCACTTAGCTTTCCTTTGCCTTCGTGTAAGCCATAGAGCATCTGTCTCCAATCTTCATGACCAAAGAATAGGAAGCAGGCTCCGGCATGCTTGAACCACCCACGACCAAATGCATGATATCCAAGCTATGCGAGAAGTCAAGGAAAAGTTCAGATGCAGGACGGTCGATCTGTTCCGCAATTCAGAATTCCCACTCTTCATCCACCGACTTGATGGCCCACTCGAATTTTTCTCGGAGCGTCTTCGAGAAGATTTTCTCGATCGGCAAGTCGAATTTCTTGCAGAACACCACCGTCAAGCGCGGGTCAATGTAATTCTGGCATCCAATTAGCAACGTGGTTCACAGCCCGGGCAGATGCCATGGCTATCTGCTTACAATTTTCGAAGTGCCGAGTGCCACTTCCTTGTTGCTCTCCTTGTCTTCGGCTTGCACTTCCATCGTACCAATCCGCTGGTCCAACTTCTGGAGGTTCGCTTCACATCGCTCAATGCTGGGCGCCTTACCTTCCGCCTCAACCTTGCCTTTCTTGTTTTCTCGCCCGAACTTCTTTTCAAGCTCCTTCACGGCCTGCAGGCGATCTTCAAGCTCCTTGTGCTTCATTTCCTTCTGTCCTCCACTCACAAGCTTTTCGTTTTCTTTGTTGAATTTCTTCTCGATCTTCTTACGATCCTCCTCAACGAGATATGCTTGATGCTCTTGGATCCATTGCTGGTCAAGATCATCGTCAAGCTCAAAATATGCCTCACCCTTTCTCTTCTTATGCTTAGGATCAATATCGAGCATCTGCTGCTTGACACGCCACTTCTGGTACTTCACACCTTTGAGGCGGTCCCCGAGCTTCTCCATTTGTGCACCATGCCCAGCTGCGACTGTGCGCTTGTGGTTACAGAGGATTGCAACTTTGCGATTCGCATCATTGTAGTCTTTGATCTTCTCTGGAACGGTGCCCCTTGACTTCATATCCCGTAGTAGATTCGACATTGTGAAAGAGGCGTTGTAGGTACGGAACACTTTCGCTGTGAGCCCCGGCATGAAATTTTGAAGGTGTTTGTTGAGCGAGCTAGTTGTCAGTCTGTCGAAAATGTCATCCCCTTCACTCTTGGGCGATTTTTTGAAGATCTTAAGATTCTTAAAGACCTGTTCATCGACTTTCACTTCGTCGTAGAAGCGGATGCTGTCTTTCCCCAAGAAGTCGAATATCACGGTGTTTGGAGGCCTTAGAGAGATATGTTCAAACTTCAGTGAGCAGCAACCTACAGTTTCTGCCTCATCCTCTCCCTTTTCGTTTCCCGCACGCAATGCGAATTCGTCAATCAGATACATGGCGGTGGCACGCTGTCGATTCGCCATAAGCTCGTCCTTGAGTTCTGCTCTATAGTGCTTGCGAATTCGATCAATGTGCTTCTTCAGCTCACGGGCCTTCTCGAACTTTTTATGATCACTTTGACCCTTGACATCCGAGTTTGCCGCAAGCATTACATATTTGTACGCCGAATTGATGTTTTCCTGCCACATTGCCAACCATGTACCCTCTTGGTCATGCTTGATATCCTTCCAGCGGTGTCCTTCCGGTGGCGCGGGTACCATTGCTTCCTTTCCAATGTTGATCGTTATCTGCTCAGGTTTTACCCGTGACTTGACGCGGCCAGTCTTTGGATGCTCACCGCGGCCTCGAAACAACCCAGGTGGCTCAACACGGAAGTTACCAACCTTTTGCTTGCGACCGTCCCACGTGCAATATAGATATGGAGCTTCGGTCTCATCTTTCTCTGCCTTTAGTCGCTTCTTTTCTGATGCAGGCTGGGCTTTCTTTTCGGTGCGTTGGGCATCGAAGTAGTCGAAGATTGGTTGGAAGTCGCACCTTTTGAAGTCTTTGATAGAAACTTTATTGCCCTCCTTGTCAGAGGCTCCACCCGTGTCCTTGAGTATTTTCTGGAAATCCTCGAAGAAATTCTTCACAAAGGTCGGATTTTCTACGTTGTGTGTAGAATTCAACATAGACCCAAAAAATGTAGCTACTTCCTCAGCTTCGGGAGCTAGTCTCAAAGGCTTGCCATCATATCGTAGTTTCACATTTTTAGGTAAAGGTTCATACTCTGGGGGAAATACTACGCCGTTATGCTGTAAGGTCGTCCATTTCTTAGTCCCATCTCCTTTTGTGGGATCTTCCCACCATTTGTACTCTTCTTCCTCTGCCTCGGCTTCTTCGTCTTGTTCCGTTTCTTCCTTCTTGACCTTACTTTTCTTCGGTGTAGTTTTCTCAATCTTTTGGGCGGGTCTCACTTTCCTAGCCATAGGTACGTCATCATCAGAGTCTTCTTTCTTTACTCCATTTGGTTGGCTTTTTCTTTTAGTAGATTTCTTCTCGGAATCGGGTTGTTTCGATTTTTTCCGGATTTCTTTGGCTTCATTGGCAGCCCTCTTGCGAATGGTGTCTTTTTCCTTTGCAAGTTTTGTTCCAAGTGGAGTGTCCGAGTCCTCAGACTCACCAATCGCTGTCTCACTGGCCTTGACAGGCTTCTTAGCAATAGTCGTGGTCTTAGCCTTTTTCTTGGTAACCAGCGGGGCGTCGTCAGAATCCGATTCGGGCGTAATGTCCTTCTTCTTCGAGACGCGCCTTTTCTTGCTCTGTAACTCATTAGTCAAGATCGTAAAATGATTTCAAATTTGAGCTACGGACAAGTGGAGCATCTTCATCTGAATCGCTGGTTGCCTCCTCGTAAGATTTGGTCTGGCTGGGGCGAGCCTTGCGCTTCGAGGACGTATTGCCATTAAGCTGGGGCTCGTCCACCTCCATCTCTACCACTGGTCCATTGCGGACTGAAATACCAACTGCTCCGTTAGTCGCAGGTTGGGCTTTGTCAAGGGCTCTATCGACGCTTTTAGGAATCTTGTCCTTTGATTTAGGCGCATGGCCTAGCATTGAGTACTTAGCATGTTCCATTATTGGTCGTACTCAGATGTTGCTGAGACAAGCTCTAAGTGCTTCTGGAAGCCAGGCGTCGAACAGGCTTTGCATGGGGTACGGAGGATTTTAGGGCTCACCATTCGTCTTACTTGCCCCGGCCAAGGGCACATCATCGTCTGAGGAGCTCATTTTTTTTTGCAGAAGATGTGCAACAAATTGGCTAACGAAGAGCTCGCTATTTGAGTGGTTTCTTCACAAAGGCGACGTAGGCTTGCCGCCGGTCCAGCCGACGCGAGTGATTCGAGGTCTCAGTGAAAGATGAAGATCGGAATTAAAAATCAAAAGTGATCTTGAATGAGGCAGAAAAGACAGCATTAAAAGACAGGATTTAGTCGCTCAAGGTGGTGAAAGACGGTTCCAGCTTGCTATTGAATCGCCGGGATGTTGCAGGACAATAGAGAGTGTTGCAGGTGAATTTGAATCGCGGATAGAGCGTGAGGATCCTTGGCACAGGCTTAATTGGGATTAGCTTCGTAGGCTCAGAAGCCGATCAGACTTCACTTCAAGCTCTCACTTCAATTCTCCCGCGCGCAGGAGGGCATTGAATGATAACGAAAAGCTCAGGGGCCAAGTTTAAGAGAGCCTCAATAGGTCGCCGCAATGGCCGCTATCATCTCGCGGGCTGCTCGGCCAGTCCTTAATGGCACAACTGCTGCTGCTGTTCGGTGAGTAGCACTATCCTCAAGAATGTTCACAGAGAATAGTCCTTCGAAGTCCCTTGCGAGGGGCTGACAACAAATTTGTACGGCGTGACTCGCGCTGACGCTTCATCTTCCAGGCCTGTTGTCATCAACTCAGCCAACTATGCGACTCTCCGTGAAATCGAAGGCCGCCTCAAATCAATCCGCAACATTGAAAAGATTACCAAGACTATGAAAATTGTCGCCTCCACCAAGCTTACGCGTGCTCAAAAGGCGATGACCGAGTCTCGATCCTATGGAAAATCTTCAAACACAGTGTTTGAAAAGGCGGAGACGAAAGCTGAAAGTTTAGAGAACCGGAAAACACTCATCGTCGTCTGCAGCTCAGATAAGGGTCTTTGCGGTGGTATTCATTCAGGTCTTTCAAAAGCTACACGCGCTATGGTAGAAGCTAAGTCGGACTCGGACATTGTCGTGATAGGGGAGAAGTCCAAGGCCCAGCTATCTAGAGCTACGGGAAAGAACCTCGTGCTCAGCTTCGCAGGCGTGGGAAGAGATGTTCCTACATTTGCGGATGCTCAGGCTATCGCCGACCAAATTTCTTTACTTCCAGAGGACTATGCTTCAATTAAAATACTATATAACCAATTTGTCAACGCACAGAGTTACTCTCCTGAGCCAATCGAGGCGTTCTCGGAAGAAGCCATCAAAAACTCCCGTTTGTGATTTCCATCCTTCACTGGTTCTTTTACTGACCCCACCCATAGCAAACTTTGCCGCTTTCGAAATCGATGATGAAGTCCTGGCAAATTTGAAAGAATATGCACTTGCCAATTCCTTGTACTGGGCTCTCGCAGAGGGCCACGCATGCGAGCAGTCTGCACGACGGAATGCGATGGATGTGAGTAGTATACAAACCCTTCATGACCCATGCTCCATACTGAACCCATTAGAACGCTTCGAAAAACGCTGGCGACATGATCAGCAGATATTCTATCCTTTACAATCGAACCCGGCAAGCCGTCATTACAAACGAATTGGTTGATATCATTACTGGTGCATCAGCGGCGGCATAGTCTACTGATATATTGTACTGTATTAGGTAGATACTTTTCGCCAATTTTTCAATCTTAGTCTGCCTTCATCCTTCTGCTTTCCCCTGACTTTTTCTGATCAAGGGCGTTCGCGTCAAGAATGCTCTACGCTCCCTTGAACTCCAAGTGTCATCCAGGACCAACCGATCAGAACCAATTGTCCCATGCGTCACATCCAGCCATCCAAATGCAGGCTGCCGCTCCAACTCCCAGCCAAATTGTTTGTCACCAAACAATTGAACGGCTACTAATCAATCATCGCCTTCTCTCACACACCACTCTTTCTAATTTCCCCGCAAAATCCCCGTCCACGAACCCTCTCAACTTAAACACCTTCAGCCCTTTCAGCCCCCCAACCATATCCTTCAGGATCTTCCTCTCAATCTCCACCATCCTGTCTACCACCTTACCTTCCCTCCTCATTCGCACCCTCACGTCCTCTAGGGCATGAGATGCCACAATATCTATTTCCAGGTTCCGCAATAATTGGAGATCCTGCAGCCCCTTCGAGACAAGGGGCAAGTGTGCCCATAGCTCGTCTCCCCAATCAATCTCAAGGCGAATATGCCGGAGAAATTGACGGTGCTTCACGGGCAGAGCCTGGAGGAGAGCGTCGAAATGTTTTGAGCTCGAAGGCGTGCTGGTTGTAATGAAATTTTCGCCGTAAAGGATGGGGAGACTGATGTGGTAGGTTTCGTGGCAGGCGCGGAGAATGGAAGTGAACACGTCTAAGAATTTGCTGTTGGGATTAGGGACAAGTAAGGTAGTACCGAGCGCGAGCGGGGATCGACGGACGAGCACGTAGCGGAGTATCAGACGGAGGAGTCCCATGGGAAGGGCGAGCAGGGAGGAGTATTGTGTTATTTTTTTGGGAGGGATATGAGTTGCAGAGGGTCTTGGAACAGTGCAGAGTAGCCGGTAGTCATGCAAAAGACGCAAGGTTTTTGTCTGCGTACTCCCATTATCATCAGACGAAGGACCAGGTTGCCGATCACGGAAGCAGCGTGATTCAATCGTCATTCCCTGAGATTCAGATCGCTCATACGGTCTGGTTGATAACAAGCACCGTCAGTGTGATATGAAAGTAGAGCCGCCCCTGCACTGGAGTGAAGGATCATCCACCAGAACTCCCGCGTCGAAAGTCCGAATCGCACGTAGCGGAAAAAGATTGAAATTGGCAGGCGCGACTCGTGAAGGACGAAGCTGGGGAGAAACATGAAACTTATTGCAACATATTTTATACAAGAGAAAGTTTTTTATTAGTCGCTCAAGAGATAATCAAAAGAGTCTTCGTTCCAGATTTCTAGCCTTTATTGTTTGTACAAGCTATTGTGCGACTTTCGATAGGCTGAGTTCAGCTCTACGTTCGTAATCAATGGCTAGATGATCTTAACAGGGTGTTTGCTAAGAAAAAGTCAATGGAAACTTAGCTGTGAAACAACGTGTACGTACTAATAATCTCTGCTTCACTCACAGCTATCCCCTGTGTAACAAGTGTAAGCTTTTCGATACATACATATCACCGTAAATCTTCCACGTTCTCACTGTATTCTTAGGAGACCTTATTGCAAAGCTAGAACGAGTGCAAGCGTAAGAGTCATGCCCGAAGTCTAGAATGATACCGAGCAGGTTATATTCCAGACAGCTTCCCTATCAAGAGCATCATCCAAACATCAAAGCCTGCGGGGGTGTATTTGTAGGAATGTAGCCAAGCTTAATCCAATTTGTGCCTCAAGTATCATTTGAATCGAAGATGTGGCTTTTACTGATACATGCCACTGTTCAAATGAAGGACTTTTCGCATCTGGAACCTTGTTTGTCGTGCAAGGCCTGGGAATACTTCGGTCGTCAAAATTCGACCATGAATCGTAGCAAGACTCCACATAGCATCCAAATTCAAGGGGGTGGTCAAAACTTGCAGATGCTGTTCAAATCGTTCGCTGTACCCGGCATTTTACCTTTGATTAAAGAACGTCAACCACTGCGTGATTCTCAAAGGTAGGAATAGAGGGTCGTTCCTTATGCTTCAGTTATGAGTCGGCATGTTGACTCCAGCCTTGCCTTCAATAGCGTCTTCACCTCTCCAAAGACTAGTGACAGTCTTTGTCTGCGTGTAAAAGTTGATACCACTCTTGCCGTAGAAGTTGTTCGCCCCTCCACCAGCGACACTTTTCTTGTTTCCAGTAAAGGAAAACATAGGAAGCGGGACTGGTATGGGAACATTAATGCCGACTTGACCTGCCTCGACATCCTTCTGAAAGCGCGTTGCAGATGAACCAGAACGAGTGAAGACTGCAACCCCATTACCATACTCGTTAGTGTTTATGAGATTTATTGCATCAGACAAACTTGACGCAGAAAGGCAGACAAGGACTGGTCCGAAGATCTCCTGAGTGTAGCATGTCATATGAGGTTTGACATCTGTAATAATCGTGGGCCCTAGCTATGATTATGTTAGGAATACGTCGTAATCGAAGCTTAGAGACATACCCAGTTTCCGTCAGGATACTTTTCGGGTCTGTAGCCTCTGCCATCTAATAGGATAGTGGCACCCTCTTTCTCAGCAGAAGCAATAAGACCTTCTATTCTTTCACGACTTTGAGGGCTAATGAGAGGCCCTAGGTCGGCTCCTTCCTCAAAGCCTCCATTTACATTCAGTCCTCTGGCTTTCTCTGCAAGTTCTGGAAGCCATTGAATCGTTTGTCCAACCATGACGAGAGCGCTAAGAGCCATACAGCGCTGTCCAGCAGCACCAAAGGCTGCGCCAGCTATTGCATTTAGAGCATGATTCTTATCGCAATCAGGTAATACTGCGGCATGATTCTTTGCCCCTAAGTTGGCCTGAACACGTTTGCCGTTGGCAGAGCCTCGAGTGTAGATGTACTCGCCTGCCTTGTTGCTACCAACAAAGCTGATTGCTTTGATAGCTGGCTCATCAATGATGAAGTCAACAGCCTTTGACGAGCCATGGATAACATTGATGACGCCATCCGGGTAGCCTGCCTCCCTCGAAAGCTCAGCCAAGATCATTGCAGCGCCAGGATCACGTTCTGAGGGCTTTAATATCAACGTATTCCCTGTGATAGTGGCAATTGGTATCGACCAAAGTGGTATCATTGCCGGAAAGTCTGTACCATATATCAACATCCGCAGGTGTCTAACATAGAGTATTATACTCACTGAATGGACAAATAGCAGCCACTACTCCCAACGGTTCTCTATAGCTCCGTGTTTCCATGTCTTTTGCTACCTCGAGTACTTCGCCAGTCATCTGGGTCGTGATCCCGACATACCGTCTCAGCTACTTGAAGACCCCTCAGAACATCGCCTTTGGCATCAGCGAAGGTCTTCCCTTGCTCTAGAGTGATGCTCGCCGCCAATCTATCCCAATGCTGCCGTATCAGCGCGACAAACTTGAACATAATCTGCTGTCTATGCAGTAGACTTGTAGCCCTCCATGTATAGAAAGCATTTTGAGCGCTTCTGACCGCATCCTTGAGCTCTACGTCAGTACTCTGAGGGACATGGGTAACGATTCTGTTTGTAGCTGGGTCATTCAAATCTATCCAAGCCTTGGCTTTCGACTCAACGAAGCAGTTGTTGAGGAAGTTTTGGGTCTTGTAAGGTGAGGCTTTTGTGGCATGACTCTTTGGGTAAGCTTTTGGGTCGCCGACGGTTGCTGCAACGCTTGTTGTAAGGCCTCGTTGGTGAAAGGGTGGGATTCGTGCCCAGGATTTGCGGGCGGGGGTCGAAGAAGGGGTGCAAAATATTGGCCGTTTGGTTGTTAACGCCGCTTTACGTGAGACGGCGCTGGATAGTCTCTGCATCTTCGGTGAGATGATACACCTCCAAGAGAAAAGGGCGGAAATCCACAGTCATGATCTCTCAGGCTTTGTCATTACGTAGATAGCCCCCTTCCGCAGGGCACATGGAATGCGGGGAATTCTAGCCTGCGGAGTCCCCGGCGTCCGGGGCCTTGCCGGGTACCTGAGGCGCCTCAAGGCTAGCGGCGCCACATAAAGATACCCAAATCTTTAGCTTCTTTGCCATGACAGTCAACTATCCGCGTAGAAAGGGAAAAACCAGAGGGCACTGAAAGTTGCAATGCTTTATGCTTCAAGCTTTTCACGCATTCTGACTTTAAAAAACAAGTTTCACCAAGCATAGATCTCTGTAAATGTCTCTTCTAGCGGCAAGCTCAAGTTGCTTTGCTCACTTTCCCGTGGCTGCTACCTACTATCTTCCGTCTTTCTCATATTTTGCAACCTATCTTCTGAGATCCTCTTATCTTACTCTGCAGGTCCCGTGGACCTCGTAGTCCTCCTGTTCACCTCGGCCTGAATCTTTTCGGCGCTAGTTGTGGTGGCGTCCACTACCTGGTCCTTTGCGTCCACAGCAGCCCCTTTGGTTTTCTCGATCGCCTTCTTAGCTTGCGGTGGTGCTCCTTTCGTAGCAGCCGTAGCAATACTGACGATTAAGACAATGACAGTCACCGCGAGAGCGCCAATGCCACCAGCGACTTCTGGAAGTGTCTTAATGGCTTCGACCGGGTCTTCCTTGGCAAGCTCGTAGAATAAGTCCACTTTTTCGCGGATGTAGGTCACAGGGTCTTCCTTGAAGTTGATCTCTCCTGCTGCTTTGGGTATGTCAGCTGGTTTCGGTTTCGCAGCGTCCTCTTCGGCTTTTTCAATCTTCTGCTTGATATCAAAAGTCGAATTCTTGAATTTAGTCGCATCTTCCACGGAGTGTCCGATGTAGATGTTATCGAAGAGAATGTCGTTCTGCATCGTCCAAATTTCGAAGCCAATCTGAAGTATGGTTAGCCTGGTGGATCATTAGAGGTGATAATCACTCACAGCCCCCATAGGTTCGAATTTGGAAGGCGTCTTATCTTCGAAATAGTCAGGATTGGCGATCTTCCTTGGCTTCCAAACACCTTTGTATGCTGGGTTGTCGATATATTCTGGAGTCCATTTGCCTTTGTAATCTGGATTGCGCTTGGATGGTCGCTCCCACTTCCCACAACCAGAAGCCTCTTCACACTTAGGATTGGGTACGGTTGGAGGAATCCAGTCACCATCTTCCTCGTCATCCCAATCCTCAGGCTTCTCAGCTTCCGGATCTGGTATTGTTGCTGGTTCATCGTCGAGCCAATCATCGGGCTTCGTGGCTTCTTCGTCAGGAACTTCAAATGGAGCTTCCTCATCCCAATCCTCTGGTTTCTTGGCGTCAGGGTCAGGAATTCTCGCTTCATCGACCCAGTCGTCGGGCTTGGTGTCCTTTGCGTCATCTATTTCCTTTTCAGGATTCACCGAGGGCGAAAAGTCTTCTAAAAGACTGCCCTTCTTCGACGACTCGCCATCAATCAAGATCTCGAAGGTGTTGTCCGGTTCGACAATGAGGGTGTAGAGAGCTGTGGTCTTGACAACCCGAGACATCGGGGCGCTCTTGAGATGCTTCTCCTCATATTCGCCAGTCTTTGGGTTCTTGTGTCGGAAGATGAAGTGGACCTAGGATACGTTAGGCACACATCAAGTCTAAGCGCACTCATTTATATTTACCTTATTCGTAGAACCACATTTGTCCGGACCAAACATAATGATATATGGGGAGGCGTTTGAGAATTCATCAGATGCCAGTTTCTTGTTGTCTTGCAGGAGCTTCATGTAAGCTCCACCACATTCCAAACCATCTGGACCCAACGATCAGCCAGCCCTTGTGTAGCACTAGACACTTTGCAACCTACTCTGAAGCTTAACCTCGTACTGGACGACTAACGTTTTGCCCTTATTGTCGATCTTCTTGGGAAATTTGGCCGAGATCGCGTGATGTGCTGCTGCGTTCTTTACAACAAGGCCTTTGTCTTCCTCGATTCCTTTGAAGACAGATGGTTCCTCGACAGACCATTCACCTACATAGGCCCAGTCTTCGGTGGTCTTCGAGTCCTCTTTCTTAGCGTGTGAGGCCTTCCACCGCGAGTCCCAACCCGATGTGAATTGCTCGAGGAACGGCGCTTTAAGGTCAGTGGGCTGGAAGACAATTAGCTCACATTTAGGAATCTTTTGGTGGAGACGACAAACCGTGAAAGTTGGCCTTTCGATGACAGAAGAAGTCGTAGTCTCCTCTACGGTAGTTGAAGAAGATTCGGGCTCTTCAGCGTCATCTGCCCAGGCATTCCCAATAAGTAACGCGGAGGAGTAAAGGCCCGCTGCTAACGCTCCGTTGAGACGCATATTGGCGGTCTCGCAAAAACGAAAGAATGGGGCAAGAAAAGGATGGTGTTGTGAAAGGCAAAATAACTGTGAAAGGGGAATACAAATGGGGTGAAGAGGACACTGTTGTGGCGCGGCTCTTTATGCAATGTTTTCCGAGAAGCCAGATGTCAATTGGAGCTTCTTCCACAAATTCTCTAGCGGACTTGTTTCCGTCCTTCTTGATACGGCTAGGCTGCACGGGCGGCTGATCTGGTGCTATTTCCAACTGCAACGACCGAAGTTGTCACCTACTCTCGAACACACTTGCGTGTGTTTGATCTTTATCCGCCAATGACTGTATTTGGAGTATTCTTCAGTCTGCGCTTACAGTGTGGTCGGCAGCTCCGCTTCTATCGAGTCTGCTAGCCAGTGGCTGAGTCGTCTGTTCACAAAGAATGATGGGCAGCCAGGATGTTGCACATGGAAGGAACAACGATCATCTTATCTCATCTGAGGATTTAACTCATCCTGCAAATCACATCTGTGCACTTTGCCGTACTTTCTACACCCTGGGCTGGGTCACCGGGACTGGTGGCGGAATGTCCATCCGACGAGGACCATACATCTTTATTGCTCCATCTGGCGTACAGAAGGAATTAATGCAACCTCACGATATCTTCGTACTTGAATATGCAACTCGCTCTTACTTGCGTAAGCCTCCGGTACTGAAACCATCTGCTTGTACCCCTTTGTTTCTTGCCGCTTTCGACCGCGGAGCAGGATGCTGCATTCACACCCATTCTCAGGCAGCCGTTCTCGTCACCTTGTTAGTTGAAAGAGACGCCAAAGAAGTTGGCGAGCAAGTGGCCGATCGATGTTTTGAAATAGAACAAATCGAGCAAATCAAAGGTATACCAAAAGGCAGAGGCAAGCAAGGCATGCTCGGGTATTATGATCGACTCCAGATCCCCATCATTGAGAATACTGCCCACGAGGAAGATCTGACAACAAGCTTAGAGACTGCGATGGACCACTACCCTGACACTTATGCTGTTCTGGTCAGAAGACACGGTGTCTATGTATGGGGAGATAATGTGCACAAGGCCAAGACGCAAGCAGAAAGTTTGGATTATCTGTTCCAGCTGGCAGTTGAAATGCGTAAATTTGGTCTGTCCTGGGTTAGCTGAGAAAGGAAGAAAGATGCCGAGCAGACGGCGACGCCGCGTGCCATATCTTGCGGTGTTAACCAGAACCGGGCGTGAGTGCGACTAAACTCTCTATCGGTATGGGCATCCATATGCTGTTTTGGGGGCTGGTCATGCAAGATTCCTAGAGTCTCCAGAAATGTCAATAAATGACTCAAGCATGTCATGCACGCAACAAGCTCAAACAAGGACTTGAAGTGTATCCGCCAACGAGATTCATCAATTCTTCCCACCAGCAAATCAGGCGCGCGATGAGATGGTTTGTGACAAGAAACATTACAGCTGAGCTAGGTCTTGTACAAGCTACATGCACTTTCTCGACTAATGACGAAGCCCGGAAGCACATCATATTATTCGGGCATGGGGAATTTTTCGCAATATCTCCGAACAGAAACAGACGGCAGCCACCCAAATGCTCATCCTAGGATTCCTCCTTCTTGTGGTGCAAAACTTTGTCTTTCACCTTGTCGATCAGACTTTCTTTGTTGTCGGTATCATCCTTGTGGACGTTGCCTTGTCCGCCTCTCTGCCAGCCTTATTAGCTGATCCAATGACACACCAATTTGATGCCACGCTTACGCCCGTATGATAGTTCTCATAGCCTGGCCCTTCCCCCGGATGTCTGATGGCTGTTTCGGGCACGACATCCGCGTCGCCAGCTTGACCTTTGACAGGCTTGACATTGGGGGAGTTGATATTGCCAGCTCCTCCGCGGCCCGCGGAGTATGCGCCATCACCTTGGTCGCCGACTTCTCCCTCCCGAACGATCCCGCCATCGACGTAAGTATGTGTGTCGTTTGTGATGTTGCCTGCGCCACCGCGACCAGTGGAATGAATATTTTCTGACATTCTAATTTAAGATTTCTGTAGAGTCAGGTCGTACAAAATGTCTTAGTGAAGAAGTGGAATGAGCAGTGAGTTGATAAGTGAGAAGAGAAATTCTTGGAGTGCGAAAGGCTTTAAGAAGAGCTGTTTTGCTTGGTACGGGCTATGGAGTATTTGTCGAGGGTATTTGTCGACATTTTCCATGCCCAGACCGCATGACGTTGGAGGGGCAGCGAATGATGTGACTCCTTCCAATGGCGCCTCTTGGCATGTCCTACGCTCAAATCACGAATGCCCGTGTTACCTTAGGTTGCCTTTGTCTGCTCATGTGAACCGTTAATAAGACCGATCTCTCACGCCCTAAGCTTCCTTAGTAACGACGGCGCAGCTGTAAACCCTTTTGTTGGCCCGGTGTCGGAGCTGGTGACGACAAACACACCATCTGCAACAAAACAACATGATCTATGATCTAATACGGAACGGAGTAAGACTGACCAGTCGAGGTAGGCTCAGGATGTAGGCCCCGTCGTTTGAACTTCACTAGATCGCTCCTCACGATGGACGTGGTCTTGGCGGCTTGCTGCGAAGATGCATATGCATTGCACCAGGCGAGATCCAATGTCATTCGATGCATAGGCAGGCACGGACTTTCAGCAATTATTCTCATCGTCTCCTAATATATCAGTATTCTCTTCAAATCGCACTATCTGCGTTATGCCTGCATTTTGTGGGCTGGAATGGCCCTGGGACGCTGCTAAACAAGCCTTTTTCCTTTGTGGAACATGTTGCATGCACGTTTTATCATCCGTATAGTTAGCAAAGAAAGGTAGTCGCTTGGCCTGCTAGTAATTTCGTTCGGATGTTCCATGGTCCCGGCTCACCTTCGAAAATATTTCATGTTCTGTGGTCTTACCATGTGCACCAACAATCTAGGAGAGCGGCCAGAATACAACTGTGGTACTCCGCATAGCCGTGGCAGAATCCTGTTGTAAGACTTCAAGAGCGGCCCTTCCTGCGTGATGATGCTCATAGGAACTATCACATGCACCGCAGTATCGGCACTGATTGTAAGACACTGAACAGCATGTGCAACCTCAATCTTCGGTGAGGCCTGTTATGGCCAGGTATATAACGTATTCTCTCCGCCCTTCTTTCTTCTCTACAATTCATTCATCTTCCAAAAATTTCGAGTCTATCAATTTGAATCCCTAGAGAGGATTGAGAATCTCTGATCTTCGTCCTTACTTTTCTCACTTTCACGGTTTTGACTTCAGTGATCCACAAGTTAACCAACCTACAAATATGAACAAGCAAGTGGCTCGTCACAGACGAGTCGAAGAGCTAGCTCCAAAATCACAAAAGAAGCTTGAGTACAAATCTGCTCAGTCAGACAGCGGTTCGCACGAACGTTCTTCGGGCAGCAAACAGTCGGACTCTCATAGCAGGACCCATCAAGGGGGCAGCTCCTCTAGTCGCTACACCGATTCTGGGGCCCTGGTAAAACATGAATCTAAGCAGGGGAAGTCAAGTTCCCACTACGATGGTGGGTCGAGGACTGTAGAGAAGTACAACCCTTCCAAATCTTCTACGTCTTCCCAAAATGCTATGGTTCCATACGACAACAACAAAGCTCTCAGCCCCGCTGGAAAACACTACAAGTCATCAGGATCATCAGCCGACAGCTCTGCAGACCACGGAAGTCGCAAAACAGACGTCAGTAGACGCTCGACAAGTACCGCTTCCCACAGTCAATCGAAATCATATAGCGATAGTCACTCCTCATCTCGGCATTCTGAAGCCCCCAACACACGTTCGGGCACTTCTACAAAATATTCTAGCCGGGACAGCCAGGCTCCTTCCAGTCGCAGCACAGATTACGACCATGGAACCTCCGGTCGCAGCTCATCATCGTCCATGACCGTCCGTCCCCAGCAAAGCAGCCAACGCGAATCTTCCCACCCTAGCAACTCGAGTAGGTCTGATGCCTATACATCTGGCACAAACTCACATTCGCGCTCGAATGCCACGGCCCTCACGACTAAACACACCCAATATGCTCCACGCGATTCCTCCCGCCAAGAGAGCTCGAGTAATAGGTCTGACGCATACACGTCTGGTGAAAGTTCGCGTTCGCGTTCGCGTGCCAACGCCACCGCCCTCACGACGACCCGGGATCGGGATAACCAGATCACCAGGCGTCCAACCCATACAGACTTTTCATCACAGTCGACGCAGGTGGTAGAGAAGCACCATCACCATCACCATTACAACGATGGTCCAGAAGTCCATAATCATTATCATGACCGCCCGATCGTGCCATACTATCCGCCTCCGCCTCCACCTCCCTACTATGGCCCTAGTTACGGCCATTATAGCCGTCCCCTCTTTCATGACCCGCGGCCCAGGTGTTATTGTTGCGGCTCACGCATGCGGCATGGGGAAATGGCGTTAGGGGGCAATACTGTGGCGACTGCTTCTACAACCGCTGCAATCACTGAACCCCATTATCTTACTCGAGTCGTTGGCGAAGGATGGCTGGTGGAATGAGATGACATAGCTGATTGGATGACAGAAAGGAAAGCGACTATTGCCTTCTAGAAGGAGGCCATCAGGTCTCGAAGGCCTGGGACACTTGAAAGTAAGGTTACATAGATCATGCGGTAGATTACTAGACGTGCATTTGCTCTCATGTAGGAAACTTTTCAAATAGCAAGTTGAATGAGCATGCAAGCATAACATGAACAGGGCCTTTGCGTTTTTGCGTTCTTCAGTATAATGGCATTCTTGAATTCTAAAAGCGAGCCTTTGACGTGTCAAATTCTAGGAGGCCTCTCACCTTAAGAGGAGAGAATCATACGCGCGCTCTTCTCATGCAATTAGACATGTAACGATAATCCTGATTGGCAGAGCGTTCCTACCGGCTGCGATTTCATGCCTCGTGGTGGTGCCCTCGTACCCCGCAAAGCGTGGTTTGTGTATGGCATTGGAGGCATATTGTGTTCCCGGAACAGTCCTGAACAATTCCCTCTTGTTCTTCACCCTTCATCACTTCGTCCAAAGCGTCCTCCAAAACCTATATCCCTTTTGAAGAATTTACCGATATTCCTAAGGTTTTCGTTCAAGTTCCCCGTCGACAAATTTGCCTGCGAATCTGGACTCAAAGCTCGTCGATTTGCAGGCGGCGGAGGACTTGCAATCCTCGACTCTGCGGGAGTCCCTGAAGTGCTGGAGCTTAATGCCGGGGTTCCAAACCTATCGACACCGTCTCTGGCAGCAGTCATGATAGCATTGCCAAAGTTTGTGGGATCAAAGCGGCCAGGAAGATTTGAAGTGCTCAGACTGGCTGCCTGTCCTAGTGATCCAATGCCTGTGGAAAGATGGGAGCTGGTGCTTGTACCCAAACTCAAAGGGGTGAGTACAGGCGACGATTGCTGGAGATTCTCATGTTTTGGACTCGAGCGATGAGCTTGAAATAATTCCGTGAGATGAGATTGGTCCTGCTTCTTGAGCCCCTTGAGCTCAATAATCTTGCGGAAGTTACTGTCTGATTTGTCTGCAATATGGATAAGATAGGCCTGCACGAGAGCTTCCGGGGGGGATGGGCGGACTTGAAGAGTCTTGAGAATTGGGTCAATACGTGCCATTGAATGGCCGACGCGCTTGATATATCCAGTCGAAGCTTGCTTGACATTACTGTTCAGCATAGGAAGGGCCTCGAAATACTTTTTCAAGGTATAGATATCGAGCAGCATCTATAGCTCATTAGCCCTCTGATAGTAGACTCGAAGTGTAACGAATGTTTACCTGCTCTGCTCCAACCTCATTTACAGGCCTGCACTGGAATACATTAGTGAGGTAAGCATTGCATACCATGTCGACAACATTGTCACAGAACGCCCGAGTGTACTGCTGTTTGTGCAGCAACGCTAAAATCTCACCAGCTCGCATATTCACTACTCGTATAGCCTCTGAGATATAAGAGCTTTGATCTGTAACATTTTCCATTTTGCTCCAGCCGGTATTTCGCATTTCCCGCCACGACGGTTCGAGTTCAAGCTCGACCTTACGGACCAAAGCACGCACTGTTGCAGCAGCTATGCCCATAAAAGCTTCTCCTTGACTCTGCAGATCGACACTTGATCTGAATTCAGCATCTATCCGAGCTTTGATTCTTTCGTCAAGTTGCACGCTTGTATTATAGCAATAGTCTGCAGTATTCAGGACCACAATCATGTCTTCTACATTAGGTATTTTCGATGGTGTTTGACCGCTCGGGCGTTCGCTTAGATGATACCACAGTATCTGCTGAGCATACTGATCAAGATACTTAGCGAAGACTTTGGATAGCTCCAATAGCTTTGCACCAGGTGAAAGCCTCGCACATTGCGAAAGAGTCAAACGATAAAAATTGAACAGGTCAGTCGAGGACGCGAGGACTGTTTCCGGGCTGAATTCCTCCTCCGGCGGGCGAAGTGGTTGTTGCTTATATCTTGGTATCAACATAGAGAGCTGTTTGTCTTGTGCCTCCACCCATATGTTCAAGTGCGGCTCAAATGCCTCCGAAATGGCATGGTTGAATATTGCCGTCTTATCGTCGCTCGAACTGACAGTATCCATAGAAGTACGAGAAGCATTGAAGAACCTTTTCTCCAGAAACTGCTCGAATTCGAGAGTCTCTTGAAGGCATTTGAGAAGCAGCTCAACGTCCATGGTCTGACCATCAGGCCTTCTTGCTAACCTTGAAAGAATACCCTTGAAGTCTTCTCGTGTCCCTTCACAAAAAGCGTTTGCTAGGATCTCGCTAACCCGCCATGACTGTGGAAACAGGGGCGCATGCTCGCTGTCATAGGTCTTGAGCAATCTCTTGAACCATGAATACCTCATTGAAATGTTTTCTAAGGACCCCGCCTCTTCACTGCCCCTGAACAGTTGTCTGTACTCTCGAAGCTGAGTGTTGCAGTACCACGTAATCAGTCTGGACCGGGCGTTTTCTCCTAATGCCTCCATGACTTGGCATGCCTCTGCCAATGACCATCTCTTTTGTCCAATTTCGCCCTTTGCAAATGTAACTTCGAAATCTTCACACACCTGTTCGAGCAGCTCTCTTTGGAGATCTGATACATTCCGACTCAAGGTAGCGATTTGGTCTATAGAGCGATAGGATTTGAAGTGTGCCATGAGCTGTATGACAGCCTGCAGCAGCTGAGCGCACTCCCTATATTGCCGAGAGCTACTCAATCCCTTCAATTGCTCATAGGCGGTCGTGAGCATTTGGAGTCTTTTCAAAGCCGTCATTGATAGCGTTAGATTTCTTTTCGTGTTATCGAGCCTTTTGATATCCGCTGTCATGTCTGTGATCGCTTCCTCCGTCTCCATGGCACGTCTGCTGACATTCTCAACTTTCTCGAAGAGTTCAGGAAGGTCTGATTCAGCATCTTGTATCCGTTTGACGGCTTCGGCGTCAGCATTGGTTTGGTGTTTCACCGCAGCGGCGATTTCGCGGTCGAGATCATTTTGATAGGTGTCCAAGGCTAGCGATACTCTCGAGACGGAAGAAAGGGTCGACGGCTGCGAGAAGATAGCGTTGAGGTGGTTGATGGGGTCATAGTCGGCTGGATAATTTGAGAAATTAACTCAAGCAGGTAGGCGTCCCAAACTTACCAGCATCTAACGAGTTGAGACTGGAAGCCTCTTCACTCGCAAGCACCATGAAGCCGAGCTCTTACCATCTCAGATTTGACTTTACAATCGATCAATCATGGTAGAAGCACTTTACGCGTATGATCTAGACGCGGTACAACGCCTTTTACGCAGAAGCTCATCCTTGATATTTCACCTCAGATCAAAGAGGCAACATGTAAGAAAGATGTAAACCTTTAGTCGGCTTGTAAGCGGATTGTATAGCCTTTTTGAATAGGCCGTAGTCTACGATTATTTTATGGTCGGTCGTAGATCAACCTATTTTCTATCTATTGAGGTTGGACCTTCAAATGACGACCACTTTCATTACCTTTCAGCTTTTGAGTACGGTGCTGCCTTCTTATCCGCCTTCTTCTCCCTCGTTCTCCGATAATATCATTTCGCGTGCTCCCTTAGTTCAACCATAACAGGAACTTCTCCCACATCTGACACAATTCTCTGCCTCTTTTTGCCCCTCTCATAGTCGAGACCAAAGCGCCTTGCTAGCCATCCTCTGGACCAAATCAAACACCAAACAACACCAAAGATTACTAAAGCTGCCGCTAAAATGCCAAAACAGTACCCAACAACCTTGCCCTGCCCTTTTGATGGGTCAAGAAAAGTGTAAACGTAAAACCCTGCAGATGCATGACTTATGTACGCCAATGCGAGATATAGAGCAAGAAGTAGAATGAGACAGACCATGTGAAGCGGCGGGGGCGCGTTCGTGCGGGGCAAGGTGATCTCCAGGAGGGCATAAAGCGAATTGAGGCCGTGCTGAGATATCTGTCGCGCTTGTTAATACTGCCTTTGCTAGGGACGATGTCAGATTTGACAAGGCGCTAGACCTACGTTCGACCATGCTTGTTCGTCATTCTTGAACCATTTATCGTTATACAGAACCACCCAAAAGATAATTGTGACTAGCGGCGGAAACACCACGATCGTGGTATAGAAGATCGAATGTGCCGCTTGGAGAGGTCTTGACCATCTATTAAGCCAGCTCTTTCCTCTTAAAGCATAAGTCACGGTATGTAGACCAGCAAAGAGAAAATAGAATGCCAGCCCAAAATATGTAAGATTGGTGAAGTACGAGAACCAGTGGCGCGCCCGATCAGGTCGTCCATGAGTACAGTCCCATGCAAGTATGAAAAAGATTGTGACAAAGGCGTATAAGGAGAGGACGAGGCGAAGGATGGCAAGCACAAATGGTGCAAGTATTATGGACGTGGTGAAGCGATTTGAGGGGTCGAAAGGTATGGACACGCCCAGCAGGCCGTAGAATTTGTTTGAAGCCATTGTGAACTACGTCTGAGATGTTCGTCCATGGCACTGTATATAAAACAGATTCATTAGGATCTTGACACGAAACTGGTCAGCAGTAACGTTGGTCCCCTCGGTCCATGTAAAATTGACAACAATATCATTTGGCTTTTCAGGGAAGTCAGCTCCTGGTGGCTCCGCCCTCCGCACCCTAAACTGTTCACCAATAGGGAGCAGCAAGGAGATGGTCGCCTAAAAAGGAGCTGCCCCTGGTAAAAGCTCGAGCAGAAGCCTCTTGGGATCTGCGCTGGTTGGCCTGGAGCCTTCTCTGTCCAAGATCTCGGCCTCGCGCAGTCCTTCCTGCCCGTGGTCGCGAGAACCGAGACCCTGCGACAGTACAATGCTGTTATCTAGCTGGATGGTCAAGCGCAAGACGGTATGATAGTCGATTCCAATTGATGATATCAGCATTCGCCGCAATTATTTCAAACGCCGTACCCTCCAATTGTCTCTTCACAGCTGCTGTCTCTTATTTTGTCCTTGTATTGTCCAATACATGAAGCGTTGAAATAATAATATTTGCATTGACATGACATCTTTCTTTTCTCTGCCTCTGGAGCTTCGCCTTGAGATCTACTCTCTGCTTGTTCAGGACGAACCGGTAGAACAGTATGGGGAGGATAAATTCATGTCTGTGGAGATGACAACCCACCCTATTCTATATGTCAATCACCGTGTACAAGAAGAGTCCGCCAGTGCAATCTTTGGACGAGGGTCATGGGTGCAGGACTGTCCATCTAGAACCCTAGCTGCCTTTGAGAGGATGACTTTCGTAATTAAACATGTCAAAAAGCTGGCTATTAAATTACAGATGCATCACATTCTGGGGGCGCCGTTGAACGACCAAGGGTTCTTCGACTCGGACGGATACCATTGGGAAGGTCCTATGCAGAATAGACAAATCTTTGAAGATAATCTTACGAGGCTCTTGGATTTTCTGAAAGAGGCACAAGGCTTGCAGTCACTAGAGGTGCTTTGGGGGGAATGCTACGTATTCCGAGACCGAGGACTGGCAGAACTTCGTACAGATGGCGCGTCGACACAAAAGGAACACCACGGGCAGGCCGGCACGTTGACGACAGACGGACTGAAAGACATACTCGCGCGTCTTACTAAACTCGATCCTTCTTGCAATCTTTCCCTGGGTAAATGTTGGGTGCAAGTGATTGATGCGCCTGAGTACGCCATCCAGAGTCTCGAAGACTTTTCACTCAGACAATATCGACGAGCTGTCTCGGGCACCGTCAAGCAAATCATTGAGCAACGAAAGACGGCAATGTGAACTGTCTCGGGTGCCAATGGCGTGCTTCATGAAATCTCGAGTGCTATATACGAAATGTTCGTCACTTCATGACTTTGTCATCATAGTCCTTATTGCTGTGGCTGGTTCAACAGGTCAATCAGTCCCCTCAACCGGTCATTGGCTGACACAAGCTTCTAGCCTTCCGGTCATCGTTCACTCAGGACTGGTAGCAGCTAGAGCCCACCGTCGCTCTTCTCTGCTCATCTTGACGAAGTCGCCGTAGCACTCTTCGGGCAGAGGCGTCACGCACTTGATGTCGGCTTCCTCCCGGAATTGCACTCTCTTGTTCTTCTTCGAGCTCTTGAATACTGGTGCGCGTGGTGGTGGGAGTGGCGATCGTGCGGGTGGCAGTGGTGATCTCACTGCTGCTGGCACTGCTAAAGCCAGGTCGGGTCTTCGGGTGCTGCTTATCGTGGATGCTGTGGCGACATTTGAAGAAGGAGGAACTGCAAGGGACAGTTTTGGGCGCGATGCGCGAGCTGTTGAGGCGAGCATTTTGATTGGTATAATTGCAGATTTGGATACACGAAAGGTTGGATGACAGATTTATGGAGGTATATGAGATCGGGACCTGGTCAACAGACTCGATTCTGCAAAGATTGTGTCGGTAGAGAAGACTCGCGATGAAATCTATGAAGCAGAGGCGAATTGTTGTACTGGGCCAGCCAGTAGGCAGAGAAGCAAGTACAGTACGAAAGAGAAGACTGCGAAGTACGGAAATTGAGCAACGAACGGCAACAGATCGGGTTAACAGGAAGGACTCATACCTACCCGTGGATGTGATAAGTGGACGACTTCTACAGGGAAAGGTGGGGCAACGCAGTGACCATGGAGTGGTGATAGTACAGACAAAACAATTGGCGAATCAGAGGGTTTGAATACGGTTAAGCGCCCATACCTGATGGACGAATATGCAGGTGCGATGTGAAATAGCTTGATGCAGTAAGATCACAGTCCACAAAAAGCCACTGTCAATAATTATAATAATGCGCGATTTGTTGTTTGGTCGAACGTTCATATCAACAGCATCATGCATGTCGATCTCTTGACAATTTGGGGGCATTTCCTCGTCTGAGCTTTAGGGGTCTTATACTCTTATTTTGAACGTTGGCTTGTGCATTTGGCACATGCTCATAGCTTTGCGGCTCAGACAAGGTTGCAAACCGAAGGACTTCCTGTGGACCCTGGCGTGATCTGAACCAGGAACATCGGCATTGACAGCCCCTGCGCTCGAGGGATTTATGCATGCACACACAAGGCACAAAAAGAGCCTCCGTCTTTGCGTTCCTGTATGTCTCTGCTGAGCAACATGAATACGAACTGTGAAATACGAACACACGGGCCTTCCTGGTGACGAGAATTTGCTCAATAGTACTGAATAGCAAATGGAAAAAATCGTGTGCGAGCCAGTAAATGTTCCCATTTTATGCAGACAGTATTCGTACAGATCGCTCTATGTTGGAAGTGACAACTCAGGGTCTGATACCCTCCTCCCAGAACGAATGCGATATAGTTACAGTTTAATAGTATCGTACAGCTCCAAGCCAGCAGAAAGCATTGCGCTTTCCTGTTCGCCAGGAGAACATTAGTCGTATCGAGTCTTATCGTTACAGTCGCTTCCCGCTCATGCTTTCCCAAATATACCCATGATAGCGCCATTAATGGTGGTACAACGTTGTACAACTTCTAATGAGTTGTCACAGGGATCTGAATTCCTCCGGACATGTTTGCTGGGGAGTGATGCCTTTGTAGACTACTCGCCAGCGTACTCGGCATGATATTTGGCATGTTTGCAAAGTGGGTGCCAAAGCTCGGTAATTTGGTTGAAGAGTCCCGTCCAGACGATAAAAGATTAGCAAGTGGTGGTTGTGATGATACAGTTGGACTAGTATTAGTCGGAAATATAGACGGTGCCGTCATTGTCGGCGTAAGAGATGGAAATGATGAAGTACTATTGCTGAAAGTGCGAGTTGGGGTGGGGAAGCGAGATGAATGTTCGGTGTGCGCTGAGTAAGGTGCGTATTTCTCGTCCTCATGGCCACTCCGGCTGAGGGTAGCTGGTGAGCGATTTACCTCCCCGCCAAGGGGTATCTCGTGGAATTTCTCTGATCTGGTGTCATCTGAATGAGAACGTGACCGGAAGATATGTCCGCCGTAGAGAGCGTCGACGTGATCAAGCTCCGGTAACTGGCCGATGCTGGCTCGTTGTTCTCGACGGCTGGCGCTCTTGCCAGCCTTTGTGACATGGCTGATGCCACCGTCAGCAAACTAGTCAATGTCAGTCTCTAGGCTCACAACGGGAATGGTTTGCAATCGTACTTTGGACTCGACCGTTTGCCACTTTTCGTTAACTCTGTTGGCAAGCAAGGTCCACATCTCCTCGCGCACTTCAAGGTAAGCCTTGCCGAGTGCTTCCATCTTAGAATGATCCCAAGAGTCAGCCGCGGTTTTCCTCTCCATGAGTCGCTCATAACGCTTGCGACACGCATTAGGAGTCTTGTCCGGGAAGTGGTTACTGGCAATGGACTGCCAATTGTGACCTTGTGAGCGGAGTTGTTGAAGGAGGCTATCGTTCTTTGGCAGCCATGCTGAGTTGGTCGGTTTGTCATCGATGGTTAGAGGAGGTGTGCGAGGCTCGTATGGGGTAGTTGGAGTTGGGGTGGCTGTTGGGTAGGGTGCTGTTCGTGCGTGATGGCGAGTACCCTGACTAGGAGCCTTGCCCATCTTGACGACGGGTTGGTGTGGATGTAGGATTGGGAATAGGACAGGCGATCTTCCGACAAGAAGAAAGTGATGTACAAGATAGAAGACTGATTAGGAAGTGGGGTCCGAGAAAAGAAACGAGGATGTTTACGAGCTTTATGCAAGCATTGGCTCTGACAGGCTCTTTCGAGAAAGGGGAATGGGCTTGGGTTGATGTGCTATGATGTATGATTATGAATGGACAAGCTAATCGGAAGCAGAGGGAATGATGAGAGGAAGAGAAGAGATCCTCCAGGGAACACTGCGATGCTCGACTATAATTGCATTTTGAAAAGTCAAGATATGTGACCAAGGGAGGCGAAGCAGCATGACTTATACTGTTCATGCAGGCCAGCATCGCGGTGTGGTGTATTGTTTACCTGTGGCAGGCCTTAGTCGTCCACTACATTAGACGCGAGGAAAAAGTATTCTTGGAAACATATCTTTGGAATAAGAGGCTAAGGCTGAAACACAAGTGTCTCCCTTCCAAGGCCACGCGAGGAAACAGGAACCGCATCAGCAAGTCAGAGATTCGGCCATTTTGGAGACCGCCTTTGCCTTCTTTTGCTTGGGGACCGTGAGGATGACCTGCGTGGAGCGTGAGTGGTGCAACATTTTCTGCGAAGTGGGGGAAAGGATTCATGCCTTGGCACGCTTGCCCCCAACGGGAATAGCCGCGGGGAAGCAAGCGCCCAGGAGTATTTTTAGAATCCACCTTTTTTCGCACTTTCCCCCCTCGGGCTCGCAGAGAAGGCTTGGATGTTCATAAATAAATCATCGATGGTGACCCTATTGGTTCCTCGTCCACGCTTACGGAGGATTATGATGATTTTAGTCTATTCTTTCGTGTGAGGACTGAGGAGAGTCGCAGAGACTTTCACCGCGTCAAAGGCCCCCCACAACCACTGATACCAAAGTCCCCCACTGGTGCAAGTCAATGCGACAGACAGCATTCTCATACTTTGGACAGTGTACAAAATACAATCAAGCCTTAGTCACAAGGACCTCAATCCCGATCACGGCACAATGCTCGATCGATATGTCCTGTTGAGCCTGCCGTTCCTTGCTGACTGCAATGGGCATTGTGGGTTGCCCAAGAAAGCCTACGTCTCTGCGAGAGCAAGCACGCACGAGGCACATGCAGCAACGCGGCGAGCTTGACGCGCTTCTCTTCAGACAATTTATATGTGTGTTTCAGGTGTCAGATGCAGAAATGGAACATACATGATGATGTCCTGCAGTGCACTGCCTCGTCACTAGAGCCTCTCCACATCAAGCTTTGCATATGCGGCGAGATGGTGACACACGAACCTTATGTGCCCGACTGTTGGCTGCTACACAGCCTTGCCTCTTGTCGTCCCTCTTGCACTAGAAGACCGTCTCTCCAGATGTCATTGGCTCTGACAGCTGAAAACATCTCGTTCCTGAACTAAAGTGGCACAGAGTATACGGCAATGTACTCTCAGTAGTCCGTTTCATACTTGGGACACCGAAGCTTCCTTGAGCTCGCACTGTGACTCCTGACTTGGTGCCGTGTGAGCCTGATAGCTCATCCCTGTCGCTTCCACCCAGGAGCTCCCAGGATTCCATTGTCCGGTTTCGGGTCGAGAGACCACTTTCGTAGGGCGCGGGCAGAGAGGTCCGTCGTCCATCCTTCTTCGAACATCTCCATACCAGCCCAGGCGATCATGGCCGCATTGTCCGTGCACAGTTCAGCCGGCGGTAGGACCAACGGGACATTTTCGAATCCACGGCCATCCAGAAAAGACCTCATGCTGTTCAAAAATCAGCTTGCTTTTCAAGTATTCATGGAGTATGGTTTCATGAGCGTACATCATCCGGAGAAAGCCATTGCTTGCTACACCCCCGCTGATCACCAAGGATTGAATTCCCTGATTCGTGGCTTGTGCGCCACTTACCCCCCGAATGACCCTTGTTGCAATATGTTCAAACGCCACCCTCATTCCTTCTACTGCCAAGTCGATGCGTTCTGCCTCACTCATTTTTTCGCTCCTGCTTTCGCAGATCCTCTTGATGGCGCTTCCTAGCCCAGAAAAGCTGAATTGCATATTTTTGGTGTCAGCCAGCGGTACAGGTAGTGCCCAGCCCCATTTTGTCTCGCGTGGAGCAATCTCTTCAGCACGATCTTTTGGGGGACGGTACAGATAGCGCCGAGCCCGTCCATGAAATGCAAACCACTCAAGAAGACGACCATACATGATTTCCTTCCCGCGAAGCGCTTCATGGGGAAGTACTAATCGTGCGATCTTGTCTAGAGCGTCTCCCACTGCGATGTCGACCGTAGACGCGAGCACCTTATGGTCGCACAGTGACTCTGATTGAACCAGAAGAGTATGACCTCCAGAGACTAAAAGGGACATGAAGGGGAATGCTGGCTCCGCGCTCTTCAAACCAGGCGACTCCAAAGCATGGACCAGTCTTGGGGTAAGCGCATGCGCCTGCATGTGGTGGACGCCCACGAGTGGAATGCGCCATGCAAGCGCGAGCCCTTTAGCAGTGTCCAAACCCGTAGACAGAGCCGCCGACATGCCAGGCCCTCTCGTGACCGAGATGAAATCAGGTTTTAGTCTCACGTCCTGGTCTCCGACCTGAACAAGCATGGTAGGATCCGTCTGGAGATTTCCATCAATCGCTTCTGGGAGGGAACCAAGGCTTTCAGCTATCATGTTGGACAGTACATGTTGATGTGATGTCACCGCCGTGGCAGGGTGAATGCCCCCGAATGAGCTGTTGTCGGCGGTAATCTTCTGATGGAAACGCAAGCGAGTCCCAGACTGTTTAGTCTTCTCTAGCACCGCCACACAAGTATCATCACTAGAATGATGTAAGTCGATATTGTTTCAGTAAGAGATAGTATCTCAGACCATGATGTTTCTATTGCAAGCGTTAATAGATTTCGTCTTGAAGGGCGGGACCCGCTCAAGATCCTGCGCCTTAGGCACGGTGTATGTCTCCATGATGGCCAGAACATACATCGATCGATAATCATGCAGACATGAAAGTACTGTCATAGACGTTCTGGTCCTCTATTTGACGCGATGGACAGGGTCTCGAGATTCCATGGCAGATGCGGCGAAAGCGGCCGCAGAGCCGCGTTCCAAAAAACTTCCGTGCGAATATACCAAAGAACTCTAAGCTTGTAAATTAAGTGAGCAGCGATCCTTGTGATTGACCTGTACTCTGTATTACTATTCCAGAACTTAGCAGGATACCATACATAACCAAATGGATTCCCAATGGGCACTGGCCTGCTTATGACAGCCCAAAACAAAGCTCTCCTGAAACAAACATCTACCCATCCACAAACCCACATGTTCTCTACCAACATGCTTCCGCGGAGCAGGTGACCTTTCGCCCGTGACACTCCATCTCTACAAGATCAATTGTCTGCAGATCAATTACGACCATGAATGCGGTCAAGGAGAGCATATTGGGCGCTGATCGCGAGCCAGACCTCTCTTTCCAGTCGAAGGCAACCTTCGAGCAATATGCGCAAGCCGACGAGAATACCGGAGAGAAATTCATGGGGCAAGACGACTTCGTCAACGCGATCGCCCCAGCTACAGAGAACTACGTGCGCTGATCCTGTATTGATTGACGATATGAGAAACATGACTGATATGCGAGCTGAGTAGCACAAGATAAAGCGAGAACAGTACGCACTCCTATTCCAAGTGGCGGACCGAAAGAAAGTTGGGAGAATCAGTCTGCGCGACTGGGGAGCGTTTGAAAACCTCCTGGCTAAACCTGACGCCGAATATGAGATCGCGTTTCGACTGTTCGATGAAAATGGATTGGGCACCATCAAGTCCGAAAATTTCTTTAGACTGTACGATCAGAACAAAGGCAAAGACACGATACCGTTTGATTGGAATTGCGAATGGGCCACTCTGTACGTGGGGTCCAAGCGACATCGACATGACATTACGTACCCTCAGTTCTCCCAGATGCTGCGTGGGCTGCAAGGCGAGAGGATACGACAGGCTTTCCACATATTTGACAAGGATAGAGATGGATATATAGAGCCGGAGGACTTCCAACGGATCATCCTTGAGACTGCCAGGCACAAGCTTTCGGACCACATTCTCCAGAATTTGCACACTCTGTGCAACATTTCAACGGGTAGCAAAATTTCATATGCAAACGTGCGAGCATTTCAGAACGTCATTCGAGAAATGGATTTGATGGACTTGATCCTCCGGAACGCGACGCAGAAGACAGAGGATGGACGGATCACAAGGACTGATTTTTTGAATGAAGCAGCGCGCATTACGCGCTTCTCTCTCTTCACGCCGATGGAAGCAGATATCTTGTTCCACTTTGCCGGAATAGACGCTGCCTCCGGCCGGTTGTCCCTACAAGATTTTGCCAAAGTTCTAGATTCTTCCTACCAAAGCGCTTATGCTCTAGGCATAGAAGCAGCTGGTCCAGTATCAGATGTAGCAGACAAAGCAGTTTCAAACACCAAGCGATATCTACATAATGTGCTTGAATCACTACACCACTTCGCACTTGGCAGCGTTGCTGGCGCTTTCGGGGCGTTCATGGTTTATCCTATTGATCTTGTAAAGACCAGAATGCAAAATCAAAGGGCAGGCCGGGTTGGCCAAGTACTCTACAAAAACTCCATCGACTGCGCCAAAAAAGTGATTAAGAATGAGGGAGTCAAAGGTTTGTACTCGGGTGTCTTACCACAGCTTGTTGGCGTTGCGCCAGAAAAGGCCATCAAGTTAACAGTCAATGATCTCTTGCGAGGCTATTTTGGCAATAAAGAGACTGGTGCAATCTGGTGGCCCCATGAGATCGTAGCAGGTGCCTCAGCTGGTGCATGTCAAGTGGTAAGCCATGATGATTCTTCGAGACAACACCAATTTTGACATTCCTATAGGTTTTCACGAACCCGCTTGAGATCGTGAAGATCCGACTCCAAGTCCAAGGCGAGCTGCTCAAAACACACGAAGGAGTCGAGAAGAGATCTGCAATGTGGATCGTACGCAATTTAGGTCTCATGGGTCTCTATAGAGGCGCATCCGCATGTCTACTACGAGACGTACCCTTCTCCGGCATCTACTTTCCTACCTACAATCACCTAAAACGCGACCTCTTTGGCGAAAGTCCAACGAAGAAGCTTGGCATATTGCAACTCCTAACGGCAGGTGCAATAGCTGGCATGCCAGCAGCGTATCTAACCACCCCATGCGATGTTATCAAAACACGATTGCAAGTCGAGGCGAGGAAGGGTGAGACGAAATACACATCCCTCCGGCACTGTGCCAGGACTATATACCAGCAAGAAGGGTTCCGAGCCTTCTTCAAGGGAGGCCCAGCCCGCGTCCTGAGGTCGTCACCACAATTCGGGTTTACTCTAGCAAGTTTTGAATTCTTGCAGAAAGCATTGCCAATGCCTGGCACTGGTGGCGACGAGGGACCTGCAGGACATGTCGAGCCCGCGCTTGGTTTGGTGGAGGCGAAGGCGCCGCTGCCATATCTACGGAGTCGTAATGCATTGAAGATCATTCTCGATTTGGACGAGAACTTTGGGAGGCCAAAGGTACCGCAGGGGAGAGGCTGGATACCTCTGACGGGGGCGAATGCGTAGGGAGATAATCATCGGACTGGCATCATGCTTAAAGCGGCGCGAGTCGAGCACTCGAAAAGCATTTGAAGAAGGGGGTGATGATAGCAAAGGTGCTCATATTCAGTAGCAATGCTGCATAATCATAGAGTCTCTAGGTGTCATAGAGGGAGAGGGTCCCTCCACCCCTCGAGGTATCGCTACCTTCCACCAACAACAATCTACCTAGCCACGTAGGGCCTTCCATCCCGTTGCCACCAAACTCTGGTCGTCGTTCGTATCCCCAGTTCCAGTCCAGTAGAACAGACCGCCCAATCCGCGCTGCTTGACATATTCCGCCTTGCGCTGCACGCACGCCGGGTCATCATAACTGACGAAACCGCCATCACCACCGACACAGTAAGCTGCGACGACTTCATGATCCATCCCAAGTTGGGCATTGGGGCGTGCCAAGTCGCAATATTCGAAGGTCCCTTCCTCTCCACCTCCACCCTTGTACGGTTCCCCAGCTTTCGTGGCTCCCAGGAAGGAACGTCCATATGCTGGCACGCCGAGGAGGATCTTGTTGGCGGGCACGCCCTTCGAAGTAAGATAGCTAGACGCTGAGTCGCAGGAGATCTTGCAGTCGTCATTGTAGGCGTCCTTTGGAGTGAAGAGCTGGGAATGGTAGCCCGACATTTTGGTCCATGGACCGGCGAAGTCGTAAGTCATGATGTTGAGGTAGGAGAGGAGTTGGGATGCCTCGCCAAGAGGGATGTTTTGGAGAGCCCACTCGCCGGCAGGTAGAGCGGCGGTGAGGAGGTACTGAGAAGCTGGCAAGACGTTCCGAAGCGACGAGAGTAGCGAAATGAAGTCGCGGCCTTGACCGGGGTCGGATGGATGTTCCCAATCGACTGTGTGTGATGTCAGCGAAGGATCATCTGCGTAAACAGAGACTACCTACTATCGATACCATCCATCTGGTATTTGTCAAGGATCTGCTTTGCAGTATTTGCAAGGGTAGCCCTTGATGTAGGATTACTGGCCGCGGCGGCGAAGTTCTCGCTACCACTTCCTCCACCTAGAGAAAGGATTGTCTTGATCTGAGGATTCTGAGTCTTGACCCGTTGCAGGTCTCCGAGAGCCCCGAGAGCACCGTTCAGATCCAGCTTAGTATCTGCGTTTTCATCGGTGTACTCGTCCTTGGTTAGTGGATTTCAGGCAGCTGTTTAGGGCTTCTTACATAGACTGTGCCATCTGCTTTGACGCTGTGCAGCACGTCAGAAGGTAGATAAAGCGACAGATACTTCTCGACTTACCCTACAAACGCGTAAAGAATATGAGAGATGTGTGCCAAATTAAGGGATGAAGGAGGTTTTTGAGCAAGAGCTTTCCAGTTAGGGTAGTAGACGGCGTTGACAAGAGCTGACGAGTTTGTCGTTGCCTTGTTCACCTGGTGATGCAACAGCTTCTGAGAAGCCTTCTGCTGAAGCTGGTGCAGCGTATCCTTCAACGCCATGGCTTTTGAATGCAAAGCGTAATGAGGAAGAGAGGTCCAGTGCACAATACAGATACACAATGTTGCGAGAGTTCACAAATAGGAATACAAGTTTTGGTCAGAGAGAAGTTGATGAACGAAGAGGATGAAGAAGAAAAGAAGAAACCTTCAGGTTGACCTGATATATACCCTGCCCCTCGTCAGAAGCCCCCGTCGCCACAACAACGCGCACCGGCACGAGGACGAGCAACCTGACCAGGCAACGGAGGAGGTAACTACAAAAAGCAAATGCTCGTGAAGCGCCTTGGAGGTACATCCGATCACACGCAAGCAACACTTTGAGCTGAATCTCATAGGCCTTCAAGGTTCTTAGCTCACCTGTCCGGTGGCAACGTCGTACATCCATCTCCACCAGAAGCCCTTGGGGGGAATGTTCTCGCGGCCATTGGAGCTCAGACGTGTCACCAGGGCGCCACCTTCCACCTGACTCGCATCAACCACGCCCAACTCGTTGGTTGCAACTAGCTCTCTAGAACGCTGCTCCTGTGTGATGATGCTGTTGCTCTGGCTGAGCAAAGTGTAGATGGGAGCTACCTCAACCGCCGGTCTGAGATAGTAAACACGGAGATAAACGTGGTCTTCGTCCTTCGCACGGATCTCCAGAATCCTCGCTATGCTTTCACGGGAGGGTGATCGGTTGACATTGCTAAGCACGACAGTATCGTGAGGCTGAAAAGCTTCGTTACCAACTGCAACGCAAATCAGAATAAATCTGTAGAATCGATTGATATGTTGACAAACCTCTTATTTCTGCAAAACGTTCCATGGAAAGCCATATTTGCTGGGGTCGAATCATGTAAACCCGCTGAAGCTGTGTGGATTCAGGAATGCGCTGGTCATAAAGTTCCACAGTGAACATGCAGGGGAACGGCGAAGGCTCCAGCTTTACTTCGGAGCCGTTATGTGTATGAGAATTGGCGTTATGATGGTTGGCTTCCATGATGCAAGTTGCTGCAACCTGGATATACTGCAAATGTCCATCAGTAGGACATGTCGAGCATAATGGTGATGGACGGAAGAACTGTGGAAGAGGCAATGTAAGTGTTATGGATACCACTCGAGTGAATTTATTTGTCCACATGTCAACATGCTTCTACAATTGAAAGGCCACAATAATCGTCCGCAACTCTCCTCAAAGCCCTGCGCACGGTTGGAATTCATTATTCTTCGCCGTCGTCGTCGATACCTTGCTTTTCAAGCTAGGCGACTCAATTACATTGTTCACTTCGCTCGTCGAGCTTCATGCAAATCATGCAGCAGCGAGTCTTGCCAGCAGATCACTTGAATTTGTTGTAAGAATCTGCGGAACGCAGGTTCAACCAGCCGAAAGTCGTGCTCAGCCGGGCCTTCGTTTCACGAACTCTTCCAGGTCACCTTTTGTTGCAACACCGAGTACGAACCTGCGGTTTTCGTCCGTGACGACAGCAAAGTCTCCTGCACCATTCTCGTCGTTGCCGCGATCAAAAAAGGTTTCGAGCTCCTCCAAAGGCGTATTCATCGTTATGACTTGATAAACTTTGCCTTTCCTATTGAACTTATGCATCGCTTGCTGGACCACATCTGACTCCTTAACACTTCCATCTTTGAGCAATTGCTTTAAGCGAGGGATTGATAGATAACCAAGTAGAGCACGTGTGTCCTCCGACACGACCGTCAAATGGGTATAGTCTCGCTCATATGCACTTCGGAGGGCAATGGAAATCGAATCTGTAGGTCTTACAGACAGCGCCGAGGGAGGATCGAGATCCTCAACAGTAGCCTTTTGTAGGGTTATCCCAATATTTGCCAACGTCAATTACACTGAATAGCTTACCCCCCGATATACTGCAGCGCGTTGTGACGAAGCCATGGCTCGCTTTTTGCTCTGGAGTTGCGCCCTCTTTCACTTCACGAGCGATCCTGGTCAGTCATATCGTATTCAGAGCGGTGAACGTACAATCACTCGTACGAAAGCTCGGCAGCATTACCAGACATGCTCAAGAAGGCGGCCGTAGCGATGGAAAGACCGGGTTGGCCGGGTAGTGACTGTGTAAGAATGCAGTACGGCCTAGTCGTTTTTGGTCATTTTCATCTGTGTACCATCGAAGGCGGGAAATGTCGAGAGATCATCCAGACACAATCAAGGAATAGTCAAGCAATGTTTCATAACAATTGACAGTTGAAGCGCCATTGAATGACATTCAACTGAACTTCGAAATTGAGAGAGTTTTGAAAAGGTTCTGAGGAGTCATTGAAAGGTCATCGGAAGGTAATCGAGAGGTCATTGAAAGATCATTGAGTGGCCATCAAGAAAGCATTACACCTCAACGAAAGGTTTGAAATCACAGGGCACATCATTCACAATTATATCTCAATCCTGATCATTTCACTTTGATAAAAATTCACGATAAGCCTCACTAACGAGCTAGAATAATTCTCCTCACAATCTGTTATCTGGAGAACCAGGATCCATTTACGCCATGAAAACCACCCGCAGACTTCACGATGATAACCTTATGGACAGCCTTGCTTGTTGTTGGACTGTGAGGTCTCTTGGCTCTCCTAACTCTAGATAGAGCTAGGAGGTTCGTAGTCAGCACCACGCACAGGTGGACCTCATTCGCTGACCTCCCTGTCAAGTCAAAAATTAGCCTGATATTTGAATCCTGAGAAGGGCCCTGCTCTTGTTGTTGCTGCAGCAGGGATACTCTTGACCTATATGATACCGCAAAGAGCAGGTGGTACAAGTGTACATGATGATGATGTGCAAACGTTGTCGATTCTGTGATATGCCTGACAAAGGAAAGAATCTTGTCTGTAAAAGTCGTCCTCGTGAAGTGCATTTTTTGTCTATTTTGTGCCATCGAGGCTTTTGAATTTTTTTGGGTCTTTTGAGCTTTTTGTGTAGTCAACAAACCAGAAGGACTTGATTAGCGCTATGCAATGGTTGACAAAAGAAAGAAGTGACGGATATAACCAGGAAACGAAGAATTGAACTTTTTTGTGTGGTTTTGCGCCCTTGAGCTTTTCATATGTTTTTGCGATTGTTTTGTATTTTCCGGCTTTTTTTCTGGCTTTTCGAAAGTAATCAGCTAACAACAAAGCATCTGCATGTACGTTACTGGTCATCACAAAGAAATCCGTCGACGAGCGTTAGCTTGAAGCAGGCGCTGAGTCCTTTTGTCCTCTGGCAAGAATGCTTCGAGGCCCGTCTCGGGCGAAAACACCAGCTGATCTGACTCAACATCCACCATCACTACATCGTTATCAAAATCTTTGAAGTTTCGAAACGGGTCGTCCAAACCAGGAATAGGTATGATCTTGTTGTGGGCCTCCCGGATTTGAACTCGCTTCCTACTTTTCTCACGTCCGCGTCTTAGACAGCTTTTGAGCCGGCCAGAAGCAGGTGGTGCAGTCATTTCGGAAGACAAGTCACTGGCAATCTCCAAGCGATCTCGACACTGGCCGACATCTTGACAGCACTCAAGAGGCCTAGTGACCAACTCGAGGCTAACAGGACGTGGCGCCCATGACGAATGATCATTGCTTGGAAACACCTGCACCAGGGCTGCCACCGATACTGGTGGGGGTGGGCATGGCACCGAAATGCAGTAACCCATCCCAGCCAGACCGACAGCTAAGCCTGCGGCCCAGTGGAAGGAGGAGGCGTAGAAGGCGAGGAAAAGAGCAAGCATGCTTGAGACAGGAGTCTGCCACATCTTGGAGGAAAAGGATGATAGAGAGGAGAATATGTGTTTGGTACCAAATTTTGAAAGCTTTGTTTACTTGTGAGTATCTGCAGTCAAAATGTGATGGAGAGAGGAAGGAAATATCGCAACAAGCTGCGAAAACATATAGTGGGGTCGTTGCTATGGAGCCTCCTGGAGCAACGGAGCTTCGTCGAGTGTTGATGCCGGATTAGGATAAGGAAGGCGGTGGCAAACTTCGTAAGTATCACAGCCAGAACCATTCTTTGCGCAGGGTCATTCAACCTCTTGCTTACATTAGATTAAATGAATAATCTTGTGCAGTATTCAGTTGGTAAAGGTAGGAACTACCGTCTCTAGCATATTACCACCTCTCCTGTACCTTTTTCAATACAAATCAACAACACCTTAATTCTATCATCCATGCATTCATAATGGCTTGCAGCTAGCGATGGATCGACTTGGGAAACAGAGCGCCATGTCATACGCATAGACCGGGCCGGCTATCTTTTATTTCTTTCCTTGGGCGAATGCATCGTCTGAGTCGAAATCAGTAGGTAGAGGCTGCAACATCCTCAGGATATTGAATCAGCGCATTTGTGAAGCTTGTCAAGAAAGATACTCGAGTGCTAACATGCCCAAAATGGCTGCATTAGAGTTATGGAATGGTCGAGATTGAAAGGTCAAAGGTTTTCAACTCGGAATTCTTAAGACATAGCGCTGAGGTCAGTGTTCGCGAAAACATTGTTTCTTTACTTGATATTTCTTGACTTCCAAACGCGCAGCTATGAACTATAATGAATCAAGATCATCTGCAAGTGATCGTCTCATTTTCTGCCATGATTGTTCGACGTCGCAGCTCTCAGGAAAATCACAATTGCAGGTACAGTGGATACTGATTTAGACATAATGAAGGACTACAACGTTGTATTTTCTCAGCCATTCCGAAAAACGAATCATATAATAATACTAAGTCTCAACCCTGGCAAAGAACGCGTACAACAGCGGACTCTCTGGGAGAGCGAAACAACGTGCCTAAATCCATGAGAAGTCTTAAGTAAATCGGAAAGGTCCGCTACACCGTTACGAGTACGACGCTGAACTTACCGTCAGAGTATCTTGCATAATCCTGGGAAGGGTCTATCTCGCTAATGCAGACGGACACTCCAGCTCGGCTGATACGGGAACGCGAAGAGACGTGGAGTGCGAGGTGTGGCAACTAGGCCTGATTAGTCTAATTCGAGGTCCAGCGTTGGCTTTGGTACTCTGGCCCTCGAGGTGGTATTCTCTGAAGGGGCAAAGATCCCTCACCAGGCAGACCAGGGCTGAGTGCAGACGGCTAGCAGTCAAAATAGAGATTGTGATTTGCGGACACCTTTTGTCTGTCCTTGACAAAGCCAATCCTCTTCCGAATAAAGGAGGTCTTCGGAAAGGACTTGGCTCGAATTGGTATTGCTAGCGCAGGCTGATCTGTATAATATATGATAGACGTGAGCAGACCATGCCAATCTTGTCCAATCGCTCCACGAATCGCACCAGGAAGCTTAGTAATTGAGGGGTAGACGTAGTGGAGATCAAGTATCAGTTTCCTAAAGTATCGCTTTCATTTTTTAATGTAAAAGGCTCAGTAGATGGCAGTCTACAGACTCCTCTTAATATCCAATGTCTGATCGGCCAAGTTTCCCTCAGAAAAATTCGAGCCAGTACATTCACGCTGCTAATCCTGAGGTTTGGGACGTGTACGAAACATTAGTGGCGCTAGAGATTCTCGAGTAGTCATCATTGCCCTGTCCCAAAGTGGCTGTGCTAGCCGGCTTTGATGTTGGGGTGACCTTTCCACGAGGGATGAGATGAGGATACAATAAGGGGTTTTGCTCTTTCCAATGAAGGTAAAACTTGCGGGCATCTTGTGGCATACCAAACAAGCAAGATGAAAGGCATTGAGAATGAGTTAGGCCTTGCGAGGGTTTCATAGCGGATATCCTTGAACGAGAGTGGTCTGTTGTTCAAGTTTCGATAGCGCCGTTGACAACATTGTTTGCGTGACTAAACTTGTGAAATGGAAATAGACGAGGACTTATAAGACAGATGCACATTGCGGGCTTCGTTGGCCTAATCTGATACGCCGAGTGCAGATGTCAGTTGATGAACATTGCGCATTATAGTGAGACAGCTAGCCTGGGAGTCAGCTCGATGGATCCACTGATTCCGAGTTGAGTACAATGAGAACGGCTTGGTCCTGTCAAGATCAAAGGTATCGCCTGGGATAGGCGGGCAATGCGACGGAGCTTCAGCCACAATAGAAGACACCCATGTGTCACTGTAGACTGATATCCTCAGGAGCCAGTCACTGCTGCATCATTTCTCACACCCATCCACCACGATTTTGTGGGGAAAGATACATATGCAATGATGACGGTGCGGACGACACCCGCTTCCGATAGGAGCCGCGGGCGTGTGAAGGCATAAGGCAGGAGTGAATAGAAAGGATGCAGCAATGGCAGCCTTAAGTGGGCACCAGCTACTTGACTCTCCACTACTGACGAGTTTCAAGTGTGCCAACGGTGAGCCGACCGTAAATGGAAGGTCCTAATTCCATTTCCTTTGCTAGCATCAGTTGCGACTGCCTCACGCACGTTACGTGCTATGCTGTCACCAACGTCATCGCGCACCACTCAGGAGGTCACGATGTCCAGTCAAATGGTTCTCCAACCCTCCTCACCGACCCGATGGCGCTGTTTGCTCCGAGACTCCCACCGGGCGCCAATGCTGGAGTGTCCACTGCGTATCTTATCGGTGCGGCTTCCGATGCTTCGTCTAGTCAGGATTCGGTTGCGTTCGGCGCTTTCTCCAACCAGGCATTCTGGTAAGTTGCATAAGGCTGGGGTGCCAGTTCATAGGTTGGTCGTAAACATCAGCCGTGGACGGAAGGAACGCGAAAGGGAAGGTAATCTGATCCACATCAGGGATCTGGCTTGGCGTCATCATCGGAAGTCAGTCTAGACAGGGGTGATCAGCCACCTACGTCACTCCGTCGCTTTTTGAAACACCGGTAGGCCCCTGAATGAACCTCCCTCTTCCGGTCAGACGCTTAGGCCTTAGGCCGGAATTGGTGGGGAAGATGCAATTGAGTGAGTGAAGACGGTGTACCGGCAGCTGTTTTTGAAAAGATGTCATGGGAGGTTGAAGAGATAGATAGATATTAACAGTATAAAACGTGCAGCGTATGCATAGTCGCGTGCGGGCGAGCACATGGTATTCGCATGTTGATCTGCCGGAACGATCGATGTTGATCATAACTACCTATTATCACATAAACTTCCAATTGAATCCGCGTGCACTGTAGACACAACATTCATATCCCCTGTACAAGTACAACCGCTCAGCCGCCGTAAACATGCCAATCGCCAATCGCCGTAGTCAAGCGAACGTGGGTATCGAATGCGAATGCGGTTTGTCCAGAATTCTCCCATAATATACAATTCATAACTTTCCATAACACCTTGCTAATGCATGTAATCATTCCTACTGTGTGTGCCTTGCGACGATGTGGTCGCGCCCTCTCGTTTGGTGTACATTGGGCGCTTGCAAGGTTGTGGAATGTCTAGCTAATCGCACATAAGTGCTGTCGAATGTTGAGCGGCCGTAGTGATTGAGATCGTTGGTGCATCAGGTTACCACCGAAGTGGATACCACCTCAAGCGCGGCCCTCTTCACTTTTCCGATGTCCATGAGCCTTCGGGTGAAGGATGGTCTGAATCGGATGCGCTGCTACGGTCACCTTTGTGCACCTTACGGTGGCGGCGTAGGTTCGAGACGACCGAGAAGTGACGGCCACAGCCTTCATGTTCGCAAGCATACGGTTTCTCTCCTGTATGACTGTACATGTGCGTCTGTAGCGAGCTAGGTCGAGTGAAGCGCTTATCGCAAATCTTGCATTTGTGCTTCTTTTGTGTGCTTGACGACACTTTTGAGTTGAATTGTCCCATCATCGACTGAGGTGGCGGGAGTCCGTTGCCACCGATCAATCCCGTTGGTCGGGGCAACGTTCGAGAAGAGACAGACTCAAGATCTGATTGCGAACCATAATCCGAAACAGAGCCGTCGACAGAGCCGCTGTAATATGACGACGGGGTGTAGCTAGCGGAAGAAATTGACGAATGCGAGGAGTGAGGTGCTGGAAAGCCATAACCGTCAGCTGCTCCTCGGTCGCTTCCGGAGCCGTACAAGTTGCCTCTTGGTGTCATATCTTGACTCAAGGCAACCATGCCCCTGCTTGCGTCGAGCGCGTCATTGAATGTAGGTTGAGGCCGCGCCTGCAAGGACGACGAATTTCTAATAATGATTAGTAGTGCAAAGGCAATCTAAGTATAGAGACATACCCATGTGAAAGCCTTCTGGGCTCTTCATGTTGAGATGTATGCGCGAGAGTAGAGTACGAATTCCCATAAGGCGCCGACGTTGGGGCGAATGAGCCCACGGAAGGAGTGGACGTATGATCGTACGATGGTCGGCTGTGATTGACAAGATCTTGCGACATTCCAATCAAATCTGCTTGGGGATATGGGCTTCCTTGATACGTGGCACTCATCGGAGGAGCCACAGCGGGTATCGAGGTGTATGGAAGAGCACCAGTTGACCGCGCACTTTGTTGCTTGGCGAGTGTGTCGTACCCTGTATTGTGAGCGCTCATCCCAGCGCCGAAGAGCTGGTTACTTGGAGCACCCCAGGGGTTGGTGAATGAAGGCCCGTTGCCGTAAGGCATGTGATCGAAGCCCATTGAACCAAGGTGACGGTTGTTGCTTTGATCCAATGTCATGGTCATATTGGCGGTGTTTAGTAATATGCAATGGATGTGCGGCGGGTGATCGACAGTGGTGAAGTGGATTTCCCGAGGGTTTGATATATGCGGATTCGTTATATAGATGGTGAGTGTTGCTGAGGTGGACGAGCGTGAAGAAGTGTAGTCGTTGATGAACCAAGCCTATATGTGTACATTCGAGTCCGAAACAAATAGACAGAAAAAGGTCTGGACTGGCAAAGCTCGTGTTCAGTGTATAGGATTAGAACTGATCAGCGGGATGGAAGGAGCTTATAGTCTTGCACAAGATAAGTGAGCGAAGTGCGAGATGCCCAAAGGACGGCGAATTTGATCCCGTCAATGGCTTGAGGAGCTTGCGCAGAATGAACCCTGACGCTTGTCCGGGAAGGGGATAGGGTGTACAGGGTAGCGTGGTACCAGTCTGAGGGGGTGGAGGCCAGGGTAGCGACAGGCATCTTTTGGGCTACTACGTCAATTTTGGTGAGCGCGCCGGCTGCTGATTTGATCGAAGGCCCTCCATCCTTGCAAGCCACCGAACGCCATCCTGCTTTTGCTCGAGTCTATCTGCCGTCAGACTTGAGCCATATTCGGCTTAGAGGAAAAGGCAACTGTTGCATCCCTCCTCTGTCAGTCGCCGAAATGCTAATTGGGTTGGGGGCTCAGGAGAGACTGGGGTGTGGGGAGAAATCAACCAAATCATATCGCTTGATGTCCGCAGATTGCAGTGCTAGAGCCTATCGCGCGACTACTACAGCTTCCGACACATGGGGGCCATAAGCGAGTCTGCACAAGATGTTTGGTTCCGCCTCTGGGGCTTGGGGAGAGGTCCCTGAAACAATCCACTGCCTATGTCTGTGTTTTATTGAACAAGCCATGGAGGATGGGAGGAAGAGACTACGAAAGGCTTGATCTGCAAATGTTGCTATTCTTACATCTGCCAGTGATTCTTCTCGGGTATGGATCAACAGTCGAAGCCATGTTTACCCACGTGCGGGGTGGCGAACAGACACATTGGAGTGTACCCAGTACCGTGGATAAGGGCAGCGCAGTCTACGAGAGATGGGAACGATGTTGCCACTAATATACGGACTTCTAAGTATGCCAGCGAATAAGTCCACACCTACCGGCATTCATACTCTATCACCTTGAGCAGAACCAGCACCTAATAATGGTGGGATTTCCCACAATGCCATCAGCGGGCACCCACTAAGAAGATATCTGCTAACATGCTTTAGGGGACCACAAGCCTTCCGGGCGCCCTTTCCGAAGCCTGCAGGGACCATTGTTTGGCAAGGCTTCGCTTAGCTTTGTGGGAGAAGTTGGAAAAGCGTCTATTGGCAGTAGTATTTCTTTGGTTCCGATTGGGGTGCTCCTTGTCTTGTGTGATTGTGGCATGTTGTGGCTCTCTACGATGTCATAGTACGCTGGACAAGGTCAGCTGAGAGCCCCAGAACCTGAGACCGCGGCTAACGGTCTTATTGTACGATATTCTGCGACTGCGACAGAAAGAAACATGACTGCCGCTGTCAGCGGTATGTCGTCATCGAAGCCTCCGCGGCTGCAAGAATTATGCGTGGGCTCTGAAGGGCAGCACATGTTCCGGTAGACAGCGTGTCTGTCTGGCTGACTCGTCATATCCCACCGCTAGGCATGCAGCCAGACAGCATTCCCCGCTTCTGTGCCTTACATCACCGCCACTGTCTCTTGGTGTCACTTGGTGGTTGACCCTTGGCGGTGATTCGATGCTAGGGATGCTATCCTGCAGAAACAATGCATGCGCGAACACGGCATGGGTTTCACTGCCGTACCACACCCCATCCCACTTGCTAACTCTGGTGTGGAAACCTTCTACTACTACTACTGCCTTGCTTTGGCCTTTGAATTTTCCAGATCTGCGAAGCGGGAGATCTTGCATGAGTCTCTATCCGGAGTCATTGCCGCCCACTGGCATGAGCTTAGTGCCTTTAGAGTGAGAGCAGCCCGCCGATCATTTGTACATCCGGCAGTAAACGGAGGCAGATCTTTCTAAACCACTATTGGCCATTTTGTGGAGCCACTGAATGGCTGTGAAAAGCCACAGACTTGTCGGACTATGGTAAATTGACAGCAGATCTTTCTATTTATTCCTCGAGCCTTATTCGGGTCACGAGCAGGTCAGTCTAGAGCTGCCTGCCAATCTACACAGGGTCGTCTAAGATGCTAGTACAACGACATTGCCCACACGAGCAGTCGATGTCCGAGGCAGGACATCGCTGTTGTTCGAGACCCAACGACGAACAGGAAGGCGTCTTGCCGTCGGTGTAGAACTGCCAGAGCCAGGGGATCATGCCTTTCTGGATACGATGTGTTATAATTGGCAAAATGGTAGCAGTCAACTTGCTTTAATGGAATCTATCTAAACGAGCTCTGTTGAGAGCAATTTGATCGTCCACTCTTGTGCTCTATGGTGCCCGTTAGCCTAATTTTGATAGTATGGATGAAGCATCTCACCTTTGCATTGATACGCTCTAGATGTCTGTTCTGCTCGTCAACCTCTTTACCAGTAGCTCGAGCTAGGTGATTTAACCGGCCTGCCGCATGGCCCAAGGCATCTAGATTACTATCGATCTATTCGCAATTAGTGAGGCATAGAAACGACACACTAGACCGAGTAGGACGCATACCTCATTCTCGAGCTCTTCATCTTCGCTATCTGCTTCGAATTGATATTTCGCCCGTTCGGCAAGACTCGCTTTTGCAGGAGCGCTATTAGGATCTTCATTCATCAATTCTCGGAACGTCTTCTGCATCCTCTGGTCTGATTGGAACCCTTCTCTTCGTGAGGTTTCCCGCTCTACACGCTCTATTCTGTGTTTTTCAAGGACGTCTGCATCCCTTTGGTCCGCTCGTTTGCTCTCGCTGTAAAAGGGTTTGAGACGTGAACCGCGAACATGGAGCGGTTGAGATGCTTCAGTTCTCTCGCTCTCTCTTCTGCAGACCGATTATGATTTGCTGTGAGATCGAGATTCTTTTCCGTGTTGTGAATGCGTTCGCCTTGAGCACCAATTCGTGCTAGCGTATTCATACCCTGCTCTTCTGCCTGAGCGGCGAGTCGGAGTGCATTCCTTGTCGCGGAAACATCGTCCTGCTTTATAGACCTCATTTGCTGTTTGGTAGCCTGGACATCTTCCTCTTCCTCCTCCTCGGCCGTCAATTGCCTGTCACCGTATGGTTGATAGCCGGCTTGATCATGCTCGCTATGACTACCTTGCTCACCTTCTTCGTAGGGTGGAGGCTGGCCGTATCCCATTCGTTGTTGCTGCTGTTTCTGCACTCTTTCGCTGGCATTGCCAAAGAGAGCATCTCGGTTTGCGTCTGGTCTATTTGGAACCGGACCTAGCCCACCATAACCACCGGATCCATATCTTGTGGCCCCGCTGTTTGCGCCAGCACCATATCTGTCCGCTCCATACCCTCCTGACGCACCGTATCTATCAGGTCCATATCCACCCGTCTTCTTATCTTCAGAATAGCCATTACTGGCCCCTGCATAATTAGGTGGTGGACCCGTGGAGTCAGATTTCTGGCTATAGCTAGGTACTCCTGCTTTAGACTTCGCTTGAGTGTATGCGTCGGATTGTAGAGGTACGTTGGCGTAAGGGTTCTCCTGGGGATTGGGGGATTTGTCTCTCTTCGAGCGGCTACCGAATAGGGCTGAACGTTTGGAGTCTTCCTCGCCTTCAGCTTTCTTTCCGAACAATTTCCCCATGGCGATTGGAGGTGGTAATGATAGAACGAGAAAGGCTGAGAGGAATTTATTAATGGGTTGGACTGTAGTCTTTGATGCCTGAAACTCGAGTTTGCGGGGGGTGGCTTTGGCTGTGGCTGTGAAGCGTAACCGAAAATAGAGCTTTTGCTTGCACTCTTGTGACCTTCGGAGGCAACAAGAGCTTTGGATAAGGGCTGATGGCCCTTGCTAATAACACAAAGAGAATCGTACCAGCAACAGTGCGATGCTTTGGCTGGCATAGCCCTCCATGAAGCAAGATTGAGTTACTTGTCTGCTCCGGGACCTCAAATATGTCCCCGCCGAAATCAACATCGCTGCTCTCTGTGCTGTCTTGGTTATTCGGCTGGATTTACTTCCTTTCATGGTCGCTCTCTTTCTACCCTCAGATATTTCTGAACATCCATCGAAGATCAACTACTGGCACGACACCGGCCTTTCCTCTACTAAATTTGCAAGGCTTTGCGTGTTATTCGATATCATCCGTTGCTTTCTATTCCTCACCTACTATTCAGCGGCAGTACAAAGAGAGACATAACGGAGAGAAGAATACTGTGAGGGGTAATGATGTCGCGTTTGCTGTGCATGCACTTGTCGTGTCTGCAGTCACTCTTAGCCAATTCTCGTCCCGGCTTTGGGGGTTTGAAACCAGGAAATGGATCGTTGGGAAGACCGTGTTGGGCTTCATAGTTGGTAGTTATGCTGTGATATTTTGGATTGTTGTGCTTGTTCTAGTTGGAGCAAAGGGATGGGAATGGATTGATGTGGTGAGCTTTACTACCCTTTTGCCGCTTGACATCTTCGAAAGGATCATTCCAGGCGTACTAAGCTATCGTACAGATTTATGCTGTTGGCTACGTGAAGCTCGCCGTTTCGGTCGTCAAATACGTCCCACAAGCTTGGGCCAATTATAAGCGAAAATCTACAGTCGGGTGGGCAATCGAATCAATACTCATGGACCTTCTTGGGGGCGTACTGTCTATCGCACAACTCATTATTGACTCAAGCTTACAACAAGATTGGTCTGGACTGACAGGAAATCCAGTCAAGTTGGGCCTTGGAAACATATCGATAGCTTTTGATCTGCTTTTCATGGCTCAGCATTTCGTACTATATCGTAACACAAAGAAGGTCGCTGAGGACGTATCAGAAGCTGAAAGGCAAGGGCTCCTAGCAAGATACGAGGAGGAAGAGACTGCATTCAGTTGAGTATTTCATCCCTGTCCATGGAGGGGAAAGACTGCAACGTTCCTTATGCAAACATAATTTGGTTACTAGAATTGGAGTCGCATCAAGTCTGTTGTAGGGAGCAGCGAAAACAGTACCAGATCAAGACCCAAATTCATGAGAGGCTATCGGCACTTGAATTGGGCAAGCGAGAAGCTTTAGCACCTTCGTCAATACTCCCTAACGATTAAGACATAATCCTAAGAGCTTCGTGCAAATGGTAGTCAATACCCGGCTGGCTACTGCATGCTTCTCTCAGCACGTCAACCCCCCATCAATAGGATACACTGAGCCTGTTATGTATGAATTCTCGTCACTTAGCAAAAAAGCAATCAACTTAGCAACCTCAACAGGCTGAGCAATTCTGGCCATTGGAATAGTGGGAATGTATTTTTCGATGAAGTTAGGCTGTCCAATGCTTGCAAGGTCTGCGTCCATTCGTCGTACCATCGGAGTATCGATCGCACCTCTTCAAATTTGATTCAGTCAGAAGTATCAGCTGAGCTACTGTCACTCTCAACTTACGGAGCAATTGCGTTGACTTTAATACCCCTCTCGCAAACCTCCTTCGCGGCTACACGGGTCAGACCGATGACTGCGTGCTAACAGAGATTTTGTCAGTCTCCAGTGGTTCCATTGTCTATGAACCCCTTACTTTGCTTGTAACGTACGGTGCAAATGCTTTACTGCCTCTTAAACCGGCGATGCTAGAAGCATTGACAATGCTACCATTGTCATTCATTCTTCCTATTTCGGCTCTTAGGCAATTGAAGGTTCCCCGAAGGTTCACATCCATCACGGCATCCCACTCCTGATCATCTAATTGCGCAATGGTCTTGATTCCCTGTGACCCTGTGATCCCAGCCAAATTAGCAGCTCCATCAAATTTTCCCAATTGCTTGACGGCCTTATCAAGCCAATTGGCTACTTCGTCAGACTTAGCAACATCGACCACGCTTGAGACAAGTTTTGTTGACGGATGTTCAGTCTGAATCTCATTTATAGCTTCATTCAAGGCGTCTTGGCGGACATCTGCGAGAGCGAGGTTTGCTCCTCTGGAGGCCAAAAGAAGCGCGGTAGCTTTTCCAATACCTGACGCCGCCCCACTGATGGCCTTATCTTAGTTAACACATAAATCGGCCGAGGACCGGTATCAATTAAGGAAGACGCCTCCACCCGCAGGGCTTACAACTAGCTTTCCTTCAAGCGATGTCATCATAAACAGCCTCTTGGGATCAATATGTCACCAAATGTCGAACCGAACGTTGAGACCCGATGTGTCTCTTTGTCGCCTTGAGCTGCAATAAGCCTCTAATGCAGGCGAAACGTATAAATAGACTTGGCTTTTTTTTCGCGAATCTCTTGAGGATCTTTATGTCGTTATCCAGCTAAGAGGGAGGAAAATTGCAAAGGCCAAGGGTGAGAAAGAGGATTGTGCTCCAGCTCCAGTGATACAGAATTATGCGCGCTGGGATGCCGCAGACCCTGTGGGGTAGCTGCAGTCGTTCGGCTGTCGGAGCTGTTCGGCAATTGGGAGCATGAAGACGAAGGACCCGCTTCGTGGCAACTGTGATTTGCAAATGTCAGGGTTCCTCTGCTGTACTGGTTGATCCAGATTTCAAAGCTCCAAAAGGCTCTGGGGATCGGTTTTCGTAGTGGCAATCATTTCATGTGGGTGACAAGATCCTGATAGAGATCATCTGGTATCTTTTGAATGAGGTTGACGGTTCCCCCGATGATATCTTCGGCGTCTAAATCTGGGAATGTACGAAGCAAGCTGCCAGGGCTAAGAGTTGTCAGTAAAGTGAGCGTATGTTTGAGAAGGTGAGTTACCTCTTGTCATTCATTAGCTCATGTTTCCTGCGCATGAGCTGCACACATATGCAGAGGATGTTCAGATGTACGCCATATGCAAACAGGAAGTCCCACAAACGTAGGACTTGCTGTAGCGGCGGAGTAGAGGCGCACATCGTAAGAACCGAAGCAAAGGCGTAGATTTCTGCTTTTAGCCCTCTCGAAAGCAGAAAAGCTGAGAGGACAGGGTCAGCAATCTCAAGACAGCGATCAACAAGCTGAAGTCCTTTGTGGACACCGTCCATAGCGCCTCGTATATAGCCTGGACATTCTCGTGTGATGAAGTCATGAAACAGGACGAAAGCCTCAGCTTCGCTTCGAGCGACATACAGGAATGGAGCACATAAGACGTTCATGCCCTGAACGTAAATACCGGGGATTGAGCTGCCATTGGCTAGGCTTCTCACAGTAAGATTATTGTCGCTCAACGAATCAATAGATAAGTCAGATGCCGGCAAGTCTGGACTACGGATGCGGGTGATTGTGTCAAGTGTCTGTCCCTGTTTTGCATCATGAAGCTTCCACGCGGTCGCGTTGAGGAGACGTATCAAGGAATTGTCGGTGACTCTGCGCTTGAAAAGTGGGTTCGTCTTGAAAGTCCGAAATGTATCGTCACATATTTTTGCGTGGGCAGGCGAAGGACCCCGCCGCATCAGCTCGATATACTTATCCGTCGAGATTGGCAATGCTTTCAGCAAGATAAGCCATACATAGATTCTATAATGAGACTTTGACAGAGTCAGATTATGTAAAAATGGCATCAGAGTATTTACATACCATGCCATCTCGGTCTGCCTCAAGCGCCCCACGCAGTATCAGATCTCCTAGATCCTTTCTGGCATGTGAAAGACTTCCTTGAGGGCCATGTCTAATCTTCCATTCCAACTCTTCCTTGTCACTCTTGAACGTGGGGGCCTTGTGAGAAACACCGAGACGCTTCGGGGGTGCAACTGGTTTGGGAAGACCCGACGTATCGGTCTCGCTATTGGATCTAGTTCTAGCAGACTTTTGTGGTGAATACTGTGGAGGTATTGCGGGGACCGGTGGGTTTTGAGATATGCTTGCATTTCGTTGTTGTTGTTGGCGCTGCTGAGTGATCAAAGAAGGCCCATTGGTACCAGAAGCAAAATGAGTCGAGAGCTGATGTGCTGATTGAAGCTTCCGAAGACGCCCAGGCGAACGTGGGGAGCCTAAATGCCGAAGTTCTGCCTGCTTAGTCGGTGAGCTCGTCATCTTAACGCGATGAGATGCACTGGAAGCTGCTCGATCCTGATACCATCCCAAAAGAGTTATGCAAAGCGTGGCAGGCTGTATTTGTGTACGGACATAGGTCACTAAGTCCGAAGCAATTAGCGCCATCCGGTTTATATCAACATCATTCAAGGCGGCCGGTCGTAGACCCTTCCGATGAGACCAAAGATCTCAAGCCTGCATCACGCGCCTCACAATCAGCCATTGTCGCCGGGGCCGTGAAATTTCCAGGAAAGATGAACAAAGTGCTACTTGCCAACCTTGTTTTTCACAAAGGCGACGGCACAGGACGCCAGAGGAGATGAAGAATCGGGGATGATGAAGAGAGACTCAAATTTGCGTCTCAATTCATTCCCCATAAATATGTAAGGCCTGCACATCCCCTGAGCTAGAAAAGCTTGATACGAGGGACTATGCCGCTTACTCGCCATCTTGCATGCTTGCATGGTGTGGCTTCAACAAGCTCGAACGTGAATATCGCATAATGCCGGGCATGATTGACTCGCATAGCGCATGTCTTCGAAGCGACCCTGAACTGATAGCTTGGCTGTACGGTGAACAGCAAACGATTCAATATGTCGCCCTCTTACTGGCCCTTCATTGGATTTTCTCGGTCCTGGTGTCAAGTTCTATGTGACTTTTTGATTGTTGACATCACAAATGAAGTACGGCATAAGGACTCTTATGCCGCACCCCTCTATGTTTCCTTGAACGCTCTAGGGTCTCACTACATCTCATCTCGTCCTCTTGTCACGATGCCTTCAGAAATGGGCGCCTTGCCGACTTATTTCTTTCTTTCCCTAAGCTTCTTCCTGAGTCATTCATTGGCTCAATCCTCGAACGCCTCGAGCGGTCTCACGCCCTCTCTATGCCACTCGCCAAGCGGCTTTGCGAATACGATAGTTCTCGCACCTCTCCCGTCCTCTCAAAAGCTCAAATTGAAAGACTCCTTTCTATTCGAGCATGTCCTCTTCTCCTATACCGACCAGAACACCGCTCTCTCACAAGCAGCGTTCGCCAGCTACTGCCTCGACCAGTGCATCGCCTATCAGCCAGATCCCAACGCCGTTCCCTTCTCGACTGTTGTGACTAGCCTGCCCCCTTCATATGTTGGGAACAATACAGGACCCTGTCTGGGTTTCACTGTCAATATGGGGAAGCCTTACCCTCCAAACCCCAACGACACCGCGACAAGATGGTATTGCGAAGCTTTCGATAAGTCTCTGGCGGTTGATCTGAGTGATTTTGAGCCCATTGACACGCCAGGAAGTTATATGTTTCAATTGGGTGTCAATCGAGCTTGCAGTGGTAATTATCGAGCGTTTTGATGAGCGTCGATGGTCTAGTAGTGTGAGCATGTCGTGCTAGTGTCTTTACATTCGACGAAGATTTTTTTGAATTTGAAGCGGTGAGAAATTGGAGCAAGAATGGCAACTGAGCACGAGCAACAATTTAGATCAGATAGGGACCGTCATAGAAATATCACGATGAAGAGACGAATAGAAGAACATAAAACACAGTGTTTCGGGAGTATATGTGTATCACAAAGAAAACCAAATTTCCTGTCATCAATCGCATTGAAATTGATGAGTGAGATACATACTCCTCGACGTAAGCACGGATCAGGCGCGTGATATTCAGAATTGCACCATTTCATCAGCTTGTTGTCGTGGTCATTGAGCATCCTCGGCAATCGTAGGATTTATAAGTCCGCTAGCACAAGTTCGTTCTAGTACCTTAGTATTGATGACTTCACCTTGACTCCCATCAGCTTTCCCCTGAATTGCAAGCTAAGATGGAGCCCTCGCGCTCATTACTACTTCTAGAGCAGACTTCTACAACCCACAATGGCCCCGAAGAAGGTAGCAAACAACTCTACGGACCAACGAAACGCAGCCAATAGCCCAAAACACAATGAGGAGCTGAACGAAAAGAAGGCGAGAGAAGCGCCAAAACGCAGCACAAAAAGCTCTGCCAAGAAACGAAAAGCGAAAGATGACCCAGCAAGAGGAAATGCGAAAAGTGCCCGGCACTCCTCTCGTGGGGCAGCTCCAACAATTGTTGACCCTGTCAAGCTGATAAATTATCTTTTGTCGCCAGAAGCATTGCCTTTTTGTCGACCAAAAGACGAAGGCGCGGATATTGAGGCCCGCGGTAAACAGATCCGTGTCTACAGTGAATCTACATTCACTCCTTTTGAAGAACTGGAATGCGCGCTCATCCTCAGCCGACCGATCGGCCACATGCTAGGCTTGCGCTCCATTCGGACGCTTTTCAACGAGCCACACAACCTGACATCCCCCAAGGCCATCAGGACTGGGGGCAGAGAAGCATGTATAGCGGCGCTGAACTACGCTCGAACTCAGCACCGACAGAAAACTGGAGAAGAATTGGTACTTCTGGCTGATTCAGTTGCCAATTCCTTAGGCAAAGGGGAAGAGGACGTCTATTTGGAGCGATTGAGGGACGAATGTGGGCATGATGCTGAAAAGGAGAGAGAGATGCTCAAAAAGAATGTAAAGGGCATGGCAAAGACGGGGATTGATATTTTCGCTAGGAGGATTCAGGGAGTCTGGAAAGAATGGTATCCTTTCGCCGATGACAAGACGCTGAAAGCTATCGAGGACCTTGGCTTGAAGGGGGACGAGCTTGAATTGGTCAAGATTCTCGAGGACAATTGGAAAGAGATTCGAACGGGTGATTTTCATGGGAGCGATGAGGAGAAAAAAAGGAAAGTCTTTGTGAAGGTGTTGGAAAGGGCAATTGGCGCCGAACTGCAAGGGAATACCGAAGATGTCAAGAAAGTAGTAGGAAGATCCGGATGACGAAGGAGGTTTGATGGTCTATTTCTGTCCTCCATTCCCCGTCAGGAGTACAACTCAACTAGGGGGTTTCGAGGTCCCTTTCACGTTATGACACATATTTATTGGGAGCCCATCGCAAGATTCAACGAGATTTATAGAGGATATTTCTGCATCAAAAGGACAAGTTCACCACTAGATGATCTCCCTCGTTCTTCCTCATATGATAGGTTTCCGAGCCCGAAATTACTCCATTTCCAAATGCCAGATGGAGGAGAGGTTGTGCGGGCATTTCCAACAATAGATCTAGCCAACTTGAGAGCTAACAAACGCACTGTCATCCGTTCGTCCTTCATCCGAATTGCTTAGAGGTCAGAAAACAAGAAGACAGCCTGACTAGGCTGAGTACTGACTCGCTGAAGGCATGAGATGCCAATCCTTGGAAGTACGATAAGCAAAAGATAGAATTCCGAAGGGAGCATGCTCAAATGAATCATAGAGCCACACCACATCAGGCATAATTTTATGGTTCATTAAAAAAGAACTTGAGTACTTGGTACTTGGTAGGTGAAGTTGTCATGAGAACCCCCGGACACCTTAGTATCTCGAACTTCTTTAGTGCAATATAACTTTTCATTGATACACTTGTTTAGGAAACTCTTGGTATCAAAGCTCATCAGAATAAATATCTGAAGACTTTTGACACCAAGCAATTTCTATTTAGGTTGCTGATTGTAGAGCTATTCGCATACCCTTTAGTGCCTTATATTAGAGTGTCCGATGAGCATATTCTTAGTCTTGGCAAAATATAGCATGCTTGCTATTTTTCCAGCACTACGCGGAATTAATTAATGATTGGTAATAACAATGTTTCGAAATGATGTATAAAAAAAACTTTTGTATATAGAGTTTTGTTAAAAGGAGGCATGCTAGCTAGCTGTAGTCGTTGTTGTAGGTTTTGTCCAAGCCAATAATGCATTTCTAGTTGAATCATAAAACCGCTAATTCCGGGGCTATCCCCACTAAAAATAAGTAAGAAATAATTTCTAACTACTCTACAACAATTATGAGTTGGAATCAGCTTAGATTAAGAAAAATAGTAGGCTAAGGTGTTTAAACATAGCTTAAAAAGATTTAAGTCTATAAGATACCTAGTTATTAATACGTACCTACCGCTATTCTGGTAAAGGGATCTACCTATTAGGTGACGGAATTATCGGTTTTTATGATTCAACTAGAAAAGCCCTGAGTACCAACAGTGGGCGCTTGTGGGAACAGGAGGCCCCGAAGACTCGGCGGGAGCCTTAACAGCCAGCAGGTGGACTTGTGTGTCCGGGCCGTCTGTATTCCATTTTCTGGCAGCCACCCCAATAAATGATATTGTCTCGTGTTTTTTATTGGCACCTTCCTCATGCCAATATTAGGTCTTCAGTTCAGCGGAAGAACAATAAAGTCACACAGCTTGCTGCACTGTAAGAAATACAGGTTATCTCAACCCCAGTTCATCATTGCACATCCCCTGCATAAGCGCCGGAACCTATGCGATTGCACGCCAATCGAGTCTTGACTAATGGACTCGAAAGTCGCGGAAAGGCGATCAACGACAAAGATGTTGCTGTTGGAGGCTTGCAACCCGTCTCCTGCATTCTGTAGACGCTGGGGGCCGAACCCTTCACTCTCTGCATCAGCTACACCCTACACTGCCTTGTTTGACCATGCCTTTGTTTTCGTTGGGACTTCGTTCTTGTACTCTATCTTTCCCTTCCGGACTTTTCTTTTACAGCTGTCCCCCGTCTGCAAAGGATTTCCTCATTTCAAAAAAAAGACGCTCGGCTGTGAACAGCTCTTAACAGATGCTATCTTTGAGCTTTTAATCGCTCGCCTTGTGTCATACTCCGTTGAGTGATAAGTTAGGACACCTGATAGACCATTTGTGGACTTGTTTGATGATGACGATGCAGTGTCTTTCTTGAAAAAATTCCTTTCAAGGAGAGGTCGAACCGCGACAGGAGACAAAAAGGCTACACCATCTACAAAGCTGGGGTTTACTGACTTCAATCCTAATTATGAGCAAGGTGCGGAAGGCAGTGAGGAGCCTCTCAATGTCGACGTCATTGCTATCCACGGCCTCAATGGACATCCTACGGGCTCATGGACGGGACTTGATTCAAAATCATTGTGGTTGAGGGATTCCCTGCCCGAGGAATTGCCAGGTGCTCGGATTTTCTCTTACGGCTACCCAGCCGACATCGTGTTCAATCCATCAAAGGCGACCCTTTATGATTTAGCTGTAGGATTTGTCTCGAGCCTGATGACGAAAAGACTACCGAGGCAAAGGCGTCCGATTATCTTTGTCGCACATAGTATGGGAGGAATCATTTGCAAGAAGGCTCTAATACTAGCCCTCAACGACCCATACTACCGACCAATCTTAGAAGATTGCGCTGCAGTATTGTTCTTTGGTACACCTCATAGAGGATCTGAATTGTCTGGTATTGGCGGTATCGCCGCAGACATTTTCAATCTTGCTCTTTTCGTCTCCGGTAGCGGTATGATGACCGGCCGAGCTAGGGAAGACCTGATCAGAAGCCTTAACCCTCGCTCTCGAGAGCTTCTAGAAATCAACCGTGATTTTCGACAAGTCGCCGACAAATTCCGCATCCTATCTTTCTATGAAACAGAAGAGACTACTCCCTTGGGAAAATTGGTACGTGCACCTTGGCATTTCCAAGTACCTATAAGCTTTAAGGTGTCCAAGTTCTGCGCTAACCCTCCTTCTTATTTAGGTTGTTAACCAGACCTCTGCCATACTAAGTTTGCCAGGGGAAGAGGATATGCCAATTCATAGGAATCACCGAGACATGATTCGTCTGGCGAAAGGGGAGCATGACTATGATAATGTGGTGCAACGATTGCAGAGTCTAAGTCACGACGCTTGTTACGAGTCGCGTAGGTAGTCTCTTAGAATGACCTGCAAGTAAGCTTTACTAAGGGAAACACGATAGCAATGGAGGAATCAGAGAAGACCATTGTCCAATCTTTGCACGCTGTCGACATCTCTGATTACTACCTGAGCTTGCCGGGTGCTGCAAGCGGCACTTGCAAATGGCTTTTTGACCATCCCTGTTATATAAAGTGGCAACAGCAATGCGATGATGCGATATTGTGGATGAGTGGTCATCCGGGATCTGGTAAGACTGTCATGACCTCTTTTTTGGTGAGCACATATATCGAACAGGGGCGTGCGGGCAAACTTTCCGCTGGAGTATGCTTCTTCCTCTGCAACGAAGATCTAAACGAGCAAAATGACGCCAGAGCAATTCTCCGCAGCCTCATATTTCAAATACTTACTGAGCATCGAGGGTTTATCAATCATCTCAAGCAAGCTATTGACAGAGCTCAAGGGAGCCCCCACTTGGTGGGCTCTTTTGACAGGTTATGGCAATTATTTGAAGATATTTTAGAGGACCAAAGGCTGGGGTCCATGTACATTATCATTGATGCTTTGGATGAATGTCGCGCGACGACTCGGCTCAAATTGCTTCAAAATATAGCAAAGCTCCTAAGTAAACCAAGAAAGTCTTCGGCTTGCAAGGTCAAGTTGTTCGTTAGCTCTCGGCCAGACGTGCGAGTGAGCGGAATTTTACCAAAGTCTAAAGTTTTCCATATTTCTCTCGAAGAGACAAGGAAAGAGACGGATCTTGACCTTGAGCTGTTCATTACACAAAGAGTCAACAATATAGGAGAGCGATTTCAAGCAAGTCGTACAACCGCCGACTCAACCAAACAGGCTCTGATTCAGAATGCCGATCGCACCTTTCTCTGGGCCAACTTTGTGCTACAGATCTTGGACGAAGAACTTCGGGCGACTCCCCGGGATTGGGCGCGTATAGTTCAAGAGCTCCCAAAGGATCTAGAAGATGTCTACCTCAGGTTTCTCCAGCGCATCTTGGACTCAGATCTATCTGGCGTAATGGATATATTGCAAATGATGGTTGTCAGTCGCAGACCTTTGCATCGCAATGAACTAAACATTGTTTGTAATATGCCAGAGGCAGTAGCGCAAGGATGTCGAGATGTCTCATCTTTGAGAGATTCTTACCTATCACAGAATATGGACCTCTACTTGCGAGTAGTCCTAGGCCCCCTGGTAAGAATCAGCGATGACAAGGTTTACTTTGTGCACCTGTCTCTGAAAGAATTCTTGTCCGGTCCTGCTCTTCGCTCAGAAAGCAGGGCGCAATATCAAAAATACCACGTGGAGATAGCCAAAGCGAATCTTCTAGCGACAAAGGTGTGCACGGAGTACCTATCATTGGACGACTTTGACGTAGACCTGTTCTCATCCAGAACATCCACTATGAATGAGAATTCGCCAGTACCCTCCGAATCTCCTGCAAATTCGAATAATGATGAGGACGGTTGGATGAATGGACTAAGTATTTTTGGGACAAACATCTTACAAGACTTCAGCGAGAGAGTAGCAGACCGATGCGACCACCTTGATAAGCGTTTCGAATTTTTTGACTATGCTTCCAGATATTGGGCAAAACATCTTTCCCAAAGTCAAAACATATCATCCAAGCTGTTGCAAAGCGAAGCAATGGAACTCTTAAACAGGAAAGGTTCGTTTCGCTCCTCAAATTGGGCTCAGTACTATGCTGCCTTCACATGGCCGGAAAAAGTTTGGCCGAGCGAGCTTGCATTTATCGAGACTATTTGCTACTTTGGTCATATTGTCCTGCTTCAAGATTACTTAGAAAGATGCAAGACCAGCCTGGGAAACCTTCAATTTGGTCTCTATTGGGCAGCCTCAGAAGGTCATGCTGCAACTGTTCAGCGATTACTACAAACGAATATAGACCCGAATTCAACGTATACCGACCGATCACCGCTTTGTACTGCGGCCGCTGCAGGACACCTCGAGGTTGTCAAACTCCTTACGGGTGCTTCTCAAGTAGACGTAAATTTCAGAGGCCATCACGATAGTACGCCAATCGCTGAAGCAGCGACAAACGGTCATCAGGAGATTATAGAACATCTTCTAGCACAGATCCAGACTGTCCCGGACATCACAGACCACAATGGGCATACCCCTCTGATCAAAGCAGTGTGGGGCCGGCACGAGCTTATCGTACGCCATCTACTAGCTGATGAGCGAGTACAAGCAAAGCTTGAAGACAACAGCGGCAATACTCCTCTTTCTTACGCAGTCATTGAGGGTAAGATTGAGGTAGTTCGAATGTTGAAGAAGGATCCTAGCGTCGACCCTGATCATGTCAACAGGAAAGGCCGCACCCCTTTTTCATTAGCTGCAGGAGAGGGCCACGTTGAGATTCTCCGAATTTTGAAAGGATGCAAGTCAACGAAAGCCAAAGACAATGAAGGACGAAATGCGTATTCATGGGCTGCTTCAAGAGGCCACGTTGATGCAATCAAAGCAATGGATAAGTGGAAGGTTTTTGGCATCGACGAACCTGACAAAAGCGGCTGGACCCCTCTATTCTGGGCTCTTGAGCCACAGGGTTATTTGACTATGCTCGGCTTGCTCGACTCTGGCTCTGTAAACATTAGCCGTACAGATCATGGTGGTAGGACTGTCCTGGAATGGGCTCATGGCTATCAAGGCAAAGAGAAGTTCCTGCAAAGCTGGTTACGGAACAAGACCGTTGAAACCATCAATGCTTGATAGGTAGTGATTGTCGGAAGCATGCACCAAGATCTGATCGACCCTTGATAATTAAAGTACAAGCTGATGAGTTCGAATGTAGTGAAATCAGAAAGCTGGCATGCACGCCGAAGGAAACAACCGTGAGTGAAAATTGCCACAGTCTTCAGTTGACATCGGCGATAGATGGTTCAACTCGGACTTTGCCATCTTCGTATCCTAATGAGATGTGGCGACCTGTGAAGTGTAAATGAGTATTAAGACCCTTTTTTCTGATGCTCGATCCTATTCCTAAAGTCATTGGGGCTTCTTAATACTGCATCACGAGGACAAGCGATCTCATATAAGGCCACCGCTGGCTTTGGTGTGCACTTTTCCGGTCACAAGATGTAGCTTGTCCTTTGGCAATTTTGATGATGAAAGGAAAACGCAGATCACAACTTCTTCGTACACATTGGGAAACCTCAGACATGACCTGAACTTGCTCTTTACAATTAACATTAGCGGACGCTGTTACTGGACGCAGGAACACAAAGTATCTCAGGATCTGCGATGGAACGCCAAAGCTCGCTGATAATTGATCATGGAACATTTTGTCCAACACAATCCTCTCCAGACCTCACATTGTGTATCAACAGTCATTAATTCTGGATTGGCATTGAGGAATGGGGATTAGTGCAACTATTTGAGATTAGATTGGTGAAGCTAGACGTTGGAAGATAGAAAGATACTTCGCCGAAAAGTGCCAACACAGCCATCAACAAGTCGTCAAAGAATTTCATATTCATGGTAACCCTTGGAATCCCCAAGATGATGTGCGAGAAAGAATCGATGCTACCGTGCTATATTTTCACTGTACCCTGATACCAGGCGGCGCATTTCTGTGCGTCACCTACCGTCAGCCACATTTCGTAAGACCTCTCCTAACCCGAGACTATTAGAACTTGCAAGTCGATACACTAGAGCAGTCTGAGAGCAGATTTTCAGAATACTTTAGCTATGTAATGACGAAGTATAGGGATGGCGTATGGTGTCGAGGCTCTCTCATCAGTATCGAGGTCAAGCGGTAGTTGTAGCTCGACATCGGATTCAGCAATGCTTTATGCCTGAAGAAGGCCCGATGACGGTATATTTATATTGGTCAACTCATTAATCCCGCAGCAGCTTTCTCTGAAAAAAAAGCCTGAGATGTGAACATTTCTCCGGAAGCCTCCATGAGAGATGGTAACAAATATTCCGCTCAAATCATTCGACGCCGAACCATCAGATTACAAGCTTATTGCTGAATCCCAAGCTCACGGTGTCAATATCTTGTGCTGGTGCATTGAAGCAAGCCTACCGATACCAGTGCTCAATAGTCAGATGCAAACACCCATTCTAGCCGAGACTGTCTAGAATGCAATGGCGGCGAGGCCCTACCACACATTGTACCGCATGCTTGTACTTTTGAAACTCGAATAGGATGTTCGAACGCATCGATTGGTGGTTCAAACAGCAGCGAGGTAATAGTGAGGAGAATTCCCGTCGATTTTGATTGCTTTAGATTTGAGACTGATGGAGATGAGAGTATGATGCGAAGGGCGGGTGCGATTGGACAAAGCTGTTCGAAAGACGTATCAAGACGCGTCACCAAACATTCAGCGTCTCCTTGTGTAAAGAGTGTAAATCGCTTTTTCCTCGTAGGATATCATATGTTCCTGAAGCATCTTTTGAAATGTGCTACTAATGATTCTCGAATTCAACTATCTCAGGGGGCTATTCAGAGCTTTGACAGGCTTTCAGCGAGCTCTAAGACGAATAACTATGTCACTGAACGACGACAGTTAGCAAAAAGCCTGCACGAACTCGATGGGAAGATTCTTCAATTAGACTCTTCATCGAAGTTCCGTCGCTGAAGAGCAGGTAAGCTGTACTGCTCTTGACTTCCAGGCAACAAAAGTCGCATCGAGCATAACTACGGCGCCGGCTGGGATTGGGTGCTCTTCGCGTACTGTGATTGAAGCGAACGACATAAAAGAAGCTTCACCCGTGTTTTAGTTATCATAACATTCACTCGAGCGTGCCCGCGTCGAAAAGCTCTTTGAATGAAAAACCAATGTACCAAAGAAGACCGTGAAAGATTATCAGATTTATTGACATTCGATGGATGAAGCCTACAGATCGGTTTTTTATTGTCCTTTGAATTGAAATTTCCTAAGGTGTCTAAGATACAGTTGAAAGCACGCCATAGAATGCCATTCAGGGCTGAGGAGCAAATGCACCGAAATCAATGGGGAACACAAAACGCGCCTTCAAGAACGAGATGCTTGTTAGCCATATGGAACACAAGTCCGAGGAGAATACCACGACGACTGATTCTGTTCCCAGAGCTCGGTGACTAGGCATACATAAAGGTATAATGCGACGATTCCTTCGCGAACATCAGGTGACAGCCTATGGAAATAAGCTCAGGCAGAGACCAGCATTTCGACGCCCGACAATTACGATATATCCCGCCGCAAGCAGGCGGGCTCCGGGCCGTGATTTCATGTGACAAGTTATGCATGTAAGGTGAATCCTCAGATCCTGATGTGCAGTGGCTTGATGCTGGAAACCAATAAATGACAATAACGCCACCGCCACCGCTTTTGACATTTGGATCATTCTAGATGATTAGAGTTTCGTCTATCTGGCCGTCATTTCTTGCGAACGGCCAGCAGGTCCTCCATTACTCAATGGCGTTCACGCAGAAGCTGTTACAGTCCGTAGAGAGGCCGGACCAATCTTTGGCGATATCGGAGTCTTTCGCCTCCCATCCGAGACTTCAACCGTTATCAACACACTTTTGTCATCTTTCGACATCCTTATAGCCATCTTGTATAATTTCCTGTTCGAAGAGCTCCGTGGACGCGAGTCTGGTGATGAACGTTGCCAAGACCGAATGTCAACATCCGCCAATCCACGGAACAACTTTCTAGCGGGCCACCTACCCGAGCGGCCAAGACTCTGATAGGTTCAGACGTACTGACTCAGCGGCAACGGTTATAATTCCCGATCACGACTGAGCACGCAATATCCACTCTCGCCCACGCTTCTGACCCACAGGTGTCTCTCTGCCGATCCAGCAGCAAGTACCGTGCGTAGTGCTCAGGTAGTGTGGAGCAGAACCTTCTGCATCAAGGTAAGATTAACTACGAGAGAGTCCTAGCCCAAAGGTTGAGACGCTGCTAGCGAGTAGCAAGTCATGAAAGCGATGGAATAATACTAATAATGAGGTGGGTGTGCTTCCCCATCCCGCGGCGGAACTACAATGGAAAGCTACCTGACCTCGTGCTTGCTTGTCTGCGAATCATCATCCTATTTCCCCGAGGCCTCTTTGCTCCCCCCGTCGTTGTTGTTGCTGGTGGCTCGATCACGCTCCTGCATCTCCCTTTGGCTTGAAACCCCACTCGTTCAGCCCCCCTGTGCACCAACCTGATCGTGTTTTCCGTAATGTCATAGCTTATCCCAACACGGTCTTCCCTGTCGCTAAAGTATACCCCAAGTCCAGCCACATCCCGTCCTCTAGAGCTGTCTAGATTTGCATACGTCCTCTTACCCGATCCGTCAAAGCTTTGCATTACACCATTGTGCTAGCCACGATTGATATATACCCCCCTCGTCAAACCCGTTTTCATCCCTTCTGACTTCCTCGTGGCTTTCAAGTGACTTGGAAGCGTCTACGGTGGCTCATTGGCAGCAAGGAGAGTCGAGCGCTTTTAAGATATCCATCACTGAAAAGATTGCTTTCTTCCACAGCTTGATTCTTTCGTAGCTTCCCAGCTTGCGTACCCTCTGGCTTAGCATGGCGCAGCCATTAGACAGAGTTGGCCATGGACTGGCAAAAGTGCTTGGGATCAAGCTTGACTATCGCAACCCCACCGGCGCAGATCTAACCCGAGGCGAATCAACCTTCTCCACATCTACCGCAGATACCTTCGTTGAAGACGAACCAACCGCCTACGAATGGATCAGCAAGATCACGCCTACGGGCCGTACGCTCACTAATTGGCTGTGGAACCTTTTCCCCTTCATTCATTGGATTGGGAGATATAACCTGCAATGGCTCGCAGGAGATATGGTCGCTGGTATGATTTCGAGAAGCTGCCTGTCTAGAGCCGCTTCTAAAGAAGTTACATAGGAATTACTGTCGGTGCCGTTGTGGTGCCTCAGTCGATGGCATATGCCAAGCTAGCTTCGCTTCCACCTCAGTTCGGTCTTTATTCGTCCTTCATGGGCGTTCTGATCTATTGGTTCTTCGCCACTTCAAAGGATATTACCATCGGCGTGAGTGAAGGCGCGATAAAGCTGGTCTACTGGAAAGCTAACATTCAACAGCCGGTCGCTGTCATGTCGACCATCACGGGTCATGTGGTTGACAAAGTCGCAAAGGAACACCCAGACATTGAAGGTCACGTAGTTGCGTCGGCTCTTGCTATCATCTGCGGCGCCATCATTTGTTTCATTGGTCTCGTCCGATGTGGTTGGATTGTCGACTTCATTTCATTGGCTGCGATATCGGCATTCATGACAGGATCTGCCCTCAACATTGCGGTCGGGCAAGTACCTGCTCTGATGGGCATTACAGGCTTTGACAATCGAGCATCAACGTACAAAGTAGTCATCAACATACTGAAACACCTTGGAAGGTCGAAGAAAGATGCTGCGATTGGCTTGACTGCATTGACGATGCTGTATCTCATTAGGTACGTATGCACGACCTTGGCTAAGAAACAGCCATCACGACAAAAGATGTTCTTCTTCATCTCCACTTTGAGAACCGCATTCGTCATTCTACTTTACACCCTGATCAGTTACCTTGTCAACAGACACCACCGGAAGACAAAGCAAAATCGGTTTAAGATTCTCGGAAAGGTTCCTCGAGGATTCAAAGACGCTGCCGTGCCGACGATCGACGCTGGAATCATCAAAACGTTTGCGAGCGAATTGCCGGCTTCTGTTATTGTTCTCCTGATTGAACATATTGCTATTGCAAAGTCCTTCGGTCGAGTCAACAATTACATTATCGATCCTTCTCAAGAGATGGTGGCCATTGGAGTCACTAATTTGCTTGGGCCTTTCCTGGGGGCATATCCGGCTACTGGATCTTTCTCTCGCACAGCGATCAAATCTAAGGCTGGTGTGCGCACACCTTTCGCAGGTGTCATTACTGCCGTGGTGGTCCTTCTTGCTATCTACGCACTACCCGCAGTCTTCTTCTACATTCCTAATGCAGCCCTGTCTGCAGTCATTATTCACGCCGTTGGTGACTTGATCACCCCCCTAACACTGTCTACCAATTTTGGCGCGTCTCGCCGCTTGAGGTCATCATATTCTTCGCCGGCGTCATCGTCACGGTCTTTACCAGTATTGAGAATGGTATCTATGTGACCATAGCTGTCTCTGCAGGAGTGCTCCTTTTCCGTGTGGTTAAGGCTAACGGCCGATTCGTGGGCCGAGTCAAGGTCCATTCAGTTCTTGGTGACCACTTAGTTGATGACGAGGGCAGACCTACGACTGGCGCTGGTCAATACGGCGCTCTTGGGTCTAGTGATAATGAAAAGGGAGCCCGCAATATCTTCTTACCAGCTGATCACAACGATGGCTCTAACCCAGAGATTGAGGTTGAGAAACCGTACCCAGGTATTTTCATCTACCGTTTCTCTGAAGGCTTCAACTACCCAAATGCCAATCATTATCTCGATTACATGGTCCACGTCATCTTTAAAGAAACGCGCCGAACGAATCCCAACGCTTATCCGAGACCAGGTGTAAGTTATCGGAATACCCTTCTAAAAAAGCATGAAGAACTAATTGGAAAACCTAGGATCGCCCTTGGAATGACCCAGGTCCAAGAAAGGGCCAACCTCTTATCACGAACGAACACCTTCCAACCCTCCAAGCAATCATCCTCGACTTCTCCTCCGTTAACAACGTCGACATAACATCCGTCCAACACTTGATTGACGTTCGTAATCAACTTGACCGATACGCCGCACCAGAAAAGGTAGACTGGCACATCGCCTGCATCAACAACCGCTGGACGAAACGTGCCCTCGCCAGCGCGGGCTTCGGCTACCCGACCCCTCAGACCCCCGAATCTGGCATCTCAGAGCGCTGGAAGCCTATCTTCTCCGTCGCAGAGATTGGCGGGCACGATAGCGCCGCGGCGGCCGCCGAGTACATTGAGAAGACGCGCCAAAAGAGCGTCGCTGATATTGAGGCTGGAAAAGGCGATAAGGAGGGCATTACGTCTGCGACGAAAGAAGATGCGTCAAGCTCAGGAAGCGATCTTGGCAAGACGCTTAGCAAGAGCAAAGCGTACAAGAACAGCAGTGGCAAGGTGGCGGTGGTGCATAGTATCAATCGCCCATTGTTCCATATTGACTTGACGAGTGCGCTGCAGAGTGCGGTTGCGAATGTGGAGGCACGGCAGCAGGAGAGGCAGGCCACGAAGAAGGGAGTTGGGACAGAGTATGAGTAAAAGAACGAAGGGAAAAGTGGTGGACAGATTGTTTGAAGCTGGTTTTTGTTTGCGATACACCAACGTCAGGGCGATGTTTCGTTAGTCAGACTACGCTCTTTGGTGTGATATACCCACCTATCATGTCTTTGTTTGGAGGCTTGAAAATTAATCATTCCGTTCTACTTTCTTATCACAACTCTAATGTCTTCACACTGCATTTGAGGTTCACTTCAAATGCTTCAAACTCAATACGGTACAGCTAACAACCTAGGTTCCTACGCGTTTGAATAGCCCCAAGTTCATAGGCAGATGCTAGTAGGTTTGAGCACAGAGGGACATATGGGTTTTGTTTTACGTTTTACGTTTTCCATTTACGATTCTGATTTACAACTTTGATCGAAGCATTATACCCTCGAGGCCCCGTCTAGGTGTGGTCTCTTCACACAAAATTGCAAGCACTGATCATGGTATCTCCATGCGTAGTCTGTTTTCGAATGACCCTTTGCGCCTCGCTAAAATGCCGAGGGAGCTTCGTAAAAACCAATACAAAGGCGGGAGAGAGTGCAGATATATGTCCAAGGTCCTTGAGACCTTGTCTCATGTCTTTGGTTCGATAGACAATTCTCAATTGCGCTCCCCGGCCCCAAACCTGTCCTTTCTCCTTCACATTGACATTATATCACCTTTAAAGCCAGCTACTCCTGCTAGTGCAACAAGTTCTTGACAGATGGGCTTGCGCTAGCACCATTCTGTATAGGAACGTCGTTTTGCCACCTGGTATCACCGCCATGACCATTCTTCGGTGTTTCCGGACGCGTTTGCTGCGTACGTGGGCTCCCATAAACGCTGTTACTTTGATATTGTGGGTTTGGTAGTGGAGGCGGTGGCGAACCATGGGATGAGCGACCATTCCCGATCGCAGCAAACGGATTCGAATCTGCTTCTGGAGGTCCGTGTGGGCCGATTTCCTGAACAGAAGGTGACCTGGTATGTATCGATGGGGAACGCCCATGCTGAGAAGTGGGTGGTGAGCGGACGACGTTGGGTGGTGGGGGAGGGTGGCTTGCTTGTTGATTTTTCAGAGACGGTGGTATATAAGGGACTTGTATCAGCTGTTTGGTGACAGGATCTCGTTTGAATTGGAAGGATAGGGGTTCGTGGTGAGGTTGGTGATGTGGAAATCCACCGTGAGGTCTGGGCGGCGGAGTAGGACGGAATGCTTGAGGTTGTCTGTCATGCATATACGGAGACATGTTGGGTTGATAATGATGACCCGGAGGAGGTGGTAGAGGAGCTTGCAGGACGTATGGAGGTGGGGCTAAAGGTGTGGGAGCTGGTGATGAATGTGGCACACCATTTGGTAGACGGTCTGGAGGTGCGTAATTTGGCGGCGGTGGCTCTAACACTCGCGACCATCGATTATGCGGCTCAGGGATATGCGGTGCAGGTATCGGCAAAGCTGGCGGTTCGGATGTTGATTCTACCGGCGGTGAGAATGGTGGCGGTTCAGGGACATCCTCTTTGGAAGGTGTGGGGGGAGAAGGCGCCAGCGCGGGCGGAGACGGAGGCGGCGGGGGTGGTGTTGGCTCCCGAGGAGGAGCAGGAGGATGCTTCAACTTGCGAATATAGCACTTGTGGCACAACCAACGGTCGTTGTCGCCTTGGGCTGTGTCTTGGGGCTCAAATTCGACCCCTTTAGTTTCGTTCAGGTCGCCATTGACGACGGTCGGTGGGACAAGAACACTGGGCGTATCGGGAGCCTGACTCGCACTTTGAGACTTGTGCCAAAGGGGGCTTACGTCGACATTGCACTTGACGCAAGCTTTGACGATATCATCGTCGGCCGCCTTGACGTTACCTAAGTGAACCACTCGATCACCATCTTCAATCTCCTCCGATTGGACTGTGATTGCAGAAGGTGAAACCCGAGAGCCTCGAGTTGATGAAGTGGCATTCTCAGTGGCAGCCATCCTACTACGGGTGTTGCTGCCACCTACTACGTGAGCAGAGACAGCGTTCTTTGTCGCTGCTTGTACTTGATCCGCCTTGCGCGCAGTCCCCGTCAGAGGTCCATGGCTCATAGACTTTTGCGTTATTGCAAACGCTTTTAGGGCGTTCATTTCTTCGCCATCCACACTAGCCGATGCATAGAGCTTATGAATATGCTTCCTTTCGCCATGCTCCTTACAAGAGACCTTGGCTTCAGCAGTTCCAACTGTTTCGCCAATGGTTACAAGATTGAAAGTAGAGCTCTTAGATTTAGGCGTGAGCGACACCCCAATGTTGTAATCATATTGGAGAGCACAAGAAGCATGAACCGGTGCTTCACAATGGTCGCAGTAGAGAAAGCTACCTTTGGTGTCTTTGCAGAGTTTACAGCGCACCTCCTTGGCTTTTTGGGCTGGTTGCAGGGCAGTGCCAAAACCTTCGGCTAATCGCAAACTTGCTGCGTCGCCGAACATAATGGATGGATGCATAATCGAGCATATTACATGAGCCCAATTTCTCTGCGAGGTCGGCTTTAGAGCTTGACGAGGCTCGACTGGCCGCCCTTTATCCTCCTGTTGCTTGATGTATAGAGTCGTGGCCTGTGTAATTAACTCTCTTTCTAAGCGGTCCTTCTCTTTTTCGCGTTCGGACTTTTTCTTGTGAGTCTGTTTTGGAGGCTCCATCACTGCCTTGTCCTCATTCTCGTGTCGTGGACATAAGAGGCATTCATATATTGTTGAGTATTCAGGACGAGTGTCATTCTCACAGGTGTCGCACATCCATTTGTCTGTCCGCTCTTTGGTAAGGCCATAGCAGTCGAGATGGACTGTGAGACGACAGTGCCTACAGGAGACGAAGGTACGCTCGTCCGTTATGATACTGTTGCATACCTCACATGGATAGATTCGTAGCTGCGGTTGTTCCGGTATCAACGGTGGCTCGGGAGGCCTTTCGGGAGGCTTTCTTTTTACAACTTCATCATTTGTTTCACTCTGTTGCCCACTCGTATTTGCTGTATCCATAGCTGTCGTCTTGAGCCTTTTCTTTGGCACGTCCTGTCCTGCAGGGAGGCCCGATGGCATATCGAATCCAACTGAAGCTGCGGCCGCGGCAGCGGTAGTACTGAGGCCAATCGAGCTGTCCTGGTTGGCACTCAGTAGTTCCATTAGGAGTTCCTCATCGATTCGCCTTTTCCAAGCTCGCCCACCGCCCTGGGAAACTTTCTTTGCAACTTCATCGATGTTCTCCCACTGGATGCCGTATTTGCGCCAGAGCTGACCACACCGATGACAGAGCGCAAGAATAAGGTGATTACTTTTGTCTTTGTTGTTCTTGATAGAAGGGTCGATAGGAACAGTGGTTCCAGCCGCCGTTGCTGGTGCTCTTCGCCAATCATGAGATTTCCTTGCGCCGCAAAATTTGCACTCAAAACCGCGCTTTCGTTGGACAGCTTTACTAGTATCAAAAGCCGAATCATCCTCGTCATCAGCCACATCATCTTGAAGTCGCGCATCTGCTTGCTTGGCTGCCTTCTTTCCTTTACGGCCTTCAAAATTATCCCATATTCGCTTGCCACGCGCAGTCTTCTTCCACATGTAGTAGAATCGGACTATTTCTCCATGCTTCTGACTTTTTCCAACGTGCCGTGAAACCATCCTTAATTCTGAGCCGTACCTGGCGACCCCGTCTTCGAAACGACGTATCTCGTCCTCCGTGAGCTCCGGTTCCTTTAAGTCATGCCGTCGTTTCTGTGCTTTCAACGCACCCAATGCTTTGTCGGAGTTGTACTTGTTGGCAGTGAGAAGCTCCAAGGCCTTATCAAGGAAATTTGTCGAAAAGTCGCGTAGATTGAAGATTGGCATTGCGAGGGCCTTTGCTTGCGCCATATAGTCGTCAACAATTCTTTCGCGCTCTTCCAGAGTCAGACTGGTATCGAAAGAGTCGATGCCTCCGCTTGACGGCGTCTCTATTGTGGGCATTCTGGATTTTAATTGGGCGGTATTTCCAGAATTTGGAAGAAGAGTATCTTCGCCACGCTGCACATAACCTGGAGGCTCGTCCAATATCCACTTTGGTCGCTTGTCTTTGTTGTACTTGTCAAGCTCACCACTAAGCAGAGTCGATGTTGCTGCTTCTTTCGTCGACTTAGTATCCTTTTTAGCACCGCCACCTTTGATAGCCTTCTTCCTGTTGTCCAGCGGCTTGACATATTCCACGTGATGCCCATGCCATCCCTGGACGTTGGCTTGGTGTTTTGGCCCAAGTCTAGAACTCGCACGGGGATATATACGATCATCGTAGTCAAGAGCGTCTTCGACTCTGCAGTGGATACCTAAATATCTGTATGGCCAGAGCTTCGCTTGTGCTAGTTGCTCCGCAGTTGGTGCTTGAGGGCGGTTTGACAAATCATCGTTCTCGCCGTTAGCGGCGCCACGGTCCTCCTCTTCTTCCTCGACGATCTCTTCATCTTCACCCTCACCATTAGTTGTATTTCGGGCCTCAAGCCGACGTTCTTGCTTTCGGCTACAAGGACCACACGACCAGCCGAATCCACGAGCTGGCTTCTTGAGCAGAGGCGGACGTACACAGTTCATATGATACGTGTTCTTGCAGACTGCACAGTCCACGGAATCAGAACTGCAATACATTTAGCTTGTAAACAAATTCAAGGGCTGCTCTGGGTTTACCTTGCGCAATACCCATTGCATCTTCTGCAGGACTTAATAGCGCTGGTGAGGTCTTTGCCCCGTCCAATTTCCACCACAACATATTTCCATCGCTCGTCGAGCACTTTCTTGACTTTTGCCGGAACATTGATGACAGAGTGGGTCGGAACCACTTCGTAATAACGGTGTATGTAGCGATCAAACATCTTTTCATAATAGAAAGAGTCTTTAATCTTTCGGTACAAGTCTATATCCTCGATCTCGCTTTTGTGCATCACATGACATTTGCCTCGTAGGGACGTGATAGGGCAGGTATCAGACTGCATAGAGGCAAAGACCACTCTTGTATCGTTGACCTTTCTCTGTACGTCCTTGGGGCGGAAATACCAGTTGACTCGAAGGGAATCCACAGGTAGGTTGCGGTCGTTGTCGACATGAAGAAATTCCATGATGCGAGCAAGGTAGTATGGTTCACCAGGAGGTTCGCAGATGAGATAGACTTGGTCTAGATCGCTGTCAGTGCGGACCGTATCAAGTTTGTGTAAGCAGACACATGGCTTGATGGTCGACTTACCATTGACGCTCAGAATCGTGCCGTCGTCAGATTTCAATTTACCATTCTTGACATAGCGGCGACAACTTTCAAAGGTCATCAGGTTAGTTGTCCGTCCCAAGACCGGCGTCCCAGAAGCGGCCCTCCTCGTCGTTGTCGAGGCTGGCGATGTGTTGGAAGAGACTGCATGCCCGAGGGGAGCCGCGCCTGGAGCTTTCCTCTTTCGCGATATTGGTGGAGCTGGAGGTGAGTTTGACATATCGGGATTAACAGAGAAGCTGGACATTCCAGGCAGATTATCCTTCACTGCATTCGACAGAGCGGCCTTCGCGGCTGAGGCTTGGGCAGGTGCTGCTGCGCCTGATGACCGCCGTGTATTGGAGCCAGACGATTTGTCGGTGTCGAAAGCAGCCTGCAGACTTGGCGGCGCAGTAGTCTGAGTCTTTTTCTTCGAATGATATTCGAAATCCATGTCCGGATCGCGGTCCTCAGCGTAATTCGGACGAGAATTACCAGTCCGATTGCGAGATCTAGTGCCGTAGGGAGCAGTGCCATTCGTCTCCGCTGTGTTGCCGTTTTGCTGAGGAAGTGGTTGGGGAGATGAAGAGGAGGTGGTAGTCATAGGCTGTGATTCTGCGGTTGAAGGCTTGGCGGGAACGCCATTTAATCGAGGTGTAGCTGGCGATGGTGATTTTGAGGAGTGAGCGGCAGCTTGGGTATTTGGCGCAGAAGACTTGTGCACGACTGCAGCAGCTGGTGTCTGAGAGGGCGTAGTATTCGGTGAGGTTTTGGCTTGCTTGACCGGATCCGCGTCATCTTTGTCAGCCATGCCCTCGTAGAATTCGATCTACGAGGACATGCAGCAACTATTTACCCCAAAAAGATATAGATGACTCTACATTTGGTGGGAGTCGAGGGTTATCTTGGTTGTGGCGCCACCAAAGGAAGGACAAAATGGAGGCGACTTGCATAGGCCGCTTGGCTCCGTGGCATGTAACCAGTCCGCGCCTCTGGAGCAGATACTGAGACCTCAGATGCGCCAATCTATTCAGACTGGGGTGGAGCTATCGAGCAATGAGCCTGAAGGAAAGTGATGATGAAAGCATGAGCGCCGTAAGGAGTCACGTAGTGAAGGAGCGGAAAGAGGTCGAAAGGCGTGGTGAGAATGGACAGTTGATAATGGGAAGGAAAGAGGGCGGCGAGGGCGGACTTTGATGCTGAACTCAAAGCCAAGACCCGGCGAACCGCACTTGGGCGACTCGCTTTCTGCGCTACTCTATTGTTGGTGCATCATTTCCCTAGACTTCTTTCATGCGTGCCACTGAGCATGTTACCATACGGGAACAAACGACCCATTTCAAACGACCACGCATGTCAATGCATGAAAGGGCCGGTAATCGAATAGCATTGCGATTGATATTGAATTTCGATACGGTCTGGATATGGGGGGATTCGAGCAAAGCAAAGCATGGGGATCCTTCTCCCGACCTTCCATTGACTACATGATACAAAACGTTTGAGGCCTATAAGTGGCCCATCAAGATAGTCCAATGCGCTCGCCCTATTCGCTTTCTTCCGTTGCGTTGGGCATGAAAAGCCGTTCATTCCTTTACTGGAACGTCGAATCTGCCTTTTGGGCCTAGCTCGTCGGCTGACTCACGTCCCAGGGATCACAAGGCTGTTGGACGACGTTGAGATTCAGATATCTCTTTCGTCGGCCACGGAAACCTCAGCCGCGGCGACGATGAGAAGAGGTCGCTGCTGAACTGAGGTAAGCGATTGTACAGAGGGTATCATATGCCTCATGGCCTGAGGTTTGAGGTTCCTGAAGTCAATACTCAATTCGCGCGAGATGTCCTCTAGAGCTGAGCTTGAGAAGGAGCTAGCCGCTAGCGATCCTTGGCGCATCCGGAAGGCGCGACTTCAGTTCAATAAACACGCCAAATTGTTAGACCTGTTACCGCCGCCTTTGTTTTTGGGCTTGTCATTCCCGTTTGGCTCCTTCTTGCTGATTATGCTCGCCCGCAATTTCTTGACTCATTAATTTGGTATCCTGAAGATCCATCAAGTGTGTAATGAATCGCGCAGTCTATGGTTGGAGTACAACTATAGACATTGCGAAGCAGCAGAACCACGGACATTCGTTCGCCGGAACGAAGAGATCTTATGATGAAATCCATCAAGAGCCCACGAGCAACGCACTGGAGCCTAGTCTTGCTAACAGTGCTGCTCGTGTGCTCCCGAAGCGACAGTTCAAGGATTGCTCCGTGAAAGATCGGCTTGCAGCTAGTCTAATAGTTGATATCAATCCTGATGCGAACTCGAATTCTCAATTCAATCAGGCTCAAAATGCCGAGCGGTTGCTGCCAAAACCTTCACAGAACCCTTTGCTCTCTTTGTCTCACCCTTCTTATGGCTTGCCCAATTCGCTGGTCAACAATCTTGCAAACCTTGGCATACACAGTATGTACCCGTGGCAGTCTTCTTGCCTGCTTGGTAGAGGTCTTCTTGAAGGCCAGAAGAATCTGGTTTACACAGCCCCGACAGGTGGTGGCAAATCTCTTGTTGCTGATGTCCTCATGCTGAAACGGGTCATCGAGCAGCCTTCTCAGAAGGCTATTTTAGTACTTCCTTATGTTGCTTTAGTGCAGGAGAAATTGAAGTGGCTGAGGAAGGTCGTTGAAGGCGTGCGAAAATGTGTCATTGCTCAGGACGAGATCGAAATCGCACAACCGAAATGGCGTAGAAATCACGATAGCTCAATCCGGGTTATTGGCTGCTTTGGTGGTAGCAAGACAAGACTCGTTTGGCGAGATGTTGACATAGCAGTTTGCACAATTGAGAAGGTCTAGACTCCACAATTTGAGACAAGGCCGTGACTAATGCCATCTAGGCTAACGGAATTTGCAATGCAGCCATCGAAGACGGTTCCATCGGTGATCTTGGTGTGGTCGTCTTTGACGAATTGCACATGATTGATGACGAACATCGAGGATATCTGATGGAGTTGATGGCGAGCAAGCTGCTGAGCCTTGGGAGCCCAGTCCAGATCATTGGCATGAGTGCTACCTTGAATGTAAGCAGATTTGAAGGTACAGTGGAGTCATCCTGACACCCGTAGAACACAGAGATCTTGGCAAAGTGGCTCGGAGCCAAATATTATAATACAAAGTTTGTGCCCATACCGATAAGTGAGTTTCTCGTCTACGATGGATTGGTCTACCCTGTCTCTACTTCCAAGGCTTTATTCAGGACGGCGAGTCAATTAAGATCGACTCCACGACTTTCTGGGCTTGAAGTGAAAAGAAGGATCTCAAAATCGGAATTCAAGAAACTAAAGTCTCCTATGATCAATGCCGTAGTCTCGCTAGCCGTTGAAACCGCAAGCGCTGGGTATGGAGCTCTTGTCTTTTGCAGTGGCAGACAGAGCTGTCAAACTATGGCAGTCTTGATAAGTGAAGCCATACCTACACAAGACCTCGGCCAAGACATAATTGACCGACGAAAAGACGTCATCAACGAGCTTCGTAGCCTAGCAGTTGGTCTGGATGAGGTCTTAGGTGTCACTGTTTCTCGTGGGGTTGCTTTTCACCGTGAGCTCTGACAACTCTTGTGATGCTCCAACCATGCTGATCTCCTCCAAAGATGCGGGCCTGACGGCTGAGGAGCGAGACATAGTCGCAGAGGCTTACGACAAAGGGACGATCAGAGTCATAGCGGCGACGTGTAGTCTCGCTGCCGGAATCAATCTCCCGGCTCGGAGGGTGATCCTGCAAGGAGCAAGAATGGGTAGGGATCTCATCGGTCCGGCTATGTTGTACGTTCGTAATTAGCTACGACGCTGCTTGACTAATGTTCACAGGCGACAGATGAGAGGTCGAGCCGGCCGGAAGGGCAAAGACGAGATCGGGGAAAGCTACCTCTGTTGCCAGAAAGCTGATCTAGAAGAAGTCACCGAGCTACTAGAGGCTGAGCTTCCTACGGTCCAAAGTAGCTTGACTCCAGAGAAGCGGGGCATCAAAAGGTAAGCGTTGCCAACTCAAAGCAGAAAACATCTTGTCTCATCCCACTCCCATCCTGTTTCTGACCGTTTGTCAGAGCCATGCTAGAAGTTATCGCCGTGAGGTTGGCAACACACTCAGCAGCTATGCTGGAATATGTTCATCGCACTTTACTGTACCACACAATGGACACTCATGAGGTGGAAATCATGTTCGATGCAACGCTCAAAGACTTGGTTGATTCTGACATGATACTTGTGGACGAGTTTGGGGGTTACGAACCAACCCCATTGAGCAAAGCGACTGTAGCTTCTTACTTAACTCCAGAAGACGGATTGTTCCTTTGCCATGAACTCCGTACGGCTCTCAAAGCTTTCGTAATGGATGGGGAAATGCATATCTTCTATACGTTCACACCTGTCTGGAACGCAGGAAACGTTGAGGTTAATTGGGCGATCTTTCGGAGGGAAATAGATGGATTAGATGAGAGCGGGCTCCGAGTTCTCGAATTCATTGGTATCAACCCTGCCATGATCAATCGATTGTATGTTCAGGGCATCTTAAGTCTAAATACAAGGGCTAATCGAAAAAAAAGGGCGAACAGTCCGAAACCTCTTCCAGAGACAACGCCGGGAGAAGTACAGATCGCACGTATTTATCGAAGATTTTACACGGCTCTCCAACTGCGCGACCTTTGTAGTGAAATGCCGATTCATCTCGTCGCCCGCAGATATGAAGTGCCACGAGGCTTCGTTCAGACATTGGCCCAGACCTGTGAGGGTTTCGCAGCTGGAATGGTTCAGTTCTGCGAGAAGATGGGGTGGGGCATGCTCAAGGCTGCTTTGGAACACATGAGTGACCGACTGAAGGCCGGCGCTCGCGCGGATCTGCTTGAATTGGCTCAGATTCCATTTGTGAAGAGCCGAACGGCGAGAATCTTCTGGGAGAATGGGTTTCGGAGCGTCAGAGCAGTCGCGGAAGCCGAAGCAAAGGACTTGCTCCCCGTCCTGCTTCTAGTATGAATTTGCCAAGATCCGTTGCTTGCAGTACACTAATCAAGCTACAGGCGCAGCCCAGAAAGTTGAGGCTAGAGGGAGATGAAGAGATGCAGTATCATCAGAGACTGCTCTTGAAAGCAGAGATCATTGTCACGGCCGCGAACAAACTATGGGGTACTACGGTCTGTTATCTGGCGAGATGGCAACATACTGACGAGGTATAGCGAGACAGCAGCAAGCCGAGATCGAAACGGACCTGTGAACTACAAGCGATGTTGGGCAAGCCCTGTCGATTCCGATCAAGTGGAAGGTCAATTATCCATCGGGAGATATGCGAGCCTGGATGCCGGCAGGATCCATCATTGACCCCAAGGTGGGACGCCTGTGGACAGTGATGTCAGGGCAGTGGAATGGCGTGTCTTGGCTGCAAGTGGCGCCCTCGTAAAAATGGAATGGATAATGCTGACGAAAGCATTGTCAACCAGGCACCGATTCATAATCTCACTGCAGCGTTCGCGCCCGCTCCGCTGCGGGGCTTTGCGAGCAATTCTGCCCCACCTCAGGAGCATAAAATAAACAATAAACACCCCTTCCAATCCCACAGTCACTCCAATTGCAATCCACATCTTCGTCAATCCACTCGATTCTATCGCTTTACCACTAGTAATCATGGCTCCCAAGATCGCAATCGTGTTTGTGAGTTCTCAATCCTGCCTCGTCCCATGCTCCAACATGACTGTCTACTTCTGTGTTCATCAGGGCTGAAGGGTAGTTTCTCTGTAACGCCTTCGCTGACAATGCTATCAATCAGTACTCTCTGTATGGCCATATCAAGAAGCTTGCGGAAGCTGAGAAGGAAGGCATCGAGTCCGCTGGGGGCAAGGTTGACCTGTACCAGTATGTTTCTTCACACTCGTAGCAATTTCCACGTTCTGCAAGCTGAATTGACCCCACAGGGTCGAGGAAACATTACCTGAGGAAGTCTTGACGAAGATGCACGCCCCTGCAAAAGACTCTTCCATTCCCAAGATCACCCCCGCTAAACTTGCTGAATACGACGTGCGTCCCCCATTTCCCTCCTCTCTTCTTTTTTCATGACTGACTGACGTATAGGCCTTTCTTCTGGGCATTCCAACCCGTTACGGCAATTTTCCGCGCCCAATGGAAGACCTTCTGGGATGCCACAGGTCAGCTCTGGGCCTCCGGCGGTTTATGGGGCAAATACGCAGGTACCTTCCTCTCTACAGCTTCTTTAGGCGGGGGTCAAGAGTCTACCGCCCTTGCGACCATGAGCACACTCGCTCACCACGGTATCATTTACGTCCCCTTTGGCTACGCCAAAGCTTTCGCTGAACTCACTGCTACTGATCAGCTGAGAGGCGGCGGCCCTTGGGGCGCGGGCACGGTTGCAGGTCCGTCGGGTGAAAGACAGCCGAGTGACCGGGAACTGTTCCTCGCGAAGGAGCACGGAAAGTCATTTTATGAGGTTGTCAGCAAAGTCAACTTTTGACTAGATGGGGTGGGGGCATCTGCAGGAGAGTTGATTGGGGGAGGAAAAGATGAGCAAAAGAAGGAAGAGAAAGTGGAGACTAGGGAGCCTGTGAATGGTGGAGCGAGTAGTCCTACAGCTGATGCAAAGAAGAGCACGCCTGACGAAGATTCGGAGGCAGAGACTGGGCCTTGTGGGTTGCCTAAGAAGTGTGAAATCCTCTAGAGGACAGCCTTAATAAATGCAGTGATGCTCCGAAGAGACTCTCTTGATTGTATCCTAAAACCGTAGCCCGTACTTAACGTCGTCTATACAGCATATGCTCGCGAAACCCCACGCTATGCAATATCCGTTCATTCCTCGTTAGGGTCTTGATCCATACATTTCAAATCATTACATTCATAGAGTTGATCTTAAGCAGGTCAAGCCACCTTACGAGCTCGCCTTCATCTCCCCACAATTCGCACACGTCCACCACTCTCTCTCCATGAATTGTCCGCAATGCCCACACAGCCACCCCAGCGGCGCCTGCGGTTTTCCTCTCTGCTTATCTTCCATCTCTCTCAGCGTCCGTACAGCTTTCGCCGAGTTGTCCTCCTTCAACGAGCCTAAGCCAAGTTGGTGCTGATCGCTCTTGTTCCTTATGGGGAGTGGTGGTGCTTTGGTCATTTCTTTGGCAGCTGGTGGAGGGCTCCGCCGCTCGATGCCACAAGCGTCACACATCAGATGTGTGGGTGGGTTGATCAGCGTACAAACCTCGCAAGCCCATGAGCCATCACTAGGGTACAAAGCGGGATTAATCAGGTCTATGGTCTCGGAGGTGGAAGGCGCCAGTCGCGAAGGGGCAGTAGAGGTTGAGGGCATCGGTTTCGTGAGCGAAGGAATTGGAGGAATGGCGTCTTGCGATTTGAGCCGTGACAGTTCTTGTGCTGCAATGTTCTCGGCTTTGCTTCTCCCCGCGTTCACGCTTCTACTCCCAGCTGGGTTTTCCCTGCTGGGGGGATGTATGAGTCACCGTACTTTTCCCTCTCTTCTTCTTGGACTAGATCGATGTAGGCGAGCATGATAGCTTCTTCATTGGCATCGTCTGCTTCGGCTTTGGTGCGCACGCTGCGCTTATTGGTGAGGTCGATGATTTCTCGCTCCTTCTCTTTGGTCGCTGTCCCACTGGCGCATCCTTTCATTACTGCTGTCCGCCGTTGCGCTGCGTCTGCTATGACCTTCCTGATGTCCTGGCCTCTCCTCACGGGGGCTCCACCGAGCTTTTGACCTGAGCCAGCAGAAAGAACCTGCCTCTTTTCAGCCGCTGCTCGAGCGCGACGGCGGGCTTCGTGCATGGGTATGCGTCCTCCGCCGAGCTTGTGACCTGTGGACAGAAATCCCTCTCCTGTGTAGCCTTTTCGGATAAGGTTCTCGTATTCATCACGGAGTTGATTCCAGAGGTTGTGAAAATGTTCGTCGTGTGGGCCATGAACGATATGACATAGCCTGAGATTGTGTCAGTGAAAGTGTTTCCAGAATAATGAGAGTGCTCGCGAACTCGTGCAGCATAGTATCTGTAACCTGTTCTATAGGCATAAATTGCCTCTCATCACCAGCGTGCCTGAGCCGCAAGCATATTCTTTCACCCTTGTTGATATTCAGGCCAAGGAGGTTTCTTTCTTCTGGAAAGAATTCCGTCAAGACGCCTACTCGCCAGCCTCGCTGTCTCATTATGGGCTTCACCAGGGAGGCGATTTTGCGGAGCATGTGCAGAGCGTCTGCTTCTCGAGCGCGGTGCTTTTCATGCTGGTATTCGGAGACCGATGGGTCGTGTTCGGATGCCATGTTGGTCTAGATAGTCGACTCAAGGAGGGATGGGGAAAGTCTAAGAGAAAAGCAGAATGCCCAGGAAATCGGTTGAATAGTAAACACTTGACTTGAAATTGAATAAGCACGTTTTCAAACAGGAGGAAAAGCTAAGGAAGTAGTTGAGGGTAGGCACCGCCGACAAGACCTTTGGGCAGCAGTGCCGATAAACATCTTCCTATAGTGGTATGCTAACTAGTTCACTTCATGGCGCTTCGAGAAGCAGCCAGGTCTGTTGCAATCATTCACTTCTTGTGTCGTTTCTTCTATTGATTCTCGTCGGACTTAAGGCGGACATGCCCCTCCGAATGCCTGCTCACTCAACCACCACGAAACTCATACTTTGCCCATCATCTAGACTGTTCTTCCCTTGAAAGATGCTCCGAGAGCACAAAGCTGAACAGGATATGTTTGACTTGGACTCCATACAGGAGTCTTTCAACGCTGTTACGGAATCTATAGAAGAACAGTTCGATAGCATCGCCCGTCTTGCTCGAGATACATATCGGTCAACGCCATGGATACCGGAATCGATGAAGCCCGATGTTCCTCCTCCCCCACCGCCCTTCTATGAAACAATACTTCCACCGGCTGGCTATCTTCAGGCTTGCCGGATTTGGATATCAGAACATCGCGCAGTGACAGCTGCAGTCGTTGCCTTTGTTGGCACAGGGGCGTTCATTGTCTGGCGGCAGCGAAGAGCAGATAGAAAGAAAAGAAGAGCAAAGCGCGCAAGGAACGGGCAAAAGACAGAAGTCGTCCTTCTGGCCGGATCATTACATTCGCCGTTCACACGGTCCCTTTCGCTGGACCTGGAGCGGAGGGGCTTCATTGTCTATATCCCTGCTGCGAGCGTATCAGAGGAACAGATCATCAATGTGGAAGCGAATCCAGACATAAGGCCTTTGAGTCTGGACATCACATCTGTAGGTCATATTACTCTTGGACTAATGCCCACTGCTGACTGGATCGTAGCCCAGCTCTGTATCCGAAGCCGTCTCCAAGTTTGAATATTTCCTAGATTCACCACTTCGCACGAGAACAGCAAGTACAGCGTCCAAGCCCCATCTTGCAGCCTGTTTGTTGCTCCCACCCCCAGTCTATCCTGTCCGAGGTATCGCCAGCCTGGAAATCCACGACTGGTCACACACATTAAACCTCCACATCCTAGCTCCTTTCGGTCTTGTCCATGCTTTCCTGCCCCTACTAATAAACCAAAATTCAAACCTGTCATTCCTCACGTCGTCAATTAATTCTTCGTTGAGAACTCCATCTCACGCTCCTGAAGGTGTTGTCGTTGGCGGCATCGAACAATATATCGCGAGTTTGCGAAGAGAGATGCCGTCCATCAACGTGGTGCAGATGAAGCTTGGTCATTTTGATTTGAGCCAGTTCTCGCCAGAGAACAAGCAGCTTGTCATACCGCATGAGCTGTCCAGAGTCAATGCTACGAAAGCGAGACTTGGTGTGAAACCATACGGAGGAAGCGCGCTCCGAGAATTGCACAACAATGTCTTCGATGTCATTGTGCGTTCGAAAGGCAGGAATAGCACAGTATTTGTTGGTCGAGGAAGTCGAGTCTATGATATTGTGGGCAAGTGGGTGCCATCAGGACTTGTCGGGTGGATATTGGGTGCGAACCAGAGCTGGCCGTCTATGTTCGCACAATCAAAGTCGAAAGACCTTAAGAAAGGCCAGTCGGAAGAGCCAGCTGCGGAAGATCTAGTCGAATCGATGGCATCGATTGATGATATAGGTAACGAAGCATGATCCGAAGCGTCCAGTGGATTGCTCACTGAATTTAAATGACTCCACTTTCAATAGCCGGCTTCTTGGTGCTGGCTAATAGTAATATCTTCTCTTCTTAAGCTTCATTTCTTCATCCAAATTGACTGTAACCCGCCAGTCAAAGTGGCTGCTATCCGTTCCAGAATTCTTCCATTGGCCTTCGAGCAAAGGGGCCTAGGTGCTTTGATCCGACCTTGCTTTTCTTCAGTAGCCACCCCTTCCACGTCTCCCAAAGCCTCTCTTTCCCCTCCCCCTACCTCTCCCACCATCCCCACGGTCCCAATCCCGCATATCGCGTTCCTCAGCCTCTCCTCTCATCCTCTCCCTCTCCATCTCCACCTCCTCTGCACTCCTTACAATCCTGACTTCCGGCCTGGGCAAATCCTTCTCCTCCTTCCATCTTGCATGTGCCCCTTTCCGGCACTGTCTTCCGTCTGGACAAAACCCTGCCAAGTAAAATGGACAGGCCGCCTTCTGCTTCACATGCCTCTTCGCGCACCTCGGGCCCAAGGGACAAAATCCCCGTTCAAACCACTCACAGATTGGCCTCCTCCTCTCTTCCACCACATCCAGGTCCGGATGCAAGTAATTACAGTCGTCTCCCTGCGCGCAGTAGCCTCCTGTGCCGACCCATTGCCTGCACTCGCTGCGCCCACGGAGGTTCCATTCGTGCAGGAAATCGCATGCGTCTCCCTTTTTGCAGAGGCCTTTCAGCCAATGTTTGCAGACGAGGTTATTGTTGGAATGAGTGAGAGGGTGTTTATCGGGGCAGGAGGGGCCGAGGGGACAATGGCCGGCGCGGTAGGCTTGGCAATAAGGACGTGTGGGGGGAATGCCAAAGCGGTGAGTTGTGAGGAGGTGAGGGAGGAAAGCGAAGTTGTACTGAGCCAGAGGGGTCGTGTCGGGGAGATTCGAGTTGGGAGAAGGAGTTGCGGAGGGACGAGCCACTGCTGCTGCCATGTTGCTGAGTGAGGGGAACGAGGAAAGTTATCAGATCCTCGAGTGTACAAATCAAGTAGACAAGCAAAGGGGGGAATTAGTCAGCGCAAGCTAGAATGACAAGATTGTAGACGAAAAAATAAATAATCCTAGCTTTCGGCTAACATAGGCACTGTCAAAGGCAGAAGTTATTAGAAGGCAGATAGTCAGCATGGAAGAGAACAGGCGTCACTTTAGATCTTGCTCGGTGACACATGTCATTCGTGTTATTCATTATCCGTAGAGGTAATACAACATTATCATTACTACAACAGTACACTTCTAATACCCACCGCTTCTTGAGGCCGTCGCTTTTTCCCTCCTCACGCAATCTTGAGCCGCTCATTCACGCTCCCCATCAATATATTCTAAAGCCGCTTCGCTTAAATGCTATCAAAAGAACTTTAGTGATTTTCTCCAGCCCTTCTTCTCGTCGCTATAAGCTTCGATGCCGCTGTAACCCGATGTCCTCTTAGAACCTGGCCCTGACTCCGCCGAGTTCATCCTGTAAGCATCATCGTACATGTCTTGATCGTGGCCGCTATTGACGCGTATGGGCACATCGCTTCCTAGCATCTTGTCGGCTTTGCTTAGTCTTCTTGCTGGAGGTGCACCACTTTGTCTTTTGTTACCAGGATCTACGTAGTCATGATAGTCAATGCTGTCCAGTCTCTGCCGAGCCGGAGACTCATCTCCAGAGATTGAGCCATCCAGTGCCTCGTATCTTTTGGCGTGACGTGACGGTGGCACCTCGAATTCCTCGACTGAAGCCGCTCGCTCCGCATCAAGAATGTCAGCCTGTCGCCGCGTATCTTTGTATTTTTGTTGTGAATGTGGTGGCGAGGGTAGTTGCCCCTGAGGCCGATCACGGAATTGACCTAGTCTCTGCGCCTCGACCTTGGGATCTTTTGAAGGCGGCGGCTTCAAATCCGGCGAATCACGGACCTGAGGTGGGGTTTGGTCTCTATATCTTCTACGCTTCTCCAAACCAAAACTCCAGCGGCGTGGTCGGATGCGCTCTTCCTCAGATTCTTCCTCTGTAGATTCACTGCCGCTCAAACTTGCTTGACTAGCGGAGCCTTCGCTGTGAGCGTGAGCAACCTGATGTGACTTCCGATCCCGCAGATTTGTCAAACGTCTCAGCAAATTTGGTCGGCGAAGTGCAGCGGTATTTTCATCACCTTCACCTTGGTAGAAAAGTGCAGGGATTAAAATACGATAGGGCGTAGTCTCTCCCGCAGGATTCTGTTGATCAACCTCGCAATGAAGTGTGATATCTAGACCATTTTCAAGATTAACGTGGTCATTTGTATCTTCAGGATCACCTTTGTGTGCTGCCTTTTCGCTAAGGTTTGTGGGTCGGCGGAGAAAGGTAGGGCGTTGGGGAGCAGACGAGTGCCTCTGGGGGTCCACTTCACCGATAGGCGCAGTGGAAGAGCGGCTGACCTGGGACTTCCTCACAAAAGTCTCATTGTCAGCTGGACTTTGAGGTGGGGATGGCGTATCGTATCCTTGAGTAAGATATGTGTTCGGGGGCCCACGTCCTGAAAGCCGCCGGATGAGATTCCCGGGTTTGACATCGCCACGCGTTAGTGACAGGGTCCTCTGTAGAGGCGTGGGTCTTTTTGGTAGATCTTCCTCCTCAGTAGTCTCCGGTTCGGAGTGTGGTGGTGTTGGCGGAGGAGTAGATCCAGGCAGGTATTCTCGGATAGAGCACCAATTTCGTCGCGGAAGGAGACGTTTATTGTTCCGCAGCTTACCGTCAACATCATGCGAGAACATTGGTATCATGTTTTCGTCTGTTTCGGCGTCTAGATGGTGCGTTTTGTTACGCTTATTGAGAACATCGCTCATAAGTTCTGGCGGAGGTGTATTGACAATGGCAGACGAGACGACGTTCGGCATGTAGCGGTGGTCTCGATCTTTCGGTATCTTTAGCTTTGGATTTGAGAAGAATTGACCGATGGCTGCGAGATGAACGTCTCCTCTATCGCAATGATGAGCAAAAGGACTTGCAGCATGAGTTTTAGGAGCTTACCCCAGGATTGTGACTCGCACAGATAGATCTGCCGCGAGCTCCTGCAATTCCTGGACGAACCAATTCCTCTCACGCTTGTGATTGCGTGCAGTCCAATGATCATCAAGATCATCTAAGATCTCTACTCCGCCGTCGAACTTGTTCATGACATTACCCAGAAGCCCCATTCTTCCCATGGCCTTAAGGGGATCCAAGGCTTTACTAGTCAGCAGGTTTTCTAACCAGACCAGCCTCGGATATGCGATAGGAACGCCCAGCAAGACAATGAGATGCTTGGTCCCTCTTTCTGCTATCTCTCTCCTGCATCTCTCGAAAATGATATCATAGGAAGACTCGCTGAGGATTTCTTCTTTCTGTCCCAACAATCAGTACAATGGAGGACCCGAGATGGGTCAAGAGATCATACCATGCGTTCCGTGCGGCAGTCCAATCCGAGGAAGGCTACATGCTTTCCCAGAGAGACAAAGACACTTCGGCTGAGCTCATTGATATACGGCCCGGGAGAAGCTCCCAAGAGCCAGCTTGGTTCATCAGCTGTAGTCTCGTCTGGTACGCTTTGGTGTTGGAATAGCATGTAATATTTAAATGCCACACTTCCTAGCCCACAGAACACCGGCGTACTCATGAAGTGGTGCGGATAGGATCCAAAGCCATCGATGATGTCTGTCATACTTCATTAGTTACCTATTCGGTGGCACGCATACGAATTGTAGGCTTGATAAGAATACGGTGCATTTAGGCATTAAGACATACCATGATCGTCCCAGATGTTGACCATTGGTATTTGGGCGTTCGCCATACCGAATAGACCTTGTGAGAACCACATTGAGTAACGTTCCAGATAGAAGGTCTCGAGTTCTTCAAGCAAAGCAGGACTCAGCTCTACTTCGTGCTTATGATGGGGATTTTTGATGTCAAGCCATTCGCGGAAAAGTGGACTCTGTCTCATCACGGCATCGTTGTATATTTGATCGCCACCCCCAATCATAATATGAAATGGATGAGTTTGATGGTTGTTGAGCACATCTCGCCACAACGGATCGGGACCAGAAAAGTCGTCAGGGCTAGCAGAGGTCAGTATTTTTAAAGTAATTATTAAGCACGATCTCACTTTACGCTCAGACTGAAGCCATTGCAGCTGTGGAACATGACGTTCATGGTCTGACCTCTTCCAGGCACCCAAAATCCTGTCGAAGGACCACCGTTGATGCTGTAAGCAATTCTAGTGTCTGCAGACTGCAATTCTACTTCTATATTAAAGCGCCAAAATGTTACGCCTCGTTCTGCATGAAGTCGCACACCCTTGACCCTATGTCCCTTTCTTTGCTTGGGTTTGGAACGAGATTGGCGTGGCGAAGGTCCACCGTGACCAGGCCTGTATTCAGGCGTGCCATAAGCAGTCGGAACCGCAGCGCTTCGAAAATCCTCAAACAGCCCGTCATCGTTGCCTTCAAGTCGTGAAAGGTCCTTCGCATGCTCTAAATCATCTACTGGCTTGACATACACGGTCTTTCCGGTTCTCGAAAGCTTTGGGAGCCCGGCTACAGGGTCCATATAATGATGGGGTAAATCTTCGCTTTTCTCATGTTCGGCTTGCTGTCGCTGCGGCGGAGGTAATTTTTCCATTGGTTCTGGAAATAATCTCAGTACTGGGACTGGGTCGTATGTCGAATCGGCATCGTTCGTGACGATCATTACGCTGCCTCGCCAAGTTTCTTGATCGCTTTTTTGTGCCGCAACCTGTTTGTTGTCTATTTTATGAATCCTCATGCCAGTATAGCGCAAAAGAGGACCACACTTGAGGAACAAGGGGGGCGAAAAGGTAGTAGAAGCAGGTACTGCACGTATGCGGACAGACCGCATACTCTTCATTAGCTCTTTGCTCAAGTATGGCTCGCATATATGATTTGAATGAAAAGGATGATGATCAGCAAGGGAGGTGCATGAGTAGGAATATGTCAAAGGAAGTTCGATCGTCTCTTTCCCCTTTAGGCGCTGCGATAGCGACGACAAGTTGTTCCTTAGCCGCACAACAGCATTGTCCTTTGTCTCTTCGGCTGTAACATATTGCCGTGTCTGCGGTGTTTTTTCTCGGGTTTGAATCGATTGTGGAAGAGAAATCAAGCTAGACTCACCATTTCCCTCCTGATAAGGGTCTTGAAAGCCGACGCTATTCCTTTGCGAACGTCGACGAGCATTTGAACCCTGCTGTTCCCACCATGGCGACTCATCAAGCGAATTGTCTAGAAAGTCATCCGCAGTCAACCTTGCGACTCCTCCATTTTTCCATTCGTTCAAGTGATTAGGCCTTGCCGGCAGATCTATGACAGGTTCTGGTGTTTGCTCCCGAGCATGGTGCATAATGTTGGAAAGATGATGCTTGCGCTGTGTGGGGACTTCGGCCGTCAAGAGAGGATTGTTTCCGAAACCTACCCTCTGTCGTGCACGGATACCTGCTGCTGTCTGCGGTGGTATCTCATGTCTTGGTGTCCGCCCAGTGGAGACTTGCCGTGCGGAGACGGCGTCAGATATACCTCCATATGCAGCTTCTGAATCCTTCTTTTGCGAGGGTTGCGCCTTGTTGCTATAAAGCTTCTTCTGCTCTGGTAGCACCTGTCTAGAGGTGGAAGGCATGCTAGGATGGCGAGTTTGTCGAGCTGTCGATATTGTGTCAGTCGGTACGCTAGGTCCTCTACTCTGGTATAAGCCTGTGTCTTCTTCTTTGATATCGGATTCAGCATCGAGCTCAGGCGAGCGATCTTGATTTCGGAATCTTACACCTCGATCAGGGTAATTATCACTGGTGGCTCGGCGTTGTTGTTGAACAGCGTCTCGATTAGGTTCGTGAATTGACGGATCTTCTCGAACTCGGTTCGATGCAGGGGCAAATTTTGATTCCTGAGGGTAATTTGAGCTGGAATGCCTTGCCCGCGACTCCGTAGCAGAAGTTCGTATCGGTGGTATCCCTTCGCGAGACTTTGCGCTTTCCACCGCTTTCTTTTGCGCTGCAACTTTGGAATCTCTCAGTCGTTGTTCTGCTTGCTCTACTCGTGCTCTTTTCTCTTCCTTGCTAATATCGGTCAATTTTACCTCAAGCTTTTGGAGTGGAGAGCGGTCAGATGCCCATTTATCGCTAGTATCCCGCGATGTGACAGTAGTACTACGAGAGGATTTTGGTTGATCAGATGTCGGTGTAGGCCCGGCCTGTCTTGAGCGTGCTGTGCATGTGTCCTGAAGAGCCGGTGACGCAGGGTTCTTGGCCTGTGCTTCCTGTGGAGTTGCAGAAAATGAGATCCGTCTAGGAGACGTTGGACTTTTACCCCAAGAATCTCTTGCGTGCTGTTGGATCTCGGAATACACACCACCAATTGGACGATTGAGGCTAGTTCGTCGTTCACTTTTAATGCCTGAAGGTGGGTTCGGAGGTGTGGCTATATTGTTGTTGGGATCTGGGGGCAGTGATCTTCCAGTTAAAATAGCTGCTCTTTGAGCAAATGAGCCGGGATATGTATTCGAAGAACGATCAGCATTGGCATTGTCTGAAGGTGAACGATAGGATGACGGTATAGTCTTTGGTACCTCGGGGGCTACAGGTAGATTAGGAATATCTGAGATGATGGGGCTTTGTTGAGAAGCTGTGCCAGATGATCTTCGCTTTCTAGTCGCTGTTCTCGCCATGCCATTTGTAGCGGTCGTTCCTTCCATTGCTGAAAAAGAGGGCGCGGGTTGTGTGAGGGGGCGTTGGAAGTGTCTCCATTCGCCATTCCAGGACCATTGGATCGTCTTTGCAAATTGTCCATACTCAGAATCTACTGGTATGTACTTTGAAGCTAGCTTTGATGATGCTCTCCGCACTCTACTTCTCGAGGCGCATAGGGAGGCAATGATTATTTTGCTAAGGAGAGATGGTTAAAGGAGAGAAGATCATGTTGTATGTAAGTCTCAAGCTGAAAGCTACAGAGCTAATAAAACTGAAATACATTACCAAGACAATCGAGAGAAACGGATGCATCACACGCAACATACGTGAGTGGTGGAAATCTTGGTACAGGAGCTCAGCTTCACCTGACAAAATTCTAGGTTTGTTTCCAGCCCCCTTCGTAGCTTCGGGCCGCCCCATCGCGATCATCGAAACCAAAATACTCGTACGCGTATTCCACTGTGGCTCATCCCTGATCTGGCCTAACGAAGGCAGCCATCATTAGTATGTTGTGCTTCGACCATTGCTTACGGCCACACTAGATAGCTACCGATGTTCTATGGGCTGAAATCCGATCTTCTGCTGGACCTCTCGGACTGTACCTTTCGTTCGTTCAGGGTTTGAGGCTTTGACGGCCAAATAGCGCATTGCAGAACAAGGACGACAGGATTCTTCTGAAAGCTTTGAACTTCCGTCAGGACGCCAGCAACTGCCCTTTCCCCACTCTGTGCAACATCTACTGGACGTCGTGCACTTAGATAAAACCATTCGATGGCACCTCTGTGAGCTCTTCGACCTCAGATTATGAAAATCTCGACAGTCTTCACATTGCTTTTTCTCGCTTGCACCACCCTTGCCCATAAACCTCGAATACGAGATCATGAAAATTATGACTACTATGCTCTCCACCTTCATGAGGGCTCGCCGCCTCAGCAGGTAGCCTTTGCGCTCGGCCTCCGGTACGAAGGACCTCTTGGAGAATTACCCGATCACCATACCTTTTCTTCTCCCAAAAAAAGAACTCATAATGCAGATGCAATACTCGAAGATGTCCGGCGGCGGAGAAGAAAGAGGGATCTCGTGGAAGACGGCGGACTAAGTGGTATATATTGGTCGCAGAAACAGAAACCAAAACCGCGATTGGTGAAAAGGGGCCACCCCCCGTCAGAGCTTGACCGACAGGGCCCACCTTCGTCTGCAAACGCCGAAACGAAGCCTGATGTAGCCGAATCGTCCACCCCTGAGCCCGATGATGGTACAGACAAGGAAGCTGTCGCTCAGCGGAACAGCTTGCAGCAAGAGTTAGGCATTCAAGATCCCATATTCCACGAACAATGGCATCTGTTCAATACGTTGCAGATTGGCCACGATCTGAACGTCACGGGAGTGTGGCAGCAGGGTATCACGGGTGACGGCGCAACGGCAGTCATGGTGGATGACGGGATCGATATGTACAGCGAGGACCTCAAGGACAATTACTTTGCGAAAGGATCCTACGATTTTAATGAAGGCGTAGAAGAACCTAAGCCGAGGCTGAGCGACGACCGGCATGGTACACGATGTGCCGGTGAGATTGCCGCAGTAAAGAATGGTGTTTGTGGAGTTGGAGTGGCCTACACTGCTAGAATTGGAGGCCTACGTATTCTGTCGAAAATCATTACAGACGAGGACGAAGCTGTCGCGATGAATTATGCATATCAAGATAACCAAATCTACTCTTGTTCTTGGGGCCCTCCAGATGATGGGAAATCGATGGACGCACCCGGTATACTCATCCAGAAGGCAATGGTAAATGCAGTGCAGAAAGGAAGACAGAACCGAGGCAATCTTTTTGTCTTTGCCGCTGGCAATGGACACGCAGCCGGTGACAACTGCAACTTTGATGGCTATACTAACAGCATTTATACCATTACGATTGGGGGAATTGACAGAAAAGGGCTCCATGGCTACTATTCAGAATACTGCTCAGCTCAATTAGCCGTCAGCTATAGCAGTGGTAGTGGAGATGCCATACACACTACCGATGTTGGTACAGATAAGTGCTACTCAAATCATGGTGGTACCTCTGCTGCAGCGCCATTGGCAGCAGGTGTTTTTGCATTGGCTTTGTCGGTAAGACCAGAGCTCACATGGCGCGATGTTCAAAACGTCATCGTCATGACTGCCATTCCGGTCAACGAAGACGACGGAAGCTGGGATGAGACCTTCATTGGTCGAAAGTTCAGCCATGCATATGGATTCGGCAAAATAGACGCGTATGCGTTTGTTGAGAAGGCAAAGACTGTCGACTTGTTGAAACCACAAGCTTGGTATAAATCGCCGTGGATTCATGTCAAACATGCGATACCACAAGGTGTTGAAGGTCTACTAAGTTCTTTTGAGATCACGGAGGATTTCTTGAAGGAAGCCAACCTGGCAAAGGTAGAACATGTTACAGTAACCATGAATATTGAGCACTCTCGCCGGGGTGACCTTAGTGTCGAGTTGCGGAGTCCGACGCAAATGGTAAGCCATCTGAGCGTTGTTCGACGGCTGGATGATGCACACGAGGGCTATGTGGACTGGAGTTTTATGTCTGTCGCACATTGGTAAGCTTCAAGAGGCTTCTTTGTGCTTGAGCGATCTGACCATCATTAGGGGCGAGACTGGTATTGGCAAATGGAGTGTCGTGGTGAAAGATACTGAAGTGAATGTTTTAAATGGAACTTTCACGGATTGGCGCATCAAACTTTGGGGCGAATGTATTGATGCCGACATTCAAAAGCCTCTCCCATTGCCGACAGAGACTGACGATGACGACCACGACGTTGTATCAGGCTCACCGACATTTGTAAGCGTTGATCCTGGGGAGCCTCAGCCGACAAACCTACCGGCAAATCCGTCAGATCACCAAGATAGACCGGTCAACATCAAGCCGACACCTTCAGTCACCACGGCGACTTCGATTTCTAGCTCTGAGAGCCAATCTGTAAGTCTTCCCTCATCTTCGACTGCATTGCCAGACGTGCCGCCGGAGGAAGACACGGGTGATGAGCATTTCCTGCCACACTATTTCCCTACCTTTGGTGTATCTAAGCGGACCCAGATATGGATCTACGGAGCATTGGCCATCATCTTGTTGTTTTGCATAGGTTTGGGTGTTTACTTCCTCCTCCAAAGGAGGAGACGGAGGAGAATGGAGCGCGAAGACTACGAATTTGAGGAGTTACTAGATGACGAGGATGCAAATGGACAGACTGAGGGCCAACGGACGAAACGAAGGGCTGGTGAGCTCTATGATGCGTTTGCCGGAGGTAGTGAGGAGGAAGATGAAAGTCTCCTTAGTGACGAGGATGAAGTAGCAGCTTATAGGGACGAGGTCCCTCCCGAGGGGGACGAGAAAAGGGGCAGGAGTCAATCAAGAGGAGAGGACGAGAAGCGTTGAATGAATCTAGGAATCGTTAATGAACGGCTAGCTCTCTATGCATAGATTCATTTTGGAAGCATAGCGGGAAGGTGGAGAAGCATGTTATCGTGCTATCGTGCTATCGAATTGTGATTTCATTGAATATGGAATATGATCTGGGCCCAAGTTGCGAGTGTTTGCTGAGTGGAAATCCATCGCCGGGTAAGTTGATGAACTTGAAATGACGTACCCTCTACGGCGCAATCGTCTTACATTCCGTTTCAGACCAGGCGCATCCCTCAAACATTATCATTGTCTTGGGTACGCTCTGCAAAACCCTCAACTATGCAGCCTCATTTGCACTCCAGTCCCTAGCCCATAATGCCTGCCGACTACACCTCCACCGCGCGGGCGCTCGCTCTCCCCATTTCTCCACCTCGATCTCCCGTTGCTCTTTCGACCTCTGACCCTTCATGGACTAGGCGGCGCTCCTCTCAATCTCAGACTCGCAATCCTGGACGACGAAGAGCCGGTTCTCTCCTCAGTCGCACATTTGGTAATTTAGAGCGGCAATGGCGATGGCTTTACAATCGGGCAGAGCGCATGACTCCCCTACAACAAGCTCTCAGCTTCCTTATCGGCGTTGTCACCATTGTCCTCGCGGTCTTGTTCTTGATATTTTCAGAGCGTATCTTCGCGTGGATGGAGCCATTGGCTGAGAAATGGAAAAATCTCCCGGGCGGTTGGTTGATCTTATGGACCATGTGCTTCGTAACTGCTTTCCCACCAGTCATTGGGTATTCGACTTGTCTAACTCTGGCTGGTTTCATCTATGGGTTTCCTCGCGGTTGGCCGATTGTTGCTAGTGCTACAATTGTGGGCTCGATATGCTCTTTTGTTGTGAGCAGAACATTATTGAAGTCTTTCGTCGACAGGCTCGTCGCTGGAGACAAGCGATTCGAGGCCCTGAGTCTAGTCTTGAAACATGATGGCCTCAAGCTGCTGTTCATGATACGGTTGTGCCCTTTACCATACAGCTTGTCAAATGGCGCCATTTCGACCTTTCCTACAGTGCAGCCACTGATGTTCGCAGTCGCCACTGCAGCTGCTACACCCAAGCTCCTGATTGCAGTCTTTGTTGGTAGCAGATTGGCAGCTATTGCTAAGAGTGGAGAGAAGATGGATGCAAGTACAAAGGCTATCAATTGGGCTAGCATTATTTTTGGGGTCCTACTTGGGGTCGTGACTGGTTGGTTGATCTATACAAGGACTATGGCGAGATCGAGACAACTGGAAGCCGAAGAGCGCGGGATCGGGAGACAACCTACCTCGCAACCTGCGGACTTCGTGGACGACCCGGAGGATCAGGCGGCCACTGCGACCCTCATAAGAGACGATCAAATCGATTTTCTGGATTCTAGAGCAAACGTTTCGTATGAAGACGATTTTACGGATGATGAGGATAACGTCTTCAAGTACGGTGACGAGGACGGCGGCGATGATGCGATTGGCCTACACAAGCAGCCAGTTAAATAGAGATCTACATTGCGATTGGGAGTGTGCTACCTGTCGTGTAGTAACAAACGGATTCCTAGATTGGAGAGTCTTCGAATGATGCGTCACGATGCATTGCAAGAGAGGTCTGGTGCGAGAGCCAATGCCTAGATTTGTAGAAGAAGGTCGCAACACATAGAATTTAGAAATAGATATTGTATACACCTTGACGGTGGACAGATATCTTGCTCTGGCGGCCTTAAATCAATTTCGGCATGCGTAGAACTAATGCGGAGTCAAATTTTGTCCGCACTTGCCTCAGTTTTCTTGCCGTTAATATCTAATACCACACTGCCAACTATTGCTTCCATTGAGTTTTTGACTTAAATACACTTCATGCTGCAGTTTGAGTCAAATTGTCTGGCACAAAACTTCCAGCATTAGGCTTATCCTAATCCTTTTTCGAACACCTGCCTAGGCATCAATGGACAACGACTTTGACAGCGTGTCATGGCAAAATGAACCAGACAGCGATGTCTCTCGTCCCAATACTTCACAAGGTGACCCCGGAGCAGGTGCCTCAGGCAAAAGGAAAGCCAGCAGTGGGTCTGCACAGGCTGGGTATCAAGCAGATGGCGTGGACCTAGCTGGGATTGGGGAGGGGAGACTAGATTGCAAAGTTGATGCTCCATTGAAGGAGAATGATGGCACAAAAGATGCCTACGTTTCCTACCTTGTCACCACCCACGTACGTCCCAGCGTACAAATTTCCCCAACGCAACAATGCTAATTTATGCCTCAAAGACCGATTTCGCTTCCTTCCAAAAACCCTACGAAAAAGTCCGACGAAGATTCACCGATTTCGTGTTCCTCTACAAAGAACTTTGCAAACAGTATCCACAATGTGCTGTTCCACCTTTACCAGACAAACACAAGATGGAATATGTTCGTGGTGACCGATTTGGACCAGACTTTACCAACCGCCGAGCTCATTCTTTACACCGCTTTCTCAAACGATGCGCTTCTCATCCTGTTCTCCGTCGGGCAACGCTTCTGACTATTTTCCTCGAGTCGTCCGACTGGAACGCTCATATGCGCCAGCATCCAAAGCGAGCAACTTCCATGTCAGAACAGAGTACTGGTGTGTTCGACAGCTTCGCTGACACCTTCGTGAACGCATTCTCCAAAGTCCACAAGCCAGACAAACGATTTATTGAAGTTCGAGAAAAGGCAGACAAGCTAGACGAGGATCTAGGGCACGTCTCACGAGTGATTGCAAGGATCGGCCGGCGAGAGGCAGATCTCGAGACAGACTATGGTGACCTTAGCACACAGTTCTTGAAACTAGAGATCATGGAGCCTGGAGTCGATTCCCAATTACATGCTTTCGCTCAGGGAGTGGAAGAGACTGCAAAAGGCATCCAAAACCTCAAAGAGCACACAGACCAGAATTATCTAGGAGGTCTACGAGATATGGAGGCATACACAGCATCGCTGAAAGCCTTGCTGAAATCAAGAGAGCAGAAACAATTGGACTACGAGGGCCTGACCGAGTATCTCAATAAAGCCTCTTATGACCGGGACAGCCTCGCAAGCAATAACTATTCTCAATCACCAGCTTCATTCATTAGATCAAAGATTGAAGACGCAAGGGGCGTAGACCACGAACAGGCTCGCCGCGAGCGGGTGCGCAAGCTCGAAATGCAGATCGAGCGGCTTGTGAAGGAGGTCGAAGATGCGAGGTTAGCATCTGAAGCCTACGATGGGGAAGTGGTTCGTGAGGTTCAGGATTTTGAGCGTATAAAAGCGGCAGAGTTCAAAGACTCGCTGGGTGCGTTAGCAGACAAACATGTGGAGTTTTATGGGGGCGTCATTGAGACTTGGGAGAGGTATTTAAAGGATATGGAGGCTGACGGGGGGGTTGCCGAGCTGTAGGTGACACTGCTTGCAATACAAAGTAATGTACATAATATTGAATTGGATGAATGGTATGAATCCAGCACGACTTGGTATAACAGACTTCGTTTGCACAGTCGAATGCCATGCTATGACTTTTCATTGCTCGAAAAAGAGGGTTACTGTAAAGTCTATCATTGGCAACAGAGTCGACGCCGATCTTTGACCATTTTGCCTTCCGGGGATTGACCATCAAAATGGAATGAGAAGGGTTTTGCTACACACGATCCATGGTTCAAGGACGGCAAGAAATCAGTCGATCGATGAAGCGCACGGATACACTCGCAAGCCATCATGCCTGACGAAGCTGAGCTCAGCGGTCACTGAAGCTCAAGCAAGAAGTCGCCTCAGGATTAAAAGGAAAAAAAAACCCCCTTTCAGACATCGTTGATAGTGTACCTTGGCGTGAAAGTGCACTTATGTCTTGGGTACGATTTCTCCGTACAGGTACTAAGCAGGTTGAAAGCCCTCGTATCTTTCGATTCTATAGACGGTGGTTATCTGACAAACAGCGGGCCAAAAAGTAAAGAAAGGTGATTTTTGGTGGCACAGGCTGCTGACTCTGAAAGGTGATTAATGCCGCTCGAAGCCACACGTAACGACTTGAAACACGTCGAAGAACATATACCACTTAGTCCTTTGCAGCAAGAATTGGATCAGATGGAGTTCTCTTTGTTCTCAATTCTGCACTTTCCACCAACCATAACGAATGCTCACGCAGGTGAAGGCCGTCCCTTTGTCTGCATTCAGCTTCAGTCCGCGTCATATCTGCGCCATGCAACGCGACCTTCCAATTCTTCAATCTGATATCGAATTCTGCTGCGAGATGGCAATGCGAGCGTTCTCTGCCCGTCCCATCTTAAGACGAGATAATTCTTCGTCTTCCCTTGAAGGCATGGAAATAGCATGGCCGCCACGATGCACTTCAGCTAGACCGGCGCTTCAATTAAAGGACCGTTCGAGATCCCTCGCAGTCAGCGAACAATCTTGGCCGTCGCAACCCGCAACACCAAGGACGCCTCGGCCAGAGTCAATCATCGATATGTATCTAGACAAGCCTTTACCACTAACGCCAGGCCGCTTGGCTCTTACTCCAAGTCCATTAGGTTCGGTCAGCAATATTTCATCCACGTCCTCTATGACATCTTTCAACAGCGACGAGAGTCCACGTGGCAGATCTCGATACTCGCGGCGTGAGGCACCGCTAGCAGCGAAGGATCCTTTCTTCACAGAATGGAAAGCACCAGTGTTTAAGCCGCCAAAGAAGAAGAGGACAACTCGGCAAGTAAAGAACAACACAATCGAGCTTTCGGAAGATAATGGTTGGGGCATTTTGCAAGAAGGACCGCGGGACAACAAATTTTACAGCATCATAGACCCAAGCCAACGATTTGAAGCAGAGGATTACCAGGCTTTGATTGGATCCATGACTCCGGATTCTCCAGTTTCGAAGTACAGCCCCTTCCGTCGTTCATTCTCAGACTACGAACCAAGTCCAATATCACGGCCCACGTCGCCTGACCCACCTTCACCAGACCTGACCTCTCCAAGCTTAATGTCACCACGGATCAGTGATGTACTCGATCAGCCAATGATGCCAGAGATCTTTCAATTTGATGAGGTTGATGAAGACGATATCATCAAAGACAGAGGGCCTTGGGAGGGGACAGCGTACCTGAAGCCAAATGGCGGGGCCGCGCACTCTTGTCTTGAGGAGAAGACCTACCCACAGCATGATCAAGAGCAGGAACATGCAGAAGAACGTTCATACTCGTTTGCGACAGATGACGATACGAATGTTGACGATCATGCTGTAGCTATGGCAGCGCTGGAAGGAGAGACAGGCCAACCAGATTCACTGGTTCCGGACGAGCCATTGCTTCGCCGGCCTTCTCGTTCGCCGCGATACAAACCTGATCATATATTCAGGACACCTGCCATTGGTATGACACCGTACCAATTGTATGGCGTCAAGGCTCTCGAGTCGCCGAAGAAACACTCCAAATCTCGGGATGGCAAAAAACACAAGCCTAGATTTGGAAGTCAGTCCTCTACGAACTCTGATTCAGCTATGAAGAGCGATCGTTTCAGGGGGAATCGGTTGATCGCGGCCTTTGATAATGGGGCGAAAAAACGGCAGAAGGAGGAGAAGAGGGAAGAGAGGAGGAGAAATGTCATTGCCCGCCAGGACAGGGCTGCGGAATCGAATCGATTTTGAGACGATGAGGAATATGAATAGTGGATAGTGTACGATATGAGCACTGAAGTGAATACATGGGTATGAACATGATAATCATTTCTACAGGTATGGTGATGAAGAGAAGAATGAAAGGCTTGATGAGGAATCTGCTTAGGAATCCCCGTCTGAGCCTAGGCTTCAGCCCTACGAATGACGAAAGTTCTGGACCAAAGCCTCACAATGTTTTGTCACAACCACGCAAACACACATACAGCTGAGCCATTGGACCTTGCACCAGTAGCTGATAAGTCTTACAAGCCCATCGATGCTTGTATAAATCAACAATAATTATCCCACCCTTCCATTGCTCTCCTTCAACCCCCCCTCTTCCAACTCACCAACCGCCATCCTGTTCTCTTCCACCTTCCGCCTTTTCACCACCCACCGTGCCTCTCTTCCACTCCCCATCCTAGCAGTCGCTTCCTTCCAAGCTTCCCCCCTCTGTTCGCCTCGCACACCCCTCACCACCACCAACCCTTCCACCTTCCGCACAAACTCGGCTCGTAAAATGCACCACAAAGTCGTAATAATCGGCTCCGGCCCCGCCGCCCACACGGCTGCTATCTACCTCTCACGGGCCGAACTTTCCCCAGTATTATACGAGGGCATGCTGGCGAACGGCATCGCGGCCGGCGGCCAACTAACCACCACCACCGACGTGGAAAACTACCCCGGTTTCCCCAAGGGCATTGGCGGGCAGGAACTCATGGACGAGATGCGCGCCCAAAGCGAGCGGTTTGGGACTAAGATCATCTCCGAGACAATAGAGCGTGTGGATCTGTCGAGCCGACCGTTCAAGCTATGGCAGGAATACGAAGAGGAGCCCATAACTGCAAGTGCGGTGATTATTGCCACCGGCGCAAGTGCGCGGAGATTAGGGTTGAAGGGGGAGGACAAGTATTGGCAGAATGGGATCAGTGCGTGCGCGGTGTGCGACGGGGCGGTGCCCATATTCAGAAAAAACCGCTCGTGGTGATTGGAGGGGGCGATTCGGCGGCTGAGGAGGCGATGTTCTTGGCAAAATATGGGAGCGAGGTTACCGTGCTGGTGAGGCGGGATGCGCTGAGGGCGAGCAAGACGATGGCGAAGCGATTGTTGGCACATCCGAAGGTGAAGGTGAGGTTCAATACTGTGGCGACAGAGGTCACGGGAGAGGAGAAGACGAGTGGGTTGATGACGGGGTTGAGGGTGAAGAATCCGAAGACGGGTCAGGAAGAGCATCTCGAGGCGAACGGGCTATTCTATGCTGTAGGGCACGACCCGGCGACGAAGATGTTTGAGGGGGTGATTGAAATGGATGAGGAAAAGTATATTCTGACCAAACCCGGGACGTCGTACACAAATATAGAAGGAGTCTTTGCTGCAGGTGATGTTCAGGACAAGAGGTACAGACAAGCTATTACGAGCGCTGGCAGTGGCTGTATAGCCGCTCTCGAGGCAGAAAAGTTTTTGGCAGAGCAGGAAAATGAGGAGGTCACCGGAGGCATAGAGGGTGAGAGTGAAGCAAGGAAACCGAAAGAGAACGGAGAAGCGCCTGAATATCGGAGCAATCCGTTGTTGTAGATTTTTGATAGACTGTACGATACAGGGGAGCGATAAAGATCAAATTTTGACTGTATGATTACATTTGCCTGTCCCAACGCTGCCCTCGAATAGTACAAATTTTTCTCGTCGCTCTCCCGTCGACAGCTCTATCCTACAATTGTAGACGATAAGTGGCGACTTCAAACGCCCTGAGCTCAACTCCAAAGCCATTATCGTACAAATGCAAGTCCCCTTCATCATCTTCTAGGGCATTAGTCATGAAGACTTTCTTCACGCCGAGGACCCTTTCAAGCTTAACAAAACCTCTTGCTCGTCCACCTAGACTCTCATATATTCTCAAGATGATGCTTCTGCCTTTCCGAATGGGCAGCTCCCCAAGGCTTACGTCTTCATCATCCTCGCCTCGTTTGATCGTATCGAGGATGAGTGCTTTCGAACCTTCTAAAACGATACTCGATAAAAATTTTGAACTTGAAGCCGATGGTTCGGTTGACCGCACGACAGGTCGTAATGTATGATTAAAATTACGAGCTGTACGGACAGTCCGATGATCCAACGGCCCCGAATGTGGGAGAATGGCGTACCGGATATGATGACGACCTATAACATTTGTTCAATACGGAGTTCGGTAACACTGGAGTCTTCAACGCTCCAATAAAAGTCAGACTTACCCATATCAGCATGTGCATCAGGAGCTTTCGGCGCCCTCAGCAATGACAATCTCATGACGTTGCCAGCGGTTGCGAACCCGTACTTGCTGTCATTCAGGATAGACACCCCGTACCCATTTTCGGAAAGGTCCGCCCATTTATGGCAAATTACCTCGAACTTGGCCATATCCCAGCTTGTGTTGTAATGAGTTGGCCTCCTAGTTATTCCAAATTGCGTCTCGTAAGAAGCTTCCGTGTTTACAATATCAACAGGGAATTCGACTTTGAGAGCCTTGTTTGTTTCACGCCACTCAACTTCACTTTCCATCTCGACATAGGAAGGCTGACCACTGAGGCTCGCAGCCAGACTAATAGTCGTCTTCACCCAACTGTGATCGCTAATCTTTGTCTCAGTCACCAGACTCACACGTAGCGGACTTTTCGATGCGATAGTACTAGAGCAGGATGGTAATTCCTGCCTTGTATCAAGATGATAGACCTCGATATCCCACGCCTCCCAGTGAAGAGGCTTATCGTCAAAAATGACGAGCTGATTTGCCTTGCTCCCTTTGGACACAATCTCACGTTTTTGATCTCGGTCCCAGAGAGAAGTGATGGTACCATTTACAACTTCCACTTCAAAGTCGGCATTCTGAAGCTTGAATACGCCGTCTTTCTCCTCCTTGATGGAAGCTGCTGCTTGTATAAACTCACGTTTTGCAGATTCCATGATAGTATCACCTCCAAAGACTGCATACTCACACCATGAATCCTTCAAGTTCTGAGGCATCTTAATGACCTCAGTCCGAGGCCATGGCAAAGTATTGACGCAACAGAGTGACTTCTCGCCGCCTGTTGAACTAAGTCCTAAGATGGCTAAAGCATTGTCTATGAGTTTCGGGCCTAGGTCGAAAATGTTTTCGTACAATCGATCACTGTCACGATAAGTCATCTCAATAGCGCTACCAGGAAGCACGTCGTGAAATTGCATTAGAAGTACATCTTCCCACATGTCATCAATCTGTCTCTTCGGGTATTTGTAGGATGAATCCTTGATTGTGGCCATAGTGGACAGATACTCTAGGTCATGCAGCATGATTTCTGACTTGCGATTGTTGAGTTTATTGTTCGCTTGAGTGGTGTAACAGCCCCGATGTAACTCAAGATAGAGTTCACCATACCACGTTACGAACTTAGTACCATTGGCAACAGCTTCTTCGAGTTTGTCGTAATAGTCTTCAACAGAATTGCCCAAGTGAACCCGTGGCAGCAAGCCAGTCTGATCGCTTATGCCACGGCAGCGTCGTAGCTTCTCCAGATGTTCCCAAGTTGGACCTCCTCCGCCATCACCCTTACCAAACACAAGTAGTGATCTGGGGTCCTGATCCATAGATTTGTTCTGAGTTTCGCTACGCTTGACATCACCAAAGTGAGCTTCAGCAGTATAGGTTTCGGCAGGTGCCATATGACAAAGTACTTGGCTGTTATCAAGCCCTACCCAATTGAATGTTGTGTGAGGAAAGTTGTTGATATTGTTCCAGCTCAATTTCTGGGTGAAGAATCGACTCATTCCAGCAAGACGCGTTAATTGGGGTATCTGGGTTGAGTATCCGAATGTATCAGGCAGCCAAAATGTTCTGCTCCTTTGGCCGAATCGGCTCTGGAAATAGCGTTGACCAACAAGAAATTGGCGGATCAGGGATTCACCCCCAGGAAGGTTCGTATCATGCTCTACCCAGCTGCCCCCAATGGGCTGAAATGTCCCTTCTTTGACCTTCTGCTTCACTCTATCGAACAGCTTTGGGTAAAGCTGTTCAAGCCACTTGAACTGCTGAGGTTGAGAACAGCAAAAACGATGCTCTGGATACCGGTCCAAAAGGTCGCATTGATTTGACCAGGATCTTGCGATCTTCCTTTTCGTCTCAGACCATGGCCACAGCCAGCTCGTGTCAATATGACAATAGCCGATTCCGTAGATTAGAGGATCGGCGGCTGACTGATAGACGTTTTCCGAGTTCACATCCCCAAAATAATCACTTGCCATACGGCGCCCTTCGAGTATGGATGCCTGACTGCCGCCCGACGTATAGAAATTGTTCATGATCTTTTGGCCGATCTGCATGGCCTTGTGTTCTTGCCACGAGTCCTCTGGAAACTCTCGCGCAGCATCGCCCAGTATCCAGAAGTCAAAAAAGAGCTTTCTGGCTTCAACATTGATGGCTTCGATTCGAGCTGTATGAAGGACATAGTAATTGTTAGGGTTTGGAGGTTGGTGGTTGGGTGCATTTCCAAACATCTCGTTGCACGCCATTTCAATGTAAATTGTATGATATTTGCCATCTCTGAAGCCATCAGGAAGTATCCATTGGGTACGGTCACCCAGGCCCGTAAGACCTTGAAGGGGCTCCCCTTCTTCATTCCAGATGAGACCTTCATTATTCGCGTCCCAGTGCAGCTCCAACAACTCCTTCGTTCTCAATGACTCCGGGACTCTCAACCGCACTTTGAACCAGTGAGTTGCCCAGCTAGGCCCAAAGCTGGCGCCAACGTGGGTAGGTTTGAAATCATGAGGTATGGCTTCTTCGAATGGTGGTCGTTCAAGGTTAGGGGCTGACCATACGGACAGCTTGATATCGTCTTCATCGCACGCTATGCCTTCATAGAATTTCGAGCGCAGGTTTTGAGAAGCGTAGACCCCATTGTCAATGAACTGATCTAGGCGGTTCTTGTAGATACCATGTAGCTGCTGCCCAACGGGACCCGTCGTTCGCTGGGGCAGATGCGCATGTGCGACAGTCGAATAAGCGTCTCCACCCATTATTCACTGCCCGTAGAGTCCAATTGCAGAAGGAGTAGTCGTTTGCACCTGTTGCACTTATAACAAGTTTCGCCATTGCGGCCTGCGGCGACGCTGATTGGCTCGGGGGAAATATTATCCGCCACCGGGCTTCTTGGTAGCAAGTGCAGAACCCATACCATACTAAGGTAACTACATCTTGACTTTATTCGCGCCTCTGTTCCATCTCCTCATTGACGCGTCATGAAGCTCATGCCGTTGACGGAAATACTATCGAGATCTTCCGTTTGATTAGTCTTTCTCACTATTCATCGCAGTGATGTGACCTGATATTGAGGCATCCACGTTTCAGGGGGACGAGGAGAACAATATGAAGGCGGATCTCGATTATAGCTACACGATGTCTCTGATGCTTGATATTGTTCCCCATTTCATGACAGTACCATGCTCTGCTGTTCACTATAGCCATACTCATACTTCACTCTCTTCTCTCCGCTTCCTTCTCTACCTTTCTTTCTGGGCCCTGAGTTGCTCGATTCTTGAAAGGATCTCTGAGATTCCACGTTGTCCGCCTTCAACACCTGTGAACTTTCGAGAGTCATTCCTGCTACAAGATAGCTCTCTTCAACGATACAATCTTCTCCAATACAAATACTTTTATTCCCCAGTCAGTTCCTGAGAACAAAGTGACTCCACGTTCCTTGATCCTCACCATCTCTCTCTGCCTATACAAACCACTCTCATACTCTAGTTTTTCTTAAACAGGTCCACCATTGGCTTCAAGTTGACTTCTTCAAAGTCTTTCCGGCACTCAGACAATCAATATCAACAATGGAGACGGATTCTACAATCGACTATTTTGAGCAAACCATCATCTTCAACTCACCCGACGGCCCAGTCAACGTTACACTCCCGATCCTTGACCAGCAATATCTTTACAACCTTCAGATATGCATCAACTATGGATCACAAATTGGAGCTTCAATCGCGATACTCATAGCACTCCTTCTGTTAAGCAAGCCCGACAGACGCCTCTCCGCCATCATGATCCTTAACACCTGCTCATTGATCTTCAACATAATTCGTAACATACTCCAGTGTCTCTTCTTCACTGGTCCTTATGGAGAGTTGTATGCACAATTCACGGGAGACTTCAGTCACGTCGGCAATCAGCAGCTTGCTATCTCAGTCACGGCTACAGTCTTCACATCACTATTGCAAGTTTGCGTAGAAGCATCACTCTACATGCAAGCTCGCGTTGTCTGTATTACTCTCCATGAGGTCCACAAGCGCGTCGTCCTATCCATCTCCGCGTTCGTTGCCTCCATAGCTATTGGGCTTCGATTTGCATACATGGTGAAAAACGACATCAGCATTATGGAAGAAGCCAGCTCGGGCGAGCTGATTCCGCTAGGACATGCAGTGAATATCACTACTAGCATTAGCATCATCTGGTTCTCCGCTGTCTTTGTCACAAAGCTAGCGTTTGCTCTTCACCAGCGAAAGAAAATGGGCATCAAACAATTCGGACATATGCAGATTCTGCTGATCATGGGCTGTCAAACACTCATAGTTCCTGGTACGTCTCAGCTTCATCATACGGCCAGTAAATCTAACACCGACGTAGTTGTCTTCTCAATTCTTCAATACTTCGCCTTTCCTGCTGCTTCGTCGAACGCATTGACCGCATGCGCAGTATTCCTGCCTCTATCATCTCTTTGGGCCTCCGCGTCTGTCAACAGCAATTCGAGAGGAAATCGCATCTCCATTTCAGATTTTCCACTTGGCTCCAGAAGCACAAAGACCGGCTACAAAGCCAAGCCGGATCCACTGGAGTCCACACACACTACGACTACCATTAGATTTAGTGGCAGCACGTCTCAACTATACAGTCCGAAGGACTCCAGCACGCAACAGGTTCAAGACGACCTTGAGAAGCAAGGTTTGACCGACACTGCGCACTTCATTTCTGGCAAAGGGTGAAGGAGAGAGAGACAAGCGGCAGCTAGGTCGTCTATAAGACCAAGTGAGGAGGGGTAATGAGTGGGCTGTGGCATTCTTTCGAGTACGTTACTAGCATGTAGCAGGTATTGCTTCCGCAACTATTCTATCTTTACAGACGAGACCATCTCATAGCCTAAGAGACTTGTGCATCCAAGTTCCTCCAGAGAAGGGGTTCCCATCCACCGGTAGACTCGAAATTGCTGATTGTCCGGGCTTCTGCGGTCCATTCGGAGTGGACGCGCTCCAAGGGGGAGATGATTGGCATAGCTCCACAAAATCAAGCTGCCTGCAGACCTTGGTAGCAAAGGATTTGCTTCGGCGATATGAAGGGGTGCACAATATCTCGGCAGGATTCAACACTCGTACCCGCATGTGGACCGTGCCATCAGGGCTGTCTAGCGTGCTGCTTGGTTAGATTGATCTTCCTCCATGGCAGACAAATGGGCCAATGATCGTCCTTTGTCCCTCTTTGTTTCTCTGGTACAAGCCAATCTCTCGTAATCGAGGGTCTTGTCTATCGTTCTTGACGTCTATGATAGTGAGCACTCCGCCACTAAATGACCTCTTGACGGGTGGAACTAGAACTCGAACTCGAACTAGAGGACCAGTGGCTGAGCCTTCCATCTTCGCTTAGGTATTGCTGCGGCGTTTGACTTGCATTATTGTCCTAGCGGTACGAAGCGGTGCTTGAAATTCGGGGAGATGCGTCTCCCTCTCACAGCCCAGCACGGCAAACATGTTACAAGTTGTCGTGAACATGTGGGGTAGTGATGTACCGGGGTCTTCCGTGTGTGATTGGATCGCTCCCGGGCAGTCCCAGGCCCCAAAGCAGGGATTGGTGGCGGAGTCTGCCTGTCAGGTCCCTCCCTACTCCCCCTACTCCCCCCCTTGGCCCCCCTCCCGGCCGCCGATCACTGGAGACTCGTCAGGGGATCATCCTCTGGTTGAAAGGCTTAATGCTTCTATTTTCATCCTCCCTCCAATTCGTACTTCTTCGTCAGGAACAGGCCCATGAGCCACTTGAGTGCATAAATCTTCTTTTCTCCCCATCGCCAGTCTCTAACGAAGCCTTCTTCCGACTTGAAACATCCCCTACAGGAATGTGCTTGCGGCGTCATCCCTCTTTTGTACGACGCACCTAATTCTCCCCCCTCCCCCCACTCCAGCTTTGCATCCGAGTGATGCGCCTCTACATATTTAATTGTTCGGAAATTTGAGGCCAGGTTATGCATATCTTTCTTTCAATGAGCGCCATATTAGCATAAAAACCTCCTCGAGATCACCTTGGCCTGAGCGTTTCCTTGACGAGTCGCTGCGCTGGCAGCGACAGATAATTTGCTTTGCTGGTCAATTGCACGATGCGCCTTGCCCAAAGGAGGAGCCTGTTGTCAACTTGAAGGCTAGAGGGGATCTGTTGCTTTGGTGAACCATGGCCTTGTCAGGTACCGTCATTCATCAACCTGACCCACCTCCGTCGTTCAACCATCACACAATCGACGCCGACGGCCTTCCCACCGTCCATGAGCTTCCTCATTACAAGACTAACTATGAGATTGACAATCGTTCCGACCCTCCCTCTCTCAGTATGAGGGGACGGACTAGCTCGAGGGATGCAAGCATCAACAGTTCAATAGGTCGAAGCTATATGGAGAAAGAAACGGCAGCTGTCCCACCTCCAGTCCCATATACCAGACATTTGCGTTCTCCCTCAGACGCACCCTCGAGCAAGTTGAAAAAGGCTGATCGCCGAAGAACTGTCGCGGCCCAATATGATGACCTAAATGGGGCGGAGAGGCCGAAGCGATCAGGATTGAGGCAGTCAATCCGGCGAATGTTCACGCGTAAATCTGCCAAAGGTCGTATCAGCATGCCTACAGGCCCTCTCTATAGACAGCATGTAAGTAGTGGTGCAAATTATGTGTGGACATGTAACGGCTCACCATTTACTCATCTAGAATCCAGAGGAATTCATGACGTCTGCTACAGACCTTGAAAACCAGCAGAGCACCAAAACGGAGCGATCTGCCTCCTTGCCCACCAATGCCTTCTTGCGCTCAAGTGGCCTTAGTTCTCACCCTCCATTCCAACCCCAGGCTATTCAGCTCGAGGACGAGCCTCCTTTGCCCCACAATCTAGAGCGCAACCTGTCCGAGAAGCCAATTAGGCCACACAGAGCCAGTGTACCGAGTGAGACATTCAACAAAGACGAGATGCAGGCTGTAACAGAGGCCATGTCTGGTATTGGCTTGCCAATCAATCAGGCGCAGAATACGGGAGCTCGAGACATTGGATACGCTGTGACGAACGATAGCCAGCCAAAGCGAAGGTCGAGGTCAGCTGGTGCTTCTGGAGAGCGAGGCCAATTGATGGAGCCAATCCAGTGGAGGCACCATCGAACAAAAAGCGACGAGGGAATATACTCCAGAGACGGCGCGGATTTTGCATCCTTCGTCAAAAGAAACGACGATCTAGAAATGCTCGATTCAGGGCGCTCTGAGATTGTGGACGGAAGTATAGAGGCTAAAGAGGGGGAGCAATTCAATTTCGAGTTGCAAGAGGACGGAATTCAAGACCAGGAGCGCATCGGAGTGGAGGAGCGACTCGTGACTCTGGAAATAAAGTTGATGGATCTTGAGTACGCTCTATCGAAACTACAAGTCGGCTCGGCACTTTCATCGAGACGTCACTCACGCTCCGAGCCCGTAGGCCAAAGATCCGTCGAAAGCTATCGCTCATCTAATGTTCCGTCTATACCCAATACATCTCCTACATTGAACCACAACCTGTCCCGGTTCTCTGCTCACCAATCCTCTTCAGAGAGCGCCAGTGTACGGAAAGACCGACCGACGAGCGTAGCCGGAACACTGAGACCTGGTCATCATCCTCTTCCAAATTCTTTCAGCAAACCCCAAGCCGACTCAGACAACCGTATGTCGTTTTCAGGGCTCACGGTCGAGCACTATAGCACCTTAGTGACACTTCTTCGCAACGAACAGTCTGCGCGCATACGTTTAGAAGAGCAAGTGACCGAACTGCAACAGAAGATCGAGAAGTTACAACCTGCTTCATTTTCATATCACCACAGCTCACATGCATCCCACACACATACGCTCTCCAATCAAAGCCACCGACTCGGAACCATGAACGCAGACGGGCGACGAGGAGGTAAGTATTATGTTTCAAGGCCGAGGAGCAGCAGCTACAGCACCAATGAAACAGACACCGAGGATGAAAACTATCATGATGCCTATGTGACGCCTTCCAATGTTACGCCTGTAGAGAGGGGCGAATATGAAGGCGCAAATTATAACGGCGAACCCTTTTAACGAATACCCGTGAGGTTTGAATTCTCATTGCGAAAGGTGCGGGACACCTCTGTACATCTCATCCGATACATTATGCTCTAGTGCTTGAGCAAAGGCGGTCTGACTGAGCAATAACGCGAGCGTGGAGTTGTTGGAAATCCTGTTTCGCATCTTAACGAAAAATGCCCTTTTGCCGAGATTGTGGTGGAAATGAAGAGAATTACGGAGGTCATACGAAGTATAGGATATGGAGAATGAGAAAATACGAATAACGAAAGGCCTGAGTTGAAATGATTGTTGGCATACAAAGTTCTTTTCAGAGGGAATCAATGTATAAATAATGATTGGAGGACATCGTGCAAACACTATTGTAGTGAACTATGGGACGATTGACAGAAACTTCCTCTTCTTGCATACTGGACTTCGAGATCCTTCGTACTCCTTATCACGATCTTCAGTCCCTGCAGATAACACAAGTTTCGTTTCGGAATTGATATCAAACCTCTTCGGTAATGCCTTGGCTGCGCTATATAACAGCGTCATAAGCCCCATGCAAAGTATTGCGGTTGATAGTATGATACTTTTCAAGTGCGCATATGGCGCACGCGACGTTGAGTAGGCTGATTCCAGCTCTATCCCGTGTAGGACGATCGGTACCTCAACACAATCTTCTCGCCCCACTTGCACGAAGGCTGAGGCACTAGATGTGCTTTCGAAAGTGCATTCTTGGTAATAATTTGAGTTTGTCGAGCGATCACCATCTACTCACATGGTACACAATGCACGACGAACCACTCAAGGTGCAATTGACCTATACTAAAAGCATTCCCGTTCGAGTTGCAGCCTGGGAATAAGCACTTGGCTACATAGTTGTTGAACGAGTAGATACTGTATTACCCCGGTCCAATCTTCGGCCTGCACAACCAAGTTGTTAGCAATGATCCTCACCTAAACAACCACCCTGCAAACCCGGAAGGACTGAGAAACATACATATCATGATGCTCACTAAGATTACTCAGATATCTATTCAGCTCCTCGACGCGCTCTTTGTGCGTCTTCGTGCCTTCTCTTTTCAGCCGATCATTGAGTCTCTTCCTCCTAATTTCCTCATGCCTTATCTCGGCTTCCGTTTTTCCTGAGCGAAGGCGTTCGATTTCTTCCGGAACGGTTCTCGCAACATCATCTTGATCCTCGGATGGTCTCTCGTGGCTGTGCTCTCGCTCTGCTTCGGTGTCTTGCCTTTGGTTTTTGGCTGCTTGAAGCTGTGATTCTGAGGCTGTGCTGGACTCAGGTGCAGAAGGCTTTGGTCTCTTCTTCTTATGTTTATGTATTTTGGAGGATAGATTGACGCCTTTGAGCTTCAGAGCGCCGGATGAGACGGCTGAGTAGTCCTCTGCAGGCATGTTGGGCTAAGGTAGAATCCGTGCAAGCTTGCTAGAGTTGTTCGAGAAGTCGATATATTACTACGCTAACTTTTTTCAGTAAATTACGGACGCGTATGATGCGTCTCCGTAGACGCGATTGCTTTACCTTGGCATAAATTCCAGGGATTTTCTGACAATGCTATGAGAACCTCTCGTGTCGCAAAAGACACCTCGAAAGTGGTATCTTCGTTATCCACAGCTGATTATGTGCCAAGGAGGCAAACTCGCGCTGTTGCGGCCAGGCTGCGAGTATTCTCAGCGGTGAAAGACGAGGCTGGCGTGGAAGTCTCAAATAATGTGCTCGACATAGAAGATTCGACAATTCACGCAGCTACTTCACGAAAACGGAAGAGGGCACATACCGGCCCGCCGACTACCGCTGCGACTTCTACCATCACCACGACTCGGAGCTCTCCGCGCAAAAGTGGCTTGAAAGAAGGAAATGACAGCGCAAACAACAGCAGGAAAGCTAGACGGCAACCAGCAAAGCGCATCACAGGTCAGGATGGCGAAGTCAAGATCTCACCTCCCAGTCAATGGGAAGAAATATATGAGGCAGTGCGCGAGATGCGTAAGGAGAAGCTAGCCCCTGTCGATACGATGGGATGTGAAACCCTCGCCCAAGAAGAGCTGTCTGCGAAAGACCAGCGTTTTCAAACACTCATTGCTTTGATGCTAAGCTCACAAACCAAGGACACGACCAATGCGATTGGTAAGTCATGATTTCGGGCTTCCGATATCCTTTAGAAAAATGAGGTCGAGTATGGAGAAACAGTCTTGGGAGCGGCAAACTCAGGCGTGCATGTTCTAGTCCTCTCTCAGCTTGAGAAGGCATTGCTGACTCAGAGTCCTTCATAGCTATGCGGAGGTTACAAACCGAATTACCTGCACCAGGACTGACTTTACAAAACATTCTCAAAGTCGATCCCGTAAAACTCAACGAAATGATCTACGTTGTTGGTTTCCACAACACCAAAACTAAACACATCAAACTTGCCGCCGAAATTCTTCGCGATCAGTTCAAGGGTGACATTCCCGATACTATTGAAGGGCTGATGAGTCTCCCCGGCGTCGGCCCCAAGATGGGATACCTTTGCATGTCAGCGGCGTGGGGGAAGACGATTGGTATAGGCGTCGATGTACATGTGCATAGAATCACTAATCTATGGAGATGGCATAAGACCAAAGGGCCGGAGGAGACAAGGGCGATGTTGGAGGGATGGCTGCCAAGGGAGAGATGGCATGAGATCAATCATCTTTTGGTCGGGTTTGGCCAGACAGTCTGTACGCCGGTGGGGAGACGGTGTGGAGAGTGTACGCTTAGTCAGAGGGGCCTCTGCCCTAGCGCGGTTGTTGTGAGGAAGGAGGTGAAGAAAAAGCGGAAGGTCGACATAGATGTGGATGAGAAAGAAGGGATTCTGAAACACGAGAGCAAAGTCGAAGTGGCAGTCAAAGAAGAGGATATCCGGACTGACTGAAAAGGATCTCAGATATAATTACCTGAAATCTATTCCTCGGCGAGTAAAATCAGTATCTTCGCATTTCGCCGTAGATCTTATTAGCTACAGTGACGAAAGCTGAGAGGCATCTTTCGATATGAGCTTTTGCAAAACCGGTTTCCCAACGGCCAAATTTTGGAAGTCTAACACTTCCAAATCTGTGAATTGCTGCGAACATCAGCTTTCAAAATATGACTTTATGCAAAAGTCTCTATTAGATTTTCACAAATTTTATGTCTAACTAAACTTAAGAAGTTTCTTTATTTTAAGACTTTTCAACATTTCATAACCTTGAGAGATACTATTTCTCTTGCGTAATAAAGACCACATAATGTTAGCCGCGTTTCGAGGCCATCTTGCCCGCCGAAGGAATGGTTTGTTGTTGACTTGTTTGATCTTTTTACCTATTGGAAACCCCCTCCCCTGGAGAGACCCACTTCGCTGTTCATCCCTTTACCGCTTATCCTTATACAAGAGAGCAAAATAGGGGGGGGATTCCCCACGGTTTACACTTGCAGATTTCTTCATTCTTTGTTCTGCAAAACTTCCAACGCTCCAATTCAATATTTCCTTCTTGAATCCTCGATAGTTCATGAAAAGGCGCTCAAACAAAGCAACAAGTGCCTTTCGGGCTTATCACTCTTTTGGATTTTGCGGGGCGACTAACTCGAAAAACGATGCAAATATCATCTTTTCTACATCGATTCTTTTACATCGATTTGCATTGATACTTCCTGAATGAACAGGTAATCTCACATCGTATAGTCTACCTTTGTCAAACGTCAAATTCTTGGGCGATACTCAGGTCTATCCAGCCACTAGCTATATCCACTGATTGGTCAACACAGGGAGTTTAAGACAGCAACCAGGTCTTAGGCAAGTTGGCTAATCGTTCGAAAAGTAAGATATCTGTTGAAGATACAGGTATCAAGTGGAGGATACGGAGATGGCTAGCATTTATTCACAAAAACCACAAAGTCAGAGACGAAAGAGAAAATTCACATCGTACTTTAGTCACGTCGGAAAAGGGGCTCCATCCGTGGATGAGTTCTGAAAATCATGAAAAGCGCAATGGTTCACGAGCGACGCTTTCTTTCATAAGGCGGGCGCCAGGCCCCTGACTTACTTTGTCTCCGTGTCGACCTGAATCCTGGAAGTCGATAGATCGAAAGATTATGCTTTTAATTTCTAATATGCAGCACCAAGAAGGCTTAGGAAAATATTCTTCCAGAGAATGTGAAAAATAAGTAGACATTGTGCAGTCAGTCGGAGATCAAGATCTTATCTTAAATCAGAACATTTCTGGGGTTCTAGCCAGCTGGTTTTACTGAAATGAAAGCCAAGCTATAGAATCTTCAGCTTAGTCTCAGCTCCAATCTGTACGTGTTAATGGGGGTATTGGTTTCGACGTCGCGGGCATGGCCTTAGGCAGTAATTTAAGGTTCGGGTAGTATTTTATCTGAAGTAGCGTCATCAGCCTTGGCGGCCTGTTCTGTAGAAGTTGATTCAATTTTGCCCTTCGTCTTGCTTGACATCACTACAAAGAGAGGTACGATTCGAAACATTCATCAAACTTCTTTGGATAGCTCAGCTGACCTTACAGGCTCCGACGCTTGAAGAGTCCCTCGTCAAATCATACTGTCTACTTCTTGCAGGATACTCGCACCGCTTGGTGCCCCGTTCCTCCAAGATGGCGGACCCAAACAATATCTCCCAGTACAAATATGTCAACATGTCCAACTTGGTCCTGCAACATGACAAGAGGTTCTCGACTCGCAGGACTGATGAGACGACTGGGGACCCAGAGTCGCTTGCTGGGCGCATCAATATACTGGACATGGGCTCTCGGGATGCTCGAGAGAGCGTGCCGAAACCAATCAAGAAGACTGCAGGTCTGAAAGATATAGAACGAGGCGATATCCGTGATGGCGAAGATGTTCTCGAAAGGGAGCAGAGGAAACGAAAACGTGGCGAACCGCAACAGATGCGTGGAGCTGGTATCCTTTCAGAAGCCGACGCACTCGTAGAAGGGCTGAAATATCGTCCGAAGACACCAGCGACGCGACAGATTTACGACCTTATATTGACCATCACGACCAGCCATCTTGGAGATGTTCCCCATGAAGTTGGGAGGAGCGCCGCAGATGCCATACTTGAGTATCTCAAGGATGAGAATATGAAAGACTATGACAAGAAAAAAGAGGTTGATGACTTATTAGGAGTAACTATGGGGCCGAAAGAGTTTAATGAATTAATCAATCTGAGCAAGAAAATAACAGACTATGACCAAGAGGATGATGCTAAAGCCGATGGCGGTGACGGTGGGGGGCAAGATGCCGAGCTAGATGAGAGGCAGGGTGTAGCAGTCGATTTTGACGATGAAGACGACGAGGATGCGGACCATGCTCAGACGTTTGAGGTCAGAGATGGAGATGATTCTTCAGAGGATGATGAAGAACAACAAGACGATATGGTTGGGGAGCGCACCGTTACCACCGGCAACAAGAGTGATGGCCTTGAGGAGATAGGCGACAATGAAGAAATGGTCATCAATGGCGACGTCAATGCAGTTGGTTCAACACGGGCTCCAGCAGAAGCCCTGAAAGAGATTTCGACTCGAGTCATTGATGCCTACTGGGTTCAGCGTCAAATAGGTACTATCTATACTGACGCACACGATCAGCAGCAAAAGGCTGCTCATGCTTTGCAAATTTTGTCAGGCACCACCGCGGAGGGCGAAGAGATTCCTCTGAGAGACATTGAAAATGACATGATGGCACTCTTCGACTATGAGAATCATGATCTGGTCGTGAAATTCATTGAGAATCGTGACAAGATCGTTTGGGTCACCAAGTGGCGGAGAGCAGCTGAAGATCCCAAGGCTCAAGCATTGGTTGAGCGTGACATGATTGCACATGGACACCGTGATCTAGTAGATGAAGTGCAGGGTCGTTATGAGCCAGACATAAACACGACATCTAAGAGCAGCAAGAAGATGAAGTTAGACCATCTCATGGATATTGATGTTCCGAAAGGTGCTCCAGAAGAGGTTAGACAAACCGCAAAGGAAGGTGGGCTGGCAGGAGGCCTTCAGCCTAAACGCTTGATCAACTTGGAAAACCTCGTCTTTGATCAAGGCAATCATCTTATGACAAATCCGAATGTTAAACTACCTCAGGGATCTACAAAACGAACTTTCAAAGGTTACGAAGAAATCCATGTTCCTGCGCCGAAGCGTCGTGGAGAAGCCGGCGAGCGGAACATGCCAACATCAGATCTTCCTGATTGGGCACAGGTCGGATTTGGAAGCTCGAAGGAACTCAACCGGATTCAGACGAAATGCTTCCCTTCCGCATTCAAAGACGACGGAAATATGCTGATATGCGCCCCCACCGGCTCGGGGAAAACAAATGTTGCCATGCTTACTATCCTCCGAGAAATTGGCAATCACCGGAACCACGAGACTGGAGAAATTAGGCTAGACGACTTCAAAATTGTCTATATCGCTCCTCTAAAGGCTCTAGTGCAAGAGCAGGTAGGGAACTTTGGCAAAAGGCTGGAATCCTACGGCGTGAGAGTGTCTGAACTCACAGGCGACAGGCAACTCACTAAGCAACAAATCGCGGACACTCAGATCATTGTCACGACGCCAGAAAAATGGGATGTTATTACTCGCAAGGCAACGGACACAAGCTATACAAATTTGGTCAGACTCATTATCATTGACGAGATTCATCTTTTACATGACGATCGAGGTCCTGTTTTGGAAAGCATTGTAAGTAGAACTGTTCGAAAAATCGAACAGACTGGCGATCCTGTCCGCCTGATTGGTCTCTCCGCTACGCTTCCAAACTATAAGGACGTTGCAAGCTTCCTCCGCGTTGATCCCGCCAATGGTCTTTTCCATTTCGATGGCTCATACCGGCCTTGTCCATTACGTCAAGAATTCATTGGTGTCACCGACAAGAAAGCTATCAAACAGCTTAAGACCATGAATGATGTCTGTTACACTAAAGTCATGGATCAGGTAGGGACTCAAAACCACCAAATGCTCATATTTGTACACTCAAGAAAAGAGACAGCAAAGACTGCTAAGTACATCAGAGACAAAGCATTTGAAATGGAAACAATTGGTCAAATACTTCGTAGTGATGCAGCGAGCAGAGAAGTGTTGCAAGAAGAGGCATCTCAAATCGTGGACAAAGATCTAAAGGACCTTATGCCTTACGGCTTTGGTATCCATCATGCTGGGATGAGTCGGGCTGATCGGAGCTCTGTCGAAGACCTATTTGCTGAGAAAATGCTGCAAGTACTAGTTTGCACGGCAACCTTGGCGTGGGGTGTGAACTTGCCAGCGCACACGGTCATAATTAAAGGTACCCAGATCTATTCTCCTGAGAAAGGTAGCTGGGTCGAGCTCAGTCCACAAGATGTCCTACAAATGCTTGGTCGTGCTGGTCGGCCTCAGTACGATACCATGGGCGAAGGCATCGTCATTACTACCCAGAGCGAGATGCAGTACTATCTTTCTTTGATGAACCAGCAACTACCGATTGAGAGCCAATTCGTCAGTAAATTAGCCGACAATTTAAATGCCGAGATCGTATTGGGTAGTGTGAGGAGCAGGGATGATGCAGTGGAATGGCTAGGATATACGTACCTCTTTGTTCGCATGCTGCGCTCACCGGGTCTTTACTCGGTCGGAGCTGAATACGAAGGCGACGATGCCTTGGAGCAGAAACGCGTCGATCTTGTACACTCTGCTGCAACCGTTTTGGAAAAATCAAGCCTGATCAAATACGACAAGAAATCCGGCAAGCTTCAGTCAACGGAGCTCGGGCGTATTGCGTCACATTACTATATTACCCATCATTCGATGTTCACCTACAATCATCATATTCAGCCAACGATCAGCACGATTGAGCTATTTCGAATCTTTGCTCTTAGCGAAGAGTTCAAATACATTCCTGTCCGACAGGACGAGAAACTTGAGCTTGCGAAACTTCTGGGTAGGGTTCCAATACCTGTCAAGGAGAATATCGAAGAGCCTCACGCAAAGATCAATGTTCTCCTACAAGCCTTCATCTCGAGATTGAAACTTGATGGTCTAGCTTTGATGGCAGACCTGGTATATGTCACCCAGTCTGCCGGCCGAATTTTGCGGGCTATCTTCGAGATATGTTTGAAAAAGGGTTGGTCGTCTGTAGCAAAGATCGCCTTAGATCTTTGTAAGATGGCTGAAAAGCGCATGTGGCCAACAATGACACCGTTGCGACAATTTCATGCTTGTCCTCGGGAGGTTGTCTCGAAGGCTGAGAAAATCGACGTTCCGTGGTCTGCGTATCTCGATCTTGATCCTCCCCGCATGGGTGAGCTGCTTGGGATGCCAAAGCAGGGAAAGACTGTGTGCGGCTTGGTCCAGAAATTTCCCAGGCTTGACGTGCAGGCTCAAGTGCAGCCAATAACACGGACAATGCTACGCATTGAGTTGACAATCACTCCTAATTTTCAGTGGGATGATACTATACACGGTACAGCAGAGAGTTTCTGGATTCTCGTGGAGGACTGTGACGGGGAAGCAATACTATTCCATGACCAATTTCTTCTACGCAAAGAGTACGCTACGTCGGAGATGAATGAGCACTTAATCGAGTTCACAGTACCTGTCACGGAACCAATGCCTCCAAATCACTTCATCACTGTTCTATCAGACCGATGGCTGCAGTCGGAGACGAAGGTAGCTGTCTCATTCGAGAAGCTCATACTACCAGAAAAGTTCCCAGCCCATACGCAGCTCCTAGATCTTCAGCCAGTGTTGGTCGCCGCGCTCAAGCGTGACGACTTCAAAACCTTATACCCTGATTACAGTCAATTCAACAAATTTCAGACTCAAGTTTACAATTCTCTTTTCGCTTCGAACGATAATGTCCTCGTAGGGGCACCAACAGGATCTGGCAAAACAGTGTGCGCTGAATTTGCCATTCTCCGACATTGGTCCAGCCCAACGAAAGGTCGCGCTGTCTACATTGCCCCGTTCCAGGAGCTTGTAGACCAGCGGTTTGAAGATTGGCAGGAGAGACTCAGTTCTATCGCCGGGGGCAAGCAAGTTGTGAAACTCACCGGAGAGACAACGGCAGATCTTAAGATACTGGAGAAGGGCGACCTGATCCTAGCCACGCCTGCGCAATGGGACGTTCTTTCCCGCCAATGGCAACGCCGAAAGAATGTTCAGAGCGTCCAGCTGTTCATTGCGGATGAGCTCCATATGTTAGGTGGTCAAGGCGGCTTCATTTATGAAATCATCGTATCAAGAATGCACTACGTCGCACTCCAGACAGAAAGCAACATGCGTATAGTTGGCTTGAGTGTTTCGCTGTCCAACGCTCGAGACATAGGGGAATGGATCGGAGCTACCAGGCACACAATCTACAACTTTAGCCCCCACGTTCGGCCTATTCCACTCGAACTGCACATTCAATCATATTCCATCCCTCATTTCCCTTCGCTAATGCTAGCGATGGCTAAGCCGACCTATGCTTCAATCCTGCAGCTTTCTGCTGATAAGCCAGCCCTAGTATTTGTTCCCAGTCGGAAACAAACAAGAACAACGGCATTGGATCTCGTCGCAGCTTGCATCGCCGAGGAAGATGAAGATCGCTTTCTTCACACTACTGTCGAGGAGATAGAACCTCTATTACAACGAGTAAATGAAACAGCGCTGAGAGAGTCTATCAAACATGGGATCGGGTATTTTCACGAAGCTCTCAGCCTCGGGGACAAAAGAATTGTTTCTCGTTTATACGCAGTAGGTGCCTTACAGGTCTTGATTGCTTCTAGAGACGTTTGCTGGGAGTTGGACTGCACAGCACATCTTGTTATCGTAATGGGTACTCAATTTTACGAAGGGCGGGAGCATCGATATATTGACTACCCGATCAGCGAGGTTCTTCAGATGTTCGGCAAAGCGACTCGAATAATTAACGATAAATCCTGCAAAGGAGTGCTTATGGTACCAGCCGTTAAGCGTGACTATTACAGGAAATTTTTGAATGAGGCTTTGCCAGTTGAGAGTCATCTCCAGGTGTACATGCATGACGCATTTGTCTCGGAAATTAGCACAAAGATCATAGCATCCACACAGGATGCCGTCGATTGGGCTACATATACATACTTCTATCGCAGACTGCTTGCAAACCCCAGCTTCTATGGCCTCGTTGACACTTCACATGAGGGCCTTAGCACGCACCTCTCAGAACTTGTGGAAAACACCCTCAAGGACCTGTCTGAGGCGAAAATAATTGAGCTTGATGAGGAAGACGACACAGTAACGCCATTGAATGCGGCAATGATCGCAGCATACTACAATATCTCCTTCATAACAATGCAGACTTTCCTTCTCTCGCTGACAGGCCGCACGAAGCTCAAAGGTATTTTGGAGATCGTCACGTCAGCAACCGAATTCGAGTCTATCCAGATAAGACGGCATGAGGAAAACATTCTGCGTCGGATTTACGATCGAGTGCCTGTGAAGATGGCACAGCCGGCATATGAGTCCCCACATTTCAAGGCGTTCGTCCTCCTTCAAGCTCATTTTTCGCGAATGCAGCTCCCCGCAGACCTTGCTAAGGATCAAGAGACGATTCTATCCAAAGTTCTCAACCTTCTGAGCGGCTGTGTCGACGTTCTGTCCTCTGAGGGTCACCTGAACGCTATGAATGCGATGGAATTATCGCAGATGGTTGTACAAGCAATGTGGGACCGCGACAGTCCACTGAAGCAAATCCCCCACTTCGAACCTAGTGTTATCGAAGCGGCCAAAAAATTGGGTGCAACGGATGTCTTTGAGTTTATAGATCTTATGGACCCTGACAACAAGGATTACGAGAACAAAGTCAAGCGCTTGGATCTTGATGATAGGCAGCTGGCGCAAGCAGCCAACTTCACCAATGACAAATACCCGAGTGTAGAGATCGACTTCACAGTTGCAGACCCAAGCGAAATTGCTACGAATAGCCCTGCATACCTTTCGATACAGATAACACGTGAGATGGAAGAGGATGAAGAACCTGACACGCGAGTACACGCCCCATTCTACCCGGCAACGAAAATGGAGAGCTGGTGGCTTGTGGTCGGCGAAGCGAGCTCGAAGAACCTTCTCGCGATCAAGAGAATCACGATTGGAAGGAAGCTGGATCTCAAGCTCGAATTCATTCCGCAGAAGGTTGGAGAGCAGGAGCTCACGCTTTATCTTATGTGTGACAGCTACGTTGGCGTAGACCAAGATCCTACATTCAAAATCACAGCTGCGGAGGGCATGGAGGAGGACGAAGATGAAGAGAATGAAGACGAGGGGGAATGAAATGCCAGAAAAAACAGATCCACAACTTGAGCCTAGATAGATACAAATATACCCCCATAAACCCTTTGCATAGGTTCATTCATCTGAGAGACCCTTTTTCGCATGTCTATATTCACTTTAATCTTCAACTCCTTAGACAATTAATGCTGAATAAACCGCACAGGTCTAATTTTCCAGCGCAACGGCAATAGTAGTGCCGGCTGGACCGTCGGCCCGCCTTGCCATTTAGCCTCTGCTCTAGAAAAGAATGTTTACTAGGCAGTAAATGAGGCGGTGGCAGTGGAAGACAATGCTTGTCAATCGACCGCTGTCTGAATTGCCGATGGGACGTGAGGAAGGCGAGCGTTCCTGTATTATGAGCGTCTTGCAGCAAACGCCCGTCACATAACTTCAATCCGTTTCACGGTCAAGATCATATCACCATGCTCTCTTCACGAACAATCCTTCTCTCATTACTCTCCATTGCATGCATAACGACTGTGCTCTACTACACGCTTTTTCCAGAAGGCCACCACATTCTGCTTGGAAAGCATTCTCCCGCCGAGTCGGTGAATAGTATGGCAGCAGCGTCTGAAGATGCATTCTCCAAAGCGGAAAGGTTCACACCAGAGGTCCTTCTTTCAGCTCCACGCAGAGGACCTGCCATCCCTAATCCTGCCGGTGAGCTGGCCGTATACACCGTTTCCACATACTCCTTTGAAGCCCACAAGAAAACCACCGAAATACGGACCCTGAATATCGGAAATGGGCAGTCACAGCTTTTGAGCAATGAAGAGAAGATTAAATCTCCGGGATGGGTCTCAAACAATGAGATACTGTGGTTGAAAACTGATGGTAATGGCACGACTCTAGTGATTGGTGACGCTGGCAAAGTCGGCAACACTTACGTTGCAGGGACTGTATCAGCTCCAGTGTCAGACATCAAATTGAAAATTGTGGACGACCACAGGGTAGCGGTGGCGCTGGTCGCAAAAGCTAAGCCTAATGGTGATTTATTCAGTCCAGATGAGCAAGTGGAACCCAGATCAAGTGCAAAGCTGTATGACCATGTTTTCGTACGACACTGGGACGAGTACGTCACACCAAATCGAGATGCTATTTGGCATGGAGTTCTCCAACGCGAGCAAGTTACCAGTAAATTCAGTCTGGGGGAGCTCACGAATGTGTTGAAAAACTCGAAGCTGGAGAGTCCAATCCCGACCTTTGGTGAGCTTGACAATTTCGATATAAGCGTTGCGGCCATTTGTTTCGTCGCCAAAGACCCGGACCTAAACCCTGCGGTCAATACGAAAAGCAATTTTTATATTGTTCGTATTGAAGGTTTTCCGGACAGCTTGACCTATTCAGCTCCGGTCAAGGTGCAGGTCAAGGGCATCGATGGAGCAAGTACCTCCCCTTCATTTTCCTCCGACGGTGGGCGCGCGGTGTTCTTGCAAATGAGAGAAAATGGCTACGAAAGCGACAAGAACCGTCTCTTTGTTGTCAACGTTAAAGACCCTGACAACACCACTGAGCTTTTGAAGACTGATGATGGAAATGGGCTCTGGGACAGGTCACCAGCCTCGGTCACGTTCAGCTCCGACCAACAGACACTTCTTCTGACTGCAGAGGAAAATGGAGTAGGGAAGCTATTTAGACTTAGTCTTTTGGCCAATGAAGACGTGTCTACTCTACCAGAGCCTTTGACTCACAAAGGTCAAGTCAATGAATTCAAAAGCCTTGGACAAGCTACTTCCCAACTGCTACTATCTTGTTCAAATCTCATCGATAACAGCTTCTATGCAATTCTCGATCATGAAGCACCAAACCCCAAAATTGATGTTGTGTCGTCCCTCTCCCACAACGGCTCTTACTTCAGCCTTTCCCAAGACCAGGTCTCCGAAATATGGTTTGAGGGAGCAGAAAATCACAAAGTCCACGCTTGGGTCATCAAACCGTCTACATTTGACTCTGAGAAACAGTATCCGCTTGCGTACCTGATCCACGGTGGCCCGCAAGGAAGTTGGACGGAGGCGTGGTCAACTCGTTGGAATCCCGCAGTCTTTGCCGAGCAGGGCTACGTTGTCGTCTCACCGGACCCGACAGGTTCCACAGGCTACGGCCAAAAATTCACCGATGACATCAAGGAACAGTGGGGTGGGCGACCCTACCAAGATCTTGTGAAAGGCTTTCAGTTCATCGAAGACCATTTAGAATTCGTAGACATGTCCCGCGCCGTAGCTTTAGGAGCCAGTTATGGAGGGTATATGATGAATTGGATGCAAGGGCAACCTCTAGGCAAGAAGTTCAAAGCATTGGTTTGCCACGATGGCTCTCTAGTTCTCCCAGCACAGCTTTCGAGTGACGAACAATACTTTCCCAACCATGATTTAGGTAGCCGTCCGCCAACTATAGAGCCTCATGCCTGGGACAAGTGGTCACCACATCACTACATCTCGAACTGGACAACGCCAATGTTGGTCATACATAATGAGCTCGATTACAGACTGCCTATAAGTGAAGGCTTGGCTATGTTCAACATCCTCCAAGAAAGAGGAGTGCATTCGAGATTCCTATCCTTCCCCAACGAGAATCACTGGGTGTTGGGCGAAGAGAATTCACTCGTGTGGCACACTGTTGTGTTGAACTTTATCAACTCCTTCGTCAGTCTGCCCCCTTACAAAGATGAAAAGGCATTAGGAGTCATAGTCCAAAATTGAGGCAGGGCGATGGGCCTAAATTTGGTAGATCAGGAGTGAAAGCCGCGGTTTGAATTATGGAGGTCAATTCCATGCATCTGCGGTGCAAATCGACGCGCCCTTTGAGCAATGCACACGTGGAATTAATCGAGAAAGCATGTTCAATATCACACAGAAAATTACTAGGTCCGGAGGACACTGAAGTCCAGAGTTATCTATCCATTGGGAGAAGGGGGATTGGTTGAAGCATGCTTGCAAAGCTGCCTTTTAAGACTTTCAACGCAATTGCCCCAGATACGTGTGGTTATGCCTGAAGCACACTCATTTGGCAGAAGTACAAGTGCAAGTCCGCTCTAGAGGAAGGGATCAGGTGCCAGGTGAGGTGACACTTCCTCGAAAGCTTGAATGCAATGCTGGAATTGGTGAAGCTCAAAGCAAGGCAAGAATGATCGCGACAGCTGCTGAGGCTCAAGGTATGTTAGAAGAACCATTTAAGAATCGAGGCCATTATGCAGCACTTAGCCTGTATCCTGAAAACATACCTGCGATCCCGATCTAGTCATCTACCAACGATTGCCTTGCTTGAAATGTTCATCCTTGTGGCGGGGCGACAGTGGCCGTTCCAGATCCGGTAAGTAATCTGGCCGCCTCTGCGATGTCGGCGCTATCTCGACGACGGTATGCTCTATGCCATAACAGCCTAGAAACGCCCGATCATATCGAGAGCTATTATGAAATAGGCTAGAGGTTGCGGGCTTTGTTGAGGCAAGTATATCTGCCATCGCTAGGGCGAATAGATGGCAAGGTAGTCAGCCGTCCAGATGGGACGTGTTTCCGGTTCTCGGCAGAGGCTCTGGAAGCTGAAACGAAAGATTGTTGGTCAACGAGCAGTGGGTACGCAGAGCTATGAGGAAGCTGGGTTGCACGATTCCAACATTACGGATTGTCGTCCAGACTCTGCGTGAAAGCTCAAATGAGGCCTTGTGGCCCGCGCGTCATTCGTCCGGGTCGCAGTAGTAGTATATCATTACGGACCATGTCGACATGTTTCCTACTATTGATCGGGCCTTCTGAACGGGGGTGAGGTGATTGTTGCATAACGCCCCAATCACGAAGCACGCGCGCACCCTCCAACAAGCAGCTGACTGGGTGCAATCTTGACGATGTAACGGGCCAGAATAATCGTCTAGGGACTAAGATATGCTCGAAAGCTCTCAGGTCCATACTGCGAAATGTGTGGCCTCGCTTGCAGGCAATGGTGCAGTCAGGACGGAACACTGCATACACGCTTCATTATTATTACAACCCGCTCGTGGCTCCTGCATGACTGTTGCTAGCGCACCAATGGCAAAAATCTCCGGGCCTCATACGCACCCGCACCTTCCAACCTAACTTTCTTGTCACCACTACTCCCCCTCGCTGTCTCTGATACTAGTAATATCCTGCGCGTGAATGTCCATTATTGGGCATGGTCGAGGATCGGCCTGGGGAGAGGACGGGGGAGAGGGACGAAGCTTGACGTGAAACCAGCAAGTCCAGAAGTCTCGTTTGATCTTCCCACGGACGACGGTATGACACCTCAGAGTGCAATGGTAGCCGGTTCTCAGGTGTGGAGGCTGAGACATGGAAGCCATCACCTTTCCTTATTTTAGTCGTGGATGCAGGGCCCCCCGTGAGGAACGCACGCCCCGACCGGTAGAGAAAAAGCCATGGGCGCGCTGACTTGGCCGTCACGTATTCGGAGAATATGAGCCGCGTGCATGGACGTCCATGGCCCGATACGGGACTTTGGGCGCTCAGATGTTGGTGTATGGGTGAGGCATCCCGAGACTTGGTCAGCTTAGACTCCTTGTCACTACTCTATGGATTTAGAGGGTTGGGTCAGACACAGAATTAGGGATGCCCCCTGGCCGTGCCACCCGAGCAAGGATGATTCTCTGAGGCTACTTGCAGTATTGAGAAACGGACATGCAAAGGGGGTTTGCCATCAGAGGATTGAAATATGCATTACTTTGACAAATAAGGCGACTAGCTGCTGAAAGGTTTCATCCTTCAGTGAGGTATCCCAAAAACAAAGGTGCCGGCGTCACATGTACAAACGCAAAGGAGGATCCATGTACGAGGTCGCTGTCCCCCTCCTCTTCTGGCTGGTCATGGCTCTCATCCTGAATTCGTCGCTTCGTCCCTCATACGCTCCGGCCGTAGTCTTGGAGACGAGTGTGCCACCTTCCTAATCTTACAGGCTTCCCGCTGCTCTCCATTTTCTCTTTTCCTGCTCGGATCAGATCCTTTTCTGTGTGTGGACTGTATTCCTTCACCGATCCATCCCATCAATCCACCGTGTGCCCTCCTTTTCGCTGTCCTGACTTCGCCTCAGGATCCCCTTTTCTCCTTCGCTGACGGGACTGCTTTCCCTGCCGTCTGGGTCGACGGTTCTGCTTCTTCTGCCCACCCTACCGGCATCATGGTTCGGCATGTGTACGATATTTGTTCCCATCAGCGAGTTGGCTTTGGGACCTTCAGTGATACTTCTCTGATGTCCAATAGCAGTCGATGCATTGCTTGTTACTGTCGGCGCCGGCGCAATCGTCGAGGAGGTCGAACTGTTGGAGATGTCCGCGTTCGAGGGTGATTTCGGAGCTGTAGTTATCTCGACTTGCTTAGTCTGGAAGATATGCTCTGGGTGGTTATTTGCGTGCTGGTTGTGAGTGCCAGCAAATGAGCCGCGGATGGCTCTTGCGGTCGTCCACGTTCCGTTCTTGCCCATTGAGCGCTGTGTGCCACCAGCACCTGTCTCTGGATCTGCAACAGAGCCGTGGTGTCTACCGTTCATCTCATGGGATGCAGCCCCGTTATTATAGCCATGGCGAGCACTACCGCCGCGGAATTGGTTTTCTTCCGTGAAACCAGCTTTCGTGAGGCCCATAAGTTGATTGAGCACCGCGAATTCGAGCTTCAGCTTGATGGCGTATATCATTGGTTTGATGGATGCTTCGCCAACGTACTCGCCGGAAAATTCCAGTCCAATGAGAATAACGTCCATTCCGATACAGATTCCGTTCACCAGGAGCAATTGCATCATTACCTTTCGAGTCATACTGTGGTAGATGCTGCCTAACAAGCGGACAGTAGCCACAATGTAGAGGGTCGAAATGAAGAATTCTTGCAGGCAGAACCCCATTAGTTGAATTCGCTCCATGATGTTGAACTTGGGAACCCAAAAAGCCGAATTGGGCGAGTTGGAGCCAACGGTCATGATGATAGTGGGAAGATGCAGCGCAAATACGTCAAGTATAATGACGAATAGCACCAAACGGAGCGTACGACGATTGCGTACAACCAGATGGAGGCGAGAGAAAAGCACAAAAGCTTGGCCCGTCACCATGGTTACCCAACCTACGAACGTTCAGTAAGACTTCGATAATTGAATAGCATGGTACACATAGCTTACCTATTTCGATGAACGGTAACGTCACGTACCATTCTGACCCGACGAGAAACTTGAGGATGAAGCCGAGAGCATGAAGGGTGCATCCCCATGAACTTATCAGAAGTGCCCAGAAGTATAGCCCTGTCCGTCTCCGGAAAGTGTACAGAATAAGGAGATCCAATTCAATGGTATATGCCCATGCAATTGCTGTGCAAGCACATAGAATACCTTCCTGAATTGGATCGTAAGAGAGGGCACCCGACACGCCTTTGGTCTCACGCTTGAAAAGAGCGTTCAGCAACATCTTGACTGATTGTGTTACAGCAGAAAGAAACGGGGTTGTATGGGAAAAGCCCACGATTTCATGTCGCCAGGGTTAGAAAGGGAAAGAAGGAAACCATGCAGGCAAGGTGCAGGATTTACATATCGATCTGGCATGCCTATCTCGCACTATACCAGGGGGACAGAAGGCCAAAACTCAGAGAGCTTCCCGAAGCCACAACGGAATAGGACCAGAACGGAGACGCTAAACAGGACACGCATAATCTAAATTTTAGTTGCAGGCCCATCTCACCAGGATCGCATACCCTCTGCGAGAGCTAAGGATCTGCTCGGTAGACCGGTGAACTGCAGGACCATGCCCCTGTTCAGTTAGGACGCACGGACACTAGGCCGGCTGGAAAGTTGTTATATCTCGCAAAGCCAGTACTAGTAGTGTCTTCCACAGACAGGTCTGGAGAGCACTATAATTCAGCTATGGGCCAGCACGTGTAGTAATTGGACGTGGCCCTGGAAATCCCTGTTCGCGCATGATGGGTTCCTGCATGCCTCTCGATGCGTCATTTAGAGAGATTTCCATGGTTTGGTCAGCGTCGCGACGCGCTTGCGGCTTTGGAAGAGCTCATAGGAGAAGGAATTTTCCATTCTGCAATTATCGAGTCCTAATCTTAGGCTTAGAGTAATAACAATGCAGCCATGCTCCTCGGAGTTTTTAAGGATGGCATCCTGGGATAAGGTTGGCGAGATCACCGCAAGTCCGGAGCTTCTACCAGCAATTTGCAAGCTAGGAGGGTGCAGTGGTAGTCATGCTGTCGTGAAACAGGCTATCCGTTCCTCTGGACAACGTCACAACAGGTCACTATCCGTCGCCCAGATGGCCTCGCGTGCTCTTCAGGTACAGCGTTCTCTGGTGTCAAGGCTTGATTGAGATCAGCATAGATGGCCGGAGCACTAGAAGCACGCCAGAAGGGTGGAGTCGACCCTGCTGGGACCCCCTGCTGGGGGCTGCACACTAGTACTGGGCTCACGTTGAGGATGAGAGTCGTCATTCGACTAGCGTTCCCCCAGGTTTGCTAAGATTGTGACTATGATTGGATCCGGTGCGATTTTCCTACTTCGGGCTGGAGACACGCAATCATAATAATAGCTGGGGGTTGACAAACTCGGCTCAGGGGTCAGTAGTACGAAAAGTACGAAATAGCGGGCGGACGGTAGAAGGAAGCTTGGGACGATGAGCAAGTGAGGAAGAGAATAATTGAAGTGGAAGAAGGGAAAGGACGATGAAGGTTGATGGTCTCATTCGAGCGCGTATCGGGCGTCTTTAGCGCCTGCCGATCGCGTTACCCCGCAATCTCTTAGCGTGCCACAGCTCCAGTCAATCTCCAGCCTTCTGCCGAAAATTAAGTCATTTCAGCGTCCCAGTCACACCAGCAAGTCCGCCCTATTAATTATGACTATTCCATCTTGGTATTCCCATCAATTGTCCGCATTGGGAAGACCCAGATCAGATTCTTCATTCGCGGCAAAAGCTTACCCCATCTCACTGAGATCCTTATCACCCCTTTCGGTTGGATCGTACACCAAAGGTCCACATCGGTGCTTGGATCTTGTCAGCCTCCACCGCAGAAGGAGGTTCTACCACCTCGATGACGATATCGGCGGAGTGGCTTGCATCGTACATAGACTACCGACAAAGAAGGAGAGACGTTCGGACCACCGACGCCATCATACTTGAAGCTGATTGCCTACCGCTCATGAGAACACGAAGCGGAAGCTCTTAGGGTAGCCCGAACGCTTACCACGGTCTGTCAACTACCTTGGTAGTGGTACCGGTAGTGGTTAGTACTATTATATTAATTGCAAGCGAAGCAAGCTGTTGAGCATCATCTGGTTTAGCTGCGACCCAACCCAAGCCACGTGTACCGGAAAATAAAAAAGAGTCAAGCTTAATCAATGGAGTCAAATAGTTCCGAAACAGAAGTGACTACCGGTCGTATCTCTATCAAAAGAAACGTCCCGTCCTTGATTGGCAAGATCCCAACGACCACAACCCGCTCCGGCAACTCCTCCAACAGTCTTTCCATGTGTATGAAAGATAGCGATGCGTGATCGTCACTCAGCACACCATGCCACACCGGCCTGCTTCCTCGGCACATGAAACTTGGGAGAGACTTGTGTGCATAGAATGGTATACGGGCCAGCGTGCCGTTGCAGCTGCCCATCATCCCGCTTTCCACCCCTCTCACCCCACCTTCCCATCATCTTGTCACCACACCTTCCGCCATCGGCCTACGTTATTATTATTATCAAAACCCTTTCGACCTCCATGCCTCAAGCTCGGAGTCTCTGGCCTCCCGTCTCCTTAGCTCCCTTTCCACCCACCGTTCCATCTCTTCCCTCATCGTCCCTTCCATATCCAGACCTGCACTTTCCATGCCCTTCAATCCGATGAATCGCCCGAATCGTCTGCGCTTATTATTCACTCGGCACAGCGATAGCAGGTCCTCCTTGGTCGTCTGGAGGCCCATCATCGCTCTGAGCTCGATTACAGAATTGTTGACGTCTTCAAGCTCTTCACGCGTGGGCTCCGTGTTCCAGCGCGATACCATCGGCATAGGGTACTGCATGCTGAACTGACTGGGTGCGCGCTGATGGTAAAAATGTGCAAGCTCGTCGAGCTCCGCCTCGGTCAAGAGGCTGTAATGCAGCATTGTCTGGGGGAAATGCGGGTGCGCGACACCGGTTTCGATGCTCAGCAGAGGAGCGAGATGCCGTACCAGGCGCCAAGAGTCTCTGCTCAGGAGAGATGGTCTTTGCCTCTGCTGTTGACAAATCTGCAGCTCCGACCTTGACACTGGGATACGATGAGCCGCCTCCGTATGAGGGGTGGCTGGCATAGTAGACCTAGGGGAGGATACATGGCGACTCTGACTTGCTGACGTAGAAGATTCAGGGCTCTCGGGGTCTAGTGGCTGGAAGCAGGCCTCAGGGAACGAGGGCGACATGGGTGTGAGCGGTGTTAGTGGCGGTTCCGTCGACATCTTTGGTGCTGCTGTGAATCGGTGATCTGAACGATGCAGGTTGTTTGGCTGGGTTTCAAACGAAGTCCTTTTTACCAATGTAGTGAAAATATCTAGTGCGATGCGATGATTTCGTTCTCCGATAAGTCAATTCAGGATAGTAATGAGAAGATCTTGCGGCAGCGGGGGCTTTTCTGTGATACTTCTTCTGCTTTCCCCTCCAGATTCGAAATTAGACGCACAAACCACTCGAACAAGGGCCATGTGCATGTTTAGACATCTTTGTCTATTTCCGTTGGCAATCGACTCGGCTTTGTAGCCGTACTCATTGGGTCAAGGACCCACTGACGGACAAGGACTCAGACAAGGCTTGGGGTCGGCTGCAGCCCTCGCAAGCCTTCCAGAACCTACATCTCTCCTGTGTCCACACCACCGGCAGATCTTCGAAAGAAAGAGCAGTCAGATTCACTTTGTCAGTGTCCTCACTTGGCTGATTTGCTCTTTATGCATCACGCTGCGGCTCGCAAGGTCCGCCCCTTTTTTCCGATATACATGTTCGGTGTGCCTGCTGGACCGTTTGACTTCTGGTCTAATTGTCTCACATGGCAGAGGAGAAGGTTTGATCCAAGCCATGAGGGTTTCTGCTGCTATGGCTTTGTCCTCCGAGGCCTCGGTGGAAAGCCAAGCATCCCGCCACCTTTGAAACGGACAAAGACCATGTGGGATCCTTTGAGGACGTAATGAATTTACGAAATATGTGACTCTATCCAATGTCTATCCAGTGCGTACTATCGGGGGTATTTCGAATCAGAAGGGCAATATACAAACTCAATAGCCACCCACGAAGTCACTCCATCTTCGTACTTCTGGTGGAATGCCTTCTTTCCGTGGCAATTTCGCATTCATACATTGCGCGAAAAGTAACGCCGTCTAGTGATGGATACTGTTAGTGGCAAAGCTGGAACAGGTCGGGGGTGTGAGTCCTACCTTGGGTTCCATGAACAAGGGGACACCAAAATCTACGGCATTCCTTCTCATCACGTAATTTTCGTCCAAGAGGCTTTCAGCCCTTTTGTGAGCCAGATTGAAAACTCCTCTGATGTCATACTTCTTGAACACGTCCCTCAGAGCCCGCTTATCTTCTTTCGGAAATTCGATAACCTCTACTGATACTCCGCCGTCAGCCTCGGTCTCAAGGTATGTTTTAATGTCGGGGGACGCCGCGAAGAGCTTGAAGCCCAAAGGGCTCAGGTAATTAACAATCGAAGGCAGCTCTGCCATTGAGATGTCGCCGCCGAAAAGAAGTCCTTCTCCTGGTTCTGGCACCCTGAAATTCATGGTTGATTGTAGCGATGTCCAGTAAGCCTCGATCAAGTCCTTGCCAAAACATGCGATCTCTCCTGTGCTTGACATCTCTACCCCTAAGAATGGATCTGCACCAGCCAGTCTTGTCCATGCGAACTGAGGAACTTTTGTTGCTAGATAATCTCGTTTCTGGGCCATGAGGTCTACTGGTTCTGGGACATCCCGATCTACCAGCGCCTTGGTGGCTACGTCAATAAAGTTCGTCCCCAGAACTTTGCTCGAGAAAGGAAACGATCGCGAGGCCCGAAGGTTGCACTCAATAACCTTCAACAACGGCTCCGCACCGCCGGGGGAGGCCGCCTTTATGATTTGCATATTGAAAGGTCCAGTAATGCTCCACGCTCTGGCGACCTTCTCAGCTATTTCCTTCACACGTGCCATGATATTCGCATCAAGGCTGGCTGGTGGCAGTATAAGGGTAGCGTCGCCGGAGTGTACACCCGCTGCTTCGACATGCTCACTAACGGAATGAATCAGTAATTTACCTGCAGATGCTACAGCGTCGACATCAATTTCTTGTGCATTTTCGATCATCTTCGTAATTACCACTGGATGATTGGGAGATACTGCGCTTGCTGAGAGCAATTTGTCCTTCAGCTCTGCTTGGCTATGAATGACGCTCATAGCTGCGCCAGAAAGAACATAGCTTGGCCGAACAAGTACAGGATAGCCGACTTCTTCAGCAAAGGTTTCTGCATCCGACACGGAAGTGAGCTCTTTCCAAGCAGGCTGATCAACCCCAATGCTGTCAAGGATTTGGGAAAACTTATGGCGGTCCTCTGCTTTGTCAATATCTAGGGGATCCGTTCCCAGTACTCGAGCTTTTCCAGTTTCTTGTAGACGGAGAGCAATGTTCTGCGGAAGTTGACCCCCCACAGACACCACGACTCCGTTAGCCTGTTCAAGCTCATAGATATCCATCACTCTTTCGTAGCTGAGTTCCTCAAAGTAAAGCTTATCGGCGGTGTCGAAATCAGTGGAATAGGTTTCGGGGTTATAATTAATCATCACGGTTTTCTTACCCATTGCCCTTAATGACAAGGTAGCATTGACTGCGCACCAGTCGAATTCGACCGAGCTCCCTATGCGATACACACCGCTGCCAAGGATGATCGTCCCGTGATCATCGAATGTCACATCGTGAGACGCCGCATTATACGTTGTATACAAATAATTAGTACTCGCAGGATATTCCGCAGCAAGGGTGTCAATTTTCTTGACGAATGGGCGAACCCCAAACCCTTTACGCCTTGCTCGAACGTCGTCTTCGGTGCTTCCAACACATTGCGCTATCTGCTTGTCTGCAAATCCCAACTTTTTCGCTTTCTGAATTAAATCCTTGTTTAGACCGAAAAGGCTCCCCACATCTTCGAGCCTATGGTGCATGTCCGCAATGCCCTGTAACTTGTACAAGAACCATTTATCGATTTTGCTTAATTCAGCAATTCTTTCGACTAAGTAGTTCTCGTGTAACATGGCCTGACCGACTGCAAGCCATCGTCGATCTGTTGGATTTTTGAGTACCTCGTCCAAGTTGTCAAACTTGTCGCCTTGGAAGCCTACAAACTTCGGGTCCACTTGTCTGATTGCTTTTTGGAATGATTCCTCGAATGTTCTGCCAATGGCCATGACCTCTCCTATCGACTTCATTGAGCTTCCTATATCACGATTGACATGTTGGAATTTACTGAGATCCCACCGAGGGATCTTCGTGACAATATAATCTAGACTAGGCTCAAAGTTTGCGGTAGTTGTCTTAGTGACTGCATTTGGTAACTCCGGCAAAGTGTGACCCAGGCCAATCTTGGCTGCTGTGTAAGCTAAGGGATAACCTGTAGCCTTCGAAGCGAGGGCGGACGACCTGGACAGGCGAGCATTGACTTCGATCACCCTGTAATCAAGTCCATCCGGTTGAAGTGCATACTGAACATTGCATTCACCGCATACTCCTAAATGTCTCACGATCTTGATCGAAGCACTTCGCAGCATATGATATTCTTCATCACTCAGTGTTTGACTTGGAGCGACGACTATACTATCACCAGTATGTGTTCCAAGTGGATCAAAATTTTCCATATTACAGACCGTAATGCAGTTGTTGGCGCTGTCTCGAACGACCTCATACTCAAGCTCCTTCCATCCTTTGAGTGATTTTTCAACAAGGATCTGAGGTGACAAGGTAAGAGACCTTGATGAGAGATTCCGTAGTTCCTCTGGATTGTTGGCGAATCCAGAACCTAGCCCACCTAGGGCGTATGCTGACCGCACGATGATAGGATACTTGACTTGCTCAGCCGCTTCCAATGCCTCGTCCACTGTTGTGCAAGCAATCGATTCAGCAATGGGTATGTCAATCTCTTTGAGCGCTTTGGCAAACAAGTCTCGGTCTTCGCTCGTCCTCAGAGTTTGGATGCTGGTTCCCAATACCTTTACTCCATACCGTTCGAAAACACCCATGTCATCCATTTTGACTCCTAGATTGAGCGCTGTCTGGCCGCCGAACGTGAGAAGTATGCCATCGGGACGTTCTCGTTCTATCACATAAGTCACGTACTCTGGAGTGACAGGCAGATAGTACACTTCGTCTGCAAGCTTGTGATCTGTTTGTATGGTTGCTATATTCGGGTTGATAAGAATGGATGCAACATTGGCTTCTTTCAGCGCCTTTAGGGCTTGGGATCCTAAAGTTCTTCAGTCAAAGGGGTTGGTCAAAAAGAGGAAACCTTGAGCGGAGCTTGATCTGTGCTTTTTGAATGCTGAGTACTCTTCACTCACCCGAGTAATCGAACTCCCCAGCCTGGCCGATGCTCAAGCCTCCGCTTCCAATAACAAGCACTTTTTTGACATCTACGAGACTCTGATTCTGGCTGAGAACTCCACTCTGCATGTAGGCTTGTGCGCTCGGTGCCGGTTGTGCCAACTGATCATTTATTGTAGATCTTGATAAGAGCCGTCGACTCTGCATTTGATATAGTAGTTTCTGCGGTCGAACATTTTTCCAAGTCACATTGAAAGTCAAGAACGTGCGTCTTGAAGATGCAATGGTGCGGCAAGAGGCGGGCCTGAACATGGGGAGTAAAGCCCCCACGGCTCCAGGACGAGGAGCCATTGAGCTTATGTGAAGCAGCTGCGTTGCAATAAGGCCAAGTCAGGATGAAAGCTGCATTCAGAATGTATGGTGTCAATTGTAGCGGCGGTGGTGGGTCACGGGTCTCAAATTGGTTGGGCAAAGGGCATGACAGGTACTTCGAACTCGGAGGGCTTCGCTGTAGAGACGATGACCTCCAGAAGAAGCAAAGTTTCCAGACAGCCTCTAGCACAGCATTCGATAACTCGTGATGCTTTCAAAACTGATGATCAAGGCGAATAAACATTTGCAAGAAAGGCGATATCGGACGTCTGACCTTCGAGAGCATTGAATCATTTTTGCAAAATTTTCAGAGCTTTGTGCGGGCCCTCCCGGTGGCCACAGCGACCCCGCAGGCCTCCTCTAGAGTAGGCAGGTACAGCCTTAGCGGTCCAGCCTATAGGGTTCCTTTCGGGCTCCACCCCCTAGAAGGGGGCCTGGCACTGGACTTGGCATGGCCATGTTCCGACTGACCAACCCTCCAGGTACTTATATATTGAATTGCTCTAGACACAGTTTAAATGTCGAAGACTAGACTAAATTCGCTACGCACAGAATGGGGTATGTTCACTATACGAAAACTCCGCGCTATATCTTCAAACATGCAGCAAAATAGGTAGTATGTCAGACTGCGTGACGAGACATCGGGTCGCCCATGTTTGCGGTCGTTTCCGTGCAACCCATTTCCAGACTAGCAGTCTTGATCAAAGCTTCGACATCCGTCGAGACTGACGACATTCTTGATATCATTGCTCGTAGAAATGCTGCTAACATATACAATCTCTCCTCCCTTCGAATCTGGTCGTCCAATTGCTCGAAGTCATCATAACCTGCATCTACGAGCATTTGAGAGCGCTCATCTTGGATATCCTTCAGTGCCTTCTCGATCATTGCTTCATTTTTGGCTTGCAGCTGAGGCCTACGGCGATGGGTCAAGCCGTGGGTTTGAATCCAATCACGCAGCGTCATACGAGCTATCTGCTTGACAACATTGCGGTTTGTTGTCAGCGTTGGATAATAGCCAAACTGGTCCCTCATTATGTAGAGGGAGACAACGATCCCCGCCAAATCGTGCGACTGCGCCATACAGCAAATAATCCGTTCGTAAAGTTCTTGGGTAACAGATGCCTTAGCCTCCTCTCGCTTCCTCCCGCGGAGCGTTTCTAGCCAAGCCATTTGCTCGCACATGATCCTCCGAGGGCTTGGGAACTCGAAGGAACGATCAGGACCCAACGCCGCGGCTTTGTTGTGAGACTCCGAGCATTCCCAAAGACAGGCAAAGGTCACTAAATCTGGTTGAATTTGACATTCGGTCATGCCCTTGTAGCTCTGCCACACCAGGTCGTATTTGTGCTGACGACGACCCATATAAAGGAGATCATTCATCCAGTAGCTGTTGGCCGACAGCTCTGCCTGTTCCAAAGCCTTTTGCAGATGTTCTATGTGCTGATACCTTCTTCTTCGCGCATAGAACTGGAGAAGCAAGCAAAAGGTTTCGATGGTAGCGCATGGAACTGCTCGCTTAACTTCTTGTGGAACAATAATGGTAGCTCCGTAGTCAGAAGCTGTAGAGCTTGCATTAGGCAGAGGTGCTGTAAAGCCTGAAGTTCTGAGTTGGACGAGTTTGAGCCGCTGATGAATCATTACCCAGGCCATCCGTTCAGCTTTGACTTTCCGCGTATCACTTGCAGTCCTAAGCCAAGCTCCAATGATTCCGTTGAGGTGTTTCGCATCAGGGGGGATGCCTCGCTCATACATGAGGTCTACAACTGCAGCTGCCGAGTCCGCTTCATCCATCCCAATGAGCTTCTTGATCCAACTTGCATAAAACCATTTGTTCTGGAAGCGTAGTGGCAAGACCGTCATGCTTCTCAAGGATATCTCATTCAACCCTGGGGCGTCAAGTGCATTGTGTTGCAGTTCGCTGAACATCATGGACTTCCGATAAATATCAAGAGAATCTTGGCCACTGCATTGTCCAGTGAGCATCATGTCCTTGAAGACAGCCAATGCTAGATCTGCTCGATTCCTATGCAGAAAGCTCAAGTAGACACTACCGTAATCCTGCATCGTGATATCAGGTCCTAGCTGCAGCTTCAACTTAAGGTACAACGCCCAGCCGTGTTTCATACTAATATCGTCCTTACGCTCTACCCAAGTGTCCAGTATGGGGATGAGAATGCGCGACTCTGACTTGTCGCCAGACTTAAGATACTCCGTAGCTATATCCTCAGCTTTACCAAGATCTCCTTGAGAAGTGAATAGCCTTACTCCCAATAACTCGTATTCAGTAGATGCACGCTCATCATTCTCAAAAATCACTTTCAGATCTTGCCATTCCTGGATGGCTTGCCGATGGCGTCCCTCAAAGCGCAGAGCCTCGATGTAAAGCATGATTTGATGGGGATGAAATTCATTCTGAGCAACCCTCATATCCTCTACCAGCACAATCAGATGTCTCGCCCAGTGTGCGTCATCTTTAGCAGCAGCTATCGCACGGGATTCGTAAAGGACGAGCCAGGCCTCAGGAGGCACAAGGTGCAAAAATGGCGGAAGAAAAGCTTTGCAACGAGCGTAGGACATCCAAAGTCGCCGACGTGACGTATATTGTTCCAGTTGTTTTGCTGCATTACGAATTTTTGTGTTGAGATTTCGCAAATACGTGCTTTGCTGGGGAGGCAGGGTCCATTTGATTTCGAGTCTCGGTAGATACTCTGCAAGCGCTAGCTTCTCTTGCTTTCTCTGTAACTCTCGTTTTTCGATCTCATTCCTTACGGCTTGCTGATCCTCGGGTGATAGTCCGTGGATCATAGAATCGACCAACCCCTTGCCAACAGAGCCTTCCTGCATCTCCCGTAACTCCTGATCAAGTCTGTCAATCTCATTCTTCAAGGATTTTATCTCTGCTTTATCCTCATCATCAATGTAATGCGTATCTGGATCCGAGAGCCTTCTCTCCTTGGACCATGGGGTAAGTTGCTGGTACCACCGAACTACAGGTTCATGTATAGGTGTGTTCGAAATTGGCACTCTCTGATTGGTACCATGATCGTTGATAGGCGACTCTGCCTCTACTTCTTCTAACTGAGAATACTTCTTAGGTACCGGTACCCTCAATACCCTCTGTCGTGGGTCGAATTGCGTCTGAGCAGACTTTTTTTCACGGATAGGGAGTGTCCGTAGGAATCTCTGTGGGGAACGTGTGGCGTGGATCGCATACTGCCGAATGGAACGTATCTTACAGCGACTTTCAACTTGGAAGTATACCCCTCGCATGAATCAAGGGTGTCGATCATGGCATATATCAGACTTAAAGATCGAAGTGTGAATGACGAGAAAGAAGTTTGCCAAGCATCAAAGAAAATTAGCGCGCAAGGCACGTGACGTCGTTTATACGCTCTAAGTGAACGCGTCTACTTTCCCTCCTGAATGAGATTCGGCTTTGTGTGCTGCCCTTTCCCAAGATGTCAAAGTCACTCGATCCTAAGAACCTGCTCTGCCGAGCAGTCAGGTGATTGTATCACCTTCACCTTTTAGTATGGCGAAGGAATTCGACGTAGCTTCGACCCAAGCATTGCACAGGAAGCCTTTGGTGCTAATTCTGAGATAGCCTTGCTATGTTTTCGCTCCCCATACAGGGCTTGATAGTGATGTCAATACCTCGAAGCTCAAGAAGAGTCGAGCCGAGGCTTACTCAGAGTCAATTTTATTCCCCTTTCTACCACTCTTAGGAGGTGCCGAAAGTGATGAGCAACGCTATTCCCGTCGAAATACTTTTCAGAAGCTCTGGCAACCTCAGGCTAATGCTTTCAAGGTTGGCTACCTTCACTGCAATGTCGGCCTTAGCTAAAACTTCCAGAGCGTGGTTGATTCCATGAATTTCAATGTCGTGGACGAACTTCTTACCTTCATCAAACAGAAATCCCTATGCTTGTAGGTTGAGCTACACATTCTCTTTGAGCACAATTTTTGATAGTGAGATTCAGCCCTTACGACAAGATTCCTATAGGGATCTTGACTTGTCATCCTGGAAGCCGTGTCTCCTCAACTCTACTCGCCACTGTGGGGGAGAATCTAGACAGCAACCAGCAATTTCTTCAGATTGAATTGCAGGCATCACAAACGGTGAATTTGAAAAGTTTGCTAAAGAATGTCATTCAGATTGCTGTCAGACAAGAGCGTGCATTTGCTCATGGACATCTTAATGGCGACATTCCACAGGGTCCTTATCTTAGTTATGACTTTCAAATTCTTTACGACATTGTGAGCCGCCAAGCATTGAAACAAGTTTTATTGCTCTTTCCAGATGGAGAAGCATTGTCCGGAGAAGTTCTTTCTGATTTCATCAACATACTTTCTTCCTGGCGAGATCGAATCCCGTTTGTCCTATTTTTTGGCATCAGCACATCAGTGGAATTGTTTCAATCGAAGTTCACCAGTGAAGCTATTCAATGGCTTGAAGGGCAAGCCTTCAAGATTCAGCATATCGATGTCGATCAGCTTCTCCTAGCTAGTAGCAAAATCTTGGCGAATGATGAGGATATTAATGAGGCCGACAAGGGCACTACCACCTCGCCAAAGGTGTGGCCTGGTCCACGCCTTCTTAAATCGATCTTTGACCGGCAGAGAGTTACAATTCAGTCACCAACTGCTTTCGTTTTTTCGCTAAAAGTCTGTACTTCACGCGCTTCTATCGCTTAATGCTGAGAGAAATGTAGTACGCTTACATGTCCCACTTCTACGCAAATCCTTGGACAGCTGCACTTGCGCATGACCACGAAGGTACATCGTTTGGTTTGGAACAATTACAAGCATTGCGCTGCTTGCCATCTTTTAGGAGGTAAGCCTGCCACATTCAAATTCTCTGCATGCAGCACCAATCAAGATCCTAGGGAGTGTGAGCGGCTGCTAGATCAACATCGTCATTCTGAAGTTAAAGATTACCTGGATAACGAAAATGCCTTGGTAAGATTATTTGAAAAAGGACTTAATCATTGCAGCATTACACTCACGTTGATAATCAATGCGGTATATGCATTGCATGCCTTGCAAAAGAGGCTAACAAAGGAATCTCTCCCATGGTCAAAGGTCCATATTTTGGCAATGTCCGGCAAACTCGTAGACTCGGATTTCTTGGTTGAGCTTCTCTCGTTTTTTAAACAAGTCTCGTACAGGAAAATGCTGGCGATACTCGAAGACCTTGAGGATTCTCATATGCTGCCTGAACTTGTAGTCAAGGAGCTCGCAAATGTTCATCAGGAGTTACTGCAGCTGACTGTCGAGGAAGATGGCGATCTTAGAAGCGGGCACGATCTTCAAACCCATAATTTTCGAACGACTGTGGTCGCCCAGAAGGTCGAGTTGAGCCAGCAAACAGCGAAACTCACAAAAGCAGAGGCAGAATATACGAAGCTCCTCAATAGAGGCCATGCTCTTCTGGAACAATATCTTCGAGATACACTAGTGGACCCCAGAGGAATATTTCCATCTGAAGTACTCATCTATGATCTTCCCTCACCACATCGCGAGACATTCATGCCACGCACTCGCTCAATGGTTGAATGCGGCTTGTCCCAACCTCAATATTATCTCGGACATCGCGAATATCAAGCGTCAGAGGACGGGCTGACACCTGCGACTTCTGCTCTGTATGAGATGTATCTAGAGGGTGGTAACCTCATCAATGGCGCAGATATTTGGTCTGCTTTTGAGACTTTTGTTGGGCCCAAGACTAATGACACAGGGTATCAACAAGAGCAAACACTGGTCTTGTTCACAAGGGCGCTGTCTGAGTTGAAATATTTGGGGTTGATCAAGCAGAGTCGGAGAAAGGCAGACCACCTTTCTAAAGTGGCGTGGAGTGGTCTCTAGGGTCTCAACATCTATGGACCACCCGAAAAGCCTTATCACTTGGTCAACTTTCGTCCGATATCACTGTTCAGTCACAACAACATGAACGAGTCAGATAGATATAGGTAATGTCAGGCAGGGTCGCTAAGAAAGTGGCTTTATGAAAGAAATCTTTTACTGGCGCTTACTTTGCTTTGAGTGATGTGACGCACTAGCAAAGGCTCTCGCGGAGCTCGAGCAAGGTCATCTCAGATATCGTTCACCCGTTGAATGATATCGCTTGCCTCAATCGGTCTCCCCTCCTCAATTATCACGGCCGCCTCTCTGTGAGTGCGCCTTCGTTGCACCGCCTCGGCATCCTCGTCTACGTTTCTCGCACGCTCGTTCCTCTCAAGAAGCATGGGCTCCGATCTGCAAAGACCAGCTTCCACTAGGCTAGCCGCCGTTACCTCGTCCGTCCGTGACAAGTTACTTAAATTGCTGATAATATCTTTCAATTCTGGGGTATGACAAGGCTTTCCTCTCTCACCATTAAGAATGCGGGAGACGACTAGGGATTTCTCATTCTGAGGCTCATCCTGGAAGGGATAATGAGCAAGCCAGTCGCAAACCAAGCCAGCATCTAGGAAGCGACGTATATTCCATCTACGAGAATTTGAGATCAGAACGTGGGTTACTTGAAGAGCAGTCATCTGGGCTTCCGATGGAAATTCGTCGCGAGCATATGCTTGATGTAGACTAGGCAAAAGATTCCGTAGGCAAGCTACCACGGCGGATGCGAACTCAGGCTGCCACCACTTAGCAGTATCCCCAGAGCGCCAGGGCTCTTCAGGCACTAGCAGGAAGTCAGATTGAGCGATTGTCAGACGGCATCCGACATGGCTTACTAACAAAGAACAGCACCTTCAATGCCTGATGACGTTGCCCACTATTCGAGCTAGCCAGATTTCGAAGAAGCAGCTTCCATGCTGTATTCGAGTTCAGCAAACGGTCTTTTAGGATGTTACAGGATCTGCTACGGGTCAGTAATGGGCTGCAGAGATCATGTGAAGGCGTACGCCTCGCAAAGGTCCGGGTTTGGCGAATTGGTCAATTCCACAAGAGTTTCCAGCTTGATAGCTATGCAGAAATCAGTAGGTGTTAGACACGAGCTTCTGGCGCTCTGACCATCCTCTGTCTCTTTATCTACCTGTCCCGGTGTCTTTTCGGGCTTCTTGATCTCAACGGCATCCCGAAATTGCTGTAACTGGGACTGGATCCTCCATATTGCAAACCCACCCAGACCCACTGCTAATCGTGAGCGAGAGAAATGGCCAGACACTTCATTGAGACTGGCTACCCATAGAAACGCATAGCCATATATCCGAATGATCTGAGATTGTCATGCCTTACATCTCTCTTTGCTTGTGGGGAGAAGCCAAGTAGAGAATATGCACAGATCTGATAAGACTAATCAAAGCGTTTTAGACTTTTAAGATAATTTAAGCTTTTTGGTTCCGTCGGCAGTTTTACCCGGTGATCGATATCCTGCTCTTGCTTATTGCAAATGCGTACTCCATATGGGCTGCTGCCATGGCACCTTCGCAGCTCAAACGGCTCAAAAACTCCTTAAGAGAGCAAGGTATTGTCAGGCCACAGAAATCAAAAAAGCAGAAGAGACAAGCGAGTAAGAATGACGTCTCAGAAAAAAGCAGAATACAGCGCGACGGCACCCTACGAAGCATTCGAGAGCAGTTCAATCCCTTCGACATCAGAGCGACGGAGAGGACAAAATTCGAAGTTGCTAATCCAAGGAGGAAGACAATTGTCAGACGGCCTGGCGTCTCCAAGGAGACTGGCGAACAGAATGTACGTGAAGCGGTCTCAAAGTACCCTATCAACATCGCTTACTAGGTCGTTGTCTAGAGGCGGAAGACGCTTTTGGTAGAGATTCAACGTCGGAAAAAAGTCGGCGGTATTGTGGACAGAAGGTTCGGGGAGAACAACCCGTCGATGACACCAGAGGAGAAAGCAATTCAGCGATTTGTTCGAGAAAGAGAAAAAGGAACGAGAAAAAGTGCAGTCTTCGACCTCGAAGATCCAGAAGAAGATGCAGAGCTCCAGTATTTTGGCCAATCCTTGTCATTTGGTAACCTTAAGCCTACGGACGACTTTCAGGCAAGCGACCTTTCGGGCTCCGAGGCTAACGCTAGCGAAGGAGATATAGATGATAGGCCAGCAAAAAGAAGGCGGTATGAGCATGATGACCTGAGCGAATCTGGAGAAGAACCTCAAGGACAAGAACGAGCTGAACGTCCAAAGAGTAAGAAAGAAGCCATGGAAGAAGTAATTGCGAAATCGAAGTTTCTCAAGTACGAGCGGCAAAAAGCCAGAGAAGACGATGATGACCTTCGTACCGAGTTGGACAAAGGGTTGTCTGACTTCTATGTCACATTGCGAGGCAAACAGCGTAACCGGATAGCGTCACCAAAAACCATTACAGAGGGTCTTGAGAATGGCGATATGAATCCAGATCGACTAGCTCTGCTCGAGGGCAAAGATCGGTCGAAAGCTGATCAAGAATACGATCAACGACTACGTCAGATGGCTATAGATAAGCGTGCTCAACCGACGCTCCCAACCATGACTGAAGAGGAACAATTGGAAAAACAAGCTCAGATTCTTAAAGAGCTTGAAGCTAGGAGAGTCAGAAGGATGCACGGCAATTCTGGCAGCAGTGAGTCTGGTGAGTCTGACGGAGAAATAGAGCCAAATGGGCTCTTGAATGGCGAGAGCCAAGACACTGAAGCTTTTGGAATTGGGAATGGCCTCTCTGCGGAGCCAAAGCAGTCAAGCCTTGACGTCGAGGATGAGGACGAATTTTTCATTGAGGATGACTTGATAACGAATGACTACTCGGACGCAAGCTCTCTTGACGAGACTGATAACAAGCTACTTGCTAGTTATGTTCAAAACAATGAGGATGAAGAATTCTTGGGCAATTTGCTTTCCGGGGAGGATGCGGGTAGAACAGATGTCGACGGCCTGACATATGTTGCAAAGAAAGTTCAGGAGAGTGTGGACGGTGTTAGCTTCGTATTCCAGTGTCCCGAGACACATGCAGAGTTTCTACAGATTGCCCAAAATGCAAGCCCGCAACACTTACCAACTATCATCCAAAGGATACGTGCTTTGTATCACCCTAAGCTAGCTAGCGATAACAAGTTGAAGCTAGCTAGATTCGCATCAGTCCTTGTGGATCACATTCATTACCTTGGCGAACATCCAGAACAAACCTTGTTCATTGTACTCGAAACTCTGATTCGACATGTACATTCCTTGGCTAAGATGTTCCCAGAGGATGTTGGTCGCGCCTTTAGATCATATTTCAGAGCTATCCAAGATGAGCGATCTGATAATTTGTCAAGCGGTGACCTGGTTCTGTTTACTGCTATTGGGTCTGTCTTTCCAACGTCAGACCATTTCCACCAGGTAGTGACGCCAGCAATGTTGTGTATGACTCGATACCTGAATCAAAAACTTCCTCAGACTTTGGAAGATCTTACAAGAGGGACTTATGTTGTCACTCTTTGTCTACACTATCAGAAGCTCGCGAAGAGATATGTTCCGGAGGTCGTGGACTACCTCCTAAACACGCTGACTGCTTTGATACCAGTAAGAGGAAATCATACCTCTTTTCCTTTTCCTTCTCGCAACACTCCACAACCGTTACGCATGCAGTCCGCCGAAATCTCAGGCGACTACTTGCGGAGCTCTCTGGCTTTCACCGACACCATAGGCAGTCCGGTGGATGGCCGACGCAGTGACGAGGTGAAGCATATCCTTCTACGGACACAGATAGAGCTAGCCAGAAACATGGCAAATTTGTGGAGCTCTCTAAAATCCTTCTGCGAAATTGTAGACCCGGTCTACCACGCTGTGCGTCGTATCGCCAGCAAAGTTCATGCTGATATGGTACCCAATGCTCTTCGTAAGCAAGCACGGCTGGTGTCCGACGAGATTCATAATATGCTACTACAATCCCTTTCGAGCCGCAAGCCTCTACGCTTGCACAATCACAGGCCACTACCTCTCAAAACCTCCATTCCCAAATTCGAAGAATCATACAATCCTGACCGCCATTACGACCCGGATCCAGATCGGGCAGCCCAATCAAAATTGAAAGCGGAGCATAAGAAAGAGAGGAAAGGCGCATTGAGAGAGTTAAGGAAGGATGCTAGTTTCACAGCGAGACAGAACCTCAGGGAGAGGAAGGAGAAGGATGAGGCGTATGACAAAAAATTCAAGAGGCTGGTGGCGGAGATCCAGGGAGAAGAAGGACATGAAGCGAAGGCTTATGAGCAGGAGAAGAGGTTGAGGAAAGGGAAGAAGTAGGTGACGCAGGGTGAATAATGATCGTGAAATCCTTCACAAATCTCAATATTGCACCTTTTGCCATGCATTGCTCATGAAGTTTAAGAAAGGGTGGTTTTGTGTCTGCCCGTTGAAGACTACGACGAAGATGTCGCAGTTATTGTTGTATAAAGAGCCAGGCTTCTTAAGTTTTCGTGGAGGTATATCTCGTCCTTCTATCAGCCAGCTAAAGCATAGTACTGTGCTCAACAACATATTCAAGACTTCTCATTTGACTTTGGCAGCGGCGAATATGAGAAGTATGGCTGCCGTTGAACCATGGAAAATATCTGCAATCATTCTCCATTCCTATTTCTTCTGTTTTTCCTCATTGTCAACCGTATAGTTAGCACATTCAAATTTCGACCAAAATGGAAGCACTCAAAACCCCTGAGCAAACAGCGGCAGAGGAAGAGCAGGTACGATTTAACGTTCAGCAAGGCCCAGGAGGCTGGCCAGAAAGACATGAAGAATCCGAGAGACACCTGCCATCCTCCAGGTCTGAGGAAATATCAAACGAGGAGCTTTGGCTACAGATGAATGACGAGGCGTTTCGCGAGTCGCTGCGAAACCAGCCAGACATCAGAGAGCCCCCTTGGCTAAGTGTCAGAGAACGGTCGTTAAGGTCTAGGTTTGAGTAAAATATACAGACGTCTTCTTGTAAGTTTTTCCGTCGAAGTACTTGTCCCATTACATTTCTGACGCTTTTAGCCACCGGACTTGAGTCGTAGTGCCAGGGGCATGTCCCAACGTTCACAACACCTGCTCCCTTTATGACTCTTCCTGCCTTTGCGCCACCGCATACCTTCCCAGTTCCTCTTACCTTGGATACTGAGCCTGGGTTCACAGTATCCCTTGATCTCATAGTTGTCCCAGCTTACTTAGAGCCGCCGGATTTCATGAGCCAGCCTATTTTTCACATCGAAACAAGGCCCAGATTTCCAGGTATGCGGACTTGTAGCTCGATTAGCGACAATTTTGGCTGACCTGAACCTCATTGAGCTGTCATGCCGCCGCCTTATCTGTTACAATCTGCGTTGTGGACGTATCCGATTTCCAATATCAGCGGTCCAGAAATCCCAAAAATTAATGTGTAACAGCAAGAAATGCGCCAACGTCCACTTCTCAGGCATCTGCAGTAGACCTACCGCCTTCGATGTCGTCCGGAGAGGAGTACTTAGATGACCTAAGGTTGAGTACAGACAGAGCGCACCATCTCTCTACCTTGCCACGTGCCTCTTGGACCACACAAGAGTACAATGATAATCATAGACGGCTGTCGAGACGGTCGAGTCGCCCAATAACTTCGGAGCCTGACGGCCACAATGGTACCACGGCAGATCCTAGGGAGAATTCCGTAACACAATACCCGTTGCGGCCAAGTAAGCCACAACTCACCCCCGCTCCAAGTGAGGGAATATCCAATACCGGCGTGCAAATTCATATACATCGGCAGTACTTGGAAATAGGAAGCACCCGAACAGAAGGTGCCCAAGGTCGCGATTCTACGACTGCTAGTTGGGATCAAGATGAATAGCAAGCGTATACGGAGCTGGCGTGTAAGTGAAGAGCTTCTGTGAGGAGTTGATGCGTATTTGGCGCGGCGTTCTAGAGCGACTTTCGTTGAGGCATTTCACTGGCCCGTATATTATTGACCGATCGTCATCACGGCCTATTAAGAAATGAGACACCTGAGATGCTTTGCGTTGTGGCACCGCCCTCATTCCGAAATGGAATCTTATCACATCATCTTGCCTCCAGCATATCTTCATGAGTCTCTCAATTTTCTGCAGAATCCAAGTAGCTCTTCAGTCCCCTTCACCGCCTCTGGCATAAGTGATTTTGAGCCTCTTTGGGCCTTTGATCTCATCCTCATCTCCATCGGTATTTCCTGCACTGCTCTTTTTCTTCTTGTTCTTGTTTCCTCCTGTTGGCTCTTCTGTGCGTGGCGTTTCTCTACCGCTGTCGCTTGGGCCAGGGCTGACTTCTCGCATGAAACTGACACTACTTCTACTGAAGATCCTGTCCGCATCCATGGTACCGCCTTTTCTTCGCGAGGACGTACCCACGTTATTTGCAGAAGATGCTGTGGGAGCAGTGCTTGTACCCTTAATGTAATTGTCAAAGCCTTTGATTATATTGCCAGCTGATGTCTCTTCGAGATACGATGATTCGTAGCGATATATTTGGTCTTCGATAGCCGCCTACCGAAATTAGTGAATGGTTCCTGCGAATTACGGCTATAGCAAGGTGAACCAAAACAAAAGCAGAGGTATATCGTTGAAGCAGGGGGCAGCTAACCATGTTCTTGTCTAGAAGTCTCTTTTTTTGAAGTGTCTCACGTAAATCTTTACGTAGCTTCTCATAGTATGGCAACCCACGCGTTGAATCATTATTTACCGAGTCTTTCGGATTGTTGGTTTCAGCCATCTCAAAAGCATTCGATGTGCTCTATTGCGTTGGAGAAGTTCAGATGCGTGCCTCTCAATATACGTTGATCGATACAACGTGATATTGCACGTGTCGAAGTTGAAGGACACAAATGCAAAGTCTTGCTACGTTGCCTTGCTAACGCTACCGACTCTGGTGACATCGCCTGCAGCGGGCGCTACGCCTCGGACCGTCAAGCTGCCCCACGCCGGGATGCAGTAGTCCTTTTCGGGACTCAGTCCCGATACTGCCAATATGTGACCATAAATACGCAGTTCTGGCCGCCGGGTGTGTCTGCCATGACGCTCCGCCGTTCCACCTCTTCGCATCACGCTCAGAAGCTACAAGTCTGCAAAATGGATAATCATGAGCATATGGGGCATGGCGGAATGGGATCAGATCAGCCTATGTGCAACATGAATGTCAGCGAACGCTCTTGCTTCTTTCTCCTGCAATTTCCACCTTGGGCCGCTTGCCCAAACTTTCATATTCACTCTTTCCACGGGACTAGCTGACCGGACTCACCATGCGTAGATGCTATTCACATGGGACACAACAAATCTCTGTATCGTGTTCCATTGGTGGCGAATTACCGGCCTGTTTTCGCTTGTGGTATCTCTCGCAGCGGTGGCCGTTCTTACAGCAGGCTACGAACTTGTACGAGAAGGGAGTAGGAGATATGAAGCAAGGAGTCAGGAACAAACGAAAAGCCTTCCCAGTAGGTGATTTCCAATTCATGTCGATCATTCAATCGAGCTCGAGCTAAAGTCTCCAAAGCTGATGACGACAACTCTACTACGCTTGCAAATGAAAGAAGCTCACTGTTGTGGTCAGGGAAAGGCGCTAGCCAGCAAGAAAAGCGAGACAAAGTTGTCAAAGCCGCTTTCTATGCAGCACAAGTATTTTATAGCTTCTTTATCATGTGAGTCTACCCACAACTTTGTTGATTTTACTGCAATTCCACCTGACTCGGCGCTTAGGTTGCTCTTCATGACTTACAATGGCTGGGTGATGCTCTCCGTTGCTGCAGGAGCTTTCATAGGCTATTTGGGTTTCAGCAACTCTCCTGCGACTAAAGACGTAGCTTGTCATTGACGCAGAAATCTTATAATGTTGATGGAGAATGAGATGCATTGTCACAATTGATCCTTAGGTGATGTCTACGTCGTCGTCGAAGCCAAAATTAAAGTTGTCCTGTCTTTTGTTCTCTAAATCATGACCGTCTCCAAGTTCTTGCCACATTCTTTTTGCCGGGACATGATTGCCTCGCGCTTGCTCGAGCCCCTTCACGAGCAGCTTTGGATATGTCTGCCTCATTCTCTCAACAAATAGGTTATAAGGGCTCTGTATGGCTTCAATGAACCCGGACACTTGGTCAGATTTATTCTTCATGAAGTCAAGCACATTACTCAAATGGCTTTCGGGCACGAAATTCTGAGTCACAGCTATGCTCTCCTCTAAGTTCACCACAAGGTGCCACCACCCGCTTGGGACATGTAGTACTTCGCCTGCGCTGCAGATCCCTTCTTTGCATCCTGGTATATCCCGCGCTTGGGCATGAAATTCAAGGAACCATTCTGCTATGCTCAGAGGACTAGTTACTTCGCTCTGATCTTCGGACACAAAGACACCTGGCGGTAGTGTTGTAGGTGGAAAGAGGATCCAAAATTTGGAACCACGAATCACGGAATTCCAGGCAGACGTCGCATTTGGATCTTTATGGAACGTGCTGCCACTACGCTCCGGACCAATGATGAGCCATTTGTGATCTGGTCTCTGTTCTCCTAGGATATGGAACAGGTCAGCACCAAAACAAGATGGTGGCGTGTAGGAACCGGTCGTCAGGGCCATCTTGTCCGCAAATGAGCGATCAAATAGGTATAGCGGCGACTCGTCCGTGTTGTTTCGCATATATTGAATGTATGTTCCGAGTGGCCAATCTACTGCTTCTGCCCGAAATTTTACCTCATTATACTGGTTACCAAGCTTCTCGATAGACCAATCTGCAAAAATAGGCCAGCTCTTAACAGGGTCTGTAAGAACAAAAGGCTCACAAGTCCAGCTTTCTTCGAATTCGGAGTGATTGAGGTTGGGAAAACGTGAAATGACGTTTTTTGCCGGGATATTGGTATACTGAGACAGCAGGATATGTGAACAACGAAATGGTCGGTGAAGTGTGTCTGAAAAAAGGCCTGAGCAATCGACCTTGAAAGAATGAGAACTAGGAATCGTCAAATAACTAGTCCGCCACGTGCCTGACCAGCTACTTATGGTACGTTCTGATCTAGCAGACACCTCTCAGTGAAAGTTCGACGCCACAATCAAGGCAGAGAATAGCAAACATCGTGTAGAGCAAACAGGGAGAATAAGTAGATCCCACTTCAAGCAGGTCTCGAATGTGAATCTATCTGACTTTTCAGGAATACAATTGCAGATCAACATTTATGCAAAGGCAGCATTGCACGGTTCCAACACAGAACCTGTGTCTGACAAGGATTTTGCTTCACTAAGAGCGAAGGGCAGATGCTATCAAGACTGCTGAGGATGCAATGTACAATTTTACTTACCCTACAGAAAGTGTCTTCCACAAGTCATCAAAGCTTACGAACCCATACAAAGCTTTGCATGTGGCGGACACACATGTGAGCGACGAAACATCTAGCCACTCGAGGATTTTCAAGAGTAAGTCATCGGAAATGACGGCAAAATGGCCTGCCGCAGCTTTGAGGTTCTTCTCCGCTATATACAAGTTACCCAAAGGCTTCACTCCAAGCGGATGTGTAGCTATGGTAGTATCCTCGAGCTCATCTGCGATGGTGACTCCATCCGCATTGAGAATTCGAGTCATGGGCTGAGTCCAGCTCAAGAGGTTCTAGAACGTGAATGCGTTGGGAGATTGGTAGTGTTAAGACGGAATGGTGACTCAGGTCAAAAGCCCATTTCATCAACGTGGTGGCGGATGGTGCGCCCCTTAACGATAGAGGATAGCCCGTTGGTTCTAAAAGGTGTTTAAGGTCTTCGGTGGCGGCAGGCGAAAAAAGCTTGGCGTCTGCCGCGTCTAAAAAAATTTCCTCACGCCCACATTTCAGCTAAGACTTCTGCCTCTTTCAAATACACCTTCCCCCAAATATCCAAGAAAATCCAACGCCTCGATATCAGACCAGCACTCTTGGAAGAGTGCTCTGATATCAAACGCACCGCAAAGACTTTTAAGCGACGATTTGGGTGATAGCCAACTAGGCTTACATCCACCAGAGCAATCTCCAAGACCAACCCAAGCGCTCATCAAGATCGCGGTTGAAGACTGTGGTCGCCTTGAAACTATCTACAAGCATGGCTACCGATAAAGGTCTCGAGGAGATTCCTGAGAGTACGTTCAGCAGATATTCAGCATATTCATCCATCCTCAACATATTCATACGCTTCGCCTGAATAGATTCTGACTTGACCCTCGTGTAGCACAAATCGAGTCCAACTATGACGAGGTCACCGACTCATTCGACTCCATGAGCCTGAAGTCTGAGCTTCTTCGAGGTATGTCCTATATGGACTGAACCCGAGTTGCGAGGAAAGGCTGACAGATACTAGGCGTATATGCTTATGGTTTCGAACGTCCCTCTGCTATCCAGCAGCGAGCTATCATGCCAGTCATTAAGGGTATGTGGGCCGTTTCTCAAGTCTTGGAATTCTTGAGCTCATCTTCATACAGGATCCGATGTCATCGCTCAGGCGCAATCTGGAACAGGCAAAACCGCAACATTCTCCATCTCGGTCCTCCAGAAGCTCGATCCGAATATCAAAGCATGTCAAGCGCTTATACTAGCTCCAACGCGCGAATTGGCCCAGCAAATACAGAAAGTGGTCGTGGCCATCGGCGATTTCATGTCTGTCGATTGCCACGCTTGCATCGGAGGCACCAGTGTGAGGGAGGATATGACTGCTATACAAAATGGTCCACAGGTCATAGTCGGTACACCAGGTCGTGTGCAAGATATGATTCAACGTCGTGTACTCAAAACGGACTCCATGAAAATGTTTGTGCTAGACGAAGCCGATGAGATGCTTTCTGTATGTCCTCTTCCTTCAAATCCGGGGAGGAATTGATAGCTGACCCCTTTCAGCGTGGTTTTACCGAGCAAATCTACGACATTTTCCAGCTCCTACCTCAATCAACCCAGGTCGTTCTTCTCTCGGCCACTATGCCACAGGATGTCTTGGAAGTAACAACCAAATTTATGCGCGACCCTGTCCGCATTCTTGTCAAGAAGGACGAACTCACCTTAGAGGGTATCAAGCAATTCTATATTGCTGTCGAAAAGGAAGACTGGAAACTCGACACATTATCGGATCTATACGAGACCGTCACCATTACCCAAGCTGTAATCTTCTGTAACACGCGGAGAAAGGTCGACTGGTTGACCGATAAGCTGACTGCTCGCGACTTCACGGTCTCTGCTATGCACGGTGATATGGATCAAGGCCAACGCGATCTCATTATGAAGGAATTCCGGTCGGGCTCCTCACGAGTACTCATTGCTACCGATCTTCTTGCCCGAGGCATCGACGTCCAGCAGGTCTCCTTGGTTATCAACTACGATCTCCCAGCAAATCGCGAGAATTATATCCATCGAATCGGCCGTGGTGGCCGTTTTGGTCGAAAAGGCGTTGCGATCAACTTCGTTACGCAAGATGATGTACGCATGATGCGTGAGATTGAACAGTTTTACAGTACCCAGATTGAGGAAATGCCGATGAATGTAGCTGGTGAGCGCTCATTTGAATTCTTGACTTGAAAAGAATATTAATCAGCTTGCAGATCTGATCTAAGTTGCACGACTGCTCGATACCCATTTCGCACTGCTTGGCGACAGCGACCTTTGGGTCGTCACAATATCATTAGTGCATTCTCGACATCAACTTACTAGAAGGAGAGAAAGAGCCTTAGTTTCAGGCTCTAATAGATGGCTGGCGAGATGCGCTGGCGACTTGTTGGTATTGGTATTCTCTTTTATGCTGCGGCACTTTTTCTCTATCATATAAAAGTCGTTTGCTTGCACGCGCCCCTGGATGCGAAGATACGGTTGCATAGAGGCGACAAAATGGCGTCGTGTATGTGGCTCGCGGCATTATTTGAGGGGTATTTCCCTTGTGCGTACTTTATCCTTTTTCATAGATCGCGAATAAAACACACCCAACGTCTTTCAACCTTACTGCCACTCAAGCAGAACGTGCAGATACCAGATTTGCGTTCATTAAAGCAGCTATCGTAAAAGGTTAACGAACAAGTCGCCCGTCACGTTTTCATCTTCAAGACACGTTCAATCATGGTAAATTCACGCAAACGTGCAACCTCAACACGCCCTACAACGCCATCTGCCGAGCAATTCCACCCCGAAAGCCTCTTATGGGCTTACCGCCTGCAAAAAGGGCATCGCCAAACTAACCAGCGGCTCGATGAGTGTCGATTCAACTTACAGACATCGATATCAAACACGGACACTGGTGTCACCGGCCTCCAAGGGGACGTTAAAGTGCTATCAGCTAATCTCAAAATATTGAGCTCTCAACAAGAAGCTTTACAAAGGCAACTTGCGGGTCTAGAACGCCAAGTCAAAAAGACCAATCCAAATGGCCAGTTGTCAACAAACATCGAAACGCTGGCTCAGGATCAAGCAGATGGACTCGCCACCCTAGGGCAGCATTTCATCTTTTTGAGAAGCGAAACACAATCAGGGCTAGCAACTCTACGTGCAGATGTCTCAACGCTCCAAGGTGTTGGTAGAGACAGGCCTCCACTAGCTAGGCATGGTGAGTATCAATCTCTTTCCCTTCTGAGGTAACATGACCGAGTCTTCTCACACTCCTTATGCAAGGTTCCCCTCACAATTCGGAAGCTACAACAATGGGCACGGATTACGCGAACCACGAAACAACTAGTAAAGCCGAGAGCGAATTCGACGCATTGCCCCTGCAGGGACATGAGCATCTTGAAACCCATCTTGAACTTGGAGGGACGATAATTTCGAATCGTCTTCGCAAACACGAAGAGGATTTATGCAAGTCTTTTATTGCTGGCCTGACCGAGCAAGGCTATCAGGCAGTTCTACGATCGAGACTACGGCAAGTTGGATGGACATGGGGCAATGTTAACAGAGAGATCGGTCCAATGCTGAGGAAAGGTGACCGGAGGCTGCGAGGTGGGAAAGTTAGAAAGGTTCCATAATTGACTTCGACGACACAGATAGTATCTGGGAAGCACTCTTTCGCATTCATGCTCCATGGACTTTCTGAAGTGATTGCGACGTGGCAGGCTGTGAGATTAGGTGTCTAGGAAGCTGTAAATCTGACGGGGGATATTAGATTCATTCAAGTTTGCCTCGTGGCAAGGTATCTCAGGCTCTCCTCGTAGACCTGGCATCATTCGTCTAGACCTTTGAGAGTTGGAAGCCTGTAGGATCAATGGTAGATTGAAAGCAGACAAATTTCTTTGTTCTTATGAGGCATGAAAGCTCTGATAAAGCTTACTAAGCACTTCCTCTGTACATTCCTACTTGCCCGATTCAGGTTAGAACAAGCCGTTGGCGTATAGTGAGAGCTACGGCTCTACCAAATCCGCTTCTTCACCTCAGACCCTCCGCGAAGGAGTCCGGTCCGGCTTCAATTCTCTGAGCTGGCTGTTCGTCCTGTATTACAAAGTGTCTGCTGGCAGCACGACTAATCTAATTGGCTGTTTCCGTCGCTCCTTCTGCAAGGCGTGAATTATCGAGATCGTCCGTGCCCTTTGCTAATCTACACCTACAGTGAGCTCTCACTCTGAGTATCTAACGCTGCAATATAAAGGCTGAAATCGCGCCATGGTCCCTGACAGTACTTTCGCATCCTGCGTTCCGGTACTCGAAGATGCTGCGCTTGATCAGGAAGAGAAGACAGAGAAGATAGAGGTGTTGTTGAAAAATGAGCTCTCGTTGGAAGGCCAGGCTCTCGAAGATGCTGTGTTGAATGTTTTGTGGCGCCATCGAGACAACAAGAATCCTTCCAAATCTGCACCGCTGATTCGTCACCCCGTCGTCAGATCAAGCTCTCCATCTCCATGGCAGCATGTTCCTCGCTCTGGAACGCCGTCAGCCACAGGCTCACCTAGTATTGGAAGAGCAAGCCCAGCTCCTCGTGCAAGCTTCGGAGGTGCTGCTCCTGGGTTTATCAGATCGAAGTCGTTCGGGACAAGCAGTCCTTTTGGGTCACCACGCCCGTCCCCACGCTTAGCCGTGGCAACTCCTATACCACATAGTCCTAGCCTTAGCAATTACGAATTCAGTGTTGGAGGCAGTGAAAAGACCGATTATGGTGACTATGGTAGCGATACAGTCGAGTGGCTTATCAATGATGATTCTGCAAGTAGACCCTCTTCATCTGGAGCAGGGAGTGTATCCGAGGGCGGGCTCAACGCTGCGGCTACTCCTTGGATCCAGCCTCAGGCGAGTGAAATGTCTTCATATGATATGCTCAGATCCGTGATGGGCGACGGAAAGAGCGACGAAGAGATTGAAGCCGCTCTCGAGGCCAACGGATATGATCTCAGTGCCACGATCATGAATCTGATGGGCTCGACCGCAACCTCGCAAGAGCAGAATTACTTTCCTGACAGCGATGGCCAAATACTAATTGGGAAGTCCATGACGCCTAATCCCTCAGGGATGCGTGACGAAACGGAGCAGGGTCGCAGCAATATCATCTGCAAATACTGGCTAGCAAGTGGCAGCTGCTTGCGTGCTGACTGTCGCTTTAGCCACGATCTCAGTAACCACATATGCAAGTAGGTTTCCACAGGTCAAGTTGCTTCAAAGCTAATTTGTAGATATTGGGTCATGGGCAATTGTCTGGCTGGAGACTCCTGCATCTTCTCGCATGATCCTACTCTTTTGATGAATCGCATGAGCTTTGGCGAGGAACCTCTCAGCACACCAAATGTCCAGTCTCATCCGAGTTTCCAAGTACAGGACCAAGACTCATTTCCTACCTTGCAACCTGCAGCACAGCTCCAACATCGTGCAACATCTCCCGGTCAAAGCCATGCCCAACGCTATGGCGTTTCTCCCACTTCCCAAGGTCTTTATGGCTCCCCACGGCGGCATTTCGAGCCTCGGCCTAGCGCAATGAATGGTCTGACATCGTCTTACGGCTCAGGGAGTTCGCGTCCTACGAGCCGACACCGTTCTCCTCATCCAAATCAAATTGTCAACCTCCCGGCTGTAGATGATACGGAAGCGTTTCCGTCCCTTGGGACTTTGGGTCTGAAAGTAGGGAAGAAGCACCATGGTAAGCGGGGAGGACATGGCCACAGTCATGCCAACAAAGAAAACACACCCAATTCTCTAGCGGATGTAGTGCGGATGTCCCCTGGCCCATCTCCTGGGCTTCTTCGGAAAGGTCTCGCAAAAGCGAAAGCAAATACGATTAACTCAGCTGGAGGGGGTTCAATTCCTGCCCCTCAACACGTCCCTTGGCTTGAGACTGGCGCTAAAGCCAACCAAGAATATCTCAAATCCCGTCAAGAAGCTTTCATGCATGGAGCTAAGCGCAACAAGTTCTTGCAGAGGTGCGTATTTGACAGTCTTTTCGGCGGTCAATCTGTTGATTTTGTCCTTACAGTGCAGCACAAGCGTGGAACCGCAATGATGCCCGTGCCGCAAAAGCGCTTTCTCTTCGCGGCCAATCAGAGAATGACCTAATGCGGAAAGCACATAGAGAAGCGGCGCGCCTACTCTACGAAACTCGTAACAAAGACTCAGGCCATTCACCTGAGGTCTACGTTGACCTCCACGGATTACACCCTGATGAAGCTGTCAGCTTTCTGGAAGACAAGCTTGTCGAGCAGCAGCGCACTGGTAAGGTGGTTTATGCCATCACTGGGACGGGGCATCACAGCAAGAACGGAAAGGATAAGGTAGGTAAGGCTGTTCGGACGTGGTTAGGCGAATGGAAGTACGCCTTTCGAGAGTTTGGGGCTGGGGGTGCGGAGGGGTTGGGCGGTATTTTAGGGATTGATCCAGGGAGCTTTGACAGAAGCACGCTTGCTGATAAGGAGAGGGGAGGGACGAACCATGGTGCTGAGGAGGAAATTTTAGGAAGCAAGGTCAAAATCGTGAAGGCGACAGATATTGAAAGTGACGATGGAGAAGGCGGGTGACAAACACTTTTGGCAGAGAAATCAGAGAAACTTCAAACCAGCACTTCTTTCTCTCTGAAAATTTCTCTGCTTCAGCTGACTCCGCCACACCTGGAAAAGCAAAGGGTATCCGCCCAGACTATGTAAGCCTACGAAATCAATCAATGCAACGACCCGAACTATCTCTGTCTCCGCATTTGTCAAGACCAAAATCCCATCATTCGCTGCGTGAAATTCTATACAAAGATCATACCATAGACACACATCAGTAAGCATCATCATCGAACGGACAATCCACGCTCTCGTGCCCATCCCTCTCGCACAGGGCGCACCATTTGCCCGCATCTACAAACCCACTGGCTTTTCCAGGCACCATGCCATTGTCCGTCGGATTCGGCATCCGCCACTTTTCTGCTTGCGGAGGCGGATTAGCTGGCACCGAATTGATCTGTTCGCGGTCCCTGTTTCTTCCGCTATCAGGCGCCGGACTACGTGAAGGAGAGAGAGGTGCAGGGAAATCGTCCGCATTGTGTGCCCGAGCGCTCAAATTGGAATGTGGATGAGCGGTGGCCGAGACACCATTCGTCTGCGGTTGGGTGGAGAGAGGAAGAGGATTGGATGACATGTTCGTGCAATGCAAGATGTCGTGGCCATGTTCTTCGCATATCTCGCACCAGAGCGCCGAGTCTTCGGTCATTGTGGTTGCGGAGCGGTCGTCACCTCCGCTTGACGCTGGAGGGGAGGCGAGCGGTCGGTCACGCCATGACTGCTTGCTTGGGTTAGACTTATGGTTGCTTTGATTCTGATGGTGATTTTGATTATTGGTGGGGATGCTCGTGCGGTCGGAGTAGCCATTGCTGGGGGCGGAGGAAAGCTGGGAACTGTGTTTGCGGAGGCGTTGGATCTCTTGCTCGAGGCGGTCCTCGCGCTCGGTTTTACGGTCAACGAGTTCTTCCAGGTTTTTGTTCTCAAGCCCGAGTTTCTCGTTGATGCGGCGGGCCTCGGAGAGCTGGGCTTCGACTTGAGGATTGGGTTGCTGGTGGCTGTCGTGTTTTGACCGCCGACTTGACCTTGGGCTGCTGGGACTTGTTGCGGAGGCGTCCCTACTTAATGAGTGGATGATGGCTTTGAGACCGTTGATTTCGTTGTCTCGATGTGCGATCTCACGTAGAGAACTGGGGTCTTTGGAGCCGTCCCCAAATCCTCTGCCCGCAGCAGGCTTCTCTCTTTCTCGCCTCAATTCAGCTTTTCCTCGTTCTACTTCACCCCTGAGATGCTCGACCTCCGCTCTAGCTTCGCTTTCACCTCTCCTGGAGTCCTCTAAACCCTCTTCAAGCTCCTCGACATGCTTCTCAAGCATCATCAGCTGTTCCGTCACGCTTTCAATTTCTTCTTCATGACCACGTGTTGAGCTCAGCTGCAGCTCCAAACCAGCTATCCGGTCCTCGTAATGTTTGTTCGTTTCATCGGAGGTTTTCTCAAGAATATCGATGGTGTCTCGGAAATCGGCACGGTGCGAATCGAACTCTCGAGTCAACGCTGCAATCTTCTCGTTCTTCTCGCGCACTAGAGCCCGCAGAGATGGAGTATCAAGGTCTTCTACGCCAGATGCCAGAGAGGATCGGTTGGTGGCCGAACTATGCTTAGGGGTTACGGCTTGCAATTCTGCGACACTGTTTTGCATCTCATCTAGATCCGCAGCATACTTTTCCAATAACTTATCGCGTTCTTGGAGCTGAGATCGCAAGGATCTGAGCTCTTTTTCCTGGTTCGAAGATGGTCTAGAAGCCTTCTGTGAAAGCTTAGCCAGAAGTGCAGAACTGGAGTTGCTGACAGGTGTATTGTCCGACTCCTCATCAAACATTGCTTCGGGGCCGAGTTTGGGTTCGAGACGGGAGGGACTCCGCGACGGCGACAGTGGTCTCGATCCTGTAGGCTTTCTTATTGCAGGCTTCGGGGTCGCTGGCGGTCGCTTCGAGGGATCGCCTGGAGTTTCTCTTGCGCCTCTGACACTGCCTCCGAATCTGTTCGGTGTTGGGCTTGGAACGTGTCGAGGGCCACCGATCATACTCTTGGAAAGACTAGGTTTACCAACGGACGGTCTGGCCAAGGGCGTTGATCCGGCATTCGTAGGCTTTCTCTGAGGTGATTCTGGGCGAGGTAAGGAGGGTCTCTTGGATCTCGCCGTTGGGCTGGGAACCCTACCCGGTCCCACCGACTGGCTCAGTTTTGGTGTGAATCCTAGATTGGAAGCCGGAGTGATTGCTTTTGATGGCCTGCTCTCTGTACCATTCGTAGTAAGGGGTGGAGATGTAGGTGTTTGCGGCGCCTCATGACCCGAGGACAAATTGGGAGCCATTCGTTTGTAGGCCTTGTTTGATGGCAAGAAGATACCTGCACCTTTGACAGAGGTGGTAAAATAGTTGATCCTTTCAGCCCGTCAGCACAGCCAAGTACGCAGTTTTCGTAACCCGACCCACCCGTCGACGTCACCGTCATTCTTTCCTCGTGCCGCATACTCTTTCGCCAATTCTACCCCCGCAAAGAGACCTCTCTTGCCTTTGACTTCTCCAATGAACTGGATTATGCCATGCATGCCCCCGGGAACATCCACAACGTCACCCACTCCAAGATTTTGATTGCCATTTCGATCGTCGCTAACGGTCCTCATCAAAGACGACTTGAGGGAGCTCATCGAAGGCGAAGTGACCCCCTTATGACCTATGTGCGAGACCTGGAAACCGCCCTCGTCGCCAGCAGCAGGATCTCGAATCGCGGCCTGTTGGCTTGTGACAGGGAGGGCGGGCAAGGGAGGCACTGAAGGCGCGCGCGTTGAGGAATGAGATGATAGAGCGGGTGACGACGCGACCTTGATTCTCGTCGAGCCAAGAGACTGGCGCGGACGTCCAAGGGAGGACCGTCGCTGTCGAGTAGATGTTGTTTCCATCTTTAGAATTTAGGTAGATCGCGTGTTTACCTGCGGCCAGCCGCGCAGTTGATTGGCTGATCACTAGGTTCGGCACAGAGAGTCTCGTTCTTTGGACAACCTGTACCAGTATCTTGCCCATCTCTCTCAATGCTCGGCACGGAAAGAAAGGATCACCAATTCATTGTGGAGGGAGGGGAAGGGGAAGGGAAAGCTCATTGGAATGCAAGAATTTGGCTCGTTCTTGGATCATGGCCCTCAATTAACCAACCTGCAACAAAGTGGCGTAAGCATGCATGAACGAACAGCTGCAGGGGGCCAGGACGGTCCATTTGATTCGTCATCTATATTCCTCCCAGTATTGATACCCAAAACCATGCACAATAGAGGCCTCCTAATGTCCTTCCAAGGGCCTTTCGCTTCAGCATTCTCCGCTTTCCCACAACGCACAAAGGCACTAATGCCATCGTATGCTGTAATTTCTCCTTCCTTCAACATCAGTCGACGGTGTGCATGACAACGAGCCATGGCTGTCTTAGCCATCTGGACGAGCGTCTTCCTGACGGCCCAATGGCGCTACCCCCTGACACGCTTCGCAGCCTCCTGTTGCTTGGTCTGGCTGAGTGCTGCTGCACAATCAAGGTATTCGTCATACGCTGTTTCTCCGTGGGCCTAACGGCCACCTAGTAGTTTACTAGTGTCAACACAGAATCGAAGAGGGTAATCAGTACTTGCTCCCTTTTTGGAAGAACGAACATGGGTATGGTTGGAAGAAGAGGGAACCTGCATTGGCCATAGAGCCACGCTTTCTGCCGAGAAAATCTACATGACCCGAAAGAATGTCCAAAGTAAACATTATCACCCACCTTGCTCATGATCAAACAATGTGGAGGCATGCCCATGAACTCGAGAGCAGAGCCACACAGATCAGATATTATTTTATCAAGGTTTAGGAACAAAGATACCCGCACGAAGTAAGGGAAGAGGGATCTAGAATTTTGACTTTTGGTAGCTCTACAGTGTTCACACAGTTCATAGGCATTGAAAGATATGCGGCAGGGCTGGAAGAGCAGCCAAGTAAGGACTTGGAGGTCATCAAAGAATGAAAATCAAGCCTGTAACGATCAAGGAGACTGAAGCTTTGGAGTCTACAGGCATCTTTTGAAAATGGTACGGATTCTAAGACTTAGAAGGAAAAGCCTTATGAATACTCCCAGGTGCAGACGCGTGAAGTAGAATGAGCAAAGTACCTACAAATTTTGCATTGCAAGCACATGAGTATTTGATACCTCTGCCAACAGGTGTATTATGAGGTGACGTATTCAGACCGACAGCCTTGCGATGTTTGCAATTGTCACGCCGATCTCTCGCTGGGGATAAGGTAACGCTCAAACATTCACCTACTTCATTTGACGAGCATCTCACGCATCGTCGACTGAATAGCTCGTCAGGCGTCGCGAATATCGTGTGCTGGTTGAGATGAGCCATTCTACTACTCCGCCGGCAGCATTGACCACGGCCTGTTTATCTTTAGTTTGAGGAATATTCAGATTTCAAGAGTGCACTTGGGTTTCAAGTTATCTTTCTCCCAACGTTGCCGACTCCTTTGCCCACCACACTAACGACAACGTCGCCTTCTGAGCCTTGAGCAGCCTCACGGATGCCCCAGCTGCTGGCGCCGAACGCTTTGAGATCTCGTGCCAAGTCCACAAGAGCCTCGCTGCCAGCGACATCTTTACCAAGCTGAACACGGCCGACATCTTCCGAGCCCATGCTCATTAGAGTCAGTACAACTGGTGCTGCTAGCAAAGAGACACTGCCACCCATCGAGATGGTCTCGAGTAATTGGTAGGCACATTGAGATCCAAGAGCATCAGGTGGTGTTCCACCAGCAGACGGTGAGGCAACATCTGCCGAGTAGAGCGAGCCATTCGATGACTCTGCAACTAAGGAAAGGCCAAAACCTAGCCCGGATTTGCGTCCTTGACCGGACCCAGACGTATCTACAGGTGGCGAATGAGGCGCGGGAGTCACGTCAGAGAATATATAAGTATCCGCTGTGAATGAATTCAATATGGATCTAGCCGCATCAATCATTCGAGCGTTGTTCGATGAAGAGACTCCAGTGCAATACGCAACACCTCGTATCCTTTTTATCTTGCCCGGATTGAGGATATGTATAGTGATAGGTAGGCGAACCTGATGCCCAAAGATCAATTGGACTTCGCCAGCACCCCCTTGACCACCGCGCCCAGCATTTGATCGTCGTAGTATTTTGAGTTCAATGTTATTCATAATACCGAAATGGGCGAACAAGGGCAAGATAGCTGTCCGCACACTGTCCGCCGACACATCGCCTGTTTGCGTCGCAGAGGTGATAACACCTGGACCAGTGAAAAGCACATTCATTGGTGCTTTAGAAAAAGGTGAAAGTAAACATAATGGTATCAAAAAATAGCTGATTCCTCTTGCGCAGACGGCTGGTAATTCATGGCGGATGACTCCTCCACTTGCGCCTGAACCTGGTGCACTGCCAGTGATTAGCCCTGGCTTGTAGACGAGCGTCGTTCCTGTGTAGGATATCTCTATGTGTGAGCCGTTTGTTACTGCTTCGAGCAGACGGAGGAACGAGATTTCATGGGGCGCAAGTCCTGGATTTGACGTGGAATCAGGACGGATTTTGGAAAGATGGACAGGTCGTCCCGTGAGCGTAGCAAGGACAAGACGATGGGCGAGGGACTTTTGCGACGTTAAGCGTAGTATTTTCGCCGGCGGTTCTGCCATACCGTTGAACTGAATGAAGCTCGAGGAGGCCTACACACGACGATGCTCATTGGCTGAATTGGAGGAAACGGAAGAATAATACGATACGGTATTGAAAGGTGCACGGAAAGTCGGATACGTCCGGGAACCGACGGCGTCATCTGCTCCTTGGAGGAAAGATTTCGGCTCTGATATCAATCCAATATGCCACAACGAGCTGGTGCAAGCTCTCATTCATATCACTGCAGCTGTAAAGCATCGGAATGCTTTCAAGTCCATTGAATCTGCCTAAATGGTTCGCAGGTTGCAAGTAGCAACTCGAGGAAGTCTAGCTGATTTAGCCAGGCTCAAGGAGAATTCTCATTTACTCAAGCCTCCCATTAACAATTATTGCGTTTACAACAAAGATGTAACGGTCATGGTATACAATGTCCTCAATTATAAGCTTGCACGATCACGCCCTGACTTACATCTATCTGACCAATAGATCGTCGGCGGTCCAAACGCTAGATCTGATTATCATATCAACGAAACTGCGGAATGGTTCTATCAGTATAAGGGCTCCATGCTCTTGAAAGTCGTCGACGAGGGTGATTTCAAAGATATCCCGATACGCGAGGGCGAGATGTTTCTTCTCCCTCCCAACACGCCTCACAACCCAGTGAGATTTGCAGATACCGTGGGCATCGTTCTGGAACAACCCAGGCCGGTAGAAAGTAAGGACAGGTTAAGGTGGTACTGCCAGAATTGTGGCTCGATTGTGTACGAGGAGTCATTTCACTGTACAGATCTAGGGACCCAGATTAAAGAAGCTGTCAATGGCTTCAAGGCTTCGGAGGAGAAGCGGAAGTGCGATGCATGCGGCGAGCTTGCTGATCTGCTCCCCAAGGACGCGAAGCAACCATGAAGGAGACTATCAGCGTGCCATTCCTGCCTAAGCCTACAGATTTCCAAACCTCGTATTCGTATTTTGAAGCTCAATGTAAGATAAGTACGCTAAGGAAAGCCTCATCTCTGTAATTAACATCCCGTTTTTGACTTCAAATCTTCTGTGCCCCGCCTTTCGTGCTTTCTTTCTTTCCTATCTCCACGTCTTCGTCATAATGTATTCGATGTGAGAAGATCATTGCGCGTTGACCATATGTATCCGTACGATGGTTCTCCACGCATAACGCGTCTACCTTCAGTGTCAATCATCCTACCGTGCCCCACATCTCTGCGATCAGCTTGCAAGGGCCGTTCAACCCCATTCCATGCCCGGACGATTTTGAAAACCTCAACCTTGATATCTTTATGTGTACTTCTGACATATTTGCGAGACTTTGCAAGAATCCGGAAGGCCTAAGTATGCCTCGCAGGCGCTTCGGCGACAAACATCGCCTATTACGAGCGCGAACAAAGACAGCTCCAATACGTTGAAATGCGTCCTTGCTTTTCCTCAAGTGTTTCTCGAAAGCTTCTGGCGATGTATGATCTTTTGAGATGTCCGTAGGATCGCACTTTGATGAGCTTGCGTTCAAGTGGATTTGTTCTTACACTGAAAGAAAAACGAGTTGGATATTGAGACTGGTTGACGAATGCCTGAAAGAGCCCTTTACCCAAGAAGCGTGTCACATCTGCTACCCCGCAAGTATTATATGCCATGTGTTCTTCGTGATCATGAGGTAAATACAGATTTTTTTTTTTGGAAAAGTCCTTTACCAAATAAGAAGCGGTGTCTCATTGCTCCTTTCGAGATGATACGATTATCAATATCCGCTTCTGGACGTTCTTTCTCGTCTGTTGATTTCATCTCTGAGTTTTTGCTGGTCTTACTCTGGTATTGTACTCATGTACCAGCTACCTCCGACTTAGGTATCGCAGATCCTGCACTAAATGGCGAGGCTCGCGGCTACTGCTGCAGTACGATTCCGTGAGAAGAGAAATTGAGCCTTGGACGGCTATTTGCGCAACCGCTGATGCCTCTTTTTTTCATATAAAACATGTGCTCTGTGTAGAGCAGATTCGTGGTTGCGATGCAGAATTCCTCGTGAGCCGAGCAGCAGCAAAACCTTTGCCATCTTCGATGTTAGAGCATGAAGGTCACACGATTGCAACATTTGAGATTTGTCCAGAAGCGCGGTCTCTTGCGCGGTTGTTGGCCCTTGGATTTTCATTCCGTCCAAAGAGTGACAGACACATTTCCAAGCAGGCGATGAATCGATTGTCAGGTTGGCCGCAGATGGCTATGAGCGACTACACCAGGTCCTACCAGCAACAAGGTTTCTGATTCGGGGTGGCTGTCGCTGTGTGAATCTACAGAATGTTTTGGCCTTCGGAGCTGGGAGCAGCCAGATGGTCCGCTGCACAACGCTGCTCGGTCGCAAATGAAGACGCATGGAGAATTGCAGGAAGCAGGCCCGGTGATTCGCCGAGGATGCTGTTGGCGTTTGATAAGGGAGCCGGCATGAAGAATTTTGACGCTAGCTCCAGCGAGACAAGCGAACTTTATGATGGGATGCGGTGTCGCAAAGTTTTTCCCACCTACTTCTTTTCTCTCATTCTTTGCTTTTCATCAACCACAACACAACCACAGCTATTGCCATCTTCAAACTTCTTGTCGTCGCTTCAGGAAATCTATTAGATAGTTCGACAGCAATCAAACAATCAAATTCACGTCTTTGACCGTCACGTCCTTGTAAGTCTCCGATGTATCGTTCTTGGCAAAGCCTAAGGCGCGTCCATGGATATCTGCACATCCCAACATCTTTCTTGTCCATAAATACTACACGTTCATCAGCGTGTCAAATAAGAAGATTTCTCACTTCTCCTGTTGCTTTGATCCCCTCTACACCTGTCGCGTCTTTCAAGGATCTTCCGCGAAGGCTTATCGTCAGACAGTCCAACCTTGTTCCCCCCGTTGCCGTCCACTATGGAGAATCAAGCTCCGGACACAGTACCAACGCCGTCGCAGTCTGAAGGTCACGATACAAAAGAGCAGGTGGAAGGTGCCTCAGATTCACATGCCAGCCCTGACTTGACTGTCGCGTCAAAGACTGCTGGTGCGGAGGCAAGTACCGATGCTGCATCCGAAGGTAAGTTGACCAATGTCTCTTGATGCATCAAAGCATTGTTTTTGATGCCCTCTGTAGCACCTCAAACGAATGGAGACCCAGCGCTAGCCAACTCCGAAACACAAGACGCGACTCAAGAGTCGGCAGAGGCAGATGAGGACACGATCATGAAAGACGCCGGAGAAGCCACCGAAGCGTCAGAAGCAGCGTCGAAATCGATCGCGCCACCAACCGCAAATGGCACGCCGGCTACAAACAAACGAGCAAGCATTGGTGGATCTTCAAAAAAGAAATCTTCAGCAGTGCCGGAACACAAGAGCAAGAAGGTCAACAAGAAGAAGTCGAGACCGCTCACACACCTTGATGCAAACCCTGGCGAATACTTCTTCGCCCGTATGAAAGGACATCCTCCGTGGCCGTCCATAATTTGTGATGAACAAATGTTGCCTCATAGTCTCCTCACAACCCGGCCAGTCACAGCCGCTTTACCAGATGGCACATTTAAGAAAGCCGACTACGCGGACGGGGGAAAGAGAGCCTACGAACGAACTTTCCCCGTAATGTTTTTGTAAGTCCTGCATTGCCAACTAATCTACCATTGCTGACAAGTAATAGGCACACCAATGAATTGTAAGTTCTTCACTCCCTCTACGAACACATCGCTCGAAATAGCCAGCCATGCATCATAGCCTCATTCCTGACGTATGAATCTTTCAGCGCCTGGATACCTAACACAGAGCTTACACCACTTGACCCTGACTCTGACGACGTGAAATCTCCGAATGAAAAGGGTAAAACGAAGACCTTGATTGCTGCTTACAGTAAGGCGGCAGAAGCAAGCACTCTTGATGCTTTCAAGGCTATGCTCACGGATCATCAAAAAGCCCTAGAAGAAGACATAGCCTTACAGGAGGAAAGGGAGGCTAAGAAAGCTGAAAAGGCAAAGAAAACAGCCCGCAAAAGCTCGGATGCGAAGGCAGATGACGATGAGATGGATGTGGATGATGAGGTGGCCGAAAAGCCGAAGTCCAAGAAGCGAAAGAAAGCTGCCGATGAGAGCGATGCAGACGAAAAGGTAAGCTAAACACTGATCCAAACGTTTACGACGCTGATGTGCTAAGCCCGCAAAGACGCCAAAGACGACTACTAAGCTGAAGCTCTCGACCCCCAAACAACCAGTCGAATCTGCCACAAAGAAGAAGGCTTCAAGATCTAAAGCTAAGGCTAATAAGAGTGGAAGCGACGAAGATGCTCAAACGCCAAAGGTTGAAGAGAAGCCGCTGTCACCAACAGAAATGAAGGAAATCAAGGAAAAGAAGGGTCAGTGGATCTATTGCATTGCAAGCAAACAAAGTTAATTTTGACAGTATTGTATTTCCGCCACAAACTCCAGCGAGGATTCTTGTCTCGAGATACTGTACCGAAAGCAGAGGAGATGAAGTCGATGTCGGACTTCCTAAGTGACTTAGAAGCTTTACCAGATCTGGAAGGCAGCATTATACGAACAACAAAAATACACAAAGTGCTCAAACAAATGATTAAGCTGGAAAACATTCCCCTCGAGGAGGAACATAAGTTCAAAGATCGGTCTGCGGCATTGTTGACGATATGGAATGACACCCTTTCCAGCGATGGTCCCCCAGATGAGAAAGGTGAGGAGCGAAGCGAACAGAGAGACGACGCCAAATCAGAGCAAGAAAAAGATGAGGACCCAAAGGAAGCAAAGAAGAATTTCAAGGTACAGGCTACTGCTGAAGAACCAAACCCTACTGTGAATGGAGAATCTAAAGAGACAAAGGAGGAGATGTTGCCCGAGGTAGAGCCAGAGAAAGCAACATCGCGAGTTGCATCTGAAGAAAAGACCGCAGAAAGTACGGCAGCGACTGCGAACGGTGTAAAAGATGCTGATGTGCCGGAGCCGACAGAGACAGAGACAGAAAAGACGAGCGAGCCGACAGTCCAAGAGGTCAAGGGGATTGAAGACCCAGCTGTGCTGAGTGCATCATCTGACGTCACATATCCAGCACCCGCTGAGGCGATGGATACAAGTGCCTAAATCAGTCTCTGGTAATTCGATTGGGACAAGGAAACGCGATCGAGAGGGCATAGGATGCGTGCTCAATGAAGTGGACACGCATCTCCAGAAAAGGCTTTGCGTCTAGTGGTAGGCAAAGCAGATCAGGAGTATGGCAGAGACTTGGTAGTCCCTGTGGCGAAGGAACGCAGGCAATTGAAATATCGTGTACATATTCCTTGAACGTGGATGCGTTCAGATGACGGAAAGTGAAAGATATCTTTGGTATAATCATCCATTATGAACGATGTGCACGAGGATCAGAACAACCAGACAAATTGTCATATCTGTATTTCGAAGAGGTTTAGACCAGGCAGCAGTGTGAGATGGCTAGGTGCAAGAGCCGTTTGAGATGGGGCTTTCGTTCCATGAGTCGCTATATGTCCATAGGGGTATATGCAGATGCACAGATTCAAGCTAAGAATGTCACCATTAGGATATGAATACGATTTCTCAATATTCAAGCAACGTGGGTTTCGCTGTCACCACTGCCTCGACGCATGGCTTTTAGCTGTTCCTTCAGTTGTTTCTCGCGGAGCTCGGTTTCAGTTCGGGAAATTGAACGTATCTGCCAAGTACTTCATTAGCAGTATCCTTCGTACATGCTCGTAATATTATCAAAGGTAAGAGGAAAGCCCGAGCAGCTCTAGCTTTAGAAGAGGTCGTAGAGTACATTTTGCTCAGTAAAATTAACTACCCACCTCTTCATTGGCTTTTGCCCTTACAGAACCGTTCCTGAAGGGGCTGCCTTCAGCCTCAGGAGGAGACACAGATATCTTGCGACGTTTTTCATCAGGCGAAGAGACAGAAGAGGTGTTTCGTCTTCGCCTAGCCGGAGGAGCATAGCGTTCTCTTGAACGACGTCGTTTTTCCGGCCTCCTATGTGCAGGACTCCTACTTCTACTACGGGATACCGATGGGGGTGTCAGCCGATCTCGTCTGCTGCGAGATCCGAAGCCGAGGTTGCGACCTTGAGGCGGTGGAGATGGAGAGCGCCGTGTTCCTTTTCGATAATCAGTACGGTTGGAACTATGTCTATTATTGGATGGTCTTCTTTTTGGCTTTGAGGCTCTAGCTTGACTCAACGAGCCAGAACGAGAGGACGATGAAGATGAATATCTTCGCCGTTTGGGGTGACGACGGTCTTTAGGTGGAGATGACGAGCTTCGGGAAGAGACGGAGTCGGTGCGACCTCGATGGCTGGGTCTAGGGGATAGTGAGCGAGAAGCTTCTGAAGGTGTTGGAGATCTATCTCGACTGTCACTCCGTCTCAGTAATTTACTATACCCATCCACTCGAGGCCTTCGCGAAGGCGGTGTCCGTGATTTGTTCGGTGTATATTGGCGCCTCCGGGGCGGTGCCTCATCTCGAAATCTTCGCCGCGGCGGCGTCCGAGACCGAGAGGATAACGTCTTTGACCTTCGCGGCGGAGGAGATCTTCGCCTTCCGCTATCACTAGGAATATAAGTGTCAACGTCTCGCCTTGGAGGAGCTCGGTAGTCGTCTCGGCCCCATGGGCTACGGCGCCTCGGAGGAGGTGACCTTGAGCTCCTTAGAGGACGTGTAGGAAAATCATAGCGATCCCTACCACCTCGTCCCCGGCCCCGCCCTCCTCGCGAGTCTCTATCACGATGGCGAATTGTGTCAATTTGAGTCTCACGTTGTCGCTCTTGTTCTCTCCGCTGCTGAGCCTCCTCTGCAATCCTCTCTGCTTGAATCTTCGACATTTATGATTAGCAGATGTCTTGCTTGTTGGCTAGGTGGACCAACCTTCTCTTGTATCAGCTCTAGCTTTTTCGCCTCTAGTAGCTCCTTTGGTACACCTTGCGCATTGCTTTGCGCGCTGAGGCATAGCAGCCACAGCTCCTTACAGAATGTGGCAGTCTGCTTGTCAAGGAAGCCGGTGAGTTGGATTTGTAAGACTTTAATGTCGGGCTTGGAAAAGCTAAGTCAGTCGACACCGATAGGAGTTCGTGCATTGCACTCACGAAACGTGAACCTTCAAGCAGGTTGAAGCACAGCTCTATAACGATATCGTCCTCGTTACCCAATATCTCTGAAATCTTACTGGCAATCCATCTGATAGTTGACGTGAGCACAATTCGGTAGCGTCAGGCTGAAGGGCTCACTTTTTCATTACCTCAACATTGATTTTTTTCATGTCAACCTTCTGGGTAAATTCAGGAGGGAACTTGGTAGCTTTTAGTAGCTTAGCATCCACATTACTCGCCATGGCTAAAGTGCCCTTGCTCTACGGCAGGGAGTGATGATATCTGCTTATGTGTATGTACCTCGAGGAGATATTTCGCGGGTACGGGCCGGGTATCAAAAAGCTTCTAGTTCTGGCCCCAGGAGAAAGGGAAGGAAGGCACGAGGGCATGTTCGCACCTGCTTGTTTCGATTGTAGCTACCTAGTAGAAAGGGAAACATGACGAGGCCATTTATTAATGCTTGTCTATGTATTCACCGCTTCTCTATCAATCGCCCGATTGTCCACATTCTTACCAATGCATTATTTGCGGTAAATTCCATTCTCGGTCATCCTGCACCATGTCTTCTAGCCGTCCCAAAACAGCGACGGGTAGGTGGAACTGGTCACGCTTTGCGGGAGCACATGGAACAAATAGCGAGTATACATCGAGTGAAGATGGTGACCCACTGCCGAACATGAAGCATCCGCTAGTTCCAGCAGAGGAGGAACAACTTCCAAGAAAGCCATCCATTGTTGACCACACGAGTGGTGACCGGCGACCTTCAGGTGAACAGAGCTGTCCGAGAAAGACAGTTACGATTCATGATGGTGTGTGTGGTCGTAGACGCCGAATGCAAAATGCGTATGGTGCGTGAGACTAATTGAACGAGAAGATCCGACATCAGATGAGCAACAGCCGTCTGATCCAGCCAGAGATGGCTCAGCACAGAGATCTCTAGGCACCCGAGCAATTGCATCAGAATCATTAGAGCATTCCCTCGATGAGACCAACCAGGAACCTGCCCGAAGGGACAGCAGGTTTCTCGAGTTGACTGATGAACGTCAGACGATACCTACTATAAGTAGGCTATGTTCCTATTGCTTCAAAGAGACTGATATTGGACTGACCATACAATAGGTCTGGAGCTGATCACAGACCCCACGAAAGCGACACAGGAACCGGATCGTCCAGAGGTCCCTCCAATGGTACCGGTCATCAAGATTCAGAGGCCGAGCAGAGAGCCGTCCGGAGATGCAATAGAGGCTTCTCCCAATGACCTGTGCACATGTCCATCAAGCGACGTGCCTGACACGTATGTCACAGACATCAATGCTCCAGCGTCTGATCAAGTGCGCAGCGACGTCGCGCAGGCATTGGAGATCGCGGAGGAACATGATACCGAGCTCGTCGCCGTAATGCCTAAGTCGACAAATACTGGAACTAATCTGAGTATGAAGCCTGTTAGGATCAAAAAGCACAAGATGGCCTTGCGCAAATCTCGAAATGCGATTGCTAGGAAGACATTCCTCAAAGCCGGCTTAGGCAGACAATTAGCAATGCCGACAAAAGACGCACTGAGACGATTGGCTAGAGGCGAAGACGTAACCATCGCTGACATCAAAGTCATCGGTTGAGATCACTGTCCTCTGTGAAGTCTGGGCGTCCATAAATCGCTTCTCAGCCTCAGGTCCTTTGTTGAAGCTCGTTGTGTGGATTGATGAGTGCGGCCTCCATCGTGACAATGTAACCTAGTAGCCTTTGCCCTAGCCTAGAGTTCAACCAAAGTGCTCATTTCTCGAATAGCAGGGTCTTCTCCAGGTTTGATGCAAGGTTCAGCGTGATCATTGAGCCTTTGTCATGACTCGGAGCTATCGAGCTCCCTCAAAACGACCTCAACCTCGACTCTCGCTTGCCTCAACCCCTCATCATCTCCCTGCTGATGCTTCACTTTGACACCATAATGCAGCTCCAAAAGATCCCTTACTCGCCGGATATCTTTGTCTTGTTCCAATTCAGCTTCCGCTTTTTGCTGTCCCGATTTGTCCTTGTGCGCAGAAACGAGTGCAAGAGCCGCTGAGTAGTCCTAGCACATATGAGCTTCAAAAGCCCGAGTCTTATTGAGTTGATAGACTTACACAAACTCGCAACGACATCAGGTCTGATAGCATCGACGCAATCTGCATGGTCACAATCGATGAATGGTGCGCAAGAGCTCTGGTACCAGAAGGATCGCGTAGCACCCGTAGAGAACTAGTTTTGCGGCTCGGATTATTTCTAGCACGAATTTTATTGGTGGTATCAGACCTATTCCTGCAAACTAAAGCAGCTTCAGCCTTCTCTGGTTGTAATACGTATCCGAGCAGTCAATGACAGCTCGCAATATAGCAGTCAACTGCCGTAAGGTGGTTTGTATAGGGCGCAATTATGCGTATGCCGACCCTGCCCTCTCCCATGTCCAACATGAGCGCTGAATTTCCTTCCCGATCCAAATAGCTGATTAAATCAAGCGATCACATCAAAGAATTGAACAATGCTCGTCCTACCCGCCCTTTCTTCTTCCTCAAGCCCCCTTCATCCCTCCTATCTCCAAACGTTGGCCCGGTCCTGCGGCCAAATGGCACAAATCTACACTATGAGGTTGAATTAGCGCTTGTGATAGGGAGAGAACTTAGCAATTTCTCTGCTGCAGATGCATCGTCTGCGATTGATGCTATAGAAGGTTATGCACTTGCTATTGATATGACAGCCCGCAACATTCAGGATGAATGCAAAAAGAAAGGTCTGCCGTGGACCATTGCGAAGGGGTTTGATACGTTCTGTCCGATCTCCACTTTCATTCCTAAGGAGAGGATCAAGGATCCGCATGACGTCGAGCTGTTTTTGAATATCAACGGGAAGGTTAGGCAGCGGGACAGCTCAAGTCTTATGCTCTTTAGGATTCCTCGGCTTTTGAGTGAGATATCTGGCGTCATGAAGCTTGAGAAAGGCGACTTGGTGCTAACGGGCACGCCAAAGGGGGTTGGAGAAGTATTTGTTGGTGATGTCATCAGTGCCGGGGTTGAGGTGGACGGTTCTGAAATCAACGAGGGCAGGATAGAGGTAAAAGTGGAAGAGAGATCTGAAGGCTATATACACGGAGGGTAATGACCAAGCATATAACGAGTACTCCAACCAAGAACGCTATACATACAAAACGCAAGGACGCAGCGATCCTCCGAACCTCAATATTTAGACATCCAAGAAGACTGTACAAATATCCACCCCTCGCTCGAACGCAAGACCAGATCACAACACCGCCCCGATTTATGAGCCGGTCTGCATGTTAGCAACAAAATCTATCCTCAAATTCCGTGAAGAGCTTTGGACTTATTTCGTCGCTACTATTGCCTTGGACTGTCCACAGCAGCCCCTTCTTGTCGTAATGCTCCAGTAATGGTTCGCTCGTCTCGCCGAATTTCTTCAAGCGCGTTTTCCAAGTATCTTCATTGTCATCTTCCCGTCTGGTCAAAGGCTCACCAGTGATATCATCTTTGCCTTCTAATTTTGGTTTATTGAACCCAGTATTGTAGACTCTTCCACTGGGCGCGTGGACCCAACGGTCTGCAATGCGTCCAATTATGATGTTGATTGGGGTGATGAGTGACACCACGAGGTTGACCGGGATCAATGTATCAAGTCGAGATGCTTGTAGAGACGTTCGTGGAAACCCATCAAGAATGAATGAAGCTGACGGAGAGTCGGACGGTCTAGCAGGTTCTGAGTCGGAGACTGAAGATTCGGAGGAGACCCAGTCCTTCGCCTGGAGCTCGGAGAGGATGAGCTGGAGGATCATGTTGTCCGGAACCAGCGAACCCGACTTCATGTGAGATTGGGCTTCTTGTCCTGTGCATGAAGTCAATCATGGTTTCCAGACGGCTTCAAGCAGTTGAATGCATCAATCCCATGGGAGTCCATACCCAATGGCGACCGTTTGTTAACAGCATTTCTTAGCAAATCCCCAGAGCTAACGGCAGTAAGTTGAGGGAATCGCTTCATAAGGCGTTCCGCTTGGGTGCCCTTTCCTACTCCTGGGGCGCCAACAAGTATTACGCGGGCTGCCCGTTTCAATTGCGTCGTCCCAACATGGGTCATATTTATCGAGGAATAAATCGGGGCAATAGCAAGACGGATAGAACAACACGCAGATCAAGGGCATTGGGTATTTCCTAAAGCATGGTCGAAGCACAGGGCTTCAGTGCATGTTCAGGTCGCATAATGCAGGCCGATTCGACAAAATGGAGGTGGGACGCGAGTGATTAGACTGGGAGCGGGGTGGCTTGCGGAGCGGAGAACGCGGAGTGTGGACATATCACTTTCATTAGCGGCGGATCTAACATTCATTCCGCCGCCCCTGGATATTTGCCTGATGCTTGAGTTGCCATTCATCATCATCATCATCATCACCAATTCCGTATCTACAAACCAATAAGATCTGTCGCATCACATATACTGATGATCTGGTCCTTAGTGACTTTGGTTATAGCATCATTAAATTGATTTCCTTAATGTTGGTCGAGGCGTATCATTCCCTACCTCTGGAAAACCCTCCTCCCTCACGATGAGCGCGTCAGCAAGAGTAGCCCGAAATAGCTCTCCCCATCATGCCGTGAGAAGCGCTGGGAGTATGGAAAGATTTCCCTTCCGAGTAGCGAAGGCTGACTTAGTCTACAGTATTTCTTTACCCAAGGACAGGCTTTGCAGGATCTCCCATTCGCTCCGCCTACCTCCATCGCCATGCTAGGGGACTACCACCACATCTAAGAGCGCTTGCTATTCTTGTTCCACAGCGGCCATACTCTACGGAAACTTCTAGTAGCAGCGGTAGTGGTGCTGACCTTCCTCCGCCTGGTTTTGATGCAAATGCAGCGAAGAAGCCTTTGACTGCTGAGCAATCTAAAGGTTCTGCCGCCTCCAATATTTCTTCTGGAGTTGCAGCTTCCGTCAAAAACCAAACAAGCGCTGCGAAAGAGTCCGCCGATGTTACTGGAGTCCCCAAGACAAATGCCAACGAGGACAGGAGTTTGGATGAGCTCGCAGCTAACAAGGCGAAGCATGAAAAGGAGGTAGCGGAAACAGCAAAAGCCAAGACGAAGTTGACGCTGTGGCAAAAAGTAAAGCATGAGGCCCACCACTATTGGGACGGGACCAAATTGCTTGGTACAGAAGTAAAGATCAGCTTCAAGCTTGCTCTAAAAATGGCCGCCGGTTACGAGCTCACACGAAGAGAGGACAGACAATTGAGACGCACAGTGCAAGACCTGGGCCGTCTAGTACCATTCTCCGTTTTTGTGATCGTGCCATTCGCCGAATTACTTCTTCCAGTGGCTCTTAAAATCTTCCCAAACATGCTACCAAGCACATATGAGGGTCAGAAATCGAAGGACGCAAAAGCTAAAAGCTTGAGGTCAACGAGAACCCAAGTCAGTGACTTTCTTCGAGATACACTGAAAGAGACCGGCCTCCCAATCAGTGCAGTAAATGCGCAGAAGGAAGAGTTCACTACCTTCTTCAAGAAGATTCGCAGTACAGGCGAATCGCCAACACAAGCGGATGTAATCAAGGTCTGCAAGATCTTCAAGGATGATTTGACTCTGGACAACCTTTCGAGACCGCAGCTTGTTGGGATGACGAAATATATGAACCTGCACGCGTTTGGCACGGATCTGATGCTACGCTATCAGATTCGACATCGAATGCGCCAGATCAAACGAGACGATCGTGCAATTTCCTTTGAAGGTGTCGATAGCCTTTCAGTACCAGAACTTCAGATGGCTTGCGCATCAAGAGGCTTACATACGCACGGCTTAGGTCCAGCAAAGCTACGCGACGATCTTCAAATGTGGCTTGATCTACGACTAAAGTATGGCGTGCCTTCGACACTTCTTGTCTTGAGCAATGCTTTCATGTATGGACAGGGTAAAGACACCGAGATCACTTCTCAGATAGACGCACTGCAAGCCGTTCTCTCGTCAATACCTGAGGAATTATTCCACGAGATCGAGTTGGAGGTTCACAACGCCGAAGGCGCTGCGACTAATAAGCAGAGATTGGAGGTACTCAAGGAGCAACAGGAGCTCATTGAAGAAGAGAACGAGCAAAGCGAGGAAAACAAAGAGTCTGGAAAGACCGCGCCACAGGATAGAGACAATATTGACGAAGAAGACAAGAAAGCTAGTGTGAGAGCTCAAGAGGATGGCGAAGGGCAAAGGGATGAGGCTACAGATGCCGAGAAGGAATCAGCAAAAGCACAGGAGCAGGATGAAAGGCAGCCTTCGAAGGAGAAGGAGTAGCACGACATGACGACTCTCCTCATTTCGATAGACTTGATTGAGATATAAAGAACATCTCACGTTGTTTGGATGCATTGCGTAGGCATGTTCGGCAGCTATATAGACATTGACTATTGATGAAGCAAGTCGTATTATGAAATTGCTTATCTCACTTATCAATTTTCTCATATATTCAGACTCTTCCATTTTGCATCTGCACTGGAAAGGGGAAAAGCTTAGACACGACTGTTTCGGGAGCACGGCTTACCTCAGCCCCAATTGCACTCAACATCAACACCGCTCTTGAATCGCAAGCATTCAATCATTGCAAAGGACGAGAATAAGACATGTGTTCCATCAAATCGCCATAGCCTTCTTTACCTCCAGCTCAGCCCCCTTGTTGTCACGGCCAATCTCGCTTCAACGTTAACCATCAGAATGTCTGGCTTCATGCAGAACCAATATACGCCTCTGGGCAACTTCTCACATCTCTTTATGGACGTGATATCATCATTGACCAACTGCTTCTTCTGTTTTCCTAACTCGCCGCAATTGAAGATCAACAACCGAAGTTTCAAGCTACAACATCTGCTCGGCGAGGTAACTCATCCTTTCTCCTCGTACACCAAGCGCATTGCCCCTAATACCCTCCGAGCCGCCAACCACTCCGGTTTTCTAATCTGAATACTTGCAGGGCGGCTTCTCCTACGTCTACCTCGTTTCCGAAAGCTCCACCTCCGAGCTCTACGCCCTCAAAAAGATCCGCTGCCCCTTCGGCCAAGAATCCGTCTCCCTCGCCCTGAAAGAAGTAGAAGCATATGCGCTCTTCTCGCCGCACCCGCACATAATCCACGCAATCGATCATTCTGTCGTGTCCTCCTCAAACTCCAGCGGCGCGGACAAAACAGTCTATATCCTGCTCCCATACTACCGCCGGGGCAACCTCCAGGATGCCATCAACGCCAATCTCGTCAACCATACACACTTCCCGGAGCGGAGACTGATGGTGTTGTTCTTGGGGGTGGCGAGGGCGCTGAGGGCGATGCATCAGTATCGGGTCAAAGGCGCGCCGGGGGGTGAGGCAAGTCAGAGGAAGGCGAAGGAGCTGAGGAAGGAAGCGGAGGAGGAGGATGCAGATGCGAAGAGGAAGGCGCAGAAACGGAGGAAGAATACTCAAGGGATGGAGACTGATGGCGAAGATGCGAGTAAGCCGTTGATGGAGGGGGAGGTCACAAGGGCGCAGGAGGGAGTTGGGGAGGGCGAGCTGAGGCCTTATGCGCATAGGGATGTGAAGCCTGGTATGTCATTCACATTCCGGCCCAGTTCTATTCTACGACGGTCATTTGAATTTTGCCGGTGGATGACAGAGACTAACAAAAAGAGCGTACAGGCAACATCATGATCTCTGACTCTGGCACGACCCCCATTCTCATGGACTTAGGCTCGTTAGCACCCAGTCCCACAGCCATAACCTCCCGCAGTCTGGCCCTCCAAGTCCAGGACACGGCCGCCGAACACTCGACCATGCCCTACCGCGCGCCCGAGCTTTTCGACGTAAAGACGGGCACCATCATAGACACCAAAGTCGATGTCTGGTCATTCGGGTGCACGCTCTTCGCTTGTCTTGTGGGCAAGAGCCCGTTTGAGATGCGCAGTGATGAGACTGGCGGGAGTTTGAGTATTTGTGTATTGGGTGGCGATTGGAGATTTCCGGATGAGAGGAGGGGGAAAGGATAAAGGGAAGGGAAAGGGGCAGGCTAATGGGCAAGCAAATGGATCGGGAGAGGGCAAGAAGGAGGACGGAAAGATTGGTGAGCGTGTGAAGGAGGTGGTGAGATGTTGTTTGAAAGTTGAGCCGGCAGAGAGGCCGGATATTGATGAGTTGATACGCATGCTTGAGGATGTGATTGCCGACTCACCGGAAGATGATGGTGGCGAGCTGTAATGGAAATGTTCTCGAATTTCTGCTTTCTCCTCTAGCGTAGAGCGTTTGGCGTTGGAAAGGGACCAGAATTAGTGGCTTGAAAAAAGAGGTCTTGCAATTGAATGAAAATATGTAATTCATAAATGCCAAAGTTTATTCTCGACTTCGGATTGCTGCCTATGATGCCAATGATATAGTATGTCTAAGGATGTCCAAGAAGATGAAGCTCATTTTCAGCTCCCCAAGATGCCGCTTAATGTGCTCAGAAATGCCACATGTGTGCCGTCAAAAGCAGCCGTTTACCACATTACCCCCATCAAATCAAGTCTCTATAGATCCTTCGGAGCAAATCCGAGTTGCAAGGGACTATTCGAAAACACCACATATTGAGCCTTGAGGAAGACGTCGCCGAAGATGCTCAAGCCCAAGTCTCCTGAGGACTGAAGGCCTCCGAAGCACTGCCCCTCGGCAGAAGCAGGTGCATAGTTAAAAAAACTCCCTGGAACAACAGCGGCGTAGTCCTCGATCTGGAAGGTCAGGTCTGGGAGCGTAGCGTCACACGGGAAGATGTATCCTCCCTCACTCTGAGAATTCTCTGCACCATCGACGGCGGCGTAGTAAGCGGATACAACATCATCCTGCAAGAGCGCAAGACTGGTGCCTGTATCGGCGATGGAATTGATGTCCTCAGTGACCGTCTCACCGTCCCCAACTTTGTATCCTGACGTGGTGAAGCCCCTGTGAGACATCCGGAGTTAGCGGTCTTGATGGTAATTAAGGGCTATCTTAGGGATAGACTTACCAGAAGCCTTGAGAATCGTCAACCGGAGTGTAAGTAATCTCGCCAGTGTGTTTGCTGTCGTCTATGAAGCCAAAGTCGTATGTGCTAATCGCGATATCAGAGCAGGTTATCAAGGTAGATCGGGCACAAAAGACTCACCCTGCTTGGCCTTTCTTCAAATCGACAGCAAAAAGAGGCTCCGAGAGCGATGGGATAGCGTTGTCGAAGAACGTTTTCTGTTGATCTGGGGTGACTGTGTTGATCTTCGAGAAAGCGAGCCCAAGCAAGCCATCTCCCTCATTACTTGCGAAAGCTGCGCTGACAGTTTTGGCGAGCTCGACAGCTTGTGCGTTGACTGTGGTACCACCAATATCTACGCTATCCGTGTATACGTCACCGGAGGCGCTGGATCCGTCCCCGTAGGAGATCTTCCTGTAATGGTCATGTGGGTCAGCCTCGTCTCCTGAAAGCCATTTTCTCAATCCGTCTTACCAGGTCTCGCCAGTCAGTTTCTTGGCGGTCTTGCTTGGCGTGTAGATATTGTGGCCTTGCTGGTTGGTTGTTGAGAGCTCATTGGAGAAGACCCAGCTAGAGTAAAGCGTAAGCATTGACGGACGCTATTTGAAGATTCCAAAATGTGGCACTCACAGATCGCTCGATCCGGTATCGAAGTCCAGTTGCAAAGTCTCACCACCAATCGTGACAGGTGAAAGGTACGCCTGATCGAATTGTTCTGGGTTTGCTGCAACAGTGCCGTCGTCCTGAGCGGCGGCCTTGGCTGCAGCTTGTTTGACTGCTGGTGAAGGCGACAGGCCAACTCGACCGTACTTGCCAAGGGCTTCAGCCAAAGCGATAGGACCGGCGACCTTTCGTCCTTCTGGCCTTGCTTGCTTATCTTGGAAAACAGTAAACTTTTCACTCGGGGAGGCTCGTTTCTCCTCTGACAAAGGTGCAGCGACAGCTAGGCTTGTTAAGGCCAAGGAGGCCACGATCTGTTGAAAATGCATGATGAAGTAAGGGGGTTTGGATGGGTATGCAGCAAAGTAACTCAATGCCTGAACGAAGGAAAGCAGATAAGATAGAACGAAGGCTATGGACGATGCTGAACCGAAGAAGATGCTTCACATGAGTAGAAGGCTCCTTTATGTACTCATTGAGGGACTCCTTTTCAACTTCCCTTTACAGCATGTCATTGGTACTTGCCTACCTCGGTGGTGAAGGCCTCGAAATGAGCTGCGAAGCTGCCATCCTCTCCTATTATTTGCCCGAGACATATCAGGATTGATGCAACATTGGGAGTCGAGGATGCAGGCAGACAAGAGGTCGAGCAGCGAGTGGAGGTTGTGCGGTAGCTAGGCCATTCCGGAGCAATGCGTAGGTAGTGTAGGACAGAGTGGACCAGTCATCATGCATGCCGGTCGGTTGACAACCGGTCAGCTGCGAGCGTGCGATGATAAGGAGATTGAAGCGGGGGGCAAGAGAGGGCGATGGGCGGGGGGTGGCGAAGGGACAGCGGTTAAGCTTTTTCAGTACTTGAGAGCTTCCAGAAGCAGCTTGGCGGCAATCTGTTCATCTCCCGCATTCGATCAATCACAATCGGAATCGATCCGTCACCAGAGACAGTCTTGGCAGGTACCCGGTCCACGGACGGACAGCTGTCTAGCCTGTCCGAGCGCCCAGTGACATCGCCACCCTGATTGGTGCCCCGCCTGAAGGTTCTGCCTCCTCCACCGGCGATCGCTCCGACCCGGGAAACTCTGGTCGACGGCCAACATCCAACAATCACGGAGCTGATGAAAATAGCAATCGACCTGACTACTGTGGCCATCCTCGCATGACCGCCATGACCACAGGGCTTGCATTTGCCGTGCAAGCCGCAATGCTTGTCGACTATAAGCCTTTGGTACCTGCATATACGCGACTTGCCTTGTTCATGCACAAAGCAATCTAGTCATTCGCACTCCCGCCGGCTCCGCACTGTTGCCTTCCGAAGACCCTAGGCCTGATAGCACCAATCTTGCGCCGTCATAGAGGATCGCTCACACCCTCCTTTTCTCTCGCCTCGAAGATTGCCGGAGGAGCCCAATCCAGGCAGCTTAGAATGTATCCTCTTAGCAGCGCCGCCGAAGGTCGCACGTACTCGTCGCAGAGATACCATTGTGATATGGCGTGATTCGTAATTGAGCTTTACCGGCCTGATCAGCTCTCTGTTTCCTCTCGTGCGGCAAGTAGGGCGGTTTTCTGTCCACCACAGAGCGCTTGCCTGCTCTCGAAGTACTGTCCATGGCAAGGTAGTAATTGAATTGACTCGAGAAGCGCGCCAGCACATGGGTGAAGACCGATAGAGGCCCTCGCTTTATGCTTTGAAGCTTTAAGTCGTTAATGTCCACAACGAGAGATCTGTGGCAGATCCTGGTAATACCAGCTCCTTAATTCATGTTGCTGATTCCTGCTCGCAAAAAAGATTGCCTTCGAGGCCTGCTGACACCATCTCAGCCTTAGAGCTCTTGAAATACCCCAAGCATAGGCTGCGCCGAAGTCTTATACAAATGCAAAGAATGCGAAAACATGACTCAAGGCAGCCACACGCCAAAATCCAAGCAAAGCCCATAGAACGATGAGCAACATCAGCCGACATAGAACATCCATTTCTCCCTTGACCATCGACTTGTCAAAGCGAGATCTGCGGGTCTGCTTCGCCCAGCAGTGCAACCTGAACCTCAGAGAAGGCATATTCAACGAGTTCAGAAGTGGATCCCATCGCTTGACAGTCGCAAACCCCTCGAGGAGAATGTCGAATCTCGTTTCGAAAATTTGGATTTTGTTCGCCCAGTGCTTGGACAATCGTCCGTTGCCATCGTACGGATTGGATCGAATCCAATCTCTCCATTTTCGCACAATCGCAACCGCTCGCTGTTCGTCGATTTCAAACAGTTCTCCGAGCAAAGACTCCTTTCCCGACTTGTCCAGCCCCTTCTGGAACCTCTGTTCGTCATGCAAATCGTCTTTGATTATTGTTTCCAGCCGATTCAGGTGTTTTACTAGGCAGTAAGAATCTGTATCTGCTACAGTGAGTCGGCCCGGGAAATTCTTTTCTACTTCTTTCAATCGATTTTGCACTTTCCGCGTGGTAAGCCCAATCTTAACGTAGCCAGGATGGTCATCAATCTTGAAGACGTAGAGGTATCCTTCATCTGTTCGTGGTGACGCTGCACTTCGCTCAGGGACGCGCTCTTTCATTCGCTGGAAGATGGCGTGCGCAGTGCTTTCTGGTCCTCGTGGCGTACGCTTGTAAAGAACAAATTTCTCGGTTCCTAACATACCTGCAAGCTCATATGCAGCATCTGCAAGTTTCGGACTAGCGCAAGGGGGTAGCTCATGATTCGTTGGAGTTTGTAAAAGGGAGGCTGGAAGATTGAGATACGGATTCTGCCTTCCATAAAATTGGTTGACATCTGCGCCCATCTCTAGTCGGCGTCGATTGTCGACCTCACGAAGCGCCGAGCACGGGAGAGGATTCGCTCCGCTTGCCATATCTTGTTGTTGATGACTAAAGCCTTCTCCTGAGTCGTTCAGCGGATCATCTTCAGCTGCAATCATCGTGAAGGGGGCAGGTCTTCCCTCTTCATCGCCGTCTTCCAGCATTAGATGAGATGATGGGCGTCTCTGGATACTGTCTGCTTGGCGGCAACGATTGACTCCAAGGTCCTCAACATCGAGGCCATTTGCTTGTGGGCCGCTAATTCTATCTGCAGAAAGCTGTTGTGCGGGTTCATCTGTCAAATTGAGAGGTTGAATCGTGGAAACACGAGTAGAGGCGGGTGCAGAAGCTCGTCGATCCGAAGCAGTCCAGTCCTTGAATGATTGACGCGACGCCTCTGACCATCTGGGCTCGCTAAACAGTCTTCTTTGGTTTGGGTTTAACGACGGCCGAGGCTTTGAATGGGGGCTGACTGTCATTACTGTTTTCTGGTGAAGTATGGGCCTAGGTGAAGCCATGCCCCCAACCCTCTTGCTGTTGCGCGATTTCGGCGGGTCAGACTTAGTCGATGTGCAAAAAGGGCGATATAGCGACACCTGTTCGTGACTTGTTGGAGTGGTCTTTGCCATTTATCTGCTCGCTTGACGATGGTGTGTGGGAGTCCAGCAAATATGCCGGGCTTCTGGAAGGCAATCTGCTCTTCCGAATATGTCGAAGAGCCATTTTGTCGAAAGGTATTTATACAACTCAATGCTTCACACCATCAACTCGAGTGTGAATACAAGTCTGCCTTATCTGTGGCTTCCAAAAGAAGGCTGCAGCTTGACTACTCGTCAATCCCGAGCTCGCGTGCCAATCATAGCGCTTGCAAAAACAAGCCAAACCAAAAGGGTCCATAGCAAGAGGTTGCCATGAACGAAAGGCGACTTGTCAGCCAATCTAGCTGGAAGCCAGGCAGACACATTACTCTTGGGGGCTACGACCACGTAAAGACATGGGTCTAAGCCTCTGCACTAGCCTGTAACAGGGGGACACCGGGCTAAATATCCAATTCCAATTCCAATTCCAATTCCAATGAAATCAATGCAGGTGCATCCTTCGATGACGAGGTGCTCGTCTAGGCCCATGAAAGAAGTTCTTTTTTCTTTTTCTGGACTTGAACAAGGCTGAAACAACGCACTTCTCTAGGTTAAACCCCGAAGGATTGGGGCGATAGCCGGCGCTTCCATCCGAGTTCTGTTTTTGCAGCAGCCAGAGAGAAATACCATTGGTCGAACTGCTCAGAAAAAATCGTCTGGGAGCTCACGATATCAAACCCGAAGAAGCGATACTGATACCACAAGGCCGACGCTGCATGCTTCAGTATGCATTGAGCAGGAACGAAAGTTATTGAGCCTTTGATTATGTGCAAGATGTGAAAGTGCGGGCCAAGATGTTCACCTTCGGTAACAAAGTCACCATAGCAAATCGACAGCCAACCGTGAAGTCTCAGCCTACCAGGTGCATCGTAGCCGCCGTCTTCTCTGTCCCCGCTTACTTGCGACCTGCACTGTCACTCGCACGGTGAACCAAAAATTCGTCGCTCTCAGTATCAAGTATACCGCGCAAAACACTCATTGAAATTATATCCCTAGAGAAGCCTTTCCAAGTACCGTTCAACTTCTTCAAAGCTGGATCGTGGTCGGAAGTAGCGATGACGATTGTAGGCGATGTCTTCGCGTAAGAAGTCTTCGGCAGCGTATTCGAGATGCTGCTTGCCCCAGCCATGCTTGCGAGCTCCTTGAGATCCTTGAACCCGTTCCCGACTTCCTTTTTAACCGCTGGCGTAAAGACAATGTCATAGCCATCCATTGCTCTTACTCCCTCCCTACCACGTTTCACGGCTTCTTTGAGATTGACGCCCCACTCGACTTCTCTAAGTGGATCCGCGGCCTGGTATGCAGCCATATCTAATAATCGCCCGGCTTTGGCGCTCTCCGTAGCCCATGCATCATGGATAATCTGCTTCCCTAGTTGGATCGCCATCAGCATCTTGGCTGTTTTCTTAATCTCACCCTTGCCCACGATCAGTGCGGTGCATTCCTGAACCGAAGTTGATATTCTGACCTTTTGTTTATTCAGGAATTTCCGAAAATTTGATGACTCGCCAACAGCGCTGGTGCTTGCAAAAACAACACATGTTTCTCCTCCCTTCGAAGCAACTGGCGTTCCACCAGGAGCCTTGGCCCGAGAGCTTCGGCGAGCACTCGCGAACGAGGTGACACTTGGTTCTGGCAAGGTTTGCCCTCCTTTGGAAAGCTCAGGGGTACTGGAAGGTAGATGCCGGTCTTCACTGCCCGTTATTCGCCGTTTCTTTACAGCTGAATCATCTTGTTGCTTAGCTTCTGCATGATTTCTATTGACGAAAATAGACCCTTTCAGACTGTCTTGGGTGTCCTGGGACTCGAAAGCTGCCCGAGACAATGTTCTCTTGGTTGGTGTTGGACGCTGCTGTTGCGGCTCTAGTAGGAGATCACGATCTTCTTGCCTCACATTGGTGGACATTCCGTCCTCATCTTCCTGTAGAGTTATTGCTCGAAGATCTCTTGGCCCAAAGACACTCGGGTGAGCCAACAATTTGGTGCCTGACATTGCATTCGGACTTCTCTCGGTAAGTATGCAGTCTGAATGGTCGGGCGTCTCACAGGAAGGGTTGGAACCTGGACCATCGTCAAAAATAGCAGGCTCCATCTGTTGAGGTGTCTTTGAAGACATGATGTTCTCTGTGTCCTCTAATCCTCCATCAAAGTGCTGCGGCTGGCTGATGTGGTCAACATCGCTATCGTACCACGATACTATGTAAGGTGAAGTGATGAGAGGCAGATCCGCATGCTCCTTGGGCACAATTGTGAGGGCCATATCTGCCAACCATATCGACTGACCTGGGTGTAGTTGGCACATTGCGCGTCCTCCATCGACGTTAACGGCGAGTTTTGCCCTTCCAGCAGAGCTGAAGGACTGTACATGAATATTGTCAGAAAGCGGCTGCACGAAAACGCAGCCTCTGTCAGTGTCTAAACTTCGTGAGTTGAGAAGTATTAATAAAGAGGATCAAAATGAGCGTACGTAAAACAGCCGAAGCGTTCCCCCAAGAGCCTTTTTTTAGTCCAATCTTGTTTAGATTCTGCCCCTTCTCAATGAACATGCTATACGAAAGTGAATGCTCATCTAGACTAATAGGGAAAAGAAGGCCGCTCTGTTGCACGCCGTGATGATGCTGCCTCAGCACCACATCTTTCTCCATGCTCAAAGCCATCGTATGTCTGTCAATTTGATAGACGGTGATTTCTGTAGATCGGATGGTTGAAGAATAAAGTTCATGTGAGACGGCTCCGGGCGCAACACGGAAGGCACACCAGCATTACCTGCGGTAGGTACCTTACACCTCAGTCCGCACCGGCCAACACTGGCAAATAAGCTAGCAACACTGAAGTCTCGACTCAGAGCTCAAAATGGTCATTCAGCCAATGCGAGATTACAACTTTGCCTTCATCAAAACTCTTTCGATTGCTCCTGAAAATGATCGCAGCATGGCTGTGCCTGTTGTTATGTATGAAGACGCGGAACTTGGTGAAGCCGACCTCGTCCAGGTTTCTGATCATTTCGAACTGCTCTGGAGAAAGGGCTAGATCAGGGATGCGTTTGGATTGGTCGCTATTTACGCCATGGGGCAGGTTCGGCTTAGCTACGGAGCCGTTTGAGAAGGATTCGGAGCGTGAAAGCAGAGCTCCTTGCCTAGAGTTTACTCTTTCAAGCGCGTCCGTAACGGCCTCTTTCGCGTTCTCGATGACGAACGGGATACGGTAGTTTCCAAACCCAATCCCTGCTTTACCCTCTTCATGAAGCCGAATGCGCCGCTGACTTCTGATAGACTGGATACCAGAATTCACAAAGAACGCAACTGACCCTATGGGTATTAGGACGGTGAGGAGCGCATATAGTGGGATCTGGGGTAACATTGTCTGCGTGCTTGAGACCACTCGGGTGACCAGTGGTGCCTGATCTGTCTCAGGTAACACTGTTATAGGGTTTTCTGGGTCTAGAATATTAGGCTCGTAATCTGGCAGGTAGTTCAAGGAAATGCTTTCAAGGTTTTGAAATGGGTCTTTTCCGGTGATGCAGGTCGTATAATAAGGTGCACTACGGTCATTGACGCAGTTGGCATAGAGCACCCGCTTTCGAAACAGACGAAGGGCTTGGATGAACTAGGCGGAACGGAAATTAGCAATGCTTTTCTAGGCGGGGAAAAACAGCATTGAAACATGTCTCCGCAGTGACTACTCCTAACATCATGCCTTCAAGCTCGACCTGATGTTTGTTGGGTGGCTTGGCTCGGAGAACGCAACTTACGATGGTGCTTGGGTCGGCGAGTAGCGCAACAAGCGATTTATCAGAGTTCCGGAAAGTATCTATTGTGAATAATTGCCTGCCAGAAGCACTGAGTGTACTAGATCCTAGTAGGTTCCATAATCGCGAATGATAGCCTAGGATTGGTGTCCGGACGCCCAAATGAGGTGTTGCAAAGGTTGTAAAGTTCACAGGTTCAATTCTGTCAAAATAGCTCTTTGTGTATAAGAGGCCTATCACATAGCGAGCGACAAGGCCTCCAAGCGAATACCCAACGACACTGAGTCTTTTGATGGAATTGCCTTCGGTTTCGAGATGCTTTATGTACTCTTCGATCTCTTGAGTAATCCTCTCGGCGCCCAAGTCGATGCCGTCGTAGGTGAATGAGTCCTGATTGGCCTTTGGCACAAGTATGTGGAGCTTGTGTTCCGAGTGCTTTGCGCGCAAAGCCTGTGCAAGGAAAGATAGGTGTTTTGGATTGCCCCATAATCTATAATCATAAACACAGGCCGGGGTCTAGGATAGATGACGCGTAGATACCCGTGAATTAGAATACATAAATGCTGGGCTCGCGCCTCTCCTTCGTTGCTAGTGGCGGTGTTGTCACCCATGGTCTTGCTGTTGCCTCCTTTGAATGCGTTCCGTGCAGGGGCGCTGGTAGAGTGGTGAATAAGTAAAGGGAAGGCGTCAATGTCGAGTGCTGACGCCCGATATTTCCGAGATGGGAATTGCAGTTCCAGCAGCGGATCAAAGCTTATATTCTAAGGTGCGGTACCCCGGGACGGAGAAGCCGAGCCCGGCAAGTCAATCTAGCCAAGCTTACAAGATAACAAGTAAGGTGAGGCAAATACCATTCTTAGTGGCTGATCACAAAGCAATTAACGCCCCTCGGCCTAAATCATTCTCGCCTTAAATCTTCCCCTTCAGTATTTGGTCAAACAATCCTTGATTATCATGACCAGGTCACAGACAGCGTTCAGTACAGCCATTAAGTGGAATCCATCATACAAGAACCCAGGGTCGGGGCGAAAACCTCGACAGCATACCAAATGATATTACCGACGGCTCATGCCCGCTAATTATGATGATGATCACCCTGCATTGCTATTACAAGTACTCTCTCTATCACCTTCGACAGTCAGCTGTAACACGCTTCTGACTTAAATGCCCAACCTTCGTTGCTTGGTAGATATTTTCTTCATCATCATGTTTACCGCGATCGGCTTGTTCAAGGACGTCAGCTGTCCAGAGCAGTCTCGATGTAATTTACCGAATTGTATCTTCGCACACGATGTTCTTCCCAAGAACACAACGAGCAATAAATCCGCCAGAACCGATTTAGTAGATGACGATAGCTCCAACGATTATTCGAATGAGCCCAGAAAAAGACGGCGTCTGAACGATCGAACACTCTCCCAATCGCCAGAGAACCACGACAATGTACTTTCAAAAACCACGCCACCTTCACCAGGTACTACTGCTCGTCCCATCTCTCCACCACCTCTGCGACGGGCTGGATCAGAACAAAACAAAGTTTCAAATTGGCACGTAAACCAGGCCTCGCAAAAACTTAAGCCAAGCACTTTGATAAAAATACAAGTATCTCTCAACCCGCGAATTTTGGCTAGCCCACCTGCAACACATACTTTCAGGATGCAGTTGATTAAGCTGCTGCACGAGCAAATGCACCGACTGAATGAGGAAGTCAAGCAAAGTGATTATCTAACACAGGCAGGTATAGCCTTGACAGGTGATATGCTGATTTTGAAGGCACTTGAGGAAGAAGAGTCGATAGCAAAGGGTAATTCAACAGTTTATGCAAATGTAGTGAAGCTAAGAATTGGGAAACTCAAAAAAATGAAGCTCGCGGATTGGAAGGAAGAGAGGCTGGCTGAAATTTCCAAAAAACCCAGCTCAAAAGCCGCCTCTCAACCAAAATCAAGTCGGAAAGAAATCGTGACAGGTTTGACATCCATTCAGGAAGTTTCATTGTTGTCGCGGCTTCTTGCTAAGCAAGCAGGCCTCGAAAAGTATGGATATGTAAACAAAAAGATTCCCCAGACTGATTTGGAGCGGGCCCGTAATGGACTCGACTCTGCGCACGGCTGGGAGCAATGTGAGAGATGTAAAACGCGTTTCCAGGTATTCCCCGGTAGGCGACAAGAAGATGGTGCCCTAACGTCAGGTGGCACATGCACCTATCATCCGGCGAAACCAAGAAGGCCGATTGCGATTGACAAGGCTGACAAAATTTCTAAAGACTTAGCATATGCTTGTTGCAAAGAAAGCATTGGAACTTCCGTAGGATGCACCAAGGCCTCATCACATGTCTTCAAAGTCTCCGACCCTAGTCGCTTAGACCTTGTGATGCCATTCACAGAAACACCAGAGAACCCAAACGTAGCGCTTAAACACCCCGCAATCTGTTTTGATTGCGAAATGGGCTACACTACTATGGGACTCGAGCTCATACGCCTGACAGCCACAGACTGGCCAAGTGGCAGTGAAGTCCTCGATGTTCTAGTTCGCCCAATTGGTGAAGTACTAGATCTCAACTCACAGTTCTCGGGAGTATGGCCAAAAGACTTTGCAGAAGCTTTGCCTTATGACAGCAAGCCCAGTGTTGACACTGTGAGCGGAGCCAAGGGAGATGTTCAAACTGTGGGTCTTCCCATAGTAGATTCGCCTTACGTAGCTCGTGAGCTACTCTTCTCTCATCTCAGCCCGTCTACGCCTCTGATGGGCCACGCGCTCGATAATGATCTCAATACGACAAGAATAATCCATGACTCAATCGTTGATACGGTCCTACTCTATCCACATCCGAAGGGCCTGCCAGTACGCTTCGGTCTGAAAATGCTGATGAAGAGACACCTTGATTGTGATATTCAGATGGGTGATGGGGCGGCAGGACACGACTCAAAAGAGGACGCGAGAGCCGCAGGCGAGCTGATCAGATGGAAGGTCAAGGAGACTTGGGAGAAGATGGGAAGGGAGGGCTGGACAATCGAAAACGACAATTTTCTGCCACCGCTGACACGTGCTGAAGCGATGCGGAAAGATATTGAAGAAGTCAAGAGTAGAGCATTGACTTCGTAACTTGCAGGCGACGGTATTCAAATTCATGACCAAATCTTCTTCACACAAAGCCTACGGGGAATTTTTGTTGTCGGTTTCCTACATCATGCCCCTGTCTTTATACCTCGAGCGCACGAGTCATTGTTCAAGGTCTATGTTGTTCCATATTGATATACCCAGTACCATTTAGCAGTTGAGTGCAATGCCCACAATATATATTCTGATTGCACGTCATGGTCATGATGCAAAGCAACGAGCCAGTGCGGCAATCGCAGCATCAATGTCCGGTTAGAGACGAATGAGATGTTATGTAAAATGTCCGTCCTAGCATGTGAGGTGCCCACATCTTGTCTCACATTCTTTGTTCTCTTGATTTTGCTACATTAATAGGCGCTAGCGCTCTCGTTCTGCCTGCCAACACCACAGCAACCTCATCTAGTAACCACACCCCTTGTTGTCGAAAAGATATAACGATCTAGAGATGGGGTAGCCATTCGATGGCGACTGCAAGACCGCGAGTGAGGTCAATATATCTCATCGCTTTCATGACTTGAGTCTCCAAGTTTCTGAGTAGGCTTATAATATAGATCTCCAGTACGAACCTATTTTAATACCTCAATCTCGATCACTTACGCAGGATTAACGAGCACTACTTCAATTTTCAATGATTCTAGGCACAATTCTTGTCCATGTGAAGTTAGTGACACGAATCTCGGTCTCTTTATCTAATTACGACGATAAGCAAAGGTTACGAGCCTTTGTCTGTACCCATACGTGGCTTGTGGGAAGAGATCCGCTACCAAACCGCTGAAAGGCAGGTACCTGAAATTGACGGTGCCCAGTATTTTGATAGCTATCATAGTAATCTTTGGTCCAAGGTGAAAATATTTGGCAATTCAGGGCTCAGATGGCTATCCAGAAATGAGAGCTCTGAGAGAGTATATCCTGCTTTAATTGTAAACTTAAATATACGATACAACATTCGACTGACTTCGCATGCATGAGACATGCTCTTCAAGCATGTTGTCACATTTTGTAATACGAAATTGCCCTTGAGGAGCCCTGGGGTCTAAATAACAAGGACCACCTTGAGGCAGGGTCTACTTTCATGGACAGAGTCGAGGGTTCAGGCGGTGGAGTTTTTCTTCTAGCGATTCGTTTCAGGAAGCCCCAACAAAAGAAAGGTTGACATTCCCAGCAATCATCAACATTTATGATTGCTGGGAATGTCAACCTTCGCGCAGAACAGTCTGCCCTCTGTTTCCCTCCGAATTTTGGCAATACGAAGAGCGCGTTCTTCGATTTTTTTGGGAGATGACCATCTTGGTAATATGAGCAATACTCAAGCCATGAAGGAGGAAAATAGGCAAGATACAAAAGGTAGCAGGAAACGTTGGCGCATTGACTTCTTCGCTGCAAGGTGAAGACAGGGCATATGCTTTCTTTGTAACGTTATAATTTGTCATTATTTGGACTTTCAAAGGATAAGGTATAGCGCCTCCACTCCAAGGGTCTTGAATACCTAGATTACATGTCCTTCAGCGCAATTGGCATGAACCTCAAGGTTGGAAGACTGCGAGAAGAGCATTCAACAGACAGCCAAAGCCAACGCTTCGCATACACCAAGACAATCACGGAAGATGCCTAGCAGAAGTTCAAGATGAAGGATTGCATACTTGAGATGCTTCAATATGGTCACCTATAGAGCATATCATGGGGCTTCTTTTCATTCAGCTACAGTCATGCCAAATAGATGTTGATAAGTAGAACTTTGATGTGTGTGCGGTGGACGGGGCAAGGCAATTGAAAGGTGGCGGCTCAATGAGGACTCTTGAAGCGGGATGGACTGATATGATGTCATTGCCAGAGAATCATATACGTCGTCCGTCTGGTATGTCATGATTGAATGACTTGATTTTACAAATGTGACCCTTACACGCGAATCGCGACTTTTGCGACCCTGGACTCCTGGAGCGTCAATCCGACAGTTGACGCTAGCACCTCAACTCCGAAGCATCCGAGGCCGTCGTTTGCAGACAAGAACTCACCTTGCGTACACCATAAATCATACATCATCGTTTCTTATGTCCTACCTGAGATAGACCGCTATCCTTACAGTTCCACGTAACACGTGTCGCCCTTTCCTTTAGGCCCCTCCCCCGCCTGTCATCACCAGCCCATCATGGCGGAGACACTCATTCACCCCTCCGATCCTGGGAACCTTGGGTATGTCGTCTTTCTCCGTTCTGTCTGTGTCTTCGTGAAATATTTATATCAAAAACACGTCCGGAGCACCTCACCAGCATCAATTGCCTCAGGTGGGCTGTTGTGTTCATGGAATACCCTGCAACATTGTGCCCAGACGAAGACATGGAGAGGCACAGAGACTTTCGCGCTCGTGATACCTCAAAGTAAGCGTTCCGAAGCCTTAGAACTTTGCTGATCATTACTTTCAATTACTAGAACTATTGAGCTGAAGGAAAATACTATCATTGTCGTGCTTGGAGCTTCTGGCGATCTCGCCAAAAAGAAGACCGTGAGTCGTGCATCTTGAAGTATGCACCCACCCGTGCCAGGCTTATTCGTTATCGCAGTTCCCCGCCCTTTATGGCTTGGTAAGGCACATCTCGTCGAAAATGCAAGGTGCAGATCGAACTGATGAATCTTAGCAACGCAATCGCTTCCTTCCGAGGGATATCCGCATCGTCGGCTACGCGCGGACGAAGATGGACCACGAAGAGTATCTCAAGCGAGTCAAGTCACACATCAAGACGCCCTCAAAAGAGATGGAGGAACAGCTAGAGGAGTTCTGCAAGCTTTGCTCGTATGTCTCCGGTCAGTACGATGAAGACGACTCCTTCAAAGCCCTGAACAAACACCTGGAAGAATTGGAGAATGGTCGAAAGCAACAAAATCGTGTCTTCTACATGGCGCTTCCGCCCAGTGTCTTCATCACAGTCTCTCAACACATCAAGCGAAATTGCTACCCCAAGAATGGGATCTCCAGGATCGTGGTGGAAAAACCATTCGGAAAAGACCTCGGCAGTTCTAGAGAGTTGCAGAAAGCTTTAGAGCCTGATTGGAAGGAGGAAGAGATCTTCCGCATCGATCACTATCTAGGGAAGGAGATGGTGAAGAACATTCTCATCCTGCGATTTGGCAATGAATTCTTCGGCGCAACCTGGAACCGCAACCATATAGACAATGTCCAAATTTCTTTCAAAGAGCCTTTCGGCACAGAGGGAAGGGGTGGCTACTTCGATGAATTCGGTATTGTTCGAGACGTCATGCAGAACCATCTACTTCAGATCTTGACTCTACTCGCAATGGAGCGACCGATCTCCTTTTCACCAGAAGATGTACGTGATGAAAAGGTTCGAGTCTTGCGTGGCATCCCCAATATCGAGCCCAAGAACGTCATCATCGGACAATACGGCAAGTCACTAGACCGCAGTAAACCGGGCTACAAAGAAGATGATACAGTACCAAAGGACTCGAGATGCCCCACTTTTTGCGCTATGGTGGCATACATCAAAAACGAGAGATGGGACGGAGTGCCATTTATACTCAAGGCAGGTAAAGCGCTTAATGAACAGAAGACTGAAATTCGTATTCAATTCAAAGATGTCACTTCAGGCATTTTCAAAGACATTCCTCGCAACGAGCTTGTTATCCGGGTGCAGCCCAACGAGTCCGTTTACATAAAGATGAATTCGAAACTCCCGGGTTTGAGCATGCAGACTGTTTCGACCGAGCTGGATTTGACTTACCGCCGGCGGTTCTCAGACTTGAAGATCCCAGAAGCTTACGAGTCGCTAATACTTGACGCGCTGAAAGGAGATCATTCAAACTTCGTCCGAGACGATGAGCTTGATGCTAGTTGGCGGATCTTCTCACCTCTTCTACATTACCTCGACAGCAGCACTGATATTGTACCTATGGAGTATCCCTATGGTGAGCATTTCGAGAAAATATCTATCCATCTTCCGACTGACGCAATGCAGGCTCTCGCGGTCCCGCTGTCCTCGACGACTTCACGTCGTCGTACGGGTATAAATTCAGCGATCCGACTGGCTATCAATGGGGAAGCAATCCTAACCCAGACGCTACTAACAAGCTCTAAAGCTCACCACATTCTGGGAAACGGTCATGATTATGGACGGCATCTTGACGAATAAACCAGCGCTGTAAAGGACGGTCACCGTGTGGCACTGAGATGCTGTAATGAGCTGTACTAAATAACGATCATGAAAGCAGTAGATTCCTCTCTTGTGATTCATGATGGCTTCGATGGTAGGCCTGATTGCTAAGTAATCACACAGGCGGGTCCTCATCCGCGTTCCATCTCGCTTGAGGTTATGCCTTTAGACCGAATTAGATGATACGCCATCGCTACATGCAGAGTCGTAAAGGCGAGCTTCATGTCTCATCTCATCAAATCAGTTCTCTCACCTCCCCAGAGGAACTCCACCTATCAGATCCCCTGCTCCTGCACCGCCGAACATTCCATCCCCTTGTGAGCTAATGCCCTGCACATTTGAGACACCTTTGTCTTTAGGTGGCTTGACCTCCAATCCCGCGTTCACGATAGCCATCCTCAAAATCCGTAAATGTGCTGTCCGCTCGTAATCCTTCGCTGTCTTCAACGCTCGTTCGTGCACCTCTGCTCGCTTATCTACTTTGTTCGCAAGAAGTAACCTATCTACGAGATCGATCCTAGCCTCTAATTCTCCGCGTTTTATCATTTGCATAAGCTCTACTTCGATTGTTGCTTCGTCGGTATTGAAAGCCTCGGACAGAGCTTTGAGCGTTACACAAGAGAAGGGGATGAAGTATTGTTGGATAGCTTTTCTTCGCACTCTCTCCACTAGATTTATGTAGTGATTCTGTAGATAGAGGTCTAATAAGTAATCAGACTTCCAGGCCTCGAGGATTGAGAGGCAAGCGGCGTATTTGGAGGCGATGAAGAAAGTGATGGCGCGGCGTAGGTGAGGTTCAAGTTCTAAGTAGTTGCGGAAGGTTTTGTGTTCTAAGACTTTGGTTTGTAGCTCTGATCGGCTAAAAGACGCGAGAGCACAGAGACCGCCGTACGTTGCTACGTCGTTGGGGGTGAGGACTTCGTTATAGGCCTCCTCATCCACAAAATTGTCTAGTTTTGCTTGCGTCATGCGGGGGTCGGTGTCAAGGAAAAGGTCTGCAGCGTTCTTGTAATTGGATCCCGCGAGTTCAGCGAGCCCTAATGCAGAAGATAGCTTCGCAGACTGTTTCTTCGCTTCTTCGTACTTCGTCGTGCCATTTGACCAGATTCTTTGAGCGTTCATGGTGACCGCAGTCCAATTTCTCTGATCGATGGCGACCTGTATAAGGTACATGCACATTGAAACCACATGTCCATTCGCAGTCATGTAATCGTACATCTTGCTGAAAGATTTAGTGGCGTTAGCGAGGTCACCAATATATTGATATTGTTTGCCAAGATCTTGATATCCCATCTAATAGCTCATCATCAGCTGGACAAGCAAGTACTGATAATGGCTAGCTCACACGTATACTCTCTTTGATCAAGTTGTTCTTGTAGCCTTTCAGCTCCACTTCCATCTTGTCGGTCTCGGCTTTTGACACCTTTTTCATTCTTTCCACCCATGCCGTATCTAGTATTGCATCTGGGTCGCTGGGTACGATCCCGTAGAGCGTGGCAACAGCTTGCTCATACTGAGAGACATCGACACCTTTTCGAGTTTCATCGGTATTCTTCTTTACTTCCTTGATGGCAGCTTTCAGTGCATCGAGGCACAGGTAGGTCGAAGAAACTCCTATCAGATAAAGTCGTTCATATCTTGTACGACCTAAATTTGATTTCAGAAGCTGCGAAGCTGTTCTTGAGTATGGAGAGCACAAACCTTTATAGTTTGATATGTATGCATCCAGATCGAGCTTGGGAGGTTCTAAGTAGTTTAGAAAGCTAACTTATCTTAGGAAGAGGGGACCACCATCGACGACAACGAGGCCTCGCTCTCGGCGCTTTGAAAAGAACTGATTATCTTGTAGGCTAGCCATGGCTCTGGCACTTCTTAGTCATATCTAAATGCGCGAATCCCTTAGGAGCAGCCAAGGCAACCTGACTTTATTCAAATATCACAAAGCGCTTAACGCGCTTCTAGGCGGTAATCCTACGTCACTTTCAGGGGCTGCTGCTGAGCCTTGGCCTCCATAGCAACTTACCAGCAATGGAAATGATGAGTTGGCATTTCGATGTTTCCTTGTAAACTGAAAAGCCTCACATTACCTCCCCGTGTGTTGCAGGGGAAAGTGCTGTTATCAAGACAGACAAAAGCCACTCTTAATACTACGTCGGACGTAATTCACGGTACGTTTCTACGCTACCAATTGAGAAGGCTCCAGCAGAGCGTCGTGGTTGAGTTACTATATAGTCGGCGATCGTGTTCTATTACGGTACAAAGAAAAAGCCCAGCTCACTGATCCACTGGCACTCGGACGCTCGGTATCAAATCATCTGGGCGAGCTCAAACATGACGAGATACTTGGAAAACGAGCCCGAGACCGTGTCGCGACTCACAGAGGCCACGAGATACGAATTCATGTTCCAACACTGGCAGAGTATGTGACTCTGACTCCTCGACTAGTTACGTAAGTTTGATTCGGCAATCCTATAGCCTTGATATTTCGGTGAGAGAATCCTTGAGAGGGTGCTTCTCAGGCGAAACCCTATAGAATCTTGATAGAAAGCTCTTCCATTCTTTGATTCTGGTGCTGATCCATATGCCGCATAGTCCTGTGAGTACAGACGATTTAGTGGAGTTTCAGCATCAAATAACGCGAAGTGACACTAGATATATCCGGCTGATGCCAATTTGATCGCCTCATTGCTTGACATTCATGTTGATGCTTCATTGGCAAATGGGGCAGATTTTCAACTAGAGATTCTTGAAGCAGGCACTGGCAACGGAGCTTTGACGCTATATCTCGCCAGGATTATACATGCCGCTAACGTGGGCTTGAAAGAGGACAATCTTGGAGCACACGAAACCACAGCTTCACCAGATACGAAGACTTTACGCAGAGGAGCGGTCATACATACCGTAGATGTAGATACTCGCAATTCCCAGCTTGCACGAAAAAATGTTCAGGGTTTTCGTCGAGGTTTGTACACAACCGACGTTGCATTCTACGTTGAGGATGTCTCGAGCTGGATCGATCAGCAAATCAAAGCTCGTCATAATCCTTCAGAAAACGACCAAACATTCTTATCTCATGCCTTGCTCGACATGCCTAACGCTCACAAGCACGTCGCAAAAGTTGCGACAGCTCTGAATACGGATGGGAATCTACTGATCTTCAACCCAAGCATCTCCCAAATCATGGCTGTCGTAGACATTGTGAAGCGCCATTGCTTGCCGTTAATCCTCGACACAGTATTAGAGCTAGGGCCAGGTCTTACTGGCGGAAAAGAATGGGACGTCCGGAGCGTGATTCCAAGAGCGCAGCTAAAGGCAGTCAACGGAATGTCGAATAGCGATACTTATGAACAGACCTCGCTTGCGGCCAAGGAGGACAGCAACCAACCACGGACCGCAAAGCATTACAGTGACGGAAGTTCAGAATCACAAACCAGTCTCTTTAAATCGGAAATGATCTGCAGGCCCAAGGTAGGTGGAATGGTCAGGGGAGGAGGCTTTGTGGGCATGTGGAAGAAGATGAAGGATGAGAAAGGTATGAGTAGATGAAGTGCAGATTGTGAAATTCAGCAGCTACTCAAACCCGGTCCAAACGGTGTTTCCTATCCTGCCATCCTTTTCATTAACCCTCACGCCTTCTTCTTTCAAAAGTGTGACTTTATTATTGAAATACTCCCCTTTGACGCCCCAGCTACCGTTGAAGCCTCCAATTGTCTTGTTAGCAGCCACAATTCTGTGACACGGCACTCTAGGAGCAAAAGGATTATTCCTCAGCGCATTGCCTACTGCTCGTGGTGCTGAGTTCAAGTATTCCGACAGAGCAAGATAAGTCGATACTTGACCCTTTGGGACTTGGCATAGTGCAAGCAGTACTCGTTTTCTAAAAGCTGTGATTTCTGAGGTTTCGATAAGGTCGCGAAGGTCAGAGTCAATTGATGCTGAAGGTACTGAGGAGGCAGAAGGTTTTGGGGGTGCACCGAAAGCGGCACGAATGTCTGGCTGATCCCTGCGTCTCAACTTGGGTTTGGGTTCAGAGCTTGAAGGTTGACTCAGGGCAGCGGTATCGTCGATTTTGGCATCGCCTTTCCGTTTGCCATGGCCTTTACTGGTCTTGAATGCTTTGCCTCTGGCCGCTAGGCTCCTCTCGTCTAATTCGACAAGGTTGGCTTTTCCGCCAGCAATCGCTTCTCCAAGAGTCACACATCGACTCAACTCTGCTTCAGTCATATTTTTTATGGCCGGAGACTTCAATCTCTCAGTCCAAGGAGTCGCGATGCGGTTTTCTGTCGACGTAACTGAGGAAGAAGTCTCTGTGTACTCCTCGCCTCTTCCAATCACGGAATCGAGTATTATTCGCGCAAAGCAGTGATCTGCTTGGACTGGCCAATGTGTTTGAGCTGATGACTTTAATTTAGCAAGATTTGGGAGTGTGATTGTATATAACGTTCTCCATGCATCTACAAGAGTAGCCATGTAAAAGGCGAAGCAATGTTAAGAAAAGGTGTCCACAAAGCCAGCTGAGACTTTCTTCTATTAAGCTACTGACTCACCTCGATTTATTTTGATGTATAATTGCGGGCAATTTACCGACTTGACTGTCTGATCTTGCTGCCAATATTGGGTGGGTGCCTCTACGCGACGCGTCAATCGCGTCAAGGCCCCAGACCTTTCCAAACCACCAGCGATACCGAAGCATTCTCGTTTTGACTTACTAGATGGCAAACTTCTTTGACAATAAAGCTCGAGCAGCTGCAATTACTTCGGCAGGAAACAATGCTGCGACCTCCTCGAAGAACGCACCAGACAAGGAAGTACAAAGCCACCAGCCATGGGTGGAGAAATAGTATGTGAATATTACCTGTATTTGCATCGCACGCTCACTAGTAATCAAGTCGGCCCAAGAGTCTGAAAGACGTAACAGCACAGGACCATACCATAACAGTCCTTCAACGGACATTGCAGGCTACCAATGTAAGCGTGATACATCATCTCTTGATCCTCAACTCAAGACTCTGTCGTAGCTGCCCCATATGCTCTTTTACGGCCCGCCGGGCACTGGCAAGACGTCTACGATCCTTGCCCTGGCGAAAGAATTATACGGGCCTGAGATGTTCAAGTCACGAGTACTCGAGCTCAACGCCTCCGACGAGCGCGGCATCTCCATCATTCGTGAGAAAGTGAAGGACTTCGCTCGAATGCAATTGTCAAATCCACCTCCCAACTACAAAGAAAGGTTTCCATGTCCACCATACAAGATCATCATTTTAGATGAGGCCGATAGCATGACACAAGACGCCCAGAGTGCCCTACGGCGAACAATGGAGACGTATAGCAAGATCACAAGGTTTTGTCTAATTTGTAACTATGTGACTCGAATCATAGATCCTCTAGCTAGTCGATGTAGCAAGTTCAGATTTAAGATGTTAGATCAACATAATGCGAAGAAGCGGCTAGAAGAAATTGCAAAGAACGAGAATGTAAGACTTGAGGGTGGGGTGGTTGATACATTGATTAGTTGCAGTGAGGGGGATCTGAGGAAGGCCATTACGTTTTTGCAAAGTGCGGCAAAGCTCACAGGTGCAGTGTCAACGGTTCAAACGAAGACGAATGGGCATTCCGCAAAAAGAAGGCGAATGGAAGAAGATAGCGAAGAGGATGCTATGGATATTGACGGGGTGTCTTCTGCTGTCATCAGCGTCGGGAGTATTGAGGAGATAGCAGGCATAATCCCAAATAACGTCGTTGAGGGATTGCTTCACGCAATACAGCCACAGCAAAAACCTGCTCCATACGAAGCGATTGAAAGAAGAGTCACGGATTTAGTAGCAGATGGATGGAGTGCAATGCAGGTTTTGTCACAAGTAAGTGTAGATTGACATTGACACAGCTTTGACTGATTGCGCCTCCTATAGTTATACCAGAGAGCCGTGTATGACGACACGATATCAAACAAGCAGAAGAGCAGGATTGTGATACAATTCTCAGAGGTCGACAAACGACTTGCAGATGGAGCTGATGAGCATCTTGCCATCTTGGACTTATCTTTGCAAATGTCGAAGACTCTATCAGAATCTTGAACATCATCGACGATCTACCGCTGATAGCTGACTTTCAGAAGCCTATGATGCACCAAAATCTATCCAAGGGCTACCACCTGCATCGCCTTCGATCTAATGGATCATAATGCTGGTCGGTGGCTTCACGATCAATGCATCACCTAGTAAAGGCGCACTCTCATCTTGTATGCAAGCTTTTGGGTCTTTTGGGTCGCTTCGGAGAGTATCCACCACAACCCGGATAATATACCAGTTATGTTCCCATTTATGTAAAAGTAAGTATTTTGTCTTAAGACATACCGAGTGACGGCTACTAAAGGCTATTAGTCATTAGACTGTTGAATTCAACCTGTCAATGCTGTGGAGGATGTGAAGGGCATGTCGTCTCACCTCTAGCAAGCTTAAACTTTGACAAGACTGGATACTCAGATTTGACGGAAGTCGTGAGGTAGTATCGAACTGATTTTATCAAGTCTTTCGTTATTTGACCCAGTGTCACTCACACCGCCATTGGCGCTTGTTGAGCCTTGCCCTTCCCGATCCCTCTCTGAGAGAGTGGAGTCTTCGCATCAGCATCCTTCACACGTTGCTTGGTCATTTTGCCACCGGCTGCTCGTGCACATTCATTGTGCTTCGCTTTCTTCATGGCTTTCGACATCCTATCCTCATTAATACCGAGCCGTTTGTCAACATCTTGAGCCATGTCGACCAAATCACTCAATTGAAGGACCTCGCAAACCTGCCGATAGCCCTTGCAACTCGAGATCTGGCGAGAAACTTCTGCTTTTCCGGGCATCAACTGGGCGAGCAGAAACTTGGTGTTGCCCCATTTGTTCTCGACCTCGAGTGCTATCTTCACGTACTCGTTTACCACCTCCCTCCATGGTAGCAAGCCTCCTTCATCTTGAGATCGAAAGCAACTTGAATTTGATTCAGCGGATGTGGCAATCATTGCACCGTCCACACCATATTCTTTAGCAAGCTCAAGAGCTTCAGCTCTATCTTTGACATCTCCGTTCATTAAGCAAGCGACTCCAGTTTCCCGGCATATGTCCCCGATCATACGTAGCTGCTCTCGAATAGCTTTCTCGCGTGGTCGCATCGGTGTTGTCCGGCAATGAATTGTCAGTCCAGTGATACCAGTAGCACATAGCATTCTCACTAAGGCTTCGGTACACTCTGGTGTTTCTAACAAGCGTATCTTCACGCTAATTCCAATCTCGTGCGGCAATCCAATTTCCTTGACCAAGGCTGTCAAAATTGCTGCCAGCCTGTCTGGATCTTGCAACAATGCCGCACCCATACCGCCCGAGGTCGAGAAAGGCTTCGGGCAACCTGCATTCACATCTATACCGGCAACGTCTCCAGCAACGAGCTTTGCTGCCTCGACTGCTGTCTCTGGAGAGGCCGTACCAATCTGGAAGATTAGCCTGTCAGCTTCCCGTCCTGGGTGTATGCGGTAAATCAAGCTTTCTTTCTGCACATCTGGCTGGGCTCGCTGTGGATTGGAAGGCGTCCTCGTAAAATCAATGGTCGAAGTGACAGGATTGATCCTTCTAGTAGTGCCAATCATGGACTTGTCAACAGTTTCAGGACCCCATACTAGATCTGCACCGTATTTCAAAGCAAGTAGACGGGATGGCAGTTCTCCGGACCGTACCATGGGAGCCAGAACCACTTTCCCCCTGTAGTCGACCCCATTCCGAGGTATGGGAATTCGATGAGGCCTCGACATCTTGAATGCAGCAGGGGTCATCAGCATCAACGAGATGCGCATGGGCGGCTCGACATTTCACATTTTGGAGTTACAAGTGAGAAGGGTTGGTCAAGTGCTGAGAATAATTATTCCCAAGTCACGTGGAGGCCCCCATGATTCTAAGGGGCCTGGGTAAGAAAATGATGTAGCAGAAAACTTAATGATAAATGCTCCACGTTCTCAATTTGGGAATGACAAGCATCACAATTACATGTTGGCCATTAGACAGTCAGCAATTATCGCAAAGAACTGTAGACAACTTGCGTCCATTGCGAAGCCGCCACAGGCCAAACGAGCTCGACTTTCTCCGACGCTGGCTCCGCACTCAAAAGTGAACCCCACCAAGAACTTCGACGCCCCTCTCCAATCCTCTTCTCGTCGAGTCAATCAACTGACCAACCACTTGCACACTCACACTCAACCACATATCGGAATGAGTTCTCTGCCCATAAGTGAAAGGGGCTATCACCCCAATGCTCCTGGAACTTATTCTGCCCGCAAAATTGGACACCCGAATACTTTCGAGCATCGCATATATATTGAGAAGGATGGTGTGCCGATCTCACCGTTCCATGACATACCGTTGTATGCGAATGAACAGCAGACGGTCCTCAATATGGTTGTCGAGATCCCAAGGTGGACGAATGCTAAGATTGAGGTGCGTATCGGATTTGATGTCAACGCACGGAGACTACTCAAATTTGTGGACTGATACCGAAAGGTGCTAGATCTCGAAAGAGGAGCCATTGAACCCTCTGAAGCAAGATACAAAGAAAGGGAAGCTTCGCTACGTCCGCAATTGCTTCCCCCATAAAGGGTATCTATGGAACTACGGAGCATTTCCACAAGTATGGACGCTTACTTCCTAAATTAATGTCATATATGCTAAGTCGAAAGTAGACGTGGGAGGATCCGAACGTCGAGCACGTAGAGACCAAGGCAAAAGGCGATAATGACCCTTTGGATGTCTGTGAGATTGGCGAGCTGGTAGCTACTCCAGGCCAGGTTAAGCAGGTCAAAGTCTTAGGTGTGATGGCTCTATTGGACGAGGGAGAAACAGATTGGAAGATCATCGTTATTGATGTCAATGACGCTTTGGCACCGAGACTGAACGACATTGAAGATGTGGAACGTCATTTGCCCGGTCTGCTGAGGGCTACGAATGAATGGTTCCGCATCTATAAGATCCCAGATGGAAAGCCGGAAAATCAATTCGCCTTCTCTGGTGAATGCAAGAACAAGAAGTGAGCTTCAGCTATCAATCAAATCCGTATGCTGCTAATCGATGGTCCTTGAAGATACGCCACAGAAGTCGTACGTGAATGCGCGGACTCCTGGGAGAGACTCATTACCGGCAAAGTGTCGCCTGGCGGTGTTTCTTTGTAAGCTCCGACCAAAACACAGCATTGTTGAAGCTTATCTGACAATGCCAGGGCCAACGTAACGGTTCCCCATTCCCCCAACAGAGAACAACCTGGCGAGCGGAACATCCCTCGAGGCCAAGATCTCCCCCCCGCCCCAATCGACGGCATGTATGACAAGTGGTTCTTCATCTCTGGCGCAGCTGTGTGAGCGCACCGTGCAGGAATTGTAATGATTTAGACAAGCTCCGTCGACCTAGAAGTAAAGAGCCCTTGTACATAGAAATCATACAAAAGCGATCTTCCGAACAAATCTTTCTGACTAGTGACTGCGCGGGATAGATAAGCCTAATCGATCAGCTGGCCGTGAGTTCGGCTTGTCGATTCAAGATTCGTGAATGTCTGTCGATCTGTGTGATGATATCCTTGTTGACGAGTGTTTCTGGATCCAAGTCTATGTCTTTGCCGTCCTCTGTAGTCCATGTGATTAGCGACGCTATAAGACTGTTCTTTCTCAAAGACTGACTGAACTTGACTTTCAGCTCGCTCTTTTCTAAGCTATCACGAGATAGGACTTTTGCATTGATCTTCATGTTCTGTCTTGCATCTGCGGGTAGCTCTGCAAGAAAAAGACGGCATGTTCTACCAGTGATTTTGAATGGATTGAACTTTGTTGTGACCTCTGCAATGTGTTTCGTGATCATGTCTTGAAGATATATACACAGAAACAATCCTAATTTCACGCACTCCGCAGTCAGATTATGATCCAATCTTCCTCCAATGTGATTGAGAGATGATAAAGCAGTGAAGAGGGAAGACTACACATCAGATTGAGGTGAGGAGTGGGAGGGAGATCCTTTGGAGTTGTGGAAGGTGCTTTAGAAAATCCACTATACCACGGAAGCCATTACTAGCGCCGTCGGAAATTGAACCTGACGTAATATAAGAACACCAAGTGAACGATTTTTGTGCCTTGAATGGATAGAGCTATGAGCCTTCAAGCTCGTACTTCGCTTCTCTCTGACTCATTGAAGCAGATACAGCAGCTAATTACGCGACTCTCGAAATCTCCCTGCCAACCAGGTGCCAATTCATCAAGCCCGGACGAAGGAGATGTTCGAGTGGAATTAAGCGCAGAGATTCATCAAGGCTTGAAGGAGCTGGAAGAAGACTTTGAACTTTTGCGTCAAGACGCTGAAGACCAGACTATTAGCTCGAGCTGGGCATCAGCGGCAAGACACCAAGATACTGAAAGGGAACAAGATAGGGCAGAGCTTGCTGCTCACGTTGCGAAGTTAGGGGAAGATTTGAAGATGTAAGTGACTTTGAAAGCTCATCGACGAGTCCTCGAATCTCATCGCCCCTACGTAGCGCCCGAACGCAATATCGTAAAGGTCAGCTCACATCTAAACGAAACGCGGAAGCTGCGAAGCGGAAAGAGCGCGAAATACTTTTCGCAGGTCTCCAAGAGGGTACAGATACGGGCTACGGACGAAGAAGAGGTCATGAAAAGCTATCACAAGAAGAACTTCTACTGAGTGCTTCGAATGACATTACTGCTGGCCTTAGGAGGACCCATCATTTGATGAGCGCTGAATTGCAGCGCAGCCAATTTGCACGTGAAACCCTAGGTAAGGGCGCCGAAGCTCTCTCTGTTTTCAGTAAAGCCAGCTCAAAAGCATTACAGAGAACTCTACCAGAGACCTCAGCCAGCTTTCGGAATCATACACAAGCCTAGACACCCTCCTCTCATCCTCCCGATCTCTTGTGTCTACTTTGATCCACTCTCAAAAGTCAGATACTTGGTATCTTGAATCTGCTTTTTACGTTCTCATCATTACCATTGGCTGGCTAGTTTTTCGACGCCTTGTTTATGGTCCGGGCTGGTGGCTCCTGTACTTCCCTGTTCGACTTTTGTGGTTACTCTTACTATCTTCGGTAAAGGTGTCAATTGGTGCCTTTTCTTTGATAGCAAGCACCATAGGAAGCAAAGGACAGCATCAAGCGCTTGAGAAGATCAATAGCAAGCTTGAGACCAGAATTTCACACACAGCCACTGCGAGGGGAAAGGTGGGAATACCGACGTTCGAGCCCAACATGCCCGAGCCCTCCATACGGGCCGGAGCTGGAGGTCAAGGCGCGAAGGCAGATTCTCCATCGCTGCCGCGTGAGGAAAAGAGCTTGTCTGAAACGGTCGGTGAGATGGCAGAGCAAAGTCAGCAGGTCGCTGAAGAATCGCAAGCCCAAGGCAAACAAGGGACAGTGCTCAGGGAGCGAAAGAAGGATGAGCAACCGAATCCGAAGAAAAGGATGTGGGAGGAGCCGACCGGAGATGTGGGCCAGGGCAACAGAGCCAGGGATGAGCTGTAAAGAGAAAGCTTGTTGTCCAGGCCTATGAGGTATCTGTACGAGCTGCGCACAGTCACCGTGGATCCTGATCAGAAGCGACAGCAAGTTACGCAAATGCACAATCATGCCATAAGGCATGGGGAGGCCTGCGGATAATTAGGAAAAAGACTGAAGTCGACTTCTGGTTCGTTTGGTAGTCTCTGGAGAGGCCTGCTGATTCATCCTCAACCTGCCGATATACATGTTAGTATCTCCTCGTGACACCCCTTCGCTGTCAAAGTGTCTTCCTATCAATATCACCTGAATGCATTGCTAACGTGCAGCTGCAGGGCAGCCATTAGGCACATACTCACAGGGACAGCTTTAAACAGAGGCACGAAATCCAAAATCTGAGGGACGCATTATGCTGCTCTGAAAACGGTCAGTGCCAACGGAGAGACGCATGCAGCACACATCATACCACCTCAATGATCGTCATGTCTAACTTCATATTTCATTAATTTTGTGTGGGTATCTATGGCGCCGGCCGTAAGCAGCTTCTATCAAATTCTTACGCACGAAATGTTCCACACCAGGTCTAATTCACTCTTTGTGTGGAAAACAAGCTCCTGCAATGTCACACTCTACTGCAACATAAGCTCTATAGTAGACCCCGGGACACTCACTATACCTTCTTGAGGATTTCCTCCTGTTCAGCGTCGAACGCACCTCTTTTTACGGCCGTATCCTGCTGCTTGATTACATTCAAATGAGTGATTCAACAACTCAGCCAAGACCTTGGGCTGACGTGGCCTTGATCTTCCATGCACACAGGTGCCTTCAGATCGCTTTTGAGCAGTGCTTTACATCGTTCCCTCGGAAAAGCCTCAAGAAATGGCTCTCAATCCTGCGCATCAAGGTAGACTCACAATCCCAGACCTTTCCACGACAGGGCGATGTTTAGAGACTCTCAACGCGAAGAGGGCTAAGTTGATGAGACTGTACGGTCAAGCTTCGGATCTTTCGTAGTCAGTGTGCCAAGTATTTAGCTATTCCAACTCAGAGTTTGCTCTTTCCACCATCGGCGGTATCTGCAGCAGTCGGACTCGATCTTGCTAACATCCAGTCCGCAACGTCATTTGAGTAAATGATTTTGTCCTCACCTGGCTCCCCATGCACTACCTCTTGATTAGCACTATCTCGCCAGCATAATTAGCTGCATTGTACTCACAGACATGATACCACCCATCGTAGCTCTTGAACGTTTTATCTCGAACCTTTAATCTCTCAAAGAACCTCTTGCTAGCGCCATGATTTGTGATCAAATCATTCGACCCATGAGCAATATAGATGTTGCCTTCTTTCACCACAGCCTTGCCATTATCCAACTCTTCTCCTCTGTCAATCATTCCGCCGAGCCCCTCCAGAGTCCCAATGTTGTGGCACAACTCATCTGCTTCCCAGCTCTTCGCAACCTCGGGGTCTCGGGACAAATTATCAGGCTTCAGCTTCTGCAGCATTTGATACCGTGGCAGGACCTTCAAAGCTACCCTCCCCGCCACGACAAGCGCCCGACTTGGCTGTGAAGCTGGATGCAGCGTCAGGTATGGTGCCAGCGCAAGATAGCCTCTAATCTGTTTTCGGACCTCTTCTGGACCAGTCGCTGCATAGTAAAGTACCTCACCTCCACCCATAGAATGGCCAAGAAGAAAGAGCGGGACGCCTGATCCTTGGGCTAATAGAATCAAAGGCTGCAACATTGAGGTGATGTCACTCATGACCGTTGCAGTAGAACCGGTGAGTCCTCGTTCTGACTTAGTGGTAACTGAGCGGCCCCAACCCCTTTGGTCGAACCCGTGGACTTCAATGCCCCGGGAAGCGAGAGTGTTCATGAAATCGGAGAAGCGGTTGATGTGGTCGGAGAAGCCATGGACAAAGAGAGCGAGGGCTTTCGGTGGTGACTTTGGCTGTGTGTTGCGGTCAACAGGACATTCAAAGAGCGTGATGCCTGGGACGGGTTTGCGTGAGCCGACCTACCTTCCATGTTTTGGTGTAGAGCTTATGCTTGTCTGACAGGCTATGAGAGCCTTCTTCTGTTGTAAAAGAGTCCATATCAAAAGAGATTCAATGTGATGCCCGATAAGATTTCATGTCAAGATCTCAGATTGTTCACTTGCGGAGACAATAACAAGAGCTTAGACAAGTGTTTGATGAGTAGGGTCAATTGTTGCAATCTTCAAAAAGATTCCGCCCTCGCCGAGACATCTTTGATTACCTCAGCTCAAAGTTTTGTGCGGGCGCCTCAGGTCACCCCGTATGCACGTACACCCTCTTTTTAAGGCCAGTCTGATCGACCGCTCTGTGCTTGAACAGCCTCACCAAAACCCATTCACTCCAGCATGACAAGTCTCGAGTTACGCAAGCAAGGTAGGCAGTGATGAGTTGCCTTTGAAGTGGCCTCATTGGTATGGGCTGACCCTGAATCAGTCATCAATATTTACAAAGGTATACATGTTCTCTCTAATTTAGATACTCCTATCTCCTATATCCATCTTTTCCTGATGTAGGCTTTGGAAGAGGAAAGTTCCGATCCATTCTTTTGGAGTTAAAAGAATGGCATAGCCTGCCAAAATTGCCGCGCCAGTCGGTCTTGTGCATTGCCAAGTTTTGGATTGTATAGCAATGATATCATATGCTTGGGAATGTGTTGTTGTTCTCCTGTGTTTATCTTCTGATGTTCTTGAATCTCCGGGCCACCTCGACTGAATGGGCTTTTGGTTGCAGAATTATTGAATTTAGGCCGGGAATACCCTTTGGGATACTCTCACTTTCGGACTCGACTTCATAGAGCCTTCTCGAGCCAAGCGCATCTGCAACGCGAGGAAGACATCAAGAGGGGCATTGAGCGGGCCGAATACGTCAAGAAAGAAGTTGAAGCCCTGTATGAGATGCTCCCCTTGAAGATTTTAAGTTTTTCTGGCACTTCATTGATACTATGTGCAGGTATTACCTCAAAAAATACAGAGCATTACAACAGCGCTATTCCTCCTGATCCGAGTCTGTTTCCGATTCTTCATCTTCTCCAGCCTTTCGAGCCCACCAAACACCTGCTTCAAGGCACTCACCATTGATAGTGCCATTGCGTTCGAAAAGGTCTGTCATCATAGCTGACCACCATCGATCCCATTCATCTTGCTTCTTTCCACTCTCCTTCATCAGGAGTGGCTCCAAGCACTCTATCAGACCAACAGCAATATTCAAAGCGGTTTGTCTCAATGCGGCCTGGTCTGAGGTGAGAGGCTGAGCATACTTCGTTGGGTTCGAACCCTTGGTCAAGCCTTTGCTTCTGCTCGTTTGTTTTCCTTCGGGGCGATGATCTGTCTCCATGGGAAATTCTGATTCCAAATCAGTCTCCCAACGGATATATGAGAATGGAATCGCCACCCGACGACTGCCAACTTCTTCGTAGCCAATTCTTTCGGTTGACAGCCCAAAGCTCATGACGGCACACGGAGTCACAGTAAAATCCCATTCCTGGAGCGCTTTCTCCACCCACTTGTTGTAATCAGTGAAGAAACGATTCTGGGCTTTAGAGAAGGGTGTCGCTGGACCAACCGTATACGTTGCAGTCTTTCTCGCTTGCTCAGCATCCTTGGAATTCGTTCCATGAGCCGTAGCAGGTTCCGGCTGCAAGCAACGGAACACATAATCTGTTTCGATAACCTCAATACACCCACCAGGCTTTAGATACTTCTTCAGGGTTGTCAAGGGATTGGTTTTGACGTCTTTTGCTGATGGCAGAGCCATCGTCCCATCATTTACCATAATCAGGTCGAACTCTTCAGCAAACGGTAGCGGTGGCTTCCGTATATCGTGTAGAACAAAGCGCCAATTGACTCCGTACTTTGTCAGATCTGGAGCTAGGGGCGCGATATCAACGCCTGTGAAAGACACATTCTTCAGTCCCTTCTGTTTCAGATATTGATCACACCTGAGAGACCAAACTGCTGGTCCGCATAGAACTTCCAATACTTTTTCTGGTGGATGACCGAGCCTTGAGCTAAATGGTGTGCCGAAGACGTCTAGGAGCAAAGTTGTCCTGAGCGTTTGTCTATGCAGCTCGGCGAGATCTACCGGTAGAGGGTACTCTGGGATTTCACGCAGGTAGCGGCGACCATATTTGTACACGAAAGGATGAGAGATCTCGACAGACTGCTGACGACCATGCGAAGAATTCGTAGTGGATCCGCTCACGGTTGGAGTGATCGGTGGCATGGTAGGTATTGTCTCAATGTGAAACCTCCTGACATGCGAAAAGCTCATTTACAACTTTCTGACATGCTCAACGCTGCCTTGTGAAAATGGCAAACCTTGCTAGCGGTGAACCTCAACTTCTGACCGTTTATATGCGACCATCGATCGACCTTTTGGTCACTGCAAGCTATACGGCTGGACTACGTACGTGATCAATCAAGTTCCGTGGACGAAGTTACGCAGATAGACCCCCTCCGCCGTCGGACGTTCGCAGAAAGTGCAACAGCAGGCGCGCAGAATTGTGAATGCAAAGAAACAAAAGCTTGGTTCACCAGCCCAAATTGGAGAATGTCTTGAAATCTCGAATTTGTCTTTGGAGAGGGCGCTTTCTGAGGATGGTTGGAGTTGTGTTCCGAGTTCCTTTCGAGCTTGAGAAATGCAAACGGCCTGTCATAAAAATGCTTGATGTACAAACCTGGTACCCAATGATTCGCTGCGTAAGGGTGATAGGCAGGATTGAGACGAGAATCCCCGAAGTCTTGAGCCTGCACTTTGACTTATCACTGCAATCCTGGCCCTGCATTCGTCCACGGCTTGTATTGGTCAGTCATGAAGCATACAGAATATAGCTTCAATCAGTAACAAGGACTTGGAGGCACAAAGCTTAGTGGCTGGGTGGTACCTCTTAGAAAGGCATCAACTTTAGACGCCACCAGACGCCTTTAGCGCGGGCGCAGTCTCTTGAGAGCACAATTACGGAGGTACTGCAGGGACTGCTATTGACTATTGTTCAGCGACATTCACCTAAATGCCATTCTCACCATATGCGATATCACTAAGCGCCAAATTATCGTCCCTTGCCATGATCTCTGCCACTGCCATCTCAAATTGCTAAAGTCACTTTCTCAAGCGCATAATTTTCCCACCTTCTGCTGTCACTTCCAGCCGTCCCTGATCCTCGACGAAATCAAGGACTCTTTCAACACGTCGACGTGCGCTAAGCACCAGAGGAGCAAGCCGTGCTTGAGATAGCCCGAGCTGCCGATTTCCAGAAACACGTGCTTGTCCTAATTCGTGGCGTTGCGAAAGTCGACAGTTTCTCACTGCTAAAGAAGGTCGAAAGGAATACCAGGCCTCGGAAAATCATTGCCCTTCCCTACAGCCGTTGAGCGGCCTCTCTGGCTTATGCCGGCTGCTCCTATGCACAGACACAGCTTCGTGTATTCATCTCCGCCGATACCACTTCCTTCTCCCTCAATATTACGCCCTACAATCTCCCAGCTTGGTGAAGGTACTTTCCGCCTTCCACCGCGGCCGTTAAGGCGTGTGGATTCGAATGGCAGATGCTAGTTTTCGATATCACCAGCAGTCTGGGCCTGGTACCTTCTTCTATAGCCAACAAAACCACCATCAAAGACATCTAGCCCGCAACGGCTCGCCCGTGAACAGTAGCCGCGGACCTTTCACCCATGATACTCCCTCACCTTCGCGCTCACCAGTCTCTCAAGCCTCTTCTCACCTGCCATACAATATGTACAGCCAAGGCCAACTCCAAGGGCATGGTATGATGTTGAATGGGAATGGACCTCAGAGGTATCATAACATGGGGATCAATCACAAATATCAACATCAAAATCATCACCACCAACATCATGGCCAGCAAAACCATCATCATCAGAACAACAATGTGGGAACAATTGGGCACCAGCACACCTTTTCGTCCGGTACGATGTCAAATGCAACGCCACATTACTCCAACAGCCTCAATCATAATAATCATACGGATGAGCAGTTGGATATGGATGATAATTACTCACAACACTGGCAACAGCAAGTCCAAGTCGCGGCGGAATCAAGGCAGAGCGCGCAACAGCCTCACCGTCACTGCAAAGAGCGAGACGCCGTGCGATTATTGGATCGGGGCGCCCATGAAGCGAACGATGAGAACAAGAATGATGAAGGAAAAGAGGAGCGAAATCGTGCATCAGTAACAGATGTCATAAGGAGGCAAGACTGGGATGCACTGGATTTCAGCGGCCAAGGTCTGAAAGCGATCGCCCGACCAGTGTTCCTGCAATTCACCTTTCTGAGAAGGTTATTCCTTGACAACAACCGATTGAGTCGTCTCGATCCCGCAATAGGTTATCTCAGGCTTTTGAGCCATCTGAACGTCTCGGGAAACCAGATCGCCGAAATTCCCCCAGAGATTGGCATGCTAGTCAACTTGAAAGATTTACAGATATTTGATAATCAGTTGACCAGCGTACCCACAGAAATGGGGCATTTGTACAAGCTAGAGTTTCTAGGTCTGGAGGGCAACCCGCTCGATCGAGAGATAAAGACACTACTCTCGGAACACGGAACCAAGGGTCTCATTACTCTTCTTCGTGACGTCTATCAAGGTGAGCTTACCCGAAAATATGAACTTGAAAGATTGAATTGAAACTTACCTTGAAAATCCAGACACCCCCGAGCCTCCCCCGCGTGAGTGGCTAGAATTTGAACATTCCGAAGCCTCAGAGTCGTTGTCAGTCCTTTCGTATAATATTTTGTGCGACAAGTACGCCACTATCAGTCAGTACGGCTACACACCAGCAAAATCTCTCGCATGGGATGGTCGCAGGCAGCTTGTTTTAGATGAGATGACAGCCCAGAATGGAGATGTGATATGTCTTCAAGAAGTTGACCGAGAAAGCTTTCAGGATTACTTCCAATACCACTTGGCAAAGGCGGGTTACAGAGGTATTTTCTATCCCAAATCAAGGGCCAAAACAATGGCAGAAAAGGAGGCAAAGCTTGTCGATGGGTGCGCAATCTTCTACAAAGCCAAGAATTACATCTGCCTAGACAAGATGGTAGTCGATTTCGGCAGCACTGCCATTAATAGGTTGGACATGAAAGGCGAACACGACATTTTCAACCGCGTCATGCCAAGAGATAATATCTCTGTGGTTGCCTTTCTCGAAAACCGGTGGACGGGGGCACGGATTATGATTGGCAACGCGCACATATACTGGGATCCTACATATGCCGATGTCAAGCTCGTACAAGTGGCCATATTGATGGAGCAAATAAGCAAGAAAGCAGAGGAATGGTCAGCCAAACCACCCTGTGCTGATAAAGCTGCATTTCGATACTCCGAAGATGATGCCACAGCCGATGAATCGCCCGACCCACCACCAGAGCCGGGACCATCGCTTGAGTACTCTAGTGGCCCTTCGATACCTCTGGTGCTATGCGGTGACTTCAACTCTGCGGTCGGCACTGGTGTTTACGACCTGCTAACAAAGGGGGAGCTGCCAGGGTCACACGAGGATCTCACGTCTCGAAATTACGGCAACTTCACCCGAGATGGCATGCACCATCCCTTTAAACTCAAGTCTGCGTATAATACTATGGGTGAGCTTAAATTCACGAATTACACGCCCAACTTTACCGGCGTGATTGACTACATTTGGTACTCATCGAATGCAATGGAAGTGAAAGGTCTTTTGGGAAATGTCGATGCGGACTATCTCCGTCGCGTGCCTGGATTTCCCAACAAGCATTTCCCCAGCGATCACCTGGCGTTGAAAGCGGAATTTGCCATCAAGCCGCAGAGGCAGTCAAGGATGAAGGAAACTGATCGTGGAGTGCGGAAGAATTAGGAAAGAGGGAGGATCATTGAGGTGCATGGTTTTACGATAGTTGCGTGGTCTGGAATACATAATTCGGCGTCTTATGTATGGATGGCTCAGCGCGGGCAGCGATGAAGGTGTGGTGATGTTCTTGATGTTGACTCTTTCTATGTGTTCGCCAAAACTTTGTGCATGCAATCTCCCAGAGAAGAAGCTTCAGGGTATACAGATGGGCGTCGGGAATGTTTTGATGTTATTTGTGGCCTCCGGACGAGACTAGTCAGTAAGCATTGATACAATCTGTAGAGGCATTTGATACACTACTAGACCTTTCCTTGAATGAATCCATTTCTCCACCTGATCCCCTGAACTAGTTTTACCCAAAGACTGATTTGATCCGAATCCAAGCCCAAGCAGGTCTAGATGCAGATGGATGTTGAAAAGCTACCCGGCCATGTCTGCAGATGCAGTCCAGTCACTCCGTAGAATCGGTTGGGCGAGGCTGGCGATCCCGTCGACTTGTGTAGGCTCAACCGCTCAAGCGAGGCAGGATAGCTAGACATCCGTTGATAGTTGGGAGATATAGGCGCCGGGTATGGCAAGTACGGGTAGCGAGCCATTGGATCTACGGCGGTTATTGAACCCAGCCGCACCGCATTAACTGTCAGGGAAGGTGGGGGTCTCGATGGGGCAGGGAAACGGGCGTCAGCAACCAAAGGGCCTGGTCTAAGCCCAATTCAGAGCTCCTCGAAGCATGAGATGATGAGATGGCGCACTTGACGCAAGTTGTTTGAGACATACTCGGATGGGGCATCAGATCTAGCCAGCCTTGCCAGCTCGCTTGATGATCGTCGGGTCCTGGGCATCGACTCAGCCACAGTGAGGAAGGCATAGAGGATCGGAAGAATCTAATTGATAGCTTGCCAGATCGCTGCAGAGTCCCAAGTAGCGACATTACGCCGAACCAAGCCCAGCGAAGCGAAGAGGCCTCCTTGATTGCATGTGTTGGATGATATGGCGCGGATGAGGCGCAGGCGAGATTACCGACCAAAGAGATTGGGCGACAAACGGAAGTGACTGGGTATGAAGAAAGGCCCGATATTGTCATATATGGAGCCCAATACGGAGTCGTGCAAGATTCAATAAGAATATACAGCCAGGATCCGAGATGAGATACGCGCTACACGACTGCGTAGAATCCAACACATCCACGCAATTTTCAGAATGACCCCGCACTCAACCCGACCACCGGCTAACAGCGACCTAAAGGTTAAAGCCTGCCTTAGGGTGCTTGCTAGGGTAGGTCGGCTTGGGCTGGTGGTGGACCGGTGGCTGGTTACGGTAGACACCTGGTGGTGCTTGCGGTTCCAAACAGAAGAATGCAGGCCTAGCATTAGAATATTAAGTATAATTATTCGGGAACCAATGATGGCGTCCAGCAGGATTTCTAGAGCCCCCGTAGAATCGGACTTGCCCTATCTAGTTTCGCCCCACGGATCGACCGCCTTCGTCCCTCGACCGGGGAATTTTCTGCTTTGCTTCCTACCAAAAAGGCCGCTGAGAAAAAGCCGCACCAATTAGTGGCCCTGCCATGCACATGACATCAAATGCCCCTCGTGCTGAATCTTCCCCAGGCGGCCACGCTGGATCTCAGGGAAAGGATACACAGATATCTTATATCACATCTGTAATGGTTATCATTTATCATTATTATTATTGCCCATTCTCCCCACAGATGCTTTCCGCTCACTCTCCCATCATTATTCTCAATCCAGGGGTGAAGGAGGACTTTGCTTCTTGCTTCTCGCTTCTCTACCGCAATCGCGATGCGTGATCTGTATACCCTATTATCCTGACGAAGCTTTTTCTTCCCTCTTAGCCGCAACATTCCCCCCAATGGCTTAACCACGGCAGCTGCTGAACCCAACCCACAAGCATAATCCCCTAGACGGGTAAGCCGCTCGTCCCCATCCTCTTGTCGCTCTCTCACCCGACAATCGATACTCTACCTCTTCGCCAATTGTAAGGCCGGCTTCATCTTGCTCTTGCCCTGGCCCACTGCTTACCCTTCGATTTCCATTTCAATCTCTACTCGTGCAGCCTTCAGCTTCGTGACCCGCCTTGCAACATTCAAAGACAATCCACCAGATTCCTCACAGCACTGCACCACATGCTGCGCTTAGATTTCACCTTGCGACGCAGGCGCCGCTCTCAGTTGATTGGGGAAAGTGAATGAAAAGGAGGGTCTATAAATTATAAACATCAACTTGGGAAGGCGCAACCAGCGTCGACAAGCCTACCTGGTCTGGAAAGCCTCCAAAGGCTGGTAGTGCGACATCTATGAGTTCAAAGGCCTGAGCTCTTCATTCTGTCCTCGAAACAAACCAGAAGCTTACCTGGCTGGGGAAAGCAATTGTGTATGTAGCGAGCAGCCGCCGTACTATTGTCTTCTCGCCAACAGTAATTCGTCGCAAAGCTTTGCTCTGTGGACGACTAGGCGCACACGTCGCTCCTGCCACATTATACAGTGACCTCATCTCGTCAACATACTTAAAGCTTGCAGTCGGCGTGAAGAGCCTATTAGGGATATATCTCAATTCCCAGACACTTGGGTGCAGCGCACTCTTTCAGATTTACAGCTACCTCCACTATAAAGGAACTGTAAAGGAGAGAGGAATAACGGGCTTATACTGAGTTGCTAGAGCCTAGGGTGGTCTGCAGCGGCAGATCACAATGGATCATGCGGCTTACCATGTGATTTATGTCGACACCCGGCTGAGCCAAGGACTGGACGGAAAGCTTGTGCAAAAGACTGAGAATGCCCTGCCAGGAGACAGCGACAGTCTTGGTCGTCTATCATGGGAGGACCGCAACCCGGAGTGCCTGAAAGCAATACTTGGAGAGATCGAGGAAGTTCGAACAAACTTGAAGCGCCTGCTCACTCATTTCAACAATGGTATGATATGACACTATCCCACTTCATATCTTTGTATCTCTGGACCCAGCTAATCTGTGAGCAGTACATACTTGTACTTCAGAGAGGACATGTATGGCCAACCTCAGGAGACTCGATAGCACGGGATTGGACCAAGGTCCAACGCTTGTCCTCTCTGGAATCTCGTTCGAGGCAGTAAGTGAGGTTCGAGGGAACGATGCGGGGGAAGCATCTATTCATCCTTCAACAGACCCAGAGGGTTTATGCCTTCTCAATCGTGTAGCTAAGGAGATCTCGAGCTCAAAGCTTCCAAGGACAGTACTACCAGTCGCTGTCGTTCATGGCACTAGGCAGAAGATCCAACGTCGTCAGCCATTTGCAAAGACCGTTCACAATCGCCCGTCGTCAGGAGGTTCGCTGAGCGCTACACCACATTCGAGCACCAATATGAGCAACGACCTCACAAGCGCGATACACACCTTAAAATGCGTCGATGCTGGTGCGATCGACGTTTTGGATAGCCCGCTACAAGAGGAGCGACTTCACAGTCTTATAGTACGTGCCTATCGGTGCCATAAAGATGCCCGTGATGCGCAAGCGGGGCTTCTACAGAGGAAGAGAGAGAGGAAGCTGTCGTGGCTCGGTAATACAGAAAATAAGCCATATGCATACCTTCGAGAAAAGATGGTTTCAGATCTCATGACGGGTATCTGCAATCCCGAGGAACACATCCATTTAGGCTATCAGCATCACCCTCCGGATCTCAGCAATGAGCGTGAAGCACAAATCAAACAAGCAATTGGGAGCTGGTCGTACTGGGGGCATGATTACTCAGAAGAGGAGTTGATTTATGCAGCAAGGTTCATGCTAGAACATGCGCTGTCCCTGCCAGAGCTCGAAAGATGGCGCATTCCGACCGAAAGGCTGACGATGTTCCTCGTGGCATGTAGAGCTTCATATAATGACTTCGTTGAGTATCACAACTTTCGGCATGTGATCGATGTCATGCAAGCCACCTTCCACTTTTTGATTCAGCTTGGAGTACTACCGTCATTCCCTTTGTCTCCGTCCTCGTCCGAACCTCGTCAGAGCAAGCGAGGCGTTGCTTCATTACTCAAGCCTCTGGAAGCACTCACGATGCTCATAACGGCAATTGGTCACGATGTAGGCCATCCGGGCGTCAACAACGCCTTTTTAGTATCTCTCAACGCTCCTCTGGCACAGCTATACAATGACCGATCCGTTTTAGAAGCCTTTCACTGTGCCGCTTATTCTCAAATACTCCGAAGGCATTGGAGGGTAGCTTTCGAGGACACGGAGATGCGTAATCTTATGATCAACTCAATACTTGCAACTGATATGGGAGTCCATCAGAAGTACATGACCGACTTGGGCAACCTTCAAGAGAAATTGCACCATCAACAAGGCTTGGACGGATTCAATGCGCAGCAGCTCGAAGAATATAAGACACTAGCGTGCGCACTACTCATCAAGTGTGCAGATATCAGCAATGTGGTAAGTCTCTCGCATTGCTAGGATATCATTCGGTCGCTGACAACTTTCCAGGCGCGGCCTTATAATGTTGCTGTCAGATGGGCCAACATCCTCCAGCTTGAATTCGCTAACCAAGGTATCATGGAAGAAGCTGTTGGTATTCCAACAGCGCTATTTGGTGGTCCTCCAGAGCTTGGGAATCTAGTCAAACTAGGACAATCGCAGAGAAGCTTCATGAACTTTTTCGCACAGCCACTATTTGAATCCGTAGCGGATGTTCTACCTGATATGGTCTTTGCAGTCACCGAGTTGAAACAAAACCAGGCGGAGTGGACTGAGCGCATAAGGAATGTGACAGAAAATGCTTCACCACACGGAAGGGATCGAGAACATTCGAAAGCTTTGTCTCCACGCTCAAGAAGCCCAATCAGATCTGAAAGTCAACCGGAGCTATCACACCCTGAAGGACTGCCGGCCTCGAACCCTTCCCCCGAACCATCATTGTCCACGAACCAGACTCAACCATCCCTTCCGATGCAACTCAGATCTTCTGATCCAGCCATCACCATTCCTCCTCATGTTCTCAGCGATCGAAGTCTTCAGCCAGAATCAAACTCACGCCGCTCGTCTCAAACCTATGCTCTCAACACAAGTAGTCTTGGTCCAGAGCACACGGCAGACTTCTCACGTCGGTCATCAGGTGCGTTACATTCTGCGGCCAGTCCCAATGTAGCGCTTGCACCGAGACGTACGAGTAACAGTTCGCCTAGTCAGTTGCAACTAGCACCTGACACTCAGCCGCATCCCGATGCTATGGACCTTACTGTCGAGAACAGGAATCCAAACAGCCGAGCGTCCGAAGACACGCTCTCGCAAATACAAATCATGAATGGAGTCGCAGTCATAAACACCAACCACACGGGATTAGCAAATGGGAGTGGTGGTGGAGGCGACGTTATGCGGCGAGGAAGCAAGGGAAATGATCAGACCCGCTCGCAAGCGGCCATTTCTTACCAACATATCGATCACTCTTACGAACAACGGAACCATCACCGATCATCGTCAGGCGCACATACGAATAACACTACCTTGTCTCAGTCTACCCCGTATTCTCCCACCGGCACGCAAGCAACTAGCGTCTTGACCGTTGAAAGTGATGAAAAGGGCTCCCACGGACGAATGAACAGTTGGCCTGAACGCAATGGAGCACCTGACGTACCGAATGTTGAACGTCCAGGTAGCAGCCATCGGGTCGGTGCGTCAGGCTCCATCAGTGGCAGTATGAAAGAACCTGAAATCAAAACTTCCGTACTCAATAACAATGGAAGTCTCCGTGGATCGAATCCAGGGCACAGATCCATAGGTAAAAGGAGCTCCAAGTTCAACATCTTCCATTCGTGGAAGCGACGAGGCAATCGGACTGAGGCGAGTCCGTAAAGGCGATAGCAGCCGCAGTATAACGACTTCTTACGACTATAAATATGTGGAGCAGTATATATGGAACGCGTATCATGAGGCTGGGCTGGGTCAACACTGTCGGCCTCGATAGTCTGCCCCTTAGTGGAGTATGGTGTTTTCCAGCGATTTTTATGCGAGGCCGCAGAGCTTTAGAGGCTTTGATGAGATACCCTTGGTTGATGAAGAAAGTTCCTGGTCCCGCGAAGGGCGACGGACATGAGGCAAGAACTTGAAAGCTTTGTTTGTTGAGGGAAATTGCAACGTTTTGTTGCACCCTTTGATATCACTCCTCCCTCGGCCTTTATTACTTGTAAATATCTTTAGATGGAAGAATTTTTGTATGACAGCAGTCTTTCAGGCATAATCATCTTGACTCTAGGATTTTAACGCCCTACGATATCTAGAATCGATTTGAGACTCCTTAGGAGCACAGCTGAACACGGCGAGATGGCAAGTAAGAGAGCGGCACCTTTATCGGGAGAGCCTTATTTGAAACCTCCACTGGATGAGGTAGGCAAAAGGGGAGACTCAACGCTCAATGCCCTGGACGAAAGAAGCCGAGTAAAGGTTCAGCCATTTCAGCCATTCCGCAAGGTCCAGTCTCCTCCGACTGTACTTGACAGCCTCCTCCTCGCTGCCATGGCCACAATTTGTACTCTAGAAGAGCTTGTAGCCTCGGGAGGAAGCAAAAGCTTCTTCCATTGGGCGCGCAGATCTCTCAACAAGTGCAGGTCCACAATCTTGTGATCACCTGTATAGAACCGGTCCAGAGCATGAGACTCTCCATCTTTTCCAAAAGCTTCCAACCCCTCTTCTCCTTCAGCATCTATCCCGATCGAGTTTTCAGCGTCTGGCCGCATATCCTGCAGCTCATATGCTTGTGGTAATTCTGTCGATCGGCGTAAGCCAGCTTCTTCAGCATCATGATCTTGCGCCTCCCCGGCCACCGCCCGTTCGGAATTCTGATACCCCAGATCCTCCTGCTTCTCAAACATCACGCTCAATAGCACCGCCTGTAACACCAGACAGAGTAGATCCAAACTCAGTAATCGCCACTTGCTCACGGGGCTGCTTCGGCCGACGAAATCCATCATCAGCCCCCCATGGAGGTAGTACCTCACAGCTTCCCCACCAGTTGGTGGCGTGAAAAGGATATGGAGAATAGCACATAGAATGTTTGTGGCAAAGATGGTGGTGAGGAAAGGACGCTGTGTCAAGGGGATTGGTGGAGCGGGCTCAGGCTTGGGCGTGAAAGTAAACCAATGCGGGAGGGCGCGGATGAGGAAGCGGAAAGTGGAGCAGCTGAAAAGGATCAGTTCCAGGAAATTGGTATGGAACAGATGCGTGGGGCTTTCGCGGGGATGGAATGTGGAGCAATACATACTCCTCGTAGTACAGGATGGAAATCTCGCAGTAGAAGGCGATATCCAGACTGCGGATCAGGTGGTCAAAGAGCTTGGCTTTGTGGTCGCGCAAGGCCTGCGATTCTTCGCTCATAGGCTGAGCCGGAGGGTTTGGGGCATCAAGGCTACTCGCAGTAGGTGAGGCATTGGCGCTGCTTGATGATGGTTGGGCAGCCAGAGGCGGGGCATCATTCATCTCTTGACCAAGTCATTTGTCATGGAGTGGGATTTGCGGTAGCCATTTGTGCAACAGGCCGAGTCTCATTGAGCTATCGGTGCAGCAGGAGATCCAGTCGGTCTTGTCCGAGGGGTCTTTGATATGTAGGTGGAAGTGGGAGAGGTGCAAAAAGGTAGACTAGTCTCGAAAAGTGATAGCGCTCTAGCCAATCCAATCTTATCTAGATCTACCGTCTTTTGGATCGACGCTCCCCCTCCGAGATCAAATCATCTCATCTACCTGATTGACCAGCACCATTACCCGGCGAGAAGCATTCAACCTATGTTCGGTCAATGTGTGCTCTATATTTTCACACTGGGCTACGGCAAAACGGGATAATCTGCCGTTCCAGGCCCAGAAGCCTCCTCGAGTCTGCAGGCTTCGGATTGCCCAGACGAGAAAAAGGAATTTTCAGCTAAAATAAGAAGCAAGAATAAGAGACGCTTTCCGCCTATGAGAGTTCCTGCGTACCTGGCCTGATTTTGCCCCGCCAGTATTCTGCATGCAGTCATGCAGTTGCGGCACCCTGCTTCATGCCTTCGTCTCGATGCCTGCAGATCAAGCAGTGCGACCTGATGTCGACGTCTTTATATGCCCATAACTCGACCAGCCTCGGTCTCTTTTTGGAATCATCGTCTCTTGGTAAATCGGCGAAGGCGCGCCCCTGCATCCAGCACTGCTTTTTCCAGCCCCTATCGCTCACCGACTCTCTCGCACAGGCTGCTTGTATCGCTTTGTTGGTCGCGCAGGCCTGTGAGGATGGCAGATCGGACGATTAGCTATGGAAATACCATTCCAAGGTAGGCTTTTTTCCCCGTTGGCAAATTTCCCCGCCCAGGAGCATGGATCCCAATCGTAATATATAGGGGCCGTATCGAATGCTACGTCTGCTGTGTCTGCTGTGTCAGACTTTCTTCAAGGTTTCTCTGCATGACCAAGGACCCCACCTTATCCGTCTGGAAATTGCACCAAGAAGAGGCAAATCGCGTTCTGGCTTGGTGATCCCGGTTACCAGCACCTGCCAACACTTTGCTGTTCTCCTGATCAATCTCTTTGCTGCTGCATTTTACCTTGAAAGACCGGAGCTTTCATCAGTGGCCGAATGTCGTTGGTGCTGAGCAAGTCTTGCTTCACCTTTTCCCTGATGGTCACTCGCAGCACTTATGATTTTGCGTGTCGAAACCCAGCATGGAATGTCTGGCTCACAATGCACGATACTCTAGGTCCAAGACTGAAACTTCTAGTCTGGAAGCAGTCCGAGCCATGCTTGCGGTCGATCCAATCCGGTATAAGTCGAATACCAGGACCCCATTAGATACTGCTGTAGCTGGCTCTCGGGCTATGTCTGGCACAAAACCACCTCATGTATGCGTAGTAGGTGCAGGAATGGCTGGTCTAAGGTGTGCCAGGAAGCTATCTGAGAAGGGCATCCGAGTCACGATCTTCGAGGCACGCAATCGCGTAGGAGGGCGTGTATGTCACACGCAAGATACAAGGACTGCCATTGACAACAGACAGGTCCATCAAATTGAGCATTCCGGTCATCGTATTGACATGTAAATTTTCTCTATATAGCCCGAAATGGTCAACGCAATTGGAAGCTCACTTTGACAGGGGTTCCAACTGGATACATGGGTCCAAGAACAATCCTATCTTGAGATTGGCACGGGAGCTCGATAGTGTCTGTTTTGAGCCTCCCGAGGGAGAGTCTGCAAATTCTCCAATCTACGACAGGTCGGGTCAGGAGCTAGACAGCAAGACTGCTCTAGCATACTCGGCTGAGACATGGGACATCATCGATGAGGCTATTCGATATAGTCAGAAGGATAGAGGACTTTCGATTCCGCCCGAAAAATCTCTCATCGACTATTTTTCTTGTGCGATCAAGGTAAGGAACTACGATGAGCCCAAGAGCAAGCTTATTCTTGACATGGCTCGAATGTGGAGTGACATCGTGGGAGAACCTGTCGAGAAGCAAAGCTTACGATACATGTGGCTAGAAGAATGTATTGAAGGCGGTAAGCCTCTGATATTCTCTGAAATCTTGGACGATACTAAGATCCTATCCGGTGCAGAGAATTGGTTTCTAGCTAGTACCTACGCCGCGATTCTCGATAGAATTCACAGAGACTGCCTTGCGTGTGCTGAAATATTACTGGAGAAGCAGGTCACCAAGATCCAATCAGTACGAAGCCATGAAGAGGGCCAGCACGCAATCCTGATTGACACCACGGATGGCACGAGCAGCGCCTTTGACGAAGTAGTCATGACTGCCCCTCTGGGCTGGCTCAAGCGAAACCAATCGGCTTTTGCACCCTCGCTTCCCCTACAACTAAACAATGCAATCGATCATATCGGCTTTGGCCGCCTTGAAAAGGTGTATATCCACTTTCCCTTCACCTTTTGGCAATCTGGGAGCTCAAAGAAAGAGCATCCTTTGTTCTTCCAATTTCTGACCCCTGAGTACGCTCCTGAGTCCAATCCGCATCAGTGGACGATCGAATGTGTTTCTCTGGCATCGCTACCTCAGCCTTGCGATCATGCGACCCTGCTCTTCTACGTCAACGGCCCGACAAGCGCTTACGTTACTGCACTCGTACGTGATGATGAGGTCGGCTCTTCCAGCTATTACAACAAACTCGAGGCTTTCTTTTCGCCTTACTATTCTCGCCTGCCAAACTACGACTCCGAAACTTGCAGGCCCAGCAGCTTCTACAACACAGATTGGCAAAACGATGATCTTGCAGGCAATGGATCGTACTCCACATTTCAAGTTAGTGACTACGAGAGGGATGGGCTGGTGGAGCTAGACAAAGATATTGAGATCCTTAGGTTTGGGTGTCCGGAGAGGAATCTCTGGTTTGCAGGCGAGCATGTTGCCCCGACTCTAGCCCTAGGTACTACGACTGGTGCTTATTGGAGCGGTGAAGCCGTGGCTGATCGAATCGCGGCATTGTATGGGAGAGCTGGGGCGAATTGACATAGTGCACATCACTTCGGAGATTTACAACTTAAGGCACGGAGAGCATCTAGCAAGAGAGCGAAGGGTAGAAAGCATTAGAGAGTATAGATTGTAACGTGACATGGTTATTGAAAATACAAAAAGCTCGAAAAATGGAATCAGCTTGTATTTCTTCAGTAAGAGTTCAAAGCTACAAGACGGCACGTATCATCGATTCTTAGCCGAGACCTATATTCACGTGCAGCTACCAAGTAGCACTACGACTGTACTGTATCGCTCTGACGGAATCATCTTCATTTGTACCAATTGAGTTTCATTGCTCATCTAAGTATATGCGCATACCTACACTACCTAGATATTATCACATCCTGAACGCAGCCCGTTCCCAGGAGAGAAAAACAGAATCAAGCAACTTTCCACTTCCTTCGCGCCGCCCCCTCCAAATCATCTACATTCAACATCCCCACCCCCTCCTTCACCAGCACATCCCAAACATGCTCTTTCTTCCCCTCCGGCCAATCCGGCGTATTCCAATACCTAGCTTTCAACCCTTTTTTTGGGCCTCCCCAACCTGCCCTCTGATCCTCTCCACTTGCAACGGCGCCAACATCCCATGCCAGAGCTTTCCGACCGCCTTATCGAAGTCTGTGCTCGCGTAGTAGGAATTGGTAGCGTCGTAGAGGTGGGAAGCATCTGCCGGTGCGTCTTCGCCCCAGAGGTCTGCCAGGGGCGCATCGAAGAAGATGTCCCGGTATGTGGTGTTTGCCGTGAGTAGGTTGAAGGGCGTGTTGCCCGTCCCCACCACGGTGATCAAGCCAGGGATGACCGCGGAGCCGTTGTAGTGTGTGAGCCAGCCGCGGGAGCGAAATGGCTCCAGTGCATTTGCTACAAAGGGAAAGGTTTTGGCGCCGTCGGTTTTGACGTCGATGAGGAGGATCAACGGGGTGGAGGGACTTTCGTCGAATATGCCGTGGAGGGAGCTAGTGTTGGTCTCCACGCCGTCAATTGTTTTAGGGTTTTGGTGGGAGAGGATGGAGATCAGGGGGTCGATGTACATGGATTGCAGAGTTCGGGATTGGGTGAGGGAATTGAGGGAGTGTCCAACAAGGAGATCGCGGGGAGAATACCATACGTCTGCTTCGACGGAAAGGCAGCCGGCAGCGAGAGCGTCGTAAAGAGGGACGCGGCGGTCGTAGTCGTTGTGGGAATGGCAGGGGATAGGATGGATGTCGCGGCTGAAATCTGTAGGGTAGTGTGATTGATTGGCTGTGATTGTGTCGGGTCGACCCCATGAGGCAATTACTCTTTGAATGTCATTGTGGGGAATTTGGCTCTTGAGGTGGATCATATAGTAAATGAGAAGGGAGAGAAGGACGCTAGGGGAGGTTAGCCATCAAAATCGTTTAAGCTAGCCACCGGAGAGCTTTACAGGATAATGACAATAGAGGCAACAAGCGTAAGTAGAAGCGACGATAGAGGCTTGCGCTCTTTGGCTTGCCATCTCTCAAAGGCACGTCTTGTGCTGCTGGTTCTCCGGCTTTGCAGCCTCGTCGGAAGGAATCTTCTCCATCCTTTAAGGCTCTGTGACGATCCCTGGACCAGACCAGCCCCCGAGCGATGTCCATTTGGAATGTCGCTGTCCGATTCACTCTGACCACTAGGACTTGTGTCTCGTAAGAAAACAGATCGTTCTTGGTTGGCCTCCATGATGTATATATAATATAGTAAGGTACCCTAAAAGAGGTTCCAAAGACGGGAAATCGTGGAAGCAAACAAGCTGAACCAAGAAGACGATTTATATACCGAATGCCTGTCATAGACCGAACGTCTTTATACAACCTGCAAAGCAAAAAAGCAGCAGGCCTCGAACAGGCCATCTTCAGGACAGAGTGAGACATCAGCACTCGCTTTCAGGCAACACGGCAGAAACTGAGATGTGATGGACTCCAAAGCGATATTGTGAGGCGGAGTTTGTACAACAGAACTCTGTGAAAGGGGCAGAGCAAAGCACTGAATCCAATAATGTCAAGGCCCCAAGTTTGGAACAAGAGAAAGCATCCTTTCTAAACCCCCTCACAAAATTGCCTTTGTGCTCCGGCTTGGAAAAGTAACAGACGATTTTTCGAGCCATTCGGCAGACAAAGAAAATCCCTCGCCTCCTAGACGAAAATACACGAAGATTAAGAGACTTTGTTTGGAGTAGGCCTCAAAATAGGAGATGCCACTTTCGCTAGAGTAGACGGTATTAGTCAACAGGGGTTGCTGAGCGAGGTTGCTCGATCAGAGCAAGCAATAGTCTATTATCCGTCAGACTCGGAGGCTACAACAGACATCATGCCTGAATTCCTGATTGGTCGACGTGCCCGTTGCTATGAGTTATGTAAGTGCTGTCTTAGAAATAATAGCACGTTGTATGTCCATCCAAGGAGGTAGAAGGATTCCTCCAACATGCCACCGACCTCACCAAGCTTGGGCTCCCATATGATTTACCGGTGGCTGTGCAGCGTGAGAACATTTATTCTTCAGGCAACTGCAACAGTTTTGTAACCCTACTTGACTCGAAAGCGTTGGATTGATTATGCCAAATGCTTCGCGTGTAGCGACGACTTTGGAATTCTTGCCGTATTGTTCTGATGATTGGTAGGCCTAGGAAGATTAGCTCAATTGAATCTACATGATTGAGCTAATGTTCATTGACAAAAAGTCAGTCAGGTCTAGTAGACGCGGTGTTGTCGAGGAAGGGGTTGACGAGAGGAAGGGAGGAAGTAAGGTCGCTTGGCCAGGTGCTCCTGCTGCCTTGGCTAACCTTCCCCCTTATTGGAGCGGCTTCCGAGGGCTCCCGCATCTCTAATACCTTACTCCAGGTACCTTGCCCTAAGCAGTAAGCACTCCATCCGCCGCCGATAAGCACCTTCGGGCCGGCAGCCTTCGCGCTTGCTCCCTGAAACCACCCGGAGAAGAACGCCCAAGAAAAAGCCAGCCAACCCCGCACCCGCCCGTTTCCACCTCATCCATCCCTTGCTGCCTGTTCTCTGTGAAAAACCCGTTCAACATCGTCATCATCATCATCATCATCATCATCATCATCACGCTTGGTCTTCTGCTGTCGATTCTTTGTGGAACTAGTTCCTGCTGCGGCGTCGCTGGCCGTGATTCATTGGTGTTGTTCTCGAGACTTGAAACGAGCCTTGCTATTGCAGAAGATCGACGTAGGTGGTAAGCAAGCAGTGACTCAAGGAAACGACGGCATGAACATTCCGCAAGGAGCTCATATCTTGAGCCTTCCAAATGAAATTCTCCGCCTCATATTTCTTTACCTGGCGCAAAGCGACCCAGTCCCCTTCTTCCTTGAACACTTTCGCCAAATAGGCAACCGCTTGCATAAGACTACTGGCTCCATTGGCATGCCACTCGGCCATGCCAGAGCCAACTTTCTCACCCAGATTCATTCATCTCAACGTCGGCACTTTTTCGAGTGGCTGTCGGTCACTGGAACATGTCGCCGGATCAGAGCCTGTGCAATTGCCCCCTTCTTCAGTGAAAAGACCCTCATCATGTCACCTTCGACAGTGGAACTGCTGCGAAGTGGTACTTATGGCTGCTTTTCACCAGATATCACCAACATCATCCTAACCAATACTCAAACAATCATAATCCCTTCGACTAGCAGAGAGCCAATTGTGGACAACTTTTCGGCGTATGATTGCTTTCCGCGCTTGAAAACTCTCGCTTTACCTCTTTGTATCCCCTATCTCTCCGACCTCTTGGAGGACTCAAGCCGACCTGCTGTGAGCTCCAAACTCAAACCCGTCCCAGCTCCAATAGACATCGCTGGGCTTGACCTGAACTTCATCCGCTTGACTCTACTGGTAAAAAATGAAGCTCGCTTTGGGATGCCCAATCGTCTGAGGCTTAACTGCCTAAGGTCCTATCTCGCCCAGCTTAGATTCAGAGCTCGGCGATGGCAAGAATTGACTGCTATCGAGCAACTTGAGAAAAAGGAATCGCATTTAGCTAGGGAAATCGCAGCAACAGAACGAGCGGTGGGTTGGAGGACTCGCGCGTCTACTGAACAGTCTCAAAAGGACGTTTCCCCTACTGCATTTGGCTGATCTCCCTTCGCCGGCTACTACAAGCCTTCCTATGTTGTATCGCTATCCACACTTAATGCTTAAGAAATCGAAAAAAAAATGAGGAACAATTTTTTCGCCACGTTCATGCAGTTTCTTGTTCGAAATAAAGTTTGCATCAACATAGCAAGACAATGAGTGTGCTTGATCAGTAGTCTACCTCGTAATGCTAAATATATGTACAGACATTTGTATACAAAACTCGCTTAAACTTCAATCTGTACCACCATTGTCCATACACGTTCAGTGATTCCACATATGCGTATGACCCGTAAAAGGGAGAACGAAGAATTGGACAGCAACAAGCGAACAGAATCTGAAACACTAAACGAGCATAGCTGCAGTGCAGATACTCACGAGGCTTTCACTAATTCACCCAAACGCTTCTCCAAAATATCTCGACCCTGCAGGACGGTCCAAACTTCATGCGGTGCGGCATTGACTACGTCCCAACCAAGTAAATTGTCCGTAAGCTTGGTGAGATCTTTCTGCTTTCGTTCCCAGTCGCGGTCGGTTCTCACTCTGATACCGCTACTTATGATAACCAAGGGTGTCTTCTCATCTTGAATGGTCCTAGCCTGACTAACATCGCTCTTTGTGAGAGATTCTGCAACCAAGTTCTCCTGCAATCTAGCCTTGATGAACTTCCCATTCTGATATGCAACTGGTCCATACACCCGATCCTCAGAGCTGCGCCCTTTGATAGCACCAGCGACACGGTCCCAGCCCAGCGGGGATATGATACCACGGGCCCACAAAAGAAACCCACGAGTCGGGCTACCCACATTATGGAGGAGGTCTTCATGCATGCTGTCAATCAGCATCAGACCTTTGACTCCTGCCTTGTGCCAGCCAGAGAAGATGCGGCTATAAATGCCACCTATTCCAGCAGAGACAAGAATCCATGGACCTTCCTCGCCGGCACGAGCAAGCACTTCTGCAAGTGCATTAGCCGTCATTCCAGCCGAGTGAGGGGAGGGCGCATTGTCCGACCATGCATAGCCTGGCCGGTCGTAGTAGCAGTAGCGATCTATGGTTCCGTTCTTGTAAGCATTATGAACCCAGCCTGTGAAAGAGTCTTCGACTGGACGACCAGGACCTTCCAACAATATTGTCGGGTTTGGTTTACCATTTAAGCCGTAAGTTATATTGCCAATACAGTCAAAATGAAGCTGGTATTGGCCTCCATTGACGTCGTAACGTTTACCGGGAGGGGCAAGGCTGGCATCCTTCGCCCGAAGGATTAGCGTAGCAGTTAGGAGAATGGATACGATGATCAAGACAACCATGATGATTGATGCAGTCAAGACTGCACACCATTCACGCAGACTGCGACGAGACTCTCTGCGGCCTGTCAAGCGCACCTCCTCTTCCCTTTTACCCCAGGCGACCACTCGATCCGTAACCACGTTGTAGATCGCCATAAATGTAGCCCAGACGACTGATGCTATACCCGGCCATCCTTCTTCAAGTCTAAGCCTTGAGACGGCGCAAATCACGATCATGTCGACCAAGAGGAAGAATGCTAGGATCAGACTACCCCATTCCATGACCTTGGACGGAACAGAGAAGAAGAGAAGTGCAAGTAGAAGGTTCCCGAGGGTCAAGGTGGTGTAAGAGAAGTCGAAGAATCCGGAGCCACGAGAATTCATGGACGGTGGGCTGATGAAAATCGAGATGAGGAGGAGCACCCACCAGAGGAAGCTGATGCACAGGAAGAGGAGGTTTACGTAGCGAAGAGCTCTGACACTCCATAGATTGTACGGAGAAACCTGCGTGCCGCACTGTCAACAAGCAATTCTCACTTGATGGGAGAGCGCCAAGCATACGGCTGGATCGTCTGGATCGAGGTAGCCGTCGTTTCGAGGTGGCAATAAGCGCGTTCGTTCATCAGCCTCATGGCCACCGCCACCAGACTGTCTTGATGGTTCATGAGAAGGTTGCTCTCCCTCCTCCTCTGCCTGACGTTGCTCTCCATTCTTCGATCCCCAAAGAGAGACCATATTCAGAGACTGCTCGGTATGAGGGGGGATTGATACGACGACGCAGGAAGGGCGGAAACAGAAGGGCCGAGTTTGGTCACCTCGGGGTATAGTAGAACTGCAGGAGGTGAAGCGATCGATTCTGCATGCTGCGACGGGAAGTTGCTCTCCGTCAAGCTGCCTATGAACTGGAAAAGAGGATGGTTGGCTTCAAAACAAGATGAGACATGGAAAAGTGGGAGAGGAGGGGCAAATGGCCAAGCTCCTCGGGCGGGCCAATGATGCAATTAAAACCCTCCCGCCCAAGTTGTTCACGACCTCGGGTTCTAGGCCTTCTGACCTTCGCCTAACAGCTGCATCTGCATTCCAGTGCTGTAGTGCTAGAGCTTCATGCAAGTGTTCTCTAGGCCGCTTTCGGATCAATCCCATCTCTCGTCGTTGCTTGCTGAACACATCCTGAAGCTATTATTATGAGCGAGCTGCAACGCTCCTTCGCCAGAGCCAAATTGGCTGGCCTGCCATTTGAACCTCCTATCCCAATCAATGACCTGTCAGATGAAGAGGATCAGGATGGGCTCGACGAGCTGAGACCGCTACCTGAGCGGTCTTCGTTAGATGATGATTCCTCCTCGGCATCGTCCGCCTCATCTGCCTCGTCGACGGGAACTATCAGACCTTCGCCGAGTAAGCATCTCTTTGCCAGACCTAGGGGGTTGGTTATGCCCCCTTCTCCGCAAGTGACTTTTCTCTTGCTGTGCAACTCTCCCCTCGTTACCTTACTCGCTCTTCTCTGCTGTCTAGAGCGCTCTCTCCGCGTCTGTAAGAATCTTTCTAAGCCGTTCACTTGCCTAAAGATCTCCTTCTACCGCCCGAAAGTCTCAAGACCCGCTCCCGTGGAACGAATATTTCAGTCAAGAGCTCTACTTTAAGACTCATCGACCGCATGAGACTGTCACATATCATGTCTACGTCCTACCGCCTGAGGAGAAAGGCCCTCTTCTGGTAACACATCATGGCGCAGGCTCTTCGGGTTTATCATTCGCCCTATTTGCGTCCGAGATACGGAAGATAATTCCCAAGTGTGGCATACTATCGCTGGATGCTCGCGGTCACGGCGAAACAAGCGTCATTAGGACCGAGCCAGAGGTTGAGGACGAAAACATCCATTTAACCCTCGAAATACTAAGTCAAGATCTCTTAGAGGTGATCCACTTAACCCAGAAGCATATAGGTTGGCCTCAGCTACCAGACCTGGTATTGATCGGCCACAGCCTAGGTGGTGCAGTGGTCACAGATCTCGCCCTGAGCGGCAGACTTGGCGCTGCACTTTTAGGCTACGCAGTCCTCGACGTCGTCGAAGGCTCAGCTATAGACGCTCTGCAGAGCATGCAGCAATACTTATTGAAGCGTCCCAATAGCTTTACTTCAACACAGGCTGCTATAGAGTGGCAGTGAGTCTCCCTCTTCCTACATGTGCATTTCTCACATGGGCTTACAGCATCCGTTCGCGTACAATCCGTTCGCAGACCTCAGCACGAATATCCGTTCCCTCTTTACTTCGTCAAGTCTCCACGTCATCCACCTCAGGGAGTGGCCCCAACACTACCTCCTTCGTCTGGCGTACGAATCTCTCCGAAACCGAACGCTACTGGTCCGAGTGGTTTACGGGCCTGTCAAGCAAGTTTCTCTCTGCAAAAGGCGGCAAGTTGTTGATTCTCGCGGGCACGGACAGGTTGGACAAGGAGCTCATGATTGGTCAAATGCAAGGTAAGTACCAACTACAAGTTTTCCCTGAAGCCGGGCATTTCGTCCACGAGGACTGCGCGGCGAAGACAGCCCAGGTGATGGCAGAATTCGTCAGGCGGAATGACAGAAGTGGACTTGTACTGCCACCAAAGGTTGGGGACATGCTGAAGGCTTGACAAAGCACTCGATTCAAGAAATGTTAGCTAGAAGGGGATTCGGAGCGCCTGGGATACTTGCATTTGTAGAAAGAAGGTTGATTTGCCGCACCCCCAGCCTGCGCTCAACTCTTCACGGTCCATATCCATTGGATCTCGGTAGGAAGGCCTAACTTATATGGGTGGGTGACCAAACCGGCCGTCAGGGCAGAACAACAGAAGTGGTGGGCAAAGCCCAACAACTCTCTCGTGCCTTATCCTCCACATTGTTTGATCTCATGAACGCAAAAGTTACCATTCTGGCAGCGACTGCGCCGTGGCTATGCTTATTGTATGTCGACATGAAGCCAATTTGTCCTGGCATTTTAGCCGGTCTTTACCACAGGGAAGGCTGTACCTCCGATTGTTGGTCAAAACAGGAAAGCTTGTTGACTCATGCGCAATGTAGACGGCATGGTATGAATCTCGAGGCAAGTACTAGTATCGAGCTCCTAGGTATACATGATCCTTGATACCTAGCGGGCCATTCGTTTCGAGATCAGCCTTCCAGCCTACCTTCTCACAACATTCAACATGCTATCTTATCATGCTTTCTGGCATCTAGTTGGCGATTTTCAAGAGTGCAGCCGAGCCAGTCACCATACAATTGCACTAATTCAATTGGCGATCTAAGCACAGTAATCGAATATTCTAGTGTTGGCCTAGTTCTCAAAGTTTCCAAGTGATATTTGATTATCTCCGGCTCGAATAATGTCGTCGTTGACGATGCTGAGAGAGGCTGAAACAGGAAGAACGGGGTTGCTTGCGGCGTGGAAATCTGGGGAATAACAAGATGGAGAAATGGGCGAGTTGGCTTGGCATTCTTGCTTGATTGGGAATAGCGTAGACTGAGGTGCTCGGATCATGATCCGCGAATTGTCCAAAGAAATAAACAAAACCAGGGCATCTGATGAACTGCGAACTAGCGACCAACCGAGTATATTTCCCTCAAAATGATACGGCGCCAGAAGCAAAGCACTTCCCGTTGCGAGTGCATGGACACCAAGGCTCCAATCAGCTTGCTGGATGAGCTTCACATGTTAGGATCAGTACATTACCTCAACATGCTTTTCATTTGTAAACTATCAATCGTCAGGATCTGCTGTATGCTAGGGAGCGAGCTTTATCGACTCTGGCGAGATGCAAATCCGCCAAAGATCCAGTCATGGTCGCTTTTATGGTCATACTCCCACTGTACTGCGCTTTCCCCGAATCGTTATATCGTATCCTTGTTTCTGCACAATATAAAGAGTCGCATCGTTATGGCCCTGAATTTCTGTCCTTATTTTCTGTTCATTAGCTCCTTCATCCGGGGTTTGTACGCCATGAACAACATTGTTCTAGGCCAAGTATTATCAAGCCCCGTAATTGCTCTTCCATCTTGTGATGGAAGTTACCGTCTGTTGGTTTCACTTTCATGAAGTAAGCCAACTTCCTGAGTACTATCGTTCTTGAGGAGGCGTATGTGGAGCCGCCGTCTTCAGGTTTCGATTGGCTGGTTATTCCATGTACCGGGACTTATAAAAGACTATTGAATTTCTCTTCAAGCGATTCACGGTCGGTCTTGGGCTTTTGCTATCTCTCAAGAGCCCTCTGTCTCTTGCAGAAACTTTTCAGAATCGCAGAGGATGGGTTCTTGGACCCTTGTCGCCTGTTGCCTGGTGTACTGGCAACTTACATGCCAGCTTGCTAATGCTATCGGACAGAAAAGGGTTCACCATTTCTCTCGTTCTCAGCCTACAGCAGTCCTGCAGGAAAGGCAAGCAGTATCAAATCCAACCCCAGCTTCAGGACAGATATCCTCTGCGCCAGTCTCATCATGGACTCCTGGTGCCTGTGTCATGGACCAGTAAGTGTTAATTCTATTACCTTTCGCCGAGGCTCAACGCTCGGCAGATCTTTCTCTTTTTCTGCGCTCAGTTGTTCAAGTACTACTGTCACGGCGACCCATACCGCAGTCTGCAAATGTCCTGATGGGAGACAGTACGTTCAGCTGAGCGGTGGAAAAACAACGGATCCGAACTGGAGGTGTAACCCCTACACGACACCTCAAGGTGACTTGGTGATTGCAATACCAACGGCCTGCCCCACTCCGAAAGCCTCTGAAGACGTTTCATCTACGCCTCGGTCTAGCATTCCAGCATATCAAACCTCTCTTACCGTTAGCGTGCTCCAACCATCACGGTGTTTTGAAACGACTGTCGCATTCTCCTCGAAGTATGCCGTTCAGACTGGCTCGGTCTTCATTGAAGCTAATACAAAAGGAGGTTGGGGGGAGGAAGGTTCTACATGGAATTTCACCACAAACCATGATGTACGGCTGCAGGACGTAAAGGCGTCCTGTCAAAGCAGCGTTAGTACTAATTATGGCTCTGGCGTTGCGAACCAGGAACAGAGTGACAACATTACCCATCAGCCCGATGGATCATGGGTTCTGATTGTCACAAAAACCATGCAGCCAAACGTCCACATCTATGTGCTCGCAATTGGTGGTGACCAGAGCGACGGATCTTACGACTTTACGCTTGTTTCTACACACCTGCTTGCGCTAGACGCCTCTTCTGTTCTGGCGCTAATTGGAATGCGACATTGGAAAATTGGAAAGACGCTAACGTTGATGAAGAATTCATGCCCTGTATGTCTCTTCGCCCATGTGATTGTGCATTTGTTAGATCTTGATTTGAAGTTGTCGTGGGTCGCCATCTCAAGTCTTCGTTCTGCAACAGATCGAGTGGCTCTGAAGGGTCCACACCAGGCATGAACCCCTTAAGCAATGCACCAAGATTATGGCGGGCATTCAGACAGCCAATTGAGCACGACCTTCGATGCACATAGCTGACTTTTACTTTTTGCCAGGGGCGCTGGATCTCAACAAGCAAGCTCCGACAGGGACTCTCGCACGAGGCACTTACCCAACCGCCATGCCAAGAATTGGCTCAGAATATGGGACTCTTGTAGGAGTTACGGGGCTGGTAGGACAATTCATGTCCATTGCTGCTGGGGGCCGCAAAGTTGTTTGCCAACTGACCCCTGCGGGTGAGCTGGCCAATTGCCCAGCTCCTCCATCTGTTGATGAAGCGTGTAAGACCCTTGCCCATTGTGCTTTTGCTGCAATATGAAAGTTGACCAGGAACAAACAGGCCCTAACATGCCGAGATGGGTTTACTTCATGTGGCAAGCTTTGTATAATATGCACGGCGTACATTACGCGATCGTTGTAGGTTAAGACCCTTTTTCGAGACATTAAGACCTGAATAGCCCATAGGGTGTCCTTACGGCCGACACTGCATATGAGCTTGGGCAGACTTCGTTAATTGTGGGGGATTTTTCGAAACAAGACAGTGACGATGCAGCGCTTGCCATATTTTTATCCATCCTAGGCTCATTATCTACCGTCTTTGGAATTGGACTTGCCATTAAAGGGATTGGAACTGCCGCGTCGATAGGAATGCGAGCCGGAGATGTAGCCAAAGCCGGTCGAGTGGGCAGCGCAGGCACCAAGGTTCCAGGGAGTGCAGCAGAAGCTTCACCAACGGTCGTCCAGCCAGGTGCAAATCAACCACATGTACAGCCTAATTCAGATCGAGATCCTGATGCCATTGAAGTAGCACCACCACCGACTGGAGGCAACAATGGGGGCAATACGGGCGCTGGCTCTGAGGCAATAATCCCCGTTTTTACAAAGCCAGATAAGAAGAACCCCAGGATATCAGACTCCGGTTGGATTGGTAATGCTGGGTTTGTTGCGCCTGGTGTTTTGTGCGGTATGGCGAATTCGATCTGGCAACAAGTCGATAAACAACAGTAGGCTTCATGAGGTCCTTAGAACTGAAAGCATAATTAACATGGTGGTAGGAATTCCTGAGGCAAAGATTTTGATGGATGGCGCTGCCGTGACAACTTACATGAAAAACCATTCCTTGATAATACAAGACACGAATGATAGGTTAATGACCTTTGACGTTGGCGATGTCAATGCCACAAATCAGCTACTGTATGAGAATTGCATTGGTCTTCTCACATTGATAGTGCTAATAGTCATTATAGTGACGTGATGAAAGGCGGAAAATACGTGGAGGTTATCTGGGATCGGTTCCTTTACGAAACGGCTATCGCTGCAGATGTAATTTCAAGGCAAGTCAACAACATCTGGTTAGGAGGTGCAGGGTGTGTAGACGAGATTTTCTTCCTTCGTAAGCAGGCGAGGCTAATCAGATGCAGATACAATGTCCATGTGTCATATACGTTCCTAGACGACGACGAAGTTTCATCTAAGTGCCAGGCGTTGACAGAGATGGCACCAAATACCACACAGTACTGCGCTGACAAAGGAGTGTACTGGATGTCAGCATTGAAAACAAGTCGCAACCCGCCTCTCACGGCACCTCAAGGTTTCGACAAGATGCCAACATACGGTATCGATCAATGGTGGCCTACAGCAGGATCTGCAAAGGCATACCGCGCGCTGAACCCAGATCCGTATGCAAACCCCCCAACAATCATGCCGAAAGACGACCTGGCATTTTCCAAGTACGTGGAAGACTGGGCCTCCAATAACACGTATGATCTGCTTGAACTCATTGGCACAACCCCGGGTACATGGACTTTGCCAGTGTGCGATCAAGGCAGAAATTTTTGGACCTATGATTGGTCAAATTCTGGTGGATACCAACCGCCATCGCTAAGTGGCTATGTCCCTTGGCCCTGTGCTTGCGGCTACAAAGGCACAGGAACCAAAGCTTTTTGGGATGTCATGCAGTTTGGCATAAATGATCTAGAGTCGGTAGTGTCATTATGTGCATTACAACTAATGAACATAGATCCTTATCTGGAAGAAAGGGAGGAAAATATTGGATATAACGCGATCGTAGGAGGCAAGCCTGATACCATTATTTATGGTGACTGTAAGGAATGTACCCTTACTGCTCCGGCGACGCTCCCTACCAAATTGTGTCGGAGTGGAGCGGGTGGTTGTACCAACTATCCTGAAGGCATGGCCCCCGGTGATCAATGCAAGCCTGCTATTGTGTGCAAAGAATGATGGAAAATTCATGTATATTTTCATTTAGATAGTTTAAGTCAACGAGTCAGGTATTTGTATTCGCAAGAAAAGCTGAATATTGCAAGGTGTATAGGCACTCCTACAGAAGTATCAATGTGACAAATATACATTAGGCTGTTCCATGAGATTGCAGCATGTAGATTCATGCAATCACTACCACCTGCACGATGGGCGAAGTTTATCCGATCTGATGGCGAGATGTCTAAATTTCCAGCCCCGGCCGTATGTAGCTGCCCTACATCCTAACATCGTCTTTATATTTACTTTTCAGTCAACTTTTCATCAGACATTTCTGAATTGAGAGGTGGGCTTTCAAGCTTCGCAAAGCCAGCATTGGTCAAAAGGCTGTGCACAATGCTGACTGACAGTCATTGTTGAATCCTGTGACGACATGACGAGAGGGAGTGAGCGAGGCGAAACGAGGCGGAGCTGAGGCGGCGAGGCTTCGCCAAGATTGGCGGTACCGGAGAAATATTGATCCGAAAAGTCGCTTGAGTTTCGCACACTAAGTAGTAGTACTTCAGACGTCCCTATTCCCTTTGCGAATGCCGATCGAGTTGCTCTTAACCTGACACGATGCCTTCAGAATCAGGGCATAGATGTAAGTCAAGATGCGAGTTTCCTGATCTTTCCCACCAAACCGTCAAACGGCTCTCGACAGCGTCTAACCAAATGATGCTAACCGATCCAGTATATGTCAAGTAAGCTATACCCTTCCGACGCCCATAGACTTTGGAGAAAAACTTTGCTATCGACAATGGGGTAAATTCTTGCATGTGGATGCTAAGACCTGGATAGAGGCCGTCATTTGAGCTATCAGCGGGGGAAACGCAATACAAACCCAGGCACGAGGTACGCAGCTTGTGAGATAGGTTTCAACATTACCAAGCGCTGACGCTTCATAGTCTAGTCAAGATCGAAGGTGTCGATACTCCTCAAGCGGCAAAGTGAGTGCTCTATTGGTCGTGCCATACAATCTTGGTTGACATGGGGGCTAGATTCTATCTTGGCAAGAAGATTGCCTACGTCTACAGAGCTTCGCGAGAAGTCCGTGGCTCCAAGTTTCGAGTCATTTGGGGAAAGATCACACGGCCTCATGGTACGTTAATAGGCATATGGTCCGTTGAACGACGTTTAAGTTAGGTTCGCAGGCAACTCCGGCGTAGTTAGGACACAGTTCCGACGAAACCTACCTCCGAAGACGTTCGGCGCGTCGGTCCGAATCATGTTATACCCGTCTTCAATATGACCGGTTCTACGATGGGCATGGGGGAGAAGGTGTAAGGGCTGAGAACGAAAGTGAAAGACAGCGCAGGCAAAGGAGACGTTGGACGCGAGGTCACAGCAACTCAAGTCAAGTCGCTGGCCCCAGCATTTGAGCAATTCAGCTTCTGTCTAATCCATCAATCTATCTGATTGTCGGTCCTCAGCAGCATGAAAGTGGTCCGACGGGTTCGTATCTATCAAATTTCAAGAATATGGTGGTATTACATGCACTTGCAGCTACTGGACTTTGAGCGCGCAAAGACAGTTTAGTAGGCCATCTGTTTGCGGAATACATCTGGCCAGTAACATGGAGCAAGTCACACCATTCCCGTGTCTAGAGCCTTCGCCCATTTGCAGAGGATTGCGTTGGGAGCGTGCCAGGCTCCTTCAGGGTCTGGACTAGGCCGGAACGGGAGGTGGTTTGGGCGGGAAAGATAGACTTTTTAGCGCACAGCCACGGGTTTTGCGTCAGCGATAGTGTAGCCAGCACCACCTCTTCCATTTTCTTTTTTTTTTTTCTTCTGTAGGAACTTTCTCATTATTGCCCTTTCGAGCATTCTTGCTAATCTTCTCGTATTCTATTTCATCTCTCATTTGTCTATCTCATTCGAATAGACGTCCGTTCGCTCATCTCATCCCGTTATCTCCAGCCACGTCAGCTGCTGGCGGGGACTTCAAGCATTCTGCAGGCTTGTCGTTGTATGGGACTTTCACCAAGAGATAATTGTTATCTAAAGCTTGTCATCACCATTATCTCTCAACCTCATTCACTTCCTCTGGTGTAGCATTGTCACTCGCTTGGAATCATGGCCAGAAGTCGGGCGGGTTCGAGGTTGAGCTTCCGCAAGAGCAGTAGCTCGTCTATCCCTCGGGTGGAAGCCGCGGAATCGCCGCAAGAGAAGCGAAAAATGCACATTACGGGAAAGGCAGATCCCTCCAAAGCAATCAATGAAGCCGAACCAGGCAAGTACCGCTGCGGCATCGATACGAAGAACAAGTGAGCTCATTGAAATTCCAGCTGCCGTTGCGAATAGCCAGACTACGATCGGTACCTCGATTAGGGATATAGAGCACCGTGACCAAGACGGAAACCCCATAGGTTGGATGCAAAGATAGTCCAAGAAAACCATTTTCTGACTTCGACGCAGTTGACGCTGACCGATCGAATCCAACTCGGCCGCGTCTTGAGCGTCCTCTTGACACCATCAGATCTTTTGAGGCCGCTATAGATGGCTCTTACAGCAGGAGGCAGTCTTACAGGTCAGGTGAGATTCCGTTGAGTGAAAATGGTATCAACAAAATGCCGATAATTGAACGTCAGAAACTCCAAACCCTATGAACGCACAGGCGCGCCGAGCTAGTGGTTATTTTAATGGTAAGTACACGTATGTCCGTTGTGGATAAGTTACTCTGACTGGATGGTCATGCTAACACGACTCAGGACCTCAACCTCCGAGACGAGCTCCTTATGAGAGCGGAAATCACCACGGAGACCGCACGGGGAGCAGTAGGCCTGACAGCTATTATGACAATGGGTCTTCCCCATCTACTGCGTATTATGGTGGCCCGAATCGCCGCTTCGGTCCACGCAATCATTCGGATCCAGCGCTCTATGGCAATAAGGCTCTTCAAAGTGGCCAGAACGGAGTCTATCCCTCGCACGTCCATCATCAATCGTACGACACCGTTGGAACCAGCACAAACGGAAGTCATGTAACGGAGCCTTGGGGAAATTCCACCGATCCAAGCAGTGAGAATAGCTCAATTGACAGGATTCAACCTCCGCCAAAGCCTGATCCTGGCGAGGCATATGGCTTCAGCGGGTTCGGTGGAGGCCCCCAATTTGGTGGCCCAATTTTGGAGGAATATAGCCATGACACTCCTGGTCCTGGTTATGGTCAAGCGGGATACGGACAATCGCAGATGACTAACGGCAATGTGATGCCGCCTCAAACAAATGGTGGTCCACCCAGGGTACCACCTCACGGTCGCCCAGCTCCGCCTCCGAAAGAGGGCGTTCCTCCTCGAGTTCTTAGCAAGCACTCTGGGTACGGCTCAAAGCTGCGGCGAGGAGAGTACAATCAACCACCACCGGTTGCAGACAATGAAAAGCGCAAGAGTTGGCTGAAGAAGCGGTTCAGCAGATCGTAGGTAAACTCTCCGGTATGAAGGCGTGGTGCATGTTTAATGAAAGTACATGGAAACACCGATGGGTCGATGAATAATTGGATATTACTACATGGTTAATCGGTCTCATGATAGGAAGGAGGAGTTCATTGATCTCATCACTAAGAGCATGATTTCCACACGCTCCGTGTCTTAGCATCAGTTCAATGCACAATTGATGGCGTTATGCTTTCGCAATCTAGTGACTATTTCATTTGGACATCTGTTGCACCACGGCAGTCTCTGAGTCTCTATGAGCCCTTATATCCCTTCACATCGATGATTTGGTCCGTATCCAGAGTCAGCGGAAATACCCAAGAATATGAATTTGAATGAGATAAAGATAGAGAGAGAACTTATTTACTCCAGATTTGCTCATAACAGATATCATGATTATTGGTCAAACCACCCTCGGTCGAATTTCTTTGATCTCTCTTATTTGCTTTCAATACAGATCTCGACCTGTCGAGCAAACAGCTGATTTCCGCGGATCCTACTGAGTTTTCCGTGCTTTTTCTTCTGCTTCGATCCTTTCGCTCTCGTCGTCCCTAAAGGCGACGACGACATATGCAATCAAAACGACATTGGCCATGATCGCCGCTGTAGCACCGGCCCACGTAGAATTCCCTTTCAGTGCATCAGCAATGCAATGCTGGAATGTACGACTGCCCCACCTCGAAAAATTGTGTTCAATGTGATGAAATACGTCCCTATGGGTCCTAGAACCATAGCAGCGGTGAAACCCAAGAGCTTTACGATGACGCTCCTTTTATACCCCCGGTGATCAGCCAATCTGACTGGAGTGTGTCGAAGAAAACATACGCAGGTACGGCGGGCGCTATGCTTGAGCCGCCTGGAGGTGGAGGAGGATCATTTTTGTCGTCTTGGTCAAGAATGTTCTTCTCCGTAGACACAATTCGTCTGGACGTCATGATGCCGCGGTTGCAGATTCAGCCTCCTCCTGCTGTCCAGAGTGCATGCTCTTAAAGTCCGTTGGAAAGGCGTGGCCGAGAGGTTAAGACGAAGCTAAAGGACTTGGTAAATAAAGGCGCTGCACAATGGCGTAGGCAGCCTCCGGCTAGTTCTAGCAATTTTAATTGCAATTTTCGTCCACCAACGCGTTTTTGGTAGGTATCGGTCATTGAACTGATCGCTTTGGACTGCCCTATAAAGAAAGTGTGTCACACCCTACATCACTTGCCTTTCCGAGCGTACAACACTGTCGGCCTTATATAAGTCTCAACACCTTTAACAGTTGGACTCGGCCTTTTCACGAATCACTGTGCACATCCCTATATGATGCAATCCGGTACCTAGGAGGCTCCATCCAGGGCTTGATCAGTTTGACAGTTATGGAGTCAATCACTGAGACACCGCGAAAGAAGCGGAGAATTGAGGGTGATTTTGCGTCCAAAGGTTACAATTCGCAGGATGACAGCGGCGATGATGTTTTTGAGACTTTCAATACCATCGAGACCGTTCCTCTTCCCACAAGGGTCCTCGCTCATGATCTCACTACACAGTTCGTTACGCAGCCTACCCAAATCATCGATAGAGACCGCACGCCTCAAAGCGATGGAACAGGCGAAGTATCGGTGGTACAGGTTCAGGCCTCGTCACCTGCCAAACCATCTATCGCTAGTTCACCACTGAAACCCTCCCCAAAGCAAATATCAGTTTCGAGTGTTGGGCTAGCGACATCGCTGGCTCCAGCAGGGACGTCTTATCGCCCCCCTGCTGGAATTATCAGACAACGCCATTCGCCACTTCAGCAAAATTCGTCCGTGATCGAACTGAGTGATGAAGATGATGGACCCAGGTACCTGGTTGGGAGCTCGGACGAGGAGTCTCAGTATCCCAAGGCCGACATCAAGCCATGTATATTCAAGACTACAACGGACAAGGTTAAAAAGCCAAGTAGCATTGATAAGTTCAGAGAGGTCACTTCAAAGTCTACATACAACCCTACAGAGCCTCTAAACGACATTAGCGTCGATAGTATTGCTGATTACCAGGTTAGAGCAAAGGTCAAACGAATGCGAACAATCCTGCCAATGAATTCGGTCCTCGAATGCAGGAATGCACTTCTCGAGAAGAGAAATAACTTTGATGACGCTATAGATTTCCTGGTTGCTCAAGGGGACAGGAAAAGTCCTACGATCGATCTTACTAAGGAGGAAACATCTATATCATCAACACAACAAAGAGGGCTACCTCAATTGAAAAAACCAGTAGCTAAGCAACAGCTAAAAGCGCCGGCAAAAAAGATACACGAAAAATGGGCACCAACACAATCTATTCAGGCTGACATTCCATCTTTACCAGTATCAGCACTGACATCCCCTTTGACCCCACCCCCGAAAGCTCGTAAGCGGCTCGTACAAGGCCGCAAGAACGAGTCTCCAGCAGCTGTATCACCAATTGGACTGCCTAAGAGCAAAGAGCCATATGATCCACTTCCACAGCGATCAATTACTCCAGAGTCTGAATCATATGATTCTGGGTTTGGTCAGGAGCATGACGATGGCCTCGAGCAGAGGCTTTTGAAATTTTTGAACTCATGCTCGACCGCAGATCTCATCGATATTGCAGCTGTACCAGAAGCTACGGCGAATTTGTTGGTGTCTCATCAGCCATTTGCTACACTCGGGAAAGTGAGGATGGTCTCCGTAAGCTCTACAAAGTCCAGGGAAGGAGCGAAAAGTGCGAAGCCAATAGGCGACAAGGTAGTTGACAAGTGTCTGGATATGTGGCGAGGTTACGAAGCTGTTGATGCAATCATAAGGGAATGTAGCGATCTTGCACGACCAATAGAAAAGGCAATACGTAAGTGGGGTGTCAATCTAGACGATGTTAGGAAAGGAGATGGTGAACTTGCAATCGTCGACATAGAAACAGCCAGCAACACCACGAAGGACTCTGGCATTGGAACACCAACAAGTCGGAGCGTTTCTGTTGACGCAGAAAACGAAACCAACGCATTGCCTGCAGCAGTCCAACATAAGCAAGGCTTTCTTAGCCAACCCTCCAATATGTCAGACGCCGTCTGCCTTAAAGATTATCAACTTGTGGGTCTCAATTGGCTTGCGCTGCTCTATGACCAGTGTCTTTCTGGTGCAATCCTGGCCGATGATATGGGTTTGGGAAAGACTTGCCAAGTCATTGCGTTCCTGGCCCACCTTATGCAGAAAGGTATTCGAGGTCCCCATCTGGTCGTCGTGCCCAGTTCAACGCTGGAGAATTGGCTTCGAGAGTTCTCGATCTTCTGCCCGAAATTGAAAGTCGTTCCTTATCACGGCAGCCAGCATGAACGGCCCCAAATTCAAAGACAGATCGAAGCTGATAGAGACTCTATATGTGCCGTTGTTACTACTTATGTGACTGCAAAAGTCAGGCATGATAATAAGTTCCTGAAAAAGATGAGATTTGTGTGCTGTATCTACGACGAAGGGCATATGCTGAAGAACAGTAAGTCTGCCGGCTACGAGGCATACATGAGGATTCCTGCAACATTTAGGCTGCTGTTGACGGGCACACCATTGCAAAACAATCTTCAGGAGCTAATATCACTCCTCGGATTTATTCTACCAGCTACATTTCGAGAGCATCGTGATGATCTAAATTTCATCTTTAATCATAAGGCCCGTACCAATGAGCACGATGAGTCGCACGCTGCCCTCCTATCGACCCAGCGCATCGCTCGTGCAAAGTCGATGATGTCGCCGTTCGTGCTCCGCCGTAAAAAGCAACATGTTTTGAAGCATCTGCCACAAAAGCATAGGAGGATTGAATATTGTACTATGTCAGAATCCCAAAGTGAAATCTATAGGTTCGAAAAGGGTAAGGCTCTCCAAATACATGCCAAACGACAAGCAGGATTGTCCACCAGCGGGGAAAGCTTGAACATCATGATGGTTTTGCGACAGGCTGCAATTCATCCATTATTGTTCCGCCGGCTTTATACCGATCAACTCCTTAAGAGAATGGCCTCGGCGTGTCTGAAAGAAAAGGAGTTTCGAGATAGTAATGTTGACCTAGTATATGAAGACATGAAGGTTATGACTGATTACGAACTTAATACTTTTTGTGACAGATATCCATCCACCATGTCCAAGTTTGGGCTACAGAAGGAGGAATGGATGGATTCCGGAAAAGTTAATGCTCTTTCGAAGCTTCTAGCGGGATACGTCAAGAATGGTGATAAAGTCCTTGTCTTCTCCCAATTTGTAATGGTCATGGATATACTCGAGCTCGTCCTAGAGACACTGGCTATTCGATTCTTTCGTCTTGATGGACAGACGAAGGTTGAAGAGCGGCAAACAATGATCGATGAATTCTATGAAGACAAGGAGATCCCTGTTTTCCTTTTGAGCACGAGAGCGGGCGGTGCTGGAATCAATCTGGCCTGTGCAAACAAGGTTGTTATTTTCGATTCATCATTCAATCCTCAAGATGACGTGCAGGCCGAGAACCGAGCCCACCGTGTTGGCCAAACCCGAGATGTCGAAGTCGTTAAGTTCATCACAGAAGACACCATTGAAGAGCAAATATATGCTCTCGGACAGACTAAATTGGCACTTGATGACCGCATTGCCGGACTTACTGACGAGCGTAGCGATGATCAGATGGAAAAAGAGGGGGCAAAGATGGTGGAAGAGATGCTCATATCGAATGTTTCCGCCGAGACAACCAGTAGTGGCGCCGTCGGAATATGAGGACCTGGTATTCATAGGCAGGATCATATCAAATGGTAGTAATTTCATACTAGACGCCCGGATGACATGCAATCGTTCAGACACAAGGCAAGCGTGAGTGGCTGGACAGTTGTTGATGTCGCCAGCGTGCGCGTCGAATGTAGGAAGAGGTAAGCTAGCATGAGATTATGGATACAAATACAATTTAGAAGGATATTCAGCCACACTCGATACAATCTTTACTTTCACCCCCATGGTTTTCTGTAGCGACGCTGGCTCCCTCCACCGCAGCAAGTTCTTGGTTTTCAGGAAGGTTCCTCTTGTCCTCTTTCTGATGCCGATCAACATGCCCCAGATTTCTGCCTGGATCTATGACGTTACGAACGCGCTGCTTGAGAACCTTGACTTCTATTTTCAGTCAACAAGGTAATGGTTCTAGCACTCGCGAGCCATGCTTCTTCCACGTACATACCTGGAAAACCCCCATCGACTTTTCTGTCCCATATGCTGAGGACCTTTACGATCTCATTTTCCCCTGTGAAGAATGCGCCATAATACAGATCAATCACGAATATGCCGCCTGTTGAGGGAATGAGGGAAACCTCTCCAAGAGAAGTTGAGAATGTTGAGAGCAATTCCTGGGCAAACTGGCAAGCATCAGTCGTGTTTCGTAAGAAAGGGTCTTAGGACAAGGCTTCGGATGAGATATACAGAATGAAAGGAACAGAAAGCAATGACGTCAATGCCAGATGTAACAACCTTTGCGCTCTCTATTTAGAATCAGGAAGTAAGAGAAACTTCAGCTAACGACCTCAGAAAATATGATGAAGTCGACTGGGAGTCAAATGGCTATGCGATCGACCGGTCTGTTGACCCACGAATAGAGCCGTGATGCTTATTTAATGAGACTAAACATTGAAGAGATGAACCACGTGAGATGTTTCCACAGAGGCGCACGGAACGCATTGCAATTTGATAAATCTATTGTGGCAATGAGCACCTACATATGCGGCTCGTAACATCCATTTGCATTGGGTGCAATATGTGATTGTGATTCTAGGAGGTCGGACGGAGCTGTGGAGGGACTCCACTCTTTGCTCCTTAACGTTTGCCATGTATGCGCGGATTGTGAGTGGATCTCGGTTTAATTTTCCAGACAAAGTAGGGGATGATTTTGTAGTAGCGTGATGAAAATGCTGGCATGTTTGGCTACTGACGCTAGTAAGGTTTGATAGACATTATTGTCCAGTCCACCAACGCTTTTTAGCCATCCAAAGAATTCCTGCCCCCAGCAACGCAATGCAAGGTTTCCAGGAAAACCAACATTCTTCATTCAGCCTTCATCTTCTTCGCTCCATTGTCCACCATACCGTTGAGACGTGACACGATTTCAATCACCAGATGGTGGTGACGGATTTCCGCAGGTCCCAAGTACAAGGTGAGAAAGTGAAATTAGTGTGGGGCGGACAAGCAAAACTATTTAGACCCGGTTTCAAAATGTGAATAACCCCCCGAGCGCCTGGTATCAACAGCTGCGAAACATTTACATCACCGTGCAACACCCGGTTGATTGCTGGGGCGCGTAAGGATCTCCACCTTTTTCGACCTGCAATCATTTCGTGGTTAGCGATGGAACTTGAATGATAGAGAAGCTCCTCCATCGGCTCAAGTTGCGAAGTGATAACTCAGGGGAGCGAAACTTACCGAGCCCCACATAGACGGGACCATGAAGTCCTTTGTGTTGGTGCAGTACTGTATCAGTCTGTAGGGCATTAGGGACAAACGTCCACTGTAAGACAGCAATGCTAGCTACTCACGACATGGAGGCTTCAGAGACTTTGATTCGAGGCCGCTCGAGATCTTCTCTTAACCGCGCGTTGAGCTCATTCAGCCGGCGCAACTTCAAGTCTGCCATTGACTGCTTCTTGTTCTTTACATCCCCTTGAGATCTGATCTCGTACGTCGCTGGCATGGCGTGAATGAATAAAGGTGCCGCGAGGGACCCGAAACGATGCAGATGTCGCAGGAGATGTCGCTAGGTGTGTCTAGGAACACAGCCCGATTTTGGTGCAGCGCTGCCACTCGTCCTGAACTTCAAATATCCCACTCTTCTATTAACAAGGAACCTCTGAGGAGCACACACGGGGGAAGATGGGCGATGCTTTCGCGTCAGCTGATGGGTTCGAGCTGTTGCTGTGAGGGCAGCTTGAGAAGCAGCTCCGGCGTGAGGAGAGGCTAAGCGACGCGCTAAAGTCGTCAACCTTGCGATCAGCCGCAAGCTGTAATGGATGGGCGAGAGCTTGGCGCTTTGCAGAGAGGCTGGATGAGAGAAGTCGATGGTTTCCGGCGAGTGTCAATGAGTGGAGGTCAGCAAAGCGCGGCGGATGGCGGTTGAAGCGTAGTGACGGTAGAACGGGCAGATAAAATTAATGCTGAAGAGCGAGCCCTGACCAGCCCGTTCGAAATCCAAAAAGGGAAGGTTAGCCGGGACCAAAACCTCTTGGCACCGTCGCTTTTGCCGGCTATCCTCATTTGCACACAAGTCAAGACTGTCGCCATCTCTCATCTCTGGAGCTCATCTTCGCGCATCTTGCCTTTCATACAGAAGCCTTACCACGATGCCTCCACCGCCTCACACTAGGCCCGAGAACGTCCTTAAAGTAAGCTGAACCTTTACTCCGTGCGAAGCATAGGCCATTACCTCCTTGATACCTCGTGTTCGACTGGTACTAATAGGACATCAGCGGGCACAAGAGCTCATTGCAGTCGATCAGTCGACCGCTGCGCTTACTATTCTCCACGAACATGTCACTTCCAAACGATCGAGAAATAGCCCTATTACTTCCTTAGAACCGGTGATGCTTGCTTTCGTCAAACTTTGTGTGGATCTCAAGAAAGGAAAGCTCGCAAAGGATGGCTTGTACCAATACAAGAACACTGCACAGAACACCAACGTGGGAACCATCGAAGTAAGCCAAGGTCCTCGATATCAGGGTTGTCATTGCTCACTATCAAACTTGTAGCTAGTTCTTAAAAAATTTATATCCCTTGCTGAAGACAAAGTGAGCGAAGCTCAGGAAAAAGCGGAACAGATACAATCGACTCAGGACCCTGGCTCTTCGGGCGCGAATGTGGAAGATCTTGAAGCAATCGAAACCCCGGAATCAATCCTGCTCTCGACGGTCTCGGGTGAACAGGCCAAAGACCGCACGGACAGAGCCGTTGTCACACCATGGCTCAAGTTTCTGTGGGAGACTTATCGTACAGTGCTAGAAATACTGAAGAACAATGCGCGATTAGAGGTCATGTATCAAGCAACAGCCCTACTGGCCTTTGGATTTTGCCAAAAATTTGCGCGAAAGACCGAGTTTCGACGCCTTTGCGAACTTCTTCGGAATCACGTCCAAAATGCAGCTAAATACCAGTCTCAGATGCATGCCATCAATCTCAGCGACCCTGATACTCTGCAGCGTCATCTCGACACCCGATTCGAACAGCTTAATGTTGCAGTAGAACTCGAATTATGGCAGGAAGCCTTCCGCAGCGTTGAAGACATACACACACTGTTGAGCTTGAGCAAGCGACCGGCGAAGAACATCATGATGGCAAATTATTATGAAAAGCTCACTCGGATCTTTCTTGTCAGCGAAAATTATCTCTTCCACGCTGCGGCTTGGAGCAGGTACTACAATCTCCTTCGTCAGTCTGCCAGTAATGTCATGTCCGGTCAAAGCTCAAAAAAGGACAATCCTATCGTCACAGATAGCGATATGGCCCGGGCAGCCTCGTTTGTCCTACTTTCTGCCCTAGCAATCCCCGTCATTAGTACTTCAAGGTCTAAGGGGGCTTTAGTTGATTTCGACGAGGCCCGAAAAAACAAGAATAATCGACTAACCAACTTGCTTGGAATGTCGTCCGCCCCAACCCGTACCATCTTATTCAAGGATGCGCTCAGCAAAGGTCTCCTCAGACGTGCCAAGCCAGAGATTCGAGAATTGTATCAGATTCTTGAAGTTGACTTCCATCCTCTTTCAATTTGCAAGAAGATATCCCCCATTCTCACGCAGATTGGTGCTGACCCTGACATGGAGAAATATGTTCTTCCTTTACAACAGGTCATCCTTACAAGACTGTTCCAGCAGCTTTCCCAGGTGTATGAGTCTGTGGAGCTCAAATACGTTCATCAACTCGCTCAATTCCCGGAATCGTATCAAGTCACAACCAGTACGATAGAGAAATTCATCATGAATGGTTGCAAAAAGGGCGACCTCGCTATGCGAATTGATCATACCACGGGTGTGCTTACGTTCGATTCTGATGTCTTCTCATCTGCCAAGGCTTTACATCCTAGCAGTGTTTCTGGCTTTGCAGAGGGAGACACTAGCTCCGTGCAGCGGCTGCAGCGTACACCGGCAGAGATAGTCCGATCGCAACTTACTCGTCTAGCTAAAACTCTCTATGTGACCTGTCAGCACGTCGATCCCGAATTTAACGAAGCTCGTCAGCAGGCCAAAGCGGCGGCCCTCACCCGCGCAGCGGCTGGCGCAGAGCAGGAACATCAAGAAACTTTGGCAAGGAGAGCTATCATAGAGAAAAAAAAGGAATTGGCTTCAGACGCTCTGCAAAAGAAACAAAAGGAAGAAGAAACAAGGAAGCGGATCATCGCTCAGCAGAGGCAGGAAGCAGAGGCTCAGCGTTTGGCTGAAGAGCATAAGGAGCGAGAGCGAAAGCGGAAGAAAGAGGAGCAAGATCGTATACGCCGTGAGAACAACGAGAATGAGATTAAAGACTTGCTCAAGAAAGGGATCAACATCGGCGACGTCGACGTGAAAGATCTAGACAGTAACGGTCTCAGATTGCTCCGGATTTCGCAGCTAGAAAAAGAAAAGAATGACCTCAATAAGAATCTGCGTGTCACTGGTAAACGAATCGATCATTTGGAACGTGCTTTTCGGAAAGAGGAGCTCAAGCTACTGCCGAAAGATTACGAAGCCCAGCGTCAACGAGATCTTTCCGCGTATGAGCAAACTAAATCAGAGACTCTCGAAGAGACAGAAAGGAAGCATAAAGAGGACGTAGCGTTGAAGCATCGTCTCAGCCGGCTCTTGCCCACATACGAGACGTTCCACAAGGATCTCAAAGAGCGCCGCCATGACGAATTCGAGAAACGGCGAAAATCTGCAGATCGAGAATACAACAACGCCATTGAGAAACGAAAGCGTGATCATCGGGAGCAAAGAGCTCGTGAGGAAAGAGAGCGCGAGGAAGCACAAAGACAGGCACGGGAAGAAGAAGAGAGGATCGTCAGGGAGGAAGAAGAAAAGGCAGCTGCGGAAGAGGAAAAGAAACGTCTGCAGGCAGAGGCGAAAGCTAAGCGGGATGAAGAGCGAAGGTATGTGTAATTTTGAAGTATCCTCACAGGGTGATTGACTGACCCGTTGTACAGAGCACTGGACGAAAAGGCGGCCCTTCAACGCCAACGCGAGGCTGAAGCGGAGGCCAAGCTCCAAGCGAAGAAAAACGCCCTCTCCTCTGGCTCACGCATTCCGGACCGCAGTGGTCCCAGTGGTCCCAGTCGGCCAGCCATAGCCGAACGGACGGAATCTTCGGAGCGACCAGTGGCGAGTGGACCGCCGCGCCTCAATCTTGCGGGCAACAAGCCAACCTGGCGAGAACGCGAAGCTGCACGTGCTCACCAAGGAGGCGGGGCCCCTCCATCAGCACCCTCTTCAGATGTCGCAACCGATGAAGTGCAGCTGCCGAAGAGAACTACCGGATACGTCCCTCCTAGCAAGCGGGGTGGTGTGGAAAGCGGACTACCGTCACGTGGGCGACCTGAAGCTGCTGCTGCAAGATCGACGCCTCGTGAAGAGACCTCCACTGAGCCAACAGCAAAATGGCGCCCTAGCGTTCGGCAGGATGGCCTAGGTCGTGATGGTTCACCTGCGGAGGTTGCTCCTTCACAACGCTTCTTAGGTGGCCTCAGAGGCCCACAGGGTAGGGATGTCTCCGCTGATAGCTCCAGACCCGTTAGCTCTGATGGAACTACGCGGACAGAAAGTCCAGCTGAGCCGCTCCGAAAGCCAGCGCCGGGCAAATTTGTTCCCCCTCACTTGAGAAACAAGTAAAAAGTGAAGACGCAGGGCACGGGAGAGATCAAGGGTCGTTGAGGATACAGACTGCTAAGGGAATTGCGGGAGTTATCAATTGCATAGACTGCTTTCCACCTGCGTCGGAGTGGCTTCACGGCTCACGCATGCCTTTACCCTTGTGCTCCCTTTTCTACAGTGTACTTTAGTCGGATCAATGTACACTTAATTGATTCCAGCTCATCTAGCTTAGTACGTTTGGTATATCCATAACAGCAACAATCACAATACACAGAGTTTGAATTGCAGCAAGATTATGAAAAGTGCGGCGTGTGATTGCAAGGGGTATCTAACACTAGTGCTCCAATGCTATGGCTCACGCCTGCCGAGAGTGAGTACCCAACTCAAAGGGTACAAAATGCTTACGAGGGAAGGAATGACAAAAAAAACTCTTTGCTGGCGAGAAAGATATGATCCATGCGTAAGGCCTGATCTCTTGAACTTCTTCCATCATGCAGCACCTAGTGCAGCAACAAGCATCTGCCTCTGATGTCGCAGATCATCCTCGAAAGCCCCGATGACTTCGCCGCATACCCTCTTGCATTCTCTTTCCGCCAGTCTGCGTTCCCAACACCCTCTTTCGATCCACCTGATGGCCTCCTCCCTTGCCTCTGCCTCTTTTCGTATCTCTATAACCAGGTCTATGACAGATCGCAGCTTTCTACTCGCGGGTGTCATTTGCTGGCGTATCATGTGTATAGAGTCTGAGATGCTGGTGAGGGTACTTTGGAGGTCTATGGTCGAAGAGCGAAGGCTGTGTAGTGAGGAGAGGCATTGTTTCGAGGGTGTCGGTAGCGAGGCGAGGAGGGTAGCCAGGAGGGGAATAAGGTTGTCGATGGTGTCGGGTTCGGGTGGCATTGCTAGAGGAGACATGAGAGGGTGAGAAAGGGATTGAAGGGTACGCGCTTGGTTGGTCATGTGTGATGTGAGCGCGATGTGTGCGGTGATCGAGCTGCGATGTACGATTAGCCGCCTACATTAGATAAAGATGCCAACACCCACCGAGAGGCGCCATTTTCAATTCCCGACTGTGGAGGTAGATCTCGAAGAAGTCTTGCTGTCCTCTGCACAGTAGATTCTGCCTCGCAACTACAGTCTTCTGTACTTTGCGCCGCTAACCGCTCAATCTGGCGAATTTGTGAGTCTAGCTCAGACGGGTTGTGATTACCATTGCAATCGGAGTCCTCCGAGAATTCAAGGCCTTCATCTTGAGAATTTGGTTTATTAGATTTTGCCTTGTGGGCCCGGTTCGGCGAGCTTGATGCATGCAGGCTGTGGGACGAGTGTGGAGCTCCCTCATTGCTGCTGTCGGTTTTACTGTGCCTTAACAACACATTCTCTTTTCCCGCCATCTCATCTGGGTGTGAGTGCATGCCATCACCTTCGACTTCCTCGTCGAAAGCTTCTGCTAATTCGTCGGCCAGGGTTCCAAGGCCGTTACTGCCCTCGATCGGCTCAGCAACTTCTGCAGAGGCATCTTCGCTATTGTTGCTGGAACAGTCATCTACACGATGCAAGGATGGTAACGACGTCAGCAAAAGTACTGATGTTTGAGAGCTCCACCTATTCAGAGATGTCTGCCGAGAATGGAAGCCACGGTTCTGCGGTGTGGGAGGTGCAGGGTTCGGGTCGAGGCTCCGGGTAGATGACCTGCGCCGTCGGGTGGGTGTTCTTGGGGAGGATGGCATCTTCTGGCTGAGTGGCTACCAAGGATTCTCCAGATAGCTGTGTGAGCGCACGATACACTTCACTGTGATATCAATGCGACTATGTAAGTGTGCGTCGTACACCTTCGCGCGGCAAGCATTGTCGATGAGCGGAGAGGACTGGAAAGACCCGTCAGAGATTGTTCCAAACGCCGACAGTAAGGAAGTAGACGTAAATTATCTCACCAAAGTTGTTTGTTGCCTTGTAGAACCTAGAACAGTATCAAGTGCTAGTCATGTCGTATTGCAGCGTGCACTTGTCACTTGCTTCAAATCCCCAAAGGAATCCTTGTCACGGCTGCAGCGGGCAGTCGCGTTCCGTTCCGCTGTCAACCCATTACTTGCAGTCCCAATTGAGCTGAGGTGTGCATTAAGGCTGTACCTTGAACACAAGGAGGCATGATTCCTCATATGCAGCCCAGTAGGCGCATGGCCATTCTACTATCCCAGACATTGCGGTATAGGTATCCATCATCGTGCTCTTGAAAGAGCACTGTCCCGCTCCCGACATCAAATTATGACTGCCCTCAGGCAATTTGAGCCTCAAGACCTTCTTCGCATGAACCTCACAAATCTCGATCCCCTTACGGAGAACTATAACATCGACTTCTATCTTCACTACCTAATCACGTGGCCTTCCCTATTCACTATAGCTGAAGATCAACACGGAAACATCATTGGCTACAGTGCGACTGTTTACCCCACTCCTTCTGCAGATGGTCTGACTGATATTCTCTAGTGATGGGCAAAGTTGAAGAAGATCCTCTATGGGTCAAATTCACCCCTCATTACTTGCCCTGGCATGGACATGTGACTGCGCTCACCGTCGCTCCACAGAGTCGTCGCTTAGGTCTTGCGAGGTTGCTGACTGCGGCCCTAGAACGTGGTTGCGAAGAACAGAAGGCATGGTTCGTTGACTTGTTTGTCAGGGAAGGGAATGAGACAGCGGTCAATTTGTATAAGGGAATGGGCTACAGTATTTTCAGAAGAGTGCTTGACTACTATAGCGATGACCCTACAGGTAGGAAATCTGGGGAAGACGCCTTTGATATGAGGAAGCCCTTGGGTAGGGACAAAAAGAGGCAGCATATCAGGAAGAATGGCGGGAACTATACGGTTTTACCCGAAGATATATATCATGGCTAAATGAAAAGCGGTCTCTTCATTTGCAGTAAATCGAGTGTCTATGATGTACGGCTTCAAAGCCACTTCATGGGCAACTTTGTACCCGGCGATCAAACCCAGTGAAAATGTTTACTTTTCTTGCAGTCGTGGCAGACAACTTTGGCAGAACAAACTTTCCATTGAACATCGAATCCCACACAAGGCTTAGGAAAAGGTGACATGAGTAGAGGTACAGACGCTAATTAGCCTGATAAAGTACGGACGTCATTAGACTTTATGAAGCTCCCTACTCATCTGTGGCTTTCTTACCATCATTCTCACTCGTCGTCGACATTGAGATTTTATTGAGCAACTCTGCCTGAATGACCAGGTTGTCTGGGCCATCCATGCTTACCACAATTCGTAACCTTCTGATTCCTCGGTCGTCTTGTGTGACGTCTTCTATTTTCAACTTTGACAATTTTCTAGCTCTAGTAGGATTATGCATATATGATAGAGGCTCCTGGTCGGATTGCATTGCTACATTTCTGGGTGGTGGTTGCATACGAGAGGAATGTTCTGGCGATTGCTCACCATGACTTCCAATAGTAGACTGTAGGGTCGCTTCCACTGGCAGGTCTTCTGCTGCTTCGCTGAATGGCTCATTTGTTTGTGATCCTTGCTTCCTCACTCTCTTTGAGTTGCCCTTTACTTTGGGAGACTTGCCATTAAGGTACACCTTAGACTTGCTCTCTAGGTCCATAGGCTCACTAAATGGTGAGAAAATCGAAGGAAAAGGTTTTGCATTAGTAGCGGTGGCATCCAACGAGCCACCTTGAAGCAAAGTGTCGACCGTGGAACTTCGTCTCTCCTTGTCCGTTCTAGCTCGCTGGCCTGGGAGCCCGCTGGATTGAGACCTACTACTAGATGTCATAGACGAGCCTTCCAGCGGTCGCAACCGAGTGAGAAGGAGTAGATCATCTTCTGAGCCGCCGTTCTCATGGCGACTTGAATAATTGGATTCTTTAGGTTTAGAGTCAGGCCTGTCGATCTTTAAGAATGAATTGCGACCGGCGTCCGCAGCAAAACCCTGACACACGACAGCTGTTCCGTGAGGGTCTGTACCACATAAGTCACCCATCTCGTCGGACCTTTTTGTGCCAATAAGCCTGTTGATCAAATTGCCTAGCTCCTCTTCTGAGGTTGACGCGGTTCCCACGTCTCCTGATCCTTGGGATGTGGCAGGCCAAGAACTTACCTCTTGGTACAGCGAAGGTGATTCTGAGACCAGAGGACCGGCGACAAAGTCTTCCCTTGAATTCGCTGTAGGCAATGAGTGTAGCGTACTAGGTGTGCTGGCTTCGTGACATTCTTCAAAGAGCTCTGGCTTTGATAATGAATGGTCCTTGTTGAAGGGCTCCGGGAAATTGCACGAAGATGTTTGTGGGGAATTATCTGTACTGTCGGACAAGTCTTTCTTTAGGTGAAAGACGTCGCCACCTTTCGGGTGATCTAAACGGGGTCGTTAGCTCCTCGACATGCTATTTCTACCGCCAATGAGCTCACGAGCTTCTGGCGTTAGCAATCCGGTTGTTGATTCCTTCTTTCTTGAAGGGCTTTCAGTCGCCATTACCGGAAGTTCAGGTGACAAGTCTATTTTTCCATGCTGCGAAGTGTCATTGGAGATGTTCCTTTGAAGCCTCAAACGCTGAAAAGATCCATGCAGCACGAGTGGCTCAAACAGGTTTGCGGGTTTCGGTGGAGGGCGGCTTGACGGAGGATACTGTGAGTGCTTGTGGGTGTCTTGATTTTGTATTGAACGTATACGTGCCGCGACGATGCCCTGTTTACTGGAGGGCGAGCGATGATACATCGCGAAGGCACCTGTAGCTAATGTAGATAGGCTCGTAACTCTTCATGACTGCCACCGACCTGCGAGGTAAGCTACAACAAAGCTACGTATATTTGGGGAGCTGGAGGTGAAGCGCCACTTTTAACAATGCAAGTGCGGGGTCAACTAAATCACCACGAAGTCTCATGGTGTGCAGGTCTTTGAATGAGTTGTGCAGGCAACTGAGCTTACCAAGGTAATTAGGCAGGTGCGACTTCATAGACATCTTAAAAATACATAGAAACAAAAGACTTCGGGAGCTAGTGCGAAGACAGATAGCTTGCGAGTACAAGAAGATGACAAACGTATCACATTGTACCTATCTCAGAGAAGACTGCAAGCTCTCGAGGACCTGCCTGGTGTCAGCACACTGGATAGTTGCAGAATCAAGAATTCTTGTACTTCTAGTTCGATCTTTGCTTCTGCAATGTCCTGCTCACTTCCGCTACCATTGGCTATCTTTTGTGCTTCTGTGATTTGGGAGCGGACAGCCTGTTCCAATTGTGAATGAGTCCCCTGAATTTGACCGGATTTTTAATTTTTACATACATCAGAGCTAAATTCCTCGAGGGGAAAACCTTCAACCGCATTAATACTGAGCTGCGAGCCCGGTTGGACGATGGCGAAGCCTCCAGACACTATGGAACAAGTTAATTAATGTCAAATCGATGTCCACGAGAGCGAATCGTGCGTCCCGAGATCAAGCACTTGCAACCAATGGATTATTGATACTCAACGTACAGAAAAATTGCTTGCTTCCACCGCTTTCTTCTATGATTTCCACGAGACCCGGTTTCAATTGTTCGATCGAAGGGACGTGATTGGCCAGGACACCCATTTCTCCAGACTCAGCGGGTATGTTCACTTGCACACTATAGCGGATGGTAGACTGATCAGCGACCGTCAGGTTGCCAAGATGGAGGAACTTGGGTAAATAAAACGAGAGTCGAGAGTCGAGAGTCGACGTACACGTCCGTAGATTTGTAGATCGACTATGTTTCCACATGGTTCAGCGTGTGTAGAATTTGGTCAGACAAGTCCGGGTGCAGACAAACGTACTTGGTGTGGGAGGGCCAGTGTCAATTGAATCTTGTCCGAGACGGGATCCGCATATCCTCGTCGCTGAGAAGCTATTCGAGAAATTGAAGGGCGCGCTCTGGCAGCCGCGCGAGTGATTCTGATTACATTCATATTTTCGGGAGGTCCGCAATTAATGTTCTATCCTGGACCAGTCTCGACAAAGCCAGAGAAGAGGGAAGCAAGGGCTCGCCGACGTTGACTTCGAAGTATGAATTTACCACTAATAAGATGGCTTTGAGAGCAGTATGATGACTACGTAGGGCTTGACGACAGGTGCGTATGCCACATCCCGGTGAGAATAAGTATGCGCCAAGATTTTACCTTATCAACCACATTCACTAGGTAGGTCTGTGGTTTTGGTCCGTCTCTAATCGATGGAAGAGGAAAGCGACTGGTCAAACTAGCGCAAAGGGCAAGCGGACCCTGCAGCCAACGGTGACTCGGTGAGTAGCCGGTGTCGGCAGTACACTTGGGTCAAGGTGTAACGACTTGACTCTGCAGCCCATGTCGGTGCGGAGCAGATCAATAATGAAGACTACTATTGACGGCCCCATCACGTAGGACAAATGGTGAGCTGGCATGGATTATTCTCTCCTGACCCATAACCCCACGCAAGCACCAACTCGGAACGTGCAGAAACTAGTTGAACGAGTTTAGTGCATGCGCTGGAGACCGATGGCGAGCTTCGGACCTGAAACTCGATGGACTACTCTTGCTATTACTGTGGGGTAGGTATCATTAGAACTATTATTGCTAGTCGCACTTGGGTCGGAGAGAAGCAGAGGTCTGTTTGCGAAAAGATTGCAGGATAACGGCTGCCAGAAGGTCTTCTCCATTGCAGCTACTCGTCTGCTCGTCTAGACCAGTCATCTTGTCATCTGACTGATCGGAGAGGGAAGTCAGGGCTCGTAGAGCAGGCCAAGTCTATTGAACATCTTGCGCCGATGCGGGTAATGCTTAGCCAAGATGATTGATTGTTAATGGCAATTTTCGTGCCGTCGTCCACAGCCCGGGCGTTTTCGCGGTTCTGCTCTCATCCGCGGCCTTCGCCATACGCCACCTTCCCAAATCAATAATAATAATAATACCCACCCCTCCCCCCACTCCGCCCATCCTTTGCACCACACAGACTCCCCATTTCCCATCTCCACTCTTTCCAACTCCTCTTGACATCGCAAATTTCAACTCAAATTGTACCCGCCGGGACTGGCACGACCGACTACAATTTTTGAAATGAGATGAGGCGATAGTCGAACTCGCACCACCAGCACTCTTCTCACATTCCAAACGAAGTTGGATCTTCTTACGCGAGGTAGCACTCGCTACACTCTTCGCCATGTCTTCGTTGTCGTTATAGCATGAACGTCCTCCGGGACAACGTACCTTTACCTCAGAAGTCGCTCCTCCTCCCCCATTACGACTGTGTCTTGTTCAGTACAGCCCACTTCGGATCCAAGCCAGTCGCGTTTCCTACGCAATAACATAAAAGGAAATCTTCATGGCTCACTCTCAGCAAACCAATCATGATAGTATCTCTGCTAGCTCAGCAAATCCTACTTCTCACACCGAGGATGAAGCCGGCGCTGATCTCGACGAACCCCCGGACAGGACCCACCAACCGATGACCTTCTGGAAAATGATTCCATACGATGTTGAAAAATCCTCTATGGATCCCGGTCCCACTTTATCGCCGCACTCTCGCAAGGCTTCACTGCTCACGAAAGCCTTGCTCAGTTCTCCAGAACTTACGTCGATGTCGGATACCGATGCTCCCCATCTGACTAGCGACGGTGGACTTACAAGCCCTGCACGAACCTCGTCACCAAGCCCCCTCTTCCAGCGACGGCGTATGCTCGCCTACCAGTGTTGCACGCCCAAGATGTACTCTTCTCTCATCCTGATCGGTCTTCTGAAACCTTAATCTCGACCAAGCCCCAAGGCATCGTTCAAACACAAGAGACGAAAGTCGAAGAGACGCTTGGTCGGAAACGTTGCATAAGCTTTGCTTGTGGGAAAAAACTTCCTGCGCAAGAGCATGTCTCTCATATTGCGAAAGATTCCGCGACAGTCAAATCCGGCTCGAACACGACAGAGATGCCTGCCAAACGGCCCTGTATGCTTCGTTTTTGTGTGTCCCATGAAACCCTCGAAGAAAGACCCGGAATCAATCGAGATTACTGCGACATCCCCACAAAGGAAACAGCCTCACACATTGGTATCACGTGAGCACATTGACGAGGCTATACAGTCATTGCAAAAGTCCTCTTGTGAGCCCAATGTCTCAAATCAAGTAAATACTATGAAAAGGTGGCCTAGCTGGGGTACAGCAAATCAAGACCCTGCGTCGATTACAAGCAGCGCTCAAGATGCCAAGCGCTTCAACCCCATTGATAAGCAGACCTCACAAGGTATGAAACTTCATAAAGTCGCCGGTACTTACAATGTCGAAGATGAGTGGACCAGCGAACAAAATGCATATCAGAGAAAAATGACAATCGATGATACTCTTCAGAAAGAGAATGCGATTCGCAGACTAGCAGAAGAGGCAGACCAAGAACAAGCACTCGAAGATGAAATAGATCTGGATGATGAAACAGATGACGTAGAGGACGACGACGATTATCGTGATATAAATGCTGCATCAGATGATGGTAACGAATCAGACGATGAGGAAGGCTTCGCAGAGTCTGACAATGAGAGCGACAACGATTTCGATTATGACTTCTGGACACCGGGCCTAACTACCGCCGCAACATCGACAGATCATCTAGATCACATTACGGCCTATACAGATCGAGCACCGTCTGATTCCTCGATTGACTGTGGGAAAATAGCAGAAGAGATTCCTTTTCATGGCACGGCTCCCAGATCTAGACCTCGGCAAACTATCAGACGGAAGAAAGATTGTAATCAGCAGCAGGGTACTTTTCATAACCTCGAAGACTTCATTGTCGGAACTTTGGATGAAGACCGGCCCTTGCAAGAAGCTTATTTGTCTTCGCTTGAGCAGCGTAAGCGCGCTAAGCAGAAAGTCATACCCCAGGACATTGATCCCAGCTTTCCTACTTCTGACCTGGAGGCTGACGATGACGGCAACGAAAGTGAAGATGAGCTCATAGAAGAGAATACCACACCAGAAGATGATGAAGGGCAAGGGACCACTTCTCCAAATCGCTCAGAGGGAGAACGTCGCCACAGCCGCAAAATGCTACCAGAGAAACGAAATCGAACACCTATTCCATCACCCAAGCGCCTGCGCTCACCTCCTCCACAGCGATTGTTTGGTCAGACGGCTCATCGCCTTCGATCGCCGCCACCATCCAGCAAGTGGCTTGCCTCTCCACCTTCTTCACGCCGTCCATCACCAACAATGAGCACGCCCCCGGGGCCTTTCGCAGGGTTCAATGTTCAACATCTAGCGCAGCGGCCCAATCTCACGCGCACGGCCTCGCTTCCTCGAACAGCGAATCCATTCTGGGACCAACACCACCTGCAGAAGGCTCCTTCTGTCGCCCCTGTGACCAAACTTCACCCGTCTAATCTTTCAAGCCGCCCTCATACAGATCTTCACACACGCGGTCCAGTTGACATAGTTCAGGGCCTTGAAAAGAAACGACAGCGAAGACGCGAAAAGTTTTGGCGGTTGTATTGCATGAAGGCTCACGCAGGCAAAGAGAAGGAGCGCAAGTGCCAGCCTGGGAAAGGCGCTGAGCGAATGCGGGAATTAGGCATTCAGGTTCAGGACAGATTCAAGGGCTATGGTCACAATCGGGCCAACCTCATGCTTTCTATTTAATGTTCTTGTAGCGAACTCAGCGGCACAGGCACATATTGACGACAGAACAGAAAACGATGCTTTGTGTATCTTTAACTTCAATGACATGTGAATATTCAACCTCTTGAAGCTCTACACTCATCCATCTACCACTCTCATGCTCGCCGGTCAACGCGATCCGAGGTCAGTCTTTCTTGCGCTTTCCTTCTACAGGAGCCTAGAGAGAATCGATATGTTGTGCCAATGAACAATAGATAGAATATTATGCTGTGGAAGCTCAAGAAAACAGGCTCGGGTCTACCAACATGTCGAAAGGCTTCTGGGAGATCAAATGCCAATACGTAGATACAAAAATAGAGTCAGATACACTTCCCAATAGATGACAATAACGTCATCTCAAAAATCACAGTAGTAACTAAGCGATCGAGGGGATCGTGTGGGGGTTCTATTCCTTACTTGTAAAGTGTACGCATTAGCGTCCATCCAACATCGACTACTCATGCATGCTGCATACCATTTTTTCAGGATTTCTCGAAGATCAACGTCGAGGTTTTGGCATACTCATTGGGTTGAAGACCAGTGAAGACGGCCAGATCAGGTCATCGGGTTAAGCAATATGCTGCGTCTACTCACGCCGGCCTGGACTGCTCAAGATTCAGGACAGCGTGGAGAACACAAGCGGACTTGTCTCACTAGACCCTAATGGACCGCTATCACCACCCCCGCCATGCATTTGCGTTGCAACACCAGGCATCTTGATCCCCACCTTCCACTTCAAGGCTTTCATTGGTCAATTCTCGATGCTCATTTGTACCCCAGCGACAATCTTGCATATCAGGGCTGTTCCCTCTTAGGATCCTCGCGTCCTCGTGATACAATGGCCTCATTTCTTCGATTCAACCCGCTACCCTGCGCATGCTGTTCTCATTGGAAATACGAAGAAAATGCTACTGGCCTGCGGACGCATGTTCAATCTCAATAGTGCCCTAAAATCCCTTGCGCCAGCTGCACGCGAATCGCTTGATCCATCAAAGATTAGCCAATCCTGATGAAATATACACATGGCAGGTTTGCTTCAATCCGCCCTCAGGGCGCCTAATTGGTGAATACGATGGATTCCGAGGATGGCTACGTCTACATGAAGGTAAGACTGCCTTCGCATTGCCAAGGGCTCAGAGCTGATTTCTTAAGTAGAGCGTGAGTCAATTGATCCGGACCCATGAAAGGGCACTTGCAAATGCGTTACTCTTTCAACGGCGGCCTTCTAAGGGGGTTTCGTCACAACGGAACACCATCGAGGCAGCACCTTCTCAAATCAGTGTTACCAATTCCCATAATGGTCAGATCATGCACTCCCACCCATTACCAGCTAGCGTCCTAGCTACGGCTCTGTCATGGGGGTTCTCATCTACCAACATCAAGTCAGCAAAGCTCACCTTGACGCCTCACCATCTATATTACTTGTTAACCCAGATTGAAGAGCTTGGAGTCACTGTCGGTCCATTGACCGTACGGTTGGAAAACATCCATACCGATAGCTCACCCACAAATTACGTCTCCTTCCTTGGCCAGCAGCACAGATCTCGATCACAAAGCGATGGCGATTCAGTTCACTCAATGTCAAGTGTTCGAAGTGTCGTGTCAAGTTTATCCAGCATGTGGTCTCTGTTCGCGCCAAACGTCTCGAAGAATAATGCCATGAACGAAAAAGCGCGAACACAATCATTAGGAGATGTCACGTATCTTTACTCCGCCTTCACGAAGCTACCTTGTCTGAAATTAGCACCTGACCCTAATGCGAGACCTATCAAAGGCTACGAAGAGTTTCCTTTTGACGCTGCGGTTCCACTGACTGCTTTTAAGAATCTCAGTGCCCTCGAAATTACAGATATTGATTTTCGCCGGTTTTATGGGTGGAACATCCTAGCAGAACAGCTCAAATCTCTGACATTGAGACGAGCGTGTGTAGATGATCCAGCGGACGCCTTAATTGCCATTGTTCTAGATGATATAGACAAACGTCGCCGGAGATCCTTCAGGACAAAAGCTTCTCCAACGAGTTCGTGGCCGACTAGTCCAACTGCAAAGTCGATCGAGCAAACACATGAACAGGTAAGCTCACTTTCCCCCGTCACGGAGGAAAGCATAAGTCGGAGTCGAAGCGCTCAGAATAGCTATACACACCATCGCAATACGCACGCGTTGTTTTCTCCACAGCCTGTACAGGTGAGGAGTATTTTACCTATGCGGCCTAAGGGTTCGAGCCAATATTCCCGTGCTAACGCTCCTCGGATTCAGAGGTCAGAATCCGTCACGTCAACATATAGGGGGGTCTCGAAGTGTCCATCATTCGATAGCAGCAACATTGACCTGATGTCAATGGAAATCTTCCCGGCCACGAAATGGCGGTTTTTAAGACATCTTTGCCTTGCTGACAATGCCTTGACCTACTTAGCTGCCTCTAGCCTGGCTCCACTCGAGCAGAACCTAAAGTCTCTGGATGTATCGTCGAACCTTTTTACTGAAATACCAGGATGTCTAGCAACCCTTACAAATTTAAAAGCCCTCAACATATCCAACTGCATGATAGATTCCCTCTGTAATTTGACGCGATGCCCCTTAGAGAGGATCTCGGCAATCAACCTTCGTGCCAATAGACTCGTATGCCTGGCAGGCATCGAGGGATCTATGGTGTTAGAGCGCCTAGACATTCGAGAGAACAGGATACACGACTCGGCCGAGTTTCGACGGCTGGCAGACTTGCCGCACATGCAGGAGCTCTGGATCGTGCAGAATCCGTGCACTCATAGTCAGAGGAGGTACAGGATTGATATCTTCAATCTGTTTCGAATTTCCCATGGTCTGAGCAAAGATGTCATAATAGACGGTACTGGTCCCACATACAGCGAGAAACGCCAGCTCAAGGAACACAGTACCCCTATCCACGGGATTTCGAGTGATGGAGAGGCGCCGCCAACAACGTATGTCGTTACTGCTGGGAACGTTGATTCATTGAACGAACACCAATACCTCTCAAGGAAATGTCCGCCGCCTCCAACCTATGGGCCTCTATCGGATGTTGTTCTCAAGTCTGGCAAGCATGGACGTGATCACAGGATCGTGGATCTGTCACGGGCTGAAGGACGCCAAGGCAAAGAAAAGATCAACAAGTATGCAGTTACCGTTCACAATCCTCCACCTCAAACGCTTGCAGGCAATGAAGAGCCTCCGAGGCTTTCAGCTGTATATGCTTAACGTCGACGCGACCAAAAGAGACCGATCAAGCATATATTGCTAGGCATTCCCCCAGTCATCCAGCAATTGAAATCATTGTTGTACTAAGGCAGCATAACGCCATAATAGGTCATGATGACTATCGATGACCGCTTGAATTATGGAAGATGGAATCGTCTCGACTTCGCTTCATGCTGTTGACAAGCTTTACGAAGACGCGACCCTAGAGCAAATATTTTATTCAGCACAGTGCAATCACGCGAGTCATTCGAGCACCAAAACTTACCAAGAGGTCTGACAATTCCAATTAAGCGTTTGAAACATGGTGAAGAGGCTTGTTACCGGGCTTTCCTGCTAATACACCATGACAGCACGCCTAATCATTGTGCGAAGCGACGTCGAACTGCCGCTGTTTCAGACAAGATGTATTCCACGCCAAGCTCTGGCTATATCATCATAGCATGAGTGTGAGTTGTTTGTGAAAGCATAGCATGTGTTTTATTTCGATGATTGTTGCGGGCATACGGGAAAGCGGAGGCGTTGTAGGACTACTCACATTCAGCATTCTTTGTTGCATCCTCCCAAATATGGTGAGACTTACGCGTTTCTTCCGATTCTTATATTGCATTCGTACCCAAGACTTCAGTGCCTGACAGCAAGTAATGTCTACTCCCAATGTTCTGATGCATTAGTCACTTGGGATCGCTAGCACAGGGTAGAAAGCAAGTTGCGTGAAAGCTTCGAGGCAGCTTTGACTGTAAGACCAGAGCTTATATCCACAAGGCATCCAAGCTGGCCCATTTGCAATGCAGAGTAGTCTGGTTTGCTAGCTAGCATCTGGTAATTTTTATGTTCTCTTTTCGGTAAGGCGCTGGCGCGGCAAGTTTGGAACGTTCCTCCCTTCCTTTCCGCCAACGACTCACATGTACACGCCTGAAGCCAAAACCATTCTATTGCAACAACGGCGACGCGCGATATTTATCGTATGTCCTTGACGTGGATAAAACCTCCAACCAAGGCCATTCCGTTACATGCATATTGAAGCCCAAGCCAAAAGCTACTACAACGCCCAGCAACCCAATCTGACGTCCGCCGATTGAAAAACTTCGACACCTTGTGAAGCGCTCCAAATCAATTCACTTCAACGTATGTCCTTCGCAGAATGAACACCTCATAAAACTTGCAAGCATTCAGATTTACTCTAAATCAAGCCTACAGCTGCTGGCTTTCTCCCCTCCCCTCCCTCTTAGTCATTCTGCTGCGACCGCTGATCGACAAACCTCTCTACGAAACCGCCTAGGCGACGTCGAAAAGCGATATCTTGTGTCGCCTTCTGGTCCTTTTTAGACTCCGATTGCCGCTTGTCGCTTCTTGTAAGCCCTCCCTGAATGCTTTCTGTTACGCCAACAGCTCTACAAACCAACGCTGCCACGATGCGTGAAAACATGAACTGACTGTCACCGCCAGATCTATCACACAAGTCCCTAAGAAGTCAAGAATATACGACCGAGTTTGCTGAAGACTGCGCCCCATTCCTTGGGCTAATACAGTGCGCCAACAAGAGCAGGAATATGGCGGATTCGGGCGAGGTGGACCTAGATTCTATCATCGACCGACTGCTCGAAGTCAGAGGCAGCAGACCTGGGAAACAGGTACAGCTTCTTGAAGCCGAGATTCGTCATTTGTGCCAGAAGGCCCGCGAGATCTTCATATCTCAGCCCATACTCCTTGAGCTCGAGGCTCCTATTAAGGTAAATAAACATTTTGCCAGGTTTCCTTTCCATTATCCTTCGAGCTGCGGAGACTGATAGTCTCGGGATAGATATGCGGTGACATTCACGGCCAATACTACGATCTGCTTCGTCTGTTTGAATACGGGGGCTTTCCGCCCGAGGCCAACTACCTCTTCTTGGGTGATTACGTGGATCGAGGGAAGCAGTCACTAGAGACTATCTGTTTGCTTTTAGCCTACAAAATCAAGTATCCAGAGAACTTTTTCATCCTCAGAGGCAACCACGAATGCGCTTCGATCAATCGCATCTACGGCTTCTACGATGAATGTAAGAGGCGGTACAATATCAAATTGTGGAAGACTTTCACAGACTGTTTCAACTGTCTCCCAATCGCCGCTATAATCGACGAAAAGATCTTCACTATGCATGGTGGATTGAGCCCAGATTTGAATTCGATGGAGCAGATCAGGCGTGTAATGCGTCCAACAGATGTAAGTCAAGTCAAGCTTCTATATACTGATGCCCCAGTGGAACTCTGTAGGTCTCTTTGGTCAGACACTAATTTCAAGAAAGATTCCCGATTGCGGCCTTCTCTGCGATTTGTTATGGTCGGATCCCGACAAAGACATAACTGGATGGAGCGAGAACGACCGAGGAGTCTCCTTTACGTTTGGTCCTGACGTCGTGTCACGATTTCTCCAAAAACATGACATGGATCTCATATGCCGTGCACATCAAGTCGTCGAGGATGGCTACGAATTCTTCTCCAAACGACAGCTTGTTACATTGTTCAGTGCGCCAAATTATTGCGGCGAATTTGACAACGCTGGCGCGATGATGAGCGTTGACGAAAGTTTGTTGTGCTCATTTCAGGTAAATCATGATATCCTGTCGAGCATGGTGGAAGGTACTGATGCATTCTGCCATTTGCAGATATTGAAGCCTGCTGAGAAGAAACAAAAGTACGTCTATGATGGCATGAATACCGGCCGCCCCGTTACTCCTCCAAGGAAGCAGAAAAAGAAGTAATGTGCCAACACCGTTTTTCCGTGTACAGCAGGTTCGGGCGAAGATAAATGCTTAGCAGCACGCGCATACCTCCATCTATCGAAGACACGAGACGTTTTCGTTTGAAGCTCACCAGCCTTTCACCTACCGTTGTCGTGTCTTCGCGACATGAACCCCGTCACGAGCTTAGTCTTATATGAATTCGACCTTTTACCAGAGATGACTGTTACTTCGATGACGACGGTAATGGGCTGAACGCGGAGGGAGGAGCGTGCTGCTTGCAGGTGCAAGATTGATTTGCTATGTCTCAAGCGGGCACAAGCTAGGAGGTGATGCATCAAACACTTCAGCAGTAAAGTAGAAAGTGCAGGGCTGCTTGAGCACAGACAGCTTCACTTTTCAACCAATTTTCACGATCAGCCATGTAGTTTCCCGCACAGGTCGTAGACAGTAGGGGGTCGCACCAAATTAGTGGGGCTCAAGAAAATTGTCCGCTCGCCGCGCCAGCCAACATTTAAGAACGTCTCTTGCTCGTGTGGTAATGATGCACTGATCCACATCCAATATCTCTCAAGGATCTGACCACCTATCAAGGACGAAGTAGTCATGTGCACAGTCTGTCGGACAAGTTAGTCAATGAGTACCTACAGGTTCTCTCCTCAAGCATTTGACCCGTTAAATCTTCCCGACTTCTGGGACGATTTCATTGAACAAAACGACATCGACGAGTTCTCTAAAGCGCTTTGCGCTCCTGAATCAGTCCCCTTCGTCTCCCTCAATGACTGGAAGCCCATTCACCAGCGGGTGCGTCGCCGTAGATCTAGTTCTCGCAAAAATAAGAGGAAGGTCGTGCGGCGAACAAGGGATGAGACCCGAGAGGGATTTGTGTACACCTTGTTCAAGTGGCCTCTACTCCTCGTTGTCTTGGGATGGATCGTCAGTCTAGGAGTATTCTACTGGATCACTCGCTTCTACGTTTGGGTGTATGAGAGGTTCATCACGTGGCGAGGAAGGCGGCAGGATCTTCGCACAAACATACGGTCTCGGACAAAGTACGAAGATTGGAAAGGTGCAGCGCAAGAACTAGATCGGCACTTAGGGAATGAGAAATGGAAGGGTATTGATGATTATGCCTATTATGATTCTGTCATGATCCTGAGGGCGAAGGAGGAACTGGAAATTCAACGGACAACGGCGCTGCTGCAGCAGCATGGTGACCCTGAAGTTCTGACAGAAGCCACTCAAAAATTAAAGGCATTGGTCGAGACTTGCGTTAAGTATAATTACGCTGGGACCGAGAATCCAAGAGTCTACTCGGAAACGTACTATGGTACTAAAACGCTAGTTCAGGACTTCGTAGATGAGCTCTACGCATCCATTGATCATCTTCTTCAAGACTCGTCTCTCAATGAGGCTGATAAATACTCGCTTTGCACTCACCTCAGTACCAACTTTGGGCGGACTGCGCTTTGTTTGTCGGGGGGTGCAAGCTTTGCCTACTATCATTTCGGTGTTGCGAAAGCATTGCTAGACGCCACTCTATTGCCCTCCGTAATAACGGGCACGTCTGGGGGCGCTCTTGTCGCTGCTCTGCTAGCAACGCGGACTGATGAGGAGTTGAGGCTTTTGCTTGTACCTGCACTCTCTCACCGGATTAAAGCAGTAAGTAATATTTTTTGGAGCCCGCTCATCCCAATCCAGTCACAATGTCGAGACTAGAAACAAAGTCTCGGGAGCGATGATTTCGAGAGATATGTTTCTACGCTCTTCCTCTGAGCCTGAGAAAGCATTGCTGACTCCGATTCTGCAAAGTGTGAGGAACCTATCCCAGTCTGGTTTCCTCGTTGGTGGCGCACAGGGGCACGATTCGATTCCTTGAAGTGGGCACGAGAATGCGCATGGTTTTCTCGAGGGAGTATGACATTTCGGGAAGCCTACGAGCGTACTGGGCGAATCCTGAATGTCTCATGTGTCCCTTCAGATCCACACAGCCCAACGGTGCTCACCAATTATTTGACTGCTCCTGATTGTGTGATATGGTAAGAACTCTCTCCGTCGTGCTACACTCATCAGCCAATGCTTCATTAGGTCTGCTGTCCTTGCGTCTGCTGCTGGTAAGTAAGAGTCCAGCCCGGTTTAGGATATGGGTTTACTAAATCTCAGACATGCCTAGTCCCGGGTATCTTAAATCCCATCCCGATGATGATGAAGAAACCGGATGGTACCATAGGTCCCTATTCGTTCGGGCATAAGTGGAAAGACGGCAGCCTGAGAACAGACATCCCTCTGAAAGCTCTGAATCTTCATTTTGGCGTTACATTTCCGATCGTATCGCAGGTCAATCCTCATATCAATGCCTTCTTTTACGCTTCGAAAGGCACAGTAGGAAGACCAGGTTTGCCCTGCTTAATGCTATTCTCGTGAAGTATGAATTGACCTGCCTACCAGTGACGCATAGAAAAGGGCGAGGATGGCGCGGCGGATACCTAGGGAGTGCACTTGAAACTTATCTCAAGCTAGAGCTTCAGAAGTTCCTCAAAATACTCCGGCATTTAGAATTACTTCCTCGTCCGCTAGGTCAAGATTGGTCGAGTGTATGGCTTCAGCAGTTCAGCGGTACAATCAGTAAGTGTAGTTGAAGCCGCAAAGCGACATCTCTTTCAGCGCTGACAATTCGGCATCAGCAATCTGGCCCAAAAGCCATCCGAGCGACTTCTGGTATATTCTTTCAGACCCAGATTCGTCCAGACTTGCCCGAATGATTCGTGCAGGAGAGCAGTCAACCTGGCCGAAAATATTGTTCATTGAAAACCGTATGAAAATCGAGCGTTTAATCTCCAAAGGTCTTTCAAATACCTCCAAAGGGCGACACGATAATACCGATCTATCTACACCCCGCCAACAAAGGACAAGTTCCAATGAATCGGCCTTTCGCCACTCTATTGAGACTTCAGATACATTGGGTGGACTCACCCAAACTAGGGATAGAAGGTCAAGCACATTCGAAGAAATCAAACGGCAGAGTGGCATTTTCTTCGATGATCTCGTCGAAGGTGAGGAGGATACTGGAGAGAGCGAAATTGAGGAAGCGTTCGTCGAGGACGGTGAAAATGGTCCAAAAAATGATAGTGACGGAATCTGATGTGGTATAGCAACAGAGTGCATCGACATTATTGTGCTAACATTCGTTTAGTCATTTCATGCACGTGCTTGAGGCAATGAATGCATGCATACCTACCGTCAACCATGCAGCTCAAAAGTCTTTGAGATCCGATCCACTTTAGGGTTTGGACGCCCCCCATTTGCAGAACGTCATCCATCTTCCATTTGGCTATGCCCGATCTCTGATTTGACTCCCATCTTTAGCATGTAGCTTCTCTTGAAAAAGGTATTAGGATGAACTATCGTGTCCAATTCCGCCGCTGGCCAACTACTTTCGTCCTTGACCTTTTTCAGCTCCTCCTTGTGTGTCCATTCAAAGACTCGGTTACAGGCTATATGGTACCTCTTCTTGTCCACGTCGTCCTTGACTCCTCGCAAGACTTCTCGATCATTCACATTCGTGAGCTGCAAAAGACTTGTCAAATTATCAACGCTGAAATGGCGGTAAGGACATCCGTGACTCTCACCAGAGCCAGGAGGGTGTTCGGTCAGGATCTTCTGGCATGAGTAAGGCGCATAGCCTCGTCCACGCCGTATAGCATCCCCACCAACATCACCGTAGGTGTGCCGCACGTTATAGCGGTACTCTTTATTGAATGTATCATCCGTGATGAGCTTGAAAGCTTGGCGCCAGAAGACCAGGCAATCTTCCAATGTCAAACCTATCCCTTTCAGGAAGAGGGTATACTGCAACCGGCCATAGTGCTTCAAGTGGCTATTCTTTCGCAAATTCTGATGGAGATTACGCATGCAGAGTGGAAAATGCTGGGCGAGGGTGTCAATCGATGCTGCGTTAACTTGGGCAGTTGAGAGGGCGCCTTCAGACTCCGAGACTGTCGAGTCGGGAGTCGAGAAGTTTTTGGAAAGGTGGTTCAAGATTGGGGTCAGACGATCGTCTTCGTCGAGGCGCGGGAGAGCGCGAGTAGCAAGCTGTCGACCACGTCAGATGACTGCTCATGCCTTTTCCAGCTCTAACCCGACAAGAACAGGACCGACTTACCTCTAGACCATTCTCAAGATTGGCGTGGAAAGCGGCCAGAACCATGCTCATCTGCTCGCGAGCTGGTACGTAGGCCTTTCCTCCTTTCAGCAAGACTCGCCGGCTTTCTACGAGCTCTGGAACTGTTTCAAAATCTACTTTGAACCAGCCAGCCTCGTCAATCTCTGCTCGCTTCAGGCCCGGTGTTGCATTGAGTAGATCGGACGCCAAGGTGCGTTTTTCATCCTCGGTCACGCCATCCCATTGTAATTTAAGAGACTCGACGAATGATTGCCGCTCGCGCACATCATCGTTCTGAAATCGTGATTTAAAGAGGGCAGTTTCCACTCTTGTGAAGCGCCGGCGAAGGTCTTCGGTGCAGGAAAAAGCGAGGCGTAGGATGAAATGCGAATAGTGATCTTTCTGTCTTTCTAGCTTTAGAGCCTGACCATGATCCCCTGACGCCGATGAGGAGTTTGAATGAAGCGGAAGCCACTTCTGTAGAAGAGGAGAAATATGAGCAGCAGTCTCCGCCGCGGTCTTATTACGGAATGAGCAAGCTTCTAATTCGGCAAGGACTTGATCAGTTAGTCATATTCGCCACGAGTAGATTCAGCACCTGCTTCTTAGCCTATCGATTGCCCATTGTTCAAACTGCTCGAGGGTGATTTCTGCTGTAGGCGGGATGTCGTAGAGATTCAATCGGTGAGGGTATTCTTGCTGCTTGTAGGACGCAGTGGCAAATTGCTTCTTCTTGTGGTTGAGAGTACTCCGCCGTTTGGGATCAATACGGCTACCTTCTTGCCGTATCATAGTCAAATATCTGACGAGCTAGAAAGCAGTATATCTCATCTTTGTCCAGGGAAAGCCCGCAACGCGTTCGCGATTTGACGCGTAGATGGGTGACCGAAGGGGGTTACTTCCGGGACGGCCTCTGCGCAAGCTATGATATAATGTACCTCTCCCGGGCTTCACCCCATACGCCAGCCAGGGAGGGAAACTTCAACAAAGGCCCACAAGAGTCAAGTATTATTAAAGTCAAGTCTGTTCAAATAAGACACATTGCAGCCTGAGCCATGCATCTCTAGTGACCAGCACTCAGATCTAAGGCTATGAGAGCTAACTAAACATGTGGATACAATCCTCAGCGAGTCATTCCAGGTCATACCTTCGCGGACAGCGTTTCTATGGTCGTAGCTCATGAAAGGCGCCGCGATCCGTCGTGGTCAAATCCAACGATATTCACAGCCCAAAGGAAGATGTGACAGTAGGTGTACATAGAACAACAATCCAAGCTTTTCATGACATTAGCTTCACGATATCGACCTCATCCCTTTCTTCGATCCACGGCCCTTTCTCTTCATCTGTAGCATCCAGGACCGCGTTCGCACGCATGCATGTTATTTCATCCAAATCGGTCACTTTGTATTCACCATTGCCAATGTCCTTTCGAACTTCAAAATCATGATCGAGCATCATGTCGTCTTTCCAGAGCCTTCGTGCTCCGTCGTAAACGCACAAGACCCTCTTTTTCATCTTCATTTGCTTTGGTGGGCATCCCCATGAGGCTGGATAATGCTTTCGCCTTCTCCGACCTTTGCTAAGCAGCGGAACTCCTCCTTTAGACCTAGTCATGCCTGGGCCCCTCCCGCCAGAGTTTCTTCCGGATTTTGTAATCGAGGTACCACCCCCAGCGTGCGCACTTACACCCTGGGGATGTGCTAATTGTCAACTCGGATTGCGGTGCCCCCGGGGAAGACTCCCCTTGCCAGAGCGACCGTTTTTGGGAGCATGCTGGCCAGACTCGGATTCCATAGAGTCATCCTTTGAATCCTCGTCATCAAAATCGTTCTCTTCGCCATCGCCGTCCGAAGTATTTAGAGTTTCAACGTTGAAGTCTACGTCTGTGGAGAGCATGTGGCGGTCTAGAGACTCTCTGACCTGTTCGTCGTCGTTGACACCCCGGAGTATCGATTCATTGATGGCTTCACTTGGCTCCTCCTGTTGAACGATCCGAAGGACACAGTCATCTAAATGCTCATAGAAATCTTGGGCGTTGCCGAACTTGGCCGGGCAAGTCGAGCATTTGCCGGAAAGTTCGTTACTGGCTTGCGTGGAAACGTTCTTGTTGAGTGTACTGCCTTGAATTTTCTTCCGGCTGTTGGGAGGTGTCTGTTCCACTTTGTGCTGATTGGTAAGATGGCGTTTGAACACGTCTGCTCGGTTGAAGCTTTTCTCTGATGAGGATCCAGAGCCAGGACAGAACCCACAGACCATGGTCCCCTTGTAGTGAGTCAGGGTGTGTCGATTCTTATCATACTTCCGTGCAAACCCTTTCACATGGTAGGCACATGTTGTTATTGGGCATTTTTCAGGCCTTTCAGATTGATGAGTAAGCATATGCGCCTTCAGGTCCTTGAAAGGCCTTCCGCAATCAGGGTGGGGGCATCGACTTTTCTCCCTGGCGTCTTCATCAATGGTGGTAGAGTTTGGGCTTTCTATCGAATTCCTTGAGTGGCTCGACGCTACAGAAAATCTCCGTGCGTCAGGCGTTGGTGGATATGGCTGAAAAGCCGTAGTCCGCAGGTATGGCGAGCTTGCACCGCTTCTCAATTTAGAACCATTCCTGTGGGGTTCATGGCTTGACGCTTCAGAGGGAATAGGAGAGCCAGGTTGAAACCTCTGAGATGGAACGTGTGGGAAGGCATGGATGACACCTGGATGGGGGTTGATTGAAGTGTTGTGTGAAACTGGGGTATCGAAATGTTGTATAAGCGAAGGATCTGGAGAAGACAGGGTATTAGCCGTTATCAGCTTGGAGCTTTGTGCAGGCTTTGCGCCATCAGTGAAAAACATAAGAAGAAAGGAACCGAGATATGTGCACAGGAGAACCAACAAGATGACTCAAGTGGCACAACGAACTGCCCACTGCTTTGATTGAAAAAAGGATCTTGCGAAGAATGAAATCGTTCTTGTCTGTAGGAAAGAGGTACAGCCGGATGACCAATAGGATATTGAGAAACAGTACCATGCTCAAAACGAAGACTAGTCGGAGAACACGGAGAATTGCTAGAGGGTGAATTTGCTGCTGGCGGGCCAGGTATTCCGGCGCCTGGGGCTGGAGATGGAGCAGTCATACCTGCCATAGATGTCGAGGTGCTAGCCGAAACGGCAGACAGTTGCGACACAGTCGAATTGGTATTGCGGTTGGCTTCTTCGAGAATAGAATCAATCGTGATTTCTTTCGGAAGGAAATATGATTTCAAGGATGGCGTTGATGAGGAGAAAATAGAAATAGACTCTTGCGAAGAGGTACTAGATACCGGAGAGGCATACAAAGACGGAGATATACCAGGAAGTGTTGAAGAATTGATTTGAAACTCACCCACGTAGTTCTGATACTTCTGATCATCCAGGTTCATGTCGCGTTCGAAGCCATGGAGAGGATACGTCTCATGGGCAGCTGAATCGGTGTTCACGATACCAGGGCCTATGCCTAGCCCATGTAATGGCTCTGACCATTTTCCATGTTGAGTAAGATGGTGAGAGGGAGGTGGCTGAGGCGAGCCTCCGCTTGAAGAGCTCGTACTTTGGGCCGACGCGCCTGAGGCAGATGACATAATAGAAGATGGGTGATCAAAAGGTTGGGAAAAGGAAGACGGTGAGGCCGATGGGGTAGGACGCAAAACAGCCTCGCCATTGTGCTGTTGCGTGACGTCGAAAACAGCTGGGGGAGGCTGAAAGTAATGCGAAGAATTGAGCGCGTTTGGAGGTACATCGGCATATGAACCGTAGGACGTTGTTGCTTGTCGGAGACGGTCGTCATGATTTGGCACGCCAGCCATGGTCTCAGACGTTCCGAATCCTTGGAAACAGTTCCAGGCTTGATTATTGAGCTCCTGAGAAGATGCAAGAGGGTAATGTTCCGGGGGAAAGAGAACAAAATCCCGAGTACCGTTGAAGACTGCTGCCATGAAAAGACCGACTTTGAAAACGTAGGCTATGGATGTGGTCAGTGGAAATGTCGTGCCAGTCCACAACGCGGTGAGTACCTTGCGCCTAAGGTCGCCGACGAAGACGTATGGTCGGGGGGTAAGGGTATTTAAGAAAAGACAGGCATTGTATGTACGATGGCGTCCTTCGGTTGATGCTGCCTTGAATGGATGCTCGCAAGAGGATACAAATGGCACATCGCACTGGCCAGGGAAGCAGCTAGACAGCGAAGTGCAACGAAAGCGACGGATGAGACGCAGATATTATAAGTTTCGAAACGGTTCAGTCAACGGTTCGCGTGGCTCATAGGGCTGGCAGGGAAAGGATTGCACTCCGTAGGGCTTGCAGGAACGTCTAACGACTTCGAGAGACGTCCGAAGCCCACACCAGGCCAGGCGGTGCTGACTTGCTGATTGGCCGCACTCGAAATTAGAAAGGCCACAAAGTATCGGGACTCGGCCACTCACCAGACTGGAGTCATTGGTGGTCACTGCTGGGCAAGACTGGCTTGGACTGGAGGAGGGAGGAATGTGATTTGGGAGGGGAACAGGAGGGAGGGATCCCTCGTCGATCATTTCCCGACTTCTGTCTGCTGTCAGAAACCTTACAATATGCTTGCAGGGTGGTGGTAGTGTCACTAGTTCGCCTCGTAAGGCTTTTCCACCCTCTCGCGCCTTTGGTCTTCCTGGACTGAACTAAACCATTCCGGTGCCAATGACGCATGAACCCCTGTCCTCATTCGCTGCGGTCCGTAGGCCTCCGCATGATGATTTGTTGGCATGGCGGCGCTCCGGTCGCATGATTGGCGCAGACGGCCTTTGATTGAGAGGAGAAAGAAGCGGTGGGAAATTTAGGGGAATTTAGTGAGACTTTAGAGGAGCCCTACGACGTGCTACCTTCTGATTGTTATTATTACTTGCTCGATCTCCACATGATTATTGGCTCCGAAGCCTGCTGCAGGCTCAGATTGGGAGGGTGCTAGGGGGAGAAGCTTACAGTACTCATCCCAGCAGATTGTACGACCCGTTCGGCGGATACTCCGTGAGGACAAGGATCTTGGCCGCTACATGATGGATCTCATAATTCTAAAGTCACCCTAATTGCTTAGGGCTGATGCCTTTGATCTTGACACCACGACATAGCGAGGCACGCTCTCCCTCTACAACATGGTCGATGCTTCAAATTAGGCCCGTCATCACGAGGTTCCACTCGCACGGTTGTGATCGATACGTCAGTCCCACTACTCTACTTGAAACAGTGCATGCTGCCAGAGGCATGGCCGCTCCCAGAAAAGAATTCGACTCCATTTGGACTAGCGCGGGAGGCTGTGCTTTGTCATGTGGCTGTGCTTTCGCGTGTGCAATACGAAAGACACCTTAATCTTCTCATCACCAAAGACGGATTCCATATCGTAGAGATGGCGCTGGAAAATCTGCCTCACTGGCGACGAAGTGCAGAGTGCTCGCGCTCAGGTTGCTATGTTTTCCTGCGAGCATTCTGATCGCTGCGAGATTCTGGGCTTCCGAAAAGAAGGTGTAATCCATGTCTTCGCCCTAGTCTTTCATGCACCGGTGGACTCATACACAAGTCCTAATGAGAGTGCTAGGGTATAGCTGCTTGCGTTTATCTGTGCGGTATCCTTGCGCACTAAGTCAACAGACGACGTGGGCCGTCGAACTCCAATTGATGCTTAGGCCGCTCCTCCCGAAACATTGTCCTACGTTCCTGCGAGCTTTATAGACCAAAGAGCTACGGCAGAGTTTCACATTAGGTGTGGTGAGATGTGACACAGGGAGCTGCCACGCCAATTATATTACTGTTTCCTCGTCTTCCGCGTTCAGCGTGTCTCACGCGGTCATGCGGCGTACAAAAATGTATATCACTAGTGCCTCGTCAATTTGATTTGGACTTGGCGTTGGGGTGTTGAAGGGTGGAAAGGTGGCGTTGTCGCCGAAAACTTCCATGTAGACTCTCGACTTCTGATGGGGTTCTGTTACAGGGCGGATATGTCTCCACCCATCGCCTACAACATCAATGTTATCCGCTTCTGATAATTGCGACAGCGATACAATCCAAGTCTCGCCCAGACCAGCGTGATCTGGCCTGCTGTTTCCACTGTACCTCGTGCTTTGACAGTCTGAAATGAGTGGGTTCAAACAAGTGAAAAAGATCCTTAAGGGAGCATTAATCCTTCCGCCTCTGTCGTCTGATGAAATGTGTCTGCGTAGACGTAAGCTAATCGGGTGCAGAACTTTGTTCGAGGCTCTCATTTGAAGTGCGCGGCCGAACTTTCGTACATCTCCAAAGCTGTCGAACACCTACTCAAGGTGACAGTCTCAGAACGGGGGCAACAACACCTCATTGAGGGGCGTGCGATGAATCTAGCTTGATAACTTCCCGAAGGAAGCTTAGCACAGACTTGCCATCCTACGATCACCAGTATCCACACATCTTGTCGCAAACAGGTCAAAGATCAGCAACTGGCTGCCTCCAGCCCCAGCTTCCAGAAGATGCGTCGTCAAGTCTCTGCATACCAGCAGCTTCGCAGATCATTATTGACATTTGGCGCACAGCCTTGACATGTTCAATGGACACCCCTTCGTGGTGAGTGGCTCCCACAAGGTGGCCTTTCAGTTGTGCATTGACCTACTCCGTCCCAGTCAACATGCTCATGTGTAAGTAGAGGGTATCAGACTTACGTCATATGTTATCAGTCCCCCAATAATTACGAAGCTGGTTTGAGCAGGAGATAAGACTTTATCGTTGCTCAGCAAGTAGCCGTACATCAGTCGCGCGGTTAATCCTAAGTCTTCAGTCCCACTTGTATCCATTTGACGCATGACTTTAGACGAGATCTTGTCGTATATAGTATCGAAGAATCGCCTTCCTCGGAGTAATATGGCTGGCGGTGAAGCATCATAGACATCGCTCGACCTCCCAGTAGGCGAATACCCGTGTGGGGGATCGACAAGTCGGATGTCTGTAGCTTGTGTGAGATGAGTTATGGCATTTATGGTTCTCGGCAGGCCTCCAATGACTGATGCTTTTATCAAGGCTTCTCTCATCTGGCGAGCCACAAGAAGCTGCTTGGCGAAGTCCGCTGAAATATGTAGATTGTCGTCATTTTTAGTCGTAGCGTTGTGAAAAATATGGGGAACTTCTTCAGGTCGGTTCAGACAGCTCAGTACAACGCCACCGACAGCATACCATGTATTGGGTGGGAGATTTGGCATTTTTCGAATAGCATTGAGCAGACGAGGTGTTACGACCCTTGCAGCAGGCATCTTAAGCCCAATAGCGATATCAAGCTGCTGTCAATGATCAACAGAGTAGGAGACTTTTGCAAGTCGAATTCTCTTATATTGACCCCTCGGTCTCTCGGTCCCTGAGACGTAAATCGCTTGGCTTGGAATAAAGAATGCGGAACTTAGTATTGCTATTCATCCTATCATTTGTATCGCTTTCGCTTGCAGATGTAGTCCTAGTAGAGCTTTTCAAACGAATCGACAAAATCAGTATGGCGATTGTGGTTCGTAAAGCTATGCTATCTGGCTTTATATTGATGAAGTCTACGGCTCCTGGGTGGGCCAGGAGATCCTGAGGCTCGCTCGGCGATTACGACCGTAGCACTTAATTTCAGCAGAAGATCTTTTTCTAGTATTGCTTCAGGGCCGGATTTCCTAGAGAATATATGCTATAAGTGCAGCAGGTCACTCGGAGTGTTTTGACTATAGAAAGAGCTCCGAATCTAGCTTTTTGGAATCTCTCTTGAGATCAGTTGTAAAATTCTGTGAGAGTTCAGAGTCCTTGAAATCTATCACACCTGTTTCACCAAGCGAGCAATCCGACTAAATGTCTATTTTAATGGTCAATCAATTAGCTTGACGGACCGCACATCTCATCGGTCGTTTGACTGTCTTGTCCATCAAACCAATGCTGCTTGTGGTGAAGTAAAGATGTTCTTGGCATCACAAGCGGCTAAGTGTTCCTCGTCCATTATTTAATGGCCTATATATTATGATAAATTTAGAATGGATATAGAGGACGCTCGCCGCTTGCATAGTGCAATGGTAGTACATTTCCCTTCCACGACTACGCTTGGGAATAAACGTAAGCAAGAGTGGGTGTGTGTTTCCCTCTACATTTAGCGTGGGCAGGATATAATTCAATCCTTGGCATAAAAAATTTCTACACCCCTAAAAAAAAGCATGCAAATAGCTTGAAAATAATATTCTAAATGTTTCAAATTAATTTAAAGATAAAAATTAGTATAAAAATAGTTTATTCCTTTAAAATTTAGTATTCTAGGTCTTAATAGTAGATATTATAATTATATAATTTAAATTTAATTTAGAATATTGTTCTTAAGCTATTTGTATACTATTTTTTTAGGGGTAGAGAATTTATTTTATGCCAAGGATGTAACTATATCCTGCCTACGCTAAGTGCATAACCCGATCGTTCTTCTACCTTGTTTTTCTATCTTGATGCAAAAAAAGCAGATTCCACGACACGATTTTTTGTCATTAAGATAAAGATTCCTTCTATAGAATATGCAATATTTTTGGGGTGTTTTTTAACATAATAAAGCACTGCTCATAGCTGATAGCTTCTAGTTTATGGCTGATGCACGGCTTCATGTACACTGTTCTTTCACGCACTCCCTGCAAAGTCCGCGTACAAAAGGTCAATATTCCGCTTGGAGGCCGCCGACGTGCGGAAGCCGATCAAGAAGTTAGAGCTCTTTTAGCCAACTGAACCATTTGTAATAATTCTAAGTGATCTTTTGTTCCTGGTCACGGAGTTTCCTCCACTTGTTTCGAGCCAACTCACACCTTTTGATTCTGTCTGCTTCTATCTTCGCCACCTTTCGCATCATGTCAATAAGCGCCTTTTCATTCTCATCCACTAGATGTCCATTTCAACATGTTCGATGGTTCGGGGTTCTTTAGCGCGCCTCTTGCGCCTCTTCTCATTGATAACATCTCTATTATCCTTGTGAAACGCCTTGCTCCATTAAGCACTTGCATTCTTTCGCTCTTCTGACCAGTCTTTACGGTGCAATCTGAGGTATGCGTTGCGAGTTTCGGCATTATCGCCATGATACTATTGCAATCGTAACTTCTGACGGTGCTTCGGCTCCTCCTTTCGCTCCATGCGGATTCTCATTTCATCGCTGAGTCCAAATTCAAGAGTCTCTTGGTCGTTCAAGGATGTAGCAAGGTAGTCCATTCTTTCGATACCATTTTTGGAAAGTGGGAATACATCATCCCATCCTGGAAGTGTCCGTTCTGGTCGTGCTATAGCTCTTTCAGCCAGCTTTTTTTGGTTGACATTAAAGAAAGAGAGTGAAAGGAGTCAGTATGCCGTCTAGTGAAGTCTACCTTGGTCTAAACCGACCGAAAGACTATATATATCTCTTCCGGCGGCTATCCATCAACTGGAACCAGCTCACGGCACATTTTCCTTAGCCCGGCAACGGAGAGCCGAATCAACCGCATGTTTCTGCCTGTATTCCCAGGGTTAAAAGTGCTATTATTAGCGGTAGTAAGACCGTTCAACAAAATGGCCGACGATTTAAAAATGTCCATGCCGAGCAACTGCACTACATCCTGTACCGCAATTGAAAATGCCGAGCATGCCTCAATGTTGCCTCAAAGTTGGTGTCATGCTCCTTTTTCGCAATCGCCCGCTGCAGTCGAATTGCTAATGCAACTGCACGACCTCTTTACGTCCAATTTCTTTTAACAAAGTGAGCATTGATCTTGTTTCGTGAAAGTGCCTGCGAATCGTGTTCGGGACATACCTTCGGGAAAATATTTCTCTGTAGACCATGACTTTCCGGACAACCTTTACAAGTGAAGAGAAAGGTTGCACGCGGGAATTTTCTCGCTAAGCCTGCGATAAACACATTTCCAGGGCATTGACGAGCTTCTAGATTGGCCGAGACATCCTTTAAAGACCAAGTGTTTTCTGCTTACTGGTGGCAAAAGTCCAGTATAAGAAGACATTTCGGTCATTGTTTTGCGTGGACCTGGGGTACCGCGGCATGAACCCAGCCGCTCTTTAAGGGAATTTTCTCCAACACACCCTCTAAGTTTCCCTCCTTGCTATACTCTTTGACTTATTCTTAAAGCCAAGTCACGGAATTAGACTTCTTGGCTTCAAGAGATTTATCCCAAGCGGTCAATGCGGACCAGACTTTGTCATTCTGTCCTTTGAATTCCATCTTGGCTCTGGTCTAGTTAACCTCCCTAATATGGATATTTTAGGTAACATAAGACTCGAGCTTACCTTTCCCTCACTTTAGCCAACAAGGCCTTCTTCACTTTCTCAACGAGCTGCAAACAAGTTCATGTATACGACTGGTAAGGATCTTATTCACTCGGACTCTTCATTAGCATTCGAGTACTACGCCCTTCTTCCCCATACAATACTACGCTCAATGCATGCTTTTTGCTGGACATCTCACGCCTTTGATTACTTCGTGTTCCCTTTGGCTCCAAAGATATAGTTTCTGCTAAGGAAGCTTTGTACCCTTCGAAGCGTATTTTGAGGAGATTTGAAATCGGACGGTCGCCTCTGCAAGAGATCTGGTATTTGCTAGTGGAACATGGCAGTGAGGCCAACGTTTTTCTGGACCGTCAGCGGTTTAGCAAACCCAATTCTTGACAGTCCGATTCGAGCTTCAAAGTAAATGGTCTGTGCAACATGCTTCTCAGCTTGAGGACTTGGGTATTTCCGAGGGCGCAGATTCTTTCTGGTGGTGAAAATTAGGTTCACGTACTTTAAAAGCCTTTAGATTCATCAAATAAGAAGTTGCTGTGATATTTGAGCCGTTAACTTATCACTGGTAATCGGTCCAGTTCAAATGCCAAACCAGTTATGAAGCTACCATTCTTGGCACCAACAGTCGAACCTGGGCCGTCAGATTGGACGATGTGAGTGGATGGTGACGCCGGAGCATAACGATAGTCAATGCAGTCTTTGTGAGGTACACACATTGATGACTTTAAGCTTTCAGCAATGCCACAAGATGAACGCATGGCCACCCCAGACCCCTGCAGGGATGATCGGATAGTGGACGCTCTCCAGGCTTTGTGGGAGTCTAAGTTAGGCAAACGACCATTCAACGTCCATTGTGAGCCAATTGAGGACGCTTTTACGCAGGCAATGTTAGTACTATCTTGTGACCAACGATTTTGATATGCAGATCTCCTATCATTTGAGTCCATTCCTCCTCAATACCTTATTTTTCATGCTCATTAAGGTTGGCACCATGAGGGTTCTCTCTTCAACCATGAGAAGCACAGGAGCCAATCGCTAACTCCTTTTACGCTTAACCCGAGCTAGGTTATGAGGTGAGATATTCTTCTACTATGTTTGGGGTCTTCGCACCTGATACATCCAAACCGCCTGCTCGAAAGAGGGTAAGATATCTTATAAAAAAAACTGGCGGCTTCAGACAACCATCTACAACAGTAATGAAAGAGGTACCGACGGCTACAAGGAGGGCACCATTGCAAGAAGACCTCTCGAGCTTCACCAGGCGATGGCGTATTTCCATGTCCATTGTATCCCAGTGCTTCTTGCGAAATGTGACTCCTGGAACACTCAAAGGACGATGAAAAAGCACCAAAGTTTGCGGCGAGGAGGAAACGACCTCTTTGTAGGAAAGAAGAAAGAGATTGAAGGGGAGGGTATAGATCACAGTTCAGATTGAGATCGGGCTTTCTGGCCGGCTTTTCCCATTCTACCTACTGTTCTCCAAGCTGCGGTTTTTGTTTAAGCAATCCTCATATGTCCGCCAAGTCTTGATTAGATCAGGTTCAGTACAGAACACAGATTGATTTGCCAGAACAGCACCCCCTTCATAATTGGATGCAGAACACGAGCTCAGGCTGACATTCGATGCTGAGCTCGGACTAACGAGCGAGCGCTAGAGTTTGACACAGCCAAGATAGACGCCTGTGCAGATTTTCAGGACAGAATATTCATAAGCAGCAAGGTTGAGTCTCGAATATCATCCTCACGACTCTCCTCCTGTGACTGAGCATCTATAGTGATGAGATTGTTCAATAAACAAAGAAAGAAGAGAACGTCTGCCTCATAACGCCTATTCCCTGCTTGCTGTTTTCAACGACAAGCCCAGGGAGGTGAAACCCAATATTCCCAAATTTATGGCTATTTTTGGCCTCCGACGACTTAATAGATAGTCTCACTCTGCCGTCGCTGTTTCATCGAATCTTGTGGACCACTCAAGCTGAATTCAAGCGTCTTTTCGTTCATCCACTCACCCGCCCCTCATCCTATGACGCTGAGACAATTGAATCCGAGGTACCGATCTTTGACAACTTCATACATACAACCACTAGCTTCTGTGTAGCTTTAGGCAAAGAGCTTGCAGACTTCTGCGGTCTGGCTTCTGGGAAGCATACCTCTGACAACAAATTCGTGTTCCATGTGGGCGAATTGTCTTCAGCATCTTCAGGAGGCGCTTCATTAGGCGGTCATTAGGCTCAGTCTTAGGATGCAAGAGCCGATAAGTAGCCAAGGCGGATCATGTTGTGCTGTTGTATCGGACTAGATTGAGATCCCTATTTCTAGGTGAAGACATGAGCAGTTCTGAAATGAACTGTGGAGAACCAAAACACACCCTACCGACCAAGATTGCAGGGATAATTCATGATCATCACATGAAGCTTCCATGGCCTCTAAGAGATCTTTGCATTGTGTAGTATACGGAGGAGCTCCAAAGCAAGCCTCATAAGCGTGATGGTCCTTCATTATCTGTTCGCTGTGATTCTCCAAGACAGAAGTGCATCCAGGAGACTTGCTCCAAATGAAATTGCATTGAAGGACGCAATGATGATAAATGGTGCTGCAATCGAAACTCTATCGAAGAGCAGGCCCCCAACTTTGGTTAAAATGAGAATGCCTAGTCCACCTCCCAAGCTATAGATTCCCGCAACACTCCCTTTGATTTGCCGACGCGACCTGAGATTGGCTTTGGGGATGAGTGGAGCAGTATCCTCGGAGACCTCCGAGGCGTCCATGACTCGTCCTTGATCCAAATGCTCAATTTCTAGTACACATCGTCCTAGAAGACCAAGGCTACATACTATCGCGCCAATCTGACTAAAACCAAGCAACAGCATTATACCAATAAGATAAGGACCTAAGCCTCTAGACATCATTGCACTGCATGTATTGTTGACGAAAAGGAAATAGCCCAAGCACCCTGAGAGTGCGGCGACACCAAGCGGTATGTTTGGCGACCGAAGTCTTCCGGCGCAAAAGCCGAATATCAGAGCAAAGACCAGCGCCGCAGTCTGCGAAATGCCCGTCAGTTGAGAAGCGAGCACAAATGCATCGCTGCATTTTTTTGGGATTTCTTTCTGATTTTTGCCGTCCGCATTACAGAGTTCGGATGAAATGAAACAATGGTTCACATGAAGGGGTATGAACAAGGTGATTGCAACAGAAGATGCTCTTGCGACGAATCCCCCTATGTAGGCAAGTCCTAGAGCGCGGTCTTGAAAGCCTAGCTTCAAAGCATCGTAGAGAAGATAATAAGGCTGAGGATTGCGCTCTGCTGGGGACTTTACTTTGTACAAAGCAATGTACCCTTTCCCTTGCTCATCGGGCAGGTTCCTTAGTCCGAGGAAGCACACAGCTGACATCACAAAAGCAAAAGCCCCGACAAGATAATAGCTATAAGCCAGAGCATTCGTGGGGTTCTGTCCCCTACGCTGGATGAAAGCTGGCAGCGGTATGAAGATCAACAGCGCTAGCAGCGCTCCAATACCCGTTGAAAGGCCAACGATGCCAGCGAGCCGTGACGGAGACCCGGAAGTGTCCTGATTCTCGTTGAGACTCGTTCCCGGACCAGTGTTAGGATCCAGAGCTCTCGGGGATTCTGAGCCATTCTGGTTGTTTGCTTCTACTAAGCGCTTCTTACTCGCAGAGGCAGCTATAGATGGTAAGATAGCAGTAACCATGCAACTCACTGCGGCAGCTCCGAGACTGAATAAGATCCTTGCAAGCAGCAGATCAGGATAAAGGTTGTGCGTATGTACTACAGTGAAGCTCAGATTTGCGACAGATTTTCAATAGAGATAGAATGGGAGGTCTAATTACCAATTGCGAACAATGATACCCCAATTATCGAAAAGCCTAGGACGCACACCTGCGTCACACCAACACGGTCACTCAAAAGACCCCAAATAGGACCCATGATGATCACGACTATTTCGTCTGCGAACCCTAGAGTCCCTGTTGCATCGCCCACATGGCTCGTCTGCTGCAATACGTCCGTAATTACGAAGGAGATAGAAGCGTTTACAAAAACAAGGGTCGCTATGGACGCCATTGCAACTCCACCAAGATACGTCAAGATTTGAGGCCATCGAGCACCGAATATCTTTGGCTCAGCCATCATTATTCTTGTGAGGGGCCCAAAGGGTTGCATTGTCGATAACGCAGCCCTGACAAGATTCCCGAGCGTCTACTGAGCAGCTACGCTAGGAAGATTACCACCCGTCATACACGAGCTAGTAGATTAGTAGCGGATCCGACGTGATGATGACTAAGATAAGCTAGACTAATGTGGGCTGGGCGCAGCGAGAGGCCGATGGGGCCAGGTGTGCAAATATCTAGAGCTCACCAGCAGAGCACCCACACAGTTGGTGCTAGACTGCAGAACCTACATTGCGGGCCTTATCAGATGGATCATCGTCCTTGCTACCTCCGCTTTCAAAGTCATTTTGCCCATGATGAGATTCGCCGTGTATACAGGGGCATCTGCTGCCCTGGCCACAGGTGTCATTCTGAGCGCCCTCCATCAGAGGACGAATTTCTACTCCGCTTGTGTTTACCTCGCCCAGAGCAATGCCTGTCTCATGGTGAGCCGTCTGAAAGTTACACATTCTCGTATTGTCTAATCTTGGCAGATACTGACGAACATCGCCCTCCTCAGTGTGTCAATGACGATGCTCGGTCTGCAAAAGCTCCTCTACGGGCCCCTCCGGCCTATTGAGGTCGAGCAACTTTACGAAAAGGCCTGGTTTGCTATTACAGAGACTTGTCTTGCGATGACTACTTTTCGTGAAGAAGTTGGCGGCTGGTTTCTGATAATGTTCGTGGCCCTACTGATTGGCAAAGTCTGGGGTTGGATTGGCGAGGGTCGTGTAGAGGTGCTCGAACAGCAACCGCCGACAAATCCTCGGATATTTCATGCTAGGCTCACGGTATCATTGGCCATCTCTGCCATTTTTGACGCGTTCATGCTCTGGTATACCATCAAAACCGTCCTCCAGCACGCACGACCAAACATGATGGTAATGTTTGCCTTTGAATTTGCTGTACTATGCGTCACATCATTCTCAACAACGGGTCGGTATGCGATCTCTCTTTGCGAAGCCTCCATCACCCGAGCTCAGATTAAGCTGCGCAGAGCGCAGCTGAAACGCGAAAGAGAACAAAGCCGAGAGGCTTTTGTACCTGACGACTCATCGGCAATTGACACGGCTTCCGCAACTCATCCATCTGCTCATGCTGGTGATGACGATCTCGATACGATCGATGTTGATGTGCCTGGGTGGGAAGAAAAGGGTAGGTGGATCTTCTATCTAGATCTTACAACTGGTAGGTCAGACGCTCGATCATGAGTACCAGGTTTGCCTGACATGTAACAGATTTTTTGAAACTTATATTATATCTGACATTCTTTTGCGTTCTATGTATGTTCTACGGCATGCCAATACATATCATTCGAGACGTTGCAATCACGATTCGATCGTTTCATAAGCGTATATCAGACTTCATACGATACCGTCATGCTACTCGAAACATGAATGCCCGATACCCTGATGCGACGTCAGAACAGATCAGTCGAGAAGACTGTTGTATCATATGCCGAGAGGATATGAAAGCGTGGCCGCAGCAGCGCCAAGGGGTTGCAGAGCGGGACCACAGACATGACGGCAGTACACAGACGTTGCATCTAGACGAGCGTTTAAGACCTAAGAAACTACCATGCGGGCATGTCCTACATTTTGCGTGCCTGCGAAGCTGGCTCGAGCGTCAGCAGAATTGCCCTACCTGTAGGGCGCCGGTACTTGTCCCACAGCAGACTGCGGTTCAGCCACAGACAGTTCCGAACGGCGCGGTTAGAGGACCAGGACAACCCAATACTCCACCAGTCCCGATAAACGGTCGTGACGCAGGTCAAGCCAGGATGCCGGCGCAAAACGTCTTTCAATTTGGGCCTTTTCGCATCGCTTTCGGTGCTAGGAATATCATGAACGGTGCTGCTCAGGGTGATCAGGCGTTTCTGAACCCAGGAGTAAATGCCGGTAACGTACCTGGAATGCAGCCTGTACCAGGACAAACTCGTTCGGCGGAGCAAGCTCAACCCAGGACATTTGCAAGTTTTAGCCCGGCGGGTCCTTTGATTCAACTTCAACATATTGAACAGCAGCTAGTCCGTGACATAACCAGCCTTCGTCTACAGGCCGATCAGCTTCTCGTTGTCCGAGCGCTGCAGGCTGAGCTGACTCGACTTCGCATGCTTCCCTCACAGGCTACAGGTTCAGCACCGGTCTCCAGCAACACCAACGTGCCAAGGACTTCGGTTACACCTTCTCCTTGGCGTCACAGTACTCCGAACGGACCAGCATTTGCTTCTGATCCCACGGCGCCAGCTATCGGTTCAGGACACGAGCATTTACCAAGTGGCGTGATTTTACCGGAGGGATGGACTGTCTTACCTATGGAACGGGTCGCAGGCTCCATCGACCCTAGTGCCACCAATCCAAATCACAACTCAGATCGGCGCCCACCCTCAAACCAGTCGAGCTCGCAAGCACCAGCTCGTCTGGCGAACGGCAATCCATTCGTAGATATCGAAGCGACTGCAAGCAATTCAAACGGTGAAGCCTCACCAGTAGACCTCGAAACCGGAAGTCAGAACAGGGCTGCAGGGGTCCCGGAGACCTTGCATGTCCCGCAGTGGGGTTCAGGGCTGCCCGATACAGAGCGCGGCCAGGTGAATCGTGACACCAGCACGGTCAGTGGAGAGGAAGTAGGACGTAAAGAAGACGCTTTGACTAGCGATGATGCATTACCATGTGCAGGAGGCTCGTCCCAAGAAAAGGGCAAAGGTCGCGCTGCTACGGTCGAAGAGTCCTCCGACAGCCTTGACTGATGCTCAATCTCGGAGGACTGTACTAAAACCCGCCACTCGAAAGTGTATGTAACGAAGGCATAGCGATGGAGTCAAGGATGTGTAATTAATCAATCGCCTCATGTAGGAAGTGCTATGATCCTACCTTGAGGTACCGTATTCAGATGGCGGGGAAGAGGCCCTCATCTACCTAACGCAGGAACGTCTTAGCGCCCGCCGCACTAAGGCTGCCTAGCCTGCTAGACTCACCAGGAGAAGCCAATGAGATCCTGGCGATCTTTTTCATCGCAGCTAAATCGAGATTCCTGAATAGATAATGCAATATGCAATATATGATGCGATGTTCCCTCGGGGTGGCTCCCCCCGTCACAGCATCACCATCTTGCGCACGCACCTGCCTGATGTGCCTTCCTCCCCTTTCGAGCTTTGTCTTGGTCGCGCAAAAGGGCAGAGGTGCCAAAAGTGAGAGAGAAGGTGAAGGCAGCAGGCTATCCGCTAGGCTCTATCTAGACATCTACGCAATTTTGACTTTTGACTTTGTTGCCACACGTCCCGTCCAAATCATTGCAGCACGCACACGGTGATGGCAGGGATGCTGTTTGCTTGCAAGCCATCAATCCTCATTTGGCGTCACTCTATTTACCGACCTAGTCTAAGTAGCCTCCTTCTCCTGGCTAGCATGACGGATGTGGTAGCTGATGCTCCCATGTCATGGCCCTCTTGGCTCCCACACCAGCGTCTTGCCATCTGTTGGCTCCCCTTACTGCCCCCTTTATTACTGTTCAACCCACCCCCATCAGACTGTCGTTGATTCTCTCAAACAGAGCAGCACCCGTTTCAATTTGATTCTCAGTCCTGCCTCCTTGCTCGTCTCGCTGCCATCCCTCTGAAAAGATGGACGGCCTGCGACAGCATCATGCCAAAGGCCTCGCCTTCAAGCCGACAGCTCAGCAGAGCAAAGCTCTCTATGAAAAGATCCTGCCTCCAGTTGGCAGAGCTGACATCGAAGACCCCAGAAGACTGCCACCTTCGCGCTACGCCGGTACCAACAATCTTCGCAGCCGCACGACAGATAATACTCTACCAACTTCACCGCCAGCTCGGAAGGAATCGCTTGTGATGCCTGTCCCAAACACAATGAGGTTCGTTTGCGAAACTCTGATACCGCCCTTCAAGGAATCTGATAATCGCTCTAGCTCCGAAGACCTCTCTCCTCCTGCACGGCCTGAGCCTTCTCGCAGCCCCTCTCCAGACTTGAAAGACTCCTCGGACGATACCTCTGAAACTCAGGCAACATCCATTGAGTTACCAGCTTTACAAAACAGGTCCACGGTTGAAGACACAGATCGGATGGAACCTATAGATGGTGATCTCCAGGGCTCTTTCGATTTAGTTGCCCCACCGGAGGGAAGCCAGTCATCATTCTCGCTCGAAGAGCGCTCTGCACAGCTATTTTCGCGGCAGCACCTTGAGATCATCTTCTCGAACCCCGCATCTCTACTACGCTTCACCGCATTTCTAAGCACACACCGCCCTCAATCTGTACCAATTCTCATATACTATCTTGACGCACTCAAGGCCATCAGGGCAGTGAAATATGCCAACGCCATTGTTGAGGCTTTGAACCCCATCTCCGGCCATGCGTTTACCGAAGAGTCCATTAAAACTACCGTGAATCAAGATCTTGAGCAAAAGGCCCATAGCGCGTTCACCGAATTGACGGAGCAAGATCTACCGGCATTCATCACTCAATTGTATATACAAATCGTCAGCCTAAGTATATCGAGACGTATCACTGGCGTGCTTCCTGCTCATCTGCGAGACGCCTCAGAGGGCTTGGCAGAGGTCTTCTGTTTGACTGATCCCTCGAGACCGGACAACCCCATTGTATTTGCATCCGAAGGTTGGCTTACTCCCTTGCAGCGTAGAAAGTATCCGCTCACAGCCGTTAGAATTCAACCGTACTACTCAATATGGTATGAGCTATGTCATAGGTCGCAATTGCCGGTTTCTGCAAGGTCCAATGACCAATCCACTGAGTATCCACAGACTCAGTCGTGCGATTAGAAGCGGTAAAGAGCACTGCGAGGTGTTTTTAAACTAGTAAGTGCCTCGAAGTTCAATTTTGATTCATCGGATTAATGCTCACCTAAACAGTCGGAGAGATGGCTCACCATTCATGAACATGCTGATGACAGCGCCGCTATGCGACAGCAGAGGCAACATCCGGTATTTCATTGGGGCGCAAGTGGATGTCAGTGGCCTCGTCAAGGATTGTACCGAGCTTGAATCTTTGCAGCAGCTTGTGCAAGGTGGTACTGTTGCCCAGTCTTTCAGCAGCGATGAGAGCGGCGAAAAGGACGATTTTCAGGATCTGTGTGAGATGCTCAATATGTCTGAGCTGGAGACAGTAAGAAAACATGGAGGTAGGATGCACCGTGAATATCAGGAGGATGACCCCGACAATACCCACAGCAAAGCGCCTCACATGCCCAGACTCCTCCTTCAGGAACCCGCGACAGACGCAGTCACTTCAAACCTAGCCAAGCAGCAAAGTGGCAAACTCAGCGGTATATATCAGAATGTAGGTTTGCTGACAGAAGAGTCACTCGATTTAGTCTGCTGACTTCGGGCAGTACCTTTTGATAAGGCCATTTCCTTCATTCCGCATTCTTTTTGCCTCACCTTCTCTCAGAGTACCAGGAATCCTCCAATCACCATTCATGGAAAAAATCGGAGGCTCTCTGCGTGTCCGTGATGAGCTTTCCGCAGCACTCGCGGAAGGGCGAGGTGTGACGGCCAAAATTCGCTGGGTTTCCCGAGCAGATGAAGATGGCCGGAATCGATGGATCCACTGCACTCCCTTGGTCGGCAGTAACGGTCAGATTGGTGTTTGGATGATCGTTCTAGTTGATGACGACCAAGAGGCCAACCGGCGTTGGAGACAAGCCCCCCCTGTCGCCGAACCACATCGAGGCCACTTGCATAGAGCACCACATGCCAGTGGAGGAAGCAGCATGGACTCTGTCTTAGCCAAGCGTGAGCGTGCACCATCACACTCAAGTCACGCTCGTTATTCTTCACGTCCAGCATCTAGAGGGGCATCATTACGTTCAACATCCCCTAATTCGGTAACAGTATGAGTGAAGCTTCTCGACGATTTTTGGAGGATGGCCCTCACTTCTCGATTCTACTATAGCACTGCAGAATGACTCAGACGTGTTCGGAATCTCGCTGGTGAGATAAGCTCTTTCATCATTGTCGCACATTGTTTTGAAATTTAGCTGATTCTTACTCCGCGAGGACAAAATTAATGCTAACATGGATTCGGCAGTTTGGGGCCACGTGCTGTGATATAATGGTGGACTGGGTCTCAGTGCTCCTTTCAGAAAGCCTGCTGGAATGAATAGCGCATGCAATTTGCTTGAAGCTGTTTCATTGACAACGGTAGTGCGTAGGTACGTGCGTCATTGTGGTGTCGACACAATTCAGACGACACATTTTTCTCTCTCACTAGCATTGATTGTCCTCCCATTAGCACAACCAATTTATGCTTGCGCCGGTTCTTCGTAACTCTAGAATGTCAGAACAGCAGGACTTGTCGTAGATGCTGAATTTGAACGCTGGGCATGCAACGAGACCTAACGATATACTCACCAGCGGTCAATATTTCTATCTGCTTTTGAGGCGCGATGTTCGGACTACGCAGAACGTCCTTCGCCGTCCCTGCGTTGTGCACTCTTCTTGTGATTGCTCTTATTTTCAGCATGAGCAGCTTGCGCATCACTGATAGTCCGAAAAGTGGAACAGATCAAGATAGCGCTTTGCGAACAGTGGAACAGTCTTCAGCCTTGCGAAATGATTCCTTCATCAATCAAAACCGTCTAGAAGCCTCCATGGGGTTCTACAAAGGACGGCAGCCCGGGGAATTCGATATCGTCCCTAGCCGTGTCTTGGTGATCCCTCGGATGAAAGAAGCAGATGTGTCGTGGATTCGCGAAGGTCTAACGGATCTCAGCGTGATTCTCTATGTTCCCAACGATCCTGCCGCAGAGTTCCATGCCCCTAAAAACAAGGGAAACGAGGTCATGATATATTTGAGCTACATCATTGACCATTACGAAAAGCTACCCGAAGTGTCGGTATTTATGCACTCACACCATTTCGCGCATCATAACAACGAACTGCTGGGGTTTGATGCTGTACGCATGATACGGCAATTGAAAGACGATCACGTTATTAGACAGGGCTTCTTTAACCTCAGGTGTAGTTGGTCGCCTGGCTGCCCAGAATGGCTGCATCCACACCCTTCGCAAGACACTTTGGGCAAACAAGAAGAAGTTGTCCTAGCGGAGACCTGGCACGAAATGTTTCCTCACGAATCCTTGCCACCAACCTTGGCTCAAGCATGTTGTGCCCAATTTGCGATATCGAAGGAAAGGATTCAAGCCCTTCCAAAGAGCCACTACATATTCTTCCGCGATTGGATCATTAGAACACCCCTGAGCGACTATGTCTCAGGTAGGATATGGGAGTATTCGTGGCAGGTAGTGTTCAAAGGGAAACCGATAGTCTGTCCGGTTGAGCATATGTGTTACTGCGATGGCTTTGGAGTTTGTTTCGGAGGACCAACGAACTTCAGCTCCTATGAGCGGCTTCGGGATGAGAAGCCGAAGCTCGAATCACAACTGGCAGCTGCGATCGAGATGGCCAGCATTGCAAATGCATCCGAGAACGTCACCACGACAGCTAATTCGGCGCAAATTCAACAACTCATCGGGAAAATTAAATCCCTCGAGGAAGACATACTTGCAAAGACGAATGCTGCGATAGGTCGCGGCAACGATCCAGACAATCGAGCAAGGGATTGCGGGAGGATAGAGTCACAGTTATAGAAGCCTCTCTAAAGCCTTTACACTCGACATGTAGACAAATTATATAGAAGAAGTTTCTAAGTTAAATAGATTAATTAGAGACTTCTTAAAACTTTACTATCTAAGAGTAATTTATTAAATATCTTTTTAATCTTTATTTTAAAAAAAATTTATTAATATAAGTAAACTTAATTACTTACTAATTAAGCTAGCTAAGACTTTAGTAACTAGAAAATTAAAGATAAAGAAAAAAATTTAAAAAAATTATTATATTTATATAAATATTTATATTAAAAATAATAATTATTAAATTATTAATATATATATAATATATTATAGTCTTTTATAATCTTTAATATAATTTATATTAAAATTATAGTAATTATTAAAAGTTTATTTAATAATAAAAACTAGTTTCTAAGACTTAGAAAAAATAAAAAGAATTAAAATAAAAAAGTAAATTTATTAAAAATAAAAAACTTATTTAAATAATTAATATAAATTAATATATTTTAAATTTAAATTTTAAATATAAGTATTTATATTTATATAAATAAAATATAATTTAAATTATAATAATATTTTTCTTTTTATTAATTTAAAATATAAATAAATTTTATTATTAATTATAAAATTAAACTTTTAAAAAAATTTAAAATATTAATATTTAAATACTTTCTTTTTATACTTTAATTCTTTGTTTTATTAGAAATTAATTTATATAATTACTTATTAAACTAAGCTAGCTAAGACTTTAGTAAATAGAAAGTTAAAAAGGAGTTTAAAAGTAAATATATTTCTTATATAAATATTTATAATAAAGATATTATATATTAAGCTACTTAGTATATAATATATTATATTAATATCTTATATTATATTATTATTAAGTAGCTTTTTAATTAGTTATAATAAACTAATAAAAAAAGTAGTAATATAATTAAACTATTAAAATCTAATAGTTTTATAATATAATTAATATTACTTATATTAGTTTAAAATTCTTAATATTTTATTATAAAGTTTTATGAAGCTTATATATAAATTTATATATAATTTTAACTATTAGTTACTAATTAATAAAGAGAATTATTTTTTAGTAATTTATAGCTAACTAAGGAGTATTAAATTAAAGCTATTATTTTTATTTTAATTTAAGCTCCTACTCTTATTCCTATTTTTATTTTTTTCTCTTTTCCTTTTCTTCTTATTTTTATTCCTATTTTTATTTCTATATAAGTAAGCTTATTAATTATATATAGCTACTAATAAGTTTAAATAGCCTTTTAGCTAATTAGAAAAAAGCTTAAATATATAGAAAATAGCTTTATAAATATTTTATAAAATATACTTTTTTTAACTAATTTTAAGCCTAATTTAGCTAGAGAAATAGTTTATAAATAGTTTTATAAATAGTTTATATTATTGGCTAGCTATATAGCTTATTCCCTATTATTTATAAGTTTAATTTAGCCTAAAAAATAGGCTTATAAATAGCTTATATTACTAGCTAACTATATAGCTTTTTCCCTACTAATTTTAAGCTTAATTTAACTAGAGAAACTATTTTAGAAATAGCTTATATTACTACCTATTTTAGCTAATTAGAAAAGAGCTTAAGTATATAAAATATAACCCTATAAATAGTTTATAAGAGGGCTTATAAATAGCTTATAAAATATGCCTTTTTCTAGCTAATTTTAGGCCTAATTTAGCTTAAAAAATAAGCTTATAAATAGCTTATATTACTAGCTAGCTATATAGCTCCTTCTCTATTATTTTTAAGTCTAATTTAGCTAGAGAAACTATTTGCAAACTACTTTATAAATAGCTTATAATACTAGCTAGCTATATAGCTTTTTCCCTACTATTTTTAAACTTAATCTAAGTTTAATTTAACTAGAGAAACTACTTTATAAATAGTTTATATTATTAGCTAGTTATATAGTTTTGTCTCTACTATTTTTAAGCCCAATTCAAGCTTAATTTAGTTAGAGAAACTACTTTACAAATAGCTTATAATATTATAAAGCTATATACTTTTTTTCTTTATTATTTTACTACTATTTTAAGCTATTTTTAACTAAAAATTAATATTAGTTTCTTCTATACTTATTACTTAGCTTTTAAGAATTTTTATAATTTAAGCTTTAATCTATTATATAAATATAATAGTAATTTACTAGTATATTATATTATAGTTCTTTATAACCTTTATATAGTTTATATTAAGTTAATTAAAATTATAATAATATTCTTTTTTTAAACTTATTTATAATCTTAAAAATAGTTTATAAACTTATATTAATAATAATATAAGTAATAATATAGTCTTTTATTATTATAACTAGCTTTAAAAGTATAGTTTTTACTAGTATCTTATTTTCCTTTTATATTATAATTAAATTTAATAAAAGATAATTATAATATTATAGTATAGCTACTAGCGCCATATAGTTAGCTACTAGCGCTATATAATAGAGTATATATTACCTATAGTAGCTCCTAATTCTTAGGTATAATTAATATATATTACTACTTCTATTTTTTACTTTTATTTCTTACTTACTTTTATAATAATTTAATAGTAATATATCTAGTATAAGCTTTAACTAGCCTATTTAGTATATCTTTTACTTACCCCCTTATTATTACTATTAATTAATTAACTAACTAATAGGGCTATAAGTAAAATATAAAATATAATTAGTTTTATAGTAATTAACTTCCTAGTATATTAGCTCCTCCCTACTACTAGATTATTTAAAAAAGATAAATATATTATATCTAAGGTCTTATTCTTCTCCTAAGCTTATTATTAGCTTATTACCTTATTTACTTAGATAGTAATAAAAATAGAAAGTATTAAGAACTATTTTTATAATAAACCTTACCTCTTTTAAAAGCTTTAATCTTATATATTCTACTAGGTTTATAATAAATTATTTATTCATTATTATTAAATTATCTATAAAAGTACTTTTTATATTAATTATCTATACTAGCGTTCCTAATTAAATATAAATTATTAGTTTTAGTATTTTAGTTTTATAATTTTTAAAATATTAATATTTTTTATATTAGTATTATTAATATTTAAATATTAAACCTTTTAATATTTATAAATAAAAATTACTTTAAGCTTTCTTTACTAATTATATTAGTAGAAGTAATAGCTTCTATTAGAAAAATATTATTATAGATAATTTATTATTTATTTAACTAGTAAGTACTAAATTAATTTATTATTTAAAAAGTAGTTAAGCGTTTTTTAGTTTAAGTAATTTATATTAAAAGATTTTATAAGCTACTATCTACTAGGAATATACTTTTTTATTTACCTTTAATAAAGCCCTTAGTTTCTATATTATTATTACTTATACTAGATCTTATAATTAAAACTAATATTAATTTATATTAGCTATCTTATATTATTAATATTATTATAGCTACTAAACTAATAATTAGATAGTTCTTTAGTAAACTAATTAATATATTTAATTATAATAATAATAATAATAATAATATTAATAATTAAAATAATATTAGTTTTAGTTAATAATTATAAATAGCCTTATAAAGGCTATTAGTTTAAAGGAATCTACTCTTTATAATACTAAGATTAAGGCTAGGAAATAGCCTTCCTAATACTCTATTAAATATAAAAATAAATAATATCTTAAAACCTAATAATATTAGCTATTTTAATCTTAAGCTTAAAATTATAGGAAATATATTTTTAATAAATATTAATTATTATATCTTTTATTATAATATTTATATATTATAATTATATTAAAGACTTTATTATTATTTATAAAGAAGCTAAAATTAAACTAGTATTAATAGTTTACTTTTATAATAGATTAATTATTTAATATTTATTATAGTTAATAAAGCTTAAAAAACCTTTTAAAAAAAAGTCCTTTAATATACTAATTTAAAGAAAAGATTTTTGTTACTTTTTTATACCTATAAACTAAGTAATATATTATAGCTAATATTTAAGCTTATTATTTTCTTTATACTTATATTTAATATATTTTTTATTTTATAAAATTAGCTAAAATAATATTTATATATAATTTGTTTTTAAGTACTTAAAATAACTTAGCTATTAAGTTCTATTATAATATTAATAAATTAATAGTATTAATAATATTAAGTTAGTTTCTTAATAAAGTTAATTTAAAAATAAATATTTAGTTTAAGCTAGTATATTAATATTAAATTCTATATCTAGATATTAAAAAACTAATATTTTTAAATTAAAATAAATATTAGTAATTACTTTTTTTTAACTATAGTAGCTATACTATATATCTTTTAATTAATATAAATAATTATATTAATAAAGTAATTAATATTAATAATAGCCTTTCTATTTATTATATAATTAGAATTATAATATTAATATTCTTTATTAGTAATAGCTTTTTTAATTATTTTAGTAATAAGTATTAATTACTTTTTAAAGGCTTATACTATAAACTACTATTAATAATATATTAAAAAATATATTTTATTTACTATTAAACTACTTACTTTAGTTTAATTAAAAATATTTAAATTATAATAATTATTAAAACTAAAGTAGTTATCTATAATATTTAAAAGCTATTAAAGTATATTAAATTAATATTAAGGAAAGTAATCCTTAGTAAAACGCTAGTAAACTTAATAAATTAAATTAGAAATTAAATAACTTTTTACTATTAATAGATTTTTTTTATTATATAACTATTAAAAATAAGAACTTAAAATATTATAATCTATATAACTACTTAGATAAGTCTAAAGAAGTCTATAGTAGGTTTACTACTATTATTCTTAAAATTAAATATATATATTACTATTATGAAAAGTATTCTCTAAGTAATAATAAGCTATATTAATATGTCTACGCTAACTATATAAAAGGAGGCTTATTAAAAAATATTAATAAATCTTTTTAACCTTAACTTTTATTACTAGTTAATCCTTTTTTAATAATTGTCCTTACCTTCTAGACTATTACTAAA